CACTTAATTAAACCATCAACCTTTTACACCCCCCCCCTTGATTGTACATCCTCTGAGATTATGGGCTCTGAATTTGGCTGCCTATCCCGACTCCTCTCTTCCCTCCAACTAGACGATCGTTGCTTCGCGCTCTCTCCTATCGCCGAAACAGCCTCACTGGTCCTCGTTAGTCAGGCTAGCTGTCTCAGGAGGAAGAAGTTACCATAGTAAATAGGCTGGCAGAGTTGAGCCTCCAGCTTCCGTGCAGCTTGCTCTGAGCATTCCCGCAGATCTGTCTTTGGTAGAGCAATCGTTCCTGAAGTTCTCGTATCTAACCGCATATGGGCCTTGAGTTGGGTTATTAGTTAAGAGCAGGATTTGCGACAAGGACGCTGCGAATGTCAGTCTTGTTAGTTATCGTTACTCGCTCACGAGACGTTCCGCAAATGTTAACGGCAAACCAGATACTGCTGAACATGGCGGAATCGGGTTTGAATGACAAGACTGGTTCCGTATATCCTTTACCTTGCACCGACACGCGCCAATGATTCAATACTCGCGCAGTCTACGCCACTCATCAACTCCCCTCGACGGGAGTCGACTTAAAACAAGCCATGAAGTCAACGGTCTTCGTTAAAATAGTGACGACTCTGGACTCTTTGCGGTCAGAAATCCCGTAAGGAAATTCAGCCCGGCGTCTTACTGATTATGAATCAAATCATCATCGCCTTCGACCCCCACATTGACCAAATCAACGGCCCAAACATCTGGATCCAATCTAAGCTTGTCCCGTGGATAATCACACCCACCCCCCCCCCCCCCCTCCTGGTGCGCAATGCACTAGAACCCAGCCTGCTCAATCCCCCAGAAGGCCCATTGACTCTCTGCCCCTTGTCAAACGGTCCAGGTGTCTTTGGCAATCGGACTTCGGCGCGTTCAGCGTCTTGTACACCGTGAAGCTGACGGTCGCGGCGAACCCGTATATCACGAGAGGCTGGTCTAGGTTTTAGGCCGCGGGGTGAGAAGGGAGATGGCTTTGGTATATTTTTGTTCAGCGATTTGTATGCCGTCTAAGAGGTTTTAGACAAAAGATTATTACTTCGCGGTGCAGGTGATACCAGCTGCTTTAAGTAGGGTCTGGTGAAAGACTGTTTTGGGAGAATATATAGGATAAGTTGGTGAGGTTAGTCCATATGCCGACTCTTGAGCTGAAGAGCCGAAGGAGGTTGGTTTCTCCTATTAAGGACATTGGTTCTGGGTTGGGATATTCGGGACTGAGAATAGTCAGAATATACTGCGTAGTCGGGATACGATCTTCATTCTCTGAGTCTGGCTGATAATCTGGAAGGGGGGGGGGGGGGGATTCCAGCTAGATATACCATATGTTTAGTACGTGCTAGTAGCTGGCTCATATATGAAGCCGGTGTATCTAGGCTTATACTGACTGGAATGGACGGAAGCGATATATAAGATACCACAGTAGCGGGGGGGCGAGTATTCGGGTAGTGGTTGGGTCCAACCGAGAGACCGTAGCGATTAAATGTACATTCATAAGGGCTGATGAGACTACTGTCAATATTCACCTCTGCTGAATCCTAGTCTATCTCTCTTGTTGCGTAGTGATGGAGCGTGTGGCTTGTCTAAGCCCTGCGATTCTATCTAGATGATACATCCGGGCAGGCATTCCCACTTGCATCTTAGACGGACCTGCGCTCGATAATGTTCCGAACAAAAGCACCTCGCAGCAACATCGTCGGCCTCATCCACAAAACAACCGGTAACTGATATACCAGACTGATTTCGAACAAGCTCATCGCACTTCCTAGGCCGGACTCTTACCTGGAGGTCATGCAAGCGCGCGCGACCGCAAACTGCCGGACGCCGACGTTTTCTCACCAAGTCCTTAGAAGTTGAGGGATGTTGCCAATGCTTGAAGGATATACGAGGAGCTGGATGACATCCAAGGCGAGATTTCTGGTCTTGCAATGCGGTCGTGCTCTGTCATATTTCCTTTTCCGAGAAGATATATCATCGCAGTTGTATAACTCTCAATTGAATACAACTACCTGGGTAGTAGAACTAAAAGTATTTATATTATTCAGATTCCAATATTTAGTTATAAATATCCGTAAAATAAATCCATATTTAATACAGCCAGACATGGAACTGGAGCACTGGTGGTCAGCCTGTAACATCAACAACTTTCGCATTTGCGATACTACTATTTGATAAGCTCTACCACACATATCCCACTATAGACTAGGCCATGGGTTATCCTTGTACAGCTGTCCATGACTGCCAAGTACATCGCGCTATCCCTGCCATACCTCACCACGGCTTCCAGAGAACCTCTACACCTTCACCAGTCGCCTTGGTGTCACATCACGAACAAAAGCATGCGTACTTGGACAACAGGTACGTCCTCAGAATCAGGGCCAGACGGCAGATAACAGTCCTAGGGTGGTAGATGAATCCTACCTACCGAGTCTAGATATTGGATACGAACATCCGGAGCCTGGCATGTCAGCCTTTACTGCACCTGGTACTGCATCGAACCTGGGCGTGCCTTTTCCGCTTGCCCAAGTCTTGCAGGGGTGGCCTTGATGAATCGATCAATGTTAGGGGCTTTTGCCAAACGCAGGGGAACATCAAGAAAAGCCTGACGTACATACATTCCATCATGGTCTAAAGGTGCTTTCCACCTTAGCTGGAATGTTCCAGTTGTTTGTAACTGCACGCAAGCGTAAGGGTTGAATATTCAGAAGATGAGCGCCTAGCCGCCCACCAGGATACTCGTGAGATTACTTACCCGGCGAGGTCTCAACGTGTTCTTAGCTGCCGGGGAAGGTATTAATTGGTGTAGCAACCAAGGTTATGCCAGAAATGTATGGACAAACCAGCGCAATTATGATCGCAGGGCTGATGTCACAGGAGTTCCAATTCCGCCCGGTAGCCAAGTTCCTCGAGCTGGGCTGTTCGTGGGCGCCACTTAGAGATATGCACGTAGGTGGTAAGCTCCATGCTCAGTCCTGCGCCAATGATTGGTCCCTCTTTATGTCAAAACCCGAAGTATGTGCGGGCCGTGCGGTTGTTCCATAAACCTTGCGTCAACCGAGTCCAACGTCTTCATAACCCGTCGTCTAAGAATGTTCAAGGGGGGCTATAAAGGTCCAAGACCGGCCCTTGATCGATAAGCCGGTTTATACAGAATCACTCTAGGAAGAGGCTTTTCTCATTCCTCAGAAGGTTTGTATTTGGTAAAAATATCCAACATATTGTATTATAAATATTTGTTTCAAAAAAGAGAAAGCCAGAAAGGAAAAGTCCCTTGCTCTTACCTCTATCATATCCCTAGTTCCAAGGCCGATCATAATTTGAATTTCCCCACAGCTTGTAGCCTCGCGCTCGGTTTTGCTTTGCTTCATCAAGGGACCGTTGGATCCGTAGTTACAAAGAAGGTTATTCAAGTTCTCATAATCACCTACTTTGGGATTTTTGCCACTAGTTGTGGTCCGGGACTGGTTGCTGACCACATTATCAATACAAGAACTGAAACCGGTGACTGGGACATGTTCTAACCCGACAGAACGCCATAGGTTTGTCTACTAGAAATTCCTGTGTTGTACAGACGTGTCTTCCTAGCATGACCCCTCGCTTAACGCATTCCTAATGATGATGGACCAAGTATCGGTGAATTCCAATCCAGTAGCATTTTGATAGACTCCCCCGGACTAATAATACGCAGGTACTGTTTCCAGGGTCTCTGCGTTCTAGTTCCAGATTATACTGCGAATGGGGTAATTCGCGGCCTCGAGTTCTAAGATATAAAAATGGCTAATCTTGTTTACTAAATAGACCGCGTGTTATATCACTCTACCGCGGCTTCCAATTACGCAGACCAAAGGCTCTTCCAATCCAGATGCAATATTTCCTTTACCTAGAATGCTGGCTATCATATTTTCGTAGTCTCTGTCCTGTTGATTCCTGAATTATGCGAAGTACCCAGGGGGATCCACTATAAATGTAACAGAAACGGTGACACAGAAATTCGTCCAACATGGAATTTGACTTTAGGAAGCAGAGCAGAGAGCATGTTGGCATGCCCCAGCATCCCAAAGATATGATCCCTTGCATAGTATCGAGAAACGAGGACTATTTAGTCCCTGGTACCCCGTGGGAAACTACAGACTCACTTGCAAGCCTAACTCTCTTATTCCCTTGTCCTTCAGCCTTTACCGCTGTCTCTCAACCGACCGCTCCTCCACCAGCCACTATGAAGCTCATCACCGTGTTTCTCATGGCATTGACCACCGTCATCGCAACCCCCACCGAAAACAACAACAGCCCGGACAGTGACTATGTGTGCTTGCCCCGGGGCGCCACGTGCAACTACTCGATCCACTCGCCGGTTCTGTGCTGCGACGGATTGAAATGCCACCAGCCCGGCCCCCCAGGTGCCCCTGGAAAGGTGAGCGAATGTTCTACGTCTTCAATTTAACAGAGCGCCAGATAAACTAACACAACCCGTCTAGTGTGAGATCTGGGTGCAGTGATGATGGGCCAGTATGATTAGCTGGTAGTGGGTTGAAGTTCCGTGAGGTCTTTGTGGAGGTTTTTTCATTTTGCTTTTTTGGTTTTTCCTATCCTATTTACAGGATGGGTTTTTCCCTCCATGTACATGCGAATGCAGAGGCTATGTTGTGTTTCCACGGATGACATCCGCCAGATCTGGGATCTTATTTCCATAGTTGATCAAATAACACCGAATTAGATGTTTCTTTGATTGTGTCGTTGTTTATAAGCTAGATTGCTTAATTAACCAACATATACGACCACCGGTCGCTGAATGGTTGGCCTTCAGCGATGCTAGTGAAGATCTGGAAGTATCATTTGGGCCCGGGGGTCTAGGACACATGCTGATATTCGCTCTAGCTATGTTTTGCACGCGAGTAGAGAGTGCAAGACTAACATTTCCCCCACAAGCAAGCCACCAGGACTACCTCGCGATACAAGAAAGAAGATCACTCCCTCCCCAACAACCACCCCAAATTCCGATACGCATCGCCCATAAACCTCACCGACTGATTCAGCGCCGGAAAATAATAAAAGAAACCATGCGGCATGCCCGCATAGACATCCAGTCTCGTCTGCACCCCCATCTCCCTCGCCACAGCCTCATACACCAACCCATCATCCCTTAACGGATCCATCCCACTCACCTGGACATACAACGGCGGCAGCGCAGGGAAGACACAGAGGTCCGCAAACGGCGAAAACACCGGACTCATGGGATCCACGCGCAGCAAACCCTCCAGGTACTCGAGATCCTCGCTCGACAGACACGGGGCGTCTGCGTTCTGGGTCCTTGACACCCAGCCCTGCAGAGCTTCAAGGGGGACGCTCTCACCATTCGTAGTGATCGGATTCGCAGCCCAAAGACCGGTAATCGGGTTTACAAGCTCATCGCTGTGGAGAATCGACCGATGAGTCACAGAGATAGCGAGGTTCCCGCCTGCGGAGACGCCGCCGACCACGAAGCCCTGGGTGAGGTTCGCGCCGAGGGAGGCCCCGTGGGCGGAGAGCCAGCGGATGCCGTCCCATGCGTCGTCCTGGGCTGTGGGGAAGGGGTGCTCGGGGGCGAGCCGGTAGCTCATGCTGGCGACGGTGGCGTTGTAGAGGGTTGCGAGGGTGCGGGCGAACACGGCCATTTGGATGTTTGAGCCGACGACGAAGCCGCCACCGTGGAAGAGGGCGATGAGGGGGGTAGCATTTTCATCCTCATTCTCTTTGTCGTTGTTGCAGTCGTTGTCATTGGTGTCGTCATCTCTGCGCAGAACCTGTCCCTCAAAAGAAGGGATATCATCGAGGACAAGAGGCCTGCAGATGCGGATCTCGCTCTGAGTGCCATCGCTCATGGGGATCGTGATGACGGTCTCGTTGACGCCGTGGTCTGAGAGGGCGTTGAAGGCCGTCGACTCGATTTTGTTGTTCTGTGCGCGTAGCTGCATGATGGGGGTATTGGCATAGTTGGATTTGGGGAGGGGGTGGGCTTGGAGAAACTATTTTCTTAGTTTTTTTCTCTCTTTCTTTTCTTTTGTGGGTGTGTGGATGAGTGGTTGGAGTGGTTTGTCAAAGCACGTGGACTTACGACGTGCAGCTCAGGGTCGACCTGGCCCCAGGCGACGAGGGAGTTGGGGGTTGCGAGATGCATTTTGGTTGAGACGGATGGTAGCGGTTGGAGGTGAGCAGGATGTATGGATGATGGTAAGGCAGGTGAGGTAGAGGAATGGTTGAAGGGAGAACAGAGGGACTTTATATGATGGGAAATCCTGGTGGAGGAACTAGAATATTCACAAGTAGTGAATATCAAGTGAATGTGAAGAAAGCCTGGACCGGAGGAGAGAATTTAGCAGGATATAATTGGCTTATGAATATCAATCTACTTCTGATGATGTCTAGAACTATGTAGGTACTAGTGAACTGTACTCTGACGGACCAGAGATGGTTAGCATGAAAAGAGTTGATGAGTACATCTGCTATACTAGAATCTATCCTGATGGTGGGAAGGGCATATGCCAAGATATGCTGCACAACTAGTGCACAGTATTCTATATTTTACTGTTCAAGCCGTAACTATCAATCAGATGAATTTAATTACGGTCATCAGACTGAGACTGATCATTGACGTTTACATAACAACATGCCTAGATCTACTCAGCAACAGTAAATAAGTAAATCCTATTCAACAGGCAAAGACTCCTAGAAATTCAGTACAGAATCTCAGACACGATCCACAATCAGCAAACAACTCTACCCCCTCATCCTATCCCTAATCTCAAACTCCCTCATCAACCTCTCCTTCTCCCCATCCCCAGCATAACCATCACCACCACAACCCCCCTCAACATCACCATCCTGAACCATAACAACCGGAACCCTCACCCCCCTCCCCCTCCTCCTATCCTCCCCCCTAACACAATAAAAAACCATAACCGCCACCCTACCCAACAAGAACCCCATCACACACGCCATAACCCCCGTCGCGGCGCCCAGCAACGCAGGCAAGATGACCGGGCGCACTAAGCGGCCGAAATTGCGGTGCGAGCCGTGCCAGTAGGGATGGCTTCTGTGGCCGTGCTTAGGGACGGGAGGGACGGTGCGGTGGGCGTCTTTTTGCGGGGGAGAGGGAGTAGAGTCGTTTTCGTTTTCGTTTTCGTTCTCGTTCTTGGTGCTGGGGTGGTGGTGGTGGTGGTGGTGGGGAGGTTCAGGGTGGGTTAGGAGGTGGATGCATTCTTTTGCGGTGGTTTTGAGGGCATGTAAGGTGCCGAGGATGAGGGATTTCGTGTCGCCGTTGGAATCATTCGGACTGGGGTGATGATGATGATGGTGGTGGTGAGGAAGCGCAGAGGTGTTGATTTCCGTGATGGCCAGGTCGGACCCAGACTCAGACTCAGGCCGAACAAGTCCAACTAACACCTCGTAGTCACTCGCCAACCGGCCAAATTCATCCAGCAGCTTCAGCTTCAGCAGATAGATGTCACCAAGCTTGGCGTGGGGCGTTTTCGGAATCGGTCTGGCGTCCAGCGCGTATGAGACTCTGACGCCGTCGTCCTGGCCGGAGCCGGCGTGTCTGGGGGCAGAGAACTCCATGGGCAGGGGGGACGGGAAGATGACATGGTCGTTGGCGAGGAGGGTGTTGTTTTCGGTGGAGAAGGTGATTGTCTGTTTTGTTAGTTAGTTACTACTCTGGGACGTAGCGTTTTGCATGCTGATGAAGAAGGACAGGAGAGGGGAAACGAACCAAATAGCTATCGGGATCCTCTCGCTCGCAATTCAAGTCCTCGAAGGCGCATCTCGCGCAGGGAAGAATGACTTCGTGAGCGGGAATGAGTTTAGCTTGGTCGGGGGTGTCCAGATGAGGGAGGGATTTGGCGGTTGAGGTGACAGAGAGGATACTGAGGAGGGAGAGGTAAGAGAGTAGCATTTTGATCAAAGAGAGTGGTATAGAGAGTGGTTAACGAGAGGATTCTATGAGGCCATTTAAGAGGGAGGCTAGGTGTCAGACGAGAGTGAAGAAAAAAGAGGAATGGGGGGAGGCATATATAGGGTCACACAGACCATCACTCGAAATCCCTCAGTCAATCATCTGGGGAAACAGATCGTCTGCGCGAGGCTGAGGATGTCTGTCTCTTTGTATGTTTCACCACCCACCATAGCACCACCAAAATTATCTTTACAGTTTGATAAATTATCCTACCATTCATCCGCTGTAAATATTAAATTCCCTCCTAATAAATGAACGAATCAAATGTCCATCTCACAGAATTAAGTCAACGTGGTTGCCTGTCGGGGTCCTCGGAGAGCGAACGATCGTCGCACCGCCCCGTTGACCCACGACAAGCTTTGACGGGATTCTGCGACACGATGGCGCGAGAACTGTCTGGATAGGCAGGAGTGTGCCGATCTGTTTGATTTTATTCTTGTTCGTTCGCAGATCAAACGGTTCTCCTGCGACAGAAAAATTCATCCAGAATCCAGGGACAAGTTACCACAACTGCCTGAAACCTCTATCGTGGCTGCGCAGTGGACAGACTACTCCGTGGGGCCAACAGAGTCAAACAATGCGACGGTGGCATTCAGCGACGGAGCAATTGATTAAACCAGCGAATTCAGGGGTGACAGCGCCGAAAGCTTGGCCATTGAGGTTATCGCGAGGGTGGGACTAGCGCAGTATTAGGCTGCCACGATAGAAATATAAGACAGGATGAGACAAACTAGGCAGCACGATATTAGAAACCATGCGAAACGAGACAAAAGCCAGACACCTGAATAGTAAATCCCTAAGTTAAGTAAAAACAACCCCCCCATCCACCACCACCGTCTGCCCCGTAACGTAATCCGAATCCCTCCCCGCTAGAAAACCACCCACGACGCCTGCCACGTCGTCCGGCTGACTCGTCCTCCCCAGCGCCACCAACCGCTCCGAATACACCTTCATACTGTCGCCTTTCGCTCGGCCCTGGATCGCACCCAGCCCGGCGTCGATCCCCTCCCACATCGGCGTGTCCACGATGCCCGGCGCGTACGCATTCACCGTGATGTTATGGGGGGCCATCTCCATGGCAAACGCCTGCGTTAGGCCCCGGACGGCGAATTTACTCGCTGAGTAGAGGCCCAGGGTTGCGAAGGGTTTGTGCGCGACGATGGAGGCCGCGCCGAGGATTTTGTATACGCCGACTCCTGCACTATCACCACTACTTCCGGGGCCGGCAGGGGTAGAAGGCGGACCCTGCGCGATCATCTGCCTCGCAGCCTCGGTGTAGCAATTAAACACGCCGTTAAAGTTCACCTCGAACAGGCGCTCGATGTCCACCGAGCTGCACGACAGAAGGGGCTTGACCTGCGCGATGCCCGCGTTGGCGACCATGAGGGTGAGCGGGCCCAGTTGGCGGACGGTCTCGGAGACCATGGCGGAGACGGCGGATGGGGAGGTGACGTCGGCGGGGATGCCGATTGCGTTTGGGCGGGATGGGCTTTGGGACTGGGACTGGGATGAGTTGAGGTCGTGGACGAGGGATTGGATCTCCGCGGTCGACGAGGGCGTGTCGTTGATGCAGACGGAGTAGTTTTCTCGGATGAGGCGCTGGGCGATGGCTTTGCCTCTGTTGGTTGTTAGATCCGATGGTCGGATGGAAGTCTACAGGTAACTTACATTCCACGCGCGGAACCGGTGACGATGGCAGTGCGCAGCATCTTGAGATTGACATGGAACAAGGCAAGATGCTTGAGATGGAACAAGGGATAAAAGAGGGTACAGAGAACAGTCACTTTATAAATAACTGAGAGGGGAAAGCGGGGAAATGAACCAGGATTCTCCGGATTATACCCCCTCATACCCCAGCTATACATCCTACACATCCAATGCCTCCTATGCATCCACCTCGCGAATCCCATACGCAAACATCCCATTCGACTCCACCAAATGCTCATTCTGCAATTTGGCCGCACACTCCGCCCCCGCCGCCGGAACCCGATACTCGAACCGTTTGCCCACCCCGGGCTCGCGTCCGTCCAGCGCATACGGATACGGCAGATACTGCGGCATCAGACCCAGCTGCACCAGTACCGTCGCCTGGTCCCAGGCAATATGCTCGTGGTAGAGCCGGTCGCCGCGGATGTTGACCACCGCCGTGAAGGGGACCTGCAGTGGTTTCCCGGTGGGTGGGAGGCCGGGGAGCCTACAATTATACGTTAACATCCATCGGTCAATATCCAGGGAGAGAAGAGGACATACATCCAATCGATCTTCATATTATGCGTCATATGGCAGATAAACTCATCGACCACACGATCGACCCCGACCGTGCGACTGATCAGCTCGAGCCGGGTATCTTTCGGATTCTGGAAGATGAAGTGGTTCAGGTAGAAGTTGCTCAGTTTGGCGCGGCCAATACCGCCGGTTAACTACCCCAGTTCATCAGTACACCTGCACCCCATGTGTTGGAGAATAGAGGACAGACTCACCGTCGTCGTATGATTCACATACGGCTCCTGCACCATCGTCGCCATCGTCTTCTCGACCAACCGCTCCTCGAACTCGTAGAACGTGTGCTCGTCCCAGATCTTCTCGAGGTCGAAGTACGGTCCGTCGAGATACTTCTTGACGAAGGTGAGAGAGCGTGAGTGCGCGACGCCTGCCGCCGCGGCGATGAAGTCGCCATGGCCCGGGAGGATGAACTGCGGGGACGAGGCTTCGGGGTAGGTGTAGACTTTGGTCGGTTGGGTTTGGGGCTGGTCCGTGGGTGGTGCAAGGTGCAGAAGGACTGGGATGTCGGAGATGCCATGGTCTGCGAAGGACACGGCGGCAGCGAAGGACGGGGCGCTTTCACGCAGAACAGACGCAAAGGAGGGAGGGTATTCCTCGGTCGAGCCGTAGACTGCTCCGGTCAGATACATGGTATAGGCATATCTAGTGCGGACTGTGGCAGTGTCATACCCAACAGGCCGAGTTTCTCCTGATCGCACTCTGGCAAAGAACGCAGCTCGTCAACCGCTTGGTTCACCCGTTCACGAAGCGACTCGCTCTCGTCTATAGTAATCTGCACCACGGCGTAGCTCTCCTCGGCCCACTTCTGCACCGGCGCTGGATCCAGCCCGGTATTCTGGCCGTCGCAAATGGCATGGCTGTGCGGGCGCAGCAGGACGAGTCCGGGTCCCCGGCCGCAGCGCGAGAGCGGGGGCTGCAGCGTCATGCCGGGACCGAGGGATCTGGCGGGAGCGAATGAAGTCATTGTGAGTACTACTAGCACAGAGGGTTGTAGTCGAGTGCAGCAAATGGAGGGGAGTGGCTGTCAGGAAGATAAGATTGTTCTTAAAAGTCTCCACTTGGTCGGGATTAGCCGATCGCACGGGCTATGATTGAGTGGCCTGGATGTTAAAAGACAGAAAAGATGTTCAGTTATTGCCTATTCCGAACAAGCCCAAAGTTATTTCATGCGGAGTAGACAGGCTGGGGAGTATGATCCCTGATTTAGTCCAGTAACTTGTACTATGTGGAAGTTGTGGTGGAAGTATAGCCGACGATCGTACGCTCGAGCATCAACAGACCTCGGTAATGCCAGGCCGACTGTTTGTCTAGTAAATAATACTACTTATTAAGAGTATATTATCCAAAGCTATCGTTTTTAATATTTTAAGTTGGCTAGGTTCGAAAGAAAAGAAAAAAAAAAGTTATAATGAAAGAAATTAAGAATTTAATCACGTAGGAACAGCGAGGTCGCATTAATCTCAACCTCGCCTTCAAAATTCTTGCTGAAAAAATCCACAAGCTTCGGGCCAGACACTGTAAGGTCATCATAGAGATCGAAGTGGTTCTTTCCTTCAACGATGAACAGTTCCTTGGGTTCACGCGCTGCGGCAACGGCGTCCTCTCTGTAGTGAAGAGTCTGGGCCTCAGACCCGACAACCATCAACAACGGCCGCGGAGAAATCAGATGTCGGAAGTTGAACGAGTCATAGCAGACCATGAGACCGTAGCTGCACGGCGGAACCTTCTACGCGATCGTCGACATGGGCCAGACAGACCTAACCCTGGACCCGGACGAGGGCCAGCGGATTGTTGAATACGGCGAGCGTATCAAGCGCGCTGTCCAAGCCACCGTGCACCCCGTCCACCCTGAGAAATTTGGCCTTCATGGCGTGACCAACCTCATCTTCACGGTGCCCCTGACAGAGGGCGTGAATGGGACGACGGCGCAGAATGCGGTGGTGGTGTCCCCTGGGCGATTGGACCGCAGCCCTTGTGGAACCGGGGCGTGTGCACGCATGGCGCAGTTGCATGCGAGAAATCAGCTGGCTGTGGGCGAGCCGTTTCTGCATACGAGCATCATCGGGACTGGGTATGTTGGTTCGATCACGGGGACCACCAGGGTTGGAGAGTACGAGGCAGTACGGCCGAGGGTTAAAGGGAGTGCTTGGATTACTGGCTTCCAACAGGTCGTTGTTGATCCGACGGATCCTTTCCCGGAAGGATTCCGGGTTGGCGATTCGTGGCATGTCTCGAAGGTCCCGGGGCCTGCTGGTTCGAGGATAGATGTTAAGCTGTGAATCATCTGTTTCATTATTATACTCCAAAGAGTGCCATGTTGCAGATAGTTCACCTGTCTATCGCGGTGTGCGTACTGATTTAGTGGTTGCTCCATAGCGTACTCCAGACTCCCCCTCCCCCCGGGGCTCGCTTGATGATCAACAGAGGCAAGGCGTCAGAATGCACATCATTGTGCACAACCTTGTCGATCCCATCCCAGACACAAGATAGAATAGGTAAATTATTCGCGGTGGTGAAAGTGGAGATCCGAAGACAGTGGTGGAGTCAAACAGGAATTGACTGGTGAGACGGCTGCATTTTATTTGCCATTTTCTCTGTAATTGCAGGTGCTAGTCTCATTGAACATTACGATATGGTCAAAGAGTAACAGATTATCGATGTTGAGTGAGGAAAACAGAAGAATAAAACATTCCCCACCAATCCAAGTACATACATCCCCTCCCCTCTGATTGGCCACCAGCTTCCTCTCACGTGACCACCCCACGTGCCTCTTTGTCCTCCGATCTCGAGCTCCAACTCTCCAAGTCCAAACACCCCAGCCCAGACCCAAAATGAACGCCCAATTCCAAACCACCCTCTCGGACTTCGAATCAAAACTCAATGCCCTCGTCACGAGTCTAACCACCTCCCCGACCGCGGCCGGCGCCCCCGCCGCAGCAGTCGGCCTGCTCGACGCCGACGACTCGCTCACCTCGGCCGTCGAAACCCTGCGCCAGCACCAGGCGAACTACGCGCGAATCTTGAAGCTACGCGCCGAAGCCGAGAGCCTCGAGGACCGCGTGAAGAGCATCGTGCGCGATGTCGTGAACTACGAGAAGGAGGTGCGGACGACGTGCGGGGACGACGAGGAGGATAGTGATGAGGAGGTCGATAGCGATAGCGATGACGAGGATGAGAGCGAGCGCGAGAATGAGGTTGAGAGTAGGGATGGACAAGAGAAGGAAAAGCGCACCGGGCTCCGACACACCAAAGAAGTCGAGTACAAGCTCCTGCTCGACTTTGCGCGCCGCATCAGCAAATATAACCTGCAGGCGGCGTCGGACGCAGAGCAGGGGATTCACGGGAACGAGGCGCAGACGCGGAAGAAGCTGGACCAGGATACGGAGATGGGCGGGACCAACACCACCAACACCACCAACACCACCGGGAATGCCAACGGCACTGACGCTCCTGCCGGGATCGAGCCCGTCTCGACCGTCACGAAAGAAGCGACCTCGTGGCTGGACGAGTCGGCGAACCTGACGCGCCAGGTCTATATGCTGCCGTATCCGATGGAGGATCGGATCCGGATGGGGCTGATGGGGCAGATCCAGCTGGCGGCGGCGGAGGGACGGCCTGGCTTCGACGCGGACGGGGAGGTGGAGCGGCTGATTCGCGAGGCGGAGGGGACTGGGGCTGCGGACGCGATGGCGCCGGTGCAGCCGGGTGAAGGGACGAGACATGCAGATGAGGCGGCGATGGCGGCGGCGCATGCGGGCTCGGCGGCCAGTGCGGGCGCTGGGAGGACAGCGCCGCCGCCGCCAAAGCCGAAGGCGATGCTGGATTTGGATCTGTATGATCCGGATGATGATGATTAGATGTGGTTGGAGGGTGGGTTGAGGTATCTGTGCTTTCCTGGGATGTTGAATAAAGATCATTCGGACAGGTGAGATGCTACTATCTGGTCTGGTGGACTGTCTTTGGCTATATGGATGATCTGCTGTAGTTGCATTGGCAATCTTTCAGTTAGGATGGACGATACCTATATCGGAGCGCAGTGTATTTAACGAGACCATGACAACTGAATTTCTAAGCTCAATAGGACTTGGAGTTCTACGTGTAAGGTGTACCATATTTGAACTTCAGTAATACCCAGTTAACATCAATGACCCGGATACTACCGTCTTTGGCCAGGCTTCTCTAGTTCTGCCCATAGTTTCTTAAATAGACATGAACATCGACCATCTCCAAACAGAAGACATTCTAATCGCCAATCGCTGCAGTACCAAGAAAGAAGACCCGTAGAGACAAACACAACACCAGTCCAACCACCTTCAACACCCACAACCAAATAAACAACCGCCAAACTAACCCTACGTCTGACACCACGCAGTCTGCAACTTCCTGACCTGCTCCCCGGTCCCCAACCCCAAATCCGCCTCCACACCCCTCAACAAATCCCTCACAATATCCCTCTCCTCAGCCCTCTCAAAGCACTGCCCAACCGCATACAACAGTGGCACCATATAAATCCTCGCCGCGCTCTGCGGCCTCCCCAACGCAATCCCGCAGATCTCTTTGCACCGATAATCCGCCTCCTTCATCAGTTCGCGGTAGCCCTGGAGCCGGTCGAACGCGGTGCTGGGCCCGCTGACCGCGTCCGGGGGTCGATTCAGGGCCAGCGCCAGTCGTCCAAAATGGTACTGCTGCATGGCGGCGGCGCAGGAGGTCAGGCTGTAGAATATCTCGGGGAAGGGGAGGTCTTTGGGGTGTTGGAGGCGGAGGCAGGGGCGGAAGGTCTCGGGGATGCGTTCGAGCCAGGATTGGAATTCGAATTGGAGTTTGAGCCAGGTGGAGGTTGTGGGGTGGGTGGTGGAGGAATTGGAGGAGGAGGATGTGGTAGTGACGGCTGGAGGGGAGGGAATGGGTGTTTGGCCGGCCCATTGTTCTAGTTGCGACTTTTTGGAATCGGCAAGGAAGCTGATCACTTTGTTTAGGAGCCAGATGAGGCTGTTGGCGGAGAGGTCTTCGGGAGAGAGGCGTGGAATGGGAGAATTGTCGGAGGAGAGAACGTTGCCTTGGTCATCGATGGGAAGGCCGCTGGCTCGCCAGAGGGGCAGGTTCTGGTGGTTGAAGTGTGGTGGCAGTCGGGTATAATAAGAGCTAAGATAGTCCTGCCTAGCGAGGTTCCAGAAAGAGGCTGCCGTGCCGTGGGAGAATGTGGAGTGAGTTGAAGTTTGATGGTGTAGTTCGAGTATCGTGTCGAATAAGGGTGCGATGCCCCTAAGCTGCCTGCAACTGGTTAATAATAACTTGGGCAAAATGTTGAGATACGCACGATTGCCAGTTGTCTCCTGACTCATCCAGGAGCTTGTATAAAGTGAGGACTGTTGCAGCAGCTAGCAAGTTCTCGGTTTTCTTCCAGAATTCAGTAGCCGCCTGTTCTTCCATGAGCGTTTGGGATCGAGGTTGTCTCGTGTGAAGGTTCAGCCACCGGCGAACGATCTCGATCGGTGACTCCAGAACCGCAGAGCTCGACACGGAGGTATAGGCATCAGAGACGCTGGCGTTCATATGAGAAGCAGCCAGATAGTAGTAATTGGCGGCTTTGAGAAACCAGTCCACTTGCGCCGAATTGGGATACGTTTCCATCGTGGCAGGGCTGGTGAACATCCCGCTACCGACGTGCAAAACAGCCCCTTTCATGCGACCAAGATGCTTGGCGGAGAGGGCCGCAATGGCAAATCTGAGGAATGGATCGTTGATCGCACGGATAGGTACAAAAGCACCGAAGAACTTGTTGGAGTCGGAAAGATCGAGCCTGCGCCGTGTAAGCGGAGTATGAGCCAGGCTGTCATTACTTACCATGGTCCTAAGGTCTCGGAATAATGTCGTATGAGAAAAGCGATTTCGTGCTCGGTTCCTGTCATAAGTTCGGAAAAGATGTCCTGAAACTCTTCTCGCTCACTTCGCTGGGACGGGCTAGACTGCGCCAACCCGGCGTTCGGAGACAGCGGCTTCTGTCTGGAGTCGCTGTATACATTGCCCAGCTGATTGAAACCCTCATGGAGTGCATTCGGAACTGGACTAGGGCCAATGCTCCTACTAGAAGCACTGCGAGACTGACTGAGGCCCGCATCCGCCGGTCCAGTTTCTACAGGCGCATAATTTGCTACCTGGTTCGCGAAACCTGCAGGATAAGGTCCAGCCGTGGACCTGATTCTGAGATCGTGCATGGGTGAGTGCATTTCCGCTTGGTTCATCCTGTCAGATTGCCAATCGGCAGGAGCCACTTCCGACCGCAGAGACACATTGGACGGATGATCCAAATTGCGGTGCACTGGCGCGGGATCGCCAGCTATCTTTAAGAAGTCAACATGAGTCAGTTCTCTCGCCAAGCAGCAAATCTTACATCGTCTGCAGCTCTGGGTGCATGCGGCCGCAAATTGCCGTCCTGATAAGGCGCATATCGTCGCCTTACCGAAGCACCTTGATCTATGAACTTGCGAGTCTGGACATATCCAGGGCATTGAACGCCAGCCGTGCTGCAGCGCTGGCAGTGTGGACGCGTCTCATCACACTGTATAGGTTAGGAAAATCCACAGATAGGACCATAAGCACGAACTTTGAGATGCCGCTTCTTACAGCGCTCGCAAGCCTTGTTTGATGGTACGCCCGGCATTCTTGCCACGATAAGACAGTCCTCTGGGTAGCTGGGCAGTCACGTCTCTTGAACGAACAAATGCAACCATCATCTCACAGTATATCCCTGGCCTACTGTCGCCAACTTCCCAAAAGGCAAGGACATCTCCGCGAGCAGCGAGAAGCTTGAAAGTGCAAGGAGTTCGGTAGAAACTCGGCGAGTTAATCAGCGCGGCTCGGGACGGGACATTGTTCCTCCGACCGTCTCGGGCATTTGTCCGATCGCTCCCTATACTTCTTGACCTCGTCATCGTGTTTCATGTTTGCCCTTCCAACAGATCCACTTCGTTGTCGCTGCAATGCTTAGAACTCCACCAGATACGTCGGGCTTACCGCAGCCACGGATGCTACAGGAGGGCTCGCCGCGTCAATACAACCCCCCGGGTCGCAAGCGACCGGTGCGTCATATGGCGACAGATTTCGGGACGAGTAGTGTGTCCGGTGCTGAGAAACGTCGGATATACGACGAATGGACTAGTTAGTATACTGCGCTGAATTTCCATAGCTTGTACTAAACCGTCCAGGAGCTGGAAAGCCTCACAACTTGATCTGCTCGCAATGTCGAAAACCAGATGATTTGATTCCATGCGAGACTTGCTGCAGGTCCTACCACGCAGCGTGTCTTATGCTTGGCGGTCTATCACCTCACGCAGGAGCGTTTCATTGTCCGTCATGTAGGCGAAATCAATGGGACCAGTCTCTTCAATTTGACACTCCCCTGCAATCGTCCAACGTCTCCCCCAGCAGCACCCCGAGTGGGAATGGCTCCAGAGTCACCAGTCCGTCTGTATACATGGCGTTTGATCATCGTTCGCCACTGGACTCGCCGGGGTCGACTATGTATCCGCAGAACTTCCGACAGCTTGATCATTCAATACCTGTTCAACCTGCCTTCGCATCTCAGGCCAGGGATTTCTTGATGAGCAACGGACAGTTTCCGGCTCACCAGGAGTTTCCGCCTGAGCTTTTGTCGAGATTAGGATCGATGATGGCAGCTCTGGAGACGCAACGATCACTGCAAGATGAGATTCGGAATCTGAAAGAGGAGAATGCAACTTTGCGGAACGATAATGCTAACATGAGGGATTACTTCAATTCTAACCTGCCGACTCGTGAGCCCATGATCGCCGCTCAGCCATCGGACATGTCGGATACCCCGAAGGTGACTGACACCAGCGAGAAAGCATGGGACAGGATCATGTACGACATCATTTGAGGCTTATGGTATATGTGCTGTCATGGTCGCGCTACTCATTGAGCAAAAGACAGTAGAGCTCAAGGAGTCTGTATCGGATTTCGATCATCTCTTAACGTACCATATTCTAGCTCCTGGGTTGGGGGCACGATGCGCACCTGCGAGCGACATTCCTGGTACTGCCCTCCGGTGAAAAAGTCCATGGCTCAAGAACCAAACGAAACTCCTGGTTTCTTTTAGCGTCATCTGTGCTTGACGCAGAAAACTCCCCTTCAAATGTCAGAATCCATTGGATGGGTTGCAACGGGGTTATTGGCGCTTAGCAACCCTCTGTCCTCCATGCGCCACTCGCTTCGGCAGCCGACGAATTTAACAACGGACGGAAGCAATAACACTCGACAGGCTACGTTTTCGAAAATCGATTATGGTAATCGAACTTAACACAATTTTGAGGTCATGAGATTAATGATCCACCGTGGAAAATTCCCCACGATCTGCTGCGGAGTATGAAGTGCGGGGAGATCGGTTGGGACGGAATGTCAATCCATTCATTGATTGGATTATCCCGGCCCTTGCAGAGTTACATGCGTCAATGCAAGTCGCTAAGTCGATGTGACTGCGGACTCGGGCTATTTTGGGCAATCTTTCTGCCAATCGCCGCTGCCATTGCCGCCGTGTGGTTGATGGGCAACAATGAGGGGCCGGCGCGTACTACATAAATACCTAACTAATGGTCGAAGATTTAACGTTGATGGCTCTTTCTTTTCTCACAATTTGCAGGAGTTGTGGATTGAGTTCGTTGTCCCAGCAATACTCGCTCTAACAACCGTGGAATGTGGTTTTGTGTGACATCTTTACTTATCGTGTTGTCATTCCAGCCACCCACGACAATCTTGGAAATGCAAATTGAAGTGTCGGGTGTTTAATTGTTTTGAATATCTTTTGCCTGCACTTCGCCAGCGATCTCTTTCGTTGGCGCTCGCGCTTCTCATTCCGACGTGCAGTATGGCACTAAAAAGCTATTTCAACATGCTTCTGGACGTCTTTACAACACTGGCTCTGTTTGCATGCGTTGTATATGCTAAAGACAACGAAGATCCCAAATTTGACGTGTTGGATTATGTCGATCCACTCATCGGAACTGCCAATGGAGGTAATGCATCTGATCTTTCTGCGTAACCGACATCTAATTGATGAGCGCAGGGCATTCGTTCGCTGGGGCCACTCTTCCGTTCGGTAAGTCTTGGAGACGCAGTTGCTGTCACCTACTTATGCGACCTAGGCATGGCAAAAGCCGTAGCCGACACTGAAGGCGAGAACCAAGGCGGCTTTGCATACGACACGACAAAGGTCACCGGGTTTTCTCATATGCATGACTCTGGAACTGGAGGCGTAAGTCTGCATGGATACTATGTATTCTAAACTACTTACCCAAGATAGGCAGCTTCGCTGGGCAACTTCCCCATCTTCATTCACCCTAGTTGCCCGGAAAACGACCCCAGCAAGTGTAAGTGGCAACAGACCGACAGAGCAACTGTGTGGAAAAAGGGTTCTCCTAAAGCCAGGCCGGGGTACTTTGGCATCAAATTGGAAAATGGGGTCCATGCTGAAATTACAGCTACGAACCGCTCGGCTCTGTATCGCTTCAGTTTTGAGAACGGCTCCGAGCCACTCAGTCCGATTGTTCTCGTTGATTTGATGGACCTACCACAGTCTCGCTCGGAGGGCTTCGCATCCGTGGATTCATCTACCGGACGCCTTACCGGCAACGGCACATTCAGCCCTAGCTTTGGTCAAGGAACTTACACCCTCCACTTCTGTGTCGACTTCAAAGGGGGAAAGGTTCGCGAGACAGGGTCGTGGAACAGGAATTCAGTGGTACCTAACCAGAACACCATCGTTACAAGCAGCAGCGCTCGCACGGATTCGGCGGGTACGTATGCCCATTTCGATACTATCGAAGCAAACGACAGCATCCTTGCAAGAGTGGGTGTGAGCTTTATGAGTGTGGACCAAGCCTGCCGGAACGCGGAGAAAGAGCAGCCCGATTTCGACTTTGCGGGGACTGTGTCTGCCGCGGAGGATGCATGGAGAGAAAAGCTGAATGTAATCAGTATCGATGCTGATCAAGTCTCGACTGATCTTCAGAAGGTCTTTTGGAGCGGTGTCTATCGCACGATGATTAGTCCTCAGGATTATACTGGAGAAAACCCCTTGTGGGAAAGCGATGAGCCGTACTACGATAGCTACTATTGGTGAGATCACTTACCTCCATCGTGAGTATTGCTGACTGGGATAGTATATGGGACTCATACCGCGGCGTTCACCAGCTTTTGACGCTCATGGACCCGGCTTCTCAATCGCTGATGATCCGAAGTCTCATTGATATTTACCGTCATGAAGGATATCTCCCCGACTGCCGCATGTCCCTCTGCAAGGGCTGGACACAGGGCGGCTCCAACGCAGATGTCTTGATTGCAGAAGCGTATCTGAAAAAGATCGAGAACATCGACTGGGACACCGCCTATGAAGCCGTCGTTAAAGACGCGGAAGTCGAACCACCGAACTGGGACGTAGAAGGACGAGGAGGTCTTCGCAGCTGGAAGAACCTCGGCTATATCCCCAAGGGTGACATGGACACAGTCGGCAGGGGTCTGCGCACCCGCAGCGTCTCGAGAACGCTTGAATACGCGTACAATGACTTCTGCATCGCAGAGATGGCTCAATTGATGGGCCACGACGCCGACTATGAGAAATATACTCGACGTGCGTCTAACTGGAAAAACGTCTTCAAGAAAGACCAAAAGTCATACATCAAAGGCGTGGATACCAATTTCACCGGCTTTGTACAGCCCCGACTCCCAAATGGCACATGGGACTACCAGGACCCGATATTCTGTAGCCCATTGATGAACTTTGACTCATGCTACTTGAATGCAAATGGCCACGAGACTTACGAGGGCAGTTGCTGGCTTTACACCTTGTACGTCACCCCCGCATTGAACGAGTTAAGACTAACAAGCTCCACAGCTACGCACCACAAGACATGGGCTCATTGATCACAACACTCGGCGGACCTAAGCACTTTACCGCCCGGCTAAACTATCTCCACGAATCCGGCATCCTCTACGTCGGCGACGAGCAAGCCTTCCTCACTGTCTTCCAATACCACTACGTAGGTCGACCGTCTCTATCAACTAAACGCGCGCACTTTTACATCCCTTCTCAATTCAACACCTCTGTCTCCGGAATCCCCGGAAACGACGACGGAGGTGCCATGGGCTCGTTCGCCGCATTAAGCATGATCGGCCTCTTCCCTGTCCACGGCCAAGATGTCTATTTGATCAGTGCGCCGTTCTTCAAGGAGATTAGTATTCGGAACAAAGTCACGGGCAAGGTGGCTACCATTCGAGCGCTTAATTTCGATGCTGGGTATAAGGCGATTTATATTCAGAGTGTGAAGCGCGATGGTAAGCCTTGGAGTAGGAATTGGATAGGGCATGATTTCTTTGCGGAGGGTGGTGCTCTAGAGGTAGAGCTTGGGGAGAAGGAAAGTGAGTGGGGGACGAGAATTGCTGATTTGCCGCCTAGTATGAGTGAGTATCAGTGGTAGTTCTCTTGTTAGCTGTTGATAGTGGGGTGACCTGGAAGGGCTATCAGGAAAGGAATTACCTGACTGAGAAAAATTCAAATTAATTGGTGTATTCTGGCAGACTGCTCTGTTTTGTTCCAGAGAATACCTAGACGGAGCATGTCACACATCATGATCCTCCAAGTCTCGTCTTTCTGCATTATCCTTCAGATTAAATCACTCTATTTGTCGCATAGTATTCTCTTTTAAAATAGGACTATAATAATATTCTTGCCGGCGAAGTTTCAACATTGCATTTTGTGAATAGTATTTCAGTACAAAACGAAGCTATACACAAGACCTGGGTCACTGGACCAGATGAAGCCCTAATGCCGGAGCAAACCTGAGAAAGAAATTGAAACTTCAGCATCAAACAAACCCATTGCGCAAGGAAACATAGACACTCAATATTCCCAACTGTATTATGATGAGGTTCCAGATGTTTACAGTAGCGAGAAACCCGCTCGAATTTCTATGGATAGAAATATTGAGTTTTGTGTGAAGAGACAATGGTGCTTTGAGAACTTGGACTCCAGAGATGGGGAAGAAGAAATAGAGAGAACAAATTCATCGCCGATCCTAGTTGAAATTTAAGCAGAGAAGCGGTACTAAAAAGGACTACAAAAGGTGACATGGATATAGTTTCCGCGGTGCAGAAGTGAAAAGTACAGCTAGTGATTCGGCCCTATAAGACGAACTGTTGATAAGCTGTGCATTGCTGGGCTAAAGTAAAAACTATGAAAAGATAAAGCGATATTCGACGATAGATTCTCACGAATAATGCCTCCAATTCTAAACCGCAGAGTGATGCTAAAATAAGGATGAAACAACAAAGTTATGCATTGGATGACTATCCGGCATAATAGTTGCTTAGTCACTATTTATCCCGGCCCGACGAATATCCGAGCGACGTCCATCTTATCATCATGGAGAAGTCCATCTCATTCTCTAATACATCCACTATTCAGCATCACCAGTCCTCTTTGATGCTAGCAAGATGGGCTCTATCGCGCGTACGGCGCACCAATATCTCAGCTCGAGGATGTAGCACGCTATCTCACTCACACAACCGAATGACAACCATCACCAACACCCCAACCAAAAGAGCCTCCATCCAGCAAAAGCAAAATGCAGTGCGAAGCAGATGTCTACAAAATCCCCGGACATTCTTCACAGACGCCATTCCCACCGTGCTCATCCCGCCCACCATCTTCACCACGCTGCTCCTCGGTCTCTGGACCTGGAAATGCTTCTGGATCGTGGTCATGCAGGACAAACTCCTGTATATAGCATGGCTGCCGCCGTTCGCGCGGTCTGAGCAAATCGCCGACTACGAAGGGCAATGCGGTCCCGTGCGGTGGGAGGGGAAGCAGATCCGGAGTCTGGACGGGACGAAGCTGACTGTTTGCGAGGGGCGGATGAAGAGCGCGGTGGGCTCTCATGTTCATGGTCATTCAGACGCTACGGCCAGTCTACGCGATGACCTTCGGAATTCAGATCCGACCAAGCCCAAAAAACGCGTCGTGATCTGCTACTTCCAGGGAAACGGCGGATCGACGCCCCTACGCCTGCCGCTGCTCTCGGATATGCTGCGCACAGTCACGTCCGCGACGGAAGACCCCAGCGTCGAATACATCGTCACGGCGCTGTCGTACCGCGGATACTGGACGTCGTCCGGCCGCGCGACGCAGTCGGGGATCGAGTTGGACGCGCAGGCCTTCCTGGCCTGGGCATCGAGGACGTATGCGGGGCCGGACACGGACCTGCGGCTGGTCCTCTGGGGCCATAGTCTGGGGTCCGCGATCGCGAGCACGGCGCTGGCGACGGATCTGGCTCGTCGGGATGGCAGAGAGTCCTCTGTGGGGGCGCCGATCAGCGGGCTGGTTATGGAAGCGCCGACGTCCAGCACGAAAGACATGTTGATCAGTTTGTATCCGCAGAAGTGGCTGCCGTATCGATATCTGTGGCCGTTTCTGTGGAATAACTGGGACAGTTCGCGGGCGATGGAGCGAATGGCGAAATGGCGGGATGAGTGCCCAGGGATGGAGGCGGAGGTGGAAGAGGATGGAGACGACGAAAAGACGATGGCGCCGGGATTGGGAACCGTGAAGCCGCGACGAATACATCGCTCGCTGCCGCCTATTCTCATGCTGTCTGCTGAGAAGGATGAAGTCATCCCACCGCACGCGGTAGATCAACTTGAGGCGGATGCGAGAAGGATGGGACTGGTCCTGGAGAGAAAGGATGTAGCTGGTGCGATGCACACTGAGGCGTTGGTCAAGGTGGAGGGTAAGAGAGCGGTGGTGAACTTTCTGCTTTCTTGTACCTAGCTAGATAGCTCGCGGTGAAGGAGACGACCGAGAGAGAGAAGGAGAGACGGAGGCTTCTTAGCATGTAATATTCAATATCTGAAACTAGAACAGTAGATAAAAGGACGCTCGACCGGAGGATTAGCCAAGCAAAGTTGGCAATTATCCCCCTCCCCCTTCAAATCCAGGGACCAAGAGAAGATTACCCATTCACCTAGTAATGGGTGAAGAAAAAAGGAAAAAAGAATCGCGTGCCAGCAAGAAAAGTGCAATTTGCCATATCCTCAACTTCCGAGTGATGAAACCAATTTCAGACGTAATCAATCGTCTGGAGGAAATTTGATATTACTTGGGGGTCCCTCAAACACCCTGATATTTGCGGCTGGGCCCAAAAGCTGCTCGACAGTGGGCTGTTCAGGGATGTCCCAGTTCTCGCACGAGTCATCCTGGAAGCCGACGATCTGGTCGGGGCGAAGAGGCTTGGAAACTACGACCTCCGCTGCGCATGTGAATACTTCGTTGAGATCCGATCCTCCGGTCATGTCCAGTCGATGCATCAGTGGCCTCGTCACCAGGACCGGATAGCGGCCGGTAAGATCAACCTCTTCCTCAGCAACCTCACTGAGCCAGTGCGTCGTGGACAGTGATCGCTTGGCATCATAACAAGGGTGCCGATTTATCGGGGTCAGCAGAAGACCCCTTGGCTCAGTCCCCACCCAGACAGCCAGGATTGCCACGCGCTCTAGGGTACTGACCAACACGTCGAAGCGCCTTTTTATCTCGTCCGGGTCGGTCAATGGACGAAGCAGCGGGTGTAGCGGGTGATTCTCGGACAGCAAGTGCTCCGCAAGGCGCTTGACAATGGACTTTCGATGCTGAACGGTGCGCAGGATGATCGATTCATTATAGCAGCGTCGGTTCGTCGTGTCGTTGAATAGGCGAATCGTCGTGCTGCGCCACTCCTCTGCGCCCAGGATGTTAACTGTCGAGTGAAATGGCAAGATGATTAGCTCACGGAAGAAGCTGTATGCAAACAAAAGAGAAAGAGAAGAAGAGAGCTCACTTTTTCTGATATGCCTCCACGTCTTATACAGCTCCACAGCCAACGGCGGGGCAACGTGATCGACCTCATCCGTCTGATTGTCCACCGTATCCACGAAAAAGAAAGGGTTGGCTAGCATGGTGTCAAAGGTCGCCTTGGACACCAGGGCCTGAACCAGTAAAGTTGGGAGTATGTGTAAGGTCTTTTCGGGGAGGTATTCCAGCAGTCTATCCCACTCTTTTGTGATGCAGTATCCATCAAGACCATCCAGAATTGCCTGCTTCTGATCGGCAGACAGGAAGTCTTCCACGGAGTCCCGACCTTCTTGCCGAATGGCATGCTCCACTGCCCAGTCAAACGCGAATTGGAACAACTGCTTCGCTATATGCTCGTCCTCTATGGTCTGCCACGTGCTGGGCTCATTGTCGATCCAGGGGAAATTACCTGCCATTTCTCCGGCGACTTTCTCAATCCTGGGATAGTCGACCGACCAGCAAGGTTTTAGTGGGCCCCAGCGCTTGTATTCCTTGACGGGGCCGGTCCCAAACCATAAGCATTCGTCTCGAAGAGGCCCCAGATGGAGGCCCTCGGGTTCATTTGACTCGGTGTCGGCGTGGGGATCGGGAGCAGGTGCTGGGGGCTCTTCTTTGGGTGGGGGTGGAATTGGAGGGCTCGGGGAGGATCGCTTTTTAGCCAGTCGAGGTGAGCGGCGCTTTTTCTACATATCATGTTGTCAGAAATTGCTCAAGTCCTGATCTACCGGTTCCATTAGACTCTTGAGGCCTTACCGCAGTGTCCTTCCCGGCTGCCTTGGACTTTCTCCGATTGCCCATCGCGAAGTGGGTGTTTGATAACAAGAGTGGAAGGAAAGCGAGAGAGTGGAAGGGGAAAGATCGAGAGAAAGAGAGAGAGAGCGTGATTCCGTGGAATGAAAGAGCAGGACAGCAGCGGAGTCAACTTCAATATGGGAGAAAGAGAACTCGGAGCACTTGTTCATGCCCAATATGTGTTCAGTCCTGAGCAAGAGGGAAGAAGAGGCAGAGAGATTCTCTTCGAAAAACGAAAAATAAAAGCTGTCAAAGAGGGGACAGGGCCCTTTGTTTTGATTTCGGTGGGTGGCGACCTCTGAAGCCTATGGCATGGCTTCCTTTGTGCCCACGCCTTTAGGGGTTCCAGTGGCTTGCAACCCAGCCAATAAGTCAAAGAAATGAGTCCCGAAAGAAAAAGTACTCATCTTTGAGCCCGTTGCTTGCTTGTCCCACTTGACTGCTCATCTCTCCGTCCAGAATCGGGGAACGGCTTCCTGCTCTCCGGCGGGGAATTTAGCCCTATACTGGAGAGGTTCCGGACGCACTCTGTGGGTGTTTACATTAGTGTTGTGCGTCCGTATTTCCCTTCACCCAATGCTGTATGAGATGATGGCTGCAGGAATATGGGGCCCTTCAACGCCGGCCTGCCTATCTCGAATCAGACCACTACGATTGAAGAGAGCCTGAGCATGAATTCTGGCGGTCTGACGTTTCTGTCTCTACTTCTCGTAAGGCTGGTGTGAGCTGGCCATCGGAGATGCAAACAGAGCTCCCTCTAGCATTGGGCGGTCCGACGGGATGCCCTCCATGTCTTCCACTCACAGGCTAGGTCCAAGTGCAAAGCCAACGGACGCCAGGTTTCACAGAGTAGGGGAGCTGCATGCCCGGTGCCGGCTCGCAGATTGATTGGATCCAGCCCTCCGACAACATGCAAGGCTTGGGATGCACAAACGCAGGTCTCGCTATCCTACTGGCATTTGCCATCAGAAGACGGTTGTCGGAGTGGTCCATGAGGGTTCAGTTTCCTAGAGCAGCGAGAGTTCGCACAACAGTCAAAAGATCTTTTCTGGCAAGGGCAGGGAGCTCCCCATCTTCCACAAAACATTTCTTCATCGCACACTTCGCTCTCCAGTCCACGCCAGGTGCTTCTGCCAAACAGTTCTCCGAGCTCTGTTTTATTGATAAGGCCTTTCACAAAGCTTCTCAGATTCATCATGGATTTGCCTTTGGTGATCTCAGTCGACTTGGGGACAACACATACCAGTCTGTGCAATCATTACTCTCCAAACTAGCACCAGTCATTTCCTGTTATTTTGGTTTCTTGCTTCCTGGTTTATGCTGTGGCTTCTTGGCCTTTTCCCTATCCTTTTTACCCTCTCCTTTAATTCTCTCTTCGCACATACGTTACTAAATACCTACTGATAGGCATCGGTTACGCCATCGTCCACGGGGACATTGATCCAAATGAAATCCGGATCATCGAACATTGGCCGGTCGGCCAGAATTTGAACGCTATTCACGGCCGAGTGCCAACCCGCATCGCATACGCCCAACAGAATCGACCTCTACGCAAGAACCGATGGGGATACCAGGTGGGGCCGGAAATGGTGTCCTGCTCTTGGACGAAGTTATATTTTGCTCCCAACAGTGCCCTCCTCGTTGACGAAGCTCTCAATACCACCGCGTCCTTAGGAATTTTGCAACATCCTGAGGACACATCACCCCGAGATGTTCTAAAACACTTTCTTGGGGAGGTTCTCGAATACGCAATCCCCCTCATAAAGAGGCAAATCGGTCACAATTTCCCAACGATGCGCAAGAAACTCATATGTACAGTTCCGGCAGCCTGGTCTGTCGAAAGTAGATCTGCGACTAAGCAGATCGTTGAGGAAATTTGCCTCGGGCCAAATCAGGAGGAAAACGACCTGCTAGACATATCAGTGGAAAATGAACCGGAGGCCGCAATGGCGTGGAGTGCCATTAGTAATTCATTTATTCAGGACGGGAGTCGCCACCAGGTATGAGGCTCGATCAGAGGCCCTTTATTTGTCTTGTCTGGGCTTTGAACTAATGGCTGGATGGTAGGCAGGGGTATGTATCCTGGTCGTGGACTGTGGTGGGGGTACCGTGGTGAGCCCTGCATATTTATCGGGCACCATTTGCCATGGGAGACTAACTGACAATCCATAGGATTTGGCAAGCTACATGATCACTGGTGAAGGTTCTTTTGTATATGAAGAGCTCACAAGCGCCATTGGTAAGAATTCCTTCGACGCTAGAGACGATGTCGGCTGAACCTGACCAGGTGGTCTATGCGGGTCCACTGCCGTGGACCGCAATTTTTACGGTTGGATGAAGAAGGAGTTTGGCCGCGCGTTCGATGACATCCCACTGAATTTCAAAGGACCCGGCAGTAGGTTAATGCACGTTTTTGAAAAGTGCAAATGTGATTTCAATCCCCCCTCCGCGCAAACTTTCTTATTACCGTTGACCATGGGAGCAGCGAGGGCCCACAGGCTCTCCTCTCGCTATGACGAACATTTTTCCGTTGTCAAACTCACCAGGTATGTTGCTGCTGAATCCACTTTCTTATGGCCGAATCAGTCCACGTTCACAGCCACTGACGGATTACCCAGTCAGGACATGCTTGCCTTTATGCAACCGGTAGTTCAACACATCTTCGAGCTTATTGACCAACAGATTCAGGCAACCATGCAAATAACGCGTGGAAAGGCCGTGAACGTATGTCTGCCATTATATTGATGATTCAGCAGGAAGGTAGACTGACGATGATGCAGAAGGTCTTGTTAATTGGGGGTTTTGCGCGATCTCCGTACCTGCGTGAAACTCTCACCAACCATCTGAAGGAGTGTGGGCTAGCCCAACTCCACTGTCCGCAAAACCCGTCTGTGTTCCTAGCCTTCTGCTTCTTGAATTTTGTTTTGTGAAGGATTCTAATAATTCTTCTTAGGCATTTGGCTGTTGTTAAAGGCGCGGTCTTGCGAGGCTCCAACCTCTATGGTCCCGTAAGGCGGATCGCTAGATTTGCAATCGGAGTACAAAACTTGACAGAGACGAGTACCATTGATGGATCCCCGGCGCACAGAAAACAGATTATCTGGCTTTTGAAAAAGGGAGATAAGTACAGTGGGGTTGAGACAGTGCGTCGCACATGCCATTACTTTCACAAAGAACATGATATCCTCACCGCAACCGTTGGCATCTACATAACAGAACAGGACTCCCTTCCTACATGGTTCGATGATAGCGGTATGAAACAGTCATCTCGCCAGGAATCTCAGAACTTCTTCTCTTGCTAACCCAGAACCTTCCATTCAGGGGTTAAATCTGCTGGCTGTCTTCGTGTCGATCTGTCAGCGATTAACATGGCAAGCCTATACCGGACGCACCTTAATGCAATAACAACTTATCATGTACCTTTTGATGTTGTTACCACATTACGGGCACCAGACGTCTCCATGGAGTTTCAGGCGATTACAGCCCAGGGCGAGATTCTGGGAATAAAGCGCCTGAGATTGACCGAATTTTGGTGATTTCTGTTCTGTTTCTACTTTTCCCTTTCAACATTACTGCTTATTTATTCTTTTTTTCTTCTTCTTTTTTTCTCTGGCTATCCCTCTCTATCTCTAATCTTGTTCATATTCTTTCCGGTTCATCTCCCTATATTATCTCCACAAAATGCACCTAGCAACGCATGGAGTCCCAAGCGCTCACAGCGAGTAGCCGTAGATTATCGCACAGCTCATCCGAATTACTCCATAGACGCATAAACGTAAATTCAATCTATCAATACACTCAATCAGATCCGACAACATAACACAGAAGGCAGAAAAGGCAACACCTCCTCCATCTCTATCTCGCAGCCACTCCAGCACAAGTAGCATCCAATTTATTCCGAATCACATCCCCGCCACGGCCACCACAATCGCAGCAAATAGTCCCGGCAGGATGATTCCAGGTCGGATACTCCCCACGCCATCGTCGAAGACATCGTCCACTTCATCTTTCACGTCGTCTTTGATGTCGTTGGCGCCATCTTTGATGTCATCTCCGACGTCACTAGCTTTATCTTTGACCTCGTCTAGAAGACTGTCGTCGTCATCATCATCGTTGTTGTTGTGGTCTCGGTCTCGCTCATCTTCATCATCGTCATCATCTCGAACTTCTAATTGTGGAAGATGTTCATCGCCTGTGGAGGGATGGATGGACCGAGCATCAAGAGCTTGGATCGAGTGCTCTTCCGAGGCACTACGGCGCGCAACGTCGAGGGTCGAAGAGGGTGGCGTTAAGAGTCCAGCGAAAGCAGAGGCAGGGAGAAGGAGGGTGACGCTGATCGTTGAGAATGGAACGTGCATGATTGTAAAAGAATGTCTCCGTCGCCGATTGAGAAATTGAGATATAATGTAGTTATGGTAGCCGGGCCCGAATCGATACTTCTTCTCAATGTAAAAGTGACGAGCAACTGGGCTTAGGTATATGCGATGTTCGTAACTCGCGATAAACAAACTGAAAATTAAAAGTAGACTGAAGTCGACCTGATAACAGAATCAAAAGCACACAGGATCCTTCTCAACTTAAATACCCAGTCCCTACTCTAGAAACCTTAGATCTCATAATCTTCATTACTGCCCCCCTTTCTCCCGAACAGGCCAAACACGGCGCTCATGCATCGCTGACAGCCGTCAGATCCCAACGCCACATCGTCCATGCGCCGCGCATCTGCCCAAGTCACTCAGGCAGTGCCAGCAGCTGACTCGTAGGGCTGGCTGATGCCTGCAGTCATGATGAACAACGCCCGGTGCAGTGGAAGATGAAACAGCAATCACTCCTAGACAAATGACGTAGGGCTAAGACCTTCAACCGTATTAGTTGAAATTCGATTGTTCTGGGAACGAACTAGAGCACATCCAGCTAGATCTTGGCTAATATTATTGCCAGATTAGGCAAAATCCAACGCTCGTGTGCGCAGAGCCCCCGAATGCGTTGTTGCTGAGGCTCGTATTGGGCATGTTGATCGGTCTTGGCGTCAGTGTGGCTGTGTTGGCCCTCAGGCTGGGATAGAGAAGGATGTACTTGAAACACGAGGGTGATATGGCGAGGTTATATGCGGTCGGCTGTTCTTTGTTAGTGGGCTTTTCGTGATAGTTAGATCTACATGGGTATATGCAAGCTATCATGGAAGTTAGCTCACAAAAGCGAGCAACTATTCTATCTTCTCGTTACAGTTCCCAGGATAAATACTATCTTCGAGAATAACAACTGTCGTTGAATCAAGTCAGATCTAATTATATATCTTCCCTCAGACGGTATTATGCAATTGTTTCATAATAATGCCAGTTGTAAAATATTAACCGGCAACAGCAGCAAAACCAGTCTAGCAACCAACATCCCAGATGAAAGCATCTGGATGTTAATCAATCCCCACTTTCACTTAATCAGACAAACAGCTTGAAAACAGAATAAAAGCTAAAGATCCCGGCCGCTATAAACGGGTATACCAATGGCTTGATTGCAGGGTTGCAATCATAAACAGCTCGCGTCGCAACCCAGTGCTGGATACTTGTTCGCGGCGCCCCCTCAGTAAAAAACATCAAATCCATCAACTTTTTCGTCAAGGCCTGTGCATTGGCCGCTCGATCGAACATTTCCTTCTCATAGACTGCCACACTTTCCAATTGGCGCTCTCTATCCTGATCCTTCGTGCTGATTATCGCTTCCGCCAGTTTCATCGCATCTTCTGATGCAATATTGACCCCTTCGCCAGCGAACGGCGTCATTAGATGCGCCGCATCACCCAAAAGAGTGACACCCCGTCGCGTCTCCCACTTCATTCCCACTGGAAGCATATAAAACGCATAAATCCTCATATCCCCCTCAGTGAGGTGAACAAACTCTCGCAGCTCTGGTGCCCAGTCTTCATAATCGCGGCAAATCTCCTCCCTGGAGGGCTGCTTGGCTCGCATTTCGTTCGCCCAGAGCTCATCATGTCGCCCATACGCTGATGCCCGAATACTTCCGTCCCCCATTTGCTGACCCATAATAGCCTTGCCGTCGGAGTACCCGAATATTGATCCGCGATTCACTAGCTCGTACACACGAGGAGCTTTCTCAAGAGCGTTGGGAATCGAGAAATTGAACCCCGAGATACCAGAGTATTCCGGCTTCGTCGCAGTCAGGGATCCTCGGACTCGGCTCCAAGACCCGTCGGCGCCCACAATCAAATCGTATCCTTTCTCTATGCCGTGCGCGAAATGCAGGTCTCCGTTCTCGTCGACCCGCTCGAGACGGTGATTCCAACGAACCATGTCCTCGGGGATGGATCGCAAAAGCAGCAGACGGAGCTCAAGGCGATCAATCTCCGGGTTCGATGCAAATACACGCGGGAGCTGGAAGTAAGGCTGGGCTTTTTTGTCGCAGACCGTGAGAGCTGATCCGTCGAATCGTGCGTGTTTTAGAAACTCGTCGTATAGGTTTGCTGCTTTTAGAGCTGCGATGCCGGTTTTCGTATGCAGGTCGAGTGTTCCGCCTTGAGAGCGAGCGTCGAGCGATGGTTCTGCCTCGAAGATGGTCACGCTGACAGCGTTTAGATGGAGGAGGCGAGCGAGGAGGCAGCCGGCAGGGCCGGCCCCGATGATGGCAACTTTTAAAGGAGGCATGAGTATGTCGGGAGGGGATAGTTTCGATGGCTAATAGTGGCACGGAGCATGAGAGCAAGCATGGCAGTCTTAAATAAAGAAGTCAGTGATCACCCGATATCTGCAGAACCAAGGGTCATTGTCTCATATTCATGTCATCACCTAGTTTGGTTAGTATACCGGATTACTGAAGCCTAAGTTCCATGAGAAAGCTGCGGCCAATCACTACCATCACCAACTTTATGGAATTGCTGCCTAGATGAGAGTCAGGCAACACCATTTTTCTCGGATCGATGGTATATCCTCAATTTAAACATTCTTTGTTTGGGTGACCTTACCACGCACTCGGGTCTACCCGGTGCGACCAAGGCGCAACCCGAGCGAATCCACTCAGCATGGCCGAAAAGCCCTGAATGGTCATACGCATGGCATCGGGCTGCTGCAAGTCCACAATAACAAATACGCGCATTTCTTGGCGCAGTCGAGTAACACACCAATAGTGGACCAATCACTGCGGCGGCTGGCTAACACAGACGACCCAGTCGAGTCAGTCGGGGCTAAAAGACAAGGGTTCCCGGCGCCATGAGCGCCTTCCGTGCACCAGGAATGCTGAGTGGCTGGCTTTATTATAAGCTTGCATATAGCGTTGGTCTCGCGAGTACGACAGTTGCCTATTTGGGCGTAGCGTGCGTCTAGTGGAAGACATCGCGGACTCTGCCATGCAAATGTAAATGCTCATCTGTCGTGCCGATAAAATCCCACCACTCCTTTGAATCGCGACCATTTCCCTTCTGGGCTGCGCAATCAATAGGAGACGGTTCTTGGGTGGCTGTACACGGATCCAGCGCTATCAAACAGCTCGAAGGATGTCCAACGTTTGCGAAACATGCTCAATATCTATCTTTATACTGGACAGAAGCCGGGGTGTTGGGGACTGTTGTAAATTTTTTGTCCCTTCAAGAATCTCTATTGGCCCACAGTAGCCGTGTTATGTCCAGAATCATGAAGCCAAGTAACCCCCACAGCCATCAACACGCCATGCCAGATGTCAGCAAGAACAAATACATATAGCACATCCCATCCCAGTACTGGCATGCCAAACAAACTCCATTTCCATAATACTTCTCACCATCATCATGTCTAAGCTCCGACTCCCCGACACCCCAGCCTGTGACCCCTATAACCCAGCCATCAACCCGGGGAGCTACGGTTATCAACCCAGCTTAGGATGGGGCATTGCATTCACCCTCCTGTTCACGGCGATAGCGGTCGGGCAGACAGTCCATTTGGTGCGCACTCGAGCCTTCTGGACCGTCGTGTTCATCGTCGGTGCTATAATCGAAATCATCGGCTGGGTCGGACGGACGATCAGCCATCGGTGTCCATACTCCGGGGTATGTTTTCGCATGCAGACGGCGACTTTAATCATGGGTACAACCACCACCCACCTATCCCTCCCATCCACCTACCAATATACATCATTAACAAAACCCAAACAGGCCCCTCCTGGACCCAAGCCGGAATCTACATCACCCTGTGGGTTCTCATCCGCGACATCGGCCGCCACGTCTCCCCCTTCCCGCCAAAAACCTACCTCTTCATCTGCCTAATCATCGACGTCGTCTGCCTCACCACCCAAGCCGTCGGCGGCGGCCTCACCAGCTCAGCCTACAGCCAGGGCATCTCCACACAGCCCGGCACAACCACCATGGTGGTAGGAATCATCGCACAGCTCGCCGCCGCAGTGATATTCTCCTTCCTCCTGGCCATCGTGATCTACCGCGGGGCGTCGGATCTGCGGGCTAATCGCCCGTTATTCTACGTGGCGGCGGCGACGGTCTTCGCGACGGCAATGATGATCATGCGTAATGTTTATCGATCGATTGAGTTGACGGAAGGGTGGCGGGGATATCTCATTTTGAATGAGAGGTTTGTGTTGGCGTTGGATGCGTTGCCGATGGTTCTGTCGATGGGGATTTATGTGTTTTTTAACCCGGGGGCGCAGTTTGGGAAGCGCAGGGCGAGTGCTGTGGATGAGCAGGAGCTTGTTGGGAGGGAGGAGGTGAGGAAGAATCCTGTGCAGAAGTTTTTTAAACTATGATTGCTGGTTGGGTGTATTGGGGTGGCTTACTGGTTGGTTTCTGGGCCTGGCTGCTTTACGGGTGAGGAAGTTGTTATCTACAATTTGCGAAAGAAACGGAGGGAATTCATAACGGAATCAATAATAGCAAGCAAGAGGTCAAGCTTCCAGTGAAAGTTTTCACTTTATGGAGCTGTGTGTGCATTCGCGTCGAGCCCAAGATAAATTAAAAGCGCGAGATGATTTTGTTGACATATCAGATATTGCAAGGACTACCCAGTAGCCCAGCTGAGGTTTTTGGTCTAGTGGTAATATCAGGAACATGCTTATAGATTTCTTTTAGAAGCAGGGATTGAATATATATTGCTACCGCATATCACGTAATCGTCTAATATGCCTGATTGCCCCCAAATAAAGGCACTATTAGCTCGGCAATCCGTCCCATCTAGTATTAATATACTCCCCGGAGCAAAGAAGTAAAGACCTAGCTGATATCCAGTGTGTCTGCAACCCAAACAATGTAGAAAGGGTTATGGACGGCTATTTCTGCCTCAGGCACAGGGGTAAGGCAGGCTGCGACCTGCGGTACTTCTGGGAATTCTCCATAGTCCGAATTAAAGTGGGGAATAGTGTGCGCCCCCGGCTACTCAGGATCATACCTGATCTCTGTAGGATCATTTGGTCCTGAGATATGCGGGTTGAGGAATAAATATTATAAAACTTGGTAGCATACCGTGACCGGCGCTATATGCTTGATTTATGTTGGCTTTAGAGTATAAAGCTATTAACAGGCGGGTCCTTCAACAACATCCGATGTGGTGTAATGGTTAACATCGCCGTCTCTCACACGGCAGCTCGGGGTTCGATTCCCCGCATCGGAATAACCACTATTACATTTCTTTTTCTTTTTGTGTTTCTATCTTTGAAATCATACGCTCTATTGGTAATAAATAGTACGTGTTTTTGTACTAAGTATCGCCTGCTCTTGTTGGCGAAGAGGAAGGAATCCTTGGTTTTTTCATCTTATTTATTCCAATCTTTTTCTTTTTGATTTGGTCTCTAAGGGCCTAACATGGATTGACAACATATCGCAACTCTAAACCCGCACTGTAAATTGAACCAGGATGAAAACAGTTACTCAGGACGCCTGAATCTGAGATGAAATCCCGACTTTTCCGACCATTTCTCAACCCGCACAACAACCCTCGTGCGGCCCTTAATGCTCTTGGAAACAGTCCTGTCTTCCTCCCAATCATTCGACTCTTCTCTCAAGCACTGCATATGGCACTCCCCAAAAAGCCGCCACAGAGCCAGACAGATCTTAGCAGAATTCGTATCGTAATGGTCCAGAGCTCGAAGGTCAAACGTGATTTTCAGGCATTGCCAGCCAGGACGCATCATCGCCTCTTCCTTATGGCCCCAGGACCCTTGGATCATTTTCGCCTGCAGCCCCGACGCCATCTTGCATGGGTTCTCCATGTCGCGGTCCGGAATGGTGGTGTACATGATGACTCGGAAGCACGAGTCTTTTTCGAATTCGAGCCCATCTTCAGTTAGCTGCTTGCAGCGGTCCCGGTCCTTTTGTTGCACTGTGCCGGGCATCACGGTTGGTTGGGGGTCTTTTTCCCCGGCGATGAATCGACGCAGTTTGTTTAGTGGGTCGGGCATTTTGTAGGAGTGTTTGGTTAAGTGAGGGAAAGGGAGGAGGATGGTTGAGGAATAGTCAGACAGGATCGGTGCCCATGAGGCCGTTCTTATAGAGAATCTGCATCGTTCCAAGCGGAATGTTCCCTGAAGTCTGTGAAAAATAAGGGAATTGGCCGGAAAGTACCGGAGTTGAATGGCATTGAGTCCAAAGCATACGATATCTGGGACTTTGTGGAGGATAAAGGGAGGTTCCGGTCAACGGCTAAAAAACAACAACAAAGTAAGCAGCTGTCTATTGTGGATAAAGCGATAGTACTGTACCTACAGATGTATAATGGTATTGCTCTGGGTTTGTAGAAGTTAATCTTCGAGTAACAGGGCTGTGCTTCGCGCATGGTAGGACAAAGGACTTTGCAACATCTGTCCCATCAAAACTTGTGATTGCTTTTATGGATCGTTTTGAGCAGAACCTTTGAGCTTCGCGCCTTCCTTGGCGCTTCCGATTTCAGCCAATTCACCAGCGACTGAGATGGTTTGAAGCAGCTTTTTGATACTGAGGTTCATTGATAAAGCTTTGATGCAGTTTTAGATTATCTAAAGCTAGCGTGAAGTGTTGATAATGAATCAACCACAATCTCAAAGGTTCTGTTGGGATGATTAAAAGGAATTGGCGAAGGGAGAAGAGGGTTGCACGGACAGAGAAGTGAATGAGAAAAGTGAGAAGAAAGACCAGATCTTGCGATAACCCAGCTACCTTTTAGGCAGCATTAATTTTCTTTTTCTTCTCGCTCTCAGCAATCATTCACTCCTGTGTGAATTAAGAAATTTCGTCTCTTCTAGCCCCCTCCATATTCTGACATAATTTTTCACCTAATTTCCTCCTTGGCTCATCTGTTCTACATTCCCTCCCTCCGGACGGTGGCTTAGTAGGGCAGATCCCTTCTATGACCTGATCTTGTCATGCTGTCCGGGTGACTTCTATTCAAAAGTCCTCCATTGTATCTTCACATATTATCCTTTCAGCCAAACCATTCTTTCTCGTGCACCAGCATCAGATCAGAACTCCATCAACCCAATAAGGAACGCCGAGATGGCAAAAATACATGACCTAGATATGGACGAAATGGACGAGATTGGGACCAGGCTTGTGGACTTTGTGGAGCCTGCCAAGGCCAGTGCTACGGAGAGCGACGCATTTTGGCGCCCAGATATTTGCACACATATCATCCCAAGTGGCATAGGTGAGTTGAGAAGAAATGCACAATCATCTATACCAACTAAGCCTTGTCTTCCAGAGAGCCATCTAGAGGACTACTTGCATACTCTCCAGGCGACACCCATGGATCCTAGATTGATTAGAACCCGGGTCGATAATATCCTCCTAACTACCTTTGCTACCGTGAAAGACTTCTTCAATCGCTACACACCAAACATACAACCAGTATTGGACAATGTGCATTTGTCTTTTGGCCAGGCTGTGACTGGGCCAGAACCTGCCGGCGATGGCTCTTGCTGTCTGAGGAGCATTGCAGACACTATTCTCTGGTTTGGTGGGACGGAAAACCTGGAGGCAAATCTCGTCGTACAGAGAACAAAATATGAAGTGGATGGGAAGCTACCGCCTGCTATGCGTGAGTCTTGTTTTCCCGGATGTATCTCTATTTCGGTGACTGACTCTGTCATATTTAACCCCAGTCATCCTTTACTACAGCAGAGTGATTTCAGCAAGAAACATGGGGATATATGGAATTGTCACTAATAGCTACAAGTGGCGTTTCGTGTGGATGAAATGCAACAGTCAGGTAAGAAGTCTACGCCCACGATATAAATGGTTTGTGTTGCTAATATGGTTTATTCTCTAGTACTATGAGATTACGTTGGACTGGACAAATCAAAATGAGCGCAACTTGATTTTCGATAATCTATACCATATTATGGAGAGTGCGTTTGTTTTGGCCATAAGAGGACCTGGCCCGCTGATCCAGTTGAGAAGCATCCAGGAGAGATCTGGGTGCAGGATATGGAATAACAAGGCCGAGAGTGAGCGAGCCTGGGATGATTATGATGACTTATGATCAGGACGATCCCACTCCTCTCGCGAATAGTGCTTTTTCTTTTGCAGAGAATCGCCCTAGTGCCCTACAGTTAAGCGTGATTTCTGTCTATCATATTTTTATTGTTTACCCGGAAACAAAACATCAGCCCGGTCAGAGAAGTGTGAAGCTGACATTTTGATCTCTACCACCATCCTCCTAAAACTAGTCCCAACTTTCACACGCATAAAGAGCTGGAGGAACAGCCTTCGGGAAATAAAACCCCTTCTCGCTTATGATTTGCTATCCGTCATACCAAAAGAATGCAGCTAACAACTTCATGTTTGGAGAGTCTGCCTAGTGCACCTTGCTCCTCCACCTTGGTATCGAATCGGGCCTATAAAAAGGCCATCTCATCCACTTGGTTTCATAGCGCGTATGTGTAAATTTATACTCGATCCTTCTTCTCCATGACTATACATTCAATTTTCCTAGTTTCTCCAGGACTGTTTTCTGCCTGTCCAATCCATCTTCATCGAACGTCCGGTCTTCAAAACAAAGGGCAATGGTATCGTAAAATACACTGCCGGCACAATGTGTGACAAGCAGCTGCAACGAAGTACATTCCTGAATTGGCAGAAGCGACGGCACCCGAGACGCATTTGTTAGATTCCCATCTGAGTGGCTCGCGTCTTTACCAGTCTCAGGGTAGGTCTCGGCAAGGATCTGAGCTAGTGGCTTCCAGAGGGCCAGTTCAAGAAGCACACATCCTAATCCGTAGAGATCAAACGCCTTCCGGTACGATTGGCGATGAGCGCCCCGTGCCTTCGGGTGCCGATATAGATCTGCGTCAAGGGAGCCCCCCGGGAGCTGAGTTATGGCTAGACCATCTTTGGAGTCGGGCCTGGCATATTCGAACCCGACGAGGTGGGTCTTCTCGGGAAGAGTGTCATCGTCTGGAGCGAAGAATGCGATTATATTTTCCGATCGGATTCCTTTGTGTAGCCAGCCGGCTGTGTGCAGTTGGAGCACTGTCTCCGCCATATCCATTCCGATTCTCACGCGGCGGTTTAATGGAACAAGCGAGAATGTTCGGATGGCTGTATGCAGAGATTCATACCGCAAAGAATCCTTGAGTCCCTCTGTTTGAGACGGGTATCTGTACACAAAGCCGAATAGCGATCTTTCACGCCACGGCAGTAGCCCCTGCCATGGCAGAGTGTGGAAAGACGGATCATCCATTTTACTTAACAGCATGGCGAGTCGGCGGACATATTTAGCTAGTTGATCCCAGCCTGGATCTCCCGCGACCTTCCATTCCACAATGACGTTCTGTCCGTTGTAAAGCGCAGGCTCGATTCCCGTGTAATTCAAGGACTGTGTCGAGTCCTTGGGAGTCAGACGTCGTGGACGAAGTTCAAGGAGTTGGAGAGGAGTACCTCGCAACTCGGATCTCTGCTCTGAACCTTTAGATGGTGCTAGAAGCAGACGAATCTGTCGCAACGATGCAGCTGCAGCGAGAGCTTGGCTCGAGTCCGATGATGCAGGATTCAAGAGAGCATTGATAGTGGTCACTTCGCTAGGGTTACTGCAGTGTGTGATAAGATCCCTGAGCAACGAGTCCGACGCCGCATGAAGCCTTTCGCGATCCATCGAATCCAACAGATAATCCAGACGGTTGTTTAACTCAGCGATGTCGCTAACCACACGATCTGTCTTTTCCTTCCCTGTACTGGCCCAACGAAGACGTCGAATGGGACTATTTTGGCTTTGAATGGCTCGGGCTCGAAGACTCCCGGAATCAGCAGCCGTTAGATGGCGAAGGAATCTCGTTAAGCTCGAGGAAGTCTCGACGGTCTTCTCTTCCAGTTGCGTCGAGGTTAAAAGCTCATCATCGATGTCGAGATTATACTTGGATTTAAGCTTCTCGGCGGAGCTTAACAACTCTTGTTGCTCCTGCAGCAAACTCCCAGCGACGTCCCAGTTCAGTCGATTTGACGGGGAATTCGATTCGATTCCCGACCTTTTCCCCCATTGGATGAGTCGATAATATTCCCATTGCAGGCGCGACACGATCTGATCGCCATCCCTGCCCACGCTGTTCGCAAGGCAGATAAGCTTATATGTACTGACGCATGCCTCGAAAACCTGCACGGCGTTGACGATCGTTCCAAGTACTTCCATGCTCGCGTCACACAAAGGGCATCGGGAATAGTCAGACTGCGAGAAGGAAAAGGTGAAGAAGTGATCGAGCGCCAAGCGCCACGTCATGTCGAGCAGGATCCATCGCGAGGCTGACACCCCCCATCCCCCTCTCTACCCCTCCTGCTCTCTCTCTCGACTATCTTTGTCCAGAATACATGGGCCAGATCTTCATGTTAGCAGTTCTATGTCTCCGTATAGCTGGGTCGCGTGGTTGAGATATCCGATCTTGCCATGTCCCAGCCCTTTGCAATCAGACTCCAAGGAGTATTAGGAGGATTTGGCAAGCGAGCACCACCATCGACCCCACCACCTGTTGCTCGAACAGATGGGGCCGAAATCGAGGATTTGCTGGATCGCCTGTGTCGGCCAGTATCTGCGACTAACTCTAGGCTATCGCGAAGAGTGAGCGTCGACCGATGCAACCAAATCAGCGACATCCTGTTGAACAAAGGCAAACGCACCGGCGATGAAAGACTACTTGCCTGGAGTGAGCGACCCCGAATATACATTGTCCTGCGCAACATCCAGCGACTGGATCTGCTGGACCGCTTTGTGAAGGCCGAGTTGACCGACTTCCACATTCCGTTTAATGAGGACACGCTGCCAGTCTTTTTGCGCGAGAATGGCCTCCAAGAATCATTTTTGCACCACCAGGAGTACGTGCTTTCCCCGGGTGCAAAGGGTCTGGATAGCCATGGTGGACCGCACCTGAGCCTGCCGGGGAATGCACAGAGATACTTCTATTACAAGGGGACGCTTGGACAAGGGGGGTTTGGGTGAGTTCCCTAGAGTTCGACATTCAGGATGATTGAGTCTACTTGCTCAGGGGACTAACCATCCCCCTTTATGTCCAGAGTTGTCGACGCCGTAACCAGCCGACTGAGTCTCGAAGCTTATGCACGAAAACGCGTTCCCCGTGGGAGAGATACCGCGACCAACAGACTAGGGCAAAACTCTCTGATCCGGGAATTAACGTATCTGAAGACCCTTTCGCACACCCACCTGGTTCGATATGTTGCGTCTTACACCGACGAAAAGTACATTGCATTCCTGATGCAGCCCGTCGCAGACTATGACCTGGAGAAGCTGCTGCGTAATCTGGGGCGCGATGCGACTGGGGCCGAATGTCTGCGACCATTTTACGGCTGTCTGGCAGGGGCAATCCAGTATCTACATGAGAACAAGATCCGCCATCGGGATCTCAAGTCCCGGAATATTCTTATCAAGGATGGCCGTGCTTTCGTGGCGGATTTTGGAACAGCGTACAGCTGGAAGGGCTCAAAGCACAGTATAACCAACCATCGAGATGTCCCATATACGGCGGAGTACATTGCGCCAGAGATCGCCCTGCATAAGAGCCGCAGCACGGCGAGCGACATGTGGTCCTTAGGCGTGGTCTTCATGGAGATATCGACCGTGCTGTTGGGCAGCACTATTCGCAAGCTGAAAGCTCAACTGCATGGCTTTTCAAATCCGCGTGGGACTGAACCGTACTTGTGGGCGAACCCTCAAGTGATTAATACATGGATCGAGGAACTTACGACCTGTGCCGCGGTGCGAGAAGAAAGCATCGAACCATTGTCCTGGGTGCAAGATCTGTTGCAGGAGAAACCGAATAAGCGTCTGAAGGCCGGAGACCTGATGAAGCAGATTCGAGAATCACCGTCTTTTCACGCCTTCTGCTGTGTGGACTGCTGGCCGGTATACGAGGAGCGCTCCTTTCTCTATACCCGGCAAACCCAAGACAGCCAGGCTTTTGCCCCGGGTAATTCGGCGGATGTACAGGCTCAACTTACTGCGCTTTTAGAGCCCCCGGTCGACAAGGCTCGAGAGGTGGAGAAAAGCCAGACGATAGAGAATTGGTTGGATGATGTTGGCGACGAGGAGATGTCGCTGGCCTCGATGAGCATTAACACAGCTGCGTCTTCGGATATGGAGGTCCCTATCCAGATCATGGAGGACAGCTCGGCGTATCTCTCTGCAGAGAGCTCTGACGAGGAAAGAATGGTGCCGCTGGATACAATATCCATCACCGGTAGTTATGTATCGCTGCGCGAGACCAGCGAATTCCATAGTGGCCCGGAGAATGGTCAATCGGACATAACGACCACGCCACCAGAAGTTGGGACAGAATCCGCTCAGAATGTCACCGTTCGAGATCAAACGCCCAAAGATGATGTGACGAAGCTCGAGTCACAATATGACGGCTCACAAGTTGCGAATATATGGTCTCTCGCGGAGGCTGAATTAAATGTTTGGGCAGATGATAATCGGAGTGAAACAGCTGATGGAGGACCGGAGTTCCCAGCGGATATGCTACTATCATCCGGGCATACAATTTGGAAATACGACGAGTTCCTCTATTATCCGCCACCCCCTCTTGCCACTGAGAGCCCAACAGACAGCGCTCGTTCTCAAGAAGACAAGGAGTTGCTTCCAAAAATATCCTGCCAAGCGAGTGTCTCCGGTGAATATGATCAGACGAGCTCGTCTTCAAGCAACGACAGAGAGAGGATGACATTTCAAGAAATGCCAGCGTTTGAAAGTGCACAGCATGAATCAGAAGAAAAGGCAGAGCCCTGTCTCCATAAGGTACAGAATCATACATCGGGAACCATGGACCTGCAAGACAAGACACGGCAATCTGAACCCCGGAAAACGAAGGCAAAGACAAAGGATGAGAAGCATATCCCACCATCCAAGGAGCCACAGAGGGATGAGTCCAAAGGGAACATTGAGGCTATGTCAGCCTCACATCGGACACCCAGCCCGGAGATGAGAAAGCTGCGGTTTCAAGTACCAGAGCAAGCACCTCCTATCGATCATTCGCGGGATGACATCCCAGAATCAGGAGCAGAGACAAAAGATGAGCCGCATAAAACACCCAATTTAGAAGCAAAACTGCCTCTTAAAAAGACAGAAGGCCAGGCATCAAAAGCCAAGGCACAGTCGGCCAAGAAAGAAGCAGAGCCGAAAGTCGAGCCAACTATTTCCAAGAAGAGCTTCAAATCTCTCCACAAACAGGCACTCATATCAAGCGCAAAACAAACAGTAGCGGACAAAGGCCCGCTGAATTCGGTCTTCAGTCCCCAGGTGTATATGGACACAGCCTGGGAGGCAGCTTCCACTCAGGATACTAGAATCGTTCCAATCGACCGCCACAGGCTCAGTATGTGGAAGTGGCTAGATCGGGACCAGCACTTGCTAGAGAATTTCTGTATCGAAGGGACTGTGAATGCTGTGAGAACTCTCCTGAAGGAGGGCTGCAATCCGGGGACTAAATCCAAGCCCCGGCCAGTACCTCTTATCCGCGCCATTCAGGGACGCACATATCAGCACTACAAGTGCGTTCAGGAGTTGATTAAGCACGGTGCCAGCTTGAATGTCGTCGAGCGAAAGACTGGACGCACTCCCCTGCAGATCGCAATCGAGCTGTCCTTTTTCGCCGGCCATACCAATCTCGTCCGAGACCTGATCAACGCGGGAGCCGACACAAACAAACCCGACAATACCGGCAAACGACCAATCCTCAGCGTTTTCGACGCCCAAAAAACCGACGCCCTTGGAAAGCACCAACTCGATGCACTAGCGTGTCTTCTCGTCTCAGGCGGCGGGAAAGAGACAGAGGTCAATGTCTACACCCCTCGTACACACGACAGTCCGTTGCACTTTGCTATTCGACGGCGGAGCCCAATGGCCGTTGGTCTGTTACTCTTTCGCGGTGCATCCGTCAACGCCAAAACCAAAGCCGGTGCTACACCCCTCCTCCTGGCTGCAGCCCAATGGGCCGGGCCCTTGGTCGCGGATCAAGAGACGATTTTGGATCTCCTTCTTCAGAGACCAGATATCAATCTAAATGAGCATGCAGGCGTGCAGCGTCGAACCGCGCTCCATCAAGCGGTCTTTCGCGCCTCTCCCTTGGCTGTGGACATGCTGCTTGAAAAGGGGGCTGATATCTCGATCAAAGATTCTGATGATAAAACTGCGCGAGAATTAGCATCGGCGCTTGAAGAGACAAAATGGAAAGACGAAAGGGCTGAGATCATCCGACTCCTGGACAGAAAGATGACCGGTCGATCTAAAGTCATTTCCTAAGTGTCATCGCTGGAACCACCCGAGGGCTTTCAGAAAACGAAAATGAGAAAAGGGAAGAAACGAAGGAAAAGGATGTAATGTGCTTGGTTTTCAAAGCCAATCATTGTGACATACAGAAAGGAAGCAGGTATTCCTCATTACATAATTTAATATCAGGATAATAATGATTTCGGTCTGAGTTCACGAGCCGTGCCTTATTTATTTGCATCTGACTGCAACAAAGACCCTACGCGCTTTGAAAATGCTGTAATCACATTTAGCTTTTTACTAGAAATCAAAATTAAACTTTGATGTTGAGCAGGTTTAGTAAAATTCACAATAACGGTTACACATATTGCAACAAAACAATAAATTCAGCCATTCTATAAAGACGAGTCATGCGTATAAGAATGCAAGGTCGGAAACAATCTGGCGACAAAAATTCCACCCACTCAAGCAGAAAAGAGAGCGAGCCAGAGAACAACACTGACTACCAAGCTCTCCAATCAATTTCTTCCTTCTTTCTCATGAGCACACGCTTCTGCCGACGATAATAGCTGTCATCAGTGTCCAGAACTCCCATTTCCTCCAGAGTGTCGAGCACATGAATTACGTGGTCCTGGGAGTTCCAATTCGGAGTATCATGGTGGATAGGGGATTTCTCAGCGGCACGTCGGACGAGGCGAAGGTGATTAACACTCACCTCGCACATATAAACCTCATCCTTCAGGTCAAATAAGCCTAAGCCGTCGTAGTCGATCTTCTCCGGGTTATAATATTGCTGGCCAAGGTCTCCTTTTATTTGAAGGAAATTATCCCCTCCTAGGGGGTCATTGAAGTCGTCGAGCAGCAATCCCCAGTGATGAAAATGGTCACCAACGTTCATGATGAGGACTTTGAGCCCAACGGACGAGGTCATTTTGTTTATGGAACGGGGTTATGGATGTTGTAGGAAAGAAACAGCAGAAGATAGAGTATGGGCGTGATTGAGTAATGTTCGAGAAGGATACTGCCAAGGGTAGTTTACGAGAGTGGCTAGCTTCTTAGCAGTCTATGATATTGTTGAGATAAAAATGATAGGAATTCGTATAATGAGAATATTTATACTAGTAATCTACGCAGCACAAAGGATGTCTGAACAAAGCTGAGATTCGTGGTTGTTGAGCAGCGGATGAAAGTACCCGTTTGCTGATGAAAGGGTCCGGCGCATGGGACGTTTTCTTTGTTGAAATGTAGAGCCCAGGGATTTAGAACAAAAACAAACTTGAGATTGTTATATAGATTGTTTCATCAAGACACTTTAACGGGAATCTACTATTTCGCCAGCCAAGGTCTCTTACGATCCACAAATTTCTCAAACAAGCATGATAATAATAGATGGAATACAGTATCAGTATCACGGAGGACGCTTTCTAAGATTCTTCATTTGTGAAAGCATTTTGCTCAACGCGAAAGTCAATCTAGCTTGATGCTGTTCTTGATCGCTGTGTTGAAGAAAATTCTCAACACACATTAAAAATGTCATGTAATCCAGGACGTCACTTGTATTTCCCATTAGGGAGGTCGAAGGCAAAATAAAACAAGAAAAATAAAATAACGTTAAGTTAGACAACTCCAAGTGTGCTAATTGGCTCATAGCTTGATAGATATGGGGCCTTTTTCCAGTTTCTTTTAACTTTAAGGCTTCCTTCTTGATCATCCGTGGTCCTTATCCCGGAGATCACCAAATATCAAAGCAATTCGCACGTAAATTCTCGAAGTCTCAAGAGGAACTTAATCTTCTATGAGACTTCGGATTAAAAAAGACTAATTCCCTTTTGACTCTCCGACAGCTCTGAAACATCGGATGTACTCGTTGGATCTCATTTTCTAGCCATGCCACTTCCACCCCGTACTGAATGGAAAGCCCACCATCTATTAGATCTTGTTTCACGCGTTCCATGTTGTTGACATTACGGCCCACCGATCTTGACTCGCGCCGGCCCCAAGTCGGTAATCTCGTCCGTAGGGAATGATGATCGTCGTCTTTAGATCGCCGCGACATAATTATGGAGCCTTGATTGGATTTCCAGCCCGAAAGCCCCATAACTGTGGAGAGCGAAACCAGCTTCTGACGAACTCACGGAGATCCCCACCCCCGTGTACATTCGTCAGTCGGTCCCTGGTGTGTGGGCGGTTGTTTTTACTTTTTTACCATCTTCTCCGCCACAAAATCACTGCCAACAACTCCTAAAATATTTTCATCTCGCCCCGATGCATTGTCTGAAAGCATCGTCACCGGGTGTTCTACACCTCGGAATCGCGCTGTTAGCAGTCGGTGCCAATGCCACGCCCCTGACGAAGCGCACTGTCCAAGATTGGAATGAGGTTTGTATCTTGCTCTTGAGAAATTGAAGCTCCATCGCTGACTGGCTAGATTACGCCCTCCTCCGACCTCAAGTGGACGCCATGTTTCGACGAATTTCTCTGCACGAAGCTCCAGGTCCCTCTGGACTACGATAACTCGGATAATACGGACACTGCGTCGCTGGCATTCATCAAGCTCCCTGCTGAGCAGAACCCCGATTCTGCGCAGAGCCTGGTGTTGAACAACGGTTAGTCGGACAGGGCTTTCTTTTTGAACATGGCTAAACACTCACGAACAGGTGGGCCCGGCGCATCAGGAATCAGTTTCTTACTCTCGTATACCTCCAACCTTCGGCAGGCATTCGGATCCCAATATAACCTTGTCTCGTTTGACCCTCGCGGTGTTAACAACAGCGACCTTGTCGTCAACTGTTTCCGCGATGATACCGCAGCCCGACAGAACTTCACTACTGGCTTCTACGGCGAAGTTGCAAACGCATCCCCCTCGTCACTCGCAACACATCTGTCAGCTGTTCAGCTGTACGGAAAATGGTGCAGCGAGACTCTAAAAGAAAACGAGTCCGCGAAATATATCAGTACCCCGGCAGTCGCGCAGGATCTCTTGACATTTGCGAAAGCGGAAGCCAAAGCAGCTGGAAAGAGTGACTCAGACGCCAAGCTATGGTTTTATGCGATGAGTTACGGAACTGTTATCGGATCGACCTTCGCGTCGCTATTCCCGGACCACGTGGGTCGATTGATTCTGGATGGTGTTATGGATGGCGAGGATTACTACAACGGCGAATGGAGATCGCATTCCAAAGACTCAGATGCAGCCATTCTCACCTTTCCCGAGTTCTGTCACCAGGCCGGAGCAGAAAAGTGTGCTTTCTGGGGCCCATCTGAAAAGAACATCACAGATCGTATGGATGGTCTCCTCGCAAATCTCAAGTCGAAACCACCCATCGGGGATAAATCCACAGCCACATACTCTGACCTCATCTACTCTCTGACTATATCCTCCTATGGGCCGTTGAAGATGTTTCCCATGCTTGCGCAAGGCATGGCAGCATTGGAAAAGGGCGATGGCTCCGCAATCGCGTCGATGGGCAGCTGGCTGGCCGCCCAGTCATCTAACGACGCTCGCGCGCTCATCTCTTGTGTCGATACCTATGGACTCGCTTCCCTGACCGATCTGCAGTCTCTGACTGATTATGTGTCATATCTCACGGGAATGAGCAAGTATATCGGTCCGGCTATGGCGGAAATCGCACCTCGAGCCTTGTGCAGTGATTTAAAGCTGGATCTTCTCGCCGGGCCGAGTTTCAAGGGTATGTGAAAGCCATTATGTTCCATGAAAATCATAGAATTCTAATTGGAACAGGATCTTTACCGCCATCTAGCAGCAATACTGCATTCCCGATCATGTTCGCAAGTAACACCATTGATCCCGTGGCTCCGTTAGCAGGGTGAGTACCCACTTATATCTCTTGCCTGGTAGTATGGTACTAATTTACAAACTGCAGTGCAAAGAAGATGTCTCAGGCTTTCGCTAACTCCATACTTTTGACTCAGAACAATGTCGGAGTAAGTTGATCGATTTACTATATATTACTAGGGTACACTGACATTATAAACTAGCACACGGCCATTACCGCGGCTTCTAACTGCTACCTCGAAAAGATTAAGGAGTATCTGGGAGGAACAGTTCCCGACAAGGACGTGGCGTGTGATTGGGAGCGGATACCGTTCAAAGATGAGATCTTCATCTCTCCTATGTGAAGAAGGACATTGGCCGTCTCAGAATATTTACCACTCTTCAATATTCTCTTAAACTTCAAGTCCAACTCATTGTGCAACACATTAGTAGCATGAGCTACTGGGTTCTCGGTCACCAGACAGTGAGGAGTCGAAATGATATAAAGGTCCAATAGCTGGCATATCAACGGATCCTCACCCAACCCCACCCTTCTTGTATTATTTTAAACTTTTTGAAAAGTTATCTATTTTTTAATGAAGTGATTTCCTCAGAATGTCTAATGGTCTTTGGAACTTCCCTTTCTCGTATGATTGGTTTTTGTCAAGCTTCTATCGCGACAACTCATCTTTTCTATCTACAATTATTCTAGAAGACCACTGAAAATCGCGGGAGTTGTATTTGAAGGAAATATGAAGAATTTCAGTTTGTGGGCAAAATGTATGTTTTTTTGACTCTAGTGTGCATACATGAAAGCTCACAATGTTACCAATTCGCTCATAATCTTTGTTTGATACAGCTTGATGTTTTCTCCCAACCTACTCGGCATCTGAAGTATTAAGATCCTAATAAATTAGCCACGGTTTAAAGAAGAATATTGATAAAATAACCCGATTTACCTCAGTAGATACGCACGGTCTCGTTAGTTAGCCACTTGAAGCCCCAGTGCTCCTTTCTCAAGTCTTGCTGCGAGCCCCTCATACACTTCCTGTGACTTGTACGCCCTAGCCAGGTTGTTCATCACCTTGCCAACCTCCTCTTCATCGCGAGATAAAGCACCATGGTCTTTCTCGACCCATGACTGATCTGTGCCTTCGGTGGTAGGCTCTACAACTTGGGTGCTGAAGGCGACAGCGTCAAGGACCTCTCTCTGGGTAGTTCTACCCGGGACATCGGCGATTCCTTGAATGACTGTAGACAAAGTTAAGTTCAATCAGTCGTGACCGTCTTGAGCAAAAGCGAAGTCTATATAATGGGATGGATGCATACCAGGTCTGATCACGGTGAACGCATCGTCGAACCCATTTTCACCCTCCTTGTTCATGACAGGCCTATCTCTCGCCCGGATCTGCTTCGTCGCGCCAAGCACCACTAACAAAAAGCGACTGTATCGATTAGCCACGCCCTGAGAATGCCACTTCCATGCAGCTTCCTCTGCACAATCGCCCCGTAGAGACGCGCAAATAGATGTTGCGGCGGACAGTCCGCCAGAAAGAGCCAGGTGGACGCCCGAGGAGAAATACGGGTCGATGAATGCGCCAGCATCGCCGACTATACGCAGGTGGGAGCTGCCGTATGAAGAGGCATTGTAGGACCAGTCCGAGGCCTGCTTGATATCGCCGTCAAGGGTTGCAGGTTCCAGAAGGCGAGAGATTCCGCGCGCTCCTTCGACTGACTCTAAGTAGAAAGCTCGACTGGAGGTCACGGATGACATCTTTTTCTTCTTTGTTGCCATCTCCTGGTTCATGACCACGCCGATTGAAGTCGTTCCATTGTGCAGAGGGATAAACCAGACCCAGCCGCTGCCATCTATGTGGAATCAGTCGTTAGTATGGCCCCTAAAGTCTAGACCAGCCTGCGGTGGTCAAGGGAATAAACCAACCCTGAAGCGCCTCAAAGTACGGCTGGCCCTCTACCGGTGTTCCCACGCCATAAGGTGTCGCACCGCGCCAGTAGCCCCAGCTAGCAACGTTCTTGAGGTAATTGTTGAAGGTCCGGTTTTTCAAATACTTGGTGCTGGTGATACCAGCTCGACCACTTGCATCAACCAGGTATTGGAAATCAATCATGCCTGTCCGGCCATCTTTGGCTTTCCAACTAGCAGACACTGGTCTACCGGGAGACTCGACGTTATTTTCATCGGGAATGAACTCGATCGAGGTGACTTTGACGCCGTCAAAGGTCTTCGCTCCGGACTTTGTGGCGTGTTTGAACATCAGCTCATCGCACTCCGATCTGACAACGTTCCACGCGTAGGTTCCTGCGCCAGGCTCGAGAATAAAGTCGGTGTCTAGGATGGTCAGTCGATGTTTGACATGTAGAGGGTCCACTTACAAGCTTCCTTTTGGTTGTTCAACTTGAATGCAGCTCCGTTCTGCAATCGTTTAGTATATACTGGTGGTGGGGGTCCAGATAGACAAATACCTTTCTCACGAACCCATAGTTCACGAACGTGTCATCCAAATCGATGAACTTTAGAAGTGGTCGAATTGAGGCGACGAGGCTTTCACCGATATGATATCTAAAAATGTAAGTGATAACAGTCTAGGGATTTAGACAAGACCCTCTAACCTTGGAAACACGTCCGCCTCCAACAGCACCGTGTCGACACCTTCCCGTGCCAGTGCTGACGCCGCATAAGTGCCTCCCGGGCCACCTCCGATTACGAGTACTGTTGCTTTGGTTGGAATGGTCATTTTCGTGAACCACAGATTGATCAGGTCGTGCTAGCCTGGAGATGTGTCATTGGGGCCGGACTTCTTGGTTCAGATATACTTGCTATCCGGGGATATGCTCTCGCTCAGCAGCAAGTTGCTTGTCGGAGATATAGAGGCTATTGCCCTTCATTACAGGTATTATCTCAAGAATGACGTGTAAAAGGCTAGATTGAGTCATGTCAGCTTAGAGCTGGGAGGAAATCCAGATGAGCGAGCTCTTTCAGTTACACAAAAGTTCATCGGATAATGAGGTCACCCGAGACTGTTTTTGTGCACTTCCACTTCACAGGGACTGCGATATATTATGTCACATAAAATTAAGCCATGGTTTTGTTCCGAGTTATGTAGCATGAGCCAGCCCCCTCAGTTGAGACTGTTTTGTCAATATAATAGACTTAACACCCAAGGTCCTTTCTTTTTCTCATTTATTCATTCATCTCAAGCTTCAACATCGCAGACCATTGCTACGACAGGAATGACCTGTGACCTTTACATTCTACCTACGCGTGGCATACAAATGCAAATTATCACGTCACAAACAGCGGGTAAATCTTCATATTTTCTTTTTCTTTGAAGAAGGCAACCGCTCATCCTAGCCGACGAGAGCACCATATGCTGCCCATCAGCGGCAATCGGGACCCCGCCTTTCCCCGCTCAACAGGATATTCAACATACGTGGAGCAGCAGAGGTCGTTCAGATTAATGGAACTAAATGACGTGTAAGTGACTCTATTTAAATTGAAATTAATCTGTATACTGCATGCCGAGTCCACAGAAGAAAGCATGCTAGATAATCGATTTATCTTCACTAAGCATCCGGTTCCGTTCCATTACTGCCTGGTAGGCATCTTGACGAAACTAGTTACTCCCGTCCCAAAGATAAACAGTCGTATCTCATAAAGCGCCCTACAGAATTGAACTGTGGGTTCCAAAATAGAGGGGTTTTGGAATTTCCCCTCATGCTCGCCACTCAGAAAATGACGCTAGTTTCAGCTGAAGACAGGGAACAAAAGTACTGTACATCTCCATGTTCCATCTCATTTTCTGTGCCTCGGAATTATTATTTTCTCCATGGACTTTTGTTCGTCACATACGGCCTGTTTCTAGCTTAATATAATTCTATTTTTCTCGCAGACTGATTAGGTATCTCTATTTTTGTCCGAGTCCAGAGTATTGATAGGTCGGAATTCGAATTACTCGTTAGCCTGGCAGTTGTTTACTGCTAACGTAAAAATTGTATGAGGTTGTCAAACATTGACATTCTCGTGCTCGAAGATTCCACTGGAGAGTACGCAGTAGAACTGCTATGAACGAATAATTCCGACAGGGTTGGGTGGCGTTGCTTGTTCTATTTCAGGGTCACAGCATTCCAGGATATGGCCACGCACACGCATCTGGATCTCGGGGAAATGACCAATTAGTTCCGGTCCCTGGAATGCTCCATTGTCTAATACAGCAACCAAGATTAGAATTTCCTAGAAAGCTCGAAAAATACGATCGCGAGATCTTTCTTTAAGAAATTGTAACTAATTAAGGTGTTATACCGATGAAAAGTCAGGTCACATGGTTCGCCAAGCCCTATTTACATTTTGACGGGGGATTGTTTACATCGGCTCTTCAGGAACTCTTCCCCAACGAGTAATCATATCCTTATGGCCGGGAGGAGCACTTAGGTCGCAGAGAATTGTCTAATTGCGTTTGTTGATCGTCCTGTCAAGTTACTTTAACACGCAGCGCAGCGCTGCACTGCACAGCAAGGAGTGCGACGCAATGCAACCCACGAGACATCTACCTGCAGCATTGAATACGTGTACAACACGATAATCAGTCGGGGAGCTTAACCTCATGTGAAGAAAATATCGAGCGCCCAGATAAGAAAATTGGCTGGAGTCGCGATACTCCATTCAGCAACGCCATCGGTCGGTGGCGATTTTGAAAAGAGGGGAATGCCGATTTAACCGCCTTACGGAGCAGGGTACCTATCTGGTTTGATCTTAGCAGGTGCTCAATCCTGGAAAGCTCGATGGTCGAGACCCTGAGAGCTAGGATTCGACAGGGGTGTGCTCCACTCATCTACTGCGTAATGGCGGACGGACTATCATGTAGCGTCGTGCCAATAATGCGCCTAATTGCGCGCCACCCACACGATCCACAAGGAGCCTATCCCCGGCCCGCTGCATGGATCGCAAAACAGCCCTTGGAATTTGGAAGCAGGTGCCATCCTGCGCTTGGCATAATGGCTTTGGCTCTAGTCTCTGCCCGGCGCGCGGCTGGCCAATGGGCGACGAAATACACGAGCAGATTTGTGAAAAATTAATTGCTCGACAGGTTGAACTATGCAGTTTGGGGCCATCACCGATGTCGATCACCTTGGCCTGTACATATGACCATATGGCGCGCAGGCCAGGATTTCCCATCGTTGAAAATCGGTCCGGCTACGCTTTGCGGCGGAAAGGGTTTGTTTGATTGGGACCTACTTCGGCGATCGCCGAGCTTATTATAGGACTAAAGAAAATGAAGAAGTTGCAAAGAAAAACATCCGTTGAAATTTGGAGAATCATTCGCGAAGTGATTATTCCTGTCACTGAGCTACTCAAACTTTGGACCTCGGCCAATTGTTAACTAGCAGTTCTGTGAACCTTTGTAGTTCCAGTTTCCCTGTTCATGATAGTGATAAAAAAAAGAACCCCACACAATGTAGTCAAATCAATGTGAATTGTGAGATCTGTTATCGAAGGATGTCCTGTGCCAAAAGACCCAAAGTCTGGAGACGAGCGCCCTGCGACATCACGTTGATGCAATTCGACACGCGAATATGATGAAGGAGCTCTTGCTTGATCGCGTAAAGTTCCTTCTGAATTTGCCGAATCTCGTCCTCAAGGGCCCGTCTTCGTCGCTCTTCGTCGCGTCTCTCCGCCTCTAGCAGAGCGATTAAATCGACCTGCTTCTGCCGCGACTTTCCAGCAGCCAATCGGTTGCGCTCCTTGTATTTTTCGTGGTATTTCTGTCTCAGTTGTTTCACTTCGACGCTCTTTTCGAATGTGGGTTGAGGTTCGGAAGAAGGCGAATGCGCTTCAGCCGAACTTGGTTGTGCGGAAGTGTCCATCTGTCCTTGATTCGTTGTGGAGGGTGTCGTGTTAGGTGGTAAGCTGAATAGATCCTGTGGGTCGGCGAAAAGTGCAGGAGCCGGCGTGGCATTATCGGCGCCACCAGCTTGTAGCCCGAGAATTCGATCAAGCTCGTTCAAGTCTGGCACGGTGTTCTGGTATGAAAAATGATTGTTGCTGTTTTCTATCGTTGTCGCGGAGAGACCGTTTCTATAGACGATTAGAGTCGGCTCTCAATGAGAGATAGTATAGGCTCTTACGATTCGAAAGCTCCCCTGGGGGTGTTGGAGTCAACCTGAGCTACCGAAACATTTCCATTGCCGTCCAATTGCGATAGCATGTCCGTCCAGTCGACTGGGAGATCTGTGGACAAGCGAATGTCATCCATTGTGAAACAAGGCTTTGGGGGAGAAAAAGCAATTGAGAGTCGATAGAGTTTGTGGAATGCAGGTTGCTGAGCTCCCAGACGCGATTGTATATCAACATTTTCTCTCTTCAGCTCCCCCACTTACCGTTGTGTTCTGGAGCTCACCCCATGCCGGGAAATCTGTATAACAGGACGAACATTGCGTTAGAACATGCATCGGAGATGCAGCAAAGGTTAAGTGGCGTCAGGATTCCCGGAGATGAGGGGGCGATATACTCAGCATCTTGCCCGGCTTGCACTAATGCATTAGCAAACTAGGGAAGCAGATCGGTTTGAAGATGAGAATAGAGCGATCTGCGACAAGCTAAAAGTACCCGCACCTGGACTCTTGGGTCAATTTCATGCTATCGGGTGGTGTGCTCACTAGGCCGATCGGTAGTGATGGTTGAAACAAACACAAATGGCTGGCCCAAATGACTACAATCCACGAGTCAGATTCCGAGGAAGCGATGAAGAATGAATGGATTGTAATTTTGGCCAAATCGCCTATCAGCATCAGTGGCCGGTATCTCAATTTGAGGCCCCGACAAAGAACCCGTGGGATCTGGGATTCTGTATAGACAAAGTGAATAAGCAACAAACAGTCGGCAGCCAAACTTATTGGATTTAATTTATCGCGATTCTTTCGGGCAATTATCGCAGCTGATTATCCAGTAGAATACTCAAAAGCGGTACTAGGGTAAGCTGGTTTCCCAAAGACGCCGATTGCGTTATCTGAAAGCAAAATCTTCCAGGAAAACAAGGCGAACAAGACTTCATTAATTGGCTGCGTAAACAAAAGTCCATATTCGGCCCATATGGAGGAGACACATGCATGAGCTGAACACCTCAGTCACAATCTATTGAGTCAGCCGTAAGCTATCGCAAATCGTCACCAGAAACTTTTACACGTCATATAAACACCCATGCTTTTTCTCGACGCTAAAGCACTCCATGGGCCCCTGTAAATAAAAGCGCCGGCCTGAAAACTGCGTCGCCACCCCATCCCGCATTTCCCCCCTTCAATCAACAGCAAGAAGCATTTAACCATGGACTTAGACATATTTGCCTCTAAATTCCACCTTCTTCTTTGGGCATTGTTGGCCACGCCCGTTATTTACGTGCTTACTACTGTGACCTACGAGCTGTTCTTTTCGCCGCTGTCGCATATTCCCGGTCCTAAACTGGCTGCTTGCACGCGTCTCTATGAATTTTATTACGACATTGTCCTGCATGGCAGGTATACGTTCAAGATTGCTGAGCTGCATAAAAAATACGGTACATGATCCCGATTCCCCGTCGATCCAATAAACCTGTTTACTAAATGCCTCAGGACCCATAATCCGCATCAGCCCTGGGGAAGTCCACATCAATGACCCCGAGTATTACGAAACACTATACTCAATCAATGGTCCGCGCAACAAGGACTCATGGTTCATCGAATCATTCGACGTGGCCCAGTCTGCCTTCGCCACGCTCGACCATCGCTTACACAGACCTCGTCGCGCCTTGATCGCTCCGTACTTTTCCAAAGCGCGAGTGCAGCGCGTGCAGTCTCTGATCCAGAACAAGCTGCAGAAACTGACAAACCGATTGAACGAGGTTGCACGCTCCGGAAAGCCGCTCAAGGTAGACGTCGCGTTCAACTGCTTCACGGCCGACGTGATCACTTCGTACACCAGCTTTCGCGGGTTAAACTACCTCGATGACCCCGATATGGTACCCATTTGGAGCGAGACAGTCCGCAATCTCGTTGAAGTTGGAATGATCGCGCGACATCTACCTGGGTTTTTCCCGCTTCTGGCAAGTATGGGAATGAAGTGGATCCAGCGAATCTATCCCAAATTGCTTCCTGTCATCGCCTTCCGGATGAAATGTGCCCAGGAGGTGAATTTCATGTGGGAGAACGAAGAAAAAGCAAGCGAAGATTTTGCAAAGAACAGTCTCTCTCAAGAGCCTGCGCTTTTCCAGGACATGGTCGCCAAAGCCCCCGATACGCCTGATATCACCGAGGCTAGGGTCCTTCATGAGTATATTACTATCGTGGCAGCAGGAACTGAGACTACAGCGCATACGATGACGATCTGTACGTTTCATGTGCTTAATGACGAACAGGTCCTGCGCAAATTACGTGCAGAGTTGGAAGAAGCCTTCCCCGACAAGAAAGAAATGGATTTACAGACGCTTGAGCAACTTCCTTACCTAGTTAGTTCCTTCCCACGTTTGAGTCTCAAATCATGAAGCTGACACCACCAGACTGGGATTATTTACGAAGGACTCCGGTAGGCGCACCCTTTTTGCAAGAGTCACAACTTGAGCTAATGGCAGCAAAACAGACTATCGTACGGCCTTTCCCACCGTCTCCAAAGAATATGTCCCACCGATCCACTCAAGTTCAGGGATGTAGTCATCCCACCCAATGTAGGTACAGTTCCAGGCCAGCTTAGATCGGGAGCTAACAGACCTAGACATCGATCGGAATGTCCTCTGCCCTTATCCATCACGACGAGTCCATCTTTCCGAAATCCCACGAGTTCATCCCGGACAGATGGACAGACCTTGAGGACCGGAAGAGATTGAACAGATACCTGGTTTCCTTTAGTAAGGGTGCTCGCCAATGCATCGGAATGAAGTGAGTTTCTAGTGTATTCGCTCGTTTCCTGTTCGCTCCTCTTACGCCGATATGCTAATATGACTCGTCATAGCTTGGCATTTGCGGAGCTTTACATGGCTGTTGCCACGGTCTTCCGCACGTTTGATATGAAGCTGCACGAGACTACAGTGGATGATGTTCGGCTTCATAGCGACATGATGCTACCACATGCCAAGCCCGGTAGTAAGGGCGTGAGAGTAGTGATTGACCCTATTTAGTCAGATATCCCTGGATTGGGAACAGTATATATTACCTAAACCTTGAATATAGTGGGGGTTAGAACACTTTGGTGGATAGGTACGATGTCTCGGCATTATATAGTGTAGAGGCTACGGACTGAGTGAATGAATAGGCCATCTGCTACAACAATTAAATTCCATAGTTGAACTAATGGTAAACGTGAATCGAGAAATAATAGCTTTTCTAAAGGTAAAAAAAATGGAAATGTCATTGAGGGGTATTTCTGTATTTGACTTTTGTTGGGTTTTTTCTGTTCGTATCTTGTGCCGGTCTCCCTTTCTACGACGCCACTATCACAACATGGCGATAGTGAAATAGCGTCTTTTCTGCATTTTGGGGGCATTTTAATGACTGAATTGTATCCCAAAAAGTAGCACAAATCCGTTTATGCGCGTAGAAGCCGGGAATCCTTCCACTGACACTCTAACTGAATACTGAATGCTGAATGAAAATTTTTTTTGAAATCACTATCGGCCTCTAAAATGACGGATCAAGATTTCCGCATAATTACCACTGGATAAACGAACTCCCGACTTTTTCTTCTGGTCGATCTAGTACATGCAGCCAAGATACGTGGCGGTACCACGCTATGACGTGTAACTACTTTGTTCCTAGCATGGATGAGGTGTAGAACCATAGAAAAAAAGGCGCTAATATATGTAATTCTTACTGGTTAGTAAATTAGGCAGGCCCAACTCGGATAATTTCGTATTATATCACTTTGATGTATCTCTGCCCTTCGGTGAACATATTCCACGACCACCCCCCGCCCGCGCCAAAAGGAAAACGACTTACGCTCAGAATCACGTTCAATGGAGTCAGGACACAATTATCGGTTTCCCTGTCTAACGGATGGTCGTATTGTGGAGGATGAAACGTGGAAATTCGCCCCACTTGATGCGGTCAAGTACTCAGATCTCAATATCCAAGAAGGGACTTCGGCAAAATGGCTCAATATCGCCTGGGCTGTTCTATTATTTGTCTACGACGAGGTGGAAATTATAAAATTCGAATCCATCTACAATGGCGAAAGGAAAGTTTTGAGTAGCATGGTTACTCGCGATCAACCGTGGCAGGACATCGATTTCCATTATGAAGACTATGAGTCTGCTCAAACCAATACCGGCGTTTGCATATTCACAGAACAGGTTGCCGATATTCCGCCGGTGAGTAGGAAAGCGTGATTGAAATCCAACTCAGAACTGATGCTCCTAGGAACTGCAACTTGCATTGGCGGTACAATGCTCGGACGGCTTGACAATATCTCTGGCATATCGCCCGCAGCTGGTTTCCGATAGACAAGCACTGAACATCGCTAGCACGTTCAACAAGATCATGGACGCATTAAAAGGGCCAAATATTCCTATATGCGCGATTGACATCTGCGACGAGCACAATCTCGACCAGATCGCTAAATTCAACACTGGTCCACGTCAAGTCAAGGAGGACTACCTACACAGTATCATTGAGAGACAGGCACTCGAAGCCCCGGATCAAGTTGCCGTCGATGCATGGGATGCTCGGTTAACATACAAAGAACTTGACTTCTTTGCGTCCGTATTAGCAAGTCGTCTAAGATCACTCAATGCAGCAAATACCTATGTACCGCTGTGCGCAGAGAAATCAGCCTGGGCCGTTGTCGCCATCCTGGGGATTCTGAAAGCCGGGGCTGCCTGTTCGCCTCTCGAGGCATCTCATCCCCGCGATAGGTTAGAAACCATGATCCGGTCTTGTGGTGCCACAACTGTTGTGGCAACGAAATCACACGCGTCACTGTTTCAGCTAGACGGCGTTGATGTCGTTGTCGTTTCTTCTGAATCTCTATCGTCTGAAAAGGAATGTTTGAATCTATCCGATACCACGGTCGCTCCACGATCTCCGGCCTTCCTCATGTGGACCTCTGGAAGCACTGGTAACCCCAAAAGCGTGGTTCTGGAACATGCAGCCCTATACATGAGCATCACCACCTACGCAGAAGCGAGCAACCTTTCAGCCCGGACAAGAACATTCCAATTTACGTCTTTCACGTTCACCGTCAGTATATGCGACATCTTTGGCACCATGAGCAAAGGAGGGACGTTGTGTATGCCGTCCGACGAGCAACGTTTGAACGATCTATCCGGAGCAATGAAAGCCTCGGCTGCCTCCTTTTGCTGGCTTACCTCGACCTCCCTGACCGGACTCGACCCTGAAAAGCTCCCCGACCTCCGCTGTGTCACTGTTGGTGGTGAATCTCTTTCGCGGGAAACGGTGGTACGCTGGGCTGGGAAATGCCAGGTCAATGTGTCGTACGGCACAACGGAGACATGCGGATGGTGTTTGCTGAACCCAAATCTGACACCAGAGCGTGAATCCCGAGTTCTCGGGAAGCCTATTATCCCTGCAGCTTGGATATGCCATCCTGACGATATCGAGAAGTTGGTTCCTGTCGGTGCGGTCGGCGAGCTGCTCATTGAGGGCCCCTTCTTGGCGAGGGAATATCTCGATGATCCGGAACGCACGGCAGCGCAATTCATTCAGCCACCCAGCTGGGCGAAGCTATTTCGAACTGATCCAGCAACGAGGCTTTATCGGACGAACGATCTGGTTCGGTATAACTCCGATGGATCTATCATGTTTGTAGGCCGGAAGCAGGCACATGCGAAGATACGTGGAAATCGGATCAATCTGATCGATATCGAACATCATGTGCGACGGGCATTGGGAACCCCCGAAGCAATCGTCGACGTGGTGCACACCAAAGACGGTATTGATATGTTGACGGCGTTTCTGCTCGCCTCTTCGGGCATGGGCAACAGTCAGGGCTTTGGAAGCCCCGTGACTCACGCTGATGATGATTTCCGCCAACGTGTCGCCAATGCTTTGGAAGTGCTAGAGGCAACGCTGCCCAGTTACATGATCCCAACTGCCTTCGTGCCGCTGTCTCTAATTCCACTTACGCGTACCAACAAGACAGACAGGCGACTGTTACGTGAAGAAGCCGGGGCGCGGACCAGAGCTGAGCTGGTACAGCTTGCAGCTCCCAAAAGCGAGAATGCTAAAGCGCTGCTCTCGGGCGATGAATACATCATGCAGAAACTATGGTCCAAGGTGACAGGCCTTGCTATCGACAACATAGGCCCTGACGACAGCTTCTTTCACCTAGGTGGTGATTCAGTCATGGCAATTCGACTGGTTTCGCTGGCCAGGAAGCACGGGCTTATATTCACCGTCATGGATATGTTCCGTCACTCAAAGCTGAGAGACCTGGCAACTTTCATTACCGGGCGCGGGGAACAGAATTGGGCTGAGCCCAGTTCTGTGAGCTTCCATGTCGAAGACCTGGTTCCAGACGCGGCCAGAGAGTGCGGGGTGGAGTTTAATGCTATCGAAGACTTGTATCCGTGCACAGCATTGCAAGAGGGGTTGATGGCACTATCGGCACAGAGGACAGGTGCCTATATCCTGCAAATGGCCTGTGATATACCATTGACAGCAGAAGTGCCCCAATTCCTTGCAGCATGGGAGACCGTCTTCGATGCGCTTCCAATCCTGCGCACACGGATTATTCAGCTAGGTCGAGGAGGATTCTATCAAGCTGTGGTGAAGGAGAAAATGGACTGGCGCTCTGTGACCAGTGAGTCAGAATGGCGCGACTGGAATCAGATGCACCCTATGCAACTAGGCTGTCCATTGGCACGACTCGCACTTCTTCATGTGGATTCCCGACCAGTCCGCATACTAATCGCTGTTCATCATTCCATTTTTGATCGCTGGTCTACTTCCCTTGTGCTTGACATGGTTGATCAAGTATACCAAAAACGGGAGATCCAGCAACAACAGTTCAAACATTTTGTTGAATATGTACACTCTCGTCCGGTCGAATCAAGTGATGCTTTTTGGGATGATCACCTTCGAGATGCTCAGCACACGGCCTTTCCCAAGATTAAAGACGCCTCCCTTTTACCAAAGCCAACCATGTCAAGAAACAAGGCCATTACGCTCGAGTCCTCGCGAAGCAATTTCACAGCAACGACGAAACTGCGCCTCTGCTGGGCTTTAGTTCTCTCCCAACACACAGACAGTACCGACGTTGTGTTTGGTGCCGTCTCGACGGGTCGAAGCGCCCCTGTCGAAGGCGTAGAGAACTTAGTCGGTCCCACTCTAGCGACAGTGCCATTCCGAGTGAGAATCAACTCGGACATATCGGTTGCAAATGCCCTTGAGAGCGTGCAGAGCGACAGCGCGTCAATTATTCCCCATGAGCAACGGGGTCTACAACATATCTCGAGAATCTCTGCCGACACGAAGAGTGCTTGCAAATTCGAAAACATTCTGATCGTTCATGCCCCGAGTTCAGGTGGCGGAATGAGCCTTCTCGGGGACATGGCGGATGACCAGCTGCCTGAACTGTTCAGCTACGGCCTTACATTGTCATGTGAAGTTATGGGACCGGATCGGATTCATGTCGATGCGTTCTTTGATCCGAAGATAATTGGCGAGAAACACGTGGAGACTTTACTTTGCCAGCTTGATCATGCCATGCGACAAATAAATGATGTTCCAAGTTCTCAACTTGGAGACGTTAGGCTTCTCAGTGCCAGCGACGAGGAATTGCTCAAATCATGGAACTCCCGTGTGTTCACCCAAAGCAGTTCGACTGTTCATCAAATCATCCAGGATCAATGTGCAGGATCACCCGATGCAGAGGCAGTGTGCTCGTGGGACGGGTCATTGAGTTATGGCAAACTTGATGCTCTTTCCACTGGACTAGCCCTCCATCTCCGCCAGCGTGGAGTAGGACCGGAGGTCTTTGTTCCCTTACTTTTTGACAAGTCGAAATGGACGGTGGTTGCTATCCTCGGTGTCCTGAAAGCCGGTGGTGCTTTTCTTCTACTCGATCCGTCCTTTCCCAAAGACAGACTACAAACGATTTGCAACCAGGTCAATGCGCGAGTTATACTAGCTTCACAGAAGCATTCAAAGCCAGCAGGGAGTCTTGTCGGGGACTGTTTCGTGGTGGACGACTCCCTGGAGTACAACCCAGCACCTTCAGTCGCATTGCCGACCACCGATCCGAGCAACGCTCTCTACGCCGTGTTCACGTCAGGGTCAACAGGGACACCAAAAGGTGTTATAATTGAACACGGCCAGTATGCCTCTGGAGCCAAAGCTCATATGGCAGCTGCATCGATATCCTCGGCATCCCGGGTCCTGCAATTCTCGTCCTACGCGTTTGACGCCAGTGTCATCGAGCATCTAACCACCCTGATGGCTGGCGGGTGTGTCTGCATCGTTTCAGACACCGAGCGCAGCAACTCTTTCTCCGAGGCAGTCGCGTCTAGGAATGCTAACTGGACATGGTTGACGCCAAGCGTTGTTCGAACCATGGATCCCAAAGACTTTGCGTCGCTGAAACACCTTTGTTTGATGGGCGAGGCTCTCGGGCCAGCAGAAGTCCAGAAATGGACCCAGCATGTTCACCTCATGCAAGCATACGGACCAGCGGAGTGCTCCGTCCTCGCTACGCTACAACCTTCTTTCGACCTAGACTCGGATCCTCGGAACATCGGATTTCCAAGTGGTTGTGCTGCATGGGTTGTCGACAAAGATGACGCCACCCGTCTGGCGCCTGTGGGTGCGGTCGGAGAGCTTCTGATTGAAGGTCCCATTGTTGGGAGAGGCTATCATCGCGACCCGGAGCAGACCGGGAAAGCCTTCATTAACCCGCCTGATTGGATCGATAGATTTCGGCAATCTGGCTCTCGACGAATTCATATGTACAGGACAGGCGACTTGGTCCAGTACGCTCCGCAGCTTGACGGGACACTGCTCTATATTTCCCGCAAGGACACGCAGGTAAAGATTCGTGGTCAGCGTCTGGAGCTTCATGAAGTGGAGTATCATGTTGGTGAAGTTACGGAGCCGTCCTGGGACATTGCAGCCGAGGTGATCAGTCATGGCTCTCGAAAAATTCTTGCTCTGTTTTTCTCTATCGCAGAGACAGATTCAGAGACTGATTGCACAATTACTCATCTGACAGATGAGACACGCAAACAAGTCATGAAGGTCAAGCAGAAGCTCAGCACTCGCCTACCTTCCTTCATGATACCAACAGCTTGGATCCCTCTGTCGAGGATACCACTTTCTGCATCGAAGAAAACAGACCGGCGTCGAATGCGTGTTCTTGTGGATAAACTTCCAGTGGAACAATTCAATAAACACCTCATTGATGAGAGAGTTTCAACAGGACATGGTTCTAATGGTTCCGTACATATTGATGAGAGACCAATGACCGAGGAAGAGATCATGCTGCATGACCTCATCTGCGAAGTGCTCGAAAGCCAGGACTACGAGCTTGACAAAAGCACTGTTACCATGGATCAGCAATTCACAGATATTGGAGGCGACTCATTGACTGCATTGGCTTTGGTGTCACGGGCGAAGAAGATCGGATTTGCTTTTACAGCAGCGGACGTAATTGCGTGTACTTTGGGAGAGTTGGCAGGTAAGAGAGTTTGAAGGCTAACTTGTATCTATGCTTATTTCTTCAATTGAGTTTCGTCATGTTCGAGTTGAACGCACAGCCTGAAAACTTTCGGTTAAATCTGAGCTTTGAGTAGATACCCCCTATCATAGACGACAGAAACAATGAACAGGCCAAAAGTCTAGCTCAGCTTGGCTTCACGTTTTTCTCCACCTTCGGAGTTTTCACAAACTTCCCGTTGCATTCCCTTGCTTCTAATCAACAATCCATTCTCATCAAAATCCAAAATATGAACATCATCCAGTAGACCCCCGCCAAATCGTCCGGTAACCCGAGAATAGACCCACACCTGTAGACCCTCCGCGATCACTCGTTGAATTTGAACATTGAAACCCGGACTGTCGGCCAGAACCTGGGGCCAAAAGTCAATAAATTCAGACTTTGACATCGGAGGTAGATCATCGTGTCTTAGTTCGAGATCCGGGTGGAGGATGGAGGCAATGGAGGATGTTTCACGCTTATTGACGATAGTATTGAGGAAGAGTTGAGCACGAGATTTGAGGTCCATGTTTGCTTAGAGAGATCTTGTGGTAGAGAGTGATGTATGGGAGACAGATGTTCCAAGCTTTGAAGGAGTCGAAATTTGAAATACTTGTGGTTATCGGATATGACAGGGGATCTGCAACTGTCATAGGGTAGACGGGACCAGGGTAACCGGCATGCAGCTGTAATTGACGTGTAGGAGATCTGCATGACGTGTATCCCTAAATTCCACGCATGTGAGAGCCCGTTGCGAAAGACCCCTGTTCGAACACCTTCTTTTATTATGGTTTCGTCCCGTGAATTAAATCTACCATGATCTACTCATCTATCACAGAAAGAAGCAGCGAGCATACCTGTTTTCCACAATGACAATGTATACCAATCCCCACCAAGAGCCGCTTGCCATTGTTGGCATGGCATGCAAGTATGCTGGTTCCATTGATTCCCCCTCTGATCTGCACGAGCAGGTCTTAGCCGCTCGTTGCATGCAGGGCCCAATGCCTTCATCTCGCATGGACGCTGCGTTTTACCACCATCCGAACTCCGAAGCAACTGGCACCACGTACACGAAAGGTGGATACTTTCTAGACAGGGATGTGAATTCGTTCGATGCGCCATTCTTCCAATTGTCTGAGCTGGATGTGCTAGCGATGGATCCTCAGCAGAAGATGTTGTTGGAGAATGTCTATCACGCACTTGAAAATGGTATATTCATCGCCATCGCGATATCAACCCTTCCTCGCGACCGAATTGCTGACCAAGTATAGCCGGAATCCCATTAAAGGAGGTCGTATCATCACAGACATCTGTATTTGTCGGATGCTCGAACAACGATCACCTCGCATTGGCCAATGCCGATCTGTTGATGTCCCTCAAGGGCAAAGGGACCGGGACCAGTCCGTCCATTCTTGCCAACAGACTAAGTTGGTTCTACGACTTTCGAGGGACAAGCCAGACGATCGATACTGCGTGCTCGAGTAGTCTGGTCGCATTTCATCAGGCATGTATGGATGTCCGGACGGGGAGATCCCCGATGGTAAGCATTCCTTAGGACCCCTTGTCTGGTCACTGCTAAAAACAAACCAGTCAATCGTCAGTGGCGTCAACCTCATCGAACATCCTGCCGCAACCCTCTACCTCTCTAACCTCGGCGTTCTCTCTCCCGACGGACGAAGCTGGAGCTTCGACGCCAGAGCAAATGGATACGGACGTGGCGAGGGTCTCGGCACCGTCATCATCAAGCCACTGCGCGCCGCCCTACGCGACGGGAACCGTATTCGAGCCGTTATCCGAGCATCTGGATCGAACCAGGACGGCAGAACACCAGGAATTACCGTTCCCAGCGTGGCTGCGCAAGAACAACTTATTCGCAGTGTTTACAAAGCCGCGGATCTTGATCCCTCGCAGACAGGATATGTCGAGGCCCACGGTACAGGAACCCCGGTCGGCGACCCGTTAGAGGTACAAGCCATTGTGTCGGCCCTGGGTAGCCAAACCCGTGAGACGCCGCTTTATGTCGGGTCGGTGAAATCGGTCGTCGGTCATCTGGAAGGAGGAGCTGGACTGGCAGGCCTCATATCTGCTACGCTGGCCGTGGAATCGAAAACCGTTCCGCCTGTGGCGGGCCTGACGACATTGAACCCGCGAATCGTTCAGCGAGAAGATCTGAAATTTGCACGGCAAGCAACGCCATGGCCCAGAGATGATATTCGTCGCGCGTCGATCAATTCATTCGGGTTTGGTGGTACAAATGCACACGTTGTGCTCGATGATGCGGAGGGATTCCTGAATCAGTTCCTTGGCTCTCAGTTGGCAGGGACATTGCAGGTGACAGATGCCTTGTCGAGTACGATCTCAAGGCGCCTGTGTGGACCTGGGAAGGATATTGTGAAACCTTTCTCCAATGGCACTGTGAATGGAAATGGCATTAATGGTGTTTCTCACCCCAGTTGGATCCCGGAGAATCGTGTTTTTGTTCTATCGGCGTTTGATGAAGCTGGTTTAGAACGAAACGCCACATCCATTATATCGCATCTTCAATCGCTGAATTTCGAAGGAGACATGGCAATGGAAGAAGATTTCATGAACGACCTGTGTCACACGCTGAACGAAAAACGCACAATGTTCGACTGGCGCAGCTACCACGTGGCGGACACTATCGAGAACCTGCAAAAGTCGCTTCAGAGTGTCCGTCCCATTCGTCGATCCGCGGCTCCGAAAACCACCCGGTTCATATTTACGGGCCAAGGTGCGAATTGGGCCGGCATGGCCCAAGACCTCATGGTATACCCGCTATTCCGACGACGGATTCATGAAGCTGCCATGTTTCTGAGAGGTATCGGTTGCCAGTGGGATCTTTACGGTACGTTTTTATGTTGACCCTAATATTCAATTTACTCAGGAACACCAAATAACCAGAGAATTAGACCGAATCACCTCCCAGCACGGTGATCTCAACGAACCCACCTTTGCGCAATCCTCCTGTGTCGCCGTGCAGATTGCCTTGGTGGACCTGCTACATAGCTGGAAGGTGACTCCGTCCACAGTAGTGGGACACTCGTCCGGCGAAATTGCAGCAGCGTACTGTGCCGGAAAGATCTCACGTCAAGCAGCATGGAAGGTTGCTTACTGTCGAGGTCAGGTATGCGCAAAGCAGACACATGAAGATGGCCGTATGCTTGCTGCAGCTATGCCTGCACAAGAACTAGAAAGACTTATCGCCAGGGTAAACAAAGGTCTATCTGATGGAGTCCAGGTCGGCTGCTACAACAGCCCCAAGAACCTGACTCTGACAGGCAGACACGAGCACATTCTACGTGTCAAGGGCGAATTAGACGAAGCGGGTGTGCTGAATCGTTTGCTTCCCGTCAAGGTCGCGTATCACTCGATCTTTATGCGAGAAGTTGCGCCAGAGTACCTAGAGATTCTTGGGGATCTGGAATTTGGTGACAAGATCAACCACGATTCGGGCATTACTATGATATCCTCGGTTACTGGTCGACCTTCTCTCGAGGGAGAGGTTGAGAGCCCTTCATATTGGGTGGACAATTTGGTTTCACCTGTCCGTTTCTCGAATGCGATTCTCGCCTCTATGAAAACCCCGGATACAGCCGGCTCTGCAGAGGATGCACTTATCGAGATCGGACCGCACTCTACCCTCCGAAGCGCCATCAACGAGACACTTTCAGAACATAGTGAGCTGCAGTCCTACCAGTACGGTAGTATACTCAAGCGATATGAGACAAACGGAGCCACAATTCTCCAGACCTTTGGCGTGCTGGCTTGTCAGGGCCACGAGATCAACCTGGTTGCCGTGAATGATCGCCGAATAGGACGGAAGAGAACCGCGAAAATCCTTCGGGATTTGCCCCCTTACGCATTTGACCACTCTCGGTCTGTCCGTGGTCAGACACGGAAAATCGAACACATCAAGTTCCCAGCGTACAAACGTCACGAGCTTCTTGGTGTGCCGGTCGAAGACACAAACACATTCGAACAGCGATGGAGGAACATTCTGAGACCTGATGATATCACATGGCTGCGCATGAATAGGGTGAGTTAATACGCAGGATTGTGGACGCAGCTAACATTATGCAGATGTCAGGGAACATCCATTTTCCCGGAGTTGCCTATCTCTTGATGGCAATGGAAGCTGTCCTTCAGCGCGCTGGAGAATTCGACTCTGTTACTGGGGTCAGGTTAGGCAACGTGTCTATGTTGGCTCCGCTGCCTGTTCCAGACACGCCGGAAGGTGTCGAAATCATCTCCTCGATCTACCCAATGGACGCGTCAGCCAGGGGCGCAGACGACTGGTGCACCTTCAGAATTATCTCGCATGATGCTGCTGAAAGATCATGGATCGAGCATTGTGTTGGATCAGTCCGTATAGAGACCGCTTCGCAGAAAGCTTCTACCCATCTCTTGAACGATGGATTCTTGTCAACCTGCCTCGAAACTGTCGATGTCGACCAAATGTATCGGGGCTTTGCCTCTGCAGGTATGGATTTTGGAGAATTCTTGAGGAACATTCAAGGCATGAAGCTTTCCGCAGACCATAAAGCCTGCACAGCAACAATTGCGACCCCAGATATCCCGAAGACAGCTCATGATGGATATGCTATTCATCCCTGCACGTTCGAGAGCATCCTGCACGCCCTACTACATCTTTGCAAAGCCACGGGTAGTCCCATGGTAACAAACTACATCGAAGAGGTCTTTATTTCTTCTCCATCTCCCAAAAGCCACCCTGAGTTTCAGGTTTCAGCTCAAACGGAGAGGACCTCTTCCACAACCTGGAAGTCTGACGTGATGATCACTGCTGAGCATGGGGGACCGGAGATCGCTATCAAGGGTCTGGATTTAGTCCAACTTCCGCCGACAGAGACCGACTCGTCAGAGGCCGAATCGTTCTACGTGGTGAAATGGAAGCCGGATGTTCATCTTGCCACTTCAGCTAAGTCTCTACGGGACTCCGCTCCGGTTGAGGTAAACCAACGTCTTCCGAGCTTCGATGATCACGAGGGGTTCCAACTTGCTTCAGCCATTTTCCTCCTTGACACAATGGACTACATCGAACAGGAAGGACTTCCATCTCTCCCGGCCCATCACAAAGCTTTCATGAAGTGGATGCAGCAGGAATGTGAATTGATCAACGAATCATCATCCCCGTTGGTTGACAAAGCCTTGATGAACGGGATTCGCGAGAGTCCATCTCGACGCAAGCAGTTGTTCGACCAAGTGGCCAACCAAAGCGCGCGAGGCGAACTCCTAGTCCGGGTTGGCTTGCAAATGATACCCATTCTGGAGCAAAAGGTCGACTGCCTGGATATCATGTTTGGAGAGGATGACCTCATGGATCGAACGTACGAGGAAGGTCTTCCTGGTGACATCGCTTCTGCGGTCGCAGGCTACGTGCATTGCCTTGCTCATAGCCGTACGGACCTCAAGATCCTTGAGGTCGGTGCCGGTACCGGCAGCGCGACGAAGGTGATTCTGGACAGCCTAATGCCCACGGCTAGACTGGACGGAGGAGGTCTTGTGTCGTCTGTCTCGACGTATCACTTTACGGATATATCGGCGGCGTTTTTTGAGAATGCAACCAAGCGGTTTCCGGACTGGGCGGGCATTTTGCGTCCACAGGTATTGAACATTGAGAAAGATCCCGCTGACCAGGGCTTCGAGCTTGGATCTTATGATCTAGTGATTGCCACACATGTACGACTTCGGGTCCCCCTGTCTACCCAGTGTTGATTATTAACATGGCATAGGTTCTTCATGCAACGGCCGACCTTAATGTCTGTTTGAGCAATGTTAAAAGCCTGCTGAAAGAGTAAGTCTCGAATCCATTGCTTGATGTGCGAAATCTAAAGTTATCAGTGGCGGTGATCTCATTGTGATCGAAAATATCAAACCCGAACTGATGTGCTCGCCTCTCGGGTTTGGTTTGCTCCCAGGATGGTGGCGTAGCGTGGAGCCCTATCGGCAGTTGAATCCTTTGATTGACGAAGATCAATGGCAAGAGGAGTTGCACAATGCAGGTCTTCATCCCCGGCTACTGATCAAAGACACGGACGACCAGGTCAATGAAATGTCTGCCTTCGTGGCAGCGAAAGTACCATCAGCCCCTTCTACGAAACGTCTCTTCAGCATAATCTACTCGTCTACCTATCCGGGACAATATGATCTAGCTCGCAAGATCGCGGAACAGATGACTTCGAAAACATGCACTGCAGTTCCAGTAGACCTGGTCGATGTTTCGCCTGATCACACCAACTCAATTGGAATTGTTCTACTCGGCTACCGAGGTTTAGACCTCTCTGCGCTGTCGAGCTCTGAGTTCGACGAAATTCAATATATCCTAGGCGCTTTCACCAACCTGTTGTGGGTTACCTGCGACTTGGACGAGACACCAAAGTCTGCTATGTCCACAGGCCTTGTTCGCACAGCGCGCTGGGAGAGGGATCATGACGGCATTAATTTTCTCATGCTCGAAATCAAGCAACAAACGACTGAGTGGCAGGACATTCTCTTGAGTATCACTCGTGTGTGCGACCGTGCGTTCACCTCTGAGGCGCTTGTGCCTCGCAACGCAGAGTATCGCCTACAAGATGGCATTATCCTCACCAACCGCTTGTTCCCAGCCTCGGGAATCAACGAGTGTATCAATTCGGGGTCGAAATCACGGTCTAAGCTAGTCGATCTGGAACACGTCACACACCCCGTCAAGCTGACATCCATTGGCTCTCATCAACCGAACGGCTTTCACTTTGTTGAGAATGAAGACCATCAACAGCCTTTGCATCCGCATGAGGTTCTAATTGAAGTGCACGCTGTAGGTCTCGACGAGCATGACGCTGACCGATTCACCCGCTCGATCCCAGGGGAGACCCTTGGCTCGCAGGGAGCGGGCGTCGTTGTCAGCCTTGGGGACGCTGTACAAGATCTTCAAGTTGGCGATGCTGTCATGGCGCTGCGCACTTCGGATGGCACCTTTCAATCATTCTTCCGCGCCCATTCTGCTGCTGTTGTCAAAATGCCAACCAGCATAAGCTTCACTAAGGCCGCTGCACTTCCAGTCGCATTTTCGACAGCATATCACGGCCTAGTCAATGTCGCTAGAGTGCAGAGTGAAGACAAAGTGCTCATTCACCACGCGGCTGGAAGCATCGGACACGCTGCCGTGCAAGTCGCTCGATCCCTTGATGCTACTATTTACTGCACGGTGTCAAACGATTCTCAACGACAAATTTTACTTGAAACAGGCATTCCTCCAAACCACGTGCTCGACGCAAATTCTTGGACAACGGAGCTTTCTAACATCGCCAAAGGTGATGTGGATGTCATTCTCAATCTGAGTTCCCGGGGTATCGAAAGCAAAGATCTGGCTTGTCTCTCTTCTTTCGGACATCTAATTGACCTTCACGGGCAAGGTGTTCTCGGACCTGTGGCCGCTTCCACTACAAACAGGACCTACTCCAGCGTTGATATTCGGTCTCTGGCCCTTCAAAAGCCGAGAGCAGTTCAAGACACACTCCGCAATATATCACGACTCTTGGCCGAGCAGAATATTCGGCCTATCTCACCAACAGTTCTCGGATTTTCAGGGCTCCCAAATGCCTTGGCAGAAATCCGTCAAGGTTCCCTCGGCCCTTGGGCTTTTGAGCCACGGCCTATGGATACCATACCTGTATGTCTATCCTCTCTATTACCTTGTCGAGCGTTCTCTTTACTAACGTTTTTAGATTGCGATTAAACCACTAGGATATCACACATTTGACTCGAATGCATCATACGTCCTTGTCGGCGGTTTCGGAGGTATAGGCCGGAGCGTCACTCGATGGATGGTAACTCGTGGCGCGAGAAACTTCATTTTCGTCTCACGGTCAGGCGCCAGCAGTCCTGCTGCTCAGGAGCTATACATGGAACTACTGGCTTCAGGCTGCAGCGTATCGGACCTGGTGTGCGATGTGACCAACAAAGAAGCAGTGGCGCAGGCGATCAACAGCTGTCAGGCAGAAATGCCTCCGATTAAAGGATGTATGCAATGCTCCATGGTCCTCGAGGTACGTCTCCCAGTTCAGAACTATACCCCCAACGCAGCGCAACCAGCTAACCAGCACCCCAGGACTCCATGCTCAGCAACATGTCCCACACACAGTTCCTCTCCGCCATCACCCCCAAAGTCCAAGGAACAATCAACATCGCCTCTGCGCTCTCCAGCTCCCCCCTTGACTTCCTCATCCTCCTCTCCTCATCCGCCGGAATCATCGGCAACCGCGGTCAGGCCAACTACTCCGCCGCCAACGCCTTCCTGGACGCTTTCGCCGCCTCTCTCGTCCAAAAGGGATACCCCGCTACCTCCATCAGTCTCGGCAGCGTTCTCTCCGTCGGCTGGGTCGCCGAGAACCAAGACCGCCTGCCCATCGCACTCTCCTACGGCGCCATCTCCGAATCCCTCCTCCTCTCCATCCTCGAATACCATATGGATCCGCGGTGGTGCGCCGCCCAAAGCCCGGACACATGCCATACCGTTGCGGGCGTCCGCTCGGCGAAGGACTTCCATCGCATGTCCATCCCGTTGCCCGGGTTCATGGCGTATCCGCTGTTCTCGCCGCTGCGCGCAATCGCCAGTTCCTCTGGGGCCGGGAAAGAAGAGGCAGAGGTGCCAGTGATGCAGGCGCTTAGGGCTGTACGCTCGGTCCCTGCCGCGGTGGAGGTTGTTACGAAGGCTATTGTGATGAAGTTGGCTCGTGTCATGGCGATCTCGGCGAAGGAGATCGATCCGGCGAGGACGTTGGCGTCGTATGGTGTTGATTCGTTGGTCACGGTTGATTTGAAAGCGTGGTTTAAGAGAGATGTTGGGGTGAATGTTGCGTCGGGGGATCTGTTGGGTGATGTTTCGATGCAAGGGTTGGCGGAGAAGATGGCTGGGTCGAGTGAGTTTCTGTCGCTTGGGAAGTAGACGAGTTGTTTGTTACTATGAACCTATGTATCTCAATCGATTTTGTATGAAATGGAGTAAATAAATCCTTCTCATCTTGTGGAAGAGTCTAAGTCAGGGTAGCTCGATCCAACACAATCAAGACTCAAAAAGGAATGAATGTCTTCCATCAAAGCCAACTTTTCACAGCTTCGCTTGCTCCAGCATACTCAATCTCCTCAGCGGAGGTCCCCCTCGACTCCCATCCCCAGCCATATTGACCTCCTCCATGCCTGTCCCCTTAGGCATCGTCAACCTCCACTTCTCCCTCAACGCCGCCTCCGCCTTTCCTTCCACACAATCCGCCACATATTTCCCTAACACGGGCAGAAACTTGAACGCACTATATAAATTGATTAGCACTGACCACACGACAAACCAGTATCATCCTAGACCATGAACTCCGAAGGAAAACTTACTGTCCAGCCCCACCACTCGCCACAAACAGCCCCTCGAAGCGTGGATGCCAGTCGACAATGAAATCACCCTTCGGCGTATCCGTATACCAACACATTCTCCGATCCAACCACGGACGATCCCCCAGGGCAGGAAACAACTGCCTCAGTCCGTCCCTCAGCCCCTGATCAGCATCCTGCGGCAAGTACCCCGTCGCCGCATTACTTTCGTCTCTCTTGGGCCCAGACACGATCGACCCTGTGACCTGGGACTTCTGAGCCGTCGCGAACCCGAAGCCATGGCGGGCCAGTTTGAGGATATTAGATCCCGGGGTTGGCGGGAAGGCGAAGACGCCGTTCGTCAGGTTGACAATTACGGGAGACTTTTGCAATGCGGTAGCCTCTTCTGGAGTGAGTTGGATGAAGCCGACGGGCTGGCCGGACGCAGAGGCGGCGTGGGAGAGGTCAAGCAGACGAGGAGACCAGGCGCCCGTGCTGAGGATGACGTGGGATGCGGAGATGTGCGAGCCATTGGTAATGTTTACCCCGGTGACGCGGTCCCCGGACATGCGGAGGGACTGGACGGTACCGCGAGGTCCGGTGATGAAGGAGATGCCTGCGGCGCTGCACTGCGCTGCCAGATGTTGGATGGCGCCTTCGGCGTTGGCCCAGCCGCCGATGGGGTTGTGGTAGCCATGGGCAGAGGCAAAGTGGGCTTGGACAGCTGGGCGGATTGTCTTCAGTGCGTCGATATTGTTGAACACATCGACTTTCCCGCCGGCTTGCTGGATGATCTGTTTCGATTTCTCGATGTACGGATGTCCCGGGGCTTCCGAGAGGATGGCGTAGCCGGACGCATCGAAGAAATCTTTATACTCGGCGTTCCAACCCGTGTATGCCTCACGGGCCATCTTTGCGTATAGAGGGTCGGCATAGTCGATTCGGATGATGCGTGAGATGTCGACACTGCTGCCGTCTGGGACCGGTGGAGCGTAGCGGTCCAGAACGGTGATGTTGATGTACCCTCGACGAGCGAGCTCCAGGGCAGTTGAGAGCCCGAAGACTCCCGCTCCAACGATCAAGATCGAGTCGTTCTTGTTGAGTCCCATTGTTGCTTGCTTTGGGGCATGAGAGAGGGGAGAAGTCGGTATAAATCGGCGGTGGTGGTGACTCCGGATGCACGCCGGGCGGCTCCACTGGTTCCGGAAGCGGTCCGTGTCCGGGTCCATGGTGTTCAGCGATCACGCAATAGTGTTCTCTCTCGGCATAAAATGGAGGGCTTTAAGATATAAACCGTCCGGGGTATACTTGGAAAATAAAGGGAACTGATTATCCGGATTAAGACGGTTCACGGTTCAAGGTTCAACCAATTCTCAATCAACCGACCATAATCCTGCGGCTGCAAAAGGCCACCGCCAGAGCCAGAAATCCCTAATTCCGGGTTCCCAATAAGCCCGGAAAGATCGAGATCCGGGATTTGATTTTGGCTGTTATGAAAGTGTTGAACTTCCTCCGGCGGGTACGTTACTAGCTCTCTGGCCACTGTTCGGTGTCCAGAGATGCCAGCAGACCCGATGAGTGCGAACTCGGGATCCGGCGACGCATCATCGGATCGCAGTGAGTTTTGAGGGATACTGTCTCTCAAAGATGGTCCGAATATATCATTCGGGGGGTGTCTCGTTTGTTTGCTAGGAGACGAAACCAAAATCTCCCAGAGAAGGTGCACATTCACAGACCAGGCCTGCTGAGAGCCATGTGCACCACCAGAAATACTATTGCTCAGCTGGCGCAGCTTATTTGCCTAGTGGAATGAGCGCGGTTCATTTGATGCGATGAGACGAGCGTACCTGCTTTTCTAGATGTGGCCACCGTCTACCCATCTGATGAACGAATCCAATGCACTTCTCGTAACCAATCTGTGCCTTCTGTCTGAAACTTGCTTCCTCCACAAAGCTATGTTGAAGAAATATCGTGGCCACAATTGCCACACACTGACCTAGAGTTGGATCAGATACCTCAAACCCCTTCTTCTCGAGCAGCGTGACAAAGTGCAGCACCCAGCCCGTGTTTATAGTGATCTGTTCAAACGAGTTCCGCAGAAACGACTGCGGCATAGTATGACGGAAGTTTTTCAAACGCATCGACAAGAGGAGGGGATGGTTCACAAGGGCCAGGATTGAATGCGAAACGAACTGAAAGAAAAGCCATGGGCCCCAGTATTGTCTATGCTGGTCCAGCTCTGCCGCCGAGAGCTCAGGGAATTCGCTCGCGTGCAATCGGTATTTCAAGGGAATCCGGCTCTCGCATTCCATCAGCTCGGAGGTAATGACGGAATAATCGGACTGCGGCGACCATGGAGACGGTGAGTCGGCTCTGATGTGAGCGGAAGCATAGGCTCGTGAAAGTCCCCATACTTTACTGTACTGGACTGTGCAGGCGACTAGGCCGACATCTGTCCTGGTCGAGGTGTTGACGGGATTGCTGCTGATGGCGGAGTAGCCGTCGCTGGCTAGTGTTTCGAGAATATACACAGTCCAGCGACAGAGTACTCGTTCATCGCGTTCATCCTCCAGATTATCTGGGAAATTTGGTCCGTCTAATTTGAGGCACTCAATCAAGTACTTAGCTAGACGTAGGTTGACACCGGTTCGAATTATGTTCCCATCTAGGCGTGTCAGCTATGCCCAGGAGGCTCTGGAGATGTACCAACTAGTGTAGTCAATCAATGTCAACAGACACAGTGTCTGCAGGGTAGACAGCTCTACAGCGCCCTCCGCCAAGCGGCTCATCACCATGCGCCGGGAAGACTCCGTCCAGTCTCGAATTTCTCGGTCGATCTCGAGGTCGGCTACACCCCTACCATCAAATCTCTGGCCCAATGCCTGAATAGCGAGCTGCACCTCTGCATCCCGGCTATCATAGGATTCCAGAAAAGTCCTATGGGGAAATAATGGCAGCGGTTGAAAGTTGCAGTAGGTCAGGAACAAATGGGCGGGATTCTGCGGGGTTGCATCTGGAAAGTTTCTAGTAGTCCGTCAGCGCAAGGGGCTTAAGCTAACAAGGAAGCTTCACATTAACGGATCATTTATGATCTGAGCCTCCCCAGAAGCATCGGGATTTGGCCTATTGGTACCACTGGCAGGCGCAGCTGCAGGGGTGTGGTGGGAACAAGCCAACAAGACTTCCAGCTTGCTCTCGAGGCAACCGAGGCGTTGTTCCTAACAATCAGCATCCAGAATTACACCATCCATCGGAGATGCTCACCAAGCCCCTAACATATTCGGGCGCTTCCTCGGCCGCATACTCGCAGTGGTGTCCCAAGCGGGTGCAATTGGAGCACACGGGACGCTCTCCGGAGCATCGGGATTTTTTCCGACTAGACCATCATCAGAAAGCTCATCAGTAAAGAGCAGAATACATACCGACAGGTCTCGCATGCCCGCTTGATCCGTTTTATCGGCCTTCCGTCGTCGTCCATCTTGCTGTCGAAAGCGAAATGCTATCTTGACGGTCGGAGAAATCCGGATAAGATCAGGCCGAAGATAAGATAACACGGATGAGATCCGGATGAGTCATTCCTGACTCAGCCGATCGCGTCTCACCAGCTCAAATGCTTCGCTTGCTCCAACGTGCATCAGCCTATTAATTATCTACCCCTTTATTGCAATCTTTCCACTCGCAACTAAGTATCTCACTGTCAGATAACAGCTCCCGTGTACTGAAACCACCCTCGAATCGTCAAACCTCGAATACAAGCAGCCGTGGTAGGACAAACGACATTCTAACCCCTTAAATTAACAAAATAACTTCACCCCGCGCGCGAATCTTACTCCCCCTCCCAATGCCAATCTTCACCTACGCCCGCCCTTCTCGACAAAGTCATTTTTCGTCTGAATCCATCCCTGTACATCGCTTGCCTCGATCACTGCGCCGGCCCTTCCCATAACCGGAATATCTCTATAGACGGTGTGCATTCCATTCCGAGCCATCACGACTATATCGGAGCTTGCCGGTGGCATATACACCTAGTTCCAGCGAAAGAGGTCGCGAACGGCAAGCACGACTCCAAAATATCCACACATATTCTCTTCATTGCCGTGTAGGGCCGATAAACAGTTTGACAAAGGCCGATGGGACAGCATCCCAAACCACCGCGGTCTAGTCGGTCGGATATTTCTGACTTCGACATTGTGGACTGCGACTGCGACTTCCTTCGTCAAACCAACCAGACTAGATGATGTAGTATGGATAAAATACCGCTGTGAGGTGGACTGGCAACGAGGATGGTGTCACAGTCACTACCGCATATGCACTTCCGAGCGATAAAAACGCACACATCCCCAGGATCACTAAGAGGAACAGATCCATCCTCGACTTTGACATTTTTACAGCCCGTAGGATGAACCATTGGTTCGTTTTCTGGTAGTCTGAGTGGACGTTTTCTTCTTAGCTGTCTACATACCATTTTGGAGTATGGAGCTTCAGGGATCGAAAAGACGTTTCCTTGCATATTCCGCTTGCCTTGCTACCCCGTGTTCAAAATTATATTGGGAAACCTATCTCCCGGCGCTTTTTTGGAAGTCCGACTCATCTCTGCCTGGTGCGCCAAAGTGACTATGACATCATCTCTCGTAGAAGTATGCCTCCGAACAACATCAGACCCCAAAGTGTTGCTCAACTCTAGAAATACCCTTTCTTTAACCAACTTCAATACTCACAATAACTATTTGAACAGCCTGATCGCATAGGATTCGTAGTATAGGCTCGTGTGTCTACGGAGCACAAACCTCCATTGCGCGGGGTACGGAGCCCCTCCGATGCGGGGTTCGAGGATAGCATGATCCCTTGTATAAGAGTCTTGAATCCCTCGAGCTTGTGTACAAACTGCATACTTAGAGAAACTTCAGAATAACCGCGAAAATGGTCCTCTCACAGCCTGAAAACAAACACGTTCTGAAAGCCTTTGATCTAACAGGCAAAGTCGCTGCCGTCACAGGCAAGAATACTCGCTCTTACTGGCAAATGCAACAACTAACAAGTACCAGGAGGCGCCCGCGGAATCGGTCTCGAAGTCTCAAATGCTCTCGCTGAAGCAGGAGCAAATGTACTTTCACCCTTCTTATCTTTCCCCCACCGACATAACACTAATACAACCAGGTCGCACTAATCTACAACTCCTCCACCTCCGCAGCCTCGATAGCCAACGACATCGCAACCAAGAACAACGTCCGAGCAGCCGCATACCAAGCGAACGTCGCCGACCAGGAGTCCATCGAGCGTGTCATCCAGCAAATCGCGGCGGACTTCGGAAAGCTCGACATCATCGTGGTGAACTCAGGTATCACGTCCAACATCGCCGCGGAAGACTACACAGCAGAGCAATGGCACGAGATCATGAAGGTGAATCTCGACGGTGCGTTCTACTCTGCGCAAGCGGCGGCCCGGATCTTCAAGACCCAGGGATCCGGGAATGTCATTTTCACGGCGTCGGTTAGCGCGACGTTGGTGAATGTGCCGCAGAAACAGGCTGCGGTGAGTTTTGCCCTTGGTGTTTGCGTCGGTGTGGTTAGCTGACGTGGTTGTAGTATAATGCATCGAAAGCCGGTGTGGTTCGATTGGCGAAGTGTCTATCTGTTGAATGGGTGGATTTCTGCCGAGTCAATTGCATCTCGCCCGGTTATATCGCGACGGAGATCCTGGATATTCATAAGCAGGAGTGGAAAGATAAATGGTTTGATATGATTCCCGCGAAGCGCATGGCGGCTGCGTATGAGTTGAAAGGGGTAAGTCTTCTGATCAGTAACGAGAGTGTGGACTAATGATGGCAGGCATATGTATTCTGCGCCTCGGATGCGTCGAGCTACATGACTGGGGCGGATATCATCATTGATGGGGGATACACACTTCCTTGAGTTAGGGTTACTAGATTGCGCTTAGATGTAGACTTTGCCCTACTTCAGACATGATACAACATTTTGATTTCTTGCTCGACAATGATGCTTCTATAAATTTTCCTATGCATATTTACGAGATATCCTGGGCACCAACAATCGGCTAAAAGTAAAATATTTCCGCCGAAAGTGGCTGTGCGACTGTGCGACTATCGGGCCAATATCTGAGCACCGTGGCCATTGCATCAGATATACGGTGAAGCGGCGGTCTAAATCCAACCAACCCTCTACGCCTAACACTGAGTCTAAAAACCCGGCGCTACGTGTCAGGCACTCATCCACCGCATCGCAATTAAACGAGCCTATTACACCGCGCAGCTTGACCAGCGCCGATCCGAACTCCAAAGTAAAACGGGCCCAATGCGGGGCAGGAAATCGCCTAAAATCAATCATACAAAACGGGCCTCTCCGACATTTTATCAGGAACAAATCAGTAAAGCACTCCCAGGCCCTGTAGCTAGCGGATCACCCCATCAGCCCCAACAATGCGACTAGGTAGCCTCGCATGCTTATTCAGTCCAACGCTAAGGCATGCAGCACATCTGCATATAAGGTAAGATCGTGCACCGCGCCAGACCCGGTCCGTAGTGGAATCCATCTCACATCCATGCTCTGTGCTTGTTCTCGACTCCACCATGCCGAATCGTAACCTCAACCTCCTCAGCCTGGACGGCGGAGGCGTTCGCGGGCTCTCCACGCTTTTGATCCTGCGCAATCTAATGGAGGCGATCGATCGCGAGCATCCGCCCAAGCCGTGTGAGTATTTCCAGCTCATTGGTGGCACTGGGTCCGGTGGGTGAGTTGAGTTGCATCCCCCTTCGCTTTATTTAGTAGTTCCGCGCTTACGCATCACGCAGGTTGATTGCCATCATGCTCGGTCGTCTTGAAATGGACATCGAACAGTGCATTAGAGCCTACACGCGCCTTCTTCGTCGAGTGTTCTCCAGCAAGCGCACGTTCCCGGTCGGGGCGAATCTGCGCCTGCGACCGAAATACGATATCAAGCGCTTAGGGTCGGCGATCCGCGCCATCCTCCGAGAGCTGAAGTATGACGATAACATGCTCCTGCGCGATGAGGACAGTACCTGTCGAGTGTATGTATCCAAATCACCCACTCATGATAGCAATCCAACCATATTATAAACTTACTGAACAAATTCCAGATTCATCCCCGTCACCGACTCCACCAGCCACAAGCTAGTCCCTTTAACCAGCTACCCAAGCCCCTACTGCCCTACCGACCTCTACAAATCGACCCGAGTCTGGGAAGCCGCCCAAGCCAGTTTCGCGCACGGGTCACTATTCGAGCCCGTGCCCATCGGGCCCAGCGCACGCTTATTCCAGGACAGCACGGCAGAAGTCAACAACCCGATGCGCGAAGTGTGGATCGAAGCACGGGGCCAGTGGCGCTCGGGGTCGCTAGAAAGCCAGCTCCGGTGCATGGTCTCGATCGGAACAGGGGTTCCGTCCATCAAGCGAGTGGGGCGCAATATGTTCGGGCTGTCCCGGTCCAAGCACGAGGTGATTGATGCGGAGACTGAGACAAATCGGTTCCTGAAGGAACATACCGATCTGGATGATGATCATCGTTTGTTTCGGTTTGATGTGCCCAATGGGTTGGCGGATATTAAAGCCGATGGGATCGATGAGATCGAGACGGTTGTGGAGGCGACGGAGGATTATTTGGGCAAGGAGTTGATGTATAAGCAGGTGAGGAGGTGTGGGAGGGCGCTTGACGGCGTTTAGATTCTGCTATTTCTTATTGGCGGCATTGTTAGCTTTTCGATGTTTAGTACTTCGTTCTTTTGGGTGGGTTATTGTCAATATCCTTGACGGTTATGCAAGGAGTAAAAACACGGCTGTTGGTCACAGAAGACACAGATTGATTTTATTTCGTTAGAAGCAACCAAGGCCATGCATGACCTTAGATACCCTGTTCATCTTAGATGGACGCAACATGCCATCCGAAGTGCAAATTTTCCCATCGGGCTATTTTCATAGGTTGATTATTTGTTTGACAGGTCTGGATTTGCTATGTCTTGGTTGTAGAATTACTTAACTTGGCAATTCAAGGGTCAGAGGCCTGTCCGTACCCCATTTAATCAGCTTCAACAAATCCTAGAATATAAATACACATTTTATCAACAGAACAACCGAAACATGATATCGTACAATCATCCCACCTAACTCCGATTCCCTATTCACCCAAACCAAAAGCTACCCCTTCAACGGATCATGACCCCAATTCTTCAACGACTTGTAGCTTCTACTCTCCGTATCCTGCTTCGCCTTCTGCTCCTGCGCCAAGTGTCTCTTACAGTACGACACGACCTTGCGCATATGATCGATATCCCCATCTCGGTAACTATCCGGGTCTTTGGACGGATTATGCTCGAGAATGTTGACAATCTTACGGCCACTATTATCACGAATATTAGATCGAGAACCAGAAGCACGCAGATATGGGGGAGACATCAAACCTTTCATGTCCGACCGTCTCGCCCGAATCATTCGTCCAGCCTGATTCCTGCGACTGCTCTTGTTTCAGCCAGTCGCGGAGTTCGTTAGGAGCCATGTTCACGATGTCGTTGAACTCGCTGCGCTAGACGTTAGATATCAGGTTGGAGACGGGTGAACGGGGCCATACTCGATGACTGTTTCTTTGTCTTTGACCATTGTGATGTAATTTTGCAATACTCTGCTGGTGCTCTTGGTTTGCTCTATCCGATAGGAATTTCTAAAACAATGAATATAGAGTCAGATGTTCGTTGAGATCTATATAAAGTCCGGATGATGACGTCATGTCTATCTGCCGCCCAATTACGGGTGAATGACGAAGCCGCGTCAGATTAAGTTTATGGTTTAAATTTGATTAAGTTAATCGAACGTTCATCCTGGTTTGGCTAGTATTTCATACTGGACATCTGGTTCCTCCGGACTTGGACGAGGGCATTGGTCCACGGTTCATGTCGTCATGCTGGGGTCTTCTGGATGGGTCTAGAACCTGGTAAAACGGTAAATCTGGATGTTGTCGAAAAGATTTTTGTTATCCTTATTTCATTTAGTGCTTGTAGTCTGTCATTTTCATTGGATCAATATTATGCTACCATATATTCTTGCTCAGTTAGGGCCTTTTGGGCTGAATGGAAATATATATTGATAAGGAAGGTCTTGCTACAATTTGGGTTCAGAAACCAGTAAAATTCCTAATTCGGTTGAGAAATTCGTATTTTCTCGGTTTGGTTCTCGATAAACGAAAATGCAGTGTGTACTGATGAGAATCATTCTGTGATGTGGTATTGTAGATGTTACTTTTATTTGTTTGGTATCGAAAATTCCTGAAAGTCAAGGTGTTATGTGATCACTTCGAGAAACCAGAAATAAAACAGAATAAAAAATAGAAACAAAAACAGAAAGAGAGAAATGCAAGTTTAGCAGGCTTTATCAAACACAATAGAATCATAGCTCAATTCTTTTGTTATGTGGTTTAGCCTATGCATATGCATTTTGTCTCCTACAAGACAAAGGAACGATCTCCAATTATTAGGAAGCAGTTATATGAACTCCATTTTTATCAAGTAATGCACGTCATCTTTCCAAAACTATACTTCCCTCCCCCTGTCATCGAAGCAATCCATACATCTAACAGGAATCCAATGCCCAGTGACAGACCTCAAGTCCGCCTTACATCGGACCCCAACCAGGAAAAGCAACAAGCCACACCGATTGATCTCCACCGGGCCTCCCCGACAGCTCCCAGCTTTAACACCTCCGCGAGCAGATGCCTTGAATCCCGCCCCGGCTTGAAAAACAGACAGCAACCAAACGCCTGTTTACAATCTCAATAGCTCCTCTTGGCCGCCCGAAATAGACAGCCCAAGAATCGCTAGTCATGCCAACACCACGGCGGAGTTCGACCCCTTTGTTGTCGATTTCGATATGTTAATAAGAACTGCGGCCTCCTATTCCCTGCAGCAGCTCATTAAACCGTCCCCATTGCCAAGAGACTCCGAACACGCCGAGATCCGGACGCATGGCAATGATGGCATTGAGCGTGGCTTCCGGGTTGAACATGGACCAGGGTCGGGGAGGAGCCTTACGAGCACGACGAATGGGCGGTGCTATTATTAATACTTGCCGATCGACATGCTGAGCTCAGATTGATTGTGTTTGAGGGGGAATGGCCCCGGTGTCTGTTAGAAGAACCAACGGTCCGGGTGTGTTTCAGATATATGTCCTGGGGATGGCAGCGGTTATGGGGGGGTTGTTATTTAACCGCGCGGGATTTGGGTTTGGGTTGCTGGATAGGTATAGTTTACGAGCGATATGGGAGGCGATTTATCAGGAGGTATTTTGTAGGAGGTCTGTAGATTTCGTTAATTAATCTATACATTATGGCCAGAGGCATGATTTGTGATTTGTAACTTGTGCGGGAGGGTTCAGATTTCTCCAGCAACCTTCCTGAAAGAGTCGGGTTTTGATCAATTACTCAATCCCCGTGTCAGAAGGCGCTGGGCATGAGTCGTAGGCAGAAGGGCAAACGCAATGGTGATGGATTAATCTATCAACGACACGGCCCTCCCAAAACGGGAGTAATGCCAACCCCAATGCAGACGAATGAGAGCGCGAAGAAAAGCAGACGCTCATAGGCGCAGAGACGCGGTGGAGACGATCGCATTTGAGCAGATTAATTCAGGATGGCCGCATCCTAATCCTCTTGGTGTCTCGGATCCACCGCCGCTTGGCTTGTCTGAGGGTGACAGCCCAGACCTGCTGGCGCCTCCGATTCTTCTTCCTTCGCCCATTTCGCCAGACAATCCGAGTCGCTGTTTTTCTCGGCAAGGGATCCAGTGAAGAATGAACAGGGAGCTCGGAGTATTCTGGTCAGGAATGCAACCAGTCCCAGCACGTCAGACCTACTTTGCGCATTCTTGGCGTCGCAGATGAGCAGATTTTACTCTTGGCGAACCCACTATCGTGAAGTGGATCGCCGGGAATAGTTTCGCCGTTGCAATGGGGCCGCATATTAATATGGCGAGCGCCCCTCCGCCAGAGTCCGTCGCTGACAACCCACGCTCCCTTTCGCTTCACGCCGTTCTTTTCGTTCCCCGGAATCCTGGTTGATTCCCTACGGGTATTGACTACTCGTTCGCCATGGCCATGTTGTCTCCTCGTCATGACATGCCCTCGTCGGGCGGCGACATGGAACCGCATTGGGGCTATTTCGACCGTGAACTGCCCTGCATGGTCGATGCCGGTAAATGCGCCTACCTGGACGTCGTCTATCACAGCCATGACTTGTCCGTCCTGTACACCATCATCATGTGGGCCGTGATCCTCGGAATCCTCCTGCTGTGCTTCCTCGCCCACTACTGCAACCCCGTCACGCGCCAATTCAACAGCTGTGTTAGCAAGAAAGAGGACGTCGAAAACCCCGGACACGCGCAAAGCTCGCTCTATCGCATGCGACGAGCGCTCGGATCGCTCTACCATCGCTTTCTGATCGGCGAATTCCTTCCCTCCGTCTTCGGCAACACCACGCGGTTCAACGTCTTGATCCTGGTCGTCTTGACTGGCTACCTGACCGTCTTCAGCTTCGTCGGAAACGTGTATAAGACCTGGTATAGTCCGGTGGAGGGCAGCCCCGACACGATCCGCGTCGGCATGGGTCCATGGGCCGATCGTATTGGAGTGCTGGCCTACGCCTTGACGCCGCTGTCGATCCTCCTGTGCACTCGGGAATCCATTCTGTCGCTCGTCACTGGCATCCCGTACCATCACTTCAACTTCCTGCACCGCTGGCTCGGCTATATCATCTACATCCAGGCGACGCTGCACACAATCAGCTGGACCATCGTCGAGGGAAAGCTGTACCAGCCACAACCCTCCACGTGGAACGACTTCATCAAGCAGGAATACATCATCTGGGGAGTCGTGGCCATGATTCTCTTGACTTTCCTGGTCGTCTTCAGCACGCAATGGGCCATCCGGCTAACTGGATACGAGTTCTTCCGCAAATCCCACTACATCATTGCCATGATCTACATCGGCGCCTGCTGGGGCCACTGGGATAAGCTGGCATGCTGGATGATCGCCTCGCTGGTGGTCTGGCTGCTCGACCGCTCCATCCGACTCCTGCGCACTTTCATCCTGCACTTCGGCGCTTTTTCCAACCCCGACGTCTGCTACAAAGGACTCCTCATCCCTAAAGCCCACATCTCGCACTTCCCCAACATGGAAGACGGCGACGTCGTGCGTCTGGACTTCCAGCACGACCACGCCCCCTGGGACATTGGCCAGCACTTCTACCTCTGCTTCCCCGACCTCAGCATCTGGCAATCCCACCCCATGACGCCCAGCTCGGTGCCCGGCACGCGCACTCAATCCCACACCTACATCATCCGCGCCAAAGGCGGCATCACCCGCCAACTCGCCAACATCGCCAGCCACCCCGACCCGTCTAAGAACGCTAGCACGCCCATCATCGTCAACGGGCCCTACGGCCAATCCATCGTCGACAACGACCTCGCCTGCACCGACGACATCAACCTCTTCTTCGTCGCCGGCGGCACAGGCATCACCTTCATCCTGCCCCTCCTGCAAGCCATCGTCCTCAACCCGCTCTTCAAGACCCGCCGCAGCCAAATCGAAGTGATCTGGATCATCCGCCGCCGCGCCGACATGCACTGGGTGATGAACGAGCTGGACGCCCTCCGCAACGCAACCTACAGCTGCTCGCACCTACGCATCCGGATCTTCGTGTCGCGCGAAAACGAACGCGAGTCCATGCTCAACGCCACGCATAACCCCATCCTCCTCTCCTCTCTCTCGAGCCTCCCGCCCCCTCGAAACAGCGGCATCGAACCCGCCCCGCTCAGCCCCAAGGCCCAAGAAGCCGGCTTCACGCTCCAGGAGCCGTCCGTGCCCGCAACCAGCAAGTCCGCGTCTGCGTCCGCGTCCACGACAGAGCTGGAAAAGCACCCGTCCGAGCGCATGGCACCCCTCAACACGGACGGGTTCATTGTGCGCTCGATCGGCGCAGGCGCCGGAGCGTCCAAACACCCAGATCTCGCGGCTGAAGTGGGCGAGTTTGTGTCGCGGACGGTGCGCGGCCCCACGAGGGTGGTTGCCAGCGGGCCGGTGGGCATGATTCGGGATTTGAAGAGGGGGGTGGCGAACTGCTGTGATCCCGGGAAGGTGTTGAAGGGGGAGGAGAGGTTCGATGTGGAGTTTGTGTTTGATGATCGGTTGGAGTATTAGACTTTCTGTGTCTATCTTTCTCTCTACATTTGGTGGTTTTCGTTTGTATATATTTGTGGGAGGGTGCTGGGAGTGCAGGGTCTGGGGATACTGCGTGTATCTGTGCTGGACATGGGTGCAATGCAGTTGTTGTATACCTTACCTTACCTACTTGGGTGAAGGAGCGTTGTTGAGCGTTTTGTCGTTTTATATACCCGCGTCGTTGATGATGCATAAATTATACTCAGTTTTTATTGTATACGATCTATTGTGATGAAGTTTCGAAGGCCTATAATAAACCTATGTCGCAACCAGTAACATGTACATATTTAAAGGATATGCGTACGAGCGCTGGGAGCTTTTTTCCTTGAATCAGCGGGCATCACTGATAGAACCTGTTCTTGTCGAACTCCATATAGCCCAATTGATAGCAAGTGTTAATAAAAGGGTATCAATGGAAAACGGCCTACCTATCACAAAGCTCTGATAAATGTAATTCTCGCAATATCCTGCTCTTCTAGCAGAGATCTCCAAAACTCCGTGGATATTGTCCGGGAGCTTTTCCCAGCACAGTAAACACAATACAGTCGCCGGGACAATGCATTTCACGAAATATATATTTTATACGCGAGAAGTGCGTAATGAGATTTAAGGTTAAACTGCACCGGGCCTCTGCTAATTTTTCAAGATTATCAATGTCGCACCAGGCCTCGCTACTGAGTTCTTTGGCGTCGGTTATCGAACGGGTGAGCCTTTGTATTTCCTAATGGGTGGGTGTCCTATCGAAATCCGAGGTTCGCTTTACTGAGGTATAACTTTCAATCTGCTCGGACCTGCTGTCATGTTTAAACACATACATCCCGGTGTCTCCCAAAATACGTATATCTTAGTTAATTGGGACGGGCCTGCGTATTGTCTCGTATGTGACTTCAACGAGCCGGAGTTCCGGGGAGTTCGGCCCATCGTTGTAACACTACGTAACACTTCATCCAATTGGTCCCCAATTCACGAAAGCTATATATCTTAGATAGCAATGAACCGCATATCAAGTGCCCAAGTGCCCCTATTCCCAACTGCCCTATTCCTAGTGGTATGATTCGCCCTTCGGGTTAAGATTCTCGGGTCTTTAAAGATTCTGATATGGGCGAGGCCCCGCGTTCGAATCGCGGTTCGGGCCACTTCTTTTTGGCTTTTTTGTATCCGGAACACAGAACTAAATGACTAGAAAGATAAGCAATTCGACAGACAATCATTCTAATTGACAGGAAATCGAAAAAAAAGGAGAGAAAGAAAGAAAGAAAGAAAGAAAAAAAAAAAAAAACCCTCCCTCCCTTAAGATATCAAAAGCAACACCAAGTAAGGCCCTCTTCAACCAACCTCAACCTCCTTCCTAAACACAACCCCCCGAATCTTATATCAACACTCATTCATCCCCCGACTTCTATCCAGCAGCGTGAATCTCACGTTCACTAAAATCCAACACTCCGCCGAATACTACGCACCCGCACCCCTACTCCCGACACATAGCGCGATACTCATCCCGATGCCCTCCCACCAGGTGCCCAACTCCTCTATGATTCTTCCCTCGGAGGACAGCGCCTTTCAGACTTAAATGTTTCTAGAGTCGGCCACCTTAAGATACCGGTGGACATATATGTGTTCTTGAAGGTACCGGGAAGGAGACTTCCCCATGAGCGCCGCGGATGTACCGGTATAAAGAGGTCGAAAACTAGGCTCGCCATAGTGTTTAGCAGTGACTTAACACCTGTTAGCTATCGACTCCGAGAATCGAGTACGATAGGGCAGACAAAAGCTAATTAAACATACGTTCTTCCCCGTCTGCCGCACCACAAACTTCAGGCCTGCGCAAAGCTTATCCACCGCATGCACGGCGTTATAGGTCATACGGATATTGATCGCCGTGGTATCTGTCATATTTTCGGCACAGGCCGTGGCAATGTTGTCCATTTACCGCGTTAGTGTTAGTATATACATCGGTGTCAATATGAACACCCTGGATCCTAGTCCGTCATGTAACAGGAGCAGCAGCAAACAAGCTCAAAATTGAGAGAGACGGGGAAAATATCAAGTTAGAATAAGACAGTTAGCACACCGGATTAAAAAAATGGGCTATTCTCCAGATCCTCAGTCTAACTCTTCGTCCACTCAACTACCTAGTTAAGATCCCTCCGCAAATCGACCCCTGCGTAGACCTCGATCGGCGGATCTCAAGCCAGTCCGCTCGATCTAAGGGTTCGCGGCAAGGCAATAACGCGCAAAGATTGCCGAGTTAGGAGAGAAAGCACTTGGTAAAGACTAGCCGGCGATACCGCTTGCGTCGAACACAAGCGCGGCACTATTATTTGCCTGGTTCGTTGCGGCGGGGGTGGACATGTTGGGGACACAAATGTGATATGTCGATTTATCTAGCGGCGGGAAGGAAGGATGTGCATCGAGGGGTCAGGGGGAGTGACTGACTGACTTTTCTACCGATCGAATGCGGGAAACGTTACATTTGTCTCAGCCCGAGAATTGGACGGTGCTCCGGACTTCTATTTTAACCTGTGCAGTCCTGTCAATTCTCTCGCTTACAGATTACGAGCGACGATGAAGTTAAAGTCGGCGTGCTAGACTATATTTGGTATTCGCCGATGGTAATCAATGTGCAAGCAGAGGCGTAGTCCAGGTTTGAGTTTGAAGATCAGGATCAGCGTTGCGAGAGAGAATGAGGAGAATAAATTCATGAGCACAATAAGCAGGGACAGTCGCGTCCAGACCAGCACAATTCCCGGGATACCCACTGAAAAAGCAAATAAGGCTAAAATGCGCCCCCTACCGCCTGCACCGGGTCGCTCATTGGGGCGTATAATTTCCGCATTGTGAGATGTCAACCACTGCAACTGCAGCCCGCCTCACGCCCGACCGAACGAGCCCGTTAGCGCGTAGCGTGGCAAGGGGACTTTTTGCACTCTGCTCAAAGTTTGAGGATCGGCCCATTGGCGGATGCTCCACTTCCAGGGCATGAAACTGCGGCCGGGCGTCCGATTGGCGGCTAGTCAATCTGACAGGTCGCTTTGGCTGGGTGTAGGGTGCAGAGGTGGATAGATTGGCGTCAAACTAGAGGCTCATCCTTGTCCATGGCGTCGGGATAGACGATGGGCATTTGACGGCGGTGTTTGAACAAAGAACGATGCATAAAAATCAGGGTGCTGTCTTTGCTTGGGTGTGAGGAGTTGGAACCGGGGGTGTAGGAGGGGGATATAAGGGACTCGATCGACTCGCGTGCGAGATTGTTTGTTCTCGTCGGGGTTTTTCTTTGCCTGTAAGGCACTTGCACTTTTGTCGCTCGTTTTGCTCCATTTCTGCAAAATGGATCTCCCTTCGTTTTTGCTGCCGCGCGGTATTGAGCATGGCACCCGCCAGGCGTCAGTGTTTGGGATCGGGATTAGTTTTGCGGTTTTCATTATGGTGGTGATTCTTTTGCGATTATATGTGCGGATCTCTCTAATCAATGCGATCGGTGTAGATGACGGTAAGTTTCTTGCTAGTTTTGAGATCGCAGCAGACTGACATTTGTTAGTTCTTATGGTGATTGGCGCTGTAAGTACAGGTCCAGCTGCAGTACAACTTAGTGCTAATCGAATAGGTCTTCACTTTTGGTCTTTCTGTTGCGTCCATGATCGGTAGGTCTTTAATCCTCTCCAAGACCTTCACACTTCATCTAACGCTCTGCAGCTGCATATCATGGCACCGGCAAACATGGTAATCCCATTCTGGTCCTCCTCAAACCAGCCAAATCTAACTGATTTAGTCGAGGAAATTCCCATGACCTCCCTCCCTCCCATGCTAAAAGCCATATACTCGACCCGCCTGATTTATATTATCGCCATGTTGTTCGTCAAGATGTCGTTGCTCTGGTTCTATCTACGCCTGGACCGCCGCCGCCGAATGAAATGGACCGTATACTTCCTCATGTTCTTCGTAATTGGCATATCGGTATCCAGCTTCTTCGTGCTCGCTTTTTCGTGCTACCCACCTGCTATGTTCTGGGATGTTGAGGGCACAGTTGAGGGAGAGTGCATGTCGCCGGGATCGCAGCAGGCGTTTTACGATGCGAACGGAATCCTGAATATTGTGACGGATATCTTTATTTATTTGACCCCCATTCCGATGCTTTGGGGGGTTAAAATTTCGGGGGTATGCCATGAATTCTCCAATCCAATTGGACGAGATTGATCAGCCTGGGTTAGACAAGATGCTAATGTCGCTGGATATCTTTAGAGAAAGAAAGGGGCCTTGTTCGCCATCTTCGGGCTGGGTATCTTAGCCGTTGCCGGTTCGTTCAAAGACTCCCACTTTCTCTATGATGATTCTAGCCGTTAATGCCTAACACAATATAGCTGGTTGCGTTCGATACGACTACGTGCGCCTCCTCTCCAATACAGCAGACCAATATTACTTTCTCGCGGACTCCTTAAACTGGTGCAGTATCGAGATCTACGTCGGTACGATATCACCCAATCCCTCTTGCATACATATACTAAGCATTGCAGCCATATTCTGCGGTTCCGCACCCGCCCTCTCCGTCCTCATCAAAACCTACGCGCCCCGCGTCTTCGGCAGCTCATACGGCCGCCACGACTACGAAAGCGACAACACACCGGGTAACTCATCTGGCCAAACACCTGCGCAGAGGCTCTCCGGCAGAGGAAAAGACATCTGGCACAAGGCGAAGATCAGCGGACGACGCGGCCTGCAAGATACGACGCTGACTGGCAGCGAAGAGGCGATTGTTCCCGGGGACGGGATTGTGTTGAAGACGGAGTTGAGAATGGATGTGATGCAGCGGGAACGGGAAAATGCTGAAGCAGCGGTGGCGGATGAAGCGACGTATAAGGGGAGTGGGGTTAGGCAGAGTGTTTGATCGTGATTTCGGTGTTTGTATTGGAGAGGGATTTTGTATATTGGGTTAGGGCGTCTTTTGACTCGGGAGGTATCTATCATGAGCTGTAATCTAATTGACTGTCTCGGGATCTGCTGCTTGACCTGGAGTATGATCGATCCATTAAAGTTAAAAATATCAATTTAATGAACTGCAAAATTTGAATATTCATAAGTCATGGGACTCTGACCGCTGTGACTCATGCAATCTCATTATTAGTTCCATGGGGCCGCATAGCCGATTCTCTCGGGTGATATCTGGCACGGGCGCTCCATTTGTGACTCATTCTGCAGAGAAGAAGCACAAGACAAGAACCCAAGAATGCAGAAAGACAATCAAGGAAAAGAAGTCCAAGTTAGAACACTAATGGTAGGCCGATGTCATAGTGTTGGTGATACCGTCATTAAATGCCTGGGGCTCCGAATCCACCCGGCGGGAAGATCGGGATATCCCGGCGGCACTCCACCAGACAGATTTTGGCCTTGAATTTTGCTTGCATTTGGAAGGTAAAGTCATGTGGACTATAAAAAACTATATCGGCGTATTTTGTGTTTCGAATACTTATATTTAAGCCTTTTCTCCGATATTGCCAGCAATTTCGACTTGATCTCCTTATAAAATCATCATTGAAGTTTGAAGAGTATCGATTTCTCATCTTTACTTATTGTTTCTTCCTTCGAAATAAAATGAACTTCATTAAAACTCGACCCCGACTCATCGGAGCGCTCTCTCTAACAGCACTCGGCGGTGTGGTCGCATATCTCAGCCACCGTCGACTGGCCCGATCATGCCCTAGGGTCCCTATTACAGAACTCCCAAAGTCAAGCGCATGTCGCAAACTTGTCGAAGAAGCCGGTGAACCCACCTCCCAACCTCCATGGGGAATGAAAAGCTCAACTCTACTATCCTCGTGGGTAGGTAGCACGAAGACATACTGGATTTCATCTTTTACGGCTCTTCAAGTGGAAGTCCCAGTGTCCCTCCTTGTAGGGTACGGCGCGTCACACGACTCGACAAGCCCCAACAAAGGAGACGATACATACCACCTCATGAAGAACTTCGTGGCTGTGTTCCTCGATGCGCGAGCTACTGGACCCGAGTCCTTGGTCTTAGATAAAGACGTGCCGTCGTCGTCACTCATCCCTGGCAGTTTGTTATTTGGAAGACAGTCCGGTCTCGGGGCATTCTTGCTAGGAACGTGGAGCTCTCAAGGGTTGAAGTCTGTCGAACCATTGGAGTTACCTTCGAATGCCCCTTTGCCATGCACCGAGTTCCCTTCAAATCGAGACATCGTTGAGAATAGTGCTGCGGACACTGCTGGAGCAGTGTTATATTGGAAATTTCCGAACAGTCTGGTTGGCGCGATCGATGATGCAGCATCATATGGCATGCCTTGGCGGCTGATGGAGGGTGGCTTCCAGGAGTTTATTGTTGAGCGGATGTCTGAAGACACGGCCAGAGTGACGTACGTGACAGTTGAATGTACGGATCTTCATCCTGGCACGCAGTCCTCGAGGAATTTTAAGATGCTGCCAAAGCTATTTTATGAGGCGCATGTGCTTTATGCGCAGAGCCTTTTGAATAAGAGCCTAAGACGGTTGGAAATTCGCTCCCGTGTAGAGAAGTGAAAGACGTTGGCTCAGATGTGTTGTAAAGTATGTATCCTTAGTCTCTTCTCACTAATTCCGTTCTTATACCTAGTTGGTTTTGGCAGTAGACCGCTTCATTAGGGATCTTTACCGGGGAGTCAACTCAGTTGATCGATCATAATAAATGCACTCAACTTTGGCAAATAGTCAAATGAATGATATTCATACATGTCCAGTGCCGCCTCTGTAGCCTCAACGATGGGATACGGAGTTCAACCACCAGCCCAACTCTACCCCCAATCTTCCTTCCTGATCATACATCAACAGATGACCCCCCTCCTCAATAACCACAACATCTTGACCCTCCAGTTTATCCTTCAATCTCTGTGCAGTTTCCACAGGAATCCACTTATCCTCCTTCCCCCAAATAACCCTCACCGGCATCTTCCTCCCAACCTCATGATACCTCCCCTCCACCTCCTCCGTGCTCCGACTATTCGCCTGCACCATCTGCCTCACAAACCCCCTTCTCCCCTCCTCACTCACAAGCCACGGCCACTTCAGCATCTCCATCGTCTCCCTACTCAGCTCCTTATACGCCGCATCACGAATATAAGACTCCACAACACCCTCAAACACCGGACCCGTCAACGCCTCAAACACGCCCGCATTCTCCGCAACCAGCTTAAACAACGGCTGCCCGAACGGCCCCAGCGCGACAACATCAATAAGGCACAAACTCGCATACTCACACCCATGTAGTAAATTTGCCCTTAAGGCCATCAACCCCCCGTGGTCGTGCGCAACCACATGCGGCTTTCTCTGAGCCTGCGGCCACCCCTCCTCCCAGGATTTGTACAGCGCGGCAAAAGCCTCGGACTGCTGTGCTAGATCCGCATCTAGGGCGATTTCTTTTGTGAGGGTTTCTGCTTTGTCAGGAAGGGGCTGGCCAAGAGGGCTTTCTCCGAAACCGGGATTGTCGAAGAGATAAACGTGGAAGTATTTGGCGAACGATAGGGCGTAGGTGTGCCAGACGCGAGAGGACCAGGGGGTCCCGTGGATGAAGATTAGTGGAGGTGCGTTGGCGTTGCCGAGAGATGTCCAGCGGATATTGTAGGAATGGGTAGTGGTTGAGAAACTAAAGGTTTCGGTGAGGGGAATCACGCTTGGGATTGGCGTCGTCATGGTTACTTGGTGCTGCTTTGGTTTTATCATATGAAGACTTTCGGGAAGGTCAGACAGTGAGAATATTTACAGGTAGTAAGGCTCAGAGGGCTATATTAACCGAATGGATTCCATTTCTTATTAATTCCTTTCTCTGATCGCTTATGTTGACGATATGACTTCATCAGGATCAGCTACCCCGCACTTTAGTCGCATTGGCCTTCGCTTACGGACCGAATATGCGAATAATATTGAGTTGTATGTTTAGGCTCTCTCTACATAAATTCCAACGACTGCTTGTGAAGAAGCAGCTGACAGTCTTGCATCAAGTATCATGGAACGCAGAGACTAGCCTCTTGACTTCAAGTCACTTTTTGTGATTTTAGTATTTACTCTGGTTGTGGCTTGGATTCATTACATACTAATTTTAAATCTTATACCACTGGAGTTTGGAAAACTCCGACTAGGTGGATACTGTATTAAGAAAATTGGGTTTGCCTTTTGTTAAAAAAAAAATCTTTTCTCATGGTATGTCAATTCAGTAAGGTCAGCTGTTCGCTACCCTCTTGATATTTTCATTCTATCTTCAGTGTGAAAGTATCAGTAGAGAATATGACAAGCAAGATCATTCAAAATTTTTGAAAGCCTTACCGAATAACTTTATCAGAGCAAAACCTTACAAAAGCAGCAAGAATCTTTCGCAAAGGGGTTTATTCAAGCTCACTGCTTCCACTCCTGAATAATCAGAGCCTCAAAAAACTCCTGCCACTTGTTGACCTCCATGTAGCGGCGATACGGCTCCTGAAAGTGAAAGCGAGATGCGAGATGCTCCAACATTCTCTGATACAGCACCTTAGTGGTATGCGTATCTTCGTGGTCCGGGAGATCGTTCAGCTGATAGGTCAGTTTAATTCGAGTCTTGTCGTTCTGGGGCAAGCAGCCTGGGTCTTTGAACTGAGACCACTTCAAGCGATAAGCGACCTTGTCGCTAATAGCCTCGCACACATTTCCGTAGCTTTGGTCCATCACAGCAGATGGAATGTCGACGTAGAGGAGGACATCGTGCGGCGATTTGGGGTCCACGAATTGTACACCGTCTTTTTGCAGTCTGTCACGACGGGCGAAGAACTTTTCTGCGTTTTCGTTGAATACCAGAGGAGCTGGCATGACTTTGTTTTGTTTGGGTGGATACTAATGGACTGATCTGTGGAGAGATGTTTGGTGACTTAATGGGATTGGTTGAACCTTAAGGTTATAGTAGATGGAGCGTGGTCCATGCATATACTTATACTGGAGTTTCTGTCCTGAAATTAGGAGTCTTCCTGAAAATTAATTTGTGCGCTGGGAGATTCCTCATTGTACTGTAGACAAGAGGCAAGATCCGTCATACTGTATGTCTAAGATGCCCTGTATGGGTTGAATCTCAATTAACTAATAATATCTTGTTATTCACAGCTCCATGGGCGGTTTGTTAGATCCTCAATTTTATGTAGTCATTTATTAAATCTCACGAAGTCTTTTGGCCACTTAATTGTATTTGGCTGTATCTTCGTGCTCCTCTCTCAGTTAAACCTTCTATGGAGAGAACCTCAAACAAAGGCTATTTGTATAACATTGCACTAAGCAGCCCTAGTCCAATCAAAATTTCGCTTTGTTAATCTATCCACAAACTTTAATGTTTCTTCTTTCAAATCACCTCACTAACCGCCGAGGTTAGTCCCTTTATGCAGCCAGTATTTCGAAGGCTGTAGTACGCTTCATGAGCCATCTACGCCCGCTCTAGCCCTCTCAGCCTTGCTTACTTCTAGCGTCCGACTCTTTCCGTAGCCCGATGATGAAAGCTTCTATGCCTCTCTCTACTTGTGCACGAGCACTAAGACAAGTCTTTTGAGGCTTAGCTGAGCTAAGCCACTAGTCAACCTGGTCTGACTGCGGGGTTTAAAAGGATGATTGTTTAGACGTTCTTGAGTCTTTCACTCACTTCAATTCCCAACCACCGGTTGCACTTCCCACAACTATCAAATCGCAGACCTTTCAGTGTCATAGTTGTTCATAAATCCAACAAAAATGACCGAACCGCTCCCCGTCATCCTCTGCGGCAAAACCGAACAAATCGGCGCCGTCGTCATCGAGTCTCTAAAGCCTGAACTCGAAGGTACGTACATGGGTTTTATCTATCATGTCCCATACCGAACATAGTCATGTTAATCAAATAAATCAGTCGTCCACTTCATCCTCACCCCCGAAGCCGGAGTCGAGCAGATTCCCGCCCTTTTGCGCGGAGAGAAGCAGGTCACGTCCACTAGCTCATTAGGCTCTCATAATTACGAAAGAGGCATCAATGCCATCATCCTTGGTGCGGGCTATGATGATCAAGCTGCTCAAGTCTTGCGCGATGCTGCAAGGGGGCTGAAGCCCGTGCCTTGGTTGAGGCCCGATACGTCCAAGCCGGCGCCGCCGCTGGGCCCGGAGTATGGAAAGGCGTTGGTGGCGCGGATTAAGGAGACGTTTGTTCAGTTGCGGAAGAGAGGAGGTTTGGATGGGGATGCGGTGGTTTATTATTAGGTGTTTGTTTCTATATGTGGAATGTTGGTTTGTTCATGTGGCTTCACTTTAGGACTTGTCTAATGTAAAGTAAGCGGCTTTCTTTCCTGATACCAGTGACCAGAAACTCACTATCAACATAGAAGAACCTGGGTGATGTACAGCATAGATTAGAGAGAACTTGGCTAACCCGCATCATTCATTAATTAGATTAATAACACAGAGGCTATATATACAAGAATCTAAACCCAAGACCAGTTTTAATTTGTAGGCCAGCTGCCCTTCCACCGTACATGCTCATCCTCATCATCAACGATCACCACCATCCACACACCCACTTGTCCGTTGTTGGCCAGCAGCGGAGTACAATGGACCCAGCGGAAGCGACCCTGTTCCTTCATTCGCGGCGACACCCACAGAACCCGAGCCGTGACACTGCGTCCAACCATCATAGCCTGGTGCAGCTCATCTCGTTCTATCGACTCGGCGATCCGCGCAAAGAAAGAGGATTGTAGTATACCGGGGATTCGGAGGGATGGCGACGTAAAGAGGACTCGAAGGGATGGGTAAGGTCGGACCAGCAGGTACTGCATCGATCAGTCAGTCAGCATGGTTTCGTAGAAAGCACAGCCCCTAATGGGATTATCGGGAACATACGTGTCTATAAACGCCAACCAACGAATTACTGGCTGGAGTTGGTGCTGTCGGCGCGGGGCCTCCAATGCGCACTTCGCCACCTTCCACTTCTCGAGGAGATTCCGGCATCAGCCAGGTGCGACCACCGGCATCGAGGACCGGTTGGAATAAGCTTCCTCCGTGCTCGTTGACATTGCGCAGCTCTTTCGGGCTGAAGAGTTCTCCGAGCTCTTGGAACTCGCTCTTTGTTTCTTGTCGATGTTCCGAGCTTTCTTCTCGCTCGGAAGACTCTATTTGCGCTTTCAGATTATGCAGAGAATCCATTTGCGCGCCGTCCATCGCTAGTCCCGAAACGTCGATCTGTGCCCCGATAAAGTACCGGATCTTGCCTTGGCTGTCGCAGAGAGGGGCGCATTGGAGGAGGTTCATGAATGGGGAGCCGTCGCGGCGACTGTTATCTGTGAGCGGTTGACTGACGATGCAGATTCAGAGAGACATACTAGTTGAGGAAGAGCTCGGAATGATGTCGACCGTCTTTTATCGCTTCACGAATCCGTCGCACACTGTTGGGATTCGTCTGGGGGCCTTGCAAGAAGCGGCAGTTTCGTCCAAGGACGTAGTCCATACCATATTGCGTCGTGCGGTGGAATTCTGATACAATTAGCATTCAACAGATCTAACCCGGTCCAAGCACAGGTAATACTCACCCTCCGAAGCGAAAATAATCGGATTATCCGGTCGCGAAGGATCCGTCAAACAGAACACCTCGGCTAATGCGTCTGCCGTTCCTCTGAACCGATCCGGCAGGGTGCCTCGTATGCGCTCTTCCACAACTTTGCTGGTGATGGTAATACATGTTGCCGTGATGAACGCAGGTAGTTCTTCCGCTGTCAGCGCAATCAGCGCGTCCTGCACACGTTTTTCGAGCGCAGGGCTGTCAACCAGGCCGACGGGATTCGACTGCTTCACACCAGCCGTGGGCACATCGACCGATAATCGCACTAAAGCGTTCGCATACTGAATAGCCTTGAGGGCCTTACAGGCATTAAGATAATACGTTAATGTAGGGATTGATCGCGGGCGCTCTTCAGACAAAAAGTCGCGAAAGCGCGCCAGATATCGCGGATTCGAGAGAATGGTAACCATGTGTCGCGCGGAGAACATTAATTCGGCCTGACGCTCGAGACTGTGCAGAGGAACTCCGTCGCCCTCGTACGGAGCGACAAGGTCGAAAGAACCTTCCTCGTTGACTGGGTTGAATTCTTCGGCCCCATCGTAAGGGTTGGTTTCTTGGAGGACGGGGAGTTCGTTTATCGTGTATTGGCGATTGAGCGACTTGACGGATGATTGCGATCTGAGCTCGCTAGCACTCGAAGCTGGTCGGCTGTATATATGTTAGCTTTTGCGGTCGCATTGAGAGCGTCACGTTTCTGTGCATACCGCTGGTCCTCTAGTGAGAACTGCTGGCTGGACGTTTCAGACGTCGACACTGACGGCTCCTCGTTCGAAACCTGGATAGTGGGAACTTCCGATAGCAATGAAGCAGAGTGATGGGCGCGCTGAGGCCGCGGCCGATTATCTGGGATAGGAGGGATATCCATGGCGGTAATCTCAAGGTGATGAAGATTCTCTGGATTGAGCGTCGCACAAGACACGAAGAGAAAAAGTTCTGGCAACCAGTATTTGGCTGTCAATCAGGCTCAGGGCCTGCGGGCAGATAGAGATGACGCATGGCGCAGATCTTTAAGCTTGGGCACGAACACAACGGTGTGTGCTCGTGCAAATCCACGGTTCTCCCCAAAGATTGACAAATGAAGTAAGGTCAAAGCGTTGACGCTGGCAGAATTGGAGAGATCTGCATGGACGAATTTTCCAGCTGAGTGATCGATCGAGCGATCGGTAGGTTTGGAGATGCGATCAGATGGAACAGAACAGGAGTGATGTAATGGAACCAGGAACAAACTGCCCGTCATTAGGGCTATTGAACTCAATCTCCACCGGTGGAGCCCAACATCTGCCGGACCTGCATTAGCCGACTTGCCGGCACTCGTGGTTGGTCGAGCTGTACGTCATGGTCTCAAAAGCCTGCTAACTTTGGAATGATCGTCGCCCTATCTTTCAATAGGAACCATTCCTTTGGACTGAGGAAGAGACCAATTTGGAATGAACATAGGCCAATCGAGAGGCGTTCTGGCGTGGTGGATGCTACTGGTCTTTCCTCGGTCGTTATTCGGGCCTTCTAAAGTTCAGAGCCTGTCAATGAGCCAGAATCCTAGGAGCTACTCCGTAGGTCAAATTGGCATGTTCACTCGGTAGATATTCTATTCCACGACATCTTGAGGGCCAACATCAGCTTCTGGGTCTAGTAGACTCGATTTCAGCTAAGAGTTGTCTGAGTTAAGCTCATGCTTCAGCTCAGGACTATCGCAAAACTGATCAATCATGTCAGGTTTTCATGTCTCAGTCCAATATTCCTATCTTCTCATTCTCCCCTTTGGTCAGTTCGGCTATTAAAGTGACTGCTGATTGCCGGAACCATCATCCTGGTCACTAATCTTCCGCCTATGCTCTGCGAAGACCTGTTTTTACAAATTCTCTTGAAGCACTATTTCATATAGTCCTTCCTGATTGATCCTGCATGCATATTATTAGAAACAATAGTTTATAGCAATACAACTAACTCGTGTCTGTTCACATGTCAGGCAACATTCGGAGACATGCGCATGTGGGGAAGATAGTCCGTGCATTTTGGCTCTTTTTAGGTTCAATCGACTCCTTTTCGTGTCCCTCGGTAGTCGGTACCATTCAGACTACACTGACATGAAGTTTAATTTGATTACTAAATCTGGCGTCTGTGGTCTAGAATCAAGGACACTCACCCAGCAACTTGCATTTATGTAGAGATACTCTGGCACGATAAACTGTGCCGTAAGAACTGTTCAGGGCTCTGCTCTAGAATGCAAATGTCGGTCGGTGCAGAACGGTGTACAATATCAAGCATTATAAATTCCTATCCTATGCAAGTCAATCTGTATCACTCAGGCACGGGTTAATACAGCCGCTTTTGTTACCATAGTGGAGAACTTTTGCTCCTGTCAGTCAATCCCGGTCCTGCCTTTCGGCCGACGAGTCAAAGGCCTTACACCTGCTGCCTTCGTCGTTTTTAATCCGTTAACCGCAGCTCACATATCGCGGATACTTACTCCGTACCCTCTCAGGATTGTAATCTTTCCTGGAAGTACTTATCAAAAGTCGTGACGTGCACATCAGGAAACAATGTATTATGGACTTTTCCAGGCGTCCTCCAGAATCGCCCTGAGCCCTGCATCCCCTTCACAATGATCCAGAAGTCATCTGGGAAGGCACTTTTACCTTTGGCTTCCTCCGGGACGTCATTCTTATCTTTCAAAACCCGATCCATCACCTCCATCGGGTAAATACGCATCTCCACCTTTTTCTGCGAGTATTTTTTCCAAGAGCTGAGCGATCTCATTGTAGCTTATGTGGTCACTGGTGAAGTTCAATTCCTTATTTTCGGAAAGCTCTGGATGCTCGATAGTCTTCAGGATGAATGCAGCAAGATCGCCGATATTTGTAAAATCGATCTTGGCGTCCGGATCACCCAGGATGTGGAATTCGTAATTTGAAACGTCCGTCTGAGTCCATGAACACCAGACTGGCTCTCTATCCTGGTTGTAAATGTCTCCACAACCAATCAGGGTCCATTTCATTTTACCAGATGCCACTGCCGGGTGTTGGAGGACTTTCTCGTTGGCAATTGTTTTGATATTCCAGACCTATACTGATGTCAGCACTAGTTATTTGAGAGTAGTGAGAAGACATACCGGATGAACATACCCATATCCGTCGAGCGAATGATAAATATGGTGTATTCCATATTCACTAGGATAGATTTTGCGGACACCCGCTCTGGCTCCGGCATCTTGCACCTTCTCCTGAGCCTCGAGGGCCTTTCCGTTCAAAGCGGATACGATCACCTCTACCCCGGAGAGAACAGGCTGTAGTTCGTCCACACTGCATTCGCACACATCGACAGTCACAGTGGTGACCCTATCTCCTGCCTCGAGCTCTTTCACCACTGCTTTGGCCTTCTCTACTGAATGCGGATGGACCAGCTGAACTATTTCATGTGACTTCGCAGAAGCCAGGGCACGCAAGATCGCTTGGCCAATTTGGCCGGTTGCTCCCAAGAGCGCGACTTTGGTCATCTTGATTCTCAATCCTGGTTTCGTTATTGCGCAATAGTGAGCCGTAGGTTCGATAGCTATGTTGTTAAAGGATGGATGCGGAGGTCAGGTCAGGGCCAGGCACGTTAGCAGTGCGTCATGTTGATATCAGTCTAGAATATCACATGCGGAGCTTTCCTAGAATTGGTTTCATTATGTTCTTGGCCAATAGCAATAGTATTTTGGCTGCCACGGAGGACCAAGCCACGGTTCCATATCTTTTGACAGGAGTATTTCTAAAAGGCATAACTTTCCTTAGCATTATCATTCAGTAGCAGATTATAATAAGTAATCTTTTCTTAATCAGCTTCGAATCAATCCATATCTGTCCCATAGCACCTACACACTCAACATCCTCAAGAACCGATTTCCCAGCTCCTCCGCCGCCAACGGATTCCCACCCGTCAACAGCTCCCTATGAAGCGTCACGCCACCAGTAACCTCCTTCGCTCCTTCAACCATATTAGCACCTTCATTGCGCAACGCCGATTCCACCTTCTCAACCTCCCCACCCCACAGCGTCTCCATCATCTTCTCCTCCGCATCACTCCACGCCGTAATATCATACCCCTTGTACACAAAAGTCCCATCCCCTACCTTCTTCGTACTCAGCAACGCATACGGCCCATGGCAAATCGCCGCCGTAGGCTTATTCTCCTTATTAAAGAATCTCAATATCCGTCCCAGCTCAGCATCCCCGCCTAGATCGCTCAGCGGCGCATGCCCACCGGGAATAAACACGCCCGCAAAAGTAGCCAGCTCGTCGTCGCTGATTGTGCTGAACGGCCGGGGCCGGGTGAATCCGTTCTCTCTCTTCATGCGCTCTATCAGCTCGGTCTCACGTCGTCGCTCGTAGAAGTTCCCTGCGAATGCGAGCAGCGACTCGCTGTTTGGGTCGGGGGCTGGTTCTTGGCCCTTCGGCGAAGCGAAGGTGACTTCGTGTCCGGCGTCGAGGAATTTCTGGAGCGGTTTGGCCAGCTCCATTAGGAAGAAGCCGGATGGTTGGTCGACTGTCTGACCGGCTTCGGGGCCGCTGGTCTTTTTGATGGGAAAGGAGTGTGCGTCGCTGAGGACGATGAGGACTTTTTTGGGAGGCATTGTGTGATTGTTTTGTTGTGAAAATCGGCGAAGGTATGATTTTCGAGGTTCAAGGACTATTTGATATATCTTTTGGGAACTTTAAAGTTCAGGTGGTTCAAAGTCATCAGGTCCTTTTATCTACCACTTGCTATGGTGATGTTGGTCAACTCGTGATGTGAGTGAGGCCATCATAACATCAGAATGACGTAGCGAATCTGCGGGCAATAAAGACGTTCTCGAAACAAGCCACACGATTTGAACGTCATTCTGACTAAAGCGCAATAATGTCTTAGGGATTATCTGGATTTCCTTGATTGAAAGAGTATATTCTGCCAATGCTGTCTGGATCTGCAAACAATCCCCGCCGAGTAGGGTTGGCGATCACCCGTGACTTTATCCCTCCGGGGCCGGAATCATAAAACATCGATTTCTTTGCTCTTGCATTTAGGTCAGCTTGTCATGTTCTTACTGTTCCTCTTACAGGATGTATTAAAATATAAGAAATCAGCAACAGGCTCAAGGGTGGAAACTTTGGGCGTATTTATTCGAGCCACGTCCCTGCAGCTTCTGCCACGGGGTTAGTCTACAATAGGAAGTCGGCTAACTCGATATGGATAGTTCCTGCCTGATTATCTTAATTGCAGCCTTATGGACTTATTGCTTCTGCCCACAGGAAGTTCCACGAATAAGTACATCCCTTGTCGGTTGTCACAAGATAGATATATTGAAGAGTCAGACAAGATAGTAGATCTGTTCATTTTATGACGAAGCTAGAAATATTAAACTAGCCGTAGTGGGCTTAATTTTTTGGTATTCCGCAGTTAATACAGTCATTATCACCACTAAGCCTACTTTTTATGACAACTGCCTCATTGGCAGTATACACTTGCGAGCAGAATGACTTTGCACAATGAATATCCACTTTCTTCATTCTAATATAGCTAAATGGTCTTCTCTTGCATTGTATCCATGATTAAAAAGCATTGTCGATCTTTCCTTCTTTGTTTGCCTTTCACATAATGGTCTAATTCTACATTTCTTGAACTCTCCATAGCGACATTCCTCACTGCAAAACTGCAGTCATACGATATGGTCACGGTTCTCAGAATACCAAGAAATATTATTACTGGGCCAAATGTTAGATATGCCTTATTATGCTTATTGTTGGTCATCGTATCAAAGGTCTACAATCCGCGTTGAGCATATAAATTCTTTTCTCCATAATAATCTTAATCCCAGAATTGTAAAATAGCTCTATACTCTGCAGCTGACCTTGTCCAATCATGTACCTCCCTTCAGATAATGGAACTTCCCATTATGGTCGAAAATATAAAGAAAATGGGAAACCCAATTCCCTGAAAGGCATTCATTGCACAGCTATCTCTCTTAAACCTAGTGAAATCCCTTCACGTCTACAGTCCACTGACGCTCATAATTCAAGATGGACTCACCAACTACTCCCAAACCGAACGTTCAACAGTTTGAACTTGAAGACCTCACGCCCCCCAAGACCTGGCACCCAAAAACAAGGAGTGCTGGTCTAGGCTGGATGGAACGAACCGGCGTCAGATACCTCTACATGTACTTCGACATCCGCGAATACGTCCTCGAAGAAATGACCGCAACGGCTCAAGAAATCGACTTCCTTGTTCTCCGTCGCCTGGTTCCACGTCCTCTAACCTACCCGTCCATGGAAGAACTGAAAACCACTCCGCCTGACGGCTTTCGGCGCATCTCTATTAGATACCTCATGACTGACATTCCTGACATGCATGAGAACAACAAGGAGGATATTATGCCAGCGCTTAGACGGATCAGGATACATTTGAAAAGGCTGTCCAATGTCGAGGGACCGTTTCGCCCATTTAAACTCTGGGATCCGGATTTCCTCAAGCAGTTGGTGGTCTTGAAGTTGGACTTTTATCCTGACTTTCATCCATCTCAGCCTGAGGCGAGTCCAGAGCGCGAATATGACTCTGTAAACACCTCTCAGAACACTATTTCTCGGATTTCTCAGACCGCATCGTTTGATCTTTCTGATTGCAGTTCTTTTCAGGAGCCACCGTACGAGCCCTACTGAATTCAGGGTATCTGTTCGATAACGTTGCTGTGAATACGAGTTTCATACTACCTCATCAGTATCTTCCCAGCAGTCTAAGTCGATTTCTTTCAGCATTTTTAACCCAATGGCTTGATTTTATTTCCTATCTCCTATTAAAATTGTTTTAATTTTGTCAATTTACATCGTATTCTTTATTCAATTTATATCCGCTTTTCCTTTGTGGCATAATCTCTTCTAATGGTCTTTACATTGGAAACTTTATGTAAGTTCTCATACTCCTTGTCTTTGTATTCTAGGATTATTTCTTCCAGGCCTTAATACAATATGATATCCCGGGAAGCTGCGGGATTTCCACTATATGGCATTATCTGCATCTTTATAGTAAGTCTCTCGTTTTTGTGCCGCATATTAGATTTTGACAAAAGAAAGTCTCTTAAGGTGGTTATCATTATGTTTTACATTTTATAGGGTTCTATCAGCTCTATTTCATTGTTCTATTCAGATATCACGCCAGGATTCAACTATAAGTAGAACGCTTATATCATCACTATGCGAGGTCATCAAACCTATCAACCAATTCTCCTGTCCTCTCCGTTCTCTCCATACCTCCAACCCATACAGCAGATCCTCAAATAACCCCCATACTTCTGTCAAAATGACTCTTCTCGATCCCTGCAAGCCCATCGACCAACCCATCGATGGCCCAGCCCTCCCCTTCAAGTACCGCAACAGCTGGGAAGTGATTCTCTTCTTTGACATGGACCTGAATACCAGGCATCATTGCCTCGGCGCCGTCTGCGACTCTCTTACCCGCCAACTAGAACACACCTATAGAGTCTACGGAGACGCACTGGGTGAGGTTCCTCCCGGCTACACGCGCCTAGCCGTGACATACCATCTCAGCGATCTCCCTCCCCCGAGACAGTACACTGATCCCGAGGCAGTCTATCAGCGGATTGATACGTATTTGAAAAATTATATCCGCTTGTACGAACCGTTCCGTACAATCGAGGTCAAGAAGCGATGGCGGTTTATTGATACGGTCTGTTTTGGTATCTATGAGGTTACGTCGGAGTTTAATCGGATTACCGGGATGCAGAATGATCAACCTTGCTAGGTTCTTTGCACTTTTCGTGTCTTTTTCTTTTTATCTTTGATAGAAGGATATATATATGAATGAATAATTTCATCAAATTGACTTTCAGTATTGTAAACATAAACACAACGAAGTATAACATGTTAAAGTAACACCTCTACTCCCCTAATTAAAAGCACCCCCCTAAAACCTATAAACCTGCTCCTTCGCAAACCCCAACCTCCCCAAAATCCCCTCCCCCTTCCTCGATCCCACCAACGCCTCCTCCATCCCCGGCGGCCCACAAACAAACACCTTCGCATCCCCCTTCTTTTCCCCGATGACCTCCCGCAACAACTCCTCCGTAACATGCCCCTTCCTCACCCCCTCCCCCAACCCCCCTCCTCTCGAAACCGTATACACGAACCCAAACCTGTCCGGAAACCTCCTCTTAAACCCCTCCAACTCCTCCCTCAACAATAAATCCTGCTCGGTATTCACCCCGAAGACTAAATTAACCTTGGTCTTATCGTCTGGATTCGTCAATATCCCCTGTAAAAGCTGATACAGGGGCGTAATCCCCGCCCCGCCGGCAATCAGGTACACATGCGAGAACTGGTTCGGGGTCCAGGGGAAGCCGCGGAGTGCGGTTGCGAATGTGAGCGTGTCTCCTGGGACGAGGGAGTGGAGGTGCGTGCTGGCTTTGCCGGAGGGGTAGTGTTTGACGAGGAGTTCGAGGGAGCCTTTTTCGTCTGGGGGCAGTTAGTTGGTGTAGGATTGTAATTGAGGGTGAAAATACCTAGATTGCTAATCGGGGTGTATGGTCTCAGGACGGGGAGCCATTGGCCCGAGGGACGGGAGATGGTGAGAAGTGCAGCTAGATTGGGTGTTAGTTAGTGAAAAGGATATACAGGGTGTACATTGTACAGTGCATACAGGTAAGTGATAGTCCGCTTCTTGCGTTCTTATCGGGGAACTCGAACACCAGGCGCTTCGTGTTATGGTTGACCATCTTGACGCTCTGCAGGCGCAGAGTGGTGGGGCCGAATCCCGAGAATATCATTGGTGGGTCGGGATCTTCGGCGTGGGCTGTCGGGGTTGATCGCGCGTAGGAGTAGGTCCCGACGCCGAGTAGAGCGAACGCAGAGACAACGGCGGTGGTTTTCAGGGATTTAGGAAGGAATCTGGATGAAGACATAATAGGTTGATTTGAAGTAAACCTGCGGGTTAATTTCAATTCCTGGCTTCGGTGACATGATATTTATGTTCGATTCATAGAGTCCGCCAAAACCCGCAAAACCCGACAGACTCATCTGATCGGCCTTGGCTTCGCAGCATACACTGAGGTAGTCAGGGGTTCGGTGTCAAGTATACAGATTTCTTCAAGAGATACATGGATGGTTTTAAAAATGCTGAAAGGTGCTACATCAACCCGTAGCTAATTTGACGCCCTCCCGCAACATAACCGTTCCTTTGAAAATCGAAAGCGGGTACGGGTATAATTTGCTTGAAAGGGAAAAAAGAAAAAATCAACCGTCCCGGGAGAGGATTGAACTCTCAACCTCACGATTAACAGTCGTACGCGCTAACCAATTGCGCCACCGAGACGAGCTGTGGTTTTGGGGGCTTTTCTTTGCATAGATGAAGGCAAACTATTGATAATAGATCTGCTTGCTGCCCTGCAAAGCTCTGCAACTTTGCAGATCCTATACTTTGCAAATTTACGTATATCCTGGTTTGGGGCTGACAGTACTAGTGTGAGACATTATATTTTCTGGAATAGCAACCCAAAGGTTGAGTAAATGCATAGGCTGGAAGTGAAACGTGGGTTTTGTTCATCCTCGGTTCGATATATATTTTATCGAGTGGTTGCTCACTGCTACATGGTGAGATCTAGAAGGGAACAGTACTTGGTATAAAAACCCAAATCACTACATCACGACTGCTGAATCACCGTTTAATTCACCAACCAGTGGCCCTAGGTATACTCCAGTCTTCACCTCACCCTATGTCCAGTATACCCACCCTATACCCATCATACATCTCATACTACCCAACCTTCGCCCTCCCCCCCTCCACGTCCTCCCAATGCTCACTCTCACTCCTCTTCTCCCCCTCCTCATCCTCACCCCCATCCCCATCCCTATCCCCATTACTATCCCCAGAAGGAACCCTAACAAACCCAATCCTCCACCACGGCAACGAAAACAACTGATCCGCACTCTCCATACTCCTCCCTTTACACTCCGGAAACGCCACAAAAACCCACCCCGTCGCCAGCCCCGTAAACGCCGCAAACAGCGCAAACGGGCCCCACGCCTGCATACTCACCGTCATATTAGGAAACCCCCTTGTGATCCCGAAGTTCAGCAGGTTCTGGTACACGAAGGCTAGCGTGACTACGGTGCCGCGCACCGGCGTGGGGCAGATCTCGGACGCTGTGAGCGAGAACGCAGGCGCCCAGCCGATGCCGTAGCCGATGGCGAAGATGCAGATGGCGACGATGGCGATCCACGCGGCGGGGCTGGGGGAGCCGGTGGAGGAGAGGTCGGCGAGGCCGAGGTATGCGGAGAGGTAGGTGAGGCAGATGACGTTGAGAGTGGAGCCGATGAGGAGGAGGGGACGGCGGCCGAAGCGGTCGGTGAGGATGAAGGCGTAGAGCAGGACGGAGATGAGCTTGATGAGGCCGTAGACGGCGCTGAAGAGGAGGACTTGCGTGGAGTCCAGACCGATGGATTTCAGGATGGTCGGCGCGTAGTAGGTGATGGAGTTGCCGCCGGACATGATGAAGAAGGTCTGGATGATGGTGACGAAGAGGAGGAGCTTGCGGGTCGGGGGGTGCGTGATGCATGAGGCTAGGAGGGATTTGAAGGACTGGAGGGCGCTTTGGGATTCAGAGGATGTGATCATGCGGGCTTTGAGCTCGTTATATTCGCGGGTGAAGTAGGGGTTGGTGGAGTCGAGGCCGCGGAGGCGGGAGAGGCTGTCGTGTGCGGCTTGTTCCTCGCCCCGGAGCATGAGGTAGCGAGGGGATTCAGGGAAGAAGGGGAAGCCGACGAAGAGGGCGATGGCCGGGATGAGCTGCAGGACGAGGGTGGTGCGCCATTGCCAGCTGTCCGTGGCCGGGATGACCTCCAGCGAGGCGTAGTTGATCCAGTAGCTGCCTGCCACGCCGGCCATGATGTTAATGTTGTAGAAGGTCGTCATCATGCCGCGCATCTCAGTGGGTGCCACCTCTGAGATATAGATCGGGCCTACGGTCATTCCAAACCCAGACCCTAGGCCTGAGAGCACCCGACCAACCAGTAACTCAGCCAGCGAGCCGAAGTTCGCAGCCATCAGTATCGCCCCGATGGTGTAGAGAATGGCAGAGCCCATGATCACGGATTTCCTCCCACGACGCTCCCCAAGCGGCCCAGAGACGAGAACACCTGCTGTTTGGCCCTTCACATCGTCAGTCCCCATCTCAGCCACCTGGCTATCACAAACGAAAGAAAAGAAAGGGTGAAAATACCAATAACATAGACGAAACCACCCACCCCGAATAATCCGATATCGTGACGTCCGACAACTCCGTCCACCCAAAGTCTCGCACAAACGGCTTCAGACTCATCGTGCCGGAGATATTCGCCGTGTTGAACCCGTGCAGACCGCCGCAGTACGACGCCCAGATGACAGCCAGCCAGATGTACGTGCCGCGAGCTTGTGTCGGGACGCGCCGAATGGCCTCGTTGGACCAGCCTCCGCCGCTGGCGCCCATCTTTCTCCTCGTCTTTCGGATTAGGGGTGGAGGTTGGTGAGATTGAAGACTGAGAGGTAGGACAGACTTGATCAAAGATTTAATGGGAGGAGGGAAGGTTTCGAGAACAAGAAGATATGGTGGAAAGGCTCGCTTCAACGGTGTAGAACTCTTCCACTCCCTCATCCCATGTCCAGTCGTCGTGTTTATATCCATCATCCAACCCCTCCCATTCCACCACGGACAAGATAGGACTCCCCCGGCCAGGAATAGCATCTGTCACGCAACACAAGCAACTCCCAAGACTGCCGATCCGGGGTCAGGAGCCTTCCGGTGTGGGGGAGGACGGAGTGCTCCGCTGGAGTGTGGAGGCTGACGACGGTGCATTAGGAGGGTTCTGATTCGACAGATTCATACCCTTAGAAGTAGATAGCAGGACCAGTGGCGTAGAAGGACCTACTAACTTTTACAAGAAATATACACCGGGAAAGACTCTATTCTCGAGGGAGTATATACATCATCCCAACAAGGCACGGAAGATACCCGACCCCAACTTACTGACCTCCAACCTTCGACTTAATATAGTTTAGAGCACTCCCTGCCCCCAGCCACTTAATCTGACCCGCGTGGTAACTATGATTTAAGCGCGCTTCCCACACCGTCCCCTCCTTCGGAGTAACCCTCATAGTGACCGATTTGCCCGCCTGCAGCTCTCCCTCCTCCACACCAAGCAGCGTGATGCGATCGCCCTGCTTAATGCGCTCGTAGTCCGCCCCGTCGGCGAACGTGAGCGGCAACATGCCCTGCTTCTTGAGGTTCGTTTCGTGGATGCGCGCAAACGAGCGCGCAATGACCGCCACGCCGCCGAGGAAGCGCGGTTCCAGCGCCGCGTGTTCGCGCGAGCTGCCCTCGCCGTAGTTGTGGTCGCCGACGATACACCAGCGGATTCGGCGGCTTTGGAGGTCCCGTGCGACTGAGGGGACGACGTCTAGGGTGTTGGTGATGGGGTTGTGGGTGTGCCCGAGCATTTGGGGCCCTGGGGGCAGGAAGGCGTTCGTGGCGGTGGTGAGCATGTTGTTGCTGATGTTTTCGAGGTGCCCGCGGTACTTGTACCATGGTCCTGCTGGGGAGATGTGGTCGGTTGTGCATTTGCCGGATACTTTGATGAGGAGTTCCATGTTGGTGGCGCAGGAGGGTTCCCAGGCTGGGAAGGGGGTGAGGAGTTGAAGACGGTCGGATTGGGGGTCGACAGCAACGGAGAGCGAGGATCCGTCGGATGGCGGGTCTTGGAATGTGTCGAGGCCTGGTTCGTAGCTGGTTGGGAGCTCGTGGCTCGTCGGTGCTGTGAATCGGAATCCCTCGCTGGTGGCGCCGGGGATGCTGTCGGTGAGAGGGTTGAAGTCCAACCGGCCGGAGTAGGCAAAGGCCGTGACCAGCTCGGGTGAGGTCACAAACGAATGAGTCGCCGGGTTGCTGTCGTGGCGGCCCACGAAGTTGCGATTGAAGCTGGAGATGACCGAGTTCTTTTCCTTGCCCTTGACGTCGACGTCTTTGCGGTCCCACGACCCGACGCAGGGACCGCACGAACTGCTGAGCACCGTCGCGCCGGCATCGCGCAGCTCCTCGAGGATGCCGTCTGCTTCGGCCGTCGCGCGGATCTGCTCGCTGCCGGGCGTCAGCAGGAATGGGATCTTGAACTTGTCCAGACCAGCGGCCTTCGCCTGCGCGACAAGTTGTCTGGTTTTATCAAGGTCCTCGTAGGAGCTGTTCGTGCAGCTGCCCACCATCGCGTGGCTCAGTTCGCCGGGCCAGTCTTTCGCCGCTGCAGCGGCCTTCAGCTGCGAGATGGGGTGCGCGAGATCCGGCGTGAACGGCCCGTTGACGTGCGGTTCTAGCGTGCTGAGATCGATCTCAATGACCTGGTTATAGTAGTTGTCGGAGCCCTCGTCCGCAGTCAAGAGAACGTCCTTGACGCTGCCCGCCGCGCGCGCCGCATACTCGCGCTTGGTCGCCCCCAGGTATCGAGCCATCGACTCCGAGTACGGGAAGATGCAGGATGTCGATCCGATCTCCGCAGACATGTTACAGATGGTCGCCATGGCCGTGGCTCCCAGCGTTTGTGTGCCCGGGCCGAAGAACTCAATCACCTGTCCCTTGCCGCCGGACACGGTCAGGATCCCCGCCAGCTTGCAGATGATATCCTTGGTCGATGTCCAGCCCTGCAGATGGCCGGTGAGCCGGACTCCGACGACCTTGGGCGCGACGAGCTCCCACGGCATCCCGGACATGGCATCCACGGCGTCTGAGCCACCGACTCCGATCCCGAGCATTCCCATCCCGCCTGCATTCGGAGTGTGCGAGTCGGTTCCGATGATCAGTCCCCCGGGGCTGTAAGCAATTGTCATTAGCACTACCCGGTTGTAGAGGTGATAGTGACAGGACTCACACCGCATAATTCTCAAAAATCACCGTATGAATAATCCCCGACCCTGGCTTCCAAAACCCAATCCCATACTTCCTCGACGCACTACTCAAGAAGTCATAAACCTCCGAGTGCTCGGTTTTCGCGCGCCGCAGGTCCTCCTCCGCGCCCTTCTCGGAAACAATCAGATGGTCACTATGGACGGTCGTTGGCGCCATGACGCGCGGAAGACCTGCGCTGATGAATTGCAGCAGGGCCATGGTCGCAGTGGCATCGTGACACGCGATGCGATCAGGGCGCAGCTCCAGGATGGTCTTGCCGCGCTCAACCTCATCCAGACTCCAGGTGGTTTTGTCGCCCAGGATTAAATGGCTGTAGAGTAATTTTTCGGTCAATGTCAATGGACGACGTCGCGATCGCTGTTTCAGCAGATCAAGGTTCGCGATCTGCTTGCCATAGTCTACGCCGAGGATTTTTTGCCCTCGACTGTGGCTTGCGAATGCTCTGCGCGATGGATTGCGGATGCGCATTGTCGCTGCTCGCGACACTTGGGAGAGGTTATACTGCCTCATGGCGCAACCTCAACGATAGAGTATGATGAGACAAACAGGAAGAAAAAAAAAGTAAAACAAAACATGACTTTTTTTTGTCTTCCAAAATAATTCGGCACCGCCACATCTCCAAGCCGAGGGTATCGCAAGTTGGAATCCGGAGAAGATGGAGCGCTCCGAGACGGGGCTGGAGCGCTCCGGGTGGAGCTCTGCGGAAGCGATCCGGAATTTGGAGAAGCTGTCCATGACGGTTGACTTCGCACGATAACGTGTCTTCTGACTTTGGCGCTTGCTGACACTCCTGAAAACCCCTTCACTTGCTCGCTGATTGTCAGCTTCACCCCATCTGTCGTCATACACAATGGCAGCCCGAACAAAGGCCATCCAGGCCTTGCGCCAGTTCACCTCCTGTGACGTGAGTATTCACCCCTAACTAGATCCCGCCCGAAATCAACAAAACCAACCACTCACTGAATCCAGATCGGCGACGCCCTCGTTAAACTCGGTCTCCCTCATGGCGGCTACCTCTCCGGCCTACAGATGTACAGCCCGGGCGCAACGAGCGCTGCATCGAAAATCTTCGGTCCCGCGTACACCGTGCGCATGGTTCCCGCAGCCGACAAGACGGCGCCCACTCCGCCGTGCCACTTTGCCGACGCGATTCCCAAAGACGCCGTTGTCTTCGTCTCGCAGCCCAAGGGCCTGATCAGTGCATGCTGGGGTGGGTTGATGAGCACACGGGCGCAGAAATGCGGAGCGGCAGGCGTGGTGATCGACGGGCGGTTTAGAGACGTGGAGGAGCATCGCGCGCTGGGTATTGGGTTGTTTGCGCGCGGCTTGAGTATTCTGGGGTCGAATACTTTCACGCGATCCTCGGAGCTGAATGTCCCGGTCACGTATGAGAATATTGAAATCGATGAGAAGGTGGTTATTGAGCCCGGCGATTATATCATGGGCGATGTAGATGGCGTCGTGGCTATTCCTACTGGCACGGTGGAAGAATGCGTGCGTCTTTGCCAGGAGCGGTACGAAATTGATGAGGAAACGAGGAAGTGTCTGGAACGGGGGGATGAGATTGGGCCGACGATCAAGAGACTTAGGAAGTAGAAGCTCTGGGATAGGTTTAAATGAAATGAAATGGCTCTGAAGTAACTGGTCACTGTCGTAATTACTCCCGTCGCAGCTGAGGAGCATAAGCGTATGTACAAGTCCTGGTGAATGGGACTAAGGGCCGGCATGACTATCGGATGGCCCCGGTCCAGAAAACGGATCCCAGCCCCAATCATCGTGTAAATACTCTGCCATGAAGCTTTCCATCGCCGACTCGATGGGCATGACATCCAGTTCGTCGAAAATCGGGTCAAAAGGTAATGATGAAAAGTCGAAGTTACCATCGAACAGTGGCTGGGCGTTCACCGGCGTGAGCGCTGCATTCGGGCCTTGGTACACGGCAGACTGGATTTGCCGATCGCCAGCACCATCATTGACGGCTGAGATGTTCGAATCCGCCTTCCCAGCCTCGCTGTCGCCACTTTGTCCGAGATCCAGTTGGGACCTCGAACCGCGCCGCCGCTGGCGAGTCGGCAATGAGGGCTCGTGAAGGTGGTTTAAGTGTTTGGTAACCACGTCGATCATCTTCTCAAAGCTTTCTTTGCCATCGCGCACCGAAGGCCACCATTGGCTGCCGATGCTGAGATGATTCGAACATATTCGCAAATCGCGCATTAATTTCGAGAAGGGGACCATGCCCTGGAGACCGCGAGATGCCCACGCACAGTAGACGATGGTTGCGCCGGATGAGAATATCCCATGAATGTTACGCCAGCTATAATACAGCATTTCCCTACTCCCGAGGATGTCGTAGATCTGCAGCCTCTTGCTGGAGCTGTGATAGCAGAGGGAGAGCGCATCGTGGGTCGGCGACGGGAATACCTGAGATGGCTGGAAGAGCAAAGCAACGGTAGAATGGTATAGTTGTTCGTGGCGCATCTTTTCGTAGTGGAGCTTCAATACTTCATCCTCTTCCATATCTGCTGTAGGAAGAATCCCCGAGACATCTGCCAGCCAGCAGTCGAGGTCGGACTTGATCCGCGCTTGGATGTCGCTAAGGCCCGTTGGCCAGACGAAGCTTCGGCTTTGAGTCGGGAGGTGGTAGAAAAGGATTTTAATTTCTGAAATGTGCTGGTCCAAAGTGAATCGGCAGATTGACAGAGCAAGATGCTGAGGAGACGGCAAACGTACGGCAAGCTCATTTCCCGGCACGGTCAACATGTCAGGGATATCTGCAGCCGTTGGCGGTCGAACGTCGAAAGTCTCGTCGCGTATTCCCAGTGGACGGCCTTGGATGGTTGATATAGATCTGCAAGACTATTTAGCATGGGAGGTTAAATATAGGGAGCGAGCCCTACCGATCAAGAGAGTAGATAGTGTAGAAAATAAATCTCCGAACAGTGTTGGCACATGAAGACGTCTTCGAGTTATCACTCGGCTCTCGATGAAGACCCAAGTCGACACAATGCGACATGGCTAGATGCGATAATGTCCAAACGCTAATACCAGCCGGTTCTATTGTGCTCTGCACGGCTAGTAGCAGAATTGCTTGCAGCGCCGGTGTTGAGATACTCGAGAAGCATTCGGAAGCTGTGGACATTGCCATTCGATGAAATCTGGATGGGGAGAAATCATAATTTTTCTTCCGTGTCAACACCGTTGCAGCCAACGACATGGCCATGAATACGTGAAACACGGCGGTAAAAACCGAAATTGGGGTGTACTTCTTGTCTGCAAGCATATCAATCTTTCCATTATATGGGAACGGATCGGCATTGTGAATCCAGCCATTCCGGTCCACCGATCCATGGTATCCACGCTGAATGCATGAGCGCAGTGCATTATATGCGCGGACTAGAGACGCGGGATGTAGGAATGGGTGGTCAATGTGGATGTATTGGAAATAGATCTCTAGTAATACGCGTGCGTCTTCGGGTGAAGGCAGTTCCTTTAACTGTCAGTCAATTCACCAATGAGCGCTCATCATCTTACCTTGCTCAGCCTGGAGTAAAGCGACTGGTAGATTTCATTTGAAATGTGCAACGGTGCTATTCGGCGAGATTGCACCGTAGTAAGGGACGTTGGGTTCGCCGACAGCAGTTCACTATCCAAGCCCACAAGTCTGGTAAAGAACAATCCAGACGAGGACCCAAGATAATACTTCTGACGCGAGTCGGACTGCAGCGATAGCATTCCAAGATCAATCGCTACCGAGCGCGCCTTGGCGGAAATGGGCCGGTCCACCTCCTCTTCCATCGCAGCATGTGGACGCTTGTTGTTGGTATCTTCTTCTGCAGATTCCACTGGGACATCTACGGAGCTGCGAAGCTGGATGTCAGAGACATCACTGCCCACACGGGAACTTCCCTGTGACGACAGCCTCTCCATGAAATCGACATTGACCCGAGGGCCCTGCGATAGATCAAATTCGGGATACAAAGAACAGATCTGCTGTTCTAGCCATTTGATGCGGGCACAGCATCGCACCGCGAAGCTGTTGACGCTGTCAGCTTTCAACCCGTGTTTCGACTTCGTGAATGGCTTCGCACTCACTCCCGCGGAATCGACAAATCATTGTTGCCACCATGCACATCCACACACGGCACTTTTGCACGAGCACAATTCCCACAGGCAGGAATGGTTCCATCACACTATATCGATCAGCAAAGCGCATTCTCGAACCCGACGCTGCGACACACCTTGACTCGTTTCTGTCGACAGCGACGACAAGCCGAACGAACTTTCCTCGGCGGCTGGGCGGAGGCCCCGTCTTCCGGAGGCATGGCGTTGGTCATCTTAATTAATAAGTGGGCGGGTTATCAGGACATGCCTTGCATGATGCAGGCGATGAAAACTCTAGGATGATCGTGGGGAAGAGACGATGCGCAGGTCGGCTGTCAGTGGGGAAAAGACGCTTGGCTTTTCCGGGGTAGAAATTCCCGATTACGATCACGGGGTCTGTCTGCCCTACAGCTATTTTGTTTCTTTCAACTCATTGAAAGAGTTCGATTTAACACCTACTTCTCTTGAGTCCAAGCAGACAATAAGAAGAAAATTTCAAAAAGAAAATAAACCAATAGATTCTAGAGTCAATAATCAACATCCATTCCTACAAACCATGCAATTGGCACTCTTCTATAGCATCTCGTCAAGATGAATACTACCAGTCATACAAGCCCTGCGGATTCGTCACCATCAGCATATGCCATTCGCGAGCCGACAGCCACGACCGCAGACTCTTCAACCACGCCAGATCATCAACCTCCAGGAACGGCGTCTCCTTCATAGCCTCCTCATGAGTCCGCACCTTCATCAACGGAGTATGCGGCCTAACCATTAGCCTCTCACATAATATCCCAGAGAGAGAAAATTCAACATACCAATCACTCCCCCACAGAACCTGCCGCGGATTTGCATCGAAGAACGCTCGCACCAGCGGCTTCAAGTCAGCATAATCCGGTGCCTGCGAACTCACCCGATACGGCGCACTGATCTTGACATACAGTTGACTCGCACGCACCAGGTCCAGAATCTCACGGAACCCTTCCTGGCTCGACACCTCGCCCCCGCCGCCAGATAACATGCTCGCACCCTTCAACAGCGCAAAATGGTCCGTCACCAGCTTAATCCCCATCGGCACGATCTCCCGCTCAATCACGGGTGTCAGCTCGTGCCAGAACTCCGGGTGCGTGTGCGTAAACGCCATACTCCAGCCCGCGCCGTGGGGACCCAGAGCGCGCGCGTGCTCCCGCAGCGCCGTCTTCTGCAGCGAGACGTCGTGCATGGCGCCGTAGCGGTACAGGTTGACGCGGATGCCGCGGATGCCGGAGCTTTGGAGGCGCTGGAGCTGCGAGGGGGTTGTTGTGTCGGGGTCGATGACGCCGATGGCGCGGGTGGAGTGGCCCAGGTCGGAGGTGAAGGTTGTGAGGGAGGAGCAGTCGGCGCCGTAGGAGAGGCCGTGGGTGAGGACGGAGTGCGTGAGGCCGAGCTTGCGCTTGAAGTCGATGTAGTTTTGGATGGTGGCGGGGGGAGGCGTGAGGTGGCGATCGGGGGCGTAGGAGAATCGAGCGGCTGGGGAGGTTAGTATTGGAAAGGGATTTAGGAAAGGGATTTGGGATTGGTAACTATACGCTCGAAAATATGATGGTGGACGTCCCATCCTCCGTTGGGGAATAATGGCAATGCTTCAGCCATGGTGTGGTTGAAGGGGTAGCGTTCGCTGTGTATGGATTAGACGGTGTCAATAGATTCAACTCCGCGAATAAATAATACAACCCCAGACGGGATATGCGTCTTGGCATGGAGAAGGCCCATTCAACTCCATTATGAGCTGTTCCTCATTTGCGGACAAGATTTCCAATATTCCCATGACGCCGATGTTGTTGTTCGGAGCGCTCCGAGACGAAATGCCTCGCCCGGACTCCTCCAGCGGCGATTCTCCGCTCGACGGAGTGGCTCCGCGTTTCACCGAGAAGGTCACTTGTCTATCCAGATACTGTCCGCATATGCCCATAGATGTAGACAGAAGTAACATGCATTTATTGTGAAGTGCTTTCCATGCAATCAACATGACAGCCAACCACCCCTCATCCTTCCCACCCTCTCTCAACCCTCAATTCCATTCTAACCACCAACCATGTCTCCCAAACAACAAGTCTCTCCCTGGCAATCAATCCTAGCCGGCGGCGCAGCCGGAGGCACAGAAAGCCTCCTTACCGTACGATCCCCATCCCATCTCATCTCATCCAAACCAACACTAACTCCCCAGTATCCCACCGAATACCTCAAAACCCGCCAACAACTACCCACCCCCAACGCAGGACGCCAATCCCTCATCTCGCTCCTCACCAGCACCATCCGCCAACACGGCCTCCGCACCCTCTACACCGGCAGCGGGGTCTTCTGCGCCTCGAACGCCACCAAATCCGCCATCCGGTTCTTCGCCTTCGACAGCGCCCGCAAGTCCATGCCCACAGACACAGCCGGGAACGTGACACCGCTCGGCAACATGGGCGCAGGGCTGGTCGCGGGCGTCGCAGAGGCCGTGCTAGTTGTGACGCCTGGCGAGACTATCAAGACGAAGATGATCGATGACCGGGCGGGGGTAAGACAGTATCGCTCAACAGGGCACGGGATCGTGTCGATTGTATCGCGCGAGGGGCTGGGCGGGTTATATCGGGGGGTTGTGCCGGTGACGCTGAAGCAGGGGGCGAATGCGATGGTGCGGTTTACGAGTTATAATTTCATCTTGGGGCAGTTGGATGGTCTGGTAGGAGGGGAAGGGCAGGGTCTGCGCCAGTCACTGAATACAGTGCTGGCGGGGGCGTTGGCGGGCGTGGTCACGGTTTATGCGACGATGCCGCTTGTTACGATCAAGACGAGGTTGCAGGCTGTGGATGCGCGCCAGCGGTATGCGGGATCGGTGGACTGTTTGCGGTCGGTGGTTGCGAGCGAGGGGGTTGCGGCGTTGTGGAGAGGGACTACACCGAGACTGGTGAGGCTGAGTGTGAGTGTTGTTATTTCGATCTGTATTCTTTGGAGGATGATCATGCTGATGCTGATATATTTGTGTAGGTCTCCGGCGCCTTGAGCTTCTCGATCTATGAGTCGGTTCTGCAATGGTCGTCGAAGTATACAGTGCCAGAGCGACATCAAGTTGCTTAACTCGTATCTCATCACCGTAATTGATAACGAATCAACTTTCCCACTCAGTCGAAAAAGGCCAATCCTTTGCTGGAGAAGTATTCTAGTTCTGATCATGGACACCCGAAAACAATGCCATTGTTCTATCTAGTCAAAGTAACAGCAGCATAATATATCAAATCCTCGATGGTCTAACGGTCATGATTTCCGCTTGTCACTCAATCGAGAACAAGCGCGGGAGACCTGGGTTCGACTCCCAGTCGGGGAGATTTCTTTTTCTTCTTCTTCTTTTCCTTTTTGGCCCGCAATCTGGAAATACATGATTCATCTTTTTTGTATGGACGAAAGGCACAGGATTAGCAATCGCATTGTAAACACCCTTCATAGATCCTTGTCCCGAGACATGACGGAAAACAGAAGCTCAGGTCAGCTGGATATAGAGCTAGTTTCCTCTTCCGACTGCATGGACGTGGATCAAGATATTCTTACGTCTAACTGAAATCATTCGAACTTCCAAAAAAGGCAGAAGGTATGATCCGAGCACGAAGTCATCACTCCAGAAGACGGAACAGGAAATATCGTCACCGCTCTACTACCCCATTCGTCTTCACGCTATCGTCCCCGCAAACAAAACCCCACCGGCCTAGATCTCAGCCCTGCGCATACAAATCAGAATCACGACGCCAATCTGACGGCAGCGCATGCGGAAACCCAAATGCCAGAAAGCAAGCCAATAGGGTTCGCGCGGACCGGTCGATCTCCGCAAAAACAAGTCTCTGGACTCGCCGAGGCCAACCAACCAGACAAGCCGCACCACCGCTGGCATGTGTCAGAAAGGATGAAAGAACTAAATATGGCAGGACCGCGTTGTGGCGAGCATGCCAGCTTACTGTATAAATGCGCAGGTCGGTTTCCGCAGCCATTCCACCTCCAGACTGCGAGCTACGGTACTAATCCAGTATACTACGAAATGCCGATTCCCGCCGAATGCACGGTTTTGGTGATTGGTGGAGGCCCGGGAGGGTCTTATGCGGCGTCGTTGCTGGCCCGCGAGGGCTTGGATACGGTCTTGTTGGAGGCTGACGAGTTTCCGCGGTATGGCTTTTGGCGCTTTCATCGGGGTGGGCGGGGGCTAACTGAGGCTAGATTCCATGTCGGCGAGAGTATGCTCCCATCTATGCGTCAGTTCCTGCGATATATCGATCTCGAGTCGAAGTTCAAAGAGCAGGACTTCACTAAGAAGGTACGCTTGCGCTTCAGCCTGTCGGGATTGATCTAATAGCTCCAGAATGGCGGTGTGTTCAAGCTCAACTCGAAGCCGATAGCCTGTAGGTTACGGTGCATTTGCTAAAGTACTAGGCGAAAAGTGCTGACAGACAAAGACACGGATTTCATCGGCGACGGTGGCTCGGAGAACTATACTTGGAACTTCCTGCGATCGGAATCCGACGATCTCATGCTCCGGCATGCCACCGAGTGTGGCGCAAAGGTTTTCACCGTGACTCGAGTCACGTCTCTACAATTCGCACCGACCGGCGTCACAGTCAACTCGGTGGAATCAGTCCCCGATGTCGTCAGCCATAGTTTGGGACAGCCGGTCTCTGCAACATGGGCATCGGCCGAGGACTGCGGAGCCATTCGATACAAGTACTTGATCGACGCGACAGGAAGGGCCGGGATCGTGAGCACCAAGTACCTGAAGAACCGGAAGATGAACACGGCGCTGAAAGACGCCGCGACTTGGGGATACTGGACTGGATGCGGTGTGTTCGGCGAGGGCACACGCATGGAGAACGATCCATATTTCGAGGCCATCAAAGGTCTGCCTCCTCCCTTCCGACTCAAGCCAGGAAGCTAATAAACACAGACGGCAGCGGCTGGGTCTGGGCCATCCCGTTGAAAGAAATGATGTCTATCGGAGTAGTCATGAGGCAGGAAATAGCCGTGATCAAGAAACGAGAACACGGCCTGTCCTCCTCGCAGGTCTACATCAACGCCATCGAACAGGCCCCGGGAATCCGGAGCCTGCTGCAAAAAGCCGAGTTGGTGTCGGATCTCCATTCCACTGCTGACTGGTCCTACAACGCCTCCACATACGCAAGCCCATACCTGCGAATCGTCGGCGACGCAGGATGCTTCGTCGACCCGCTCTTCTCGTCCGGGGTGCACATGGCGCTCGTGGGGGCCCTCTCGGCCGGAGTGACCATCTGCGCCGCCGAGCGAGGCGACTGCGACCAGGCGATCGCAGCGGATTGGCATTCTAAGAAAATAGCCGAAAGCTATGCGCGGTTCCTACTGATTGTCGCCAGCACTCGCAAGCAGATCTCCAGTTGCGACGACCCCGTGCTGAACGATGCAGCAGAGGGCAGCTTTGATCGCGCATTTCACATTTTCCAGCCCGGTGTGTCCACCTCTTCATATAAAGAATATCCTTCCACTTGAACTTGCAACGTGTACTTATTCTAATAGTCATCCAAGGAGCCGTCGACGTCGAAGGCGAGAAGTTCAACCAAGAAGAAATCGCCAAAGTATTCGAGTTCTGCGGCGGGGAGGCATTTAACGCGCATGAGGATATCGAGAAGCTAGCCAACGAGGTCGGATTACCTCGCGAAACAGTCGAGCGCTATAGTTCTATCATTCTGGAGAATAACGCGGTGAGTATCGATAACTTCGAGAGCGGGACGTTGGATGGATGGACGCCGAATATGGAGCCAGGAGCGTTGGGATTGGTTCATGCCTGCTAGGTGCTAGGCCATGTGTTAAGTTTGATAGCCTTATACTATTTTTGGAATGAGATATGCCAGTGTGACCTGTAGAGAAAGAGTGAGATCGAAGAAGCAGAAGAGGAAACAGTGCATGCCTTGCAGCCTTGGTGCCATGGAGCCTTAGGCGAATCTACTTCCTATCTGGGTATGAGACGAGGGTGTTGGCCAGTCACATGCGGTTTATCGGTAGCCGAACTGTATGGCATCTTCATAGTCAGATCATGGACACTACCAGTAGAAAAGTAGATAGAATAGTAAAAACAGTCAATCCTGCGCCAAGAAGTCGCCTATAAGAATACCCATGTCATCACAGTTCCTTCCTTTTTAGCCCTCGCCGGCCCTTAGTCGCAATATCCCGGTCTGACGGATAGGGAATCGACAGAGTCAGAACTCGTATAGGATATTCTCAAATAGCTGAACCATTGGGCCGGAGCTCAGCGAGAAGTTTCTCAACTCGATGACGGATCTCGTTCCGAATAGCCCTCACAGCATCAAGTCCTTGCCCGGCGGGATCGTCAAGCCGCCAGTCGAGATAGCGTTTGCCCGGGAAGAAGGGACAAGCATCCCCACAGCCCATGGTAATGACAACGTCGCTGGCTTGTACGGCATCGGCAGTTAGGATTTTGGGGGTTTGGCTGCGAAGGTCGATCCCTTCTTCACGCATGGCTTCGATGACGGCGGGGTTGATAGAGTCGGCTGGGGTCGATCCGGCAGAGCGAACTTCAACGGTGTCACCTGCGAGATGACAAAGAAAGCCGGCGGCCATCTGCGAGCGTCCCGCGTTGTGGACGCAGACAAATAAGACACTGGGCTTATGAGCCATGGTGGGCGGCCTTTTGGAGTGATGCGTCGAGGAGCCCTTGCAAGCAGCTAGTTGGACATGTGAGGTGAAACAGTCACGACAGCAGAACTATCAAGGGATGGATAGTAGTGCCTTCAAGGTATATTATGAATGAAGGAAAGGATGTATAGTGATGAGTCAACTATTGACTGGAAAAGAGGAGAAAGTGATAATTTGTCTTTGTGGGACGTTCTGATTTGCAAGGAGCTTTGTCCCACAACTTGTTTGATGAGCAGTATATACCTGAACCGCATGCATAGAGAGCTTATTACGTAGTCAAAACTACCGCATGGCCATCTCTCTCTGCCTATGCATCTCTACCGAGATAGAGCCGGTATGTCACTCCGACACTATCATTGGTTGAGACTTTTAGCAGAGGAACAGCGGTTTAATCACTGACAAATCACAAGCCTGGATCATTCGCTGGTATGTCACCCCCGGAATATAATTGGTTAATTCTGGCAGACTGTCACCCGCCCGTTGTGATTGGCTCTCATTAGATCAGTTGACTGACCCTCCATGCAAATACCATGCAGGTGTCTATAAATCCATGACAAAAGGGCTTGGTAGTGACATATCAGGATATCAATCGGCCAATACTGGAAACGGTGAACTGCTTTCTCCGCATCAACGAAGTTCACATGTAGCATATATTTAGCTGATCGCTCCCCAGTTTGACCCAGAAAAGCCTTTTGTATAATCTACGTTTATCCGCAGACTCCTTCATTTCCAGGGTGCTGAACCGGGAAAGTCAAAATGAATCCGAAAGAGACCTATCGTTGTGTGCAAGACCGCTACGCCGGAGTCGCAAGACAAACCGACGGTCCTCATAACCTAGGAGATCATGAACGCAAAGTCGCAAGCGCATTTGGGTATGACCTGGAAGACCTGCGTTCTATTCCAGAAACCGCGAATTTAGGCGTCAGCTGCGGGAACCCACTCGCAACGGCAAACATAAAAGTGGTAGGGACTATCACCGGTCGCTCCTTGGCGCTGATTTTGATTTAGACATAGGGCGAGGTGGTGATTGATTTGGGCAGTGGCGGGGGCATTGACGTTCTGCTCGCCGCAAAGAAGGTCGGAGTAGAAGGAAAGGCCATTGGAATAGATATGACGAAGGTACGGATGGCTCTCTGCCCAGCTGACTTTATATCTTGCTCAAGGCTAGCAGGACATGCTGGAGTTGGCACGCCAGAATGCGAAGAACGCCGGTGCCTCCAATGCATCGTTCATCGAGGCGTTCATTACTTCTATACCGTTGCCATCGTCCACCGCTGATTGCATCATCAGCAATTGTGTGATAAACCTAGTGCCGGAAGTCGAAAAGCCCCTGGTCTTTCAGGAAATGTTCCGTCTACTGAAGCCAGGAGGTAGGGTTGCCATTAGCGACATTCTGGCGAAACAAGAGCTTCCGATGGAGATCAAGAAAGATCTCTCCTTGTATGTGGGCTGTATAGCTGGTGCTAGCCAGGTTGCCGATTATGAAAGGTATCTGAAAGAAGCAGGGTTTCAAGGTATTCATTTTTGGAGTCTTCTTCGTTCGGCTCTGTACTGACATCTAGCTTCTAGATGCAGTGATTCTTGACACTAATGCTGATCTCAACATTTATAAGGAAATGTGGAAGAGGGAGGAATCCAATCGTCCGGGCCCTGCGAGCTCATGTTGCGACCCGATGAACAATAGTGCCAGCAGGGACAATCTGCCGGATGTAGATTTCAACATCTGGACGGGTGAGTGGATCTACAGAGAAGCCCAGTGTTGACGCTGCTAACAACTCCCCGCATGGGATCGCTTTCAAAAGGCTCTTTCAAAATCTTTGCCATAAAACCCGACATCCATGGTTGAACACTCCGTAAATTGGATTCCAGCGCGCACGAGTCTATAGCCGTCAGAATTTGCTAAACGCGTTGGCGCCTAATATCTATATTTCTCGCAAGATATTGTTTTTTTCGTGGGTTCTTGGTCCATTCTACCGCGTTCACGACAAGGTATCTGACAGGTCAAAGTATCATATTCGTAACACAGCCCGCATTTGTTATGTCTTCTGTGAAAGGTATCAATTTGAGCCAAGAAGCGGCTGGGGATGTGGTTTTATGTGAAGTGCATGAAGTAGGAAAGGTGTCATTTGGGTGGAATTCAAACTGTGAAAATGCAATTTAAGTTCTTATATTAAGTATCAGTTCCCTTTTGGATCTTACTGCTAGTATTACCCTTTGCAGCGATATAGAAGTCCGGGATGCGTAAAGTCTGGTATATAATATTTAACTAGATTTTATGATTGGCAAGTATCCTCTTAGTCGTTAATGTCTTTTTCACTTGTTGGCTCTAGAAGGGGGCCTAGAAAGTTAATAAATATCTAGAGTTATACATTTCACTTGTACATTCCAAGAGCATATTAGCGGCAACAAAAGGGGTTGTCTGTTAGACACCAGACAGTCATACTCATTTGTCTTGCTTGACACATCTTTCTCCATTCTATAATCTAGTCCAAAGCCTGAGCCTCACACATCTTGCTATACATTCCACCCATCCCAATCAAATCACAATGTGATCCCATTTCCTTGATCCGACCTTCATGAAACACACAGATCACATCCGCATCCTTGACCGTACTAAGCCGATGCGCCACAGCAACCGTCATCCGATCTCCATCCCTCGCTGCTGCAAGAGCAGCATGCACAACCCGTTCACTCTCCGTATCAAGCGCACTAGTAGCCTCATCCAGGAGAAGAATCTTGGGATCGCGGATCAGTGCTCTCGCAATTGCAATCCGCTGCCTCTGACCGCCGGAAAGCTGTGATCCACCGAATCCAACAAATGTATCCAACCCGTCGGGGAGAGATGAGACGAAATCCCATGCGTTGGCTGCTTGAAGAGCAGACTCGATCTGATAGTCTTCTACCGTGAGATCGACGCGATCGTCGTAGCCGAGACCAAAAGCGACGTTTTCACGGATAGAGACAGGGAAGAGATCTGGTTGCTGCTGTACGAGGGCGACGATTCGGCGGTAGAGGCGGGGGTTGAAACTTGGTAGGGGTGAGGAATCGATTTTGATCGACCCGGCTGATGGATCGTAGAATCTCTCCAGGAGAGCTATCACGGTTGATTTGCCGCATCCTGATGAGCCGACAAGGGCTATAAATTGGCCTTTTTTGAACTGTGAAATTTAGTTTCGATTCGTGAAGACAAGAGGAGTAACGTACACTCAGATTAAGGCCTTTAAGAACCAGGATCTCGGGTCGAAGAGGGTATGAGAAATTGACGTTGTCTAGATCAACTATGTCTGCTGCGCCAGGGCCACTTTCTCGCGTTCCATCTGTCTCCCGCATTGTTTGCTGAAGATCGTTGAGCCAGAAGAGGTAGTTGGCGGCGTTGACACCTTTCGTGATGCTCGTGGAAAATTGAAAGAGCTGCGATGCGCTTTGGCCGGAGAAGAAGACCCCCAGAAAGGCGACGAAGAATGCGTAAATGGTAACCTGACCGAACGACAACAGGCGACATCCATACCAGAAGCCAAGAGCCATGAACCAGTGTTCTGCGGATTGTGTGAAGGCAAAGCTCACCATCACAGTAAACAACGGACGCTTCAAGTCAGCCATCGCTGCATCCAACTCTCTAGTGTATCTCTCTAAGACAGAATGCTCAATCGCAAGCGACGAGATCGTGCGAATGGAAGTAACAGCCTCCGACGCGATAGACGCGCTAACTAAATAGCGCTTCGAAGTGTCACGATCAAACTTCGCGTCTAGCCTGATCTTCAGATAGCCTGAACCAACCAGCGGAGCAAGACCAGCACAGACAACGACAAGGCCAAGTTTCCAAGAGTAAACGAGAGCCAGAATTGAACATGCGAAAAGATTCAGGGCGGCGATCAAGACAAGACCGATGTTATACCCCATCAACTCGAGGATAGCCTGCGGGTTCGAATCCACGCGCGCAACAAGTGCGCCGGTACTATTCTCTTCGCGATCGAAGAATTGAACATCTTGTCGGAGTATGTCGTGGAGACTTTGTCTCCGGAGTTTATGGCCGAACTGCTGGGCGACAGTATTGGTTGCGTAGCCGAGAATGAAGTAAGATACTAGACAGCCGGCGGCAAGCACAATGAACATGGTTGCAAGGAAGTTTCCCTCGTGTTCTAATTCCGTTGCTGGCAGGGTGAGAATATCGACCACACTAGATAGAATAATCGCTTGGCCGGGGAACGTTGCTCCTGTTTCTATTGTTAGAAAGGCTGTGACACGCAGGTGCTTATTTCACCTACCACCAACTATGCATCCAGCTAATACCAGACCGTACACTAATCTCAGCTCAGGGGTCTCCCGGAGAAGTCGATAGATGGCCAAAATTATGTTTCGCTGCTTGAAGTCATCGTAATTGGCATGATCTTTCTGCGGCATGTTTCCGTTGTTTTTGTCAACCGAGGCGTGTGAGGTTGGGACTGGGAGTTGAGCCACAGTATCTACTTTCGAGTCATTGACAGATTCCAGCTTTGGTTCCGATTGCGATCCGCGACTTGAAACAGCCAAGTCTTGTATTCTCACGAGCTGAGCATATGTGCCGTCAAGTGCAAGCAAAGAATCATGCGTTCCATGCTCGACTATGCATCCCTTTTTCATAACGATGATGCTATCAGCCTTTCGGATGGTCGCAAGTTTGTGGGCAATGACGATAGTAGTACGGCCTTCTGAAGCTTTGTCCAGAGCCTTTTGAACCACACTTTCGGCATGCGGATCTAGAGCACTGGTGGCCTCGTCCAGGATAAGAACCCTAGGTTGCGAGACAATGCTTCGAGCAATGGCAATTCTCTGCTTTTGACCACCAGACAAAAGGCCACCACGGTGGCCGATTTCGGTATCATAACCATTCGGGAGGTCAGCGATAAAATCGTGTGCAAAGGCCATGATAGCGGCTTCTTGAATTCGGTCCATTTGTTGATCTCGAGGGGCATGCTCCCAATTTGTACCAACGAGTCCTTGCTTGATGTTGTCGAAAACAGTGCCCTGGAATAGGACTGGCTCTTGCTGGACGAGACGGACGTTTTTTCGGAGCCAGCTGAGATTCAGTTGGTCGATTGGGTGGCCATCTAATCTGATGATTCCTGACTCGGGGTTGTACCAACGCTCCAGAAGGCCGACTATCGTACTCTTTCCAGAGCCAGATTGACCCTAGACAAGATTTAGCTTCCAATACTCACAAGTCTTCATGATAACTCACCACCAGGGCAGTGACCTTGCCAGCAGGGGCTCTCATGGAGAAGTTGTCGAGAACTTTCACTCCAGGCCGAGTAGGGTAAGCAAAAGTAACATCGCTGAGCTCAATTTCCCCTACGGCCTCAGATGGTTGATGCCCGAGATGGTCATAAGGATCAATTTCGGATTTGCGATCAATCAACCTGAAAAGCATAGATGCCGCAGTAGCGGAGCGGGTGAAGTCAACCATGTAAGGAGTAAGCATGGTTAGCTGCGTAGCAGCAATAATCACCGACATGATGACACTTCGCTGTTAGCAGAAAGCCCGAGCCGTTTAAATGGAAGAACTCACGTAAAGATGCCCCCGGATTCCACAATCTCCCCCCTGGACAACATGCGGATACCTTGCCAGAAGGCCAAACCGTAGCCCAAATAGACGATACAGTACTCCGCGGAGAAAAAGACCCCAAAAATAATCGAAAGCTTGCTGCCAATCTCATGAGCACGGGTCAGGTACTCGTCAAATCTGCCAACCAGCCTGTCTCGAATCTCAAAGGCATGCGCCGTCCGCACACTGGAGAGAACGCTCTCCGAAAAGGCGTTGGCCTTCGAGTTGATCTCGAGGATCTGATTCTCATAGCCTCCCATGAACCCTCCCGCAACGCCATTGACAACGAGAGTAGCCGGGGCAATACAGAGGCATATCAGGGTAAGTTTCCACTGAACCACGAAAGCGATGATGAAGGCAGTGATGAAAGCAGCAATGCCTTGGAAGACAAGACCGAGTTTCTCACTAATTCCGCCCTGAATCATGCGGCCGTTGGAGGTTACTTGGGCTGCGATTGAGCCACCGGTTCCATGATCGAAAAATGCCACTTCCTGACTAAGAGCTGACTTGAAGTATTCGCACCGAATATTGCGAGTAATGGTGTGAGAGGTGTAGGTGAAAAGCGTGTTGTAGATATAAGACAGGACGAAGCGGGCAATTCCGAGGTAGACGAAGTAAAGAGCTAGCTTTGAAGCTTCTGAGCGAAGCTGGGATGGAGAGGATTGCGATGATGTGAAGTCGGTGACGCTGGTGATAAACTGGCCTATGATAAGGGGCTGGAAGGCTATGCCGGCACCAGAACCAAAGGCTGCGAAGGATGCGACGGTCTGTAACGAGAGCTCGAAAGGACCGGCATACTTGAAGATGCGCTTGTAGGCGGCGAAAGACCCGTCGGGCTCGTCTGGAGTCGGTGCTGTAGCGGCCTTCTTTTCGCTTTCGATTGCTTCGGTATCCATGAGGTACTTTCACAGATGAGTTGAAGAACCCCCCTTTCTTTACTTGACGAAGGGATAATCCAGAAACCGAGTATGTTGTTTGTTTTCTGGAAACCGATGAGCGTGAACTGATGAGCACTTGAAGTCGTCTGGGCTTAAGGGCTTCATTTTGACTTATATACATATGACCAGTAGGTCCCAAGGCAGGAGGTTTCGGGGCGGAATTCACGGTGTCCGCATTCTTAGATATTGATTTGGTGTATAGCAAAGGCCACAATCAGTGGCTCTCGGACGACGGATTTCACGGGCTCCGCACTCCCTCAACCGTGGATCAGTGGTGGCATACAGCATTCTAGAAAATCAAAGGAAGATTTTTTCTTTGAATCCGAATGGTTCTGCAATTGAAACCAACTAATCAGGATTTTTTTTTTAACAAAAAAATGCTAAACCGCAAAGACGTCCTCTATGAATGAGTTCCAACGGTATAGGAGCCAGTCTTTTGCATGCCATGAAATAAAAAGGACTCATCCATGGATGTGGGGCTCTGTGATCACCCATTCGAGTCATATAAAATGAGATTTTATTTGCCAGCGGGCACTACTTTCGGAATAGGGCCGACAAGCTACTATGATCATCCATCTTCGAGTCATCCCAGGCGGGCACCACTTGCGGAATAGGGTCGATAATTGGGCTCCTGGCACCGGTTCAAGCCCGTGAATGAGTTTTCGGTGATCTCAGGATCTCAGTTACTGGAGCTTAATCTCAGGCTGTCCAGATGTTTGGATATCCTGTCATCTTGGTGCCCTCTCGACGTTTCAACCTCCCCTCCGTCTATTCCAAGAGGTCCCAGTCTCTGATTTGCGTTATCATCATGGAAGATACTCATACTCCAGGTGACTCTGATGTTTCCAAGAGCGTATCCTCGCAAAACCCGGATAGTCTCATGATGCGAGCTGTTTGTGATCCGTTTGGGCTCCTGATCCTTCATCACCAGAGTTAACTCATTTCAGTGCGATGCTTGTCGATTCCGCAAGGTATGCCTTGACGCGACACCGCGAAATTGGAGTCTAATCTTCCCTAGATACGGTGTAACCGACAGCACCCTTGTTCGCATTGTGGGCAAAGGAACATTCAGTGTACATATGCCGAAATTAAGACCAAGGAGAAGCGCACTCGCATCCACTTCACTCCTTTTTAGTATGTGCTGCACACCCTCGTAGCCCTTTCTCAATCTTGCTTGGTTGTCATTTCTGGATTCACCCTAACTATTGTCTCGTCCTATAGTGAAAGAAAGATTGACCACATCGAACGCCGACTCGATTGCATCATCGAAATTTTGGATGACCTCAAAGTAAGTCGACCCGATGCCGAACGACCTCGGCTACCAAGGAGTACACAAACACCATCCACCGAGTCACATTCCACGCCAGCGGTATCTAGCAATGCAGCCCAGGCCGACTCGATCGCTGGGCCAGTCGTGGAAGGGGACTCTTCGTTGACTGCCCACTCTGCTTTTGCAAACGAATTCCTGCAAAGCTTCCTGAGCACGGATTCTGTAAAGGATTGCAGTCTAGAGATGCGCCAGACTCTGGATGCACTTGCTCAAACTGTTGCTACACTCAAAAAGCAGACGGCCTCGAGCGGAATAATTGACACTCACTTATCTCCCACTCCCCGCCTCCGACTCCAAGATTTCGAGCTTCCTCCTATCGAGAAGGCTGTTGCCCTAATACGTCTTGCGAAATGTGAGTACTAGTTTTTGACTGCGATGAGCACGTATAACATCTAAACCGGCTGTCGCTTAGCCCAGAGTCTCGCCGGCACCGGCTGGATCTATGAACATATTCAATTCAATCAATTTACAGACATATGCCTTGGTGTCTACTTCTCTGATGACTATCCTGGGGCTGATTTTATAACTGTGAACGCCGGTCTGCACTCTCTTTTCTGGGACTACGCTTTTCAATTGCCCGAGGAGTATAGAGAGGAATACTTCGGCTTTGCTCGTCTGTGCCGAGTAAATCTAGAAACTGCGCTGGCTGATCTGCCTCTGCATCTACCTGCAACCTCGAGCACAGTTCTTGCACTTACTTTCGGTGTCAGTATCTCTTCTTGAAAACCGATGCTCAATTAACCAATCCAAAGGCTTTCCACTTCGTCGAGCTCTCAAAGCCTTCTATGTCCTGGACATTTTCTTCAAAAGCGTCTGAGATATGCCAGACACTGGGCTATCATCGGGATGTATCCATGAAGTTCGATTCGCAAGAGACCATACAATACAAACTTTTCCTCTTTTGGGGCGTCTACTTTCTCGACAAGAGCTTATCACTCCGCCTAGGACGAGCGTCAACTATCCCCGACGGTGATATAACAATACCTCGACCCTCAGCAAACAACTGCAATCAGGCCCCTGTCATGGCTTACTTTCCTTTATGGATCGAATCTGCGCGATGCCAGGGCAACATATACGCGATGCTATACAGCCCTTCCTCACTCGCTCAACCCGACAAAGTGCGGCATGATAGAGTACAAATCCTTGTGGATGACCTGCGGGCGTTGGAAAAGGCAACTCGAGAAACCCATGTAAGTCATGAAAGGGCCGATCCAAGAACCATTCTGACATCGCATAGGACCAATGGATCCGAGTTGCTCGGCAGACCTCTGGAGAAGAGTTGATAAACTTCTTCGCTGTCTCTGACGATGTCCTCCGTCTATCTCTTCTCACGCTAGTCTATCGGGCCGCTCCACCCTCCAAAGAATCATCCACAAGCTTCAGCTCAAACTGCATCAAAACCGCCCAGGCCACTTTGCAGAGACATCATGACTGCTTGGACGTGATGCGCAAGAACCACGATATCTACTTTCCCAAGTACGTCCATTGGTAAGATTGTGTCTCCGAGTAAAACCACCGGCCAACTCCATCCTCTCCGGCTCTAACATAATAACCGCTCCCAGGACCCTCCTCTTCGCGCCCTTTTCTCCCTTCATCGTCATATTCTGTCACGTAATCGAAACCCAAGATCAAAGTTGCCTATCTCACCTCCAGATCTTCGTCGAATCCATCAGGACCGCACCAACTGTCTCAGATGCTGCCGCCAGAATGTACCGGCTTTTCCTAGTCCTCTACAACGTGGCATTGCGCTACGTAGAGTTCCGCACAACCCAGCAGCCAGGCCAGACAGCAGCGTGTGCCGAGATGGATGAATACCTCGCTGCATTGGGACTATCAGCACCTATTTCGGGTGACGTCCATTATCAGGCTTTGCAGTCTCTGGATTCAGACTCTGGACGTGATTTGATCGGACAGGAGTATAGGCAGAGGGAGGAGCCGATGATGCGAATGGGTAATGAGGCAGAGCTGGATGGCTGGTTCTCTAGTAACCGGGCTATAATGGGGTTACTTCAGGAGTCGGACTTCACTCTTCTAGATGAGAGTTGGATATGCTGAGCATTTTGTCGGTGCTTGTTTAATTTTGAACCTGGAGCTTTTATTTATATTGGTCAAAAAACGTCTTATATCTCAACTGCACAGTTTATTAATCTCGCCTGCGTTCTCGATATCTTCGCTGGTTGGTGCGGATGGGAGCTAGGTCCTCGACCTATGTGAAGTATTTTCGGAACGATAAGAAATGCGGGAGACAGCGATGGGGCTGGGCTCTTTACAGAGTCACCCTTTCTTAATTCAGCTACACTCACAGGAGTACATGGGAATTCAGCCAACTTCGCGAAAAGAGGAAGCGATGTATGCGATATCTCCATAGTAAATCCTTCGAAGGATCCGCGGGTCGGAGGAAGACCCACTGCTTACGCTAGTATATCTTGTCCAATCAGAATTCGCTGGTGACATACTCCTTCATGCACTCACTTTATCTGTAGAAACCGAGTTTTTATGGCTGTGCTCAGTCTTACTTGTTCCCCTTCGTCGAAATACTCCATGCTTTATCAATCTATACAGAGATTGCCCTGGACATTCAAGTCCGCAATTTCTTTGAGGCCTTTCTTGTTGCACCCCGTACATTTAAAAAGGATGCATTCCACTATCCCTCAGCAAGTGGTCCCAGATACCCGCCTCACAGAGACAAGTTATCGATCATTGGAACTGCCTCTGAGTGAAGACGACCCAGAAATCCGCCAGAAGTACCGACCGTTCATTCTCACCGACACTACGACCGAGGACTGGGTCAACAACCTAGAGCTATCCACGGCTCTAAACATGGCCGAGCAGAACCTCCGGAACACAAACGAGAGACTGAAAGTTTTGGTCCTTTACGGCAGCCTTCGGAGAAGGTCCTATTCCCGACTCGTGGCATTCGAGGCCTCGCGCATCCTGTTCCGACTCGGCTGTGACGTTCGCGTATTTGACCCTGAAGGTCTCCCCGTGAAGAGCGACAGCGATGCAAACCACCCGAAAGTACACGAACTCCGAGAGCTCAGCCGCTGGAGTGATGGACATGTCTGGGTATCGCCTGAACAGCACGGGAATCTGGTACATTACCTCCATATCGCGAGTAATCCAACACCTGGCGCGAGAACTAATTATTGGTTCTAGACCGCTGTATTCAAAAACCAAATCGACTGGATCCCCTTGACAACAGGGAGTGTTCGTCCCACGCAGGGCAGAACGCTCGCCATCGCCCAGGTCTGCGGTGGATCCCAATCCTTCAATGCCGTCAACTCACTGCGGATCCTGGGTCGGTGGATGCGCATGTTCACGATCCCGAATCAATCCTCGATCCCCAGAGCATATACGCAATTTCCGGACGAAGGGCAGCCAGAAGATCAACGACTCATGCATAGTGGCAACCGCGATCGGCTGGTGGATTGCATGGAGGAGTTTGTCAAATATACGATTCTGATGCGTCCGCACATTGAGCTTTTTGGTGATCGGTTTAGCGAACGGGAAGATAGGAGGTTGAAGGAGGAGATGAGGAATGCTGCTATTTGAAGTTGAATACAGTAACCACTACACATGGTCTAGTACAATGGAATGTAAGGAATAATGCTGTTTATCTGAAGTCGTCTTGCCCTCTACAAGTTTGGTGATTAAACCACATTCAGAAATCAGCCATTACATGCAGTAGCTGGTCCAATGCGATTCGTCTTTCAGCTTTAACTCCTGCTGACCAAGTCATCTAGAACCCGAAGGCTAATTTCGCAGAAATGGGTATTGGTGGCGGGTAAAAGGACAGGTAACAATGATGTGAGGAGAAGATGAATGAGAGTGAGCATTGGGAGGATGTTAAGGGGGGAGGGCGAAGGTTGGTTAAGTTAGTAGGTGGGATACATGAGTTTGGTATAGGGTGTGGATATACTGACGATAGGAATAAGGCAAAGACTAGGTATAGGAATTGTCTATATCTGTACAGCTCTGCTTATCGGTTTCTGTAAACTTTTCCATTGCGTTCAATTAATTAACCAAACAAACATTCAAACAGAAGACAAATGAAAGAGGTATCGTTCTCATTCAATCTATCCCCCAGACTGCGATGAACATTGACTAGAAAGAAGTGACACCTGTTCATCATCCCCAAGCACATACTGGTGAATCTCACCTGACCTGGTTCCAATGTATAGAACATTTTCATGCGAAGTCCAGACACCCCGGTATTCTGGAGGTAGCAACAGATATCTTCGGTCACCGCGGACAATCCAGTCGTCCCGCACGGCAATGAAAGGAATGCACTCGTCAGAGCTCGTTAGAAGATTTTTGTCTTTCGAGCACCCGTCTTCGATGCGAAAAGCCTCCCTCTCTGTGAATAGATGACCACCGTCTGTGGAAAACCGTAGTAAATGTGTTGGACCAGTCGTATCAATCTTTTGCAGACACTCTCCAGTAATGGGGTCCCATATCGATAGTGTACTGTCGTCGTAACTACTAACTACATACTGATCATCTGGTAAGAACGCAATGGCAAGCGGGCTACTGGAGCTTAAGTGGCCCTGGAATCCATGTGGCTGATGGCGCAGGTCCTCACTAAAATGCCATACCTGGTAGTCGTATCTTTGCTCACCCCATGTACTGTTTACCAGCACCCGACCATCCGGCGAGAAACACATTGTACTGGCAATCAAACGATGGCCCTCTCGCACTTTGCACATGATTCTTTTGAGATCCAAGTCCCAAATGGCAATTGAACCATCTTGTTGAGAAGCACATGCTAACATTCGACTATCTGGAGAGAATACCAGACATGTCGAGCGAGAGTGATCATCATTCGACAGCGTGTGCACTCTTTTGCCTGATCCGTTTGCCTCAATTTCCCAAAGATTCAGGCCCTTATCTCTGGAGCTAAAGGCCAGTCTCAGGCCATCAGGCGAGAGGGCAATTCTCAAGACCGATATCGACGACATCTTGGATTCTTTCCAAAGACTGTCTGAGGCTATCTTATCGGTCCCCCAAATTTGAACGACGCCATTCACAAAGCCGCAAGCCAAACGACGATTATCACGTGAGAAGGCAAGAGCGCAGCAGGATGATATAAGATTACCAAGAACCTTTGGTCGCAACTCTGAGCCTTGATGATTTAGGTCCCATAGCTCAATGGTGGAACCCCAAGGAGTTGAAACTAGCCACCGTTCATCTGCTGAAAGTTGAAGCATCCGAGGCCTTCCCGAGCTGATCACTCTCTGGATATTTGCATTCTTTTCTGTCGAGCTTGTGTTGAAATCAAAATTTTCGACGACAAGTTTCCCGTCGACACAGTGTATTATTCGTTTCTGGTATCCTGAGCAGACCATGGGGCGTTGTAGGACCTTGTCAAAGCTCTTTATTGCATTCGGGCAACATAAGTCATCTTTGTCAATACTGCACATCTTGATTTTATCCTGCACACCCCAGACAAGGAAGCGATCATGGTGTAAAAAACCAACAGATCTAATTTCGTCTGTTTCATTAAAAATATGAAGGATATGTGGCTCACCCCCGGTCAAATCCCATAATTGTAGGGCATATTCCACGTCACCTTTTAGAGCCCAGGTAACTGCCGCCATTCTTTGGCTATTGAAAGAGAATGCTATAAACAAGGTCTGGCAAAAGCGAGGTGGTAGTTCTGAGTGGCGTGACTCGGCTGAGTTGCTTGAGTTTTCTGCTTCACCAAGGCTGCCTGAGTTGGGTATAAGCGTGAATGACTCCTTGCTGGCCACATGCCAAATCCGGACGGTGCCATCTTGGAAGCTACACGCTAGTAATTCACCGTCTGGTGAGAATGTAGAAATCAGTACCCCAGATTCCGAAGAGTTGGATAATGTCCGGATTTGCTGTACAGACCCCATTCCCTCGTCATCCCAGAGCTTGATGGTATTCTTATCGTAGCTGCAAGCAAGGAGGCGACCGTCTGATGAGAATCCAAGTGCCTGTATCCTCTCTGGAGGGCCTTGGAAGGACTGCAGTAGCGCACCCCAGTCTTCTTCTACTGGTGGCAGGGTCACAAAATCATGTGGGATCTGACTGTTGAACATTTCCCGCACCACACTATTCTCCGGCGTAAATATGAGCGCAGAAGAATATACTTGGAGAGGCGCCATGCTAATCATGTCGGCAGCTCTTTGCGTAAATCGAACTGCGTCAGAAAGGAATCTGGTTAACAGGGTGTCCTGCGTTTCCTGGAACAACCATCAGCACCAAACGATTATTGCTATTTATGGTGAGCATTGAATAGAGATTAACTGACCGGAAAAAGCCGTTGCATACTTGAAAGATATCTTAAGACCTCCGATACCAACCCAAGGATGCCCATTGCCTCCAACCAGTGCAGGAAGTGTGCCTCGAAAAATGCGTAAATGCGACCCTGACCAATCCCCATCTGTCCATCTACAAGGTGTTTGACCCAGTATCGACAAGCGTATTTCAACTCGGGACTCAAGGCTTTCTCAATTTCATCAATTTCGCTGCTTAGAATTCCATTATTTTCAAGCCCGCAGATGTTTCTTCGGAGACCGATCTTCTTATCGGACATCACTTCAAGGCATTTATCGGCTAAATCTCGATGTCGTACAATTGTATTTATCGTGAACGGGTCCATGTCAGATGTGCTATCATCGACAAGAATGTCTCGGAATGATAAGTGCAGAGGTCTTATTGGGACATGAGCTTCATCAGGTATGACGAGAACGGAACGGAGGCGTCCAAGTCTTCTATTAGTGAGCGCTTTCGACACTCCGAGAATGCGCGCCAGAGAATTGGCTGGGAGTGGGTCATATAGAAGAATAATGGATCCAACAATGCGGTGGAAGTCTTGAAGTATCTCTTGTTTGTCCGTCTTACTTTTTCCGGAAACAAGCTGGTCCAAAATCGTTCGATAGGTTTGGGCGAGCTTGTTGTCGGAGTGAGGCTGCCGCAGGATTATTTCAACGCGTTCCTCGGGATCGAAGTCCTTGTCTCCAACAAATCCACATATGGTTGAAGCGACAATAAATAGCGGGTATGCTTTCTCTGTCAGTCTCCTGATCGTGATTTCAGGCCAACTCATTAGTTCCCCGTGTGGTGTCCTTATCTTTATTTCGCTGAGTTTGGCACGCATATAGACTGAGATGTCACGTTCCACGCCTTCGACGTCTTGAAGAAGTTTTTCTCGGTATGGACGATTTTGCATCCTATCTAAACCTTCACGAATTGCCAGCTCGGGTCTCCCTGTAATGAAAAATCGCAAGTCCACCCCTTGAGGGCTTTGTGTTCTGGGTAACATCTCGAAAATTCGCATCATGTCCTGGTTATTTTGACACTCGTCGACTGCGTCAAGGATGAGAACCAGAGTCTGGCGCTGAGGCAGTCGAACATTGAGTAATGGCTTCAGAAACAGTTCCTCGAACTGCTCTTCCAAGCTCCGATTGAAAATCAAGTCATCTTTGTCAATGACATGCTTAATGTCATGTTTGAGGCTCGGAAAGAATGTTATTAACTGGCGAACGACTGTCGGTATAAACTTTTCCAATGAGTCACAGTCCTGTTCACCTTTCTTAAAGAAAAAGCTTGCCCCGAGGATCCCTCGGTTTTTAAATAATTTGGCCAGTGTACGTGAAATAGTCGACTTTCCGGTCCCTGCCATACCATTCAGCCAGAAGAACTGCTTGTCACCAGGATTGTCCACCCAGTTTACAATCTCCTGCAAGAGGCCATGCCTTGTTCCCTTATAACACCACCTTTCCTGTAGGTCTTCCAAAACGCCATTTAGCGCCTTGTCGGCAAAGGGCAACCTGGAGAGTTGGAAATCTTGGTCAATCTTTTGAACTAATGCTGAATTCTGTTCAATTTGAGCGAGCAGTCTCTCCCCTTGTTGGCTAGCACGGAAGGTGTGGTCCAGGACAATCAGACCCTGAAGGGTTTGATCCTGCTTTTCAATATTCGCCCGGAGCATTGATAGTTGCTGATTCTCAGGTTCGGGGACCAAAAGACTGAGCCAGATTCGTTCGGCCACGCCTGCTTCTCGAACATGGGCCATCTCTAAAGCATATCGCATGATGCTTGCATAGAGTTGAATGACGCTTTGATTGAGAAGCTTGCTGGTATCCTCGTGGCTTTTCTGGAGTGATTTCTCCACAAGGGTATAGCGGGCCAGTACATCTGTCAGAAACTCCGAGGCCTCGAACAACTTCTCCTGAAGCATACGATCGTTCTGGGTCATCTATAGCGCCAGTGTTAGTTTAGTTCCAAACTGAATGGAAAAGTTAATCAGACTTACCTTCAGTCCAAGGGATACTATTGCCCACGCACTTGCTGCATGACCCGTGGGGTCAACGGCCACGATGCCTCCGACCACACTCTGCATGGAACACGCAGCATCGAGAATGCGTTCGGCAGCTCTCCTGACTTTGGAATCGTCGAGCTTAATTTTCCGAATCTCGAACTGATCCTTGACCGTCTCGATGGTATCCCGCAGCCATATAGAAATGGACGTATCGTCGGTATGTTGGTCGCTGGGGCTTTTCCTAGGGAGATCCTGGCGGATTAAGTCCAGTCGCGATCGTTCGGCTTGGTCCAGAGATTGATAGGCAGCGTCCCAGAGATTCTGAGCAAGAGCAACCGGACTTTGCGCCAGCTCATGGGAAGTCGGAGCTTCTTCTAACTCAGGGATGTGATTGTTTTGAGCGGAAGTGTGTTCGACTGGATCGTTGTCTGTCCCACTGATCGGGTTCTCACGTACATCCTCTTCCTCTTCCGATAGAATCTTTTAAGCCAACTCTTGCCTTTACGGGAAGGCATCGTTTCTGTTTCAGTCGATGGCGCAAATTGGAATGCGAAAGGTAATACGAGGCTGGGTGACGGCGGTGCAACCTCTAGGTAGTTCTATATTGCCTTTTGCTGGTATATCGCTAAGCGCTGTCTCAGCCCCTCATTGCTGGCCAATGATCAAACGACACGCAGGCTGACATAGACAATAGGTTATTGGTACTTGCTTTTATAATATCCTTTTTTCTATTTCCTCAAGCAATAGAATGGCTTTGGACATTCAACAACCGAAGAGAGATTACATTATCCAGCTATACAAATAGACCTCATACAGTACATGCACTATAAGGTACCTATATTTATATCTAGATAGAAAAACATAACAAGAACAGTATTTTTAAAAGAGGAAAAAGAAAGAGCTTTAATAATAGTCCCAAACAACAAGGCAATTATCGACTTCGGAAACCTCACCCAAAACATTCGCTGTACTTGAGAAGGCAGGGGTCTGCAAGCTATACTCTTACTATTATACTCTTACTATAAGATTATGATATAGCTTAATTTCACACAGCGCCCCTCGAATCAAAATGAAATACCCAACTACTACTTCTTCTAACCGCTATTTTACCAAACATCGTCTACCGATGACAACTTCCAATCCACAAAAAGTAGTCAATCTAATCAACTCAAACTCAATTCAACAAACCTCGGCATATCCACCAGCCTTGGCAATCCCCTTCTAACAAACCCCTCAAGATCACTTCCCTCCCAATTACACCCTCCCTCTCAATCCTCAGAACTAACACAATTCACCACAAAACACAATTATAAAAATGTCCACCCGCCTCCAAGCAACAGCCACCGGCTGGCTGATCATCTCTCTCGGGCACACGGTACATCTCCCTCTTCCCTCTACCCTCTCCCGTCTCTCAGCATGCAAACTAACACCAGTATTCTGTATAGCTCTCCGCCAAAACCTGGCAATCAGCACCCCAGTTCCGCGCGCTCCCGAATCTTCCCTACTCGTGCGCAAAAGTCGGCTGGTACCAGGGGAGTGCATTTTTCTTGATGACGGGTGAGTTTGCCCATGTTTTCTTTCTAGACAGCGAGCGAGGATGTAGTCATGACATCATCATCCCTTTTCATCATTAGTTGGTTGGGTATCAAGTGATATATTATATGGCTATTACTTAACTGTTGCTAATGCATACATATACGCTACTCGCGATAGCATTGCTCAACTACTCCTGGGCCCAAGACCCGACTCTCCTAGAGCTGCCGGTGAATAGGGCCATTGCGGCGCTGATGACGGGTATCGTGTGGGCCAGCTCCGGGTGGTATTTCAAGCGTGGCGTCGTTGAGAATGGGGTTGTCGTTGCGGTTATGGGGGCCGTGCAGGCTTGGGCGGCTTTTTTCTAACTCACTTTTTCGAGGTTCTAGGTGTAATGTTTATTGGGTTTATTAGGGTAGGGTAGGTGGTTTGAGTATACCATAGTGGTGAAAGTATTCTGTCTGTCTGTCTGTCTGTTGTATGTACACACAAGGATATCATATCATATACTTGAAAGGAAAAGACTGTGAAAAACAAAAAGAAAGACAAGTCTATAAGTTCGCAACACCATAGGCCACGGTCAAACTCCTTGCCGAATAAATTATGTGCATGTATGTACCTCAACCCATTACCCCAACCCCATTCCTATTCCCATACCCATAGCCCCCTTTTGTACATCCGATTTATTTCTCCGTATAGGACTCCTGGCTGGTCGAGACCGCCCGTCGGCCCCAGCCGCTGAAGAATCCGCCGCCGGTGGCTGGCGGCTCCGTGGCGACTTTGTGGACGCCCATGGCGGAGGGGGAGCGGCTGGGGGGTTCGGGGGTTTGGGACTGCGCGCGCTGCGACGCGGCGACCTGTTTCCGCAGCCCTTCCATCTTGGCCTTCACCTCCTCGAGTTCTTGCTTGGCGACGGCTTCGGCGGTCTTTGCGTTGACGAGCTCGAGCAGGAGGGCCTCGTCGCCGGCCGGCTTGTTGTTCTCCGTCGACAGCACCGATTGCAGACCCAGGCTGCTGGATCGTTTGGTGAAGGTGCTGCGTTTGGAGCTGGAGCGCTGCGACAGGGATCGTTGCGAGTTGGAGCGCACGAGTTTGAGTTCGCGCAGGCCGGGCGGCGTGGCCCCTTCGCCGGGCTCGCTGGTGGGGGAGCCGTAGGATTCCGGCGGCGAGTCGGAGGGGGGCGCTTTGATGGAGCGGAGCTCGCGCACCATGCGCTCCAGACGCTGGCGATCGCGGTAGCCGTCTTGGATGCGCCCGCGGGCTTCGCGGAGTTGGTCGCGCAGCGACGAGTTCTCCTTCTCGTGGTCGTCCATGCGACGGGTCAGGTCGAGACAGCGACCGGCCTCGACGGTGTGCATCTCCTTCCAACGGTTGAGGTCGTCGCGCAGCTGGTGCTTGGTCTGGTCGATGGATTCCCGGTCCGGCGCGGCGCTGCCGACGAAACGCTCCTCGGCTTTGCCGATCAGCTCGCTCGGCGGGTTCTCGGTGCTCCTGATGTGGTTGAGCATGGCTTTCGCGATCTGCTGGTCCTCCTCGCGCTCTTCGCGCTCGTGCTGCAGGTCCCGGGTGAGGTCGGCGTGTTGGCGCTGTAGATCGCTGAGCGCCATCAGCAGATCTTCGATTTGCGTGTGCAGGTCGCGATCCTTGTTCTGCGACATGGTGGATTTGGCGCGCGGCTTGGGGACGTCGGCGGCGGAGAGTTCGGTCGGAGCGGTGCTGGCATCGGAGGTGGATTCGATGGAATTTAAGGTGGAGGTCATGCTCTGCTTGGAGGCGGAGCGACGGATGCTGGTGCTGGCGTGGTTGGGATTGAGCGAGAAGGGTTTCATGGAGTTGTGGGAGCCAGACCCCGAATTCGACCCCGCCCAGAAGCGGCCCAAGAAGCGCGACGCCGCCGCCTGCATTTGGGGGAACGAGATGCCCGTCGGCACTCCCTGCGATTGGTTGTAGCTGGCTTCCAGCGCTTGCAGGCTTTCCTTGGTAACCAGCGACGTGAGCGAGACAAAGTCGTTGACGAAATCGTCGGCGTGGCAGGCGTATCTGCGGCCCAAATTAGCTCCCAGCCTCTGACGGGCGCATCCAGTGGCTGACTTACGTATCCCACAAACTGCGCGACAACAACAGCTGCATCACGTCTTCGAATTCCGCGCAGGCCAGAATCTTCTTCTCGTTGCGCTGCATCAGCGACAGTGCCACTCGCATCAGCGTCTCGCACGCGCCCTCGAGGAAAATCACATCGTAGATCCGCAGCAGCATGGGCAGAGGGCAGGACACCGCGAAGAACGACAGGAACCACTGCGACACGTACACCGGCTCAACATGCAACGATTCCAGGTGCGCGAAAAGACCGGGTCGAAGGCGCGAAAGGAGATTCTGGAACTGGTAGACCCGGAGATGAAGGCCCGACAGATCGGGCAGATAGCACGTGCGCAGGTCATAGTGGTCCATCAACCTATTCGAATTAGCTCTCTTCTACATCTTCAGGAACCGTCTCTTATCTTACCTCACAAGCACGCAGAACGCCTCCGCATCAGTCATGTGCATCAACAACGGACCGACCACAAAACCCAGACCCTGGCAGTACCCGATTTTCGTGTCGTAGAGACTGAAGCATTTCAGGACCCGAGCCAACATCTGCTGTCCCTCGCCGTGAGGATCACGGAACATCTCGACGTTGGGAAAGCTGCGACCGATATCCTTTCCGATCAGACCCTCGTACGGGCTAGTCTCGCCGCACAACCTCTGGTATTCCGCCAAAAGCGTCGTATCCCGAGCACCGGCCAAACTAGGCCATACCACGCCGCGCAAAGGCGGCGGGACACCACCGCGGATTTTATTTGAGGTCAACGTCGGTAATCGCTGTGCGGTTTGGGGGTAATCTGCGACGAGAGCGGCCCAGAATTCGAGTTCGGTCATCGGGGGAGGGGGGAGCTGGGAATAACGCAACGACGATCGAGGGTCATCGTTGATCAATCGTTTGATGTGATGGAGCGACTGTGATCGGGACGGTCTTTGCTGTATTTCCGGGGTTTTTGGGACATTGGTCAGTCCCGACTTAGGGTTGGTTGCCAGGGCATTGTTTTCTTGCTCCAGACGAGCCAGCAGAAGGGCCGTCGACTAAATCCAGTCAATCCTTGATCTTTCATCCCCGTGTAATCCTCAAGCTAGAACAACGCACCTCGTCGGACCCCTCGCGGCGGGGTTCCTGCTCTTCCGACTTTTCCAGTTCCTCCCAATCCACCATATCGCCATCTCCCCGGTCGCCTTCCTCACTGCTCCGAGACCGAATCGACGCACCGGCACTCCGCACGGATTTCAAAGTCGGCGTGGTTCTCGTCTCGCTGTCTTCGGCACTGGCGGGCGACGTCACCTCGACGGGGGTCCGGGGAATGTCGAGAGTCCGCCATTCGGGCTGGGTGTGCTCCGAGTTGGATGATAACGAGACGGTGACCATGGAGTCGCTATGCGCGTGATTCGGGGCAACGTGGTTCAGGATCCCGTCGGATTGAACGCGAGATGTGGCGGGACTGGAGGGATCCATGGTCTTTGGCTTTCAGGGAGTATTTCTGACGGCTCAATGGGTGGCAATCAAGTGCGCATTCCTCGCGATCAATCAGCAGTGGGGGCGGAGGGGAACCAACGCGGTGGCCGCGGTCGGGTAATCGGATATCAGAGGCGCAAAGGATTAAGAGAAGCAAAGCACACGATCAGGAGGGGCGGTCGCAGTTGACAGCATCGCTTGCAGGACAAATCGGCGGGGAGGAGGGGAGGTGGGAGAGAGGGAGAGTCGGTGGGAGTGAGAGTGAAAGAGTGAGAGAGTGAGAGAGGGGACGGAGGAGAAAGGAAGAACGGCCAGGCCGGTTACGCCGTAGTTTGGTTTCAGAAAGTGAACTCCCTGAAATGACGAGTCGGACAGAAATGGAGAGGTTATTTCCTTTAGTCGGATTAGTGCCGGCCACTAGAGCGTCATGCTATAAACGCTCACGATATTAATCAATCAATACGCAGTATTACTCCGTAGGGAGACCGAAATAACTCGGGCTAAGAGAAGGCCATCATGTCGCGATGACAGCACTCAGGGGCATCCGATGCCTTCTCCGCCGTCGAGTCTCGCCCCGTCGATCGCACTCAATAATGCATCGTCGCCGGCCTCCCTATCGGGGTCGATTATTCGACCTCCTTGGTTGAGCCGGGGGAGGACGATCGATATGCTAGCATCTCCACATCCCGAACCACGGATGGGATTGTTGCTGCCATTGTTCGTTATCTACGCTGTGGGCAGTATCTACACTTCTGCTCCGTCCAGAATAAGGGATATCTCGTCACACATGCGAGGGGAATTCGCAACGACTTCATTCGCCTCGTCGAGGATCCAGTGGGATCCACGCTGGCCTCCACAAGGTTAATTAAGCTGGTCGTCCCATGGCGATAGTGGGCTGGAATAACGGTGCAAAGTCGGACTCCTGGACCGATAGATTCCAGCTGCCATCGTCCGAGGTAAGCCCCTGTCTACCACCCTAGCACCTCTAGCATGTCTATCTCCAGGTATAGTAAAGAAGAGTAAGTCAAGCAAGGACTGTCAGAGAAGTTTCTGGCTTCCAGTTCCCCTGCATAAGTCCGTTGTGAACTTCCCCTGAATGGACTCTCGGCGCGTTCCGTTTCATACGCCCAGGGATGCGGTCTTGGCAGTAGCCGATTGGCGGCTTTTTGTTTACTGTCATTCTGATTGGATCATTTTATCCTCAATCTCCACCGTGTAAAGTACCGTACGCCGCCCATACCGCCACATCTTACGTAAGGTCGAAAACAGCCTTACGGGTCCGGCCGCACGGATTCTAGAAGCGCGGTGGAAGGGCCGAGGCAGAGGACTCATGGGACTGGATGTACGTAGCACGCTCATCTTAGGTTGGGTGCTTACTGCCTAGTTGATAGGAAAGTCATTGAAGTGCGCACCTGGGCAGTGATCAGTAAACTAGAAATGTTACAGCTGGAGGTGGAAGTGGCAAATGAATCTATATTTTGAAGCGCTAGTGAGCGTTGGGAGGTAAGAGAGTCCTTCAGAGTGAGGTAAGAGGGTCTTCATGACAAAGGGGCACACAAAGACCGTGGCAGTTCGGAGTCTACACTCATTCGGACTAGGAGCTATTCCCAAGAGATCGAGAATGGTTTCATCAAGACCAAATGGGGAGGTGCTTGTTCTTTGTGGTTCTTTATTAGGGTGGTTGCCAGGAAACTGGGCAGTCAACGTGAGATAGGCCGTTGAGTGTAAAGAACTGAAGGACTGAAAGGACCAGAAACACAAAGAGAAAAGTTTTCTGGAGGGGAGATGAATGGTTTCTAATAATAACTGCTACCTGCGATGGTTCCCCTCCCCCGCGCGTCCTTGCATGTTTTGGTCGCACCTTCCCTTTCTGGCCAGACTGTTTGGGGATTGCCTCTTTGGGGAAAGCGCTTGCCACTCGGGGCGGAGGAACCGATGATCCGGCGGACAGACAGGTTCTGCCACGCCGGCGGCAATCAGCCAGAGCGCGTCCAGGTCTGCCAGCCTCGACAAAGCAACGACAACAACGACAACAACAACAAAGAGGCGATCGTTCGGGGGTTTTGTTTGTTTTCTCGCTCACGTTCTCTCCTATACCCTGAGGTGCCCCCCATTTTGGAGGTTGACCCTCCTGTTTTTCTTCCCTCGATCCTTGCCGTCACTCTTTCTCCTTTTCTCTTCTGCTGTTTCACCGTCGTAATTCTCCCACTCGTTCGCCATGGACGACTCGATGGCTAGCTCCGTCTTCGATGACGAGGGCAGCTCTGACTTCGTCCCTGAGCCCGCTCCTGTATGTTTTTCACACGTCATCTCATCAATTCTGCTTGATCAACCTCTGACTGTCTGTCGCATTTAGAAAGCCAAGAAGGCCGCCCCGAAGAAAGCTGCCGCGCCCAAGAAAACCACCCAAACAACCCTGACGGGCAAAAAGACTGCGAAGGCGCCCGCTTCCAAGAAGCGCGCCAAAGCGGACAGCGAAGACGAGTTGTCCGATGGCAACAACATGTCCGACGACGACTCCATGCTGTCCCACACGCCTCCCAAGAAGGCCAAAACGGCTCCAGCTGCCAAAAGAGCTGGCTCGAAACCCCTCGCCGACGTGGAGAATGAATCCTTCACCGGCGAGGGCGCAGAGGAACCATCCAAGGAAGCCAGCGCTTCGGACAAGTACCAGAAGGTCAGTGGCTATCGCAACCCTCGTGTCCTTCCCCGCTAACCTTCTCGGCAATTAGCTATCACCACGCGAACATATTATCAAACGTCCGGATACCTATATCGGATCCACTGAGATGACCCCCCAGCATATGTGGGTGTACAGCTCGGTCTCCGAGGGTATGGAGTTCCGAGAGGTCACCTACGTCCCCGGTCTCTATAAGATTTTCGATGAAATCGTTGTCAACGCCGCCGACAACAAGCAGAACGATAAGAACATGGACGAAATCCGGGTGACCATTGACCGCGAGTCGGGTGTTATCAGTGTCTGGAACAACGGTCGGGGTATCCCCATTGAAATGCACTCGAAGGAAAAGATCTTCGTCCCCGAGCTGATCTTCGGTCATTTGCTCACCTCCTCCAACTACGACGACACTCAGCAGAAGGTGACCGGTGGTCGTAACGGTTTCGGTGCCAAGCTCTGTAACGTCTTTTCCGTCGAGTTCAGCATTGAAACCCAGGATTCGCGACAGAAGAAGAAGTACAAGCAGACCTGGACCGACAACATGACCAAGGTCGGCAAAGCCAAGATCACGGAGGCCAAGGGTGAGGATTACACCAAGGTCACCTTCAAGCCCGACTATGCCAAGTTCGGCATGACCGGTATTGATGACGACTTTGAGGCTTTGGTGAAGCGTCGAGTCTACGATTTGGCGGGAACCGCCAAGGTGGCCGTGAAATTGAACGGCAGCCGCATTCCCATCCGCAACTTCAAGAAGTACATGGAGATGTACACCAAAGCCATTCGCCGAGAGCGAGGAGATGAGGGTCCCGCGCCCAAGGATGAGATCATCACATGCAGCCCCGATCCTCGGTGGGAGGTTGGTTTCGCGGTGTCGGACGGCTCCTTCCAGCAGGTGTCGTTCGTGAACTCGATCGCCACAACGTCAGGAGGTACTCACGTCAACTACATTGCCGACCAGATTTGCGGCAGACTGGCCACCGAACTCAAGAGGAAGAACAAGAACGGTGCTACGCTCAAGCCTGCGCAGCTCCGCAATCACATCTTTATCTTTGTGAACGCCCTGATCGTCAACCCGGCCTTTACCTCGCAAACCAAGGAGCAGTTGACCACCAAGCAGACCCAGTTCGGCAGCAAATGCCCGCTCGAGGACGATTTCTACAAGAAGATTCTGAAGACGAATGTCATGTCGAATATCTTGTCCTTTGCTCAGCACAAGGCGGACCAGATGCTGAAGAAGTCCGACGGCGGTCGCCGTTCTCGTATGAACAACCCGAAATTGACCGATGCGAACAAGGCCGGAACCAAGGATGGTCACCACTGTACTCTCATCTTGACGGAAGGTGACTCGGCCAAGGGTTTGGCGATGGCTGGGCGTGCGGTTGTCGGTCCCGATCTATTCGGTGTCTTCCCGCTGCGAGGAAAACTGCTGAACGTCCGTGATGCCTCGTTCGAGCAGATCTCCAAGAACCAGGAAATCCAAAACATCAAGAACTTCATCGGATTGCAGCACAAGAAAGAATACACCGAGACTCGTGGGCTGCGTTACGGCCATCTGATGATCATGACTGATCAGGATCACGATGGTAGTCATATCAAGGGTCTACTCATCAACTTCCTTCAGGCTCAGTTCCCTAGTTTGCTGAAGATCCCCGAGTTCCTGATCGAGTTCATTACTCCCATTGTGAAAATCTGGAAGGGTGACCCCAAGAACCCCACGAAACAACATTCCTTCTTCACGATGCCCGAGTACGAAGCGTTCAGGGAAGCTCACAAGAATGAACGTTGGGAGCACAAGTACTACAAGGGTCTGGGTACCAGTACCACTGAGGATGCCCAGGTTTACTTCCGCGATCTCGATCGCCACTTGAAGGAGTTTCACACCATTCAGGACAACGAGGCCGCCCTGATCGAACTCGCCTTCTCCAAGAAGAAGGCCGATGAGCGAAAGGAGTGGCTGCGGCAGTTCAAACCCGGAACCTTCTTGGACCACACGCTTTCCAAGATCACTTACACCGACTTCATCAACAAGGAACTTATTCTTTTCAGTATGGCCGACAACATCCGATCCATCCCCTCCGTTGTTGATGGTCTCAAGCCCGGTCAGCGCAAGGTCCTGTACACCTGCTTCCGGCGCAACCTGAAGAAAGATATGAAGGTGGTCGAACTGGCGGGTCACGTTTCCGGTATGACGGCGTACCAGCACGGTGATACATCCCTGCAGCAGACGATTGTCGGCTTGGCGCAAAACTTCGTTGGTTCCAACAACATCAACTGTCTGGAGCCCAGCGGTAACTTCGGTTCTCGTCTTCAGGGTGGTTCCGATTGTGCCAGTGCTCGTTACATCTACACCCGTCTGTCGCCATTTGCCCGGCGCGTGTTTCATTCCCACGATGATCCGCTCCTCACGTACAATGAAGATGATGGCGAGAAGATCGAGCCTGAAGTCTACATGCCCGTTGTGCCCATGATCCTGATCAACGGTGCTGACGGTATCGGTACTGGATGGAGTTCGTCGATTCCCAACTACAACCCCGAGGACATTGTCGAGAACCTGAGGCGCATGATGGACGGCGAGGAGATCAAGCCCATGCAGCCGTGGTTCCGAGGCTTCAACGGTGAGGTCACCGATGTGGGAGGCGATCGCTACAAATTCAGCGGTATCATCAAGGAGACCGGCGAGAAGGAAGTGGAAATCACTGAACTCCCCATCCGCACCTGGACCCAGGATTTCAAGGACAAACTTGAAGACATTATCAAGGCGGAGAAGACCCCCTCGTTCATCAAGGATTACAAGGATTACAACACGCATCACAAGGTTCACTTCGTTATCCAGATGGACGAAAAACACATGACGGCAGCTTTGTCTGAGGGCCTGGAGGAGAAGTTCAAGCTGACGAAATCCATCGCCACCTCCAACTTGGTCGCCTTTGACCCCGAAGGCCGCATCACGAAATACGCAGGTGTTGACGACATTCTCAAGGAATTCTATCAAATCCGTCTCAAGTATTACGAGCGCCGCAAGCAGTACCAGCTTTCCGAAATGCAAAGGGAGCTGGACAAACTGAGCAACCAGGCTCGATTCGTTCAAATGATCATCGACGGTGACTTGGTGGTTTCCAAGAAGAAGAAGAGCGCCCTCGTCGCCGAGCTGAAGGAGAAGAGCTTCAAGCCTTTCCCGAAGGTGAAGGATGCCGTCAAGGCCGGTGAAATGGAGCCTGTCGTCGAGGAAGAGGACGAAGAGAATGCGGAAGACACCGCGGTTCTCTCGAACTCCTACGACTATCTTCTGGGTATGGCCATTTGGTCTTTGACCCAGGAGCGTGTCGAAAAGCTCCGTCGCCAGATCGGCGACAAGGAGATGGAAATCGACGCCTTGATCAAGATGTCCAAGGAAGACATCTGGAAGCGCGACCTCGAGGAATTCATCAACGAATGGCGATTCCAGATCGACGATGAGGCTCGGCGCTTGCGCAAGGTGGCTAACATGGACCGTCGCAGATCTTCGAAACTCATGACGACTGGTCGGGGATTAGCTGCCAGGAAGCGCAAGGCCGCGACTGATGATGATCCGGACGACGAAGACTTTGCCGCGCCCAAATCCAAGAAGGCGGCGGCCAAGAAGGCGGAACCTAAGGGCGGTCTTCTCAATTACCTCGGTAGACCCGCCAAGCCAGCAGCCAAAGCAAAGCCTTCGCCGATGGACGAGGATGATTCGGACGATGATTTTGACATGGAGGTGCTGCCGAAGAAGAGTCGCGGTGCTGCGAAGCCTCAGCCCAAGTCTGAACCCGAGCCCGAACCCGAGCCCGAGCCCAAGAAAGAGGATGAGGATCAGGACATGGCCGATATAGCTGAAGAAGTCGCGCCAAAGAAGTCCCGAGCCAATTCCAAGGCTTCCACTTCTGTCAAGGCCGAGGAGGACGACGCCCCTAAAGCAGCTCCCAAGCGAGGCCGACCGGCAACGAAGGCGTCTTCTACTGCCAGCAAGGCCAAGGCCAAGCCTAAGGATGAAGACGATGATGATGACTTTGATGACGACGATATCCAAGAAATCACAAAGACCGAGGCCGCAAAGTCGTCATATGGGTCCAACCGCAGGGCCGGCCGGGGTCCGCCCTTGAACACGATCATCGACTCCGACAGCGATGATGGAGAGGATCTTCTTGGCGATGTCAGCAACATGGTTAAGGGCATCGGTGGCAAGAGCGGTGCGCCCTCCGATTCTCGACAGCTCTTCTCGGAGCGCTCTCGACCTGGAAGCAGCGGCTTGACCCCCAGCTCCAAAACCTCGAAGCGATCGCCTGACTTTGATGCGGACGAAACCGACTATAGCAAGCTGGTGCCGCAGAACTCCCCCCGTCGCACGCTGCAAGTCAAGCCCAAGGATAAGTCGCCGAAGATGTCGGATGACAATGACCCTGAAGAGGACAACGGCGCCGGCGATGACGATGACGAGGATGAGCCCGTGAAGCCCGCGGCCAGCAAGGCAAAGACTACTGCTCGGGGCAAGGCTGCGACGGGTGCCGCCGCGAAGACAGCTGCCGCGAAGACCCGTGGCCGGCCTAAGAAGGACGCGACCACCGCTACCAAGGCCAGTGCTCCTGCCACCAAGCAGACCACCTTGTCTCCGGCTGCCAAGGCCTACGCTTCCAAGCAAGCCAAGACTGCTAAGCCAGCCCCCAAGAAGAAGCAGCTGGCGGACGATCTGTCGGATGACGACATCGATGCCATGGCCAACGACATCTTGGACTCCCCTGCCGGAGGCAAGAAGGGCGACGAGTCGGAAGAGGAGGTGCGTCCCGCCCGGAGGGCAGCCGCTCGACCGGCGCGGCGGACCGCAGCGACCAAGAAGACCTACGTGGTCGATGATGATGACAGTGAGGACGGTGGTGATGGTGATTCTGGCGATGATTTCGATGAAAGCGACTAAACGCGCGTGCCCATGGGATAGGATGCAGGGTGCGTTGAACGTTTGCTGCTCCTAGAGTAATTTCTTTCTACTTGTTTTTACATATGTCTTACCTATGTCCATGCTTTGTTTCTATTCACATTTCGCACTGTTGAAAAGACGTTGAAAGTTCTCGTGTTGATAACTGGTTTTGATATGCAATCGGACTTGATCTTCGGTCTCTTTTATTTCGGTTCCTTCTTTGACCTTCCAAGTAGTTAATATTCTATTTTTAATCAGAAAATATGCTCTATTTCAAAAGTTCCAGATCTCTAGCTGAATAGTCGGCTCCACCCTATCTCTATACGACCATATTCTCGCCCGATGCTCGTGTTCATCAATTAGATGAGGCCGTAGTTCTACATGGGTAGTTCCGAGCAGCGAATCCCTACAATCTAGTAAATCGTAGGTAGTCATGCTGATAAATGAGGAATGAGGAACCAAGATCTTTGGAGGTTAGTCATTTAGGATTTCAGGGAGGTATAAAGGAGGTAGGATGAAGACTAGATAGAGTAAAGAGGCTGTTGGGATTCAGTGCCTGTTTTACTATAGGCAGGAAAATATAGGTGTTTGGTTCGATCACGGGGTTTATTCTACGAGTGGTAGGTATTTCCTTCTCGTGAAGGGATGGATGGATGGACATGAATAGATGGAATGTGTAGATGAAGATAAGGAATTAATTAAAGCAGGAAATATTCAGAAAGATAAAATAAAAAGTCCAAAGAAAAGCACATCCAAAGACAGTCTTAAACAAACCCGAAGAAAAATAAAAACCTAAAGACACAATGCGCCGATCCAGTCTATTTTATCATTCCTCGTGAGTTCGTTCGCAATGATACCTGCACTGCCCAGTGTTGGTCGACGAGACAGTCAAGCCGACGCTCTCCGTCTCTTCCGCCCGCTATTCTGCTGCTGCCAGCGCATGAATCCCTCTTCGTCGCTGCCGCTGCCGGTCGCGTCCTGCATGTACAGACTGAGAAGGGCATGCGCGGCCTTGACCTCGCCGGGGAGCAGCTTCTGGGGGTTTCGTCGAGATCGCGTTTCGATGTGGCTGGCTCGGGGTCGTTTACTGGGCGACTGGGATGGGTGCTCATCGTCGGAACTGTCGCGGTAGTCGCCGTCGTCGTCGTCCTCGTCGTCCTCGTCGTTGACGTCGACGTCGTCGAGTTCTAATAGACAGTCGCTGGGCGTGTTGGCGCTTGTCGTGGTCGAGGAGTATTGTGTGCTTGAGGACATCATTGTGTCGGAGCTGCCGCTGCCGCTCTCGCCGTCGCTGGAGTCGTTGGCTCTTTTTCGTGACATGTTTTGGAGCGAGCAGAGGAGTCCTCGTGGGGATGCGGTCCCTGAGTACCCCATCCCGATTTCGTTGCTGCGCGGTGTGTTCACGGGGGTGAAGGTATTGCGACACGGGCTGACGGGGGACATGCAGTATGCGTCGGAAGTGCTGGTGCCAGAGTTATATTCGGGGGAGGAGCCATAGCTAACCAAGCTGTCGGCGTAGTCATGACGAAGTTGATGGGCATGGTGGTGGTAGTCGAAGGATTTCGGGAGGATTTGTTTCTCGAATAGGTTCGAGGGGCATGCTGGTCGACGAGAGGTGAGGAGCGGCTGTTGTGGGGGGGACTGAAGTTCAAGGCTGCGGTAGTAGTTCGCCATTTCGGTGGATTTGTCCACGATGGATTTGTGGATGATCATGCGGCCGTATCGCCCACGATCTTGCGGGTGGATGCACATGTCTATGAAGTCGAGGCCGAAGATGGGGGTGAGGACGTGACGGATTCGCCAGCAAAAGGTGGCTGCGACTGCTTTGGCGGCTTCGAAAGGCATCCAGTAGCCTGGTTTCTATTAGTCTTTCTGAACTGTGTAGCCAGGGCAAAAAATGAATGCTCATACCTTGTGCTGCAAGCGCACCACCTGTGATGCTATGACAGATGTCGCGAAGGCCAGGGTTGGCGTTCAACATTTTGGCCGGGGTTGTCTGGTATTGTTAGTTGGGTCGAGATGATGGTCCACAAACGTTCACTGACCTTGGAGTAGTCCTGGCACTTGAAAAGGTGGGTTGTTCGAACTAGGCCGATATTGTAATCCCACATGACCATCCATCTCTTGTCTTCGCCAGGAATGGTAAATTCATACTGCAGAACTATAATCAACAGTCAGCTTCACATGTCTCCTAAACACTTCGAGTTCATCAAATGAATTCATACCTTCGAAGCTCTCGCGTCCCGTCCGCTCCTGAAACGACTTTTTGTCGCTGTTGTACGGGATGTGGCGCGGATACGACGCGATTTCGCCCATCGGATAGAGCTGGAATTCGCGGTGGATTCGGGTCAGCTCTTCATTTCGCTGCTCGCAAGGTGGGTATCGCAGCTCGCCCCTGATCTTGTCTTTCTTGAAGATCGCAGCATCCTTGGGCGCTTTCTCCCTTTTTTGACGAGATGATGCCCGGGGTGTCATCACGCTAGAAGGGTTCGACATTGCTGAACTTGGCACACAAAACCGGTCCAAGTCCGGTAAGGGGTTAAGAAGTGATTCGATAGAAGCCATGAGTAGAGGGCCCCTCGGAGTATAAGAGAAGAGGAATTCAACTCCAGCCAGACTTTCGATCGGCTCGGGGGAAAGGAATCACCAGTGAGTACCCAAAACAGCGAAAGGAAACCAACACAAACGGAGGTTTTATGAGAACACGACGAAAAGGTGCGGGGGCCTAATGAACCTTGCTGTTCTGATCCCTAAGACACTGGAGAAGGATGAATTCTAGAAGGGCCAGCAGGAGTCAAAGGAAGAGAGACAATCAAGAGAAACAAGAGGGAAAATAGAACGGATATCAGGGCACGGATATCTTAGCTCACCGTATTGCCCCGAGCAATCATCGGGCCAGCCAAACAGGAATGACAAAATAATAGCAGAAAATAAATAAAAAGACAAGGTCTGAGAAAAAAACAAATCAAATCATGAGCCACGCTCACCTCCCTTTCCTAGACTCATGGGTACAAGGTCTCCCAAATGAGTGGATACTTGACGGCATCTGACGAAGGGATCTCAATGGCTGCCTTCTGTTTGTCCCGTCTGAATGCGAGGAGAATTAGTGCGCGTGCAATCTCCTGTCGAGGCAATGACGGGGAAAGGGTGTAGCCATCTGGAGCAGCGGTGAGCCTTCTCCCTACGATGTGGCCATATTTCTAGACATCTTAGGTTGGGCGGATGTCTTGGATGGGCTGAAGGCTCCGGTATGAGAAACATTCTCCCGGCACTTGGACAAAGGAGGGCATCACGAGGCACACGCCAGATTGAACCGGACAGTGGGCGAGTCCAGCTTGCCATACCCAAAATCCACTTTGAGTATGGCAAATACTCCCTCGCCCCCGGGTTCAACCATTCTGTAACGGGGTTCCTCCCTCTTCGAAACCGGCGCTACTGCAAGAATACTTGACTGACGACATTCTGTTTCCCCTCAAAAATTCAAATCGGAAAAAGAAAAGGAAAAAAAGTCGCGTACGCCTCTCCGGATTTTCGAGGCTTCGCTGGTTCCACTCGCTCATCTGCAGCTACCCAAGACAAGAGATAACGCGGACTCCTAAGAGGGGGACGTGGTAGATCACGATTCAGGGGACGCCTGTCACCATGTGGAGGGTCTTGCATCATTGACCGTCAATTGGGAAAACCGGGTCTATGGCTTCTTGGATGATCCAGATCTCTGGTCCGTACAAACAGCTGGAGACGGCGGTCTGACGACCGTAAGCCAAAAGGGGAAGACGAAACCATGGAACCTTCAAGGGTATCCACAGATACTTTGTATCGCGATGATTCCTGTGTCGGTCTCGACTGATTCCGTTGCCGACTTTTCGGAGAGGGAGAACCCTTCCCTGTCAGCGGGAATCAATATCAGCCTACCCATGCTGATGACCTCGACATCAAGAATAATCCGTCGCTGAAGAAATCGGAAGAATTGATCTTCAGGGAACGAATGACCAATGAAAGGACGGTCTGCCAGTGGCTTCGCTCGACGAGGCGGGTATTAGGGAAGGTCTCAGACAGATTTCGGAAAGCTGCATGACACTTTTTCTCTGCTTGTAGGACAGGAATCCTGCTGCTGCTGCTGCTTCCAACCAATGAGTCCCACTGACGCAGCTCTTACTGGTCGTTGGACCAGGCTTTCGTCTTTGTTTTGTTTCTTCACTGCCTACCTGTCCTGCAAACCCACCATTTAAAATTCCAGCGGAATCTTTTACCGCAAAGGAAAGGACCAGAGAAACATTTGATTTGTCATGAAACTTTCCAGGGAAAAAAATAATAATAGATTGGGTATCAGCCATCGGTCCAGAGACATGATCTAGGAATCTAGTGTCGGTGAGCAGGCGACTGCCCGGGAACCCTAAGCTCGATACTGGACGTTACATTTCGAGCTTCGGAAGAAGCATGGGCGCAGTCATGTCCTCTGCCCCTCTCTTTGTCAGGCGACGCCGCAACGTCCATGAGGAACCTCCGTTCAGTTGGATTCAAGCCTCACTTCCCTGGGTGCAAGTAACACCCGTTCTTCCCTTGGGTTGCTCAGCCCTGGTCGGCATTGGAACAGGTCATAAAGCGAACCTTCTGGTATTCGAATGGGTGTGGACATAGATCTTGCAAGAAGACGCTCATAGTCAAAGCCATCCAAGGAAACTTCCACGCATGCTTCTCTGCACGTTCCCACTCACCGGTGGCGTTGTCACTTCCGGCCGATTTGTCTGGTCCAGATTGTCCAAATTTGACTGATGAGTCTGCCTTGTGGCGGTTTCTGAAAGAGACAGGAGCGAGAAAAATGAAAACTAAAAATAAAAAGCCCGGTTGCAAAGACCAGGAGGTAAAGGGCGAGGTCTAGGCTTCCTTAGAGATGCAGCTTACCTTGGCCAGAATGCCTGCACAAGAGCAGAATACACCACATCCTAGCCAGAGCCAGAAAGTCCGCCAACAGAGAAGAAAAGCTTGATTACCACCCAGATTGAAAGAGAGAGAAAAAGGAGAAAATAAAACAGGAGAAATCCCGACGGTCTTTGCCAATCAGGCGTGTCCGGGTCGAGACTGGATGGAAGATCTAGAAAACGGCAGGGAAACCCAACATCCGAGACATACGAATGGTTTGGGTTGAGGACATCTTGGCAGAATCATGTCTGAAGCAATCCCGACCGCTTGAATTTCAAATTGAGTCGTCTTACAATCGGTAGAGTGGAGAGAAGAGAGATGTGGGAAACGACAGAGGCTGGCGGCTTGCTCAGCTTGCAAGGGAGTTATTATCACGTTCGATTTGCTCCGGATGGCTTCAGGAGCGGTCAGCAGTGGACGGGGAATGATCCGACAGGATGCAAGAGATGGAGCTCTCATGGGGTCTTCGTTGGCTGTTGTTGACAGAAGGGAAAGAGAGAAGAAGAGGAAGAGGAGACAAACAATGGACTGAAGCCGTGCAAACCAGACAAACACCTCCGTGTCTTCGTCAGCAGCCCCCAGCCAATGAACGCCATTCTGGATGGTTTACGAACTATACGAACTACACACTCTGTGCCTAGGTATGGAGATAGATAGGGACCGCTAGGCAGTTACCTATGCAAAGGAAACAGACCTGGAGCACAATCCCCAAGTCTACATCTCGACCACTCCGTCGGACTAGAACCCGGACTCTCTGCCGAGTCTCCGGAAGCAGAGTCCCGCTGGTCTCTGCGTCAGGGGCACGACCATCCGCCGTCCCGACAGCCCCTGCTAATTAAACGATTCGTCTTGATCTGCACTCCCGTTGCGCGGATGCGTTCCCCGTCTGCCTTTTGGCGCGGGATGACCCTTGTGCACAACGGCATCATAAAACAGTCTAGCCACCTCTGTGTGACCGGCTCTCGATCTGGGGTAGGCAGGAAGCCCTTTTCCCGCCGACGCCCAGCTGAGATCCGAGGGATTTGTAACTCCCCCATGCTCGCGGATTTGGCTCTACCGTGGGTCTGGTAAAGCCCTGGGTCGAATCCCGTCGCAGCATGGCTGTTCCCACGCACGGTGGATGACAGGGGTAACGCCAATACCCGACTAAATGCCGAATGGCGCGGTGACCAAATCTTCGGCAAAGGAAGCGGAGCCAGAAATAGAAGAGAGAGGGAGAGAAGGAGAAAGAATGTCGAACCAAAAGACCATGGGAGAGGTCTGGCACGGTCCCTCCGCAAAGTGCACAAACTCGTAATGACTATGCAACTGGTGACTCGCACAGGACGTGCCCGTTCCCTGGAAGGCCAAACAAGTCACGTCACTCAGAACTAGCTCCCAAGTCCTTAGCTGCATTCTGCTTCTTCTCGCTTCTTGGTCCTGCGGTGTGGTCCGAGGTCGTGGTGCGACAAGAGATGCATTTCGCACCAAGTTCCCGGCACACGCAAAGCTGAAGAGAAATGCAGGTGGCAGATGTGAGATGAAGGCCCTGGGGGAAGAATATAAAGTAGATACAAACTACGGATATCTTCGACGGGACAAGCATTGAGGGATAAAAAGGAAGAAAAGTAGAAAGTCCTCGGGAGACATCATACCATCTCGTCATCGTACACACCAAATTATCCATCTCCTTGCCACAAATCCCCCGGTTAGAGCCACCTTCACACAACATCCTCTGCGTTTCCTAATTACAAATTCCGCGTATCCACAGCTGCCTCGACGTCATCGTTTACCTATCAAAAGTAATCATATGGTTGGACAGGGCCATAGTTTTGGGACGCGACGGATCGACAAGGGCGCCTCCTTTACGCCAGAAGAGGTTCCTTCTCCTCGTACTGAGGGGGCTGCTCCTGAGGGGGCTGCTCGATGGATTCCGCCACTGGCTCGGTCTTGGGGGCCTCGGGGAAGTCGGAAGAGGTGAAAGCGGGTTCGGGCTCGGGCTCCTTCTTGATAACGGGAGTGGGAGTAGGCGCAACCTTGGCGACCTCGGGTGACGCAGAGCGACGCTGGCCTGGAAGAAGCCCCTGTGCCTTGGCGCTGTAATCGTTGAGATACTGTTGGATGACTCCCGATGTGCGGGCAGCGCGCTCCTCGGCGAGATCCTTCAGTTGATGGGCCTGAGACTCCACGATGCCCTGGACGTGTTCGATCTGCGCGTCGATAACCTCACGGTTGTCCATATAGACCAGAGGACCAAAGTAGGCGATCGTAGCAGCAAGGAGGGAGAGTCCCCAGAACGGCAAGAACCTGATCAGCCAGTAGGCAGAGAAGGCGGCAAAGAAAGCCTAGACCGATTGTTAGATAACCAATTTTCCGACAAGATCGCTTTTGGTTCGAAACATACAGCAACGGTGTGGACAATGTTTTCGGCAAACAGGATGCGCTGGAACTCGAGCAAGACAAAGTCAAGAAGCTGTTCGATATCTTCCATCACCGATTCAAGAGTCTCCTTGGGAACAGTATAGTATTTGCGAGGGCGGAAGTTCTTGACAAGGCCTTGCGAAAACAGAATTCGGCCGCCGATTTCCGCAGCAGCGGTGACTGGATGAACTCAGGTCAGCAAACATGGCGCGATCATCACGGCGGCGGAGTTGATCGACTTACACCCCAGAGCCACGTAAGAGAATTTGAAAACCCAGCGGAGGAGAGGCAAGTAACGGGCGGCCAGGATGAAGGTGACGACGGTCGCATACGAAGCGGCGGTGGCTCGGGGTTGTTCCCACTAAAGTTTTGTTAGAGTCGCGGCTTTTGAAAGTCGGAGCTTGCGAAGACTCACGCTCAGAAGGCTATACAGCAGGGAGTGGTAGTCTGGAAGATCATGAGTATAATCGATCAAGTCGGAAGTCTCGTGCGTTCGACTACATACGAGTCAGGGGTTGGCCGGTCGCAGTGGTGACCGGAGTTGTCGACCGAGTGTTCCTCAATGCGCGGAATTCCTGTTCGGTACGAGCAGCTTCGGACTTGATGTTATCAACGACGGGTCCTGAAGAGATCACCAGTCAGATTTATCGCCATAGGAGTGGAGAGGTGAAAAAACGGGATACCCTTGGTGATGGCATCTTGAACGCTCGATCACGAAGGAGGGGAATCAGCTGGGTCGGTGTAACATTTGGCGGGCCCTGTGAAGAAAGCGAGGAAGAACTGGTGATAACGCAACGCGGTCAGTATCCGGTGTCTCCCTAAGCCACATTCCAGGCATCTCCTGAGTTCACACATACCTTACCGCTCCCGTTCGTTTCGGGATAGGCCACATAGCCAGGCTTCGACAGATCGGCCATATCGGAAGATTGTGTGGATCAAAAGGTGTTGGGAAATTTGAAGATGCGGAAAAACAAATGGAGAAGCTGGCGTTCCACGGGAAGCCCAGGGGGAGGTTAAATAAGTACAAGGTAAGTGAGAGAACGAATGGAAGAATTGAAAAAGAGAATTACAAGAAGAGAAAAGGACCAACGTGTCGGAGGGGGACGACGTGAGGGATGGGCGGAGAGAGAAAGATAGGAGAAGGGAAGAAGAAGAGGGTGATGCAATTGACAAGCGAGACAACCGTCGTGTGCTTCCCGGACGCCTGCCACTCCGACTTGCTCTCTCCACTCGCCGAATCACCGCCTGTCGATTCCCATTCGGTTTGAAATTCCACGGATCTGACTTTCGGTCTATCAAATCAAGCGAATCTTTTTGTTTTTACATCGCCAGATCCGAGTCTCCCGCGTTCATCCACTCGACTGCCCCTCAAGTCGCTGCGACTTCTTGTTCGACTTGAGCAGGGATCTAGGCCGGTCGGCATGTGATAACACGACCTCTGGGAGGTGGAGATGGAAAGAGACGAGAGACGAGACAATGCCACCGAATGGGTCTTCGCACAGATCGGCTGCGTAGGCTGGCGCATGCAAGGGGGTTTTCCAGCAGAAGAATCGGTTGAAAGACGCTCGTTGGCTCGTCCTCCCTACCGCTAGATTCGGGGGTTGTTTTGCTGATTGAAGCTGAAGTAGCTACATATACCCCGTACTCCTGTCTTGTCTCTCCCAGTGGGGAGCAGATGGGAGAATATTTAGTGCCATCTACCCAGGACAACGAATACCACACAACCCCTGGCATTCTACTGTCCTTGACTCCTTATCCATTCATTCGGGTCTGACCGTTTCCTTGACCGTGGTTTGTGGTTCGTAGTACTATAGGGTGACATCACGATCACGACGTTTCGTCCATTGCCCATGGTTTATCCGGAATGGAACACGGCTTTTTTCCATGGATCGTCGGGGGCCGTTGCGGAGAGCGTTATCGGGGGCCAGTCATGCTGTCGAGTAGATCTGAATGGCCGCGTAGATCAAGAGGCATAGACTATTTGTATACTCCGTGGATGCCTGGGGCACCCATGATGCAATGGTCACGTGCGTCGTCACGCGTTTCTGTTTTGATGCCTCGAAAGCGACGAACTTCCCGCCGACCGACCGACAGACTCAACCCACGCCCTCCCCCGCCGTCCACTCGCCCCGTTGCATGCCCCCGTGTACTTTCGTCGACATTTAACACTGGGGCTTCTCTCGCCCGTGGGCCTTTTTTTCAGACTCCATCCGTATTTCTGCGCCGTGTATCCCGTCGGATCGCCTTTGTTTACATCGCCATGGCCGCTGCCGGCGCGAGGGCGCAGAAGCCGGTGGGCTCTGCCGCATGGATCTCGACCGAAAAAGAGAACGTGACGCAGCTGGTGGATCAGGAGATGGAAGAAGTTGAATACCCAGTGCGCCATGAAATGGATTGGTTGAACGAACATATGTCCGAGATCTTTTCCAACAATCAATTGTCCGTTGCGACCGACATATCCCCTACATCGTTGCCCGCGCTGACACCCGCATAGCAATTTCACAGAAGCGTTTAAGACGCCTGGCAAGCTCAGGGGCAAAACGCCTCGCACTGCCCGTAAGCGAGACGCAAACGAACCTCGACTGGTACGCACCCCGCTTCCCTTCTGAGGCCCTTTGGCTTCTGTTTACTGACCCCCTGGTGTAGCCGTTGAGTGAAGTCTTTTCTTCCTCCCACAAGCGCGTCGAGAACAAGTTCAATGCTAGCCCGGCAGCTCATCGATCGCCTACAAAGGCCATTGCCCCTCCTACTTTAGCCCCTAGTCCAACCAAGGCCAAAAACAGCACCGAGACTGCGTCGCATCCCGAGTACCCCGACCTGAGCAAAAATCTCAACTCTTTCCCCAAATACAACACCGACTCGGGCTATCATGGCATGCAAGATGACGAGGAGGAAGAAGAGGAAGACGACGACGATATGGTCTTGACCCAGGTGCAGCCTGAGTCTCAGACGTCAACACAGCCTTTTGAGAAGGAGCCAACTCCGGCAAATACACAGGAGCACCGTTCGTCCCCTGCCCGTCGCACAACGGGAGGCTCATTCCATTCGGCGCAAGAGGAGCGTGATGAAACGGTCGAGCCCGTTCAACCCGAGCCATCCCCGAAGAAGCCCAGCGACGAGCCTTCTCCCGAATCCCCGCCGAAGAATCAAGAAGCGGAACCGACCGAAAATTCTAGCCCAGTGCAACAAAAGACGTCCGAGCCGATAAAGGAACCGGAACCCGCGCACGAACCTGCCCCAGAACCGGAGACGGCGCATGAAGAGGAGCAACAGAAAGTCGATGAAGAACATGTCGACGAGCAGGAACCGGAGCCGGAATTGAAACCCGAAGATCACGCAGCGCAAACACCTGCCAAGTCGTCGCCCGTGAAAGCCCCTATGGAAGCCCCCGTGGAGCCTTCTTCCGAGCCTCAGCATGAGCAAAATGAAGAAGAGAACCAAGAAGACGAAGAGAATGATGATGAGAAGGATGAGATGGCTCTTGACGATAACCTCGACGACATCGGATCCCCTTCGGATGGTTCGACACCGGAGCGCCCCCCGATCCGCAAGAGCAGCTTGTCATTCGCATCGCTCCCTGCCCGCGAACCGCTGATGAAGAGAAGTCTGGGAGGCTCAAGGCTTTCTCGCACCAGCCACATCGATACTTCCAAACTCGGTGGTATCGGTGGTTCTAACTATCTTGGCAGGCAGACGGGTGGCCACAGGATGACCCAGGCAGCTGCTGATGACAATGCATCGCTAAATGATAAAATGGACGTTGATAAGAACAAAGAGACTGTTCGTGATGATGACCAGGATGCGGAGACCCGGGCCAGCAAACTACACACCAAATCTTCCACCCAGCGGCTTCATGAGAAAATCAGCATGCTCGGAAAGCTTCAGCCGTCGCGACCCACGAAATCCATTCCCTCGGCCCCCAGTTTGGCTCCTACGACGCAAGTGTCATATCCCGAACTTCCATCAGCGAAGCCGGAGAGCAAGCCGGAGGAGAACAGTCGCAAGTCCCACGAGGAGACGCCGGCGCCGGAGCCTATGGCGGTCGACGACGATTGGATCAAGCCCTTCAGCTCGCCTTACAAGACCATGCCCAAAACCCAGACAAAGGATCTTGGAGAGAAGAAACCCTCTCCGGCTACCGAAACGGATCGCAGCTCGAAGAAAGATAACGCTTCCATTTTCCGCATCGACAGCACGAATGATGGAGAGAAATCTAGGGCCAGCGCAAAGCAATCTTCCGAAGAAGCCCGCGAAAAATCCTCCACGCCGGTCTATGCATCGCCGCACCGCTCCTTCCACAAGCGAAACGGATCCTTTTCCTACAACGACTCTCAACGGTCTACTACGCCAGTCGGCTCTCCCTCGCGTCATCAGGATGGTCCGATCAGCGCTTCCAAGTCCCGACTACAGTCCATCGTTAGATCTGCGAGGGGCCTTTTCTCGAACGCCGGAGGTGTTTCTGCAGCCGCCAGAGTTGAGGCCTCTTCTCCCAGCGAGCCGCCCAGCGTTGCTCCTCAGCCTCGTGAGCGCGCCAACACGGATGCCGCCAGTAAGAAGCAACTGTCTGCTCAGCCTTCGAGTCCACGACCCGAGGGCCGCAGAACTCGGAGCTCGACGGAGCAGAAGCGCAAGCAGAAGGAGTTGGAGGATAGAAAGCGCGAGGAGGAGGAAGAGGAAGAACGAGCCGAGAAGGCCAGAGAAGAGAAGCAGCGGGCGGCTCAACTAAAGGCTGCCCAGGAGAAGGCTGCACAAGAGAAGGCCGCGCAGGAGAAGGCCGCGCAGGAGAAGGCCGCGCAGGAGAAAGCTGCTGCAGAACAGGAGGCCCGTGCTGCTCAGAATTCGACCTCCATCACGGCCCCAACCCCTCAGCGGATCCCTCAGATGCAAAGGCATACGTCGAGGGAACCGGAAGCTACTTCCCAGGCATCCAAGCAGAATCCTGAGCGCCGACCTGTCAAGCCCAACCGGGAAACGCTGCAGAAGCCCAAACCTCAGCCCGTGTCTATCCGAGTGGGTAGTGCTCTTTCTCGACAGATCCCGATGGCGTCCAGCGTGACCGAATCGAACCTTCCTGCGCCCACGCCAGCTTCGACTTCTAAGCAACCCGGTCTCAAGAAGAAGGCCAGTAACACTTCCTTGCACACTGCGTCCTCGAACAGCAGTTTCAAGAGCACAGCGTCCACCCAGTCGCAACGGAAAGTCCAGCTCGCAAGTGAGAGGAAGAGGGAGCAAGAGGAGCGCGAGGCACGTCGCAAGGAAGAACAGAGGCGTGAGTTGGAGCGCCGACGGGCTGCTCAGCAGCAAGAAGAGGCGCGTCGTCAGGAGATGCGAAGTCGTGCCGAGAATGAACGGCGGGAGCGACTTGCCGCTGAGGACCCTAAGAAGGCCGCTCAGATGCAGGCAATTGAAAAGCGAAGACTGGAGAATGCCCGGCGATTGGAGAGACAGGGGAGTCAGCAGCCTAGTGACACGGTAAGTTATATTCTCAGCACATGTTCGAGACCCATATTGACGAAAAACCCGACAGGCACCATCGACGGCGCCTCAGTCCGCACAGCCCGGTCGGCCTGCGTCCAGACTTGGATCTATTCAGCCTTTTGGTCGTTCGATAAACCCCCCTCAACCTAACCCGGCCAAACCACCAAAGCGCGGGTTGGACGAGGAGGCGAGCCATCGCCCGGCTGCAACGAAGACCAGCACCATCCAGCCTTCCGGCGAGACCAAGCGGAGAAGAACGGAAGACGAACACAACCCCGTTATGCGACCTACGATGGCGCCGCCTATTCGTCAGTCGAATATCCGGAAGGAATCCAACATCCGAAAAGTGAGTTTCCTATTCTATCAAATGGCTTATCGGCGTGGGACACAACGTGCTAATGCAACTTCTAGGATCCTACAAAGCCTTCTATCTTCAGTCACGGTAAACCCTCCATGTCACACCAGGCTGGATCGTCGATCTTCAAGACTGCTCAGCCTCAGAGGCCTGCTCACCCCATGGACATGGCCAAATACACGACCGGCAAGATTCCGTTCGCGGAGCCCTCGAACGCCCAACCCGCTCAACAGTCCGCGCCGCACAAGACTCCTGGTGCCAGCTCATCGCAGAAGGCCCCGGCCAAGCCGTCGCCCAAGTACCCCAGCGGCGAGAACATCCATCTCCCCGAGATCGCCACCGACAGCGAAGACGAAGACTCGGAGGCCGAGATGCTCCCCGTGCCGAAATGGGCTCAGCCCAAGGAGCTCGAGAGCCTTCTCCGCCAGCAGGAGGGAATGGAGGTGGACTCCATCTTCGGGCCCATCGCTCCCTTCTCGCTCGAGGACACCTTCAAGGCCGACAAGAAGATCAAGAAATTCCGCGAGCGAACCAGCAGTGCGAACTGGGCCGGCACCGACGCATTGACGCAGGAGGAGATCCGTCGCGATCTGGCCGAGCGACAACGTTTGCGCTTGAATGGCGGGTGGACCTTTGGCAATTAATTCCCTCCTTTTTTTTACTTTCCATTTTCTTTCTTACCACTTGGACTTTTGACTATTTATCTCACTGGTTCTATTTCTTCTGGGCTCAACCTTCATGGCATGGTGGTGTTTTCTATTTTTTTGCGAGTTCATTCTAATCATGATGTATCGTATCGTATCATCCAGGGGGTTCTGGTGGTTTAGGTTTCTGTTTTTGTGCGGTTGTTTTATTCCCATAGAGCTTAGGTTTGATCAATGATGAATGGCTCTTTTAACAAGGTCTTGTCTTGCTGAGGGTGGGAGGGCTGTAGTAAGTAGTAGGTAAGTACGGAGTAGGATTGACTACTTGTTAGATGTCTGGCTTCCTTTCTGGTCGGTGCATTAGATACATGGGGTGGATGTAAATACGACAGAGACAATATTTTCTATTTACTGCTGAAAATAGGTCCCAATCATCCCTCAGTAAGAGTTCAGTCCAACCCAGAATTCAACCTATGGAGACATAGCCGAGATATATATCCGAACCCAACAACAACCAAAGCAATCCCCGTACCAAAAACATTTAAAAACAGAACACAACAAACACATGAGACAAAACAGACTCTTTCCAGAGCAACATAGACCCTATAGCCAGCTAATCTACACGCAAACAACGGTCAAAAGACGCAGGGGGTTTGTAAGGATAGGGGGGACAAAAACAAAAAGAATGCATCATCCGTGAATCGAACACGGGCCTCGTCGATGGCAACGACGAATTCTACCACTAGACCAATGATGCTGGTTCATATTACTTGTTTCTAGTTTTGTATTTATATCTCAGAAAAATCGAAATTTCAAACACAGGGATATTTTCTATCGAGTAGTTAACTATCCGTAGAGAATAAGTATTCTCATCCCTACCTAACATATTTATACAGAACTTTACTCTATATCTATATCTATTTATATTAAAGAGACCCCGTAGTCTATAGAAAATAGAAAGAATAAAAAGAACTAGAAAGTAAAAGTTGACATTAAAAAAAATAATTTTTCCCTTATCCCATGCCATCCTCCCGACTATCCTTCTTTTCATGACACAAAAGCGTGTACTGTGTATGGCCTATGCATGTAAATATATGTATGTATGTACAAATCCACCACTTCGATAACATCTTTTTTTTGCTTTCGCGCCCTACTACATGGGCCATGTCTGCAAGTCTTCTATCATACAGCCCTAGGTCTGAAAGTTCACTCCGTGTCGGGTTCTATATCGCTAATCTCGTCGAAGCCCTGGTCCATAGCGTCCGGGTTCAGATTCGCCACGTCGGGTTCGATTCCATCTTTATATTTGTCTTGGGCGTGAGAAACGGTGCGCCAGCCGGCGGGGTGCGACGGGTCTTTGATGTATTGGGACATGGGGAACTAAATGATAGTGGTTAGACATAAGAAAGGGAATCGCACTGAAGATGGAAGACTCACGTAATGATCGTTCTTCTTCATGGTCACCACCCACGGCACGTTGTCAAAGGTGACGGCGCGTAGGCGGAAGTACGTGTTATCCGGGATCTTTTGGACCTCTTTGACGAAGCGATCGAGGTTGGGCGTGGGAACGCCGTTGACGGCGGTGATGAAGTTGGTCGGCGAGAGGCCGTATTGGTAAGAAGGAGAGCCACGACTCCGGGCGCTCACGTAGACCTCGCTGTGCAGTTTGGAAATCTGCTGTCGCACGGCGTGATGCGGCTTCTGCAGCACGGCACCGCAGAAGACCACCGCGCGATCCGTTTCCAGATCCTCGGTGGGCACCGTCGGCACATGGATGAGCATCTCCTGACCGTTGCGCACGATCAGAGCCTCCAGCACCTCCTTGTCATACATGATGTCCAGTTCCGACACGCGCGTGATCAGCTTGCCGTCCAGGGTGAGAATGACATCGCCCTCCTGGAAGGAATCGGTGGACGCCGAGGCGAACCCGGCTGGCGGACAGTCGACCTTGCGCACCATGAAGAGCTGATGCCGCGACGGGTTGGCCTGCGTCACCTTCTGGATCCACTCCTCCGACACGCCCATGATGCGCGCCTGGCTCATCTGCACCACGTAGCTTTCCATGTTTAGGATGCGCAGCTTCGGCATCTCGCCCTGCTGGATCTTCGAGGTCACCGGCAGCAGCGACGGCGTCGCGAAGCCCAGATGATATTCCACATCCTTGTGCGACGTGGGCGTGCGCTCGCCGAGGTAGTTCAGCCAGAGCGCCTGCACGACGCCGTCTTCGCCGATCAAGACGCCGTTGGAGCACTGCCCGCTGAGACCCGTGTCGACCGTGATGGCGTCCAGGTTGATGGCGCGGTATCGCGGCGCCGAGGCGTTGGCGGGGATCGAGACGGTGGTGATATCGGTGACGGCCGTCTTGGCCACGACGATGCGGAAGTTCTGGTTGAATCCGACGAAGATGGTGTCCTGCCCCTGCTTGATGTACTCCGTGCTCAGCTTAGCGCTCTGGATGGGCGCCTGCACCAGGCTCGGGTCATACTGCACGATGGAGTAGTTCTGCAGCGGGTGCAGGAAGACCACCTTGGCGTTGACGATGATCGAGTCGGCCACGGTGATGTTGATGTCGCAGAGGTCGTAGGGCACGATGGCACGCGACACCACCACCAGGCCCTTGTCGGCGTCGATGACCAGCCCGAAGCCGGTCTTCTTGGCCTGCGGGTACCCGTCCAGCTTCAGGGGCATCGTGCACGACACGCGCACGAAGCTGCGCACGATCTCGGCGGCCGCCGGTTGGCTCACGCCGTCGAGCTGGATGAAGTCGGCCTTGCGCGGCACGGGGGGCAGTGCGGGGAGGGGGTCGGCCAGATCGGAGAAGTCCCAGAGACCGGACTCGTCGTTGCGCACCGCCAGCCGCATCTTCGGGTGCCAGTGGCGGTCGATGTACACGATGCTGGTGCCGCGAGTGTGCAGATCGCGGATGTGACGGTAGGAGATGACCACGCGCGAGCGGTCGGGGATGGTCTTCATCACCTCGACGAACTCGTCCAGGTTGCGCGTGCGCCGCTTGTCGACGGAGTCGATCAGCCATCCCGACAGGGTGTTCTCCAGCTTGAAGGAGCCGGCGGCCTCGCAGACGTACACGCCGCGCGTGGCGATGGCGTAGAGTCGCGATTGCTGGTAGGACAGGTTGTGGAACGTGCCGCCGGCCACCGTGACGAAGCGGTCGGGCGTGATCGCATGCAGGTCGCCAACCTGGCACTCGAGCTCCACATTCTGACCGCCTCGCTGCACCAGCAAACGCACCGACTGCCCGACGCTGGTATCCAGGATGTCGTCCAACCGGATGAACTGGGTCAGCAGCTCCCCGTTTACCTGCAGCAGGACGTCGCCCTCCTCGAGCTTGCCGTCGGCGGGTCCCTCGGGCAGGATGATCTCGGCCACCAGCATGCTCGTCTCCGTCGGCGCCGCCTTGCGGACGGCCGCCTCCCACTCCGAGGTCAGGCCCAGACGGCGACACTCGTCGAACGGCTTCAGGATCCACTGGGTCTGGATGGTGCCACGCGTGACCGGCTCGCCGCGGCGGATGCATTCCAGCGCGCGCCGCGGTCGATCCAGCGGCAGGAAGTAGTCGGTTGCAGCACCGTCCGCACGGCCACCAGCCTGCAGGGCAATCGCGTTGCCGTCGATGTTGACGACCGGACTGCCGGAACTGCCACCGCTAGCGGCGGCGGCGGCCTGGATATAGTTCGTGTTAAAGTCACTGTAGCCGTCTCCGTATTCGGGGGCGTTGCGGTCCAGTCGACTGATAACACCGGAGAGAATACTCAGTTTTTCACCGGCGTCGTTACCCACCACGCGAATCTCCGAACCTACGCGAGCGCCGTCCGGTTGCAGTTTCAGCTCCGTCAATTTCATGTATTTGATGGCTTTGGGGTCGAATTTCAGCAGACCGAAGTCGTGCACAGGATCCCGATAGACGGGACGAACGTCGCACTAGAAAAAAAAAAAGATTAACATGGCGCCCAAAAATAATATCAGGAATAGAAACCTACTTCCTCATGATTATCAAAGATACAATACCCCCAGAAAGGCCCCGGACAGACCACATGACGATTGGTCAGGATATACCCTCTCTCAGCATCGACCACGAACCCCGTGGCCTGACTACTCATCGACAGCTCCGTATCAAAGGAGCAGGTCTGACAGAAGTGAATCGATACCACGCTCTTGACGACCTCCTCGATGGTCGCCTGCCATTCGGGCGAATCGGCCTGGGCCGGCCCAATGGCTAGAACGCGACTGGCATCCTCCTCATCCTGAACATCGTAGACGGTGCCGTTGGCCGGAGTCGAGTCGCCAGGGGTCAGGGTCGAGTTTTCGGGCTTGAGGTGTTTGGATGGACGTTCGACGGAGGCGGCGATGGCGCTGCGCTTGCGTTTGGCGCTGGCGTCCCCGCTCAGATCCATTGTGTGTGAGAGAGATGAAGATAAAGGCGAACGCGGAATTGAGCGCGAGCGAATGGAGGAGACGAGGGAAGAGAGGGATCGGGTGGAAGTCCGACGATTGAAGCTGACGGAGGCCGATAAGCACCGGGGATTCCTCGCGAGCGGATTCAACGACGGACGGGGATTCGGGAATGCGGAAAATCCGACGGGTCGATAGACAGCAGGCGACCACGGCGGGAGAGTCACACAAGACGTCGCAGTGTCGGTAGGGGACGGGGGAAGAACCGACGACGAGGCTATCGGGGAGGAAGCGGCGACGGCAGCGGAAGAAGTAGTTGAAGAGGCGGTGGTAGGGTTTGTCGTAGCGACGGTCAAGCTCCTTCTGCACCAAGGAAGCCAGACACCAGACATTCACAAGACCCCACCGAAGAGTCTAGACGGCGAGAAAAGAGGAGAAGGTGGGGAGGAGGTGGGAAGAGCAGCAGAGAATTAATTGAAGACGAGAGAAGAAAAAAGAAAAAGAATCACGACGATTTTGAGGTCGGGCGAGGGCGGCCGCTGATTGGACCGTCGCCCTCCCTCCGCCTTGGCCGCATGACCTGCCTGAGGCGGCAATCAGGAATACACGGTTTATGAAGATCGAGAGAGACAGATGACATGGTTACATCGCTGCAGGTGGTGTGGTACTCTAATTGCATAATTTACATTTACACGCCGGTCATCCTCCATCCCTCCCTCTTCATCGCCCTCATGACTCGGCTCATGTCACCCTCCTGGTCCCGTCTGAGGACCCCGGGACAAGTACCCTCGCCGGCTTTTCCCTGCTCTCATCATAGATGGATTCCCTTTCCGGAAGTGATAGTCCTTCAGGGTGGTTGATGTCATATCTCTTCATGCTCATACTCATATCTGAGCTTGACACGTAACGGTGCAAAGGTATCACAAGGTAGGTGTTGAAAGGAGCGAATCTCCGAGAGGTCTGGGAACATTCTCTTCTGTAGAGGATGGACCCCTCGATAGATGCCTCCTTCAAGAGACTCCCGTTGCAAGCACCATCGGATGAAACCGCAAATTCTCTGACTCCAGCCGGAGCTCGAATTCTTGCGTTCAGACAACGGAATCCGTAGCCGGCGACGGACTAGGCTTGCCGTTCCCCTGCGAGGGCTGCGGGCTTTGATGCGGCGTTCCGTGCGCCGTGTGTGGGAACAGTTCGCTGAGCTTGGTATAGATGTCATTCATGGACGGCATGTGCGGCGGCGGCGTCATGATACCCGGGTTGGGCGGAGCTACGCCGCCGGATTTCTTCGCTCGGTCGGCCACGGTCGCCAGGTAGGCTAGATTGGCCTGCAACCGCCGCATGCACTCGAGGTATTCGGGACTGGGCTTTTGAGCCGGCCCCTTGGTCGCGTCGGCCGCCTGATCCGACGTGGGCGACGGGTTGTTGGTCTGGCCGTCTGGCCCACCCTGGCTGGTCGGCGGACCCCCAGCCTTGCCGGCGGCTTGCAGATTGACTACTTCTTGTAGGAGCATGGAATTGATATCGAGGAGGGCGGCGACGCGAGCCTTCTCGCGTGCCGACGCGGCGGGGGTCGGGGACGCTGCGCTGGCGGCGGCTCCCTGAGGAGCTTGCGAGGGCGGTTGCGACGGGGTTTGTTGTTGTTGTTGTTGTTGTTGTTGCTGTTGCGGGACGGGTCTTTGTTGCTGTGCGGCGGCCATGTTATTCGCCGACACGGAAGCCATGTTCTGAGAATAGGATTGCGCAGCGGTCGGAGGAAGATTGGCAGCGGAGGTGGTTTGCGGAAGAAACTGGCCCATGGAGGTCGGGACAGGTGGCTGGGCGAACGGAGGCGCTGAGAAGTTGGCGTGGGGTCCTGTTCGCGCATCCCGTTAGCGGCTGTTCACCGACCCTGAGGCGCGACTCGACGTCAGAGGGTCTCTCTTTCCCGATCCCGACCACGGATATGCATGTCTGATCAAATCGGGCCGAGGGAAGATTGGGGAGAGGAAGATGTAAACGCGCAGTCATGGACTTTGGGTATAAGACAGGAGGTGTGCGCGTCATGACGCAGGTTCAAAGAACCGAAAACAAAAGAAACAAACAAACATCAAACAAGGAAGATCCAAAGCGAAACGTCGGCCGAGTCCGAAAAAAAGAAATTGCAAAAAAGCGAAACACGAAAGACAGGGAAGACGATCGATCTGACATACCGGACGAATGTTGGGGAAAGCCGGCGGGCATGACGGCACCGCCAGGGCCGGGTTGCAGAGGCAGGCCGAGGGCTGGCTGCTGCTGCTGTTGGTGCGGCAGATGGGCAGGCGTCTTCTGCTGAGGAAAGGAGGGCATTGCGTTCGGATAGTAAGGGAATGGCTGGCCAGGTGGACTCTGCGAAGTGACGGGATAAGGGGGTTGCGGATGCAGAGGATAGCCGGGGTTGTTGGGGTCCATCCTGGTAATTTTTTGGTATGATTTTTTCCCCTCCAGGCCTGGATGCGGTGAAGAATAGGAATATATGAACGGGAATATGAATATGAATAATAATAATGACAATAATGACAATCGGCGTGGAGGATTATAATTTAAATTTAGTCAAGCACGGACGGCAGAGGAGTGGCAGTGGCAGGCAGGAATGGGCCGCAGCGAAATGTTCTGGAAGGCGAGCCAAGTGGATAAGCATGTAGCGAGAAACCAAATCAGATCGAGCGATTATAATAAAAGCACGGAGTATATAAAAAAAGGCAGGAAAAAGAAAAAAAAAGGTGTAACCCGGGACAGCCCAGAAAAAGGTAAAAGAATGGAGGCGAAAGAGCGACGGTGATTGGGCGGCGGAAGAGGCCAGCGAGACGGCGAGAGAAACTAGCGAGAGCGGCGGAAGGAAGGCAAGAGGCTCCAGAGCCACCAGGAAACGACAGGCCGATGGCGAGAGATTAAGGAGGTCGCGAGAGAGACGGAGTGGGAGAGAGAAGGAGGAAGAGATCCTCGGGCGGAAGAGCCGGTCTCTGGGCGGTGGGACGGACTGGACTTAGTCTGGAGCTACGGAGTAGGACAGTACAATATGGAGTTTATGTACGGAGTATAGCATGCTATAGTCGAGTATCTTATTTATCACTGCTACTGCTATATAGCATAGATACTACTCGGTAAAATTATTAGTTACCCATGGTTATTGTACTGCAGTTCGAGCGATGTGGCAGAACGGAGGACGATGGACCGAGACGTCGACACCTCAGGCTGCCAGGCTGCCAGGCAGCTCTCCCTTCCTCTCCCTCCCTCTCTTTCCCTCTTTCCCTCTCTCCCTCTCTCTCTCTTCCTCTCTCCAAGTCTATCCATCTCCATCAAACCAAAACAACCAACAAAAGTACCATCCCGCGGAATCCACTCCCACCACCCGCTCCACCCCGACGCTCTACGGCTCACAATCGCAACTAGATACATCACCTACCGCCACGCCATGTATCCGAGGTCATGGTGGCCGGGCCTACTCCACGGCGTCCTCCGTAGGCTACGGACTAGGGACTAGGGATCCCCGGATCCACGCCTGATACATGAACTAACTACAATGGTCATCGAGGCAACTCCGGCGGCGACTAGAGGAGTTGCCTCGATTGACTTTGCAGATCTCCCGTCGGCAGCTCGCCCGGCTCCGACTTGGGAGGTGGGACTTGGTCGGACTGCGCCTGGGAAATAATTAAGGGGTTGGGGCTTGGCTTGGCTTGTGGGTGTTGGCCACTGTCTGTAAGTCTGGCTGTGCTATTTTGTGTGTTGATACTTGTAATTCTTTGCCATCGTACCTTACTACCTACCCTAGCGATAACACAGGGAACCTCCTTAGCATGAGGATATAGTGTACCTAACCAGGTAGTTGACTACAGCTATGCGATAAAATAAAGTAGACCCGAGGTACTCCGTACTCCGTAGACAGTTAGCAGCAGGATCTACAACCTACATCCATCATACATACATCCATGCCTCACTTGCTTCTGCTTCTGCTTCTACTTCTACCTGTACATGAACATGAGTCCCCCCACAGCCGAACTATTCGCAATAGTCAGAGTTAAAACCAAAGCCGGGAGGCGACGGGGATGTCGCTTATCTTCCGGTGTCAGCAGCCATGGCCAGCAGCAAAGTACGGAGGAGGTTAACTTAGGTTTTTGCCGTGACCGTGACAGGCGGACTGACTCCTTGCCTTACCTTCTCCCTTGTGTCTAGGTAGGTAGGGGGTTAGCCTAATTAGCCACCTTTGTACGGAGTACTCCGTATGTACTCTGTAGCGTGTCTGTCACTATGTCGGGCAGGTACATGCTCTTGACTTGACCATGTTGTTTTTTGACATGGCGTGGCATGGTATGACAGGACACGACTCAGTAACAATAACTACCTAGTACCAACATACCTACCTCCTACTCCCCAAACCCCCAAGGTAACTACCTATTGGCGTAAATCCCTGAATACCTACGTCATGATAGACAGTCCCGTCCCCATCCCAGCCCTAGACTTAGTAGTGCAGAAGTGCAGAAGTGCAGAAGTACAGAAGTGCAGAAAGGCCACAAGGCAACCTTATCCAATCAAAGGACACGAACCAAGATCGGATGATCTACACTTACGCCTACCCCTACGCCGTACGTCTACAGACGCACTGCAGTTCAGTTCAGCTCAGCCAGCCATGAAGCTCGGGGACAGTAACTCAGACGCGAAGGCGAGATAGACTGAAAGGAGGGAAAGTCTAGATCGAAGGCGAGTCTATGTTCATTTTGTTTACTCCGTATCTGTGGAAGGGGTGTTTACGTTCATACTTACACCTATCTTCATATTTACGCTCATACTTATCTACCTACTTACCTACATACCCAATACTAAGCTAGTAGTATAACCACGCTTGTTAAGCAAGAGCACAAAAATGGTACCAGACTAAGTAGATAAACCAACCACCCGACATCCCACCTCTCCCTCCTTCCACCTACTCCAATCCTAGTAAGGTAGACCAGTCCTAGTACGGATAGACAAGCAGGCACCCCAAACCAGTAACCATCCAAATGCCAACCCACCACAACCCATCAACATAAACCAGAAGATACGAACGAACCAACCCCGAACCCCCAACACCCAACCCCCAACCCATGGAAACAAACCAATACTCGTACCGAGAGAATGGATCCCAGCAGCCACTCATATGCCGGAAACAGTCTCCGGCGAGGGTACCGCATCCGAGCCTCAGCCACGGTGATCGGTCATATTGGTTGGATGCAATATTGCATCGTTCTCCATCCCGTCCTACATGGATGCATATACATCGTCGGCCGTCGCTGACACATCATGTTTGGGAAGGGCTGGTGGGGAATCTCCCTATTGTTATTATTTTTTATTTTTTATTTTATTTCCATCGGTATTATTTCTATTCTCAGCCTGATATGTGAATTTTTAGAGTTTCGATCCTTCCCCCTAGTGATTCTTTTCTTTCCTTTTTTTTTTCTCTTCCCCTCTCTCACCAAGATTTTTTCCCATCACCGCATACTCCGTAGAGTCAAGAGGGGCCGTTGAGAAAGGAAAAATATCCCTGCAAAAATAGACAATACGAGGGGTTTAAATTTGCCCCGCGCTAACGGCGGACAGGATATTATCCAGGTAACCAACACCGACAGTAGACCCGGGACTTGGGGGGCGAGTATGACCGAGCCATCTGCAGGTGGCCTGGAGACCATTCGCTGGACGATCAGCGGCATGAGAAACCCTGTTCGGCTACTGCAACCACCGGATTTCCTGCGTGGAACTGGCGGAAAGACATCAATTATCGGGCTGTGATTCATCATCTGGAAAAAACGCACCGGTGGAGTCGACGGAGCATCAAAGTCCACGGACTCATGACTGCGCCCAGAGGGTCAATAAAATTCGTAATTTCTCCGGAGGCTCCGTGTTATGGGACGCGACTGGGTTGTCGCTTGTGGCGAGGTTTCAGACAGAAACTACTGCGAGAAGCAAAAATCCCTAGGAATAAATTTATCGTTAGCATAAAAAAAACAAAAACAAAAATAAAAAATAGATGGAGAGCAGGAACTTCGTTGCCTCCACATCCTTTCCATCCCGATCAACCCCCAGTTCAAGCTCAGTCAAACCCTTTGGGTCGAGAGTCTAGACTTTGCGAGTCAGTGATCGGCTCTTGACGTCTGGCCATGTGGATAACAGCTGCAATAGTTGAGTTGTTCGTCCATCAGTCAATCAAATAGAACGAAGTATGAAGCTAGGACTAGCTCCGAGCCATCTGTCCGCAACCGTTTCCCGACCTCACCTGCAGCGTTCCCTGTATTTCATTTTTCATTTTTTTTTTTCTTGTTTTTTCTTGCTCTCATTTCTTTTTTCCTCCCCCAGTTCCATTTGCCGCAGTTCCTGATTCGCTCGTCGCCGTCCTATGCCGCCCTGTTTTGGCGACCAGACGGACCGGACCACCTATGTCAATCGCAGTTTCGCCATTACATACATGCTTTCTGCATTGGCTGTGGGTGTCAGGTGGGACACGTATGGGCGGGTGGGCTATTGTCTCTGTCTCTTTTCTGTCAAAAAAAAAGGCGCCGATTTATCTGTTCATGAATTGGTTGATATTAACCGTGTTCGGAAGTAGTTAGCATTATCCCCATATGGTGGCCAGAGATGCAGGACGTCTATCAATGCCTGACACCCAATGTATCAGGTAAGGAGGCCGCGGGAGAGTATCGGGATTAGGAGAAAAATGTGGAAGGATCCAGAAAAAGGAAATATGTCCCAGAGAAGAAATGCGGACTTGAGTACCGAGATGCACCGCGATCCCCCACACGATGCGGTCCTGACCATGTTCAAACCTCATCCAGGAGCGGTTCTCAGCTCGAATATTTCCATGCACCTGTACCCTGTCACATGCCGGATTGCTTGAATGAGCCCTCCTGAGGGCGTCGATGGACGTTTTGAGGCGCAACAGGCTATTCTGAGAACAGCATTGGCCACCAAGTCATTCGGGTGCAGATAAAACAATAGGCATTGACGGTTTGAAACGTAAAAAAAACTACACACTCCCCGGCATGTATCATGCAGGTGTGATCCCAATACGACCAGATCCTGCGTTTCCGTTGTCAAGGCAGCTGATCATTGGAGGCGATACCGATGCAGAAGGGCGTTAGTTTGTACGCCCAATGCATCCGAGCGGATGGGGAGTCCCGTCAAATGTTGTGCCACATAGGGCCACGCACATTAGTGACACAGCTTTGGGCTGATCAATGTATTTTTCTTTTCTTTTCTTTCCTACCGTTCATTACGGTGTAGACTCGATTCCAGCCTAGTTGCTGTCTCCCCGAATATTTTCGTTTTTCTTTTTTTTTTTCTCTTGTCCGTTCTCCACTCCAATATTTCCCTCTTCAGGTGTTGGGATCACTCCCCGGGCCTCGATGGGTTGACGCATATAAAGTGGGTTGGGGCGTCTCGAAAAAAAGAGAGCTTTGAGCCTAGGAAGTCCCTGTAACCTTATTATTTGTGGATCCAAACATTGGCTGCTCACTTTTCCTGCATCTTTAAAAATGCTGGCTCTCGTGCCCCGTTCTTAAGGAAGTTTGCTGAAGCGTAGGTTCACTTTCTTCCGTACCTGATTGGCACCAGGAGAATTAAAAGTTAGAGTACGGCCGATCCTCAGTCTCCCCCTGGCCTTGGAAGAGCGGCCAGTGCAATTCACATTCCATGGTACTGGAACCAAGGCACGGATTCGCTGGAGCAACCGCTGACACTTCTCTTGCAGTCTCACACACCTATATCAATGGACGCGCCGCTGGACGGACAGAATTATATGCACTTCGCCCTCATCTATCTCGATGAGGGTGGCAAACTCCGCTTCGAAGCCTCACCTTCTATCGCAAGCAACTGCCAATCAGTATTGTCACCGAACGTGACCGACTCATTTCTGCGAGCCGTGGCCCTGTCGAACAAGAACGGTACCCCGAAGCTTATAGGTATGCTTGGTGATCTCCGGTATAGGACTTCCGAAGTAACAAGACAAAAACAGGCTCCCCAGGGTCGCAGTCCGATGATGCCAGAGGGAAGAGTCCCTTGTCGCCGCAGTCACCAAACCAAGGATCGAGTCGCGGGTCGTCGATGTGAGTGTTGATCCGTGCTTTGTAGATTGGCAGCGGCCTGACAAGGATAGGTTCCACGATGGCAACCCAACCAAGAGAAAGCGGGTTTCTCACGAGTGTGTCGTACCGATGAGCATTAATTGCCACCAGAAGACCATGCTTCCCATCCGGAACCGCAGTTTGTTGCGGCGGTACTATGAGAAAGCATTCGAGAGCCTGCAGCAGATCAACTGCCGGATCCTCGCCAAGGCATACATCAAGCTTGTGGAGCCTCGAAAGCAGGTCAACTTTCCCTATAACGGCCGCAAGATCATCTCGGGGACTTCGCAGCAGTTCGACCCCGAGTTGACGAAGCCGGCCTGGTGGCCATCGGGAGTCACTCACCGGGAACCCGATCACCTTCTCAAGCCAGGTAGGCTCTGGAGCATTCGAATGGGGGTTTTGGAGACTAACTTCCCTCAGAGAGAATCCGGTTGTTGGTACACATCCTGTGCGAGCTGCGAACGAGCCATGCCATCTGTGTCGACAGACTCAAGGAGGCCGACCAGTCCATTCGACGTTCGATCTCACCCCAAGAGCGCATGCCGGTGCTGGATGAAATCTATAGCGTGCGCGAAGAGGAGGAGAATTATCTCGACGGCAGGACCGGTAAGTTCTGACACCAAGAGCAACATTCAACCCATGAACGGCTCCTCACATTCCGCAGATGGTCAAGCAGTCGTCTGCGTCTCTCGAGTCCACCTCCCCGACATGGCCGATTCCCACGGCATGGGCTCATCCACGGGGAGCATGCTGAAATCGGAGATCAACCCCGTGTATAGACGAGAGGTTCCCGACATGGAATCCCACACGTCGGTCTTCCCAACCACCGGCGGCTCACCAACAAGCGACAGTGCCGAGAAACGCCGGAAAGAGAGCAGCAAGCTCAATCACAGCCTGCCTGCCACCTGGGACCACTGTGTTCCCCCATCGCTCCCATCTCTGAGCAACCCCAAGCGAGCCCGCGACAGCGACAGCTCGTACCCCGTGGACATCTCGAATCCCCCCCTGTTCCACCACGACACCCCTACCTCGATGCCATTGGACAGTCAGACCTTTCCGCTCAGGTATTACAACGAACCTCATCTCAATCACCACCACAGCCAGTCGCAACAGACCCTTCCGGTCCTTGGACTCTCCGGGACGGAGCTGGGAGGGTGTCCTCAACCATACTATTTTAATTATTAGACCACATCTCCTTTGTTTCACTTTCCTTTGTTTCATCTCAAATCTTTCAGCGTTTTGATCTCCTTTGTTATTTTTTCTTTTGTTCAGCAGGGTCGAAGGCGCGACGGGAGCGTTGATTAACGGCAACCAGGGAAACACAACACCACACACCACACAACACAATACTTAAGTTTCGGTTCTTCAGGAAAGGAAACTCGAAAAGAAGATAATCCACGGGAGTCCGGGGCTGTATATATCTCATCATATATCTGGAAGGGAGTCGGGCGTGCCAGCAGGGCTATTTATGTGCGAAAGGCGCAATGACCTAGAGAAGGATCCCACCTAGTCATCTAATATCAAATAATGAGGCGTTTCAACAGACATGTGAGGAATAAGTTTGGTCAATTCGCGACGTAAGGGGGAGCAGAGAAGCGATCCAGGAAGCCTGACCGACTGACGCAGAGGGCGAAGGGGGGAAGAAAGAGAGGAGAAACGAAGAGGAGAAAAAAGAGGGTGAGAGCGAGACTTCCGAATCGGTCCACGTACAGCAAGCGACCCCGAAAGTGGGAATCCGGCACGCTTCGGTCGATCCTGCGAGGGAGATCTCTCCTACATATGATATCCAGACGGGAGGTCCGTGGAAAGGATGGGTTCGGATTGATAACTGTTCACTAATAATATACACAAGGTTTGAAATATGGACGGAGAATTGAAAAAACAGGTTTCTGCTAATAACCTGCACGCACAGCCCGACGGGTCGGTAGCACAGCGATGGGGAAATGGGGAAAAAAGGGCAAAAGGCCCATTTACAGGCACTGCGAGTACCAGTCGTTCTGCTTCGTGCAAGTCGAGCCGCTAACGCAGGTGGTAGGACCGGTCCAGTTGTTACCGCCACACTGTTCCCATTTTCCCGCAACGCCCGTCGAGGTGGTCTGGGGCGCAGAGACGGTGCTGGAGCTCTTGGTCGACGAAGGAGCGGCGACGGTGGTGCTGGTGCTGGTGCTGGTGGGCGCAGAAGAAGACGAAGAGGTCGTGGTTTCAGACGCGCTTCCTCCCAGGCCCTTGAGGAGACCGGTATAGGCAGGCTTCTTGTTCAGGTCCTCATCCCAGGGCAAAGCGGCACCCTGGCCGGGGAAAGTGCTGGGAACCCAGGAGTACTTGTCAGTCCAGTCCCAGATGGTGAATCCCACACACTTGGGGGTGTCGACGCAGGCCTCAATGAGGTTCTGGTAGTCGGTCGACTGCTGGGCCAGCTTGGCGTCGGTGGCGGGGGTCGCCATGCGAACGTCGATTTCAGTGTAGGCCACTTCGACGCCGAGCGCGGTGTAGGTCTTCAAAGTGCTGGCTAGGTCCTTCTTGCCGGGGGTGTTGCCGACGGTGAAGTGACCCTGGAGACCGACTCCGTCGATCTTCACGCCGTACGACTGGATCAGCTTGACGATCTTCAGGGCCCCGCTGGCCTTGTTGCCGGCCCATTCGATGTTATAATCGTTGTAGTACAGTTTCACGTCGGAGTCGGCGGCGGCAGCGGCGGCAAATGCAATCGGAAGATAAGCTTCACCGATGGTCTTGTAGAAAACGTTGTCGCGGTAAGAGCCGTCCTCATTGAGCGCTGGAGAGTGAGTGGATTAGAGATGCGATATTTTCGATAAGTTGGGACCGATTGCATACCTTCATTGACAACGTCCCAGGCATAGCATCGGCCCTTGTAGTGCTTGACAACGTTGGTGATATGGTTCTTCAGGGCCGCAGTCAACGTCGCGTTGGTCCAAGATCCACTGGTGACTATAAGATGTCAGAACTGCTCAAGCAACTAGACTTCAAGATTACATACCCCAGTTGGGCAGCTGCTGGTGCCAGACCAGGTTGTGGCATCGCAGCACTTGGTCGTTGGCATCAGCCAAGTCCGCAATGACATCGCCCTTTGCAAAGCTGAAGGTGTTCTGAGAAGGTTCGGTCGCGTCCCACTATGCACCATATTAGTCTCGATGTATAGATTTAAAGGTGTGGAAAATTGGACCTACCTTCATCGAGTTGCCAGGCGTGATCTGACCGAAATCATTGGTGTTGTTCAACTGAGTCACATACGGAACATCTGTGAGCTCAGGGTTATCGGTGGCCGTGCCGAAGTAGTTCAGTCCCTTCGCAACAGCAGCCTGATGAAGACCAGCAGCAGAGGCCCTTTTCAAGTCAGTATCTTGCGAACTCTAGCGCATCTGGAGGGATACGGGAACGAACAGCTGGGGAAGAGCGCCGACAGCCAGAGCTGCGGTGATAGAAGGAAGGTAAACCATGATGACGATCTGCTATGATATCCCGACGAAGATCACGGACCGATGTAGCAAAAGAAACAAGCCTGAGACAAGCAGGGGGTGTTCACAGCTCTTATAACAGCTCCGCTTCTCCTAGGTCCATTTATCCAAGGAGAAGAAGCCGAGTAAATCCAGGACCACCTGTTCCATGTCGCTGAGTTTCACCCGTTCGGATGAACGCTCGAAAAGAAAGGTCCAATCTCCGGGAATAGCGCTGCTGGAAATTAGCTTGCCAGTTTAGCGCTCGTCCGTGCCCGATCGGTCCTAGATGGTTCGCTGGACCATTGCCAGTGGAAAGCTGACCCCTTGTTCGTCAAGGCTAATGGAGTTTAGGCTGAACCAACCAGATGGGGCGAACAGGAATAGCGGAGATTCTTCATCCGCCAACGGGTGTCAAGTGGGTCGGCAGATATTGCTGGTTTGGGACTAATTGAGGCCGCAGACCAGCGCTGTGATTAACCTGCGACACCCGAGGTTACAAGGCACCAGGACTGATTCAGACCCTCATAAACCGATCAATGCCAGTAGTGGGTCCTTTGGTAAGACATGCTATTTACGGGTACGGGTATATTGCGGTTGCTGCTGCCTTCAAGACTGATTCTGTCATGCCATGATGCACGAACTGTGTCTGCATTAAGCTTCATATCCGGTTTCACGGAGGGAGTTCCGAAGCCCCGCATCGGCCCATGACAGTCAGCAGAGGCTGGGTGCTAGTGGATATTGCTTATGGCCGGATCAGTCACGGATTTGCAGATTGCTGAGGGTTGGATCAATGCCATTCGTGGTCTATATACAGGAGGCGTTCTTCACATCGGTATCCGGCCCATACATCCGGCAGTTCAATTGGAAAATGGTATCTTAACCATTCTTCTCAGGAAGTTGAAGCCGAGCCGAGCATTAAAAAAGCCCATTGGTGGCCATGAGAGGGTGAAGAAATCTCAATGTCTGCTGACATTCGTGTGGCTGCTTTCATGATGAACCGACCAAGTCGGGACTGTCATGACCGGCGGACACTGCCGTGGCTTCGGTCGCAGGACGATTTACCCTGGAATACCTACGGCAAATCGTCTCCTTCCTGGGTTGACAAGAGGGAGAGCTTGCAGGTTGGTCAAAGACAGCTCAGCTATCCTTGCGGGCCTTCATTTCCGCAATGAATTTGCCCGTCTTGGAAGTGGGCACGACGTAGATTCGAACCAGTTCGTCAACAACCTCCACCTTGCCTCCGCTGAGGATCTGCAAGAGCGGAAGCTTTTTCCCGGCCTTGATCAACCCGCCCGTGACGGTCTCCATGAAGCACTCTACGCCGCCAATGGTATACTCCTTCTTGGTGTCCCACGGCAAGGGGAAGATGTATTCCATGTGATCCTCGATAGCAGTCAACTCGGAGAACGACTTGATGAAGTCGGACTGCGCATCCATGTGGTATAGGAACACGGCGGGGAATTCAAGGCTGCTCTCCGGCGAGAGAGGATCGGGCGTGAGACGAATGCCGACATCTTCCATCTCCGGGGGCTGCTCAGTCTTGCGGGTTCTGATCTGTCGCGCTTTCAAGGCGGTGCTCAGCATCTGGTTTTCCTTGCGCAGCTTCTCGGCTTCGGCCTTCTTTCTGGCCGCGATGCGCTCCAACGCCGCCTTGCGCTCGCCAACCTTTTTCCCGATCGTCTGAATCGACTTGTTATCCGGATCGAGAGCAAGTCCACGGTTCACAACATCCTCCGCCTCGGGGATCTTGTCGAGCATGAACAGCGCCATGGAGGAGCGGTAGAAGGCCTTGACGTTCTTCGGGTTGAGTTTGAGGGTGGAGGCGCAATCGAGCGTCGTAGAGCGATAGTTACCTGGAGTCGTAAATCAGCACGGTGCGTCTAGCATATGCGACCGGAATTTCCCTACCCAGTTCCAGATTGCACAAAGCGCGGTTGATATACGAAGCCTCTTCCACCTGGCGCTTGATTTTCTCTTCCTCCTTCGGATCCTCCGGCTTATCCCACTTGTCTTCCTTGGCCATCAAGACAGCGATCGCCTTGCTGTAGAACTCCTTCGCATCAATCCACCTCTTCTCCTTGGCGGCCTCGTTTCCCTGCTCGCGATAATTCTGCGCCACCTCGCCGCGCGTTCCCTCGTTCTGCATCGCCTGGATAGCATCCAGCATGATATTCTCTCCGTCTGCGAACCGTTAGCATATCCATCCCTGCGATCCTGCACCCACCAGACCCAGAAGAGGGAGGAAGTCAAATCTCACTCTCATCGCCCGCCTTATTAATATCCGTCATGAACAGCGGCGTCTTGTTCAACATGTCGGCCAGCTCGTCGGTAGTATGCGACCGCACGGAAGCCATGTTCTGCGACATCTTCGGGGCCAACGGATCCTTCTGCTCCATCTCCCTCATGCGCTCCTCGTTGATGGGGAAACTGGGCTCATCGTCGGTGACGGGGAGGGGGGCTTCGGGCTCGGGCTCGGGCACCTGCTTGTTGAGATCGATGGACTCGTCGAAGTCATCGGGGAGTTCTTCGATTCGCGACATGATGCCGGCTGAGTGAGGGACTGGGACTGGGTCTGCGTTGGGTGGTTGTCACGGCGAAGATTGATTGATCATCGAGAAATCCGATAAAGACGGGCAAACAGTGCAAACAGGAGGGGTAGGGTTAGCCCTGCGCATTACCCGTTTGGGCAGTCTGTTGATGCATTTGATTCCAGATATTATCGTCATCCTTTCACTATTGCAGATGCATCTTGATCTCTTTCGTGTCTACACAGTTCCTTTATCGGGGAGCATGTCGTGGTGGAATGACACAACCTGCCGTCGGACATGACAGCCCCGCATTGCGACCAGAAAGGACCTACTATACGACTGGACCATGAGACTATAGCCCCTTGAGCACTCTCCAGACTAGCCTTCGACGTCCTACTGCGTAGACATGACAGACACGCCAAGTGCAGATCCCCATCCATGAATAGCGTTCGGCGCAACGCCGTACCCCAACCTCCCCGTTCCCCGCATTCTCGGGCTGATGGCCGATATCCGAGTAGCCTGCATGGCCAGTATAAGACGCCATCAGAATCCAGGGTCAATCGCCCAACCAAGCACCCAACAAACAGCTAGATACTGACCACCATGACGGGAAAAACATACAACATCCTCATCCTCCCGGGCGACGGCATCGGCCCCGAAATCATGACCGAAGCCACCAAAGTCCTGGACGCATTCACCTCGCCAACTCTCCGCTTCAACCTCCGCCAGGAACTCATCGGCGGATGCAGTATCGACGTGCACGGGAAACCGATCACAGAGGCCGTAAAGCAGGCTGCATTGGCTTCCGACGCGGTGCTTTTCGCCGCCGTCGGTGGCCCGAAATGGGACCATGCGCGGCGCGGATTAGACGGGCCCGAGGGCGGCCTACTGCAGCTGCGTAAGGCCATGGATATCTATGCGAACCTGAGGCCTTGTTCGGCGGATTCGCCGAGCCGTGCTGTATCGAGGCAGTTTACGCCGTTTCGCGATGAGATTATCGAGGGGGTGGATTTCGTGGTGGTGAGGGAGAATTGCGGAGGCGCTTATTTTGGACGGAAGGTGGAGGAGGATGAGTATGGTAGGATATAGCCCCATTTTCTCTGAGAGTATTCAGCATGGGAGCGAAATGCACTGGATGATGGAGATTAACAATCCCCCAGCAATGGACGAATGGGGCTACTCGACCCCCGAAATCCAACGCATCGCGCGCCTGTCCGCCGAAATCGCACTGCGCCACGATCCCCCATGGCCGGTGATTTCGCTCGACAAGGCTAATGTGCTCGCTTCGTCGCGGCTCTGGCGCCGCGTTGTTGAGAAAACCATCACCACCGAATACCCACAGGTTAAGCTGGTGCATCAGCTGGCGGACTCGGCGTCGTTGATCCTGGCGACGAACCCGCGCGCCCTGAACGGCGTCCTCCTGGCTGATAATACCTTTGGCGATATGATTTCCGACCAGGCGGGCTCGATCATCGGCACGTTGGGTGTGTTGCCTAGTGCTAGCTTGGATGGGTTGCCGGGTGAAGGGAGGAAGACGAATGGGCTGTATGAGCCGACGCATGGGTCTGCGCCGACGTGAGTATTCTGCCCCTTTCAATGCTCCTTGGATTGCTGTGTCTGGATAGAGTCCTCGCTTTGAACCCCACGGTTTGATCTATCTATAATTAGCCCCAAACTAACCAGTCCAAACAGCATCGCGGGTAAAAACATCGCCAACCCCGTCGCCATGATCCTATGCGTGGCGCTCATGTTCCGCTACTCGCTGAACATGGAGACCGAGGCGCGACGGGTGGAAGACGCCGTGCGAACGGTGCTGGATGCAGGCATCCGGACGCCGGATCTGGGAGGCAAGGCGGGGACTAAGGAGGTGGGAGATGCGATTGTAAGTGCTTTAAGATCAGGGAGGGGCAAGCGTTTGTCTGGGCTTTGAGTGGACATTTGGATTTCTTTGGGTCGGATTAGCGTTTGAGGTGGTTGGATGCATGCATGTTTGTATGCAGCGTATGGTTGGTGGAGATTCCTGCAATCGACTAAGGTTGCCTGGTGGACTGCATTTGGGATTCTGCTGTCATTGCTCTATTTTTGCTATTTTATTATTGCACATTTCAAGTACATTCGCAAACAGTTGATATGCAGGACCATGGTACATACATTACAACCTATAGCTCGTCATCTGGGTGAGGACAGATATGATGCCATATTCTTTCAACCACAGCATATCAAATAAAGAACCAAGAACTGATAAATGGGCAGACAATCAGATAGCAATCAAAGTAGACTGCTATCAAACGCCCACTCAATCTACTTCCCGCATAAAAGAGCCCATTCGAACCATTCTAGAATCCAAACTCCTTCTCTCATCTATCTCCCTCCTCATCTACCCTCAACCTCCCTCATAAGCAGTCTACACTATACACATCTTACCTCCTCAACATACCTCATCCAAAAAACCCACCACCACCCAAAATGCCCCTCCACCATAGCCCAAAAGTGCCCTCCCACTGGACCACCCTCCTCACCTCAACCCCAACTCCAACCACCAGAACCCAAGACCAAGACCAAAACACCCTGAGCAACCTCACCTCCGCATCCAAAACGCGCCTCCTCCAGCACATCGCCTCCGACATCACCACCGCGCTAATCCAGATCTCCAAACACCTGGACACCGGGACGCTGAGCTCGCGCCACACGCGTCCCATCGAGGACATGATCGGGGTGATAACGGGGACGGAGCAAGCGCATCGACGGGGTCTGGAGCGGAGGGTGCGGCGGATGGAGGCGCGCGAGAAACGAAGGCTGAAGCGGTGGAGGGGCGAGAGGCGGTGGATGAGGAAGTGTTTTGCGGGATTGCTGGGGAAGGCGACGGAGGTGAGTGGGAGGTGGAGGGAGAGGGTGAGGTATCTGAGGGATGGGAGGAGGTTGTCTCGCTTTTAGATTTGGATTACTGTGTTTTTGTAAAGGGATTGGAGTATGCTATGGTTCTTGACTTAGGCTATTCAGGTGTTACTTGTTAGACGGGGTTTAGTATTGAGTGTAGACTTAGGGGTATCTCAGTCTTGTTGTTGTAGATATCTATATGAATATTACGGTGAAGAATCATTGATGAGTACCATAATTATCCACTGTCTTTAGATAGCTGACTGGATTGCAAATTTCGTCAGCACCATTAGCCATCTTCATGCTTCAGGTAAATCTGGTCCAACGGGTTTGTAAGCACCGAACCACAGTTCAACATCTTCACATGTGGATCAACCGCAGGCCAGTCACACAAGCGACAATATCAGCGGCGGAACAGTGGCAACAACCTTAAAAACCATGTGCTCGGTCCATCCTGTGATGCTAGTTGTTGGTCCCTGATCCAGATATGACCGAAACGTAATGTCTGGAGTCTAATTCGAGGCCTAGTTATCGGAAAACTAGTCTAAGACCAAATGCTGAGCAATCCGGAATCGATGGTGTCAGGCCGAGATAATCGCCAACGATAACGGGAACCCAGGTTCCGAGGTAACTTTTCGCATTAAGCGGCTTTTGGGCGGGATATCCCCAGGCGAAAACCAGACCCTGAGTGACGCAAATTTAGAACAAATGTGATGTGCCAACTCCAAGTGTTTTTTCCGAGTCCCGAATTAGTCAGGAACATCCATGTTGCCGGTGACTTGTATGCAGCAGTTTTGCAGAGAATTCTGTAGGGAGGCTTAGTGTAAACCAGATAGAAGAGATATGAAAAACTCCGGTCTTTTTATCGACATTGCAACAAAACCTACCCCGTCCTCCGTAGGCGATGGCGATAGCCGTCAGAGTACCCAGGGCGAATGGACCTCGGCATCTGGATGTCGGCCAAATGTCCAGAATATTGATTCGGCACCGCGGATCCACTCTTGCCTCTCTTCATGTGGAAGCAGATGGCAACGCCCCCGAATTGAAAGACTTCTCACTCCCTCATATTTCCCTTCCCCGGACTCTCCGTCATTCTCCTTTCCCTTCATTGACTTGCTGGCTGCTTTGACTCGCAAACGTAGTCGTGCTGAAATTTCCTGCACTTACCCCTTCTCCGACCCACACTATCCGAGCCACTTTACCCCGGACGAAATATCGGCCGAGATGAGCAACCCGGGGGATTACAGCGCCGTGCGACGCGACATTGTCGCTCAACTGAAGAAGCCGGATTATGATGATGGCAGCGCCGGGCCTGTTTTCGTCCGTTTGGCATGGTATGTTTTTTCCTTCATTTTTTTGGCCGATTATCCGTTGTCGATGCCCTGGCAGTCGTTCAAATCCGAGTTGCCACTGACAGACTCTTCCTCCAGGCACTCCGCAGGTACCTACGACGCTGAATCCGACACTGGCGGTACCAATGGCGCCGGTATGCGATACGAAGCGGAGGGAGGCGATCCCGCCAACGCGGGTCTCCAACACGGACGAGCCTTCCTGGAGCCGGTGAAGGAAAAGAACCCCTGGATCACATATTCGGACCTGTGGACGCTAGCCGGCGTGGTGGCCGTCGAAGAGATGGGTGGCCCCAAGGTTGCCTGGAAGCCCGGCCGAACCGATCTGGTCGACGACTCGAAGGTGCCACCCCGGGGCCGGTTGCCCGACGGAGCCCAGGGCGCCGACCACCTCCGATTTATCTTCTACCGCATGGGATTCAACGACCAGGAGATCGTGGCGCTGGCCGGTGGACATAATCTGGGACGGTGCCATATGGATCGCAGCGGATTCGAGGGTCCCTGGGTGAACAACCCGACTCGGTTCTCGAATCAGTTCTTCAAGCTGCTTCTCAAGCTGGAGTGGAAGCCGCGGACGCTGTCGAACGGCGTGCAGCAGTTCAATTATGTGGATCCCGATGCCGACGAGGATGACGAGCCGTTGATGATGCTGCCGACCGATATCTCGTTGATCATCGACCCGTCGTTCCGGCCATGGGTGGAGCGATATGCGGAGGATAAGGATCTGTTCTTTGATCACTTCGCTAAGGTGTTCGCCAAGCTGATCGAGCTGGGAATTCGGCGCGACGAGAAGGGCGTCATTGTCAACACGGACAACGTCAAGGGCGGATACGTGTCCGCAGCAAAGAAGAGCAACACCGCCACTGGGCCGCCGAAGAATGAGGGTGGATGTCCTCGAGCCCAGGGAGGGTGTCCTCGGGCTCGCCTATAGTGTATATTTGGCTTTGATGAATGTTAATTGTAGATAGAAGTCCGGTCTGAGAAAGGCCCTGTTTATTAGATTTAGAACCGGTTTATTTCGAATACCAAGCATAGTTTCTGATTCAATCAGTCCAGTTCATTCAAGTTGATGAAAATAGTAGATAATATCAATTATAATGAAGAAAGAGAGATGAAATTAGACAGTAAGAAGGGACTAAAGAAGGACGAAAGAAAGGAGAGAGGAAGAGGAAAGCCGGGGAAGCGTGAAATGCGGGGAAAACAACGGGGCCGTCCGCCCTGACTTATGGCTGCCCCGTCATTGGCCAGAGGGCGTGTCGATGGTCCTGCAGGGATGCGTTGGATTAATCTATTGCCGACTGGCGATGGTTACCCTCGGTTAGAGAGACTGTTCCTCTGTCTTTCATGTTCGTTTGATTGAGGTGGGATCAATCGCATCTTCATTGCACTTGAACCCATCCGTATGAAAGCTCCCAAGTCTATCATTAAGTATCCAAAGCATTTGACCTATAATACAACTGAACAAAACAAAACTAAAGGTATATACTATTGCCAATACAGAGCGCAGAATGGAAAAGAAAAGAAAATAAAGTAAAAAGAAAAAAAGAAATAAGAACTACCAGCCCTCGGGAGTCTGAAGGCGAGGCGAAGGCCTTCGGTTACCCGGAGCCCTGTTAGCCTGCTTTTTCTTCTTGAACCTTTGAAACTTCTTCCTCTTGTTATTCCTTTTTCGGTCGGGTGACTCCCGTTTTCGCTTTCTATCGTTGCGTTGACCTGTCCATCGGTGTGCGTTCTGTGTCGCAGAACGAGCTGGTTCTGACCCGTTTGTGCTTCCTCGCCCTGAGTGTGAACGTGACGGCGGATCCGACAAGGGCGGCGGCGGCGTCTGAACTTGCGTGAATTGTTGAAACGGCTGAGGCTGGTTCATATTAGCTGGCCAGGTTTGTGGAACTCCATACATATTGTTCGTGTTCGATTGTGGATTGAGATAGCTGGCGGTGCCGTTTTCTTTCATCGCATAGTAAAGCTGCATGGCCGCGTTGTAATAGTCGCTCATGTAGTTTTGCGTCGTGTAATTGACGCCGTACTTCTGCAGCAGTTCTGCGTCAGAGGAAGGCAGATAGCTTTGTCCTGCAAGGTCCGAAGCCGGAAGATCAGATGCTGGAAGTTCAGGCTGAGACACCAGATCCTGCATAGCAGGGGCCTGAAAATCGAGCATACTTTCAGGCTCCTCAAACCCCATTTTCTCATTCTCAAGACCAAGCGAGTTTATTTGGGCTGATTGAAACGGTTCCATGGGCGGTGAAACAGGATATTTCTCAATACGAGGAGTCGGAGGACTCGAGTATAGAGCGGCATCATCCATGGGTGAGTCCTGCATACCAAAAGGATAGCTTTGTTCGGAAAGAGGGCTGGCGAGGCGATTGACCGGAAGCTCGAGATTGAAATAATCAGCGCTTGGGAAAACCCACTGACCAGGGTGGTCTGAGGTGGAATACTCCAGGATACCATTGGATGAGGTCCAGGGGCCAATTTCATTGGCAAGAAGCCTCTTGTCCTCTACAGCTTCTACCATTGATCCTACCGACCTCATCACTGTATTGAGAACCTGGGAGCTGACGTTGTCCACCCGTTCGTAGAACACTAAGGGGATGGTCTTTCCAGCCCACCAATCGTAGGGGACTCTCTCGCTCGGGTGACCATACGACAGGCCTCCGACAATGACCCCGAAGTTTTTGGCCCCGTCGTACATACGGACCTCGCCGCGGTCAATCTCGCCGGGGCGATTGTCGGCCCAGAAGACTCGGAAGTTGTCCTTGTTCTCGTATATCCCGCCCACCCAGCGGTATGTGACCGAGATTCGCTTTTCGAATGTCTCAACTTCGAACGTGAGATCCTGCGTGTGTTTCGTCACAGGGACTCCAGGATCAACCATGACAACTAAGCGGGCAGGAAGGCTTTCAAACGTTCGCCAGCGGGTTATGGCGTCGGGAGTATCGCAGACGTCGCAATCGAGTTGCAACTTTGGAGCAAATTCCCGCTCCAGGCGGCTCTGCATCGTGACATCCCCTTGAGTCTCCCACGGGACTTCAGATGGCTGCATGACTGAGCTTTTCCATGGCCCCGTGGTTTCACCGAGGTCATTGCCGGGATTGCACTCGCACTGACGAATTTGATCGTAGTGGGTGAACTGGAATTGGGCGAAGTTGGCCGTCGCTTTGGTCCAAACTTCCTGCACCCAGGGGATACCCCCTATCCAGGCTTCGGGCATGCTATCACTCACCACATCCCAGAAATGATCTCGTAGTGTTTCGCTCTGTCCAGGGAAACACAGATCCCAGTCCACCTCGGTCGCGGCGATCAATCCCCGTTCTAGGGGGGTGAACTGCGCCTGCCAATCTTTCTTGCAACGATCTATTACCGTGGACCCAGCATCAAGCAATTTGGCGGCGACGATAACACAATCGATAGTGCATGTGTTCCACAGGCCCACGGGACCGCGGCCTCGGTATGGATAGTCACGTCCATCGGGGTGCAGTACCATCTCATCGGTGTCACGGTTCCAGGCAATTCTCACTTGAGACGTCGCGGGAACCTTCCTTTCAATGGTCTTCAGTAGGGCTTGTTCGTTGGTCGCCACTAGGCAGGGCTGTTCAGCCGAAGTAGCTGTGTGGTGTCGTTCGAGGTCTGCATTTGCAAGTTTCATAACAATTCGCTGGACTATCTCGACGACATTTTTAGCCGGTAATGACCGTGCGGTATGTCTTTCCGGTTGAGGCACGCTGGCGCTGCTATAGTGACTGCGTGCCGACCGAAGTGGACTCTTAGTATTTGCGACCACCTGAGCCTGCTCCTGTTCTTTCTCCTGCTCATCTTCCTGTTCCTGTTCTTCATCCTCATCCTCGGTGGCATCGAGATCAATTGGCCCGCCAGAAACTGGGTAAGACATCTGCTCGAGATGACTATCGGGTATTGACTCTGGAGCGTCACTCGGCCTCTTGAATCGTGACCTCAGCGCTTTGTTGCCTGTTGGTGGTTGAGGATAATATCTGCTAATGGGAACGCGTTCGATTTCAATAGTATGTGAGAGCAACCGGGGGCCCGCATCTCTGGAAAAGTCCGCGAACTCGTCAAACGATGTCGGCCGATGGTCGGGCTCCATGTGATAAAATAGCTTCCATAGAGCTCTTAGAAGCTTCTCGATTGTTGCACGCTTGGCCAGTCCCATGTCGATTCCCCAGCTCTGATGATTCACTATTGCCTCCAAGCGCGGCTTCGGGAATCGACGAGCGCGCATGTTAACCTGCACAGTCTCCCCCAGAAACTGCCAGTTTCCCGGAGGATCGGCCAGGTCATCGAGGTTCAATTTGGGATATTCGAGAACCGGGGAGGGAGGCGGCGACTCATCGTCGCTGAATAGGCTGGAAGGCATGTTCTGTCTTGACACGAAGAATGCTCAAAACCCCTTTCTCTTTCAACACAATAAGTGTGGGTGATAAGGAGATGTTCGATTTTCCAGGGGAGGGCTCAAGTCTAAGACCCCCAATTGACCGGGGCAATGAGTTTAATAAATGCCCGGGGGGTAGCACTGCTGTCGACGCCTATCTTCCATGACATCAGCCACAAAGAAAACCCGATCATGCATGCGTGTACTATTTTAGTGGACAAGATCGAATTAATTCGATTTGGTAGGGTGGTCATTGGAACCACGGGCTCGAAGCTGGTCCATCCTTGCTTTTCTTTGAGACTCGATTGTCTCATCTTCAGCCCTAGTCATCTTCCATCCAGGGATCGTAAGTTGTCAAAGAGAGGTCAAATGAAGAAGGCTCTGAAGATATCCATTCTTTGTCTTCAGAAAATTCCACAATGAGCTGCAGATGTGTTCGAGCTAAAAATGACTCCGAGTTCAGGAAAGGGCCAATCTCATGTGAAAGAAAAACCAGCAACAGAAAATCTGATCAAAGAATCAGAGTTGCCCAATAGACAATCTCAGTGACGTCTGCCGACCCATGGTCAACTGCTGATACGAGGATAGTGAGAACCTGGGTGCGAGCATTCATTGTCTGATCTAACCACTGGGTCAAACTCGTCAAAGAGTCTTTTTGACAAAGAGTGTAGCAGAACTCGAACACCGAGACATGATCAAAGGATCTATGACCGGGATGAATAGTCCTGAATCATGGTACCCCCTGAGGCGGTGGCCTTCACAGCTTTTAATTTTGAACATCTCAGCTCGCATCAGAAGACAATACGACAGCCAGGAACTAGATGATAAACTTAATGATTTGAGGTGACTGAGATGGTCGAGATGGTCGAGATGTGGTAGTGCAGGAAGGAAGAATCCGCCGCAAGTGTTCTGCATACCAGACAAAATGAATCACGTGCCAGTTTCTTCGTCTCCGCGAACATCTTGATAGCATGAGGACATCACCTGGTCCACTTACTCGGTTCTCGCTCACTCCATTATAACGCTAACTCTGTCCACGCGAAGAGGGAGGGGATCCTGTATCACTGCGTAGCCCTGGCTTCAATCTTGATAATGCCTCTGACTGTTGCAACACCCTAGGTTCAGAATACAAGACATCAAGTAACTCGATTCTAACCGAATAGGCCTCATGATTCTGTATGATAGAATAGTCCGCGACCAAGAGCCAAAGTCCAGCCCAAGTCAAGACAGCCAGAGCCAAGCTGACTAACAACTGACTAACCATACTCTCTCACGTGAGTTTCTTCCAGACCGCCCAGAACACACGCCCAATCCCAAACGGGCCTAGCGCACTACAAGCGAGCCCTCGACCGCACCAAGACCCAAAACAGGCTAGTGCCATCTTTACCCGATCCCACAACGGGCGAGCAAAGTTGGAAAGCCCAGCGAGTCGATTTCACCTCCTTCTCACCCCTCTCGAGTCGACAATCAACGCGGTCCCGTCGCGCCATCGCCCATCATGTGTACGTGCCATTCCTATACCCTCGATATTGAGATCAGAAGTCCATCTCGCTGCTGTTTTTGATCGCTCTGGGGAAATCTGGCCGGGGGAGGAAGATGAAGTCGGGGATACATTTCTGCATGTCGACATGGTTGAACGAGGGATATGGTTGAAGAGGAGGGGGACAGAACAAACCAGAGCGAACAGAACGGGGCTGGAATGGATGGAATCTTTCAATTTTCGCAACCGCATCGAAAAGAAAGAGATTTCGAGATGCGCATCAAATTACCACCCGCAGATGGCTGACTTTCCGTGATTCACAGCGCTCGTGTCCGGCGAGAAGACGAACTTCCAGTACATCTTGCGTCTGCTCAACACCAATGTTGACGGCAAGCAGAAGATCATGTACGCCCTGACTCAGGTCAAGGGTGTCGGTCGCCGCTACTCCAACTTGGTCTGCAAGAAGGCCGATGTTGACCTCAACAAGCGGTACGTTCTCCCTACGATGCCCAATGAAGATTGGGCCATTCCATCAAAAACACAGACACCCCGAAAACAACCACCACCGAAATATCCAAACCCCGATAAATGAACAATCAGCTAATTATCCATCCCAACAGCGCCGGTGAGCTGACCACCGAAGAGCTTGAGCGTGTCGTCACCATCCTCCAGAACCCCACGCAGTACAAGATCCCCACCTGGTTCCTCAACAGACAGCGCGACATCGCCGACGGCAAGGACTCCCAGGTCCTGTCCAACGGTCTGGACAGCAAGCTCCGTGAGGACCTTGAGCGCTTGAAGAAGATCCGCTCCCACCGTGGTCTCCGTCACTACTGGGGTCTCCGTGTGCGCGGTCAGCACACCAAGACCACCGGCCGCCGTGGACGCACCGTCGGTGTCAGCAAGAAGAAGGGCTAAACGATCTGAGAGGGTTCAACTTTATTATTTTTTTTCTTGCTCGCTGGAAGGGAGAGGGAAAGCGTTGGTGTGGTTTTTACGAACACGGGACCTGTTTACATATAACGGATTTGGGTCCAATAAAAAGTCAAAAGAATCATACCAATATGAAATGAACATCAAAATTCCATGTTATGAATTATGCGTAGAGCTGCCAGCCTTCGGTCTAGTCGGAGGTGCGAGTCTGCAGGCGGCATATCTTTTTCTCGAGTATGCTCGTAGTGGGCCAACTAGCCGTGCTGTTACTATTCTGGCCGCCGAGTATATATATTTCCTACATGCATCATTGATTTATTATGCAGGCAATGGTATGTTGCAAATTAAAACGCAGTTGGCATTGTACTATGTATATATCCCTGTATAAGATCATGAATAGTCATACATCTGAACAAACGTGAATCCATTTAAAAACAGTTCCGAAGTATGATTACGACGTGTCCTCGAGGATCACGAAGTCAAGTTCTCGCTCGTTTGAACTCTTTAGAACCACTCACCACCCAACCAGCGGTTGTAGAACTCAAGGCCAGCCTCGGGCTGATCCATGGGAACCATGTGACCGGCGCCGTAGATCCGCATAAAGGTGAAGTTGCCGTGGGACTTGACCTGACCGATCTTCTTGCCCTTGTGCTGGTTCTCCTCCACCTTGAGATCCTTCAAGCTGGCAGAGGCGTACTCGGCCTGTCCAGGCCACTCCAAAGCCTCAGTCCAGGCCTTGTTGCCGAGCCAGTTGCAGATGTAGTCGGCATCACCGGCGTAGATCAAGACAGGAATCTGCTCGAGGAGACCAGGGACAAGGCGGTGGTAGGGCTTCATCCAGTCACCGTGGAAGAGGAAGTTACGGTTGATGTCGAAGTTGCACGAGTCGTATCCATCGACCTCAGCGCCGACAGCCTCGCGAACCTCGGCCTTGTTCAGGTACTCACTGACATAGCCCATGCCCTTGTAGCAGAGGTTGCTCGAGTCCTCGCACTTGCCGCGGACATCGTAAACATTCTGTCCGGTGCGCTGGTAAGGACCGATCATGGCGTTGTTGCAGTAGATCGAGGCGGGGACGCAAACCCAAGCGCTCTCAGAGTCATAGCAAGCCTGGATCATCTGCTGGCAGCGGGGCAGCGCATTGTCCAAGGACTGGCAAGCGCTCTCGTCCAAGACAGCGGGGTAGCCGCCCTCACCGCAGCCCATGGGGCGGTAGTACTCGTACTGAGTCAGACCATCGGTGAGACCATTACCAATGAGGACCGACTTGAGGTTGATGTTGCGCTTCTCGTGAGCCAGGATCTCGGAAGCGAACACGGGGATGTAGTGACCAGCATACGACTCGCCCGCAATGTGGAAGTCCTGCTTCGCATACTCGGGGAATTGCTTGAAGAAGAGAGTAAGAAGGGCATAGACATCCTTGCCAGCGGCAACGGTGTCGCTGACGGCGGAGCCACTGTAGGAGTAGCCGACGTTGACGGGCTGGTCAAGGAAGATCACGGAAGCGTTGGAGTTCCAGGAGAAATCATTGTGGATAGGCTTGATGTTCTCGCCAATGCTGCTAGGTCCAAGCTCCAAGAACAAACCGGTGAGAGAGGAGCAGCCGGGGCCACCGTTCAGCCACAGCACGACGGGGTCGTTCTTGGGGTCATTGCGGGATTCGAAGAACCCTTGATGAAAAGGTTAGCAATCTAGACGTAAACCAAGCCAATTTTGTAATAGGACTTACAGTAGAACAGATGCTTGTCATTCTCATTGTCATCCAGATAACCGGTGTACTGCTTCACACCGGGGTCAATGCCGAGGGAGCTGGGGTCGGTCTTCTTGACACGGAGATCATAAACCTCCAGCTTCCCGTCAACCTCTCGCTCCTTGCCGCCATCGGCACTGTCAACCCAGATCTTCTGGACGTCAGAGCCACGGACAATGTGGTCCCAATGAGAGTCAGGGCGACGGTTGTGCTTCTTGGGAAGGGAGAAGACGGGGTTGTGGTCCATAGCCTCGGGAACGTAGTTGGAAACTTCATCCCACAGCTTACGAGCCTCATCAGAGAGGGTCTTGAGCTGCTCCTCGAAGTGGTGGAGGGCACCGGCGAAGCCCTTCTCCTCGGTGGCAGGCATAGCGGGCTCCTCCTGAGGCTGGCCATTCATGACCTGCTGGTTGAGAACCTGCTGGGCAGGAACGGCGGCAGTGGCCGCTCCGACCAGCAAAGTAGCTGGCAAAAGTCTCATTGTCGATGGTTTGAGGGTCAAACTGGGATGGAAAGGGTAGGGGAGGTGATGAAAGGGTCAAGAGCAGTACAAGGGGACCTTGCGGTCAAGACGGCTTGGGCAGCTAGTTAGCTTATCAGTGGCGGCTATCAAGGGGGAGAGTCCGAGAGACTCATCAAGCAGGAGGAAGCAATCAACTTACAGTTAACAACAGCAGGAATGAAAGAAAAGTAGCCGATGAAACACCAGCAACCTTGGGGAGAGAAGAGATGAAAAGGATGGAGAGGAGAGATGGAGAGAGGAGGAATGTAGGTCGGAGTTGGGGATGGCAGGCACCGATGACGCCGATAGCCAAGGCAGCCAATCAGCGCGCGGTGCCTCGCCGGGGACGACAGGTCACGCGCTGAGTCAGCCAGGCTGAGTCACCCGCGGCACGGGACCAGCGTCATTGCCGCTTTGAGCCAATCACGAGGCGGGCGGGCGGTCGTTCCAAACTGGATTTCTTCGGCGTCATCGGGCGTTGAATTTTACATCCTCTGGTTATTGGATTCTACGTGGCTCCTTGTCGATCCATCTCATCCTCGGGAAAGTGCGTCTTCACTTGAAGGTGCAGTCTGCAAGATGCCTATCAATCAGCCCTCGAATCAGATTAAATTCACGAACGTATCGGTCGTCAGACTAAAAAAAGGTTTGTCAAGCATCTCCTTGCATTCACATTCTTTCTCCTCTTTTTTTTGAACCCATCTATCCATGTAAAATCCCTGTTCCGGTGACCCCAACTATGCTTGTTGGAAGAGAACCATCGTCAGCAAGAATTTCTTTTGAAAAAGCCCACCCCGCAACCCCGCTAACCGCAGATCAACACAGGCAAAAAGCGCTTTGAATTAGCCTGTTACAAGAACAAACTTCTCGAGTACCGTTCTGGCGCCGAAAAAGACCTCGACAATGTCCTCCAAGTCCCCACCATCTTCCTCTCCGTATCGAAGGCCCAGACGGCCCCGTCCGCAGAACTAGCCAAAGCCTTCGGAGCGGGCGTCCCCACCGACGAGATCCTGCAGGAGATCCTGCGCAAAGGTGAAGTGCAGGTTGGAGAGCGGGAGCGAAAAGAGATCGTGGAGCGAGTCGAGAAGGAGGTGTTGGATATCGTGTCGGGACGACTGGTCGACCCGACGACTAAGCGGGTTTACACACCGGGCATGATCTCCAAGGCTTTGGATCAACTGAGTTCGGCGAGCGGGCAACTACAGCAGTCGCAGGGTCAGCAGCATAATGGCGACGCGAATGGCGGCGCTGCCGGGGAGGAGTCACGTCCTGCGCAGCCAAAGAAACCGTTGTGGACTGGCGTTACCCCGAACAAGTCGACGAAGAGTCAGGCGCTTGAGGCTATGAAGGCGCTGATTGCGTGGCAGCCCATCCCTGTGATGCGCGCACGCATGAGGCTGAGAGTGACATGTCCCGTGTCGCTCTTGAAGCAGAGCGTCAAGGCTGGAGCGGCGGCTGGCGGGCCAAGCAAGGAAAAGGAGGCCCCGTCTGGAGGCGGAAAGTCGAATAAGAAGGGCGGAAAGGGCTCGAAGAAGTCCAAGCGACAAGATTCCGAGGATGAGGCCGGAGCTTCCGACGCGGAACTACCGGCGCCGAAGACCCCCGGCAATGTCAAGGACAAGATCATGAGTTATATCGAATCCGTCGAGTCGCAAGAGGTGGTGGGTGGAGATGAATGGGAAGTGGTTGGATTCGCGGAACCCGGCGCGTTCAAGGGACTGAACGAGTTCGTGGGCAACGAGACTCGCGGACGGGGACGAGTGGAAGTATTGGACATGACGGTTACTCACGAAGAGTAAGCGCACCGAATCGACATGTATAGATGACCGAGCACACTCGGATGTTGCCATGACTGATGACCGGACGGAGGTTGATACCAAAAATGCAATGAATATGCCATATCAATCTTTATTTGGCAATCATGACTTCAAACAATCTACTCGTACAACTAAGAGTGCCAGTAGGTTGCAACGCTGAACTATAACCCAACTCATCCATGAACAGATCCCTCAATGAACGTCATCTTTGCCCGTCACCAACAACACCACATTCTGCCCCGGTCCCAACTCCCTTGCCAACCTCATCGTCTCTGCCACCGCATACCCCGTACTCAAACCCGCCACGACGTCCTCCTCTTCCGCCAGAATCCTCACTCCCTCCAACGCCTCCTCATCCGAAGCCGCGCTCACCTCCACCCTCTGCATCCCCTTCCAATGCGCCAACTCCGGCCCAACACTCGGAAAGTTCATATCCGGCGACATCGCCTGCGTCGACTCGATCTGACCATCCTCATCCTGCAACACCATCGTCCGACACCCATGCAGCACACCCACACTGCCACCACTCAACGGCGCCGCGCCCTCCGCCTCAACACCCACCATCCGCACTCCCTTCTCCGCAGCAAACGCACCGAAAAGCCCCGTCGCCGCCGCACCCACCCCCAACGGACTCACCAACGCATCCGGCAAGCCATCCTCCTCCCTTCCCATCACCCTCGCCAGCTGCACCTTAACCTCCTCGCCCACTCCCGCCTGAAACGTCCGATTAATCACCGGAAACGGATGCGCACCAATCGGCCCACCCATCACATAATAAACCCCCTCCTGATCTTCCAGCGAATGCGCAATCGCCGAATTCACCGCCGCCTTGAGCGTCCTACACCCAGCCCCCGTCTCCACCGGCACAACGTCCGCCCCGAGCTGCTGCATCTCCAGGACGCCCGCGCACTGCCTCGCCGCATCATCAACCCCCATGTACACTGTACATTTCAAACCCAGCTGTGCACAGAGCCCGGCGCACGCGATCCCATGACACGCAGACCCGCAGTCCGTCACGATCTCGCGCCTGCCGAGCCGTTTCGCGAACAGGATCTGACCGACGATGCTGCGCGCGCGGTGGCTGCGGTATGGGTTTCGGTCCTCGCGCTTCAGCCAGATCGTGGCGCCGGTAGCGCGGTGGGTGAGGTTCTTGGCGAGGTGGAGAGGCGTCGGGCAGAAGGGTGTGTGGGCGTGATACGTCTGCCAGAAGGAGTCGGTGGTGATGGTGGACTGGAAGGTAGAGGCTAGGGAGTGTAGTGCCTCGATTTGGAGCTCTGGGGCGAATTGGCCGCCGAAGGAGCCGAAGCGGGTCGACGAGAGGTCGAGTGGGGGTTTAGGAGGGTTGGGGAGATGGTCTGTTTTGGTGCTGGAGGGGGTGAGGAAGGTGAGGAGATGGCTGGTGGATTGAGCGGGAGGGTATGATGGGGGATGAGCAGGTGTGAACCTCTCCGTGCTGGGATCCTTGTTATGGATCAAGCTATGCAAGTTGGCAGATGGCAGGGAAGCAGTGAGCATGGCGTAAAGTCTGTATAGAATCTCAGTAGATCAAAGTCCTAGTGGTAGATAGTAGATTTAATGAAAATAAAAAATCGGACTCCCTAAACCACAAACCAGACCAAATATTTATAGCTTCCCACTCTGCGCATCATCTATTCCAGTCAATCTCCAATTCGCTCTGCTATCACCATTCCACCAATGTCCTATCCAAACAGGAAATGTGTATCTGTAGTCCTGGCCAAGCCTGTCCTCAACCAGTCCGAGCACAGGGTTTATAGAGTACAGAGCAAGGAATCAGGAATTTAGCCCCTCCAAGTCGCAAGCCACTAGTCTTTTTCCATTCTTCAGATTGATAATCCGCTACGGGATATGTATGTGTGTGTTGCATCATCGACTCAGGCTTCTAACACCTACTGTTTACGGTGATCATAAGCTTTCTGCCTCAGGCACTGAGGTTCAAATCCCGGCCGGACGGCTTGTGCCTTAGGAAACCTGCGGAGGTCCTCCAACCCCGACATGAAGTTAAAATTCGGGGTTGGCTGGGATTTGGATGTCTGGCATATGATATCGGGTTGTGGTATAGTTAGAGATTTTGTTGGAATTGATTTGGGCATGTTGTGTGTGAAATGCGGGTACGGGTGCGGGTGATTCATTGTGGGAGAAATATATAGCCACATCGTAGTGTCTTGAATGGTGACAATAATCAGCAAATGGGTACTATAGTGTTAGTATTACTTCTAACTGGTAGTACGTATTTTGCCGCCCTCTAAATACGAATTTTTGTCTTAAAAAATATGATCAATCGATTTTACTGAAGACAAGAAAAAAAACAAAAAAAGCTTGCCACAAATAAGCAATATCCCATGCACCACCAACCCATAGCAAACCGCCACCCATTTTTTTCATTGTTCTGACAATAATAATAGGAAAGGCATAACCGCCACCAAGCCAAAAACAACCCACTCAACCCACAAACCTCATTATCCGAACACCTCTCTTCATATTCCCTACAAAACCAAATAACCCGACGATCATCAACCTACCCTAGATAACCAGGTATAATAATAACCCAGCAGCAGAAAAATCCAGAACCTAACCCAAAAACCAGCGGGGTCACAAACCACAAACTTCACCTATGACAGTCCCCGAAGTGGCCACCCCCTCGTCGCTGGCTTCTAGGCAGGCCGACGATCAACTCCCGTTCAGAACGCCTAGATAAACATGCAGACTACCTAGACCAGGGAGGAATCGTAGTGTGCAAAATGCAAATAGTCACTGGTCGGTCTATTGTCTTGGCGTTGATCGGGTTTATCTGATCGGCGGTGCAGAAAGTAGATCGTTTGTTTTGTTTACTTTACTTTTACTGTACTTTGGATGGTGGGGGTTGGGGTGGCGTTGGGGTTGTTCTACCTACCTTCTACCTACGGAGTCACGGGGTAGATACTGTGTGGCGCTCGATACCGGGCTATTATGGGTAGGGTTTGGAGAGAGATGAACTGCCTGTGGGATGTATGGTTGGTTGGTGGGATGAAGGTGTGCTGTGCATAGTGGATGATGTGTGGGTTAATCGACTTGGCGCATACGGTGCTACAGCGTACGGAGCAGACTCATTTTTAAAGCTACCGAAGTCATCAATAGTAATTTCATGTAATTCTATTCGTCTACCAACGTAACAGTACATGGTAAATAGGTAAATCCATTGATTCGGCCACGGTTGTTCGCCGCCAAATGGATCAAATCAGATCAGTGAGCCTCTAGGCGGGTATACGCTCAATCGCAATGCAATTAAAAAAAATAATCAGTCGCTTTTGAAACATGGTTCGTTTCATGCATAAGCATAAGAGCAGTCCAGACCCGGAGAGAGAGAGGGATGTGGGCGGTAGCTCGCAATTTCTCTTGCAGGCTTGGCCGCCTCCCTCGGTCTTTCCCCCTCGCGTCTCGACCGTGTGGATCGTGACTGTGGAGGGATGGGTCCGGTCAAGGCGAAATCTCCCGAACACGACCCGGTGAACGAGGATGGTTGTCCGCTTTGCGGATGCGAAATGAAGCACACACACAATATTGTCGAGATTGTATGGGTTGGTAAAAAAAAAAGGAAGAAAAAAAATGTGTGGTCAGGTGACCTGACGACGATCAAATCTTGCCAGAAGGTTTGTTGGGTTACGAGCAGATCTGCACGGCGTTCAACGCCCGTGTCAAATCATCCGGCGAGAAGGGCATGTAGGTTCCCTTGGGAGACATGGGGGGTGGCGAGATGGTGCGGATGGCGGGTGAGGTGTAACGTATCGACTCCTTGATCTGGGCGATGGAATCCTGCCGCAAGATTTCAGGGAGCAGCGTCATCAGCGAGGCGCTGTAGCTGTCGGAGTCGACGGCGGTGGACGAGGACGAGCCCGAGTCGGTGTCTCGATCGTGGGCGTATTCGTCATGAGTCGCGATGGCCGAATCTATGGATGGTTAGATCGCTGTCACTCATCGATTCATCGCGATCGAAAGAATGGCGAGTCGGGAATGGAAGGTCGTCATTGACAACCAGGTCCCACATACCATCAGTTACGGTCACCTCTGGCGCCGGGGTGACGATCTGATCGGGAGCCACATCGTCGTCGTCGTTACAGCGTGGTTGCAGATGGTCCGGCAGGGTGGTACAAGGGGACAACGAGAGGTCGAGAGAACGGGGGCGTTCAGCCTGGGCGTCTTCGAACGACCATGCCGCCAGTTTCTTTTGGTGTTCCCGATCAAACGGGCCCTTGAACTTGGACCGGGGGATCTCATGGCGTTTGTAGTACTCGATCTTGATGCCATTGTCCTTGGATTTGGACCGGCTTCCAGTGCGCTGGAACACTCGACGGACTTTCTGACGGAGACTCATGTTGAAGTCGACGAGGCGAGAATCGATATAGTCCGAATGATTAAGGTTTAACCTCCGATTGGTAGGGGTAGGAATTGGAATAGGCGAGTCAACAGCACTTCACAGCGGCAGACCTTTCCCGGCCGGGGAATGGACGCGAGGGAAGGTGTGCAAGCACGAGTGACAATCGAGCAAAGAGGTCAACTGTTGGATCATCGTACGTCTGGAGGGGAGATTGGAGGAAGAAGAAAGGAAGGGGAGGAGGGAGAAGGCCGAGAGAAGAGAAAGACCAAGAGGAGAGAGCCAGAAAGAGCAGATAACGAAATGGGGTTCAGATTAGCAGAATGGGGGGATGGTGGGAAAGGATATATTCTAGTCTAAGACGGAGGGAGTCTAGCAGACGAACTAGAACAGGACCCGGTAAGGTGAGCGAGTAGTCCGTGGGTGTCTTAACAGATTGGGAACAACATCGCCGGTGGATGATTTCATGGGCGAGGCGATGATTGGGCATGAGGTAGGCGCCGATGGAACCGGGCGGACACACCGTCAGAGCCGTGCAGCCCTGGTCTCAACCGGCGCATGGAACGCCGCGATAACCCCCTCCATCCGGTAATCGCCCTCAATGGCGAGGAAAAAGAGGGGCCAAACGTGGAGGATCCACAGGGGGTTGTGCGTGAATTATGCTGGCGCAGTATTGGCTAGTTCCTTAGTATTCCTAGTTATGTTGGATGTTATTACGCAGAATTAGCCGGATAGCGTGCCGCGGACATCCTCCGTCGTACGGAGTACATAGTGGGAGTATAATACTAGAGTTCTCACGATGACTTTATTACCAGGCAGGTAGCCTTAACTTTTTTGACTTTCTTTTTTTCTTTCTTCCTTTCTATTTTGCCTTCTTCCCTGGCAGTAAAAAGCCAAGATAATGACCAAATACCACAGCCAGACATCGGGTTCCGGAAGATTCCTCTCTCGATCGTCGGCCTTGTCGGTGCCGACGAAGGCTGACTAACCTCCCGTCGCCAATCAACAATCACCATCAACTGGTCATCGGGTTGCATTATTCGAAGTCGGCGAACAGGCACTGCGCGCTCTCCGAGATACCCATGGTTGCCCCCGGATTCAAGGTATGCCGCGAGACTGACGGACTGGCCTGGCCAAGCTTATCTGCTCCTGTCTGCTGCTTTGGTCGGTCTGGAGACGGTGCCCGCGGTCCCTCCGCGCCGGCCCATACTTGCCCCAAACGGTAGCATGCGGCGCGGAAGTAGGAAGCAAGTAAGGTATCATCGACGGTGGCAAACCACCGCCTGCTGCACCGAACATTTCCAGAAACTGGCCAAGCCGGTTCGATCGGCGTGCCACCGCCCAACTCCCTGATGCTTTTCTCTTAGCATCCGCGATTTTCTCCAGGATGACGACGGCCGACCGACATCATCGTCGTGTTCTTCGTTCCTTCGTCTTTGGACATCCACGCACCCCAGTACCCCTCCATCGATGGGCCTACAACGTCATGCTGACAAAGGGGCGGTGGCCAGCTTGGCCGACGCGACGACGAGAGTCAAGAGACGCCCTCCATCGCTGTCGCCGAGTGTCCACTTATGCCGTCATGGCTGCAGGAGGTGTCGTGACTCTCTGATAGGCAGGATTCCCATTAATCACAGAAATTACGCATGGAAAAGCGCCCTGGACCAATCAGCGGGCCGCGACGGCCAATGTTGCTTCCGGGCGCCCCGCTCGGCACGCTGTTTCCGGTGGCAGCCTGAGGCGTTCGGCGCGCCGTACGGAACGTCGTATCTTTACGGCGAAGTCCGTACAAGTACGAGGTCTGGTGCCTCAGGCACTGACGGAGGCGTGTCTGGCATGTCCAAAGAATCCCGTCAAGGCGGATGGAGTGACAACTGGACGTCCCTACCGCAGTCCCGCAGTACCGCAGTACTACTACATACCACGTAGTGGGACACTGCAGGGTTGCAATCCACGACGAGGCGGTGTTGGAATTCTAGAAACCTCGCCTTCTTCCACATTCCTCCATCGGGCAGGACGAAAGGCAACACATGTTTCCGCGCCGGAATGGCCACCAGACTGCTGCAAGGGGTCTGCCGTGCCTAAACTGCCTCGTAAACGATCCGCCCCTCGCTGCCCGATCCTTTACCTGCGTGGCCACCATGTCAGGGATGCAAAGTTAATCCCGTTACATACGGATAAATCTGGTTACTGTTTAGGTTCCGGACGGCCTGAAGATACATTAATCCAACGCCGACCGATGGCTGAATAGAGTTTCCATAGTGACTCTGGATCTCTATAGTCCATCACTCCGTCCAGACCGCTGGCCTCAGGTCTGCTGGCTACCCCGGAATACCCCGGAGTATGATGCAATGGAGCGAATGCAGTTAGGTTGCCAATCCTGAGGATCGCAATTACTGCTACTCCGGAGATGGTTAATTTCCACAGCGCTTAGAGTCTGCCTTGCCAGGTCAAATCATACGGCGTAATGCTCCTTATCCTACAGCGGATAGGAATAATCGCTCAGGAAACATCGATCCACCGAACACGGAGTAATCAACCCGATCCGGAGGGAATCGGACGAAGGATAATCCATCTAGGGCTCACCCCCTAGGGACACTCGCACATGACGCTAGCCTGGATCAGGTGTCGACGGGGTGCCTTAGTGCGATGGCTGCTGCAGGCACACGACCCGACCAGATTGCCGGAAACAGCTTCACTTCTGTGATCCCGCAACCAGCTGCCACCGGAGCGTTTCTATAATTAAGTGCCCGCTCATGGTTCCTGGTGGCATGGGGATGGCCTCAGCTCGCTCGTTCTCAATTCTGGGGTTTTGGCACCAAGATAGGAGGAGGGCAAGAATTGCATGTACGCAGTAGTATAATCAATCCACGTAGACTCCGGACAATCGCAATCTCCTTCACCTTTTTTTTGCTCCTTTGGCACTTGCCAGGCACCCATTCTTGACCCTGTCAATTGGATGCAATTTACTCCGTACTCCAAGCGAATCGCTGCTCCCGTCAATCGCGTGACTTCATGTGATTGTGCTCTGCTTTCAACGTTCCTTGCGATCGCGCCGAGATCTCGCTCTGCTGCATAAACCCACCGGTTCTCCAACGGTCGCGACTGCTCTCTCTCTAGTAGTCCAACGCGCACGACAAAGAACCCCGGTCGCATCCCTGAATACTAGGAGGTAAGTCAGATGGCCCTGCTTGGACCTGTTACATATCCTTCCTGTCCACGGTGGTCCCCTGCCGTCCCTCTGCCGCGGATTAACGTTCCCCGATTTCGATTAGGCATTCGGAAAGAACCAACATACCAAATCGGCCGCCCCTAACTCTCCCTACCTTCCTACCTACTTGCTTCCCTATCATCCTTCGACTCGCCCCCGTTCCTGGATCGAGTCGTCCTCCCTTCAGCTCCCCCGATCCTCCATCCTTCTTCAAGCGCTCTCACCCCGTCCGTAAGTCTGGTCCTCTTCTCGCCTGTCGACATCGTGTGCGCACACAAACCGTTGTCGTCATCACTACGTGGCCCGACCTTTCTAACGTCCTCGTCGCGCAGTCTGTCGAACCCATCATCATGCCTAAGAAAGGAGGAAAGGCTAAGAACAAGGGCAAGGGCAAGGGCAGCAGCGGTGCTGCTGCCACTGTCAACAAGGCTGCCGCCGACGTCCAGAACACCCTGTGAGTCGCACAAATGAGCGCGCAGGTGTCGCGAATTTATTTTTTGTTGTGGTTGTGGTGTTGTTCGTGTTAGCGAGCAATTGAGTTTCGGTCGGCAGCGCTAACGGCGTTTTTCTTTGGCTAGGAACCCCGGCCAGCAGGTTGAAGAAACGGCCCAGAAGAGCGAGGGAGAGGCCGAAAGTGCTGTTGCGACTGAGGCTGGTGAGGCCGCGACTGCGGCGCCCACCACCGCCGCTCCCGACACGGCCGCGAACGTCCCCTCGGCTGCCCCGCAGACGGAAGAAAGCTCCAACAAGGTCGAGGAGGCCGTCAAGGATGTGAAGGCCGATTCTGTTCTTGGAGATGATGCTGATAAGACGAGTGAGTTTGCCTGGGCGGTGTTCAATTTTGTATTAGTTGCTGACTTGGCTTTTTCACAGCTACGTTGCCCGAGACAACCCCTGCGGCAGCTGCTTCTCTCCCTGAACGGCCCAAGGAAACCACCACTGAGGAGCCGACAACCACCGCTGCCGATGCTGCCGATACTCATGTCAAGCGGCCTCACGAGAACACCCCGGCCGTCGCGGAAGAAGACCACAAGCCTCCCAAGATGCTCAAGACCGAGGACGAGGCTCCGGCCCTGAAACCCTCCGAGTCGATTGACGCCGGTGATGCCAAGGCTGCAGTTCCCAGCGAGAAGGTTGGCGACGTGCAGCCTCAGGTTGTCCCCGGACTGGGCGCCGACCCTCGGGATAACGTGTCGTCGGTTCTGGCGGTTCCCGGTCTCTCTTCTGTCGACGACAAGGCTGCCCCGGCCACGTCCTCGACTGCAGCCCCCAAGGCTGCCGAACCCCAGACCTCGGAGAAGGCTGCGTCGACTGCCGCTCCCGCTACCGACAGCAAACTGGACACCGCCAAGGAGGTTGCGACCCCCGAGGCCCCCAAGACGCAGGAGACCCCTGCCAGCACCAAGCCCGCGGAAACTGCCGCTCCCGTCTCTGCCAGCACTGATGCCGCCGCCGCAGCCACGTCCACCCCGGCCAAGGAGACTGAAGTTTCTGCGGCATCGCCGACCACGGAGACGGCAGCTGCTGCTCCTGCGGCCGTTGCCCCCGGCGCTGTGCCCGCCGAGAAAGAGGTCCCGGCTCCCTCGACCGTCCACGACAAGGCTCCCGTCAGCGAAGCCACCGACAAGAAAGAGGCTGTCTCGCAGCCCGCCGCTACTGCTCAGAAGGAAACATCTGATCTGAAGGAATCGACGGGTGCCACTCAAGATAAGGCTACTAGCGAGCCTAAGTCTCCTGCCGTTGCCGCTGCTGCTGCGGCTACTGCTGCGGCCAAGAAGCCTGAAGAGAAGAAGGCTGAAGAGAAGAAACCCGAGGAGACGAAGCCGGAGACGAAGCCCGAGGAGAAGAAGGCTGAAGAGGCCAACAAGCCCGAAGAGGCCAAGAAGGCAGAGACCAAGCCGGAAGAGATCAAGAAGCCCGAGGAGGCCAAACTGCGGGATTCTCAACCCGTCGAGGAGGCTCAGAAGGACGGCGCCGGTGCTGGCGAGTCCAAGACGCAAGAAGGCAAGCACCTCGCCGACAAGGCGAAGGAGACGGCCAAGTCGGAAGCCGACAAGGCGCAGGAGGCCGCCAAGAACGAGGCCGCAAAGGCCGACAAGCGCAAGAGCGGCTTCTTTGGCTGGCTCAAGCGCAAGGTCAAGGGAGAGAAGGCCTAAATTTATTTTCGTAATGTCCGATTTTATTGGTCTGACGGACTTGATACAGACTGACACAAGCCCTTAATTGCTGATACCCACATGGCGGTTGGATGGAACCAAAATGATTCAAAAAACCACGGAAAAAAAGTTGAAAACCCCAAGGAAAACGAACCGAAATGACCAGCGAAGAAACTGTATGAGATCGGTTGTGTATGATAGTTATGCGAGCGATGGAAGGATACCAAAAGCGACGGAAGGAATTGGGCAACCAGGGATAGGGATATCGGCTTTCTGTTTCTGCGAGAGGTGTCAACCTTGATTTTTCTTTTTCCTGTGATTTTAATTCAATTTCACGTTCTTCAATTGCCAGTCGAGGGAACGGAGGTTTGGTAGAGCCATCGTAGTCTTCATTCACCGCCATTTCCTGATATCGGCCGATTACTCCGGAGTGACCAAGAAACCACTTCCTCCACTCTGCTTCTCCAACAACTCGGCGTCTTCCCAGTTCCCAGCCATCTGTCCTCCGCCGCTCGCTGGCGTCTCGTCTCGACCTTGATCGACCGATGATATCATGGCCTTTCTCACCGGCGATCTCTCGCTCTCCACTTGGCTGCCCCACGAGGCATTTGTCCTCGCCGGTCGTGGCTGAGACGATATCCACCGACTCCATCCGATCCGTCCAGCCAGGCCAAGCTTTCTCCAAGCTTTCAGGGCCACAGGTCCTGATGCTGGCCCGGCGATTCGCTTCCCAATTTTAGGAGACCCCCTCATCTTCCCCTCTTCGGATCTGATTCAGGAAGCGATGGCGGCAATCAGAGCTGCTCGCGAGGGCCCATGCTGCTGCTGCTGACACAGCGTTTCCAGGCTACCAGGATGATGACTGGTCCGACGGGCAAGACTGCAATGCGTTCAGCGTTCATTCGACGGTCGTCTCCAGTCCCCTCTTCTTCCCGGATTGCCTGAGCGTACGTCTTGTCGCGCATCATACGGCCCGCTCGGAGACTAAAGAGCGCCGATTCCCCTGTTTTTTCTCCGGTTGTTAGATATTCTGTCTGCTTCATTTTACTCACAAATCGTACTCTGCCTTTCAATCTTACTCTTTTGTATCTTCAAGCACAATGGTCCATCTTGCTCGAGTTCATCGCGAGAGCGATCTGGACCCCACCATCAAGCGTGTCAACTCCATTAAGTTGGACACCACCGAGGAAGATGACTTCTACTCCAGTGTCTATGGCACGCGGTTTGCGATCGAGCAGCTGCCTCAGAATGAGATGCCCGAGGGCGAGATGCCTCGAGAGGTGGCCTACCGCATGATCAAAGATGAGCTGAGCTTGGATGGCAACCCCATGCTAAAGTAGGTTTTCAGTCCGGTGTGGCAGTGACTAGTGCTAATGGATCTGGTTTCGACTAGCTTGGCGAGTTTTGTCACGACGTACATGGTATGATTTTCGAGAATTGCCTGACATGCGAATCCATGCTGACCGTCCACTCCAGGAAGACGAAGTCGAAAAGCTCATGACCGAGTCCTTCAGCAAGAACTTCATCGATTATGAAGAATACCCGCAGTCGGCGGAGATCCAGAACCGCTGTGTCAACATGATCGCCCGTCTCTTCAACGCTCCCGTCGAAGGCGAGGATGACCACCCCATGGGCACCTCGACGATCGGATCCTCCGAAGCCATCATGCTCGGCACTCTCGCCATGAAGCGTCGGTGGCAGAACAAGCGCAAGGCTGAAGGCAAGGACTACTCGCGGCCAAACATCATCATGAACAGTGCGGTGCAAGTCTGCTGGGAGAAAGCCGCCCGCTACTTTGACATTGAAGAGCGCTACGTCTACTGCACGGAGGAGCGCTTTGTCATTGACCCGCAGCAGGCTGTGGATCTGGTCGACGAGAACACTATTGGTATCTGTGCTATCCTGGGCACCACCTACACGGGTGAATACGAAGACGTGAAGGCCATGAACGACCTCCTCGTCGAGCGGAACATCGACTGCCCCATCCACGTCGACGCCGCCAGCGGCGGTTTCGTGGCTCCGTTCATCCACCCATCCCTGAAATGGGACTTCCGTCTGGAGAAGGTCGTCTCCATCAACGTCTCCGGCCACAAGTACGGCCTCGTCTACCCCGGCGTCGGATGGATCGTCTGGCGCTCCCCGGAATACCTCCCTAAGGACCTCATCTTCAACATCAACTACCTGGGCGCCGAACAGGCCAGCTTCACCCTGAACTTCTCCAAGGGCGCCTCCCAGGTCATCGGCCAATACTACCAGATGATCCGTCTCGGCAAGCGCGGCTACCGATCCATCATGGTCAACATCACCCGCATCGCCGACTACCTCGCCGAAGAGCTCGAAAACCTCGGCTTCGTGATCCTCAGCCAGCGTCGCGGCCGCGGACTCCCTCTCGTTGCATTCCGCCTCCCCACCGACCGACAGGAGCACTTCGACGAGTTCGCCATCGCGCACCAGCTGCGTGAGCGCGGATGGATCGTGCCGGCCTACACGATGGCGCCCAACAGCAACTCGCTGAAGCTGATGCGCGTGGTGGTTCGCGAGGACTTCACCAAGAGCCGATGCGACACGCTGCTGTCGGACATGAAGCTGGCGCTGAAGACGCTGAGCGATATGGACAAGGCCATGTTGGAGAAGTACACGCAGTAAGTTTGGGAGTTATAATCAAGTAGAGAAGCAAGCTGACGAAGATAGGCATGTTCGCACGCATTCGACCAACTCGCACAAGGCGAAGCATAACCACCCGCACTACCAGGGCGAGAACCACTCCTTGCAGGGCAAGACGGGCAAGACCCACGGTGTGTGCTGATCTAAGTGCGTAATAGCTGGGGGTGTTTATTCAATCTGGATTGAATCGGCTCCTGCTAGGAAGGAGTGCAGAGCGTATTTCAATTATAAATCTAGCTTTCACTAAATAATAAATTTAGCTAGTACTGTGATAACGGTGGAATTTCAACTAAAAACCAACGAGTGAGAACCACAGTAAGGAGGAAAGTCAAGCGGGCTTAGCGAAGAGAGTAGCGACTCCGGCCGCTCAACTGTTGACATGATACGCGGATACCTCAGGTCGCTAGGTAGAACTGACTGCTAATATTAGTACTTAGATAGGCCTTTTCAACCTAAGGTGAGTGTTCCATGCACAGCGTATCGGTACGGAACCTACAGCCCTCGCTCCACACACACAGCATACCTTCCTAAAATAGTAAATATATGCCTGATTCTTAAGGTTACTTATTTTCTCGCCCCTTTTATCATGTAAAAACTACAAGTATTAGGGATTCTTTAGGGGTCTTTTAGGGATCTTCTAGGGTCCTAGGGTCCTTTTGGAATTATCTTTATTATATTTATTTTTTAGGGTAGTTTGGGGTCTATACAGAGTGTTTTTTAGTTGACTGCGAAGGTAGCCAGGTAGATAAGTTAGTATTATTATCGTGGGTGCCCCTACGGAATGCTAAGTTGGTCTTAATCATGGCCCGTAGGTAGGCTGATAGTATATATACCTGATTATTTAGGCATATATTTACCTCTTTAGGAAGAATATGCTGTGGATGTGGAGCGGGTGCTGTGGCTTCCGTACTGCATGGAACATTCACCTCAACCTAAATAGCATCTTTTCTAACCCAATCCGACCTATAGCTAGAGGCTATAGAAAGTAATGGAGTATACCAGCATTGTCTTGGCACTTTTGTTTACCCTGTTTGATTCATCCCAAACAATCGTTGCACCCAGCGCAAATGGCGGTCTCGTTCTTATTCCCTTATTCTTTCTCCAGAGCAAGATAAGCTCCCCACGACCAAAACACGTCCCCTCCCTCTGCACGCTGTTTCATATGGCCGCGGAAGAGAGAATCGACAGCCCTTAAAACATGTCGATGAACGATGCACAGTATCGCCATGGGCCTCTCCGTCGCGCAAATATCTACCTGGAGGAAGAGATACCCACGCACATCAACCACTACATCGAGAATCGAGTTTTCAACACGCCAGATAACGATGGCAATAGTCTACAACAGGCGTCTGAGAAATTTCAGGGCAAATCTAAGGAACTCGCCCGGAAACCATCGGGCGAGGCGGAATGGACGCACGCGCTACATACAGCAATTAATGATCTAAGACCCGCGGGGCTTCGGATTGTACGCGATAATGGTAAGTTCCCACCACTCTACCTAGATTAGCTGGTTTCTAGCCAGTACTGACTGACTCCTTATAAGACTGGCTCGAGGACATGAAACCTCCAGTGCACAATCCTCTGCCTCGCCCCTTGCATGCAGCTGCAACCACTCCTGTATTCAGCTTGGAAGATCCCCGGCCTGCTATATGCGTCGGTCTGTCCGACGAGAGCTTAGCAGGGGCTCTTGAGTCCCAGAAGGGTCGCGTCGTCGCGCGAAACCTTTTATTTGATTTGCAAGACACGTCCAACTTGATCAGTGACCCGCATGTCACTTCCCTGGGCCTTCGATTTCCCTTTCTAATAGTCGAAACAAAAGCCGGCGCAACCGGAGGGAACCTATACCAGGCGCAAAACCAAGCTGCGGTAGGTGGCTCAACAGCTCTCCAGATCTTCAGAAATCTTGTAGATCTCTGCGACGCTCAGTTGCTGGATCGGGAAAGTCAAGGAGATACGGACCGGTTGGGGCCAACCCCGGCGTTGTCTGATGATGTGTTAAATCTGGCTTTTTCGATCACTACAGAGGGCCCGATTCACGAACTGTGGGTTCATTTTCAGCGGTCTAGGGATGAAGACTTTTGTATGGCTTGCTTGGGAACCTGGAGAACGACTCTGAAAGACGGATCGCTGGATTTCTTACGCCATGTCTTGGCCGTGCTAAAATGGGGAAACGGGGAGTTGAAAGATAACGTTGTGGGTGCTCTGCAGGGGTTATGAATTAATGGATGAGGGAAGAGACGTTCCAGATGGCATAGATGGGTCCTGATCAAATCGGATGGTTCTAGGAATTATTCTATATTTATTAGTGCTGGGAGGGGTCTCGAAGATGGAATGCGTTTCTTTACTATCACTAGTCTAACGTAATATCATCGCTACATTCTATTCCCAGAAGGAGGTGTAGTTGAGGGGGGAGATAGTGGCGGAAAGGAAGGTGGTGAGTTGGGAATGGAAGGTATGCAGACGAGGCCGAGGGTCAGGACGCCGGTGAGGTTGATGAGGCCGGTGACAGTCAAGAGGTATGGGCCAGGGGAGAGAGGATGTGTGGGAGAATCGCTTGATATCAGATGCTTGGTGCCGTGTTTCCTCAACACCTGCTCGCTGACATCGATCTTGACAGAAGGAGGCGTATGTTGTCGTTGAGAAGTCATCGAGAACTGACTGGGAGAGTAGGCAGAGAAAGGAAAATAAGACTTATGTACGACTGTCCTTAAGCTAAGCCGGATGGATAAAGCCACCACCCATCACCGTCATACTCTCCCTGCATATAGTCTGCCCTACCCCTATTTACTACCGCCTACAAAGTGTAGCATCTATTCACTCACGATACATGCGCATCAACCACAGCAGAGGTACCGCTCTGAACAACCCGCACCGCTTCCCTCAGTACCGAGTCCAACTTCCCAGCGTCTGCCACTCGCACGGCATGAATATGTCCATCGCTCGCCGCACGCGCAATCCCCGAGCAATCCGGGCTCGGCTCGAACGAGATATTGAGCGCGCCGTTGTCGACCTCCGAGCCGATACCGTCTGGGTGAACGAGAAGCATAGATCTCCGGGGTGCATTCCAGCCTGAGACGAGACGAGAGGAATCAGTATCAGTACGAGGGGAGTATTCTGAATTCGAAACGGGGGATGGACACACCTTTATTGTTCAGCACGATCGTGAGAATGGGGATCTGGTAACGATGCAAAATCCAGTAGACGCTGGAGGGCACGGTGAATAGGTACGAGCCGTCGCCGACAATCTGCACGACCATTTGGGTCTTGGACGACCCCTGCGCCTGGTTCACGGCGTCGACGGCGAGTTTGATACCGAGGGCGCCTCCGCCGCTCCAGCCGAGACCGCCGCCACCGCAGTTAATCCATTGTCCTGGGAGGGTCGCGCGGATCTGCTCAGACACGGGGATCGAGTTGGTGACTGCCTCGATGGCGAAGATTGTGTCCTCGGGGACGATGTCCCGGAGGGTTTTGCATAGATAGTCCGCGTTGAAGGCGCTATCGCTCTGATCCTGCGGGCGGCTGGCCTTGGAGTCTAGGGTCTTAAGCAGCTGGCAGTGCTGTTCGCGGAGAGTCGTCCAGCGTTCGGAAAATCTATCAGAGGAGAGTGACGATTGAAGGGTCGCCGAGGACCGCAGATGGGAATTTATCTGACGAACGGCCGTGCAGGCATCGGCGGCGTATCTGCGGAGAGCAGGGACATAAAAGAGGGGCATGAGGGTCTTCAGAGGATCCAAGTCGATGTGAAAGATGCGAGCCGACTCCTGGGGCCGACACTGAGTGGGAATCCAGGGCACGTCGCAGTCGATGACGAGAATGAGGTCGGCGGTGGTGATGGAAGCGTCGGAGCCGTACTTCAGTCCCAACCAGCCTGGATGAGTGGCAGGAAAACACATATCGCAGCCGCCGGTGTCGAGCACTCTAAGGCCCTTGACGGTGTCAGCGAGCTCCAATAGAGCCTCGACGCATTCGTGATTGCGCCCGCTGTATCCTGTAATCAGCAGTGGCTGGTTGGCCTGCACCAGCTCGTGCGCGAGAAGCTCGACAGCCGTCTCGGGCAGAGCGGTGGGTTCCACCGGGCGCCACTGCTCGACGTGGAGAGGGTATGGCTGGATATCTTCCTCCATGACCTCCCTCGCACCCATCAGGTAGACTGGGCCTTTGGGATCGCTGGTTGCAAACTGCAGTGCGCGGCCGACCATCTGCTTGATATTCTTGCCCGTGCGGACCTCACCCACGTATCGGCAATACTGAGCCACGATCTGCTTCTGGTCTGGGACGTCTTGAAGCCAATGACTAGAGGCCTCGGATCAGTAGACCTTCGCTGGTGGAGGTGGAGAAACTCACATATACTCGGTTCGAGAACCTCGCATCTCGCCTTCCTGCGTGATGGGAGAAAGCCCGGCGAAGATGAGAACAGGCGCGCGACCGATGGACGCATTATGGATGGCTGCACCGAGACCAGAAGTCCCGACATCGACGTGGATGATCACACATTGCGGGGAGTTGGTCCTGCGTGCGTAGCCATCTGCCATGGACAGGGCGACCATTTCATTTGGGCAGGTGAAGATGCGAGGGAATTGGTCTCGTCGCTCCTTGTGCCCTTTGGCCATGGCCTCCATGATGCTGGGATGGTCAGACCCTAAGTTGACAAAGCAGTTCTTGACGCCGAGCTCCCATAGGGCCTCGAAGAAGGCGAATGATGCCGTATACCTGGAGATGAGACTGTGAGACTGGTGAGACTGCCGGGGCTGCAATCTGGATAGACGTACATGATTCTGAATAGTATGCCGTTGGTATTGCCCTGTCAAGACTGACGCTCCCACAGATTTATGGACAGGCGTACCTGGCCGAGTACTTATACTCCGCATCTTTTGTATTCGGTTCGGATATTTCCCGACAAGAGGATCATTCAGCGTCTCATCGGATAAACGGACATTGAAGGCCAAGTAAATCCGTGGCATCCGAGTTCTGCTGCACATCCTTCGGGAATTAGCCGTGAGTCTATGAGAAACCTAAAGAACCAGCCTCTCAGGCGGTATTTGAACCCGGAATGCCGCATAGTTCTCAATATTAAAATCGAGTGCATATTGAAGCCTTGCCATGTCTTCCCGAACGTTCAATATTCTCCTCAGAGGCCGTGTGGCCAGGCAACTTACTGGAACTCGGCCGTCCATACCGAGCAAGGTATCCTCGAAAATATGCCCTGGCTTTGGTAGTTCACAGCACTGCCATCACTCGACTCACGCCGGGCAAGATGGACAAGATAGATCCCGGTGGCTGCGCGCATTGATGGCAGCTGGGGTCGGAGCGGCGGGCATGGCATTATGCTCTCAATTAAATGACGGACTACACCTTCCATCCGGTCTTCCAAGAGACGATAGAAAGCCAAAGTATGCGACGAAAGAGGAGATGAACAAGGTGCGTGAACCCCTCCACCCACATCGACCCCTTTGAAGCTGAAACCGTTCCTAGGCCATTCAAGAACTTCGCCGAATACTCGGTCCAGATGGCATCAGCACTGATGACGACGATCTAAAAGCCCACGGCTACTCAGAATGGTCGTCCATCAATATTGACAGCCTGCCAGTAGCAGTTGCCTATCCAAATCGCACCGAAGACGTCGCCACGATCGCGAGGGTCTGCCATAAATACCGAGTTCCCATGAGTGAGTGATATCTTGTCCTGGAACGGGGCTGTTCGACTAATCGTTCTAGTTCCATATTCGGGGGGATCGAGCGTTGAGGGCCATTTCTCTGCCCCATTTGGCGGGATCAGTGTCGACTTTATGAACATGGATAAGGTTCTTGCTTTTCATCCGGAGGAGTGGGTTTAGCCCCCCATCTCCCTCTGCCCCGTATATACACGTTTGTCAGCGGACGGCTAACGGCTCATCTAGTATGGATGTCGTGGTGCAGCCGTCAGTGTCTTGGATGGATCTGAATGCCGAGATTCAGGACTCACAGCTGTTCTTCCCGATTGATCCTGGCCCGCCGGTAGGTGTTTGCAAGCCCCGGTTCTTTACAGGAGTCCCTTGCTTATCTTCAGCAGGCGAAAGTTGGGGGAATGATCGCCACCAACTGTAGGTAAGTGACCGGACGCCCGTCTAGCTAGGAGGCCTGCCGTGCATTCTAACTCAGAACAGTGGCACCAATGCGGTTCGCTACGGAACCATGAAAGTCTGGGTGGTCAATCTGACGGTTGTTCTGGCCGACGGACGCATAGTAAAAACGCGAAAGCGCCCAAGGTGCGGATGTAAAGCGGAGATGTATGCGCGGTAGCTGACAGGATAATAGAAAGTCCTCGGCGGGTTACAACCTCAACAGCCTTTTTACTGGCTCCGAAGGAACCCTTGGCTTTGTCACAGAGGAGGCCACTTTGAAACTCGCACGCCTCCCGGAAGAGACTGGAGTTGCGGTGACGACGTTTCCAACGACCAGGGACGCCGCGAATGCAGCCACGCGGGTGATCCGACAAGGAGTCCCGGTCGGGGCGGTCGAGCTCTTGGACGACGTACAGATGAACGTCATCAACAAGATGGGAGGCACAGGAAGGGAGTGGAAGGCGCTTCCGACGCTGTTCTTCAAGTTCAGCGGCAGCCCCGTGGAAGTACAGGATCAGGCGGAGCGGGTGCGCGAAATTGTTCATCAGAATGGGGGAAGCGATTTGGAAGTTGAGCGGGACCAGGTGAAGCAGCAGGCTCTCTGGTCGGCGCGCAAGGAGGCCCTCTGGAGCATGCTTTGTCTTCGTCAATCTGGCAGTGAAGTCTGGTCGACGGATGTTGCTATTCCGCTGTCTAGAGTGCCTGACCTCGTAGGTGAGTATATGAAACTAGTTGCTCCCACTTCCCCTGGGTACCATCTGACAATATTGCAGAGGTGTCCAAGAAAGACCTGGACCGATTGGGGTTATTTGGAAGCATGCTGGGCCACATTGGGGATGGCAACTTCCATGAAACCATACTCTTCGATGGGGACAAAGAGCGAGCGAGGGTAACCAAGTGCGTGCATGACATAGTGCAGCGCGCTTTAGAGATGGAGGGAACGTGCACGGTAAGTATCCTTTACTATACAGTATACCCCCGAGGTCAAGTCCACTGACGATGTGTAGGGTGAGCATGGAATCGGCCTCGGGAAGAAAGAGTTCCTGGTGGAGGAAGTGGGCGAAAGCTCTCTAGAGGTGATGAGGAGCATAAAGCGATCGGTGGATCCGTATTGGTTGATGAACCCGGGGAAGGTTTTTGATCCATAGCGACAAGCCACTAGACACTCCGTACTATCGAACTGCATCGTAGAGCATTGAAGATATTCGGTGAGATCATCGCGGGTATTTGCCGAAGTGCAGTCCGTCTTCCGGGTATTTCCCGAGAGTCATTGCCGCCTCCATCACCCCGTCCTATCTTTCCCTTCTCCTCACGCCAGCTTCAACAATGTCAAGATTAGACCAGAAAGGAAAAGAAAACCAACGATGCCGAGTCCATCTACCCGCTCAAATGTAATACCATCTACTGTGTCCCTCTGATGATGTGCTGACCCTTTCCGGCAGACAGACCACGATCGGTTCGGTGGACAAGAGCCCCCATCCAAACGAAGACGAGTAGCCTTGGCCTGCGCGAGCTGTAGGGAGCGCAAAGTGCGATGTGATGGTGCCAGGCCTGTGTGTGGTGCGTGTCAGAAAAGAGGCAATGATGGCCAGGACTGTGAATATTTGGTCATCGCCGACACCGCCAAGTACCAAACCGAGCGAGCGTGTGTTTTCAGTTATTTGGAAGGGTCTATAGTAGTCTTGAACTGACGAGAAATCAGCTATGTCTTATCTTTGAGGTCCCATATCTCCCACCTCCAGAATTCCGCCTCCCAACAAGCGGGCACTCAAGCATATCATACCAGCCCCGAATCAGCAGAGCCAATCGATTGTACAGGCACTTTGCCGGCCAGTCTTCTAGAGACACAGCAAGATACATGCAGTGAGGAAGTGGAAATCCCTGCATACGATGGAATGGCTGGCTCCAACACCAATTCCAACTCTATCAGTGCCATGGGGGCGGCAGTTCCGGATGTCGACGGCGTCGATACTCGAGATCAATTCTACGGGCAGTCATCGATCATTTCCCTTCTCGAGAAATACACCCAAGCATCTACAGGTCAAACCCCCCAATCTTCGAAGCATTCACGAGCACAGCAACATACGCCATCACCTGCAACATCCACACCCTCCTTCGCCGCTTCCTCCGCCATAACAGACACCTCTTTGCTTTCGGAGGACTTTTCGCTCCCACCGCGCAAGTTAGCCGACTGGCTATTGGAAGTTTATTTCAATAACTTTCACCTTTTATACCCGTGGGTAGACAAAGCCAGTTTTCTGGCCTCGTACGACGCATTATGGTCCCGTCAGGAAGACACGACGGGGGAGCATCTCCCTGACGTAGGCCTTGGAGGCAAAAAATGCTCAACGGCTGTCTTTCATTGTGCCTTGAATGCGATGTTTGCTCTGGCCTGTGAATTATCCACCATGACCCCCAGAGAGAAACGGATTACGTCTCAAACCTTCTATCAGCGGATGAAAAGCCTGACGAGCATCGACATCCTGGACAGTGGAAGCCTGGCTCATGTGCAGGCTTTTCTGCTGGTGGGCATGTACCTACAATGCACACCATATCCCAAGAAATGCTGGAACGCCGTGGGTATGGCATACCGAATTGCTGTGGGCCTAGGGCTACACCGGGGTCGGTTTGCGTCTGACTTGACAGGAGTCGAGCAGACAACACGGAGAAAGGTTTGGTGTGCGTGTGTAAACATGGACATGTAAGAATCCTTTTCTACATGCTTGATCCATCAAGATCATCATGTTGATTCATTCCGCTAGTATTGTTAGTATGACCATGGGCCGTCCGGCAATGACTGCGCCTGGCGATATTCCGCTTCCATTTTTGCCCGACGATCGCGGCGGATCTGCGGTCTCGGATGAACAGAGCCAACTAAGTCACCAGTTCTTCCAGGAGAATATGAGGCTTGTCGGTATACTCGGAAGAATTCTTTCGACGGTGTATCGCAGCTCAGAGCTAGATGCACAGCCGGAGACCGATACCACGGTTGACTTCCAAGTCATCATGGATATTGACCAGGCTCTGGAGTCATTCGAATCTTCATTGCATCCAGACCTCCACTGGAAATTCAACGACACGTTTAACCGTGACTCAAACCGAACCTGTCAGCGGCTGTCCAACGTCCTCCATGCTAGGTATGGATGCTAATCTCGCTCTCTGTCCCGTAGAGACCCACCGAACTGACCCCACCGTATAGATACCTGCATCTCAAATTGCTTCTCTATCGCCCCACATTCAGCTAGTACTGTGCAACAACGATGAATCATAATGGCCTTCAGCCAAGGCAATCGCGATCCCCGGGAAACTCCTTTTCAAACCTGTTCTTAGCCAACTGCGCTTCAAGGTGCGTGCAGTCCGCCTGTGAGTTGGTTGAGTCCCTTCGACGGGCAACCATGGCCGACACAACCGGTGCCTGGTGGTATAGAGTATTTTGTAAGTTGACCATTGCCCCTGACCTGCGATGCTTGGAGTGCTGATCGTAAATGTAGATCTCGTCAGCGCCGGAATCGTTCTAATCATCGCTGATCGGAGTGGCATCTCATTTGACTCCACGGACACCGGGAGACGGGAAACAGCAAGTCGCGAATGCTTGCAGATCTTGCACCGGATGGCAGGTGTGAATCCGTCGGCTAGGGACTATGCGATTGTACTGGGCGGGCTTCAGCAGCGTCTTCTGCAGGAGCGAGCAGGGCAGCCGGGACGGGATGTCTCGTGTGAACGAGAAGGTCAAGGTCCAGATGGTCCGTCTGCTCCGGAGGCGCTGGGGTCTACCGATAGATACGTGCCCGATGAATGCAGCGCCGACCATGGGGTAGAGCCCTGGAACTACGGGTTCAGCCCGTTGATTCAGAACTGGGATAGCGGGATCCAGGATATCATGCTACCTGCGCAGCTCTTTCAAGAGACGGGCGAGGAATTACTGCTGCCCACGCTGCTTTGAGCCACTGCGTCTTGTTCTTGAACACTCTGTATGCTTAAGTTGTTCTATTCGAAGCGACTTTGACGTATTATTAGTAATAGCCTCTATTACTCTGTTCTATGCCACAATAGCTATCCGGCCGGGAACTATCCGACATTTTGGGTGACCCCTCGATCTCCCCTAGTTTTAGAACCGCTTCCCCAGATGTAGGTATCCCACCCGACCCTGTCGGATACCTCCCGGACGAAGATCCTTCCCCGCATTCCTTCGGACGCTTAATACGTAGGTAGAATCCGGGGCGTCTTCTCGAGCCCAATCAGACGTGTTTGGATGTAGAATATGTCTTCTATTTGGGAACAAGAACAACCGGCAATGAGACTCGGTACTTCAGCCTCTGCTTCTAGAGTAGTCTATCACCAGGTTGTAACTTTTCCATGACTTGAGGGACTAGGTGGCAATTAGCCCATTATGATCACATATAGACAATCTCATATATACTGTGTCAAACACCCTCATTTCCCTTCCCCGGATGTTCATCACTCCTATATTGAAAATTTCCAGCATTCCAACAGGTCATCTAGCTGGCTCAAAAATGAGCTCAGACATAAAACCAAACCCAGACCCAATCCACATCGACAACATCCAATCCGAAACCTCAAACGCCGTAGATGCACAAGAAGCTCGACGTCTCATCCGGAAATGTGACCGACGCGTCGTCCCGATCCTCATGATCCTCTACCTCTTCGCCTTCCTCGACCGGATCAACATCGGCAATGCACGACTGCAGGGTCTGGAAAAAGACCTGAACATGAAGGACCAGGACTACAATATCGCCTTGCTCGTGCTTTTCATCCCGTATATCCTGTGCGAGATCCCGTGTAATCTGATCATGAGGAGGCTGGCGCCTTCGACTTGGATCAGCGCGATCATGGTGATTTGGGGTATATAGGCCGAGAGAATAATGAATTCACAGGCTGATCCGGGATCTAGGTGGTATTACAATCTGTCAGGGATTCGTGCAGAACCGGGCCGGCTTGATAGCATGTCGGTTTCTGATCGGGGTGTTCGAGGCGGGCTTTCTCCCTGGTTTGTTCCCTCTGATCCTGGAGAACAACGCGGGCTGATGATGACAGGCTGCGTGTATCTCATCGCAATGTACTACCGACGGTATGAGCTGCAGTGGCGGTTGAACCTATTCTTCAGTGCGAGTATTCTCGCTGGCGCAATCAGCGGTGTAAGATTATTACCACCCTGTAACACCCGATTAGTATCTGTGGCTAATAACCACCGCAAACAGCTGCTGGCGTACGGTCTGGCCTACATGGACGGAGTCCGTGGCTACTCTTCCTGGAGGTGGATATTCATCCTCGAAGGACTCGCCACCGTTGTCCTAGCCGTGGTCTCCAAAGCCCTGATCGCGGACTGGCCAGAGACGGCGGGTTTCTTGACCGAGCGTGAACGGCAAAATCTCCTCCTCCGATTGAGCTCTGACCAGCAGAGGTACCGCATGGACCGCTTGGATAAACCTGCCATGCGGCATATTCTGCAAGACTGGAAGATCTACATCGGGTACGTACTGTGTCTTTTCCTCTGGAGCGATCACGACTTACTTACTAGTATTCCGGTTTAGAACACTCATGTATCTGGGGCCCGTCAGTACCGGATACGCTGCTTCATTTTTCATGCCATCAATCCTGCAGGATATGGGATGGACGTCGCTCGACGCGCAAATCATGAGCGTACCGATATACATCGCCGTCGCCGCGATGACGCTGGGCACAGCCCTCCTAAGCGACCGCGCGCAGCACCGATTCGGATTCATTATCGGCGGGTGTTTTATCGCCACTGTTGGGGACGCGATACTTCTCTGTACAAACAGCATCCCCAGCGGAGCCAAATACTTCGCCCTCTACGCCGTGACAGGTGGCGGGTTCGTAGCTCAGCCCATCGTGCTCGGCTGGGTGAGTAACAACATGAGCGGACACTATAAGCAGGCCATTGCGTCTGCTGTTCAAATCGGACTCGGCAATTGCGGTGGTCTTATTGCGAGTACTGTCTTCTTCCCTCTGAGGCCCCGGGTTATCGTATTGGGTATGGCACGAGTCTTGGGTTGATCTGGCTGTGTGGGATCGCGGCGACGCTGCTTTTCTTCGGACTGAGGTGGAAGAATTGTCAGAGGGACTACGGTAACAGAGATTATTTGCTTCGGTTGGATCCTGAGGAGGTGGATAATTTGGGTGATGCTCATCCTCGTTTTCGGTTTACGTGTTGAGGTAGTGGTAGGAACACTGTATGGTGTCAGATAGGGTGGCCCGTGTATAGATTTGCCAGCATCAAGGGGAAATGAAGTTCGGGTTTAGGGCCCATGGCGCATATGATATTTGTTGAATTCTTCTTGATAGGATAACCGTTACTTCCACTGCTACTATATACTGGTGCCTGAGGCACTAAGGCCGAGACGTCGATGACTAATCCACCACCCCTCTACAAATGAAATGCATCAACTTCTTCCATCCAAGGTCATCATCCGCCGTTCTTGATATCTCGCGCCATGGTGGAGAAGAGAAGAAGAAAGACGGGATGCCTGACATGTCGCACCCGACGCGTGAAATGCGACGAAAGAAAGCCAGACTGTGAACGCTGCGAGGCCGCCAACGTGGAGTGTGCTGGTTACGCCGAGAAACGGCGGCTGAAGATTCGCTACCCAGGGCAAAGCTCAATCACGACGGAGGTTCAGAATGGCGGTGCTTCTCCAGCATCAACTTCTCAGAGTGTCCAACCGAGCATACAGGGGGATGGCTTACCGTTGGTAGCTCTGCCGGTTAATCCGAATCCATTCCAGCGCCCTCATTCCCGCGCGCGAGACATGCTGGGATACCATCAGTACCTCTTTCGGACTCTACCGATACTGTTCCCACCGAAAAGCTTTCATTTCTGGAGAGACTTCTTATGCGAGGCTGCGTGGGAGACCGAATGGGTGTTCGACGCGATTGTCGCTCTGGGGTCCATGCATCGCGCAGCCTTGTTATTGTCGCAGCCAGGCGGAACTAACCGTGATCGCGGGCTTGACACGAAGATTATCGCCATCCAAACATACATTAGAGCTCTTGAAGGGATATCGGGGGATTTGACTCTTCCCAAGAACCCAGCACCGTTGGCGGTAGGGGTGTTGGTCCTTATGGCTTATATTGAGGTATGTGGGCCGTTTTATAATTGACAAGGTTGATATTGATGAACATGACAGTGCTTCTCGGGGAATATACCGGCTGCCATTCGCCATACCCAAGTCATCCAATACTACTCCCACTCAATGCAGCCCGACGATAAACACCCAATTGGCCATTTCATTGCACCGATTGAGTCGTCAATTCGCGACTTAGAGCTCATCTGTCGCATCGTGAGGCCTTACCCTAGTCCACTGGAACCTAGCTCCCTGTCGAATGCAGAGAAGTCAACTATTAATCTCCCTTCTTCGTTCTTTGAGTCGGTGGCAGACTCTTCGTTGATACTTCAGCAACTACTTGAATTTACCTCTGCGGATCTGGATCTTAAGCACCTAGTATGGTGCGTTTTTGAAGCGCATTACAAAACCGTCTCCAAAGAAAAGATATTGGCCTTTCTACAAGCTCTGAACGATTGGAAGGAAAACAACTCAACAGCGTTTCATATGATGAAAACGGAAGACTCCGTATCCGACCCAAGTGACTTCTCATACCAGGCTCTGGGTAAATTGCCTTTCCCGCCAGCTTGCTACGACCAAGTTCCCCGGGAGTCTTGTCTCGCTCTAGCACTATACGCCTTCTATAAGGCACGTCTTCTATGGGCATTATGTCTGCTAGGCGACCGAGACGGCAAGATCGAACTAGACGCATACTTCTACGTCTATCAATTTCTGCGATACACGAGAACAGCTTTGATGCCCCCATCCCAAACTGCATCCGATGCCACGTTGCCAAGCGAGAACTTGAGGATCGGCTTTTCGCCGCTACTTTACCTCGCGGGACGTTGCTGTCCCATGCCCTCGTGGCTTCGTTGGATCATCCAGGAACTTGAGAATGTGGGTCAGGAGGGCCTCTTCCGCAATAAACCGTTTGCGACAACTCTTGATGTTCTGCTTTTACTTGAAGAACACACAATACGGGCTTCGAAACCATCTACCGACGGACAAAGATTCCTACCACCCTCTGCGCGAACGATTGCACTCTTTATCCCAGACATTGACGGCCGAAGCTTTGAGGCATACTATGCACGCCCTCAAGGGTCGCCCAAGGACAACGAGATGCGATTCATCCTTTCGAGGGTGGCTCGTTGGTCAGACGCAGCCAAAGGACCTGGGCCTATTATCCAGGACTACGAGATATATCAACAGCTCTTTTCTAAGGCATGGCTCTCAGAACAGCCTCTTGTACAGAAATGGATCGACTGGAGCTGCAACGTGGAATTTGATTTGAATCAAGTAATCCAGGACCACATCACTGGGAACCGTGCTTTGCTTGAAGTTGGACTGGAATGACAATCTCTTCGCGGCTCCATACATCGACGAAGATATTGCAACAGAGAAGCCATTCTTTACTTTGACCATCACCAGGCCCTTTCAACTTCCTGCTCAGTAAAATCCCTCCCGTTGTATTTTTTGCAATGGCACACCCGCAGCTTGCAATCCCTCCATCGCCGAATCCCCGAACCCATTTGGCCCACAAATCAGCACATCTTTACTTCCGGCTGTATCAGTCCAGTATTCGGCAGGAATCCGACCATGGTGAACAGAAATACTTTGGCTGTCCTTTAGTGTTAGATTCAGTCGAAAGTCCGGCACATTCATGAATATGTCGATCGTCAATCGGACCTCCGGCGGTAAATTCGCAAGCAATGGCTTCAAAACTTCCATCATGATGTCTGGTTCTCTTGTTGCTAAAGCCAGTGTGACATCACTCTGTACCCGATGCTCTCGGGTAGAAAGTGCCTGCAACATTGCTAAGAAAGGCGTTATACCAATTCCTCCAGCCACCCATAAAACATTGACAGCTGTTGGACTGAGGTAGAAGTTACCTGTGACTCCAACGATTTCTGCCACAACGGCCTTAACCGGTGCAAAAGACGACCCACGATCTTTGTTGGATTCTCCCAAAACATCAAAAAGAGCGCCGGTGACCGCTCCCCCTTTAAGCTCGCGCATGGTCAGCTCGAACCAGGAGACATCGTCTGCTTCATGGGCACTTGAGACTGTCCAGGTCCGCACTCGGTCGTCGTTTAGCAGACTTGGTTTCGTGCTCATCATATGGTGATACTGTGGCGGGCCTATCCAGTTCATGAAGTCCAACACAATGGCCTGTCCAGGTCGTATCCTCAACTTGCTAGCACCTTCATGTGGAAGAACCTTGAACCTTAAGACGGCTAGATCGTCAGATAGCTGCATCGCGCTCTTCAACTCCGCTCTGTGCGCCACGCTCTCGCCAGATGCAGCCCCAGACTCCTCAACAAGGTATTTGATCTTCGGGCTGTAAGGACTCCGCTCGACAGGAGTTCCCGGCTCTTGACGGACTGGCAGAGCATCCTTGACAAACGTGAATCCGGTCACTTTCACCACGGTAATCGTGGAGTGTCTGTCCATTATCCTGAGAGCATCTTGTCCGACGAGATTCTCGGCCGTGCCTGTCAGATAGAGGACGTCTCCTGTCGTTAACGACACGATAGTAAGGCCAACCAGCCCTGTCGCTTCGATGTTGCCAAGACTCGATACAAATCGATTCCCCGAGTAGTCTGGAAGCACGACAGTTCGACCATCGGAGGGTCGTACGCGCATGAATCCAGGCAATCCGCCTCGTGAATTCATGCCTGCATGCGAGGGGAACTTGTTTGCTGTGGATCTCTGTGATTTGTAGACAGACCCTATAAAGACGGTATCCGCATTTGTGATGAAATCGATAACGTCTTCAGGCAGCCTCTGAGATTGCCGCAGATGGTCGACTCGGTAGGCGATTTGGGGCCGTGCATGTGCAAACGGGACCAATTTGCGCACGTTAATGTATTTGGGACAGTTCCTGCATCGATTAGTCCACGCTGTCCCTCAAAGAAATAAGGAATGGTAACAACTCACCCCAAAGCCTCATTAACATACATCTCAAACCGAACGTCTAAATCTCCAACAGGACGGATATTCTTTATCCGCCCCGCAAACTTATTCCGTCTTCGAGTCGAGAACTCAATCCCCAGCCCAGCAGTCAAGAATCTCTCCAAAGCACCACTACCTCTACCAGCCCCAGACAGTTTCCCTTCCATCCACGCATCCACCGTACCCAACAACGGATCCCCATCCCACAGACGCGCAGTAACCAACAAAGTCCCGGGATCAGGGCTCTTCACAAACCCAATATTCCCGCCTGCGCCGGCCACGATAGACGCCCAGGGCCGACCATGTTCATCGAGCGTCGTGACGGGTATGAAATGCAAATTGGACGTGTGGAAGAGACGGTGTTGCTCGGGCATGTCTGTTTTAACGGCGCGCCAGCTCTCGCTGACTGCGTCTTCGAAGCCGAGACGGCGCTGGATGGAGAGTTCGCCGGGGTGCCATCCTTGGAGGGGGATTTTCATTTGGAGAGGGATTTCAGGGCAGGGAGGATGTTGAAGAGTGAAGAGTGGAAAGGGTAGAAGATGTTTGTGGAAAGAGAGGGAGTCGATATGGAGATGAATGAAGAGGGGGAGTTTCTTTATTAATGGGATGCCGCAACGCCACAGTGCTCAGCTTATGGTGCAATCGACCGAATTATAAATGTGTCAGATCGACTTTGTCAGATCGACTTTGTCGATAGATATGGGGATACGAGCTTTTAGGTTCAGTCAGGCCTTGAATGGCTGGGTCATCTGGTCTACTTATGAGCTCTGCTAGGAGTATCTCACCGAGCACGACATATGGTGTAAAGGAAAGGATCCGGGAGAGTACCATAGATTTAACGTGGGTTTGACGGGTGAGAACATGTTGGTGGGTCTATCTTGGGTTGAATTTTGAAGCTATCCGGCGGAGGGTCGAGGCTTATGTTGACGGTGGGTCAAAGACTTCGATGTGTTTGATATTGCGAATTGAATCTAGAAATAGCCAGGCGGGATTTGAAATCCAAATAAGAGTTGCAGGGTTGATGTTAATTCCGACATCGCGGCGGTCACTTCGTTCATCTCGGTTGGTTCGTTCATCTCGTTTGGGTCGCTCACCTCGCGCAGCTCGCTTAGCTCGCTAAACGGGTTGTAGATCGCGAACATCTTGCGATGTGTAACTCCAAGCAAATGACCCCATCCCCGCATTAATCAACCCCTCCTGTCTCACTAGAAGGCTATAAAGACCCCAGCAGGTCTGGCATCTGCTTCCCTCAACTTCCCTCACATCCTCCATCCCCTTTTACTCTGCTAGTTACTGCTTCATACCCTCGCTATTTACACTACACGTTTCTTGCCTTTCCTCGCACCACCAATAACCTCAACCATGTCTCTCCCAGTCTACCACTACCTGGACATCGGCCGCCTCGGTCGCGGCGAAGTTCTAAAGTAAGCCCGAAGATATCCGTTCAACGCACACTGCCTCATACCCGCACAACACATGCTAACACCATGAGCCAGTTTATTCCTCAAAGACGCCGGCATCGAAGTGAAGCAAGTCCGCTACCCAATGGACGCGACCTGGCCCCAGCAGAGCGAGACTCTGAAAGCTCAAGGCATCAGTCGCACAGGAAAGGTACCTTCGCTCGAGTACAAGGGCCAGATACTCACGCAGGTAAGTGCCGTTCCGTCCCTTACCTACTTAGTACTATCCACAGTCAGTCCACGGGAAGAAGGTCTGACCATGAGGCCAGCACATCCCAACCCTGCGCTACCTCGCCCGCGACATCGGCGGCTACGACGGCGAAACGAACTGGGAGCGATATGTCGTGGACGCGGTGGCGGATATCTACATTGACTGGAGGGTATGTACAGCCTTAAAAGCACTCCAGTGTGCTATGAACTACACACCAATGCTAATTACTTGAACCATAGTCTCAATGGGTCGCCAACCTGGGACAGAAAAACCCCGACTACAAGGACTATGTACCCGGGTACTATAGTCTCGTGGCGCAGTATTACTCCGACTACGAGGGCCCGTATCTGCTGGGTGATCGGGTCACGTATGTGGATTTTGCGATTTATCAGTCCATTGATAATGATGCGAGGACGGGGACGCTGCCGGTATGAGATTTTCCCTATATGTTCTACCCTTGGGCTGTTAGTGCTAGTGTGGCTGCTTAGGTGCTAACTGTGCTGTTTAGGCGGAGTTGCCAGATGTGCTGGTCAGGTTTAAGGAGACGTTTGAGCAGAGACCGAGGATTGCGGAGTATATTAAGCAGAATTCATAGGGGATGTATCGGATCCAATAACCAGGGAATGTAGGATCTGGAGATAGTCGCAACGATATGAATTAAAGTATCGTCTTTGGTGATAGGCGCGTTATATTGCCCAGGCCCCAGGCCACCAGATAAATCATAATCATTGCAAGAAGTGTAAAAGAATAGTGTGGGTTGTTCAACCACAGATGCTTTTTTAGCTACTGGGCGAATTCTAAAACCTGATACGAAAATAAGGACCAGTGGCAAGCTTGGAGTTGACTGGTCATCCCGTGCAAAAGCACATAGCCCTTCTTCGGCCCAAAGACACTGGTGAATTGATTGGATCTTCCATATCCATAAACCGCCCCTAATTGCCATCTCAGCGTCTTGCCACACCGACCCTTGTCTTATTGACTGCCCATCATCCTCGAGCTTCGCCCCTGCCGGTTTGTTCCTGCTTTATGGTCTGGTATCTAATAAATAGGGTGCTGGAACTCGCATCGTAGTGTTCCGTAAATTCAGTTGCTTTCTCCTCCGAACCTAAAATGAAATACTGGCTGTTATTGAGGTAGTATCGCTAGCGAGGTCATCAATTGTAGGGTCTGAATAATACAAAAGCTGGCGTCTTTTTCTTTCTTTGCTAGCGAGATCTTGACCTCTGTTGGAGGACCGGACTCTAAGTCACGGGAGATCAAACGGGACCCTAAGATTTTTTCAGGCCGAATTTCCGCAGGAAGGGATATTGCCAGGTTATTAATATTCGCTGGAAGGTTTTTAACGATGAGTTTGACAGACGGTCTTCCGGCTCCAAGGGAGAAGAACGTCCGACTCGCGTCGGCGTCGGGGCCTCGAGGATGGACAGCTAGGCAGCCGGGAATCCTGATAGGTCGATATCCTCAGACTCGATCATGGGCTCATCAGGGTTTGGTCTCAGATTGGAGGGATCAAAGGTATTTAGAAACTGTGCAATAATGTCTTGCGCAGCTGGCGACTCTGATCTTTCAAGGATGATATATACCGTGAACCTCTCATGAGCTTGCACGATTAGGCTATGCATAATATCCCAGTCATGGTAGATACTATGGTAGATGATTTGACTGGTGTTCCGCAGGAGAATACCACTGCTCGAGATATTACAGATAAGCAGAACCCGCACAGGGTTGTCAGTGCTGCTGTAGCTTCTCAATGCATCCTCGCGTGCGTCGCTAGGAACTGTGTTGTTGAATATGAGGGCATCAATCCCGGCAGCCTGCAAGACATCGAGGAGGGTGCGCGCATCCCATCCTGTCGTGACGCAGACCAGAGTGTGTCTCTCTGGCGACTTCTTGAGGATTGCGCTGACAGCTTGAGAACGAGCTTTTTCAAGGAGTGGAAAGGGTCGTATACAAGGCGTAAATTCTACCCCGAAGTGCATCCCGGAAGACAACTCAGAACGCCGGAATATGTTTTGGCGCTCTTGTTCCTTTTTGACAGAGAGAAGGATGCGCACAAAAGAGCCTTGTCTGATGGCATTCTAAACGTTGGCGAAATGTGCCCGGGAACCCGAATTCTCTAGATCACAAACATAAGCCTCAATGTGTCAACGGCAACGGGCAAAGACACTTACCACCCAGTAGATTTTCCGGGTCGTTAATCACGACGATCCTCGGATCTTCGGCGACTATGAGACCACGATGGAAGGCCTCAAGCGTTTTACCTGCCGTAGCAATCACGAGGGCTGGGTCTGAACGGGCTGGGCCTGAACGGGCTGGGCCCTCTAGGACAGAGCGGACGATCTGCACTATCCCAGCATCTTTCAAGAGAGATTCTGCCATTTCACCAACTGCCTTAGCAGACTCATGGGAAGAAGTGATGAAAAGAGTCCTGGGATGGGCACGGGCGGGGGTCACAAGAAGCGTCTTGATCACAGCAATCAGAGCCCCCGGAGAACGACCATCCTTCATGCCCTTCACCAGCTCCACGTCTTTACCCTGGACGACGTTCTGGACTATAAAGTCTTCTGACAGTGTAAGGCTCTCGTAGCCTGCGGCCTTCAAGTTCTTCTCAAGAGGGTCTGGTAGCCAGACGGAGGCCCCTTTGGGTCCCGGGCTGAGACGCAATCGATGTGAGTTAGCAAGGTTCAAGTCATACGGAGTCTGAGTGGGTGTGCTTACAAGGCAGACGTCATGACGTGACGACGTGCAGAGGCAGGAGACGAGGTAAGATAAGCGCAAATAGAATATCTTGACAACAGAAAAACCCGACTTCGCTTTCGAATCATTGAAGTGTTTTATTTTCAAAGACTTGATTGAACTCACCCCTTAATTGACACTTTTCTTTCGACCCATTATATGGCTCGCTAGAGAAAACTTTTTGCTTCTTGCCAACTTACGGCCACAGAGAACAAAGTATATTATGATACCTTTTGCAACTACTCCAAACCTGCTATCATTTAAGCGGGAGCAAATTGTTTTCGAACGCTCAATTAGTGTACTATAAGGTAGAATCTTCAGTACAAATATTTCTGCCTCCTATCACCTCTACTACCCAGTCAGCCTATGCCTTGATAATTGTCAGTACCTAGTCTCAATATTATTGCCATAAAAAGGTCTTGTTAACAACTCTGTAACAACTCACTATACGGACTTAGGAGGCTTAAGTATAGCTAAGCAGATAGGAAGCCTGGTTTTCTTATTCCTGTGGTTGTATTAACTGGAGCTATAGAAAGAGTAAAACATGTAATGAGACCTTGATATTTATACGGATATTGAGAATTATTATTTGTAGTATACCCCGATTTTGCTACTGAGCAGACCTATCATCAGATTACGCAATGGTACACCTCTATGCACTATCAGGTCTGCCGTGCCTGTGCCGCTATAGGATATTTCAATCTGTATATAGAGTTTGATCTCCTTCCCGATGTCTCTATTGCTGAAGAGGCTCGGGAGGGGAATACAACAGGGGGAGATCAAATCTACCAGTCGAATGTCATGTACGAGGCGCAAGATGGGAGAGCGTCATTTGAGTCTGTTGTAAAGATGAAATTGTAGAACAGGAAGGCACGCAGGTGGTATTGCCTACATCTTTTTAAATATATATAATATTTATCATTTAACTTAATTTATTATATTAATACACATACACATATATATATACTAGCTAGAGCTTACTTTCATTTTACATATTCAACGCCTTGGTACGGCTCGGAGACAAGTGGACTTTGGCAGGACCCATATTGTTGAGTATCACAGTGGCTGTGTTGAACATATGATGGGAACGATGTGGCAGGGATTTGGAATTGATATATATATTTATGAGGAATCCCGCCCCTGTAAAAGGAAGTCAACTGGAATAAATCAATTCTCACTTGAACAGGGTTGGGCTTTGGGTCAAGACCTTCGACCCAAGTTGGGCTTTGCGGAAGTCTATTGATTATATATGCCAATGTTCAGATCCATCTTCAGATTATACCCCAGGATCCTCCACCTGCGGTCCCACCCACGGCCGATCCTCGAGCAGAGACTGAGTGATGACACGGGCGAGCTTGCAGCTCCTATTGCTGGCTGTTCATTTATCCTTAAGGGATGAGGAGCTGAGTCTTGCAATTCAGGCGGCATTTGCTTTCTGTGTGGAAAATAGATATGATACTGGTGAATCCACGTGATGCCATGAGGTTCATTGCGATTGATGCCATGTTGTCTTCGTGAGGCATCTGTGCACATGTGCTGCATAACTTCACCGTGTAGTTAACTAATTTAGCGAATTAGTCTTTTGGGGGAAGGGGAGAGATCTAGTATGGCTCATGAAGAAAAATTACAACATTGCAATTCCTATGGACTAGACACCTCTACATTTGTATCACAGTACGGGGAAAACCAGGGACGGCGAAAACCCGAACCGAGGCATTATCTGGAATCCATACCACATCCCCGCATTATCTCTTGCCGGCTCAAGCCTGGTAGTCGTTTCGGTTGGCGCGCCCAATATGGATTAATCCCAGGGCCCTTTGGAAAAAGCCCTTCTTTGCCAATGCGTTACAATTCTCGCCTATCGCAGCGTACACTTGCTGGATATCACTCGCATAGCACGTATATTGCAAACCCGATGAATCAATGTAAGCAAAAGCAGAATTCTGGTAATATGTGATTCCTTTTGAGAAATCAAGGCCAGAGCCACAAACTTTAGCCAGACCACGCTGAGCCACCTCGGCATCCTCTAGAGAAATGAGTTGACCAGCACACGAGACGCCGTCCTCCAATCCAAGATCACTGGAATCTGTCCTTGGCAGATCCCTAGAGCCCAGGTCGTTTTCAGATGTAAACTCTCCCAGATATTCCTCTACCTCCGTGCCGTCATTGTTCACGTTGGTCACGTAGGCGCCGTTTTTGTGGTTGTCTGAAGCCACAACCACAGTGGCTGCGGCAAAAGCACACAGCAGCTGCATGAAGCAAACCATTCTGGCAGCAACGTTAGCCTAACAAATTTTAGTCACTGGTACTAGAAAGTTACCTGACAGTTGTAAATTACCGAAGGTGCGCACGATGGGGTTCTGAGGATAGTTGATCCTTGAATTTGGAACTTGGGGATGGTCAACTGCTAAGTATAAAACATATGCTTGTCAGTATAGCCAGACGCACACAAACATAGTAATTTCACACCTGAATTATTTCATAGGAAAAACGGTGCCAAGGTCAGGCTAGGAAGGAGCAGGGAGGCCTTGTTAATTTATACAATAGCGGGGGGGGGGGTTTGGATATTTCTTAGCCTCTAGAAATGCTGCTAATTCCTAGGCTTGCCTTGCATCCAGCTGAAATTCCAGCAAATGGCATGTGGAATGCCATGGATAGCTGTATTCATCAAGCATAGTAAGAGATTAATAGAAGCTAAACACTATTATGAACTTTGTATATGTTACTTCAGGATATTCCATAAGAATGTAGATCCATATGCTTGGTATCCCTGAAGACCACTGTGGCCTCAGAGTCCGACACAGCACTTGTGGGACTATAGGATGCCAAGTAGAAAGCAAAACTACTTACCTGTAAGAATGAATCTACATAGCGTTACAGCAAATTCTGGAATGTTTTTTGGAATGCTTGTCGTAAATAACTATCATGTTCATTACCCCTTGCGGTACTCCCGGGTGCGCAGATAATAATGAACAAGGCAATAACCTTAATCTCATGTAAACAATGGCAGCGGGGGACGGACCGTCTAAATTGCGGCATGCTGGTTAGGGTGGATCTCCTGTGGTAATATGTTTGCCGGTATGTTCTCCACTTGCCCGCCACTATTCTTAGTCCGGGCAAGCTTGTACAACAGCCTACATTCCATACTTAGGCCGGCATAATTAATCACGCTTTAAAGCCATTATCAGGTTTCGGAGAGAATGAAAATTGAGTAGGGTGCTCATTAATGCCAGAATCCACAATTTGTGCATGCATGTAGATTCCCACAGGATCAGCGTACCCTACTCCACAGGGGGTAATGGGACAAGGTCATCCTCCATTTCGGGTTGCTAACAAAGTCAATTTAGGGTAAGTACATCCTCCATTTAGGAGTGAGTGTAAGGGGCAGGACTGCAATTCTGAGCGAGGCACTTCGTTCTCTTGAATGTAGGTACCGAAAGGGCGCAACGCCTGCGGTACGACTGCGGAGTGCTATGGGATCTAGGGGTCTATGTACAAGGAGTCAAGGGCACCATATATCTTGAATAGGACTGTGGCAGTTTCCGGGGGATTGGCAGGGATTACTGATGTAAACCACAATCGAACCGCGGATATAACCGAACCGTGGATTTGTATTATCATACAAAATGGCACTTTTTAACATGGAGTATCTCACGTTATGTTGGAACCTGCCAGTTGGATGGCTGCTCGCGTGATTGCGCGTGTGACGCACAGTGTGTATTTAGTCTACCTAGCCAGCTATATCCTCCACCTAACTGAATACAAGCATTTTCACCGAGGTCTAGCTATCCCGACAGGCAGTCTCCGTCATATTACAACCTCAGGAATGTAGAAATCAATCTCATTGTAGGTCAGATACGAAGACACTAGGTTGAGAAAGAAAGGAAAATGACAGCGATTTACTGCGAGCAAGCAGTAAATAAATACTGATGCAGAAAGACTAACAGATCAAACAAACAGCTGACGCAATCATCGACGAATAATGTATTCGGTAAGCGAGTGGCCACGTCTACGCCTTTTGGCCGCAGTCGAAAACCTCGCTCAATTCAACCACCAACGATGCCTCCAAAAGCGCGTCAAAATTCAAGAAGTTTGGCTGAGCAACTATAGATTCTTTTTCACCCACTTGGCGATTTCTAAAACCTGACAGGCATAAGGATGAGTGGCAAGCTTAGAATTAATTATTAGTGTCGTGCAAAGGTATATAACCCTTTTATAGCTTAAAAACACTAGTTAATTAATTAGGTCTTTTATATTTATAAACTATCCTTAATTACCTGTTAGCGTCTCACTATACTAACCTATATCTTATTAACTACTTATTATTCTTAAGTTAAATACCTGGTGGTTGAAAGAGTGTGTCTGATTTGCCATCATATTTATATAATGGCTTATGGACGGAATCCCACGATATAGGTTCTTTTTAATTCGGGTGTCTACGGAGTAGCACACGTTACATCCTCCGCCATTCGGATCTATCGGTGTGCCTGAAGGCCCCAATTTCGACCATTGTCCGTTCGATGTAACCTACATGTCTTTGCACCCTGAGCCGGTTATCTACGGAGTACCTCGGAAGCAATGAATCCGGACCGCTTGCTGTTCAAGCTAACTACCCTGTTCAATTGCCATTTCGAGCTGGTTACATCGCATGATGGACAAGGAAAAAGATGCCGCAGTATCAAGAGAGGATGGACGATACCAACGTCTATTCAGCGCGCTCAATGATCAGTTGGTCAAGTGGCGCAGCGACGAGAAAAGCTACGCCAAGATCAAGGGATACGATACCATGATGAAACCACTGACCAACCGGGTTGTGCAGCTCCGCATCGAGGACGGCCAGCGGTTCATGCTTCAGTATTTCTCCAGAGATGATGGCCTTGGTTTGGGTTTGAAGGACAAGCTCGTGAAATACAAAGAAGACCCTCGTGTGCCGGGCGGACCGGATTATGAACGTGTTGACCTTGGAAAGACCTGGGAAAGCCACGAAGAGGACGTGAAGAAGGCCATTAGCAAGGCAATGAATGGGAATGTACAGATCAAAAGCTTCAAGGACTTCGAGGCTTGGGTATGATAATATGGTTACTTCTCTTTCGAGACTTCGCTAATCAGCGTCTCTACAGGTTACAGATTATGGCAACCCAGATGGACGTTTCGCAGAGGCGACCAAGGCCAACCCTACACATTTCAGGACGCTTCAGATGTGGAAAGCCATCGGTGATAGTAAGACTTGTTAGGGGGGATCTAGGGCCTGTTAATCAATGTAACGCAGTATTGTTTGTAGTATACTAGGAGAGTGGGACTTACTATGCGTGTCAGACAGGGAAAAGTCTGTTAAGGAGCATTAGGGAATTTAGGGCATTCAATAGTTTCATTCTTAGACTTACGAGCTTTCCCCCATTCATCAATCCACCCGCCAATGTCGGCGGATGTTTCCGACTTATTTAATCACTAAAATAGCCTCAATCATCCACGTCCGTAGGCGTCCGTCCGAACCTCCATTCATCAGCTTGACGCCGCCCACCATGTCCGACAGCCATGGCGAAGCCGGCTCTGAGGTCTCGCTGCCCAGCACTGCGGCGACCAACGAGCAGCTCTACGATTACAACCAATGCATCGCCGCCCTCGAGGGAAGAAGCGTCCCAGTTGATCTCACCTCGGCCACTGCACGCTGTGCAGTGATCCGAGGACTGCGCTGCTCCTACGACTTCGCAGTAAGCCGAGACATAGTCGATCTGTGCGCTTCACTGCGATTTCCGAAATTTGTTCGAGCACGCAACGCCCGGCTTATCATGAGCAACGTCGTTCCTGATGGTCTTGAACTCCCCGAGACCCAGCCATACTGTATCTGGAACCCCGATTTTGCCACTGAGCAGACCTATCGCCAGCTTGCGCAACGGTACCCCTCGATGCGCTATCAGGTCGGTCGTGCTTGTGCCGCCGCTGGGTATTTCACTCTGTATACGGAGCTTGATCTCCTTCCCGATGTCTCTATTGCCGAAGAGGCTCGGGAGGGGAATACAGAAGGGGGCGATCAAATCTACCAGTCGATCATGTCTTCACCACTGAAATATGCCGTGATGGATGATTATGCACGCTCAATTAACGCGGATAGCCCACCGCATCCCGCCTTCCTCAATGCCGAAACACATGTTCGCTGGAAGTTAGAGTGGCGGTTCACGCCCGCAGAGGATGCCACTGAGGACTTTGGGCCTGAGGAGATCGATATTGAAGAGGACCGGTACATGGGTCTCGAAGTGAACGAGCCAGATGAATCTCGCTACGATGAACTGAGTCCGCAAGAGGCGACGCTCCTCTGGCAGCCTCTGCCTCTCGATCTACCAACGATGAAAAAGGATCTGCTACGTCAAATGGCTGCCTTTGAAGGAAGCGTGGACCGATATGACAGGCTGATTAACCGCCGATCTCGGGAAGAAATCGACTCACGCGAGATCATCTGCGTCGTGCGTGGCATATATCACCACACAATGTTCGCGCGGTGGTGGCAGCACCAGATCGACACGGGCGCTTTCAAAGACCGAATGACAAAGAATGAGCAGGACGAGATCCAAACCGCCATTAATGCGCGCCGCGTCATGATCAACGAGATTGGAACGTTCACCGACGACACCCCATGCAAGCCGTGGCTGATCTGGTACCCCCTCAAACCGGAATCCGTAGCACTGTGTAGACTTGCTACGCGATGCCCTTCCATGCATGGGCAGATTGCCATCGCCGCCATATACTGCGACTACAAAGGTTTATATGAATGGCTCAGGATCCGACCCAGCATTGGCCTCATGGAGGCCGCCGAGAAAGTCGGCAATCCCTTCTACAAACAAGATCTTGAAAGACGCGCAGCAGAGCTCGATATTACCGACCTCTGGCAAGAAGGCCCCTGGATGGAACCGTTCGACGAGAAGCATGGAACGGTAGGCCCTGACTTGGAGCCCACGGGCCGTGGAATCTGGACGCGCCTCCGCTCGGAACTCATGGACCCGCTATGTGGAGGATACTATCGGAACAACTTTGCATACGGGGGTTATTTTGAGAGATATGTCTGGCTCTCGTTTGAAACGATTCGGAAGATGGAGGTCGCAGGCTACATTGGGGGGGAGGGTCGGGGGTTCTTAGACAATAGTGATACGCATTGGTTTCTGACGCATGGAATCGCAAAGGATGAGGATGGAAACGAGGTTATCGACGGCAGCGACATTGAGCAGTAATCCACTGAGCGCCCTCATCAAAGCAGATCTATTCAAACAGGGAAAGTCACATTAATTCTCGAAAATGAAGCCTGCATAGGTACATATAGCTCTGACAGATGGGTGTGTAGATATCCAGCCAACTGAAAATGACACACACTCGGTAAATCCACGAAGGCTTAACATGGAATAGATGAGAAGATTGCAAACTTGCGCAGATCCGGGTGGATGATTTCGGTTGCAACACATTCTTCGACACGTTAAAAAATGAATAGCGCTGTTTGATAATAAAAGGATCAGGACTGGCTATGAATGACAGTTTGTCGCTGGCGAATCAAGGTTGGTTATTATTATTCCCATTTAAAAAGGAGGGATATGGATGAAGTCCCAAGTTAATTTCCGTCAGTCCGACTTGAAACGGAAGAAATTCCGCATACGAGGCTGTCATTCTACTGTATTAAGCCTCAATCCACAACAATGCTGGGCGACTCAGAATAAAAGTCGAGCCGGCAACAGCTCCTATTCAATCCGCTTTATTCAGTTGTACCCTCCTTAGGCTATCTTCTCTCGTGGAAGGTGTTTCAATTTCGGTTTCATTCGTGAGCTGTTTTTACATACACCCACCAACCTGACAGCGGCTGGATGGAATCAAGCCCAGGTCTTTCAGTTGGAGAAATAGTCCTGACGTTGTGACCCCAAGAATGAATATTGCCAAGGAACCGTATTCGATTATGGGTTACATCAGACTCTCATGAATAGTAGTTGGCTTTATTGTCGGAAACGTTGTACATACTCACCTGGCTTTCTACACAAGCCGGCTACCTATTCTTTCTATTTTGGTGGTCACTGAGTGGACTAAATGCCGAAGGTAACCCTTAATGTCTCATATGGCATTCTTTCTCTTTGATTAAAAAATAAACAATCTGCATCACCTGAGAATTTCATAGTTGTGTATTTCTTACTTCAGCCGAGTTGGAATACTTTCAGTTCCTCGGCACTGGCAATTAGACCCAGCTCCAATCCTGGGTCAATAGCAGATGAAGACTTTCACTTTCCAGATAATGGATCCAACCACCCGTTCCAGTATTGTCTTATTTTCGCTTCGACCGCGGACCGTTTTTCATACATCCACCATCCAGATAGGGGCTGAATAGAATCAAGTCCAGGCGCTTCAGTTGGAGGAGCAATAGTGCTGGTGTTGTGATATCTGGTGCCATCTAACATATCCCCGCTTGATGTAGCTTGGATGCCAACAAGTCCAGCTAACATAACAGTCTTATACGTCTTATTATTCCGAGTATCCTCAACGGTAACAGGCACGGAGGCAAAGCCAGAGGGAACATCGTCCGTGTCAATGCGGCGAGACAAAGCATCTTCCAACCCCAGTTTCGAGTTTCGGGCTTGAAACTCGGGCGAGGAGGCATTTTGAATTGGCTCTCGATGAAGAAGCCCCCCCCCCTCATCCCAAAAACAGAAAACTGAGATCCAACCGCAGAGGTAGTCCGGCCCGCTGCCCATATTTTCCTTATGGGCACATCTGTTCCAGAAGTCCAACACAGTGGGCGAGGTTGGATTTTCAAAAGAGGCAACAAAATGATTCAGGACCGGTCGAAGGAGCTGGGCGAATCGTGCCGGTTGGTCCCCTAGTTGATGCAGCTTGTCCAGCTTGTTCACGAGCTGGTTCCAGTCATCTTTCTCTCCTAACAAAGTGACACAGGGAATTCCACATGTAAGTGTCATCTTGTAGGAGAAATAGCTCTGCATGGTGCCCATCATCAAGATCGCGGCAACCACGTTATCGGATTCGGTTGTAGTGGTGAAGGTCGGCATAATCCAAGCTCGCAGCTCCTCATCCACAACGTTCTTTTCGATCAGCCTGGTCATCTCTAAGGCCATTGCGCCGAAGTCGGCATCCTCCATGGTTGCATTTTGAATTACCTCAAGCTCTTTCTGGCCTTCATGTGAGACAAAAAAGGATCGAAGTTCCTCGGCATGTGCATTGATGAAGAAGCTAAGCTGCGTCAGAATCGAGAACCACACGTCTTCCGGTCGGATTGTCAAGTTGTGATGATTGCTGTAGGCGTCGAAAACGGCCCAGACAAAACCGTGTTTAGAAGCGGAGACATTATTGTCGCGAAAGAACCTCCGAGGGAATGAGCTCCTGATAAGCCTTTGGCTTTGGCGCTGATCGTCCGGACATGAGCGAGTGAGCAACTCCTCAGAGGTGGAGACACGCCGGCCTTGCCACTTACGAGGCGAGTGTGAGGCCGTGGTGAGAGTGATGGGCATATTGCTGCGTAGAAAGGTTTCAACCTGGTGTTGCAATCGTAGCAATCAAAGATTAAGGGGGAATGTTTCTTGACAAGGCCAAGGAAACTAGTAGCCTAAGTCTCGGTCGCGCTTTATAGCCTGTCATCTTTTAAATGGAAGCCTAAATTCTCCCGCAACCAGCAGAGGCACTGTTAGGCAGAAACAAGGGTAACCACTGGAAATGAACATCCATATATGGATGAATAGATTTCATAGCCCTGGCTTCTCACAATGCGCAACGGCTGTGTCTGTTCAACAATACATGTGCTGAAGGCGCAGCTTGTGCATATTTCCCAGTGAAACAAACTTTACTACAGAAGCGAGAATTGATTACAAGGTGTCTCGATCTTGCACACAGCCTTGGGACGAGGCAATCTAGCAGCAAAGCACAGCCCTCCAATCGGAAAGAGTAGGCTTGAGGGCGAATGCCACCATATCGCAGAAATGTGACGTGGCTTGCCGACCTAATTACAACTGCAGGGATAATAACCCTTGCTCATTGAAATCTGTTGTACATGGAGTGTAAGTTTCTTTATCTATGTTCTGCAAACATTCAGCGTAAGAAAAAACCTCTTGCTTTTGTATTAGTCAAACCGGTTTCGAACTGACGCGGTATAAATTGACTAGGCTTCCTCATATAAGTCATAGTACATCTCAATCCTATAACCAGCGTTCAGTCATACTGTTATATACCTGCACTGACGGGGCGATCTTTATCTTTTGCTTTATCTTGTAATTTTCCAACATCCCCTTGGCATTGGATCTGGGTAATTGTTTCGCTGAAGCTCCTTGACAAAATTCTCTTTCTCTATCTTTTTTCTTTTCTTTTCTTTTCTTTTCTTTTCTTTTCTGATTCGCCGCCAACCGCATTCTTCTGATTCAATATCTCTACCACGGTGCCACGACTCCTCCCGTTATAAACATCCAAGATGCAGCAAAAGCTTCTCAGACTAGGTATGCGAAGCAATTCAGCGAATGCAACAGAATCGTTGCGTCCTCTAGCGCGCGCTGCGCTAGATAACGATCCTAGTGCCATAGGCCGCCTAATCAAGGATGGCGCCGATGTCAACGAGAGATTCGCAGAAGGCTGGACAGCATTGCACATTGCATCTGCAGGCAACTTTCCAGGTTTTGTGGACGCGTTACTGGAGCAAAATGCCGACCTGGAGATGAGCCTGCCAGACGGATCGACCGCTCTGCATCTATCAGCTACAAATGGCCACCACGAAGTCGTGGAGCTGCTGCTACGCCACGGAGCTAAACCTCATATAAAAAGAGAAAGTGACGGCTACACACCTCTACACTTAGCTGCAGGAAAGGGCAGAGATAAGGCACTGCGGCTTTTACTCGGTGCGCAAGGAAAATATGGCATGGACATTGACGAGCCAGCGAATAATTGTGGAACCAAATTGCAATGCGCATGTCAAAGCGCTAGTCTGGAATGCCTGGAGATGCTGGTGTCGGCTGGCGCAAATGTTGATACTATCGTGGATCCAGAAGGGCAGACGCCGCTTATGATCGCTGCAGCGAGTGATAAACGTCAGGTCGCAGACATTCTACTAGATGGTGGTGCTGTCATTGATCATGTTCATGAACAACTTGGAAGACCTGCAGTGACAATAGCTGCATTTTTCGGAAGCTTGAAGATCCTGGACACTTTGATTTCGAGAGGTGCAAACCTTGACATCATGGACACAACTGGGTGTACGCCACTTCGAGCGGCAATAGAAAAAGACTAGAGAGAAGCGGTTATGAAGCTGCTTGAAAGCAGAGTCAAGGTCAGAGCAATTTACAGCGACCATAGAATCACAGCTCTTCACCTTGCAGTGTCGCATGGGATGCACAATGTGGCCGAATCGATTATCAAAAAAGGAGCCGATCTCGAAGCACGTGACAGTGACGGTGATCCTCCTCTTTAATGGGCCGTCGAGAAGGGAGACAGCAGAATGTGCATGATTTTACTTCGTCACGGAGCCCAAGTGAATATGAAGAATGAAAGGACAGGGGAAGTGTTACTTCACTGGGCCATTAGAGGAGGTCACATCGCCGTGACCGAGCTTCTACTTGCGAACAAAGCAGATAAATCACTTGTTGATCTGAGTGAAATCAGAAAGGAGTATCCGGTCAAGGAGAACGACTTTCAGCTCTGCAAGGTCCTTCTTGAAACTGCCCCTAATGCAAGCGACCAGTTGAACGATCTATCGGTAGTCGAGGCTGATGAAGAGGCATCGAGAACATCTACCCCTACCATCCCTCCATGTCAGACTACAGACCATGCGGCTCAAAGAGAAGAGGTAACCAAAGGATCCAGCACCAATTCAATAAAGGATATGCCATTCTCCGAGCTCTTGGCCCCCCCGCCTCAAATCGTTCCATCTAGGGTGTCAGTTGGCTCACCCTCGGGTGATGATTATTGCTGCACGGAAGCTCTCACGATGTCCCAAGCTGCAGCATGTCAGTACCTTCACCGCCAGGAAGCACTTCATCCGGTCCCCAAGGTCGTTTACTGGTCACTGAGAACAAGCCAACCTCCGGTGACGCCCGAATTAGACATCAAGTTTGGGGCATCATAATTATCGATACAGGCCAATACCTATTGATTACCAATCGTTTTATCATTGACCACGCTGTTAAGGAGTCACTGCTGTAAGATGGTGGAGCAGCTATGTATTATATTGAAAGAACATGTCAATGCTTGGTAAGAGACTAAGATCGCCAATCTTGTTTACTATATCATAGTACGAAGCGATTTCTGAGATGCACGCATTAAGATCCAAGTTGCGGCATATACCAACGTAGACGAGTGATAATAAGTAAACAGGAGTCAGGCCCTTCCCGGCCCTCCTCTGCAAGATCATACATACAGAACAACGATCAGGACTCTTTACACGGCGTAAGATGCGGAGATGAGGCGTAAGCGGACATGCTTGTGTTTATAGTCGATCGCTGTATAGCCGCCTAAAGGCGGCTGAGTCAGTCTTTGAAATAAAATCAGATCCAATTTGCGGGAAACAAAGATCCAAGAAATGATCCACCATAGAGCGAACCTCGATCCCACTGAGATGTCGGTCGCAACAGCATATCATCCACGAGTGCTCAGTACGTCAATCATCAATCACACCCATTTAAAGTCGTTTAAATCATCAAAGCCGCACCTCGGAACCAAACCCTCACCCGAGGAATCAAAGAGTCGAGATCTCCCTCCCATCCGGCTTGTTCGCACTCCATTCAGGGTTTCCCACTATGCGTAGGTTGTTCTCGTCGAACGGGGAGTATTTGAGACCCTTTGTGTTGCCGTCGTTGATCTTCCTCAGGAACACCTCCTCGACGTGTCGCTTCACGGCAGGCCTGAACGTGTCGTTATACCACCACCGCAGGCCGTCATGGGTGTATTTCTTTGTCCTAGAATACAATCGGGACTTGTGTAATTTGTCGACATGAGAGACACCTTGTGCATCGGTGTACGGCGCGTGGTACTCGTACGTGCAAGTGAAGTAGCCGCCTGAGGGGTGAGACATGGTGTTGGAGTAGGCTGTCTTGGGAGAGGAGTATGGGGTGTTTTCTGGTTGGAAGCTCTGTATAGGAACCTGTTAGATTCGCTAGACTTGAAAAATGAATATTAACAGTATTTTCTTGTCCATTCTCCTTCTACCTTTTGAGTACTGCGAGATTGGGGCTGTTTTTATGCCTTCGCAGGTACGTCGATCTTCTCTAAATACAGTATGTCCAAACGAGTAACAATGATCAAGTCATGAGACAATAGAAGAAGAAGCAATTTTTAAACGTGGGGTAATGAATGGCGGCGAACGCGGAAATCGTGTTATTGTGTCATGGGTTTAACCCATGACACGCGCCACATAGTGTATGTGGCTGTCGTCACATGGTTCCCTGCCTAGTGATTTAGTATCATAAACCCGCACCATGGGCCTATCAACACACATCTTCTTCGCAGCTCACCACGCCACGGTACTGGCGTAGAGTTCACCTCCAGATTTCAAGTTCAACGCATTGCTTTCGCCTACATGGCCGCCACTGGTGAGGGGGTAGCCGTAGGAGTCCACGAGACCCCGAATGCTCCCCCCAATCAGCCCACCACCCCCAAGCGGCCGCAGTCACATCTCGCACAACACAGATAAAGACCGCAGGAGATGAGGTCATAAAACTTGTATCTATACTTAGTCAAAGGGTTTCCAGCTGGGAAGAAAAGGGCCTGCAAAGAGCTGCCTCCTTAGGCAGGGACATCAGGACCCTAGTCCTCAATTTCAGCACGAACCTGGCCAACGAACACTCTGCAGAAGAGAAACAACAACCCCAACCCTCCAAGCCCAGCAGCTATGCTGAGACAACAAGGAGCACACCTGGTGCGCGCAAGATAAATCCTGCCTCACACAAGGGACTTCAACCAGATAAGCTCCCCCCCCCCCCCCCCCGCATCTTTCTCCGCCTCCCTAAAGACCACCCAGCTCGCCGTGCCAGCACACATGCCACAATGGACCTACTGAGAAAACAGCTGGACAAGTCTTGCTCTACAGTAGTAAGCGAAATCCAGCAGGTGCCTTCTGGCTTGGCTATCCGGCCGAAAGACAGACTCAGTCTTCACCTTCTTAACAGTTACAAGGAGGCCTTGGAGGGCCTCATACAGGGAGCTAAAGCAGAAGCTGAACAAGAATGGGCTGTTTTTACCCTACCAAATGCGCCGCGGGAATACATTGGATATAATGGGACTCAGGTACCTATCAGCGAGCAGATGGCTTTAGATGAGCTCAAGCTTCAGACAGGCCTTTCCCCCCTGAAGTTTTACCGCTCAAATAAGAACCCGCTCTCCAGTACACTGATCAGGGCCATGCCAGAGGATCAAGCCCAAATAGTTCCCAAGTGGGTCCACCTATTTGGCCAGAATATACCCCTCAAACGGAAACCCCCCAGAGCCCGCGTGGAACAGTGCACGCAATGCTGGGACTATCATAACCCCGTACCTGCACTCGCACTCCCCGATGCCGCATCTGCAGCGGGAAGGACCATACTGAAGAGTGTCATGGCCATGTAGGCAAAGGGGTACGAGGCCCAAGCTGTACTAACTGCTGTGGTCCCTTTCCAGCCAACCACCCCAACTGCCCTGCCCGACCTATTGTACAACAAGGAGTCATCCAGCGGCTTTCCAGATCACAATTCAATGCAGTTAGGAACACTAATATGCACCAGCAAAAGGAAAAAGACCAGTCTAATAAATCTGAGCCCCTGGAGACCCCAGGCTCCTCACCCACAAGAAAACAACCTCAATCATGTTAAAAAGACTATCTCATCTACAGATCCTCCAACTTAATGTTGGCCGAAACTGGGAAGCGCATGAAACCGCGCTACAACTGGCTTTTGAGAATAAATGTCATGCAGTACTGATTCAGGAGCCCTGGATTTTTACAGACCGCTCCCGCCGGCTATCTAAACACCATCCATCCTTCCACCAACTAGCTCCGGCAGAGGATTGGTCCGAAAGACCCCGGGTCCTCACTTATATCCTCAAACACCCACACCTAAGAGCCGAGATCATCCCCTTTGGCCCCCCAAATAGGGACATACTCGCTGTCCAGATCATCACCTCCCAAAAAACAGCCCTCCTTGTAAACTTATACAACGCCCCCGCTGGGTCTGTAGGGGAAGGTCAAGGCTTAGACCGCCTAATATCACAGTCACTCCCAACTTCTCCCTGCCTCCTGGCTGGGGACTTCAATCTCAGGCACCCTGCATGGCAGTCCTTGGCACAAGCCTCCCCATTTGGATGAGTATATGATGATCCTTTCGTTAGAATTGATGAAAATGATGATATTCAACCAAGTGGCGGCGATCTAACGAAACATCTAGCATAGAGAGGAAGAAAAGAATTCTAGAGACACGTAATCCACTATCCGGACATGGGCCAAGTCCGCACCCGCGGGCCGAGCCGAAAGTTAATATTATTGCATCGCAAATCATTCGGAAGCCGCTTGACCACCGTCCGCGCCATTGAAACCCGATCCCTAGACCAGACAATAGAACTGCGTCCTCTGCTTCGGGCGTGTGGTCGCCAAATAAAGTCATCTCATTACGTGCGGGGTGGGGGTGAGAGACATATCCGCAGGCGTATGTTGCCTCCAGCCCCAGGGTTGACGTAATATATTAAATGCAGACCTCCCAGTGGCACCATACCTGGCTTTTTCCATATACATGGCGGGCGATACACATATCTTGCTTCTCTCTGAATCTCTTCTGTACTGGATGTACTGAATGGAGCGGCAGCCTGGAGGAAAAGCTGGCAAGTTCATTAGACTCAGACCACAAAGGCACAGGAAGCTATTAAAATGGAATCCGGCCCTCCAGCATCTTCTTCATCTGAGCGGCGCGTACGGGCGCCACCACGGTGTGGGACTGTCATAATGTAGAAAATAGCCTTTTACAATGTATCAACCGCACTGGTAACTAGCTTGATCAATAAACTGCGCTTTTTTGGGGGTTAAATATGAACTTATTTTAGTGTAAATTGAGCCCGACTCCTTCTAAGTGGCCAAGTAAACTATTATCAATAATCAGACAGACTGGCCTAGTAGTAAATCCACTATAGTAATCTTTGAAAAGTAGGACAAGTTAACACCCATCTTCCGCTATTGTTGGATGCCCAACCCCCGAGTACCAGGACAGTTGCCTTAACTAGTGCTCAGAAATAGTGTTTCGCGTGATATATTGGATTGAATGCTCACGTTTTCTCACCATTCACTGTATTCATCGGATTGGACGGGGTTATATTTCCATAGTTTAATGCAAATGACCGGCATCGGATATATGACTCTATAAAACATCAGGGCATTCTGCTCCCCGTTGCGCCTGACATAACATTAAAAAAGATTTCTTTTCTGCACACATCAGACACTACAGTCATGGACCAGGATCAAAGCTATCATTTTATACACCTCACTTTCCAGGAGTACTTCGCTGCCCGGTATTTTATGAGGCAGTGGACGAAGCATGAGCAGCTGTTGTGTGTAAAGCTTAGGCAAAGAATATCTTGTTATGGGTCACGCTTTGATTGTCTCAATCTAAAGGGTGCCGTACGTACAAGAAGGAATCACTAGAGAACAAAAGAAAATAAGAGTTGGAGGATGATATATATATCAGTCCTACCACCCCTTGCATGCCACGCAGGCCTTGGCCAAGTCATGTAATCCAGGGGTAAGTATGGAACCCCATAACATATCTGACCTCTTCCTGATAACGCCTCAGGCATGTCTTTAAAGAGAGAAGTATAATTCACGTTTTGATATTCTGTGGCGGTTTGTCGCAGGCCTTCTCCAAGCTGTTGCAGGAGATGAACAGAAAACTAAAGAACCTCTGAAGCGTTGCTTTCAGGAACTTGAAGCTGAGCCACGTGATCTATTGGGCCCATCTTATCAACGAATTCTCATGCATTGCCTTAGTGAGGTAATTGCAGATACAGAAAGTGGTTTAGATCTCCATGTAAAGATGGAGAAACATTTGTCACGGTGGCTACAGTTTGAGTGCGACTTCTAGAAGGCCATTTGGCTAGGTCGTGAGAGAGAATGTCCAGAACATCTTTTAAAGTCTCTAGTACAAGAAGTGTCAGTGGTAGTAAAAAGATGTGCCTTGACAGCGTGTTCACACTTTTTGTGGCCTTGCTGTGACGGCTTGGCACCATACGAGGGTCTGCTATATAAGGCGATGGGCATATCAAGTACGCCGTACTTGATATTCTGGTCTTTTTGTGGCTTAAGGGTTAAACACAAGCGGTTGAGTTCCTAGAAGCCCAGCTAGGAATGAGGCCGTGACACTTGCGGTCATTTTTCTTGACACTAGTTAACTTATGTCAACAAAAATGTCTTCAGTATACACCAGTAATGCAGCGGTCCAATGAACGAAAGTATGAGGGTCTGAATTGCTAAACTATCTGCGTATCTAGCTATTAAATAAATATCCTTGATCTGAGCATTCCAACAGGCATAATAACAATAAACAATGTCCAAAATCAGTAAAAGAATGTTAACTATGTCAATAGCTGAATAATTCGGAATATCTGAAGCTCCGACATAGCGATCATTTTGGCCTAGAAAGAGTCCCTTTAATGGTGGAAAGCGATACTGAGATACCGAGTTCGTCATACCGAAAGACTGCCATCTCTTCAAGATATTTGCCAGGATTTTCTGTAAGGTGATCAAAAAGAGCTTTAAGCATAGGTGGAGTTATACTTCTTGGCCAATCTCCACGATCTAGGGGTGGACTTTCACTTCCAAACACACGCAGATTAGTATGAATATTCCTAACAGAACTTTCACTTCATTCTGTAGCATCAGCAATCTGTGCGGTAGTAAATATTTTGCTGTGTATCATATAGCATATAAGTTGGTACATACCGAACTATGACAATTTGATCGCGTTTGGTTCAGGTTCGTACCATTTCCAGGTTCTACTCCGAAGTAAATATATACAGGTACCAGGCTAATCACATATGGACTAGCGCCTCGGCATTGAGGGTTTGAAAACAATCTTGGCTTGTAAGAGACAGGAGGAGGTTTTGACCCCAAGTATATCAATTTTGACACTGGTTCTGGAAGGTTCCGCCCAATCTGGGGCGTGTCTATATGAATACGACGGAATAAATAGATAAAGAATCGGCTTTTGGAATTTGAAGGACTATTCAAAGAAGAAAGCGATCCCGTGTGTTGGATAGCGATTCTGTGGTTGAGGTTGTGTGCCGAACGGGAGCTAAAATGGCCCGATAGCAATCCCGGAGGAAGCCCCACGGACCCGGTTTCAAGAAATTTAAAAATTAAAAACAAAGTATGCAGCCAAGGGGTCTCGGCCGGTACCCGTTTTTTCCCGGGGAGGGTCAGGTCTTCTAAGCCTCCCGTTCTCAACTGGGAAAATACTGCTGCAGCGAGCAAGGGTTATCGGGTCAGGCGACGCATTGCAAGGCTGAGCCCCTGCGGGGTAATTCTCTTAGCAGATTCAGTCCTCGAGCTGGGAAGATGCGGCTTGAGCCTCCGCTGATTAGGAATACTGACTATTGGGGAGTCCCTCGTGTTGAGAAAGCAGAAGGAGCCGCTGGTATCCAGCACGATTCAAAGGTGACAGTAGCCAGACGCTGGGTGGCCACCAGTTAATGTTAAGGTCAGGGTTGTGGATTATGTCTGAACAAGGCCATTATCCTTTGTAGGTATTTATGAACAGTGGCGTGCTATTCTGGCGCTAACATTCATACCTCTAATATGAGAATAATACCTTGGAAAAGCACTTTGCAAGCGCCTAGATTTGCGCAAGTTCTAATCCCGTTTCTTTCCTACTGCCAAGGTTTCCTGGCATTCTTTTAGTGGGTTATATTACCTGGAGAGCCTGTAATATTTCATCGAAGACGATTTGAAGGTCTTTAGTAGCTAGGCCAAATGAGGTTGACAGGTCTTTAGCCCTAATCAGGATGAGATCGTGTTTCAAAAACTTGAGGTATGATTAATAGGACGCGCTCGATAATTACCATAGAGGCAGCTGAATTCATTATCAGCCTAGATGGTGAGTCCCTGGTTTTAATACTCAGGGTTTAATTATTGTGAGGTCAGCACTGATTTTTAGATCATGGGCGGTGATTGCATACTTTTTAGCGTTGTAATTTTTAATGCTCAACTGAGGTCGAACACCAGTGTTGAAGCAAGATAACCATGGTTTCACACGTCATTTATTTCCAGGCTGAGGAGACCTTTCTAGCGGTGCATCTCAAATTACGGTTAGAGCTTTCGAGCATGTGTTTAGGCATCAATGTATCATGCATGATGGGTGCCACGTCATTGAGCTTAACTCACGCAGCCTCATTCCGCCTCGCTCGGCCTTGCTTAGTAGAGCAAAGGATTATATAGCCTCGTCTCGAGTCTTGACCGAGAAGATTTACTATAAAGCCTCTCTACAGTTTTGGACAATCATTGCCCGTATCTGTTGTTAGCCGTCAACTTGTTGACTGATCAAATTGAAACACAAGATGGAAGAATCGCATTCTGAGGTGGTTATGGATGAGCTGATGGAGTTGATGCGTACTAGAGGTCGTCTCAGATACGAAGAGATGGAAAGAGTTCGGAAGGATACGACTCACAAAGACACAATGCCTCTAGATGACGAGCTAAAGGAGATGATTGAAGTTTGGCGGACTGGGAACGAGGGAGAGGAAGAAAACAAAAAGACCCCAAATGCATTGGCAGAGAACAAGGACGTTCGCGAAGCCCGTGGCAACTTTGTTAGCCATATATACATCAACAATCGATGGGGGCTTTTCAAGAACACGAAGGGCAAGATTGAAGAATGGTGGATTCCTGACCCGCCTGTGTTGAACGAAGACGACGAAGAGTACCTGTGTGATATGTGTCGGCATATTGACTTCAAAGTCATTTTCTCCCAGAGAGGAATAAAAGGAAGTAAGAAGTCCGAAAAGACAAGCATTCATTTTGAACAATTGCATCCAATTTTCGAGAGGGAAAGCTGCGCCTTTTGTGGCTTGCTGGCGAGACAGATTCGGGCCGACCACGATATGAGCCAGTTCACTCCCGAGCAATTGAGGATGTGTGATTTCTATCTCGAGACATTGGACGAGGGCCCGGAGGCAGGTCTCATGCTGGAAGTTCAATACCAGTTAAGTGTGCATCAGGATGAACCATACAGATTCATTATTCACTGGGTGAACTTTGCATCGGAATCAGGGAAGATGACCCCTTTCCATGGTCTTGCAATCTGTCCAACCAGCGTGACTTTTGAAGCCTGTAAAACGTGGCTCGTAATATGCGACAAGCTTCATCCAATTATTCGGCATAGCGGCACCGAATCAAAAGAGTCACAGCTCCGACTCATTGATGTTGAAGAGAACTGTGTTTCCAAGGTCGACTTGCCTTGTCGCTATGTATGCTTGTCGTATGTCTGGGGGGGGATCGACCAGGTGACTCTCAACTCGACGACTAAATACACCCTCGAGGAAAGAAATGGGTTGCATTCGGATTCTATTTGTCTCTCAAAAACAATAACAGATGCAATAATCGCAACGAGGAAGCTTGGAATACGGTACATTTGGATCGATGCCCTATGTATCCAGCAGGATGACGAGCAGGATCTTTCTATCAACATTTCCAATATGGCTGCAATATATGGCAATGCCGTATTAACAGTCGTGGCATCTACCAACTCCGACCCCACCCAAGGTCTACCAGGAGTTTCTTCGACCCCCCGGGCAAAAGAGGCCAACTATGCTGTTGTGCAGGGGCTACTATTGACGGTAGCGATGCATGACTATCGGAAGCCCTTGATTGATTTAAACAAAACTGTTTGGAACACGAGGGCTTGGACATTTCAAGAACGTCATCTGTCGCAAAGGCTGTTGTTTTTCACAGAATCCGAGACGGTGTTTGTCTGTCCTCATTCAGTCATGTTCGAAGACACTCAGCCTATGCCGCAGCCATATTTCGAAAGCAAAGAAATTGCGAGCACGATTAAGAACATATGCAGTGAGCATGATATATGGTTTAATATCTGGACAGATCCTACACAAGGAGGTTCTGTGAAAAAATTCCGTTCTTCTAACGGCGAAGACACAATTCTCGGTGATGAAAACTTTGATCCTCAAACAATTGACCTGCCTGAACTCTCTGCGCCAACATATCATTACAAGCAAATAAAGGCCAATCATAACAATGGCCTTTTACAGCTCGAGGGGCTCAGCCTGTGGGAAATATACAGACAGTGTGTTCACGAGTATACATGTCGCCATATGACTTCTAACAAAGACACCATTGCTGCATTCACTGGCCTATCCAACAGAATTAGCCAAGGAGTTAACGCAAAATTCTGCTTTAACTTACCCTCATTTGCGTTTACAAAAGCCCTTTTGTGGTATCCTAAAGAGCCCCTCACGAGAAAGATTGATATTGATAGCAACCCACTGTTCCAGAGCTGGAGCTGGGCGGCGTGGTAGGGTCATTGTCACTATCGTGGAAGAGGCTGGTATAACTCGCTATATCCTGGCCCTGTCACCACAGTGAAATGGCTCACTGAGGTCTCCCGGGATGAGTTCATCCGGAAGCATAAGGATACTCTGGAGCCAGATATGCTGCAAAGGGCGATGGATAGTAGCATTGGCCTGAGGGAGGTGCTTAATTTCCGACAGCTGTACCAGATGGACTACCAAGAAAGGGGGTGGAAAGTCTTGGTGGAGAAAAGAAGGAACCAACACATCTATGTGCACGAAAGATACCCCGGAGTTTTACTCGACTATCCGATCCCCTTGCCCGATGAGGAACTACTGAATCATGTTTGCCAAGATGATACACTTCAATTTCTCGCCTATTCCGCCAGTGTGCGGTTCTGCAACATGTCAGAATTACCCTTTGTTCAAAAGCCTGGCCAAGAGGCCTATCTTCAGTTGGGACTCGAGGATGAGAGCAGATCTGCCAATGACAGACCTTCTTGGCAACGTATCATTTACCACCAAGGCTACCGCGCCGGATTTCTCATGCTGAATATTCCTTTCGATGAAATTGATCTGCACTCTCTTAGCTATAAGTTGGTTGCTCTCTCTCGAGATACACTGAGTGAAATTGCTCCCCCAAAGGACCCAAAGCTGTATTTCATGCTTGGTCCAGTTGAGCTCCAATATCATTTAGGCCTCAGTGAGATGCCTCAGAGGAATGTCACAGCACAGGTCCCTCCACCGAAGGAGAATGCTACGCCGGTGAAAACGCCCAATTCTGAAAACGGTGATGCATGGTGGGATCATGGACGCTTTCAACACGACGTATTCCCTATCTACAATGTTCTACTCGTCCGCGATCTCAGAAGACATGCCGAACGGATTGGGGTGGGGAAAGTCCATTGGACCGCTCTTCATCATGCTGGTGCAAAAGAAGATCTTATCATTCTCAAATGATGTCATCTATAAATTGGAGAGATAATCCGGTTAGAGAGCTTGAAAGAGTCAATCCCCATACCGGGGCTGCTTACATTTCACATTCTTCACTTCCAAATTTTCCCCTGCCAGGGTTCTTTTCATGCTATCAAGTGCATGTAGATTTCTGCGTCCTGAAATTGACGGCGGTGAAGTCTCTGCAGAGGCACTGTATGCATTTCATAAAGCCACCAGTAGCTGTCTCAAACTGAAGAGACATGACAAATGCTACTATATATAATTAGAGTCTTGCGATTAGAAAGTTGAGTTGGTTTTATCCCATTCAGGGAAGGCTCAAAGAACAGAAGCCTTTAAACTTCAACTAAATGATCGGGTCTCCTCTGGCAGTTCGGGGTAGGCCCACAACGACAATAGGCTGTCGCCAGTGACATACACAAGTTAGCAGCCCGTAAGCTGTGGGCGCTTGCATACAGAACCATCTAGCTGGCTGAACAACATAATTAGGTTTAATCAATGCCAAGAAACTACCTCCCACATTGCCTAGCGATGATGTGAGCTTATAGGTGCTTGTCCCAGAACCGGAGGTTTGGGCGAAGAGTGAGCCAGGTGGATGGATGACCCAGCGGGCTTTGGTGGTGGCACTTGATTTATGAAAGGTGATAGTTGTGAGCGTGATAGCTATGAAGTGTGTGTTTTCCTATCTGTATGGACAAGATGTCCCTAGCTAGTAGAAAGCCACCGTAGTCGGAGATTATCCTTGGTGTCATATTGGAGTATCAGTGGAAGACAAATACGGCTGCAGTGGTTTTCTTTTGGCCACTACCACCGCATGGTGGCTTCAAAAGGCACTTATACTGGGGAAGGGGACTGGAAAGACTCGAATGTCTCGTCTTTCGTACTGCTCCATCTGAGCTCGCCTTGCACCGCCCTCGGTGATAGATATCTGCTTACAGCTCTCTTTTCCTGGGTGCAGGCGTTCAACGTCAATGTGAAATCAAGAACGGTCACCAAAGTGCCAAGAAAATCGACATGGTCTTCATGTGAAATGAACTGGCGGCTGTGTTACAAAGTACTCAAAGCTGCCCTTATAATGGAAGATCCTGCGACCACGAACTAAAGTCAGCAGGTGTTAGAGTCGCATAGTGGTGTGGATGGTCTGCCACTCTGTTCTCTGTAATGTTTTGAATATAACCCAGTCAGAGGTAGGCCTAGTCATGATTTTCGTGTGCATCGATTTAGATATGATGTGGATGAGACTAGCTGCACTCCAGCCTCAGACTGTATTCAAAATGTATCTCTCTGCTACATCCTGCTCTATCATTAGACCACGGCCTCTATCAGGGTTTTTTCTTTGGCCAAATTAATGAACAGCAACTGTCAAACGGCTGGGCTATCTATTTAAATTTTCACCTACCACTCGGAATCCCGATAGGTCTCTAAGGTTCTTAACAATTCAGCTACAACTATTGTTCTATTGTGAACGAGAGTAATATTGGGTCTTTTTATAATCCCCATAATTATTTTCCTTTTATAAGATAATAAATGACAGGGATACCTCTTGTCTAGGCCACGCCCTTAGCTTGACACCAGGCTTGGCACGCCAGACTAGCCTAATTCCCCTCGCCCAACTCTCTTAACTCCCTCGACTCCCAATCCTTTCAAAAATCTTCATCTTCTGGTCTCTCCCATCACCAATTGCAGAGCTTTCCAATGACTAGCCAAACAATCGACGAGATCTCACCTGCTGACCCTGCCATAGCAAGGGCAGCTGCCTCAGATCTAGGTCCCATCGAGCCCTTGGATGTATCCGACGATTCGAATCCCAAACGCTCGAACTTGCAAAATGCCGGGCTAATACTCATGCTCAGTGTGAGTGCAAAAGCGTCTAGTCAATTTATTTTATCCGTTAACATCTTCTAGCTTGTGATGTTTATCTCCGCCCTCGACCAAACCATCGTGGCCACCGCCATCCCTTCTATGACCAGGGACTTGAACTCAGCGAGCGGCTATACCTGGATTGGCGCTTCGTACCTGCTGGCCATGTGCACAGTCAATCCCATGTGGGTGCGCATGAGCGATATCTGGGGTCGCAAGCTAGCTGTTTTGAGCGCGATCATCGTCTTCGCCGCGGGAAGCACCATTGCAGCCGCAGCCGTCGACATGCCCATGCTGATCGCCGGGCGCGGAGTCCAGGGTCTAGCAGGTGGAGGGATCCTTTCCCTGGTCAACATCGTCATTTCGGATCTCTTTAGCATGCGCCATCGCTCGCTGTACATCAGCGCCACAGCCCTCGTCTGGGTCCTCGCCGGAACAACTGGGCCCGTCATCGGGGGCGCCTTGTCGCAGTATGCATCCTGGCGCTGGTGCTTCTGGATCAACCTGCCTGTCTGTGGCCTTGCATTCATTGTTCTCGCGCTGTTTCTTGACCTGCATAATCCGCGCACTAAGCTCCGTGACGGACTCAAGGCCATCGACTGGTTCGGCATCCTCTCCATCTTGACTGTCATCGTGCTTCTCCTCCTCGGACTCGACTTCGGTGGTGTGACCTTCCCTTGGGATAGTCCGGTCGTCATCTGCATGATTGTGATCGGCGCAGCGCTGATCGGTTTCTTTCTCTTTGCCGAAAAGCGTCTCGCCCGCTTTCCACTCATGGATCTGCGCGTCTTCAAGGAATTGTCCAACAACGCGGTCATTCTCGTGGCGGCGTCGCATAGCATGGCTACAAGAGGCTCAGAGTACTACCTGCCTCTGTATTTCCAAAGCGTCAAGGGCGCCTCTCCAACCAAAAGCGGCGTTTTAGTTCTACCCATGATGATCGCGGCGTCGCTCTGCGACGTCTCGGTCGGCATCCTCGTCCACAAGACCGGTCGCTACCGGGAGATTATCTGGGCCGGGACCGCGCTCTTGACCCTCGGCACCGGCCTGTACGCAATGCTCGACACCGACACCTCGCTCGTCAAGGTCATCGTCTTCGAAGTCATCGGCGGCATCGGTCTATCTCTGCTTCTCTCGACGCCAATGCTCGCTATCCAGAACAATGTCCCGCAAGCTGACGTCGCCGTCGCCACCTCCACACTAGGATTCATCCGCAGCATCGCTACCTCCCTATCCATCGTTCTCGGCGGGGTAGTCTTCCAAGACAGCATGGCAACTCAGGAATCAACGCTCGTCGCCAGCGGGCTGAATGAAACCTACCTCGATGCGTTTTCCGGCTACGACGCGGCGGCGAACGTGGAGATGATTGCAAACATTGACGATTCCGTGCAGCGCCATATCGTGCAGAGCGCCTTTGCGTGGAGCCTGCGGAATATGTTCATCATGTACACTGTCGCCGCTGGGATTGGGCTCCTGGCTTCCCCTTTTGTTAAGCAGCGGTTTATGAGCGCGGAGCACACGGAGACTAAGACTGGGATTGAGAATTTGACAGATCATAAGAAGCGGCCGGAAGAATGAGTTTGATACTGTCCATTGCAAGAATCTAACGTCGTGCAACATGGTGTTTGTGTCAGCGATATGCTACGCTCCAATCGTACCACTCCAACCTATATATCAAGATTTACTATACAAAAACAGAGGCATGATAACAGCACGCATCAAGTGCCAACTCTACGCATTCTCAAGTGTCGATGTGCAAGACTCTGGCAAATTGGAAAATAAAAACTGCAAGCCGGCCGGACGCTACATACAGCAATGCCTGCTTAGCTCTGGACACTTACCAGAAAAGATTCTATTAAGAGACTTCATGTAAATAGCAAGACAAACACTGGCTAGTACGGCCACAATTGGCCGGATAATTCTCCTGTGGGAGTTAAGATTAATAGAGCCAAGACATGCGCCCAGAAATCAATCTGGCGCCCATAACCAGTGTCGAGTCAGAGACCCTACTTTATAATTTCCTGGCGTCTGCGCCTAGCTCAAATCAGAAGGGGAGACAGTGGGGTGATTGGGCAGTCATTTAGCACTAAATTAGGACGATAAGAGTGCGCGCCCTTAAATTGACGCGAACAAGGAACATTCGAACCCCTGCATCCGGATTCCTTTCCTCTCCCATTGCTGCACTAAATCGTCAACATGTCAGCGAGCTCTCTTGCTTATCACCGGAGTGTTGCTTCCTCCAGCAGTGATCTGGTCTTATTGAGTCCTAGAAAACAGACAAAGGCACTAACCAATCCAATCGAACAGTCTGAGATGAACGTCGACCCCGAGTACACACCCGACTTTGGTCGCGGAATGAGATCCGAGGTGCAGCATCTCTACCGATCCGACGACCGAGCAGCATGGAACGAGTCCATCCCAGAGAAGCCAGTGGTCGATGCTGAAGCCGGCTCGTATGCGCAGGAATTCGCTCTGATTGTGCGCCGCGAACCGCATCCCATCACCCACCAAGTCGCTCTCCATTCCATCACCATTCAAAGCCCCCGAATCAAGAAGGTGCTGGAGCGAATATTCCAAGGGTTCGAGGGCCTCAACACCCAGCTGAAAGACCTGACCTTCAAGGCCCCGTTCCACCCCTTCTACTACCGATGGCATCTCCTCGAGAAGCTTCGCGAGGAGGAGCTGGACCCCGAAGTGCAAGATCATCTTAGCCTCCTGTATCCTATCCTCTGCGAAGAAATCATGCCACAGATCGAGGTGATGCGAGACTTGACTAAGAATAACGTAATGAGCTTCGACTGCCTGTGGACGGTCCTTGCCCCCGGAACGGAAATCTACACACAGGTGGATGGGCAGCCCCGGCTGATGGAACTCACCGACAGTCGATACGGTGCCAATATGAGCGGCGAGTTCTTCACACTGGAGTGTCGATATATCGACTGTGATGGATCCAGCTTTGGCTACGTCTCTACCTCGCTCGACATTGACAAGTTTGATGGTGTCAGGAGGCTCATCGAGTTGGTCGCCTTTCCCTGTCATCTCCATCCCGATGTGGACACTCTGGTCGACAGACTGCATGCCCGCGGGGAGAGGTTCGAGCAGCTGAATGGCTTCCATCACATGTCGTACTCGGGGTTTTATAAGGCCAGGTCCTCGCGACAGATTCGCAAGCGTCATGTACGTGGACTCTGAGCCGACCATCTCCTAGAGTCACAAAAACGCTAATCCTGGTCCATGTCTCTCCCAACTAGGTCGAAAGCAGTCGCATCATTATCGACCCGCATACCTTCGATATATACGGTACACCCGGACCTGGTCTCGGGTCGATCAACGCAGCGGCAGACCCAGGCAGGGATGCAACCGACGAAGAGCCGCTCGCTGTCGTGCCCAACGTTATGTTGAGAGCGACGAGCCACGCATACCGAGTATACCAGAGTGCCGTGGAAAGGCACAACAAGCGTGCTAAAGACAGCTTGTCCGGTGCGCATAAGCCAATTTTACCTTTTCCCAGTTTCGAAATAGTCCAGACTGACATCTGACACCTTACTTCAGATCGAACCTTGAGCCCTAAGCAGCGATTGCTCTGCAATCACGTCGTCCGTGGCTACTGCCTGTCTTTCAAAACTTGGGGTCTGTGGTGTTCCATTCTCTTCGGTAGTTGAACTCTGGCTGATCAGAATCTTATGCGTGTTCTAGCCGAGTTCTATGTGGAAAACATTGGTCCTATACGCTGGAGCGATGACGCTTTCCCCCGGCTTGTTCTTCCGCATGGCTACAAGGAAATCATCCGTGCGTTTGTACAAGAGCAACTGGCCCGAGACGACGAGTTTGATGATATTGTCTACGGAAAAGGTGACAAGAAACCATTCTATAGTCAGACGAACCGGTCCACTAGGATAATGGCTAATGTTGCGACCACACAGGGCTGGGATTCATTATGTTGCTGGCGGGAGAGCCTGGCGTTGGGAAAACACTGACAGCGGAATCGGGTGCGTTCATGTCCACTTCCAAAATCAAAAGAAAGAAACAGAACCCCGTTTTCTAACTGACTCAATTGCCTTCAGTTGCCGAAGAAATGCGTCAACCACTGTACTTGATGAGTGCCAGCGAGCTTGGAGAGACCGCCACAGAAGTAGAGGAATCACTCGAACAGGTCCTCCAGCTGACCAGTAAATGGAATGCTATTCTCCTGCTGGACGAGTGCGATATGTTCCTCGAAGCCCGGTCGACGGCTGATCTACGACGCAACAGACTAGTCTCGGGTGAGTGATTGATTCCTCCAACTGCTGTAATTATTCTAACCAGGACGCTTTCCTGCTGAATAGTCTTCCTCCGACAACTGGAGTATTATCGCGGGGTGATGTTTCTCACCAGCAACCGCGTCAGTGACTTTGACCCGGCATTCGAGTCCCGGATTCATCTCACCATTCACTATCCGTCTCTGGGTCCCGCCAGTCGGCTCCATATCTGGAGAACCTTCACTGAAATGGGAGCGGTAGAAAGTCGACTGAGCGAGGAGAACTTGGAAGCGCTGGCTGCCATGGATATGAACGGCAGGCAGATCAAGAATACGGTCAAGACGGCGCGGTTGTTGTCGAAGCAGGAAAGGGTACCGTTGGGGATGGAGCATATTGAGATGGTGTTGAGGGTTGGAGGGATTTTAGCTGATGAGAGTGTAAACAATCAGGGATTGAAGAAGTAGATTAGTGAGTGTTGATGTTAGAATTGATGTTCAGGTAGGAAGCTGGAGTACTAGAGTAGAAAATCAAACTACCCAGGATCCTTCTAGTAGAATTATGTACTGTTATGCAGATGCAATGAGATACTTAGAAATATGTTTGGATTCTATTATATTTCCCCGAAGCTTGCTCAGGTTTTGGCAAATAAATGCAAGTGCACCTCCTTGACATGCTTGGACAGTCTAGGAGGAACCACCACGGCAGCTACTAACAGGTCAGATTGCACGCACAATAACACAGCAATGGGCCTGATGTGTGATTGGATGTGTTTTCTACATGCTTTAGCTAGGACCCAAATATCAGCTCTTAGAGGTTCGCAGTTCTCCACACCCTTTAATAATACGTACTTGGCGCCATTCCGAAGAGAATATAAAGATTAGACATGACATGGGCATACTGAGTCATGTCATCTTATCCTCTACGATCACTCCACACAGACCGTCATCCCAGCAGTATCTCTCAACCAAACCACCCATGAAAAATGTATTATGCCCCAAGACGCACCCGGACAGCTGAATCGGGCGCCTGCTCATACTGCGTCGCGCAGAGAGAGCGCTGCTATACTGGAGTCAGAGGGATTCCCTGTTCCAATTGTCGTCGATTGAATCTCATCTGCGACGGGAATCCCAGTACAGAGTGAGTGCTTCATTACTCTCTGTCCTCGGAATACTCACAAATATAGAGTCGAGTCTCAAAAGCACATCACCCCTCTTGCGCACTGTGCGGGTGGGTCGGATTCTACCTTATCATCGTATATCCCCTGACAATTCCATAACAGAAGACACATTTGCATCTCAGATCCAAAAGGCTGGACTTGAGCTTGTCTCCCGACAGAATCCTATCCCAGCAGTAGCAGCAACGGCTCCTCTCGACAACTACCTCTCCATTGTCGACGAGTTCCTTGGTCCCACCCGAACCAGGGTTCCTAAATACGTAGCTGAGCTTCCGAACCGCCTCGGGCGAGATGACCTCGACTATCTAGAGCGCAAGGGCGCCTTGTCTCTCCCGTCTGACCAGCTTCGCGCAGAACTCCTGAAAAGCTATATCCTATGGGTTCATCCCCAGGTGCCTGTTCTAGACCCGGAGGCCTTTCTCTGCGCCATCACGGGGACCAGGACAGACAGTGGTATCAGTCTCCTGCTGTTCCAGGCGGTTATGTTCGCGGCTGCCGCGTTCGTGGATATCTCACATCTTCGCAACGCGGGCTACTCTTCACGCAAGGCTGCTCGAGATACCCTATTCCGACGTGTAAAGGTATACTACCCCCTAATCCGGAGAAGCACCGTGTTAACTAGCACCCGCATATCCGCAGACGCTACTCGAGCTTGACTGCGAAGACGACCGACTAGTGACAATCCAATCACTCCTCCTCTTAATCCACTGGCATGATCTACCCAACGAGGAAAAAGACGCCAACCACTGGATGGGCGTCTGTCTGTCCCTGGCCATGTCTATCGGTCTTCATCGCAACCCGGACAGTGAAGCCATGACCCCGTCTCAGCAGCAAATCTGGCGCCGCACCTGGTGGAGCATGCATAATCATTCCCGACTCACGGCCGAAGACCTGCTCTCCATGATGAGCATTGAAGATCGCGAGGACGGTGCATTGTCAGATATTACGATGGTCACGCTGAAGGACTTTAACTTTGGAGTCTTCTCTCGGGAAGCGCGCAGTGTCGTCAATGATGAGAGCGATGTTCTGCGCTCAACCGAATACCAGAGAACACAGGCTATTGTGTTCATCGAGAAGACGAGACTTTGCAGGGTATCGCAGTTCTCGCGAATTTCGAACCATATCAGCAGAATGGTCTTTGGAACAGAGACTCATGAGTCCACATCGCTGGAAAGAAGCCCCCCTGACCCAAACGAAGCCGAGCATCTAGATCTACACAGATGGCTATCTCAACTCTCCGCTGCGGGCCGCTATCACTACCCGCTTATGCTGATGCCGTCGGAATGGGACCGCAGCATATATTTGCACCGGACCTGGGTACGGCTTCTTTATCTCGGGTCGGCGTATGCAGCGTGCGGCGATGGGCGAGATGGGTTGGGCAATGCGTCAATTGACTCTATCACGCCACGCTCTGAACACAGTTGCCAATATGTGTTGGACATGACTGATATATTTGATGAGGTGCAGAGTCTGGGGCTTTCGGATAACTTGCCTAGTCCGTGCATGGCGCTTCTTATTCTGTCGTTCTCTTTTCATAGACGCTCGGTTGAACTGGAGACGCCGAGTGCGAGGACTGTTGGTGCGCGCGCTCTTCATAAATGCTGGAATGGGATTCGACAGTTACAAGAAACATCTGTGTTAGGGCGTCGCATGGTTTTACTCGTTGAGGACAATGTGAGGGCTGATATTTGGGACCTATAAAGAAAGGGGGAGAGTCGAAGACGAAAGCCAAGTCCTCTGACGCAGAACAAGACCTTGGAAAACAGCGTACACAACATAAAAGCTATTATTCCTCGCGTCTCTGAAGGCACAGTGCCATTCAGTCCCCTCCCAATCCTTTTCCCCATCCAAGTGTAACCCCTAAACCCCAATCCTCCCACCATGCAACCCCCCCGTAACAGGCACATCCGCCCCAGTCGTATACGCAGCTCCATCACTCAGCAAATAAGCCACCGCAAGAGCCAAATCCCCCACCTGCCCGATCCTCCCCATCGGTGGCGTAGTCCGAAGCACGTCCTGGATATCTACAAACTGCTTCGTCATCTCCGTCTCGATGAATCCCGGCGAGAGCGTATTGACGCGGACGTTGTACGGGGCCAGTTCCACGGCGAGCGTCTTGCCAAGGAGCTTGATTGCGGCCTTGGAGGCGCCGTAGATGGAGACTCGCTGGGCAGGGATCGCGCAGTGGGCTGCGATGGACGCGATCATGATGATTGAGCCGCTGGTGTTTTGTTGGATTATTTGTTTGGCGGCGAGTTGGGCAGCGAAGAAGGAGCCTAGGATCTAGAGGGGGGATAGGGTTGGTTTAGTGGGTTTGATACTCGGGTGGAGGAGATGCGATACTTACGTTAATATCGAGGATGCGACGGGATTCATCCCATGTGTGTTCTAGGAAGGGCTTGTCGAGGGCGACTCCGGCGCAGGTGATGCTGTGAGAGAGGTGTTAGTTCTGTATTTTGCTGAATTCAAGGCAATTCTGCATGCGATTCACCAGTTATCGATTCTTCCCATGTCCTGCACTACCTTCGCGAATACGTTCTCCATGCTGTCCTTGGAGGTCACGTCTAGTCTGATCATCGTCAACACCAACACTGAAGGAAGGGTATCCAGGATGAGAATCAAACCGCTCAAAGGAGAAGCGAGTCCCGTATGTCTTTTCCAGCTCTGGAATTCTTGTCTCAGGCTCCTGCACATCCAAGATAGCCACGTCGCTGCCCAGACTTGCTACTGTCTGTGCCAGGGTTAATCCAATTCCTCTGGACCCGCCTAGAAAGTCTCAGCTAGTGCGCCTTGCGTGGCATGAAGGATTGGGGCTCTTTACCCGTGATAACAGTCACCTTGCCATCTAGCAAAATCCTAGACAATATAGCTTCCCGAGGAGCTGATGGGATTGCGACTGAGGAAAATGTGCGTCTGTAGGCCTCTGCTTCAACTGGAACGGTGGCAGCATGTGCCCGGTGGTACTGTAGGGTGTTATAGTGTCGAGGTTTGCAAGGCCCCCTGATAGGAGCCAGTTTCAGTAAGCTACGCAATCCCGCAGGTCTCGTCATAGCGTGATTGTGATGTTTATTCAAATAGGAAGTGCTTTGAATGTCGGGTCAGGGTCTAGATATAACCCCCTTAATTACCCCGTGGGGAGACTTCATTTAAATGAATCCTTCCCTCTATTCCCTGAGCTGCTACAGTGGGGTGACACTCTTGAGGTCTTGGACTGCGGGGAATTTGATATTTGACTTGTGGACATGACTTTCCGTCCATGACTCATTGACCTCATTTATTCCTGTCATGTCTACTCTACAGTATGGGAAAAACAAGATTATCCGTTAGGATCTGAGCTCTAGATGCATACAGGACCTCCGAGAAGGGGCTTTGATAATGGGTAGTCTATTAGCAAGAGTCTTAACCTCGAATTATATCATTTTCTTGTGGTTCAGTCGTCCAAAGTCGGCAATTCCACGAAATAATCATGTGCTTAAAATGTGCACCAGAAAGTAAATTCCTCTATTCACTGTATGACAATCCTCATGTATCTAACAGTCGTAGTGCTAGTGTTCAAGCAACACCTGATACACCCGTGTCAAGCTACCAGCCAATCCCATACTCCTTGCCCAAACCAACCCACCGAGCACAACACCAACCACACCATACGTCTCCTTACTAGTCGTCCTCATCCACCTGTACAGGGTGTTGAAGGCCCACAGCTTAGATAGCGACTTCTCCCTAAAAACCCCAATCTGCGGCTTCAGCGCCTCCTTCCAATACGAGGATGCGTAGCCCGGCCATGACGCGGAATTGCGGCCGTGGTGATTGATATACCAATTGGAGCACCCTGCCTCAAACACGCTTCCTCGGAGCTCGGCCTGGAGCGCATTCACCCACTGGTCTTCGGCTGTGGCTTTGACTTCAAGCGTTGAGATGCGGCGGTCGATGATGGGCGCGATAAGCGTGCGGGCTAGGTATTCGACCTGGACCTCGGAAGCGAAGAGGACTGAGTTGTGTGCCGGGAAGGTGTTTGGACCGAAGCTATATGTTATTAGCTGTAAGCAATTTATTGTTTTTTTGGATAAGGCAGTGAGGGTGACTGACAGTATACCGAGGTTAGGAAAATTGTGCACGTAGGTTCCCATGTACGCCTGTGCTCCTCGGGATTCCTTCCACTGGTCTGATAGGGTTTTGCCATCCTTGCCAAGTATTTCCATGGGGACGATAAACTGCTGCACGTCAAACCCGGTGGCTAGGACTATGGCGTCGAACTCTGTCCTCAAGCCGTCTGTGCTGGTGATGCCAGTCTCGTCGACCTTCTCGATTCCAACGGGGACAACTTCCACGTTTCGTCGGTGGAGGCTTTCAAGGTAGTTTGGGTCGAAGATACGGCGCTTGCAGCCTGTACATACATTGTTTAGCTTCTATAAAAGAATGGGGATAGGAGCTTCTGACCTAAAGGAAAGTCCGGAACCAGGAACTTGTGATACTTCTTTGGTGCCGTCGCATAAATATACTGACGGGCCTTTTCCTCGGCATTCGCACGCAGTTTCGCAGCCGCAGGGCCAGGCAGATACGTAGCAACAAGAGCATCACTGGCGAGAAATAGTCGCAGGCGCAGGTATCGTTCCCAGAGGGGAATGTTACGCAGGCACCACTTTTCAAGCCCCGTGAAGCTCCGGTTTGGCCGCTCGTGATACCACTGGGCGCTCCGAGCATACTGCTTCACGAACGCAGCGTCCTGCGCAATGGCAGGAACCGCCTGAGCTGCGCTGCAGCCGTTACCAATTACCGCGAGGCGTTTTCCTTTATAGTCGAACTGGTGGTTCCACCGTGCGGTGTGGAAGATCTCACCCGTGAATGATTCCATGCCGGGGAAATGGGTGTCGCGAGGTTTGGATATGCCTCCCACAGCAGAGATGAAGACTGTCGCGGTCCTTGTGTACTCAAACTGGGTCTTGGTATCGCGTAGATGGACCTCCCAAAGCTCTGTCTTGTTGTTCCATCTTGCAGAGATGCATTCAACGCCGAATTGCATGTGTTTGCGTAGGTCCAACTTGTCCACAGTCGATTCCATGTCTATAAAATAGGTCTGCCTCAGTGATTGATTTCGCGTGCGTCTATCACGGAAGGTCAGAACGTACATTCGAGAATCTCAGCCCCCTCGCATAGCTCCTTGGACCAGTTAGGATTCTGGTTGAAGGAGAATGAATACAGGATCGTAGGAACATCGCACCCCCTGCGCAGTAAGTGTCATTTAGCAACAGAATACCTACACGGCTCCAGGGTACATACACTCCGGGATAAGTGTTCAGCCGCCATGTGCCTCCAGGGCCGTCAAGCTTGTCGTAGAACTAGAGCATCTTTAGTATATCATGTCTGTTGTTGAGTGCATGAAGCGTACCGTAAAATCATCGAACCCTAATTTATGCTTCAGGGTATGAGCCAACGCTATTCCAGATGGCCCAGCACCAATCACAATAACCTCCGGAGTCGCCATTTTCAACTGATCAGCTTGATTATGCGGGGTGTATGGTTGATAGTATCAAAGCCATTTATAGCATCGTTGCGAGGCATCCGTAGCCATGACTCAAGCACAACGTGTCATGCCATGTCGGCCCCGGCCCAGCCTGTCCAGATTGTCCAGCCTGTCCAGCCTCGGACTTCCTCTGATGATCCTGGGGTTCCGGTCTAGCGCCTCTAGCCCCCGTGGGGTATTGTCGATCATCAGGTTTGATATCCGAGGCGGACATTCCGCCGAAAACCTGGGGAGTGTATATAATGCATACGACAAGGCATGCAATTCCGATATCAAAACACCATGATAGAGCTAAGGGGCCGATCACTGCACTTGGCCATTACGGTCAGCGCTGGAAGCGCCTATCTGCTTTTTGGATATGACCAAGGAGTGCTCGGAGGGCTGGTCTCGCAACCAAGCTTTCTCTCCGCCATCGGCCATCCCAGTGCCGAATACCTGGGGACAATTGTTGCTCTGTTTAATATCGGCTGCCTCGCAGGGTGCCTGGTCTCTGCCATCTTTGGCAATCGGCTTGGACGAAAGAGATCTATCAATTTCGGTTGTGTGATCATGATCATTGGCGGGATCATCCAGGCTTCTACCTACGGGGCTGGACAGCTGATCGCGGGGAGAATCATCTCTGGGATTGGGAATGGTATGATACCTTGACGTCCTTTCTTCCTTGCTGACGAGAAGATGCAAGGTATGAATACCTCGACTGTGCCCGTTTACATTTCGGAGACATCACGCAGTGCCGTCCGCGGGAGAACCCTCGCCATCCAAATGTCTATCGTCATAGTAGGAGCCAAATTGGACCGCGCGGTAGGAGGTTACTGACAGAAATTTAGTTTGGGACGGTCGTCGCTTACTGGCTTGACTATGGCATGATCAAGACCCAAACTGGCGAGGTATGTTTGTCTCTCTTCGCGGTATGGCCCCTGCTGACCACGCTGGACCAGGTCGTCTGGCGGTTTCCCCTGGCCTTCCAGGACTTCTTCGCCTTGCTAACTGTTTTCACTTTGCCTCTCTTACCAGAGTCCCCTCGGTGAGCCTTTTCACAAATTGGCTAAAGCAGAACTTACCATAGTAGATGGCTTTACTCCCACGGCCGCCAGCAAGAGGCCATCCACGCACTCTCCCGACTCCTAGACTTACCAGAGAACCATGAAGACGTCCTTGCGGTCGTGACTGAAATGCAGCAGGCGCTTGCAATAGAACAAACCAACAGTTCAAGCTTCACATTCCGAAGCATCTTCCGCGACTCGACCCAGGTCAAAAACCCCCGTCGTCTGGTCCTATGCTTTATGTTGCAACTCTTCCAGCAATTCACCGGAATCAACGTCATAGCCTTTTACGGTAAGCCCTCCACAGCCAAGTCGTAGCATCGCAGGAATCTCAGATTACCATGCAGTAACAATCGTGCTCGAAACCAACGTCGGTCTCTCCCGCGACCTAAGCAGCCTCGTCGCAGGATTCATCCAAATCGCATTCTGGCTGGGCACCTTCCCCCCAATCTTCCTTATTGATAGACTAGGCCGTCGCAAGGTCCTCATGCTTGGCTCTTCAATGCTCTGTCTAGCAATGGTCCTGTTCACGGTCGGCGTGGGGTTAGCAACGCCTGCGTCATCTCGCCTGGCGCTCGGGATGCTCGTCATCTACGAGATATCCTTCGGCATGAGCTGGAACTCCGTCCCCTGGCTGTATGCTCCTGAGATTACGCCGTTGAACCTCCGACATGTTGGAGCCGCTGTCGGGTGCTTTTCTGAGTGGTTGTGGACCTTTGTATGCGTTTAAATCGGCTTGGGGGGTGAGGTTGTCGAACTGAAGAGCTGACTTTCTCCATAGGTGATCGCACAGATGACGCCGCCCGCTATCGCAAATACCGGATGGAAGATCTACCTCCTGTTCTGCATTATGCTGGCGCTGAGCATTCCGTTTGTGTATTTCTTTTTGCCAGAGGTTCGTCAACTTATCCTTCTTGGTGCATTTGAGATCTCAGTGCCTTGGCTGATTGGACCGTGAACAGACGAGTGGGAAATCGCTAGAAGAGATTGACTATATTTTTGTGAAGCACAGGGGGCAGATTCAGGAGCTCTCTGAGAGCACAGGATCCACTTCAAACGGTACGGAGAGTAAGTCGGAGGGGCACGCTCAGCAGATAGAGCGTGTTTGAGGTTTTTAGTGAGGATTCAATGGAAGCTTGTGTATCATGGTAATTCTCGCCATTTACCATGCATGATTGCGTTATCAGTATCATTTAAGTTCAATCAAGCTTTTGTTTCAAAGCCGAGTTATAGACGCAACCACATCTCATCACTGTTGCCAACTCTCACTTGGCTTCATAAAGGCTTTCCATCAATGCCTTTATTGGAAAGCATAGGGAGGCATTCCACAAAGTAATATTGACTGACCTGATCAGTGTATCTGATGTCTCCTATGAAGGAACAGCTACTCAGACTTAGGATGCCCCGATATAGGCGAGACTCAGTTTCTCGCATACATATCATTTGTCTACATTGAGATAAAAGATGTAATTCTGATAAACCGTGATTACTTGGATGATAGGATCCCACTCGATCAAGCCCCCGAGATGGTTCTCAAACACCCTAGATCTTCCCACGAGTCAGAAACCTATCTGGGATATCTACGCTCTTACAGCGGAGATACTCGGCCAAATTCTTGCCTAGCACATCATATGTGGAACTTGACGCCACGCCACGATCAAGATGATCTTTCAGCAGAAAGTGCACAGCTAATACAGATCTTGTTAGTGCATTCAACCCAAAAGGCGACCGGTGACAAGGGATGGTGTACAACTCACCCCAAATGTTTGGCAGCTCGAACCGAAAGATGTCATTTCCCACATCGTCTTTCCCAAGCAACTCTCTGACCTTTTCTACGGTCAACAAAGATCGTAGCCAATCCCATTCATCAGCATGGCGAACGAAAAATCCCACGTTGGCATCGGATCCCTTGTCGCCGGATCGGGCATGCACTACATAGCCGAGAGGTGCGCGGGTGGTGGGACCGAACGTGGCTAGTTCTGAAGGATTGGCTGTCTCGTACGATGGTTGCTCGGGAATAAATGGTACTGTGTCTTTTGGGGGGTCAATTGGGATCGAGACTCCCTTGAACGGAGCGTGGCAGACATGGTCAATCTCGTCCTGTGGGAAGATAGACACGAAGTACTCATAGTATGGTTTGGGGGCCGCCTGGCGGGTGTCGACAGCAAATGTTGCCCCGGGGTAGCTTTGCATGATTGTGTCGGTACAGGGACGGAGGAATTTTGACAAAGAGAGCGCCTCCTCCGTGTGTGACTGAGCGAAGATTCGCAGGTCCGCTGTAGCTGCATTTTGACTCGATGGGTCGACGGGACACGAGCCATTGACGTGGAACTTTAGGGTATGATACTGCGACTCGTCTAGGAGATGTCGCACCTGCCTTTCCAGGAGCTCGGCTTTCTCTTCAAGGTCCAAACCGCAGAGAAAAAAGTGTACCTCTGCTTGGAAGCCGCCGTGTGCTGTGATGCCGATTTTCGTGGTTGGCGGTGGCTTGCGACTTTTCACATTGGAAATGTGACTGTTCATTGTTAGTTATGGGAGCTAAAGGTTTTCTCGGTGGAATTATGAGCATACACTCGGTTGGTTGCCTTCTCCTGAATGATAATATCGTCCAGAATGGCCACCACATCGGGGTTATAGTAGAGTGGACCTTGAATCTCGTAGAGCAATTGGGCCTTGCATGTATCCACTGTGACCATGCCATCTTTTCCTTGTTGCATTGTCATCACAAAGTCACCGGCTGGGCCAACCTCAGCAATAGGAAAGGCAATGTCGACTGCAGACCCGTTAAGAGATTTGAATCCTGAAAAGTTACCGCCAGTCACGTAGGTGGAACATTCGATGAAGTGGCCTGCCACAAAAGCATGGGCCAGCTGATCATAGTCTTCTCGGCTCCATTTATGATAGTAGGCTGCACAGGCAATGGTGGGAGAGGCATCAGTCACCCTTCCGCATAGGACGATGTCTGCTTCTTGTTCGAAGGCCTCGACAATGCCCCATGCTCCGATGTAGCACTGTGCATAGATCGGAGTGAAGCCCCAATCAGATAGGGACTTCCCTGCTCCATGTCAGCTTCTCGTATCTCTTTGCACAGTTTATTCGCATTTCCATCTATCAGAATCAAAAAATAACAGCCCACTCACCTGTTGTAAGACTAGTGAATTCTCTCCCCGACTGGATGGCCTTCTGAAGGACTCCAGAAACCTCGTCACCCTCAATCCAAGCCACCTTAAGATCAAGGCCCTTGGTCTTGATGATCTTCACGAGAGCATCATGCAACTTCTTTGTGTCGCTAGCCCCAGCGTTGACGGCAACCTTGATTCCTCTCGATGTAAGGTCCGGCAACGCAGGCTCAATCGATTCCAAGAACGATGTCTCGAACTCCGATGACACTTGATTGCTATTCACTTTCGCCCCACCGCGAGTTGTCATGTTATATTCGGACATCCAGTCACCCACGATAAACTGGACATTCTCTGTCCGAGCCAACTCTGCCAGTCCATGGCGTCGGTCGGTCACTGACCCGGAGGCAGAGGCGATGCGGAGGGTGTTCTTTGCGTTAACGGTCATGATTCAGGTAGGGTGTATACACGATAGCTGGGTACAAATACGGAACGCATGATGGATATTGTAGATGCCTTGGCTCAATGGCCCTTTTAAGTGGATGGTTGTGCTGAGTTCATCATTGCTGGACAGATCCGAGGGCCGAGCGAGTATGGACAGTACTAGCCATCCATCGGCATTCGGCACAATGCAGGGAAGCTGTCCAATCAAAGGACACGTCTATTGGTTGGAATGTGGATAGTCTGGGTGGAAATTGGGGGGTTGTTGGGGTAGGTGTTAGGGATGAAGATCGCCAGTCCGTGACTGCCATGACTCGTGCCTTTCTGCAGGGTTGGCCGCCTCAGGCATTGAGCACGCGTCCACATGACAATCCCTCAAATGGAGAAGCCTTCATCTCCGGGCTTGCGTAGGTCAGTAGGATGGGAATACTCTATTGCAGATTCTCCCTGGTGAGTATTTTTAGTTATTTTCTCTTGTTACATCTACAACGAGTAAAGTGCAAAATACATATAAAAAAAGCTTTGATTGATCTCGCGCAGTCCTAATAGCAGATCATCCACTCAGTGTGTCTCTACTGTGAACTCCCCTTATAGTTCATATTAATCAAGACAGTTTTAGGCTCGGTATAGGCCAACAAAGCATTCACCCCGAGCTCTCTTCCAAGACCACTTTCTTTGGTTCCACCAAATGGACATGAGAAGTTGATCGTACTGATGCAATTGATCCCCACAACTCCTGAGTCAAAGGCCGAGCTGATACGCAATGCCCGATTGAGGCTTTCTGTAAAGACTCCGGACATAAGTCCATACCGGCTATCATTAGCCCGCTGGAGAACTTCATCTTCAGTTTTGAACTTGTTGACCACGACGACGGGTCCGAAGATCTCCTCCTTGTAGATCGAGGCATCAGGCTTCGTGTCGGTGAAGATGGCCGGCTCAATGTAGTATCCCTTGGTAGATATGGGGCGGCCACCAATGAGCAGAGTTCCTTGCTCCTCGGATTCAGCACGCTTGATGATCTCCAGAATGCGTTCATATTGCGCCTTGTCGACGACAGGTCCCAGCTCTGCGCCTTCAGCCTCTGGGTGACCCATCACGCTGCGTTTGGCCTTGAATGCCGCTTGGTAGGCAGTGAGGAATCTATCGTAGATCCCTTCTTGAACATACACCCTCGTCGAAGCGAAGCAGATCTGCCCTGAGTTGGTGGTAAGGCCATTGACGCACCTAAATGAGTGGTCAGAAACTAGTCGTAAGTGCAAGGATAGGACATTTCACACTCACCAGTGTACGGCATTGTCGAGGTCAGCATCATCAAAGACGGCCGCTGGGCTCTTACCTCCGAGTTCCAGGGTACATCTTTTGAGGTTGCTCTTTGCCGCGAGAATCTGGACCGTCTTGCCTGTGGGTATACTTCCTGTGAAGCTGACCTTGGCTACTTTCATATGACTCGCTAGTAGGGCGCCAGTACTTCCATCTCCTGTCACCACCTGGAACACACCGGCAGGGAATCCGGCTTCTAGCACTAGCTTTCCGAGCTCCGCTGCCATCAAGGGGGTCTTCTCGCTCGGTTTCAAGATGAACACGTTGCCTGCGGCCAACGCTGGTGCAGCCTTTAGCCCGACAGATGCTAGAGGGCCGTTCCAAGGAATGATACTGTCGAAGTCAAATCAGCTGTGATAATAAACTGTGGGGGAAAGCACTCCTACCCGGCCACAACACCCAATGGCTCATTTCTCACGATCTTGTAGAAGCCATCGTCGGCGGGGAAGGACTGGCCAGGAAACTTATCCACCCATCCGGCATAGTCTTTTGTCATCACGTGTCAGTTTCATAAGCGTGATACTTTATTCAAGGTTGAATCACTTACATCGAAAGCATCCGATTGCCGTTTCAATCTCCGACTTGCCAAATGGGTGATAAGGCGCACCTAGGGTCAGGCGTGTCAGGTGGGCTAGACGGTCCTGATTTGCCTCCAGAAGATCTGCAAAGCGTAATAAAATGCGCCCACGCTCCACATTGCTCATTTGACGCCACTCAGAGCCCAGGGAAAATGCAATATTGGCAGCTTGTACGGCTTGATCCACGTCGTCGGGCCCGGCGACGGGGATTTGATCACTCACGAGATCTCCTGTCGCTGGATTATAGACAGAGATTCTGTGGGGGATTTCGCATGAGATATCATCATAAGAGCAAGAATTGCAGTAGCTTACTTGTGTGAGTTGAGACAGTCCACATACTTGGAGGCGTTAGCAATGTGGACACTTTCAGAATCGCAGAGTGACTTACAGTGTTATTGATGAACAATTGAGTGAGATGGGGACTTAGCTCCATTTTCAAATAATAGACTGATACCGATAGTTATCAGGGGGAGAGTGCCTAAACAAGTTAAATGTCGAAGTTGTCATCTATTGTCAGATGAAGGACGATTGGCTTTGGCGGATTGAATTTAGCCATAGCCTTGGCTATTATATAGTCGAACCATGTTTGATCGAGGGAAACCAAAAAAAGACAAAAAATAAAGCGAAATGCCATGAGTCATGGACAACCGGAGGGCTCAAAGAAAAGCGAGGCAATCGGCTCTTCGTTTGGACAAGATGAATGCGGGGAATTCTTGTCGTTGGGGAGGCTCTAAAGCCACACCCCGCATGCAATCCCCACCTCCCGCTAGTGCCGTTACGGGATTGACCAGTCACATGATTCGACAGACATCACCTGCTCTCCTAGAGGTGCTATACCTCATTAGGACTAAGGCGCCGTGGCATGACTAACAGGGGGGTGGCCGTAGGGCCTACCGGCGGACCACAGCCCAGTATTGGACCTGGATGACCTCACCTGGTTTCTACCTGCTCCCTGCTGCATACACCCACGATGTCCGACTCCGAGGCCAACGTCCCTACGCGCAATGCTCGCAATCGCAGAAAACCGCGCACTGTGTCATCGCTGACTGCGCAGCAGATCCAGCACAAACGCGATCTGGACCGGAAGGCGCAACGCGAGCTGCGACAACGCGCTAGGTCTCGCGTCCTGGATCTGGAGCAAGATTTAGCACGTGCAAAGGCATCCTCGTCTGAGCGGGAACGCAGCATGATGGATGAAATTCAGAATCTGCGTGAGGAGAACCGGCGGCTGCGCGATTGCCTGGAAAGCATTGGCCAATTTGCGCTGAATGGCTTGTCCACGGAGGAAAGTGCGCAACCGATGCATGAAAGACGCAGTCCTGATTTAGTCGCCATGGATGGTAAGTCGGTGTTTCTAATCTTCTCTATCATGGAGGGTAATGCTGATGGTGTGACTAGATGCGACACATGAGCCGGACAATGGCCCTCTGCAGGACGATGCCTCAACCTTGAGCAATGGGCCCGTTGACATCGGTCCAGGGACCACTGGAAGCACCGGGAATGCAGTAAATAATGAAAATACAGGAGCCCCCGGAACCACAGGAACGCCGATTACTATGGCAATCCCAGGAAATACGCGCAGTACTAACCACCTTGGGCAAGACTTTACACATAACAGTCATCATCAGGATGCTTTTAGATGGAGCACAAATCCACAAGAGGAATCTCGGCAAGTTCTACCAGATTCTTATCATGATAACACAGTGTCCACCGGCGTTGAACTCCCATCGCCAGATTCAGAGAGCTTGGCCGGCCAGAGTATTGTCGACCGACCGCGGCAGCCAGGTAAGCTTGTGTCGCTTTCTTTAATTGGTCCAAAATTAACATGGAGATCGAAAGACCACTATCTAGACTGTACATCCCACACTCAGGAATGTATCGTGGCCCCTTCCACTACGACAGTTGTGACTCCAGCGTCCTCCATCGCAGCCAACACACTCATTCAGCCCCCTACATCCACCACCATTGCATCCATTCTTCCCAAACATCGCTCTGCGACATGTCCCTTGGATCAGATTCTTTTGGACTTTGCCAGCTCCCGGCGATCTTTGGCTGCCAAGGGGTTCCCTATTGACGTGGTCGTAGGGCCCTCCCAACCATGCCTACAAGCAGTCGTAAATCGTCTAAGTACAGGTGAAGTCCATGCGACCAGCCGCGTCCTTGCTGAAGTTCTTGCCACATTCTCTCACGTGGCGCTCCCGGAAAAATTGGCTTTTATGTTTGTAATGTTCCGGACTATGAGGGTAAGTGTAGCAGCTGTTACAAAATGAAAATCTTCTCTGACCGACACAAGTGGCAATTGTCATCCACCGATTCAAACTATGATGAGATGCCGCGCTGGCTTCGGCCGACCGCAGTCCAAATTACGGTGCCTCATGCAGCCTGGATCGATAATATTCCTTGGTAAGCTTTGCCAAAATTCACTTCACGAATAGCCTCTAACAGGACAAGGCCACGAGTGCGTGACATGTTGATCGAGAATCCTGAGAAATACCCTTTTCCTGTTTTCTCGGAACTGTATTCGGAAAATGTGACCGTCAATTGGCCTTACGATTCAATGGATACGGTTTCTCATCAGGGTGACTCTCTTATTTTCAACCCGATCTTTGAGAAGCATGTGCGAAAGCTAGATAACTGGACCGTTTCGGGTCATTTCAGGGACTATCTCCCCGAGATGACAGCGGCCATTTACGGGCGTGATTGATGTCTGATATATGGTCGTCTACAAACATCACAACAAGGGAAATCCAGAACACAAGGTCAGCAACGCCGCCTTCTTCTATTCATTTGCTCTAATCTATGACTCCATCAGACACTAATGGAATATTCCTTGCTAAACGGGTAGTCGATGTAGCCCACGGGTGACTTAGGAGTGTAGAAAGTCGGCCTTTCATACTGATTGAAATCAAGGCCTTTGGCTATGCGGAACGGCAAGTCGGGGTTTGCCAGAAAGTGACGCCCAAAGGCAATGGCGACGCGGTGGCCTGGATGGGCCTGGATAGCCTTTTCGGCCGACTCCCCCGTGAATCCACCGGCCAGGATGATCGCTCCTTTGTCACCAAATGCGTTCAACAGAAAGCTGTTATCCTCATCAGCCGCTTCAACCGTCATACCGCCCGAGATCCGCGGCTCAACCACATGCAGGTACGCCAGATTGAGTCGGCCCAGGCCCTCCACTAGATGTGTGAACTGTGTGTGCAGGCCATCCATGCGCATGCCTTGGAATCTACTCCACGGGCTGATGCGATACCCCGTTCTCTCGGGACCAACGGCATTCGCCACGGCCTTGGCCACTTCCAAGCCGAAACGAGACCGATTCTCAACGCTGCCACCCCAGCTGTCTTCCCGGTTATTGCAGGTGCTTTGTAGGAACTGGTCGCACAAGTAGCCATTGGCGCCGTGGATCTCGACGCCGTCGAATCCCGCAGCGATGGCGTTCTTCGCTGCCTGGGCGTAGTCGCTGATCCACTCCCGGATTTCGTCTTCGGTCAGAGGCTTGGGAACAGCGGTCGATTCGGAGATGGGCAGGTTTCCGCTCGAGATCACGGAGTAGCCGTCTTTTGCGAGGACTTCGGGGCCAGCAGCGCGTCCTAGTGCCCATAGTTGGCAGAAGATGAAACTGCCTTGACTGTGCACGGCGTCGGTGACGGTCCGCCATTGTTTGATCTGCTCGTCGTTCCAGATCCCCGGGACGTTCTCCATCCCGCCTGCGCGAGCTGAGATGAATGTCCCTTCATTTATCAGCAGGGTGCCGGGGGTGGAGGCTCGCTGTGCGTAATATTCGCGGGCGATATCAAGAGGGACGTGATGGTCATCGGCACGGTTTCGCGTCATCGGGGCCATTGCGATGCGGTGTTTGAGATCCAGGCCGCCGACCCGGATCGGAGAAAACAGATTGGTCGTCATGGTAGTAAGACGGTGTTATCGGTCGGGGTGTGTAGTGTTTGATCTTATTCGGGTTCGGTATGCCGACAGACGGGCAGTAGTTATACGCATCTCTGAAGTGAGAAGAAACACAGAACGAAAGATCATGTACGCCACCTGATTATCAAGCAGAAGAAATTTCCATATCCACAATCGGCGACATTTTCAATTAATTAACCCGGGCGTCGGAGACTTCGTCATAGCCGATAATTTGAACAACGGCGTGATGGGGCTACATGGTGAGCCATGACAAAGAAGCCATGAATCATGGAGAATCGAGTCATGCCCCACACGTCATGGACACCATCAACAACAACCATGTTTCTACTACCCCGGACCATGACCAATGCACCTATGCTACGATATGCATGACAGTACCCCACGGGGTACTAGTTTGCTCGTTTCTTACCCCGACATTGATCGACCAATACAATGACTTAAATGAGGCCGATGGATGCTATCATTTGGACGGAATGGCCTGATGCACAAGCAAAAAGAAAAGCGAATCCCAAGGCACCCAGCCCAAATGAAGCCCTCGATGCGAGCTGCACAATACAACACCGTACGTTATTCTTTTCTCTTTTCTCGCTCCTCTACTAACCAGACTAGACGACCAACAAGGTCGAGGTGAACGAAATCCCAATCCCCGAGCCGGGCGAATATGACCTTCTCATCAAGAATAAGTGTGCGTCACTTTGCCACTCGGATCTGGTACATATAAAGATATTCAGAATGCACCAAAGTTCGTAAAGACTAATGAGATAACAGATGCTCTTCTGGGGCCATACAGCCGAGAAACCACCAGTCGAGAAGATCACGCTTGGCCATGAAAACACAGGCGTTGTTGTCGCAACTGGCAGCAAAGTCCACGGGTTCAAGGTTGGAGATAATGTCGGATGTCTGGGTTGCAGCTATGCTTGTTGTGAGTTTTGCCTTCTGCGAGAGGAACACCTACCTAAGACAAGAGACTGATCTCACACACGCTAGACCAGTGCGAGGGCTGTATGGTCCACAATCTATTCTGCGACCAAGGCACAGGCAAGCTCCATGGATTCACTACACATGGGCATTTTGCCGAGTACTCACTTGCCGATGCGCGTAATTCCATGGTTCTTCCTGATGGGATCGATATGGTTGCGACGGCGCCGCTTTTCTGCGCTGGTGTTACTGGTTAGTTGCTCCCCCCTTTTCCAATAACTCGGTGTTAAGATTTTTAGCATATCACGCCGTGAAACAGTGCAATCTCAAACCTGGACAGTGGATTGCAGTCATTGGGTGTGGTGGATTAGGTCATTTAGGTCAGTGTTGATAGTCTCTGGCCGGCGTAAAAGATAGACAGCTAACCCAATCCCTCACAGCCATTCAGTATGCCAAAGCAATGGGCATCCGAGTCATCGGCGTGGATATCTCTGATCCACAGCTGGAATCGGCCAAAGGACTAGGCGCTGACATCACATACAACTCGCTCTCCAACCCGACCTATGCCGAAGAACTGAAGAAGATCACCGGAGGAGGCGCCCATGCGGCCGCCGTCTTCAGTGCATCCAATGCGGCATACGAGAGTACTCCGAGTATATTAAGGTGAGCTCACTCAACTCATCTGGAAATTCATTGCTCACAGATCTACCATTTCAGAATAAACGGCCTTATGATGGTGGTCGGTATTCCAAAGGCCAACCTCTCCATCAACGCTTTGGATATTCTACTAGGTAAATACCGCATCCAGGGCGTCAGCAGTGGCACTCCGCAACAAATGCGGGAGCCCATTGAGTTCAGCCACAGGCACGGCATCAAGCCGCATATGACGACGTTTCAGAGTCTTGATGATATCCACGCTATGATCGATCTGATGCAGAGCGGGAAGTCTGCGGGTCGGCTTGGGATTGTTTTCTAGAGGGCGTATCCTATTTCATATCATTATCAAGTGATAACATTGTCCAATATGCAAACAGAAAGAAGCAATGCCTGACATATATCAGTCTACATGCTCCAAATCCATCTCATCTACTTATATTCCTGAACCTCCTTCGCACCCTCAAAATCCGTACTCCTCACCACCTCCTCCATCGCATCCAACTCCCCCAGCATCTCCAAACATTGCCCCCGCACAATACCTAAAGCATCAGACCCCAGCACCACACGCAGAGGAACCTCCCCCGTCCCAAAGAACCTCCCCTCGCGCCTCACAACATCCAAAATCCGCTCCACAGCCACCACAGGATCCCCAGGCTGCTTCCCATGCGTCTCCTCCTGCCTCGACGCAAGAGCCCCGACTAGAGAATCATACTCGGGCACCGGGTCCACACAACGAGCTACCTCCCTCCTGCCTGCGGCTAGAATGTCCGTCCGGAATTGACCCAGCACGATGAGATGGGTGGTGATTCCGAGGGGGGTGGTTTCTTTGTGCAGGCTTTCGATCGCGCCTGGGATTCTATCTGGTTAGCTGGTGCAATCCCAATATGCAAGATTCATCGGGTTGATAAAGAATGGGATCGGGGATGATAATCCTACCCTCGAGTGCAAACTTCGACGCACTATACGGCCCCCCAGCAGCAACGCCCAACCAGCCCGCAATGCTGCTCATGAAGATAATGGTTCCCGTGCGCCGGGTCCGCAGATGAGGCAGCAGGGCACGGGTCAGATTCATGGGCCCGAAGAAGTTGGTGTTGAATTGCTCGAGGACCTGCGAGTGGCTGGATATGTACAGGCCCGTGCAGCTCTGTTAGAAATCATATTTGGGGGGAGCCGAACGGGGGGAGGACGCACCTGACTTCCTCCCACACGCCGGAGAGAACGTATCCCGCGTTGTGGACTAGGACGTCTATCTGGCCGAACAGCGCGATGGCGGTGGCGATGGTCTCGTCGAGCACGTCCTGCGAGGCAGTCACGTCGAGCTGGAGGAGTCGGACATTGTCCTGGTCTGCGAGGTCGGCTAGGGTGGCGATGTTGCGCGCAGTCGCGACGACGGCGTCTCCGCGGGCAGTGATGGCGGGGACCATTAGTTTGCCAAAGCCGGAGCTGCAGCCTGTGAGGAGCCAGACGCGGGGGGGTCTGTGAGGCATGATTGGACTGGACAGAGGGTGTCAGATTTTCTTGAGTATCAGAGGAACAGACGAGGACGGGTGTCCACGGATTATAAGTAGAGATTCTATCTCATGTACATCTCTTCCGCTCATCACATGACCGACTATAGACTGACTCTATACTACATATTAGACCATGCAGTTTTGAATCATCCTGCATATCATCCTCATTCCTTGTTGAACGATATTCCATCCCCTCCTCCAATCCCTCCAATTGCATCGCCAACAATCAGATTCTCATACCCCACCATATACGTCATCGGCAGCTGCATAAACTCATTACAATCGTCGCTCAGCGCAGCCGCATATTCGTCACTGTTGTAGAACGCCATCCAGTCGTCCCATGAGCGCACCCACATCTGAGCGCAGCCGTCGTATTCCAGGACGTTTTCGCCGAGACTGCGGGCTCGGTCTTTCATTTCGGGGGTTTGGTGGTGCTGTTTGTGATTCAGTGTCAGCATGGGGTATTAATTGTGAAGAGGGGGGAAAGGGGGTAGCTTACCTGGACATAGCGAAGGATGTGTTTTTGAAAGGCTTGCGTGGCTATGGCTAGATCGGCATGGATGGATTGCCAGTGGGTGAAGAATTTCTCAGGGGAGATGTCGGGGAGCTTGTGGAAAAAGACGGAGATTTTGATGGCGGGTTGGATGTTGGGGGTTGGTGAGTTGAGTTCGGGGTAGGTGAAGGTGTGGGATGTCATTTTTAGATTGTGTGCTGGTTTCTTGGTCTGGAGGGATACTGTCAGTAGGAATGTTTTTTTAAGATGTATGGTTAGCTGGCATGAGTCAGGCTCTTTATGTCATGGCTTGTTCAGTATAGTTCATCGATCATCTGATTGTTCGTAGCCCTAATCTGGAGATGGCGGGGAGTTTGAGATTCTGCAGGCTTAGCTGTACTATCCGGAGATCACATAAGTATGGTCTTTAATATTCCCTTGATAATTGACCGTGAGATGCATTCAAGCCAAAATGTACTGTATGTGGACGATCAGCGTTCTGAGTCAGTGTGATAGAGTCATGACATTCTACTTGTCCACCGAGGCTCAGTCAGGTCGCTGTCCAACACTGACTGACAGAGTCGAGTACTTATACAAACCAAGAGCGCGATGCTTGAAGATGGATCCTTTTTTACTTCCTCTCATTTCGGCAACTCAGTATGGCCTCACCAATACCCCAACTGGTGCGGGCAGCTATTCCCGCATACGCCTGTCCTGCAGGCACCAAGATGCACATCCTCAATCTGGGCACGCTGAGCGTTGATGAAGGCTGGTATTTCTATTCCACGCCATCCATATTCTAACCCCTCATTAACACTTAAGCTGTCCTCAGGCTCCTCATGGGCGCCAACGGAGGCTCAGCGAGCAACCCTAACCCAACGAACAAACGCCGAGACCTGATGCTGATAGCGGCACTAATCGACCACCCCGAAATGGGACTCCTACTGTTCGAATGCGGAAGTGCGCAGGATGTACATGCGGTATTCTTTCTCACCGATCCTCAACAAGTCGGGATCAAACTGATGGGCCACCGTAGCAATGGGGTGACGAAGCCGTCGACGTCTTCCCACGCACAACCTACGAAGAACGCCACCATTTGCCAGTGGCGATCCGCAGTGCCGGATATGATATCAAAGACGTTCGAGCGGTGATAATGGGCCACCTGCATTTAGACCATGCCGGCGGACTGGAACATTTTCGCAACACGGGGGTGCCGATCTACGTGCACGAAGAGGAATTCAAGCACGCGTGTTGGGCAGCCGCTACCAAGTCAGAGGGTGGACTTTATCTGTATGTCCGGAGACCTCTCGGTATCTTTTACTCTCAATCTAACGTCATATTCAACGAAAGCGCGGACTACCTCTCCCTGGACAACACGCTCAACTGGCAAACCTTCAATGACACCCAACTCGACCTCTGCACCGGAATCACCCTCTACCATTGCCCAGGCCACACTCCGGGGCTATGCATAATGCAAGTCAATCTTCTCCACGACGGGACGTTCATCTGGACCACGGATCAGTACCACGTTCGCGAAAACTTCGAGTCGAATTGGGCACATGGGTGGTTGGCTAGGGATTATCGGAGCTGGGTTGATAGTGGGAAGCTCATTAGGCGGCTGCAGAGAGTCTTCGGGGCGAGGTTGGTTTTCGGACATGATTTTGAGGTTGCGGAGGGGTTGATTAGGGAGAAGGGGTTTTACGAGTAGGACGATCTGCCTTAACCCTCAAACTGTCGCGTTCTGTTGAACGCCTCTCTCGAACAGTGGTGTAGTATTACAATAGTAGTAGCTGTCATACTCTTTCAGTATGTCTATCCAGTGTCTGCTATGTTGGGAGGATAATAAATAGTGTTAATATGTACCAAAGTTAAAAAAGATACTATAGGCGTTATTAGCTAGACAGTTACTCCATTAACTCAATAAACTGTATACTAAGTAGCTTTTTATCTTAATATTTATCGCTTATTTCCCCTTTAAGGGCAGGCTAATGTTCTTTTTTCTCTTCAAATCTAGACTATTTTTAATTATTTTAGTAGCCTCTAACTCTCTACTAGTGGCGCTATTTCCGATGATATAAAAGTACTCAAGCTAGCAAAGCTTTTTATTATTAGTCCTTGGTCCTAGAAATAGTAACAGAGACGTATAGTGGGATATATTTTATTCTAAGCTAACGTGATCCTGGAGGAAGTGGTTGAAAGTCTCGAATATTATCATATTTATTATTGAGTCCGGCTAGAATACGAAGAAATATAAACGAGACACGATACTACAAATGCCGGAATTCGACAGAACGGCAAATAGAACCGGTGTAAACACTCTGGACTATACCAAATGAACTACCCTATAAGTGATATCTCTACAATAATCATCATAAATAAACCCATTATATTAATACTAATTCTCTAGATAATCCCAATTAATATTGTAAACTCCGCCCCCAACGGCGGCCAATCATCAACGTGACGTCCCACTTTGCAACGCCATCTTTCTTCCTCTTCATCCTCGTCTTTTCTCTTCCTTTCTTCTCTTCATCTCCCCTTTCTTTCCTGCTGGCATTTTCTTCTTTCTTGTCTCCCCCTTCTATTTATAGCCCGCTCCATGCCACTCTTCCGCAAAAAACCCAAGTCTCCGCCCACCGCGTCGCCCGCATTCCGATCTGTCGAGCATCTTCCCCAACTGACCGACCGCCGCGGCTCCTCCGTCTCCACCGCCATTCCAGCTCATCCTCCACTGCCTCACTCTCAACCGCAGCCACTGCCTGTCCCTCCTCCTCCCTATTATCATCCCGCCCACACGCCGTCTCAGTCGTCCCTGCATCGCTCGCAGAGTCAACGCCACTCCCGCAGCGACCCCGCCGTCGCCCTGCCCGCCTCACCCTCTGCACCGCAGCAGCGCTTCGATGTGGACCCGTCCGACGACGAGCTCGACGAACAACAACACCACGACGGTCATCACCCGCGTCGCACCATCCGGAATATCTTCTCCCTGCATTCGTCCCACTCTCCGAGGGATTCCACCGGTCCTCTCGAGCGCCATCGTTCCCTGAGAAGAGCGTCGCCTGCCGCTCGTCGCAACCGCCCGCTGTCCGTCGACACGACCGGTGCGGACAACCACCCCCCGCTGACCTCCCGCTCGCGAGAGTATGTGGTAGAGTCCCTCCGCTCGACGCCTCAGTCTCCTATGCCACCACAGGACTTCCTCCCTTCGTCTCAGAATAACCCCCGGCTGCCGCGGTCCCCGCACGTGCCGTCCATTCAGCGGTCCAACACCGATTCTTCGTTGGTGCTCGATACTCCCCCTCCGACCAACTTACATCATCCGTCGCCTGTCGATCCGTCCAGAAACCATCCGGCCGAGCTGATCCCCGGTCCGGTCCAGCACCCATCTCTGGACCCGTCCAGCGCTCGTCCTCCGTCGCGACAGTCCATCGGACCCCCTTCCCCTCTTCGTCCGCTTCCTAGCCACCCGCCCGACGTTCCACAGCAGAGCATGTCGGACCGTCCGTCCACGGGACCTGCATCGGGTCCCCCTGCCAGCTCCACCTTTGGGCAGGGCGCTCCGGACACGGGCCTCCGCAACAATAACAATCCCGTTCAAGCGTCCGAGCCGGGACGCAGCACGCCAACCTCCAACCACAGCCGAAGCCGCGACGAGGCAGATGTCGACATGCGATCCCTGGTGCAGAAGCATGACGAGCTCCGTACGTTTTCCGTTGGCTCCCGCCCCGTCTCATTCTTTGGACCCGCGCAACTGACCCGATTGTCTTTTGCTTCTTTGCAGAGGCCAAGTATTCTAAAGTGAAACGATACTACTTCGAAAAAGAGGCCCAGGTGCAGCACCTGCAGAACACGGTCGCCCATCAGCGCATGGCGGTGTCGCGAACCGTCCTCGACGACAACGAGTACGCCAACCGGTTTGGCCGCCTCGACGGAGCCATCAAGGACCTGGCGTTCGCCGTCCGCAAGGACTGGAAGACTCTCCCCTCCTGGCTGAGCGGATTCGTCAACGAGGATGCTGCCGCCGTCGGCACGAAGGAAATGACCGCCATCGGCCGCGCGCTCATGAGTCGCTGGTTGGCGGACGAAGTGTTCGGGCGCTATTTCCACCCGGTGCTGGAGCCGTCCTTCAGCCGGCACCTGAAGGAAATCGAGCTGAACCTGCGCCGGCAGCAGGGCAAAACCGCCACGGAGGAGGACAAGGAGAATGCCATCGCCCGCATCTCGAACTGGCGTCGCACGACCTTGGACGGGCTCGAGGACCGGCTGATCGGACCGGCCGCCGACGAATACCGCACCCAGCTGATCGACAACCTGGTGAAGGGCTTGGTTAAGGCGCTCACCGATCACCTGCAGAGTCCGCCACCCCCAGGAATCGACAACGGCGCCCGCATGATCGTGGAAAACGCCGTCGGCATCGCGGAGAAAATCCCTCTCGAGTCTCGCGATCTCTGCGTGGACTACCTCCTCCCCGGCACCGTTGTCCACGAACCCACGATGAAGGTCGAGACCGGTATCCCCCCCTTAACCAATGCCAGTCCTCCTGAAGCCCTCGCTACCCGCGGTTCCGACGATCAGGACCGTCCTGCCGACCATCCCGGCGCCGAGGACCCCGACCTCGACTCCTCGTCGGGCTCGACCAACCCCGACGCCGCAACCCCGGGACGCGAACAGCGCGTGCGCTCCGTCTTCAGCAGCCTGATGGGTCGCAAGCAACAGCAACAAGGCGCACCGACGGCCCCGGGTCCTGGCGGCAACGGGGACTCGGTCCGCCCGACGACCGCCGGCGCCGACGACCGTGCGGGTGGCGTGCCTCCTACACCGCGCATTCGCTTTTCGACCTTCATTACGGCTGACGTCCGGGGGAGAGGACCGGTGAATGTGCTGGTCAAGGCGCCGGTATATCTAATGGAATGACTTGGCATGTGATTTCTGTTTCTGTGTTGATTAGGATTAGCGTGTATCGATTGATTGATGACTTGGTTGATTGATTGCAGCGTGATATCCACGCGTTGCGTGTTTGTGATTCCGTATAGTATCTGAGATGAGCGGTACTGTACATACATAGATGAGGATGAGGTATGATATGAATTTGTTTCTGCATTGAACATTGAATAGATTGAATTGCTGGCGTCACTCGAAGGTTGACATCGGACCATCGAGTGCTGGTGCATACACTAATAACAGCACAGTACAGATGGAGTCACGAGACATCTCTTCCCGTGACTCCAGCATTGGACGTATAATCCATCATCTCACAGCACACAGAGCCCTCCCATCCCAACTTCTCATCATAAACAGCAAACATCGGACCTGAACTGGGCTGCGATCCATTACACTGTATACATTAATTGCCTAATAGCGTATGGGGCTGGTTAATTAACCCCGATAAGTCTACGACAAAGTATAAGAAATAGCTGAATTCTTAGGCGGCCTGAATATGCCCTTCCTCGCATGAATATACCGATAGTGTGTATTCTTATAGTTACTCTTATTGCAGATGGTCTGGGCTCTATTGATCAGGACGCCAGATTAAGTCGGAGAGTCCGAAGTAGGGGGCCTCTTCCGAATAAGCAGTGGTTAGACCCAAGAGAGGATATATTTACTAGAGTTGGTGGGAGGGGAGCTTAGTTACTATATAATCGACTAAGTACATCTTGTGTAGATAGTGAGGCCGGGGTTAGCTTTGGGGTTAATCCCTGTATAATAAATTATATTAGGAATACCTGCGAGCTTGGGAGTGATAAAAATAGGATCTGGGCCTAGACGCAGTGAGCCTACGCGAGACGAGCATATATGGGGGGACGTATATCTGCTTGCATAGAGGCTTCGGACTCGGCAAAAGTCTTGTATTTAGGGATTTTATGGAGCTGGGAAGCCTCGATATCAGGCAGGGCGTACCTACCTGCATAACTACTTGAATTAATAAATAGAGTCAATCATTCAATCAAATCAATGGACGGTCTCGGCCTGAAGGGTACCAAGATGTGTTGTTTCGCGATATGTTCTTTTGCCAACGAATTCTTTCTAAGTAGTTAGTAGATCAAGCTTTATACTAGGAACATTTACTAGGGTGGGAGATTGAAGTACTATGCTGTCCACCAGCGTTGATAAAAGGCACCTCTAGTACTGCGTAGAATAGACCTACATAGCCGAGGACCACCGCAGCGATTCAAAAGAATAGATGAATTAGTTATACTTAGATTGAAAGGGGTCTTCTTGGAAATTCTCGGCACATCAAGTTTTCAGTTCCCTAATTCAGCGAGCACCGCGCCAATTCCTCAATCGAATCCCAGACCCAAGCCCAACCAAGTGTCTCTGGTGGTGCTGGAACTCGCCTGAAATACTCTCCATCGCCTTCCCCTTCGTCTCGGGCATATAGACCGCACAAACCCCCACCGTGGAGAGAATACACCCACAGAAAAGAAAGTATATGCCGAATGGCGACTTGTCCAACAGGACTGGGGTGATGTACGCGACGGCGAAGTTTGTGATCTACCGTTAGGTCATCAGTTTAGCAGTATTCAGCAGCTGGAAGGGGAGGGGAGAAGCTGGGAGCTGGGAGCTAGGATGGACTAGACGTACGCAGTTCGCACTCTGCGCGATACTCGTCACCGTGGCTCTTGTTGGGACGGGTTGGATTTCGCTAGCGAAGACTTTGATGCCGAGGGCCCATGCTTCGGATGATCAGTTTCTTTGCATCTTGCGAGGGGATAAAGTTGCGGTTCAATGAATTTCTCTGGGAGTCGCAAGGAAAGCCATAAACTCACTCATACAGTACGTAATCGAGAAGACGTAAATCGCAACGATAACCACCCATCTACCCACGCCTGACGACGTGTGCACACTTCCCGAGGCGTAGAGAGAGCCAATCGTAGCCATGACCGTGGCCAACACCATCCCGCCGTATAAAGTTGAGGCGCGACGTCCAATCCTGTCTGTCAATAGAAACGCCGGGATTGAGCTGACGCAGATGAGGATGGCAGAGACGCCGGACGCGAAGAACGACGCCTTGGAGGACGATAGTCCGGCTTGTTGGAATAGAAGGGGGGCGTACTGGTAGGCATCATCCAACACTTAGATCGAGTAAAGGATACGGAGGACTGTCAACTTACATAGAGAATCCCATCAATGCCACTAAGCTGCTGCATCGACATGACGAATATCCCAAGAAGCGCTTGTCTCCGTGACCCGGGGCCCATAATCTGCTTCAGCTTTCGAACAGCCAGATGATATTGACCCCTGGCGCGTTCCCATCTACTCAGATTCTCGTCTGAACTAGTACCCTCATCAGGATGAGAATGCAGTCCATCAGAGAAATCACCTCCCCGATCGACATCCCCAACTTGCAATGCCACCCAGGCAGCTTCCGCCTCGACATGGCGACCGCGGTGGGTCAGCCATCTCGGTGACTCCGGGAGATAAAACGTAGCTAGGACTGTTAAGAGGGCAGCAAGACCGACCTGAATCGCTAATGGAAAGCGCCACGAGAATGCCGACAACACTAGAACTGTGCCATAGCACATGAAATAGCCCACCATGAGCCCAATGGTGATGAATAGCTGTACCATGGATGCTAGAGGCCCTCGGTATTTGGCGGGTGAGATCTCGCAGATGTACCTTCATGCAGGATTAGTAGCTTCCAGTAATTCTAGTAGTAAGGGAATGTGCATGGACAGCAGACAGGGTCAAATCTACATACACTACCAATGTGCTGAGAAAGAGCCCCTCCCCAATTCCTGCGACGAGGCGTCCGAGGAGAAAAACCGCAAGGTGGCTAGCACTCGCTTCCATGGTCACACCGATTGTAAAGACAAACGAACCGATGGCGAGGAGTCGGGTTCGGCCGAGTCTATCAGACAGTATACCTGAGAACAAAGATGCGAATGTTGCAGAGAGAAGCACCGAGGATATGATGAGCCCGTGGATTGACGCCGATATGTGCCCAATTGTCTCGAGAAAGCTAGGCATTACCGTTAATGGCCCTATAACACCTGTGTCTAGGCTAGGACAATGTGAGGAGCTATGAGTATAGTAATAGATGCTTGAATTTCTGACATACCCATTGAGAAGCCCGCCGATAGAAACAATGATAGCGGACGTGAGATAGCGAGGGATTGAAAACATTCGGAATGTCGATAGCTTCATTTCTCTTTGTATGATTTCCGAGTTGAACTGAAGATGGAAGCACGGGCCAGCCAATTGACTGGTAGTGCCACTCCCACGCAGCCCACCTACACGCTGACTCTATTCAGCTCTCAGTGGCTCTGGGAGGCAATCTGCTGAATGACTTCGGAACGATCGAGAAACCTAGTAGAATTGATGAAAATAATTGACTAACTGATGGAACAGGCAAGGTGGTAGGTAGGAACGGTAGGATGATCCCGGTAGGTGTGGGAGGGGTCGTCTCTAGGTGGTTGGTCAGGTGGACCGCCCACCGCCTTGGCGTCATATATACGTCGCAGATAGCAGCATTGTAGCACAGTGAATCCTTTGTGAAATGAAGATTCCGGGGATCACTATGTGACTAGCTAAATGTTCCGCCACGGAACCGTGTGTGCATTCCTTCCCAACAGTCCATCCAGATACTTGAGCACACGCTCTTTGACATCCTCAGCAGTGAGTTTAAAGTGGGGATAAACAGCCTCTGCGGCCACCGTAGTTCCAAAACCAAGTTGCCCTATACTTGCCGTGGCATACTTCGCCCAGCCGTCAGTCGACATGGCCTCAAATGACACCACAGGCCGCCCATCCCAGGGAAAAACCATTCGCTGGTATTCCTCGTCCTGCTCCTCAAACCGTCGCATGCATGGCATTGAGACTATACGTGTTGGGACCCCACAATCCTTTAGCAGCTGTGCTGCTTCCACCGCGTGAAACAAATCTCCCCCGGTTGAGACCAGGGTGACTTGGTATCCCACACCTTTGTTAAGAACATAAGCCCCTCTCTGCATCTTGTGCCGATTTGTGCCTGACTGCATTGGGACGGCGTGACGGTTCAGACCGATGATTGATGGCCCATCAAAGCTCAATGCCATCATCCAGGCACCCTGTACTATAGTGTGAGCTATTTCATAGACGTATATCAGTAGTGCTTCTGCTAAATACTCACAATAGCCTCCTCGGCATCACCCGGGCGGATATGCAGAATGTCGGGCATGGAGCGGAACAGATTAACAAGTTCGATTGGCTACTCGCGCGTCAGGGATGGAATGGCACTCAATTGGGGTGGGGGATTCTGACCTGGTGCGTGGGACCGCAGGCACCTTCAGCAATGCTATCATGAGTGCCAATATGAATGGCGGGCAGTCTGGCGAGTGCACTCATACGGATAGCAGGCGCTCCATAAAGCTGAAACATTGCAAACGTGGCAGTGACTGGAATGAATGCCCCTCGCGAGTAGGCAGATATGCCATTTGCAATTGCCATCATTGCATGCTCTCGAACCCCGTAGTGGATGTATCGGCCACTGTATGACATTCCATCGTGGTGGCTAGGGGAGCCAAAGCGTTGCTGTCCACCTTTCAGCATGAAGTTGGGCTCGGAAAGGTCTGCCGAGCCCGCGATAAATGAGACTGTATCCCAAAGATAATCATGGATTTGTCCGGACGCTTGGCGGATCGGGATGGGGTGGTTTGGAGGCTGAAATTCATGGAGAAGCCGCATCCAGCCCGACGGTAGCCTTCCGTGCACTTTCAACAACAGTTGCTCGGCTCTCTCTGGACATGCCATCTGGTATTTCTCCAGGTTCCTTTCCCACTGCTGGTAGAGTATCTTACCACGCTTAGGGATCTCTGCCCAATACGTGCGAACCTCCTGGGGAACGTAATGTGTCTGCTGGGGGTCCAAATTCCACTTCCTCTTACATTGGTCTACGGTCTGTCCTCCAAAGGACGTGTGATGCGCTTTGTGTGTTCCTGCTTTGTCGGTCCCATGCCCAATCGTGGTTCTTATATTGATAAACACAGGGCTCCCTCTGTGCTGCTTGGCGTAAGTGATGGCCGTATATATATTGGCCACGTCGTGGTTGCCATCGAAGACATCAATAATGTACCACCCGCAAGCTCTGTCGACTACTTAGTTTAGGAAATTCTGGATATCTGGTGCGACTTAACCTACCGCATTTTCTCGTTTACATCCTCGCTTGTAGTGAGAGTGATGGGACCATCACATTGGATGCCATTGTTGTCATAGATGAGAGTAAGATTGTCGAGCTTGAGATGCCCAGCGAGGGAGATTGCTGAGAGGAATAAGTCTCGGATGAACTGAATATATCACCTGGATCTCACCTTCCAAAGCGACCCCTTCTTGTAAGCAAGCATCCCCAGTAGAGCAATACACTCTCCCCAGTATGATCTCTGACTGGTCCGTGTTGAAGGTGGCTCGGAGATTCATATTAGCAATGGCCATGCCAACCGCATTCGCAATGCCCTGGCCCAGCGGCCCGGTCGACATGTCCAGCCCATCAAACTCGATTTCCGGATGAGTCTTGGTCATACTGGTGAAGTCCAAAGCAGTGGGGTGGCAGTAACCTTTCAGTTGCTGCATGGTCCATTTTTCGTATCCGCTTAGATGCAGGAGAATGTACTGCAGAATGCCCACATGGCCATTCGACAGCACAAACCGGTCCCTATCGAACCAGTCGGGGTGTGCAGGGTCATAGCGCAGGATATGTCGCCAAAGGGTTTGAGCTATAGCTGCCATCCCGAGAGCACTCCCTGCCACGCCGCGTTAGTCTGTCGTTGGCTGGCCTTCTGGCTGGCCACATACCTCCATGGCCAGTACCCCATTGCTGGCAACAATCCAGGACCAAACCTCGAATGACTTCAATTGATCTTTTGTCCTGATAAAATATGTCGGGCTGCTCGCACGTCTCCTGCAAGGCTTTCGCCTTGAGTCCATTCGCATCATTAGACTGGAAGGATGTAGGATCAACAATTCTGCTAGGAGCCATCTCGATGGAGTGTCTTTTTCAGTATAAAAGTCAGGCAACCTGTGATGTCCAAGATTGACTAGATCAAGCGATATCTTCTTCTATGGCGCTCGTCTTATAGATTGGCGTAGACATATCGAGGTACGCTATTATGCCCGATGAGATACGCATTTGGCCGAGCGAGGGAGAAAGCCTCATCACACGTCGCTGTTCAAATGTTCCACAAGATGACGTGAAATGAGTCCGCACATACATCCCACCCATGTAATCATGTAACCCATAGGTCATCTAGTTCTTGTTTTTAACTTGTACAGCCGGATGATCCTTCTAAAAATAAGCCATCTTGGATGCGCAGAGGGGGAAAGGATCGCACCCCCTCGCCTGCTGTTCTTTCAATTCCTTCTTTGAGCATAAAGGTGATATCACTCTTTTACCCCTCGGGCTTGTATTGTCTTGTTTCATTTCAAATCCAACGGACATGCGCTGAGCAATGATATCATATTTCCATAATAAAACAACAGCAATGACTAAAACAATGCTCACATACAGCAAACCACTCAAAGATGACGTCCATGAGTAACAAGTAGATGCGAGAGAAATCCCTTTACGGCCTATGCTTCCCCAGCACAGCTGCTTATTATGTGCCCGCCCCAGAAGCGAATGAATCGCACCAGACTACAAAACCCCATCAGATCATACAGACGTCATTACCAAGTTCAAAATATCCACCTTTTCCTCTATCCCTTACTGCCTACAATAACTCTTTTGTCTGAAATGCTTCATCAAATTCCCTCACTTGGCTTCGGCACTTTCCAGGTTGACCTACAAGCTGACCCCCAACAGGCCGCCAAAGATGTCACTTTGAATGCACTTAAGACAGGGTATCGCCATATTGACACGGCCTTTGCGTACGGGAACGGACGGGTAGAAAGGGGTGTCGGTCAAGCCATCCAAGAGAGTGGAATTTCCAGATCAGAAATATTTCTGGTGTCAAAGCTGTGAGCTGTGTTCATATCTGGATAGCGAAAGGTTGTCACTGAAGCATGTGCCAGACACAACACGTTTCACGAACCGGATGCTGTCGGTCTTGGATTGGAGCGGACTTTGACAAACCTACAAGTCGCCTATGGTATGTGACCAGCCATGATCAACTGACGTAGCTGATTGATCATTACAGTGGATCTCTATCTCATGCATAGTACTCGCCCGAACAGCCTGCTGTTGCCTAGTCCGATATTGCTCTAACGACACAATGTAGATCCGTTTGCTTACTCCCACAATGAGAGATATGAAACTCTTCGGAAGGAAGACGGCTCCAACAAGGTTTGCTCCCAATGCCGTGTTCCTAAATTATAGTCACTGATATTTTGGCTACAGCCGGTTATTGATTTGGAAATGTCCCGTCGCTATCCGGACACATGGAAGGCCATGTACGAACTTTTGGCGACTGGAAAGGTCAAGCATATAGGTTCGCTTTCTGCAACATGACCGTTTAATCACATCTTGCTAGAACTAGGACACAGGTGTTTCGAATTTCAACATTCTCAAGCTGCAGCGTCTGATGGGTGAGACTGGAATAGTTCCTACAGCCAACCAAGTCGAATTCAATCCGTAAGTACTCGGAGGATATACGTTATACTTGTGGACGTAGAGTGATGCTCACAAGACAAAGATACTTTCCACAGAAAAAGCTCTTAAGCTTCTGTCAAGCCCATGGGATTCAACTAGTTGCCCATAGTCCCCTAGGCGGTGCTCCTGCCCCTGCAGTCGTGGGCCGCGAATCAAATGGTCCTCTGCAAGACCCATATGTAATGGCTGCAACGCTTCCTTATCTTCGTTTTTTCAGCTGACACACCATCTGCTATACCTCAGGTCAATACTCTTGCACAGAAATATAAGTGCACGGCCGCGCAAGTCATCCTGAGCTGGATTCTTGCACGGGGAGCTTGCGCCGTACCAAAATCCAAGAACATAGATCGAATGATCGAGAATCGGAACTGCCATATCCCGTTGGAAGTCTTGGAAGTCGAGCAGATGTCGAACCTCGTGGGCCGGAACGAAGAGTACGCAGTTCGAAATTTGCAACCTAAGGATCATATCGGGTTTAACATCTATGATGAAGAACTTGATCAGCCGGTGTAATTTTTCCGCTTGGGATGTAGCCAAGGATGCTAAGGATTCGGTTACCTTCCACATATGAAATAGCTATCGACTGTGGACACTATCATACTCCACGATGTCTTGGTATATCGCTTAGTCTAGGAACGTTGAGTTTTCATGAAGGCTAGTTTGGCTATTGTCCCCTCAATGAATCTGAATAGATACGATACAGCTATTTATGTTAGACCGTGAAAAAAAACCTAGCCTACTGGGCCTCTCCGAGACGGGACTTCCATCTAGATGACTGATCAACATTATGTGCGAGAGAATCACAAGATCCGCATGCATCTGGGGGTTTCTCGCGGCTGTGAACAGTGAGAATTGTATTCGCGGCGAGATGAATCCTCGGGCGAGGTTGTGGAGGGACCGTCTCGAGAGAATGATACTAGACAAGTGTATTGTGTTGCTGAAATTGTTTAGATGCTATACTATATACTAGAATGTCCCGACTGATAAATTACGATTCATATCTGTGAAGAGCAGATAAAACCGTACTCAAAAAGCGTCGAAGGCTGAGAACAGCCTCATTCTCGTCTCATACAGGATGCAACCAGAGGTTACATGCCGTATCCAGCTCAAGATCAACCGAGGGAGGCAGAAGATCGAGCGAGGCAAGAGACTGTGACTACGGTCACAAGATAGATGAACTGGAGCTGGAGTGGATGACCACCTGGGGCCATATCAATTGTACATAATAGGCAGGAAATAAATTATCGGGTATTGAGTAGGACAGAACCCCCACAAAGCCATAACAAGCCCTTGCTAAAGACGCCGGCCGGAACCCTATCAAATCAGTACGCCACCCTCGTTCGCATATCCTGTTCCACACGTTAGCACAGAGCTTCGAACCAGGGCTTGAAGAACTTACCGAAATCTTCCGTTCGATTTCGCGAACCGAACGGTCGAGATCCGCTGCAATCATCATCTTCATATCATTAGGCAATAGGAAATACGTCTCGCACAGATCGCCGTCAATGACGCCCTTGACTGGCGCGTAGTAACTCCGGTAGATCAGATGGTCACGTCCAGCCAGAGGGGGATTTTGTGCCGCTAGCTGCATTTCCAGGTTTTGGAAAAAGTCGACATCCTCTCGGCTGATGAATGGCACATACATGCCAATGGTGCCATGGAATCCGGTCCACACAAGGATATCGCGCCCACCGGCAACGAGCTGTGTCTTGTGCAGGCTGGTCGGAACATCCTGGGCATACCCATGAATCATGAGTTCCAGACGGTTGGGAGTACCGTGAAGGTAGCCACGCTCATGGATAAGATGAGCGCCAGATCCGTCTTCGTCTGCCTCTTCTGACGTCTTTTTAGGGCAACGCATAAGCCACAGGTTACCAAACTTGTCACCGCCGGCAACCGTCTCGTAATCCACCATAGTGGTTGCCGTCGTCCAGCGAGAAACGGAGTCGTCCACGAATGGAATGAGGACATTCTCCTGGTATTTGTACACCACATAGGTGACACTCTCGCGGACGTCACTGACGACGATTCGGCTGCCTTGAGTCTGAAGACCCACGATAGTTCTCGGCACCACTTGAGCCTGGCATTTGCGGAGGAGTTGTTTCATACCAAGATCGTAGATCCGGAGAATAGAGCCAATTCCAGCAACAAGACGACCTTGGAAAGCGAGAAGAGCCAGGGGAGGCTCGTCGACCTTGGTCTTGTGGATGAACTCAAGCTCCCTGCCGTCCTCCTGGAATCGGTAGATGTGAATAAATCCACCCGCGGAGGAGGGCGGGCTGACAGTCAGGTCTTTGGCGGTTCCGACCACCAGGAAAGTTTCATCATCCTGACTAGTGAAGGGAACAGCCGCAACACTGACCGCTGCCTCGTTCTCCTCGAGTTCGATGGTACCAACCACTTCCTTAGCATCAACGGGATCAACGATTTGAATGCACGAGGCCCAGTGACCCGTTCCCCGGGGGTACCCAAACTCCTCGGGTGGAAGCACAGTGGTGTCGCCATCTCGCGCCTTGGAGTCCTCGATGAGCCTAGCTCTCGTGGACGGCGACAGAACGTTGTTATCGGATTCAATTACGTAGAACAACGGCTGATCAGGATGCTTCACAAAGCGACGAGGGGTATACGAAAGAGGTATCGACTGCTGGAGCATATTGTTATCCAGCTTCTCGATAGAGAAGATCCTATTAAAACATATTAGCCAAGGCCTCAGAACTAATATGAATCAAACAGTGTGTTTGGAAAGTTCGATCTCAGTAGGAACAATTGGAGATATAACTAAAAAGTACGTTCCACATAGAAGTTCGGATTCGAATTCTCATCATACGATCGGGGGCAATGACACGGAATATCAAAAGGGAAAGAATGGATGAAACATACCTCAGGTTTTGGGCTTGGATTCCGACCATGCCCTCCACGCACTGTTCGCTCGAGAAGTTCCAGCCCCATTCGAGTGGCACATAGTCCAAAGGAGTAAGCATGAAGCCCTTGGTTTGGATGTCGGAGTAGCCTAGCCAGGGGCGAGAGCTGAGGGCCAAGACTGCTGTCTGTCCCTTGACTGACACTTGGAACAGCTTAACGGGTTTCGAACCAAGGAATCTTGTCCGAGTGTCGGAGAGTTCGCCAGTGACTTCATCCAGAACAGTACGGAGATAGACACCAGAGTAAAGACCGATGTGAAGGTAGAGGGTGGTACCTCCCGAGCTCGAGTCAGCCATTGAGATGATCTCGAGGGCAGACGGGGCCGCTGTAAGGGCCTGGACGGACTTATTCTCCAGAGTTGAGTCTGGGTCCAAGCTCAGGATACGGACTGTCGAATCGTCACATCCAACAGCCAGGAACGAGCTGCGCATACGGCCCTCAGGAACCTCGCCCAGGCTGAGGGAAGTGACGGTGCCTGACATCTGTCGTCGTTCATCGTACTCGGCAAGGGTTCCATCGGCATCCATTTCAAAATACACGATCTCGCCCGAGCTCAGAGCCACGGCAACCTGACGCTCATTGGTAGCAGCCGCAACGATAGACCGATGTTGAGGGGCAGGCCACTCGTTAACCCGTCGGTCAACCATGATGTGGCGAATACCTCTGGGGTGGATTTGGATAAGGGAGTCCTCTCCGAGTTGCTGGACAGCAAGCGTGGGAGCCGACGAGAGGAAGCCGGTGTCGGTGACTTCCTCGACGGTCTCACCGATGCTAAGCACGAGAGTGCCATTGGCAAAGGATAAGATGATGTAGGCATGGAACTCATCAGCCCGGGTCAGCTTCGTCGTCCACACGGCCGAAGGCACGCTAGGGAGTTCGGATTCCACGATCTCGGAAACCTCCAAACCGTGCTTAAGAGTCCTGAAGGTACTCCTCGCCCCGGTACCGGAGACTGTGTAGATTTGTGGGGCGTCATCCTCCGAAAGATTGGCAATCTTGCTGTCAATGAGAGGGTTCACGGAATTGATGGTCTCGACGAGGTTGAGGTTCTCCGCACCCCTGGGTTGGAAGTAGACGGGGGCGCAAGGCACCGTTGGGTCCGCCGACACAGTCTCGCTGGTGAATTCGATCTCTTCGTCATCATCACCCAGCTTCTCGAACTGATAGAAGTGGTGGTTTCCGGCCTCGCTGGCAACGAAGAGGAAACCACTCTTCAGAATCAGCAGATTCGAGGCAACCGGAACTGTGTCAAAGTATTTGATCTTCAACTGTCGCACCTCGCCAGTCAACTGGCCATTGTCGTCCTCGACCATTTCAATGTTGACCTTGAAGAGATCGCCATCCTCGGTTTGAAGCAGGAAGAAGAAGGCACCCCTCATCTTGTGCATGACACCTGCGACGATGCTTCGCTTGCGCTCGGGGTTCTCCGTAGGCCCACTGCGCCGAGGGATGGGTACCCTGAACGCATCCTGGTTGGAGTGACGGTAAGTGACGCTGTCCTCAGCACACACCAAGACACCACTGGGTCCATCCGCGCCGCCCGGTACTTGGAAGAGCATCGTCGCCGTGCGATCGACGGGATCAGCCCACTTCCGAACGACGTGGTTCAGACCAAGATCCAGTTCATAGTACACCAGCATCTTCTCAACCTCTTCAAAGGCCTGTCCGGTGGGATCTTGATCGGACTCGGAGTAGTCAACCTCCAGCGCGGCGAAGATGGGGTTTTCATACCCCACATCCAAGGCGATGATGTTGAAAACCAGCGTCTGAGGCTTGTGGGCTTCGAGAGGGGATGAGATCGTCAGCTCGGCCTGCGAGTTCCGATTCAGAACGTAGACGAGCTTGTTCTTCTCAACGGAGGCGATGAGACACGCTCTGCCCTTGGGATCAACCGCCAAATATTGACCCGGCACTACACGGCGGACACCAGATTTTCCAAATGTCTCGAGATGGATCCGGTTGAACCGGTTCTGGGAGGGCACGTATTCAATGATAGTAATGCGTCCCGAGTCCGAGCCGATGATGATATAATCTATATGCATATTTCAGCACAATTCAGACTAGAAAAAGCCCAGCCCGTCAACGTCCGTCGACCGGGGGCACGTCCCGCCTCCTTTAGGGGACCGGATCGGCCGATGGGGATCGTGCTGCCCGGGAAGCTTGACGAATCACTATGATGATCTTGGAAATTCCACGACAGGGAGGGAACTGAAAAAAACATACCTTTGTTGCTTCCAGCCAAGCGGAAGGCGGCCAGGGAGCGAATGATCCCAAAGACATCCTGCGAAAAGAGCGGGGTGACCTTGCCCTGAGCCGGATCGGGGCGGTGGATGGTGAGCTTGGAGCCGGACGCCGTGACGATCTGCTGTTCCTTGGTGCCGGCAAACTGACCCAGGATGGCTTGCGTGACGGCAGTAGGAGGCTGGATCGTCAGGGAGTACATGAACATATGTGAAGTGGTGGCCATGGTGGGCAAACTAAGCTCTCTCTAGCCGAGAGAAGAGCTCGCACCGGGGGAGACAAGAGTGTTGTGCTTGTTTACGACGCGATTGCAGCCCGAATGACAGTTAAAATGAAAGCAATCCCATTGCTGCAGGGCGCAGGGATGACAGAAGAGGACTCTCGAGAACGAGTGTCCTCGTGGATTGGGGCGTGGGGGGAAGAGCCTTGGGGGAACCAGACTCGACAATGCAGCCGACCGTGTCCTGAGAGAAGAAAAAAGATGAGAAAAATTCCGGTGTGGAAGAAAAGGGAAAGCAGCTCGGCGTTTGGTCTGTTTGCTCTGATGTCAGGTGACCCACTGAGTCCCGTAACGATGACCGTACGGGCCATACGGACCATACAGCGCACTTGGCACGGGACGCCCACCGGAAAGGCGGACGATGGGTTTCTGCCCGTTTCTGTTGCTATCAGACGGACTTGCCTTGCCTGTTCACGACGCCAATCCTCCCGTTCCTCTAGACTCTCTCTCTCCCCCAGACCTTGCCTTCTGGACTATCCTTGCCCATTACTTCCTTCTTGTGTTCATTGTTCCCACGATCCTGTCCGACATCCCTTTCCTCATCTGCTAATATCTTGCGTTCATTTTGGGATCTCTCCCCTCTCCCCACCTTCCCCCCCATACTATTACGTATCCATCATCATGGCCGATGACACCGCCGCGGCGGAGGATTCGCCCATCACCTTCACCATCAAATCGTCAAACGATGCCAAGTACACTCTCACACTCCCCCCGTCAACGCCTGTTTCGGAATTGAAGGAAAAGCTATCGACCTCGGAGTATGCGGACACCCCGGCCGACCGGCAGCGTCTGATCTACTCCGGACGGGTGTTGAAGGATAACGAGACGCTGGCTTCATATAAGATCAAGGAGGGACACACCGTTCATCTGGTGAAAAGCGCCGCCAGCAACCAACGTCAAGGCGGTCCCTCTCAAAGTGCCGCCACTTCTGCGCCAACCCCCGCCGCCACCGCGAACCCCTCGGCCGCCGGCGTGCCCACAAATCTCGCAGCTGGCACGGGCAACAACCCTCTGGCCGGACTGACAGGGGCCAGATATGCAGGATTCGCACAACTGCCAGGAGCTGGGATGTTTGGCCCGGATGGTGGTGTAAGTTTATTATTTTCTTTCTTTCCTTTGTTGTCTTTCTCTCCAAGTGAATTATAATGCTAACGTCAGTGGCTGCCTAGATGGGACCTCCTCCCGATGCCGAAGGTCTGCTCGGCATGCTCGAAAACCCTCAATTCGTGTCCACCATGAACGAAGCCTTGCAGAATCCCGCAGTGATCGACATGATGATCCAACAAAATCCCATGTTGCGCGACATGGGTCCCGGAGTGCGACAGATGATGCAAAGCCCCGAATTCCGTCGTATGCTTACGGATCCTAGCAACCTCCGCCACGCGATGCAGATGCAGAGAGCCATGGGTGGTGCCGGAGGTCTTGGTGGTGGTAGCCCATTCCCGGCCCCCGGTGTAACCAACACGACGCCGGAGGAAAATCGCGGTGCTCAGGACAACGCCGACAGTGGTGCTGCACCGACGCCGGCTGCCCCGCCATTCAACCCCTTCATGATGCCTCCGGGTCTCGGTGCCGGTAACCCTTTCGCTGCGCTTTTTGGTGGCAACCCCATGGGCGCAAACCCGTCCAACCCCGCCGGCGACGGTCAACCAAGCGCTACTCAGGGCGCAACCGGAAGCGAGGGTGCCGCTGGAACCACTGGCGGAGATGGTCAGAACCAGCAAACCGCGCAGAATCCTTTTGGTCTCTTCAACCCTGCGCTGTTCGGGCAACAGGCTGCCGGCCAAGCTGGCCAAAATCCCTTCAACCCCCAGCAGAACCCGTTCCTCCGGGATCCGGCTCTCTTCCAGCAGATGATGCAAGCGATGGGTGGTCCTTCGGGCGACGGTGGTGTCGCTGCCGGTGCTAATCCGTTCGCATCCCTCTTCGGAGGTGGCGGGCTTGGAAGCCCAGCTCCCCCAGACAACCGACCGCCCGAGGAACGATACGCCGAGCAGTTGCGACAGCTGAACGACATGGGCTTCTTTGAATTCGAGAGAAACATCGAGGCTCTGCGTCGGTCGGGCGGCAGCGTGCAAGGTGCGGTGGAATATTTACTCGGCAACCCATCCTAAATCCTTTTCATTCTTATTCCAGCGAGCGCTCTTCTCTTCTTGCCCTTAATTCGCGTGGGGAAAATGACAGGCCTTGGCGGTTCTTACTTCTGACTCCCCACCTCGTGCTTTTCTACAGGATGTGTATAGGAGAAATGATTGGAGGAAGGCTTGCATATGTCACGGCAGCTCCTCAGGCGGGCTTATCAATCAGAGATATTACAACTCTTTTCTTGTTCTGCTAGGTAATTCTGCCACGTTTAATGAAAGATGATGAATGAGGACCACCTGTATGAAGTAGAAGTGAACACGAATAATAAGTTCATAAACGCACGCGGGAGTCACGAGGATCAGGTGAGCTTGGCGCTGCTGGCCGGAATGCCGCTAGACCGCGTTCGGCCTCCGTCGGGTCTGCAGCCGATCGACTCTAGACTCTCTCTCTCTCTCCCTCTTCCCTCTTTGCTACTCCCGACTATCGACCTGTCATCTCCTATCTCCTTCCTACCTCTTCTCCTCGCGTACTTTCTTTCTCTCTCTCGAGCAGACTTTATCTACCCCTCTTCCTCAAGGCATTTGTCGCCGTTCACACTCGTTAGACCGCCTTAGCTCTCTCTCTCGGAATTTCTCTTCTCCGTCGCATCCAGTGTCCACTTCCTGCCCCTGCACCGGCTTTTACTGTTTCATTGCGTGTCGTGAGTTGGAATAATCCTCGGTGCTTCTATATCTGGATATACATTTTCTTTCCTCTACGCTTCCTCTTGTCTAGCGAGTCTAGCTCTGGAGGAAAACTAGCGCCGATTAATCTACATAATTGATCTACATCCGTGCTTTCGTACCCGCCACGTACGATTCATTCCACCGACACACCGTGCATGTCGACGTGCTAGCCTTTTCACCTGGCGTGGGCTCATCGTTCCTTTTCCCTTCGTAGATGATGGCGCTGGGATGGTTTAGGAGCCCTCGTCAATGGGCGCTCTGGCTGCTGTTTGCTTCCTACGCCTGCGCCTTTTACATTCCTGGTACGCTGGTTCCTTGCGACTTTCCTGTCTGAAAGACAATCCTTAGCTAATAGGTGGTTTTTGTAATCAACAGGCTACTCTGTCAAACGGTATAATGACGACGAACCGATCCCCCTTCAGGTGAACAAGATCTTCTCCGACCATACCCAACTGCAGTATGCCTATTACAACCTGCCATTCGTCTGTCCTCCCAGTGGGAGAACGCATGGCGGTTCTCCCTTCGGCTCGGGCCAGAGTGTGTCGTTGAATCTTGGAGAAATCCTTCGCGGCGATCGTATTATGACCTCCGATTTCGAACTCCGAATGGGCAAGAACGTGGAATGTCAGGCGCTCTGCACTCAGGAAGTTGGGCGCAAGGATGTTAAATGGGGCCGACAACTCATAAGAGAAGGATACGTGGCCGAATGGATTGCAGACAACTTGCCCGGAGCAACGAAGTTTGTCACCGTCGACCGCAGTCGCAAGTACTACGCCACCGGATTCAAGTTGGGCTTCCAGGACTACTCTCCCGTCGACGGAAAACAACGGACTTACATCAACAACCACTTCACCATTGTGATTCGCTGGCGGTCATCACCCGAAGGTGGTAAATTTGTGAATGGATTTGAGATCTATCCGAAAAGTATCCGGGCGGAAGACCATGAAGAAGGTGGCTGTCCCAAACAGGTTCACGAGCACCATGACGGCCTGGAGCTGTATATCCCCCCGAACACGTCGCGATTGAAGGAAATGTACCCGGGATCGTCGTACATCCCTCAGGACGATGACGACGTTGACGATGGAGCCACTCTCAAGGTCCCATATACGTACTCGGTCTACTTCAAGGAGGAGAATGGCGTCGACTGGTCCAACCGGTGGGATCTGTATTTCAGCAACCAGGATGATGGCTCGATGACGCATTGGCTCGCAATCCTCAACTCGTTGACCATCTCCGGCGTTCTTGCCGTGGCCGTGTACGTCATATGGAGCCGGACTGTCCAAGGTGATATCAAGGGCCGTGGAGACGGGGCGATGGACGAGGGTAAACTGAAGGCGCGCAATGCAGCCAAGATGAAAACCCTCGAGAGGAAGGGCGACGAACAGGGGGATGACGTCGAACGGGACGCCGAGCTCTCCGAAGACGAAGCCCTCGAGGATGTCAGTGGCTGGAAACTTCTCCATGCCGATGTCTTCCGAACGCCCGAGTACAGTGGCCTCCTTGCACCTCTCGTCGGCTCCGGCACGCAGCTCCTGTTCATGGCCTCGGGGCTTCTCTTTTTGAGTTGCCTCGGCGTGCTCAATCCCAGCTTCCGCGGCGGGTTTGTCAGCGTCGGCATGGGCCTGTTTGTATTCGCCGGTCTTTTCTCCGGTTATTTCTCGGGAAGATTGTACAAGACGTTCGGTGGTGTAAATTGGAGAAAGAACACGTTAATTGTAAGTCGCCACTGACAGTTGTCCCCGATCCAGATCACTGACATACCAGACCGCTCTTTTCTTCCCGGGACTAGCATTTTCCCTCATTTTCATCTTGAACCTGTTCGTGTGGGCTCAGGCCTCCAGCACGGCGATCCCATTCGGGACGCTGATCGGTCTTCTCGCGTTGTGGCTGCTCATTCAAGTGCCGCTGGTGTATGTGGGTAGCTGGTTCGGCTTCGTCCGAACGACGGCATGGGAACATCCGACCAAGACCACGTCGATTCCTCGTCAGATCCCTCCGCAGCCGTGGTATCTGCACAGCATTCACGGCACGATCCTGACCGGCTTAGCTCCGTTCGCAGTTCTGTTCATCGAGCTCCTCTTCGTGTTTAAGAACCTCTGGCAGGATAAGAGTGGATACTACTATGTGTTCGGGTTCCTCAGCGCCGTCTCCAGCATCCTGATTGTCACAGTCAGCGAGGTGACTATCATCGCCACCTACAGTCAGCTCTGCGCCGAGAACTACCACTGGTGGTGGCAAAGCTTCTTGACCGGCGGCAGCAGTGCCTTCTGGGTGTTTGCCTACTGCATCTGGTACTACATGTTCCACCTACACATCACGGGATTCGTGTCGAGTCTGCTCTTCTTCAGCTACAGTTTCCTCGCCTGTGCCGTGTACGGGCTCTTGACGGGGACGGTCGGATTCCTGACGGCGTATACATTTATCCGACGAATCTACAGGTGAGCCTTTCTTAGGATGTCGATGCGAACACCACTAACAGTATCCAGTGCCATCAAAGTCGACTAATCGACACCCTTCCTACCTACATTCCCTCCTTACCCCATTTCCCATTGTTTCTTAAGATAAAAAACCAGACCATGCCAGCAGAGCTCCCAGCATGCCTTCCTGTATCTTATATACATCAGCAGTTAGCGACCAGCAATCCAATTTCTCACCCATAGCACCCATAGCACCCATAGCAAACCCATCCACCCTATAATAACCCTAAACCCAGTCTTTAAATAGACCCACCCTCTAAACAGGGAAATAAACCCAAGTGCCAAGATGAAGCCATCCAAACATCTCCAGAGGCAGATCCGGACCGTAAGCGTCCCTCCACCAATAACGACCGACCAAGTCATGTGCAGGGGGCATCAACCAGTCCAAGCAGACGAGAGCTGGCTTACCCCGCCATCCATCGCGAACTTCGTTGACTGCGATGAGGCAGTTAAATACTTGATCGGGTCGGGTTTGGGTGGGTGAGAGGGTGCGAGAGAGGATATTTATTTGCTTGACTGCCTGCCAGTGCTTGTGGGTGTGGTGTGAGCGCACTACTTCTGCGCTACTATCTACTTAAGTAGCAGTGCTCACACTACCCCGGGTGCCTATCTACCTGTCTATCGTTCTCTCTGTCGCGAATACTCGAGTTGAGGGTTTCGGTGGGTAGGAAACAGAAGGATTACTGACTTACCTCGTCCTCCTACTTCTACACTACGATACCTACGATCCCCAACCCGACAAACTCACCATCTTCCCTCTTATATCCCTCCTCTACTTACCTCCCTCCACCACCAACCAACCAACCAACCAACCAACCCAATCCCGACAAAACAAAAACCGTCAAAATGAGCGACATCTCCACCGCCCCAACCCTCATCCCCTCCTCCCCCCAAAACACCAACCAAACCCCCACCCTCACCAGCAAAGAACTCCAAACCCTGCACGACCTGCAAGCCCTCCACTCCATCCAATCAGAACTCCTCCACGATGCGCCCGCCCCCTTCGAAGAAGACCCGGACCTCAGCAGGACAGCCGTGAACATCGACACGCTGCTGCGCCAAGCACAAAGCATGATCACGACGCTGGTGGCCGAGAAGCGCGGGAAGAGTCGGCGGATACGCGTCCTGGAGGAGGAATTGCATGCGGCGAGGGAGAAAGGGCGAGCGTTGGCGGCTGAGGCGAAGGCGAAAGTGCAAGCGCAAGCGCAGGTGGAGGTGGAGACGCGGGGGGAATTAGAGGCGAAGGTGAAAGCTAGTGCGGAGGAGGTGGTTGCGGCGAGGACGGTCGCGACGGAGAGGGAGGAGAGGGTGAAGAAGCTGGAAGGGGAGGTGAAGGGGATTGGGGAGAAGTTGAAAAAGGTGGAGGGGGAGCGGGACGAGAAGGTGAAAGGGGTGAAGGAGCAGATGGAGAGGAATAAGGGGTTGGAGAGGGATGTGAAAGCGAAGGGGGCGCTGGTGCAGGATCTGACGGCGCGGTTGAATCGGAAGAAAGGCGAGGGGAAGGAGCAGGCGGCGAAGTTGGCGAAGGTGATGGCGGCGAATGAGGAGCTCAAGGGGGCGCTGAGCACGGCGAGGAAGAGGGCGGAGAGTGCGGCGCAACGGGCACAGGAGGCGGAGGAGCAGGTGAAGCTGGAGAGGAAACGGAGACGGAAGGCCGAGAAGGAGTTGAAGGGGGAGGAGGATGTTGGACATGGACATAGTCATGGTCATGGACATGGGCATGGGCATCGAAGGGAGGTGTATAGCAGCGTTCCCAGGAGCAAGTCGTCGGTGATCTCTCGCATGTTCCGAGGCGTTTAGTGGGTGCATTGCATGGGTGTTTCTGTTCATTTCCTATCTTTCTTTCTTTCTTTTTCCCCCTCTCTTTTTTTTCTATTTTTTCTCCAAAGATACCTGCACCATGACTTATGACAGACTGCCAGAAAAGTGTCAGTTCCAGATCGAGAGTATAGAGCATAAAGATGAACACCATGAACACTATGAACCAGAACAACCTCCAGATAAACAAGAGCTACCAGTGGAACCGGAATCCGCCCCTTGATGGCGTGCTCGGGGGCTTCGATGTCGTTTTTCTCCGAACCCCGTCTTTCGTCATCCGCCACGCGCCCGCAGTTTAAGTTTGGCCTCGGAGATCTTTTGCATACGCTGTATATGACGCTTGAGCTGCTGGTGGATCGGTGGGTGTTTCCTGATGCGTAGACTTACGGAGTACTATCGTATGTCAGTAGGCCATTGGCGAATTGACGATCAGTCCTACCCGGTAACACCAATTCATAAGCAGGAAGTGAACAGCAGCGAAGCTTAGCAGCCGTGGCAATAACAAACCTCAAACAAGCCAAATCCATGGATTCCGTCGATCTTCCAGAATGCCCGGCACTGATGTGATCGCAGGTGGGGATGATGCCATCGATCCGCCGCGTCGGACAGGCAAATCACAGGCCGCGATGTCCCCAGCGTGCGTCACTAGCCCTCTGCAGTAGACATGCCAGAGCGGGTGGCTTGGTTAGTGGGAGCGCATGGAGTTAGAGGATTCTTCGTTTGTTTGGAGCTGGAGGTTGGAACATGAATCGGTATTCTGGGGTGGTGGACTCGACCGTTCTGGCGGAGTGGACTCGAGAAGCTGATCCTCGGCTATAGTATGTCATAGTATAGGGGATGTATACTCCGTAGCGATGGTCCACTTGACTATCGACTGTTCGCTGCTTCATAAGCGAGCTTCTTAGCAATTCAAAAGAGACAAAACAGGAAAGAAGAAAAAAAGCCAAGAAAGAAAAGCAAAGTTAGGGAAGGAGAAATGTAAACTATTGACTGTATGCAATATTCCATCCATCCATAGCATAAAAGACAGGTAGAACAAACGGAAGCAGGAAACGATCCCCGAGTTTCAGACCGCACGGATCATGTGAGCGAAGAGCGGTCTGGACTGGTTTCATCGCCTCCTCTTCGTCAGCCAACTTATCTGATCGCCCGCAGCATGTCAGCTGTCATTGCCGCTGCTTGCGCGTTCTCTGGCTGATTGGCAGTGGATGCGATGAAAGTACGGAGTCTGATGGACCAGTCTACTCAGTCCTTGGCACTATCACCGATGCGACACGATACGTTCAATATTTCGTACGAGATGCCCACCTGGCAGCTAGCCATATGACACCGACCCGGATACGATGCCCGAGTCGGAATCGTCTACCTAGCTAGGTAGTAGGTATATCATGCACGCCCTCTCTGATTGGATCGGTCACGGCCAACGCGAGGGATCAACCCCTCGCGGATTGCTTCCGGCTCGCATACGTGGAGACCGATAGTGGCAAGACTGCCTCTAGCAAAGATACGATTGGCAATTTGACGACGACCGAGGCCTGGGCCAATAGAGAGGCAGTGCATGGACTTCTCGAAATCTGCCCCTCGCGGCAGACAGGTCGAAGGCAGTTCATTGTTGATTGCTGGAGTAACGTTGCACAGCTTGGCGCAGAAGCAGGAATTCGGCGAACGGCGCCAAGAGAAAGGGGTCAGCGTGACCTGTGACAACCATCCGCTATACTGGACGGAGGTAATCCTCTGCCTTAAAGGCTATCGGTAGGATTGATTCTTGAATCAACTCCAAACCCAAAGAACGGAGGAAAAGATTTTACACCGAACCTTTTCCCCGTCAACCAATCAGCCCGCGTGGCAAGACACCCCCAACCCCGTGATAAGAGCGGACCCTGGTCGGAACCGGCCGGGGGAGGGGGGCTGGCGGCCAATCAACACCGCCCAAAATGCCAAGAGGGCCAAGATTCGACCGGCCGGAAACCGAAGGGGACTAGGGCGAGAATCCGGTGATCACGAATTTCCGGAGTTGGACTGGGGATGCAAGGATGAGCAGGGATGCGGTCGGTACGTCCAGACTTCCAGCCCGTTGCTGAACTATAAGCCTGGCGAAGAATGAACTCTCGAGATCGTGGGCGTGCGATGGTAGGCACGATGCCTCCGAGATGCGCTTCAGCGTCCCAGCCGGAGTTGGCCGCCAATGACCGTCGGCCGTGGCAATCCTTCGCCTATCTGTCCGGTCCGCATTTCGTTGCTGCTCCGGGCAATTTCTCCCTGAATCCAGTGCCCAAGTCACCAGTACAACCCGAGGACAGGATCGAAATCAGGTTTAAGCAGAAAAATACAAGCGTCGACCGGTAGAGGGATGGATAGATGTACGCAGCAGAAGGAGTGCAGACCTCCTGAAGATCCCCCGAATTCCCAAGAATTGTCTGCGTTGCAGCTGCGTGGGGAATCACTAATCACACCATCGACTCCGCCGATGGTTCCATCCCGTAGCGGTGACATCTGGCCGATCTATACGGCTCGCCTTGGCAATTCTTTTTTTTTTTTTTTTTTTTTTTTTTTTTTTTTTTTTTTCTTGCCCTTTTTATCTTCCGCCCAAAATTTTTTTCTCTGGAAGGAATCCACCGCGTTGAGCTTACTTATATCCGCGGTCTCCCCTTTGACTTTCCGCCCTTCTCTTCCTCTTTTCCCTTTCCTCTTTCTTTCTCTATCGCATTCACTTGTGTCCGTTTCCGTCACTTCCCCGCCACCCCGCCGTGATTTTATTTACTCTCTATTCTTATCTCTCGTGACGTTTCCTATCTTATCCTTCTCGGAGTCTCGTCCTTTCTCTGTGTGCCTGTGGTCTCGTGCCCACCCTACCCATCATGGCCACTAAGAAACCCAACATCCTCTACATCATGGCGGACCAGATGGCTGCTCCCCTTCTGGCCTTCCATGACAAAAACTCCAAGATCAAGACCCCCAACCTCGACCGTCTGGCTGAGGAGGGTGTCGTCTTTGACTCTGCCTACTGTAACTCGCCGCTGTGTGCGCCGTCGCGTTTTGTTATGGTGACGGGCCAATTGCCCTCCAAGATCGGTGCTTATGACAATGCGTCTGATCTATCCGCCGACACCCCGACCTATGCGCACTACCTGCGTCGCGAGGGCTACCACACGGCACTGGCTGGCAAGATGCACTTCTGTGGCCCGGACCAGCTGCATGGTTATGAGGAGCGCTTGACCAGTGATATCTATCCCGGTGACTACGGTTGGTCGGTGAACTGGGACGAGCCGGTAAGTGAACAGGAGTGAACAGATCACTGATATTATTTGAATTGGTCCGCTAATAGCATGGAATTCACAGGAAATTCGCCCTGACTGGTATCATAACATGTCCTCTGTTATGGAGGCAGGTCCCGTCGTGCGCACCAACCAACTGGATTTCGACGAGGAGGTCATCTACAAGTCCACCCAGTACCTGTATGACCATGTGCGCCAGCGCAACGACCAGCCCTTTTGCTTGACGGTGTCCATGACCCATCCGCACGACCCTTATGCCATGACGAAGGAGTTCTGGGATCTGTACGAGGATGTGGATATCCCCCTGCCCAAGAACCCCGCGATTCCCCACGATCAGCAGGATCCCCACTCGCAGCGGGTTCTCAAGTGTATCGACTTGCTAGGCAAGGAGATGCCCGACGAACGCATCAAGGCTGCTCGACGTGCCTATTATGCAGCCTGCACCTATGTTGACACTAATGTGGGCAAGCTACTCAAGGTCCTGGACAACTGTGGCCTGCGTGACGATACTATCGTGGTGTTCACTGGTGATCACGGCGACATGCTTGGCGAACGTGGACTGTGGTACAAGATGGTCTGGTACGAGAACTCCTCTCGGGTTCCCATGATTGTGCATGCGCCTAAGCGCTTTGCCTCGAAGCGAGTCCCTCAGAATGTGTCGACCATGGATCTTCTGCCGACCTTTGTCGATATGGTGGGCGCTCAATTGGTTTCGGAACTGCCGCTGGACGGTGTCTCCCTGTACCCGTACCTGACCGGCCAGGACGGTCTCAAGACCGACACCGTGCTGGGTGAATATATGGCCGAGGGCACGCAGTCTCCCGTAGTGATGATCCGTCGCGGCCGATGGAAGTTCGTCCACTCGCTGATCGACCCCCCGATGCTGTTCGATCTGGAGACCGACCCCGAGGAGAAGGTCAACCTGGCGGCCGGCCTCGTGGTGGATAACCCGTCGCGCAACCCCTCGTCCCTTGCCAAGTCGGCGGCGGCACCGCTGCAGCCCGCCGCCTTGCCTACTCCCGCGGACACGCCCCGCGCCTCGCCTCGAGTTCAACCGACTTCTTATCCGTTCCCCTCTCCGCGCACCCCCAGTCCCGGCCAGAACTTGCTGGCACTGCCGGCCACCACCGAGCCGGCAAAGATCCTGGCGTACTTTTTGGAGGAAGCGCAGACCCGCTGGGACATGGAGCGCATTCGCGACGACGTTCTCCGCTCGCAGCGCCGGCGGCGCCTGGTGTACTCGGCGCTGCTCCGGGGCAACCCCCAGATCTGGGACTACGAACCGCGAGTGGATCCCAGCACGCAGTACGTGCGGAACCAGGGCAAGGGGGCCTTGGACGATGTGGAGTTGATCTCGCGTTGGCCTCGCGTGTTGCAGCAGGCGGCGACGGCGGTGGGGGCTGACGTTTAGGTTGGTCTTAGCCAAGAGACGTTTTCGGCAAATATTCACGATGGTCCACAAGACGACTCGAGAAAAAAAAAAAAAAAAAAAAGCATGGCGTGGTTGCTGATTTCAATATTTTGGGTCATTTCTCACCAATTTCTCGGCCTTTTGTCATTACTATTTTTGAGCGAGGCGCGATACCCGGCATTTAATGCGTTGACAATTCTTCATGCGAGCGATTGCGATATACTGTACGGAGCGACGCAGAGCTGTGATGCGCAAGCATTGATGTATGTACATTATCCGGATCCAGGATCCAGGATAGGTCGGACATGAAATATAAATGCTGTGCTCGAGATTATCTTCATCTTCATCTTCCTCTTCATCGGGGTTTAGTGTAACGCAATCGGCCGATAAGAGCAAACGCCGAAGACGTCATCATCCCCGCTCCCCGCTCCCGTGACTCAGTTTTCTCCAAACTCCTCTTCCCTTCTGTCTTTTCTTTCATCGTTATTCAATTCACGCGATACAAACAACCAGCACAATGCCCAAGATCACCGTGGGCGTTGCCCAGGCCCGTACCCATTCCACCCTCGCTACCACCCTCGACGCCCTCTCCCGCATCGCCCACCATGCAGCCTCCCGCGGCGTGCATCTGCTGCTCTTCCCCGAGGCCTATCTCGGCGGATACCCGCGGACGTGTTCCTTCGGCAGCAGCGTCGGCGCCCGCCAACCCCACGGCCGCGACCAATTCCTCGAGTACTTCCACTCGGCCGTCGATCTAGGCGATACGCCTGCCGGCGCGGGTGATGATTGGGTCCGTCGCGCCCTGCCGCTCGCCGAGGGGAAGAATCACCGCGGCGACGGCACCCGCGAGGCGCTGGAGAAGATCGCCCGGGAGACGGGCGTGTTCATCGTCACGGGAGTGATCGAGCGCGCTGGGGGAAGTCTATACTGTGGTGTTGTTTACGTGGATCCGCTGCGAGGATGTCTGGGCAAGAGGAGGAAGGTCATGCCGGTAAGTCCTGTTCCTATGCCATTTGCATTGATCCAACTGACACAGTGACTGATGTGGACGCAGACCGGAACTGAACGTCTCGTCTGGGCCCAAGGATCTCCGTCTACCCTGAAAGCCGTGACTACCCATCTCAACGGCGTCCCCGTGACCCTGGCGGCCGCCATCTGCTGGGAGAACTTCATGCCCCTGCTCCGACAGAGCCTGTACTCGCAAAACGTGAACATCTACCTTGCCCCGACGGCGGACGCACGCGATACGTGGCTGCCGCTGATGCGCACGGCGGCGTTCGAGGGCCGCACGTTCGTTCTGAGCGCGAACCAGTGTGTTCGGTACAACGAGCTGCCGGAGTGGATCACGTCTCACGCGGAAGGGCAGTTTGCGCAGGCTTCTGCTCCGACGCACGTGCAGCAGACGCATTACCGGAAGCGGTCGGTGACGGCGGAGGGACCGCATGAGATCGTCTGGCCGGATTGCAAGGCTGATGGTTTGTCTTCTCTCCCTCATTATTTCAGGATTGGTGCAGCTAGCTAACACCCCATCAGGAGTTTCCAGCGACGCAACCTCGCCCTCCGTCTCCGTCCCGAGCACTCTTCCGACCGACTATGTCTGCCGCGGCGGCTCCTGCATCATCGACCCGCAAGGCCAAGTGCTCGCCGGACCGATCTGGGAGGTCAGCGCGGACGATACGCCGGACTCTGCTGCGGCTGGGTACACGGACGGTGGACTGGGTGGCAAGCCGCGTGCCGTGGGCGACGGACTGCTCGTATCGGAGATCGACGTCACGGATTGTGAGCGCGGACGGCTGGACATGGACGTTGCGGGGAGCTATTCGCGAAACGACTCGTTCAAGTTGCAGGTTGATGGGTTGGATTTGAACCCGCCTCCTTTTTAATAATCTCTAGATGTGAATAACCATTGATGTTGAATATACGAGGATCCTAGGTAATATATGACATAGTATTTGCAAATCCTGGAATAATAATGGACACATCAAGTACTGCAGTTGTACTCAAGCCCGTGCTAAAGCAGCGTGAACTGTAGGACATCAAATGACCTCTCAGCCCTAACCGGCCACCTCCAAACATTGGTGTATGAACTGGCTCAGCACGGTTCTGAGCAGAGGAAGAATGCAGTACATTCCCTATCTGTTGGTTACGCGCTCTACTTCGGCCCTCAACGCAATAGCAAGCAAGATGCAGCCGAGATCTTTCATATCTCCGGCCCTCGTAGTATCCCAGGGCCCGAACCCATGCAGTGTTGGGAACCCCGGCGATTCATCACTGTCCAGGGCTTTGTTCAAGTGTTTGACATAGCTCTCTTCATAGTGAGCAAACGTAAGGTATATATCTCGTGTCGGTCTCGAGAATCAATCGCAACCCGATGCCCTTGCTACTCCGGTTAAGGAAGGAAGAGTATACGACCAGGATCAACCGGCCTGTACTCATTATCGCATTGACTGGCGAGTGATGTTTGTTACCTGGAAGGTGGCAAAGAATCTAAATGACCTCGTTTTGGCCCTAAGTGCCTTTGGGCAGGTTGCCCCGGAGAGTCATTAAAGAAAGTCCTAGGACGAACAATTGTTCGAAGCCGGGTGAGGGCTCCTGACACTGACTGGAAACAATGCAGTATCTGATCCTGCATCTAATCAAATATCTTAGACAGGTTGGATAGAGACTACTCGATGGTTGGAGGGATATTAAAGTACAGTATTACTATTATTCGGGGGGTAAAACAAAAAGAAAAGAAAAGAAAAACAAATCCGCGGGCCTTGTGTAGAGGCAAATAGCACGGTTGAGCAATCTTGTGAAGGAGAGAAAACCTAGAAAAGAAATGCTAACATGAAATTAAACATGGCCCGTTCGTCGGTATTGTCTCTGCCGTTTTGAGATATGGAGACGCTCAGTTGACCCTAGCACTCAAGTCGTGCCAGGATGAAAGACGAAAAAACAATGATTATCCCGTTCAGTAAGCTCACCCTTATCGGCTCTGTTGATACACCTACTGATAAAATCACAGACTGGCTGAGCAAAGCCATCGGGTCCAGTGGCACCGGAGACAGCGAGAGAATTGCTCTCGCTAAGCTCACGCCCAATATACTTTAGGCTTTTAATTATCCGTTCCCCTTGCGCGATCTGGGTGGCCGCTATCCCCAGCTACCAGCGTCCGTAGTAGTTGATATGATCGACGAGGGAGTTTCTGATGACATCGACCCCATTGCAGGGTTGCACCGCACTCTTTGTCGAATCGGCAGGCATGCTTGTGTCCGCGTTCGGTGGACTGGCGCCTGCAACAGCTGCCGTGGTATTGAGCGGTGTTGCATGAGAAGGGCCTGCCGCGGTCGGTTTGAGAATATTCGGAACGTTGGAAATGGCCTTCCAGGCAGTACGGCCACCTAGGATGAGTTCGCCCAGTTGTACCATCTCCGGTCGGCCGAGGCATTTTCCAGATACCCATAGAATTCCACCTGTCGCGTCTGCGATGGGGCCTGCCTGAGCGACGATCCTCTTCACCACCTCAGGGCATTTGCTATCTGCCTCCTCGAACAGCTTCAGGCAGGCTTCGTGCTGCGATGTGCCTGGATATCTTTCCTTCAGGAGAAGATTCAGCTGTACCCAATCTGTGTAGATTGCAGGGTCCCCCATCTCGTCGATGAAGTGTCGCGAGAGCGTCAAGCATAGAAAGATAGTGTGCACCTCTGGCGCTTGCCTGAAGTACCCCGCATGTGCTTGTCTGAGGGTTCCCTGGAACAGACTTGACAGGCTATAAACACATGACCTGTTATTAGGTATAATAATCCGGTAATTTACGGTACACCGCCGAAATCAATGAGCCTGAAACCCATGGATGGGCATCTTCCAAAAATAGTTTAGAGCTTCTTAGTATTAGGGTTGAGGGAACACGGAAAGAATAGACATAGGTGGTGACACCGTCGATACTGTAGCGACCAAGGCCGATTGATATGTATCCCTCCGCCGGGTGTCCGTTGGTTGATCTGCCTACAGGCTATATAACTAACTGCTATCTAAGAGATAGAACGATGGACAACCGTTTGCATGGATCGATGCCTGGCTGCTAAGGCAGCAGATCTTATCAGACGCAGACGAGATCTGATAGGCCCGGTCAATCCACGCATTTTCCCCGCAACATCCATTCTGTTCCCCTACCTACGTCTTCTCCCGCTTCAATCCACGTTCCCTTGATCTTCTCTCTTCAAATTTCATACTTATTTCCACCAGATGCATTCTTGCCTTCCGCCATAGCAGACAGGAATGTCGACCCCCCGCCAACGCTCCCACCACAGCTGCTGGACCTGCAAGGCGCGACGCCGCAAATGTGACCGCGGCCGCCCCGCCTGTCGCGTGTGCAGTGACCGCGGCATTCTGTGCGAGGGATACGAGGTGCGCTTGCGGTGGGGGTCGGGGATTGCGTCGCGCGGGAGGTTCACGGGGGCCGGGGAGCCGGTGGTCGCGTCCGTGCCAGTGCGGGTGAAGGGGAGACGGAGGGATTTGACGAGGGAGGGGATAGGCCTCGGTTTACATGTTGAAGGTGAGATTAAATCGTCAATGGTATTGCCAATGGGTCAAGAGTATCGACGTTAAGAATGGAGATTGACTGTGATGAATTGCGAGGTCTGCTTAGTCGGCGACAGTCCCTCGGAGTCTTCGGGCAGATCTCCAGAGTCATGCTCTGGGCGAAGCACGGAGGGGGAGAGGTTGTTTCAAGAATGTAGGTTTGTGCTTTTGTTTGATGATGCCTAAAGCTTATTATGACAGTCCTCTCGTTTGGGATTCACATTCTACACTCTACGACGGTCCACGACGAGGGGAATCTCCTCGCCCCGCGACTGCCCGAGCTCTGTCGGCAGTCTGAAGCTTTGTATGCGATCTGCCTGGCCCTGCAAGCGTCGATCTCTGAATCGAATCCTCGGTTTCTCGAATATTTCGACGCGGCCCTCAACCAGTTTCGGACCGAGTTAGCCCGCAGCATGGAGCGGCTCTCGGACGGAACCTTCACTGCTGGTTTGTTACTATGCAGCATTGGGGTTCGTTCATCTTCAGGCCGCTTGAACAGCGACTAACTGCAGTTGACAGCTTGTGCACGGATTACCATGGACAATGCACCTCCACGGCATCCACACCATCCTCCAACACCAAGGCCTCGACACCCAGTACCGCCAACAATCTCCCTTCCGCTCTCATCTGCACGAAGTAATGGGTGTCATGGACCTTCCCTCATTCGCCATCGGTCGCCAAAACCCTCCCCTGGGCTTTTGGCGCCGATACTGCCGCAATCGCGGCGGGATCGACGACGTAGAAGTCGTTAGCGGCCTGCCGAGGTCCTTGCTGGACATCTTCTCCTGCGTCGGCGAGGGCGGCGCCACGGAAGAAGATTTCTGGGATTGGCCAGGGAGTCAGGGGAGTTTCCTGCAGTGTCAGCTGTGGGAGGCGTATCGGTTGGCGGGGATGCTTACGGTGAGATATGCTCAGTTGCACGGGCTGTCTGGTCAAGCGATAGGGTCTAGATCTCGATCTCGATCTCTATCTACATCTAAATCTCAATCTCGAGCACGGGAGCGGGAACGAGAACGAACTCTCCCATCGACGAAAGTCCTCGTATTGCGGATCCTCAGCTGTCTAGATGCTATTGCGCGGGGCTCGATCGAGCCAGACGGGAAAGACTCGCTGGTCCTGAACGCCATTCACTATCCTATTTTCGTGACGGGATTGCAGACTGGTATTTTGGATGAAGATCCAGGCTTGAAACAGGTTCTGCGAGGCTGTGTCGCTCTTCGTCGATCCCGGGCTGAGGTGGGCAGAGATGGGCAGGTGTTGATGGATCTACTGGAGGAGTGGTGGCAATCTGATCGTGAGACCAGCGTGCATCAACTTGCTCAGTCGAGGGCCTTGGAGCTGGGGTTACTCTGATGGGTCTAGGCTACTCGTTTAGTCTAAGGGGTGTGTTCCTTTGGGAATACATGGTGTACTGGTACCTGGTAGTTGGTTGTTAGATATGTTTGGATTGCAGACTCGTCAGAGTTCTATGTTAATTTATACAGTGTCTTCAAAGACAAGAGATTCTCTCTCCCCCTTCTCTATTTCTAGTTCAAGCTTTATCGTCCTGCCTCCTCCTCCTCTTTCGCTTCTAACGACAAAAACGTACCACTTAGACTCTCGGCTTCTTGGTATTTCTTTCTTTTTAGAAGACTGATTACTCTCTCTAACCTTTCCTTCTTTTCCTTCTGCAGTTCTTTCTTTGTTTTTCGTAACAGAAAGGTCGCTAAACTATCTCAATAGTTTAGCGACACTTTGCACCGCCTTTTGTCTATAAAAAATTAGCAAGAAAAGGAAAGGGCATGACTTGTCCAAAATACCGAGATCGTTGACGATCTCCGGATGGAGACCTTATAGACTCGAGAAAAGTTTCCTCTCTGAGCTTGCAGAGGAAAACCGAGACGTGACAACGGCTGCATCCGTTAGAATATTCCCCCCCCCCCCAAATGGACAACTGTCTTGTTAAGCCGCCTTATGGCCTCGTTCCTTTTTCGGTGCCCTTTTTCCAGGCGTCTCGTACCCATGTAGAAATTGCCCTCTGTCGTATATCAAAGTAACGGGCTTCAATAGTCTTCAGACGGTCGATGTTGCGTTCTAAGTTCTTGCATCCCTGCTTTAGAGCGAATACCGCGTCTTCTAAGTCCTTTTTGCTCTTTTTCATGGCGTTTAGTTCCTTGAGGATATCCTGATTTTCATGCTTTAACTTTTCAAACCGCCTTCAAAAATCCCAATCTCTGCTCATTTTAGCTGGTCGAGAATACTGAGGTCTTTCGTGATCTCTGATTCTTCGTACTTTCTTTCCGTGAGAGGATTAACCACATTCTGAAGTTCTTTCTTCTTATTTCCACGAGACTCTTTCTTTGTCTTAGAAGTAAAGTCGCCACCTTATCTAAATATCGCAAAGAAAGAGGCTCCGAGATCGATCTGCACAGAATTAGCAAGAAGAAAGGTCAGAACTTGAATACCGAGATCTTTTATGATCTCCGGATGCAGACCGTATAGATTCGAGAGAAGAAGCTTCTCAGAGCTTGTAGACGAAAAACGGGATGCCACAACGGCGGCATCAACTAGAATATCCGCCCCATGCGTTCGGCGGGTATAGAGAGAAACACAGATGGATGAGGATCCCAATAGGAGCCGGTTAAAAGGGCAGGGGGGACTCTGGGTGTGATAATGGGCCTATAGCCCTGACCTCTCGTTGGTGAAGAAGAAATGCTTCAAGCTTAGGTCAAGGAGAGGTCTGTGGGAGTTCAGAACTAATCGACTCGCTGTTTCCCCGTTTCAACACAGGGAAGGTGAATGACGCCTTCCTGTTATTGTCTAATTTCTCTTCCACTCCTAAGTGTGAGGGAATGAGTACGGCATGAATTAGAACAGAGCCTCCCAGTGAATGATTTTGTTGTCTCTCTCTGATTAAGGTACTGACTACATTTACATGGAACTCTACGTTTATTTCTGCGATGCACTCTAAGAAAACAATTTCATTCTCCCTATCAAAAACTTCACCTTTCTCCTGCACTTACTCCAGCATCGAACATCCCGTTCTCTGCTTCTTCATCATTCATATGCCATTGGCTGAGACGCAAAAGCCTCACTTAGTCTCTCCGCTTCTTCAAATCTTCCTTCTTGGAGCAAAACAACCAAAGTCGCTCTTCTCCTCTCTAGATCTTCAGGAATTGTCGGAAGACTATTTTCGTCAAGATGCTCTTCTGACTCCTGCTCAGAAAGCAAGATCTCACTTTGCTTCTCCGCTTCTTCGTATTTTCCTTCTTTGAGCAAAGCAACCAGGCCCTCCCGGCTTCTCTCTTGATCTTCGGGGAGCTCCTTGCAATCATTTTGAAGAAGGTAGGAAGCCATAGCACTCAATGCTTCAAAGGACATGGAGCATTTATCGCAGGGAAGCGCGAGGACAGTCTCGGCATCAAGGCCATGCAGCTTTGGGAATAATATTCTCTCCAAATCCTCAGGCTTAAAACGCTCGGTAACCATAAGAGCGTCTGCTAGAATGTCTCCATTATTGGCAAATTGTTTCCCCAATCCTGGTCTATTTTGCATCCTGCTCTGGTGAGGAGCCGAACTCCTGGTGACCAAACCACTTGAATCTCGGGGCTTTTTCTCCATTTCTCGGCGTTTGTTCTCCTCAATTTCTCGCTGCCTCTCTGTGATTTCTCGGTACCTCTCGACGATTTCTCGGTCCCTCTCCATGATTTCTTGGTGCTTCTCCCTGTTCTTTTGGTGCTGCTCCTCAATCTCTCGGGATTCCTCTCTAATTTCTCGGTAGTGCTCCTTAATTTCTCGGTACTGCTCCTCAAGCTCTCTTTGCTGCTCCTCAAGCTCTTGGCACTGCTCCTGAATTCCTTGGTGTTGCTCCAGAAATTCTGGGTGTCGCTGCTCCTGGATCTCTCGCTGCGCTTCGAGCCTGTTCTGCCTGCTCTTGTAAGCGTGCTGCTCCTGAATCTTTCGGAACTGCTCTTGAAACTCTCGGAACTGCTCCTGAGACTCTCGGTACTGCTTCTGAATCTTTCGCCGCTCTCGAGACTTTGCTGCCTCCTGTCGTACAAGGCTGATCTGGTTCTCAAGATCTGCTACTCTCTTGTTCCACTCTTCCTCTTCTGTTTCAGCCTGGCTGCTGCTAATCAGGGAACCCATAAAGAGAATTAGTTTCTTCTATACCAAATTACGGGGGCAAAGTGTACTAACTCAGGAGAGAAAGATATTGACCTTGATTGACGTTGGATATCAACAGTCCTAGGATGCTTTCCAGAAGATGAGAGCTGTTTTATAGCCGGGCCCGTTGCGAGTATGATCTGCGAAGTCCCGGTAAATGCATCTATGGAGATCCTTTGGTCGTCTTCCTCCGTTTAATTACTGTGGTGGCCGTAGGCTTCCGGGATTTCCAATCCCACGCGGCACGATAGCCGGAAGATGCAAGTAAGGGGCTCGGATTAGCGGTAGTAATCGTATAGTTATCGAAGGTGTCGGTCACTCGGTAGTAGATCGTAAGAGGCCGGAATACCTCGTTATGGGTGACTACTTTACTGGCTTTTTCCGGATGAGATTTCATCATTCCACCAGCAAGACGCCCGGTTATAAAACTGCCAGAAGCCCTCAAAAAGAACTTTCCTCATCGTCGGCCCGCTCTCAAGGGTTATCTTTCTATCATACCTTTACTACTCTGAATCAAATCGGTGGATCTGCTGAATTATCCCCTTACTTCCCACAGCGGAAACCGGTCGTTGTCATGAATCCCATCACCAATAGAGGGGACGAGGCAGGTGCTACCAAAGACAACCCTCGTCAGTCTCTAGAGTACAATGAAGAGCAAGAGGTCATTGCCAACGAGGAGGGATGCGATCTTTACCAGCAACTTGACTGGATGGAGAGTGAATTGCAAGGTTTGAAAAAAAGGCATGCATTGCTCAAGAAAGACCTGGAGATCCGAAACAAAGACCTGGAGATCCAAAAAAAAGACCTGGAGATCCAAAAGGCCCAGATTGCATTGCTCAAAAACAAAAACCAGGAGATCCAACTGATCCAGAACCTCATCGATCGCCATCACCTCGATCGCCGTCAAGAAGCAATTCGCATTTGGATGCGAGATGCCTGGCAGGAAGCAACCCCTGAACGTATCAAAAAGGAGGTTGTCTATGACGGCAACATCTCGACCGATGCTGTCGTCGTCACTACCAGGTTTGCAGCAGACAGCCCAGCAAGGACACAATTCTCCAATCTGTACGGACTGGATCCAGACACTGCCATTGCGCTTTCCAGCCCTAATAAATGTCCGAAGTCTTTATGGGTATTGGATTCGATGGCATCCTTTCTCCTCACGAAAGCCCGGAAAGAGCTTCCAGATGATAAAAAGAAGAACCGGGATACGTTGGTTGCTTTTCTGAAAGCACAGAATTTTGAAGAGGCAGAAAGATTCGCCGGGCTTATTGAGCATGACGAATGCGGATGCAGAGCTTTTATTAGAGAATGAACTTATTGTATTTGGTAATTGAGTGTACTGCTGAAATATAGTCGTAGTGGATTGCCCGACGTAGCCTGACGCCACCTATCGTGGCTCCCAGATAGTGATGATTCATAGGAATACGCAAATTCTCATTCAATTGTCCTGATCATCAAGTGGCGGAAGGGGAAGCTTCTCATTCTGAGGAGCAAACTGCCACACATTTCGCTGTTTGCCCTCTCCGCAAATAGCTATCTAATGCATGCGATACCAGTGAAGACCTCTTTCTTCCAATGCAGCAGCAATCAACCAGACATTACAGTCATCCATTCTGATACGTTTGATTTGTTTAATGACCGGAAGACCTAAGTCATCAGTCCCTAATTTCACCTTACAAAAGGCAACACTGATCAGCCGCCAACGAGCCTACCACTGCCACTACGACTACTATGAGTTGCCAGATGGCGTGTCATGCAGGAGTCTAGACATTTATCAGAGTCAAAATGGTTCTTTAGATGTTAATGGAAATGGAAGAATTGTTTTGATGCCAGGCTATACATCGCTGGTCATGATAGGTAGATTCATGCGATCATCAATCAAAGGAGCAAACGAAGCTACTAGAGACCCTGGGTCTTCCTTTGGGAGGTGCCAACACAAGATGCAGTATACCGGTACCCCGTCAATCGGAAATTGAAGAGGAAACAAATAGAAGCAGGAAGATGTCATTTGTTTCCCTTTATCTGTTTTCTCTCTATGCCTCTATATACTACCCTCTTCCCCCTTATCTTTCTATATCCCGGTCTCTTTCTATCTGTCTATCTTTCTCTCTCCCTCTCCCTCTCTCTCCTACTCTTTCTATTGCTCTGTATCCCGCTCTCTGCCTCCTTTTCTCCCTCATTACCTGTCTCCTATTTCTCTACGTACATCTCCTGTGCTACACTGATATTTCTCCCTATCTATTTCGACTTGTTGTTATACGCGGATAAAAGACCATTCATAAGCTTAGACCACACTGTTAGAGTTCGACGTCACTGCATTACAACATGTGTTTCGCGATGGGCACGGATGATGCCATGACACCACTAAAATGTTTTGCGATAAAACGAGGTGCAATCCAGGCGGACCGCGACACGGTCCCAAAGGTCAATGCTCTTCCCTCCTATCTTCCGTACCCTTTTTCAATCAAGAGGTTTTGCTAACGGATCTATAACCTATTGCAGAGAGTCAAAATTGTTTATATGACTTCCATGGAGCCTAACGGCGAATGTTTAGTGGAGATGGTAAAACAACGCATGCATCAAGCGGCCAGTGAAATCAGATACAGAGAGAAGCACGATGTCTTCACGAACGACGAAGGAGAGTCTTTTCTACAGCAATACAAGCAATTGACTCAGCACGTCCATGAGAATTTGAGTTCAAATCACGCGTTGAGGTCCCATATCGTCAAACTTCAAGATGAGAATCTTGTCTTGAGAGATGAAAATTGCGGCACAAAAGATACGGATTGTCGCTTGAAAGGAACCCTTGCCATGAGTGACGCGGAGCATGCGTTGGAAAAGGAGAAGCATGAATTGGAAGCCAAACTCAATACATTGAAAAAGGATAAATCTGCCTTAGAAGCCGACATGCAAACATTGGCAGACCAAAACAGTGCCTTGAAAGACGAAATGACCAAGTGTATGGCTATTCAGAAAAGATACTTGGATACACGAGAACGAACGTTTTTAACATGGATTCGAAAGCTCTGGGACGAGCACGACGAACTCAGAAATGCCAGAATACGCAGGCTAAACAGGGAGGTCATCCATTCTGCGGATATCATAGCGGATGCTGCGATGGTGAGCGAACGATTCGAGCCAGAACAATCGGAGCGGACACTGTTTCCGTGGTTATACGGTCTTGATCCTGAGACCGTTATCCAGCTGAGCGAATCCAGGGAATGCCCCGAGTCCTTACAAGAGCTCAACAGGATGGCATCGTACCTGCTCAACAGAGACCGAAAGAGACTTACCGACGACGACGACAAGAAGCGGAAGGGTATAGTTGCTAATATAAAGGCACGTGACTACGACGGGGCCGAGGGGTTCGCCAGAGGACATATAGAGTAAGAATCTAGGATGTAAAGTGTTGGCTAGAGAGAATAGACGTATTGTATCTGAATACCTGAGTACACTGCATACATCAACGTAGAGTTCCGTGTTCGTAGGGCCTGAAATTGCGAATGAGACGAAGGAATAGATTTGGGTACGGGGAGGGAAATATCTGTATAGATTATCAATTATCTGCTCTATCTGCCCTACATGCATGAATGATAGTCCAAGCCGATTCCAATGTCGAGTAGTTCGCCGCCTACTCTGCGGAAGATCAGTGCATACCTTGCTCTTTGCTCGCTATCGGGTATTCCTCTGCAAGAAAGAATTCGAGATAGGGAAACAAGATTATCTTCAGAATCGACATCCCAGATTCATCACGCTGTGCTTATAGCACTATGAACCGACGAGGACATTGCTCGCCTTGGTTTTATCAGTCTCGGTGTCTGACTCTTGATGGAAACGAATGCGCAGGGACGAGACAGAGGTATCGCACGATGGCTGGACATGATCTTGGTAAGAAATCGGATCATACCATAAGTGTGAGGTCGTAAGAAGTGCCATTGAATAGACATGCATCGGTGGATGGACTGTACTTAGTTACTCCAGGTAGTTGGCCGGCGAGTTAGGGCTCACTGCCCCCGGGTCGAAGAGACAACAGAATTTTCACGATGGCGTGATTGCGCATTGCTAATGGAAATGCAGCCCTGTCTGAATTACTTGATGGCGTTACTTGAGACGTCCTGATAAACAGGGACTATAGTGTAGTAAGTAGCAACTAGTCAGTCAGAGATTTCTATGTGAGGCCGGTCGGTTAGACTCGGGTCTGGCTGGGTCGGTCGCAGCTCGGTTAGCGTCGCTTGGGCGGTTGAGAGTACGGAGTATACCAGGATATCTGGTAAGTATTGGTGCTGTTGGAGTGAATTGCTACTGCTATGGCATTGCTATTGGGATTGTTATTGACGATTGTCTGTGGTCTGGTGATGCATTATTAATCCAAAGTCTGATGCGACAATACGAGCTGAATAATGTGGATGCAGATTGACCAGTGCCTCTGATGACGGAGAACACGAGAGGACAAAGAGTCTAAAGTCTAAAGGCGGACCGATGTCGAAGGGCGTGTGGATCCACCGTCTAGTCTATTGCTTTAATTTATTATTCTTTAATTTACTATTCTCGAGTCATCTCCTTCGTTCGGAGTAGGACACTAGTCTCCGGACTAGAACTGAGAACCTTGGGGCAGCAGTAACACGGAGTAGTGCTAGGGAATCCAATAAATACAAAATCAATCCTCAATAGGCTACGGCGTAATCGATAGTCTGGCGTATACTAAGGCACAGGACATAGTAAGTACATAGTTGGCCTGCGAACACGTCAACCCCCAATAGTTTGGTCTCACATGAGAATCGAGAGCTCGACTCAAGATTGTAGCTCCCGGGAGAAGGGAGATCCCTTGAAAGGTGCAAGATCTTCGCTCATGGCGTCAGGGCAGCCCAACTTTGGACCGGGCTAGGGTTGGTTCCAGACGTCGCAACGGCCAATGGTGCGTCATCTTCTACCGTGAACAACTCCGATGTCGACTCCGTATGTAGTCCGATGCGACAGATACGAGGACCACGCCGAAGACGCCATCTCGCTAGAGAGTAAGTTCTCCGAGGCCAGGAATACGGAGAAGCAGACCGGTCTCGCCAGGTTGCCGACAGGGCGTGTGGAATGTCACTCTCAGGGCGCGAGTCAAAGTCGATCGTCGACCAATTGCCGCCCGGTGGATCCTAGCGTCGCTCAATCAGCTAAACCCGATGAAGAACTTGACCAGAGAAAAGAGACGACGGGGACTGGGCCGGTGGTCAGTGTTAGGGCGTGCGCAGAGCTTGGGAGAAGCTTGCGATGATTTTCAGATTTTCCCGACGACAGTCAGGGCTTCGCGCCACCACGTGCCAAAGGCTTCAAATTCGAGATTTCCAAGCAGGAAGGGATGTGACTCATTGCGCGTCCTCTGGCTCGTCCTTCCATGGGTTTTTAATCCTTTTGCATTCTGTAGACACGGACAATGACGTCGGATGAGTTCCTGACCTGTACGCAGTCACCAGATATTAGATCCTTCACCCCTGGGGACGCTCCTTGCTCCACCGGCCCATTCCATTACTCAATTGTAACCATCACCCCATCCCTGCATTCCTCTTAAAAGCTGGGGATTCCTCTTCGTTTCTTCTGTTCCTCTTCTCGGTCCCCACTGTTCCTGTCATCTCTTTGTCTACCCCGTGTCTTCTGAAGGGCGCTGCCGCTGTCGGATATACTATCCCGCCAGCACAATGGCTTCGTCCATCATCACTCGGGGGTCCAGCACCCTGGAGGCCTTCACCTCGCGCGCTCAACCAAAGGTCACTGTAGATCTACAAGGCCAGACTGAGGGTCTGGTCAACACCTACACCACTGGCGACCGCATCGAAGGCACCGCCACCATCACCGTCGACCGCGATGTCCGGTTCGACGACGTGGAAATCACCTTTGAAGGTATGTCCATCTGGCTCTCTCTCTCTCCCCCTCTGTCCTGCCCCATATCCTGACTGATTGACTCAGGAACGTCGCGCACGTCGGTCGAGCGAACCTCCATCCCCGGCCGCACCGGCGCATATCAGACCTTTCTGCGCCTGCGCCAGCCCATCGACGACACGGCGTATCCCACGCCGCGCGTGCTGGAGCCCAACCGCACGTATCAGTTCCCCTTCACCTTCGTCGTGCCCGAGCGTCTGCTGCCGCACGCCTGCAGCCACCGCAAGACCAACGTGCACGTGGAACGGTCGCACACGCTGCTGCCGCCCACGCTGGGTGACGCCATGCTGGCATCCGACGGCAAGACGCTGCTCGACGACATCTCGCCCGACATGTGCCGCATCGCCTACCTGGTGCGCGTCACCGTCTTGCGCAGGAAGCCGTCCGACTCGGACAACGCCAGCTCCAAAAGCCTCGCCTCCGTCGGCAAGAAAGTCCGCGTCGTGCCCGCCGTCGACGAGGAACCGCCGCTCAACGTCGAAGACCACGAGTCGACCTACTGCACGCGCAAGGAAAAGGACGTCAAGCGTGGTCTACTACGTGGGAAACTCGGCCGTCTCGTCGTCGCCGCCACGCAGCCCAAGCCTGTGCGACTGAATCCCCCTGCCACCTCGGAGTCCGGCGATAGCATCACCAACAACACCAACAACAACCCCGTCAGCACCGCCGCCACGCTGCATCTGCGCTTCGATCCCGTCGGCACCGAAGCGCCGCCTCGTCTGGGCACCGTCTGGAGCAAGCTGCGCGTGTCCACCTACTTCGGTGCCGAGCCCTGGCCCGACTATCCGTCGCCCTCGTCCTCGTCCGCCATGATGCTGGCCCAGATGGGACGCGGCAGTTACACCGAGTCCGTCCCCCTGTCGACGTTGTGTCTCGCCTCGTCCGCCTCCGCCGGCTGGACGCGACACGAACCGCCTCGTCTGGACCGCTGCGCCTCGCGCCAGTCCAGCACCAGCTCGTCCTCGTCCTCCTCCTCCGGCACCGACTCCCTCACCGGCCCCTCCGCCTCCTTCGACGGCGACAGCGCCTATTACACCGCGTCCGTCGTCGTCCCGCTGGCCCTGCCGTCTTCCAAGACCTTCGTGCCCTCCTTCCACTCGTGCCTCATCTCCCGCGTCTACGCCCTCGACCTCAGCATCTCCTACCACACCCCCAACGCCAATATCCTCACCCCGACGGTCTCCCTGCGCATCCCGCTGCAGTTCACCTGTGCCAGACGTGCGGTGGCCCAGAAAGACCACCCCCACGAGATCTCCATCGACGAGGTCAATGCCGAGTTCTTTAACCCGCGCAGTGTGGCGCCTCCGCCGGCGTCGTCGCTCCCCGCGCCCCCGGATTACTCGGAGATTGCGTCGTTCTCGGTGTTGCCGGATCGGTCGCAGGATTTGTTGACGAGTGCGAGGGGGAGGGTGCGGACTGCTTGTTGATTTTTTTCTGTCTGTCTGGAACGAGGTCCAGTGGTTGAAAAGGGAGGTGAATGAGCCATGACTATAAAATTACGGTTTGATTTGGGCGTTTGCATACAATTTGATATACCCTTAGCATGTTGCATGAGTTAGACTATATTGGTAATTTTAATTTGATCTAGATATTATTTTAGAGTTTTGTTGTATACGCTCTTCTTAGATTTTGTCTCGAATTAACAGTGATATTCTCTCAAATAGTACTATCCGAGATAGTACATCCCAACTGACAGCCTCATGGGGATAAGAGAGTCAGCTGACGAGTTGATGATATCTGGCTGGTTGGGGCGTTAACACTGCGTATCCGGAGTCATACTGAAGCATCGGGCTATGGAACTACCAGTACACCAGCCGGAGGGTGAGGTCAAGTCAAATATCAAATGATATAAACAAGTCTAAACTTTTCAATCATGTACAAAACAAAACAAGAAACCAACGCCAATCATGCATCCCCTCTCCTATCTCACCCTCTCTTTAGAGCCAGACATTAAGTCAACATATCATCCAACCTCTCCCCCAACACGCCCTCGATCTGCTTCACCCACTTCCGGACCTCGCGCTCCACCTGCTCGTCCTCGTCCTCCATCAGCTCGCTGATATACGGCAGCATCTCCGGCAGCAGCGCCAGCCACTCCTCGCCCAGCTGTTCCGTCAGGGACTGCTCGGCCTTGAGCGCCGCCAGGCGCGTGAACGGGTTCTCGCCGCCCGCCGACCTACCTGCCACCGCGGACGGGCGCAGGAAGCGCATCAGCGTCGTGTTCAGCTCCTTGTGGTTGTCCGTCGAGTCGGCGGCCACGGCCAGTTCCGTGATGGTGGGCACCGTCTCGGCGATGACCAGGTTGGCGCTGGGGGAGTTGGTGGCGTGCGCCAGCTGCGAGATCAGAGGCTGCGAGATGGCGGTGAGGTGCGAGGGCGATTGCCAGAATTCTGGACGAGTTAGTCAACTGCACTTGAGGATTGGCTGGGCAGAAGGGAACTTACCATCCTGGTCGTGCTCGAAGGTGTTGCGCAGCATGCGCATCGTGGCCAGCCAGAGAGCCTTGGTGGCCTGGTCGGACGGCTTGGCTTTGCTGAGCACGGAAACCGTGCTGTCGATGATGTAGCTGGAGTAGCCGGTGACGATGGACTGGATAACGAAGTTAGCATGAGTCAAATTGGAGAAAATTAGTGAACATACCTGGAGCGTGCCGAAGAACACCTGCAGGAACTTGAAGAACGTCGTCTGGCGGGCCAGGTTGCCCTGCGTATCCTTCTTGGAAACACTCGTGTTGGCCCAGTCCAGCATCTTGACAAAGATCGGACGGAACGCCGTGTCGTTGAGCTTGTAGATCATCTTGATCGTCATCTCGTTGATGCCGTCCTCGACCTCGTCCACATCCGACAGCTCGAGAGTAGCCCGAGTGCCGAGGGAGAGCTGCTCGCGGCGCAGGTCAAACGCCTTGAACAGGACATTCGTCAGGACGGGCAGGTTCTTGTGGATAGCCGACTTCGGGTGCTTCTCAATAGCCAGGCTGACAACCTCCAGGATCTCCTTGGTCGCTTCCGGACCAGCCGCCGTGGCTTGCTGCCAGTTGCGATCCACCGCTCCGAAAGTGGCGGCGACGTCGACCTTGCGCGCCAGCAAGCGCAGCGCCTCTTGTCGGCTTTCGGCCTCGCTTTCCTCCGAGGTGGCAGACTTGAACGAGAGCAAGAGAATCTTGTCCAATTGCGCGCCGGAGAGCATGTAGGGCAGGTGGACGAACAAAGCCGAGAACAGCGAGTACACGGCATCGTGCAGGCGCGTGTTCTCCTGGCCAGCCTGCAAGCTCAGCTCCAGCAAGGCCAGCGAGCGGCTGAGCGTCGCGGGGAGAGCGGGAATCATCGACTGCCCAAGAACCTCGGCCATCGAAGCCAAGCACAACACACCCATAATGCGGATGCGGTCGTCCTCGGACCCGATACAGGTCTCGCCAGCCACTGCAACGGCAGCCGGGATGACCTTCGACGGGTCCTTCTTGCCGTACTTGTCGGCAATGCGATCGATACAGGCCACAGCAGCGTGCTTGAGCAGGATGTCGGGAGACGTCTGCACGATGGCGACGAGCGTCGGCAGGAAGTCCAACATGCGGATCTGCGAAGGGCCGTCCCGTTCGGGGTTCTGGCGCAAACGGCCTTCCAACAGGCGGAGGACCTTGCGGCGGAGTTCGTCGTTGGGCCGCTGCAGCAAGACCTCGATGGTGTCGAGGAAGTCGGCAAGCGACAGAGTGCCGAACAGCGCGCTGAGCACTTCGCCGCTGGCTTGGCTGACGGGCTTCACGTTCTGCATGGAATCGCCAATGGCCAGCACTTGCTCCAAGATGCGGGAGAACAGATCCCGAATCTGGCCGGCAGCATCGCCCTCGGACTCGAAATCTTCGGCCATCTTGGTCTTCAACGACGAGTGACGGAACAGGTAGGCCAAGGCCCGGAGCAGATCAACTGCCACCTTCTGAGGCTCGCGCCCGTCGTCACTTCCGATGCCAAGAAGCACTTGCGAGATACCAGGCTTCTGCTTAAGCGAATCGATCACCAGATCCAGGTATTTCTTGTATGTCTGTTATAATATTAGCATTCCGGAAGAGAAAAATCAAAGGGGGGGGAGTGTAAAACGCACGCTGAGTTCAACAGGAGCGTCGGCATCGGACACGAGACCGGTCATTAGGACCAGCACATCCTTGTCCATAGAGTACCTGTTGGCAAGCATGGCAAGGACGGCGAATAAGAAGTCCTGCGTACCGAGCTTGGTGATGAGAGCGTGGAACAGTCGCAGGCGACGGTGCGACGGGATGTGTTCGAAGGCCGCAGTGAAGCTGAGCAACAGCTCCGACGTACCCGAAACCACATCGCGCTTCTGGTTGCGCAAAGACTGGATAAGGGCCGGAACGACCTGGTCGATCGTCTGGTCGATCACGGAAACGGAGTAATCGTCGTCCTTGCGCAGGACGCTCGAGCCCATGAAGGTGAAGATGGGCATCACGCTGTGCAGAACCAGCTCGGGCGCAATGACGGACAAGCCGGCCACCAGCAGAAGGGCCGAGTTCTGCACCTGAGGGCTGTCGGTGGTGCGAACGCAATCCACCGCCAGGTCGGCGCGGATGACGGAGGTGTCGAACTGCGGTTTGGCGCTTGCCTTGGATCGGTTGACGATGGCCAAAAGGCTGCCAAGGGCCAGGCTCAGAAGGTAGCTCATTCCGGACTGGATCTGCGACTTCAGATGATGAAGAGCGGCCAGCGTCTGGAACAGGCCATCGGCCAGCTCGGGGTGGGCCTCTGGGGATGAGCTGTCCACCAATTCCAGAATGAATGTCATCTCCTCCATGAGTTGGCTCAAGTTCGCCTCGTCGCGGACGGTCATGGCAACCATGTTGTTCTGGCTAGTGCGCCTTCTCTTCGGGGCCGGTCCAAGAGACTCCATGTCAGTGACGGAGGCAGGGATCTTCTGCAGGAAATGGAGCAAGACAGGACCCGGCAGCTCGACGCCGCGCAGCACATCGCGACAACCAGTGACAAGCGGCGAATCCGCTGGCCCAAGAGAGATCTCGAAGATCTGCTCGGCGGCGACAATTTGCCGGTCCTCGGGCACCTTGGCCCAGATATCCCTCATGCGCCGGAAGACGGCGTTGGCAAAAGAGGGACTCAGGGAGTCCGAGTAAGGGTGAACGTTAGACAGAAGGAGGGTAATAGCGTCCTTCTCCTTCGGCGTGACGATCGCAACGACCTGATCCTCCATTTCAGATGCAGAGATGCGTTCCTTCTGGCAAACCTCCTGAGCCTGCTGCTCACCCAGGCCGCGCCAAGTCTTGAGCAGGGGCTCGAGTTCCTTGGTACGGGTGGTTCCACCGGCCTTGTCAACGCGGTTCAGCAGCTTGAGCAGTCCATCCTTGGGGGCGAAGAGCGGCACTTGAACGGCATGGGAGCAAAGGAAGGTAAACAGGCTCAATCGGAGAGCCTTCTTGATCTCCGAAGCTCCGGAGTCGGGCACTGAAGAGCCGCGCAGGGTCGTCTCCAGAACACGGCCGATATGGGCGGGATCCAGGATGTACTCCTCCAGACCGGGGACGAATGCACGCTCCAGCACTTTCTGGGCATCCCGACCGGAAAGCCAAGGGATATTCTTGGACTGCTTATCTTGGCCGTACAGGGTTTCACGGGCCCAAATAGTCAGGCTGTCTGCCTTCTTGCTCTTCTTATACAGATTGCCAATAGTGGCCAAGAGCCCGGCAGCTTCACGGCGAATTCTTTCGGAAGAATCAGTCAGGGCAACCAAAGCGAAGGGAATCAGAGCCTGGAAATCAAGGCCGGCAGAGTTGAGGAATCCGGAAACGATGCTCAAGGCCGCCGCCCGGGTGCCAATGGGGAATGGACCAGAGAAAACGCGGATGAAGAAAGACAGGAACTGAGGCGTCTTAGTAGCTTCGGCCTTTCCGAGCACCTTCAATTCGGTGAAAGCATCAAGTTTCTCCTGCGATCCCACTGCGAGCGCGAAGACCTGGACCAGGCGGTCGAAAACCGGGATAGACTGAGCACTCAGGAAGGAGGCCTTGAACAGGCTCTCTCCCTTCAAGGGTTCAAGGGCTGACGGGAAAGCATCCTCTTCCGGTTTCTCCTCTGCATCTTCCATGTCCACGTCCTCCACGGCCTTTGGCGTCGGCGCCGACTCGAGGACTGTCTGCAGGTTGTGTTCCAGAGCCGTGATGTTCAGGGCTGATTCTGCAACGGCCTTTTGGAAGATGGGCTTGAGGGTTTCTGAGCTGCTGAAGTGTTGTACCAGATCCGCCAGATGAGTCTGAGAATCCAAGGACATGACACCTTCCTTGTTCGCATTGCTGGCAGCCTGCATGACCAAGGTCATAGCCCGGCCGGTGTCCTCTTCGCCGAACAATTGCGTTTCGAACATAAGCGACAACAGGTCGAGTCGGGAAGAGTCCTTCTGCTTCGAAAGATCGCCGACGCAACCAGCCACAAGCGCAAGGAGCAGGTTGGACGTCTTATACTGGCTCGAGATTTCGGACAGCTGCTTCACGGGGTTGTCCAGTCGAAGGATTGCCTTGAAAGCCCGCTTAGGTATCGTTGCGGTGGGCTTCTGCTGTGCCAGAACGGACAGACAAATCAGACCCGAATTCACCGTCTCTTCAGTCCACGAGGCCGCAACACCCTCCATCAGACCGTCGAGGACGTTGTCCTGCAGAGATGCCTTCTGCGCCAGAACCACGCACACCATGTAGCACCCAATCACCAACTCCGAGACGTCCTTCATGCCAAGTCCGTCATTCAGGACCGGGAGCACTCGCAAAATAATATCGTCGTGCTGCTGTTTCTCCACCGCTCGGCGACCCGAGCGCGCTGTGTCCAACATTCCCGCAACTGCTTCCGTCATGATGCCTGCCCAGAATGAGAGGAGCGCATGGTGGCCGGCCTGCTGTCGGCTGACCGTAAGGGTATATTCATTAAGCGCCGCGAAGAATGGCTTGTTTGTCGTAGCACTGTGCAAAAGAGGATGACGAGGAGGGTTGACCATGCCTTGCTTGTATGGGTTGAGCACCTTGAACGTGGGCGACAAGTCCTTGGGGAGTATCGAGAGCAGGTTTAGGAAAAGAGGAGTGGTGTGGTACGGCAGGAAAGTCAGAATCGTAAACGCGGTGTTGTGCTCGTGAATTCTGCAAGATGTCAGCCAAAGTCAGAGAAGAAGAAAAAAAACCTTCATGTCAAGGTCGCTGTCGCACCGGAATCGCCGAATAAGCCAATCCACCGCTTTAACTGCCGGACTCAGCAGCAACCTTCCTCCAACCAGGGCCAGGAAAGCCTCGATAACGACATCCAGCTCCTTGTTCTGAGCAACGTTCATTTCCCCTCGGTCCTCGCTGATGCTCTGTTCGCTGAAGATGGTGCGCTCGAACGGCGCAAACCGGGGGTCCACCAGACATAGCTCCTGGAATCCGTCGTAACATATTTCGTAAATCGTCTGGAAGTCCTGAGATCCGGCAACCTTCTTGTCGAAAATCAGCGATTGCGAATGGTGGATTCGCTGGGCTCGGAGGTTCGTTTGGCTGGTCGAGTTGGCCGCGATCTGCGACAACTGCGCGGCGAGAGACGACGCCATGATTCTGAGGGTAAATTAATTTTTAACGATATAGACACGCAGCATCCATCCCCAGACAAGCCTCTTCTAGTGCTGACTGGCGTCAAAGGGCGATGAATCGACAATTGGGGGGTGGAGGAAGAGGAAGATGATCGGAGCAACTTTTTTTACTGCCGCTTTTGCCCAGCAGAAAAAAATCGCGGAACGGAGTTTTTCCACTTGTCGATTCCGCCTTCGACCCTCCGATTACGATGTCTCCCGCGACAGAGCATGGATTCCTCCGCCTCCCAGGTGAGTTTCGCCCTTTTTCGGTGGTTTTTTGTGCCTTTCTGTCGGTCATTCCACTAATTATGTCTCCTTCTCTCCAGGAGGAAAAACCCATCCCGCGCTTTGCCAGCTTCAAGCCGCCGCCAGCACCTCCGCCCGCTGATCGCAAAGAGAGAGAAGAGAAGGAGAGCACTCGACACCGTTCCAGTCATCATTCAAGACATAGGAGTCATCGCGATCGCTCCCGATCGAAAGAACGTCGCAGAGATCGAGAACACCGAGAACGAGACCGCCGAGAACATCGCCATGCGCGTCGAGAGCCGGAACCTCGCCGTCGCGAGACTCCAAGGGAACCCACTGAAGACCGATCGTCGAAAAGCGTGAAGGTACCTGAGGACGAGGTCCAAGATCTCTACGTGATTGATCGCAAGGGTGACAAATACAACCTGGTCTATGGGACCATCCATCGTTATAGCATTCCACTCTATCACCGAGTAGGTCGAGGGAGTGTATTGGGTCTCCCTCCGAACTATAAGATCGACCGAGATACCGCCGACGGAGACGCGTTGGTCGTAAGGACAGATGCATGGCGCTCCGATACGTCCAAAACTAAATCCAAGCGTGTCCTAGCAGGCCTAAATAAACAGCGACCAAAGCTACTGCGAATACGCCAGCCGTCGTCGCCAGATGAAGATGCAGATGCCGACAAAGACTATCTCCCCCTCAACAGCTCTAGTAGTCGACGACGTCAAGCGACCGTTGGCGAGATTGAATCGGACGATGAGAAACACGCTTATCGGTCGATCCATGGCAAAGCGAAACCGGAAGACGACATCCCGAGCGACCTGGAGGCCGTCTCGGACAGCGGATCCAGTGATGATGAAGCTGCCCGCGTCGATCCGGACGAGGAGATCAAACAACGAAATGTGGAACTGACCAGGAGTGTCGAAACAAATCCAACCAATGTCGGCACGTGGCTACAACTGATCAATCACCAAGAAACTCTTCTGCTGGGCGCTGGACGAGAATCCCGCGCCTTGACTTATGCAGAGAAACAGAGCTTGGCTGATATCAAATTATCGCTGTATGACAAGGCGCTCAAAAGGTCTGGTCAGAACCCTGTCCGTGATCGTCTGCTCCTGGGCAGACTGGAAGAGGGTGCGAAACTATGGGATACGAAGAAATTGTCTGCACAGTGGCAGGCTGTATTGAAATCGAATTCTCAGTTCATCAGCCTCTGGATCAAGTATCTGGATTTTCGACAGACTGAATTTCTTGATTTTACCTACGAAAGATGTCTGTCCACATTTTTAGAGTGTTTGAAGCTCAATCGGTCGGCTCCAGATAACCCCGGAAAAGTCCACGTCCAGATCTACCTGTTCCTGCGGCTGACGGTCTTCATTCGCGAATCCGGGTTCACCGAGCACGCTGTTGGTCTCTGGCAAGCAATTCTTGAATTCACCTTCTTCAGTCCGCCGCGATCCGATGCCGACTCACAGGCGCTCGTCCGGAGCTTTCTGGACTTTTGGGACTCGGAGGCTGCTCGTATTGGCGAAGTCGGTGCAAAGGGCTGGGCTAACGGTGGTGGTACTCCACCAGATCCCGCAACCTTCACACCAATTTCACGCGTCCATTCAAAGGCGATTTTTAAGACATGGGAAGTCTGCGAAAGAGAGCGGATCTTCAATGCTCGACTCCCAGGTCGCAGCTTGGACGAATCCGAAGACGACGATCCTTTCCGAGTCATACTTCCGTCGGATCTTGAGGAAATCGTATCATTATTCTGGGATATGAATTCACCCGAGGAATTGGCCGACGCTTTTCTGATTTTTTGCCAACTCCCACCTCTCATTTCTGCAAGAAATCTTGAAACAACTGCCTGCTGGGTTGGCGACAGCTTCCTTCAAAATTATCTTGTGAATAGCGCACACTCTACCCTTGAAGACTGGCTTCCCTCAAGCTCTGCCAGTACCGACCAGCCAATCCTCTTTCCTCATCAGAAGTTCATTCACACTCTTCAGACGCTCTTTGCCGATCAGGGGACATGGTTTGCCTCCTTAAAATCATGGGCTCATGCGACTTCGCTCTCACGATCCGATATTGATCCTGACTGGGTTCGGCGTGTTCTGAAATTGTTAGTGGAGGCAATGCCACTGAACGAGCATCTAGCGGAGTATACCGTCGCGGTAGACTTCGCATGCAACAACAAAGATGCCAAGAAATATGCAAAGTCGTTGCTGAAGAAGCGATCGTCTAGCTTGCGACTCTATAACTGTTATGCGCTCATAGAGCGGCGATCAGGCAATCTGGCCGCCGCCGACCACGTCTGGGCGACTTCTCTCTCGATGAGCAAGACGTTCGCCGAGAAGGACCGGGCTAAGAACGTTCTGCTATGGCATGCATGGATATGGGAGTTGCTAGAAGCTCGAAATACAGCTCACGCCTCTCACCTTCTGCTGTCTATGCCCGACAACAGCATCGACCTGAAGGCATTCCCTGATCCTTCCAGTCAACCCACCATTAGCCCAACAAGTTTTCTCAAGATTCAGAGTGTAAGTAACAATTCCCTCAATTCAATCGCAATGTCGCTAACAATCCCAGTGTCTGTCGGGGACGCAGGAAACTGCCCTCGCCGCCGGGGCTGCCGACGTCCTCTCTGCATGCACCGATTGTCTGGCCATCCTTTTCTATCTCACCAATTCGCTCGACCTCGTCAAATCACAGGAGGCATACCTCAACGCCATCCACAGACTTACCTCAATGCCATCCCAAATTGGGATATTCCGACCATTCGCAATCCAACTTCTCCACCAGTCACGCGCACGACTCCTCTACCACCACGTCCGCACCAGCACCCTCTACAAACCATCCTACATCCGGACCCTGCTAACAGAGAGCATCTCCCTCTTCCCACACAACACCATGTTCCTCTCCCTCTTCGCTTGGAACGAATCCCGCTTCCGAATCGAAGAACGCGTCCGAGACACCATCAGAGACATAACCACGCACCCCCGAAACACAAACGCAAGCGGAAACACCCACGACCTCCTCGCCACATCCCAAGTCCCGATAACCTCGCACCTCTTCTCCATCTACACCGAACTCAGCCGCCCGGTCCACGCCGGCTCAACCATTCACTCTGGCCGCGCAGCGTTCGAAAAAGCCATCACCGACCAAGACACCTCTTCCTCAACCTTGCAACCCCCCTCCACCGCCCGCTCCAACCTCACCCTCTGGAAACTCTACGTCCTCTTCGAACTCTCCCACCACGACATCCCGCGCGCCAAGGACGTCTTCTACCGCGGCATGCGCGCTTGCCCCTGGGCCAAGGAACTCGTCATGTTAGCGTTTAGCCATCTGCGCGCGGACCTTGTGCGGGATCTCAGTTCTTCATCGCGGCAGGACGAAGGAATGGGCTTTGATGAGCTGCGTCGGGTGTACAATGTCCTCGTGGAGAAGGAGTTGCGGATCCATGTTGATATCGAGGATCTGTTGGATGAAGTGGCGGCGAAGATGCAGGGACGGGCTGTGGCGTTGGGGGTGCCGATTACGATGCCTGAGGATGCGGAGAGTGGGGATGAGATTATGGGGGTGTAGATAGAATGTGGATTGGGGGTTCTTTGTCTATACCTTGGTGAATGTTGGCACGCTCATAATAACATAGGTTAACTGGTTCCGGGGCCAGAGTGCTCGGATATGACGGACTACGACTACCTCTTCAACATCTGTACTTGTAAACTCATATCGCAGGCTATATACTGAAACTATAGTACACAAATTGTAAGACAATGACACAGGAAAATCCACAAGCCAATCAAACCAAACAAAGACAAAACAGAAAGCAGCAAACCCAAGCGCAGAAGACCTTGACAAAAGCACAAAAGAAAAATCGTTACTCATCACGTCTCATCAAAAATACCTATACCCTATCTTTTCGCTTCGCATGCAAATATTAGACACTGTCTAGACCGTCGTAAATAGAAAAGAAAAGAGAATAAAGACAGAAACAGAACTAAAAGAGGATCGGAAAGCTAGAAGTGTTCCTTCCAGAACTTGAACTTAATATCTTTCGTCGAGGTCGTCACGGCGGCCTCTCGAATCTGTCGAGCCGCTGCATTCGGGCCGCAGAAATAAACTCCAATCTCGGTGCGGCGGTTCAGGGTCCCGTACAACCCGGACAGGTAGGTTTGGTCCTGAAGACCGTCGCGCATGGCCGTGAAGAGACGCTTGAAGTCGGGACGGCCGAAATTGGTGCGACTCCGCAGTTCGGTGAGAGGGTCGAGGTCCTGGCCGACGGAGTTCAGATAGATGTTGGCGGCGGTGTCGTCGTCAAGACGTTGCGTGAGGTAGGTGTGGATGCGCAAGAACTCCGCGCGGCCCTCGTTGGCGGCGGCGGAGGCGGATTGAGATTCAAGAGAGGACAGGAGGGCTTGGAACCATTCGAAAGAGGAGGTGTCTTTGCAGACCCAGATGAATTCAACACGGCGGAGACGACGTGGGGGGTTGGGGCCGGATCGGAGATGCCAGATGTTTTTGAGGATGGAGGCCCAGGGTGTGACGCCGATGCCGGTTCCGATGAGGACTGCAATTTCGTTCTCGAAGACGTCTTCGGCAGGCGCTCCGTAGGGGCCGTCCACGCGGAGCTTGGGCATCTTTTGTCCGTTCTGCAGAGCTACTTCGTACATGCCGAGCGGGTCGAGCCCTTCGAGATCCCGAGCCTGTGCTGGTCCGCAACCTAGAGCGTCTCCCAGGGCGCGGGTGAAGTCTCCGACTTGGCGGACGTGGACGCTGACATATGAGTCAAAGGGGCAGGAGGTTATGGTGAAAGGATGCCACTGGGTGTTGGACACCTCGGGGACCTGAATGAAAAGCCATTGGCCCGCTTTATACCTCATACTGTCTTTCTGGAACTGGATCTCCATGGCATCTGCTAGTTGTCAGAGACCTCGACTTGTGAGGGAAACATTGGATTGGGCATACCATATGGATGGCGGATCACCTTGGTAATCACAGTGTGTCGCCTAGATCGAATTTCGCGATAGAGTCTTTCAAGGAGATAAAGTCCGCCTCCCACCAACTCCCATCTCCATCCTTCGTAGCCAAGACAGTGGTCCCAAAATCTTTCACCCGCGAAAGGCGATATCGGATCCGCCGTATCTCGAACGAAACAGCCCGTAGCATGGGTATAGAGGGCCAGCATGAATGGCACAAATAGGTGATGTGTGTACCAGAATGTTTCAAATGACTGCTGACGAATCCGATTGTGCGCCGTAGTATACATCAACATCATGCAAAGCAGCATAACATGTCCTGTTATTCCACCTGCTTGTGTGAAGTGTATTTGAACCGCCGTCTCTGGTCGTAGTTGGTTCTTTTCAACATTGAAAAAACTGAGGGTTGTTAGACTCTCCACCTATGCGACGACCTGAGTGCACTCACTTGACATAATGTGAAGCGGTGTGGATGACTGTAAAAACGAGCAGAGCATATGCTACCTGGCGATGAAACCACACCGTCTCGTCCAAAGGAAGCCATCGTATCCTCGGCCTGATACATTTGATGATATTCCTGCACATAGGCAGAAGAATAAGAGCCCCATCGACAGTGAGTACCAGGCCCGCACCCCTGGAAAACCAGACTGAAAATTCCAGGGTATTGAGAGCATCTAGTTTCGAGTTTGCCGCCTGTAAGTACCTAGGGAGTATCAGCAAATGTGCTCGGTGAAAGCGCGCGAAACTCATACCAGCCTACTGCAAATATAGCAATATGTGCACCCCAAAACAAAAAATAGAACCAAAGTTTCGATCCTGTGAAATAGGAACCCCAGGCATGTGTCATGGTGAGGGAGAGAGATTTGGATGAAAGCAATACAGTAGCAAATTTTGCAGCAGCGGCTATAGCATCGACCAGCGATGACTGGCTCAAGTGAAACAACAAAACAATTATTTATCACCGATATCTTGACAATTTTTAGACCTTCTCTTGAATGACGCCGAGCCGTGTGTAAAAAGTAAAAGGAATGACTTCTTTGTTTCGACTCTGGTTATTTCATCAACCAGGACTGTTTTGCCCAGCTTCAGCGCTTCGCTCAAACCCAGCCAAAGTGAGCTGAGCGAAATGAAGATGATTGAGATTGCAGTCAGGGGTTCTGGTCGACGATGGCATAAGGTGCAACAGGGTTTGATATCCCAGGTTTGGAAAGCGAGATAGTGAGCTGCCTTTGTTGTCTGGGATTGGGATTCTCATATGGCCTCATGAAGTGTTCTGGTCCCAAGGGGAAAGAGCGCCAGCCAAGGTTGTCGTGTAAAGCCACTAAAGGCAAAAAAACAGATCGATCAGAAGGCGGCACCTCGGGTCAATTGGGGGCCAAGAGGGAGTCTCATTCGGAGCATTATTGTTATCATCGACAGACAGCGCATGTGGGTGGGGGGAGGTGTCTGACGATGAGAAAATTTCGAACGGCTGGCGTCGTGGTTCCCGGAGGAATGGTTTGGGGTGCAGACGTGCAGGGAAGACAAGAGGAGGGGAAGGAAAAAAGGCCCTAAATAGCATAGTCCCGCTGCTATATTTATGCCCCCTGGCGCTCTGGGCAACGTTGCTCGACCGCTGCAGGTCCTACCGGCTTCACTTTCACCTGTTGACGGGCAGCTAGTTCGTAGGCTCTGCTGCTCTCTCGAGAGAAACCTTCTCGCAGCCACAATGGTCCTCGTCGGTTACGTCGTATGATTTGGTTCGTCGTTGCCAGATCAGCTCTCGGCCATTTCTTTTGTTCCCCTGGGCACAATCCTTCAAGTGTGCTCGGACGAGCCGATGTCAATCCATCACATTGTGCCATGAACCTTCCGACCGGCCTGATCTTTCTGGTTTGAGCGGCTATCCCGGCCACGGGTTCAAGAATAGTAACGCCAGACCCGCTGGTTTGCTATTCCTATTTCTCTTGAGTCTTCTTTTCGCCTTCTCATACCCTGGCGATTCCACCGCACAAAGAAACCATGTGGTGCCAGGATAAACCGCAAGCGATTGGAGCCCAGTGGCCTCTTGGCGAATCCGTGGAGACCGGAGCTTGTAAAATGATGTCCTCTTTAAAATAGATGATTTGCTTCGTGGACGGTGGAGTCTCTGCCACCCCAGGACGGCGTTATCCTATGAGAAACGTTCTGCAAGCGCGCATGCCGTCACACGGTCTTAGCGTAATCCTAGCACCCCGGCTTCGTGCTCCACAACAATGCAACTTGTTGGAGGGGAGGGGTTGGAAATGATGTTTAATTGACTGCCAAAATTAGACTCCTATCTGGAATGCTGGTCCTTTCCAGGCCTTGTGCCTCCCTCTGGACTAGTCCGAAGCGGCATGCATCTCCGGGCAAGGCCTTTGAAGTCGTACGGGGTGGTTGGTGCTTGGCGTTGAGGGTCTTGGAATAAATCCGAGATGAATGCAAGGCAGGATCTTGGCCCACTTGGCTCTGCAGGATGGAATTCTCATCACATTTGGTGGGAGTCCGTTCGACAACTCGGCCCTGTCAGGAAACTATCAATGATCTCCCTCTAGTCGGTCAGAGGGATTCAAGCAAAAAGACGGTGAGATTGGATTGGGACAAAAGAAGGATTCAGGATTCAAGGTCGACCGGCGCGAAGTTCTTCCTTCTCATTTGCTTGGTCTGGTTCGATATATTCCGAATTCTGCTCGTCGCCATCCTCCCGTCGCAGAGAATCTGTCATCCCAAGGCCAAGAGATGCGACAGGTGTATGGCAGAGTAGCATCAGCGAAAATCGCCGCCCAGGAAGATAAAAAAGGAAACAGTCCGACTCCGAATCCCCCGCGCGTCGAGTCTTCACAGGAAATGTCCTGGACCGATCGAAATCAGTCAATCAGAACGTGGAAGTGACACAAATGCATCGGCCGCTAAAGTGTGTTCCCGCAAATCTCCTGCATGCTTTGCTCCACCGTCACGCTCCGTCTGGTCGCTAGTGGGCGCCGTCCTTCGTGTCTGGCGCTCTCATTTGTCGCAGCCCCGAGGGTCGTGCATGGCGATAGCGCCCAACCAGGGCGGCCAGGACGCAGCATTTCCAAGTCGGGGGGATCCTTTCTCCCGTCTCCAGTCCTCTCAGATCCAATCATGGGTCTCGGAAGCTCTGAATGTGTGAAGAAGCCAAGAGGGGGATTTGGTGGGCACTGGCCGGCGATTGGTGGCGAGGATGCAGCGGTTGCGAAGGAAGAACTGCGTATCACCGAAGGCAAATCAGGTGGTGTCGGTCCCTCCGTTGGCGCCAAGTTCAGTGTACTTTCGCAGTATGTATTCCTCATCCTTCGCTCCCTTCGCTTCCCATCCCTCCACCACATCTGAAATATGACATGACTCCTCCATTCCGCTAATCGCTCATTCCTCGTATTGACTGTCTGTGCGGATGTGATTGCGGTGATTCGAAATCTTATCTCCCCATCTCACTGCTTGTCGCTGGATCGTATCACTGGGGAAATCCCAACTTTATCAGTCAAATCAGCTTGCCATGTCCTTGTCGAAGAGATCTATACGTGCAACTCCCATTGACAAGGCGAGCGATTGAGGAACACTTCCATCGCGTTGGTAGCATTTGACCTATATCACCTTTCGCCGGACGAAAGCTACTCAATAAATACGTTACCTGCCTCCCAGTCATCATGGGAAGGCTAATCAAAAACCACTGGGGCCGATTAATTATCCTCACCGCTGCAGCTTGTACGCTCATTCATTTTCCCATTCATTGTGTTTCTACATAGAATGACCCGGAAATGCTAACGGTTGACCCTCATTCTAGATCAAGTTGGCAGCGCGATCGAGGGATTCATCTGGCCGAAAGTATTCTGGGACTTCATCACCAAAAACCTCAACGGCGCGGTGGCACCAGTCCCCGTCCTTCAGATTCTCAACCTGATCATGGGCCTGCTCGGTCTCGCCTGGGAATGGCCTCTAAAATACTTCGCCGGAACCTTACCGCATCGCAGCATCGAATTTCGACTTGTACTATATCCACTCAGCGCTCTACTGTCGGCGCTCCTCTACCAGGGCACGGACCCTGCGATCTACTACTTGGTTGGCATCGTGGTGTATTTTTGGGCATATAGCGAGGGCGAGGTATGTGCATCTATCTTTCGGCAGCTTGGAATCTGTGTATTGACTCTTGCAGGTTGTATGCCCGGAGCCATGGACATTACCGAAGCGAAGATCTCTCAAGGTATAGCATGACCTTTATACGCAGCGGGCGGGTTGCGACTTTACGATTTTAACGACATTTATGGCATGAGAAACGGTTTTATTGGGGCATAATGGTTCTCTGGGAAACGGAAGGCGTTCAATATTGGGTAACACAAAGAATAGCTGTCAGTGATGGCCGGTTCAATGCGGGTGATCAACCTACTGCCTGCGACTCGATAATAGCATAGTGCTCTCTGTATTATAGTGCAGCGATACAAATAATGCACATACTCAACATCCTCAACATCGTCAATTTGCTGTAATCTGACAACTACATACTACTTATATATATTTATTCGCACGGACTACTATCCAGAAAACCTACCTACGTCTTACGGTCAGGCTCTTCCTCAATAACAATTATATATCCCTAGTGAGACGATCCCCACAGCTACTACTACATCAACAATTTCATAACAAGCTATAAAGCTGGTATACGAGCATTAACAGAATAGCCAACAATAACCAAGATTCAAAATTCTTATCCGCAGTTCCAAAATCAATTACCATATTTGACCAAACTCAGCTTCTTTATGCAGAGTTTATGCATATACTATTAGATAAGCACAATTCACATATATGTATAAGCACGTGACTAGGTGGCCAACCTTCCCGATAAAGTTTAGTCTCTCCTCCCTGTAAGGGCATCGCAATGCTCTCTCTGCCTTCAAAACAGCAGAAAAAAAAGACATCAAGGCTTCATGAAACCATTCGCCACCATTCCTATAAAACCATCATATCTCTATACACTAATCTCAGAACCCACTAATATAATATACCGCCAGACTCAGACCTTCCGAAAGCCTCAACCCATGCCTCCCACCGCCGCCGACGATGACGTTCCCGTGAACAAACTGACTAGCTTCAATGGACGGCTGAATCAGTATTTCCATAGCTCGAAGAATCTGCACAGTGGGAGAGACCAGATCACGAAGTCGGATGTAGTCGGTTTGTCGCAGGGTGGGAGTTCGCAGGATGATAGCTCAGGCTCAGGTTCGGCCTCGGCCTCGGCCTCGGACTCGAAACGAAGACTACGGTCCTTCGATCACGATCAGGATGTCTCAAACAGTACGGAGTCGAATCCAGAGTTGACTTCGATACCTACATCGAAACGACGAAAGGGCAACATCCTACTTCCATCACGCACGACTCGCTCCAACTCAACAACCACCGCCGCATCACCGTCGACCTCATCCTCGCCACAACCACAACCTCAATCACAACCTCAATCTCCAAACCCTCAATCAAAACCGAAACGCACGTCCCGCTCCCGCCGCAAACCCTCCTCCACCGTCACATCATCCACCACATCCTCCCCCTCCCCTCAATCCTCACTCCTCCGCGACACAATCCCACCAAACCTCACACTCCTCTTGGTCGGCGTAAACCCCGGCATCCTAACCGGTACGACCGGCTACGCATACGCGCACCCATCAAACCTCTTCTGGAAACTCCTCCACTCATCAGGCATAACGACAACCCGACACCCCCCCTCCGACACCTACCGCCTCCCCTCGCTCTACAACATCGGGAACACGAACATCGTGGAGCGGCCCACGCGAGACGCCAGCATGCTCAGCAAGGCGGAGATGGACGCGGGGGTGCCGGTGCTGGAAGCAAAGGTCGCGGCGCAGCGGCCCGAGGCGGTGTGTTTGGTGGGGAAGAGTATATGGGAAGCGGTGTGGAGGGTGCGCAAGGGGAGGGGGATCCGGAAGGAGGAGTTTAAGTATGGGTGGCAGGGGGAGGGGGAGAGGATGGGACGGAGTGAGGGCTGGAAGGAGGGAGCGCCGGTGTTTGTGGCGACGACGACGAGTGGGTTGGCGGCTGGGATGACGATGGCGCAGAAGGAGGAAGTGTGGAATGAGTTGGGGAGGTGGGTGGTTGGGAGGCGAGAGGAGAAGAAGGTAGTAGAAGTGGCAGAGGAGAAAGAGGAATCGAGTTGAGGGTCATATATACACATCTACAGCGAAATCAAGTACCTGCAATGGTATATGCTATACTATTTGATGATGCAAGAATCTACCATACCATCCCTAATCCTAGGTAACACACACATGAACACCTCAAATCGAAAAGCTCAGAAGCTCAACCCATCATGCCTCGTAGCGTAGTAGTGTAGTAGAGTAGTAGTCGATCAACAACCCGATATCTCATAAACAACTCGGGGAGATAAAAAAAAAAAAAAAAAAAGAACAAGGTAGGAAAAAGAAAATACAAGCATGCCATCATTCCCAGAAAAATGGCAGATTACGGCCATTAGAAATTACCGCGTGATCATAGCGGGACCCTTGCTGTGGTTGGTATCACCCTGGTGTTCCTTGCCCTGTGCACGTCGTTAGTATATACCAAGGTGGTTGATGAATGGATTGAAGTGGGCAAACATACAGGAGTCACCTGGTATTCACCCTTCTCGAGGATCTTCGTCATGCACTCGTCTTCGTCGGTGGTTCCGAATTCGTTCTGCAAAGTAGACTTGCTGGCTCCGTCAAGGACACCTTGGGCGCCGTGCCTAAGTGGGATGTTAGTTGGCGGACTTCACCTCAATGGGTTGAGATAGGATTCAACTTACTTGTGAGTGACAAAGATCTTCCAGCCGTTCAGCACATTGGCCAGAGAGATAGAGCGGTCCTGGCGCCATTGTTCGAGGATCTTCACATCGTCGACGAAGACGATGAAGTCCTCGGAAGTACCCTTGTAGAAGATCTTGGTGGTGGTGTCGTTGGCACGCATATTGGAGGTAGAGATTGAGTGGTTTGGAGAAGTGTTTTTGTCTATTGAAGACGATAGAGAGGATGCAGAAGGGAAGAGAGAATGGCGTGGTGCAGTCGGTTTAAGTATGAACGGCTGATGACGTCACCAGGTTGGCAGGCGGGGACAATCACGCGGAGAACGATGTATGGAAGAATAGAGGATGTTGGGTATCAATGCGATCAAAAAGCTCAAGGTGGTCTTAAGTCAAGTAAGATAATGCTTCTGTGAAATTGTTCTACCGTAAAACCTCGACGAGACAGCCTTTAAATGCTAGAACTTCTGGTGGGATGTGGAAGATGCGGCCAACCCTCGACGTCATAGCTCTGCCCGGCTACTGCGCACGACTCCCTCTTGCAAGCTTGCAAGGGATCCATCCAACTGGGGCCCTCAACCCATTCAATGGACCACTTCTTTCCCTCTGTCGCACACCGGTGGAGAGCTTGCTCGGCTGGGAATCCGAATTCCCTCACCTATTGCAATCTTCTCCTAGTATTGATTGTCATTACGTCTCGCCAAGCACCACATCATCAGCCCACGCCCCGCCGCCATCGAATCGAGATGAATAAAATAGTAACGTCGTCTAGGCCTCTTATGTCATGCTCCTGATGCAATACTGCAGCCTGCCCCCATACTGGTTGCATCATCCCCCTCCACCAGCCAAGCCCATACGGGGGTTCCTCCTTGCCCTTCGTAGAGACATCGAGTTGAATATCGTTCGGATGGAGGATTTCACCGAGGGGCTTTCGAGACTTTCATGGCTTCCTTCCCCCTTGCTAATGCATATCTGCGAATCAGGGCTCGAGGGCTGCTTGGAGCTGCTTTTGCGCCTCAATGTCTTGCTCCGCCCAATTGTTCCGAAGTTGTAACCCGGTAGAATACGCCCTCTCTCGAGATCGTATTCCGACTTGCGTTGCGTCATTTCACCTCGACGGCTGTGGTCTGGAGTTTCCTCCTTTTCATGATGTTCTTCGTTCATTCTGCGACTAGGCAAATGTGCAGAGCTGGATCGCCTGTGTATCCCGGGACGGAGGCTGAGCCGCCTCATAACCGATCCAGACCCAAACAGAATATCGCCCTTCGTCAGTATCATTCCCGGATAAGGCAAGGAATCGCGCGTGTATATGGGTGAAATTACCCGTTCTAGCCGGACGCGCTCCTGCCTCCTGCTCGTCAGCACCAGAGGTGGTAACGAAGGCGTTTTCGGCCGCTCAGTTACCCCTTCGGACTCAACATCGGCTGTCCCGAGTTTGTGTGGACAATGAGTCTTTTTGATAATTACGTGCTGTAGATTGGACTCTGTCCGGGGGAATGACAATGGATGAATCGGAGACCTGCCGACTATGAAAGCCTCCGGATAGCAGGGACTATCCAGCGGCTGGAGATCCAAAGACAAGAAGCAATATTTACTTTGCTCGGAAGAGACTGGTCTCTGCACATCAGCCGATGTTGCCACAGATTTAAGCAGCCCGGTTTTCCATAACTTCTCCTCGTTGGCACTCGAGGCACTCAAAACAATTTCGAACCTTTTGTCTTCGTGGTGGAAGACTAGCTTCCATGAAAAGTAACACTTATGGCAAGATAAACCTACCTATCATTGAGCGCAGAATGGATATCGGGCCAATTGTGGCTTACCTTGTCCGTTCCTTGGTGTGTCAATTTTTACATCAGAAGTATACAGACACATCACTGCCTGAAGCCTTCGGAAATCATCGTGTACTCTGGCAAGGAGGAAATGATTCTTGAATAGAACGCAGACCATATAACCACCCGTCAGATGATTGGACGTTTGATAGGTCACATGGAGTACACCACAAAGACCTATTGGCCCCAGTTGACGATATACATTATGCACGGTCGTCTATAAGACAAGATACGGTCTTAGTGTATGCGATCCTGCGGGGTAATTGTTTGGACCATCGTACCTGTTTGGGAAGATCTAACATATCTTGCAGCAAAAGAGTTTGATGGGTGAGCCTCTTATTAATCGGGTTGCTAGGGGCTTCGTTGATCTGAGCAACCGTGGCACGTACACCCTCCAAAATTTCTCGTATGCCATCATGAGCAGATGGATCATCCTGGATATGGGTCCATTTGAGCAGCTCTTGAAGCAGCAGTGGGTATTTGCAAAGCCGTTGGATAGGCTGGATGTTTGGGTCAGAAAGGTCCACAGACTCCTAACCGAGTGACTGACTTGCCTTTATAAGAAGATCGTTCAAAGACATGGATTTGTTTGGCTCGAGGGTCCGGCTTTCCATAGATGCCACTGACTTTGATAGAGCTTCGATGCCCTGGTCGAGGATGGGCCAATTGGGTGCTGAGCGACGTAAGAGATCCATATCTTGCGTAAGCTGCTCGTAGTGGCTGCAGAAATCTCGATATACTACGAATGACGTCGACTTCGACATATACTGTCAGCATCGGAAGAAAAACCGAACAATTCTCACCTACCAACTTGTCAATCTCACGGGCGACCTCTAGCACCTCGCTGGTTTCTGCAGTGACTGCTTTGATGCGGAGGTTTAGCCTTGTGTTAGGATTGCGTGTCCTCGACGATCTGTTCTGAAAAGCCTTGAAACTAAGATCGACTGCATTGGGGTGTTTCGGTACTTTGTTGGATATTGCTTGGTCAAGCTCCATCCCAGGAAGGCAAGACATAGGCGTCAAGGTCCGTATTCGATTCAAGAAGGCATCGTGTATCCCGCGTATCAGTTGAAGGTTGTGATAAATCTCCAGTCTTGTTGAAAAAAGGAGAAGGATCTGAAAAGCAATAGTCAGCGAAGAGGACCAAACATGGCGATTGCTTAATGGAAGAAAAGACATGCATCGGTAAGAGCCTTCAGCCCAAGAACATAGTCTGACTCGGTGACTATTATCTCTTGCAGAGCTCTGCGTCGTTTGAGAGCTCGGTTGTGTGCTTCTTCATCCATAACCCAGCTCACAGGCCTTGCACTCTCCGTGGACTGTCGCACCTCCGATTTGGCGCTACTATAATTTGTCGTACTTTGGGTGGCACCTCTTGATCTCATGACACTCTGGCTTGCGATACTCATTGTGTTCGTTTTAACTGTGCCCAGATGAGAAGAATGTCTTGATACTGCCTCCCATTGCAGCTCCTGTGTCGCAAGATTCAAGGCATTTTCACCGCGGTTTGATGAAGCATCAGACCAGCCTTCAACGTATCTCTGACCATTCTGGCGGGGATAGTATCGTTTCTCTCGAAAACTTTTCACCCATCGTCTAAACGGGAGAAAACCAGCCACGCCGTCTGTGGATTCAAGCAAGTTACCGGTGTCCACAAGCCTCCCCTCCGCATCAGGGGCTCCGAGGGAGGGGAAAGGCTTTGGGCTAGCTCCGTCCAAGTCAGTCATTATGACTGATGAGCGTATTAGCGTCAAAGAGAATTAAGGAAAGCATCTGAAAAGTTTGTTTGAAACGGCGACACATTGTCTTGGATTTGGCGAAGTGTCCCTTGGCGGTCCGAGAAGCAGGTTGACAGGGCGAAGGAAAATGGAAGCCACGACCAGATGGAGATGGATGCCTGACAAAGAAGGAAGCAAACAAGATGGACAGAATGCCTCAATCATGAGGATCGGTTCAGGGAACTCGAGTAAACACCTGCAGTAAAGATCAGATGTAAACTGTATAGACAAATGATAGTTAGAATGATCTCAGTCCAGTACTACCAGTTCTATTTGTGACTCAATTCAGAAAGTCGTTATATGTTTCTAGTATATACTAGACTATAGTCTTAGTTATGCGGATGCACATCTTGTACAGAATCTACCAGTGAAGGTAGCCATTTAAAACGTGACCCTGCCAAGCCCAGCAACTCCCCCCAGATTTCCGCGACCCACCAGTCCGATAGCTGTCGCAACAACCTTCTGGACGAGAATCTATTGTATTATAGCCCTCCCCGATCATGTTCTACCTGTCTTAACCTTTCCTTAGAATGGGCATCCCCATGGAAGATAATATCCACGCTCCTACTGTGTCCTCCGGACCTACGTCCGGAGAGGCTCCTCGCGATCTGGCTAAGCTGTCGATGACCGACTTGATGCAAGAAAAGGAACGCATCGAGGAAGAGCTATCGGCGCTCAGCAGTGTCCTTGGCTCCGTAAGTGTGCCCGTCTCTACTGACGGATGTCTCGAAATGGCCACTGTGACATAACTGACAATGCATATCTCCAGCATGGCGTGAACATGAACACCACTCTCACAACCTTCGACGGATACCCACGAGACGATATCGACATCGCCCAAAGTAAGAAGCGATCAACAACTTGCTTGTCCATCTACTAAGTCTATCTTAGTCCGTACGATTCGAACCAAGATCATTCGACTTCGCAACGATCACAAAGATACCATGACCCATCTCGAGAAGAAGGTCCACGAACAATTTACAAACTTGCAACGCGCACAAAGCTCTACGACTGCCGATAATTCCAACGGGACCAACGGAGCACGGTCGGACTCGAATGACACCTCTCTATCAAATGCAGGGGCACTGGGACCCGCATTTGCAAGAGTGAACAGCGTCGTTCCTGCAAGCCCCGCCGATCAGGCCGGCTTAAAAGCAGGCGATGCTATTCGCAGCTTTGGAACTGTGAACTGGATCAACCATGAACGTCTGACCAAGGTTGCAGAACTCGTTCAGCAGAATGAAGGCGTAAGCACCACCCCTCTTTTACAACCCCTACATACCCAGTCCTATTGGCGGATTTGAATGTCCGATCTCCTATCTTCAAGCCTTCTTACTGACCCCATCCAGCGAGCCGTCTCCGTAAAGGTTATCAGGAAAGATGAGTTGGGCAGCAGTGCGGATTTGGACCTGGAGCTTACACCACGCCGTGACTGGGGTGGTCGAGGTCTATTGGGCTGTCATCTGGTCCCTCTCTGAACGGAATAATCGGGAACTGGCTGGTGATGCAATAGGTTAAATTGGCGTTTTCATTCAAATTTTTCTTTTGTTTGTTTGTTTTAACCTCGGGAGAGGGATGAGATATGGCGACATGCTTTGTTTATGACTAGTGTTCATTTGTCGGAACAGACCATAATTGCATTCTGAAGGCGTTTTCTCTATGAGTATGGGTACGAGTAAAAAAAAAAATAAAGTAAAATAAAAAGGATAAATAAGCAATCAGTCTGGTTTGTCTTTTGTCTGCTTCGGATCGACCGCTTTGTGCCGCAATCCCGCGGGGCATGCATGCCTGAGGCTCCACAGCACGTGACCGGTCGGCGTGGGTGACCGACGGGCAAAAATTCCATCACCAAAATCGCCTTTCATTCTGTTCCTCCCTATCCTCACGTCGCTCTCCTGGACACCCCTTCTTCCATCGCCTCTCCCCCGTCGCCTTTATTTGACGGCTTATAATACACGTCTCATCGTGTCCCCGACTCTTTCACTCCTCTAATCTTTTTTTTCGCCCTTTTTTTCACCTCACATAAACCATCACTATGGCTGAAGCGCAGGCCCCACCAACCTTCAAGCTCGTCCTTGTCGGTGACGGTGGTACTGGAAAGGCAAGTTGGATCAGTTATGCCCTATGCTGCGTTGATGTCTTCAGATACGAGACGTCTGTCGCTGTCTTCAACACCTGAATCTGTCGAGCCTTCTTTGTTTATCCCACTCCCCGCCGTTGTCAACAAAAAAAATTTCTCCCGCCTACCAAAACATCGACATGAAGTATCACTAACACCCATCGACTACAGACCACCTTCGTCAAGCGTCACTTGACTGGCGAGTTCGAGAAGAAGTACATCGCCACTCTCGGTGTCGAAGTGCACCCTCTTACTTTCACCACCGTATGCCCCGCCAGCGACCCCGCTTTGGCCGTCCCACCGCCCGTGTTTTTCGCTCGACTAACCTCTATGCCAGAACCTGGGAACGATCCAGTTCGACGTGTGGGACACCGCCGGTCAGGAGAAGTTCGGTGGTCTCCGCGATGGTTACTACATCAACGGCCAGTGCGGTGTCATCATGTTCGATGTGACCTCCCGTATCACCTACAAGAACGTCCCCAACTGGCACCGTAAGTTTATCAAGATCCGCGCGTTCGCGTCGATGAAAGCGCTGGGATGATTGACCATAAACTGCAGGTGATCTCGTCCGTGTCTGCGAGGGTATCCCCATCGTGCTGTGCGGTAACAAGGTCGATGTTAAGGAGCGTAAGGTGAAGGCCAAGACCATCACCTTCCACCGCAAGAAGAACCTCCAGTACTACGACATCTCCGCCAAGTCCAACTACAACTTCGAGAAGCCCTTCCTGTGGCTCGCTCGCAAGCTGGTCGGCAACCCTCAGCTGGTAAGACATCCCAAAACCACAGCCGGTATCTCTAATCACCAACTAACATCCCCTTCCAGGAATTCGTTGCTGCCCCTGCTCTTGCTCCCCCCGAGGTGCAGGTCAACCCCGAGCTCCTTGCCGAGTACGAGAAGGAGATGAACGCTGCTGCCCAGATGCCTCTGCCCGACGAGGACGACGCAGACCTCTAAGCGCAGGGTCAATGAAAGGGATAGGGGAAGCAGGCATCCGCCATGCGCAACCATGGCGAAGATCTCTCTTCCCCCAATGTTTGTTTCGTTATGCAAAGTCTCCAATTACGATACAACGAATAGCGGTCGGGGGATAGGCCCGAGAAACGGTCGGCATGATTATGCGTTTGCAATATTACAAATAGTAGTCTAGACTCCTTTATCTTCAAAGTTCTTTTTTTTTCTTTTCTTTTTTCCCCCTCGGAATCAAATCATGACCAAAAAGCAATCTGTGACTCGCGACCTTCTACTGCCTTTAGGATAGTCTGGAAAAGCGAACCAATCTTCCACCTCATTCATAATAACTTTAAAATCTACCTCGTTAGCCTATCCCCTAAACTTAATTCTAGGCATAGAGAAAAATCCCTCAACATCTCAATTCCATCCAAAGACACATCCGACACTGAATCCTCCAATTACTACAGAAAGCGGCGTCATGAATTTGAGATTCCACGGAACAGGAACAGCGCACAACAATGGACATTGTGGGTGACGTCATGATGTCTTTCGGGTAAAGGACTTGACCTGTACGACGCTCAGGGCCTGCATCATTGACTAGTGACTAACCCACATGTCTAGGTGCTTCCCTGCTAACATGCCTAGAAGTTCGGGGGAGGGGGGAGATAATATTGGAAATACCCAGAAGATTTCAACGAAACTTGAATGGTACGCAAGAACAGAAGAACGAGAAAGAAAAGAAAAGAAAAAGGCGATCTCTAGAATTGAACAAACTGGATTACAGAAAACAGAATAATGTAGCCGAAATGTCTCAGATCCCTCGAAAACCAGACCAATGCTCTAAGAAAAGAGACGGTAAGTGAGGACGCAGAACCATGCAGATGGATGGGTTCCGGAAAACATCCCGGCACGAATTTCGTGCTCACAGTGCGAGGAATTTGATCTATGCAATGGAGTGTAGACGAGGACAGAGAGAAGACATGGAATGAATACACAAAAGCAGAGAATATGCATAGAAAGGAAGGGGAATATGGAAAATTAAGGGGTATCTTGGATTCATTGGATAAAGTGAAAACGCGATTGATCAAGTTGCAGAAATCCGCCAACGCCGTGTCGTGGTAAGATTAAGGTATTCAATGGACACCCTGGACAAAAGAGTTAGCATGATTGCGTGTTAGCGGATTAGAACGGAAGACTTACAAATAAGTAGGCCAGCTCTCGGGTCCCCAGTCGAGAAATGTTCTTCGAGGCATTCTCGTCTAGAGCTCCCTCAATAATTTCTCGCTTCTTGTCCTGGAGTTCGAGAATGCGGTCCTCGACTGTTTTCTCTATCAAAATCCGATGGATTTGCACTTCTCTCAACTGTCCGATTCGATGAGCACGGTCAATCGCCTGCTCCTCAATGTACGGGTTCCAGAATGGATCGAGGATGATAACTTGGGAGGCGGCGACAAGGTTCAGACCAGCGTTACCAGCCTTCAAGGACACCAGCATAATCTTGCAGTCAGGGTTGTCGGTAAACTCGAGCACCGATGAGTTCCGGTCCGCGGGTCTCATACTGCCGTCATAACGCCGATAGCCCCATCCGCGTCGCATGATTGGAACTTCAAGCAAGTCTAGCAACGCAGTAAATTGGCTGAAGATAATGGTCTTTTCACCCGCCTCGCCGTTCTGGACGTCATCCAAGATTTCCAAGGTTTTATCTATTTTGGCGCTGGATATCCAGGTCTTCTCCAGACGACGGAGATATTTGCGTTTGGACTTCAGGTTTTTCGACGATTCCTTCTTCAGCTCGGCAAGGGTCTTCTTAGGTTTCTGGGGCAATTTCCCTTTCGCTTTTCCTCTGCGTTTCGACGAACCAGAGGTTTCCCCTTCGTCTTCGTCATTTACAATGAATCGCGATATGCTGTCCTGGTCGCTGTCATCACTGTCGTCCTCTTCCTCTTCGGCAGGCTTGGGCAGTTCCAACTCTGCAGGGTCGTCCGACTCGTCGGGGAAATGAACTTTCTTGAATGACATGTGATCAGTGATTTTCTTTGGGTCAACCTTGCCACGACAGTTCGGGCACTTGACATCGACGCTGCCATCGTGGCCTTGTCTCACGGACAGCTCTGGGTCCGAAATTCTTGAGAAGCATTCGGCGCAGGTGCTATGGCCGCAGGGGAAGAAAATGATTGGATTATCAACGGCATCGATACAAATGGGACACTCGAGGTCACTGTTTCCTTTCAAGCGGATGACAACGTCATTACCGAAGGCCTTCGCGTTCTCAACAAGATCCAGCTCGTCCGTGTTCGCGTTCAGCTTGACACTAAAATCCTTGATCAGGTGGGGATGACAACAAGCTTGCCGAAGTCGAAGGAGCAAGACAAGAATGTTGGAATAATTCCGTCCAATAGTACCAGCTTCGAGGTATTTGTTGAACTGGAGTTGGGTCTTTGCCTCAAGTGCCGAGTACAGTTCCTGCTCATCGTCACTAAAAACGGCATGTACCTTTTCGGAAACCCTCCGCGGGAGATCAAGAATCGGTTTGCCGTCGATCTTGGATTCCTTTGTTCGTCTCAAGAGAACCGCCTTGAGCAAAACTTGCAACTGCCTCATCGCCTTGTCCTGCGCACTGGCACTGGAGCCCTTCAGCGGGCGGGTAAAGTCCTGGGAGCATATTTGTTAGACAGTCGATGGGAAGGACTATAAAAAAGAATCAGTGTACTTACACGATTGAATCTTTCCAGGTGACAGTAAGGTCGAATGCGCAAAAACTTCAACAGAGAATGTAGCTCCTGAACGCTGTTCATCATCGGAGTCCCACTCATGCACCAGCGGTAGGTGGAGTTGAGACGGCAGCATGCTATCGCAGCCTTTGTATTCCGATTTTTGATGCACTGAGCTTCGTCTATGATGATGCGGTACCATTTGCTAGTTGGACCAAGGCATGGCATTCCTTGAATGAGTGCGCTAAGAACAGTCCGTTCGTTGGCTCCAGATTTCTGCAGTTCATCATACTTGTCGCAGCGCTTCAATTCGGAAGACAAGGTCCCAAAGGTAGTAAGAACCACATCGTATTCTTTCAGGTCCCTGAAGCCCACGGATCGTTTGTCGCCGTGTAAAACGTAGACACTCAGTTGGTGTCGGCCGGGCTTTAAGACTCTCTGGATTTCTCGCTTCCACTGCTGCATCAGTGCAACCGGGGCAATGATGAGCGTTGGTTTTCTCTCTGGATCCTCAGAAGGTCGGGAGACCATCAGAGCAATGGCCTGGATTGTCTTTCCTAGTCCCATGTCGTCTGCAAGAATGCCACCCTTCTGGTCCTTTTCCTCTAGAGATTTCATCCACGACAGCCCCAGCTTCTGGTGCTCCAACAAATTAAATTTGAGGGCTTCAGGGGTGCCTTCCCGGTTTTCCTTCGAGATCTCGGAATCGGGTCTGATGGTCTCAAGTAGTTGTTTGATATCCTCGTTGACTTTCTGGGGATCTTCCGCATTGTCGTAGATATCACTAGAGCGTGGTTAGCTACTTTATTTCACTGACTGTGTTCAATATTGACTCACTTCAGCATGTCGTAATATTCTGACCCACGATGGGATGGAAGTGTATTGGCAACTGCTCCATCGGAAAGTACTCCATTGGAAAGTGCTCCGAAAATGGACCTCCCTGCATGTTCAAACAACTGCTTTCCCGCATTGAGCCTTGCCAAAGTGCTTTGGAACACATTTGGCCCGTACACCGGACCTGATGCACCTAGGCCACCAGAACCTGACGGGTTTCCAAAAGGATCTGTCTCGGGATGCCTAGGCATCCATGAATAGGGGGGTAATCCGTCAGTGTAATGATTCGATGGGCTTCGAGTGTGACGTTGAAAATCACCTTCGGTAATTTCCGCGAGGTCGCTGTCGTCGCTGTCTTGGGCTATGGGGACGGGATAGCGATGGGATCCAAAGCGACTTCTATCGGGAAGTGATGGAGCTCCAAAACCCAAGTGGCCGGAATCGCTGGCTTGAGCTGGCACAGGATTGTGAATGGCATTGTTGGGCTCGCGATATGATGTCCATTGCTCGCCCGATCCCTGAGCTGAAGATGATGGTACCGGGAAAGCCGAGTTTCTTGCATGATGAGCAGGGCTAGCCACCGATGATGACGGCCGCTGAGGTTCCTGGAAGCCTTCATTAAGCCTACGGGCAAACTCTTCATCTCGTCGCTCCTGTTCTTTGCGCTCCTCAAGCCATTGTTCGGCCATCCTCTGTTCCTCCTGGAGGCGCTGCAGAGTATCCTGGCTGTCTAAACCAAGCAGTTTTCGCAGTTCATCAGCACCATCCCCTATTTCTCCATCCTGTTCATCCGCCAGGCCGCTCCGGCTCGACTGAGCGCCAGGGCTAGACCTTTCCGATGGTCGGCTGGTTCGCACTCGCTTGACTGGCAGTTCAAGATCATCAGTGAAATCAGTGAAATCTGTTTCGGCATCTTCATCATTCTGAGCACCAATATCCTCATCGCGCTGACGCTTTCGCACATAGGAAGGCGCCGCGAAAGGGGGCAAGTCCGGACGATGGTTTGGCTGGGATGGCCATGGCGGAGATGGATCATCCAGATCATGGAGTTGTGGCTGGATCCCATTTGCATAATCTGCGGCGCCATCCAAAGACTGTCGAGCCTGGAGACTGGGGGGTGGGTCACCGCGTAGTTCCGCCAGACGCGCCTGGAGATCATTGATGGTGTCTATAATCTCCTGTCTTTCGAGGACGGCATCGGGTCGTTCCTGGTCCAAGCTTTGAAGGATAACTTGATTCAATTGAAGATCATCCAGAATGTCGTCGATGGACGAGTGGTTTGTCGAGGATGCCATGGCTTAAGTCCGACGACGAGTCGTGTTGCACAGATCTAGAGTTCTGTTGGACTTCTGTCCACGGATTCAAGGCCCCACGTCTAGCCAACAGGAATCTATGCGAGATTAACAAGATAAACTGCTGGCCACTGTCCTGGATGAAACATGTGAAAGTTTTGGTGGACTAAGATAGAAAAAGAACACGGGAGTGCAATATAATAGAGAGATGATCGGTCTTGGCGGAGCACAATCCGATGTTAAGAAAGGATGACGGAAGTCGAAGGACGGGAAACGTCAAGGAGAATCAAGAACAAAAGGCAACTGCGGTTTACAAAGAACATACAGCAACTCAGAAGAAGGACTCAAAGGCAGTACACGCAAAGAAGACAAAGGAAAGGGAGAGACAAAGAAAGATGAGGATGGGGTGAATGCCGTCTAGAGAAAAGTGACGGCCGTCGCGTTGCTGCAGGGGAAAATCCGTGATTCCGCCAAGTCACGGGATTGGATCCGTCATCACCGCCTTCTCTACGGGTTTATATCTATCACCTTAATCTACCGGGATGCTCCAGGAACATCTCTGCTCATTCCCCTAGGCAGTGCACGGAGCAGACGCCTAGGCAGCGGTAAGTCCATGTTGGACAGAGGAGAGGACCTTCGACAACGAATGGAATGGGTTCCAGTGTATCGAACAGACGAGGTCAGTCCATATGAAGAAAAGAAAGAAAAGGGGAAGAGGAAAATATAATTAGAAAAAGTCTACACTGGATTCTGTCGACGACTAATCGCAAGGCCTGCGAGTTTAGTGTCTGATCGTTTTCTCCGGGGTACACACGACATAATCAATAATAATGATGGGGTAACGTAGCAGGCCTAATTTAGCCTGATTCATGGGGCATCCAGGCATCGCGCAATGCTTACCGCATTGGGACAAGGGAGGGATGTCGTCCGTGGTCAATTCCAGGCACAGGACTCCGTAGACACTCCATTCAAGTCTGTGGAGTTACGCAAGAAAGAAGCAAGAAAAGAAACGAGAGCGGAGACCGGGTGCAGATCTCCATCGGCCATTTCTACGGAGTATTGAGAATAAGACGAGAGTTGATCACAGGAGCAGCCTCGGTCCAAAATGCCGCCCGACCGCCTGCGTTCACATGCCCCGAACACTCCGGGGTAGCTTCCTTGGTCGAACCCCGGATATCCAGTCGACTCTCTTATTTAATATCTCTCCTTCCCCGTCATTCTAACTTCCATCTACCTCTTGAACCCCCTGTCTATTATTCCAAACCCTACAACTAGGTACACTATCAACCATGGCTCTCAAGAACGGTGAGCTCTCCTCTTGGCGAATGGCGATGTCCCCGGTCGCCTGAACTCCATCCTCCCTCCGCTGTCCGCGACTCTAGCTGACGTTCATCTCTTGTCGCTGCCAGACGCTTTCCCTTCTTCCGCCGCCTTCGACGTGATTAACGCCACCCTCCAGGGTGATGCGGCCGAGCGCAAAGACGCCGTCGACAAGGCCAAGGCCGTCGTCGCCTTCAACCTCAAGAACGCGAAGGGAGAGGAAGACAGCTGGTACCTGGATCTCAAGGAAAAAGGGGCCGTGGGCAAGGGTGCTGCTCCTCCCAACGGAAAGGCCGACGGTCAGTATCTACCCCTCTTGGCACTGGATCGGAGGGAGAATAGCAGTTCCGTACTAATGCCCGGTGATGATCTACAGTGACCCTTACGCTGTCCGACGAAGACTTCGCTGCGCTGGTGTCCGGCAAGGCCAACGCGCAACGGCTGTTCATGGGAGGCAAGCTCAAGATCAAGGGTAACATTATGAAGGCAACGAAGATGGAACCCATCATGAAGAAGGCCCAAGGCAAGGCCAAGCTATAGATACCCTGCTAGTTCTATTCTTTTAAATATTTCTGACGGTTCCATGCTTTAATGAATCCGATCATTTTTTCATTCATTTCATTTATTTCATTTACATTTACTATGCGGTCGCATATCCCTGTTGACCGCGATATGCCACGTTGTCCTGTATGTTTGTCTGCGGTATTTTCTAAGCTGATAAATCCAATACGACCTCAGATTTGTCTACAATCAACATCTTGAAGTTTTTCCTACATCTGAGGACGCGTTGGAATTGATTTTTCCCCTATGAATCTGTGTGTCTGGTTTATTTTCTGTAGTTGCGCTCGACTATATATTTGTTGGGGGTTGGCAATCCACGCTACCATGAACGTACAGAGTAGAATTTCTTAACACGTCTATAGGATAGGAAAGGCCTATAACTAAATATAACCCTCAGTTAAATTGCACACGGAAAGACATTATTCCTCTTATCTGGACGCATCTGCCTTTGCTGCAGATCGTCGGCATACAAGACGTCATATTCGTCGGCCGCATGATTCGGACTTGCCATGGAAACAAGGCAACTTACCTGAGTGTGTTATAGCGTTACGGGGGTGTTGCCCCACGGCGCTCTCCGTGGGCGGCAACTCCTCCAAAGATTACCGTTCAGAACGGTCCGTGTTGTCAGGGCTGGTAACGGTAAACGGAGTATAGCAGAGACGAAATTGCCTCTGGTCTCTGAGAGTCCAGATAGTTTATAAAGGCATTTGAAGATCATTGTCATGCAAATACAGGGTGCCCCATAGGTGTAATCACCAAGCACAATGTCCACTTAATCGACATGGTTCTCTCCCTGGCAAGATTCGAGTGGGTGTGAGAATCCCGCCAAGAATCGGCGAGCAGGCATCACGTGAGGGTATTTTTCTGCCAGCTGAGCCTTTCTCTTCGCCCTTCCGCCGCCGAACGAAAAAAAAAAGTCGCGAGCCGACGATTTGAAGGCCAAAAAAAGCAGCTCCGTCAAACATCTCCTATCCCCGACAAGGCAAGAGCGCATCGAAAGGGATCCCCTCTCCCTTTCTTCCTCGAAAACAAAGCGCTTTCATCGTTCTCAACCATCCTATCTCCCCCTAATTACACTCATTGTGCTCTTCAAAGAAGAGCATTGGCCTTGGTCGACTCATTGCTGCGGATAACCTCGCGCGTTTCGCGATCCATCCCCGACACTCCGAACGAGCGCGTGATCCTTCGTGGTCATCGTCTGTCAGCCTCGGGACGATAGTATATATTCCTTGGAACCTTCGCTGGTACCAAGACGACCGTTTCCTCGCCCTTTGCGCGATTCGTGGACGACGCTGCGACCGTAATCGTCCGATCCTTGAACGCCAGTTGCGGACCGGCACAACCAGGGTTAAACCACCCACTATTGTTGATAAGAGCCGGTCGAGCCTAGAAGAGAAGCCCCGCGCGACCTTCAGACCGCGACCTGTGGATGGAAAGAGCGGAGTTGGATAGCTCTGTTCAAAACGTGGTCTAAAAGAAGGGGCTGTTGGACACCTTCCGCTCAGTTAGCTTGCGAGCAATCAAAAGCTTCAGACGGAGGGGCTTGGGTGCGATAGATGTCTAAAAGAGGGGCTCAGGGTCCTCAAGGGGACAAGGACTCCGATTTATTTGCTTTCAATATGTCGAGCACACCGGACGAGAAGCCCCAGCGGGCGACGGCCGCTCAGTTGGCGAACCGAAAGTAAGTGAATGTAGACCGACCTTTGCGACCAACCCTTACAACCGGAACTTTTCTGCTTTCTGCACCACTCACCTGCATTCACTTCCTGTGGCCATGGAAAATTTTGCTACCTGACCTCCATTCACTGTCGAGCGCGTCAAGTGTCCATGTTTTGTTTTCCTTATTTCTGCCTTCCCCCCTAAAATCCTGACTCTCTTCCTATTCCGTCTCAACCTCTCCCTGGCAATTCTCTATCATCGTCAGAATCTGTTGCAAATCAATTCGAACCCACTCTAACGAGTCCTTTACAGAATTAAGGACGTTCGAAGACGTCGTCCGAACTCTTCAACCCCAAGCACGACGGGTGCCTCTTTCAGCGGACCCTTTAATTCTCTTGATCCCAACACTGTCTCTTCTTCGTCAGCTGCCCCCCAAACCGCTTCTAGCAGCTTTACATTTGGACAGTCTCAAAGCTTCCCGGGCGCGAGCTCAAATTCTAGCCAACCTAGCCAGAACGGAGGAGGGTCGCCGTTTTCCTTTGGGTCTGGAGGCGCTAGTAGCTCCTTCAATTTCTCCGGCGGAGCACAATCCTCAAACAGTAATCCTTTTGCTACCATGAATTCAGGTGCTAATCAGCAGCCCCCATCCGGCGGAGGCCAATTTTCTGGCTTCCAGGGCAGCATGTTTAACCTGCCGGCGGCTGGAAGTCCAGCGCCGGCCCAGCAGCCTCTGCCTTCTGGAGGTCTGTTTGGAAACAATTCGCAGCAACCCAGCACCTCTGGAGGTATTTTCGGCAACCCTGCAAGCAGTGCGCCCTCTGCTCTGTCTGGAGGCGCGGCCACGAGCGGAAACCTGTTTGGATCCACCAGTGCTACCAGCAGCACACCCCAACCCAATCTCTTTGGTCGATCAAGTCCCGATAAACCTTCTCCATTTTCCCAGTCGTCTGCACTTGAGGAGTCGATGCAGACGTCCCCTGATGCCAAAAACAACGCATCTCAATCCAAACCCACTCTGTTCGGTGCTTCTGCGCCAAGCTTTGGAGGTTCCACCAGCTTTGGTAGCCCTGCTGCTGGAACTAACTCTGTGTTTGGGGCTGCACCATCGACTACCGCAGCAACTCCTTCAAAGCCGCTCTTTGGAGCGGGACCAACGGACTCACCCTCTTCGTCGGTCTTTGGTGCCGCCACGCAGTCTACCTCCGCCAGCACTCCTGCAGCTTCTACTCCAAGCACTGCTCCGGCGACTTCCACCTTGTTCGGCTCCACCTCAGCTGCTAAGCCAACCACGCCTTTCGCGAATCTTTTCGGTGGTGCGTCGACCTCGTCAGCCACGCCGAAAGCCCCGGAGGAGAAAGCCGCAGAAGAGAAGAACGGAGAACCTGCACAGTCCAAACCTGCATTCCAGTTCACACCCTCTAGCAGCACTGGCCCTTCACTCTTCCAAAAGAGCGAGACGTCTGCGGCACCGGCCAGCGGGATATTCCAGGCTCCAAACACCGGCAGCAACCCCTTTGCCCCCAAGCCTGCCGCGGCCCAGGAGCAGGAGAAATCGGAACCCGCGTCCCCGAATCCCTTCCAAAGCTTGTTCTCTCCTAAGCCTGCCACTCCGGGGCCAACCACATCGAACACGCCCGCTACAGAGCAGAAGCCTCTGCCGTCCGCAGCCCCGTTGGGTAACCTATTTGGATCGAAGACCAGTACGCCTGGTGGAGCTTCTCAGACGAGCGCCCCATCGGCCCCGGCTACCACCGCTCCTCTCTTCTCCGCTCCCGCTTCAAGCCTAAATGCATCTGCATCTTCACCCGCGCCTTCTCTGTTTTCTACTTCGACGGGACCTAAGCTGCAGGAGCCCGCGACAGCTTCTCCCGTACCCGCACAAAGTCCGTTCAAGCCTAACGGTGTGAGTTTGTCGTCACCATCTGTGTCGACTCCCGCTAGTGCGAAAGCACCGACCCCAAGCTTTGACCAATTGCAGCCTTCCGGGCTTCCGGGTAATTTGAGCCAGGAGACCAAGAAGGAAACGGGCACACAATATCGCATCCGCATGCTCAATGTCTCCTTCCAGCGCAAGATCGCAGAATTGGATCCCAGCACCGATGATTTCGAAAGTATCATTGGATATTATTCGCGTGTGCGTGCGACTCTTTCGCCGCAAGTCGGAGCACAAAAGCTCAAGCACAAGATCGAGGATGGGCAAAATGTCGCTGCCGAGGGACCTTCCTCCAAGAAACCCCGGCCGGATTCTACCGCCGATCTAGACACTCCAACCAAGGCCACCCCGTCTACTCCGACGGCGACTGATGCCAAGAGCAGCAACAAGAGGAAGTCGCCCGAGCCAGAAGGCGACGATGGCCGTCCTGAGAAACGTGTCAACGGAGCCTCCACGACGGCCAACATCTTCGCCCAGTCATTCTCAAAGTCAAAGACTTCCGAGACCGATGACGACTCTGCCAAGGCGAGCCCTGCTACCCCGGCCGGTGCCTCTCCTGTCAAGGCGCCATCCCTCTTCCCCACACCGTCTGCCTCGTCTCCCGCAAAGCCCACTTTCGGTTCGCCTGCAAAGACCACCGAGAATTCTACCCCGTCACTCTTCGGCTCCTCTGCGTCAGTCTCCAAACCCACATTCACGGCACCAACCGCGAACGCCACGGCTGCCCCTAATCCTTTCGTTTTGAAGCCGTCTGGAGACAAGAACGCCGATGCCGCATCTGGACCTCCTAAGTTCAACACCGGACCAACCAACTTTTTTGCCCAATTCAAGGCCCAAGCAGATAAGACCGCCGAGAAGGAGAAGGCCAAGCGCAAGGCCGAGGACTTCGATTCCGATGAAGATGATGAGGCCGAGTGGGAACGTAAGGATGCCGAGAAGCAGCGTCAGAAGCGAGAACAATTCGAGTCCGATTCCTCCAAGCGGTCTGTATATGTGCCAGGCAAGGGTTTTGTTTTTGAAGATGTCAGTGCCGGTGGTTCGAAAGAAAAGACTGCAGAATCCGATACCCCCACGTCCGAGGCCGGCGCCTCGGTCTTCGACACCAAGGGCAAGTCGGCTGCCAGCTCCAGCAACATCTTTGGTCATCTATCGGCGACCCCATCGGAGGTGGAAGAAGACAATGACGCAGATGACACCGAGGAAGCTTCTGCTGCCGGCGACGACCAAGATGAAGGATCAAAGAATGCCTCTCTTACACCAAACAGCGAAAAGGCGGCCACTCCTGCACTGACCGCAAATGAAAGTAGCGATGACGGGGACTTCACCAAAGCCCTTCAGAAGACCAAACCGGCCGATAAGGCCACGACCAACGGGCCGACCGAGTCAAATGCCGGCGGCCGCAGTTTGTTTGATCGCGTCCAGTACGACGATGAGGGCAACCCGAAGCGGCATGGCGAGGAGGAGAAGCTTTCGACCTTCTTCAACTCTTCCAAATATGCGTCCTCATTCAACTCGCCCGCCCCATCTACTCCCAACCCCTTCGGCCAACCGGCGAAGGCGCAGCCCGATCAAGTTGCCTCTCCATCTTCCAAACCAGCGAACCCGAATCCCTTCGGCAACCTTTTCGGTTCCTCCACCAACTCGAGCGCTCCCACTCCGTCGATTTTCGGTGCCAACAACAATGGCACCCCAAAGCCAACCAATGACCAAACCTGGAAGATGAACTCCCCCATCAAATTCGCCAGTGACTCGACCGCCTCCTCAGGCCCCAAGATTGACTTTTCGGCCTCAACATCGACGTCAGGCCAATCCAAGCCGCTCTCAAATCTCTTCGGAGGCGCTTCCAGTGGGTCTAACTCTTCCACTGCCGGCACATCGTCCGCCACGGGCTTCTCTTTCGGGGACCCTTCGCAAAAGCCGGCGTCCTTCCTCGCCCCATCCACCCTTAGCTCCGCGGCGCCTAGCCGTACACCCACCCCTGGTGTTACTACCGACACCGGGGCTGAGTCTGGAGATGGTGAAGCAGCCGAGTCTCTCCCCCAGGTTGACCTCTCTCGAGGCGGCGCTGGCGAAGAAAATGAAGACATTGTGCTCGAGCTTCGTGCCCGCGGATTGAAGTTGCTACCTGCGGGCTGGGAGAGCCAGGGCATGGGATATGTCCGGATCTTGAAGGATCGCACCACTTCACGTGGCCGGATTCTTCTCCGCGCTGACCCCAGTGGAAAGGTGGTTCTCAATGCCTCCTTGATGAAGCAAATCAAATACAACGTTTCCGGCAACAGCGTACAATTCCTGGTGCCTCAAGTTGAAGGAGCTCCCCAGCAGTGGGCGGTCCGAGTCAAGAAGGAAGAGGTGCAGCGATTGGGATCTGCGATCGAAGAGACCAAGTCCTAGTCGGTCAACTGTTGTTTTCTTTTCTTGTCTTGTTTTCTCTTCGTTTTTCAAACCATCTCATGAACCGGCGCAGAAGACTGATTGCATTTCCAGCAAACTAACGATGTTTTTGTTTTTCCCCCTTTTCTTTTTTTCGCCCGGGTTTTGCAAGAATGGCTCGGCGATGTATTATGGTTGGTTTTTGGTTTTTGCTTTCTTTTCTTGATTTAATAGCATAACTGCCTTTGTTTTTCAAAAGCCATCAGACGAAATGGTTGCATGGATCGCATTGTTCATCATTAAGATGTTTTTTCTTCCTGTTTTCGAGTGGTCAACCGACTGTTTTCCTAGTGTTCCGGAAATTTTGGCTCTTGACAAGCCTGTCTTCTCTTCTGTTTCTGTTTTTCGTTGTCTATTTGTTTGCCGACAGCCTGACTTCATTTGCATCATTCCATTCAGCGCTGTGACTTCGTTTGAACCTCCGGGAACTTGGCAGAACCATCTGGTATTCGGTGGGCATGTTTCATTGCAGGTTAGCGGATCACCAAATTCTCCGAGAGGGTCAATTCAAGTAATTGAATCTGAACCGTCGGGAATATCGGGCAGGTCTGCCATACCTGCAGGGAGCTTCCCACTCGAAACTAGGTAGAGCTTCACCATTTTCCTCGGGAGGGTCAACAATTCCCGCTGAGTGGACGATGGTCTTACACTTCGGCACAAGCATTGAATATTATTATGGGATATCTGTCATTTGTCAATAACTGAACATCGAAACCGGTTGACCAACTTGTCTGTTTGTCTTGTTCTTTTCTTGTACATACCCTGAGCCCTCATAGAGATTAGTTCATGTGACTGGAAGCTATTCTGCGCAACATCGATTCTATCTTGTCTCTATTGGCATCAAGTGGTGGTTAGATAGGAGACCTCGAACATATGCAAAACTAAAGAATCATCCACATAAGACCCACGAACAGATCCTCACCGTGTCATAATCCACATCTCCCACCGAAAGCCAGAGAATTTAGAAGGAAGTCGCGAAACCACCAAAATCTGTGACCTGGACAGTAAACAGAAGAAGCCATGGATGGAATCAGGGCCATGCATGCACCCAAGAGCTACCTCGCTTAGCCCGTCCAAGCGGAAGAATCCAGTCGCCCTTACTGATGGCGGCACCTTCTCTTGGAAACCGACCTCATGGTTTTCCCGTAATAGCAATCGGCCTTGGGCTTCTTTATCGGAGACTCCCGAGGCATGAGCGACGATGGCGGTCTGAATGGTCGTTGGTGGACTATCTGTTTGGATATTTGGTGGGCTACGAGGCTGTACGGAGGAGAGGGTTAGAATCCCACTTGAATTCCGTTGGCTAGACAAACTTACAACGAAAGCACGAACTAACTAGCTTATATAGGTACGCAGTCGGTAGGTGATCTTTATCAAAAAAAGACATGAGCTAAGCCCAGCTGGGCGGCAGTTAGGTAGTTAGCATATATGCTGCTTACCTACGTGTCTACGCTGTGTGTCTACGTGTCGTGTGGTGGATCTACATCTACATCTATGTACTCCCGTGCTGTTTAGACTATGCCTATGGAAAATAGTCAAGGTAGGTATGTATCTAGACAGGTTGATGGGGATTTAGGCTGCTTGATGGGTGAGTGCTGGTGATAGTGCTGGTGGATATGGTTAGCGAAATGGGAGGTCTGAATTGTGTATGAAGGTGCAGAATGATCTCGCTAGGTGATTTATTGGTCATGGCGATAATGGATAGATTGATGTACTTCTGTTCAGGGGTTCTGTATGATGGAGAGACAATGAGTGTAACGAGAAGAGAAAAAGAGAAGCCCGAAACGAAGGAGAGAAAAAAGGAGAAGAGCAGAGAGAAAGGGGGAAAATAGAGACAGAGAAAAAGGAAGGAAGAAGACAAAGACGACAAAGAAACGAGAAAGACGTTTCCTCAATCATTCCCTATCCAATTTGAAGGATGTATTTCCAACCAAGTTTCCGAATGCAGTAGCATTCAATGTAGCTTCCCCGCTGTCCTCACTAAAAGTGATATCCACATTGACTTCAAAAATTAAGACCGGGCATCCGTTGCATTGTCCTTGCGGACACTCATTGTAACCGACCTGACTGAAATCGCAAACCAGCGTAGCTTTTTCGAGCATTTCTGGATCGAATCAGCCATCTAAGTATAGATAGGTATGAAGGAAGCTAAAAGAAAGACCCTTAAACTTACGGCGCTCATCAACGTGGCTTGGCGCATGGTCCGAGTCACATCTCCAGACCGTCATGGATTTAATGAACGACTCTCCGGAGAAGTGTAACATTTGAACCGTTAAAGGTGGTCGGCGGCCTGTCATGTATCTGACGTTTTTCTCAAATATCACATGGCATGGGATTTGATCTGAAAAGTCGGTGTTCATCTGATCACGAGTTACGTAGGGACAGCAGAGATATTGACGGGCGGCGATTGCATAGTGGTACCAACTCGCGCGGGTTGGAGTCACATCACCCATGAGGCCGCGTAGAGCGGCCCCTCGCGCAACGATCATTTGCCTACACACCAGGTGTTAGCTTGACGCGAAGTTGAGGATGGACAGACAGACAGACAGAGAAAGTGCGAGTGTGTGTTGGGAGGGTGGGGGAGGCACGCACGGCTCATCAGGTATAATCAGGGGTTCGATGTCCATGCCCGGTGTCCTGGTCAGAAGGTCTTCAAGCCTACGCCGGACATACGGCGAGGCTCCTCCGCCGCCTGTTATCGCAACTTTCTATTCTTCAGGTTAGCGCATCTGTTTAATTGCGGAGCGTTGAGGTAGCTCGTCTGTGAAAGGACTGACCTTGACAATGCGATTTCCAAACTCCTTGTTGGCCGCATTGATTTGAAGTAGAATCATCTTGTAGATCTGATCAACAACGGGGTCAAATAACCCCTTTATGTGATGCGGTTGGGGGGTGATGGCGCGCCTTTGCGGATTGTAGAGGTCAAGATCCATTATCTGAGGATTCAGAGGCATATGGATAGGATCTACGGTTCGTTCCTCTCCTGTAAAACGGGACTTGATACCCTCCAACCAGGTCAACAAGGTTCTTCCCGCTGGTGAATAGATTGAAGGAAGCTGGTCGATCGCGATCGCGAGCTTCTCGGCCAATAGAAGATAAAATCGAGCATCTATTGCCGTGGATCCGCATCGAGCCCCTACGAAAAGATCAGCTCGATCCCAACACGGAACATACAAAGACGGCAGGTGGCTGTACATACCAACATCAGTAGCAAGTTTCTCAAACAGAACCACATTGTCAACTTCGGTGATTTGGCCGGCGGCGATATCCTACTTGGTGTTAAGGGACAATGGAAAAGCAGGTCAGGGAAATTCAGGTGCAACCCACCACCGTGCCCCCTCCGATATCACAAATCAACACCCCGTCCTTGTGCTGATCAGAATGATGTAGGTCAGAAAGAGGGGCCTCTAAAGCCAGCTGGAGAGTCAACCAACCTGAAGCGCCCCTTGAACTTGGCTGTAGATTGCCGTCGCAGCGGCCGCCGGCTCGCTTATGGTGTACCATTTCTGACCCGGACAATTTTCAAATCCTCCCCTCTGGATGGCTCGCTTCATTGAGCATTGCGCCTCCGTCGACCAGGATGCCGGGATTGTAAAAATAAATTCAATTGCTCGAGAGGCATGGAAATGTTCGAGATCGCGCAAGTGGTTGAGTATGTGGGTTCTCAGCTTTTTGAGGTACTCACCCACGATTTCTTCTGGCAGGCGTACCTCGGGAGACCGAAGAATACTGGCTTTACTCATTTGGTGTAGAATAGGATCATCGAATGTTTCGCGCCCGGTGCTGCTCTCTAAGAGCAACTTTGTCCATGCATAGGTCAATGAGCGACCATTGACCTGATACCCCCATGATACCGAGCGATTTTGAAAGGAAATGATGGATGGCACGCAGCTAGTCTGGACTGGAGTACCAGGCCATTGTTGGATGTCTTTCAGCGTCTCGGGATGGCGGGCGGACCAGATATAGGCGACCTCTACTCCGTATGAGCTTGACTGACTTGCTTCATCGAACAGCGCCGGGGAAGAATCCCTTGCTTACCAGTCGTGACGGTGCCAAAGTCGATGCCGACTTTTACAGCGTCTTGAGCCGACATAATCAGATGATGGATTGGAGATCAACGAACACTTTTCGGGTGGGATAATGTGATGGAATCAAAGGAGAGCGGACAGGCGGGATGAGAGGAAGAGGGGAAGTTGAAGAAAATTCTTCTGACGGCACGGTCAATCCGGGGGAGGGCGCCATTATTATTCTGTGAGGACACGCCAGCGAATCCTCTGAGAATGTCTCGGGAGCTGGCAGCGGCGGAAGTTGGTTGAGGTTCTCCAACGTTGAACAAACAAAGAAACAAACGGTTTCCCCTCCACCCCTCTCGTCCCTTCTTCCTTTCACTCCCCTTTCCTTCTCTCCGATCTGCACTTATTCTGACTTGCTGGTAGAATACTTTCTTCTTCTACTCCGACAACATGGTTCGAACCAGGGCGAAACGAAAGATGAAACAACAAGACCCCCCCCAGCGTGTGGGAAAGAACGACGAGGGCCACGACGATGGCCACCACCACGATGACTGCCCCAAAGATGACCATGATGATCACGGCGGCGACCCCGACGGCGACCCCGATGGCGACAACCACGGTGACGACAACGATCCGGGTCGAACCCGATCGTCCTCTCCGAAGAGAAGCCGCCGCCAGGATGATACGCCCCATGACTCGACAAGAACCCATTTGGTGGAGGCGTGGAAGTCTCATCGGCAGATGCACCATCGGTTCATGGAGTATTACACCGGGTGTGGAGAGGATAACTGTCGGACGGCTGATCCAGTCAAAGACATGCAAGACAACATGCAAAGACTTTACAGTGCGGTCAATGCATGGGCGCTTGAGTTTGCTCTTAGGCCCGAGGAATGTGCCGATCTCACGAGCGACCAGAAACGCGCAATAGTCGCCAGCTTGGAGGGCCAGTGCCTCCAGGAGGAATGGGATACATTGCACAAACTATGTCCCACTCAGATGTGTCACTCATTCCACGTCTTCTTCATAGAGGCGTTGGTTATTAGGGACATCTTCAGCGTGATAGTCGAGAATCCTTTCTGGTACTTTGACGGCAAGCTCAACCCGCAAGATGAAGGACTAGGCGACTTCGGTGCTCGGCTGCAATACCTATTCGAAAGATTCGCACAGAGTATGCCCCGCCCGCCGTTACGGAGAATGAAGTCAAGCTAACGAGTTACTATAGCCCATGAGATAAGAGCGAGTGCCTGGTTGACGGAGACCATGCGCCTTGCCAATGCAGTGCGTCCGCTCCAGGTCCACAATCCCGAGCTTGGCCAACACCACGAAGCGTGCCGCAACGATACTGCCAGTGGGTTTGCTAAGTCGATGCTCGAAAGTGAACCTTTAAAGTTTCTTCTCAAGAAGCTTAAGAGCCCCGAGCAGGAGGAAGGGCGGCTCATCGGGCTGGTGACTGCCTACCGAGAGGCCGCAAGATGTACGACGGAAAACCTTCAGCTGTGCCAGGGGATCCCGCGTATTCGGCGCTCTCTTGCACAGATTGGAGAGACATACTCGGAGACTTCCCCCTTCGCAGACGCTCACCCTTTGAACTGTCGACCAGAAAACGACTACGAAACAACATTGCTAAATGGACGGCGCATTTTACTCGTCATGCACCCATCCGTCGACATTCGAATGCCGAAGAAGTCCTACCCGGGATGCACGACCGTCGAAAAGGCACAGGTCGTTGTCGAGGACCCTGATGCCGAATCGGAAAATAACCCCCAACGCTCCTAGTAAGCTTCCTCTTTTCTTGTTCAAAGACATCTGACACTCGTTCGATCATATGTCCTAACTCACGCCTATTTAGTACCGAGGAGGCTTTATTTTTCTAGGCTTCCAGGCGCCATTTATTTCCTATCTGTCTCTTCTCGGATTGGTGTCGATTGTTCATCGATGCCTGATATGCTCATGTTTTCCATTTACACCCTGATTCTGCGAGATGGTGTTCTTCCATTTTCGAAGTATACTTGCATCCACCCGGTGCTTTTTGCTTATATTGCATCCATTCATTCGTTCGTCCACTAGATGTACACCTATTGTCTTATTTACATAGATTATTCTTACGTTCTGTCTGCAAGTTCTAACTAGACCGTTGATTCGAATTCTCACGTAGTAGCATCAATACTTACAACGACGCACGTAGCATAGGCAGGCGTGGAGGTGCAAACCACTATGCACTTCAGAAAAGACTTCTCTCGTCCTATACAACGACTCCATTCATTCTAATAGTTGACTGCTTCGGTGGCCATCACTGTAGCTTTACAGGCCCTTTCTTTCCATTTGTCGTGGCTACTCGTAGAGATCACAATGAAAGCCCTCGAGGTTCCTATCCGTACGGAGCGTTCTGTTGCTTGCTCAAATACCAGGTTCTAGTATGCCCGCCTCCACTTATCTCGAGTTCTGGAAACCTGCATCACGAGAAGCCTTCTCAATTCTCAGAGCATAATCGCCTTTACTCATTAGCTTGTTCCCGACATTTCTTTGATAGCATAAAACAAGCGCAACTTACTCGCAGCCCTCCACCTCATCCCTATATGTCGTAAAAGATCCGTCAACGGGCGTATCGACGGTTCGGGATCCACGCCTCCCGACAGTCTTGCGTCGCGGAGATAGACGATCGCGGCTTTGTAAATGCAGTGGATGATGAACACGGGCAGGGTTGCTGGTTCCGTCGGGGTGGCGACTGTGGCTTTGGCTTCGTGGCCGATCTCGTGAACCAGGGAGGCTAGAATGTTGATGGACGTTTGGGTGCAGTACTCGTTGGCGGGGAGGTTGATGTGGGAGCCGAATTCGAGGACTTCTAGCATTGCGCTTTCTTTGGATTAGTTATTGTTATTGTTTTTTTGAGTACATATCCGGGAGAAAGGGAGGGGTTTGGTTGACCTTCTGTATATGGCCAAGGAGCTAGATGAGAGAGGATCTAGAGTAGAGCTTTCTCCTTGGAACGTTGCTAGAGTTGAAGTTAGAGATCTGAGAATGTGCAGTGCCTCGATGCCGGTCTCTATGCCGTTGAGTGGCGGGAGCGATATGAGCTGATAGTTCTCGTGGATGTGGGTGAGAACCTGTCCCAAGAGGCCGGAAGCGTGGACTAGTTTCTCGAATAAATCATTCTGTACCCTTTTGGTATTCTATTACGATGTACAGGTCAGGAATCTGCATGGTTTACCTGAGATAATGGAGTCACTCACACCGCTGCCACTAGCCGCGTCTATACGTCGTCCACGAAGAGCACTGGGCTCATTCTCGCTCTCCAAGGAGGCATATCTACCCCGGGAGATTTTAGCCTCGATCCCGACTATCTTGATAAGAAGAAGAGGGCAATAACCAACCTATCCGCAATAACAATGCCCCGCCAGGTCCGTCGCGCCTCCTCCGCTTTCCATGGCTCCGGAAACACAGTACGTAGATCCTCCAACGAAGCCGCACTGGCGCCCAAAGTGACCGCAGCCCGAACATTCGCGCCGGCAGAGACATACGCAGCCGGGTAGAAGGTATGTCCGATTTCGAACACAGTCAGAAGCAGCCTGGCCTGCAGCAACTGCAAAGAATTGGTGCCCATGGCCTCAAGCAGTGCGACGAAGCTCTTCACAAGAGTATACAGGGATCGCGTCTGATCAGACACCTCGCCGTCAACGGGCATCGCACACACAAGGAACATACAGAGGGTCAAGACACTAAAGTCCGACGGGGCGGGCTGGATGCGGAATTTAGAGAGCTGCGAATAGTATGCGGTCTCGGAGATGATTGGTAGCCAGACGTGCACGGATCGGAAGTATGTGGCGGCGGTCTCTTGTAGTTGAGCACCGTCGCCTATAATCGACGAGACTTGGGCTTCAAGGGTATGGCGAATATTGGACGGTGTCAAGTCATGTAAGTCGGGCACAGCCACGGGGTGAGAAGATACCGCGTCAGGTGCTGGATAGGAACAGGACTTGTTCAGCCTGGGTCAATTAGCAGGTAGGTCTGGTTTCTACCCAGGGAGAGCGTACCGTTTGCAAAGTGAGCAGACGGGCACGAGTTTGTCACATTTTCGCTTCTGTTTCCTGCAGCGGATGCAGGCTTGAGACATGACTGGATGATAATTAAACGGAGAACATGAGGTCTTCGAAGTAGTCGTTTGACTAAGGCTTGTGCTGACATCATCACTGCTGATTGGCTCGAAATTCCAATTAGAAAGCAGCTAAATTAGTATGAAACGATCTAGCTAATTGATAGAATTTCTTTCGATATTACTGGGGCGAAGGACGCCAGTCTGAATATTGTATAAATCGATCGGACGAAATAAATCACGCTGAAAGATGATTTTATTTCGAATAAATCCTGTTCGACAAAGGCTTCCGAATAATCATACATACTACCGAAACATCCTAAAACTGCGTCCCAACTCTACGAGACACAGCAAAGACGCTTGATTCCGAATAATCTTTCAGCGGATGGGTACTTGCCCAAGCCTGCAGAGACCGGATGTTCTATAGAAAAGTACATTAAGCTATTCTGATTGGATTCACGAGGGTCAAGTATGTGTCCATAAGTGCAACTTGGATTAGTGATCACCGATGAAAGCCTCAAGATCTAGAAGCAACGTCCTTGACATCCGGATCATCTTCGGGAGGAATTTCTGAGGATGCATTAATTAGGGTTGACTCCGGAATGGGAACGAGGAATGCGGGTGCGGAAGCGGAAGCGGAGGCTTAACCCTTTCGAGGCTAGTCCATTGACGGCCTGATCCGGTTTAGCGTCCGCATCTGCGTCCGCCCCGATGAGGCCATCAGAAGTACATCCTTCCGGAGTACTATATAATGCCCTGATTGAGATCTCAAGATGTCCATTCTTTCTGTAACTGACTACAGCCTCTATAATCAGCCGGTATTTCCAACCAGAACTTGAACGGAACCATGAGTGTGATCCGCAACGTCGCTATCGCAGGAGTATACCCAGCTCTCTTGTCTACGCCAATTAGGGCTACTGACATCCCCAGGCCTCTGGCGATCTAGGCAAGGTCATCCTGCGCGCCCTGACCGAGAGCAACCTCTTCGAAATTACCGTTCTCACTCGCCACGAATCCTCTGCCCAATTCGCAGCCTCTGTCCGCGTCATCCGCGTCGACTTCACCTCCGTCACGGATCTAACCGCAGCGCTCGCGAATCAAGATGCCGTCGTCTCCGTCCTAAACAGCGATGCCTTAGACACTCAACTCCCACTAATCGATGCCTCCCTCGCAGCCGGCGTGAAGCGATTCATCCCCTCCGAGTTCTCCGCCAATAACGGGAACCCCAAGACCGCCACCTTGCCCGCCTACAAGGTCAAGATCGCCGTGCACGAAATCATCCAGCGGCATGCTCGCGAGAACCCTCAATTCACATATACGGTGATTCGAAACGGGCCGTTCCTGGACTGGTCTCTTGCCCTGGGTTTCTTCCTTACCTTGAAGCCAGCACCGGGGGGTTCGGGGGCTATCACCACGCCGTTCTACGACGGCGGGGACCGTCCGTTTAGCACGTCGACGCTGGCTACTGTCGGGAAGGCAGTGGTGGGTGTTCTGCACCGGCTCGAGAAGACGACGAATCGAGTGGTTTTCGTCCATGATCTGGTCACGACTCAGCGGAAGATGCTTGCTATTGCGCGCAAGATCGCGCCGGAGCGGGAATGGAACACTGTGCATGTGAGCACGGCGGATATGGAGGCGAGAGCAAGGGAGAATTATGCGCAGGGCAAGGTGGATATACCAGCGTTGATGGGTTGTTTCTGTCGTTCGGTCTTCGCGGAGGGATATGGAGGGGAGTTTGAGGAGGTGGATAACCAGTTGCTTGGGATTCCGGGGAAGAATGATGAGGATTTGGAGGGGTTGATTCGAGATGCGTTGGAAAAGAGTGCCTAGGAAGATATGCAGTACTTGTTGGACAATGCCGGTTTGTATAGCTCTGCAGGTTGTGGTTTGTTCTCCTGCCATTGCTTTTGTTGCCTTCTACAAGGAGCCTAGCTATCATAGGATAGTTGGAACGTGGACAGCTACTTTTTTTTTCTATGGGAGTATATTACTAGTTTGCATTCAATGTACCTAAATCTATGTTAAGTAGATGAGAAGATGAACCAACGCCGCACATAATCAAAGAACCCCCTGTCCAACCAACACAAGCTTCTCATACTAAATATGATTCAATCAAACAGCGTCCTTATCCAGCTTCTGCGTCATATCCTGGCAAACCTCACTGTCGGAATTATGATCCGCCGCTTTCAGCATACTTCTCCACTCCAACGCCGCCGTACCAAGCATCGTCAAACACGACATGACCAGTCCAACCACGAACACCTGCCTCAACGCCCCATTATAAGCCTCCAGAACACTCCCTCTCAAACTCTCCGGCAACAAGTCAATCAAAGACGTAGCACCACCCGATGTGACAAGCCCCGGCTCAAATCCCGGCATATCAGAAAGCCGCCTAACCAACTCATTATCCAGCACGTTCTCCCCGACCGAGATGAAAATAGTCGCTCCGAGAAGCTGCCCGAAGAACATCAGCGACGACCCGATCGGGACATCCGCTGCCGGAAGAACAGTCTGTGCAGCGAGATTCGGCGCCTGGAAGGACAGACCCATGCCGAAGCCGTAGAGGATCTGGTATCCGATCCATTTGCCCTCGCTGGTGTCCACTTGTAGAGTTGTGAGGAGGCCGGCCCCGATGGTCATTATACATGATCCGGCGATTGCGAAGGGTGTGTAGTATCCTGTTTTTTGGGTCATGAGGCCCCCGACAATGGAGGCGAGGACCATTGATAGCATGAGTGGGAGGAGTCGGATGCCGGATTCCATGGCAGAGACGCCGGTGATGGACTGGAACCAGATTGGAAGGAAGTACGCTGGGACGGGTTAATCAGGTGTAGGGATTTGAGTGAACGTGGTCTTACTATAGATGTATGACGAGGCTCCGACACATACGGTGACCCAACAGCCAGCGACAATACTGCGCTGCTTGATGATCCGTAGGGGAATCGTTGCTGTCTTGGGAAGTAGTATCTGAACGGCTGCAAAGCCAATGGCCAGGACTCCCATCAAGGCCAACAGCGCAATCAGGCGGCCGTTGTTCCACTAAAGAGGTTAATACTCGATATAGCCAAATTATTCTCAACGATATCACTCACAACATACGCCTGGCCACCCCACTGAAGTGCCAACAGAAGACAAACCATACAAGATACCAGCGCTGTGGTACCAAGAGCATCCAGTTGTGACAACTTCTCCTTCCAAGGCAACTTGGTCGTATTCCGATCAGGCACCTTAAGACAGAAAGCGATTATGGCAATTGCCACGCCGCCGAACGGCAGGTTGGTATAAAAACACCATCTCCAGGTAACGTTTGAGGTAAATGCACCGCCAATCAGGGGTCCTACAATGGACGCAATGCCAAATATGGATCCAAAAAGGCCTTGAATCGCAGCTCGCTTTTCAAGAGGAACAGCATACACAATGCACATAATCTAGAGACAATATCAGCAATTGGACTAAACTAACTGAGCAGCTCTTGACTTACAGATCCAGAAAAGATCCCAGCTGCGCCAACTCCGGCGATTGCTCGTCCAGCAATAAAAGTTGCCGAGCTGGGGGCAGATCCGCAGACAGCAGACCCTACCTCAAATAGTAGGACGCATGCGAGTAGGACAATCTTGATAGGGTAGAAGGCATGTATTTTTCCAAGGAGCAGCTGGAATGAACATGATGCCAGTGTATAGGCGCTTCCATACCAGCCGACATCCGCCAGGGAATTGAATTCATTTGTTATTTGAGGGATGGCCTGTGACAGCTCAGTCAGCCCTTGGTCAATACCTAGAATCTTAGCGATATGGATGCTGACTATGAGATCATACCGTTGAGATGATTGTTCTGTCTAACGCTACTAGAAAAATGCTCATCAGGACAATGGTTATTAGCAGGATCGTCTTCACTAGTGACTGCTCCTGATGGGCTTTTTTTGGTTCGTTGATATCGTCGGAAGCCATGATGAATGAACTGACCGAACCCCCTTGACATTGAAATCGATACCGATCCAATGTCGAGAGGTTTCTTTCTTTAAATACCCAGAGTGAGGCACTTCTCTCCAATGCGATATAGATCCGCCAGCCAATCATCGGGGCAGCTCGGGAGTTAGTAAAGCCCGGTCGGGAGGTAGAAAAACCCGAACCTCTTCGTATTCCTTCAAGACCGACTCTTTCCTGCTCCTTTCTTTGAATTCCCCGACTTATCGCGCCTTATACTACCGAGTTAAATTTCGTCTATCACCCGATTGCTTCGGCCATGTCAACAGGGTTGCCCACGCCAGAGCAAAGTACTCCGACCACGTCTCGGTCACACCACCCCCGAGCTCTCGCCTGCGTGCTTTGCCAACAGCGAAAAGTGAAGTGTGACCGCAGGTCTCCTTGTACAAATTGCACTAAATATCGCACCCAATGCGTGCCGGCCACGCAGGTCCGTCGGCGACGACGCTTTCCGGAGCGAGCCCTTTTGGATCGTATCCGGAAGTATGAGTCCTTGCTCCGCCAGAACAATGTCAGATTCGACCCGCTTCACAAGGATACTGTCGCTGGAAGTAATCATGATTCAGATTATGAGCCACAAGAAGCCAGTGGGGCAGATTCGCTCTCTTCTGCGAATCCTTCGGAGTCTAGGAGGCCACACGAGGTAAAGTACGTTGCCTATCAATCCCTTTCATCCTCTTTTGTTCTCAGTAAGAGCTAAATCTTTCTCTAGAAACATATGGTTATCTATGAATCAAGGGGTTAGCTGGGCTTGTACTTGTCATACTCAGATCCCTTCACTGACAGATATTGAAATAGTCCCGGGACAACAGCAATGAGTTGGCAATTAGAAAAGCATGGGACCAAGGATTTGACGACGATGACCATCTTCTATTTGGCACAAGGACGACAGCGGTTAACATCTCTGCTCTCCACCCGGAACCTGTTCATATTTTCCGGCTGTGGCAGATTTATCTCGATAATGTCAATCCTCTGCTCAAGGTCATACATACTCCTAGTCTTCAGGGACGCATTATCGACGCCGCCAGCAACGTCGCAAACACCGACCCTGTCTTCCAAGCGCTTATCTTTGGCATATACTGCACGGCTGTTCTGAGTCTCCCTGCAGATGACTGTCAGAGAGTTTTTGGTTCATCGAAACAAGACCTTTTGGCCAAGTTCCAATTCGGTTGTCAGCAGGCTTTGTCAAACTACGGGTTCCTACGGTCTAGTAATCGCGAGGCTTTAACAGCCCTATACCTATATCTAGTGAGTCGATTCACTAAGCAGTTTGGCTTACACTAACAGTTATCTAGGTCTCGAGCTTCTCTGTCAGGAATCCTCGGTCCCTCTCTTCCATGCTTGCCGTTGCAATCCGCATAGCTCAACGCATGGGAATTCATAACGAAGCAGCTCTAGCCAGATGCACCGTGTTCGAGGCCGAAATGCGCCGGCGACTGTGGTGGTCCCTCATGCTCTTTGACTCTCGCATTAACGAGCTAACAGAGCACAATGTCACCACGCTAGCTCCCGCCTGGGATTGCAAAATTCCCCTCAACGTGGGCGATTCAGACCTGCGGATAGGGATGAAAGACCCCCCAATAGCTCAGGGACCAGCCAGCGAAGCTCTCTACGTCGTTGTACGCAGCGAGCTTGGAGAATTTCTCCGTCACGCACCTTTCCATCTCGACTTTACCCACCCGGCTCTAAAGCCCATTGCAAAAGAACTACCAGGAGGAGGCGATATGGCTGCTCTGGAGAAAATAATTGAGGAAAAGTATCTCGTCGCCTGTGACCCCGAAAACCCACTTCATTTCATGACGATCTGGATGACGCGAGGACATCTCGCCAGGTCTTACCTCGTCGAGCACTACTCGCGATGTTCTAGCTCGTCCTCGCGCCCGGGAGACGCACAACGCGACGCTGCCATGTCTCATGCCCTGAGCATGCTTGAGTGCGACACCAAGATCATGACCTCCCCACTAACCCAAGGATTTCTTTGGTCCCTTCATTTCAATTTCCCGTTCTTCGCATACATATACATCATTCAGGACCTGAAAGAGCGACCGATCAGTAAACAAGCCGAGCGGGCCTGGGAGGTCATGAGCGATAACTACGAGGCGCGGTTCAGCGCCTTGGATTTAGTCGGTAATCCTCTTTTTCAGGCCTTTGGGAAGATTGTTCTCCCGGCCTGGGAGGCTTTCGAGGCATCTTTCAAGCGGTCTGGAGAACCATTACCTCCACCACGGATCGTGTCAGGTATCAGACAAAAGTTTACGGGGATGCCACGAGATACAGCAGCACCAGGAACGGCTATGACGAATGTGGACACGAATGACTCCTTCACGATGCCCATGGGCCCTAGTGATCACAACCTCTTATCTACCATGGGTAGCCAAGATTATCTCTCACCCATGAGCTTATTTCTGGGCATTCCCGGACAAAATACGTTACCTGGCGACACTATGGACCAGTTCAGTTGGGCCTCGATGGAGTGGGCTTTTGGCCAGCATGGTAGCTAGGACTTCACCTTACTCTACATCACCCGGATACATTTTCCCCGTCTCGCAGGGGCTGGCGCTTACTTGATGGCATCAATTAACCACGGGAACAAAATGAATCACGAATCCAAATGATCAGTCCGATGTCCCCCCAGCGCCCGAGAATATATGTCGTGATCGGTAATATTTCTCACTCGTGTGCCACAAATAATAAGCAGTTATCACTTCTAGGTCATGCAGCAATGGGCCTGCATTAACCAATGGAATACTATGGAGGAGAACAAGCCTGTAGACTCAAGACCGAAAGTGGCAAAAGGAACTGCCGTATCTGCGAGCCGGGTTGAGTATAAAGTTTTGCATCTACATATTTCTTGCGTTTATGATAACATAATGTATAACTACTCCGGAGTACGTAATATTGGCAAAAGGGGGTGCGGGCGGGCGTTGTTGAGAGATATATTTTCTGTGGGATAATAAACACACGCTCACTATATCTACGCTGCATGATTACTATTCAATGAAATCATAAACTTGGTGTCAAATCGAAAGTTTACCTCTCTTGAATATGTCTTACCCTTTACTTCTATTTGCCGAGTCTTCAAGTCCAAGAAGCCGTCTAATAAAAAGGCTACATGGTTTAGACCATTGAATAAACTATATCGTAGCATAAGGTTTATTTAGTCCATTTTGTGTAAAAGATTCTATTTAGATCCAACGCAATAATGCTTAATCTTCAATCTACAATTCTACTGTGTTCAGAGTATGGAAAAGCTCAAAAAGAAGAAATCCGAGTCATATCTCATCGAGGAAGAATTTTTGGACAGACCCGAGCAAGTCCGAACCAAGATGTTCTATTCTAGGCCTTTCTGAGTGGTCGTTGCCTTTCCCTTGTTGTCATAATTTTTTGACCTGGATATATGGGTTATTCCATGTTTCGTGGCTCTGTGGCTCTGGCGGCCGGCAACCGTGGGAACTTGGGATATCATATTCGGAAATATGGAGCGAAAGGCACCATCAGTTTATGAAACAGATCGGCAGTGAGTTGGCTTTGAGATGTGCTCGTGCCGTTCTCGGGGATATAGAGGCTGCAAGGAGCCTTCCGGGCGTTCTCGGGCCATTCCGTCGGATGCGAAGTTGAGGACCTTCAGGCTTCTTGAAGGGAAGGTGGAAGGTTCAGTCCGATGTTGAGCTGGGTAGGTACTTACGGAGTGGTGAAGGGCGCGAGTGTTTCAACAGCTCAGATCATTGTAGCTTGAGTCCCATAGGGTGTTTCTCCCTGGCTCGTACGCCCAGTTGGGCTGGAGCTTGATGCAGCTTCGCAAACCATCGTTGGTGACTCCTTTTGTGGGTGCCATCCAGGGGATATCACGGAGTATTGGGTTTGCTCACATTAGAGTTTAATCGCAGTCGCATGTGAATTTTAGTCTGGCCCTATTGAAGATTTGGGGTAACTCTCCTAACTCGACGGTTGTCGATCACCCCAAAAAGGGGGGCAGAGGGGTGAAGTACCGAAGTCCTGGATGACCCGATGTCTGCTCTTGGGATAGGGCGTGATGGGGACAGAAGTTAGAGCCGACTCGGGCTGTCGCAGGAAAGAACCTTGTCCACAGTTAGTGGCATGTAGTCGTCTAGACTTGTGGGTGCAGGAGAGCGTCCCCATGAAGCTCTCCGACAGCCCGATTGCCGAACTTAGCAGGTGGCTTTCGCAGGCAACTTCTCTCCATTCCCTCCGCCCATGACATACCACACCGAAAGCTGCCGGTGCTCAACCTGAAACGCCGATTTGTCAAGTTGTAGACGATCGCCTATTTTTGTCATGTTGGCATCCGGCCCTGCAGTCGGCTCCAGCCTGGTCGGCAAAGCAGCAGAGAACCCTGGACGAATCGGGTAGCGACCGGCAGTGCTTGGCAAGAGATCGGCAGCGACCGGAATGGATCCTCGATGCGCCTACTCCGTAGTCCCTACACCCCTGCTCTGCTGGATCGTAATCCCGGCGTAGTCAGAGAGGTAGGTGGCAGGAGATCTTTCCCGGACTGCGTAAGAATCTCGTCCGAGTCCACCCCAGCCCTGCGGTCGCAATTGGATATTTCCATGTATAGAGCGAGACGGCCGAGGCCCTGCACTACTCCGCGCACAGAACCGCATACTCTTCCGACCGTCTGCCATGTGAATGACTTCCGTAATACCGCGGAGATATAGTCGATGATATCACCACGAAAACAGAAAAGTTGATCTGCACGGAACATCGTATATCCTGATCTTCGCGGCGCTGAGATTCAGGCGGAGGACTATTGCATTGTCTTCCCATGGAAAGGGAATCAATGAATCTGTCGACTATCGGCGGCGATCAAACTGGTCCCGCCGCGCGAGCAGCCTAGCGGACGTCAAAGCCAAAATACCCAGGACGGCAGGGAAGGGACGAAAAGGCCTCTGGAAGCACGACTATTTATTTAAAGGCGGTTAGCGCCGCGTAGTCTGCAGGCTGACGGTCAGTCGGAGACCGGGAATCGAGACGCCTGATGGCCGCGACGACGTACTCCATTTCTTGGATTCCAAATAAAGTCTGGGTGGGTAGTCTCCTGCATCTCTGATTTGTGTGATGACGGACTCGGTACGTCTGCGTCTCCACCTCTCACAGAATCGAGCATGACAATGGCAGGCGGCAGGATGATCGAGTGGGAATGACAAGACGACGCGGGTGAGCGACCAAGACTTTGTAAACTCGGTCATTATTCACGGGAGGTTATTCGAAGCCCGACGCGGGGAATGCGTCGAAGTCGACGAACCCCTTTATTCTTCAATGGATGCCAGGGGAAAGGGGAACTGTTGGTCTCACGTGGGGGTTTATGCAGGAGGCACGTGGCGCGATGCACCGGAGTCTTACGGAGGATTATGCTAATATCCTACGGCGTAGGGGTTCATGGTTATTCTTAGTAGATGGAGGGGCGGTGGTCTTAGGATGTAACCGTAGTCTGCATGGTGCTGGGGACTATTGGAGGGATTTGTTGAGAGTTGAGAGTCAGGACTCAGGACTCAGGGGACAGGAGTATTCTGTGCCATTGCGAAGATGGTATGATCCTATCCGTGTTCTTCTACGAATAAACAAGAAAGGAATAAATGAAAATAAATAAAAATAAATTGATGGAAATAAATGAAAATAGAAGAATAAAAAAGAAAATAAAAAACCCCTGAGACCTGAGGCCGCAAGCCAATCGCCTGTCTCCATGCGATGGACCGCCACCCACTCCAACCAAACCCATCCCACGATCGATGGAACCATGGTTGTGTACCTGTCGATGATTACTGTTATCGTCCGGCCTAACCTGACACTACCGCGTTGCTATGCCTTTGACACGAAATCTTAACCTGATCCGCCCGGCCGTCTCAGCATCCGGGATGGAGCCCCCTTTGGCAGCTCGTCGACCGCATGGTCAAAGCCAATTGACCCGTCTTGCGCACCCTCAACCTTCCTGCTCCACTCCTGCGAATGAGAGTGCTTTCTACGCCTCGCGGATCTCTTCGCTCTGGGTGTCCCCATCGCACTGCGCCCGGAGACCTGGCCAATGCGGTCTTCCTGCCTGCCCGGGGAGCAATTTCAGTTTCTCTTCTCTCCCCCCTTGAGCGACTCCGTAATTCGGTCTCCGCTCTCATGATTTCATTTTTCTTTATCACTAATAGTGCCTAATGAATCTTTAGGCTCGCACGGGCGGATCCTTAGACCCCGATCAATCCCTCGACTACTTGTCTGAACACATCATTAAAAGGAGCTCGGGTGCCCAATTCCAATCCGTGCGAGCTCGACCTTATTTTTTCTTTCTCCGAATTTTTGCTGTCGCCGACTTCCTCCAAACCATCCTTTGCCTTACGGTTTACCACCCAAGCCGTCGATCCGAAAACGTTTACTTCCCCATCTCGCCGATTTTCCCTCACCGCAAATCAGGGGAGGCCGAGAATTCCGACAGCTGGCCGTCAATTGATCCTGTAACGTGCTGTGTTTTATGCTGTGGGGGTCAAGACTCATTTTCGGGATTCAGGGTGCATGAGCTTCTGAAACCACGGAACCGGCCGAAGACTATCCAACTATACCGAAAGTATCTCTATAAGGTTGGCTATTTGACGTGAAATAGCCGTGACCGGCCCTGTCGGCATTGGTCGCAGAATAAATTATCGATCATTGCCACAATCGAGGCACCCGGAGGACGTGCCGGATCTAATGATGCCCCAACCAAATCTAAACATACCGCTGAGGACGTCGAGTGCGCATGGCGCGGAGGGCGGAATGCAGCTAGGAAACGTTAGCCATGAAGAGTTGATGCGCGAAAAGGCATCAAAGGCTCAAAAGATCCTAGGGACCGCGGACCTGTCTTTCCACCAAGATCATCCAAAATGGGAAGAGAAGAAGAAAGGACACCGACCTAGCTTCATGAAGTCTTCAGAAGCCAAATCGAAAAAAGGTAGCAGCTTCGTTCCTTTCCCATCATCGGTCCCCGAAAATGCAAACCCCCCTCCGCACCTTCGGGTGCGAGCATCGTCTCCCCTTCTGGGTCAGGAGTACCGCTCGCAGGATGTCCCGCCGCCATCGCTGCCCAAGACATCCAAGAAAGTCCATCACTCCGGCTCTGCCTCCGCGTTATATTCTTATTTCACCTCCCGAGATTCATCCGCCGAACAAAACAAGAACGGTGGAAGCTCGAGGAAAGAGTCCAGCTCTGCCGAAAGTGCCAACTCGAACTCTCCAGAACAGACCGGTTCCAGCATGGGGCTTAAGCAGCCGGCGGGATTCATGAAAGAATCGAAACGGAAAATGCGCCCGCCTCGAATTGATCTTTCTTTACTGTTCCCCAAGCCGCGAGCCACTGCTGCACCTCTTCTTTCACCCCAGAGATTGGTCAATTCCCCTTCGGCTATCTCGATGGCCTCGGAATACTCGGCGCCCAACCCCAAGAAACCAGACAACCATGTGCCTGGCAAGAAGCTCGCCAAGACGCCGCCTCCTTCTCGGCGTTCGGCTCGGAGACCAAGTGGCCTGGAGTCCATCAGTGATGCCGGCGAATCTACGACATCGAATGGAGCCTCCACTTCCAATTGGACCGACCCTTCGCTCGAAAGAGCTGTTGGCACTACCGAGATGGAACTGGCATTGGAGAAATACAGTGGTCTACAACAGCCTTCTCGATCTGCCCCGAGAACTAAATCGGACCGGACACGCTCGCGAACCTTAAGCCGAGATCAGTTGCATAACAATGACGCGCAGCCTTCTAGCGGCTCCTTGCGAAAGGTTCCATCAAACACATCTACGGGAGGATGGAGCAAAGAAACGTATCTCTCTCCGAAAACTTGTGCTCACCCAAGACCTACCCGTGCAAGGAACTCTTCCAATCCACGGCACAACGAGATGCCGGAGAAATTCCCCATCCCCGAGAACCAGTCGATGTCGAAGAAGAGCAGCAAAAGTACTTTGAAGAACTCTGACCTCAACAATCTCAGCGTTCTCTGTCTTTCGTCGTCCGAAGATGAGGACGATGACGATGAAGAGGACGAACTGACTGGAAATCAATTGACTGGACACAAGGGCATGCGAGATAGCGTGACCACGTATGGTGGAGACTCTGACGCCGAAATTTGTACTGCGTCTGCTGCGCAGGCGACAAGAGGCACCTTGAGGCGAGTCGAAAGGACAATCTCGACCAGCAGCCGCGGGTCGCGCCCACTTCAGCGCCAGGCCTCTGTCCGTCGCAATCCGTCCATGTCGTCGGCCGGGCGATCATCCGTGGCGACCCGCAAGAGTCAATCCCGCCGATCGAGCGGAATTCCAACCATCTCGGAGCCCGAGTTCTATCACGGCGATCCGATTTTCAGCCAGATGAGGCACTCGAACCTCTCCCGGAAAGAAATTGACCGAAGAAGCCGAATCATGACCGTGACTAGACAGGAAGAAACCCTGCTGGAAGCAATGAGACAGCGCCATGGGAAAATCACGCCCAGCCTCTTCCACGAGACCCGATTCAATGGACAGGAACCGGACAGAAACTCAATGCTCTCGGTCGCTCCTTCGCGGGATTCGTTTTACGGGTCTGGCACGTCTTTCTTACGGTTAAGCCCCGGCTTGCCACCTCATCAAGCACGTTCAGACCAAGCCACCAGCAACTTTGACAAAGATAGTCATGGTGCGCCTTCTGACACCGACCAGAAGACCGTCTACTCGGGGGTGTCTCCCCGGGCAAGCTTGGTGTATTCGGAGAGTCTCCCGTCACCCGCAACGAGTGCGGCTTCTCCCATGACGCCGACTCTTCCCATCCATCGGTTTTCTCCGCTTCCATCCCAAAAACCTCCTCCCCGCCAGCCTCTTCCTCCCGTTCCCCAAAGTCAAAGGCGGCACTCGCGGCGACGCACCGACAGCAGCGAAGCAATTGTCCTGGACGACACGCAGAACTCGAAAGAGAAAACCGAGTTCCCTCTTTGGGCCGTGGGATGGAATAACGAAGGTGCTAGCCTGACGGCCGTGCATTGAAAACAACAAACACCACGCAAGGCACGCAGGGTCATCTGCCCAAGCAACTGCGCTAATTCAGCTCTCCCAACCATTTGGTTATGAACACTCACTTACCTCTCTTTCCCTTGTGCCTCTCCGCCATTCCCCATTCCTCATTCCCTCCCAACACGCCTATCATGTGTTCGATGTGATTGCATACGTTCTTTTTCCCGCCTGTATAGACTACACACTACCTGGCTCAGCAGCCATATTTCCTATCCTGTATTTATTTTTGGGTCATAGCGACTTGTATATAGAGAACGAGCAATCGGAGAATAGACTCATGCACTAGAGATGCGTCGCTCAATTGGCTGATCGTATGTACGTCATGTCATCTCCGTGACTTGTTCCCTCCGCCTCGTTTCCCCCTTTGACGCTGCTATCATGGCGGCTGTATCGTTAAATGGCGCTGCCTAGTCCATGTATGACCGAGGCGACGCTGGTTGGTGTTACCCAGGAACACCTTACATGAGCCATATGTGGGATTTCCCAGCTGCGCCCCGTTGGGCTACCGTGGCTTGCCAAGCTGCAGACGTTGCAGCGTGTTGGCCCAAGGGATAGCAAATGAGAACGACAGACGGCTGACGTCAGGTTGCTTCTGGAAGGGGAGGAGAGAAGACGAAAAGGACGAAGTTGGGGGAGCGATGAGATGGCTGGGAAGGCCAGACTCTCGTGCTGGTCGGCCGGGATCCACACCGCCCCTCGTCGGTCGTCAATTTGCCCGTCCAAAACTACCCCGGACGGCCTCGTCCATTTCCCCTAGTCAAAGCCAACGCAAGCCTTTTCGCCACTCGCTCCTCTTCAGCTTCCTCCCCGGCTCACGACTTCTTGCCCCTGTCTCCGGCTCTTCAAATCGATCTCGCGATCTTTCCACCGCGTCGTGTCATCTTCCCCACGTTCCCCTTCAGGCCTTGTCTGCCTTTGCTGGCCATCTGCCAGAACCTGGCTTCCCCGTCGACCGAGTGCGAGGAGTTTCCCCTCCTCACGATCAGCACGCGCACAAATCGAATGCAACATCCTCGGCACACTAACTCGAATTCCCTGTCATTTTGCGACCGAGCGCGCCCGTCCGGCGATTATTCTTATATAAATTGGCTGCTCTGATCCGCCCGTCACGTTCTTTTGCTAGCGGGCGCCGACAAAGCACCATCATCACCATCATCAATAACAATGGGGGGAAACGCAAAACAACCATCCTCAGGACTGGGGGCCATGCTGAGGCAATCATCCTGGATTCTGGTAGGACTTTCATGCGATACGATACGACGGCGTTTGCTTCCGAGTCCTTTTCGCTAACTCTCAGTTGGTCAATTTAGTTGACGGCGCAGTACACGTCATTTGTGTTGGTAAGAAAGACCAAGCTTTCTTGTGTGTGGGATTGATGACCGCTAACACCTGGTCTCTATCCAGCTTCTGCACTATTCCAGGGTGATGCCGCCGACTAACGGAAAACGATACCTCGCATCCACCGCCGTCTTTTTCAATGAAGTTATCAAACTGGCAATTTCCCTGACCATCGCGCTCTACGAAGTGTCCAAAACAGCACCTCCCTCGGTACCCGCTACATCCCTCCTCTCCTCCCTCACGTCTGCCGTGTTCTCTGGGGACAGCTGGAAGCTTGCGATCCCTGCCGGCCTGTACACCCTCTCCAATTCGTTACAATATGTCGCTCTTTCCAATCTGCAAGCAGCGACCTTCCAAGTGACGTACCAACTGAAACTGGTCGTGACAGCTGTCCTGGGGCTCATCTTGTTTAAGAGGACTGTGCCACTTCGCAAGTGGGGCCTGCTGCTGCTCCTACTCGTGGGCATTGGTCTCGTTCAGATGCCCGACGGTACCTCCGAGCAGGCCGCGCTGGAAGACAAGACGGCACACCCTGCCTTCCCGCGGTCATTGGAGGAGTGGAAGGCCGTAAAACTCGATCGCCCGAATTTGCACAAACGCTCTGCGACGTACGAAGGCATCGAAGAGGATATTTTGACTGCGTTCCCGCGGATGAATGGGACAATTGGTCTCCTAGCAGCCATTGGCGCATGCCTTGCCTCCAGCCTTGCGAGCGTCTATTTCGAGAAGGTGCTCAAGGACAGCGCCAAGACGACCTCGGTCTGGGTTCGCAACGTGCAGCTGGCCGTCTATTCGGTCTTCCCCGCCCTCTTCATCGGGGTTATATTTTTGGATGGCGAAAAGATTGCGGCCAATGGATTTTTCGAGGGATACAACTGGGCAGTGTGGTCCACCGTCCTTGTTCAGGCCATCGGAGGGATCACGGCGTCCTTTTATCTTGGGTCTTCTTATAGAGATACCCGAAATGTGGCTACAGCCACAAGCATTGCCCTGAGTACGTTGGGCAGCATCTGGCTTTTTGAATTCGAGCCTACTGGTAACGTACGTTGCGATCACCCCATACTACCTACTATTCCTTTGGTCAACGCAGGCTTAATAACACTATTCTCTAGTTTCTCCTTGGAACGTTTGCAGTGCTCGTGGCTACCTATCTTTGCGAGGACTCGAGCTTGGGACTCGGTCAAGCTAAACGCCAAGGTCCTCGCCCACCGCCGATTCGTATCGACAGTTATGAGAAGGACACCAGAAGTGACGAGGCCTCACCGGTGTCATCACCTCCCAACGAGATTTCCATCAAGCTCCCCGGGACCCCTTTCCTGTCGGATGCTGGTTTGTCAACATCGCGACCTACGTCTCCTGGGCACACAAGGCTCAGCTCCGCTCGTACTGCGAGCGGTGGTGGCTACTTCGATAAGCATTGACGAGATCTGTGAATACGACGATTCCGATACGACTTCACACCCCGTGCACCTGATGCGGTGTGCTGTACCATGTCCCTTGGGTAGTACATATGGATAGAAGCGAACCGATTTCTTTATTTTGACTTGATATGCAGCGATTTTGTATTTTTATCAGTTCTTTCCCTTGCATTTTGACCGAAAGCATTTTCTCAGCAATCAGGTTATCTGAGCATTTTCCAGTTTCAATATACTTCATACCCTTGAGTCATTGTTCATGGATCGTACGAAGACAAGTATAGACCTAGCAAATTATACCTTTGCAAACAACGCTAAAAGAGCAACATCTCAAGGTAATCCGCCCATTGTCTCCTTGAAGACACTATCCACGTGCCTTTGGCAGGTGACCTACCCGTTCTGCAAGCTCCAAAACTTCTCATCTCGAAGCATCCTTCCATTTCATCTTAGCAAAGATCCTTTTCTCAATGGTATATCAGAAATGCGACAGAAAGGAAATCGTCAATTCCCTCCTTATCGCAGCCATTCTTCGGCAAGGCGAGGATTCGATGCCTCGTCTCCATTCTCCCGACTGAATGCGGACACGATCATTGATCAGCGGCTAATCGAAGGAGCCCAGAGCTCTCCGCAGGCAAGTCCAGCGTACGGAAACGACCACAGAGTTTATGCCCCCGAGTCTAGACCCCTTCCTGGTGATGATTTGCAGTATGATGCGTTCGGTAAGCACAGTCTTAGATGGCTGCGGATGTGGCTTTGGGGCCTTATCTAACTTCAATGGGATTAGATTTAGAGCTTCTGGCCCAATCGGACGAGTCCATGAAGGGTCGACAACCTACAATATATCATGAAGAAAGCCGGCATTTGTCACACGAGCCGGGATGCCGAGACAGCTCTAATCAGGTCTCGCATTTCTTTTCCGGTAGGCTTAGGGGCGGTGATCAGGAGATCAAACCTCTATGCGCTGCGAATTAGATCCTATCAAAGGCTAATCCGTCAGCAACAGGCTCACAAATCCCATCCCACCAGAGCTTTGGGTCTAGCTCTTCGAATCCCGATAACCGATCGCCCTCTAGCCCGTTTACTAGCCTCCAATCTGGAAGACCAACGTCGTTCCGAGCACCAAACTATGAAGTCGGGGCCAACACGCAAGGTTATAGCATCGAATATCAGGGTGAAGAACCAACTAGATCCACTTGTGAGACTGCAATGCACTCCCCGTCTAAGATGACCCCGTTTCAAAATATCCCCATGTCGATCAGGGGAATCGTTCTGGTGTCGGTCCGCGAATTACCGGATAATTATCGATCAATATTTCACTTTTCAGTCTTCAATGCCGTCCAGTCAAAGTGCTTCCACTCTGTATACAAGACCGACGATAACGTAGTCCTTGCGGCACCAACTGGAAGTGGCAAAACTGTCATTATGGAGCTGGCGATCTGCCGTTTGCTGGCTAATCTGAGAGACGAACGATTCAAGGTCGTTTATCAAGCCCCGACCAAATCTCTTTGCTCCGAAAGATTTCGCGACTGGAACAGGAAATTTCAAACATTGGGACTCCAGTGCGCGGAACTGACCGGCGACACGGATTACACGCAGATGAGAAATGTTCAAAATAGCCAGATAATCATCACCACGCCGGAAAAATGGGATAGTATGACTCGAAAGTGGAAAGACCACATCCGATTGATGCAATTGGTCAAACTGTTCCTTATCGATGAGGTTCACATTCTCAAGGAAGCGCGTGGCGCCACTTTAGAGGCCGTTGTATCTCGAATGAAAGCCATTGGATCCAATGTTCGCTTCGTTGCTCTGAGCGCTACTATCCCCAACTCCGAGGATGTTGCGACCTGGCTAGGTAAGGATGCGACAAACCAGCATGTGCCAGCACACCGTGAGCATTTTGGCGAGGAATTCCGTCCCGTCAAGCTTCAGAAATTTGTGTATGGTTTTCAGTCGCACGGCAATGATTTTGCATTCGATAAGATGTGCAGTTCGAAGTAAGTTTCTGACGTCCCTGTAAAGTGGACTAGCTGACCACACATTCTGCAGGCTTCCGGAAATCATCGTCACGCATTCCTGCAGGAAGCCGATCATGATATTTTGCTGCACTAGGAACTCGACTGTAGCTACTGCAAAAGAGCTTGTGCGTTTGTGGTCCATGTCCAATCCGCCCGCGAGGCTTTGGAAAGGTCCAAATAAACACATAGAGGTCCATAACGTTGACTTGAAAGGTAGCCAACCTACCTAACCGTCCTGTCCATGTTTCTAATAATCCACAATCTTTGAAAGGCACAATTGCTGCTGGGGTTGCTTTTCATCATGCTGGACTTGATCCTGCTGACCGACACACCGTTGAGACTGGTTTCCTAGACGGGCAGATCAACATTATCTGCTGCACCTCAACCCTGGCAGTAGGCGTGAACCTTCCATGCCATCTGGTGATAATCAAAAATACCGTCGGATGGCAAGATGGTGGCTGCCGGGAATACTCTGATCTTGAGATCATGCAAATGCTTGGTCGAGCCGGTCGACCCCAATTCGACGACAGTTCTACCGCCGTGATTCTCACAAGGAAAGAGCGCGTGCATCACTATGAAAGACTGTGCTCTGGGTCCGAAAGCCTCGAGAGCTGCTTGCATCTGAATTTGATTGACCATTTGAATGCTGAAATCGGGCTAGGAAATATTAGAGATATCGAATCGGCTATCAAATGGCTTGCTGGTACATTCTTGTTCGTGAGGCTGAGGAGGAACCCAACGCATTATCACCTGAAAGAAGGTGCCAACAGAGATGATGAAAATGAGATGCTCCGACAGATCTGCAAGAAAGATATCAATCTGCTGAGAGAGAGTGGTTTGATCGCTCCTGACCAGCTTCGATCCACACAATACGGAGACGCAATGGCCCGATATTATGTTCAGTTCGAAACAATGAAGGGATTTTTGGCTTTGAAGCCTCGATCCAGTATCTCTCAGATCGTGAGTTGAGACAGAGTCAGATCATTTGATGTGAGCTGATAAATACAGCTTTCTGTGATAGCCCAGGCAGAGGAGTTTCGTGAAGTCCGTATCAAATCCGGTGAAAAGTCACTGTATAAAGAGCTCAACCGCGCCAATGGCATTCGCTTCCCCGTAAAAGTGGACATAGCTCTTCCAGCCCATAAAGTCTCACTCCTTATTCAATCTGAATTAGGTGCCGTGGACATCCCGGATGGTGACCAGTTTCAAAAGCACAAGTTCGCCTTCCAACAGGACAAGAGCTTCGTTTTCTCTCATGTCAATCGCCTCATTCGTTGTATCATCGACTGTCAAATCTCCAATGCGGACGCGGTTGCCATTCGTCATGCACTAGACCTTGCAAGGAGTTTCGGGGCTAAAGTGTGGGATTATTCCCCTCTCCAGATGAAGCAGATCGATCAGATCGGCGTTGTTGCTGTTAGGAAATTATCAGCCGCGGGGATCACCAGCCTTGAGGCTTTGGAGCTCACGGAGGCTCATCGCATCGATATGATCCTGAGCAAGAACCCGCCGTTCGGAATGAAAGTGCTCAGTCGTGTCGCGGACTTTCCTAAGCTTCGGGTGTCTGTCAAGAGCACAGGCAGAGTACATATATCAGCCCATCGGTCAAGATTCCGCTCACACTTCTATAGGATATTAAGCCGGGGACTCCGGTCAGGATTCGATTCAAAGCTGAAATAGCCTTTATGAATGAAAAGACACCGTTCTATTTCCAAAGACGTCCAGTTTACGTCTGCTTTCTAGCAGAAACATCCGACGGTCATCTGATTGACTTCCGGCGAATCAGGTCCGCATTCGTCTTCGCTTTGTCTTCTAATATTGACAAATCTAGTGCAAGTAAAATCCAAAAGAATCATGAAATCTCGCTTATTGCAGAGATAAAGGATCGGAATCAACTGATCAGATGCCATGTAATGTGTGATGATATCGGTGCGTACTATGGCTTCATCCCGGACCGTGTGCTGATTACGCAAAGTTGGAACTTTGAGGTCCGCAGAGCTGCAGACAGACCTTCCACCTGCTCTATTTCCGGCCCGTTCGACTGCAGAGATAACAGCTGCGTCTCAACAGAATAAAACGAGTATATCACGTCCATCCGGCATCAATTCCAAAATAAAATCGACCACAGCCCAAAAGACGGATGTCTTTGATAGCGATGACCAGCTGTTTAATGACTTCCTGGAGATAGGTGCGTTTTCGTTTGCTGTTGGAAACAGAAGTATGGATTCTAAGTCGAACATCTATATCAATTAGCAGACTGGACTGGACACAACAATGATATTCCATCCGAGCACAAAGACCAGACGATAACCCAGAAACGTGCACCCACCGATGATCCCCAGCTCTCCACCGAAGCCAGCGAGCCAATCCGTCTGGAAAACGGCAGATGGGCCTGCAACCACAAATGCAAGGACAAAACCGCGTAAGGAGCATCTCCCACTTAGCAAGAAACGAACTAATGGCCTCCAGATGCAAGCACTTCTGCTGCCGAGACGGACTGGACAAGCCGCCTAAAGCGAGCAAGAAACAACCCTCTGGAAACCCGAAGCCAGATAAGCTCAACCAGCTTACTCTCTCGGCCAGTGTCACGAAGAAACCGGTCCATGCTGGTCCGTCTGAGAAAAAGCAGTGCCTGTCTCCCTCTGTCTTGCAGCCGAGCTCGGCCAATATCTCACTCAATCCGGGCCATTCTTCGGGGAGTCCTATTGTCGTCGACGGGGACTCTTCGAGTGACTATGGCGACGACAGCTTTGATGATCTCCCTTCGCCATCTGCGTTGCTACTTGGGAAGTCAATGGGAGTCTCAATGCGAGAGAATAACAAGCTCGTTGAAATGTCGAATCTAGAGGACGAATTCTTCGTCGGAGAAGACTGGCTCTGCACTGATGATTCGCTCCAGCTGGTCCAGACCGCAGCCGTTGATCAACCTCCACGTCCAGACAAGGGTGTAGATCGAGGGTTTGTGAGCGAAGAAATGCAGCCACACGGGAAGGAAGGACCTGAGAAGAGTCTCAAGGAATCAGAAGTTAGCCTGAGTATCGAAGATCGTTCGATTGTGGGAGATACCTCAGCCAATTCTCACTCCAATCCCTTAGGCTCTGGCTGCTCGAAAGAACCGGGAACGGGAACGAAGAGAAAGCTGTCCCAGACAGGGCCAAACCACCAGGTGTACGAAGAGAGAGTGACAAAACCGAAGAAGGCAGAGACATCGAAGTCCCCAGACGATAATGCTGTCTTGTCACGAGTGAGCAAAGATCAACCCTCTGCAGCACCAGATCCATCTATAATGCCGACCGACTGGGAGGACATCGACCCTGCCTTGTTGGATGAGTTCAAAGACATTATCAATTTCTTTTAAGGATCGCAGTATCCACATAAATTGCATGGATGCAGCGGGGAAAGCAGAAGGTAGAATGTAAAGACAGAGACAATGAACTCGCTTAACGTCGATTGAACAGAACAGAACAGAAGCATATGCATTTCAGCACAGATTGAGAGAAAGCCGGAAAGAACAGGAGAATGATATCCCGGGTTCACCCGCTGTCAGGCACATTGCAAGCCATGTTTTCCTAACTGCTCTTCATCAAATGCACCAGACGTCATGGACAGGATCCTTCCGTACTGCCAATCAACGAGCGTAGCGCCTACTAGGGCTGGTATAAGACCTCCTAGACTCTGTGAGTTTAATCATAAAGGAAGAAGCCGTAGTGAATCCCCAGAGCATGCTGTAAGTCCTCATTATCAAGAGGGCATATCCGGTGCCTTGTGGCTGTAAGGTGAACTGAACTTCTCTTTATTTTTCTCTGCCTCCTGCACATCTCGTCCTCTCTCTCTCTCTTCTTTTCTCATCCCCATTCCATCGTTCACGTCTTCCTTTTTCTCTTCACGCTCCGTTCCCCAACATCTTCGTTTCATAGTTCTTCTGAGAAGATACCAGGAACGTCAGTTCACAGAACACTTTGTTTCTTTTCATTTGCATCATTCTTTTTTCAAATCATCCGTCTGTGGATTGTTTGTTGCACTTGTCTCCCTGATTCGAGTGCTGCAACCATCGCACTCTTACCATCTTCTTTTCTTCCCTCTATTTACCTCTACCTTTCCTCGCCCACTCACACTCAGTCATCCCGTTTGATCTGTCTATCTCAGTAAGTATTCTGTCTCGTTCACAGGTCTTCTTGTTCGTGAAAGCCTACATGCAGCTTCACTCTTGTGAAGTGATGTTGTTGTCTGTGGTCCAACTCGATATAGACTGACGGTCGCCTGTTGTTGGACTTCACGCGCCCTCCCCACACAACGCGACCAGTCACGATCACAACCACTATTCAGTCCTGAAAATACTAACGCGTGATTGTCATCAGGTTGGTCATTTTATGAACTTGCCAAATGGGTCGACTGAATTACTCTGCGGTAAGATCCAGCTCTCCTGTATTTCACAGAACCAGCCCACGCTGATCAACATCAATATAGAGAAGGATCTTCGGGGTCAAGGCCGGCCAGGTCATCTCCAAGGACCTTGTAAGTGTTTCCTCTCCATCTAGACAAGCTTTGCTCCGTCCATCAGCACAAGATCAGAAAGGTCTGACTGTCTGCAGAAAAAGCGAATCCCTCCGGCTCTGAACTCCAAGGCCGCAGGTCGAGATCCAACTTTGGAAATCGACGTCTCCAACAAACGGCTTACAGATGAGGGGTTTAGCCTGTGGATCGATGATCTTATTGAGTGCATCAAGTACCGTGACGATGACCACGTAGCGGGGTTGGCCAGGGTCGTCGAGCTCCATGTCCGGGGCAACGAGCTCACCGTGCATTCCCTGGCGAAGCTAGGTGAAGTGGTGGCTCTCTGCAAGGGAGATCTCCATGAGCTTGATGTCTCGAATAACAATATCGAGGTCAAGACCCCTACGGAGAAGCAGATCTGGTTCGAGTTTCTCTCGTCGTTCAAGGACTGCTACATGCTCAGGAAGCTCGATCTGGGAGCCAATCCGCTGGGTCATGCCGGGGTGGAAATCCTGGCCCGCGTCTATATCAAGAGTGATCTAGACTTTCTAGAGGATGATGCAGAGGATATCATTGACAATGCTGCGGAGGAGATCGAAGTTCTAGCGAAGAACATGGCGGCGCTGAAGGTCAAGCCGGGGAAGGAGAATGAATCTCCCAAGGGTTCTGGCCAGAAGAAGTCGCCTAATAAGGGCAAGAGTGCCAAAGCGACTGGTAAGACCTATCTGAACGGTGCTCTGGACCAAACGGTCTTCATGCTGATGCTGATTCCCTGAAGGACCGTCCCAGGTTCCCTTGCCTAAGGAAAAGATTCACGCCAAGCTCAAGCACTTCGCATGCACCAGAGGCCTTCGGTCCATTCCGTATTTGATCGTCTGCGAAACCTTCCTGACCGCAGGCAGCACCGTCCACCTCTCCAGCATGCTGGAGATCCAACGCACCCCCGATCAGCTTCTCGAATTCCTCCCTACCACTGCCAAAACACTGGCTCTCCCCGAGGAGGCGAAAGAGTGCAAGGGGATAATCTGGTTGCCTAATTATGACCTGGGCGATATCGCATACCAGCTTCTTTATCTCTCCGAGAGCATCCACGATCTGAAGGACATGTCTGATCCAGAAGAGGCCGATGACGAAGCCGATGATGAAGACGATACCCAAAGCAGCTCCGATCAGCCCGCAGCGCGGAAGATGGGCACCCTCGAAATGCGAAAGATGCAGAGCAAGAGAGGCGTTGATCTCAGCCGTCTGAACAAGAGGGTGCGCATGGAGGCCTTGAAGAAAGAAGGCGTGCATAGCTTCGATATCTGGATCACCGCTTTGCGGATGATGCTCGTCTCGCGGGCTCTCTTGCTTGAAGATATGGATCGCCCGTGCGACACCCCAGTCGAGGAGGAAGTTGACACGCAGGTCGAGCATGAGGAGCCTGAAAAGCCCGCACCCGAGCCTCCCAAGAGAGTCATCCACGATCTGTCCGAGGATGCACGCGTCGAACAATTGCGCAACCTCCCACATCCACCCCAGGATGTGTCCCGCATCAACCCTGGCCCCTTCTTTCCTGGGACCGAAGAGTTCTTCGCAAACTTCCCTGCGCTGCGCCCCGTGCCCATCATTCAAATTGACACCGCCGAGGACGGAAGCAACAGCGAGGCCACCAACGACTCGGAGACCGCGGCAAACAAGGACGGCTTCTCGTCGACAGGAGGCCCGGGCCACCGCTCAGGCAAGCCCAATGCTCGCTTTATCGCCGCCCGCGAGCCTGAAAAGACCCAGTGGCGGTATGGTCTGCCTCTGGCCCTTTGGCGCCGAATTATCGCAGATGCAGTCGGAGCGAACCAGGTGCTAGACGAGGAACAACAGGAACGAATCATGCGCTATGCATCGGACTGGAAGGCTTTGGGTTATGAGATGACCATCACCGGCGCTGAGGATCACCAGCAGATCTGGAAATTCCTAGAGACCGTCCACTGCTTCACCTACAGCTGTCTGTGAGCGGCAGGACGAGGTCAGGCGCACGTCAAAACATGGTTTGTAGTTTCTGATTTCTGAATTTTAACGACCATCTCAATGTCATGGAATGGTAATCGCATTGAGAAAAAAAAAAAAAAAAAAAAAAAAAAAAAAAAAAAAAAAAAAAAAAAAAAAAAAAAAAAAAATTGAAAACGAGAAAAGAAAAAAAAGTCACGATGGTTAATGGTTAATGGTTAATGACAGCTCTGACAGTTAATGAAAGAACAAGAGTATTGCACGATTAGGCTTGGACAACTTGGGTAAAGACGAGGGCGTCATCATGTTGATTCTCATGTATGTAGCGGACTCGAAGTCGGAGGATTTAGGCGGAGCCAGATCTACCCAGATAGTTGAATGAAGCCAATCTGCATCTCCTACTCATACACGACTCGTACACTTTCACAGGTCGTGGTGAAGACAAACGCCAAACGCCGAAAGATGCCTGCAGACACCTGAGGGTCACCTGACTGGGCATCCCCGCAATTTCCACTTCGCCGGAGTATTCATTCTTCTTCTACTTCTTCTCTACTTCTTCTTCTCTGCCTCACGCCTGCTTCCGATTAGCGCCTATATTAGATTGCTCGTTCTTTTCCTTCACGCATTCTCAGCCACATAGACAAATAGACACCCAAGACCATCCCAACTTCCCGTCGAGCCCAACCCCGCCATGAACATGATGCGCACCAGAAGAACCAACACCGCGCCGTTGGAAGACGCCTCCACCGCGCCAGAGACCTTCAACGACGGACTCCCCCTCCCGAAGCTCATCGCCTTTGATCTGGACTACACGCTCTGGCCTTTCTGGGTCGATACGCACGTCAGCGCGCCCGTCAAGCCGCGCGACAACAACTCCCGCTGCACAGACCGGTACGCCACCTAGCTAGCCCCTGGACCTTCCCTCCAATATCCATTCCCACATAAACTAATGAAACTGACCAAACAGATGGAACGAATCCTTCGCCTTCTATCCCGCCGTCTCGGCCATCGTCTACGCCTGCAAAAGCCACTCCATCCCGCTCGCGCTCGCCTCGCGCACCCACACCCCCGACCTAGCGCGCGACATGCTCAAGGCCCTACACATCATCCCGACCTTCTCCGACAACCCCGCCGCGAAGACCAAGTCCGTTCGCGCGCTCGACTACTTCGACTACATCCAGATCTTCCCGGCGAACAAGACGCAGCACTTCGCGCGGATCCACCAGGCCAGCGGGGTGCAGTACGAGGAGATGCTGTTTTTCGATGATGAGGCGCGGAATCGCAATGTGGAGACGGAGCTGGGGGTGACGTTTTGTTTGGTGAGGGATGGGATGACTCGCGAGGAGGTCGATCGGGGGGTGTGGGCGTGGCGGAAGAGGAATGGGATTAAGAAGGAGAGGAGTGAGGAGGAGGTTTAAATTAGATGGGCTTTTGGGTTGGTGTGTATATTGGCGTCTGGTTTGGTTGCGTTGATTAGAGATATGGTTAGATTTGGATTTGATGGTATAGATACCCGGATGGAAGGACAGGATCGGATGGGATATGACTAGACATTTGGATTTATTGTCCGCTGTACTGTACATAACACCGAACACTAAAATAGACACTAGGGTCCATAAGCAACAATTCCCCTACATGGAGTAGACCTGTAAATCTGCATCTCCGAATCTCCGCATCCGCTTGGCCCAAGCGCCTCTTCTCCGTCGACTTTCCGCACCTCAACTCCAACCACCAACACCAACACCAACACCTCTACATACTACCTACCTCACCAAACCACAAATACAAATACAACCCACGAAATGGATCCCCCTCGCAAACCACCAAGCTCAACCTCAACCTCAACCTCCCACCTAAAACCCCCTCCCCACCACACCCCCCGACCAACCACAACAACAAGCTCCTCAGGAGGCACACCGGCACCACCACGCGCGCCCGTAACCGCACACCCCAGCGCCACAATCGCCGAAACGACAATCTTCCAAGGGACGCACGCGATCTCCATCGGCGCGGGGACAGTGATTCACCCACGAGCGCGCCTCTACTCCTTCCACGGCCCCATCATCATCGAAGAGACGTGCATCATCGGCGAAAAGAGCGTGATTGGAACACCACCGCCCACCACTTCCACCCTCCCTTCTACTTCTCCAGGGGACAGAGTCGGGGAACAAGACACCGCCCTCCCCACCACGCTCTCGGCGTCCGTGACCCTCGGCCCCGGCGTGACCGTCCACTCCGGGACGCGGCTGCACACGGGGGTCCTGGTGGAAGCGCTGGCGACGGTGCGTGCCCGGGTGAGTGTGGGCGCGCACTCGAAGATCTGTGCGGGCTGCGAGGTGGCGGAGAGGACGGAGCTGAGGGAGTGGATGGTTGTTTGGGGGAGTGGCGGGGTGGGACAGCGGAGACGGGTCAGGGCGAAGGGGAAGATGAGCTCGGCGACGGCGGCGGCGCAGGGGGTGCAGGCTTTGGAGGCCGGGGTGATTGAGGAGGCGCGGTTGATGGTGTTGAGGAAGGAGAGGGAGGCGCTGGCGAGGTTGATTGGGGCGAGTTCGGGGAGACGGAGATAGAGGTATTTACCTGGGGCATATGGTTCAGACAGGGTTAATGATTGAGATGAGATGGGTTTTTTACTGATATTTTGCATGATGCGTGCGTTCGATACCCATGATAGAGTTCTACAATGTTATTATTAGTGTCAAGACTACAACGATTGATGGTGGGATGACCAGTGGAATTGCCTATGGTACGTCCAGATACTCCTAAGCCATGAGGAAAAAGAAACAAAAGACAGAAAAGATAGTTGACTCGATCAAAACAAAAGAAATGTATGTAAAGAGATTTTCCCGAAGATTGCTGTCTTCTCGCAGTCCAGATGTTCATGAATAAAGAAAAACGCTTCAAGCAGTCAAAAACAAAAATAGTAAAACATAAATGAACAAATACACGGAAATTAGATCACGATCCTCTAGGCTGTCCACCGCCTCTCATCCTCTTTCCAGCGTTGGCTGCCCCATCGTTTCCGCCATCACCGCCATCCTCGCGAGCTCGTTTGTTCCCTTGGGGCACAAATTGACGGGCGTTGGCGCTCAGATGGCCTCGTCCACCTCCAGGACTAGGCTGTCCCTGTCCCTGTCCCTGTCCCTGAGGAATATTGGTCTGCACGTTCTGGTTTGCGCCTCGACCAAATCCGCCTCGGCCTCCCCGGCCGCGACCAATACCCGTGCCACGCTGGGACTGGCCCTGTTGCTGCTGTTGCTGCTGACCTTGGGGCCCGAATGGGTTGTGTTGACCACCACGACCGCCTCCTCGACCGCCTCTCGCAACTGGAAGGGCACTTTGGAGGCCTCTGATGACCCCTGATCCCGCAGGAGGTTTGCTAGGCAGGGATGAAGGTTGCTGCTGTTGCTGGGGCCCATTGGCCGCCGGGGGGGCAGTAGCCGGAGCGCTGTCGGTTTCTTCGACCTGTCCCTCTTCTTGCTCCTGCTCTCCGTCGGCTTGAGTCTCAGGCTCGACTTGAGTAGACTCGGGAGCAGCAGACTCTGGGGCCGGCTCAGGTTGAGGTACTGGTGCCGACACCGAAACTTGTGGCTGGGCTTGCTGCTGACTTTGGACAGCGGGTGTAGGCTGAGGGGGAGCTGTCACCGCAGGTGTCGGTTGGGTCATTACCGGTACAGGGGTTGGTGGCTGCGCGGCGGGTTGCGGTGGCTGTTGGGCAGGTGAAGCAGCCGGTTGAGGTTTGGGAGGAGCAGCAGGTGGTGCCTTGGTTGTCTTGGCTACTTCCCATACTTCAACCACTGGTTTTTGCGGGGTGTCGGTGGCGGCCTTCTGAACAACTTCGATCTTGGCCAAAGCAGTCCTGCACCGAGTGTCCAGCATGCTGATTTTGACCAACGTTTTCTTGTCAGACAGCTCGACCGCGGATTTGATCTTCTCCTCCAGACCTTCTTCGTGCGCTTTCTTGAGAGCCTCTCTTTCTTGGTTGAATCGTTGCTCCATAGCGGACATAGACTCCTGGTTGGATTCGTGCGCTTCCTGGCTGTCCTTCTCCTTCTCCTTAGCAACCATGGCTCGGATGTTGCTTCGGACAATAGTCTGGATGGTCTTGTTCGAGGCAACCAAAGCTCTGGCCTGGGCATCGGTGAGCTCAGGAAGTTCTCCATCGGATTTCACAGGAGTTGCAGGAGCCTGCTGGTTTTGCGGGCCAGGGGTGTTGGGTTCTTGAGGCGCGGGTGCTTGTGCCGAGGGTTGCGCGGACTTGAGATTCTCAAGTTCTTGACGGTGAGCAGCCCTAACTTCAGCCATCTTGCTGTTGAAGGTTTCCTTGAGCCTGTCGGCGCGCTCCTTGATCCTCGCCTCGCGCTCTGCGTCCTTGGCGGCGATGGCGGCATCCTTTTCGGCCAGAGCAGCTTCCAGGCGCTGTATCTTCTCCTCCAATGCCTTAACCTTCTCTTCGTCGGCGGGCACAGCCACCTGGGTGGTCGCCACGGGGAACTGGGACGCCGGGGTAGAGTCGACACCAGCAGTGGGAGCAGTGGGTGGTTCCTCCGCAACAGGCGCAGCAGCAGGGGAGGCGGGCTTCTCAGCCAGCTTGGCCTTGACCGCAGTCAGCTCCTCCTTGGTGGTCTTCAACTCTTCCTGCAGCACTTCCTTCTCTTGGATGACGGCGTTCATCTCCGCTTGTTTCGCGTTGATACGCCCGCTTAGCTCCTTGGATCGAGCCTTGAACTGCTCGGTGAGCTTGGCACGCAGGTCGTGGACTCGTTCATCCCCATGGGTCTTCATCTTCTCCGGGAACCCGTCAACCTCGGCCTGCAGAGCGTCGCGAGCGGCCACAGCTTCGTCCCTTGCCTTCTCCAATGTCGTGAGCTGCTCTTTAAGCCCTTCCATCTCAGCAGGATCAACACGGTCGTATTTCTGCAGGATGTTCTGGGTGCGCTGCTGCCAACGGTCCCTGTCTGCCTGCAGGAGTCGCATTTCTTCGTCTTTGGTTTCCACGACATTCTCAAGTTCGCTGATCTTGGTTTTCAATGGTTCGATCTGCTGCTCAAGACTATCGACGCGTCCTGACTTCTCGGCAAGAGCGGTCTCGGCTTGCTTGACTTGACTGCGAAGCGTGACGCTGCTCTCTCGGAAAAGATTGAGCTCGTTCAGAGTCTCCATCAGCTTGTTGTGGCTCAGTGCATTATGGTCGCTGTCCGCAGCGGCACGACGCTGCTGCTCCAGCTTGAGTCGGGCCTCATCGAGCTGAGATTGCGTATATTCGAATTGCTGGCGAAGGCGTTTGCTCTCTTGGGTAGAAAGGTGATATTGAACGTCAACGATCTCCTTCTCTTGTCGCAGGTATTTGATGACTTCCTGGAGGTTCTCCAGATCGGGCGCCACTGCCTCTCCTTGTTCTTCTTCAGGAATGCTAGCACGATCCCGCTTCAAGGCCGTGATTTGGTTGGTGATGTTTTCCAGTTGAGTATGAAGCAGGTTGTTCTGATGGAGAACCTCTTCACGGCGCTTGTGCAGCTCCGTCAGCTCACCCTCGTACTTCTCCTTCAGCTCGTTCCAGCTCTCTTCCTTTTGCGTAAGATCCTTCTGGTAGGTGTCGGCCTTCGTCCGCACCTCAACAAGTTCCAACCGGAGCTGGTTAGCCTCTGAGCGAACCAGTTGCAGGTTCTTCGCCGCGTCAGCATGTTTGACCAGCTCGGCTTCGTAGTTCTGCTGGGCATGCTGGGCAATCTCTGCCTGGGCCTTGATGTCGTCTTGGTGGAACTGAGAGGAAGTGACCTGGCGCTCGTTCTCGTCCTTCAAACGAGTGATTTCGGTTTCAAGGGCAGTCTTCTGTTCTTCCAGGCGGCGTGCCGCCTCCCCTTGTTCATCACGGATCTTCGACAGCTCCGTATTTGTGGTAGAGAGCTCTGATGAGATCTCCTCGATCCGTTTCTCAAGGTCCTGGATCTTCTTGTCCTTCTCCTCAACAAGGCGGTCGGTATCCTCGCGGTATTGCTCGTTGGTATCCGTCACAGACTGCAGACGCTCTTCGGTTGCTTGGCTGATAGCCTTGTAGTCTTCGACTTGCTCCTTGGCATGCTCAAGTTCGCCCTTGGCCAGGTCCAAGTCACGCTTCAATTCGGCAACTTGGATGCCCAACTCCTGCTCACGGGTCAAGTCACTGCTCTGCCCGTTCTCTTCGGTGGCTTCAGGCTGTTCAGCAGCCGGTGCAGGGGCGCTGGGCTTCGACTGAACAACTTGAATGCGCTCTTCAGCGCTCCGAAGCTCCACTGTGAGTTCGTCCACTCTGGTCTGCAGATGGTCTCTCGTTGTTTTCGTGGCAACGAGCTCCTCTCTAACAGAGCCCAGGCTGGTAACCAGGTCGTCGATCCGTTTCTGACTTTGCTCATGTTCATACTCTCTCCGCAAGGATGCCTTCCTCGATTCCTCAACTTCGTCGTTGAGTTTCCGTTTCGTTGACTGCAATTCGGATTCGAGGGATTCGACATTGTGCTCGAGGCGGCGGGTTCTTTCGGATTCGTTGTGTTCGCGCTCGTTGAGAATGGTCTGCAGGTTTGCGTTGAGCGAATCAAGGCGGCCTCGCTCATTCCGCAGCGTTTCGTTGTCCTCGATGAGTCTCTTTTCGATGTTTTTCCAAAGACTCTTCTCGGCCTTCAGGTTCGCACTCTCCCGCTGAAGGCTCTCAACCAGACCCTTTGTCTCAACCAGGTCCTCCGCAGCCTGTTGGGTCTTCAGATCCTGCCGGTTGGCGTTCTCCAAGAGTGTCGCATATCGTTTCTGGAGCTCGGAGTTTTCGTTTTTGAGCATAGTGAAATTGCTCTGGAGAAGTTCTGCACGCTGAGAGGCGGCGCCAAGTTGGCTGCTCGAGCGACTGATCTCACTCATCAATTCGCTGTTCTTCCGGGAAAGATCATGCACTTGCTGCTTCAGGGCGGAGTGATCCGTGGCAGACTCCTCGCGGAAGCTGTCGAAGTGAGCTTGCACCTTGCGCAGCAAGTCCGCATAATCGGTGGTGTCCTTGGCCTGCTCTTCGGTCGGCGGGGCAGCGCCCAGGGGCAGTGATTGGGAGAAGACAGAAGAGTCGCCAACGGTTTGACGTCGGCGCGTGAGCATGCTTCGGAAAGTATCCCGTTCCTTCACATAGCTTTTCGTCTGCGCAACAAGGTTGGAGATTTCGTCGCGATACGTCTGCACTCGGATTCTCAGTTCCTTCAATTCCTCTTGTTCTTGCTGGCGCACAGCGTCCTTCTCGCGAGCTTCAACTCCCTCCATCTTATCACCCAATTCCCTAAGCATCCGTCGAAGGGTGACGTTCTGCTCCTGCAGTTCATGAAGATCCTTGAATGTCATCAGGTTGTGGCTGATGAAACGTCCTGTGGGAGTGAGCTCCGCAGCAGAGTCATCAATTTCCTTGCGGGCAACCTTCTCAAGCTCCTCCCTGTCGTAGCTACCTTCACCCTCCTTCATAATTGCCACCTCCAGCACCAAGACCTTGATCTGAGCACTCAGGTCTCGAAGCTGCTGGCGCAAGATGTCACCTTCGCGTGACAATCCTTCCACCTGGCCTTGCCACTTCCTTGCCTCCTTCGTGGCATCGTCCCTCTCCTTTCCAGACGATTCCAAGATATTCGACATCTCAACAACTGCGTCTTGCAGTCTCGTGTTCTCGGCTCGCAACTCATCAATCTCGGGCTTGCATGCTTCAAGATCCTGCATCATTTCATCGACGGTGGTTCTGAGTTCTTGACCTGTCTTCTGCTCCGCAGCCAGAAGTGTTCTCATTTTATCGTATTCCGTGTACATCTGGGTGAGCGTAAGGCTGCCCTTGCCCCGGGAGGTCCTTGGCGAGAAAGCACCAATCGGGGTGGAAGCACGCATGGGGGTGCTAGGTCCTCCATTCAGTCCCGGGCTCATGGCGTTCCGACTGCCGGCACCTTCCGATTCGAGTTGACTGACAGAAAGCTCGAGCTCGGCGACACGACGTTCGGCGGCTTCCTTATCACTGTGTTCCGTCTCAACCTCCACACGCAGGCGCGAGATTTCCTCTGCCGCATCATCCTGTGCCTTCTCCAGAGCCAGTTGACACTCCTGCACACGCTGCTTGGCGGTTTCGGCGGCATTTCCTTGTAGCTCAGCCAGGCGGTTGGCACTGTCAAGTTCGATTCTGAACGATTCGGCAGCCTGGATAGCATCCTCCCTGAGTTGATGAATAGTAGAAAGAGACTCTTCGTAGCGCTGTTCGACCTCATCAAGACGGCTCTTGAGGGCGTTCTCACTACGTCTTAGAGAGTCGATCGTAGAGATGGCTTCCTCGTTTTCACGCTGGAGCTCCGAGATCCGCGCGCTCTTTTCCTTGCGGAACTTCAGATACTCGGCAGATTTGGTCTTCAGCTCTGTCTCGAACCACTCGTTGTTTTTCTTGGTCAAGTCCAGATCCTGCTCCAGGCTCTGCTCGCGGAATCGGGCACTAGCGGATGCGGAGTTGGCGGCTTGCAGGTTCTGCTCGGCAGTGGACAGCTCACGGCGCAGCTCAATGGCTTTCTTGTGCTGTGTCGAAAGGTCCTCGGCCAGCTTGTCGTAGGCGGCGGACTTGGACTCCAGGAGCGAGAGGGTGTCTCTGTTGGAAGCTTCGAGGGACGAGATACGCGACTTGAGGGAGGAAACTTCGGATTCATTGGACGTAGACGACGACTTCAGCGAGGCGATTTCGGATTCCAGGTTGGAACAGGTGTTTTCTAGTGTATGTGAGTAGACGCGCTAGGACGAACCAACCAAACAATGCCTACCAGCCTCATGTAATTTCTTCCTCGTCTCCTCCACCTCGGCGTGGCCCTTTTCGACGGAGTTCTTCAAAACTTTGATCTTCGAATCGCTACTGCGAACGGCATTTTCGAGCTCCACCTCCAAGCGAAGCTTATCCGACTTTAGCTCGTCATGGTCGCGAGCCTTCTTCGTGATAGCTTCCAAGAGCTGGTTCACCAGTTCGACCGTAGGGGCCTGAGTAAGGGTATTTAGCGCGGACTCCGCAATGGAGTAATGCGACGCGAGGTAAGGCAATTCGATCGTAGCGGCAGCCATGTTGACTGTACACCGGCTACAGCGAGAAGCTGCCTAGCCTCACTGTTCTTGTACAACTGCACTCGACGTTGGATACAAAAGATCTAGGTCATGGCGGGGTTGAAAGAACAATCTTAGAAACAGGCGACACAAAGGGGTGTCGAATGAAAGCCCCGTTGATTGATGAACAAGACAAGAAGAGGTTCAAGGGTGAAAGAGATCCGGGAATGGATGATGCCGCTTTGCTCCCGACGCGGTTTAGCAGCCGGCGGTAGGGTCACGTGATTGCCCTCGCGGCCTCAGGACGGAACCCAGTTCACTTCCAGAACCTCCGTTTCCTCCCAAGCAACCTTGAAGCACCAGCCAACATCCCAACCGGCGTTCTCTCTCCCACACCCTTTCTGTCAACCGCTGGCAGTCAGGTCCTGCCATACCACATCTTCAAGCCTTATATCGATCTTTTCTGTCTCACCACCAGCTTGCCTATACTCGAGATCCCAACTTCCTCTACGGCCTTGGTGGGAGAGCCGAGTCTCACCATACCTCACCTCACCAACCTCGTTCACCCTTCCCACGGCCCTCGTCTCGTCACCGTCGTGTGAGGACCCAACACCGCAACCATGTCTCACCTTTCGCAGCAGCTCAAGAACTTCAACGCTGGCGTTGTCGACTATGCGAAGAGCATGCCCCAGCAGAGACGATTCGTGCACAACAACAACGCCCCCGCCAACGCCTCCGCAAACAGCTCGCAAGTGCCCTCGTCCGCCTCCACCCCGACCCCCGGCGGCGATCCGCGCCGAAAGAGACACGATGCGGACATCGTCTACTCGCAGCCCGCCAACACCGGCACGGGCAAGGACATCATGACGCAGGTGATCTTCGCGATCGAGCACATGAAATCCAAGGGCGTGCCGCTCAAGTTCGGCGACATCGTCTCGTACCTGTCGCTGCAGCACCGTGCCAACGACCAGGGCTACGTGCAGGCTCTGCGCAGCATTCTGCAGCGGCACGAGAAGGTGATGTTCGACCCGCGCGGCGCAAATGATGAAGGCACGTTCGCGTTCCGGCCTCCGCATAACATTCGCTCGGCGGAGCAGCTGCTCCAGAAACTGCAGGCTCAGTCCACCGGGGCGGGAATGAGTGTGAGGGAGCTGCGCGAGGGGTGGCCGAATGTGGAGGAGACGATCAACAAGCTGGAGAAGGAAGGGAAGCTTCTGGTTACGCGGAACAAGAAGGACGACCATGCCAAGATGGTCTGGGCGAATGATCCGTCGCTGATCCAGCATTTCGATGACGAGTTCAAGCAGATCTGGGAGAAGATTCGGATCCCCGATGCGCAGACCGTCAAGGAGGAGCTGGAGAAGGCGGGTATCGTTCCCACCAACAAAAACAAGGTCGTCAAGGCGCGGCCAAATGTTGAAAATAGGAAGGTGAAAAAGCCTCGTCGCAGTGGCAAGACCACTAACACTCATATGATGGGTATTCTGAGGGATTATTCCCATCTCAAGCGATGATTCCGTGCCGTGCCAATCTGCATCCGACAATACCGGCTTGCTTTTTTCTTTGTGCTCTACGCTTTTTTTTTATCATATTGCATGCTTTGGCGTTCAAAGGGGAGACTTATACACCTGGAATGACGTTCTACCAGATCGCTACTATTACTAGACTTTTGCGATTATGCCCTATCATGCTGTTCTTTTCATGAATTTCTGTTGTCGCATCATGTAACATATAGTGAAAAATAGATACCCAAGACAATTATTTATGTTAAATTCCTTTGTCTATTTCTGTTCTATCTTAAAAGCGCCCAAACGGAAGACCAGTCCTTTTTTCCCACTCCGATTTTCTCCCGGTCGTCTCGTCCTTTTCTATCCGGGACAACAGAACAAGAGATGAGAAAAAAGAGAGGAGACGAGATAAGACTGAAGGTAGCAAGAAACCCAGAAAGAAGGTGAAAAGAAAATATCACAAAGAAATAACACAGTTTAATCAAATGGCTCTAAAAAAAGATAAGTATGAAACGAATACTATCCAGAAATCCATGAGTATGAGAAGCTCAGTCAAACAATGCGAAAAACAATATACTATATGCAAAGAAAGAACAAGAGGGAGAAAGAAAAAGAAATTCATAAAACCTCAACTCAACCCACCAGTCAATGTTTCCCATTCGTCACACCCTCCGTCTTCTCAACGTACTCCACCAAATCTTCAATCGTGCATACCTTGATGCCCCATTTCTTCCCGAACTTCAAACATCCATCGCGGCGCATCATGCCATTGTTTCCGCAGATCTCGGGAACCCCCTCGGTCAGCTCGCCATCCTCCACCAACTCGGCAATCACACCGGCCGGGGATTTCCCTGCCAGACGACAGAACTCGACCGCGGCCTCGGTGTGTCCTCTCCGTTCGCGCACTCCACCGGCCTTGGCCTGCAGGGGGATGATGTGGCCGGGTCTCCGGAAATCGTCGATACGAGCGGACGGGGAGGCGAGGGTTCTGCATGCGAGCGCGCGGTCCTGGGCGGAGATACCAGTTGTGACGGAGGGGTCGCTCGAGTCGATGGAGATCGTGTAGGCAGTTCCCTTGGGGTCGGCGTTTTCAACGACCATCTGAGGCAGGGCCAGTCGGGTAGCGATTGCGGGGGTGATAGGTGCGCAGATCAGGCCGCTGTATAACATTCCGCAGGTTAATGACTATGAACAGAAAGGGACGTGTGCTATTGCGCCGAGACTTCCTCTGCAATCAAGAGCTAGTGGCGCGGGGCAATTCCAACCTTGTATAGCGGACCAGAAACGCCATCTGAGCGTCCGTGATCGACTCAGCAGCAATGATGAGGTCTCCCTCGTTCTCCCGGTCTTGGGAATCGAGAACAATTATGAACTCTCCATTCTCTATGTGCAATTGCCGTGGTTAATCCTGGTTATCTGCACCACAGAATGACCTGCTCGTGTGCACTACTCACTAAAAGCAGTAATTGTATCCTCAATGGAATCAAATTGGTGAACAGGCTCGGTCGGAGAAGGCATGATGGGTTGATAAATTGCGATAAAATGAACCCCTCACTAGGCGCGGGGCACAGCACAAACAATGGCTTGAGTCGTTATATCGGGTTCTGGACGTAACAAAGATACTGCAGGTATGAGAAGTGTCTCCAGTCACAATTCTAAGACCGCAGGTGGAACAATTGAGTTTGTTGTAACGAAGGGCGAATGAGTCAAAATGAACAGCGCGAATTAGTAGCGGCGCAAGGAATCGGAGGTGGCGAAAGATGCCTGAAAGCAAATGCGCACGCAATATCGGGTTCTCTGGAGTCGCTAAGTAATTGGGATCTAGAACCAACTCTTGGGCGTTATAGTATAGCGATGATGACGGGTCTCACTGGAGGTAGACTTGGAGAGAAAGGAAAGGAAGGGACAAAGGCCTGGATCACTAATGGTTTGTCAGATGCCAGTCATGATTGACCGCGGCTCTCCCGGGCCGATTCGGGTGCCGAAGCAAATCCGAGATGCGTTCACTTTTCTCGGGAAATTCCGTTTGTGGTTTCATTTTTCTATAGAAATGGTAGTATCTCACATGCTCAATATCTTAACTGCTATGGGTATCTTGGTTCTGTTTTTAATTGGGGCAGCAAGGCTAAATGCACGGACTGACAGGGATCTTCGGATCCTCCGGTGTATCGGCTGTTAGATAGGCGGAGGAAGAAATGTCGCAAAGACCAAGATAAACATCATGATGATGACGCCAGTATAACAAGCTATGTACAGAAGTATTCCGGATAGTTAGAATGCCCTCGCTGACCCGACCTTCTAAAGAAATCCCGAAGCCGTCAATCCAATCGGATTACCGAGAGTAGATGCATAAAAAGAAGAATGACGGAGGATACGGGGAAGCAGAATAATATCTAGTTCACCCCAGATCACCGATTCGCCGTACTTCATCAGCCTGTCGTTCCAGCGCTCGGCGCATCATATAGGAATATTCCTCCTCTCGGCGTCGATGCTCGCGCCGATTCTTGCGCACTTCGTCGCGTGTCGCATCATCCATTTCTCCCTCTATACCCAAGTCTTCATCGTCCTCCTCACCCTCCTCGGTAGGAGCGACGTCGGAAAACTTGACACGGCCGATGCGCTCTCCCGTCCAAATGAGAAGCTCATCCCCTGTCAAATTCCCTCCGGTGGGGAGGATCTTGCGAGCCACTTCGCCATCATTGCGAGATCGAGAATTGCCCCACAACCCGCCAGTCTCGTTTTCATCCTGCTCGTCAAGGATAGAGTCCGGGCCGTGTTCAGCTGGGGTTCGTGTAGGCTTCCCACGGGGCTTGTACGTGTTGATATTGAACCGACGGATTTCGGACCGTCCGTCCCGCTCGGTCCATTTGACGTTGCCGTCTCCATCAGAATAAACAATCCGTGTTCCATGGGATTCTACCGACAGCACCTTCGAACTGGCTGCACTTTGTCGGTTCTGATGCACTAGTGCCAGATTAGATGACCACGCTGACGGGTCATCTCCCTCGTTCCGGGTTGACGGTGTCAAATTGTATAGTTCCAGGGAGCCGCGACCTTTATACTCTCCGCAAGCGACTACCTGGTGTGAATTTGGCCATGAAGAATCGGAGACAACGGGGAATCGCGGAGCAGGAACCGCGGCAAGCCCGCACAGCCGTCCACCAGAGTGAATAGTGCTCTGCAGTCGAGGGAAGAAACGTCGGTCATATTGTAGAATGCTCGGGAAGCGACCTGCCAAAAAGATGGAATTCAGGTGCGGCGCTGGAGGATGCAGGAGTGAAAGAGGTCCCGGCTGGAATAGCGGCGCGTAATTGTCAACGGGCTCCGACGGATCCGGGCTTCGTATGCGATGAGGGGGTTGGCCGTTCGGTTGGAGTCGTAGCAGTGGAGAGTCTGGAGGCGCGTAGAGTTGTGACTTGGGCACCAGAGAGGGCGTTGACTTTTCACAGCGGGAATTAATGGCCTCTTCCTCCTCCACTGCCGACATTCTGCCATCATAGATGTGCATACTCAGCGTTGTAGCCAAGGTCAACGGCACCGAATAATCTGTCTCCTGGGACAAAGCAAACACAGACCAAGGGTATCGTTGCTGCGAGATAACCCTAAGTGTCTCCAGATCAACTTCATTGAGAACATTCCCAACTGCCAGATACGCTCTGCGACGCATGGAATCCACGCTCACGCATTCGCCCAGATTGATAAACTCCAGCGCCAACTTTGCCGAGGAATTTTGCTTCTTCCGAGCAGCATCGACCATCAGAATACCCGGCTCACTAACACCCAGAATATCGCCTTTGGTATTCTGCGACCCGATCGAATGTGAATGGTTGAGGTCCCAAATGCAGACACTGCCATCATCTAGCGGCGCGATCACCTTATTTTGCCTGGCAGAGCTCCAGTCTCGCAACAACCCCATTCCCTTGGCCTCCCGGTAATCCTTCCGCTTGCCTCCAGCTTCCCGAGTAAACGGGTGCTGAATCCAGTTGAACGACAGCGGTCCATTCCGAGCGATATACTCGGAGTACCAATCGACATCCTCTCCCTCGGAAGACGGGTCCCATCCCGCCGCCGCTCTCGCCCGTTCCGCGAAGGACGGAGCATGGGGCGGTTGGCCTCCTTCGAAGCGTGTGGTGCGCGGCTGGATCAGCGAACGCAGGGACGTCTGCCCTAGCACGCTGAGCGAGGCGGTGTTATTGGCGGCTAAGCTCTCAGAGGGCCGGTAAGCCGGACGCGAAGCATCCACGGCAGCCCATGACTTCTCATAACAGTGGAGCCTCCACAGGGTATTGTCGCGGGCGACGCCGAACAGCCGCTTGGAGACGGACTGAAGTTGAACCTGCTCCTGCGGGGTGAGAACTAAAGGGAGGAGGATATATTAGTGACATCTGGGCCTGGGGGACGCCGACCATGCGGGGTAAACAGTCGGCCATTTTTTGGGGTAAATTACAGTCAATTATTTTGGCGAGAATCTCGACCGGTAGCTTCTCCATGAGCGAAACCGTGGCCAAACCAGCATTGGGAACGGGCCGGGCAGGAGGAAGAATCAGACGAGGTGCCTTTTCTTCGAGCAAAGTCTTAAATCCATTTTTCTTTCCCCCGCGATCTGCGAAGTCTAGACTTACGTCACGTGGCGGCGTGTGGAGGAAGATCGTTGTGCTTTTTCGACGGTCTTCGATGCGCTCGGGTCTTGCGGTCTGCGTTGTCCTTGTGCCGTCCGGTAGCTGAGCTACTGGTCTTCCCTAGGGTCCATGGAAGGCCTTGGTCCTGCTGGTTTGTGGGTAAATTGGGGGTCCCGGCGAAACACAGTCGGCTCTCTCGGCACGTTCCTAACGCCGTCGGGGAAAGCAAACATTTGGACGGTCTGATGATTCAGTTATACGGGCATCCAATATCGTTTAAACCAGCTGATAAGCATCGCATTGACCAAATTGTCCCTATTCGGGCTCCGATGACCCGCCTGTCCCCCTAGTGCGTACCCAATCCGTCGTGAATTGCATTAATCATACAAAAAGCTTTTAACGAGATAAGAAAATGAAACGAAAACAAAAAGTACGAAGTCCAAACCAAAGAAGATCCAGAAACGTTGAAAAGAAGTCGGCAAAATCATGGCTCGTAGTCGTCAGGCTTGAAAACGGCATCTTTACATAGGATGGCCGCCTTTTTGAAAAAACGCCGCCATTCGAGAGGGTCGCCTTTCACCTTCATGAACTCGATTTCGAAGAGACCCTCGGAGACGCATTCGATGATCACTTTCCCCTGCAAGGAGCACATTCGCCCGTCCCGCGTCACAATGCGTATCATTGCGGAGGTGTCCCCGGCCGACACGGCAGGAACCGAGGGAACGGGCACGCCCAGCCGGTGTAGAGCCTCACAGACCAGAGGGACCAGCAATTTGAGTTCCCACGTCGAGAAGAAACGGGTCATCGGTCGGGACGGGACGATGTCTCGGAATCGCTGCGCCTTTTGAGTACGGCTTAATGGCACGGAAGGATGAGGCGAGAACTGCGACATCGACGGTTCGTCCTCTAAGGTGTCGGCGATCAAGACATCGTCGGCAGAGAGAGGTTTTCCCAGGGGTTGCGTCGAGGAAAACGTATCGCCCAGCTGAGGAGTATCCCAGTCCACCAGCATACCTCCCCTCGGCATCTCAGGCTGCGTGGAAGAGATTCTATGGTCGGCATCGAGATCATCGCCCATATCCATTCGCTCGGGACCAAAGCTACCGCCACGGGATCGCAAGGCAAGGGGATCTTGGGAGAAGTCGATATGTAGCGATTCAAACATCGTCGTAGCCATGTTAATCGGGTCTCGGAGCCTCCCATCCGGAGACAGGAACTTGTTTTGTCGCGTATACCAGGGGTGCCGTCGTACATCCTCCAACGAAAACCGATTCCCGGGGTCGATGTTCAGCATCCCGCGCAGTAGCGATAAAGTAGCCACCGGTAATTTCTGCCATAGTTCGTCACTTGTGCGTGCATTTGTTGTAACGTATTCATGGAACTCGTAGCTATTCTCCGTGGGGCTATCCCAGGGTGTGTTGCCCGCCAGGAGAACGAAGAGAACGATTCCGCACGACCAAATATCCACCAGATCCGGTTGGTAGCCCGAGCCTTTGATCTGGCTTTTGCTGCTGCAAGAGATCACCTCTGGAGCAATGTACGGAGGGCTACCGCAGAACGTGGTGGACAGCTTGGTCACTCCCTTGTACTCGAACAGGGTGGCGAGGCCAAAATCCGCAATCTTCAAGTTCCCATCGGCCGTCAAGAGCATGTTTTCCGGCTTGATGTCTCGGTGACCCACGCCCTTCGAATGCATGTAGCCCACTGCACTGACGAGCTGGGAGAAATATACATGGGCGATGTCTTCCCCCACGCCTTCATCCGCCTCGATTTTGTCGAAGAGATCGCCACCTTCTGCCAGCTCCATCGCGATCCATCGCCAGACATCGTCCTCCCCGGTCTGAAAGAACGAGATTATATTGTAATGGTCTCCGATATGCTTGTGTACCGTCGCCTCCATCTGCAATTGCCGAGGACTGATCTTTCCATGTCGAGCGGCGTACTCTTTGTGGATGAACTTGACGGCGAAGATGGGATTGTCCGTATGCGAGGGGCATGCCTTTTTGATACTACACAGGATAGCACACACGTTAGAAAGACCGAAATCATGCTAGAGCAAGCGTAGGGGTTAAAAGACTTACCAAGCATAGGCTCCCTGCCCGATTGTCTTCGAGACGATTCGAAAGGGCAGGTCATTTGGTAGCGGGGCCAGCTGAGAATGGTGCATCGTGAACAGAGCGCCACGAGGAAGCCGACGAAATAAATATTCCGGATGTGAAATCAGATGGAATGTCCGTTCAGAGAAACAAAACTCTTTGAGCCATTATCTCGCGGTGTTCGCAGGCTGAAAGCAAGGGTTGCTGACTGGGAGGAAGCCGGGGGAACGCGCTGCGCCGGCACGCGAGAGCCACTTTATCCTCTCTGGGTAATGTGTTGATCGCTGGCCGGGCGCATTTCCAACGCCTGAACAGAACATGGTTTTTGGCTCGCGGTCTTGCGAGGGATCAGAGGAGAGAGGATAGGAGAAGTGTACCGAATACAGAGTAAAAGAGAAAGAATTGTTTCTTCTGATTCGCAGCATGCAACAGACCATCATGGCTTCCTGTCGGTCATAGTAACCATCGAGACCCGCCGCCGCCGCTGTCTGCCAATGATCTTTTCTCCGGCTGGAGGGTGCGTAGGTATTTTTAGCCACAACGGCCTGTCCAGTATTCACCTGGCTTGTTTCCTCATGGAACCCCGGCGGACAGATCACCTGCCGGGGACGTAGACAAAGAGGAATATAGGATTTGAATTTGGATTTAAATTTAAATTTCGAGAGAGACAAAAGGCAAAGAACAGAGCCAACACTGACCCGGTCGGATGAACGAGTCAGATGCGGGCCAGCGTTGCCCGGGCGCGTTTTCCCTCTTCGGTGGAGTAAACAAAAAAGACGGCCTTCTCTCCTCATCATCTTCGGCTGCTCTCTGGCTTTGACATCAATCCATCATCTGCAACAGCTACTGCTTTCCTTTCCCACCGTACACTTTCCATCCATCCAGCCTCTCCTTGCCCGCTCCCTCCTTTCTGATTTCGATCTTCTGGGTTCTCAGTGGGTCGATCCGTCCATTCCAGCCAACAGTCGAGCTGCATTCGGTTCCGTCATTCCAGACAGCAACCCTTCCTTGCTACTCTAACGGACGTTCCAACCTTCCCCGGAAATCCCTCGCTCTACTATTTCAAAAAGCGTCCCGATCATCTGTGCTCAACTTCTCCCCCTCTCTCGATCGATCAGAATGGACTACACCATGGAAGACACTCAGAACTCCGCTCCCGATGCGCTTGAGGCGTCCAAGTTGAACCCGGCGGGACAGCGAAATGACAGCCAAAGCGTCACCAAACGGTTTGTGCAGACCTCAGTGCCTTTTTGGGTACAGCTTTCTAGTGGATTCTCAGTCGACTAACCTACTCGTCGTTCTGCAGCCTTCAAGCTGAACTCATGCAGCTGATGCTCTCGCCTTCCCCGGGTATCTCCGCCTTCCCGGACGCAGACGGCAACCTTCTTTCGTGGACGGCGACAATCACCGGACCTGCCGATACTCCCTACGATGGCCTGAAACTGAAGCTGTCGTTCTCTTTCCCCAGCAACTATCCGTATGCCCCGCCCACCGTCCTCTTCAAGACGCCCATCTACCACCCCAACTTCGACTTCTCGGGCCGTATCTGCCTGGACATCTTGAAGGACAAGTGGAGTGCCGTCTACAACGTGCAGAGTGTGCTTGTCAGTCTGCAGAGCTTGCTCGGAGAGCCAAATAAGTGAGACCCGAAACTCCCCTACTAGTTACATTCCCAGAATACTAACCAGTCCAACAGCGCGAGTCCCTTGAACGCCCAGGCCGCGGAGCTATGGGACACCGACAAGGAGGAATTCAAGCGTCACGTTCTCGCCAGACACCGTGACATCGAAGATATCGAGTAAGGAATCATAGTCTTTTGGGCGTTAGGAGCAGACCAAGTGGGTTTCACTTGGATGCATTGCATTGCATAGTCGGGGTCTGGTCTGGGGTTGTATCCCTTCCTCTGGATAGCGATACGGCCCGATGCATTAGGGGGGTTGGTTATATAGGGATTTTGGAGTTTTGTGTGTTGGGGCTTGTTCTGTTTTCTGTTTTTCTTCCTTTCTCACCGGGATCACGCAATCGAAAGTACAGGAAAGCAACGTGTCCCCAGAATTAAATACCCTTCGTTTTCTGTGATTGATGACAAGTTCTGTCGACTTGTCGTGTGCTTATTGCATTCTGTTTCTTTTTCTTTCTTTTTTCTTCGATAGTCGCATTTGAAATCATATCATCTTGTGGGTTACAACAAACCATCCTCTCTATCCTTAAGACAAGCTGTGATATCTGGGTATCAAAGGCATTGATGTAAGGATAGGTCTGGTTCTCGTGTTGGTATAATACCAAACTTTAAATTCAACTATCGCCCGGCAGACCGGCAGACCGGGGTATAAAGGGATCAGACGTCGAGTGGATATGTGCGATTTCAATGCAGCTAATTAACGCTCGGAAATACCCGCCTGTGACTCACTCACTCATCCCACCCGGAGAGGGTCGATCGAGTCGATATAAAGCAGAGATGTGTTCCATGTACAACATACATACATATATGCAGAAATTATTATTTATTTTTTCCCTTTCTTTCCGTTTTCTCGTTCCTCTCTTGCTTTGCTTTGCCTTTTGTTTTCGTTTTTCAACGTGCAAATCAAACCAAATTAAATCAAATCAAGTGCTCTTACATGCTCTATGGCATGGATGTGAATGCTGCTTATGTCGTCGGCGTCGTGAACTGCGCCTCGTTCGTGATCAGGAGACCGGCGATCGAGGCACTGGTGAAGGTGCTGATGGCACCCGTGAGCATGGCGCTGACGGCGACGCGAGAGACGTCGCCGGCTCGGCTGGGCGCGAGCTGCGCGAGCACACCGATCTGGTTTCCGAGGGAGCCGATGTTGGCGAAACCGCAGAGCGCGTAGGTGACGATCAGCTTGGACCGAGAGGAGAGGTCCTGGTATTCGGCGCCGTTTTGGAGGGCGTCGTAGGCGATGAATTCGTTCTGCGGAGAGGGTTAGCGGTGGAAGAAAGAAAGGAAGGTAGGATAAGGTGATGGCGGTGGACCTACCATGACGAGTTTCATGCCGAGGAGCTTGCCGACCTTCAGGAGGTCTCCGTCTCGGGAGACACCCAGGAGGAAGGCGATCGGGTAGCAGATGTATCCGAGGATGAGTTCGAGGGTCAACTCGGGGTCGTTGATGTTCAGGTACCGACCCCACCAGGTCAGCAGACCGTTAATCAGGCCCACGAAGGAGATGATACACAGCAGGGTGGCGGAGATCATGCCAGCAATCTTAATACCCATCCAGGCACCGTTGGAGAAGGCGTGAAGAGCGTTGGCGGCTTTGTTCTCCTCGTCTTCCGGGACGACCACACGACCCGCGGTGAGGGTCTCTTCCTCCTCGGGCCAGCGCAGCTTGGAGACGGCCAGCGATGCCGGGATACTCATCACACAGGATGAGACCAGCGCCTGGGGGTTGACACCCATACCGATGTAAGACACCAACACCGATCCCGCAATGGTGGCGTATCCGGAGCACATGACCTGGTGGATCTCGGCCATGGTCAAATACGGAATGAACGGCTTGATCAGCATGGCGGATTCTCCTTGTCCGATGAAGGGAGACGCAGCGGCAACGACGGCCTCGGCACCCGAAACGCGCATGCACCAGAAGAAGAAAATGGCGAACTTGCCGACGGCCCACTGGAGAATGCCGGTGTAATAGAGCAGCTGGACAAGCGACACGAAGAACATGATGGCAGGGATGACGGTCACCAGGAACCAAGTATGACTCGCCGAGAATCCGGTCTCGACCAAGAAGTCAACGCCCTCTCCCGCAAAGTCCAGGAGCTCTCGGGCCAGTGTGGAAATGAAGTTGAAGATGTCATATCCGGCCTTTGTGCGCAACACGAAGAGCGCAATGATAAACTGCACCAGCATACCCATGATGACGGTGTGCCAAACGATCTTCTTGCGGTTTCTCGAGGTCGCCCAGAGTACGAACAGGAACACGACCAGTCCGAAAAGACTGACGGCGCGGTTCTCTCTGCTGTTGTCCACGGTCTCTTCCGAAGCGAACGCGCCGATGAGGATGACCGAAATGGTCAGCAAAGCCGCACCGGGGATGCGAAGCTTTTCCGGAATGAGGGCGACAAATCGAGTGGCGGTTTGATTCCAGACCCATTTGGTCGGCCTCATGATGATCGAAATGGGCACATAGAGGAAGATTATCCGCAGAGTGATGGCCAGATACAGCAAGAAGGGGATCAGCCAACCCAGGTCATGTCGATGGAGGATAAGACCTGCAATCCACCATCTAGAAGTGCGAGAAAAGATGAGCCTATCACGGAACCCAAGACAACCACACCCCACGAGCAATGAGCGGCTTACCCGGTGAACAAGAGCCAGATGACAGCATAGACCACATGCTTGATGTACTTGGAATACCGACGGTAGAAAGTCCGTTGGGGATAGCTTTCTCCAGCTTCCTCGTCCTTGTCGCTCTTCTTCTGCCCCGTGCTATCTAGCGAGCTAGACTCCGGAATCGCTCTCTTTTCGGTATGGGCTTCCTTCGTGTAGATGATATCATCTGCTGCCGCATTGTTGGAGCCGGGACGCTGTTCGGTTGCGGCAGGATCTGCAGCCCGCGTCACTTCAATGCTGGTGACCTGTCGGCCAGGCGCGTCCGAAGTTTTTTCGTCCGCCATATTTCAGAGAACCTGATCCCTATGGATCCCTTTCTTCGGCAATCCAAACCCCAATGACAGATGATTGATATGGGCAGATGGGGTGCTCGAAGGGGAGAAAAAAAAATCTGAATAAAAATGGAGTGAAGCAAAAGCTGCAATCAGCAGAGCAGCCGGGAGTGAAAAATCGGCGAACAGGTGGAATGGCAATTGACGACAGGAAGCCGCAGCTTTAAAGCTTTGACAACACCGGACGAGGTGAGATAGATAAGTGGTCAGACGGAAGATGCATGGAAGAAAGAAGGAAGGAGGAAAAACGCCTAGGCAATAGCCCTGTCCACCTGAGATAAGGTCATGATGGACAATTTTCGACCGGCAACGATTCAGGACCCGAACTTATCAGTTGACAAGTGTGTGCGGGGATAAGACTAACTACGCAGCAACTAGCTCATCCTTACTTGCTGTAGGCTTCTTTTTTTTTTTTTTTTTTTTTTCTTTTTTTTTCTGATTTTGATTTTTGAATTTTTTCTTCTGCCCGTTCCCAATCGAGTGGCCACTCCGGCGGTCTGGTCCACGGTAAGCATCTGGTTATTTTTTTGGTCGGTTTTATTTCACTTGTACCTTCCACCTTCACGTGGATTGTGATTTGTGCCTGTCAATATTATCATGCCAATTCCTCCGTGCGACGCCCTGTTTCCCCGTGTCTCCCTGGCGTGTGTGCCGTCCTCGTCCTGTGCGATGCAGGCAGTCCGGACCGTGGCCAAACCCCAACAATCCTAGTGGCTGGGTTCTGCATGCACTCCAGAAGGGAGGAGGCAAAACTCGCAGGGTGAATAATAAAAACAAAAAAAGACCAACCCGGTGGGCCCAGATGGCAAACTCTTCCTTCCCCATCGGAGCATAGCGATAAGACTGTTGCAGCACTAAAGGCGCGGCTTCCCATTGGATTGGCGGTAGATCAACGACGAGGGCTTCCAGTCCCGGCGGGTCTCCGCTCCAGGAATTCGGTCGTGTGCCGTCCTCTGCGGCTTCATTCGTTCCAAACGGGAAAAATATCGCAGCACGTTACATTGGCTAGCCTGCTTGGTTTCGCGTCCTTGAACTCAGATCTCGTCGGCGTGGTGCATCGCCAACGTCCGCGGCCTGACCTGGGGGAGGCGAATCCTTATCGGAGATGGATCGGTCGCTCTGCTGCTGATACTGATAGAAGGGTAGTCTAATTCTGCTAGTCTCGCTGGCAAACTGCCCACTCTTATCCACTCTGCTAACCCAACGGCATCCGAGGTTTTTTCGGAATCAGAACCCGCAACGACGAAACGCACCCACAGAGGCGAAAAATGAAAAGGCCACACACATACGGAGTACGCAGTACGGAGTCAGAAAAGAAAAAAAAAATTATTCACGCCGACCACCAAGAACTCGAAGTGCTCGAGTGGGAAAATAGGGCCGACACTAGCCGGACAAAGGTAGGAGCACTCCGTAGTGTGCCCTACAACAGCATGCCTCCTCCAGTGGCCACTCGCGATTCAGGTGCCAAGCCGTAAGCAAACCACCTCGAAGAATGCCAGGATCTGAGGGCGGCCTCATGATAAACCGTTTCTGTTATTGGCTCTGTGCCACGGAGAACTCCGACCCTGATATCCCTGAGAGGACGTTCTTCCCCGGGAGCTCCCTGAGGCAGGATATCTGACTTCAAGCCACATCGAGCGTGGGTTGCATGATACTACGTGATAAGCCTTTGTGCTCTCTCCGATGGGGGGCTGGATAATTCTCGGACTTTTGGCTCGGGGGGGTCCGGTTTTCCCACTAGTTGGCTTGGTATTAATTTAACAGACGTTCAGCCGGGAATGCTATCAGCTCTCCAGAATCTGTCGCCGCTGAACTCCGGACGTCCAGCTCCAACATAATATGGGTCAGATATTAGTTCGAGGAGGCTCGCGATAGGCGATTTGCTGGCATTGTTCGGCCAATGGGTATCCAGCGTTGATCGATAAGTAGTTAGCGGTTTCATTCTAGATTCGAGGTCATGGGTATATGGCCAGTATCGTGATAGATTATATATATTAAGTACCAACGGTGCTCAGCCGTAGCTCCAAGTGAGTCCAGTCCGGCGTTCTTGCGGGGTGCGGTTCGTATCGAGAGGGGGCTAAGAAGCGGCTGTAAACTGCCTCCATGTGATATGATAGCTCGAGAATGAATACTACGTAAATAGAGAACCTCGTGGGTGTCTAGGCCCCGTCGACTCAATCCGGGGGAGGGCTCTAACTGCTAATTGCCCGCCTTCCGAACCCGTTCGACCAGCCCTTAATAAGGTTAAGATTGCGCCGGATGGGGCTACCACAGGCTCATAGGCTTATAGGCCGCTCCCCTGCTCGGGGCGGGGTCAAGCTTAGCCCACGCTTCCCCCCGATCTTCTGCGGACCTTCTCCTAAACTTGGGATAGTTTGGTTTGTCCCGCGATTTCCAACGATGGAAGCCGCCGATGTCGAATGGGAACTCGAAGAGGGCATCCCCCAGGTTGATGATCCCTTCATCCAGCAGTACCTCAAGGGTCGCAACTCTCTTATCGAGGAAGAGCAGAAGCAGCGTCATGGTGGGACCTCCCCCCCGGTTGGATTCGCGCTCTTGATCAGGATTCAGCACGACATCACGTCCTCTCCTGAACTAACCACTTCGGTCCAGACTTTACCCTACGGAAGTCCTTATCGCCCTTAGCCAAGACAGCATGCAAGATCGTGTCCAAGATCCGCGACCGGGAGTTGAAGCCTACAGAACCCACGTTGTCGAACCATGATAATCGCCATGTGTCGGAGGAGGCTCTACACCCCGGCCATGGGTTGCACAACGCTAGGGATCGGATGGAGACTAGCGAGCTCTGGAAGATCCTGCAGAAGATGCCGAAAGGCTCCTTTCTGCATGCGCATCTGAATGTCATGTTTGATGCCGACTTTCTAGTCGACCAGGCTCTCGCAACGGAGGGCATCCACATAGTCGCGCCCGAAGCGCTCTCATCCCAATCACGCCTCGAGGAAACCCCCTTCACCCTTCAATATCTATCTGGCGCTGTGAGCAGCTCGGGAAATGAATCGGCCCTGTGGACTTCATCTGGACATAGCTTTCCTGTGCGCGTGAGCCTCCAATCGGCGGCCTCTTCATTTCCGAACGGTGGTGAACAGGGATTTCGTGACTGGCTAAAGAGTCGCTGTGTGCCGCTCCGCGAGCGCTCGGGTTACACCCACGACAATTATGGGCCTGCCGCGGTTTGGGATGCCTATCGCCGTTCGACGTCTGTGATTTCCTCACTCCTTGGCTATGAGCCCATCTTACGTGCAGGCCTGCGTCGCCTGTTCGCAAAATTGGCCGACGACGGAGTTAAGTATGCGGAGCTACGGACTGAGTTTTCGTACCCTTTTTACAAGAAAGGGAGCGGTGAGCCCGAGGAGGGCTTTGCTGAGTGGTGCGGGGTGTTCCAAGAGGAGCTTGGACGTTTCAAGAATACGGAAGAAGGGAAATCATTCCATGGCGCTCGCGTGATATGGACAACTACAGGCATCTCATCCAAGCAAGACTTGGCAGAGAGCATGATGAACTGTATCATGGCAAAGCAGGACTTTCCCGACGTGATCTGCGGGTTCGACTGGGTCGGGCAAGAAGGCTCCAAGGGACAGCTTGTGGATTTCGTCCCCATGATGTTTTGGTTCCGAAAGTTGTGTGTCGAGGAGAGAGTGGACATACCTTTCTTTTTCCACGCATCGGAATGTGCCACCCATGGGGAGAGTCCCAGCCACAATCTTTTTGACGCTATTCTGCTGGGCGCCCGGAGAATCGGCGACGGAGTATCGCTCTATGAGCATCCGATGCTCATCGAGCTGATCAAAGAGAAGAAAATCCTGGTCGAGCGCTGTCCTATCTCCAACGGACGCCATCGTCTGACAGACTCGATCGGAGCCAATTCACTTCCTTTTCTGTTGTCCCGCGGAGTTCCCGTCTCGCTCGGCAGCGACTCCCAAGCCGTCCTCGGACACGGCTGGAATGGACTGACTCCCGAGCTTTGGCGGGCGCTGCGAGGCCCTGAACGCCTGGAGATCACCGACCTTGCCATTCTGATCGAGAATTCCATTCGGTGGAGCAATTACGTAGATCAGCCGGCAGCAGAGTGGCTGTCGGGGATTCGCGAGGGGGTCCTGGGCGAAGGGGTAAAAGCAGCCCGGTTGCAGGAGTGGTATGCGGACTTCGAGAAGTTCTGCGAGTGGATAGCGCTGGAATATGCCGAGGTTGATCTTGACGATTGAATGAGGACTGATGGTCTACGCAGGAGCCATTTGCAAGGGTAGCCATTTGAGAGATCCATACTAGTGTATAATTAATAAGAATGAAAACGAAGCGCTTTCGATGCCATAGTTGTCACCGGTGGGGAATTCCATTGGCCGATTCACAATGCAATGCACAATTACTCATCATTCTGCATAGGGCTCCACTGTGATTCTGAATCTCAATCTGAATCTGTTTTTGATCCGGCTTCTACTAATCATACGGACCACCGGAGATGGGAAACATCGCAGACGATCGATGTTCCTCTGGCAGATGCCGTTATTCATGTGGGAGTCCAGCACATCATGCGCTCTTTGGTGAATGCTGACGAAGGTATCACGAGACCGCCAAGACTGCCGTCTCGACAGGAACAAGACAGAATCTCCGAATTCAGAGGGCTTGAGGAAGACTCTGGATGAAGGGAAGTTCCCTCTGGCCATTCCAGCATTTGGATTCACCCTCGAAGGAACCCGGCGATGTCTGCTCCAATTCAGACCATCGATCCCCGATAGCCTCCGCCGCCCGCCGTACGTGTTTCAAGCATAGCCCAACCGTGGTTGACGTTGGCGACCTAGAACGTGTGGACTAGGCACATTTCCCGCCGATATTGAGTCTGCTGGCCATCATAGACCGGAGAAGAGCCCAAGGCTGGTTGGTAACACTTCGACGGTTTCCCTGCAACGGGCGAGTGTCCAGCAAGCGACAGCCTCGACGTAAGTGTGAGTTGGCATGGTGTGATTTGGGTTCCCCCAGCTCCGCCTGACTATTGCGGTTGATCCTCGCTATCTCCCAGCTAATTTAATCAGTTAGCGCTTCGATTCCCGAACGTCATCCTCCCCGTTCCCATCCCTCCGCACCCTGGGGGACGACGACTGGTCTAAACCAGGGCCTGCATTACAACGCATCCCTATCTCAACTATTGATTTTCTTATTATGATCCCTCCCCGATGACACTGGCAATCTTCAAATGAGCCCCGGTCGGCTCTTCATGCCCAAACATGGCTTACTTCCTACCTTCATTCTTCCAGAAGCGGCTGCTTCGATATGCCTTGTCTCGCCTAGAGCTCGTCGATACCGAAGCACTTGACCTGGACAGCCTCGGCATTCGATGGGGCCAACGGAGCACCGTCGAGCTACGGGATATAGGCTTGAGGCTTGAGGTGCGTAAAGACAGCGATCGGTGGCTCTCAGGGTCGGCTCTAGGCTGCCCTGCTTGTTGACCTGGCTAACATCCTCGGCTTTCCTCGCCCATCACAGAAACTAGCCTCTCTCCTCCATCTCCCTCCATCCAGTAAACTCCTGAGCGCCCGCGTTCGGTACCTTCAAATCACAGTCCCGGCCGACATTTACAGCAGTGGGATCATCTGCCAAGCAAGCGGGATCGACGTGCATCTAAGACTGCCGTCGGAGGAGACAAGTCACGGCCAGTCGACGGAGCAGGCAAAGTCGCCATCTGCGGGTGATGGTGATCTCTCGCTTGATCCGATCCTACCAAATCCGACCGACCTTGCACAGTCATTCCTCGAGGCCGAGCCAAAAGAGGAGAAAGAGGAGCTACAAGCTGCCATCTCATCCCGGTCTCAGGTCTTGCAGCGCCCGTCGTCTTCCTTCAGTAGCGATGATGAGGATGAGCTTGGCTTGGGTAGTGAGGGCGTCTCGCTACCCAGCTTTGTTGCTGGGTTTATAAAGGGTGTCGTCGAGCGTCTGCAGGTCCAGATTGATGATATCTCGGTGCGAGTCGAGTTGGAAACGAAACAAGATGGCCCCCTGAAGAGGCAGCCGGAGGACAGACCAGATTCAATCTCCGGGCTTTTGAGTATTCGTCAAATCAAAGTGAATGCGGTGTCCGCTTCTGGGTCCGATGAAGCTCTGTCTTCCGCGGGGAAACGCTTGATCTCCCTCTCTGATCTCAACCTCGCCCTAGTCTCCGAGCCTATAGTTTTCTCGAATTATGCTCGCTTTACCGAACCTCCTCTGTCTCCGTCCACTCCCGTGCAGCCAAAGTCAAGCCAGTCGCCCAGTCGAGCCCCTTCGCCGTCACCTGCAGTACCGTCCTCTTCAAATTCCACCCTTGACCTCTCGCGATCGACTATCTTTGACCGACCGCCGCAAGATGTCGCACTTTCTCGTATCCCAGATCATGGCGATACCCCCGAAATGGAAGGATCTGTGTACACGTACGATGGCCGATTTTCGGATGCCGATACGGATGAGAATAGGAGTTATGGCTATCTTGAGGATTCCCAGAATCTTTCCGACGATGATAAACTTCTCGATAACCCCGCCTATCTCGACTCAGTTATAAACTCTCAATTCCAGGATGATGACCTCGAGGGCTCGGGTAATGTACACCCCAAAGGTAGTCAACATGACCTGAGCAGCAGAGAAACACCTCGCCCGCAGAGTCCAGATCTTAGCCCCAGTGGGTCTGCATCCCAACATAGCTCAACTAGACAAGCACTGGTTCCTTTCGGGCAGCAACAGGCACGCCACAGTAACGTATCTCCTAGCGGCAGTGATCATTATCATCTAGAAGGTCCGGGCGCCACTCAGAAAGCGCTGCCCGAAAGAGCTTTCGAGGACTCTCCGCAACATGATCACCACGAATCACCGCCTCGCACCTCTGGACCTCCTTCTGAGGCTGATAGTACGGATTCAGCTTCCGGCTCATTTCACGATGCCGATCTCTCGGAGTCGAAACTGTTCTCGAACGAAGAGGCCCAAAGTATGTATATGAGCGCCATTAGCCAAGGTTCGACAACAAGAAGCTTCATGCCCAATATTCCCGGAGCCTGGGATTCCCCCGAATCCACAATCATAAAGGACACTAGTGCACAACACCCACTTCAGGCTGCTGGGGATGATAAGCATGCTGGTTACCATAATGACGACCAGGATGACGCATCGATCGCGACGCCTAAGCTCACTGCTCAAGCCGTACCGCCGCTACCACGGGAACACTCCCTTGATGATAGCTCACAGGCGCCTTCTGAGACCGAACAAGATTTCTTGAAGTCCTCTCAAGCGCTGAACAAACCAGCAGATATCGCGAAGACGTTTTTCAACGTTGACAAGATACTCATATGGATTCCCTCGGCTAACGACAACGAAGAGTTGTTAGACCCGGAAGGCAGGACAGGTGATAATTTGAAGGAATCGACTGCTCGGCAGCGGGACCACGGGTTCGAGGATGATCTTATCGCATCCAGAGCTCACACATCGTTACGGTTCCGCGGCGATTCTATGGGCTCGTCTCTCCACTCCGAGATCGCCGAATCCAGATATCCGCATAGAGCAGAGAAAGACGAACGAGACATCAACTCTAGTGGTGAGCAAAATGACATAGCAGTTGAGATATTCTCGGCAGAGCTGCAATTCGACATCGCCATTGGATGGCTGGTTGTGAAGTTTGGCCAGCGCGTTCTCCACGCATTCAGCCAGGACGAAGGTGTGGTTCCTGCAAAGAAGAAGACAAACAATGAGGAGCAAGGCCGACAAGCTCTCAGACTTGCGCTGCAGAAATTGTCAATCAAATTTGTCGAACATGTACCAGGACACGCGTACCCTTCCGAAGACTCCCAATTGCACTCCCCCACATTCTTCAGTCTACTTCGGGAAGACATCGTGCTTCAAACCACCGCAGCTGGGCTGAAAGCACATTACTCCACGGAAAATGACAAGACAAAGTTGCGCCTGGATGTCACCAAATTCACACTTGGGTTTGCCTCTGAGGACCTACTTTCATTCAGTGAAGACCTGAAAATGCGCGAATCCACACGAGATGTGTTTTCACCTACACACGGCGATTTGAGCATTTCTCTGAGCAAGTCACCCGATTCAGCGCATGTCAATATCACGACCCTCCCCCTCCTGCTCAATGTCAATGTCCAGCGCTTAGAAGAGGTTGTAGGCTGGTTTGGAGGCCTGAGCACTATTTTGGATCTTGGAAGCTCAATATCATCAATGTCGGCTGCCAAAGGGCCGAAGAAAGAAACACCAAAGCGAGTCCGCGGTGTGCGCTTTGAAGCGTCATCACCGCCGCCTCCGGAGGTGTCTCCGGATGATTCGGTGCCGTGGAAGGTTAATGCTCGCGTTGGTGGTATCGCAGTCGACGTTGCTGGAGAGACACATTACCTGAAGCTCCGATCTACGGCTGTCAAAATCGTCAGTAGATCCGAGGGCATTGCCGTTCAAATTGACAAAGCCAAGTTAAGTGGGCCATTGCCACTTGACGACACGAGAGATGCGCCTGCCAAAGTCAATCTCAGTAATATTCGAGTCGAATATCTATACGCGCCTAAGGAGACTGATTTGGATCGTCTACTTTCATTGATCACACCGTCTAAGGATAAATACGACGAAGACGATGACATTATGCTGGACACTCTCTTCCGACAGCGAAGACAAGGTTCCGTGCTTCGCACCACAGTCGGCGGTATAAAGGCAGCGGTAACGCGGACGAATGACCTGGAGGCTTTCCTTCAACTTGGAGAAGAGCTGAGTAGACTATCTACTGTGGCCAAATACCTTCCAGAAGACGACCGACCTGGACTATTGACCCTCACTTTGATTCGAGACCTGGAGGTTCAAGTACATGTGGGAGGCAAAGTGGGTGAACTGACCGCACGCTTGGCCAATGCCGAGGCGGCTTATATCAGTATCCCATCGCTTGTAGCCGCCAAACTCGGGTCAATGACAGTTGTCAGAAATGGCCAGGAGGAACTCGTCGGAGAAGCATTGCCTCCGAACATGGACCAAAGCTCAGTGTCTCAGACCGAGCATCCAATACTGATGGCACGGTTCATCGCGGATGAAATGGAACCTACGTTTAAGGTCAAGCTGCATCGTCTACGAGTGGAATACACGCTGTCATCGGTGGTTGCATTCCTCGGGCTTAGCGAAGAAATGACAACGGGTGACGTTGCTGCCAACATGGCGAACTCACTGGCCAACCTCACAGAGTTGCAACCTTCTCATCATGATAAAAGGCCCGTGAACGAAGGACCCCCTAAAGCACCCTCAAAACCTACCAAATTGGCGGTTGCTTTACGGGACTGCATTGTGGGTTTAAACCCCCGAGGAACGGATGCAAAAGGGCTGGTTGTACTCACGAACGCCAATTTCTCCGGCACTATTCATGATGATATCTCCTCGGAGGCTACGTTAGATCTTCGCAAGGCGTCAATAATGCTCATCGACGATACGAAAAATGTGGGACTTGCAGATCCACACATTCGGAGAAGCTCTGGTCTGCAGAGTGATCAAGTTCAAACCCTCACCGATTTAGGCTTCGTGTCCGTGTGCTCCATATCATCTGCGACAGCTACTTTGAAAATCGTACGCCTCAGTGATGACGGCACTAAATCGCTCGACGTGGAGCTAAGAGACGACTTGCTTATTCTGGAAACGTGCGCGGACTCAACGCAAACTCTCATTAGTATCGTCAATGGCTTACAGCCTCCAACTCCCCCTAGCGTGGCCGTCAAGTACCGGACCGAAGTCCTCCCGATTCAGGACATGCTAGCATCATTCTCTGGAGATGCGTTTACGATGGATCCTATTCCCGAGGCTGAAGAGACTTCCGAAATAGGAGATCACCCGACTGAACAAGCCCTCAGCAAGGACCCCATAGAGGACGAGCTGGAGTACGTGAGCGACTTCTATCCTGTGAAACCAGCTCCGGAGCCCGGCTCTTCGCATGAGGGTATGGGCTCTTCGTCGAATGAGCTCCTCGACAGCTTCCACTCCCAGTATTATGTATCCTCAAGCGTCTCGGATCTAGAGCTCAAGGAAGATCATTTTGCTCAACAGTCTGCTGTGGGAGGTACGGCCCACCGATGGGACTCCGCTGAGAACACGTATGGGCTATCAGACGACAGCAAACTCCAGAGAAGCCCTCTGAGGATCAGGGTTCGTGACGCCCATGTGATATGGAATCTTTTCGATGGCTATGACTGGCAGCGAACGAGGGACACAATATCGAGGGCGGTTAAGGACGTGGAGAAGAAGGCAACCGAACGACGAGCCAGAACCGGGTCCCGTACATCTCCGGGCTTTGAAGAGGAGGAAGAGTCTGTCATTGGCGACTGCTTGTTCAACTCTATATACATCGGTATCCCGGCCAACAAGGATCCACGAGAGCTCCGCGGCGACATCAATCGCAACATCGATGATATGATCAGTGAGACTGGAAGCTATGCAACCACGACGACTGTGACTGGAGCCACGGCGCGACAAGGTCAACCACAGTCCCGGAGGAAGTTGCGGCTTTCACGAAGCAAGTATCACAAGATGACTTTTGAACTCAAAGGCATTTGTGCAGACCTCGTCGTCTTCCCGCCTGATTCCGGAGAAACGCAGAGTTCATTGGATGTTCGCGTCAAAGACTTGGAGATCTTCGATCATGTTCCGACTTCGACCTGGAAAAAGCTTGCCACTTACATGCACGAGGCGGGTGAAAAGGAGAGCGGGACCAGCATGATACACCTGGAAATTTTGACCGTGCGGCCGGTTCCCGAGCTAGCTGCGGCGGAGATTGTTCTCAAGGTAAAAAGGCCGATGAATCCCCAAGCCTCGTATAAGTATTCTAAAAATCTTTTCCTTAGGCCACCATTCTCCCACTTCGGTTACATGTCGACCAAGATGCGTTGGACTTTATATGCCGGTTCTTTGAGTTCCGTGATGATTCCGCTCCAGCTCCAAGCGCCCCCGAAGACATCCCCTTTTTGCAGCGGGTCGAGATCAATGCGGTCCCTGTCAGGCTCGATTTTAAACCCAAGCGGGTGGACTACGCAGGTCTTCGGTCAGGTCGCACAACCGAGTTTATGAACTTCTTCGTTCTGGACGGAGCTGACATGGTCATGCGCCATGTCATAATCTACGGGGTGTCCGGGTTCGACAAAATGGGACAGACGCTCAATGACATCTGGATGCCCGACATCAAGCGGAATCAGCTGCCGGGTGTGATTGCGGGCTTGGCTCCCATCCGATCCCTGGTCAACGTCGGCGGCGGCGTGAAAGATTTGGTGGTCGTTCCGATGCGCGAGTACCGGAAGGACGGCCGGATTGTTCGCAGCATTCAGAAGGGAGCCGTGTCATTTGCGAAGACGACCTCCAATGAATTGGTGAAGCTGGGGGCCAAACTGGCCATTGGCACGCAAACCGTCCTCCAGGGCGCGGAGGATCTCTTGACGACCCAGAGAGCACCGCTAGCAACTCCCGAAGAGGACATGATTGACGAGGAGGAAGCGAAGAAAATCTCACTGTATGCAGACCAACCGGTGGGCGTAGTCCAAGGCCTCCGGGGCGCCTTCAAGGGGCTAGAGCGCGATCTGATTCTGGCTCGCGACGCCATCGTTGCCGTTCCCGGGGAAGTGGTCGAGAGTGGCAGCGCCAAGGCCGCCGCAAAGGCTGTCTGGAAACGAGCTCCTACCGTTGTGCTTCGACCTGCCATCGGAGTGTCCAAGGCCGTGGGACAGACCCTGCTGGGGGCAGGAAATACCTTGGATCCCAGCAATCGGCGCAAGATGGAAGATGTGAGTTGTCCTTTTTTGCCTTGCTTTATAAGTTATTGTTCCGTTCCGTGCTAACGTGTCGCTCGCCTCATCAGAAATATAAACGCCATTGAGTGTTTCATTCTTAGCGGTGCAGGCGTAACCATTATACCATTTGGATTGCATTCGACCGGACTTGTTTTGATTTTTCTTTTTCTATTCTTCTCCGACCTTTTTTTACCGTCTCTGTTTCTAACTACATTCATGGGTTACTGGACGTAGCCCGGTACATAATCTTCCGGAACGACAACGCAGGACTGCCCTGACAATTATTGGCTCATGATGACGATACAAACGATTCCAAGCTATCCTTCTTATTCTTTTTCTCTGATCACTTTTGATTATCCTATCATTTGAGCATTTTGTTGATTTTTGGTTGTGCTGGCCCAGGGTAGGACGTGCAACTGGGGCTGGGGGCTTGGGATGAGCGGAAGTTAATTGCTGAGTTACGAAAAAGGAGCCTTGGACGAAGGAATTTTTGGAGATAGACAGAATGAGAATGTGAATGCAAATGTTACCTGGAAAAGGGAAAAAGGAAAAAGGCCCGATGCTGTGCCTCGCGGCGAGGGTTTCTTCAGCCTCGTCTTACCTCAGTGCAACCAGAACCCCGGCTCCCAGTAACTTGGGAGAGCCGTAGGCAGGCAGCCAGCAGCAGCAGGTACAGTACATATTCCTAGGAACCACTCGGGAGGCACAGCACACGTAGGACATGTACCGGACATGGACATGTACATGAATACCTGTTGGACGCAACGAATCACAACCGGGCAAGTCAGCTGACGGCGTGGAAACCTACCCTAGGGTTGTCGGTCCTCCTCATACGTCGCCCTTTCTTGTGGTCGGTGACACAAGATCATCCAAGTGGATGCACCTGCTGAGCGTCGGCTGACTGGACTTAGGGAGGATGAAACAGCAGGGAGGGATCTCCCAGGAGGAATGCTCAAGGAGGGATGCTCAAGGAGGGATCCCCAAGGCTGAGTTACTCTTGCCACCGTCACTGCCACGGTGATCGCGCTGAAACATCTCAGGAGATGCGATGCATCCAGCAGGAACTCCCGCGAACCCGTGATGAATCAAATATAGAAATTCCCCGTCTCGGGGCGCTGATTGGCCACGCTGCCTCTCTGCTGACGAGCCAATCAGCGCCTGCGACGACGCCTCGACGATCGACTTCTTCGGTGCCCAACGACTTTCCATCTTCCACTTTCTTACCACTACTAGTCTACTACTCAGTGCCTACCCACTCCACGACTACGACCGGCCTGCTGCGTCGGACTCGGTCCTACGTACTCTCGGCGTCGGCCCTCCGTCAAGTATCCACCCGCGTACGTCCCTTCAGGATGAACGGTGGCCATGCAACTGATTGGTTGGCAGAGATGCACGTCACCCATCCATGAAGGGTAATGTGACAGATCCATCCTCCGTCTGTCTTTTTCTTTTGGCGTTGGACTTTTATTTTTGTTTGTGTCCTTTTGACCTTCTTGTCGCGACGTTTCGGGTGGCTTTATCCTCCCTTTATCGTCATTCTTCGAGCTCGTATAGAGCTGTGTCTCTCCCGTCCTCTTCGTTACACCCAGGACTCGCGTCTTTCGTTATCCTGCATCTGCGCGATTCTATTCTATCATAACTGACTGCGTGTTGTTTTAGAGAGAGCTGCCTATGTAGATAGATGCCAAAGACACGACCCGGTATTTAGATGTCAGGGATTTCATCACGATCTGGATCTGGCTTTGTTTGCAATCTGTCGTCGGTGTAGCCATTCTTTCATCCATTCTCCATTGATCCATTCATTGACTGCCTGAGTGATCCCTGCATTGTCCATCGATTTTAAACAACGGCTCTTCTTCATCATTGTCATCATCATGGATCTTAAAGACTACGTCAGCCATGAGCCCTTCCATCTTCAATCCATGGGCGCCATCACCACCTGCTCTCCGTCTCCTATCTCTCTGCCCTTGCTCTCACCATCACAGTCGCAATCGCAATCCCCATTCCCCTCTTCATGCCATCCCGATCCCGCCCTGCAGTCCTCGTCTCTGAACCACGTTATGAACAACTTCTACCCGGAACCAGTCGCCTTGTCGCTGCACAATTATCGCAAGTACCTGGCGCACGGGGGCTCGTCGACCTCTGTCGATGGACACGATTTCAAAAAGCTGCGCCGGAAAAATGCGGCCTTGAATCTGAATCAACCGTCTGACCCTCCGCATTCTGTCTCGCCCTTCTCGGTGTCCTCGGCGTCGAGTCCGCCGCCGCTGTCGCCTTCGTCGTCGCCCAGTGCGGTTAGCGAGTTGGGCGCGGAGAGCTTGCGCGGGTTTCTTTGTAAGTTCTTGTGTTACTTTCTCCTTTGGTACGTCAAATGTGAAGGACATACTGATTAGGGCTCTTTATCTAGTATCGCCTAGTCCTGTGGACTGGGGTTCAGGCGAGCGTTCGGGGCACCGGCTGGATTCGTATAAAATCTTGGTACCAATCCATCTGCCCCTGATATAATTACAGAAGGAAGTGCTAATATTGCCTGATAGAACACATTCCGTGACAGACTTGAGCAGTACCCCGATCCCGACCCGACGCCCTCGATCCGCGGCCACAGCAAGACCTACTCTGACTCTGCACTGCTCAACGTCCCCCAAGATGACTCGACGGTCATCAGCCACAACGGGACCTCGTTCGAGATTCTCAACCCCCATGAATCGCTGCGCTTTGCGCGCATCGTCTCTTATATCGAAGACGTGGACACGTACTCAGTCCCCAGCTCGTCCGGCCACGGTCACCAACGGGACTCGTACCTATTCGACGACACCAATTCCATTCCTATCTACGATACATCGTTCCTAGACGACGATGACCACCGTTCCTTTCCCTACCCCCTAGAGGACACGCACGAGGAAGACATCAGCCCCGACGTGACCGCCCACCACGACCTTGTCGGCGACTCGCCGCACCACCCCATGCCGTCGATCTCCGAGCGTCTAGAAGAAAACGACGTCGAGTCCACCTACTCGCCCGATGATCCCCGCCGCAACTCCTACTCTTTCCCTTACCCTCCCTCTCCCACCTCCCCTTCTCACTCCCGCTCCTACTCCTACTCTCACTTCCACCGCCCCTCCCGCCTCTGGACCCCTCGATCCTTCGACTCCTCCGACCTCGGCGAACCCGGCTCCCCCGTCTGCGAAGACGACTACAACCCGCACACCTCCTGGAAGCCAAGCCCCGGATACCCCCGCTCCCTCGACGCAGAAGTCGTGATCACGCGCTCAGGGAAGAACGAAATCCACGTCCAGCGCCGTCCCACTCAGCGCTCATCCAACCGTCCCGCGAAGGGCGGCCCCGAAGCGAGCAAAACGGGCCCGTTTCGACGTCTCTGCGTGTTTGCGATGGCGTGGCGACGCAAGAAGTTTTTCGGGGGTGAGGGGACGAAATAATCTTAAAATCATTCATCTACCTTCTCATTACGTTCCTTGGTTTCTTTCCGTTCAGTTCCGTTTTCTTTTATCGATTTACATCAGATTATTTCTCTTGTTCTGCTTTGCATGATTGCTTGCTTGCTTGCGATAACTAGCGATAGCGATAGCGATTGATTGATTGATTGATTGATATAGATAGATAGGTCTTGTTGTGTTTGAGTTTGAGTTTGGTCTCTCGCAGTTTTGTTGTCATGATCGTGTCGATTTCTGAGAAACGCACGATTGGGTTCCAATGAGCGATTTGCTTCGTCTTTTTCGTTTGTCGTCTTTCCCATCACTGATTCGATTCGTTTGCTCTGTTTTCCTCTGTAGCCATATTATGATCTGTGATATGGCACTGTTTAATGTGACTGATAGATGCAATGAGCATTGATTAATTGAAGGGGTACGAAGAGACTCGTTTGGTTTGCTTTTGTCAAGTGGTTGAGATATTCAGATAAATATAGTCAAGTAGAGTGTATAGTGTATTGAGAGTGGAAGAAATCGAGGCCAAAGAAATAAGAACTAAACAATGTACACAATTTGGGTATCTACCTTTTAAAACAACATGCGGATCGAAACGAAGAAAAAGAAAGAAAGTACAAGAATAGGATATATACAAGCCAAATAGAAAGAAATCAAATCGACCGAAAAAAAAGACACAGAAAAGATGGGAAGAAGTTCCAAAACGGAAAGACAAAAGCTTAGTCCGAGGTACAGCAGCTCTTCTCAACCATGGAGGCAAGCGCCGCACTCACCAAGCTCTTCCGTCTCAATCCCTGCTCACTTTTCTTGTGCATGTCCCGGCCTGCGGAGTGGTAGTTCTTCTCGATCCGATGCGACTGCACAACGCCCGAGCTGCTCTTACGCCGGCCGCGGGGCTCGGCCGAAGTCGGTTCCGCCAGGCCCGAGGAGTTGGATGACGTTTGCGGTCGGAACCGGCTGCGCTGGAGGGTCAGCGCCCTCCGTCGAGGAGACTGCTGCGGCGGGAGCGAGCTGGGGTGACAGGCATCGGCGCTGGGCGGGTACTTCAGATTCATGTTCAGCGCTTCGTCTTCGGAGAGGAGAGCCTGGCGGATGGCATCGACGTCGGACGGGTTGCATTGCAGGCGGGAAATGTGCTGTCGCTGAGCGCGAACATTCCAGCTGTCGGGGCAGTGAAGGAGGTCTGGCACCGCATCTTGGGCCGGGGAGTCATCCAGCGGGGCGGAGGTGGGACTGAGAAAGGGGGATTGGGGTTGCGGAGACAGCGACGGAGAGGTGAGGGACGAGGAATCGAAGAAGCCTTCGTCGTCGTGGTCGGTGTCCGGGGGCGTCAGGACGTAGCCCGGGAACTTGGCGGAGCCGGAGGCGAAGTCGGACGGGGATTGAGGGTCCGGCAGGGAAGTGGGACTCTCGAGTTGCATGTCATCGCGGGACGGGTTCTGGATAGTGTGCTCGTGGAGTTTCCGGGTCAGGGTTGCGATGGACAGGCGTTTGTGGTTATAGTCGAAGGGGACGGAGGTGGGGGCCTGTTGCGAGCGGAAGTGGGAGGATCGAGATCGGGCGAGGCTCCGAGGGAACCGGGAGGAGCGAGGCGACGGGCATCGCGAGGAGAGCGGAGAGATGAGGGCGCTATCACAGTCGACCATCAGGCGGTCATCCCCGTCCAGCGCCGGGCGCGACGGCCGGGCGGACGAGGGGGACGAGAAGGAGAAGTCTTCGAACATGGTGGGGCGATCGAGCGATCTGTCTTTTGATCCGCTAGAGAATTAAGCACGGAAGGCTCGCCGACTGCTGGGATAAATGAAGGGTGGAAAAGAGATGGGAGACGAGTTGTTTGTGGAAAGAACGCGTTCCTCGCCGTATATAAAGGGGGGAGGAGTGTTTTATTTTATTTTTTATTTTTTTGCCGGGTGGCCAATTCTGGTGCAAAAGTTTTTTTTTGTGGTCTTGCGTCTGGCGCGTAGAGGAACCACCCAAGGCTGGGGGGCAAATCGAATAATGGACACGGGGGCGTGGGGAATTGGCTTCAACGGTCGGGCCGTTCAATCAGGGTACAGTGGGTTCATGGTAGTCAGGGGGAGCGCAGAGAAAAGGAGAGGGAAAGTGGAAGCAGCCATGTAGCCAGAAAGACGACGATAATATATGATCCATCGACTGGCGACGGGCTCATTTCCCCCTGAAGAAGAAGCCAACGCGAATTTGGCGGCAGTCGCTGGGGTCACCTGACCGCTCAGGGGCGGCTGAGTCAGCGCCCGACAAACGGGGCAAACTCCCACGTGGCCGTCTCTTCATCTCGTCCTCGTCGCGTCTCCACGACGCTCCACCCCGTCAGGCCGAGACTGTCCTGGACCGCCGACCTGGGTCTGCCTATCACTCTATCTATCGACGGAGGATGACCTGACAGCCTGCCGATGGAGCCTCCCGTCCAAGCACGATGATTGGAGAAACACCGATCGATCCATATAAATTCAGGGGTCCCGGCAAAGTCGGACAAAGAATGAGCTGCAGAGCGATCCATTCCGGATTCCAATAGTCTCTTCGCTTGCAGATGGAGAAGAGAAAAAAAAGGGGGGCCATGAACAATTAATGATAACATCCCGGCCATCAATCCTGTTTAGTCCTGACTAGTCCATCCGTTGCGGTGGAGTGGAAACGTGGTTTCCTACTCGATTCGGTGTGGTCCCCATCCACTGTCCAACAAGGATGATGTTCGGTCTTATTCATACGGAGTACGGAGTCCATAGTATTTCATCCCCCTTACGAACAATGTTTTGTGTAGAATCCGGGTCCACCAGCGGTCCGCTCCATGGGAAAACCTCGCAGGGCTTGATCAAGTGTGGTCATCGGTGCCAGCTGAGAGCAGCTTGTTCAGGCGAGCTGGAGAGGTTCCACAGGCATCGAAGCCCCTGGCTAGATCCATCTTGCTTCTGTTACGAGTCCAAATCCAACGCGTAAATTTCCCCGGGGGCTAACTGCTTAGGATTGAGAACTGCTACTTTTTAGCCCCCTGGAAGTTTCACTATAAGCAAGGATGTGATCCGTACAAGTTCTGGGATTCATGGACTTGGGGCTTCTCGCAGCTCACTTGGATGGAATGCGTAACTCTGCTCAGTACTCCAAACCAAATAATAATTCACATGTCTTTTCACCTGATGAGTGTCCTGGTTATGATCTTGGATGGCTGTGTTGCAATGTCTGCACTGCTCTGTCACCCTCTATAGCGAACTGGGCCTATTTGAATGCCCCGGATATCTTCAGAGTAATCCTTCTACCCAGTAAAGTTTCTTCGGATCGAGAACGAGTAGGACTTCCCCATGGTTACGGGATCCCCACTGCGTATCCAGAACCCGTTCCGGCGCCAGCCCTAAGTCCAAGACACCGAGACATGACTCAGTTTTAGATTAAGGACTGCGGCTGCTTGAGGTCCTAAACTAGCGCCAGTTGGGGCTGAGGAAACCTTGGGATATATATTTAGCAATCCACCTGATCGTACGGAGTACTCCGTTTGTCGGGCCGGCTATACGGAGCAGTGTTGAGATTCCTTTCGGCTTCATGCGGTCAAGGTCACTCCGTATCCGTAGGCTTTGCTTGTCTAGACTCCAGACTTGCACATTGGCATTCGTGGTATCGATATCCATCTTTTCATTTCTTTGGTATGTGTATACCAGTAGACACTATTACCGAGGCCCTTTGGTCAACATCCCCAGAACGTCTGGACTCCACTGGACTCAAGTCAGGGCGAGCCTGGAGTAACTCCATCCACGCGCGATGAGACAGAGGGTTCATTGTGAGGAAGAGACAGTAGTTTTTGTGTCCATATGATTGATCATCCGGAAGAACAAGCAAGTTGTGGTGGCGATGCAGTTGCAACAGTCATGCAAGGGGCATCCGAGACACGCCGGAAACGGCCAGTGACTGCTGCCGAATTCCCGATACCTATCACATTGTCCTTCTGAGTCACCTTGTGCGCAAGAAAAATGATGCAATGGCATGCGAGGCCTCAAATTTGGGGAGTGGGTGATGCTGCATGCATAGTTGACATCAGCAGGGAAGGAGCTTATCGCTTATCGACAAGACCGGAATCAGTTGCTCCGACTCTCTTCCCCTCCCCGCACGACAACAGATCGTCTTACCCTCCTCCAACACCCTCTCTCTACCCCGGATTCATTTCTTTCTATCTTCTCTCCCCTCCACGAAGTTGACTCAATCTCAATATGGCCTCCCTATTGAAGAAACCGTTGAAACTCGCCCTGGTGCAGCTTGCCTCCGGTATGTGACTCGTTCGAAACTCCGCCAACTTCTCGATTGGTCCGCGGGCAGACGATGGATGCTAATTTGAAATGACTTGTTCTAGGGGCCGACAAAGCTGTCAACCTCGCTCATGCGCGCAGCAAAGTCCTAGAGGCGGCGCAGGCAGGAGCCAAACTCATCGTTCTCCCCGAGTGCTTCAACTCGCCCTACGGAACCCAGTACTTCCCCAAATACGCGGAGACCCTTCTCCCGTCGCCTCCCACGAAGGAGCAGTCCCCCTCGTACCATGCACTCTCGTCCATTGCCGCCGAGGCCAAGGCCTACCTAGTGGGCGGAAGTATCCCCGAGCTGGAGCCAACGACCAACAAATTCTATAACACGGCCTTGGTGTTCTCGCCGACCGGAGCTCTGATCGGAACCCATCGCAAGACTCATTTGTTCGACATCGACATCCCCGGCAAGATCACGTTCAAGGAAAGTGAGGTGCTGTCGCCCGGAAACCAGCTGACTATAGTCGAGCTGCCGGAGTATGGCAAGATCGGCCTGGCCATCTGCTACGACATCCGCTTTCCGGAGTCGGCCATGATTGCGGCGCGCAAGGACGCTTTCATGCTTGTCTACCCGGGTGCCTTCAATCTGACCACCGGACCCATGCATTGGTCGCTGTTGGCGCGTGCCCGTGCCGTGGACAACCAGGTCTATGTGGCCCTGTGCAGCCCGGCGCGGGACATGAATGCCACTTACCACGCGTATGGTCACAGTCTGGTCACAAATCCTACCGCGGAGGTTCTGGCGGAAGCGGAAGAGAAGGAGGATATCATCTATGCCGACCTGGATAATGACACGATCCAAGGCACGAGAAAGAGCATCCCGGTCTACACTCAGCGACGGTTCGACTTATACCCGGATGTTAGTCTATCGGGGGCTCCCAGCCTTCGGCGCAGAGAGACCTAAAAAGAAAGCCAATGCTTGTTGATTAGTCATTTAGCCATTATATAACTAGCGCAAGGCTGCCATGAATGACGAGACAAGAATCTCCATGACTGGTCATTATGATTAGTATTATCATCATTATTCGTCTTAGCACGAGATGCTTGTGTAGATGCCGGCAGCAGCCTTGGTGCCTGAGGCTGCGCGGGAGCGATCGCTACGGCACCACATGACCACCCGCGGGCCAATCAACGGGCGCCGGGGCGATAAGCGAGCCACACTGGAATTTCGTCTGCCGAAAAAACGCATCTTGAAAACTCCGTGCCTTTGACATCGACCACTTCCGCCAACGACAGCCAACACCCCCTGTCCACCCCATCCAGTGAGTTTTTCTCAATCTCTCGAGCTCTGCATCTCGATTGTGAGAATCGACTGACAATTTTCCCCCGTCAGAAATGTCCAACGTCCAGACCACCGGCAAGAAGCAGCGCTCGGCCATCGCCGACGTTGTGTCGCGCGAGTACACCATCAACCTGCACAGGAGAGTACGTTGAACACCGATCCCTTAGTATTTTCGCGGTCGAATCGCCAAAGGATCTGAAATGCGTTTCATTTCCCGCGGTGATCAAACCCAGCTTTTTCGAACATTTGAGGCATGGACGGAGAACATCATCCTCCCAAGAGGGGTTAAGAAACGAAACAAGAAACAAGAACCCTGGGCAACAATCCCTGCGTGTGTGATGGGAGTGAAATCCTCAACCACAACCACAGACAAGGAAATTGTCGCAAAGAGCAGGAGTTGTAAATCCCAAAATCCTCTTGGGGACGTTTTTTTCCAACCCACCACGCCAAAAAAAGGAAGAATTAGTTTTATGAAGTCCACCTCTATGGCCGCATTAGCATCTTTTCACAGATTCACATCTTCACAAGATGGCATTCGGGCGGAAGACTGATTTCTTCTTTTTTTTTCGACTCTGTAGATGCACGGTGTTACCTTCAAGAAGCGTGCCCCTCGCGCTATCAAGGAGATCCGCGCTTTCGCTGAGCAGGCCATGGTAAGTCTTTCTTCTTTTCCCCTGATTCCTATCATACCAGTTCATCCTGGCTAATGTTTGCGTTCTCTACCAGGGCACCAAGGATGTCCGTCTCGACCCCGCCCTCAACAAGAAGGTCTGGGAGGCCGGTATCAAGGGCGTTCCCTTCCGTCTGCGTGTCCGCATCTCCCGCAAGCGTAACGACGAGGAGAACGCCAAGGAGAAGCTCTACTCCATGGTCTACGCCGTCAACGTCAAGGAGCCCAAGGGTCTCCACACCGCCGTCGTTGACGACGAGTAAATGGTTTCTTTCCAATAGGACAATATGATGGGGGTTTCCCTTTTTTTTCATTAAAAAGCCATTTTTTTCTGTGTCGTTGCACCGGTTGGCTAGGGGATAGATACATCTGAAGGAACCATAAATTAATGAAAAAAATGGGAAATTTTTTTGACAAACGTCTTACTTTTTATCATTCGCATGCTTTGATATCTTTGGTCTAAAGACTAGATCGATTACCTTGATATTCAGGGTAACGTAAACTAGAGTTTCTCTGGACTTGCTGCATAGTTGAATCTCGTACTGACCTGCAGATGATTTAAAAAAAAAAAAAAAAGATTCTCGCCCTGTAAATGCATTCTACCGAAGTATGGTCCAGACCTCCCACGCAAGACCACGACTCTATACTGCCAAGGAGCACACGAGCCCAGAATGATCGCTCCACTTGAGTATCGAGCTACGATCGTGCATATCATTCTCTCCCTCCCGTTCCAATTCCAACGTGTCAGCCTGCTCAATGCCACCCGGAGCTAGTATCTTGATATCGCATGGCGTCAGTCCAACCACCGCCACCTTATCAAGCCTATTAGCCGGAAACGGCTGATCCCCATCAACTCCCCAGGTAAACCCATTCTCACGAGGCCGCAGCTCCCTCCACACATCCAAGAGCCCACTCGCATGCACAAGCGCCTCGTCGTCCGGAAGCACGGGATTAAAGTCCCCCGCGACCAGGCCCCTTCCCGCCGCACGGAGGTACGAAGCGACGATTGCGAGCTGGCGCGGACGCAGCGACGGATTGATGGGAAGAGAGTCCAGATGGACGTTGACTAGACGGACGCGCGGGGCAGTTCCGGCCGCGCTAGGGAAGACGAGATCGAAGCATAGAGCGTCGCGGTCAAAACGACTGGGGTACTTGATTCGCCAGAGGGGGCTGAGGGTCGCGATGGCGGGATCCGTGAACCGCGAGCGTGAAACGAGGGTCATATTTGCGAAGGACTGGGTTCCCCAGCTGGTTGTGTCAGATTCGCTTGAGAACCAGTGTTCGCGGAGCCAGGGCGTTTCGAGCAAACAGGACAGAGCAGGGCGGGAGACTTCTTGCAGGAAGATGATGTCGGGGGGAGGAGCTAGGCTCTGGATGTGTGAGATGAGGGCTGATATGCGGGCCTCGGGGGCGGGGGAGCTGGCGTCGACGTTCCATGTGACTATGATGAAGTTCTCGCTGGTGTTTGAGTTGTGGGATGGGCTGGGATTTCTGGAGGTGGAATCAATAGAAACCCAGTTGTTGGTGGATGAGTCGAAGCTATACCATGGTTGGAAGATTGGAGTCGCGTCTGCTTCGCCGGCCGGTAGAGGAACGTCATGCCACCACCGGAGAGTCTGGTTTCGTAGTCGAAAGAGCATGCTCATCTGTGGGTTTCTTTTCTTTTCTTGTGTTTGAAAGGAGGAATGGATGTCTTGCGATGGGTTGGAATCGGAGACGGGGGAAATGGGTGAGGATTAGAGAGATGTTTGGAGGACGAAGGCCTCCTTCAATCGGATTCACTCCTACCCGTCCCAGCCAACCTTATTTGGATTGACAAAGCCTTGCCCTAATCAGTCATCAGTAATACAGGTTGGTTTTTCTTCCAATTGAACAGAAGTAGAAACTTAAAATGAGCTTCTGTTCTCTTATTCGTTTTAATCTCTCACGATCCAGGGTGTAAAAATGCAATGTAACATGCAGTCATGATTATACAGGTACAAGAGAGCTTTGGTGGCCTCCTAGACACATTCGAGCTCGAAAAGAAGCAAAGAAAAAAGAAAACAAAAGAGAGAAAAAAGGAGATTGTCAAATACAGACCGCTCACTTTTGGCGCAGTGAAAAAACGCCATTCCCATGTGAAAGAAAATCATCCTTTGTGCAACTTTCAGGGCTCAAATCTCCAGCTCTTGATCGGTTAACAATAAACTAAACTCCCTAACCCCAATTGCATCGCTTATGCGCTCGGATAATCACTTGTTTCGGCTCCAACGTCAATCGGCTTTGCATAGTTACTAGCCTTGCGCCTTTTTCTGCTGCTACGGCGCAGCTCTCCTTCGTTGAACGACTGGCGAGGGGATCTCTTTTGAGGCGTAACCTTCGGGGTAGCCATATTGCCCTTCTGCACGAGGCCCCCTTTGCCAGTATCTGCGCCTCGAAGCTTGCTCGTGGCTTTTAGCTGCATGGATTTCTTTTCTCGTTCTGATTGCTCTGCCGCGCGCATCTTTTCCTCGCTTTCGAGCATTTGCGTCCTTTTCCGAGTCTGCCTTGCCCCTAGTAAACTCGTGGTATTGGCGTCAGAACTCCGCACAGGGCTGCTTGACATTTGGGCCGTTTCTTTGGCTTCATCAATTTTGGTCCCCTCATTTTGCAGGGCGACATCTTCAACAGCATCATCGGTCCTTCCGGTGTCTGGTTCGAGTGTCCTAGGCTCGTTTGATCCCGGATACACATACTGCTATGCTGTCAGTTGGGTACTCATTTTGGCACGATAGGAACCTTACATGGTGTTTTATTTTCAACATCGGATCGAGGATTTCCTTGTCTATTTTTTGACGCACACCATCGGAGGCAGGAACCGTGAACTTAGGGAGGCCCTTTTGCAAGAAACCTTTGGCCTTGTATCCTGGAGTTCCCTGCAGAATCCCCTTCTTTCTCAAAAGATCCGTGATTTGAATGACTGTCTGCCCGTTGCAATCTATCATTGTCAGCAAAATCTTAAGGTAAGGTTGCTATCGTTTCTTACGGAGCTTTTGCATGAATCCTGATGTCTGATTAGGAAAACCCTCATTCAAGATGATCCGGACTGCTCTTCTTAAAAGAACAAGACTGCCCATATCACGAAGAATGCCAGGCTCGTCCTGTTCTAGTAAGCATTGATAACAGGCATGAACATCAGGAATTCGTTTATCCGCGGTATTCTCGAAACCGTAGCATCGCGCGTGTTGTTGTTTGAAACAGAAAGCACATTGTATCTGTAATCAAATAAGCCCAAAGTACAGACGAAGCTAAGAAACTGGCTTACCATGGCTTCTTCTTCACCTTCCCAGCCACACTGACATCTCACACGAACCTGCTCCAGGTCATCCGTGTCGGTCGATAGACTGGGTTTACTTGAGGATCGGAACTCTCGGATCCTGGTTGTCTTCTCTGGGGATAGAGCCACAATCGGTGCAAGCTTTTGAGCAACACCATTTGCAATTTCAGGCGCCTTATCGGGACTGATTGGCTGTGTTGGGACAATATCACTGTCTGAATAAAGTTCCATTTCCTGTGACTGATAATATGTCAGTTGTTTCTGCTCCCAGTAAACGAATTTTCCAACGCATTGGATAAAAGTCGCAGATTTGCTCACCTGCATCATCATCTGCAGTCTCTGTCTGTCAGCAGCATCTTGTGAAGGTGTAGCATTCTCCAAGTTGCTACTAGTTTCACCAGGCCCCATAGATTGTTCTCTCTCTACGGGCGAGTCCGTATTTTGAATGCTTCTTTGGTCATTTTCTCCACTCTTTGAGGGGGTCCTGCCATCAGGGAAGCCAATATCATCACATCTCTTCACTACTTCTCCGTATTCGAGCTGTTGGGGTATCTTTGGTACGACTTCTTGATCACCTAGACTTGGCCCTATCCATTTGAGAGAAGTCACGTTAAGTCCAACACTGTTGGGCTATTAGCAGTAAGTCAATCGACATGGTTTTATGAAACTCACACATGCCAGCCACCATCCATTACCCCGCAAGACTGCGTTTCCTTTTTCCAGTTGTTGTCCCGCGGGTAATTGATCGTTTCATTTCGTGCTGTGGTAAAACCGGGCGGTTCATATTCTGGAGGACAATTCTCGGTGTAGAACAAATGGACACCCAGATTTCGTTTATCTGCAGTAACTTTAGCGCTTATTCGTTCAATGAATAATGAAGAGCACCGTACTTGGCAGAGTCGGAAGAAAGGTGCTCAGTGTTATCAAGCGCCGGATAATTGTCTCTAGTCCTATCCTAGCCGTTTGTGCATACTTCATGTCGGCGACACACCCCACGTTGTCTATGGACAAGCTTTCCAGGCGGCGATTCATATCGCCAGGGCCTCCCGTATAGTGAAATGAAAATGTGTATGTTTCCAAGACATTGTCGGGCGATTCTTGGTCGGCAAAGATCGTTAGCTGAAGAGCCTCCAGTACATTCATGCTGAGAGCATCAAAAACCCCGGTTTCCTGTACTTGTCAGTAGGGCTAAATCGAGTCTCATGCATCTAGCATACCAGCACATCGAGGATATTGTCCGCCTTGGGGTCCGCGCCTCGAACTATGATCTTGAGCGGTTGCCCTCTTTTGCCTTTGCCGAATGGAACGACTGGCTCGCTCCCTGGCTTAGCTTTGCCGCCGATAAACTCTTCATACGAGACATTCTGTTCTCGCTGGGCTTCCTTCAAATCCCGGTCGTCAAAGCACGGAAGCGGCAAAAGCTCTCTATGTAGATGTATGAGCTCGAAGTGAACGCGAGAGGAGCATTGCATTAATACCCAACGTACCGTAGATAGAACAACGTCCCAAACTATCGAAAATGAGAAACAGGCCTTGAATAGTATGATTTGATTGAGGGAATACTGACCGACACATGTAACATTATCTGGACCATCTGTAGGCTCTGCCGTTGTGTCAGGTATTGTCGCTGTCGAACCTCGGATGTCGTCGGCTTTCCATGCTCGACTTGAGTTTTGGTCTGGATAGAAATCGTCTTGCTGTCGGAGGCAAGCTGCTGGGGAGCCTGTTCCCGCTGCAGCTGAACCGTCGATGACGGCGCAGCGACTTTGACCCGAACCATACCGAGCGATTGACGGGAGGGATGTCGTCGTGGTGTTGCGCTGAAATAGCGGATTGGGCAATCGGAGTCGATCGGTGACCTACCGAGGAAAGCCTTGGCCTGCAACTTGAGCCGGTGGTGGGAGGGGTTGGTGATGAAGTCGAGCTGAAATGAAGACACCGGATGAACTGTCCAGAGACGGTCACGGGAAGAGGCTGTCGCTGTTTCCCGTTCTCAACCTGGAAAACTTTACCGGCGTTGGGCTTCCTTGGACCCCGTGTTTCGACTTGAGAAATGCCTAGTATAATACCTCCTTGGCTATCCTTCTACTGGAATTCATGGAGCGAAGATCTCCGGGGTAGTGCTATCGACAACTCAGTGTTGGACATTACGATGTATATTTCGGGTCAGCTGATCTGAGGGAGCCCCTCCAAAACCGGTAGCATTAAGTAATCCCCCTCTTTGCTTCCGGCTCACCGACGAGGTGAACAGATGCACGTTGGAACAGGTAGTCAGCCACTATTGATTAGGAATTCAACTGACGAGGAACCTGTTCGACAAATTGGAAATCCACTTCATTGGGATAGCTGGGTAAGTCCCGAACGGCATTCAGTACCAGATGGTCTCATTGGCCGGGAGTTCGGTTGACTGGCGAAACCCAAGAAATGATTGGTCATTTCGTACCTGCTTGGCTTACTATGCAGCTCACTTCTTTACGCAGTACAAAGTACCGGGTCTCTTCAAGACAGACTGAGCAAAAGAACAAGTCGGACGAGTACTTTAGCCAAGTGGGGCGATTGCGGATACTAAAATTGGCTAATCTGGCCGTCTCGGATCGACTGATTGACGATGCCCAGTGGTCTGGAAGAGAATGGTCTCGTTTCTAGTTTCTACCCTATCCCGACCGTTCCACACCGGTTGGGCCTTCATGGGCTGAGACCAAACCTTTCACCGCCGAGGGTCCTTCAGGGCAGGCCCCTGCAGGATCAGGCGCTGGGTCTGCAATACTTCGTGGGACATGCAAATCTCCGACGGCCGGGATCTTGCGTCCGAGCAAGTACCGGATTTCGAGAGGGGGATGTTCACCAATCGGCTGTGATGTAGGTAGCATCCAGCAGAAGCAGCATCTACTCTACCTATGGACTATGGAGTATGGACTTCCCAAGTGACTGCGGAGTGGAGCCGGCGGTGCGCGACAGAAAACTGACGTCACTCGGCCTTGGTGCGGTCACGTGGACGCAGCGTCGACGGGAGGGAAACTCAGCTTCAAACTCACCTCCGGCGTGGAAACGAGGTCTCGAGGGGAAATCAGCTGGTTCTGGGACCGGGATGGCATCACAAAGCCGCCGGATGGAGGAACAGAGTTGGGTCAAGAGCAAGATCCATGGTAAATTGCATTACAAACTAGCCGGCGGTCTTGATCCAGTGCTTCCCCGCAATCTACATTGGCCGGAGAGGGACGACGAACTCGATATGATCCCAGCCAAAGACGTCGAGTCCGTCGGTGGTACGGCGCGTCCGGGTGGACATGACATGACCTTCGGGAGAATATGGCAGGGAATCACGATGCAGGCAGCGTTTGGGCTGATCCAAAAGTCGCGGCGAGAAAAGACGAGGTGGGGCGGGGACTCGTCACGTGAGGCGAGTGGCGACGAAATGCAGGAGAAAGTGACAAGATGACAGGTCCCTTGAGGAATCTGACGGTATGAATAGATAGAAGATTACAGAACATCTTGTTGATAACAACAGAATACTCTGTCAGGATGAGGTCAGATCATCAGCTGCGTCGTCCGATATCTACTCCGGACTATCCCACATTCCAGACCGACAGTCCGATGATCGTTCACGAATAGAGGCATGAAAAATTCTCCTTTGTTGAATCATGCGTAGTTGCTGGTTGGCCGGGGATTGTGATTGATGGACATGAGCTATCTGGTTGGAGACGGACCAAAGAAAAAAGAAAAGAAAAGAAAAGAAAAAAAAAAAAAAAAAAACCTGCCTATAGGATGGAGTAGGGAGACGCACTGGAGGCCGCGACGGCAAATTCAGAAAACCGCCTTGCCTCCCTAAGGTTTCTGCTCCCCAGAAGAAAATTTCATTCCAATTTTCTCCCGTTTTCTGACTTCTGTCAATTCACGGCAGACCCTCCTTTTTTGAATTTTCCCATCGATCCAACCCCTCGACCAGACTCTGAGTCTGGGATCTGGAATCCCATTTGCTGCGGGGAGAAGCCTCGGGAAGCCGCCCAAACGGGCTAAAAGCCAGGCCCTGCAATCCACCCGACGGCGACTCCGCTCACAAACCAAAGCAGTCCAACCTCCTCCAGCTCGCTCTGTCTCTCGCTCCCTCTGCTCTGCCGTCCTCCCTCCACCCTGCAACCCAACAACCTCCTTGTCAGCAGAATCCCGCCACGCTCCTCGTTTCTTCACTCCCTTCCCTCCGCCCTTCCGTCGTCTCTGCCTCTTCTTTCGTTCTGTCGCCTGCCGTCCTATCGTTATCGCAGCCATGTTCTAACTCCCTGCCCTCCCCCCCCTTTGGGTTGTCGGATGGTTCCTGTAGATTTGTACAGTGCTGACGCCCTCGTTCATATCAACCTGCACTTTTCTTTTTCTTTTTCTTTTTTTTTTCTCTTCCTATTTTTTTTTATTTTATAATACCCGGTCGCTGAACTCGCATCTCTCACACTCGCACTCCTACCGTTGTCCCCTGGGAATGATTCGCCGCTCGCTCTGATTTCCCACGTAAATATCCACAACGCTCATAGTCGACTCGCCGGCCGCCTCACGAATACGCGTCTTCCACCCTTCCTGTCACCGCGTGTCCCTCTGATTTTCCGATTCCTCGATATTATTCCTCTCCAAATTACATCATGAGTGATCAAGACAACGGTGGTGGCCTGGACCAGGAAGCTGTCAACAATTCCATCGGCCAGTTTTCTTTTGCTCCCGCCACGAGAACTACCGTCGTCACCACCACGACCACTACGACCACCACCTTCCCCCCGTTGTTTATCAAGCCACCCCGTGCTGCGCGAGACCTCGACCCGAAGATTTATCCCCTTGCATCGTCTCCTACCCCGTCGTCGCTGAGAAACGTGAAGTTTGAACTTGGGGGGAAGCCCGTCGTCTTCAACGAACCGGAGGATACTGCAGCAACCCTCACCGAGGTACGTCGAACGTTTGCTCTTGAACGATCCCGTCTGTCTTCGAGGATGAGTCGAGGGAAAAGAAACTAACTCTCGTGTAGTTAAATGAAAAGCACGACGCGTTGAAGGCCTCTAACGGGCTGGTTCGCTCAGTGACTTCATTCAGCTCCGACGATACGCAGTTACCACGCCGCTTCGCTCCCCCGAAGGTATCGAATCAACCATCTCGTCCGTCGATATCCAAGCGCCGCCCGTTATCCATCCCGGAAACCCATCAAGGCTCCCTGCGTCCTCCTACCAACAGAGTTCCTTCGGATCCGTCGGTGCGCTCCGTTCGCTCCCATGGCTCTACCCCAACCCATCCGATAGCAGCCGGTCTGGCGACCCCGGAGACGGAGACCAATACTTATGGCTCTGGTGAAATCGTAGCGTCGCGGAGAAGGATCCACAGCGCCAGCATCCCTCGTCGTGAAACTCTATTACGCTCTCCTCTCTCGTCCGAAGTTGAATCCCAGGAGAACTCGCAAGGACCAAATCCGAAGAGAGAGCTGCGCACCAGAACAGTCGTCTCCGAGAGAAACAAACGCCTGGGCCGCTCGGAGGAAAGCTCCGGCAAGCTTCCAGATACGACAACAGAAACTAGAGCAGAAGAGGAGTCGGGTACTGCGGACACGAGTCAGGACACGACATACGATGCATCGGAAGAGGTTTCCCAGCAGTTGTCTACGGGGTCCTTTTCGCAAGTCCCCAACATTGGAAATGTTGCAGCCCAGGATATGTGCTTGCCCAGTCCTAGCCTATCTCCGGTCGCCGCTATGAATGCACTGAACGCCGATTCCTCGTTCGATTCGGCCGAAGAAGAGCCCGAAATGGATACGGATTCTAGTTTTGACAATGAGGCTCGATATCTGGGCGCTCTGCGCTTGGAGGACGGCAAAGCAAGCGAGCCCTCGAAAGATACCGGCCTAACCACAAGTTCAAATCTCCCACGACCGTCTTCGCTGATGGACATCCCTAATGTGCTGGACTTTTTCGATTCGGTCCCCGAGGGACTGAAAACTTACCTCATGTACCAACTACTTAGGCGTTGTCCCAAGCCAACTCTGCATTTCGTCGCCGACGTCGTCAACCCCGCCTTGAAATGTGATTTCCTGGCACTCCTACCTCTTGAGCTCGCTCTCAACGTTGTCAAATATTTCGATGCCGTCACCATGTGCCGTGCGGCGCAGGTGTCCAAGAAATGGAGACATATCATTAATTCTGATGAGAAGAGCTGGAAAGAGCTCTTTGACCGGGATGGATATGTTCTCCCCGAGGGAGAGCTCGACCGTGCCATCCGGGAAGGCTGGGGATGGCAATTCCCCAACGGGACCGAGGACTGCGAAAGGGACCTTAGCGTCTCCACTTATGTCAAGCCCGACCCCGAGTCTGGGTCGCCTTCTAACTTGCCTTTACTTGCCGGGCCCAGCGATAGGTCATCATCGTCTCATCGCCGGCCAAAGAGAAAGGCCTGTACACGTGTCTCCTCTCGAAAACTCGCCAAGCGAAAGATCTCGTCCAGTGGCACTGACCACTCTGAGTCAGCTGACTGGCGAAAGGAAATCTCTACCACCGAGGGCCCCTATGCTGCTGCCAACGCCGCTGCTGCCGCCGTTCCATATCCCGACATCGGTCTGCCGTCCCTCCAGGGTCTTCATCTCTACAAATCTCTCTACCAGCGCCATCACTCGATCCATAAAGCCTGGATGACTCCTAGCGTCAAACCAAGACATATTGCGTTCCGGGCTCATGATCGCCATGTAGTCACATGTCTGCAGTTTGACACCGAAAAGGTGTTGACCGGAAGCGACGATACCAACATCAACGTGTATGACACGAAGACTGGCGTTTTGAGGGCAACTCTCGAGGGTCACGAGGGTGGTGTCTGGGCTCTTGAATACCATGGCAATACGCTGGTTTCCGGCTCGACCGACAGATCAGTTCGAGTCTGGGATATTGAACGGGCCAGGTGCACTCAGATCTTCCATGGTCATACCTCTACGGTCCGATGCTTGCAAATCGTCCTGCCGGTGGAGGTAGGCAAGAAAGCGAACGGCGCCCCTGAAATGATGCCGAAGGAGCCGTTGATCATCACCGGTTCCAGAGACTCGAATCTACGAGTATGGAAGCTTCCCAAGCCCGGCGACCCTGGATACTACCAGAGCGGGCCCAACGTCGATGACACCGATTGCCCCTATTTTGTGCGCGTCCTGACCGGCCATCAACACTCGGTTCGTGCGATCGCAGCCCATGGCGACACTCTGGTCAGTGGAAGTTATGACTGCACCGTGCGAGTATGGAAGATATCTACCGGAGAAACGGTGCACAGACTCCAAGGCCACACCCTGAAGGTTTACAGCGTCGTTCTGGATCACAAGAGGAACCGATGCATCAGTGGATCCATGGACAACATGGTCAAGGTATGGTCACTGGAGACCGGTTCCGTCTTGTACAACCTTGAGGGCCATACTTCTTTGGTCGGGCTCCTAGACCTGAAATCCGATCGTCTGGTCTCCGCGGCTGCCGACTCCACCCTTCGAATCTGGGATCCGGAGACCGGTCAATGTAAAAACATGCTGAGTGCCCATACCGGCGCCATCACGTGTTTCCAGCACGACGGCCAGAAAGTCGTTTCCGGATCCGACAGAACGTTGAAGATGTGGGATGTGCGAACCGGCGAGTGCGTTCGGGATCTTCTCACCGACCTCAGCGGAGTATGGCAGGTGAAATTCAATGACCGAAAATGTGTGGCTGCGGTCCAGCGTGATAGTATGACTTATATCGAGGTGAGACTAGATGATCCTTACACTTGCGTTATTGTTGATTAACATTTTTCAGGTTCTCGACTTTGGTGCCTCTCGCGATGGGATACCCGAAGATCAATTGGGAAAACGTATAGTTGTCAACCGCAGGGGCCACGAAGTCAGCGACGCCGATGAGGATTACGACTTATCCGATGTCTGATGTCCAGTATCAGCTTGCCAATGAACCATCTTGGATTCATTGGTTGATAATATCTACCCTTCACACTTGAAGGGTCTTTGGGAAGCAGCCAACTGTTTGTCCCACTCACCCTTTGCCCTTTTTTCGACTTTTTTATTTATTTATTCGAGCTATGAAAACATCACGATACCCCCTCTCACACAATTGTCCATCTCATTACGAGGATTTGCATAGCGAGGTTGGCGGATTTTGACATGCAGTTATTACGAGACAAGGCGTCTTTGCATCCAGAAGGGTCTCATCCGTGTCAACATGTCCATTTGCATCATTCACTACATCATGACCTTTACTCTGACCTACATACCTTCATGTTACTATAATGTCCATTTCGCATCTCATCTGGCATTGCCTCCATCGAATGCATGGGTCTGATTCTGTTCTATGATCTTATTTTATATCATGCTACATCCTATCTGCATGTTCAATAATGTTCATTTCATTGAAGTAAATGCTGCGGATTCGAGTACTTCGACAATGCATCTGAACTTTTTCTTATGAACTCTTGTTTCCAAGGTCTATCTGCAAATAACGTAGTCTATGACTGGTCTATTTCAATATTTTGTAAGGTACATCATTATGATCAGTAGCTATACAGAAACACAAGGGTGTTTGTGACAAAATGTCAATCCTCGTCTGTTTGTCCTCCAATTGTCTGTCTTCGCTTGGAGTAGGGAGATGGAAAGACCCTGTTCAACGGCTGGATTGAGTTCGCCCTGCGAATTCGATATCGAGTCTCGGTTGGTCCATGTCCCCGTGTCCAGCCACGAGCATAACAGTTCATTATGCTCCCTGAGATGTCAGTCATCTCGTAGGAGAGGGATGTCGAGACTCCATCTTCCGAAACTCCCTAGCCTCGCAAGAGTCTCCAGTAGAGTTGAGTGTATCCATGGCAAGTGTCATCCCACACTGAAATGTCCACAAGTATTCAGAGCGTATAAAGCTCCAAACCCATCCCTCACGACTCCGCCGCAACAGCATCCTTAGACGCAACCCCCTCCACCTTCCCATCCAACCCCGCCGCCGACAAAATCGCCCACCGCAACGCGCTGACCCCCAACGCCTGGCCCTGCCCCATCGTCGCCTCAGCACTACACGTCAAAATCTCGCCCAGCGCCCCCGGCCCCTCCGCCCCTCCCACCGGCTGCACGACCGTCCTCAACCCGCGCAACATCTCCTGCAACGCCGCCAACCCCGCCGTCGACACCCCACTCTTCACCTGACTCTTCCTCTTCGCCAACACCTTATCGACCTTCGACAGCACGATCTGATGCGGAATCGCATACCGCCGAAACAGCCCCAGAATATCGCGATCCGTCCCCTTGACCCCATGCTCGCTATCGATCAACAAGAAAGCCCTCCTCAACTGCCTCCTCCCCTGCAGATACTTCATGATCTCCGCGCCCCACTCCGCACGACTCGCCCGCCCATACCCCGGCATATCCAGCAGCACGACCTTCGACTCGCCGCCCTTGGTGCCGCCGATGCCGAAGGCGTTCATTTCGCGGGTGCGTCCGGGCTTCGACGACGTCCAGCACATCTCGCGCCCCATGACGGCGTTCAGGAGGGAGCTTTTTCCGGCGTTGGAGCGGCCCAGGAAGGCGACTTCGGGCTCGAGCGAGGAGAGGGGCGTGGTGCGGAATTTGCTGGCGGACCAGAGCTTGAGGGGCCCGTGGCGGGTGGGTGTGAAGATTTTGTCGGCGTATTGGAGTTGTGCAGGGGTGGGGATTGTCGTGTCCCAGTAGTAGGAGATGTCGGAGGGGGTGACGTCTTGGAGGCGTTTTTTGTTGGGGTTTGAGGGTGGTGAGCGTGGTGGTTGTGGTTGTGGTTGTGTGGCGGTGGTGGTGGAGAGGGTTCGGCGGAGGGGGAGGAGGTGGGTTTGCCGGAGGTAGGTGGTGTAGATGGGGGTGGTTAGTTGCATGGTGGGTGGTTTGTAGCTCGTGAGGAGCTGTAGAGGAGGGAGAGAGAGAAGCTGGATGGGAAGGACATGGCGGATTTGGAGATGTTCTTTAGCGGCCCACAGTTCGGCCGGTTCCTGGTCTAGACGGTGGTTGATGGGGATTATATAATCGGGCTGTATAAACCTGCTTTCTTTTTTCTCTTTTTATTGAAAGTGTCTAATGCTAGTATAGTCTTGAATCTATATTTCATATTTCCTACCAATACTTGTCCTGTTTTGATTCAAAGGGAAATTCTAGAACTATACGATACATGCTCTCCACCAACATCTCATCATTGAAACAAACATAGCCGACTTGAATCGATGTTCTCTGACCTCAAAAAATATCCCAGTATTGTATGAACTCGGTTCCACTTAGTCGTTGAGCCAGAATTCTCGCATCTCCGGCGTGATGCTTGTAGCTGTGTGAGCAAACTCTGCTTCAAGCTAGGGATCCCAGCCCCAATCAATCCAATCTGAAAATGATTCTGCACTTCTGACGTCCTTCCACCGCAGTAAGGGTGAAATGTATTCTCCCAAGAAGAAGTTCAGCTTCAACGCGTAAGGCTCATCTCGCCTCCGATTAAAGAGAGCATGGGCCATGTCAATAAATACAACTCGAGGCTGTTCGCAAACTGGCGACCGTAAGATAGTGTTTCGTGGCTCAAGATCTCTGAGTAAGATGTCCTTCTCATAGATCCAGCTTTCGAGGTCCACAATCGACTTCATAATGTGTTGACGAGCTGGTTGAGAAAAGTCCCCCGGTTTGAAATTTGCCATTGTAGTTCCTGGGATGTGCTCGATCAGAATCATCCGAACTATCCGCGTGTGCCCTTGATCCACAGGTAGACTTAAGGAGTAGGACCCATAGTAGCTTGGGATCCATTGGCCTTGAAATTCACGAAGATTTATATACGCATTGGCCTCGTGGGTGTAATATTGGTCCATGCATCGGAATGGGCAGAGATATCCGTCATCGTCATTGAAGTAAAGTGGGTCGTATATCTTTGCAACTAGCTTTGTGCTTTTCGGAGGAGGCGACTGCAATGTTGATTCTAATAGTTGAACAGTAAATACTTGAGAATTGTGGCCATCCTCTGCTTTCAAAAGGTCGACGATCTCTATGCTGACGGTGTCATTGCCCTCTCTGCCAGGCAATGGGGGGTGTTTTAAGCATCGATCGATCGCACTCAGTTCTCGTCTTTCTTTGCTGTCACCTTTACTGGTGATGCATCAGTCTTGTACTACCGGCTTCGGAGCAGGAGCAGTGTGAGATTGCGCAAGAAACCTCCATCCGGGAGTATATGGCAATGGAGGCTTCGGGAGGTCTGTTGACGGAGGCCCGAACATGGGCGGGGGTGGTTTAATGTAACGCATAATTGGAATTATTTCTGGGGTTTTAAGGCCCTCTTCTTTTCCCACTTCGTAATAAAGAAGGCGATTGCAATCTGAACTTGATGGAAGGAGATGTGAAGAGACAAAAGCCCCTTGATGTAGATGTCCCGGATAGGCAACCCTCCCGAAGGACGCCGGCACGTCAGCCGAACCTCCGCCCCGCCGATAAGAACCGCCTTCCTTCAACATCTCCGACGACAGCAACACCGACACCCACAGCTCGCCACGATGATCAACGCCGTCCTCGTCTTCAACAACGCCGGTCAGCCGCGCCTGACCAAATTTTACACCCAAATCGTACGTCCCCCCCCCCCCCCCCCCCCGCGACGACACCCACCCACCGCGCTCCGCTCCCTTAGCTAACTCGCCCTCCAGGACACACAAACCAAACAATCTCTCATCGACCAAATCTACAAACTAGTTGCCCAACGGCCCGCCAGCGCCTGCAACTTCCTCCCCCTCCCGCCTCTCCTCTCGCAGGGCGCGCGCTCCAGCGTCGAGAACGGCCCCTCCGACGCCCCCACGCAAATCACCTACCGCACCTACGCGACCCTCTCGTTCATCATGATCTCCACCTCCACCGAGTCGCCCCTCGCGCTGATCGACCTGATCCAGGTCTTCGTGGAAGCGCTGGACCGCATGTTCGAGAATGTGTGCGAGCTGGACCTCATCTTCGGGTACGAGACGATGCACGCGGTGCTCAGCGAGATGATTGTCGGCGGGGTGGTCGTCGAGACGAATCTTGAGAAGATTGTGGCGGGCGTCAGGGAGCAGGAGGGGGGTGTGGGCAAGAAGAGGGCTATTCAGGCGGCTAGCTCGGGGGTTGGGCGCGGAGGGTTGCCTGGGTTGGGGGCTTGGAGGTGATCGGTTGGGGTTGCTTGAGGTTATTTTGGGGTTGAGTTATCTTCTGATAAATGGTGCATATAATGATGCCTGATGGTATTTGATCTGGGAGGCGTTTTCGGTTCATTCAGGGTTATGGTTGCATTTGGGGGTATTTGTTATCGAGCATTTCAGCATTTCTGGTGCAGGGTATGGGATGATGTGTGGCTATGCGTGGTCTATGTTGGCTGCTTACCATTTAAGGGGTATTTGACAGAGATATTCTTTGCAACGTAAACAGAAGTCTTCTTGGTCTGGGTCCATCTCTCGACATTTGATAGAAACACTCATGAGGGAAGCATGGCTCCTACTTGTGCATCAGTTCAGTACCTTCTTAGCCCATTATCTGCCTCATGAGTCACTTTCGACTGACTAGAAAGACTATTGTGGATGGAATCAAGTACTGGTTCAATGCTACGGAATACCCAGACACTTCAGTTGAAACCATTTGCTTTGATGTCGACCACGTGCACGGCATCTGGTTCATCTCAGACAAGGACCACGGCATGCGACTATCGTCTCCCAAATCCCTCTACGGACGACGGTGTATGTATTTAGATTAACAATAGATCTTTGGAGACCAGGATTACTATAGAACAGCTCGGACAGTCGCAAGAAGGTAGGATGTGTCTGCATCTGATCACAAAACTACTTGAGAAAGAATATCTCGATTCCAAAACCATAACAATAAAGCCACGACCCCAACAGTTACAGACGCTGGAGCTATAGATTTATTCCTCCACGCATCCCATGCCGATTGATTTACAACTGCACAATCACCTCATTCCTAAAGGAGCTAACCGCAGAATGTTATACCGTCTTGTCGAGTCTTGGGTTCGAAGGATCTTGGAATAGGAGTGGTATTCGGATATTGTGTCACGAAAGAAAAACGTCCAGACTGTAGATTCGTAGGCCTCATTCGAGGGGAGAGTCGGTGGCGGTGTGAGTAAGCTTATTATGCACCTAATCTAGGGCCAGCCTCGGACAGCCGTGACTGGTTTATAAGGATAGGTCTCTCCCACCGACACACCTTGCTACTTCAACCCAGCGCTTCAAATCATGCCTTGATATCATGGATGAAATCAACGAAGAAGTCCTCAATGTAATCGAAGAGCAGCGCACAGTCCGAATTGTTGTTGATGTTCCCACCAACACCTTACAGTCTGACGATCTATTGGAAGGCGCATCTGAGCTTGTAAAACCCCTAATCGATGTGCTAAATAGAAACCACGCAACGCGCCTTCTTGTCGTGGATGTTTATCCGCGTCATACATACATCGTGATTGATGTCAATAACTGGCGATATGACTACAGCATAGCTCACCAGCAAACGTTTGCTATCCCGGTTTACATCCTCCGCTTTTCTGGGCGGAACAAACAATGGACGCTTTTCAGACGCGCAATAGAAGATCAAAGAATCGCTACCACTATTGCAGAGTTACATCGATGCAATGGGTTCAATCCAACTCCTTTTCTCGCAGACCATATCAAGGGCTCCGTATATCTCTCGCCCCGCACGACAGGTTTGGGAGCAGAAGTCGACAACAGGCCTGCAATTCATACTGTCACTCATATATCCCGTTCAGTGCTTAGGCAATAGGGGTAATGTCATTTATTTTATGATGACCAGAGTGGAATAAGCTGTTGTGGTCACTGCTACGCTTCTATCCCAAGTCACTCAAATTCAATTTGAGTTTCATGAAAGAATATGTTTGTCATCGAAGGCGGTATTACTTTGTGCCGACTGAATAAAGCATTGAAAAAACAATTTTAGACTAGCTGTCTTTTCATACATATGTTCTATGTTATGATATCTATTGATGTAGAAGGTTTCTCCCAGAGATTTGTGAGATACATGGCCTATCGTACCAGCTCGTTCTTAGTAAAGAGGATTCTATAGACCAAACTATGTGATAGGTTAGTCATTAGGCTAGTATAGCTGGCTCAGGTAGACTTATACAAAAAGAAATTGTCCAGTTGTTACCGGGAGTAAAGAGCTATAGGGGGATGCGTTATCATAATCAATATAAACTAAGAAGACCTCTAACTATATATATGGGCTCTTCAAAAGCGTAAGAAGTATGTTAATTGAAATCATCGATAGCCATTAGGACCAAAAAAGCCTTGGAAAAAGCATGCGCAACAAGTTTGTGCAAAAGAACCAGGCTGCCGAGTTGGCTTGAAAAGCAGAGATGAACATAAGATATAACAACAAGATGAAACATGGATGCTTTATATGGGATGAGTTGGTTAAGGGAAGAAAGAAAGAAAGAGGGAAAAAATCCCGAAATGTTTTTTTGAAGAGAAGCAGCAAGAGAAAAAGCAAGCCAGAAGGAAGGAACGAACAAAGAAAGAACGGAAGTCAAGACGGAGGAGGCTCAAATCGAACTTGGACCTAGTCAACCAGCCTCTTAGAGGTCGCTCACAATCAAGGCTGGACATGAACACGGCGAGTATGTGCCTCTAGGTTGTCCCTTCTATTAAATAACATGTTGCATACATCACACCGATAGGATCGAGGAGAGACATGAATGTTTTTGACATGTCGCATCAAATCAATCTCGCGTCTAAAGTGGTTCCTCTTGTGTGTGCAGCCCTCCCACTTGCATATGAAGAATTTTGGTTTCCGTGGTTTACTTAAAGGAAGTAAGTACATGACGAAGTAGAGATATGCTAAAGCTTTGACATACCTTTCTATGAAGACAGCTGTTCTTTCATTCATTCCACTATCATTGCCACGTTTAATGGTTGCATGAGCGAAGGAATCATTGCAACCGACATGGGGACGGAGATGGCTCGCCTCAAACAGCTGGTTCTCGTGATTAGGGCCAGTAGTATAAGCATTGACAGGAACGTCCGGGCTGGTTCCTTGTAGCCCACACGACGTACAACCCTTTGTCCTGTCTTGCGGAGTGGATGGGTTGGTTTCAGGGTATTGACCGAGGGTGTTGGCTCTGTATGGAAGGTCGCTTGGATGAGAAGCAGTATTGGCTGTCGATCCGGTATTGGTCGAAGTATATAATAGTGGGTCTTGAGATATGGGAGGCAGGTATGTAGCAGAGTCTAGCAGGCCAGAGACATCGAGTCCCATAAGGTCAGAGTAATCTGGCGATACATCTGGTTGGATATACTCGAGTGCAGCAAGAGAGGAGGCAGCATCCAATGACCAAATACCATGCCGGTCTAAGTCTGAGGTGTCGGACATGCTTAAGAGACCAAACAAGAATACAACCAAAGCAGGAGACGAACAAGAGATGCAGTAGAGAAATGGAGATTGTACGGCGTTTACTATGGTTTATATATGAGAACTAGGTCAATGGCGTGTGCCCATTGACTGCCTAGTAACTTGCCATCATCTGGCAGGGGTGGCATTGGAAAGGTGAAGATGTGCCTCGACAGGGTGCGTCGCGATTAGCCAGCGGCGATTTTACCCCCCATTCCGCCAACATGGATCATCGCTGCGGGTCAGAAACATTGTCACTCTAAAAGAACGTGCAGTAAGAATCGAGATATTTTATGATTGGCCACATTTTCATATAAATCCTCGACAAGGAATTTTTTCATCTCCACTCTCCACGACAGGGCACATGGGCATGCTGGGTAGTTCATGAAGGGGGTTTTCGGGTTGCGCACCGAAACCCCCTTCATGAACTACCCGTACCGATGCGACCAATCGAAAACGAGCTGTGTTCTACGTCCTGCGCGTTGAAGCCATCCGGAAGTTCTGTGGCGTCCACAGTCGGGCTGTTCGCCATCCCTGGCTCTTTAGGCGAGTGGATCTGGAATTTGGGACCTGTAAATCCACCGCGCAAGGCTGTCAAGCCGCTTTATTACCCAATATACGCAGTAGGGAGTTGCCGGAATACTGGGCTGGTTGTTGGATGACATAATTCAAGCTGATTGGATCGATATCCTCGCTGACAAGAAACCGCTGAGAACCGACACAACACCTGATTTCCGAAAGAGTTCTTCCATATTCGTTTGTATCTCTTGCAACTTCGTGGGTTGGCCTCCAGGACAAACCATAGGCCGCAGGACTCGAACAAACGCCATGATATTATCGTCCAAAAAGCGGCTTTCTGACAGACATTCACGATATTTGCTGTCTGCGTCACAGCCCACACTATATGATTTTCTTCGATTATACGACAGGCAACACAGATGGGTGAAATGGATTTACATTGTATATTGGCTTTGAAAGATAGACCATCGATATCTACAGGTTCTTCTGATAATACTCCAATAAATCCAGGCTCGTTCATTCCCTGGATGATAGACATACCGCCAACCATGTCGCCGCAGGGGGTACTCTAGAGCACAACACCCAGGTATACTCTCACTTTCTCTTCCCATATATCAAAGAGCACCTCGATGTCTTGTCTCAGGATCACAGGTCCAACTCTTTCCGTCGACCATGCCTCCGGTAACAGATCGATTTGTCCATGTCACATCTGAGCTCTGTACGGCGAGTACACAGAACACTTAAATATGTCTCTCACCGTCATCCTCACACGGAGTGGGATAAAAAGCGCATTCAAATCGATGTCGTTCCTCTTTGAACGGGTCCTCTCAAGCTTTCGACATAGCATGGGCCCTTATTCTCCGCGTTGTTGATCGTAGAGATGATTTCTTGACTGTTCGCTGATCAAGCCAGTCCTAAAGACTCGGTGGTAGAAAACCAGGGGCGTTGACCGTAGTCAATTTGGTTTCCCAGGATGGTGAGAAGCTGACTCTCTTGCGGGTCTTGGGGTCGTTGAGATCGTTCTCTCGATTCATATAATCTGCGCATAGTAGCTGTGAGTTCTAGGCCAAGATTGACGTTCTCCTTCATCGTCTACTTCTTGGAAAAATCCCCGAAAGTCTGGGAATGCCGAAGTCGTATCGATCTTATTTGATTCAAGAAGGATGGGAGCATAGATAAGAAACCCTAAGGGCACGAACCTGCTTGCAAATCTTCATATCCATTAAAGTCCCGCGCACGCTACATTCATCACCAAGCTCGTGGAAGGAAGTGCATACCTCGAGATAATGCCCCGATCGGCTCTAACTCGGGGATCACAACCGACCATTCGCGTAACATCATAGCCACGCTTCCGGCGATCCTCCGGCCGATCCATGCTCTTTAACATACCGTTAAGTGAGCAATAGTCATGATACTTCCTGAACGTGCATAGCCTCGGAAATATGGCATTTCCCCCGCTCCCCCTCCCCCCCTGCAGACCATGTCATGACGTACCTGAAAGCAAATATAACAAAAGATGAACTCTAACACCTCTCACGTCAAAAACTCTGCACGTTACAAATCCACCAAGGAATTATCATGGTCATCGCGGGGGTCCTCATCGTCAGCCTTGTAGGCAGCTTGCTTCTGTTGGTAGCTCGTTTCCCCGTCTTTCGCAGACCTACAGTCTCCCCTGGCCCAGAGCTCAGATCGAGCACTCCCTCGGGATCAGCTTCTTCAGCAGCACGTCCTACTCGTATCATCGTTGCAATGACCGGTGCGACGGGCGCAATTCTGGGAATCCGTCTCCTCGAGCGACTGCGAGAACAGAATGTCGAAACCCACCTGATCATCAGTCGCTGGGCTACCGAGACCATTAAATATGAGACCCAGTACACAATTAAACAGGTCCGGGCCCTTGCATCCCGATCTTACTCCGTGAACGATGCCGCCGCAGCCGTGTCGAGTGGCTCGTTCCGGACCGATGCGATGGTTATCGTGCCATGCAGCATGAGAACACTTAGCGCGGTGCGGACGGGATTTGCCGACGACTTAATATGCAGAGCAGCCGATGTAACGCTGAAGGAGAAGAGAAGATTGGTGCTAGTTGTGCGAGAGACGCCGCTTAGCTGCATTCATTTGGAAAACATGTTGGCATTGGCTCAGTATGGGGCGGTTATCTTTCCGCCTATGCCTGCCTTCTATACCATGCCTGAGGGGGTGGAGGATATTGTCAGGCAGACTGTAGGCAGAATCATGGACATGTTGGGACTGGAAACCGACAGGTTTCAACGGTGGGAGGGGATGGAGGGCGAGAGAAAACAGGTTATGTGAATGGACAGGGAATCATCGGCCTGTCTCTAACGAGATGGTCGCAGGGACTAAAATAGATAGCGGGCATTCTCGCACTTGTTCTGACTTGCGAAGTGGATCCTATCCTGGTCTGGTCAATATACTCCGTCTGAATTGTCTTGGCTTGTTGAGCAACGAGAAAACCGCCGTTGATTCTGGTGCAGATTTTCTTTCTTCGACAGTTCGACTTCTCTGCATTCGAGAAGGGTCAAACTGGCCAGATGCAGCCAAGACGAGCGATACCAAGGCCACGATGGGCCGACATTGCATGCCGCACACACCCGACGCGCATGGATGCTCTTTCGTCTCGCCAAACGTAGCCCCCTCTTGTGATCTGCAGATAGTGGAGATGCTCTACTGCCCCCGGCTGTCATTCAACCACCAATGATGACCCCGTCCACTTCGGAATCGGCGTTGACAGGAGCGCGAAAGTTCCGAGGACGAGCCGTTTGTTTCACACGTTCGCTGCCGCCCGCAGGGTTTCTTCCACTCGGATGACTCGATGCGAGATTGCTCCCCATATCGAGCCAGTGGAACCAGGCAGGAAAAGAGGGTGATTGGGCTTGCGCCACGTAAAGAACCTCGTATCAGCTCGGAGATTGACGGCGATGACCGCGACCGAATCTCCATGCGGATGTCCGAGACAGGTGGCTCGGTGGCTGAACGGTTGACAAGTGACAGGTGAAGACGAAACGACAGTAGGGCTGCACTGGCAGACGGCGACTATTTATACTGCCGCGATCACATCATCGGCTCCTTTGATTTCACCATCGCTTTCCTCTCTGATTTGACTTACTCACACTTAAGCCTTTTTAACCTCGTTGCTGGTGGGCCAATCACACTCTATAGTCATGGCTCCTGCTCGTATTCCTCCCCGCCGCGTCCTTCTAGTCAGCAACCCGCGCACGGCTTCCAACCTGCTGCTGAAGATCCTGGCCCTGCCCGACCAGCCCAACGTCTATGCCAACGAGAAAGGCGGCTACTACTTCTTCAACTCGTTTGTCGCGACCGCCAATAATAACCGAATCTACAAGCCGTTCGAGCAATGGACTTCGGATGATCGCTCCGAAGTCCAGTCCGCCCTGAAGACATGCTTCGACCAGCTGGAGGAGAGCACCTCCCACGCCAGTCAGGAGAGCAAGGTGTTCTTTGCGAAAGAACACTCCCCCTGGTTCATTGACCCGATAGCGCTGCAGAAGATCTTGCGCCTGAACGATAACACTGCGAGCGAGGATGGCGACGCAGCAGGTGCCGACTCGCCGTTCCGCCAACAAGTTCCAAGCACCTATACTTCTTCGCCGACCTTCTCGCCCAGTAACTATACGATCTTGCCGGACGAGTACCTACGAACCTTCCACATGGCGTTCATCGTCCGCCACCCCGCGCTGATGTTCCCGTCGTTTTACCGCGCGATGTGCAAGATGGTCAAGCTCGGGGTCATCACGCAAGAGGACATCGGCGGCGTGATGGTCGCCAACATGACACTGCGGTTCTCGCGCCTGCTCTACGACTGGTGCTTGGAGCAGGATGACCCCGACGCCCGACCTGTCATTCTGGATGCCTACGAGGTGATCCACAAGCCCGAGGCGGTGGTCCGGTTCTGCGAAATGACCGGTCTGGATGCCAACGCCATCAAGTTTGAGTGGGAGAACAAGCCCGGCAGCAAGGACGTAGGGGCTCAGAACGTCCAAATGGATGGGAACACGGAACAGAGGACTCTGTGGAGTCCCGAGGCCGCAAGTGTTATGGTATCCACCTTGACGGGATCATCCGGCGTGGTCAAGTCCAAGGCGCCCGACGTGGTGGATATTGCCGTGGAGGCCGCCAAGTGGAAAGAGGAATTTGGTCAAGAGACCGCCGACATGCTGGAGAAGAGGGTTCGAAACGCCATGCCCGATTATGAATATCTCAAGGCCCGGAGCGTGACGGCATCGGCGTAAGGTAGCTGTCCATGTGTTCACCTTGCATAATTGGTCCAGGGTGCATTACTGTATGATCTGATGTGAAATGTGAAAATAAAAGGGCGGAGGACCCTAGGGTAAACTAAGAATCTGATAGTCAAATGCTACGCACGATGTTTTCCTATGGAGCATATCCTGGTGAAGTCAAGCGCGAGCCCGTTGGAGTCTAGAGCGTTTAGGGCAATTAGGGCAAGCGACGGAAGAAGCCCCACAGGGTTAGCCCTACATCACATGATGCACTCACCGCCCGGGTCGGCGCCGACAGATTTTCCGGGCCGCACGAACTTCTTCGGCGAGAAAACGAATTCATTTTCACTTCTTCTTCTTCCACTCCGTCAATCCCGTCAACCAGCACAACCGCGGAAAAGTCGACAACAATGGTGGTAAGCATATAACTTCCAGTTGTTTCAACTGCTCTTTCTTGAAATACAGAAGAGAAGCGCCTTCGACAACCTCTTTGCGACAATGGCGTAAGGACGTGAAAATATCGCCTACATCATTTCGTAAAATGTCTCGAAGCAAATTTTGTTTTGTGTTCCATTGGTCGCTCAAGTTCTCTGCTTCGGCGGAATGCGAGCGCCAGTGATGATTTGGCTGGAGCTGTTGAAGAGAATTTCGATGTGGAAACACTCGGAATTCTCTTCAACGGTCTCTTTAGAGTTCAAGGAAGATGCAGCATTGGTGGATGGTTTGCTGATCTTCTTTTCTCAATGATAGCCTCCCAAGTCCGGAAAGAAGACTGCTCCCCTCCCTTACCCCCAGGGCAAGGCTGGTGCTAGCAAGAAGGGCCCCAAGGTATGTTTGAGAAAAGAAGATACCCACTACACCGTATGAAATGGTGCTAATGCATATCGCAGAACCCTCTCATCGAGAAGCGCCCCCGCAACTTCGGTATTGGCCAGGACATCCAGCCCAAGCGCAATCTCGGCCGTTTCGTCAAGTGGCCCGAGTATGTCCGTCTGCAGCGCCAGAAGAAGATCTTGAACCTCCGTCTCAAGGTCCCTCCTTCCATCGCTCAGTTCCAGAACACCCTGGACCGCAACACCGCTGCCCAGACCTTCAAGCTCCTCAACAAGTACCGCCCTGAGACCAAGGTCGAGAAGAAGGAGCGTCTCCACGCCGAGGCCACCGCCGTCTCCGAGGGCAAGAAGAAGGAGGATGTCTCCAAGAAGCCCTACCACGTCAAGTACGGTCTGAACCACGTTGTCGGCCTCGTTGAGAACAAGAAGGCTTCCCTTGTCCTCATCGCCCACGACGTTGACCCCATTGAGCTGGTTGTCTTCCTTCCCGCTCTCTGCCGCAAGATGGGTGTCCCCTACGCCATCGTCAAGGGCAAGGCCCGTCTCGGTACCGTTGTCCACAAGAAGGTAAGAATCTGGCATTGTATCTCATCTACCAATCATATACTAATTCGATTTCTAGACCTCCGCTGTTCTCGCTCTCACCGAGACCCGCTCCGAGGACAAGGCTGAGTTCTCCAAGCTCCTCTCCGCCATCAAGGAGGGCTACACCGACAAGTACGAGGACTCCCGCCGCCACTGGGGTGGTGGTATCATGGGTGCCAAGGCCGTCGCCCGCCAGGAGAAGAAGCGTAAGGCCGTTGAGGGCGCCCTCCGCGTTTAAAGCTAGAAATAGCCTAGAACGGGATGGATTTCGTGTTTTCAACGATCTTAATGACAGTCTAATATCTTCCGGCAATGGACAATAGCATCCAAGATACAAAAGTTTGGGATCCTTTTTCTTTTTATACCTCAGGTGTCAAGCTTTTCAAAAGAAAGTTGGGATGGTGTTTTCCGAAGGGAGGCTTCTTCGGTTGACTTGTTGACGGCTTTAGCTTATCCTAAAATCCCAATCCATCTTGAATGGTCCTTGTCTCGTTTCTTTTTCTTTTATGTACACCTCGCAGATACCCATGAATGCATTTCAGACCTCACCCCGCCTCCCCTATCGTAGCTGATTTACATTCAAGCATTCATGTGAAGTCTGCTCAGTAGGATTTTTTTTTCTTAGCCCCTAGTCCTGACTACCCAGTCCCGTCTAGCACTGAAAACCACCCCTTGATCAACAGCCATTAAACCCCCCATTCACCCATAGCACGCTATACCCTCCCATCCTCATCCCATTATACTAAAGAGAAAAAAGACCCTTCCGGCATCTATGCATCCCGTAAAAAGAAAATTGATATGAACCCATTACCCATAAAAGTCCGTAGCGAAACCAAACGAATTCCAATTCCCCTTTTAATAAAACCTGAATGGAAGGATATTTGTCTTAAGACACAGACAGGGAACAAAAAACGCAAAGCAAAAAGCCCCGATAAAAAATTTCAAATCCCGAAGAACAACCAGACCAGACCAGACCAAACTAGGAGGGAAAAAAGACAATGAACAACAACATGCACAAGAAGATATAGAAATGAAGAAACTAGCCAGCCCGCCCAAAAACAAAATGGAACCGTTGAAGCCCTCGTCAAACAGATGATAGATGGGTGGGAATTCTAAAAACACAGGGAGAAGATATAAGGGAAGAGAGGAAAACCTTGACCGCAGGTGAAAGCAGAACCGAGGAAAAAGAGGAAGGGAAATTACAAGAAAATTGGCAGTTTCATGCGATCATTGACGTTGAGCAGGAGGTCGTGTGAGACCTTGTTTGGCCTAGATATCATGTTAGAGATGAAATGTACAGGGTGGGGGGTCGAGGGTCGAGACCAGACTTACCTTCATTTGTTCGATTCTTGCCTTGAGTTGCGTTGTGACCTCTGCTGCTCTCTTCCAGTTCTCCGCAGGTTCCGTTCTCCGGGCAGGTTGATCATCTCCAGAGGCGTTGCTCGAGCCCAAGATCGACGACCGAGTCGGACTACCCAGACCCGAGTACGACGTTCCAAACGTAGGGCTCAGTTTGCGCCGGCCGAGGCCTCCTTCTCTGCTGCCGAGTCCCGGCGAATCGAGGCCATTGTTTTCCTTCTCTTCGCTAGGACTGGCCGATGCGTAGCTCCGTGGCCGCGAGCTGTCGAACCGTGACCCCATATGCTGCAAACCAGCTCGAGACATAGGGCCATGTCCGTTGCTGGTGTCTTGGTATACTGAGTCTGCTTCCGGAACAGGGAGGTTCAAGCTGTCGGACATCGCGGTGGGAGGGCTGGCGGCACTTGCACGGAGGGCCCTTTGTAACTCGCGCTTGAGGCGCTCGATTTCTCGCTGCTGTTTCTGGACGGTCTGCTCGGCAGTCTCTGCGTCACTTCGTGCCCGCACCAGTTGGGTTTCTTTGGCCTTGATGCTGAGAACGTCTCTCGTGTGATCTTCGATCAGTTGGGCGTTTTGGTTTTGCAACTCGGTCACTTGTGAGTTCAGTTTGGTTCTTTCGTATTTCAAGTCTTCTACTGTCCGGCTGAACCGCTCTTTCTCAAGGCGTAGCTCTTCCAATTCAGCGCGCTCGGCAGCGGTCATGCCGCTTACCTGAGGAGCTGCCGGTGCCGGAGCAGGCTCACTGGCAGCTGCTGGCTTAGCAATTGGCCGTCCAGCAAGTCCTCTGGCAAGACCAAATTTCGGAGCAGCAGGTGCGGGTGGTTGTTCTTCTGAGGGTGGCGAAATAACTCGCCGTGCCTGCGGCGAGGCAATGCCCCCGGGGCCACCGAGCTTCTTCTTGAGACCCGTGCCGGGCGTCGGGAGACCTCCAGGCCTTGCGGCCCCTAGTTTGGACGGAATAGATCTGGTGGCTGGTTTCGCAGGAGAGGGAGGGATAATTGGGGGATCTTCGGCAGGAGGTGCAGCAGCTGCTGGCTTTTTCATTCCCAGTGCTGGCTTTCTGCCGCCGACTACCTTCTTTCCAGCTGCCGGTGCAGCCTTTGGTGGAGCGGCGACGGGCTTGGGTCGCTCTTTGGCTTTAACTTCGGCAGTTGCGAAAAACTCCTTGATCTTCGTCTTGCGAATATCATCAAGGCCATCGAGGTAAGGATTCATAGCCCGCTCGCCCATAATCTTCATCAAAGTACCAAGCACCTCCGCACCTCCGGCACGATTCACCTCGCTAGAATCCGTGAGAAGCTTGGTGCCCGCTTCTGCGATCGACTTCACTTCTCCTTTGGCGGGAACGTCTCGGGTGGTACGAAGGCAGCGAATAAGGAATTTGAGGGTCTCCTGTTTGACCTGCGGGTTCTTGTGCTTGAGGAACTCAAGAATTTCCTCGAGGCATTCGGACAAGTTCGTGGACAAGAAGACAGCATCCAAAGCTGAACCAAGGGCGTCTGCCACAGTTTGCTTCTTTTCCTTCAAACGCTCCATCATCGGCGGCATAACCACTGAGCGATGTTTAGCAAAGCTGCTGCGAAGACCTTTGGCGAGTAGATCGATACAGCCGGCTGCCACGGTCACGACTGCAATGTTAGCATCTTTCATGCATTTTGCCAATGCTTGAACTATGTCGTTGTATTGGCCATCTTTGATCTTGGGTACGTCCAAAACTGCATGGAGCGCGTCCAAAGCGTCCTTCCTGTCTTTCCACTTAGACGACGACACCTGATCTAAAAAGTCGCCGGGGGCCTTCGCCAATACGTCGACGGGCTCTGCAAGATCAAAGGCATCAACTTCACCAGCGTCTTCTTCGAACTCTTCCGGCTCATCGCCGACTTCTCCGCCTTCAGGGGCAGAACTGGCGACTGCCATCGCGTCTTGTTGTGCTTTAGTCAGTCGCTCTTGTTTTGGTGATGGCTCTTGCTTGACGTTTTCAAATAATTTGTCCAAGTCCGTTTGCTGCACTTGTTTCAGGTCTCCCCAGAAGAGAGGCTTAATGGCTTCTTTCAACCACCGATACAGTTCCACTGTGAGATTCTGCGCCTCGGCCCGGACATTTTTATCTGCGTGTCCAAAAACTTTGGGCAACGCCTTCAAAACTGGCTTGGGGTCGACAATTTTGCAGCCGAAATTATGGTAAATCGTTCGCAGTCCCATCAGCGTCGCCGCAATCACTTTAGGAACCTTGTGTGACAATCCGGGGATCATTTCCTCTATCACGGGATCAGCCTTGTCCATCTCCACGCATAGTAGAAGTGCCTCAAGCGCATTTGTCTTGGCTGCCGGTCTTGCTGATGGAAGACCCTTTTCGACGATGGGGAACACTGTGTATCCGCGAGTTCTTCATATAAAACATTAGCAAACCAGAAACGGAAGGCAAAAAACGTTCCCAAATAACAAAAATGAGACCACATACCTAGTACAGGCCTGAGTTCCACCGAATTTCAAAAATGTACAATAAGACCCGAGACCCTCTTGTTGGGCAGCAACGTTCGAATCTGCGACGGCTCCTTTCCATAGACTCGGGTCTTGTAGGAACGGTGTGAAAACGGGGTCCGATTCATCGGCAGTTTTTTCGAATTGTTTTTTGGCATCCTCGTAGCCTTCCTTTCTGACTTTCCAGGCCTGGATTGACGAAAGTCAATTAGCATCCAAAATCGATATTGTCAAAGGCGTATAGAATCCGTAGAAATAGACCCACCTTGTGCGAAAATCGGTCCGGCAATGGCAGAGAAGAAAAGTCCTCCTCTCCCTCAGCCATTATGACGGTTTAGCCTTGCTATAATGTAGAATAAACAATGATTAGCGATGGGCACTAGACCGAGAAAAGAAAAGCGCATCACGGTGTGGTTTTGCGCTCAGGTCCTAATGATGGGCTGTGGATTTGCAGAATGCAGCCAATCCATCAGGGCTTTCGCTTCACAGTTTTCTGAGGGGAAGCGCTATGAAGTGACAGCAGCGGGACTGCCAGATGCGCACAGTGATAAACACACCTTAGGCTTGCAGACGGTTGCAGATCGTGTGTAGGGTCGGACAGGGGATGGTGTGTGCACGACCGACTTCCAAGTCGAGGACAGTGGTCGAAGGTGAGAGGTTGGGGGACGGTCGGAAGGGGTCCCGCGTCCAAGATATAGCAAGGAGATGCGTGGGACAGGAAAGGGGATTGATGAACAAGTCAATGAGACAGCGAAAGAGAAAGGAAGATGGAGGGTAAACAACGGACAAGTCGCTGGGGTGACTTCGCGACCCAAAGAGCGGGCTTGGCGCCCATTATCTGGCAGTATCCCCCTCACCCGCCCTCACCGCCCGCCTTCAATGCGCCTCTGCAGCGGCCTTTATTGGAGTGAAATTACGCTGTTGGGATCCCCTGGTCAGAAGCTTCAATTGACAGGCTAGACACAATAGACTGAAACAGCTGCATGATTATGCATGATGGAAGTATAATATACACTTGAAACCAAGCCATCTATCAACGCTTGGACAAGACAACAAGCCCTCTTGAGACCTTGCATCTCCTTCCCTTTATCTTATACAATCGTAAACGCAAGGGCCAACTAGGAAAAGAACAACGAAAACTCCAAGGATTACAGAGCCAGTCGACAGGATCAAGCCGACGCCTCGTTCACGCCGCCGCCGGTTCGCTCGGCGACCAGCCTCTTGACGCGGCCCACATGCTCCTTCACACCCTCACCTCCACGCTCCAATCTCCTGGTTTCCCGACGCTGCCACTTGGCCGCTCTCTTAGTCGCTCGCTCGAGTTCCCTCTCCTCGCGCGTCTTCACCGGCGGCCTCTCATCGATGTTCGATCCGAAGGGGGCAACAATTCGCTCCACGACGTGGTGCACAGTTCGGCTCTTAGGAGCTCCGGAGGAGAATTCAATCACATCACCCTCACGGAGAGAGTTGTTCGGATCGGACACCAAGAAGGTAGTGACCTTGGGGAAGGTCTTTTGGAGGTGCGAATCCCAGCTGGTGTGACGGTGGCTGACGCGGACAGTGCGGTCCATACGGCCGACCGATTCGACGGTGCCCTTCTTGAGCGTGTAGGGATAAGTTCGGAGAGAGGGGGGAGTAGATAACGGTGTCGACGTTTCTGACTGTGACTCGGCAGGAGGAGTGGTGGTAGAAGAATTGGATCGTCGGAATGATGCCAGCCCGGAGTTGAGACTCGGTGTTGAAGGCTGAAGATAGCGCGCAGCTGGGGACGAGCCCGTCACGGTTCTGAGAACGGATGATCGCAGGGGCTGCATAGCCCTCAAGATGTTACTCGGAGACATTTCTTTTGGTGATAGAAAGATCCAGTCCAATGCTTCTCGTGGGTATCACAGTCGCTCGAAGCAATAGGGCCGGGGACAATCTCGAAGGCGCGTAAGACAGGTTCTGTTGGTGATGCGAGTGGGATGCTGAGGTTCACAATCCAGCCGCAAAAATTCTTGAGCAGCGAGACCTTGGAAACAAGATGGTCGACCAGGGTGAATGGTCGAGCTTGGGAAGCCTTCAATTGCGATGGAGGTCCTTCGAGTCCGGCGCGAGTCCGAGAATTTCTCTCGGAGGTGTTTGCACTGTTTGCACCGCCCAGTTCCCAAGTTCAGCACCCAGACTATCGAAAAGAATGGTTAATCAGGCATTCAGCATCTAGAGTAAATATTTTGTTTTTATTCACATATTATATATCACCTGCATTAGTAATTTTTTGTAGAGTTGAGATGGCCCCTTGAACAATAGCCTGACTAAGAAAACAAAATGCGTTTGTACAATACACCAACACCGAGCCTTATCCCATTCCAGAGTCTAGAAACCTAGTTTCACACTCGAGAGGATTTGATATCTAACCGAGAATGATAGTCAAAGCGGATGAATAAAGCAGACTCCTTTCGCCATACCCAGTGCATGAAACCCATGAAGAACGGGAACAGGAAAATATAAGGAAACCGTTATCTGAGACATCGTTCATTCATACATCCGGAGTCACAAGAAAAGCCATCAAGCCGAGGGCACTGCCAAGTGCCCATTCTCCTGGGTCGAGGTGCCATTGGCTTGTTCGCCATTACCATTGCTCAAACCAGCCTTTCTAGACTGAAACTTTTCGGCAGAGTGAGCGGAGATCCTCGTTAATTCTGTCACAAAAGACTGGCCCCAGAAGGCACTGAAAGATATTAGCATTGTTCCTTGTTAGACATCACAAAATACACGGGCACATACCTTGTGTACTTGTTGACATATCTATCCAGCTTGGAGAAGTTCAAGGCTCTCTGCTCGTCACTCATGGTGACAGCTTCCTGGTAAGCGCCTGCAAGCTCCTCCGTGTTCCAGGGGTTGATTATTATACTGCCATTCAAGCTTTGAGCTGCGCCGGCAAATTCGGACAACACCAAAACGCCATGACGGTTCTGCTGCGCAGCAATATATTCGTATGCGACAAGGTTCATGCCATCCCGAGTAGACGAGACAATGCAAGCATCGGAGACAGCATAAAGAGCAAGCAATTCATCGAAATTGACGGATTTGTGCAGGAAATGAATGGGCATAAACTCGACGGTTCCTGTGATGCATTAGCTATTGATTATCACCCAGCTGGAAAGGGCAACTTACCAAACTTGCCATTGATCCTGCCGACAAGCTCGTTCACCACAGCCCTCAAGTTCTGATATTCTTCAACGTCTTGCCTGCTAGGTACAGCAACCTGAACCAACACAACTTTCCCCACCCATTCCGGGTGATCACTGAGAAATACCTCAAGCGCATGTAATTTCTGAGGGACCCCTTTTATATAATCAAGACGGTCGACGCCAACCATAAGCTTTACGCCCTGGAACTTCTGTTCAAGCATTGCAATCCGTTTCTGTACTTTTTCCTTCTTGAGCCCTTCTTGGAACTTTTCCGGGTCGATGCCAATCGGGAATGCGCCGCAGGCAATGATCTTGCCTTGAAACTCTATGCCGTTCGGAGTGGTTGCAAGTCCTCTAGAGATTCTAAGTTAGCCTCTCCGCGCAGTAATCAGAAACGGGACTCGTCATACAGTAAGCGCGAGCAAGCGCTCAAGAAATGTCTGGTGTAATCATAGGTATGGAAACCTATGAGGTCACAGTGTAGGACACCCAGTAAAAGCTCGTTCCGCACGGGAAGAATCCTGTAAATCTCGCTGCTAGGGAATGGGGTGTGCAGGAAGAAACCAATCTTGACATTCTCCTTGGTGTCCCCAATTTCCTCCCGGAGCATTTCAGGAAGAAGCATCAAATGATAATCATGGACCCAGATCAAGTCGTTATCCTGAACTTCTTTCGCAACCGACTTTGCGAACAGGCGGTTTGCCTCTTTATACGCCTCCCAAGCGGATTCATCGAAGGTAATTTCGCCGGGGTGATAGTGGAAAAGCGGCCATAGGATCGAATCTAGCCAGGACGAGAAGTCTTATCAGCATATGACATCATCTGGGACCTTCTTTCAAACGCATATATTCTGGACTGTTTGATCCGGGGACTCGGTAGGGTAACTGACTGGAGAAGCCGTTGTAATGGCGATCTGCAAGATCATCATCGATGAACACGGGGACAGCCCCGTACTCATCCTTCAACCGCTGCTTGACAACCGGGACTTCCTCTTCGGGAACCTCCAACCCGGGCCAGCCGTACCATTGGAAGGTAGTAGACTTCGAAAGGCCGCTCAGACCACTGACGAGACCACCGGAGGACATCGAAAAGTCATACCTGCCATCCTCGGAACGTTTGATGGTAATCGGAAGTCGATTTGAAACAAGAAGGAGCCTTGCGTCGTTGTTGACGGGGTTGTCAAGAGAGGGCATTTTGACCGGCGATATTTGGAAAGATGGCGTATATGCGATTTAATTCCTCGGGGGGGAAGAGAAAAACAAAGACAAAGACCGAAGACGGACGAGCGCAAAGCCGGGGTTGAAACCGCTAAGGAAAAGTTGAAGATCAAAATGAACGGGCCTTCAAAGGATGCAAATATTTTGTTTTGATATTTTTACAGAAAGGACGAAATAGACCACGACGTCGGAAGATCAAGGAGGAAAAGATCAAAAAGAAAATCAAATAAAAAAAAGAAAGAAAGAAATCTATTAACCAGGGCCCAATGTATCCGGCAAATCCGACGGAAATCAGAATTAAATGGGAGAATTCAAGAACAGCTCGCCGAGGGCGGGGCGCCAACGAGCTGAATGAACGCCGGCGGGGGAGGGAAAAGAGTTGGAATAAGTGACCTCAGAGCCCAGCAGTTGGCCACGCGCGCGGACCAACCGACCCAAGCTTTGGCAGAAAGGCGGCTGTTGATGCAGAAGGCGGCGGGTCACTCAGGCTCTTCACTAGCAAGTTCATCGACCAGGTGGATATCGGGTCGTTCTCTTGTCCTGCGGGGGGTATCTCAAGGGATCTCGAGCGAGGGTGAAAGGGATAGAAAGAAGTTTGCTTTGGCGGGCGGGGAAGAAAGAGAAAGAAGAGGCAAAGGCAACGAGAGAGGAAGAGGAAGGTGGTACTGCGCGGCAGAAAGTCTCGGCGATGAGGTCAGATGCGGACGGCTTCCCAGCCAGTCACGATGCATCGTGGGGATCGTCATGATGCCAATACTGTGCTGGGCGCGGAGAACTTTAAAATACGAGTTGAATTCAAACAAAGGAATGCTGTATCTACCGACGCCATACCCCTACCGACTCCGAGCGCCTTCTTGTCTCGACCCGCCTTGTGATAGGTCTGGCGCATTCCATGACCACGGACGCCCATTCCCAGAAACGCAGTCGTCTATCCCAAACACCATGCAGTGGCGTCATGGTCGATGGCGGAATTCGGCCCATCAATCATAGTGTAGACTTCTCTGCTAGTCGCCATTTTCCCGTTTCCGTGTCATGGACTGTCCTCCCCTCGATTTCCAGTTTCATCAACACCTGTAGAACACCGTGTGACGCGGGCAGGTGAAGACTTTCCGGAACATCTCGATAGATCACTTTGACCAGTTCAATGGGTGTCATCGATGGCTTCCGCGCGGGCGATCGTTCTTGGTCGGACACGTCAAGTTTGCCGTAACGCAGGACCCGGATCACCTCATCTTCGCGCTGCTTTCGGTGCTTGATATATTCGGTGACTTTCGCCGTGGCGTTCTCAATGACCGCTCCGTGGCCAGGATACCCACGACCAGAAACCCGATTTTGCATTCTCTGTAGGCTAGACAGATACACGCTCAAATCTTCAAAAACTGCAGTCCCGTGGCCCAGAACATCTAGCAAGAACAAGAGTCAGCCTCCAATACCGCTTGATTTCTGAAGTAGAGCGAGAATTGACGCACTGTCTCCAGTGAAGATGGCATCTTCTTCCTCGAGAACGAAGGCCATGTGGTCAACAGTGTGTCCGGGCGTGTGCATTGCCCTCAGCGTAGCGCCGTCAACTCTGAAGATCTGGCCATCTTCGATATCAATTTCGCCGTCTTCCGGCTCGCGTTTGTAGACCGTCGCTTTGGGACAAATCTTTAGCAGGTCTGGGAGACCATTGACATGATCTCCGTGCCAATGCGTAATGAGCGCTTCGTGCACTGTGGCATTCTCTTGCGACAGTAGGGCTTGAAGGTTTGATGCCCAAGAAGGCTTGCCCTCACCAGTGTCGATCAGAATCCGTTGGTGCCCTCGGCCGACTAAATATGTGTTCGTTCCTGAGTAGTGGGTTAACCTCAAGTTAAGAGGCCCTCAACAGTGGAGTGGTAAGGCTTTACCTTGCAATGTGAACTATTGGCGAAAATCAGCGTGTCTGGCAGAACGATAAACGACAGGGCCAGCTTACCTTGCCGGGATTTCCGCCGAGTATCCTCACCACCGAGGAACTGAGTCTCTCCACCTCCGGTAAAGGAACAAGTTGAGTAGCCATTACCAAGCGTAGATCAATGAGCGCAAAATTAGTATTCAGCCAACTCGGAAATAGCACATGTGAATGTGGTAGCTTGCACAGGAGTGGTGATGGAAGCTGTTTACATGTACAGGACTCCCGATATACAACCTAGGTTATCTCCAGGCGGGGCAGCAATCGAGGGCCTCGGCAGAGCACGCGATATTATGTCAGCCACGGCGGGATATTCGTGCTTTGGGGAACAGTGCAGCTCTCTTGAGCTCCACCCTTCTACGGTATACTCGAGCTAGGAAACAAGTCAAGCACTGGGTTGTGGCACTCGAGAGTGATTCTAGTTCTATGTAGTCGAAAGACCACGAGATCAAATCCAAGAGAAGGCGTTTTGAACACAAGGAAAATGGTATGCATGCAGTCCTAACATACAGTAGGTGATATGATATAAAAAACAAAAATGAAAAATAAAGCAAAGACTATATCCATGTAGCCCACCCAAACTCGAAAGAGTACAAAGCAAAGGCAGAGAGATAAATAAGCAAATCGTTAAATTTTTCGAACTCGACTCCGCATTTCCCATCATAAGAAATACTATTAGCAGCCGCTAATATTGGTGGTGCGGCATTGCACCGGGTGCAGCCTCCAACCCCGACGTAGTGCTGGCATGGCCAAGCACGACTGGCGGAATCGGGGCGATGTGTTTCCTCTTGGCTGATAGAAACAAATGGAACATATTTTACAAACGAATCATCGTCGACCAAACGCCGTCAAGGTGCTCTGTCAACCAATGATTTAGTTGCCAGCCTTGCGGGCCATGGTGTTGAGAGCGGAACCGTCCTTGAACCACTCGATCTGGGACTCGTTGAAGGTGTGGCTCAGCTTGACGTCGTAGGCGGCACCATCCTTGGGGTGGACGCGGAGGGTCATAGGCTTGCCAACCTCGAGCTCGGTGCAGAGCAGGTCAACGGTGTCGGTGGGCTGGATCTTGTCGTAGTCGGCGGGGTCGGAGAAGGTGAGAGGAAGCATACCCTGCTTCTTCAGGTTGGTCTCGTGGATACGGGCGAAGCTGCGGGTGATGATGGCAAGACCGCCCAGGTGACGGGGCTCGAGAGCAGCGTGCTCACGAGAGCTACCCTCACCGTAGTTCCAGTCACCGATGACAACCCACTTAACGCCACGGGCCTTGTAGTCACGGGCAGTGGCGGGGACGGCATCGAACTCGCCAGTGAAGGCGTTGCGGATCTTGTTGGCCTCGCCGTTCTCGGCGTTGACGGCACCGATCAGCATGTTGTTGGAGATGTTGTCAAGATGTCCACGGTACTTCAACCACGGGCCGGCCATGGAGATGTGATCGGTGGTGGTCTTGCCCTGGCACTTGATCAGGATGGGGATGCCGTTGGCGTCCTTTCCGTCCCAGGCGGCGAAACCGCCGAGGACCTGCAGACGGTCACTCTCGGGGGAGACGGCAACGCTGATGGACTCACGGTCCTTGGGGGGAGCCTGGTAGGTGTCCTGACCGGGGTCGTAGCCCTGGGCAGGGAGACCCTCGCCAGTGGGAGCCTTGAGCATGAACTCGTTGCCATCCTTGTCCTTCAGCTTGTCGGTGAGGGGGTTGAACTTGAGGGTACCAGCAACGGTCATGGCAACGACAAGGTCGGGGGAGGTGACGAAAGCGTGGGTGGCAGGGTTGGCGTCGTTACGGCCAGTGAAGTTACGGTTGTAGGAGGAGATGATGGAGTTGGGCTCGCCCTTCTTCACATCCTTACGGTCCCACTGACCAATGCAGGGACCGCAGGCGTTGGCAAGGATGACACCACCGAACTCCTCGAGGGTCTGGAGCTGTCCGTCACGCTCGATGGTGGCACGAATCTGCTCGGAACCAGGGGTGACGGTGAACAGAGACTTGGACTTGATACCGTGGTCAAGAGCGTCGCGGGCGATGGAAGCGGCACGAGACATATCCTCGTAAGAGGAGTTGGTGCAGGATCCGATGAGACCAACCTTCAGGTCCTCGGGCCACTTGTTGGCATCAACAGCCTCCTTAAACTTGGAGATGGGAGTAGCAAGATCGGGGGTGAAGGGACCGTTGATGTGAGGCTCAAGCTCAGACAGGTTGATCTCAATCAGCTGGTCGTACTCGGCGCCCTCGTCCTCACGGAGCTCCTTGGCGTACGAGCGAGCGAAGTCACCAATCTCAGTACGCTTGGTGGCGCGCAGGTAGTCGTGCATGCGGTCGTTGAAGGGGAACATCGAGGTGGTGGCACCAATCTCAGCACCCATGTTACAGATGGTACCCATACCAGTGCAGGAGAGAGAGTTGACACCAGGGCCGTGGTATTCAATGATGGCGCCAGTACCACCCTTGACGGTCAGCAGACCAGCAACCTTGAGGATGATATCCTTGGGAGAGGTCCATCCGGACAACTCGCCGGTAAGCTTGACACCGATGACCTTGGGGGCCTTCAGCTCCCAGGGGAGACCGGCCATGACGTCAACGGCATCGGCACCACCAACACCGATGGCAGCCATAGCAAGACCACCAGCGTTAGGAGTGTGAGAGTCGGTACCGATCATCAGACCACCGGGGAAAGCGTAGTTCTCCAGGACGATCTGGTGGATGATACCGGAACCGGGCTTCCAGAAACCAATGTTGTACTTGGCGGTAGAGGAGGCCAAGAAATCGTAGACCTCCTTGTTGATGTCGTTAGCGCGAGCAAGATCCTTCTCGCCACCAATCTGGGCCTCAATCAAGTGATCGCAGTGGACAGTGGTAGGAGTAGCGACCGAGGGCATTCCAGCGGACATGAACTGAAGGATGGCCATCTGGGCGGTGGCATCCTGGCAAGCAACACGGTCGGGGCGGAGCTTCAGGTAGGAAGTACCACGCTCAATGTCTTGGCCGTGAGGGTCGTCAAGGTGAGAGTAGAGGACCTTCTCGGCGTAGGTAAGAGGACGGCTCAATCGGCGACGAACGATGTCCAGGTTCTCGGACATCTTCCTATATGATTGTAAGACATGTTAGAAGGTTTCTTCTTCCCTGGTGTGATCCCCCTTTTCATTGAAAATGGGAGAAATTTCTTCCCCTGTGGAGATTTCCTCGAGCAAATCGTCCAACAAGGGATGAAATAATAGGGAGGTTGCCAGCATACTTGTAGTTAATGAAGTTACCCTGTGAAAAAGTGTCGTTAGCCAATGCTGCTTTCCGTATACGGAAGCTTCCGCTCTTCCCGACAAAGCCGGGAGGGCGGAAGGGATCGAACGCCCACTAACCTTCTCAGAGTTGGTCATCTCGACCTTCTTGTCGAGGGCAGACTCGTTGACGGTGGCCAGACCCCGGGTCCCGAGGAACTGAACGACATGTTAATATCCAATTTCTACAGAGCGCAAAACCGTGGCAATTTTTGTCCCGTGCAGCTTTGAAGCAAGCAGGGATCCCGAGCGAGAGAGCTTACCAGACGGGACTTAGGGGCCTAAAGCGAGAGCACGTTAGCATTTATTTCGACCGAAACAAACCCGGGCGAGTTAGTAGCCATCACGTCGAGCGACGAAGATACCAACTCGAGCACCAGGGGGCAAAAAAAATCGAGACGGGGACGACTTACCAGCGCACCCATGCGCGCAAGCCTTGTGGAGATCATGATGGAAGCTCTCTATGCGAGGTGGGCAATGCCGCGACACTTCCAATGAGAGCTAATCCAAAGCAGCAACAAAGAGCTAGCTTCAAGAGATCGAAGCAGCAAAGATGGAGTGGAGAGGGGAAGAAGAGAAAGAAGAAGAGTTTGAGAAATCAAGGGAGAATGGAGTAGATAAAAGGAAGCTTTGGTGTTTTTTAGAGTGGGAAAGAAATCTTTGGGTTACTGAACCGGCGACGAGGACCCGTAACCGCTCGTGACAATACCGCCGTACGCATTCGGGCCCGCTAGCATGCGACCGGAGACAAGGAAGTGGCTGGGCAACCCGCACATTCCCCCTTCCTTACTCCTTTCACAGGGCTAGATTTTTTTCTCGGAGGACCTAGGTTACCGATTTACGATGCTATTCTGGTTGACCGACCCATAAGGCTCTTCCTCGGCGCCTCTTGACTGACAGACGATTCGAAAACACCTCGCTGTGAATGGTCTACCTGTCTTCATGCGCTTTGACCAGCACCAGTCAATAATATCCATTATTGACATTCCCGTGACTTAGTAATTCCGTATTACGAATACCAGTCTGTCCGGTGGACCGGCGCATGTGAGACGGGTAGCGCACGGGTGACGAATCAGACGCAGATGATTACATCCTCCATTATCCGGACTACGACATCATGGATGCGTAGCCAATACTACCTTGGTTGATCAAGGTCGTGTCGTCCACCAACGCCCTAATAAAAAGCAGCAGACACGCGCTGTTCAGTTGTTTCGTCGGAAAACACACCCAATGTTTTTTTTTTCAACGATTTAATTTGCATGACAATTGACTGACAATACAAGCGCAATCAGGTTGCAACGTCCGGCCGCGGCCATAGCAACTGCTATTATTTCAGCTGAAACCCAACTGGTTAATCCTAGTCCGGAGCAACGTGCCGAAAAGAGTAGAAACGTCATAAATTACGGACGGAAAGGTGGCGGTATGGCGGACAGTGCCGAGTCAGAGCCGAGGCCTGCCGACCGTAACCCCGTGGACCGGCGCCAAGACTCGCCCGGCGGAGGCCAATCACAGCCAACCTGTTTCATGAATTTCTGTCTTCGCACAAAGACACGGAAATTTCGACGTGCGCGACCCGCTCTCGCTGCTAAAGATTTTAGTTTCGTTCCGTATATCGGTGATAATCCTTTGCGACTCTCATCAACCGGGGATTCAACCTGTTTTTGGTACAGGCATCGGAAAACAAAAAAAAAAAAAAATAATTAATAAGATTAAAAAATAATTATGGCGCCCGTGAGAAGACTCAAGACGAAGCGCTTGACTAGGTACTGCACTCTTCTTTGCCTATCGTCCATGACCTGCAACAATGATGATTGTTCGATCGACGTTGTCTTGCTCTACTAACGCAGGGTAATATGCAGGGGTTATGACCAAGTCCGCAGCGATATCGAATCTCCCAGGCATCTGGAGCAGTACAAAGAAACCAAGGATCTGGAAGATCTCCCGGGTCTAGGAAAGCATTACTGCGTCGAGTGTTCAAAATGGTTTGAAAGCGAGCATAACATGATCGCCCACCGGAAGGGCAAGAACCACAAGAGAAGGTCGGTCGATTCCAGCGTCGCGGCGCCTTTGCGCCAACACCATTTCGCGAATTTGCGCTGACTCAAGGCATTTGCCGTTCATTTACAGAGTTAAGATCCTACGCGAAGAACCTCACACCCAAAAGCTCGCCGACGCCGCGGTGGGTTTGCGCCACGACAACGGCCAGCGCTCGCAGGAGACCGTCGTCGACATGGAGGAATAAAATCGGCTGGGTAGCATGCGATTGGCCGGCATCTGCAGTCGACAAGTGATGGATTACAATGCGAAGCAACAGGTTCTGCTATGATCTTTCGGAGGGCCCTTTGGAAGCTGGCGACGATGGACGGGCTTCACGTAAAAATTTTCGGCGCGATATACAACCTTGACGTCGTTGACTTGAACGCGATTTGATTGGCTGGGCTAAAAACAAGTGCAGTCGCCCAATCAGCGATCGGCGCAAAAATGGTTGGGCACGTGAAACCACAAGTGCCGAAAACCGCCAGAAAGCAGGGGCCGAATCCCCGAATGCGCCGTTTTCGTCTTGCGGTCACCCGTTCGAAGCGCCGCTTCTCGGAATGCTGTACAGTAGGGCCCCCACCCAATCGGCCCCTACTCCATTAGGACGAAAATTATTTACAAGCTGCAATAATACAAAACTTTATGGCAACTGTTCTTTACTGCGGTAGCCGAGTAATCAACTCCGGTGAATACGGGGTAAGGGGGAGGCTTGTTTTGGTTGCCTTCTCATTGGTCTTTCTTTCGGCCGTGTCTTTCCGTAGTTGTGAACACCGATGATATCCATAACAATTATTTCTCACAATCCACTTCATATGGTCTTGCTGAGTCTAGCTATATGTTTTTGACATCGCAGCTCTTGTGAACTTGAATGGGTAAGTCCGTGGATGCTGATCAATTTCGAAAGTTCTCAAATTTCACTATAGACATACTTTCGACTATATATATTCAAACAGGTTTAGATACCCGGCCCATAGAGACGCTTTATGTACTCTGTACAGCGACGTGACGAAAAAAAAAAAAAAAAAAAAAAAAAAAGATCGTATACTGTACTCTACATCATAATAATTCTCTTTCTATACACTCTAGACGTCTTTAGCGAGGATGTTAGTAGGCGGCGGCGTCACCGACATGTTAAGATATTTCATAAGCCATTCGTATGTTGCCCACTAGGCCACCCGATTAGCAAACCTGGTATAGAACCGATGGAGCTTGAAGAACACACCTGGACAGCATTTACCAGAAACGCTCTTATACTGCAGATACCTAAGCCACGGTAGAAGGCCTTTAAGCCCTCGGCCCGATAGACCTCTCTAAAAAGCTGAAACGAATTCAGTGGCTGTCTTCCATGCTGTGGCGGCAGTAATTGGCGATTTTCGGGATGTACTGCAATCGTCTGTGCTTGTAACCTTGTCTTAATTACATCCAAGGGGAAGACCGATGCCCACGTGGCGACTCCGGCTATCCCACCACAAAGAAGTACTTTCAGTGCGGCAACTCGAGCATCGTCATCGTCGGATGTCATCAATCGTTTGCAATATTCGTAAGACCAAAAGCTGGCAGTCACAAATCAGTTAGATGTTGACGAAGACTGGGAGTATTTGGCGCATACTAAAAACCATAGCCAATGGAGTCTCTGGCGCAAGTGATCGCTCCTCCGTAATAGAGACCCCTCCACCCACGAGTTTGAAGAATATCTTTCGCAACAGTCCAGGAGGAAACTCCCGGCCGAGTGTCAAGTTGCGCCCTGCATTTGATGAACTCCGTCGGAGACGACACAGTCCAGCTGGCGACTCCACCTGCAGCACCGGCAAGCCATATCTTATAGAGGGAAGTAGTTTGGGGGTTCGTTGGATCAATGACCGAGTTATCCAGACACTTCAATGACCGGTTGTATGCGACAAAAAGGATGGCATTAAGGGCTCCATATCCAAGAATAGGAGCAGCAGCGCCTAGAAATCTCGTTAGAAATAGTCATTTGTGAAAGCAGAATGATGAACATACCTCGCACCAAATTGCGCGCATTCTCAAGGCGGCTCACATGCGAGTGCGGGGAACTTGCAGTTCTGCCTGCATGGCCTGCTTGAAGTCGAACCTTGACGAGATCGAGCGGATTTCCAATGATAATACCGATGGCACCGCTAAGGTAACCAGCCCAGAAATCCGACGACATGGGCCCGAATTTCCTCGAGAAACTGCAGATACCAGTCCGTCGTTCCTTCGATCGCTGCCACCCAAGTTCTCCGCTTTAGGAGAGGCGGGGCGCCGAGGCAATCCCACGCAGGTCACGTGCCCCCGCGACACTTTGGTGTATTAGGCAGCCTTAGGCAACGCGCCGGAGGAGGACCAACGCGTGTGTCATCATCAAGTCGCCGGCCGATAACTGCCGCAGTTACTGACAACAACAGACCACGGCTTGCTTCATCGAGGAATATTCGGCAGTGGGTTACTTCTGAAAGGCTGCGCCAATGTACTTAATCGCCCTCTAACTTGTTTGCAAGACCATTGCTAATCTGGAATCTCTTGTATAGGTATCGACCGCGCCCAGCCGGTGGCGATAGCACGCCCTCATCCAAGTATCCACAGAGCAACACGCCCGTATCCATTGACCGTCTCGCGAAGCCTTTCAAATGTCCCGGATCAGCTACGCCAACGAGAACATCAGAGAAACCCTCGAGGAAGCGACGAAAAGTGAACTACGCCGGCGCGGATGGAAGTGTCCAGGATGACAGCTCGAAACCGTACACCAACGAAGACCGACTGGCCCTTGCCACCAGAGACGTGAACAGATTCCCGGTCTTCAAAGCCAAGGACAAAGAGACAGTGTTTAGGCAAAATTTCAAGATACCTTTGATCAATAAGTCGGCCGGCAACTACGACAGCGCTCGACCAGCACCAACGTTGGGAATGCGACAAGGTGCAACGTTTGTCGTGAAGCCTCTGCATGACCCTAGTGGAGAGTTTGCGATAGTTTTGTATGATCCGACCGTTGACGATACCGACCGACCCGCCGAACCGAAGAAAGCAGAAGAAACGCAACCCGAAGACAAACCGAAATTGGATGAACCATTGGTACATAAAAGTTTGGCGGACATCCTTGGACTGAAGAAGGATGTTGAAGAGCGCCCGAAAGTTCCCGTCGTTATTGATCCACGACTGGCCAAAGTACTACGACCTCATCAAATAGAGGGTGTTAAGGTTGTTCAAGATACCCTGATACAAATTGGAGATACAGCTGGTTGATCCAATTCACGCATAGTTCCTTTACCGTTGTACGACTGGAATGGTTGATCCAAATGCACATGGCTGTATCATGGCAGATGGAATGGGACTGGGAAAGACGGTAAGATTATTCTGATCTCTATGACCAGAGTAGAGCTGACAGTAACAGCTTCAATGTATTTCATTGATGTGGACATTGCTCAAGCAATCACCAGAAGCCGGGAAGACCCTTATTCAGAAATGTATCATTGCCTGTCCGTCAAGTTTGGTAGGAAACTGGGCCAATGAGTTAGGTAAGGAATTTTGCTGTTGAGTTGAGGCCTCTACTGACAGGTTCAGGGAAATGGCTCGGAAAGGATGCAACCACACCATTTGCCATTGATGGTAAGGCTTCAAAGGCAGAGCTTACTAGTCAGATAAAGCAATGGGCCATTGCTTCAGGCCGCTCTGTCGTAAGACCGGTCCTCATAGTGTCGTACGAAACACTGCGTTTATACGTCGACACACTGAGAGACAGTCCAATTGGGCTTCTTTTGTGCGACGAAGGGCATCGACTCAAAAACAAGGACAGTCTGACGTGGACTGCCCTTAATAGCTTGAATGTGCAGCGTCGCGTGATCCTCTCCGGAACTCCAATCCAAAATGACCTTTCGGAATACTTTGCGCTACTGAATTTCGCCAATCCCGATTTGCTAGGGTCGCAAAATGAATTTCGCAAAAAGTTTGAATTGCCTATTCTCAAAGGCAGAGACGCTGCAGGAACGGAAGAAGACCGTAAGAAGGGCGACGAGCGACTGGTGGAGCTGTCTGGGATCGTCAACAAATTCATTATTCGCCGGACAAATGACATCTTGTCGAAGTACTTGCCAATCAAGTACGAACATGTCGTTTTCTGCAACATGTCGCAGTTCCAACTTGATCTATACAACCACTTCATCCAGAGCCCAGAGATCAGAAGCTTGCTCAGGGGCAAAGGAAGTCAACCTTTGAAAGCAATTGGGCTTTTGAAAAAACTTTGCAACCATCCGGACCTGCTCAATCTCTCCAATGATCTTCCAGGCTGCGAATTTGCCTTCCCCGACGACTATGTTCCCCCCGACGGACGAGGACGGGACCGCGATATCAAGTCTTGGTATTCAGGAAAAATGATGGTTTTGGACAGAATGCTTGCACGGATACGTCAGGATACTAACGATAAGATTGTCCTCATTAGCAACTACACACAAACGCTCGATCTCTTCGAGAAGCTGTGTAGGTCAAGGGGTTATGGGTCCCTCCGACTGGACGGTACAATGAACGTGAATAAACGGCAGAAACTGGTCGACAAGTTCAATAACCCAAATGGAGAGGAGTTTGTCTTCCTGCTCAGCAGTAAGGCTGGAGGGTGCGGTTTGAACCTGATCGGCGCAAATCGCCTGGTCCTGTTTGACCCTGATTGGAATCCAGCTGCCGACCAGCAGGCTTTGGCACGAGTGTGGCGAGACGGTCAGAAGAAAGATTGTTTTGTCTACCGCTTTATCGCGACCGGGTCGATTGAGGAGAAGATTTTTCAGCGTCAATCACATAAACAATCTCTCTCGTCCTGCGTCGTGGATTCCGCCGAGGATGTCGAACGACACTTTTCTATAGAGTCGCTTCGTGAACTGTTCCAGTTCAAGCCCGAGACTCGGAGCGACACGCATGATACTTTCAAATGCAAGCGATGCAAGCCGGATGGATCACAGTTTATCAAAGCACCAGCCATGCTCTACGGTGATACTAGTTCTTGGAATCATTTTGTGAATGACGGCGAGAAGGGGCACTTCAGCAAGATTCAAGATCTACTCATGCGACAGGAGTCCGGGGAGCGAGATGTGTCCGCGGTGTTCCAGTATATCAGTCATTGATTGTGGAGCATTTTGTTTATTTCATCCTTATACTAATATTTTTTTTGGGATATCTTTATGATTGAGAATTGACCTTGGCGCCCTTTGCGGGAATGATATGAAATGATGGCGAATGGTGATTTTTTTGCGCATGATCTATTAGAAGTAGAATAGATTTAGGGATATACGATCTTTGTCTACCATTATCATTATTTTTATGTTTTTCTATCATTGCAGTAGACTGACCAAGATAAGGTGTTATCAAGTAGAACACAGTATCTTCGGACCGGGACAGACTTGATCCCGCGGCGAAGTCGAGGTTGCTGACACTACGTCACACCGCGTCCGCTAAGGCACCATCCACGCTGCCAACGCATCCTGCTGTGAGTACTCCCCACATCGACTTGCTGAGGCGGCTCGAGCAGCTGACGGAAGTCTTCGACCAGTTTCTCATCGCGTGCGAATCGTCCAAGCCCATGGCTCGCGAATAGCTACGACGAAGCTACGAGCTCGACCCACCGCCCCATCCGGACAGCGCTTTCCCACCATGAGCATTATTATCTAGCGGAGGCTCAGTGCTCGTGACTCATTCCAATTTATGTTGATCTGAGCGATGGATCACTCAATTCAACGCCTGTTGAATGACAAGCTTTACGATCGGAGGAAACAAGGGGCCTTGGAGTAAGGGACCATCGATGGCTGCGGAGAGATCGGCCTCGGCACCGACCCTTGCTAATTGGATTGGATTCCATATAGGCTTGAAAAAGTCGTCCGCGATGCCGTCTTCAGGGGAGAACATGAAGAGATCCAGAAAATCGTCGACCAGCTCTGCCATGACTACGCCTACGCCGTACACCAGCCGCATGCGAGAAACGGTGGCCTGATCGGGTTGGCGGCGGCCTCCATCGCACTCGGATCTGTGAGTTCAACTGTCAATCATAACGAGCGCTCACCAGTACCGGGGCTGAAAAAAGGATACCAGGAGGGAGTTGCGCCTTATCTGAAGGAAATCGTACCCCCGGTCTTAGCATGTTTCTCCGATCAGGATGCCCGCGTCCGATATTACGCTTGCGAAAGCATGTACAACATCGCCAAGGTTGCGAAGGGGGAGGTCCTGCTGTTCTTTAATGAGATATTCGATGCGCTCTGTAAAGTGAGTGTTCATACTGCGACCCGCCAACAACCTATCCGACACATTTGTTGCTAAGACATAATTTTCAGTTAGCGTCCGACTCCGAACTCTCCGTCAAAAATGGCGCCGAACTTCTTGATAGACTGGTCAAGGATATTGTATCTGAATCTGCTGCCTCCTACGTCTCGATCCTACAGCTTTCCGAGAAGCAAAATTTTGACTCCGACAGCGTGGAGGATGTCGATCTGCCAACCGCCTTTTCGCTTCCGAAATTCATCCCTCTACTGAAGGAACGAATCTTCGTTATCAGCGCGTTCACTCGCATGTTCTTGGTATCCTGGCTGACACTCTTGGATACGATCCCGGACTTAGAACTTGTTTCTTATCTGCCAGAATTCCTGGGCGGGTTGATCAAATTTCTTGGCGACACCAACAGAGATGTTAATGTCGCCACTCAAGCCCTTCTCGACCGGTTTCTCTCGGAAATCAAGAGAATTGCACGGCTCAAGAAGGGGATCGAGGAGAGCCGAAAAGGACAAGGCAGCGACAACAGACAATCGGCCACGAGTGACAGCGCCAGCACAACCACTACGACGACGCAGACCGTTGCTCTTGAACCGGAGATTAATGAGAACGCTGTGGAAGATTCCGAGTCGGAATCTGCCATTGATGAGGAGGGTTTGCAGGTTGATGGCGACTGGATCCCCGGGCAAGATGTCCAAATTGACCATGCAAGGATATTGGAGATTCTTGTGGGGTTCGTCAACACTTCTTTTGGTGAGAAATGATCTATCATATTAAGCGAATTGATCTTGGGCTGACCACGATTCCAGACGAGGAGATGCAATTGACCGCACTTCGTTGGATTGACAACTTTTTCGAAATCAGCCCCGAAGACATCCTCCCTTTTGTACCACGCCTTCTAACACAGGTACTTCCAGCAATGTCTAGTGGCTCGGATCAAGTGCGGCAGGCCGCAAACAGAGTGAACACATCTTTGCTCGAATACATTGTCACTTTGTCAGAAGACACATCGGACGAACCCCAGCAATCTAGCTTGAAAGCGTTGCCTACGAGTAAGGAATTTGTCGAGAGGAGGGCCTCCACTCCTAGCAGCAAGCTTACCGACACATCACCAGCCGAATCCAGGAAACAGTCCATTCAACCAGAATCTTCGACTGAACAAACGCCGCGAAGCAGCGTCGTATCGACCCCGGCACCAGTCCCGCCAGCAGACCTTGATTACGCCGCGGCCGTCAACTCACTCACCCTTCAATTCCTCAATGAGAATGAAGCCACCCGAGTCGCTGCTCTCTCTTGGCTGATCATGCTGCACCGCAAGGCCCCGAAGAAAGTTGTGGCATTCAACGATGGGACTTTTCCCGCTTTGCTCAAGACACTGTCCGACCCGGCCGAAGCAGTTGTCACGAAGGATCTTCAGCTCCTCTCGCAAATATCACGGAATAGTGATGATAGCTATTTCAAATCGTTTATGGTCAACCTACTTCAGCTCTTTTCCACCGATCGGGGCTTACTTGAAGTCCGTGGCAATCTAATCATTCGGCAACTTTGCATGAACCTGAGCCCTGAGCGTATATATCGAACGCTAGCGGATTGTCTGGAGAAAGAAGAGGTTGGTACCACATGGACTACTATGCTGAACACGATAGCTAATGTCTTTGCGTAATAGGATATTGAATTTGCCAGTATCATGGTTCAAAATCTGAACAACAATCTGATCACTGCACCTGAGCTTTCAGATCTTCGCAAACGACTCAGAAATCTAGATTCAAGGGCACGTTCTCCCCATATTGATTTTTCGCCTCAGGCTAACATTAAGAACAGGAGGGTCAGATGTTCTTCGTGGCTCTTTTCAGATCCTGGTGTCACAACGCCGTCTCCACGTTTTCCCTGTGTCTTCTGGCTCAAGCCTATGAACAGGCCTATAACCTTCTTCAAGTCTTGTGTGTAAAAGTGCCTTGAAACCGGAAACCTTCATGGCTAACCTAATCGCCAGCGCCGAACTCGAAATGACCGTAAATATGTTAATACAAATTGACAAACTGGTGCAATTATTGGAATCGCCCGTTTTTACATGTGAGTGCTCTCCAACAGATTCCTCCAAACCAAATACTAAGACCTATCCAAGACCTTCGCCTCCAGCTCCTCGAGCCAGAAAAATATCCATACCTTTACAAATGTCTCTACGGAGTCCTCATGCTCCTCCCACAAAGCTCCGCCTTTGCAGCCTTGAAAAACCGCCTCAACAGCGTCAGCAACATCGGTCTTCTCCACACCGGTCCTCGACTGTAAGTCCCTCCCCCCAAACAAACCAACCACAACCCAACCCAACCCAACCCCTAACCAACCACCCTCACAGAACAAGCATGACCTCATCCACCTCCTCCTCCACCTCCTCAGCCTCCTACGAACGCCCCACCGGCCGCCTGAAGCGCGAAGACTCGTCCATCCGCTGGGTCGAACTCCTCGACAAGTTCAAATCCGTGCAGGAAAAAGCCCGCCGCTCGCAACGCGCCTCCCAACGTCCCTACGACCTTGACGGCGGGCCCTCCGGCTTCGGGAACCCCTCGCTGGCAGCCGCCCTCAACGACCCTGCCCAGCGCCACAGGGAAAAAACCCTCCCCGATGCACCGCGCGGAGGGCCCGGCGGGGCTGTCGGCGCCGGAGCTAGTGGTGAGGGAGGTCGCGGAAGCGCTAACGCGGGTGGCTCAGAGGCCGCGCAGAAGGGGACCCCAGGGGGAGGATCGATACTGGGTGGTTCGCATCGGCATAAGTCTAGTTTGCCGAATCTGGGAAGGTTGGGAATTGGGGGGAAGAAGTTTAGACGGTGATTGTGCCCTTCCTTTACCCTTCTTGCTGGGTTATTTCATTTTTCTTTTTCTTTCTAGTTGAAGTGGTCAGAGGAAAGAGGGAAGTACATACATACATGGGAGCATGGACAGGAACAGAAGTCCGGGGGTAGAGGATCGATATAACTAAGAGGTGGAGATATGGAGAGGTAGAGGTTGTGACTGGATCAGACGTATAGGGTGTATACCCATTCATCAACAAGTATATTATGTGAAGTAGACGATTTCATAGTCTTGTATGCTGAATGGAAGATCTGCGCGAAATAGGTCACCATGGAGATTTGATCCTGCCTCACGTAAAGTCACTATGTAATCCGTCACTGTATTTGGCGAAAACATTTAACTTGAAAGATATGTACAGGGAAAGTAGCCATTCGAGCGATGGGAAGAGAGAAAAGAAAAGTTTAAACAATTCGCTGATGCCCGCAAATATACAAAAGAAACGAAGAGAAATCAAATGGATCCAGCAAAGCTTTTTGTCGCTCGGAAGCTGAAGACAAGAATATCTGGGAGCTGAACATGCCGGAAGATGAAACAAAAAGTCGAATATAGATCGTATAAATGGATGGTTGCGTCATTGAGATCACCTTAAATGACGGACCCGAGATAAGCGCCTCGAGAGTCGGTGTCAAGGGGCTAAAAAGGTAATCGGAGCACCGTATGGTTTATGCGTCCAATAACGTTAGGCTCCTTACCCGAGACACATGCTCGAGGTTATCAAGGGCTGCCGATCACGATGCTGCAAGAAGCAAGGGCGACTCCAATTTGTCTCATGGCGAATTGCATCCGGGTCTTGCCCCTCCAAGAAAGAAACCAAAAAAGATAAACGATATCATGAACTTTTCCCGTTTAGAAAATCAACACTGATCCATGATTCGGAAGCAAAAGCATATGATGGTCGGAAGTATCGTGACATCCTCCACGTGGGACATGAAGTCGAGGATATAAAGTCAAATGCAAGAACAAAAGCAGATCGGAGTCAGGCGAGTTCGTTACCGCCATCGCGATTCTCCTCCGGAAGAGCCCCAAGTGGAAGACTTCCAGTGGCTGCCCGTCGAGTGTTTGGAAACGGTTCCTGACGAAGAGTTCGACCCGTTGGTGTACACGTATTCACCGTCGACGTACTGGACCCCCGAGAATGTGCTGCGGTGCTTGCGCCGAGCATACCGCTGCTCAAGTCGGTAAAGCTCGATCTCTGTGGAGAGAAAGTATTAGCAGCCGAGTCGCGAGCGATCTAATAAATCAAACCGTCGGATACATACTTGCTTGTAGTTTATCGAAGAACCCCATGGTGTTTGTTGAGTGGGAAGATGCTCGAGGTGTTGAGTCGAGTCGTCCTTAACGGTCCGAACGCTAGTTTGCTAGGTCGGTGGAGGGGGTGTAAGCGGGTTTCAGCCAAGATGTTGGTTCGGTATGGCGACTATGCGACCAGTAATTGACATAGAAATCACTGGAATCAACGATTGCTAGGGGTGTCTGCAAACCAAGTTAGCATTTGGGGGGGAAATGTAATGGTTTTGTGCGATAAACCATGTCTCACTCATGGTTTCACCCCCGAGGATGGTGAGGGGGGCATGGACTTACCAAGTGAAGCCAAGCAATCTAGACCAATTGACAAGCAAATGTCGTGAAGAGAATAATATTCTATTTTTGAGAGAAGAGGAAAAAGAAATAATTGAGAAGAAAAGAAGAGAGAAAGGAGACAGCGAGACTAAATCTGGGGAAAACGAAGGACGAGGGCGCAGGACTAGTAGACCGACGGGAACTGGTTGACCGAAAAGAGCGATAAGGGAAGAAATGATCCGGAGTCCGTCGCTGAAATGATTGGCTTATGGATGATGGCGAACGAGCGTTGGCTGCAATGGCTGGGAACAGAAAGGAATGTGGGTAGGTGCAGATGTGACGAATCGCCGAAAGCCACCGTGCGTGGTGTCGGTAGGTGTACGGAGTACGAGATGGATAAGTCAGGGAACTGCGGACCTTGGGGGGTTTTGTTTTTTGTTTATTTAAATTCGGATCACAAAGACACGCGCGATGCAAAGCCCCAGCCAAAACAAACGAGAGAAACGGAAGTGGAACGAGACGAAAAAGAACAGGGAAGGGAAGGGAAGAAGTGGGAAAGACAGCAGACGAGAGGACGAGAGTCTAGAAGGAAGCGATGCGACGGTGGGAGGCCTGGGGTGGCGGCGCTAAGCCATGTGGGGTTTAGCCAGGGGTTCCCTGACAGTCGACCCCTCAGGCAGGCAGGCAGGCAGGCACTCAGGCACTCAGGCCGACCTTGATTGTCTTTCGATTCGCGCAAGAGTCAAGACGGCCCGGCATTTGTCACTGCTGGACCGCCACGACCTGCTCCACCCCGTCGGAGATTTTCTTTTAAATCCTGGGAGCAACGCATGGACATCAGGACGGGACCTGATGGCTCCCCAAACTCCTAACCGTGCTGATCGAAATACTCTGGCGACCTGGTTGACGCACGCAAACCACATGGCAACTAGCGCCCTGATAGAATTCACCGGCCGTTCGGGCTAAATGGAAATAAATTGTCACTAGAGCAATAGCTGCCTCCACTCTCTGGACTATTAACCATTATCATCCACTCTGGCCTGTCTGGTCTAACCTTACGGATCCCCGGGGAACGGCCGTCAGGAATGATGCAAAGAACGCATGCCCTCCGAGGTTTTCGGGGTTTCAACGTGGTCGTGTTTCAAATACTATACTCGAATTTTCCAGAAACATTGGTACAATGGTCACCAGTCTATTGACCGTCTATCGACCCATTGCAAAAACCAAGACATGGACTCCGTCCGACAAAAGGAGATCGTTAGTTCTATTTACTTAAGAATTGCGCCATCCAGCCGCCCCCCAAGTCGATCCCCTCTACTCCAAGGGAAAAGGGAGGCACGCTTGCAATTTTCCAAAGAATGTGTGGGTATTTGTGTGGATGTGAAGTCAACAAAAGTCTACTTCTGTCGTACTTCGGTCGTTTCTTCTTCAATTTGTTCACCTTCCTGGTCCTCGGAGAGGGACATTTCTTGGGCTATTGTTTTTGAAGAAAAATTCGCCGTTAGCACTCTTGCGCCAAAGAAAAAAAAAAAAAAAAAAAAAAAGTGATGTGCTTACCATTCCATAGCTCGGCGTAGATGCCGCTCTGCTCGAGAAGTTCACGGTGCGATCCCGTCTCCGCAACGCTGCCCTCCTTCAGAACCAGGATTTGGTCGCAGTCGCAGATGGTTCGCAGCCGGTGTGCAACGAAGACGCTAGTACGTCCCTTTTCTTTCAGGATGCTGTTGATGTTCTGAAGAAGCGCTTGTTCCGTGTAGGTATCCAGAGCCGATGTCTACATTACTCGTCAGTTTCGTCGCTTGCGTTCGAACCGAGCAGACAGGGGAAAACTTACTGCTTCGTCGAAGAAGAGGAGCTTGGGGTCTTTCAGGAGCAGTCGAGAAATGGCCAGCCGTTGCTTCTCGCCGCCAGAAATCATCATGCCGCGCTCTCCCACGGCCGTCTTGTATCCATCGGGAAGGCGCTCGATCAATTCGTGAATCCGTGCTCGCTGGGCGGCTTTGTGCACTTCCTCGTCAGTAGCGTCGATCCTGCCATAGCGGATGTTATGCGCGATGGTGTCATTAAATAGGGGCGTGTCTTGGGGCACAACGCCAATCGTCTTTCGGAGACTATCTAACGTCACGTCGCGAATATCTTGCCCGTCAACCAGGATTCGGCCTTGCTGGACATCGTAGTATCGGAACAGAAGTCTCAAGATCGTCGACTTGCCGCAGCCGCTGGGGCCTACGATGGCAAACTTCTGGCCGGCAGGAATCGTAAAGCTCGCGTTCTTCAGAATAGGTCGTTCGGGATGGTAACCAAAAGTCACGTTTTCGAACGTGATGTTACCACCTTGTCGGAGCTCGAGCGCTTTCGCATTCGGCTTCTCGATGATGTTCACGTTGACCTTCTGCAGATTGAACAGCGTCTCCATGTCCAACAAAGACTGGCGCAGTTCGCGATAGACGGAGCCAAGGAAGTTCAGAGGAACGGACAGTTGGAACACAAGCTGGTTAACCATGACCAGGTCGCCGACGGTGAGGGCGCCGCTAGCAACCCCATTGCATGCAAGGTACATCATTGCTGCGAGTGCACTGGAGAAGATCATGTTCTGGCCGGAGTTGAGGAAGGCCAGGGACGTAGTAACCTTGATGGAAGCATCCTCGTAGGCTTTGAGCGCCTTGTCGTAGCGTGCGACCTCAAACTTTTCATTGTTGAAATACTTGACGGCCTCGTAATTGATCAGGGAGTCCACAGCCACGGTGGCTCCGCGGTTGTCCGCGGCATTGGCCTGTTTTCGGAACTTCGTTCTCCAGGCAGTAGTCATGATCGTAAAAGCCGAGTATGCGACCATGGTGGCCGTTGTGATAGCCGCAAATTGGATTCCATATTGGTAGGTCTGGTCAATCAATCAGCGACATCCAGGACAGAGGCAGGGGAACAAGCATCTCGTCATACCAATATGCCGCACACAAGGGAGATCTCCAACGCCGTTGGTACTACGTGAAACACCATAGATGTCAAGAGGAAGCTGATTCCCTTGGTTCCCCGGTCAATGGCTCTCGTCAAACCGCCGGTCTGACGGGTGAGGTGGAAGTTCAAGTCCAATCGAAGGAGATGCTCAAAAACATTCCGTGCGACCCGACGAATTGCTTTCTGGGCGACGCTTGCGAAGACAGCATTTCGAAGTTCTTGAAACAGGGTAGCGCCGATCCTAGTTGCTCCGTCTGCACGATTGTTGTTAGACACCGTAGCACCTGCATTGTGCGACCAGTAATGAAATATCCTTACAGGCTATAATCATGGATCCTGCCACCGTATAAGCCGTTCCCCCAAGGGCTGCAAAATCCACGTTCATCGAATCGACGATACTCTTGAAGTAGAAGGGCACTTCGACATTCAGAATCTAGTCACCGTTCTGTCAGCATTTCCTCGGGATGCAGTCGATAACTACCAGCCATTAACGCGTACTAACCTTGGCTCCAACCAATAATGACAATGCACTTCCGACACGAAGCTTCGTACCCCAGTCATCCTGTATAATTGCCCCGTTAACACCCGATCATCTTCTCAACCCACGGTCAATCCCTCGAATCCCTTACCTTTGGCCAAAGGTACTTTGCCATCTCCTTCATTATCGCCCAGTCGGCCTTCCTCTGCTCCTTGGTCGCGACCGTGCTCTCACTGAGCAGGTCCTTCTTCTTCTTGTCCGAGCTGGAAGCCTTCGCGGCATCCTTCGGGTTTTGCGCGGCAGCCGCGTCCGTCGCGGGTGTGGTCGACGGCGTCGAAGCAGGACTCGGCGATTTCCGTTCAACGGGAGGGTCGTCGACGGCCTGCTTCAGCAGCGGGCCTTTGTTGGTGGTCGAGAACGCCCTCAGTTGGGCGCTGTAGGCTGCAGGTAGCCATGGCGAGGAGCGCGGTACGACGGGACCGCGCCGGATGAAGCGTGCGGGGATGCGCACGCAAGGCGATCGAGCTGCCCTGGGCAGCATGATGGCCGGGTATAGGATGCGAGAGGAAACAAGCGAGATGGTGTACACGGGAGGAAAACTCCGCCGGGATCAAAGGAGCATGGTTCAGGGTGAGCGGGCGTTTCTTGTCGGTGAGAATTGGAGTCGTGGTTTGAGGACCGCCGGGTTCGGAGGAAAATGAGGGGACCGCCGACGCTTCTGTCGCAATCGCCGATTTATCTTTTTCCTCCTTGCAGCTTTTTTATCTCCGGAAGAATTGTTTCTGAATGTCGTGATTGCTTTTTCTTCGCTATTTTATCACTTTCGCCTCGTTTATACGATTTCAATGCTACTACTTAGCTATTTACTGGCTACTCTACAGGCACATGGCATATATTTATGTAATCCGAGCTATCCACCAAGGTTACATGCAACGAGCAGCTTGAACCCTGCACTGAAACGAAACAAAAGTCGACTTCTTCGGGCACGAATAAGCATTCAATCCCAATTCGAAGTGGAAGTGCATATTCAGAGCCATTGACTCTACCAGAGGTGATTCTACCCTCAAACAGTGAGCTATCTATGACATCAGCGGTGGATACACCTACGTCTCCCGCGACTATTCATGTAGTAGTTGGATGCATTATCTTTGATATCTTAAATTCTTTCTCTGGTTTGTATGTAATCACTCTATTTATACATATTCACTACATGACAGACCTTTCTAGACTTCCAATAAACGGCTGTGATAGTGAATAGATTAGCTGATATAGAAATCTATCTTCATCGTTTCTTTCTCCCTCTTCCAGTTTCTTCCTCCTACACCCCTTACACCTCTTACTGTTGATCTTCTTGACCATGTACATGCCTGTCTTCTTGGTTGGTTGGCCTTCCTAGCCATACATACTACGTGTTTACCTACCTGGGGATAATCAGCACGTATAGTAACTACTATGGCATACTAAAAAGGCCTCGGTCTAGCATAAGGTCTTGGAGGTATGCTTTTCTCAGTTTTCGTTGTATCTTTATAAGATACTAATAGTAATGGTCTATTTGCTGATCTCTGGATACCTGAAAAGAAGGGGGTAGTTGGGCTGTCGGGAGACTACGATCGAATGGATGAGCATATCTCGCGATTCAAGAAGGAAGATAATATCAATATCAACTACTCTGCCAACTTGTGGTTCGTTTTTAACCCTCCGCATCTTTCTTGATGTTACTAACACTACTATAATAGTTCACACTGAGCCCAATTTCATCCATGCCATCTACCACGACTACTACGCCAAGTCACGGGGTTGCAATAAGGACAGGGGGCTATAAGAATAAATAGGGGGATCATTTAAAAATAACCACTGCTGTTGATCTCTCGCACTGTAGTTATTAGCTCTACAGCCAATATTCATGCATTGATGAAGAATAAATGATAAACAAACTACGTAATAATTGCATAGAACGTGCCAAGCCGCCTTTCCCGATCGGGCCGGGTGAAGCCGCAAAGAATGACCGCGGAGAAGAAGAGAACCACCGGCGCATTCAATCCGCCCTCCTTCCTTCGTCCTTCTCTTTTGCCGCACTTTTTCTTCAGGTACGACAATGAGTCAACCCTTGAGGAGAGGCGTCGGGGTCCTCCCCACGACCCGAGCCCTTTCTGTCCGGGCGCGACAAGGGGCGCCTTTGCTGCACCGCGCATGGCAGGCAAGAGGCTTTCAGATTCGCGCTGCCCCCGCCGAACAGCCTGCCACGGCCAATGGTGATAACCTGCCCGTGGCTGGTCCGCCTAGCTCGGCGGAATCGAAAGGTATGCTCTCCTCCACCTTGTAATGCCCCTTGCGCGGAGTATCTAGCCATGGAGATGGTGGTTTCCGCTTCGATATCGAAAGAATCCCTGCTAACAGAACGGACGTTGGTATCTAGATGCTCGGTTCGATGTCATCGGCGCGCCGCACTCCCTCCTCTCTGTTTCGCTATCCGCCTCGCAGAACCTATACACTCGACGAGGAACCCTGGTTGGATTAAGCGGGAAGGCTGATAATGTATGCGGAACAACCACCCCTTCCGTGCGCTATGGTCCTCGAAACATCTATTGACTGTCACGGGCGGTTTGAATCAGGTGGTTTCGACGTTGAGCGTGCTGGAGCCTTTTCGACGAGCGGCTGTTGGCATCCCGTTCTTGTATCAGAAGGTCGAGTTTTATCCCTCAATGTCAATGGCAGGGCATTGTATTGACATCGGCGCAGGTATCTTCGGCTAGCCCGGTCACTGCCTTAGTCTCCGTGCGATCTCCGGTTACTTCGTTTGCGGTTGTGCACCTCAATGGCTCGGTGGACTGGATGGTGGCCCAGAGACGGGCGCTGCTTGCTTGGACGGGGCGTTCCTTATCCGTCAAGCCCACCATCAACACAGACTTGGTAGGCTTGTTCTGTCCTGCAGATGGGAGAAGAATACAGACTAACAGGCATAGAGCGTGGCTCACTGGGGTAGCTCCGAGGTCACCGGTAGAGGCCTATTGGCCCTTGTCGGCACCGGTCAGTTGTATTCGATTGAGCTGAAAGACGGTGAACAGTACATTGTGCACCCGAGGTATGCTTCCTTTCGCGCAGCTTCCACCCACACAACGATACTAACGTACTCAGTAATGTCGTGGCTTACACCATCTCCTCCAACCCCCCTCGTCCCTACCGCTTCAAATCCACGACTCTGAAATTCCAAGTCCCCGGCCTCAAGAGCCTGCCGAGATTCATCCAAGACTCCAAGGTTGTCCGAGACGTATCGGACTCGAAGGCGTGGAAAACGACGATGAGCTACCTGCACAAGCTCCGGACGTGGTCTCGCATGACCATCTGGGGAGACAGGGTACGTCGAGAAACAGGACCCATTGACTTCATTGACACCCCATACTGATTTAGCCGATATCTAGCTCTTCCTTCAGTTCGATGGCCCGACGACCATTCTGCTCCAAACCCGTGGCCCCAGAATCAACGAAGTCCTCACTCCCCACGAGGTCAACGAGATCGCAGACGCGCCGAGAGGATTGACCATCGGCCCTGCGAAGCCCGCCGAGGAGAAGAAGACCCCCTCGTCCGAGGATGAGGAGTTCCGAAATACGGCCGAAAAGGCAGTCAACGCGGCGCCCGCGCCTTCGAGGTCGGTAGAAGACCTGGAAATGGAAGTCAAGGGAGCCGGCCAGAAGATCGCCCAGCTTACCAAGGACGGGGAGGTCATCTTCACCAAGCCGGAGCAGAAGAAGAACTAAATACCAAAATTTGATTGTTGACTGTTGATTGTTTTGTTGTCTTCATGCGTGCAGTGAAGAGCATCCCTCCAAAATTTTCATTTGCAGGCTCAATGTACTGTACTATAGACTAGTTTGTGTGTTTGAGCATAGCCGAGTTTGGCATGGATTTCTTGTTGATGCTTCCATATGTTCCAACAATTGAATAGAAATGAGTCCTGTACGTGGTTTCAGAGGTTTTAACAAAGGCATCCTTCAATCTGCGCCTTGTTGCGGGTGTTGTTGTCTCATCGGCACTGACATCAACGCTACTGGTATCTGACCCACGGACGTCCTCGCTGTCAGTTGTCCCGGGTGGACGAGCTCCTTCTCTACCCAGCTTCGTTAACTCGTGGGACACTGGTAGGGTTTTCTTCCCCCTGTACATGGTCCCAATATGAATCTTCCAAGCAGTTCGGTTGTCGATGTCACTACCCACATTCCCGTACTTGACATATCAATCAGCATAAATCTTAGGGAGCAGGAACAAGAGTAACTACGAAACCACTGAATACTGAAATATCGTCAATTCAATGATTTCTGGTGCGAAGAATGGAATGGAGTGGCGTTTCTGGAGTTTAATCCTCAAATGTATATTCGACGAGGGTCAAGTTCGTGCTCTATAGCCAGGTGCCCATAATACAGCCCATTATTCCCGTTCTCCATCGGCTTGGAACACGTAGGCAACAGAATACAAGGTGACACAAGGCAATTCGGGCTCAGACTCCGTCGATGCATGCTGGCTTATCCCTTCCCTCGCATTCCACAGCGATCCTGTCGTGCATCGATTCCATCAGATCTATACCCCTGTTGAACTCTGCTCATCCCCAAACAGTTCCTAAACAATCCTCAACCCGTCTTGACTCTGAGATGGCAAACGAGACCCAGACTGAGCCTGGTCTGGTCAAAATTCTCCAGGCCAGGGAAAGCAAATTTGTTTCTCGCCATTCTCACAAACCATCTAACCAAGTCTATGAGCCAAGTTCATCATTCGCTATGCCACCCCAAAAGTTCGAATTTGCCTGGTTTTGGCCACAACCGCAGCGTGGGCTGCCGGAGCTGCTTTACCATACATGATATTCCTATGGGGTGACCTCTCCAGTGCCTTCTTACGTTTCATAAAAGGGGACGATCCCTCGTACACCTCGGATGCCTTCCAAGCGGAGATTGACCAGACAGCGTGAGCCCGATAAACTGATGATTGGAGTGTCCGTTTTAACGATCATGGTAGGATAAAGACAATCTATTTATTCACTGGGAAACTTGTGGTATATATCATTTTCGATCCCTGTTTAATGATCACTTCTGCTAACTTATCCTATAGTTGGGATATGTATACATGGTGCTTTACACTTTCGCTGCCTCTGAGATCGCATACAGCCTTCGTTTGAAGTACACAAGTGTGATTCTTCGACAGGACGTGTCAAAGCTAGATGATATCAACGCAGCCAGCGCTAGAATTGGGGGCCAAGGAATCCAAGAGATCCAGAGGATAGAAGTTGGCCTCGGAGAGCAGTTAGGAACAACCATGCAACTCATGTCGGTTGTTCTGTCGGGTTTCATCATCGCCGTCGTTGCGTTAGTCTCTCTCGCACTGTGGTGATAATTAGCACTGATTTGTCTAGCCAGTGGAAACTTGCGCTAGTTGTATCTACTATGATTCCAGCGACTTTATTCACGATTGCGCTAACTGTCATTGTCGACCTGCGTTGGGAGAAGAAAATCCAACATTTGTACACGCAGACGACAGACGCTGCGAAAGCCGCCCTTACCAATATCCGAGATATTTTTGCCTCCACGGCTGAATCACATATTCTGGTTCATTATGACAGGCTACTTGAGCAAGCTATGAGATATGGTCTCAAAAAGGCTCCAGCGGTGGGTCTGCAATACTCGTTCGAGATGTTCTTCGTTACGATTGGATACACACTGAGCTTTTGGTATGGAACCAAGTTGCATTCCGAGGATGATGTACCTATCGGTAGTATTGTGACGTGAGTTCCCTAGGATACCTCCGTTAGCCTGTGTGTCTAATTATCACTACTTAGCGTGTTCTTCTGTGTCGCCCTGGCCAATAGCTCCTTAACAGGGGCATATCTGTCCAGGTTGTGACGTTAAGTCGAGCTGTTGCTGCCTCTGAGCAAGTTATGCGCATCACCGAATGCCAACCCTGCCCAATGAGCTCAACCAACCTCAGGTGGCGCCCTTTTATCGGGAGGACAGAAACAACGTCTGGCAATTGCGTGAGCTATGATCTGACGACCCGGTTTGCTAGCCATCATTGACATGTATTTTGATTGGATACAGGCGCGCAATCATCAATAACCCCCCAATCTTAATCCTCGACGAAGCGACAGCTGGCTTGGATGTGCATGCAGAAGTCGCGGTCGAAGCTGCTCTTGATCGTGCGTCTCTGGGTAAAACCGTCATAAATATCACCCATAAACCCCGACAAGCCAAAAAGGCCGACCACATGATTGTTTTGACATCGCATGGGGTAAGCCATCAAGGATCTCCGGATGAAATAAGAAGAAACAAACCCGTATTCTTTCTACTGGATGAGGATTCCAAAGGCTTGTTTGAAAACAGCAGCGCGCATGGTAATTCAATAGAACCAGCACCGGAGCCAAAATCGGTCCCAATTGGCTCACAGCACTTCGAACCCGGAGACTCCATTGCCTTGTTAGGCGTGGTGGTGAAGTACTCGCTGTTACGATCCATCGCAATCATTATGTATGACCAAAAGAACCACTGGCGATGGATGCTGGCCCTCTTGATCCCTTGCATACTTGGTGGTTCGTGATGTGCTCTTTGCGAAATTCCCTTAATACTAACCGGGCACTTAGGTCTTACCTTTGGTGCGGAAGCCATCATTTTTGGGAAAATTGTCCGTGTTTTTTTGCTGCCTGTCGCCCAGGTCCATAGTGCAGCTCGCTTCTGGGCATACATGTTTCTTGTCGTTGCAATTGCGACGTTTCTGATCTTCGTCGCCATCGGTCATAATGGCACGATTTTGAATTATGTGAGTTTTAATATTCAATTTTGGCAAGTACCCTATATCGGGCTCTTCTAACACCTCTCAATGAGATAGAAACTCAGCAGGGAGCATCGCCTTCAGTACCTCCAAAATATCATGCTACAGAAAATTGAATTCTTTGATTTACCACGCAACTCGCCCGGGGTCCTAGCGGAGAAACTACTGCAACACCCAAATGAAATTGAGGACCTTCTAGGGCGCAATATTCCCGTCATTGCCATCATGCTTGTGACTGTGATTAGCTGCTCTATCCTGAGTCTTGTGACAGGTTGGAAGTTCGGCTTGGTTGCTGTCTTCGGCTGCCTTGGTCCCATATGTCTCGCAGGACTTGTCAGGATCCAGCTAGAATATGTCATCGAACACCGGACACATGAGCTATATTACGAGAGTGCGGGTTTTGTATCCGAGTTTCTGCACTCAATGCGAACGGTGACCTCACTTTGTCTGCAACACACGCTCTTGTCTGAGTATCGCGAGTTGCTCAGCAGGCCTTTGCGCGAAACGCGAACGAAGGCGTTGATATCTTTGTCATTTCTGGCACTGGCGGACTCATTACAGCTCTGTGGTCTAGCCCTCTTGCTTTGGTAACCCCTAACGTCTATTTGAGGTCAGAATCGTCTTTTCCTGACCATCATAGGTACGGCGGAACACTGGTTGCAAGTCGCCAGTATACCCTCGAGGCGTTTTTCACCATTGCATCTAGCATGTTCTTCGCAGTACAGGCAATCACGAAATTCTTTGGGTTTGCATACAGTGAGCTCCATGTTCCATCTGAAGAAGAACACCACTCATGAGCTATAGGTTTTACAAAGAGCAAATTCGCAGCAAACCACGCTCTCTCCTAGAGAATCAAGAATGAGATGACCGAGACAATGCCCAGATCAGATGCATCTAATGAGGCGAAGAAAGAACTGGCAGTTTCCTTCCAGGAAGTCCATTTCCGATATCCGACTCGTGAGTTGCCGATCCTAAACGGCTTGAATGTAGACGTGAGTAGCCCATTGCGGAAAAGGTAAGTAATTGTCTACTAAACCAGGCTGAAGATCAGGAGCGGGCAAAAAGTCGCTTTTGTTGGGCCTTCTGGCTGTGGAAAAGTACGTTTCGTTGGACCCCGGTGGTGATGGTCTTGAACTGACAGGCTGTAGTCCACGATCCTACAGCTGATTGAACGGTTGATAGTGACCCCTCACAAAGAAAATACAATAAGCTAACATTCTCAGGTTCTACGAGCCATCTTCGGGAAACATTTACTTCCACGGTCAGCGCTCAGTCGAATTGGCAATAGGGGACATGCGACGGCGCACAGCGCTTGTTCCTCAAGGGCCTTGGCTTTATCGCGGTAGTTATACGAGAAATTGTAGTAAGTCTAAGTAGGGCTAACGATAATTAGGTTCGATTCGTGAAAATCTCTGTCTAGGCCTGGATCGAAATGTCACTGACACGGAGATCGTTGGCGCCTGTCAAGCTGCTGTAACCCATGACTTCGTATCATCATTGCCACAAGGTACCTACCTGGGAAGCCTCCTGCCCAGCCACTGACTGCCATTACTGATTTGCACGAAGGGCTTGAAACACAGTGCGGAGAAAGTGGTGGGATGAAATTCTCCGGTGGTCAACGGCAGCGCCTCCTGATTGCCCGGGCCCTACTCCGGAGGGCATCCTTACTTCTTCTCGATGAATGCACATCCGCACTCGATGGCCCGACCGAGAAACTTGTAGCACATGCGTTGCAGCACATTCCCCACGAAGTCACCGTTATTGCCGTAGCCCATGTGCGTGTCTTTTCGTGGTTGGCAGTTGGAGTGGAGAGAGACTGACGCAGCAGGCTGACAGCGTTTGTCGACCATTCGCAATTTTGATGTGATTTTCGTGTTGGACCATGGATGCGTCGTGGAGCAAGGGTCGTACGATGAGCTGATGAGACTCCGTGCGCGGTTCTACAACATGGTGCGTTGCGAGTAGCTCAGCCTCATGGTCATGGCTAGGCTAACCTTAGATATGTGTGACTCGACTCGCCCCAGGCGAATACCAGCCTTAGTGCCTGATCGGGTGCAAAGAATGTCAGGTACGGCTTTATCAGTCCAATGAACTTTTATTCGTGAAGCTAGTGCGCCTGAGCGTTCAGACAATTACTCGTTCACGGTGGCTCTGTTGTTACAGTAGAGTGGATGGAGAAACATGCGGCATGGGAACTGTTTTAATCATGTCCATAATATGTAATTGGAGTTGGTGAGGGCAATTATGGCTCACGCTAAGGACCCTCTCAGAGAGCCTTTTGCTGTAGCTTTTGGATCCACAAATACCTTGACTACACCTAAACCTAATGCTACAAGCATATATCAAGAACAGACACCGAAGACATTCGACAAGTCCAAAGCAAATGGGAAGAAACTCCAGAAACACCTTCGCTGGTGGAAAATGACGATGAAAATGCACAAGAAAAGAATAACACCGGATAGACGAAAGCCATGGAGGGAATGGCAAAAAAACAAGCTAGACCAAACGAGCAGGCTAACAATGCTAATGCTTGTGGCTCCTGTAATGCAAAGATGCAGGTGTTCAACAAATCGTCCGTCTATGCCAAAACCCCAGTTCTCATGGTTTCGACGGTCTTCACCCCGACGCCCTTCAACTTGCTGAGCTCGGTAAGGCTATTGATCTGGACGCGGGATTCGTCTGCCTGCGCGTCTAGGCCTTGATCCATCTCGCATAGACAGTCGACGATGGCTTCGGCTTTTTTGGCCCCGACGCCTTTCAGCAGTTTTATTTGGCTGACGTCGCGGGTATTGATGATCGAGAGGATATGGATCGTTCGAGGAGAGAGTGTTGTTTCATCGCAGTCGACTTCGGGCTCCTCTTCGATGGGGGACTGGGTCTTGGTGCGCTTCTTGCGTCGCGCGTGGGAAATCTCTCGGATTTCGTCATCATCACTCAGCTGCAGCGTGCTGTCACCGGGGTATTCGTAATCCTCGTCCAGGTCATGAGCTGCACGCTTTGCGCCTACCCTAGGGGGCTGCTTCTTCAGCGATAGCATGCTTCCAAGACCTCTCTGGGCCGATGGGGGAGCAGATACGATCGTGGTGTCAGCGTCCGGTCGAGGCTTGCCCTGGATGATGCGCTCCTTGAGAGTAGTGATCTTGGATGCAAGCTTCTCGTTGTTCGGGAAGAAAGGAAGGGCCAGCTGATACATCTTCAATGCGTAAGCGTCCTCCCCGCGTCCTTGGTGCTGTTTGCCCATGAGCAAGTAAGACAATCCCTCGGCCCGTGCATCCTCGCTACCCTCAATGCGCTGCTCAAGAAGCTCCAGACGCTTTTGTAATTGCTCATTCAGCTCGCGTACTTGAGTTTGCCGGGACTGCTCGCTGACTGCGCGAACGGCGAGAATTTCCTCGACTTTCTTTTCCACCATCTCTTCGATCCTAGCCGCAGAAATATCATCGTGGTGCCTTTGCGGTGGTGGTTGCGCAATGCGGCTAGGCTTCAGAGACCGAGGTGCATGAGATTCGAAGGACATAGAGGGCCGTTGAGGGATCTCAGGCTTCTTGAACTGTGTGGAAAGTCTAGGACGAGGTCCATCGGAGTAAACGTGGAATGCTTTGATAGGCTTGCCGTCACCCGGCTTCGAAGCGTCTTTATCTTTGTCCTTGTTTGCGGCAAGGTTCACATTCACTGAGGCCGTCAGTGGGCGCAAAGGTTGTCGCTGACTGGCAAACGATGGTCGCATTGCCGGTCTAGGGGGTCCCTTGAATATCGGCTCATTTTCCACCTCACGGACTTCAATCTTTTTCGTACGGTTGGCAAAATTGAGCGAGCTTAGCGTGTCCAGATGATAGGACTTGACGGGTGCAAGGTTCAGGATCATCACGGTCAACCCATTGTTCTGGCCCAGTGAGAGGATTCTGGTCATCTTGGATTCTCGGTAGGGAATCCTCTGGTGCTTTTTGCTAATCGCCTCCACACACTGCGCTAGAACGAACAGGCTTTTGTTGATGCTAGCAGATTCCACCATACGCTCCTTGTCATTGTCGGTGCGGCGGTTGTCTTCCGAGCCAGCCAGATCGATGGCCGATGCGGTGCTAACGCGCGTCTTGTCGCCGGTTTTGATGGCGACCTTGACACAGAGAATGGCGTGAGATCGCGAAGAGTGGGCGTTTAGCTATCTTTGAGGTTAGTAACCATTTGCGCATTGGTTCCAGGCTCTCGCTTCCGAATACTGACCTTGGTTGCCGATGTCGATCGGTTGGTGTTTGCTTGGTCGTAGAGAACCTCAAACTCCTTGAGGTTGGAGCAGGGCTTCTCCGTCAAACCTACAACAACAGTCTTTCCGCCATTGTCCCGGAGCGGCAGCCCGGAAAATGTCCTCTTCTCTGGGGGCTCGAGTAGATCGAAGACCTTGTCATTGTAGATTTCGTAATAGCTTAGCGAAACCGTAGCCGTTGACTCTCCCTCGCTGTCCTTTTCGATCTTGCGGCTGCGGCGATAAATGCTACTGAGAAAACGGGGGATCACGCCTCTCTCCGCCATGCTTTTACCACCTCGCATCGTATGTGTTTTGCCCGTTCCCGTAACCCCATATGCGAACAGCGTGACGTCGAAGCCATTAAAGAGATGTTTTGTCGTAGGCGCGACTGCAAAGAACCCAAAGTCAGTATGCCAGCAACATTCCAAGACAAGTGGCAGGTCGGCACGAACCCTCTGCGTCGAAGAGCTCCTGCTGCGAGGCATCGGAGTCGTACACGGCGTTGAATTGGAACGAGTACTCCTCGTTTTCATTCTTCGGGTTCGGGATGCGCACCAGCGTATCCCTATCCCTCAGAGCCGCCAACTTCGCATTCTCCGAGGAGCTCTTCTTCTCGGTCTTTCCGGGGACAGTCTGCTTCGCTCCGCTATGGAGGATGACATCCAGCTCTCGCTCCGACTTCAAGAGGGGTCGGATACGTGCAACCACCCGAACGCTCATTTTGCCAATTTCCGCGAATGTCAGGGCCCGCTATCGTGCAGCTTCGGTGTTCGGTTCCGTTGTATTGGAGGGCGCGGGTTTGTGGTGCTTCCGTGCCGGTAGATTTGATCCGATCGAGGTCTATGCGCGGTGCATAGGTTCTGTTATGTTGAATAGGGTTAAATAAAAACAATTGACTCCAGCTTGATGCACTAATTAAAGTGTTTGTCTCTTGCTGAGCACCGTCAAAAAGAACACCGGGTTCTTAATGCAAGGTGAATATGACAGGAAACCGCAAGGAAGAAACCAAACAATAAGACCGAGGCAAAGGCGAACCCAGGGATCAAGTAATTAGGATCCAAGGAGGCGTCGGGGTGATTGGGGAGGGTGGATATTAATGCGTGAAAAGCAAAGAGGGTCTCTTGCAAGAGTGACAAGGAGAGCGTTGTGGTGCGAGTGGCAGCGGTCTGTTGTTGGCACGGCAACGCCCCGGGCATTCCACGTTCGTTCTTGGGAGTTCCCGCGAGCCTCCATTTGTAGTGCACCTGGAACTATGGGAGTATCCTATATATGAGGAGTATATGAAGATCTCATTAGTTATTGGAAGCTTCCCTGTGCACATTATGATTATCTTAACATCTCAGGAATCCATCTTGCATGACCCATGATATTTCAGGACAGGTCGTACCATGGAGTATACTATACTATTTTCTATACCCTGTGTGACCTTATACTACCTCGAGATTGACTCTTTCCTCTCCTTATGTTTGGTGGCCGAGTATATTCGGGCTAGAAGGAGGTATAACATACTGTACATCGTGATTGTATACTAGAAGTATGAGAATCTCTCGAGCACCCGATGAGATCATCACTCCGAGGATATACGCATTTTGTGCAGCCACTTAATAGTCCAGAGTAAAGACGTCAATTTTGATATATTCTTGGCCACCATTTATCTTTATTTCCAAATCCTGCCCTGATATACTCGCCGTTCTGCGTACCTCCTCTGGGGCTGATCGGCTACGCTGCCGGCCGCTCTGATTGGCCCGCAAAGGCCACCGTACACCATCCAAAGTCCAAGTCGTCGCTGCGATCGCTCCGTCCTTCTCTCTTCCCCTCCGAGGACACGTTGATCGGTCTTATTAGGTGCCATCTACGTGTGGTATCTTGTTTTCTTGTTCTTTGTCTTTTTAATCCTTTTACTCATAGATTTGGTCGGCTCAATTCCCGTTGTTAGTACGCAGAGTCCCCCGGCTCCAGTTCCCCTCCTGTCCACAATCCCCAAGCTGACCGCCAACATAGTGAGCCTTTAAATCGATCTCCCGCGACATCTGCTTAATTCCCGAGTCCACCTCGAACGACCTCCTGAACACACCCCCACAATCTACTGAACCCCGAGATCACCAATTTCATAGACTCCTTCATGGCAGCACCACAAGGGGGTTATCCTCCCCAGGAAGGGTACGGCTACGAGTCCCCGGTTCAAGGCACGGTTCCCGGAGCCCCTGGCCAAGGTCAGGCTGGAGGAAAGAAGAAGCGAGCATACGCCGGAGAGGCCTTCGAGTTTGGTTCTGGCGCCAATGCTGCTCTAGGAGGTCAACTGCCCGCCGGTGGCAGCTATGGAGCCTACCCCCCTCAGCCCCAGGCGGCGGGATACCAGCAGCCCGTTGCGTATGGAGCCGACCCGGTCCCGATGCAAGCTGCTGCTGCCCCTGCTGCTGCGCCAGGATATAGCGCACCCGTCGCACAGATGACCCAACAGTTTGGCGCCATGGGGATGACGGATCCGCATCTCCTGCCTCCTCAGCCTCCGCAGGCCGTGCCTCAGATGCCGCGGGCCGTTCCCCTCAACCAACTGTACCCGACGGACCTCCTCACACAACCCTTCAACGTTGCGGAACTCGACTACCCTCCACCTCCCATTGTTTTGCCTCCGGGGGTATGTGCTGGATAAATGCTCGTGCCGACGTGCGCAAGGAAATTTGACTAACCGTTGGATGCAGACAAGCGTGTATCCCTCCCCCTATGCCAACTGCCCGTCGAAATATGTCCGGTCAACGTTGAACGCCGTCCCGACCACCCACTCCCTCCTCAAGAAATCGAAGCTGCCTTTCGCCTTGGTCATCCAGCCGTACGGCGCCCTCCACGATGCCGAAGACCCCGTTCCCGTCATCCCAGACCAAGTCATCTCGCGTTGCCGACGATGCCGATCCTACATTAATCCCTTCGTGACTTTCCTCGACCACGGACATCGCTGGCGCTGCAACATGTGCAACCTGACCAACGATGTACCTCAGGCCTTTGATTGGGACACCACGCTTCAAAAACCCGCCGATCGGGCCTTGAGACCCGATCTCAACCACTCGGTGGTGGAGTTCGTTGCTCCTCAGGAATACATGGTCCGACCTCCGCAACCGCTCGTCTACCTCTTCCTCATCGATGTCAGCTATGCGTCGGTCACAAATGGTCTCCTGGCCACGAGTGCTCGGTGTATCAAGGAGAGCCTCGACCGAATCCCCAATGCGGACCGCCGGACGCGACTGGGCTTCGTTGCGGTGGACTCGAGCCTGCACTACTTCAGCATCCCCCGAGACGGATCGGAGAACTCGGATCCTAGGATGCTTGTTGTCAGCGATCTCGACGAGCCTTTCCTTCCCATTCCCGGAGACCTTCTCGTCACCCTGAGCGAATGCCGCGAGAACATCGAGACCTTCCTGGACAAGCTGCAGGAAATGTTCCAAAACACCCAGAACAACGCCTGTGCGATGGGATCCGCCCTGCGTGCCGGTTACAAGCTCATCTCTCCCGTCGGTGGAAAGATGACCGTGCTGAGCTCGTCTCTTCCGAATATCGGACATGGTGCCTTGACGATGAGAGAGGACAAGAAGGTTTTGGGCACGAGCAAGGAGAGCAGCTTGTTGCAGACGGCCAACAGCTTCTACAAGAGCTTTGCCGTCGAGTGCTCCAAGGCGCAGGTTTCCGTGGACATGTTCCTGTTCTCTTCTCAGTACCAGGACGTGGCGTCTCTCAGTAACTTGCCGAGGTACACCGGAGGTCAGACGTATTTCTATCCGGGCTGGAATGCCGCCCGGGGAGAGGACGCGATCAAGTTCGCTCGGGAATTCTCCGACTACCTGTCGTCCGAAATCGGGCTGGAGGCCGTGCTCCGTGTGCGCGCTACGACTGGCCTGCGCATGAACACGTTCTACGGAAACTTCTTCAACCGCAGCTCCGACCTCTGTGCCTTCCCGGCCTTCCCTCGCGACCAGGCCTACGTTGTTGAGGTTGCCATCGACGAGACCGTCACGAAGCCCGTCGTGTGTATGCAGACGGCGGTGCTCCACACCACCTGCAACGGCGAGAGAAGAATCCGGGTGCTGACCCTGGCCCTGCCGACCACTCAGAACCTGGCCGATATCTATGCCTCGGCGGATCAGCAAGCGATTGCCACCTACTTCAGCCACAAGGCTGTTGAGCGGACGCTCGGAAGCGGCCTGGAACCTGCTCGCGAGGCGTTGCAGGCCAAGCTTATCGAGCTGCTGTCGACGTACAGGAAGGAGCTGGCTGGTGGAAGCGTTAGCGGCGGTGGCCTTCAATTCCCCGCCAACTTGAGAGGATTGCCTGTTCTCTTCCTGGCTATGATCAAAAATGTAAGATACTCCGAGGTTTCTCAATCCCCCCTCTGTACATGACTGACATTCGCGTTCCAGCTGGGTCTCCGGAAATCCGCACAGATTCCCACCGATATGCGATCGGCCGCTCTTTGCCTGCTGTCGACGCTTCCCCTTCCCCTTCTGATGCAGTACATCTACCCGAAGATGTACTCTCTCCACGACATGCCGGACCAGGCGGGCTTGCCCGATGAGCAGACGGGAGAAATCGTTCTTCCTCCGCCGGTGAACCTGTCCTCCGAGCGGATCGTTCCCTACGGACTCTATCTCATCGACGACGGGCAGACGCAATTCCTCTGGGTCGGGCGCGACGCGGTGCCGCAGCTCGTCCTCGACGTCTTCGGTCTCCCCGACAAGTCGCAGCTCCGCGTGGGCAAGCAGAACCTGCCGGATCTGGACAACGACTTCAACCAGCGCGTGCGGGCGGTGGCCGAGAAGAGTCGGGATCACCGGTCGAAGGGAGTGGGCAGCATCGTGGTGCCTCACCTCTACGTGGTGAAGGAGGATGGAGAACCTGGACTCCGACTGTGGGCACAGACGATGCTGGTGGAAGACCGGGCGGACCAGAGTGTCAGCCTGGTGCAGTGGATGGGGTCATTGCGCGAAAAGGTTTGATCCCCTTTCTCTCCTTTGTCTGATCCGCCCCGTCCAAGGAATGAAAACCAGAAGAAAACAAAAAAACCAAGGTCATTCGACTGACGAGGATGAACGCGCGCACAGGTCGTCCAGTAATGATGATAGTTCTGTGATTACAAACCAGCCATTTTGGTAAATGATGCGAAAGATATCAATAAATTCCAATGACTTTTTTTTGTCTATTTGTTTCAAAATCCAGGGTGTTTTTTATTTGATTCTATTTTTTCTTTTTTTCCTTTCTTCCTTTCAAGCTGTATCATTATTATATTTTTGTTTGTTTGCTTTTGTCTCGATGCGCAATGTCAAGTCACCACCAGAACCTCCCACGCACATACAATGAATCCACCACAGCTGCCATGCCCAGGATTGGACTCCTGCAGTGTAGACTTTAGATCACAGCTTAGCCTGGCCGACCAGTCGAGGGCGACGTGGCAAATCAGCATGCAGAGGGCGAGCGTGGCGTCTCTCGCACGACCCGACTTGCATTGGGTGCCAAGGGAGCAGAGCGCAGCGCAGAGCCGAGCAGAAGCCGAAGCAGAGACATGCAGGAGCCACCAGAGAAGGCGGAATCACTCACGCGCCGTGACGAGTGACGAGAGTGACAAGTGACAAGTGACAGACGTGATGGTGATGGCCGAAGGGGGCGGGGGAGGGGTTTTTTGTTGATCATCCTCGAGTTTCTCGGGATGTCTCCCTCTGCACACAACTACTAGTACTACTCCTACTACTCCTACTAGTTACTACTCCGACTACGGATGACTACGGACCTGTCGTTGTTGATTGACTCTGAACTCCTCAGACAAGCTAATCCAAAGCCAACCCATCCGAAGGGGACAGTTAGCGCCGTGACGAGTTAGTGCCTCCCCTGAGAAATGAAACACTGGTCCAGACGGACGCCCCAGTTGGTCCCCGTCCGTTGTTTGGGCAAGGAGGCATTTGTCGGTCTGCTTTTTATCTTTGCTGCGTCTCTTCGTCGTCGGATTCCTTTTTTAATCGAACACCCGAGCTGCATTCGAGTAGACTACATCGTGGATGCTTAAGATAGTAATGACCCCGTCTCTATCTATGGAGATAGGAGGAGGGAGTCAGATGGATGCAACCTTTCCAGACTAGACAGTAGACAGTGTTAATTCCATGCCTTGCCTCGTATATCGTATTGAACATGCCGAATGTACTCCGGAGCACGGAAGTAGAAAGTAGATATCGCCATCCATCAACGGTACGGACCCGTCGATCGCCGACGAGGATCCAAGGAACAGGATCCAGGGAACCTTCGCTGGAGTCTGGTTCTGGATCTGTCCTTTCCACCGTTCAGACATCTCTGTTAAATATTGTTTACTCCGACAAAGTCCAGGAAGACTTCCCCTCCACGGCGGCCCCACCGCTTAATCTCCTTTGGGTTTCACGGCGCTTCGTTCCATCAGCCCCTCCTCTCTTCTCCTCTTCTCTCCTCGCCTTCTCTCGCGGTGGGTATTTGCTCGACTCGTCTCCTCCATCCTTTTCTCTTCCCCCTCCCCGTCGTCCGGCCTTCCAGCTTGATAGACCGTCCGCTGCGTCTTTGCCTGTCGAAGCGTTTAAAAATAGAACACGCCCGTGAAACATCCATCTCAGGTCCAAGACCGGCCCTGCTCCTTGAGGTATGGCCGTTCTCCTTTTTCTCGGTGCTCTGAACCCTGCATGGTTCCTTTGTCGACCCTCCAATGCTCGTCAACGGTCCCTGATCCAGGACCTGATCCATTTCCGGTCCTAGATTCTTTCGTCTCTGTCGCCGAGCCACTGTCCTTCGTTGTCTTGCTTACACGCCGTCCATTGTTCGCATTCAGATTCCATTCATCCACGTCATCTCCGAGTCCCCCTCGACCGCAAACCCCGGCGATCCCGTCCACTATCTCTCCAGGACGTTTGACTGAGCGGACGCATCCCAGCTCGTTTCGATCGCAGACACGGGCGCCATACCCCGCATTCGACCCTCGAACCGCCGTCCCCTGCTTCTCCACCGTCAGCGCATGCGAGCCTGCTGCAACTAATCCCTCGTCTCCCAAGATCTCTCTTTGCCGTGTAAATCGAATGTAAGCGCCATCTTTGCATCCGCCTGGGACGGGGTCTGGTCACAACGTCACTGGGTTGTCATTTGCTGGTGATCTGCCTGCAACCAGCGGGGATGGCGTGTCTCTTCGGCTGCTGAGCACGCAGGTCCTGGTGCTGGTTGCTTTCCCACATGCGTGAACCAGGAACAACCCGCTGGACCGACTGGACCGACTGACCTCCGTCGTTTACGCACCGTCACTAACGCAGTCTAGTTCCTCATAATCAGCAACAATGGTGCAGCAGCTGCCTCCCCAAGGAGGGTCGCGCAAGATCTCCTTCAACGTTTCCGATCAATACGAAATTCAAGATGTTATCGGTGAAGGTGCCTACGGAGTTGTCTGGTAAGAACGGCCCTGTGAGGGGGGGTCAAACCTCGAGCTGATACTGACATCTTCTAGCTCCGCTATCCACAAGCCCTCGGGGCAAAAAGTCGCCATCAAGAAGATCACCCCGTTCGACCACTCGATGTTCTGTCTGCGAACTCTGCGTGAAATGAAGCTGCTGCGGTATTTCAACCACGAGAACATCATCTCCATTTTGGACATCCAGAGACCTCGCAACTATGAAAGCTTTAACGAAGTCTATCTGATTCAGGTAAAGGGATTTTGATGGGATTGTCAGCACGCAGACAAGATGCTCACCATTGTCACAGGAATTGATGGAGACAGACATGCACCGCGTGATCCGTACCCAAGATCTCTCCGACGACCACTGCCAGTATTTCATCTACCAGACCCTGCGTGCTCTCAAAGCCATGCACTCCGCCAACGTTCTCCACCGTGACCTCAAACCCTCGAATCTTCTCCTCAACGCGAACTGTGACTTGAAAGTCTGCGATTTCGGTCTCGCTCGTTCGGCTGCGTCTACGGACGACAACTCGGGATTCATGACGGAATATGTGGCGACTCGATGGTACCGTGCTCCGGAAATCATGTTGACCTTCAAAGAATACACCAAGGCCATCGACGTGTGGAGTGTTGGCTGCATCCTAGCCGAGATGCTGAGCGGCAAGCCTTTGTTCCCAGGCAAAGATTGTAAGTTCATCCTCTGGGAATGATGATAATGGACTCTAAGCAGAACTAATATGAGCCTCAGATCATCATCAATTGACTCTTATTCTGGATGTCCTCGGGACACCAACCATGGAGGATTACTACGGAATCAAGTCCCGACGAGCCCGGGAGTACATCCGTTCTCTTCCCTTCAAGAAGAAGATCCCATTCCGAGCTTTGTTCCCCAAGAGCAACGAATTGGCGCTGGATCTTTTGGAGAAGCTTTTGGCGTTCAATCCCGCCAAGCGAATTTCGGTGGAGGATGCCTTGCGTCACCCCTACTTGGAGCCTTATCATGACCCGGAGGATGAGCCCACGGCGCCGCCAATTCCTGAAGGCTTCTTTGATTTCGACAAGAACAAGGATGCTCTCAGCAAGGAGCAGTTGAAGAGTGAGCCCAGTCCCAGTCTATTCTTTAGACCGACTCATACTGATTTGTCTACAGTCCTGATCTACGAGGAGATCATGCGGTAAATACTCCGATAGCAAGACATACACATGTCTATCTATTCTCGTATCCTAGGATTTGGAAACATGAAGAAGCTGAGGGCTAGGAAACGGGTTGTTGTTTTGAGTCTCACATCTCAGTTGCATAGACGAAAGCCAGGGTTAAACCATGCTCGCGCATTTCGACTACGATACTCGTCTCGATTGTCATTTTGACCCATTGATCGTTCAGGCGTCCGGTTGCTTTCCCATAGTTTACAGTAGTGAGCAGATAAGCTGGTCTTAGCGAGCACCTTTAGCAGTCGCCCTGGTAAATGGTAAATCTATATCATATACAGCATACTCTCGGATTAATCCACCCCAAACCCATCGTCAATCACGAAGACGACCCCCTCCATTTGTCCATAAACCTCTCAATCCCCTCCCCAACTCCCTCCTGACTCGGCCTCTCTGCACAAACATCCACCTCAAACCCCAACTTCCGCAAATGATCCCTCGTCGTCGGCCCAATCGTCGCCACAAATATCCCCTCCAGCCTCTTGCCCCCTCCCTCTTCTTCCCCTTGCCCTCCTCTCTGTCTCTGCTTTTCCAAAACCCTCACCATCGCATCACACCCCGTCGGCGAAAACACAACCACCCACACTGCCCTCTTCCCTTGCCCATCTGCATCCCCATCTAAATACCCCCTCGCCGCACCAACCGCCTCCCCAAACTCCCTCTCAAACGACCCCATCACCCCCGTCTCGTACACCACCAGCTCATCAACCCCGATGCGTCGACCCGGCTCCGCACCCATTAACGTCTTGGGAATGATATCGCGGCGCTGTTCGCCGACGAGGAAGAGGAGCGGTAGCTGTGCGTCATCACCGTAACCATTACTACCACCACCAGCAGCGGCAGTGTTTCCGGCAGTGTCAGAGGAGGGACCAGAGGAGTGAAAAGCGGGATAATGCTGTAGAATGAAATGGGCCAGGGCTTCGCCGTTCCCGGTCTCTGCGCCGTGGATGGTGGCGTGGGGGAGGTGCGCGTCTCGGAGGGTCGTGAGGGAGCGGGAGGTTGCGGGTCCGACGGTGTAGAGGGGGAGGGAGTGGGAGGCGGGAGAGGTTATTGAGTCTATTTGAGATCTCTAGTTAGTTTCATCTGTGTGTATCCGGTACTCTAGGACGTAAGGTAGGGTGAAGCTAAATGAATGATTGGGAAGTGAACCTACCATCCAACTCATCAACCAATTTCGCGAACCCCTCGACAGCGCGCTGGCTGGTGAAGATCAGCCCGCCATATTTCCTGCCTGGGCCTGGGTTCAGCGCGCCGGACTCGAAGAGCAGGCGGACGGAGCGGAGGTTTGGTTCGTGGAAGTGGTGTTCGAGGACGGGGATGAAGGCGGGGTTGTAGTTGTGGGCGGAGAAGAATTCCTCGTAGCCGTCTGCGGGCGAGGATTTGGTTTTGAGTAGTAGGATTGGCGTGGCGGGGGAGGAGGCGAAGGAGAAGGGGGAGTTCGTCATGGTGGATGTGTCTTTGGGGGGATGTGGTGGGGTTGAGGAGTAGAGGTTGAAGCTTTAGTTAATTGCCCTGTCGGTGATGGAGCTCCGAGGTACGGAAAGCGAACGACGTCATTATCTCTACGATCTGAGGCTCCACTTCAACAACAAATGGGAAAACTTCGAGTCTAGTAACTTATATACATTAAAGAAACACAATCCACTACTGGGTGTCCAGGACGTGCAGGTACTTCTTCTCCTCCCGTTGCTCCCGCTCCGTGGCAGGGGGCAGGTCGTAGTACGAGGCGCTACGGTATCCTTTCTGTAGAGACAGTTAGCATAAAACTCCGGATAAGTCCTGTGCGGAGAGCTTACCAGGTAGTGGAAAGTCAGATTGGCCAGGTCATCAGGCTCAATGCCCAAGTCCTTGAAGGTCTTAGCAGTCGGGTCAATCTGCTGGTCCATGAACTCGCGCTCCACCTCGTCGGCGGACATGGTGGGGAACCAGATGAACTTGTTCAGGTAGTACGCCAGAGGCTTCAGGGCGCGCTTGGGAATGTTGATGTGGCGGCGGTGCTTGATGATTTCGCGGTCGACCAGCTCGGCAATCTCAGCAGTCGAGTAGTTCTTGGGGCCGTAAAGCTCATAGGTCTGACCAGCGGTGGAGTCGTCGTGGAGCATAAGCTCGAGGGCAGCACCGACGTTGATGGCCTATTACTACGTCAGCTTCTCTTACCGGAACAAAGAAGGCACTCTCTCGTTGGGCCTGGACTTACGTGAACGGGCCAGAAGCGCTCCTGCATGTGGTTGGCGGTGAAAAGGTTAGTCACGCCAGCAAGCTTGTGGAGGAGGTTGTCCTCAAAACCGAACATCGGGGCGGGTCGGACGATGGTGGTCTCGGGGTAGATGGAGCGAACGATTTCCTCTCCCCATCCCTACGCTGGATTAGCTTCTTTGCTGCTCTTGGTTGAGTTGGACATAGTTCAACCGACCTTGGTCGCGAAGTACTCGGAGGGAGAGTCCTTGTTCGCGTTGTAGGAAGAGACGTGGATGAAACGGTCGATGTCGTACTTGGCAGTGGCCTCAACGATGCGCTCCACGCCGTCGACATGGACATCGGTGTACGAGAAGTTCCTGCACGCCTATTAGTAGGCCCTCAAACCATCTGCATGTTTGTTCCACTAACTTGGTAGGATACTGGCGACCGACAAGGTTGTAGACAATGTCGGAGTGACGGACACTCTCCTCGATCGACTGGGTGTTACGCAGATCGTATTCCTGGAAGCGTTTGTGTAAGTCGCTCGTGTTCCGGGTAGGACTCGCGCTAAGGAAATACATACGATGAAGGTGACACGTCCGAGATCACCAGTCGGCTTCAGGTGTCTCTTGGCCATCTCCTCGCGGTAGGGAACGACAACGTTGCATCCCTGCGTAGCTGCTCCATGTTAATTACTCGCGGTCGGTTTCCATCGGGGTCAATTGAGGACCTACCGAGCTTGTTGACAATGTATCGGCCCAGGAAACCAGTAGCACCGAAGACAGTCGCGGTGTGACCTAAATTGCAGTTCGAGTTAAATTCTCTGCGGGCGATGCGATGCGGTCGGGAAAAAAGGGCTATATGTACCTCCCAAAGACGACCTGTGAGAGCGTTCAGTCAGCCATCTGTCTTGAGACACCACATCAATGCAATTGCGCCTTACCGTCCACCCTGAACCTTCAGGATCGGCTTTCCGGTCCGGGAAATAGCAACATCCTGGAGATTGCGGCGCTGCGACTGCAATTGGACTCGAGGGGTGGGGGGGACGATTGTCCTCGACCCCAAGGCGGAATTGGCGGCCCGGCACTTCTGCATGGTCTCTGTTCAAGTGGTCAAACAGACGAGACCAGCGAGTTCAGTAGGAGAGAGTGGGAGAGTGGAGAGAGCGAAGCTCAGCAGGCGGGACTTGTGCTGGAAGCTGGACTTCACGACGGTCGTCGTCCTTGGAGAAACGCAAACCAAACTGCCCGGCACGGGACTTGGTGCGCTAGTCCGCATTCGGACAGCACTCTCTGGCCTGACTATTGCTCGACGGTGATTGGCTGATTGGACTCATATTGCTTATTCATCCTCGTTCTTGCATTTGATCTCGCATTCTCTCTCTCTGTGTACATTACAACTACTACTTTCACCCGATGTCCGGCAATAATTATGGTCTTCGAATTAAAAGCTATCCCCTACATCCTATGAAAGCTGCGCTCTCGCCGTGAAAATGGTCATGGAGAAACTGTGCCCGTTCTTATTGAATGACCACGGCTCCTCTAGGACCTGGTAGTCAAAGTTCATTCCGACTCCAGCTGCATCATACAGCTTCTGCATGTCAGCCTGGGTGAACCCATGGGTCTTGATCGTATGTTTGGCGTCTGTGAATTCCTCTTCATTCTCGTGAGAGTCGTCATGTCCATGAGAGTGACCATGTCCATGTCCATGCGGGTGGTGGTCTGATCCGTGAGAATGAGGATGCTGGTCATTTGGGATCATGTCGATAATCAAGCACGTCCCGCCCTTCTTCAACCGCTCCGCCAACCGCTTCACGGCTAGATCCGGCTTTTCAAAGTGGTGCAGGGCCATGCTGACAACCACGACGTCAAAGTCGGAAAACTCGGGACCTGAGAGTTCTGTTGACCCGGATTCCCCGAAGAGGTTGCCTTTGTAGCCGACCATCTTATCTGCGAAACCAGCCTCACGCGCATTGTTGTTGTATTCCTCAACCATTCCATCGGAGATATCCAAGCCAACAACTCGAGTGGCGAAGGGTGCCAGCGCCTTGGACTTGTTAGCTTCTCTCCGTTGGATAATTGCTGCTCACAGCAGGTGCTCTTCTCACCAAAGAAACGGTTCCTGGACCACATGCATATTCGAGGACCTTGATCTCCTTTCCTTTTCCGGCTTCCGTGTCTGTCCAAGTGTCACTAGCCCAGAGGCGACGCTCCTGGACTGTGCGGTACATCTTGGCCATGGCGTCGCTAAAGTCGTCTTTGTAGGTTTTGGACAGTTTCCTGTGACCTTGATCAGCCGTTGATTCTTTTGGCATGCAGCTGCAGGTGACTTACTCAAAGACCCGTCTATTCTTTTCGGTGAAGTCCTCCATGGTTGATGGGATGGTACTGGTAGAGTTGTAGAAGAAAAGAGATAGTAGGGGGAGCAATGTTAGGATATACAGGAAGATGCGGTTATGGAGTATAAACATAATACGAAAGAGAAGAAAAATGAAGGAAATGAGCAGCAGCGATGGCCATATTTATAGGGTCCATTGGCAATAGATGATGGACTCAGCCTGATGCCGTCTGGAATTCTAGGCTTTGTCGGAGAGATATCGGACACTTTCCATGGACAGTCATCAGACCCTCAATGGGTTGGAGAACCAGGGGCGAGAACGATCTAAGCACTAATCTTGGCCAGTCTGGCCCACAGAGAATGGAAAGCATCCGAGAATGTCTCCGGGGACAGAGTAGACAGTATTCTGTAGAATCTACAGAGGGTATACTATAGATCGCAGGCACAGAACGATGTCATGTGGCGGCTCACCGCCTTCGCCTCCGGTCAGCTCTCGATTCCATGAGAGTCGCCCGTTGCTGCTCCTCCCCGCCAGAACAGCTCTTCCCTACGCTTCCTCCGCCCCATTCTATCTCATCAAGCTATCCATCGCCTCTCTTCGACCTTCCATCGTATTGCCTCAACACTCCTTGCGCCCTCATCTCCGCCATGGAGAACCAAAAGATCTCCGACTTCCTAGCCGACCAGCTGCAGCGAGCTCCCGAATCATGCCAACCCTTCTTCCTCAGCTTCGAAGACCACTGGGAGCGTAAGCTATGGCATCAGCTTACCGATTCCCTGATCGAATTCTTCCGTCTACCAGAGAGTGCTCCCCAACGACTACCGATATTCAAGACGTTCGTGCTCAGCTTCGCCGACCGGATCAACCAGCTCAAGTTCGTGTCGCTCGGTTTGATGGCGTCGACGCAATGTGCCGGTAAGTATCAAAAGACTCGGAGTTGATGCGTCCCACTCTTGGGAGGAAAATGTTTTATCTAGACTTCATCTAGACGTTCTGGGGGCTGATATCGTTCCGTTCACAGATGACCAAGAACGACTGTCCTTCCTCACATCACTCGCCGAGAAAGTCAATAAGCCCGAGTCACAAGATGCCTACATCTATGCCCTTGCGGATGTCGCCAATGTCAAGCAACGACTACAGAATCTGGACGGGGCGCAGAAGGACTTAGAGCTGTGCCAGAAGGTCTTGGATACCTTCGACGCGGTGGAGACTGTTGTGCATGCCTCCTTCTACAAGGTTAACGCTGACTACTTTCACGTATGTGTTTCCCGTCCTTTGACAACCCAATTCCGAGGAACCCCTTCGTATTGACCTTGATACATCCAAACAGGCCAAGGAAGAATTCGCCTCTTTCTACAAGAACGCCCTTCTCTATCTCGCTTGCGTCACCCTAGAGGATCTCGACGAATCCGAGCGTGTCTCCCGCGCCTACAATCTCAGCGTGGCCGCGCTCGTCTCCGACTCCATCTACAACTTCGGTGAACTGCTGCTGCACCCCATCCTGGACTCCCTCACCGAAACCCCCCACAACTGGCTGCGCGATCTCCTCTTCGCCTTCAACCGCGGTGACCTGACGGCCTATGACGTTCTCGCCGGCAACATCTCCAAGAACCAGCTGCTCGAGCAGCACCGCATCTTCCTGTACCAGAAAATCTCTCTCTCCGCCCTCACGGAGATGGTCTTCCGTCGGCCCCCGCACGACCGCAACCTGACCTTCGCGTCCATCTCCTCCGAAACCAAGGTCAAGCCCGAGGAGATCGAGCATCTGATCATGAAGGCTTTGTCGCTGGGCCTGCTCAAGGGCGCCATCGACCAGGTGGGCCAGGTCGCTCAGATCCACTGGGTGCAGCCCAAGGTCCTGGATATGACTCAGATCGACGGCATGCGGAACAGACTCAAGGACTGGGATGCGGGTGTGAACCAGCTGGGTCACTGGATCGAGGGTGTTGGAAAGGACGTGTGGGCTGCATGATTTATAGGTCTCTTTTTGTTTCCACTAAAAAGGGTTCCCACCATGGCATGTATGTACGAAATCAGTACTAGATTCCTCACTATAATTGAATCACGTATGAAGTAAATCACCCATTGGGTATATTAGTTCCAGATATAGAATTCAAAACTTGCTCCCAGCAGGCTACTCTTTCCCTGCAACTCATTTTCTTTTACATATTGCTTAGTATATCTCCTAAGATAGTCCACTTCTGTTCTTGGTTTATAGGATGGCCTTTCTACGAGCCTTACCACCTTTAATCACTGGGTCTTATAAAACTAGAGATGTATATACAAGCAACGCACCAATGAGCCGGGAATCGATCATATACAAACATACTACTCAAGAAAAGAACACACACATATATATATATATGTCTGTATATACTATATCATGGATGATCTCTAGTCTGCGCAGGAAACCCAAACAGATAAAAGAAAAAACAACAGGGCTTAATCTCAAAAGAACGAAGAACCTAGCAATGCACAACCAATCACCCAGGCAGGCCACCAGACACACCAAACCACCACCTGCGTCCACATGCCCCAGACATCCCATCCAAAGGCAGCCTGCGTCAAGACCGTCTCGACCGAAACCCCCGTGTACCAGCAAGCAGCCAGAACCACGACCGGGGGCGACAGGGCGTTGAGGATGAGGAGCCCGATGGTAGACAGAGCGTAGCGGAGGGGAGCGTTGACGCGGGGACTGACGCGGGTGATGAAGCTGAGCGGGGTGCAGAGGAGGCCGACCATGAAGGAGAGAGAGAAGTTGAGGGTGGCGAGGGTGGAGAGGAAAAGGCCAAGAAGGAGGAGGGAGAAGGACTTGATGAGATGGTGTTGTTGGGGGTTGGAGGACTTGGAGTTTTGGGTGAGGAGCGTTGCAAGGGCGACGGGGAGGATGATGTCGGCTGCGATGCAGGTGTAGGTTGCGGTAGTGAAGTACTGGGGGTATTGTGAGCTGTGGAGTGAGAGTGAGGGCGATGCGGAGTGGTGACTTACCTTGTAGGAGAGGTTGTTGAAGATGTAGAGAGGAACCAATCCAAGCAAGTGAAGGCTGACAACGAAAGTCAGGGGAAGGGCGAGGTGACGCTCGATGTCACCATCTGAGCTAGGCTTCTTTTCCGGCGCGCCGTTGTCTGCATTGGGAGTTTCTTGAGCCTTGGCTGGTTTGTCCTTGGATTTCTCATCTTGCGAAGGAGCGGTCTTGGAGGATGCCTCCTGAGCAGCCCGATAGTACCCAGTCCGCAGCCACAAGGTGATCGCCATGATGGTAAAGTTGCCGGCAACCAGCATCGCACTGGGGAGATATGTACCGATGCTGACGAAACGGTTGGTGTGCATCAGAAGGTAAAAGAAGAAACTCTGATGCAAGTGCTCCAGCAAATTGTTCAAGCTGCGGCAGAGACTCTCCACGGTTCGACCCAACGCCATTTCATCCTGCCAGCCGTCACCTTTGGTCTGTAGAGTGATCGCGTCGATATGGTACGGCATAAAGCTACTATGGGCTCCCGTGGCGTACCCAAACCCTTGCTTGATCATGCCTCTCATGATAGTCTCGAGGCGTCTCTCGTAGCTATCATTGTGATTCCACATCTCCTGTAAACTGGATCCAATTCCCATCTGACCTCCGGCAATGGACACCGCAGTGTTGAAAAGATCTAAGTTGGGCAGTTGACCGTTGACGCCATCGTAGACAATGTGCAACGACTCGAAGCGATGATCGAAAGGATACTCGATAACCAGGCCTCCTTGCAACGCACCGCTCTTCAACGGAAGAGGCTGGACAGATGACGGTTGCATATCGTGGTAGGCGTCGATCCAGGCCTGCGTCCCTGTCTTACTATCAGGCGTAATCACGAATATAATATCCTTGGACCACAAAGACCATCCTGAGAGGGAAATTAGCCAGAAAATCCACTTCGAGGACCGTTCAGACTCACGTTTGAAATACCGTGCCAGCGTCAGTGCCAGCGTAACACCATTGAGGTTCAACTCTCCATCCACAGTTTTCCAGGCCGCAACCAAAACAATTGCCTCTGTCGCATCCCCGCGCGGCGCATGGATGATTGCATAGGCATTCTGCCCTTGGTGCGTGATCCCCGAGGAAGTGTATTCGTAATTCTGCGTCGCTACTTTCAGTCCAGCGGCTCGTAGAATCGACTGTATCTTTTCGGATATCCTAATCGAAAGCTCGCACGTTAGCGATTCCGCGTCGCAAGGAGGTCGACCACGAGACACTCATCCCAACATACGCAGGAGTCAATTCAACATCCGATTTATCTTGACCCTCGCTCTGATAGCCTTCGGGAAACAGCCCTTCTAATTCCTTTTTGTACCCGCGAAAGATATGCTGCTCACTGCCCGAAAAGTAGGCATGGACTTGACCGGGGAGAAGCGCGTTTTCGGATATGTAGGTTCGGCGGGAGTAATCATTGAGGGGCAGGAGTAGAAGCCAGACAATGCCTGCGACGATGCAGAGAAACGAGAGGAGATACGGAAGGCGCACGAAGAGGAATCGAGGATTACTCCGCAATTTGCGGATTGCAGCTGTCATTTGGGACGTCGTCAGCAGTTGATTTGACCTGAGCTGTCCTTTCGCGGCGGGAATCCGGGGTACACAGAATGAACGGGAGGGAGATGGGAATGGAGCGTAATTGACCGAGCGAGAGAAAAGCTGCGGGCCATCGGACTTACATTTTAATGCCATTAGGAGAAACCAAAGTGATTAGGGGGAGTCTCCCCGACTTGCGTGGTGCATGGAAGCTGGAGAGATGGCGATTCCGCCTCCGCATCGGCCCAAGTAAATTTACGTCGAGCGGGAGAGACCATCTGCACAACGAGAATAATTATTACTATACTATACTGTTACTGTCTATAAGCCCAACTTTTCACACCACTCTTTGCAGGCTACTATAGTCAAGACCGTGGATGTACCAAATATGCACAAGAAATGTAGTTTTCAGGCCGTCTTCTGTGTTTACTCCGAGGATCCCAGGCGCTGATTCGATCCCAGATAGCTCAAGGGCGTAGGTCGCTCACCCCCGGCGCTGGTCATGGGCAGAACACCGTAGCGTCCATACGTCTTCTGGTCCACAGACACGTAATGCGGCAGTCGTCCGAGGAGGTTCAGTTTTCCTTCGATCCATCGCAGAACTTTCTCGGGCGGAACAAAGACCTTGAGGTAACCGAGACCAACTAACACTGGTATTAGCGCCAAACAAACCGTAGAGATCGCAATAGATGAACTTACGCAAATACCCGACAACAATGGCGCACAAGTGGCCAAGGAAGCTCGTGTTTGGCACGAGAATCGCGACAACAAAGCATGCCACCAGGGGCGAAGTCCAAGTCGGGATTCTCGAAGTACCGAGACTGACAATTTGTTAGTGGCTAAAGATGCATAGTTGGCGAGCAGTAAATAAAGTACCTGAAGTAGGGGTTGGATTTGAAAGTCCTGATGGCTTCGGAGCCGAGAAGGAGGAAGACCCAGACACTTCAGAAGATGTCAGTGACGGCCTTGCCTGTAATCAGAGGTAGTGTACACTCACCTGGCGCCAACAACGGCAGTGTTCCTATGCAGGAGGACCTTCTCAACCAGTAGGTACAGACCAGCAGGGAATGTGGAAAGAGCTGCGCAAAAGAACCTGTCAGCACCCTCGCCCAGATATTCGACGACAGTCAGGGTATCCTTACGCCCAATAAACAAAGCAACAGCCGTCAATGTACCATGCTCGGCTTCGAAACGCTCCAACAACGGCGTAAGCGCGAGCAAGTTCAGGAAAGCGTGGAAGAATCCCATGTGAATGAACGGATATGTGTTCAACCGATACACTGTTTCGCCGAGTTAGAACCATGTGCACTTGTACGGATTCACCCTAGGAAGCCGATGGGAGAATATCCCAAGCAGACAGGGAACATACTGCTGCCAAAACCAATCTCATCGGGGGTCAAAGAACCCCATTGTACCACACTCCAAATGGTCTGCAGCTCGAGCAGCCAGAACACAAGCACCGCCAGAAGCACTAGTCGCGTGAATAGAGGTAGGCGGAGTATGTATGATCGTACCCTCGAAGGGTTGAACGGCAGCGGAGGCAAGGCGGCTGGGGTGGCCATATTGTTTCGTGATTCGTCTAGTGTTCCAAGTAACGAATGTCGTAGTGATGTGTAGGGTATAATATGTACAGCAAGCTAAAGGTTGCTGCAGGTAATCCACCGAAATCGAGACAAAGACAGAGAACGCCTAAGGTCGGGCAAATTCGAATCTGCTAGGGTCGTCGGATCGGCGCGCTCTTAGTACCGAGGGAGAAAAGGAATGAATGAGGCAGTAGGTAATGCTCAACGCAACGCAATGCAGTGCCAGTCGATAAATGAGAAGTATAACTCGTCAAATGGTCGAAGAGCAACGGAATTAGAGAATGGAATCCAGTCGCACTATGCCAGGCTGGCAGATCGGGAGGAAAGTCCGCGGACAGCTCGTAAAAACCCACGCGACCCAGGAACCAAACAAGGACCGATCACGTCGGGGGAGATGACAAGAAAGGAGAGGGAACCGGCAAACGCAGCCAGTCACCTCAACCAAGAACGGTGGTCTTCGACGCTTCAAAGCAGCAACGGCAGCAGGAATGAACAATCGGGGCCAGACGCTTACCTGTTCTTCGCGGTGGATCTTGGCCTTCGCGGATCCCCGGTCACGTGGTCGATAAGCCTTATCGCTTCTACTGTTTCACTTCCCAAATACTAGTGCCTCGTCTTCATTCCATTTCATTTCATTAACTATCCAATGCTCATAATACTACTATAGAATATTATTTAAAGGTACTGGTTGAACCACGTCACGGCCTGGCAGAAAGCCTGCTCCTTGGCGAACTTGAAGTGCTTGTTGCTCAGGTCGGCGCGGACGGCGAATCCGTGGGTGACACCGCTGAAGAGGTTGATCTGCCAGGGCTGGCCAGTCTTGATCAGGATACCCTCGGACTTGTGACGGAGCTCGGTGGTGAAGATCTGGTCGATTTCTATCATCCAATGCGTCAGTCAAGGCTCTGTTCTGTTCCATCTCCGCAAATAGCCGAACTTACCGGAAGCAGCGATGGACAGAGGAGTGGTAATGCTGCCAAGTTCCTCCTCGGTGACGAACGAGGGGTGGGCAGTGTAACCGACATCGAACTTGCCGGGCTTCGCGAAGCGGCAAACGTACTGTAAGGGAGAGGGTGTTGGTTAGCCAGACTTCCCAAGGGTGTGGATTCCGCCATAGCATCGTTCGAACGACTCACCTTGCCACCGAAGCAGTATCCGACAGATGCGACCTTCTTAGCGCCCAAGTCCTGGCGGACGTACTTGAGGGTGGACTCGACAATAGGGTCGACAACGGGAGGCTGGTGGTTAGGGATCCAAGAGGGAAGGTCGGCCTTTCCGGACTCCATGTCGCTGAGCTTGATGGGATCGCCGTGGAAGAGGTCGGGGATGACGGTCAGGTATCCGTTGGCGGCGAACTCGTCGGCGAGGAGCTGGGCGTTGACATAGATACCGAAGATGTCGCTCAGGATAACGACGGCCTTCTCGGGGTTCTTGTTGTCCTTGGGGTAAACGACGTAGGTGTCGACTGCGATTTCACAACCATCAGCACTGCATCGCAAAAACCAGACACGCAAAAACCAAAGAATGTGCTGAACTCACCGCCTCCAATGTTCTTGGTCTCGCCGACGGGAGTGCCTTCATGCTTGAAGCCAGAGGCACAGCAAGCTCCGGGAGCGTTGGAAGCCATTATGAACTTTTTTGTGATAGCACGGAAATAACCCGGGGAAGAGAGGAGAGGAGCCGAAGGATTTCTGCAACAACAAATGTCAACAGGGATGTTATATTGGTTGGTGGGTTATAGCGGGATACGCGCCCCTCTTTAAAGGCTCAGAAACGTCTATGCTCGTTCTCTCCTCCCCACTTTGCCCCTCTTCCAGCAAGATTATTAATATGACCTAACCCTCGCCCAAGGTGCTCATATATTAATTAACTTTACTACATTAAGCACAGCGAAGACAGATAGATGGCGTAGAATCTACTTATCTTCCAGCATCTGCATCCTGTTCGAATCTCGAATCTCTAGACACGAATATTTGGTCCTTGTCAGCTTGGATGACGATGTCTGCAGCCTCTGAAGCCACGACGGTTATGTAATCGGTCGAAGTGCCGATTTGCCGGCGGCACCTTTGCCGATGTCGCTGTTAACGCCGTTTAACTCCGGCAGCTGCAGAGGAATTTGTGACTTGATATGATAGCGGAGTAGCTCATGCTGTTCATTGCTATTAAACAGTTCATTAAGGAGCTCGACAAAGCAGGTTCAAACGCAGATATGTAGGACAACATTGTATCTCCAAGAGACATTTGATCGGAACACTGTCACAGAATCCAATCCAATCACTAACTTCCTCCTCATTAATACCATCCGTCATTCGGGGATATCATTCATTAACACAGGGGCACGTCAAATAGAATCAACATGGGACAAAATAGGGCGCTGATACATGTGGTATTAGGCTTGCTGCCCGAACAGGGACAGCTAAAGCTCCATAATACCAGGCCACGCAGAAATCAATTGGTTTAGGGGGTATAAAACTTGAAAGAATGAAGACTGATATTTTTTTCGGCTTTTTTTCTTTTTTTCTTTTCGTTCAGAATCCCGTAAAAGCATTGTATCGACAAGCAGGGGAGTGTTTGCGTGATGGGGTATGGTACTTCGTTCGCAGACTTCGGCGGAAAACCCGACTCTGCCGGGTGATGAAAACGCTTAGGCCGGGAACTGGTAGGCAGGGAGCTGAGGACGAGACTCGCGTTTCACTGCCCATGCCTTGAGAGCGATGACCAAGATTTCGCATGCCATGATAAAAGCCGTCAATCCCATGCTGACGGTGAAAGTGAACATGGCATCGAGTTCATAGTATTCCATAGCTTCGACCACGTTGCGAGTCTATGAGAGAAGTTAGCCTAGCTCGTTTTATGCTGCTAAATCTGGTACTTACGCTAAGCATGAAGACCAATCCACCTGAAATCAAACAAAACGCGGCAACGATTTCGGTGGGAGGACGAGCGGGTAAGTACGAGGTCGGAGGCTTCAAGTACAACAAGAAATAAGTCACTGCTCTGGAGACCGCAAAGCCAACCAAGAGATTGCCCCACTGCTTGTGCACCATGGTCGAAATCATGCTCGTTTGATGGTGCGATCCCATCATGCTGCCCAAGAGAAGGATGACCAGAGCAGGCATCGGGTTGAGGGACACGCTCTGGGTGTCGGGAAGGATCCAGGCAGCATCGGAGGTACGAGAGTTGATGTGGGAGGCCGGTCGCAAAACAGTACAGTTGAGCAGGTCTTTCACGCGTTTGGATTCGAAAAGCATGCCACACAATCCGCCTCCGAAAAAGAGGATGGAAATTGAAACGTGCTCGAGATCAGAAGGAGACCATGCGCCTCCCCAGCCGGCAAGATGTTCGAGGAACACATTGGTGACACCATACAGCCAGATCACGAACGACTCCGTAAACTCCCCCGAGGGAATTCTGGCTTTCCATTTGCCAACAATCTCACTGGACGGCTTCACGTTCCAGGCCCAGCCGAGGTCGGCGTAGCTGCCCATGAATCGACCGAGAGTCAACAAACCATACCAGAAGAAAATGCCACCCTTGATGAAGTGCGCGAGGCCATTGAAGATTTCGTTTCCTCTCTAAAAGTTTTCCAAGTTAGACAATGCTGTGGGGTGAATTGAGTTTTCCTGAGGATACTAACCATGATACCACCGTATGTCACGGCACCGGTAGCGATGGCAACGAACCCAAACTGAAGGATGAGCCTGTCGACAACCAGATAAATGCCGTTGAGGATTCGAAGCGCCCGGCCGGAAACTAAGCCTGGTACGCGACTAGCCAAGAAGCGGTCGACGAAAGTGCTGCGCAGCCATCCACGCGCCGGGGCGGGTTTCTCGTCAACGTCGAGCTCTGGTTTGTCGAAAGTATCGCATTCATCCGAGGGAGATGCGCAAGACGGAGAGCTAGGGCGGCTGTGTAGAGAGGAGGAATTGCGCTCGGTACCCTGGCCACTGTCCCTGGACCAGCGATAGCCGTGATGAATGCCATTGGGATAGGTGGTCGGGCTTTCGGCCATCTCGTCGGTGGACACGGGCAGGAACGCGGCGCGTTCATAAGAGGCCGAATCCGACTCGCCTCTTCCTGCGTAGGCAAATAGCAACGACATGATCACTTGCGCACTGATGACCCAAGTCGCGATCCATCCAATCTTGTGGTGGGCATTGTTCTCATAGAGATCCGGAGTCTGGCTGTTGTAAATGATACCAACGAGCAGACCCAGCGCATTCAACACCAAAAAGAAGAATTGCGAAACGAGCGCGTATCGGGAACGGGCCATGCTAAGCATGACGGCTGTGATGGCGTTGTCAGTGTCTATAGTCTAGTATCTGCGCCAGGAGAAGCAGAATCAGGAGTCTTACCAACAGGGAGTAGAAAACACCAGGCAATGGTCATCAGAGCGATGTGGGCCATTATCGTGCTGGAGTGCTTCCCATATGCAAAATAACTCATCGGAGAGTCCTCACTTGCCTCCGGGGGGTGCTCTGGCTTCGTGCTATTCATTTGCATACCCATGTCCATGTCCATGTCCATAGAGTGGTCATCCCCGTGTGGAATGGCGCTTGCGACGGAGAACAACAGGAACGATGCCGCAATCGCGGCACGAGAAGCTCGTCGCCACATGAGTGAAGGTGGCCTATTAATTCTCGACGTGTAGAAGATGCGAAAAGTGAAAGAATTAATAGGGGACAATATTCCGATCGGGCTTTTGTATACAAGCTGGAGTCCCAACTAGCAACTCAAGCTATCCTCCCGGTAAATTGGTCGCGACTTAATTTTTAATAAAGAGCAAGCTAGCTGGATGGGCTCCAGACGCGACCAAAACACTAGGAAGTCGGTCTGTAGACCTGGATCTGTGAAGCGAATAATGCGCGCGGCAGGAGGAGGGTAGAGAAAATCTGCCAGGCGGGTCGGTAGGGCTGAAGTATAAGGGAGAGGGAGAGCTAGACCGAGAGCAAGAAGGGAGGATTTATGGCATCCAGCCAGCTGAAGGGAACCAGGAATCGGAGGCAGGGAAAGGAAAAGAGTAAAAAAAAATCGCAAGGTACAGCGGCGACAGGGTCGCGCTGGACCTTTTTAATCATCGTCGCTTTGGAGCTCTTGTTCGGAGCCAGCGGGGATAGGGCGCAATGACGCCGAGAGGGCCGTGGAAACAAAAGGGCGCCAGACTGAAGCTCCCCAAAGCTCCGTGTGCCGAACGTCTCCACCTTCGGACTCGCCCTGCTCCAGGCGCCAATTCTTCCTGTTGGCTTTGGATAACTATACGCCGTGGTCAGCCAGGCTTCCTTTTACCCCGTAATCACTATAGCCGTGAGAATATTGAAAAACGTTGTTGACTTCAGGATCTCAACGGTCTTGGATTTCTAAGCCACGCTCCAAGAGCTCGTCGACTTCGTCATGATGACTTGGTCAAGGTCGACGGTTTGGAAAATGAATGGTGTAATCCGTTGGTAAACTACTGTAAGTCTGGAACCTTATGGTTTTTTTTTTTTTTTTTTTTTTTTTTTTTGTCTTCCCTTTTTTCTTTTTTCATCCCTTTACCACTTGGATGCTTGGATGTGAATACTACCTAAAATCTATTTCCAGCCACGAACGTGTCATGATATCACTCTTCACAAACCTACATAGGGCCGACTACTAGTATGTCCTTCTCTTGTGTGCACATCAGTATATCAAATGCACACCGACGGTGAAAACGATTCCCGTAATTTGATTTTGTCTTACATCATTACAGGTGCACCAGAAAAAATAATAATAATGATAATAAATAATTCGGGCTTGGCAAATATTAAATCCATGCATTTTTATTTCTCACTCCTTCTTCTCGGAAGTTCGGAGGCTCCGGCAAGTGACTTCTGGACCAAGTCACGGCGGCTGAGCGTGCCGTGGACGATGACCTCATTCCAAGGTACCGCCCGTTTAGCGTCTGGCCTAGATTAGGCACGCTGTCTGGGATGCTCATTAAACACAAGTAAGAATGATGGGAAACCATCTCCCGCCCTCCACCGTCTACCACCTTACTATCCTGCGGACTAAAAGGCAATGCTGTACGACCGGATCCATACTCCATGGGCAGTTGATCGACCTGAAGCCGAGGGGGAATCTTGGCTGGCCCCTGTTCATGTTCACGCTTGACCAACTAACAAGTAACAACTAGTAACAAGTAACGAAGTACTCCATATGACCATGATTATCCCCTCCACCCAACTCCTTTGACGCCCTGTTTCTCCCAGTTTCCAGATCCGAGAAAAACATCAGTTGATCATGGAGGCATCCCCTTCCCTAGTGCATATTCCTGCATAACGAGGGCCTTTGATTCGTCCACCCTAGCCCCAAATCCTTGCGGTTATCGCTCTGGGCTGTTGCGCGATAGGCCCAGGCGCCGTCGCCCTTCACTGGCTTTCAGTCTACTACCCGGAACTAACGACCTGAGTCCTGTCGATCTTCTCTCGCTCCCCTCACTGACCCGGTGCGGTGAGACCTGAGAAGTAGTCCAACAAAAGCCTTAGTCATTCAGCTCTGGCGTCTGCCAGGACAATGGGGATTTTATGATGATTGACAGACGGTCTACACCCTTGCATTGAGTTGTGCAACATGTGGGGAGAAGGTATGGGGATGCCAGACTGCGCAGGATGATCCGGAGTAAACACGGGCTCCCGCAGTGTACCTATACGGCAAGGATATACACGCCTGAACCTGAAGCCCGTTCATGATGCGGCATGGGATGGATGACCTTTGAGATTTTCTACCGCGAGGATGTCGGCCAAAATCAAATGCCACCAATATGGGAAACAGCGCGAAGCAAAACTCGCATCGAAGGTAACCAACCCCTCATTTGGCATGAAGATCAACCATCGTTCCATTTCGAACCCTGCCCCTCACATACTCCTGGTCTCCCGCCTGCAGACTCGCCTGGGGGTTTAGTTGAAGCTTTATGGGCTGATCCGCTGGTATGCTCTGTCCATGCCTCTGGTGTATGTCGGGTGCCAGTTCTAATGCAAACCATGGCAACACCAAGCGACCTCCGTAGGACAGACAGTACCACAGATGGTTTCCTTTTTTTAATGGGGGCCGATGGTGATCCGGGAAATAGTTTTGGGTAGTATAATGTGAGAAGGGCAACTCGTTACCCGCTGTTAGTGGTGATCGTGTGTGTGTGAGTGACACGACGGGTGTGTGACTGCAACAATGGATAGTGCATGAAATTAAAGACAGGGCTGGTCTCCAATTCCAAGTGCCATCGCATCAGCCCTCGGAAGCAAACTCCACCGAGCGGGCCTTGCACGTTGACATACGGAGTAAATAATGGCCCATTTGCTGTTCAGCTTTACAGCTTTACTCGGTAATTACGCTCGCTTTCCCCCTTGGACTCTGCCAGCCCTGTCGGCATGGATATACACGGGTTGTTACCCAGCAGAGACAGAGGGGGGAGTGCCGCGGTCAGTCGATTTCTGATTCTCATCTGACAACCCAAGCGACGATCCTGGCTTGGCAGGACTGCCTGGCAAAGAACGGCTCGAGGAATCCGTCACTTGCATCCGCGGGCTTCCGTACGAACTCCCAGGCCGACATCCTGCGATATGCGCACGCACTTGCCGTCGTGGAAGTACGACCCGAGTCACTTGCTGTCGCCTTTTTTTTTCTTTCTTTCTTTTTTTTTTTTTTTTTTTTTTTTTTTTTTATATGGATTCAAATTTATGAACCTTTTTTCCCTTCCCTTCTTGGTCCGTCACCTTTCCCTTTCCGTGCGCGGGTCGTATGACTCACTCTTTCTTATTATGACTATTTAGTCTCTTGTGTATCATCTCGATCCTCACTGGACATCTATACGATTCACACCGAGTCTCGGCACGTCCGGGCTCCCAGCACATGGACGATGGCGGTCTCATCCCTCTCATAGACACCCGTATATGCACCCGAGATCTCTGACATGGACACTTGGCGCCGTTGTACACTTTCCGCTGGAGTTGTACATAGCACACTGCCAGCAGCGATGTCAAGGTAAAGAACAGACGAAAAGCGCCGCTACGCTAAACATCCGTGCTCTTTGGGCCTTAGGGCTTGGGACGGCCCCACTACTCCTCGATCATCCATTCCGTGCTTAATTAATGGTCCCCCCATCAATAATCAATCCTCTTGTGGCTGGATCCGTGGTCCATCTTTGCGTATTACCTACTCCTACTTTCTGCTGCGAAAGCCACCGGCAGCCTAGAATCGTCTGACGGGTGATTGGTAATTAATCACCATACGATTGATTTCAATCGTTGCCTGCGGGCGGAGTTGGTGAGGATGTCGGATATAAAGTACCGGTTTCCTTTCTACTTTTTTTTCCCCTTTTCTGGCCTTGAAGAGTGGATCTGACGCCGACGCACGGGTTACAGGCCAATCATCGATACTCGATCCATCCATTCCTCGGACTTGGAGGCTCGGGGTCCCTTTTAGTTCTAGTAGACCGTGGCATGGATTCGGAATAGATTTTTTTTTTTCGTCCATCCTGCTCTGACATGATTCGGCTGACGCCTGGATTTTTCGATCAAGTTATCCGTCCAAGTGGATTGTGGATTGGTAATCAATCGTAAGATCAAGACAGCTTCTCATACCATCGCGAGTCTAAAGAATTAGAGCCTGACAGAACAGGGAACATGGCCTTACTTTATTGACTTTTCCCCTATGTGATGTCATAGTCGCAACATCCACCATCCACTTCCCACGTGTACATTGGCACCGGAGTAAGTGTATGCCAGTATGGCCTGGCCAGCACTAGAGTACTGCGTATGCACTGTTGCCCATGCACAATGGGATATCGCGATGTGTGCATAAAACCGAGCTATTCAGTGTTCATATTTCGCAACACCAAGGCTGAACTAGATCATCTGACGATCCATGCACATCCCCCGGCGGAATCGGATCCAAAGTCCAACGCCCTCCGACGTCTGAAGAAGAAGGAAAAAAGAAAAGGAAAAAAAAAAAAGAAAGAAAGAAAAGCAGAATGCTACCCATTGCAGTAATTGCGTCGGAAGTCCGGCACTTGCGCGGGCTGAACGCCTCGGACCAATCTCCGAGCTCGCCGGCGCCGGGCTGTCATTCGTGCAGGTCTGCCTTGGATTTTTTTTTTTTTTTTTTTTACTGCTCTTTTCAATGATCTTGGCAATCTAGGAAAACCCGGCACCAAGGACCTCCGTAGACAGACATGGGCATGGGTAGTGGTTCCAATTACATACAAAGTGCTAGTGAAGACCAAGGTCCCTGAGAAGGACCCGGAAGCGACCCCATAATAGGCACTACTAAAGCCTGTAACGGGTGATCCCGCAGGGCAGGATTTCGAAGCGAATTCTCTAGTTTGTTCCCGGTCCGGAACCGGATTTACGGATTACCACCTATGGAGTACCTCCTGTGTCTATCAGGTTTGCAAGCTCCCAGTAACTTTAATGACCCCCTGCAGTTCCGGTTTTGGACTTGCGGTTCCTGGATGCAGGATCTGGATGCGTTGACTATTGAGGTGGTGGGTGATCTTCATTTTATGGATTTGATGGGTGAAGTATATGGTTTTTTACTGGTAGGGTGGTAGGTAGCTTGCTTTCTGTGTCTGATAATTGAGCTTTGTTCTGAGGACTTGAGACTTGTGTGGTTTGCTGGGTTCATCAGGGCCTATCGTTCCCATGTGAGCTCTTGATGTAAGCTCTTGCTGATCGCGAGTAAATCATATGCCTTTGCTAGATCGCATGCTTTCTTGAAATCAAAGCTGCCTATTTTTGTGTGTGATGAATCTCAAACCATACCTGGTGCCTACCTGTCCAAGGCCAAGACTCTTAGGCATCCAGCTCATCTTATACACGTATCTATGGACACGAACACAGCATTCTAAGAATCAACATATGCACCACTATTTTTACCAACCAGGCAGCCGCATACATACTTATCTCTCTACAGGGTTAGCTTCCTCGTCTATACCGTCATTATGCTACTCAGCCTCAACTTCAACCTTATCACTACTCACTGCACATCAAACTGTCATGATTTTACCCCATCGGGTGAAAACGAGTGATGTAGATCCTCATCTTTTTCAACCTCTAGGTTCCGCCCTATTCTCACGTTTTTCCTCTATCGCTCGACGAATGATTTCACTCTGCTGATGCGGGGTACGAGGAGGCCGAGCGGGCCTGGACCCTGTATACGTATAGTTAGGTAAGTGGCTGTAGTAGCTGACAAGTATGCGGCATGAGAATACTCGTATTCAACTTTTGCAGATGATTACGGGCAGGTTTTAACTGAAGCCCAGTACATACCGTTTGCTTTCCTGTCAACAGTTACCATGCTTGCTAGCACGCAGTTGGACGGCGTTGCGCTTGTCGTCGGTGTTAGTGACCCTCCTTTGCCCCCTCTTGATGCCGAAATCTGACAGGAACATGAAACAGTCAGGGCGAGGCATTGGCCAGCAAGCCGCGCTCTCCCTGGCCGAAGCAGGTGCCAGAGTCGTCGTCTTCGCGGACATCAACGAGGAGACGGCCAAAGAATCAGCCGAGCAGAGTAAACAGTACGTCTCGAACAAGGACTACCAAGCCACCTTCTTCAAGGTGAACGTTATAGATGAAAAGCGCGTCCAGGAGATGGTAGATTTCGTGGTTCAAGAATTCGGACGCCTAGATTACTGCGTCAATGGTGCTGGGGTGAGCATCTATCTGTCTATCTGCTCTAGGGCCTTCTTTCCTGAGTGCAGTCTAACCCGAACCGGGTGAAAGATTGACAACGGCGTCCAAACTCCGGTCGCCGACACAGATATCGAGAACTTCGACCGTATCATGAACATCAATGCCAAGGGTATGATGTTGTGTGTGCGTGCTCAGACAGCCGCCATGCGCAAGCAAACCCCCAAGACCTTTCAAGGTCGCAATGGAACCCGAGATATCGGTCGAGGAGCGATTGTGAACATCGCCTCGGCCCATTCTTTCGTGGGCTTGCCGGGAAAGATGTCATACACCATGTCAAAGCATGCCGTTATGGCATTGACCAAGATGGCGGGTATGTTCACATTATGTACCAGTGTATAAGGTCATGTGGTGTGTGATAATCTCGAACATCGGCTGACTCGCTGTTATACGATCACAGGAATGGACCATGCGGCAGAAGGGGTCCGCTATAACGCCGTGTGCCCGTCGTGGGTTCGGACGCCGATGCTGGACATCGAAATAGAGAAGAACCCTGAAGTGCGCGATACGATCAAGGCCATTGTTCCCATTCAACGAGTGGCCGAAGGTGAGGAGGTTTCAGACACCATTGCGTATCTGCTGAGTCCGGCTGCGAGTTATATCACTGGTACGAGTATTGTGATCGACTCGGGCATCACTACCACTGTTCGTCTTTTCTAGAAGATAGCATTAATTTGATATTACTCTACCGCTTTCTCAATGAGGACTAGTATTTGCTCCCTGCGCGGTTTGTTAGGTGCAGAAGACCCAATGGTTCTGGTCATTCATAGACAGCTGGAGTAGGATGCCAATATTGCTGGCATACGGCGTAGACCCAAGGGTCCGGATGTCAAGCTGCAAGCATGACCCATCGAAGGACGATGGAAGATAGAAAAAAGATGCGGAGAAACCTCACACCGCCGATCTCCAGAGTCGACTAGTCCGGACGGGGCCAAGCGCCCTGTCACATGACCGGAGCGGCCACACAGCGACCCAACGGGGCTTAGCGGCAATCAAGCGAGATGGTCCGAGCCCGCATATCGGGAGTGGAAGCACACAACGCCATTTTCAACCCTAACCTTTCCGTTCAACCTCAACGCCCAGCGACGACAGTACCGCCTGCCAGACACCGTCACGTCCAGGTTTTCCTCGCCTCAAATTTCAAGATGACTCACGACTCCGTCTGGTACAGCCGGCCTCGCAAGTAAGGATCCCTATTTCCGTGTGGTTGAGAGGTGGGAAAGTGAAGATGATCGGGTTTGAAGGTGCAAGATGGAAACAGTTGCTAATTGATCGCTTTTTTCTCTAGGTTCGGCAAGGGCTCCCGCTCCTGGTACGATAAATTTTTCCCCCGATGAAATCGTTCGATATGAAATGATGGATTTTATTATTTCGGCATGTGCCGGGTTTGGGAACGGAATAACTGATGAACGATCGATATAGCCGTGTTTGCTCTCACCGCGCCGGTCTCATCCGCAAGTACGGGGTATGGAAGAATCCTGAATCCAGTTTGATCACATCGCAATTGGGATGGTGTATAAATTTTTGGGGAACATATAACTGATCGGGGAATTTTTGATTACAGATGAACATCTGCCGTCAGTGCTTCCGTGAGAAGTCCCAGGACATTGGTTTCAACAAGGTGGGTTTCATCCATTTTACGGCTCCAGCGATCGAATATTGGGCAGCATCAGCAACGGAAAGGGAACACAGAACAGCGCAACGAGCACCATATTCGCCGGACACATGTTGGGCGCAATCACTAACCTAACCACCCTACACAGTACCGGTAAATTAATCGCGATCCAATTCCTATTCACGATGAATCGTTACGTGCTCGGCGCTCGGTTAGAAACCATGCGAACATAATGATGAAAACCGATTTGTACTTCGACGGGACAAGACCAGTTTGGAAGTGAATAGCTCAAACCCAACGTTGGAGGATCAATGAAAATGGGAAATTTTTAGAGCAAGAGGAAAGTTATGCGTGGATGGTCGGTGTTGACAATTTTTTTTAAAAAAGGTGTCATGTCGAAACCTTTGTGTCTTCCAATTCAACTACTACTTGAATTGAAGTGAGGAAATTTCTTTTTAAAATCAATTCACTCCTGGGGTTTAATTCTTTGCTTCCCTTGTCTTCCACCGAGGTTTCCCACTTGCGAGAATGAATTGTGTCGGTCCCGTCTTCCCGGTTTTCAGTCCTGTAGTGCTCGTCCTCGCCCGAACATCTCAACTCGATTGCGCCAGTCTCTGCCTGTCTCGCCCTTCCTGCTGGTCCTCCGGATGTCCCGTCCCGTTACATGCATTCGTTCATCAACTTCGCGGAGATTCTCATATACATGCTCAGCAGTCACATGTAGCAGGACAATTCGCAATTCATACCCTACATTTTATATGTCGGAATTCCATTCAGTGCCCGTGACACCTGCGAAATTCATCCAGTAGATCTTCTATTACATAAATCAAGTAGAACTCAAGATTTGTACATGATCGCCGTCCCGTCCCGATAAACCACCAGTCATATCTAACAGAACCACAGCCCAACATGAACAGGACTAGTCTTTTGCGTCTCGCAATAGATACATAAAACATCGACCCCAAGCTCCAGGTCGGAATGCAAATAGGGAAAAGAAAAAAGAAAAAAGAACGAAGAGTAAAAATAACGAAATATAATAATAGTCTTAACTCCAGCCATGGAACTCCTGACCGCTGAAACAGGGTATGCAGTGAACAAGCAAATCCACCTTACAAAACAAAAAAAGATCATGAAGCCAGTAAATAAGTACGGAGTAGTACCCCATACCCGATGATCGCTGACAACTACTGTGGAGCGCCAGCCAAGGACCGAAGATTGTAAAAAAGAAGATAGGCATCGGCGTTGAGAACGTCGGCCTCGGTCGCTGGGGTAACTTGGTCATCGTTGAAGAGCATCCACTGCTGTATGTTAGTATCAGGGGAATGTAGAATGTGGCGAGATATGATATGATAGGGGACGAACCTGATCGCCTTGACGACAGTAGGCGTAATAATGACCAGCGTCGAGTTTTCCCTTGTGAACGACCGCGGAAGATAGGTCATACAAGTAGCGCGATCTGTCGGTCAGTGGGTGTGGGTTGGTCGTGTACGGGAGCATGTTGATGGACAGTGGGAAATCAATTCTGCCCTCGAGCTTCTCCGAGACCGAAAACGTATGTTCGTAGCGCTATTGATGGGATTAGTATGAATCTAGTGGGTTTGAATACCATAAATAGACACGTACCTTCAACTGCATGCACAGAATTGCCGGCAATTTCTTGATCCGCAGCTGCTTCGTCGCCTTCTGAGGGGTGTCGCCACAAGAAGTGCAGTTGTAGACGCCTGCCATCAGCTTTTCTGGCGAGGTGAAGCTCTCGAGGCATCCAGTCAGCGTGGGTGGGGATGAAGGCCCCGAGCCGCCCATGGCGCGCTTCTTTGCCTGCACCTGGACATCCAGACTCAGGTCCACCATGGGATCTTCAGTGCGCGTGACATTGCCGCATTTGTCGCAGGTAACGCTGCTTCGAAGCTTGCCATAAAATGTCTTGTGGAAGAAGCAAGGGCAGCCCTTCTCGTGGTTCTCCTGATGTCCATCGGTGGTTGCGTGCAGCTTATCGACGAGAAACTGGTAATATTCATGTGCATCTTGCTGGTGATACCCTGCCAGGGCCTGCGCAAAGGAGAGTCAGCTTCACCTCCATGGATCTTGAAAATGAAAATATTGCGATCGCATACCGCACTTCCACGCCATGTTGCCACGAGAAGGTTCAGGGCCGCAAATCCATCCAACTTTTCGGTACTGTTGAAATCGGCAAATGCCTCGGCAACCGCACAGCCTGTGCAATCAGGCGTTTGGCAATCATGATGATGCGGATGGCCATTTCCCAGGAAATAGGTGGTCAGGATTGGATCGTGAAGCAAGGTCTGAAGAATGACATTCATGTAACAAGTCTGGCCCAGGTTATACAAACCCCTGGCACCTGCTTTCGCACAAAGGCGTCTGTTGGCGTTGCTTCTGACGTAAAGTTCATCGGCCGAGCTCTCGCTGAACCGACGTTTTTGAGCAACTAATCCATGTTAGATCGGAAGACACATAAGTGAAAACCCGAATACAAACCTTTGAGCGTGTTTTCTGATGATGACGATCGTAGCCGCTCCAAACCGTGATCATAGATGAGATCTTCACAGCTCTGGCAATACAGCGCACGATTTCTTGATTCCATAACTAGGCGGGAATCAGCCAGAATTCTGGAGTGACGCCAGGGCGAACTTACAAAATGAATGTCCCGTTTTCTCGGTATGCTTTTCCCGACCGCTCGGGTTGCAGGCTTCAGAGCAGGTTAAGCACGTGTACCTGGGTCTCAGAAGACTATAGCTGCGCGAACCAGCAGTATGCTTGGCAATCATCTCCGCCGTGATGGGTTGCGGAGCCAATGCATTGTGAGTCTTGAGGAACGAGTTCTTGAATTGATTCGCAGCGCTTCCAGCATGCGCAAGTTGAGTGGCAAGGTGCTCTTGTGGCCCGTCAGCATGAGGAACAAATCTCAAAAGATATCTGCCACGGTGTTCGCATACCACAGCCAAACTCGGCCTCAGAGAGCAACGTCACCGAAGCGACGCTGGCCATTGTGAGGATGTCGGGTTGATAGGGAACGTGTATAGAACTGAGGTGACCCCGAGCCTAGTTCAGTAGAAGGACGTCGCTGCGCAATGGAATATCAATGTCCCAGCAACCAAGTGGATCATGCGACACGATGTAATCAAGCAGTTGCCAAGGAGGCCCAGCTCTACAGGATGGGGGAAGGAAGATGAAACAAAGCAGTATTCTAAACGAAGAAACAATGGGAATCCATGGATTGAGACACCGTCAAGGACCCTTGATGTATCACACCAGCATTGTGCGTTTCGGACGTCAGCCTCCAGTAAGGATCAATTGGAGGCGTCCAATAGCGGACGGCGTCAGTGAATCGACGACGGACAGTGAAGTTCCAGCTGTGTTCCCGTTGTCGGATCGGGTCCCGAAGGTTACCGCAGATACAGTCAGGGAGGGTCTTGCGGCCTCTCCCTCTCTCGCCTGGTGACTAGACCGGGTCACTAAAGCGAGCAACACTGCGGAGAACACGGATTTGCCCAATAGGAGTCGAGTAACAATAGCCAGAAGAATAGATCTCCGAGTGCAGGCGCTGGGGGGAGGAGGAGCTAGTCTAAAGGATCTTTTTTGCTGGTCGCAAGGGTCGGTCGGCGATAAGAACCCGGGATTGCCATTGATCCGTGCCCACGTGGTCTGCCCTTGGATTGATCACATACACCGAGTCTTTCCACGACAGTCGGGTTGGGGAATGATATAGAGGTCTACGATTGCTCAGTAAGGATTGGAAATTGTATTTATTTCTGGATTTGCCCACTTGTCCCATGGACGGCGATCGATGCCCTCGAGCCCAAGACTAACTAACCTGGAACTACATGCAACACCGGAGTGAAACAAGCGCAACCAGTCCTCTATAGATTGAAATGAAACAATGGTCGCTACAAATTGCATAGCGAATATCCGGTCAATTCAGCCACTGGTTCAAGGCAATACCTGCGACTCTGCATGCTCCGGCCTCTGGTGTCCAACATCGGTTTGGCCGTCACTTCTACAGCCTGAGTCCATTGCAGAGCGGCGCTGAGAGCAGCTCTGACCGCTAATATGCTGGTAGTGCAGGTGGGTTCCTTGAGGCCGAATATCGAGCCTACGAAACCTTGTCCTAGAGTCCGTTTATAATCCCCTTCAAATTATACCTCTGTCCCATCGCATACGCTCATCGCATTCCCCTGCCCCGAGGCAACGCACTGGGACGTGCTCGGTTGGTCCCCCGTGTGGTATAGCGACCGCTACTAGAGCCACGCGTAGACCCCCTTGTGGTTCGCGAAGGAACTGACGATTTGGGCGTTGGTTTCGAGGGGATGGTAGCGGAGGGATGTTCGACAAATGTGGTGTCGGTGGTCCTGGAACGGCATTGTGATGAGCATGAGCAGCACAAATCCAAGCGACAAAGATAAAACTCACAGATACGTTGCTTCATCATCCATTGTAGGTCGGGTTTGTTCCGTCTCGAACTCTTGATGGGTTGTCAATACAGTATAGTCATGGCGGGAGACGTGGTTACGGTACCTTTCTGTGCATCGGCAAGCTTCGCTCTTCGGAAAGATTCAGGAATCGGAGCCTGCAAATGTCTGTTAGCACAAAGTCTTGCCCGATGTTATCACCTGCGTCCGCCGTACCTCGGGAAAATCGACACAAAACGCATTCATGTTCATGCCATACAGGAAGCTGGCAAAGCTTTCGCTGAAGCGCGTCAAGCTCTCATGCATCAACTGCAGGTGCATGAAATTGGCCTCGAGGTCGGCCATGGAGTCCGCGAGTTCTGCAAACTGGGGCTCCAAGGCATTGATAGCCGGTTGGGAATAGCCTGTATTGCCGATACTACTTCCGTAGCCATGGCCTTCGCGGAATGATGAGCGAGAGCTGGGTCGGAGGGGGGTCGTGGGCCTGGAGGACGGGCGTGGGCGCGAGGAAGCCCGGGAAACAGGAGCGTCCATGCTGGCGATGGGTTCAATTCCGAGGTTGGAAAGGTCAAGCACCGTAAGAGGAAGCGCAGGAGTGGAGTCAGGAGGAATCGATCGTTCACCAATATATTGGGGCTCGGAAAGTGGACGAAATCTATCTTTAGAGGGTGTTTGTTGACGGCGGATGATCCCCCGCTTTCGTTTCGCAGGGTTTCTCGGTGGCGCCTCAGGCCCCGAACCCCTGGTTGGCTCCATCTTTGGGTCCCTTCTTTCGCCTTTTTTCTATCGTTTCTTGCCAATTCCCTGCCTCCCGGTCTCTGCCTGGTTTTTCTTGCTCCCCCGCATCCGAGGCCAATTTTTTCAGGGGCCCGATCTCTGTCTCATCTTGTTTCGCCCTTTCTTGCCTAGTCGCACCAGGTAGTACGGAGTACTCGGAGGACGGAGACTAGGATTGAGCCCATTTCTGTCCCTCCCTGTGGTCGCTCATTTTAGCACATGCATGCTGGCTCGTTTCTGCGTCGCCGCCTCGCTCATTCCTCGGCCAACTCTTTTCATTCCACGCCGTTTCAACTGCACCGATTTCGTGGTGCACAGATATCCTTCCCATCGTTTCCAAGGTCAAGCTCCTTAACCTCGTCTTATCCGCCTCGCCGGTCCCTCTCCACTTTTCCATCGTCGTCACCCAACGAACCGAGGAAAGCCTCTTCCTTCTGGACAGTCACGTTCGCCCTCGTCCTACTTTGTGGAGGTACCTGGATACACGATAAATACCGCAATTCCGCGAACAACCCGCCGCTTCCGCCGCACGATCAAGATAACCAGGAATTATCACCCTTCCTTGGAGTAATCGATACTCTTCAAACCATGCCTGCCGAAGCCGCCCCCGGAACTGTAGGCAACCTTACGCCCGAACAGGAGGCCAAGCTGCAAGAGTTTTGGGTGTTGTTGTTGAAGGTTTGCGGTGTCAGCCTGGAGGACGTTGAGCAATCCGGAGATGCTACTCCCACAAGCGCATCGCAGAAGAAAGAACAGCAGCCGCAACAACCCAAGCGGAGGTTCGGACTTTTCGGTGGTGGAAAAAGCAGTGAAGACGACGATGCCGCTAGCGTGAAGTCGGCGAATGGGATCTCATCCGGCCTTGCTTCTATCAACATTACCGATGGGGACGACAAATATGGACAATCTAAGGAATTCCAGCAGGCCCTTGTTGATATGAAGCCCGAAGAAATCCGCGCTACTCTCTGGAACATGGTTAAGCAAGATAACCCGGACACTTTGCTCCTGCGCTTCCTGCGAGCACGAAAGTGGGATGTCAAGAAAGCGCTCATCATGCTGGTCTCTACGATCCGGTGGCGATTGCAGGAGGTCAAAGTGGACGATGATATCATGAAGAACGGTGAACATCTCGCCTTGAAGCAGTCGCAGAGCTCGGATCCCGCGGAGAAGAAAGCTGGCGAGGACTTCCTGCTGCAAATGCGCCTTGGCAAAAGCTTCCTTCACGGCGTCGACAAGCTGGGTCGACCAATCTGTGTCGTCAGGGTGCGCTTGCACAAGCCCTCCGACCAAAGCACAGAGGCCTTGGATCGGTTCACCGTGTATACCATTGAGTCTGCTCGAATGATGCTCGCCCCTCCCGTTGAAACCGCTGTAGGTGTTTTGATTCCATATCTTGACGATCAATGTCTGACCTCTAATAGTGTGTCATCTTTGATATGACCAATTTCTCTCTGTCGAACATGGTATGTCTCTAATTCCCATTAATAATGAGACCATCTCTGACCATTCCACTCTAGGATTATAACCCCGTCAAATTCATGATCAAGTGTTTCGAGGCCAATTACCCCGAGTGTCTCGGAGTGGTGCTCATCCACAAAGCCCCTTGGCTCTTCTCAGGTTTGTGGTTTCCTCATACCTATGGAATGTACCATGTATCTAATAATTGCGCAGGAATCTGGAATATCATCAAGGGCTGGCTTGACCCCGTTGTTGCCGCCAAGATTAACTTCACCAAGAACGTCCAGGATCTGGAGAAATTCATTCCCAAGGACCGCATCATGAAGGAGCTTGACGGTGATGAGGACTGGGAATATAAGTACGTCGAGCCCCAGCCGGGCGAGAACAAGACCATGGAAGACACGACAAAGCGAGATGAGCTTCTCGCAGAAAGGCAGAAGCTCGCCCAAGAAGTCCAAGATGCAACTATTGCGTGGATTTCGGCCAGCCAGAAGAAGGACGATGGAGCCCTGAAGGCTGCTAAAGAGAACAGAAGCGGTCTCATTGAGCGATTGAGAGTTCAATACTGGCAGCTCGACCCTTACATCCGTTCTCGATCGCTATACGACCGCCTGCATATTCTCCAAGGCGATGGCAAGATTGATTTTTATCCTGCCGAGTCGAAATAAACGGTACCCGCGATAATGCTTGCATGAGTTCAAACAAGTTGGATATTTAGATAGTTAGAGTTTTGTTTTGGTCTTCTTCCTTTTTTTTCTTTCTATATAACTCTCGCCGATAGAGAAGTGTCTGTTTTATCTAATGTGAAATATAGCATGTATATAAAGCATCTCATGATGGACAATGTGATGACTCTGGGGAGTTGATTTTTGGTCTCCTTGCTTCATGAATTCCTGGGTTTACCATTGGGGTTACACAAAGCCCTAACCAGACCAACAAGACGTGATTCAGTGGCCATTGAGTTGCAGCCTAGCTACGATGAACTGTTAAAGGGGTATTTTCCATGCTATCTTACATAGTGAGTCTCGAATTTTGGGCTCTAATTCACACCGATAGGGGCTCTTATTTTATTAGAAGGCTAGGGTCGCCATCAAGTGGCACTATTGGTTACCATCTTTCATTACAAGGCTGATCCGCCATCGACAATAAACACCAAGGCGATGCCATAATTTTATTGACCGTTAATTTTAAATGAATGATCGAAGTTCATTTAAGATTGTATTACGGAGCACAGCAGACAAATCCCGGCCATGGCGCCAGATTGCAACATCCGGCCGGTGATAGGACTGCAGTGCGAGGTGCAGTACAATGTGAAGGTATGTACATGGTTCTCGCAAGGAACCCTTACATCTTAGATTTGAGCTCCTCGTGCAAGGCCTTCAGCTTGTCCATGTCCGTGTCCTGCATGGGCCATCCAATTCCCAGGCCTTCCTTCTCGTTGGGCTTGGGGATCTGCGTAACAATTAGTCTTTGCCAGACGTGATACGGGACCGGTGAGGCAATCGAGGTAGTAGCGTGTGCAACATTGGTTTCGCTGCCAATGCGACTTTCGATTCAGGGGTAGGTTCAACTCACCATGTGGAAATGAACCTGGTACAGTAAAAAAGAGAAAATCAGTCAATCATGCCCACGTTACAAGAGGCCGGCGTGGAACTTACGTGGTCAACGACCTGGTGGGCAATGCGGCCGTTGTTCTGCAAGATGTTGAAGTCCTGGGCACCAGAGACCTGGGCCACCTTCTTTGCAACGGGCTAGATGAATAAGAACAACCATCAGTTCTGCTGACTCTCAAAACAACCGGTTGGTTGGTATCAACCCAAACTGCGGGGATGGGAAGGGATTATCGCGGAAACCGGTCGCCCAAGGTCCCCAGATGCTTTGTCACATCCCTATTAAAGGGCATCCCATCTGCGTCCCGGGAAATTTGAACTCTTCCAGCATTTTGCACCTACCAGGATTTCTTTGAGGTCCTCGTCAGGGATGTCGGTAAGTTTTGCGCCGTGGAACTTGGGGATCACGAGCTGTCATCGTTGAAGGTTCGGTGCCATGGTTAGTTTACTTGTTTTTTTTGAGTAGGATGGAACAGACGAAATGGATGATTATGTATGGTGCTCCTGGAAAGTACAGGATGTATACAAGGTCGACTGGTGTTGAGCAGGCGCGTTGTCCATGGGGGTGCAGACAACGGCCGCGTTACCGTGCGGGGAGGTCGAATACTATGATGAACTGAGACTTACGGCGTGTCCACGACTGAGAGGCTGGATGTCAAGGAAGGCAAGGACCTTCTCGCTCTCGAAGAGCTTGAAGGAAGGGATATCACCTGTGGTTCATGGATAGGTTAGCTAGCTAGCTACGTCACCCAGGTAAGGTTCAACACGGCGCATGCCTTCACAACGCGACCGTACAGAATCCGAGAAGATTTAGGTGGAGGGGAAGGAACGTACCCTTGATGATCTTGCAGAAGACACAAGCAGCGGCAGACATTTTGCGAGATGGTCAATGAAGTCTATACAGTAAGGGAACGAGAACCGCGTAATTCAGCGCCCGAGAGGAGAAATGACCGAATGCGGGGTTCAAGGCGGAAGCGGGCGGCGTGAGGAGCAGAAAAGAAAAAGGAATTGGACGGAGCCGGGATCGAACCCCCGCTGGTTTGAACACGGAAGGGGGATATAAGTCACTTAGAGGACGGACAAGTGAGGATGGCGACAAACTAGCTCAGAACCCATTTCTTGCCTTTTACCAGAGATGGCCGTGGTTTGCGTCAAACATCCTCTGCTCAATCTTTGGATTCTTCTATCGACACAGTCGTCGATTTTATTGTTTTTCTTTTTGCCGGATGCATTCCTGCAGCTGATCCTCTTTTAGTTCTTTTCTTTTTCTGCTTGCTTTTATCCCCGGTAAGGCTTGTTTCTCGAGTCGGGTGCGTGTGCAAAAGTGCGTGGATGCTGTGTCAATAACCTCCACGGCCTCTGCTCACCTCCGCCAACATACTCGGGACACTCCATGCACCACCCCCGACATCACAAGAAGGATGCGAGTCATCCATCCATCCAGCTTCCGTTTCTCCCGTTGGAGCTTGCTGATACTGTCTCCAATCGCTCTATCGATTACTAAATATCAATATGCGGACTTTTGTCCGCTGCAACCCCTCCCTCCTGCCATACTCCATCCATGCAACTAAGGGCATTGGGTCGTCGACTACCAATCCGGAGCCTCCTAATTCCTGACTTCCTCGGTCTTGATTTTACTCCAACCTTTCCCCGCCGGTAGCATCCTTGGTCGAGTCGTGTCTACCGTTGCTTGTCTCTGCTACTCCGTATATCACCTCTTGCCGACGTCGTGCCACGAGCATGCTTTCTACCCCAACACCCAAATAGTTGGAGAAGCGACGCACTCGCTTCGTTCTATAATACCCTGATTCCATTGGCTCTGAATTGACGAGTTGGCCGAACTCTAGAGCCAAGGATTGACCCCACTCAAGCACTTATCTTATCACTTGCTGTAGTATCTCCGCAAAGGCAGGCTTATCTGCAGGCGTCTCCAACAATTGGCTTGTATACATATAGCCCCTTGCCCTGCTCGCTCGTGGACAAGATGACATATACGTTATCTTTCAAGTCTTTGGCTGTACCAGGCACCCGATTGTCTGTCCCACGTACGGCATTTCGATCAGCACGTATCCAACCCTATCGGTCCTTCTCAGCATCCTTGACACGAGCCATGCTCTCGACGGAATTATCCGAGGCACAGGTGTCGGCCCTCAGGGCCAATAAAGATCGCCTTGCAAAGGACCTCCATCACAGCTGTCAGTGGGGTCCTGGGGTTCGCTGGGGAGAGTGAGTAGATCACTTCCTATCTCTCTTCCCTATGATAGATGGATAGCATGTCAGTGTCCTTGATAGTAGACTAATGGATAATACAGGGGGCCTACAGACACAGGCATGCAGCGCTTAGCGCTGTCGGACGAAGACAAGAATGTACGGGATTGGTTTATTGAGACAACAAAGGCATTGAAATGCAATGTCACGGTCGACGAAATGGGCAATATCTTTGCTGTACGGCCTGGACGACGCAAGGATGTGCCTCCGGTGTTCATCGGAAGTCATCTAGACACTCAACCTACTGGCGGTCGATATGACGGCATACTTGGTGTTCTTTCGGGGATTGAGACTTTGAAGGTTATCGACGAGATGGGACTCGAGACAGAGGGTGGTGTTGGTGTTGTAAACTGGACGAAGTGAGAACTCCCTTTGGTCAAGTTAATTGGACAAATGTAACTGACATACGCACAGCGAAGAGGGTGCTCGTTTCCCTATCAGCATGGTTTCTTCCGGCGTATGGGCCGAGTGCATACCCCTTGAACGAGCCCATGGGCTCAAGGAGGTCCCAACCGTGGCATCTCTTCCCACCGCTTCATCCGCTCCGGAGTCGATGAAGACGGCCCTGGAAAAGATCAACTACCTAGGAAGCGTCCCATGCTCCTACAAAGAGACGCCAATGGCAGCGCATTTCGAGTTGCACATCGAGCAGGGACCACACCTTGTATCCGCAGACCAGCGCGTCGGCGTCGTTACAGCTGTGCAAGCATACCGCTGGTACCGAGTCAACATCATCGGCAGGGACACCCACACGGGTACAACGGCGTTTCAGCATCGCGCAGATGCTCTGTATGCCTTCGCGCGCATGATGGTGCGTGCGCGAGAGGTCGCCTCTTCGCACGGATGCCTAGCAAGTGTTGGCATTGTGGAAGCAAAGCCCGGAAGTGTGAATACCGTCCCCGGGCTGGTCAGCTTTACTCTCGACATCCGCGGGCCGGAAACCGACCTGGTTGAAGTTGTCGAGGCGCAGTTGAGAAAGGACTTCGATGCAATCGCGGGGGACGAAGGCAAGGGTATCGGGAAACCTTGCCGTGTGGATTGGACGCTGGACTTCGACTCGCCAGCCGTCAAGTTCCATCCCGACTGCATCGACTGCGTACAGCAGTCGGCGGAGGCTGTGGTGGCTGATGCGCCAGAGCCCAAGTCGCTCGTCCGAACGATCATGAGCGGCGCTGGGCACGATAGTGTCTTCACTTCGAAGAGAGTACCCACTAGTATGATCTTCGTGCCCTGTAAGGACGGTTTGAGCCATCATCCGGAGGAATACTGCTCTGCGGATGACTGCGCTACCGGCACATCAGTCATTCTGCAAGCAGTGATTCGCTATGACCGGAAGAGATTCTCCGACTAAATCATAATTCGAAGTCGGGGATATTCATAAGAATGAATGTATAGAGCATACGGATATCTGGATATCTACGAGAATGGGATCACGTTTGAAATTTTTGGAGTCATAATCATGTCATTGAACCTAGCTACTCCGTGGTATCGAGACAGCAACAATGCATAATCACTTTTTTGATTTTCATCAGGATGCGCAAGGCGCAGCAATTTCTGACCATGTAGGCCTACTCAAGCCACGCCCGCAACACCCACAAGTGCCCTAGGAAGACCAAGCGACATCTCCTTACGAAGGGGGAGCGCCACGGCCACGGCCGAAACCGCCACGGAAGCTAGGGGCGAACTCGCCGGGGGCACCACCCTCCTTGCCCTCCTCGCGGCGGCGGTAGCCACCCTCACGGGGAGCACGGGGACGGCGCTCGCGCTCCTCACCACCCATCATGCCACGGGGGGGAGCGTGAGAACGCTGCTGCTTGATGTGGGTGGCGGGGACAACCTCAGCGGGGAGGTGCAGCCACTCACGGAGGTAGTCAAGACCCTGTCAGGAGAAAAGACACGTTAGCCGACTGAACTCGCGCGAGTTTCGCATCGAGTCGGGATTTCCAGAATCCCCAGAAATAGAACATACCTCGGGGGTGAGGGTGTAGTAGTAGTACTGCCACGAGAACTGGGTCTTGACGAAGCCGCGGGAGTTCAGGGACTGCAAGGCCTTGATCACGTAAAGGTTCTTGGTGTCAATGTCGCCATGCTTGGGAAGGTTGAAGTCCTTCTTGGCCACGAGCACACCCTCTGTTCAAACAGATATTCAGTCAGCGATTGATCCGAATCGGTCTCAGGAGTGAAGCGATGCAGGGTTGATTCGAGGTCCAGCGCAAAGGTGCGTAAGCGAGGGAAGGGTTGTCGATATTCACATACCGCGGAAGAGGTACTCGTGGATCTTCTTGCGGTCGTCCTTAGGGATAAGCCTGGAAAAACATTAGATGACATGGCTTTCGAGAATGCATTGAGGCTAGAAGGGCCCAACTTACATTGTTGCGAGTTCCTGGCGCTCTTCGGGGAATCGCTCAAACAACGCGCGAAGAGTAATGGTTTAAATGATGGATATAGTCGAGTGGAGCTGCGCTTGGAGTGAAAAGTAGTGCGGTTAGTGCGGTTCTTCCTAATCCGGAAGGCGGCTAGGGCTTGGGCCCTGCAAGAAGCGCTAGTCCTGATGGGATAAGATTCCATTTCAGGTCCGACGCGGCAGAACTATCTCCATCTGGTTAGCTCGCATTCTCAGCCTCTTTGTGCCTGAGGCTGCAGTCGTACCTTAGTAATCCGCGTCCTTATCGTCGACTCCGCAATCTTGCAGTCACTTGCGCTTCATCTCAGCCGATTGTCACCTCCGTGATCTCCAACACCCTATCTTAACAGAATATCAGACGCGAGTAGTCGGAGACTACTCTCATCGAAAATGGCACCCTCTAACATCAACATTCTTCTCACGTCCTTCCCTGGACTGTCTCTCCCCTCGACCCTCTCCTTCTCGCTCACCTCCACCTCTACCATCGCCGATCTCGCCGACAAGATCTCTTCATATATCCCGACATCCGTCCCGTTCCAATCCCTTGTCTTGACGACCACCAGCAACAAACAACTCGACCCCTTCTCACAGAGCCTCGTCTCTACTCTACTTGCCTCAAATGGCGAACCCAGTACGACATCGAACCTCCTACCTCTCCGCCTCTCAGTCCCGCTATGCGGTGGTAAGGGTGGTTTCGGCTCCCAGCTCCGTGCAGCTGGAGGGCGCATGTCCAGTAAGCGAAAGCGCAACCAAGGCGACGACAACGGATCCAGCCGAAACCTCGATGGCCGACGTCTCCGCACCGTCAACGAAGCCAAAGCGCTGGCCGAATACCTCGCTGTCAAGCCGGAGATGGATCGCAAGGAGAAAGAGGAGCGTCGACGTCGCTGGCAGTCGGTCGTGGACATGGCCGAGAAGCGCCAGGAGGAACTGAAGAACGGGGGCGGCAAACAGAAAGTCGACGGTCAGTGGATGGAGGACAAGGAGGAGATGAACGAGAAGGCCAGAGACGCCGTGTTGCTCGCTATGAAGAATGGGGACTGGTCGGACAACCTGCGCGATACGATCTTGGGCGGCTCTAGCACGAGCGCCAGCGCCAGCGAAGGCAGTGGTCAGGAAACACCTAGTGGCTCGGACGAGGAGAGTGATGAGGACATGGATGCGAATGGCGCTCCAGGGCCGTCTGAGCCTGCTCAGAAAGCCGCAGCTCCTCGCAAGTTCATTGGGTTCGATGATGACGACGAGTTTATGAGTGATTCTGAAGAGGAGGAAGATCAGCCCGAGGACTCCAAGGGCAAGGGAAAAGCAAAGGCCTAAGCTAGGGGCGAGACGGATATTTGTGCCTTCTCTTTCTAATGTTCGTTTCTTTCCTTGTGATCTTTGTATTTATTTTCTTCGGCGTTCCGCGAGCAGGGTCAGGATGCCGAGTCCACAAAACGGCGAGTCAATTGTATAGCATAGTAATATCCATCATATTTTTACAAGTCCATGCTGTTGACTACATATAAATCAAATAACCCTGTTTGATTCAAGTACGGAGTAGAATGACATGGTTTGCCACAGCAACTTTTTCCGGGGATCGGCGCCGACCACCGAATGTTATCAGCGCTATCGATTACCTTCGTCTCCGTCGCATTCTTTTTTCGCTCCGTCCTTCCAACTTCCTCCACAACTACCTCGTCATGACATCCTGCCTGGGACGAACTGTCCCTAAATCTTGGCGGTCAATCCAAATCGGTCGCCAACTACCCCGTCTACCTCGACCGCTTCCCCAAAGACTTCCATCTCGGAGCTTTTCTTCACGGCCGCAAAGCTTCCCCAAGCTCAGCTTCCACCCTCTGCCATTCAAACAACAACGCTTATTCTCCTCAACCGCCCCTTCGCATACGAATCCGTCGATCCGTACGGAAGATATTCTTCCCATTTGTTGCCCAGGATGCGGAGCTTATTCGCAAACTGTCGAGCCTGAAGAGGCTGGATACTACGGCAAAACCAGAAAGCAGACACGGAAATTTCTCTCGGAGGCAAGAAAAGAGACCAAAGAACCGCAGTCAACGTCGGAGCAATCGAAGGATACAACTATAGAGGGAGGAGAGACAACGGAATCGAATGCGCCGCCGCTCAACGAGGAACTTGTCCCCAAACCAGACCGTGCGTGTAGCCATACTTTTTCCCCTTCACGAGCTGTGAAACTAACACCTGGACTAGAAGATATCCTTGTTGAACCCGTCGCCTCGCCCAAGAGTGAGATTTCAGAAAAGCCAAACCTCCTCACGCATATCTGCGATAGATGTCATGACCTGTTGCACCATAACAAGGCGGTCCCAGCCGTCTCACCGACGATCTACTCAGTTCGAGAATTCTTGAAAGAGTCCCCGTATAAACATAATCGCATCTACCACGTCATTGACGCCGCGGATTTCCCGATGTCTCTTGTCGACAATATTTACGAGGCGCTTTCCTTGCAGGAGCAGCGCTCCCGAAATCGACGCGCAAGTACGGACAAGTACAGAGGAGGAAGAAAACTGCCAACTATTTCCTTTATCATAACGCGATCCGATTTGTTGGCTCCGACGAAGGAGCAGGTGGACTCGAAAATGGATTACGTGCGCTCTGTTCTCCGCGACGCTTTGAAGCAACAGAGCGACGACTACCGCCTGGGCAATGTACATATGATTAGCGCGCACCGGGGCTGGTGGACCAAGAACGTCAAGGAAGAGATCGCCGAGCATGGCGGTGGCGTCTGGGTTGTTGGGAAAGCCAACGTTGGAAAAAGCAGCTTCATAGAGGCATGCTTTCCCAAGGATGCGAAGACTTTGGAAAAGGTCGCGGAGCTGGTAGAACGTCGCCAGGCAGAGGATTTTGCCCCCAAGGCATCTGACTTTTCGACACTGGATCCCGACAGTCTCCTGCCACCTGCTCCCCGGGAAGACCAATACCCCATCCTTCCAGTTGTGTCATCGCTCCCTGGTACTACCGTTTCGCCCATTCGCATCCCCTTTGGCCGTGGTAGAGGAGAAATGATTGATCTCCCTGGGCTGGAGCGCACTGAAATAGCTAACCATGTCGTCGACTCGCATAAGCGGGACTTGATAATGACCAAGCGGATTAAGCCTCAGCGCCACAGTATCAAGGCCGGACAGTCTTTACTTCTAGGGGGAGGGCTTGTCAGAATCACCGCCGTGAATCCTGACCATGTGGTGATGGCCGCATGTTTTCTTCCGATCGAGGCCCATGTCACCAGGACTGAAAAGGCTATTGAGATGCAGGCACAGCAACGTGCGTACCCCGGAGAAAAAATCGTGGAGGAGAGCAGCGGAAACACTATCGCGTCTGCCGGTGTGTTCGACCTGAAGTGGGACGTGACTCAATCACATCTGCCGATCTCCATTGCCAAAGCAGTGGAGGACAAGGGAATCCAGGCTCCTCGCATGCCATACCGAGTGATGTCAACCGACATCCTGATCGAGGGCTGTGGGTGGGTCGAGCTCACGATTCAGGTACGAGCCAATGCCGGTGGCAACGAGTCTCCAGGGTCCTCGCCCCAAGTCGAGATCTTCAGTCCCAACGGCCAACACATCGGTTCGAGGAGGCCAATCGAATGCTGGCGTTTCACCGCTGAGAAGCAGTCGTCCGACAGGCGCAAAAGAGTATCGCGAGGACGACAGAGCATCGGCAAGACGAAACGCACTCAGTTTTCTTCGTGACTCTAGATCGTCTGATATACAGAACTTGCGGATCTTGAAGGGCTTATATCAACATTTGTATAACATCTTACCTATAGCATAGCGACTGGTGTTTGCTGGACAAAAAAGGGAGTACATATCTAAACTAAAATCTGTATATTACTATTATATCTAGACACTGCTACAAAAGAATCTCCTATCTTGGTGGGTTTACAGAGCATCAATCATTTCCCAGGGTGGACCAGGACGCTAAAGATGAGCACATTATTAGTCGCCCAGCGGGGGTCCTTCTGCTTCTCTCCATCCTCGTACTCTCTTGTTTTATCTTGTTTCATCTCCATCGCCTGCATTCTGCTATTTACATCCTCCTCTCTTTGTTTCTTTCCATTTTCCCTCTAGCTCCTATACTTGACATACATCCAATATGCTCTCCTCGCGGGGAACCAAGAAGGCCGAGTCCCTTCACCGTCCCTGGCGATATGCCGCTGCGCATACCTACGACGCAAAAACCAACACCTCGGGGGTAATCTCCTTGGGAATGGCAGAACATGTATACCAACGACCCCGAATCACCCAATATTCAGTCTCTAATTTGAAGATAGGCCCCAATGCGCTCGGATGTCGCGAACTACATCAACGACAAGGTACTGTCTACAACCTACCGCCAGATACAATCATCCCCTCAATGATCCTCCTCCAGGTGATCTTCACAGAAAACGAGATCGGCTACCGTCCTCGCCCGGACTCGCCCGCCCGTCTTCCCCAGGCCGTGGCGTCACATCTCAACTCCCTTCTGAAGCCTATGCTCCCCATCGACCCCGAGCACGTCGTCACTGCCAGCGGTCTGACGGCCATCGGAAGCATGTTGGCTTTCACCTTGGCCGAGGAGTCTGACGGGATTCTCGTCGCTCGGCCTGTGTATGGTCGATTCGAACTGGACTACGGCGTCGAAGCCGGCGTCCAGATCGTGTATGCGGACACCGAGGCCGAGGAGTCATTCACGCCGGGAGTCGTCGAGAAGTATGAGGCGGCGCTTCAGGATGCTGCGAGGAAGGGCATCACAGTTCGTGCGGTTCTGCTGGTGAACCCGCATAATCCTGTCGGTACGTGAGATCTTAGTTGACGGCTTCTGATCTGTTGCACTGGGCCTTCCTGCTGATGCAACTGTTGCTGACTGGTCCTGACAGGTCGCTGCTATCCCGAAGACACTCTTAGAGAGATCCTTCGCTTCTGTAGCAAACATCGCCTGCACGTCATCAGTGACGAGGTCTACGCCTCGTGTGTTTTCGATTCCGGAGATCCCTCCGCGGTCCCGTTTACTTCGATTTTGTCCCTCGATTTGAAAGGACTAATCGATCCCAATCTGGTACATGTGCTATGGGGCTTCAGCAAGGTGAGGAAGATCATGGGCTGCTTTCCCACTCATTGATCTAGTAACCCCCCATATGTCTAGCATTTACCATCACCAAGTGACAAAAGTACTACCTATCCAAACTAACAGCCCATACCACAGGACTTCGCAGCAGGAGGCCTCCACCTTGGTTTCTTAATCACCCGAAACGAGCAACTTCGCGAGGCATGCAAGGTCATCGTGTGAGGTCTTCCCTCCACATCCCCTCTCTTTCTAATTCATCTTAAATCGATCCTCTAACAGTACAGCACAACACGAACAGAAGACTCCACCACCCTTCAACAACCACCAAAGCCATCGGCGCCACCATCCTCGAAGACCAGTCCTTCGTAGCCAAATTCACAGAAAAGTCTACGCGAGACCTCGCGAACACATACCGCATCGTAACCTCCGTTCTGGATCGCGAGGGAATCAACTACGTGAAGGGAGGGTAGGTGCTATCGCTCTTTGCATATTTCTTCTGCCCCCTTCTCTAAACTATTTTTTTCGGCTCTTATTTCTTTATATATTCGATCTAACGGATCCTCTTCTCCAGGAACGCCGGTTTCTTTATCTTCGTGGACCTCTCGCCCTATTTATCCGATGGGCCTGCTTCATCGCAGGGACGGGAGTTCGCGCTGGCTCAGAAGTTCCTCGATGCGGGTGTTTTCTTGCATCCCGGGGAAGAGCATGCGAAGACACCGGGATGGTTTCGGCTTGTGTTCTCACAGGAGGGGGATGTGTTGAGAGAAGGATTGCGGAGGTAAGTGCGAAGACCACTATATATATACTTCGTGGTCATCTTCCCGTGGAATTTCTACGATTTTGAAAATGGATTGCTAACTTAAGGGCTATTTTACATTTCTGGGATGAAGAATGATTGGGGTTCTGAAAGCTTGATGCTAGTATTGTTTGTTTGCATTCGGGTTTAGGCATGGATTTATATACTAGTAAATGTTGTGATTTTATCCCGTCATGAACATCAAAAAGATCATTGCATTTCTTCATCTTCGTATTCTTCTTTATGCTAATTTAATTTTTTACATCTCCGAAGCCAAATCGCTCTAGATCTGTATTTCTAGAAAGGAAAGGACTTTACTCCGCAATGTTGGCAAAAGCGAAGGTCGGGTTTCCAGGGACGGCATTTTCAGCCTGCAGGCCCTCTCTCTTCTCGCCGGTGCCCAGCACCTCACCGGTCTTGCCACCCTCATCGACGGCGATGATCTCGAGCTCCTTGCAGCCCGTCGTCCGCTTCAGACCGCCCCGCATCTCCTCGAGGGCGGCGAACTCGTCGAACGGCAGTTTCCGCGCGAAGACGGTATCCGGGGCCTCCTTACTCTGGACCAGGCGCTTCTTCAGGCCCTGGACGAAAGGCATGGCCTTCTTCATCTCACCCAGCTTGCCGACCTTGGCGTTCAGCTCCTTGTCGTTGATGGAGAGGCTGAGGGAGTCGAAGGCCTCGCGGACCAGGTCGATGTACTTCTCCTGCCACTCGGGGTACTTCTTCGCGGCGAAGATTGTGATCTTCTTGGGCTTGCGCGGGTCGAAGGAGCTGGCCTTACCCTTGGACAGCTTCTTGGTGAAGTTGGCCTCGGCGGAGGTGATGCCGGAGGAGGTGCTGCGGACATAGTTCGAGGCGGCCAGCAGTTCCGGGGAAGGCTCGGGGACTTCGGGGAAGCGAGCGAAGTGGATGGTCTCGGGCTGTTATGCAAGTCAGTCTTGTTCCGTTTTCTTTTTGCTCGAAATCAGAAATAATCGGTGCACTAACCTTCTTGAGGACCTCAAGCCACAGGTATTCGGCCCAGTGAGGAGCGATAGGAGCCATCAGGAGAGCCTGCAGCTCAATATAGCGGAGGATCATGTCACGGTGCATTCCGACACCTGCGGCGGCGGTGGCCTCACGGTAGACATCACGGACACCGGTCAAGTCATACAGGGAAGACTTCAGAGCAAGCTTGAAGTTCGTGCTGGGGTCACTGTTAGCAGACATTCGGGTTGACGTAGGTGGGTTTGTCATGTGTGGAAACTCACTCTTGGTAGTTCTTGATAGCTTCATGAACCAGGTTGTTCAGCTCGTTGTTGAAGAGCTTATCCCAGAAAAGATCCGCAGAGCCAGTACGCAGAGACTCGTCCTTGACAACTTCCTCAATCCATTCCTTGAGGGTGAAGAGACGCAGAATGTTACTGTTAGCAACGGTTTCCTCGAAGTTGGCGTCCTCAATACCGTCACCGGCATCGGCAAAGGCAATGCGGGTGGCATCGGCACCGAACTTCTCGACAGAGTCCTTGAGAGTCAGGAAGTTACCCGTGCTCTTACTCATCTTGTCACCGTTGAGAAGCAAGTGTCCGTTGGCACGGACGCCACGAGGCCAGTACTCGGACGGGAAGAGAGCCACATGAATGTAAAGGAAGAAGGTCAGGTGGTTTTGGATAAGATCCTTTCCGGAAACTCTGACATCCAGAGGGTACCAGTACTCAAACTCTCTCCGCAACTGCTGCAGCGCCTCCTTGCTGATACCGCTCTTCGACACCAGCTCGTCGCTGAGCTCGCGTCGGGTGAAGACGTAGTCCCAGACTTCGTCGGTCATCTGCTCGGCCTTGACATTCAGAGACCCGGTGGTCTTACCGTAGCGATCACCGTGCAGAAGATGGGCAATGGTGTAGTAGGCCATGTAGACGGTACTGTCACTCAGACTCTCCACCAGGAACTGAGGGTCCCATGGCAGCTTAGATCCGAGACCATACGTTCTCGCGCAAGCCCAGCGGTTGAGCCAGTCAAGGTTCTTCTCGAAACCGTTCTTAGTCTCATTCGAGTAGGTGTTGAGAGTGTTCACGACGTGGCTCAAAGTGTCCTTCTGCCACTTAGCATCGTTCTCGCCGTAGTTCAAGAACCACTGGCCAAGGTAGGCAACGACGCAGTCATCCCCACTTCGGCTAACAACCTTACCCATGGGGTCGGCGAAGGCGAAAGCATCTCCACTGTCGTAGAGAGACTTGCGGATCTTATCCTTGACGGCGCTCACAGGCTCGCCCTTGAACTCGCCCACAAGCATAGTGCCCTTGTAGAATGCTTCACCATAAGCCAATTCCTTGGCCTGGGCGAGCTGGTTGACGTCTTTGGGAGAGTTGATCTTGAGCTGTTTAACCAGAGCAGGAGCAGTAAGGTTTCCGTATGTCGGGGTATCAATAAGAGGGTGGATTTCCAGCTCAGCCCACTCCTTTTGGATTCCATAGTACTCGGACTTCTTCGCAAGATCGAGCAAGGTAGCATAGTCGTCAGGGCTGTCAGAGGGCACAGAGGTAACAACGCCGGTACCCTTGCTGGCGGAAACGCCATCCATCGGCAGGATGCGCACACCCTCAGTGTGGAATGACAGCGGGGCGTTGACAAGGGTGCCAACGAAGGCAGATCCAGGGGCCTCAAGGACCAAAGGCAGCTCATCCTGAGTCTTGGGGAAGTGCTCGCTGTCGAAGAAGATGCCCTGGAAGGCCATGTTCCAAGCGGCTCTCTTAGTAGCAACAAAGTACTCCTTCTCCTTCACCTTGAAGATACCGTATTCGATCTTAGGGCCAAGGAAGCAGCAAGTCTGTCCGTACATGGTCTCGGGACGCAGAGTAGCAGGGACGAAATAGACACTAGCGTCGTCCTCAATCTTACCCTTAACGAGCTCAGCCACCTTGGGCGCCCATTCCTTGACCTTCAGCTTCATAGCCGTGTACTCCTGAGGCCCGATTCCTTCACCCTCGGTTCGGTCGTGGTCCATGCAAGGCTGTCCATCCTTGGGGGAGTAGACGGTGTAACGGTTGCCGTACTGAATCTTGCCGAGTTCGTGAAGACGGTTCATCTGCCAGCGCACAAAGGCATCGTAGTACGGGTTCGCATCGGTGGTAACAAACTGTCTACGCCAGTCGACTCTGGCGCCCATGCTGTCGAGATCACGAATGGCAAGCGGAGGGAAGTGCTGGAGCCAGTGGTCGGCGTTGGCGAACTTGTGGATCTCTTCCAGAGGAAGACCGATGGCCAACATGATCTGGAACTGGTACTTCATCTTCACGGTCTTGGCGGCGGCCTTGCTCTTCTTGCCGGAAAACTTCTCCTGCTGCTCGGCCTTGACCTCCTGGGTAGGAGCGGCTTGAGTTTCCTCCTCACCCTCCTCCTTGTATCCTTCGAAGTTCTGTCCGAATTTCTTGACTTCGTCGGCGAGCTTGTCGGCGCAGGCCTTGATGGGCATACCGGTGCAGTGGAATCCGAGAGGGAAAAGAGCGCGCTTGCCCTCCATACGGGCCACAGCGGTCATGAATTCGACCTTACTGGCGGTAAAACTGTGACCGGCGTGCAGAGTTCCGTTCATGTACGGGTAGGCCATGGTTCCGAAAAACTTGGGGTGCTTCTCACGGAGTTCCGCAGCGGTCATGGATCCCGCAGGAACCTCCGACAGAGAGGGAGCGTCGACCTCGAAAACCTTGCCCTCCTTCCATTGCGCCTGATACTTCTTCTCGATGGCGATGAGGCTGTCACGCTTCTCGGTCTGTCATAATCATCCACCCATTAGTACTCTGAACACGGCGCAAAGGTTCTCTGGGGGAAGAGGAGGGGTAAACTGCAGAACATTTTCGAGTTTGAGGGTGTTTTTGGAGCTGTTGCTCGGATCGAGCACAGCTGCGGATGCGGCAGCGGCAGCCATAGCTCCCGTTAATTAGTCTGCTGGGTTGCAAACCGAAAATAGAGAGCCGTAAAGGCGGAGATGGAGGGGAAAGAGAGGGATATCAATCGCGGGGTCGGGCTTTATCGACTTTGGACGAAAGATTATGTGGGAGTCACCCTCGCTCACCGCCTGCCTGCTTTGCCGTCCGCCGGTCGGGGTCACGTGCCCAGTATCGGAGTCGTTTTCTTTCCGCCGACAAATCCCCAAAAGATCGAGATGCGGTCCACGTCTTAAGACATCAATTTCACCCAATTGTCCTTTGGCCGCCACTCTCCGCCATCCCTTCTCGATTCACCCATCCTTTATCTATCTCATTTGGCAAGGAATCAGAGCGTGTGCGCTCTAAACCGTCACCATGGTGAACATGATCAAGCGGATGCGAAAGCTGCAAGCTGTATGTTGCACCCTTCTCCTAATTAAAAAAGGCGTAATGAAGTATAATTACTAACAATTTGGATTCTACAGAAGGTAAAGATTCTCCGAAATTCCCACAGTCCCGTCTAAAGGGCTCCGGTGTCCAAACTGCGAATATGGAACCTATTCCTCCATACAAACTTCTAAAATCGAATCGTCCAAGGGCGATCACCGAGAGCGATATAGACCCAACATACTAATTCCTGATAAACCATAACAGCTCGTCAATATCCGCGTTGGTACCGGCGCCGCCACTTTCCCGTCAGCTTCATCCGCAACCAAAGAATTCCCCGCCATCACCCGTCTTCACCTCACATACGCCCGCAAGATCTACGGCGGACACCAAGGTGCACGACATTTCTGGCGCAACTGCCTGCCTCGGCTGAAGTTCCACAACCCGGCGATCCCGATGACCGTGAGACCGACCGACGAGCAAGACGGACCGGCCGCCTTGACGATATACTTCGCCGAACAGGCCAGCAATGCCGCGTCATTGACGGCGTCCCAGATCGACGACAAGCACGCCCCTAAGCCTTCGGAGACGGAAAAGTCGGCAGTCCTGGACCTCAAGAACCTCGACTACCAGCAAATCTGGAACAAGGTCAAGATGGTGACCGGGGCGCAGGAGATCGCCGCGACTACGGAGGAAGAGGCCGAATTGCGGAAGTTTGAGCAGTGGAAGCAACAGTCGGAGAAGGACCGCGTGAGGATGGCCGCCCTTCGACAGGCGAAGAAGGACCAAGAGCGCATGCTCTTAGAAGCTCGGGGAGAGGTTGAGAAGCTGAGGGAGCTGTAAAGGCTCTGCGCTTGACTTTTGTGCTTGTTAAATGCCTCTTTGGAGGGATGGAATTGGGTTTGTGGAAAATTCACATGGAAATGGCCCATTGTAGCATAGCCCTTTGTTTTGATGTCGATTTTCTTTTTTGCTGTACTTCGATCATATAGTTCTAGGGATCATCTTTTTTGTGGATTATAATGGATTTAAGCTGACATCTGGACATCGCTTTCGTTGATTCATAGCTATTGAGGTATTCGACTCATTATTGTACTCGACGCCGCCCACTACTGAGCATTATATGATCGCTAGGTATTATCAAAAAATATGCAATGGAGTATTCATTTATACATCCAGACATGTCGAAAGAAAGATCACAGCCAACGCTTGCACCTACTCCTGAATACATCGGATTTAATTTCCGTGCTTGAATGAATCAAGATCAAGCAGAACCACCAATTCTTCATCTCCTCCTTTTATCCCAAACAGGCAACCGAACTCCTAAGAAGCCATGCAGTGCACAAAACTTTACCAATTCAGGAATGGTCGGGCGTATAACTGGTTTCACCCAGCATAGTCTGTCCCGCCGATACCGTCGGCGTTGCTGTCTGTGTTTGACTGGGCCCTTGCTGGTTCGATGCGGACGGGTTAGGCGGTGCTCTCCCCGCAGCTGCCGCCTGGAGTCTCTGGTCCAAGGCCTTGAGGGCTAAGGCGCGTCTCCTCTCGGCTTCCTCCCGCTTTGCCAGTCCCCTCGCGCCGCCTCTCTGGTTGTTCAGCAAACTTGGGAGACCGGCCTCTCCTCTCGCGAGAACTTGCTGGTTGCCCGACGCAATGTCTTCCTCCGAAAATGGTGTGCAAATTTTCAACGTGACGAGCAGAATGTAAACCTGGTCGGAAACAAATGCAATCGGGGGCTGGATGACGTCTGGGAAGAGACAGGCGAACGCAAAAGTCTCGCTTGCATCACCCTTGATGCCCAATCCATCTGTGCTCGTGCCGGTGAGGTCTGGCTGTCGTTTAAGAAATCGTAGATAGGACCAGCTGGTCAACAATCCAACCCAAGAGAGGATGGCTGCCACGTGCGTGCCGAATAATACTCCACTAAGAGTGTTCAGAAACAAGAAGAGGGCTGGGAAATGCTTTACCCGCATCTTCACCAGACCCTTGAAGAGAGTGACCGTATGTTCAGGCACGAGCTGCTTGAAGGCGACGAGGAAAGAGGCTTGGATCGATATCCCGCCGCAGATCTGAGTTACACTGTTACAACACAACGTTAGGAACGAGAGCGCAACAAGTCAGGCTTTTCGCATCGGAGAGATCAGCGTACCTGCCGGTCGGGTTCCCTCTGACAGCAGCCCAGATCAGATATAAAGGAACGATGACCACATTTGGGACTACCGCGATGGTGAGGATGAATTTCGCAAACTCCCGAGAGCTCCATGCGCGCTCCAAGTACTTTCCGCCGTAGAAGAGAGTGGCCCCGTTCAGAAGCACCGTGAAGATGTTCTGCTCCACGAAGGTCGCCGTCAAAAGGGTCCACGGATAGAAGATGACCAGCGAGGGCACTAGGGTCAGGTAGGGTATGATGGGGGTGACCGAGGGGGTACCGCCGGTGGTGTCAATCTGTCGCCATCTGGCAATGTTGTACAACAAGGATAGGGTGAGCAGGCTGATCAGACAGACGCGGGTCGCGGGCGGGATATTGACTCGAAGGGCCATGTTGAGTGAGAAGGGGTCATGCGGCTGCCGAGACGAAACGCAGACCGCAGACGATAAAAACCCGGCCGGAGGGGTGTTGGTGGAGGAGAAAAGGGTCTTAAATGGTGTTGGGTTCAGCCTGGCGGGATGGAGAGTTTTGGGTTTGGGTTGGTCACGGATCGCCTCGATGTGATTGGGCCGCCCCACAAAGACATCGCATGCTTTTTTTTTTTTTTTTTTTTTTTTTTTGCCTGCTGCCGCCCTGCTGTAGGGCCGAGGATTACTCTGTGCCACCTGGGAGGCCTAGCAGTATACCTAAGTACCTTCGGTCGTATGTCCCCGATGGGTACGCTGCGTAAACATTCTCCGTAGTCCGTCCACCGCAGTAGTCGTGGTGCCTGAGGAATGATCCCTGTCCATGACCCCCATCGGCAGTCTACGAATTCATTTTCTGCTCTCCACCTGGGATTAGTAAGTGCGTCTGCCACGATTCCTTCCGCAGAATAGATACATACGGAGTACATCAGCCGGGGTCGGTGGCTAGATTGGCATCGTCAGCGTCTAGGGGATCGAATGGGTTAAGTAATTAAATGTATACTCCGCACAGAATCCGTGGGATATGCCGGGATTTGAGGGTGGCATTACACCGTACAGTGCAGCCCACGCCACGGAGATGGAGTCCACGCACACCATCCTCGGATCCAGGACGAGCAGCACCATAACTGCTCGCCGGGTGATTGGCGAATGACCCTCCAGACGAACGGAAACCCAGATTCGACGTCACCTGACCAGGCACGCTAGGCCCGTTCTGGGGACGCCCCAGGCAGACCCGCCGGCGCTAGGCCCATCGCGACCAAGCGCGCAAGCCGATCCTCAGGCCGTCAGAACCGCACAAGGGGCCCGGTGGATTTCCCAACTGCACGCTAGTCCCATGGGCCAGACGCCACAACGAGTCAAGCCCGAAAAAAAAAGTCCCAGGCCCAGAGTCAAAAGTCAAATCTGAACTGGCCCGTCTGAAACAGCGTCCCAGAGCCGCCTGGAGAAATTCCAGCTTTCCCCTCTGGGTTTGGTAACTTGCCTTTGGCGCTGCTCGGCCTTTCTGCTCGCTGCTCTGGTGCTCTGTTCACGACTCGACCCTCGACTCGCCCCGACTCGACTCCCGGGACCTTGCGCACCTTGACCTGCGCACCTTGACCTGGAACGGTTATTGGAAGTGACTTGACTCGACTGGACGGACGGTTCATCACCTGCGATCTCTCCACCACCGTTAGCTAACTCTAACCTGCGCGCTTCGATCCGTGACTTCTTCTTCTCTTCCCTTCTCAGTTCCTCTCTCGCTCTCTCGGTCCCTCCTCTCTCTCTCCCTCCCCTCCTCTCGGCTTCCCTTCTTCGTCCTTCCCACCCACCCCCAAGAACCTGCTGCAGCTCCGACTCTTGCAGTTCGCTAGCGGGTCTGCTATCTCAAACCACACGTTGGTGCTCGATTTCGTCCCGTTCCGACATTCGTCGACTCCTTCCCTCTGCTCTCTGCTCGCTCCAACCTTGGGATTTCTCGGTTACCACCATCTGGTCCCTTCGGAGCCCGTCGACTCTTCTCAAAAGGCCCCAGCTGCCAATAGGATGTGCCGCAGTCCCCTGCCCTTTTTTTGATGATCTTTCTATCAACCTAGTCCCGCTAGCCCGTCATTCTTCTTCCCTCGTCATTTCTTCCCTTCAACTTATTATTGTCACTTCACTCCCTCCCTTGCCACGGCCTTGGCTGCGTCTTCGCCGGTCGTTCCTCTTCTTTTCCCACCAAACTTCCACCTTCTCGATTCTCGGTCCTTTTGCTCGGGAACCCGTTCCAACACCGCGTCCCCGTTGTCTCCAATCGGTTAACCCACCCGTTTTTCAAATCTCCGCATCTTCGAGGCTTCACCTTGCCCACCGTTGTTTTTCACCAACCAGCCCGGCGGAGAAATCTTTCATCATTGGCATGCTAGCGGATCCTCCACCTTACTAGCTGTCATACATGTAACAATGGCACGCCCTGATCTCACGTCGCATCACGTCAACTACTTAATATGGAGGTATGTCCAAAACCACTGCAGATTCTCGTTCGGAACCGTTTGTCACCCGGTCCTTGCCTTTCTCCCTCACTTGATGCCTTTTCTTCTCTTTCTTTCTGTCGTGACACGTAATCGCTGACAGATGCTTTAGGTATCTTCAAGAGTCGGGTTAGTCTTTTTTTTTTTTTTTTTTTTGTTTTTCAACTCTCGACATTTCTCCATTATTTCGTCTTTCATCCTAACTTATCTTCTAACCTAATCGCATAGGTCATGGCGAAGCGGCTGTGACCCTGCAGCGCGCATGGAATCGTGATCCGCAAAGTTTGCCTTTTGCTCCTTACATTAGAACTCATGCGCTGGTGTCGCTGGTCCAGAAGGGGCTACAGTATTACGAATTAGAGCAGTCTCTGGATAAGGTACGTTCCGCGTCGACTTTGTAGCCTCGTCATTCTCTCACTTCCTTTCCCCCGCCCCCCTTTCTTTTGAACGGGCGGGTGTCCATTTTTTAATTTCTAGCGATCCTAACGAAAACCGCAGGAAGGGAATCCCGTTCCAATCTCAGCATCAAATTATTTTTTCGGCCCAGCACCGCTGGAGCCGGAGATCCCTAAAAACCCAGGTGGCCCGGGAAACGCAGTTGTTGGCGGCACGGACCAGGCGCCTGTCTCGCCTACAACAAGCAAAGTCCCTCGAGACAGCGCCGTGATCAACGGTCATCTGACTGCCGAGACTGCCGCGCCCGCAGTCGCCCCTGTTAAGAAATCCCGCAAGAGCGATCGTGGGGAAACCAATGGCGATGAAATGCCCATGGATGTTGACTCGAATGGGGTTACCCACGAGAATAATAATACTAAATCGCAGGTTGCTGACGAGTCGCCGGCCGTGGCCGACCCGGTGGTGGATGGCGACGGCGACGTGAACATGGGCAGCCGACCGGAGTCGCAAGACCAGGAACCAGCCGCGCCAACCTTGACGTTGACCACCGGACACAGCGTTGGCGTCCAGATCACCCCCGCCAAGGCCGCCGACCTTAGCCCCGACACCGCCGTTCTGGATGTGGCTGGTGAGGACCACGTGACCCGGGCGCTGTGGCGCCCCGGCGATCCGACCGTCGTCGTTGCCGCCGGTGACTCGTTCTGTAGCCTATGGAAGATGTCCTCGACCGCCGCACCGGTTCAGGAGAAACTGGTCGAGAGCAAAGGTGACAACACCTGCGTTTCGGCGGTCGCCTGGGACCCCATGGGCCAGAAATTGGCCGTGGCCACCTACAACGATATGAGAGGGTCCATCACCATGTACGATGTGGCCGGGAACGCCGTTGATCTCTTACCCGAAGTCCCTCGCATGATTACTGGGCTTCACTGGGCGGAAAGTGGCTCCCATTTGATCGTTGTGGCGTCCGACAGCAAAGTCTCCGAGCTGGCTCTCTGGGATGATTCGCTGCGACCGGATGAGTTCCCTTCTCCGCAGGTAATCGAGGGATCGGTGTATGACCTCAGCTGGTTGGGCCGTACCCAGGCCTATGCGTGCGGGAATGGAGTCGTTTACCAGTGTGACGTTGACTCTAGCATAAGAATTGCCAAGACATACTCGTCTGGCGGCCCCAACCGACCCTGGACCTTCGTTAGTTGCACAACCGCCGGCTCCTCATCCGTGGCCGTGGCCGCTTCATCCTCCGACGCAGCATTCTGGATTCCAACACACGACCTGCACCTCGACCAGGCACATGATGGCGACATCACGTCGATCGAGCTTAAACCCAACGCGTCCGACCCGTCACAACAAAACCAGCCGTTGGTCCTTGCATCGTCCTCCACGGACGACACCGTCAAAATATGGCATATTGATTTGGAGTCAAAACAATTTGAGTGTGTCCATCGGCTGTTCTTAGGCGCCAGCTCCCCCGCTCTTGCCGGCGGTTTCTCCCCTGATGGATACGCTCTAGCCGCTGCCAGCAAAGATCAACTGTTTATCTGGAACGCTCAGCGTGGTGGTACTGCTTTAGCAACGTGGACGGTTCCAGGCTCCCAGGAAACTAAGAAGGAAGATGACCATAGTCCAATTACAAATGGTCACAATGGAAATGCAGAGTCGGTTCCTGATCGTTCCCTTGCGTGGGACACGGATAGTAAACGGCTCGCGTTTGGTTTTGGCAAACAGGTACATCTCGTCCGTCTTGCTCGATCGCTCTTTTATACTGACTAGTCCTACAGATGGCAATCATCAATCTCCAGCGCTGATTTACCCGCATCCGGACCTGGAAGGATCCAGTTTGGTGCTGACGAATCTCTCATTGCATCCTCCTGTATTATAATATTGCCATATGCGAAAAACTCCCTGGCACCGCGCCTTCAGAGCCGGCGGCCCAACAACTTACGCACCCGACGCTCGATGTCTCGGGAGAGCCCGTCGCCCCTTCCCTCATCTGCTATGGGTTTCCAGCCTGCAACCAAGCGACATTGGGAATCACGCGCGGAATTGCCATACATTGAATAACAGCCAAGGAGACCGCATAAGCTTACAAACTTACTTTCCTCTTCTTCTACAACGCTTATTTACACTTCTACTTCGGTAAATGTTTTGGTTAGACGATACACAACGGCGCAGACAATTGGGATCATGGTCGAAAAGTGGCGGCTGGCGAACAATGTGGGTTACGGTGGACATACTGCTTTTTGTTTCTTTTTCTTTTTCTCCCTTTTCATAATAATTTCGATACCTTCACCGATTTTTCGAACTGCTTGTGAAATGTATCATTATCTTCTTTCTTTCTTTTCTTTTTTTTACTCGGCATGGTCGCCGGATGCCAGAGAGCCCGTATTCATCTTCAACGCAATGCCGGAGCCCCAGCAAGTCGTTGGGGCGGAATCCTGTTCCTGCAAGGGCCGATGGGCGTCGTTACAGTCTTGACCACTGGACCAGTCTTAGTCTTCAAATGCGACAACCTCTACATCACTTCGACAGATGTCCTGGCGGTACTGGTGACTTTCCCTTATCAGCTTCCGGTGGGATGTTTCGTCTCTCTTCCCTTCTCAATCTTCGCTCTCGTTCTCGGTTACGGATGCCTTCTTGGGCATCTTCCCACCCGCGCATCCATGCGGTTATCCCCTCTAGCAGCGTTTCTGTGTTACTTTCAATAGGGTCGTCTGTCTTACGTTTCATCCACCTCCTCTGGCTGGATCTCTTGACAGCGGCCTGATCATGCTGTCTTTGCCACCCATCGATCCAGCTCTCGAATCCGCGAACAGTGCCATCCAGGGCTTCCCGCTCTGCCGATCCTTCTCTGATGTCTGCGTTTCTGCAAGGGGTGACAGGTATCGACGTATTAGCCCCGACGTATACCAAGTGAACTTCTCTACCCGTCAACTCACAACTCATCAATTTCTTCTTCCAGATCAGATATCCTCCGTGCCAGCCGTTTGCATTCACTGGTGAACTGATCATATATATGTGAAGATTCGCTCCGACGCTGGCAGAATTCTGCACCAAGCGCAGTTACCTCGCTAAGCACGGCCGAGAGCTGGGCTTGCGAAAGTTCATTGGCGGAACGAACAGGATCCGTTGCAGGAGTTTCCGGGGGACTCCCCGGAGGCTGTTTCGTAGCATCTGACTGGGGACTTGAAGGGCGACACTTGGCGACCTCTTGCGTTAATCGAGGGCGAGGATCAAGTAGCGATTCGATCGAGTCGAGGTGTTGGTGAAGCGTCGTGGAGTCGTCACTTGATATCTGGGTATTCTGCGATACTAGATGAGCCAGGCCAGCGATCCGTTCTGATAATGGCAGTGCATCATTTCTCAAGTCGGCGACATGAGCACTGGTATCGACGTCACAGGTTTGGCTGGCGATGGATTCCGGGGGCGAGAGTTGGTCCAACTGGGGTGGATATGGCGAGTGCTCCATCTTTGAACCGACAACTTTCTACTAACAGCTTCCCAATATGTCCTGTTCCTCCTTGTTTTGAAGAAATCGTATGAATGTATATATAAAAGATACAAAAGCCAAAAAAGGCAAATTAAGCGCAGAGGATGGATGGTATTGTACGACGGCCAGACGCACGCGATGCAAGGGGTTTAATTCCGAGATGCCCCTGGTCGTAATCCGCAGGTCGATGGATGCCGGAAGTCAATACGAGCCAAAGCGGGGGGCAGGAGGGTATTTCTGCAGCATCGGAGAAAGAGAGAGAGAGAGAGAGAGAGAGAGAGGAAAAAGAAAAAAGAAAGACGGTCAGGCGGCGCTGGATGACATCGGGACTACACCGCATCGGTGCAGAATTGCCAATTCGGCCGCCGATTTGGTTGTCGGCAAGAGACAGTCAGCAGCAGGATGCGACGGGCTTAAATTCCCCTCTTTGCTCTCCTTGCTCGCATTCTCTCCCTGTTTGACGCTGCGACGGTCTCGATTGTGTTTGTGCAACCGTCGGGGGACTCTCGGGCCATCTGCCGATAACACTAACTAACCAGCAGCAATCAATCTCCGTCTTCCGCTCCTCCCACTTCCTTCTTTCTTCCTCCCCGCACCCGCGCTCGTTCAGTGACACCAGTGACAATCGCATTGAGGAAATGGCGCCGCCCGTAGGTCCCTCCATTCTGATCCCTCCTTCTCATCTATCTGGCTTCTCATACGATCCGGATTATACATCCCTATCGACCGTGGAATGCCTGGTGATCGTTCAATGCTGATCTCTTTTTTTGTGTGACTCAGGTTACCATCGTGCCGTCCTTGGAGACAGCCAAGGATGTGATCAACAACTACAAGAACTCGAGTTATCCTCCGAATCTGCTTCCAATCACGGCGTCGATTCCGGCCGATCTTTTAACCCCCACCCTAGCCTATCTCAAAATCGCGGAGAAGTGAGTCAGGACGGTCGAGAGTGCGCACGTAGTTTGCGAAGGGGGACTGATGAAGATCACGCCGCACAGTTCGAAATTGTCGTTCCTCTACGAAAGTGCCGCCACTACCGAGACTATCGGGAGATACAGTTTTGTCGGCGCAGGTACGCAATATTCCTTCGTTATCGGGTTCCTCGAAGGGTAAGCTCAGGACATTTGTGTTGACTGCCATTCGTTCAGACCCCCATAAAGTTCTCAAGACCGGTTCTGGCCATGGACCCGAGTGCGATCCCCTTCCGATCTTGGAGAAGGAGCTGTCTGGATTCCGCGTGGCTACGGTCCCCGGCTTGACCCTGCCTCCCCTCACGGCCGGTGCGATCGGCTACGTTGGATACGACTGCGTTCGATACTTCGAGCCCAAGACGGCACTACCGCTCAAGGATGTGCTCGGCATTCCAGAGTCGCTCTTCATGCTCTTCGACACGATCATCGCCTTCGATCACTTCTACCAAGTCGTAAAGATCATCACATACATTCCCATCCCCAGCGACGATTCGAAACTCGAGGCGGAATATAGTCGCGGTGAAGGAGTCATCAAGAGCGCCATTGAGAAGCTGCTACGACCCGAATACCCCTTGCCTCCTCAGGGCCCCATCATCCCGAACCAGGAGTACACGTCCAACATTGGACAGGAGGGTTACGAGCGACATGTGACCCAATTGAAGGAACACATTTCCAAGGGCGATATTTTCCAGACCGTGCCGTCGCAGCGGCTGTCCCGTCCCACCTCTCTCCATCCCTTCAACCTCTTCCGCCACCTGCGCACCGTCAACCCCTCTCCTTACCTGTTCTACATCGACTGCGAAGACTTCCAGCTGGTGGGAGCCAGTCCTGAGCTCTTGGCCAAGGAGGAGAAGGGCCGCATTATCACGCATCCCATTGCGGGGACCGTCAAGCGCGGCAAGACCGCCGAGGAAGACGAAGCGCTGGCCGAGGAGCTGCGAGGCAGTCTGAAGGATCGCGCGGAGCACGTCATGTTGGTGGATCTGGCGCGCAACGACGTGAACCGGGTGTGCGACCCCATCACGACCCAGGTCGACCGGCTGATGGTGGTGGAGAAATTCTCCCACGTGCAGCATCTGGTCTCTCAGGTGTCGGGCATCCTGCGCCCCGAGAAGACTCGGTTCGACGCCTTCCGGTCGATCTTCCCCGCGGGGACGGTGTCCGGAGCGCCCAAGGTGCGGGCCATGCAGCTGATCGCCGAGCTCGAGGGCGAGAAGCGCGGAGTGTACGCGGGCGCGGTGGGCTACTTTGGATACAACATCTCCAGCACGGACGGGACGGCGGAGCTGCCCGGAGCGATGGACACGTGCATTGCGCTGCGAACGATGATGGTCAAGAACGGAGTGGCCTACCTTCAGGCGGGCGGTGGCATCGTCTTCGACTCGGACCCCTACGACGAGTACGTCGAGACGCTGAACAAGCTGGGCGCCAACATCGCCTGCATCAAGGGGGCAGAGGCGAAATATCTGAGCATGGAACAAGACAAATAAACCGTTGGACACCAACTTTCCGTTGTTTTCTTCTTTCTCCATCTTCTTTCATCTTTTTTGATTGCTAATGTTATTTATTTGGACCGCGTAATTCCTCATGAACATCGGGAAGGCGAAAAATTGACGGGACACGACCTATAGACGGGCCCAGGACGGGTGCAGACGAGATTGCGGCTTTTCAATTGATACTTATGGATCTTATGGATTAGATGACCGACCCAAACCACATTCTTGACAGTCGTAGTAGTTATTTGGTGAATGCCAATCCTCATAGTTGAGTCGAAGCAGAACAAGGATCAAGACTTGGCGATGACGTCGATTGCTCTCGGCCCCATCCGCTCTCGCCTCGCATCCTCCGCCTTCTCGTTCGACGCGAAATGCCGCTGGATTGCGTCCGAAGTGACAGACGTTTATTCTATTCTCCGTCGCCGTGCCAGTGCAGCGCGGCAGGAACGATGACTGGAGGACCGGAGATGCCAAGGGTTCGTCGTACGCGGCTGCATCGCCACAGGAGCCACGACTGTCCATGGATCTGGGGATGGGATATCATCACGTCGTCGACACTAGATACAATAGACTTACCTACCCTGATCGATTTCCTCAAGGAATTCATCCTGGGGAATCCCTTCCGCGTCGATCCCCACGGACCGACAGTCGTAGTGTAGGAACTTGCCATCGACGGCGAGGGAAATCCGGCGTAATTGGCGACTCCCAAGGATCTTTTTGGGCCGTAGTGCGTCTAGAAGGGACGGTCCCTCTTTCGCTCTTCCTCTTCCTCTTCCTCTCTCTCTCTCTCTCTCTCTCTCTCTCTTCTCTCTCTTCTCTCACCTCACCGTCACCCTCTTCATCCCACTCGACTCCTCTCCTCCATTGCCTCCAGTGCCTCTTTCCACTCCTACGACCATTCCTATCCGTACGAGGGCGTCACTCCATCCCCACGCCTCTTTCAGGCAGACTCGATTCCCTAGTAGGAACCCCCCTTTCCCCTTGATTGCCCATTTTCTATTTATGTTCGATTTCCAATCCCGTCGTGCTTGGAACTTGAAAGACACAAGAACGCCGGGGCAGAGGTGGAGCGATCGGACAGGCCCCGTTAGTTCGCCTGGCGTCGTCAGCCGTTGGATTCGGTCGAACTGCCTGCCTTCTCTCGTCATCGCCCGACATTCTTTGTCGGTTAATTTATCGTCCTTTGTCGGGGATTGAGCCTAGTTTTGTTCTTCCGTACCATCGTCATTTTTCTCTTTCTAACTTGGCTGCCTCTCTTTCGTTCAGCACTTCTACTTCCACTTCACCTGCGGTCGCGGCTTACATACGCCACTCCCGTCACGGCCAGCGATAAGGAGATCCCGGACTGCTGCCTTTCTCCCTCTCGCTCTCTCGCTCCTCGACGGTCCTTCACCCCCCCTCTTTCGCCGCCTTTCTTTCGGCCTCTCGCGTCCGATTCTTTTCCCCCCTGAACGCCAGTGGTTCCGCGAACCTAAATAAAAAGGAGGTCTCGACTGGCTCGGTTTCGCAACGTTTGACCTTTCTCCTTTCATCGTGACGTCGAGGGTGTCCTTTCAGTGTCGTCAATATGTCCAAAGTTGTGCGCAGCGTCAAAAATGTCACCAAGGGTTATTCGTCGGTACAGGTGAAGGTCCGAAATGGTACGTTGCTTCTCTCCTGATTTACTCGCGTCGGATTGCTGCGGTCGGCCGCTCGCCTTGTGCCTGCGCCGAGCCCCTCCATCGCTGTCGGCCCTTGATTAACATTGTCGGGACAGCCACTAGCAATGACCCCTGGGGACCGACCGGTACGGAAATGGCAGAGATTGCCTCGATGACCTTCAGCAGGTAAGCTTGGATCGTCTCGCCGGCCCTTTGTAGCCCCCTCATGCTGACTCAAACGGAGTAGTCCTACCGATTTCTACGAAATCATGGATATGCTGGACAAGCGACTGAACGACAAAGGCAAGAACTGGCGCCACGTGTTGAAGTCATTGAAGGTTTTGGATTACTGCCTGCACGAGGGCTCGGAACTCGTGGTTACTTGGGCCCGCAAGAACGTCTACATCATCAAGACCCTCCGCGAATTTCAATATGTCGATGAGGATGGCCGAGATGTTGGACAGAATGGTAGGCCCCTCTGGTTTCTATTCGAAGGAAGTGACTTGCTGATTGGTTGGAATAGTTCGCGTCGCGGCAAAGGAACTCACTTCCTTGGTTATGGACGAAGACCGATTGCGAAGCGAACGATCCGACCGGAAGCTGTGGAAGACTCGCGTCAGCGGCCTAGACGAATATCCCGGTTACGGCAACGAACCTACATCACCCCGCCGAGCAGACCGACGCGAACGCCGGCGTCCCGCGGATGACGATGATACGGAATACCGCTTGGCGATCGAGGCGAGCAAGCATGAAGCCGAAGAAGAGCGGAAACGACGCGCCAAGGAAGCCTTGGGAGTAGACGACGACGAAGATCTGGCTAAAGCGATCAAGCTCAGCAAGGAAGAGGAGGAATTGCGCAAACGAGAGCTGGAAGAAAGCAACGCGCAATCGCTCTTCGACGACACTCCCGTCCAGGCGGCTCCGGCACAGGCGACTGGTTACAACCAGGGATACCAGCAACAGGGTGCCGTGGACTGGTTTGGCAATCCGATCAACCCTCAGCAGCCCCTGACCACCGGATACCTGAACAACCAATACGCGCAGTCCACCGGTTTCCAAAATCAGAACACTGGAATGCCCAATGGATACACCAACGGCTTCCAACAGCAGCAGCAGCAGCCCTCGGTCTTTGACCAAAACCCATATGGCCAGTCTATGAACAACTATATGCAGCCTCAAGCGACCCTTCAGCCTCAGCATACCGCTTTTAGCACCAACAATCCCTACGGCACCGACATGTTCTCCCAGCAGCAGCAACCTCAGCAACTGCAACAACAGCAACAGCCGCAACAATTCCAGCAACAAGATAACTTCCTCTCGCCGGGGCACAACAACCCGTGGGCCAGCCCGCAGCCGGCCGATGCTCTGAAACCGATGCAGACCGGATCCAACAACCCATTCGCCGCTCGCACCCAATTCCAGAACCGACCTGCGACGTCGGGACCCCCCTCGTTGAACACCTTGGCTGAGGAGCGCGTTACCAACCAATTCGGTGCGCAGAACAACCAATTTGGTTCGGCCAACCCCATCGCCAACTTCCAGGCTCCCATGGCCCCTGCTCCGCCGAAGAGCACCCCTCCCACCAACGATCCTCATCACAACCGTCTCAATGCGCTCCTCGCCACTGGTGAAGGTCAGGATACATTCGGCAACGTCGGTGATCTTCGAATTCCGGCCCAGCATACAGCTCCGGGCACCTTCGTCAACTCGGCCGGACAAGGGTTGAATCGTCTCCAAGCCACGCCAACCGGCAGCAACCCGTTCTTCAGCCAACAACAGCAATTTGTACCACAGCAGACCGGATTTGCACAGCCTACCAACAACCCCTGGGGAGGTCAGCCGGCATACCGCCAGCAACAACCTCAGGCAGGTGGCAGTCTAATCGACCTGTGAGAGGTAGCAGCGTGAGCTTGAGGTCATTTTATTTCTGGGTGATTCTGGATTTGGGTGGGAGGTCGTAATCGATACCAATGCTGTCAAACTCTTTCAACGCTCTCTTTTATCACACTCTCCTTCCTCGCCTCTTCCCCTCATTGAGCTATTTTCCTTTTTGTCCTTCTATGTCCCTCCGCATGATCGTCGATCGGATGGGTGCTCCATGCATCGAGAAATCAGAGAGCCCGGTCCTTCCTGGAATCCTTGACATCGTTCTACACCCGTCCGATGAAGGAATTCTACCTCCGTTTATGGGCCTTTTGATTGACTCTCCTACTTCTTGCTACTACTTCTCTCTGCCTTGATGATCTAATCAGAGTACCCAAAACGTCTACTTCCCCTTTGTGTTTTGTCTGAGTACCTTTTTCTTATCTTCCATTCGTGATGGACTCGTTATACCTGATTGATTACCATACCATGTTGTTTGTTTGCTTTTGCTCTCCCTCTCTTTTCTTTCTTCGTATCCGTACATAAATTATATTTATATGATATCTATTATCAGACTTATATCGGATCTCGTGTATTATGTACCTTCGTTTGTATTTTCTCTGCCCTATCCTTGTTATGGCAATGTTAAGGGCTGGAGACCTAGAGTGTGTACTTGTGCCTATAATCGTGTAATATTAGATTGATTGGTAAAGATAGGTGTTTTATGGATTTTTCAAAGCTTTGCGGCATTGACTTAATCAAGACCATAGAAACGAATACTGTCATACATTGGTACAGGATAGACAATAGGCAGTGGTTGAAGAATAACATTCATATGCTGGTCTAGGCGGTTCTTGATACCTTGGGCAATGTAGCTTCAGGAAGTGAGTACTGGTATGCTTTCTGTTGGAACCTCAGGCATTCCTCGGTTACCTGCTGCATATCTACCGGGTAGACAGAATCACTTCGTGCATCTCGCCCCTCAGTGATTAGTACTCTGTTACCGCTTTTAATATCACATGGTATTTGTTCAATTCTTGATCCAATGAACATATTCACGAAGGAGACAGTCCAAGCTTGCTCAGACGGTAAAGCCTGCTGTGTAGTATTTCTATGGCCTAGTCGGAATAATCTTTCAGTTTTACTACCTTGTTTAAACCACAAGTTCTTGATCACGTTTTCTACCTTGTCTTCTCTTCTGGGAAGGTATGGCATTGAGCTCGCGATTTCTATTTCACAGTCCTGGTCTTTGTCTGTAGGCGCGAAGGCAAATCTAAAGGCTCCCTAACGTAGCCACTATCACGGGTATCAAGGAGGAAGAGGTGCTGGGATGCAATGGGTCAGAGTGAGCTGGAGATAAAGGGTCAGAAATGGGTAGCAAAGAGAGATAAGACTGTATGAGGTGGGGAATAATAAGGAAATGTGGGGATGATGAATATCATTAAGCAACTGGATCCATGATCTCATGATTTCTTTCACATCCAAGCAAAAAAAGACGAAATAAGACATCCTCCTCTAACCTCTTCTATCATACCTCAGCCTGCCTTAGGGAGACGAGATGGACTACTGACTAGGCTCTGTTGAAACAGCCTATTCTGCGTGTCAGTGGCTTCCCTTCAATGCTCCGTCCGAATAGAAAACAAACCCGTCTGTAGGTCATAGCCCGCTCTCACCCAGAGCTCATCGCCTCCATAAACCCGACCCAGAGTCTGAACCAGGTGCTTCGTAGCGTTCGGGACCTCACTCGCTCCAGGAAGATACAGGGGCTTATCCGCACAGAACCCCAGCAAAAATATAATATCTAAGAAATCTGACTTCCTCTTCTCCTCCGTTGGCCGGCCCACAATAGACCCGCACTTCGCATTCAGAAGCAACGCCGGCTTCAACACCTTAACTCCGTCGATGGTAACCACCTCGGTGCTGTGATCGAACGGCTCCCGGAATAGTGCCGGCGGCGTCAGTATCTCGATGTCTACGGGTCTGCCCCTGACGGCCTTGTAGGTTGTGTGGTTTGTTCTGGCCTCCACGGTGAAGTCGGAGGATGCGCGTAGCATCTGCCTTGCGGTTGTGGTTCCGCCACGGAGAACCACGATGTCGACGTCTTGTGTTGCTCGTGTGGAGCCTAGAACCACGCATGCGCTTCCGCCGACTAGGGCGTATTTTTCGCAGTGAGTGAGTGCGGTTCCGACTGCCTTTGCTGCGGCTCGGATCTCAGCCGGTGGGTGGGTGTTGGATGTGGGTGTAGACATGATTGCTCTCTCTCTCTCTCCCTTTGATGAAGATGGTTAGTTAGAGCTTGGGAGATGGGAGTCTTTTTGCTGCGGCCTGTTATGTTGGAACCTAGAGCGTTCCGTGGTTGGTTCTGTATATTATGTGGCCTATTGCATATCTCTGACTTGGTAGTTAGTGAATAGGTCACATTCACCTGTCTTTCCTTGGAATGAGGCGCTGTTCATAATCAGTTGTTGCAACGGTGATAGTAAATTAGCATGAGACAGTATCAAGGTTGCCGAAGCGCCTTCTGAACCAGCATCATCTGACTCATGTAGTGGTAAATGGAACAAGTGTATATCCCAGGCTATATCCGGTGCTCAGCATATTAATTAAGCAGATACTAGATCATGGATCGTATACTTGATCATTCTATGGAGATGGATCGGAGTAGTTCTCCGTCGGCAGCAACCCACTGTGGGTCACGCCGCGCACTAAGCCCCATCAAGCTAGGCAGCCACCAAGCCGAAGAAGGAAGGAGCAACCACCGGCCTTTTATATCGAGTAAACCATCGTTCGACATCAATTTTGAAGACTCAGGCGAATTCATCCTCTCGTACTCTTCAGCACCCAAAGGTGGACACACAGGCCATGCAATGTCCCCCCATATCACGTGGTTTCTTGTTGCTATAACCGCTCGACGAATCTAACTGGAGCAGTGGAGCTACAGCAACTTGTCTGGAGACATTACTATCAGACCTGCATACTATAGGTCCACCTTGCAGGACTATGGAGCCCACTCTCAACTACCACCTTGGCCCGGGCCTCGACATCAGTGACGAGGCAAGATACAAGCCCTGTCAAGTTCTTTCTGCCCACCAAGTCCCTCACGTTGTCTGGTTCGAGGATGCTCTTTTCCACTATGGTGTGCCCACCGTCGTGTTTGATCTCTATATTCTCGTCACGGACATCAACCAAGCAGCCAGTCTTCTGGCGGAAGCCGGATGGACTTTCGACATGCAACCCCCGCATCGCATCGGGAATGAAAAAGTGGACTTGACGGTTTTCCCCCAGCAGCGACTCATCTCCCCGAATAGAGAGACAAGGGTGGTCCTCCTTCCCCCAGCGGACTGGAAGTTTTCGCTCACACCCACCACGCCCTTGGAGCATGCATCTTTGAAAAACGACATCTACACTGTGCCTTTTCCCTCGCTCGCCGGCCTCCTAGATGCCCTGATCGAAAGCTGGCTGGACTGCCCGAACGAATCGTTACTGATAGGGCTGGCCTGCCATATCTCCTACCTGTATGAGTATGTGCCAGCCGTGAAGGAGAGGTCGTTCGCTGAGAACATGAAATACGAACACCGCCAGTTCCACGCCGACGTGTTGTCCGGGATGGAGACTGGGACGCTACCGTTTCGAAGACACCAACGGGCTATTCGAGATGCGCTGGTCAAGGGCCAGTACGAGTTGCAGGAATGCTCTGCTTCTCCGGAGACCCACAGAGAGCTGTATTCTATATGGAGTGAGCGTGCTCTTAAGTCTGATGGGGAAGAGCAGGAGAAGGTGGATGCTTTGACATCAGCAGAGACAGGACCGGATGCTAGGGGGTTATCGTTGTTGCTGTTCCTGTGTTTTTGTTTTGTTATGATTTGGCTCTTTGCTCCCCATCTCTGATCGGTGGATTACTTGCCGGATCCCTAGTCAGCCAGCGCCTTATGGTTTTTCTTGTCCCCCTTCTGCTTGATTATATCAATTGATGATTGGTTTTATGGAGGAAGATGCTTATGGTTCCGCAACGAAGAAATGCAAGCAACACATCATTCTAATATGGTAATGAAGAATCCATGACCCACAAAACTATTTTATTTTCCATAGCTGATCGTTGTGATACAAATTTGAGCCACTATATGATATCAGGCGTTTGTCTACTTCTGTACATAACAGGCATGGAATACCCTGGGAAAATTCAACTGTCTGACCTCAGTAGTTTACATTTGACCATATAGATCATTAAGGAAACTCCTGTCATGCGGATAAATCACATATACTCAAGTTTCTATCTACTTGATAAGTAATTAACCCTTGAGTTTAACCATTTTTCCCATGCATCCATTCTTTACAGTCAGCTTTGCTCTACAATTCCAACAAGATACATCCGGAATCCATCCATTCATGCATTCATCCATATACTACATACAATTCCATTTACCTGTACATGAAACAACGTAACCCAGGAAAGAAGCAAACGACCGGCCAGACCATATCCTTAACAGGTAAACATGAACAAGGAAACCGAATGAATGCGTCCCATCCCAACCCAATCCAACCTAACCAGACCGGGATATACCGTACCCATACCATGCCATACCAGGCCGTCCAATTCGCCTATCCATAAATGTAGCTAGAAACAAAAATCTCCCCAGAAAAACAAAAGAAAATGGTAGAGATGAGGAGGGAGAGAGAATAAGGGAAAAGTTAAACAATGGTCTACCCACCGCGTTCACCGAACTGTCTAGCCCAGTTTTCATATTCCTTGAGCCCTTCGCGGCTCACGCTGGGACGGATGGAAGATAGACTAGCGTGGAAGTCCTGGGACCGGATGGGTCGGATTTGATCCATGGGGGTGTGGAGGAGGGCTTCGCCGAGGTTGCGAAGGGGGCCCATGGCGGCGTCTTTGGCGAGGGCGGTGATATCGGACCCGGAGAAACCTGATGAGGCAGGTTAGTTACAAATGCTGGGTAGTATGGGTAGAGGGGCTGGAGAGTTACCTTCTGTAGATTGCACCAAGGCTTCGATGTCGGAGTCCGTAAGGTCGTGGACTTGATGGCCTAGGAGGGTGCGGAGTTGTTGCTCCCGCACGCTATGCTCCGGCAGAGGGATGTATTGACGGCGGACGAAGCGACGACGCGCTGCCTCATCAATGTCCCACGGCATGTTAGTGGCGGCGAGAACGAGCACCCGGCTGGCGTCGCCGGCGGACTTTTTGTCTTTGCCGGGCTGTTCACGACCGGCGGCTGCGCGCTGCAGATCGGACCATTGGATGAGGAATTCGGTCTTGGATCGGCGCGAGGCTTCATTTTCGGTACCGGATGAACGAGCAGATAATAACGAATCGATCTCGTCGACGAAGATGATGGATGGCGCCAGCGCTTTGGCGAGGGCAAACAACGCTCGAACAAGCTTTTCGCTCTCTCCGTGCCACTTGGAGGTCAACGTCGACGCCGAAACGGAGAAGAAGGTCGAATGGGACTCTGTCGCAACTGCGCGGGCGAGCATGGTCTTTCCAGTGCCCGGAGGGCCGAAAAGGAGCATGCCTCGCGCCGGTTCCCGCAGTCCGGAAAAAAGATCCGGTCGGAGGAACGGGTAGACAACGGCCTCCTTGAGGGCCTTTTTGGCCCCATCTAAGCCGGCAATGTCGTCCCAGTGGACTTCGTCGCCGCGGACCACAATATCGTTAAGGATCTGTTTGGCGGTCATCATCTCCACGCCTTTCGGCAGCTTGTTCAAAATATCCATGAAAGCGTCATCTTCATCCTCTTCTTCGGCGTCTTCCTCATCCATGTCGATCGATTTTGGATCCGTGGAATCTGGGTCACTGGAGGGCGGCGTGATGGCGCGTTTGGCAGGTAGAGGGCGCCGACTCGGGCTACCGGTGGATATTGCCATGCGATCCACGCTCTGGCTCAATGCATCGTTCCGTGCCGTAGGAACTCCATGTGGTCGCGATGTAGATCTAGGCGGTGGCTGGTCCAAGGAATCCGCTGCACGGGGGGATCTTCCAGGGCTCGGCGGAGGAATATTCGACCTCAATGCCACCGGCTTGGGCTTAATCGAAGGCTTTGGCGACGATTGCGACGGGAAAGGCGAGCTCCTCGAATCCACTGGGCGTGCAGCGGATTGGGTACGAGCAGTAAAATGTTGCTGGCTTTGAGCCGGAGAACGATGTGTAGGCCGGGGCGTTGAAGTTGCGGGCGTTTTCGCGGGCGACCGTCGTGCTGCCTGATCCGGCGCGCGGGTCTTCCGCACGGTGCGGCGTTCTTCTCCCGGTTCGTCTGTGCGACCGATTGATTTCGAAGGACTTTCCTCCCCGGGGGTAAGTCGAGGCGTATCCGAATCTTTTCGAGAACTAGACTCCCCCGCAGCGATGCGACGCGAAGAGGCCGCGGCCGCCTCGCTGGCGGTCTTGTCCGGCGGAGGAGACATATACAAGCTGCCCCATGCCAGGCCCGCGGCTTGAGATGCTGCAGCTGGCCGCAAGTCCTTCCGTCGAGGACTCAATTTCTTCTTGGCAGGCTTTTTGATCTCGGTCGAGCGCAGCGTCGACGGCATCGCCTTCCGTCGCTCGGGGCTCGAAGTCCGGGAAGAATCGGTCTTCCCGGAAGAAGAATACGATTTGCGCATGACCGGAGGGTTGGGTCTGAAAGCGGAGGAATCGTTGCGACTCGGTTCGGAGCTCGGGGTGGTTGCAGCAGGCAAAGGAGCAAAGCGACCGGGGATGGTGGGCGGTTTAGAGAGATCGGTATATCCGACCGCGGGGACGGTTCCCTCTCCAATCCAACCGGGAGTTGTGGACGAGGGCGACTTCCCCGAAGGATCTTTTCGACTCTGGCGCAGGGCTTCGAGGAGATCGACTCGCTCCCGACATTGGAGCTCTAGCTGGCGGATCGATTCCTGGAGGGCTTTTTCGGTTTCGTTCTTGGGAGAGTACTTGGAGGAGACTCGATAAGCGTTGTGATAGTAGATCGTCTCGAGCGCCGATCGCCAAGACTTCAAGGCCTCTTGCTCGTTGTTCTGGGCGAATGGACGAGCGTCAATCAGTACGTTTCCAGTGGTGTAGAGGGGGGAAGTGCGAACGAGAGGCGACCAACCTGTCCCTCGAAATAAACGGCGGTGGAGCACATCAGATAGCAGTCGTCATAGGTCTTCTGCAGCGAAGACGCCGGCTTGGGGCGCATCATCGGATGTGCCCGCACGCCATGCAATTGGCGCGACGGGGCAGTAGAGAGACGGGATTGGGGAAGGCGTAGGCCTTGCGGAACTGAAGGAGCGGCGAAGTTACGGAGTCAAAGGCGAGGGAGGGGAGGAGAAGAGAAGAGGGAGCCGAGGGAGGCAGAAAAAGTGAAAGAGTGGAGAGAACCGCAACGGTTCTTTTTCCGTTTTTTTCGCCCTTCTGCCATTCCCGTGACGTCGATGTCTTGGAGCCCCACGATGGCAAATGCTGATGCGACTGTACGTTGGATCGCCTTTACTTCCTCCACCGTCTGGGACTCGGTCCGGTGTATGTCAGTATTATAAAGTACTTCTTGGATATCATCCATCCCATCTATGAATACATGTTCGCAATCCGACCTGTACCAGAAAAGAAAACAAAGAAAAAAAGGCAAGAAAATGGACAGAAAACACAGGAGGCATCTCTCTCTGAAAGCGATCAGAATGAGAAATATGAGAGAAAAAATAATAATCAAAGCCTCCAGAGATCCCCTGCGTTCCAAACGCCGGTACAATATAGCACGGAAACACATCGGGCCCTGCAGCACCGATCCAAGAAAAGCTCACCCAGTATATCGGTTCGGTTTCACGATGCCAGAAACAATCCCAAATCAATGCACTCGTCCAACAAAACATCTATACATGTGGCCCGACGGAGTCGACCAGAGAAGAGGAGAGACACCCCCTCCGAGACTTCTCCCCGTCCTCACGCCGGACTTTCCGAGTGTCTCGGAAGTTTCGCGGTCGGTCGAAGACTGGGAGAATCCAAGGTATGAACCTGCCTAGCATCCATGACCAACTCATCCAGCGTCGATGCGGCGTAGACTTTGCGCGTTTGCCTTCTGACGCTTCCCGCATGCAATGTGAAAGGAGAGGGGATATCTTCAAGTAATTTTTTTGGTTGCTGTTGTTGATTTTCTAAGGCTTTTCGATCATTTCCCTTGTGTTCGATTTTTTTTTACTTGTGTTATTTTTTTTTTTCGATTTTTGATTTGTCGACGCAGAGCTTCGGCTAAACCTGAAGAGGCGTGCTGGAGATGTCGCGAGTCAGATTCATGCGATCGAGTCAAGTTGGTGGGAAGCAGCGGTTCAGCTAGTCCACCCGACCCTTGAAGTAGGCCTTGGCCATTTCGTAGGAAGTCCTATAGCGAAGGATTAGAAAGTTACATCTAGAGAAAAAGAAAAAGAAAACGACTTACCAGCAAATGGCCGTGCTGGGCATCGTGGAAATAATGCGGGGGCGGGCGCCACGTAGGAACCCACTCCAGCCAAACTGCCGCTTGATGATGGCAGCCGCGTTGAAGAGACCCTTGGCTGACCGGATCTCCTCGTTCTGTGCCAGACCTCGAGTTTGGAGAAGGGTCTTCACCACGTCGAGAGGCGTGGTGAGACCGGCGGCGAACGCTCCCGCCAGACCACCGGCAATACAGTGGGTGAACGGGTCGTAATCCTGAGAGGGGTTCATGACCTTCGAAAGAGACTCGTATGCAACAAATTGGGTGGCGGTGAAAGGAACGGTCATGCAAAGGGTGGTGGGATAAGACACATAGAACGCCTGGAGCCCCTCCGTCCGGTAGACGGTCTTAGCGCATTGGAGAATGGTCTTGTGTACGGAGCCATGTACTTGCATCCGCTGCTTGATCACTGTGGTCGGTCAGATTGCGTCCTTATTTCATTTTCATATCGAACAGGACTCGTCCATGTCGGCAATTACGCACCATCAAAAGGGTTCATCAATGCATCGCTGGCGATGGTCGCGGAGGCACCACTTAGAGCTAACCGAGGTCACAAATCAGCAATCCGTAAGGGGGAGAATAAGGACCAGAACGTCCGCAAAAGCAGAGTCGCTCACCTGCAGCCATCGGGTGATGCCCATCGTCGACATTTCCACCCGCAAGATCCTTAACAACCTCGTATGTGCCAAAATAAACGGCGTGGGCAGGACCTGTCGGTAGAGAAAAAAAAAAAAAATCCCATTAGCTTCTCCCACCATCTCCACAGACCAGCCACTCTAGTCACCACTCACCAGCGCCAACAATCACACTCGAAACACCCTTCCATAGCGTGCGCCAGCCTTCGATACGGTAAATCGTGGAAACCGCATTCGTCAACCCCGTGTAGAGGCCTCCGGTTGTAGGGTGCAGGATTTGCATGCGAGTCTGCCGCCGGGAAATCCCCAGTTAGCAACCAGCCCGATCCCCGCGCAGCCTCTGACAGTCAAAAGACCGCCGTAGACGCGCAGAACACGTAGTCGGGGCCAACATACCTTCAACAGATCTACCGGGTACATCACAGCGTGTTCCTTGGCTCCCAGTCAGCAACGCTTCCCATTGCCCTCCTGTATTTCTCTAGACATACCGCAATACCGGCGAACGCGCCAGCTAGCATGTTCCGGCCGAGGCCATAATTCGAAGGGAGGGCTTCATAACTATCAGGATAACCGGGTTAGCTTTCGATCGCAAGTCCATATCGGCAATATGCTCAAGATGCCGGCGAGGCAAATGTGATAAGGACGGCGCATTCAGTGATTAGGAGTGACCAAGGAATTGCCATGGAGGCGAGTTCCCTTGAGCGAGAGCGACCGCGGTCGTGGTGGAGGAATTGGCCAGGTTGGAAGAAAAGTTGATCAGGCATAACAAAAGACGGGGGAGGTCCGCCACCTACTCGAATTCTTCCCCGGGAACTTGCTCGGAGGCCGCCATGAAGCTCTGATAGCTGGAGAAGCAGCCGGTGCCGCAATTAGGCGGATTATAAGAAGGGGAGGTAAGGGAAGAGAAAGGTGTGGAGGAAAGATCGCTGCGTGCCGGAGAAGAAATCGGAAGTGCGGAGCGGGAAGCTGAAGGATAAGAGGTTAAACCGACTCCGACGCAGTGAAGCTCGATGACAAGCCGGCAGGGAGAAAAAAATCCAAGGGGGTTAAAAAGTCAACAGAAAGAAGATGAGACCCGTCTCAACCACAGGTCCCAGAGAAATAATTACAAGATGCCAAGGAGGAGGAAAAGAGAGAGGGAGAGAGAGAAGAGGCGGGCTGGTCGGAGGCAGAAGAAAAAGAATCATAAAATAAAACAATAATGCACGTTACGATACCGTCACGGGCGCGTATCAAATTACCGCTCGGATCTGGCAAAATCCCGTTCGGCCATCGGCTTTTATCTGATTCTTCTGATGCCTCGTCCTCGAACCCCTTCCTGGTCGGAGAAGAACCCGGTCGAGAATGTTCGGCAGAATTGAGAATTCAACAGTATATTCCATTTCTACACGAAGCATATACAGTGCTAAACAAAACAACAACAAAAAAAAGGTACAAGGTTCTTTCCGTCCCAATACTCCCTGCTGAATCAGCTCTCTCAGGCTAGAACGCGTCCGATGACGGAGCGGACGTGTCCTGAATCAACCAGGCTGGTTCCCTCAGATTCTGATGGGTGAGGCACGCTGACAGGTGCTCTGCTGCTGGGAGGCGGACTGGATCCGCCTGCTGTCATCCAGAACAACCGCCGAAGCCCGGAGGTAACCCAGTCATCTCTCTCTTCCCGCGGAGGACCCAGCGAAAGGGTTGAATTTGCTCCGACTAGTTTCTTATCTGATCCTCGCTAACCCTAAAACGAACCTCCGTGGACCTCCGAGGAACCGCTGAAGTTCCAGAATAACAACCCGTGACTAACAGTTTCCTGCCTAGAAGAAGTTAGGAAATTCGCCGGAGATAACCGTCATCCTTCTCTTCAGTCCAGGGGTCCTCGTAAACACTCAACTTGAGTTCTATACCTACGCCAGCCATGTCCGAGCTTACGGTGAAAATCCATCCTCCAATCCCGGTCTGCCATCACGAAAAGGTCCATGTTTCACAAAGAAAAAAATTTTGAAATAGTAATGACAAAATAAGAAATAGAATGGCCAAGTGACTGATAATAAATGACAAGAAAAAGGGGCAAAAAAAGGCTAAGCCAGTATCATATCTGCTAATTGAAAATCGCCCGGGAGAATAGTTAATTGATACATCAATGAAAATAAATTACCATGCATTTTAACATCTTTGGCATCCCTCAAACCCTCGCTGGCCACGACAAGATCTGGTGGGAGATGCGGAAATCATATGCTCTACTACTAAGTCAGTCATGCACGTCGTGAGTTCCATCGGCCCTTCTGTGCCCCCTGGTCGCCGAGCACTCGGCCCCGACGGTGGTAAAAGGTCCGATCGGCTTCTATTGTATAGTCTACCACTCCACGTTGAAGGACCATTCCCCTGCGTTCGCGACCAACTGTTAGTATCGGTCCCCTTTTTTTCAAATTGATGCAAGGTCGCAAGGTCGCAACTTACCATTTTTGAGGTTCTCGGCGGTATCGCTCAACACAATCACCCGCCGCTTATTGCAATAGGCCGTTTTGTCCAGAATATCCACCTTGAGATTCGCCAGCTCCGGCACGGGCTTCTCAAACATCTCACTCAGGCTTTCCACGGCGAGCTCCAGGTCCTTCTGATTGTCCTCGAAGATTTCGGTCAGGTTGTTTCGGGCAAGGTAATAGGCAAAGGCATAGGTCCATTTCAAGGTCTGCCGGCATTGCTGAAGCGCCTGGGATGCGGTGTCGAGGAACTGCACCTCGATCCACGAGAGGCCCGACTGCGACTGCAGACTGGTCATCTTCTTCTCCGTCTTGAGATACAGGTCCTTATCGAGCTTGGCCGATTGCTCGTGGTTGGCGTAACGGTTGTAGTAGTGCAGATATCTCTCCAGCGAGGCTCGCGACTTGGCCTGTTCGGAACGCGCTTCAGAGCCGGACTTCTCCTCGTATCGGTTGCAATTATACCAGCTGGTGCCATGCTCCGACCAGAGACCCATGCACATCCAGCAGAATTCATGCCTGCACTTCCGGCACGTCATGTGATTACATCCTCCGTTCTTCTCGATCGTCGAATGGCACCGGGGGCATTCCTTCGTGTTCGCCGAGATCCAGTTGGCCGTTTCGGAATCGTCTTCACATTTCTGCAGCCACATTTTCACTAAGCAGCACGGCGCCGGTTGATGGTCATTCAACGTGCAGCCAAAACAGAAAAAGTGCTTGCAGAAGCACTGGACCGTAGGGATTATACGACGCAGGTCACGTTGCTTAACGGGGCAGTCAACGGCATACTCGCAATTCGGGGCCGGGCACCATTTCAGGTTTTCCTTGTCGTCCACGTAGGTCCGGATCAGTAGGGTTTGGTACCTTTTTTAAGTGCCGTGTCAGCAATCATCATCACCAAAGGGAGTAGGGGGCTTCTCACCTTTCCTTGAGATCATCCGTGACGAGAAGGTTCAGTGTTTTCGAGTCCACGATCATATGACAGCTATCGCCGGGACACTCTATCCGGGCCGCCTCCCCTTCCTCGCGAATCTTCTGTCCGAGATAATGTCGGTAGCAGTCAACACAGAATCGATGCCCACACCGCATCGCATACGTCTCGAGATCGTCGCCGTCTTCGCAGCAGATATCACACATGAAATTAGGCACAACTTCGGTTTTCGGCGTCGATTGGAAATTCGTCCCTAGGCCGGCTTCCTCTAACGTCTCCTCCGGGTGGTCCATGTACGACTCGATCAGCTTTTCCCGACTCCACCGACCATATCGCAAGAGGATGGCCGCTGACTCCGGCGGCAGACCTAGGATCGTTGACACCTCGCTGATCTGCTGGGTTTGCTCCCGCTCAATATCCCCGGGGCTCAGGACCTTGAACTCGACCTCGTACGGTTTTCGAGATGTCGCGATGATGTCTTTGTCTTTGGAGAATCCGCCATCGAAATCATCGCCGAAATCTAGAAGTCACGGAAACCGGGAAAGTCAGCAACCGACCGCGTCAAGTTCATGGGCTCAAAACTACACACCTTCGCCTAGACTGTCATCGTCACTGCCCTGAGTACCCAGGAAATCCTCGGTGCTCGAGGCGACACTCATAAAATCGTCGTCGGACTCCATGCTGGTTGATGCCGGAGTCACCAGATCAGGCTCCTTCTTTCGGTCGGAAACCGAAAATCCCCCAGAAGTCTCCGACTCTGAATCTGTCCCGGGCTCCTGGTCAACAAGTTTGCTCTTCTTGGGAGTCGCGTGGGCTGACGAGGTGGGACCGGTGGCGGTTCGCGAACGGACGGGGGGAGCCTTGGTGGCGGCTGAGATGAGGTCTTTTGTCGGAATCGCCGCGTCCGCCGCCTTTCTCTTTCTCGTTAAAGGAGGCGTGGTGAAGAGGAAGTCTTTATGGCAAGCCGGTATGTGCTGACACGAAAAAAAGTAGGTCTCCGACGTCGAGACCCTCTCTTTTTTTCGCGGGACAACACAAAGCACAGCTTACCAATAAGGGATTCCAAAGGGGTAAGAGAGGGTGGGAGGGACGGTGCAGCAGTAGTCCTCAGCCGATCGTTGGATATTAGGGAGTAGGGATATAGGAGGAGGGGAGGAGGAGTAGATTCGGCGTGAGTGATGATTAGCTTGTTTAGCTTGTCGAGGATGGAGGGAAGGAGGGGAGGGAAGGAAGAGGAGGTGGAGGGGGAGTTTGTTGGATGACTGGTGCATCGAACGGGTGACTAAAGCAAATGGCTGGACGTCACGGGGGGAAGGAGGTGGGGAATGCCTTGGGAATTTATATGGGGGTTTTGGACCGATCAACCATCACCGACAAGGCTGCCTCCGCTACTGCCTACACGGTCTACTGGATTTTCCCACAATCCTTTCCATTCCTTCTCTCTCGGGTTCTGAACAAGCAGACCACAAACGCCGATCGCAAATCTTGAACTCAGAACCAGAACAGAAGACGGGAGCGACCGTTGGATGACAAAGGAACGATGATGTCAGATCCTGATCCTGAAATGATCAACAACTCCAGATCGACTGGTCTATACTCATCCATAGCCATCCAACTTGGCAAGATATCCAACTTGGCGAGACATAAGACCAACTGGATCGTCAAGCGGTGTGGCATGATTCGATGAATGGCAACTACAAATGAGATCCATCACACCATTTCCAACTCTAGCCTATTCGGAACTCCAGGATTTAGACCCATCACAGGTCCGGAAATGAGCTCCTCGAAGTCGAAATAGTCAGAGGCCGAGATGAATTGATAACGCACATCCTCTCCGTGTGGCTCAACCTCTTTCATCTTCATAAGACCCTTGAATCTAGTTTGGTGTTTCGGTATAGTCCCCACAATGCGTGAGATGGTCATCGGTTGTACTGCCAAGCGCGTCCTTCGTGCCGATCCGATCAGTTGTGGGCTGTGAATCTACAAAACTCATCCCCTAGTTGAGAGACTATTCAAGGAGTTGCTGTTGATTTTCTATCGCATTGTGCTGCCGCTTATCATCTGAAGCCTTTTGAGACACTGTATTCGGGTGTTTCACGAAAGTCGCGCACTCATAGATCTAAGTGTGCACCGCCCTTCGGTGAACACCGCACCGCCTCCTCGCTCCACGCATCAATCTCCCTAAGGGTCTGTTGAATATCGGCCTTGATCAACGGGATGGTTTCGGCGCCCATGAGCAGTCGCGTTGGGAGGGGCCGTCCTTTTTGTCCGGTCACTGCATCAAATAACAACTGAGCGCATACATCCGGATCACTCCACGTCTCCTGGGAAGCCGGATTGGTAATATACTCGATCAGCTGGCTAAACTGGCTGGTTGGAGACTCATATGCCGGATGTCGAGGGACAAGCTTGAGGCCTGAGCCGGCAAAATTCGTGCGCACGCCCCCCGGTGCAATGATCAAGAACTTGATGTTCCAGTCAGGATTCATTTCCTTCGCAATAGACTCGGTAAATCCCTCAAGAGCAAATTTACTGCCAAGGATATTAGTATATTTGGTCTCATGGTGGACATATAGACATATGCGTACCTGGCATGATAGAAAGCATGACCCGGGGCGGTCATCCATCCACCCATCGACGAGACCTGAACGACCGTTCCTCCCTGACCACGAGGGTTTACTTCTCGGAAGATCTTCAAAGTCTCTTGTGTGATACGCGCAGGACCCCAGAAGTTGGTTTCGAGTTGGTGTCGAGCGTCAGCTTCTTCGATGGCCTCTGTGTCTCCCATTAGGCCGTACCCGGCATTGTTGATGACCACGTCAATTCGGCCGAATTGGTTCACGGCATGTGTAAGAGACGACAGAATATTCTCTCCACAAGTAACATCCAGACTGAGTTTGAGCACCGTGGGCTCATCGGGCAAGTATGAAAGCGCTGCGACGTTGCGAGCTGTCGCTACAACACGGTGACCAGCGCAATAGACCTTCTTTGCGAATGCTTTTCCGAGGCCAGAGGAGCAGCCAGTGACTAGTCAGATGCATTAGGCTATATCATTTTTTAAATACTCATGTGTTGCTTTGTTACTCACCAAACCAAACAGTCTGAGGGTCAAACTTCGTGGGAGGACCAGACATTTTTCGATACTGAGGAGGTAAACGATGCTGGAATTTGAGACAGCTTCAAGGCAACCGACCTTCGGGGTGAGTCCATGCTTGTTTATATAGGGGTTCGCCTCTATGTACCACCCGCTAATTGTCCTCTAATGTCAAGGTAAATATCTCATTTTCAAGGCACTCCGATCCAAGAATACAGCCCGTTCTAACCCAACTCGGCATGTGTACTAAATTAGACGCATTGCGCGTGTTGGTGGCCCCACGAGGCCCACGGCGATCCACCCCGATCGACCGGTCTGTATCTGTCTTCCGTGAGCTTCAATCTGAACACAGATCAATTTCTTACTTTCCATCATCATCCCGGCTCATTTCTTTTTTAGTAATTGCTCTAACTGTATACCCACGGCTACTATTGTACCATGGATGAAAATGAGACCGACCCTTCTTTTGTCGTCATCATGGGAAATCCACAGCAAGGGAAGGGCGAGCGAATAAGCCAGGTGCGTTCGCACATCACGAAACAACGCCACCGGCAAAATGGAAGACGGCAGGCAAGTGCTCCAAAGACTTTGGCTTTGATGAGTCCTCATAGCGAGATCCACTCTACACTGGTGCCTTCTGGGTTGTCAATAGCAGGCATCGGCCATCAGAGAATGCAGAGCTGTAGGTCCATCGAATATCAAACCACTGGCAAGGAAATCACATGGCTAATAATAGGCCTTTAAGTCCTGGGCCGATACTTGTGCTACAGCCACGATGTTCATCCTTCTTTTCATATCGTGGTTCTTGCCGCAGCTACTCATGCGCCGTTGATGAGCGCGAAGATTCTGACTGCGTCGACATGGGACGACCTGAACAATACGGGAGAGATCAGTAATTTGACTCTGAAGCAAGGTGTCATCACTCGAAGGCTGATAATTGGGTCGTTGAGTAATATACACGAAGCCAGCAGCGATGTGAATATCGCTGCTTTGGTTTCAATTCTTATCTTTGATGTACGTCAAATTTCCTTAACTCGGGCAGGGAACGCTGACATCGTCATGCCACAGCTAGTCAGTGAAGATAGGAATGCCTTTTTCCATCATAAGCAAGCCCTCCATGAGCTCATTTACATGCGGGGGGGCATGCAGGCTCTGGGATTCGAAGGACATCTGGCGAAAAGCATGCCGTTGTATGTATGCATTCACACAACCTTTTCGTCTGTCTAACATGCCGTAGGATCGAACAATTTCAGAAAATTGTAAAAATTGCCACGCCTGCGTGCTACTATCGTCAGTCAAGTGGTATCTTTCCTACTCTCTGTCAGCCTCTGGATCTGAAAATCTTCACCTTCCCGATCCAACACCAAAACACCTCTCCGGAATCAACAAGTCCTTTTCTGGCGATGCTTCTAGGCCATCTTTCTCGATTGTTACTTCTTGTCAGAGAATGTACTAGTCAGTCATTCCCGGCCAAAACCCAACGTTGTCTCGGACAATGCGCGACAATTTACCGCGACTTAATTGCGACCAGACCGCTCATTGCGAACGATATCGATGTAAGAGCAATAGCTATACTCCATGCGACCCTTCTCTTTAGCTGGTCGGGCTTTGCATTCAATGATGTCGGCCTCGTATATTGGTCCGATAGCTTGAATGCTTTGCAGACAAGTCTTCGACAACCAGATATTGATCAAACTTGGGCCCACCTACCGGGAGCTCTCATCTGGTGTCTGGTCATTGGTGCGAGATTGGCCCAACTAGGATCAGCCAGGAAATGGTTCATGATGCAGTTAGTTCGAGTCGCATCCTGCATCGCCCTTGATTGGTTTGATGAGGTGCTGCAGAGCCTACAACTTATTGTTAACGGCTTGGATGCAGCAGAAATGCTAGACAATATGCCGGTACTTTACGGATCGATATGATTTGGAATTCGCGAAACGACGAGGAAGGGGTTGACATTGAGCAAATATCGCAACCCAAGCAAATCGACAATCCAATAGAAACACGAAGGATATAATCCTACAGCCTTGCGATGACTAATTTCAGTGCTGCTTCTCACATGCATTGACTACAGAACATTTTCCTGGCCCCTCCATTGTCATCGGCCTTCCATCCTGCCCTTTCCATCCCGGCGTATTACAACATCATGCCTCCAGTCCACCTTCAAATCGAAGACGACGACCCTCCCTCGTTCTACCTTACAGTCCACTCTATCGTCGACCCTGCCATTCAACCTGCTTCCTCTACCTCTGCCAGGGATACAGCCCTTGCCCTGGACTCTCTGTACCTCGAGTACACGCGCGCACATGTGGACCGTGACGCAGAAGGCTTTCTCTGGGCGTTTTGGGATCTTATGAACGTTTTCGCGCGGCAGGTTCCTCACGACAGCAAACAACAAGATGCCCTAATAGCGATCATCCATGAGCTGGTTCGGTTACCGCCTAAGCCGCTCAAATTAGACAACGGAGGTGAGTATCAGCAATGGGCCGATCTGGCTTTTTGGGGCACCGCTTTCCCAGAAACTTGGAAATGTAAGTGAGACGGTTCAACTTCTCCTGCTCTTCAGCTCAAGTCCCACTACAACAATGCCACACCAATAGGGCACCATAACTGATAACAAACAGCCGAACTCGGCCCCTATTCCGATGCGCAGAAGAAACAACGCTTCCTCAATCTACAAGCTTACGCGGCCCGGATCATGACCTTCGCGCCCATCCACATGGAATCAAACGCCATCTGGACACTAGAAGACGCTGTCGAAGGCGCAATCATCCCCGTCCGCGGCAGTCCAGACCTTGTCTCCGAGGATCCGCTCGCTATCGAGGATCTTCCGTACAAAGTAGCACTGGCGGCGGTGTGGATTATCCATGCGGGCCATGTGTTGTATGGCAGGGACGAGGAGATCTATGGTACACAGGGTGGTCCGCTATACAGGCTGCCGAAGAAGGAGGCGAGAGTCTTAAGAAAGAAGTCAATAGGCACGCAGGGGCTATGTATGGAGCGGTGGCTGCTGTGGAAGAAACAGTTTGGAGTGATTCGGGATTGTGAGGACGTTGATGATGAGACGAGAGGTATTGCTGGAAAGGCTGTGGTGGCTATGGAGAGGGCTGAAAATGAAGCTACATAGTACGGGAGTTAAAGCAGTCGCATTGCCGAACAACCAATCAAAAAATCAACCACGTCTTCTGCCAGCGCTTAACTCGACTGCACACTGGTGGCATATAGAACAAAAAAGGAAAGCAAAAACAAAAAGATATGACAAGAGTGGGATTCGAACCCACGCCCCTTTCGAGACTAGGAATATTCGGGTGAATATGTGAGATCAGGTACCTGACCCTAGCGCCTTAGACCGCTCGGCCATCTTGCCTTGATTGGTGAAAGATGCTTGCCATTATGAATACATGAAGCCTTAGCTACGAATTGACCATTACCAGGTGGTGTATCTAGATGTTCTTTGCTCTCTCCTTGGTCTGTTGACTACGGGGTTTATTTTGCCGGTCTAGTGCTTGTTAGGGTCTTGGGTAGGGGAATCCGGTTCGTTTTCTTCAAGAAAATTTCACGGGTAGAACCAGAGCTAAAAATCCATTAAGCGTCACATCCCAGTATCTCGATGATTCCATTCAACCAAGCCGGTAACAACCAACCAACATTCTTCTGTCTCAACTTTTTGTATCCATGACCTTAATCGCAACCACATACCAAGATACTGCACGGCGGAAAATAGAAAAGCGAAAAGAGAAAAGAGAAAGAAACCACTGCTCTGCTACCCGATGGGAACCTCTGTGCGGCGTTGGGATGAGCCGAACCAGCAATACACCTAGGCGGGCTCCTCTGCAGAATGCTTATGTTCCAATCTGGCCATCAGCCTCTCAATCCATTCCCACCAAACCTCGTTGAAGTGAAGAGCAATGGCCTTGAAGATTTCGATCAGAGAACAGAGCTCTGCGGGCCGCCTGGGGCTCATATTTACACCGGGAACCTCTTCGAAGAGCTAGATACTGCTTAGCCCTATTCTCTATGCGTTATAGGAGTAAATATAGATCGACTTACTATGATTTTGCCATGGGACGGGTCCTCGACGAGTGCCACCACGGTAAAGTGCCACATGAAAGCACGATACTCGATGGCCACACAGGCCGGAATTGGGTCTTCTTTTAGATCAATCCCTGCCTCTTCGGCGAGTTCTGCAGAGATTCGGAGGCTTGCGCCGATGTAGCTGAGACATTGACGGAACGGCTTTTGGGGAACCTCTGGGAATCGCTTATATGTGATAGCATGCACGAGGATAGATTTTTTCCTGGAATATTCTTCCAACGGACAGAGGCTATATCGATAGCTAGTCGCTGTAGCGAACTTGGAAGAGCGAGAGATCAGATTGGGTTCCATGTTGATCATGACAGCGTCGGGACATAAGTTGAAGGGTTCGTTGGACGCGACATGCAACATATGCCGTGGAGATAGTGTGAGGTCACTTTAGAAAGGTTAGAGATATCTGAGTCATGTTCTTAAGGGTCTGGAAATCATACTCAATATCTACGATTTGCTTGTTAAAAGTATCAGGAGATTCCTCGAACGCACAGAATATGGCGAATAGCTGGGGCTTGACCGAATCCATGCCATCAGACTCATCCATGTGCCATCCTATTTTTTGAGCTGTTTTCTTGTACTGATCGAGTCTCTCCTGCGGCTGGCTTTTTGCTGTCCGATCGGCGTGCAGAATCCTGTTCATCAGATTCTTCATCGCGTCCGTAGGCGAAAACATCACCTTTCCATAAGTCGTCTCCACGCGATAGACACCGTATGGCTGCAGAAAGTCTAGAGGAAAATACAACGCGAGCTGTTGCTCAGACTCGCTTGCATTTACCGAAGCTGCATACGACATGTCATGATTCAACTCCGTGCTGACATTTATGTCGTCAGGTGAAGTTTCACCATCCTTTGCCGGAGATCTTTCTGCAGCAACGTCGCATGCCGGTGGACCTGGCTCGACCTCGAGGGCCGACTTCTTGGTAGATTCGCTATAGAGGATAATGCCGTACCGGCCGACAGTTAGCAGAGGGTATCAGATGTAAACTGGGGATAATGGAGTCTGGGAGCGTGGGATAACCAAGTCTCACTCACTTCTGCGCCATATGTCACGATGGCTCGTAGGCCGTGCGACAGAAGCTTTTCTCGCTTGTTCTTCACAGGGGCCAAGCTGTTTTGATGAAGCGCTGAAGATACGGCAGGATAGAACTAAGATGGAGTTGGGGGATGAAGAAGGATGGAGGGGAGGATGCAACCGAGGAAGAGGTGCAATGGTCATGTGGTGAATGATGGTCAAGAAGTGAAGGAAAGTCCCCTCAAGGAACTTGGTAGTCGCCTAGTAGGCTACGCAGTCCAGACAGGACATTCACTTCTTGGTTAAGTCAATCCTACCACTCCATGCTGCCATGGTAGTTCTGCTACTGGGCAGATACTAGAATACCATGTCATAGGGCTCCTAGATATCTACAGACATAGGCAGAGACATTTTTGTGAATTGGCCACCAACCTCAATATTAAACAGCCAGATATCCCATCACCCACGTTCTTGATAGCATCATGCAAACAAAAAACACTCAGGTACCACCTAGGTACTCTCATCCTTTACGCCATTCACCCCCTCACCCAGAGCCTTGGGTACGGAATGGGATTCTCTCAAGGGATAGCTGCAGTGACTCGAGATGAGGCAAACTGCCTTCCCTAGCCTGGAGGCTTATGCCCCAAAACAGATAGCTGGCTAATCGACTGGCAGATCCTCGAACTTCGTCATGGATTCTGTCGAGGTCCATCAGCTCAGCCAAAGGAAAGAAAAGAAAGGAGGCCGGAAACAAACCAATCAGACGTGGCCAACTGCATGGAATCATCATCACAATGGCTGGTTCCAACTTCTAACACGTCAAGAACTACTCGCCGATCCGTCAGACGAGCTCCTGCGAGCTCTCCGGATGAAGATAGGCGTATGACGTCTCACAGCCTCCATTGTGGGATTCCATCTTGGCCGCCCCCGACTTTAAGCTCGACGCTCGTAAATACGCATGGCTTAACTCCGACGACCTCCGGTTCTGACAAGCCACGCAGAGATATTTGGAATTCATGTTTCTTTGTCTTGAGGGTTTATCTAGAGTGATATATCCCATCTAGTTATCTTCTAATTATTAACTAGTGCCTTTCCCTATCTTGACTTCCCCATCCTGCCCTCCTACTACTAAATACAACCACCATGGGCGGCTCATTCCCAGGATTTCTATACCGCCAGCTCACCTTCTGCCCCAAACCATTGCCCTCCACGGTGAACCTCCAGGGCCAAACTGCCATCGTCACAGGTGGTAATGTCGGACTAGGCCTCGAAGCTGCTAAGCAGCTAACCGCCCGAGGGTTGAGCCGTCTCATTATAGCCGTCCGCACCGTTTCCAAGGGCGAGACCGCAAGGGAGGAGATTCTTCGCGAAAATCCCTCCTCTGGCTGCGAGATTGGGGTCTGGCAGCTGGACCAGGAGTCGTTTGAGAGTATGCAAGCGTTTGGAGAGCGTGCTCGGGCTCTGGACCGGTTGGATATTGTTATCTTATCTGCTGGCGTGAAGATGCTGGAGTATAGCAAGTCTAAGACGGGACATGAGACGCATGTTCAGGTTGGTTATCTCTCTCCCCTTCTGTCTCTCTCGCCGGTCGTGACGTCGACACTCCAAAACCAGCAATGATATACTAATAACCCAACAGGTAAACCACCTCGGCACCGCCCTCCTCTCCCTCCTCCTCCTCGCCCCATTACAAAAAACAGCTACAGAACGAGGATCTGCACCCCGCCTCACAATCGTCACCTCGGAAGTCCACTTCTGGAGCAAGCTCCCCGAGAAAGACGCACCCAACATGCTCTCTCGACTCGACGACCCCGACTCGTTCGGATCCGGCATGGACCGTTACAACACCAGCAAGCTCCTGAATGTGCTGTGGCTGCGCGAGCTGTCCAGGCGCACCGGCCCCGATGTCGTCGTCAATGGCGTAAACCCAGGTCTCTGTGCGAGCTCCTTGCATCGGTCGGACTCTACGCCGGGGAAGGAGCAGTTCAATAAAGTCTTTGCGTGGAGTCCGGCGCAGGGTGGGCATTGTTTGGTTGATGCGGCGGTACGGCATCAAGATGATAGGGGGGCTTATATTAGTGAGCAGACGGTTAAGAAGTAAGAATCCTTCTCCCCCTCCCCTTCTTTCCTCTTCTTGCTGCCTTGTTCCTATTGCTATGTTCAAGGAGACATGCTAAGACCTGTCAACCATAGACCGTCCCCGCTCGTCCTGTCAAAGGAGGGCGAGAAGGCCCAGGTAGAGCTGTGGGATGAGACCATTGCCCTGCTGAAAGAGGCTGTTCCTGGCGTGGATTTGCTTGGGGGTCTCGTTGCATGATTTGGATAGGGAGAATCGATTGACCTGTTATACTGTGATGATCAGCGATTTGATATGGTTTGTTTGTTTATGTTGTTATTGCTCATGTCTACGGTTTAACATATCCCTTCTTCGTGACTGGTACACGGTTCCTTCGATCGTTAAGAGTTTATAGAGTACCCATGTAGAGCCAAGTTAACAGGCCTTCTGCGTAGCATCTCGCATGAACCGACAGGCCGTGTCAGGGAGCATGATCAAGACGTATAGTGACCTGACATTCCGGATGTGCATTATCATATTCATGTCCTCATGTAGGATGCAGTCCGAAATAAGCAAGAACTCCAAAAAGAAAATAGGATATGGAGACCCGATTTGCCCCGGAAATAAGGACACAGGACCAAAGGGAGAAAAAAAAAGAAAACAAAAAGTTATGACAAGAGTGGGATTCGAACCCACGCCCCTTTCGAGACTAGGAATATTCGTGTGAATATGTAAGATCAGATACCTGACCCTAGCGCCTTAGACCGCTCGGCCATCTTGCCTGTTGATATGTTTTGCGGTTCAGTTTTGACACTATGTTCCTAATTGGTACTACCCTGTCAAGCATGTGTTGTATAGAGTCCTCTGTGTTACTGAATTGAAGATTTCATTCCCTGTTATTTTCGTTAATGCTGTATAGTACGTAAGGACGTATATTCATGCTATTTATGCGGTTATTTATCTGGTATAGCTCCATTGCTGTTTGAATGTTGGTTGTTCTTTGCGTCGGAGGGTATGCCGCAGTATATATTCATGTTGTTGAAGTCTACCCGACTTACTACTTACGGTCATGGTTGTCGATTTCCAACCCACATCAGGGCATTGCTCATCTACCTGCTTCCATATCCTAGACATCATTAACCCATCTTATATCCAGCACGTCAACATAAAAGTCTGACCAGTAGATAACATGCAAACAAGGCAGCAGCACCGCACCAGACTCCCACTAATACTCAACTACAATCACACCAAAACTGATCTCAAATGCCTATTCAAGCGGCTCTTTATTGGCGTATACATGCAGCACTACCTATAACCCAGAACAGATTACTCGTCATCACTCTCCTCTTCGCTCTCCTCGTCACTATCCTCCTCCTCGTCCGCAGTAGCCAACCACTGGATGAACTTCGTCGCCTGCTCCTTGATCACCTTCATCTCGTTGCTGCTGCTGGATCGCTCGTCAGCCCACCACTGCTCAAACGTTTCTTCCTCAAGAAGCTCCATCTGGTAAAGGTCGCTGCACAGGACGACGAAGAATGAGTCCTTGGGCGGGCGGCTCGCTAGCTCCTGCTGCAAGAGAAGGAGGAGGTCGACCTGGTCGGGTTTCTTGTCGGAGTCGCGGTCGAACAACGCCCGCTCCACGATCTCCTGGTACTTGCCGAAGACGTCCGCGATGGCGTCGCTGGCGCTCTTTCCGCCGGCTATCAGCTCGGGGATGCGGCGCATGAACGCCGACGACACGGCCCGCCGGACGTGGTTGTCGGAGGCGTTGGCGGTCATTCGAAGACTGACCAGCTCGAGCTGCACGACGTCCGATGTGATGCCTTCCCGCAGACTGTCGTAAACGCTGACGGCGGCGTCGTGGACGAAGTTTTCGCCGTTCTCGTCCTCGTCCTCGGAGTCACTGTATCCGGTGCGGGATCCGGCGTAGTCTGAGATCTCGGAGGATAGGGTTGAGATGGACTCTGTGGAGAGAGAAAGGTTTGCCATGTTGTAAACTGTGAGGTGAGTGTTAGCGGGTGTCTGTGGGATTGAGAGGGATGAGGCGTGTTAGAGGAAACATACCCAAGCCAGACGAAGCATTGCTTTCGTCGTCAGAATCATCTTCATCTTCGTAAGGGACATATTCGTAACCTTCCCCGTCCTTGCCAACGACTGCCGGGTCACTGGCCGGCACAACTCCGTCTTCCTCCCTGGGAGCCTTCGTGATGCGCTTTCCTTCGCTGACGGTAGTTCCGTCGGCGATTTTCACCCCATACGAGAGAAGGACGCCGGACTCGATCATACAGTCTTTGCCCACAGCCACGTTGTCAGCGAGAACAGCCTGGCGAATAGTCGTCCCGTCTCCAATCACCGCCCCATCCCAGATGTAGGCACCATCCAACGTGACATTCTTGCCAATCTTGCAGTTACGCCCAAGAACCGTGTTCTTGACAGTCGACTTGTCTCCTATGCTCGTGCCCTGTCCTATCACTGTCCGTCGACCAATAACACACGAGCGAGCCAACGTGACCCCTTGCTCTTGATACAGGTACCCCTTCCGCAGATCGTAGGTATGGCCGGCAAGAAGATTCGTGTCGGGACAAAGAGGGTATGCCCATCTCGAGATGACGTCCCTGCTCACAGCATCGTAGGCCTTCAGATTCCTCACCCGCGCCGCGTAGTGGTCCTTGATGATATGCGTGTGGATCGTCTTTCCGTTCAGCTCGTAATCCTTCAGAACACCGAACAAGAACTGCTTTCGCGGGGTCTGGTAGTCGAAACTATCGGACCACAAGCTCAGCACGTCGGGAGTGCAAATGTCGATGTTGCAGTCGATGAGATCCTGGCGAATGTCAAGCTCCCGGTGCGTCAGGATAATTTCCGAGTCGATATTCAAACGTGACGACTCCGACGAATGGTGGTCGATCTCCTCATAATGAAGGCAGCGGTCCTTCGTAGGATCCACAACGAAGACAGGCGACACGGAAGTGGACTTCGTGCGGTGGTTTCTGCCGGCTTCCCGCAGGATCATCGTCATGATGGCGTTCTTGTCTTTCTCCCGACGAGCACGATGCTTGGCCAAGGCGCCTTCAATCGGCATGTTGCTGATCACATCGCCACTCACAACGATAAAGTCACCGGTGATAAGATGCTTCCCGTCAAGATCACGCATGACATCTCCGACGGACGTAGATGTGGATTTTAGGAAATTCAACTGTTTGAAGGGCGACGAGAGCGATCGCCATTTCGATGCACTGGGGTTATCCATGTCAGTCGCACAAGCCCAAAGCATCATACAACGCAAGAACAAGAGGACTCCACATACTTGATGTACTTCTCCAGCTGGTCGGAGTGAGCACCGCCGTATAGGAAGACATCCTCAACTCCCGCGTTGGCAAGGAACTCAAGCGTGTATTCGATCAAGGGGGTGTTTGCCAGAGGCAAGAGACACTGTTGATCACCAAGCATCAGCCTCCAGATTTTCCATAGCACCGATATCGATCCCCGCTATCCTCCGTCCCAAAGTGATTGTTCCACCACAGCAATACGTACCCGAGGTGTATCAAGGGTGAACGGCTCAAATCTCGTCTCGAAGGTATCCGCAAGGACCTAGAGCATATCACAAGTTAACCATCAGAGCTTCGTACCATCTCCACCACCATGCGACGATTCATGATATCAACTCCCCCCCCCACCTCTCATCCCACCAAATAGGACGCGATGAACGTACAACAGCCTGCAGTGTCTCCTCTACCTCCTCCGCCGCATTCCCTCTTTGCTTCGAGGAGTTTCCTCCCTTTTTCGGACCCATTGGCTAAACGCGAAGACGTCGTCAGCCAGCTATCACCAGAGAAAACAAAGAACCGACTCGCGACTCACATCGGGTTGATAAAGATAACTATGCGCCCCGCACCTCACAGATCAAAGAAAGACCGACAAATGAATGAGACGAGAATGCCCACTGCCTGAGCCAGACAGAATCAAAACCTGCGTGCGAAAAAAGGCCGTGCCGAACAACTTCCCAGAGCCCTCAAAGCGTAGAAAGGCACAAAAAAAACTCCGCCAAGCCCATCGATCCAACGGAGTCATACATCCCACCCGGGAGTTTTTGTCTGTTTGCGCTGTTTGCTCCGTTTGAGCCCCGCGCCACGGACCAGCCCCTATCACGTGACCCACGTGACCGCGAGCCTCAGCCACAGGTGGGAGGTTCCAGCCGCAAAGAGTCCAGAACATCAGGCAAGGCCTGGGCCCTCCTGGAACTGGGGAATAATATCCCTTGTCCAGGCACCGCCGGTCTAGAACGCTGACGATGATCGGACCAGCCCTGAATTACCCCCCTCGACCCTGGCATTCAGGCAGTTCGGAAGAATGGAGGGTCGGGAAAAGCTTTGATTGCGACGACGGAGTACTACCCACCGGGATGCCGTCAGGATGCGTGCGTGTCCGTCCGTCGGTGTCTGCGTATGGATAATTGCTCCCTGCCTATTATTGACATCTACGGAGCATCGGTAGTCCTTAAAATGCAGACAGAACTCAGTTGCATAAAGTTTTTTTTGGGTTGCATTCTGTATGTACATGTATAGATAGAGCGGGATTGCCGTGAACCCAATCAGGTAATGAACATCAAATTGTAGTAGTAATCTGTCAAATCAGATTGCGCAAAAAATGCCAGGAAAAAGAAGCAGGACACCGTAATGATCAGAAGGAACAATTTGAAGAAAACCCTCGACAGTAGGGGTGTACATATCAAAAACCTTTCACTGAAAAAAAATCACCGGTTTCGATGCTACCCTCAAATATAAATAAAACACGACCAAACAACCTGACACAAGGAGTATTCGCAGGAAGAAGTAAAGCAGCGCAAAGAAATGATCAACACAAAATGCAGGCAGCTAGATTTCCCCGCAAACGCCAATATATGTCGAAGAACAACCGCCGCCCCCACAAACAAGATAACGAGAATATCATACGACTCAAGTTTCATTAGGAATATATGAGATTCGTCAAACGGGAAGACAGGATGGTAATGAGGTTACAATGTAGCAGATGAGTGAGGGAGAGATCAGCTTCCGAGAGAGAGAATGGAAAATATACAATGAGAAGATATAGCGTGCTTTAGCCAGTCCGCGTCGCCTGCACGGGATTGACCATCGGCTGGGGTGGGTGCGCATAGACACGCGGACGTTTAGCCATATTGGGGCTTTCGGCGGCGCTGGACATGTCCGAGACTGGTCGTCGCGGTTGAGGGCGTGCTGCTGCGGCGGCGGCGGCCGCCGCAGGGATTGCGACGGGAGCGGCGGTGGGATATTGAACTCCGTTTTGGTCCACGGCGTACGCAGCAGGGGCCGGGGTGGCAGGAACGTATTGACTAGGAACCTGCTGAAGATTTGGATGGACCGCGGGCATGCCCTGAAACTGGCCGGGAGACTGCCAGTTGCTCATCGACGCTGCGGGAGACTGGCCCGGGGAGCTGTCCTCCTTGACCGATTGACCTGCCGAGCTTTGAGCGGCCATTGTGACTGCTGCCGGTGCGGCCTGCTGGGCCTCTATGCCCGGCGGCATGGTCTTCAAGTGAACCAGGTGCTTCTCTAGCATGTCGAGAAGGCTCTTTCGTGTGAACGGTTTGGGAAGTACGTCGTCCATTCCTGGTCACAAAATTTGTCAGTCGGATAGCCTAGAATTCCAGTACACATGTTCCATACCGTGCTGGAAATATAATTGAATGTCATCACTTCGGATGTTGGAGGTCATGGCGATAATGGGAGTTCGATCGAATTGGCGGATCAGATGACAGGCAGAAACACCGTCCAAGTTTGGCATGATGATATCCATCAGAATCAGATCGTATTTGGAGCCGTCCTGAATCTTGTTTACAGCCTCGAGTCCGTCAAACTGCGTCACCGTTAGTAGGGGAACTACGCCCGTATCTCCCGGTCAGTGTGGCCTACCGCAGTATCAATAACACACGAGAACGAGTAAAGGAATTTCCCACCGATCTGGCGGCACGTCGCATCGTCCTCCACAAGCAAGATCTGGGGGTTGCGCATCCAGCCAGGGTCGACATTCGTGCTCTTTTTCCGGTTGTCAGGGAACTGCCGTCGGCTCTCGTCGATCTCTTGCTTGGGAGGCATTGGGTAGGGGACGTTGTTGACATGGTCGCTATACATGGGATCGATTCCATTCGTTGCGCCGACAGGATAGACCACGGGCTCGATCTCGCCGTTCATCTTGGGATACACCAGGGCAGGGTTTGCACCCGCCGCGGTGGGCGGACGCACCACGCCGTTTCGCGGGGCCGCTTCGAGCGAAGGGGTGGACACGACGGGAACGGTTTTAGGCGGCTCGCCGGCGGATTCGAGACCGGTGAGATTGAATTGGATTTCGGCATTCATATCGTTGAGAAGTTTCGAGGCATGCTGCAAGGGGGACGAGGGCTCATCGTCCATCGACGCCACCTGGGAAGGGCTCATAGTCGAGCCGCTCTGGCCCTGGGCCGGGAAGGGCGCGGACGCTTTGCTGTCGCGCCTTTGACGAGCATCCACCGAGAGGAGGTAAGTCATAACCTGGTGGATCACATGTTCGTGGTTCAGGACCGTCTTCTGCACCCTCATCAACTCCTGCAGCATTAGCTGGTGATCCACCGTCAACTGCGCATAGCGATCGGAAAGGTGTTGGATTTGTTGTTGTTGCGCCACGATCTGTTGGTTCAGGAGATCGATCTGCTGCGTCGGAACCGAGTCATCGTTGCTTTGGGCCTGCTTGCGAGGGGCTGGCGCCTTCCGTCGAATGTTATCGAGCGATTCCTTGCTGTTTGCCCGAAACTCGGGGTGCTTAAACTCCCACGCCTAGATTCCTGGTCAGAAGCCAATTTCGCGTCCCGAGGCGACCGGAGCCTTACATTCTGCCCGTACGGCGACTGTCCGTTCTCCTCGTTATTCTGTCTCACTTTGTGGAAATCGTATTTGTTCAACTGTCGTACGAAACTGGCGAAGTTGCTGTGTTTGAAGTGTTTGGGCAGGATGGTCTTGGTGAATTTCTCGCACTGCGGTCGGTCGGGCGGGTTAGCCGGGGAGGGATTGCGATGGCGGATTCCGCGGCGAGGGGCGCATTACCTCCAAGACCACAAAACTATCCCCCTCATCGCCCCAACGCACGATTTCGGCGTATGAGGGGTCTTCCAGCATTCTTGAAGGCCAACCACGTCAGTCATCATTGGTCCAGCGGGCGCACGAGGCCACCGAATAGATTAAGCGAGAACGAGCAAACGGCTAAGGCGGGTCGGGGAGCGAGCCAGGATGGGAGGGGGTGGGAGAACAAGGGGAAAGGAGAGGCAAGAGAGAGAGGGCGGGCTCACTTGTAAAGCTTTCGCACCTAGAAGAGACGGCATGTTAGCAAGACGGTGGACGACGGTAGCACAAGAAAAGTAAAAAACAGTCCAAGCATCGAGAAATAAAGACGGATCGTCATGGGACAAGAGCAACAACGTCGCGGGCGGCACGTACAAAATCGCTGGAGTTGCCCGCCGGGGCGGTGTTGGTCGAGGTCTGGCCACCGTCCATCGTGGGCTAGATGGGTCGCGACCGATCGAACAAGCAACAGGCTCACGTCGCAGAACTTCGAGAACCCCGAGGGCGGCAGAGTCTGGGGGGATCGGAGTTCCAGGGAATCTGGCGATCGACACGAAGGGCAGAGGAAATCCGAATAATAATAAAGATAGTCGGTTTACTGGAACACAAAGAAAGAAAAAATCGATAAAGATGAAAAATTTTGGGGGGGGGGGAGGGAGGTGAGGTAACAAAAAGAGCGCGCGAGAGATGGGGTGCAGCGAAAAGAGGCTAACCAAAAATAAAATTAGAAAATCCCAAAGGAAAATAAAATGCCAAAGATGCTGCCCTAAAAGATGGGAGGTTTGGAGGCAACGGGGCACAAGTCGAGATTCAGGCGAGAACCAGGACTGCAGGCGAGGGCGAGGGCGAGAGCCAGAGGAACGGTCGTCAGATGCGTGTCGGTCGAAAACAGTTGGGTAATGACAATGTCCGTTGAGGATAGGAATTAATGGGTTTGACGATGAATGGTTCGGTGCCAGAGTGGGACGGCGTGGATGGTTCGAAGGCGCTGCGTTCTTCCGCGGGTCGCCCTCTCGCGCAGCCACAACGGTCTTTTTTCCCTGGTCGCTCGTTTCTTATCTATCGGTGTTTTGTCTTGTCTTGTCTCGTCTCGTCTCCGATTTGACTTTCCTTTCTGTTCCTTTCGTTCTTTGTTCGCTGGAGTCACCTCCGGTCGGTTTGACTTTCCCACGTAAGGAGAGCAGGGAGCGGGATGGAGGCAAATTCCAAAAAAAGGAGAAGATTCGAAGGGTTAGAGAGAATTACGGGCGCATCGGGCCCGGGAATGTCAGTGCGCTCGACGGTGCAGATGCGATGCAGGAAAAGCCAGGCGATGGAGGGGAGGCGAGCGATGGGGATAGGCTGCGTCGCACTCGAAGGAGGGGCTCGCCTGTTCAAGTAGCTTGGATGGGATCATCGTGGAGAGCCCGATCACTAGACGGTTGGCGGTCTGTCTACTCTACTCCGGAGTACTCCCTAGTAACTACCGAGTTATTCATAACTAAGAACTAGTAGGTTTGGCTTTACGCAGTACCACTTCACGCCCTGAGTTGAGTTGGAGTTGGTTTCCACGAATCTCCGGCCTCAGTTCTGGGTTGACAGACTCTACTTACGGTATCTGAAGAAGATGGATACTTCAGATGGAGACTGACCCTGCCTACTTGGTCCAACAGTACATCGTACATCAGTCCAGCGACTAATCGGCGTTACTAATGTAAAATGCCCCGGCTCATCCCTAGGCGATCCGTCTGTCGCATGCAGGCAGAATGGCCAATGCCTCGGGCAGACGACGTCGCAGCGGTCGATCGTTTATCATCTATCATTCGGTCGACTCCTATTCGGGTCTCTTCGTGGGATTTCAGATTTCGGGGTGGATTTAATTTTAGTAGGGGAGCACCGATGCGCCACATCTCGGGGATCGCCCTATAATTGCCATCCTCCGGTAGGGCATGGACTGCCTAAGAGCAGGGGGTTGCTATTATTATTCCGACTATTAGGAATCCGGGATCACTGTCAGTGTCCGGAGTATAGTAAGTCGGATTCCGTGCTATTACTGTGACCCTGAGTCCTCAGTATTAATATTAAGGTCCTAAAGACCTCGATTTACTCCGTCTCTCCGGAAGGGTGGATCAGGCCAACTGCACGGCGATGTCAATCCTTTCTCTTCTCATCGTCACCCCCGGTACATGTGCCGAAGCCTTTCCCCTCCGAACTACGGAGAAGGATTTGAGTTGTTTCAACTTTCAGGTTGGGGAATTACATCCGGCTCCAACGGTCGTGGCGCCGACACAGAGAATCATGACTCGAGCTAAAATTCCCCAACATCCGGGATGAGAGCTCTCGATCCCATGGGACGCAAATGTCAGGCCGGCCCATGCTAGGTACGACGAAGCTAGCTCCATGTGGACATCCGGGAGGGAGCCGCGTTACTACAGGTACATACGCAGTAGTACGCCGTGGTCGACGGTCTCCATGTGGGAAAATTCGAATCAACGTAGGACCAGGACAACTCAGATTTGAGGTGGCATCCTCCAGGCTCACGTTCTGCAAATTGACGTGCGGTCGCTGCAGCCGAGAGGGCCGATGACGACATAAACCTCCGAAGCTCCTCCGCCGGCCAACCAGCGGTCGCTCCACCAGGTACCCTTCCTGTGCGACCCTCACACCTCATCCCGTTCCAGTCTCTGAAGCTCAGCTCTCTTTCCTTCCCGCTGCATCTGCCATTGGACCCTTTCCCATCTACCCAACTCTGTCGTCCCACCATGTTCGCTGCTCGCCGTTTCACTGCCGTCCCGCGCGCTCTGTCGCAGCGGTCGCTGTTCCACAGCACTGCGCCCGCGTTCGTTCAGAAGGGCGACGCCATCCCCGATCTCGACGTCTTGGTCGAGGACTCCCCCGGCAACAAGGTCAACCTGGCTAAGGAGCTGCAAGGAAAGGGTGTCATCGTTGGCGTTCCCGCCGCTTTCAGTGCGTATCAGTCTTCCATGCCCCTGCGAGCGAAGAGAATCGACAAGGAAAAAGATAAAACATCCCGGACGGACGAGCTGACTGTCAATCCTCAGGCCCCGCCTGCTCTGCCAGCCATGTGCCGGGATTCATCAACCACCCCAAGCTGAAGGAGGCCGGCAAGGTGTTCGTCGTCGCAGTCAATGACCCGTTTGTGTAAGTTCCCGATCGCCTTTCTTTGTCCCCCTCCATCCCCCCTGCGCCCTGTCAACTCAAATACGCTGACTGTCTCAAACAGGACCAAGGCCTGGGCCACGAGCCTGGACCCCTCCGGCAAGAGTGGTGTAAGTGACCGTCTCCCGCGAATGCGACCCGAGATGATCTTCGCATCCTGATTACTGACATGGTCGCGTCAGATCCGCTTCCTGGGTGACCCCACTGCCAAGTTCTCCGAGGCCCTCGACGTGCTCTTCGACAGCACCTCTATCTTCGGCAACCAGCGCAGCAAGCGGTACGCCCTGCTCGTCGAGAACGGAAAGGTCAAGGAGGCTTTCGTCGAGCCTGACAACGCCGGTCTGAATGGTATGGGTCCCCTACAAGATCTTGGAGAGCGTCGCAAATTGACTAACCTGGAATTGACAGTTTCCGCCGCCGAGAAGGTTCTGGGCTAAATGGAACTAAAGCCGAATCAAGATCATATAGTAATGTAAAGCTAGGAAATCAATGTGAAACAAGATAATTTGTTATATTTCTATTTCCACCAACCATCGTTCGGCATCCCGAAATGCCATGGTCGAATGCGCAAGGCAATATACAATTGAGTAACCTTCCAAACGCCGGGGCATGCTACCGAACAGCACGCATATTCCTAGAATATACCAACTCGGAATTTTAGAGCCGCATTATTATAAAAAGCAAACATTAGATTTCCTCCCAAGCCCTCCGAATCGAATCTAGGCGCCCTGCTGCAGAGCCTGCCACTGCTCCGGGGTGTAGCATTTCGGCGTCCAGGCGTGGATCGCAGCGATCTCGGCCTTCAGAGCGGCGTTCACCAAGCGATGGCGGGCAAGCATGGTCTTCTTCTCGAATTGGGGGGACACGATAATCGCCTGGAAGGCTTGGCCACAGCCACCTGTATAATACCCGATACGTTAGCTTCATCGTCCATTTCTATAACTATATTAAACCACCCAGTATCAAAGTAGAAGAAAAAAAAAATATGACGGGGGTTCGTCATACCCGACAGGTCCTCGATCTCAACATGCTGTGCCTGCAACTGCTCGATCAATTTGCCCTTCAGCGAATCGGCAGTGACGCCGGAGGTAGCATCCGCCATGGCTGCGTTTACGGCGGCGGAGGAGCGCGCAGAGATGGAAAAGGGCGAGATCTTCTGGTGGACGGGAGTGCGGAGAAGGTATCGGCAGCTTCTGCTCAACAAAGCGGTGGTGCGGAAGTACATCAAGCGTGGTGGTAGAGGGGGTTGTGAGGAAAGGGTGAACGGGGGGTGTCGCTGCGACTATGTAGTCTGGAGATGAATCACACCGGAAGATCCAAAGCCGTGTGGTGCAAGAAGTTTCGGCCTGATTGAGATGAGGATTTGCGGACTGTCGAGAGAGGGAAACGGAATGGATAATTAATCATCATCGGGTACCGTACGGTAACAGCGACTGTAACGGCGGTACCGGCTGAGGCTGACAATGCCGGTCCTTGTGATTTGGTCACCTGCCGCTGTGGCTGGAGATTGTGGCGTCAGCTTGTTTCTTATTTCTCGGGGGAGCGGGTGGGGGTGTTTTTCCTAACGTCAATTCTCCAACGGTTCGATATCTTCATTCCCCAAGGAATTGACTAGACTCCGTCTCCGATCTCCTTCTATGAACCCCCTCTTCAGTCGCCTTCCCCGTCTCTACTCGACAATGGCTGCTTCGTTCCCCGCTTCCTCGTCGCCGTACACGCGGGCGGTGGTGAGCTCCATGCGCAAGCTGTATGCTTTCCTCGCCCTGCATGATGGCCTTGATGGCGCATGCACCATTGCAATGATCTGATGCGGTCCTGACTATCTCGGCAGCTACCCCGAATCACTAGCAGAGAAGAGCTTCGACAACACGGGTCGTATGTGAGCTTCGTTGGTCCACAAATGATACACTGCCCTGCAGCATGACGTACTGATCTCTTTCTCTCCGCAGTCCTCCTCGAAGCACCCTTCAATCATGAGCGACGACAGAGAAACTCCGTCCTCCTAGCCATTGACCTTACCAAGGCGGTTGCCGACGAGGCGATTGCCCGCAAGGACTCGGTAGTGGTCGCATATCGTATGCACCGTTCCCACCATCACGCATCCATCCGTCCACGCGACCAACTGACCAACGATCCCCCCTCTCAGATCCGATCATCTTCCGCGGACTCAAGTCCCTCACCCTGAACGACTCCCAGCAACAATCCCTCCTCCGACTCGCCCAAGCCGGCATCAGCGTCTACTCGCCGCACACCGCCGTCGACGCCACCCCCGGCGGCATGGCCGACTGGCTCTGCGACATCGTCACGGGCGCCATCGCCCCCTCCACCGACTCGACTCCCGCTATCCAGAAGTCCTCGTCCACCCAATACTCCCAGCCCGCCTTCCCCCAACCGGGCACCGTCCGCCCCGCCTCCGCCGAACCCCACGTCCGAACCACCATCCACCCCTCCCCGCCGCCGGTCCCCGAGGGCATGGAATCCGCCGGCATGGGCCGCCTCGTCACCTTCGACACGCCGCAGCCCCTGACCGCCGTCGTGGACCGCATCGCCCAGGGCACCGGCCACCCCGGCGGCATCCCCATTGCCATCCCGCAGTCCGCCTCCGTGGACACCATGAAGATCCGCACCGTGGGTGTCTGCCCAGGCTCCGGGTCGAGTGTCCTGCTGAAGGCGCCCGGCGGCATCCCCGACCTTCTGTTCACCGGCGAGCTGAGCCACCATGAAGCGTTGGCGGCGGTCGAGCGCGGCTCGGTGGTGGTGGCGCTGGCGCACTCGAACACCGAGCGCGGGTACCTCCATGCGGTGATGCGCGAGAAGCTGGCCGATGCCGTGCAGAAGGAGTGGGAAGTGACTCGGTCCGAGGGGCTCCGGACGCTGGGCGACGGCTCGCAGGATGGTACCGGGGTTGTGGACGCGTTGCAGAAGGCTTACGGCGATGCGGAGAGCTTTGTGGATGTGAGCGAGCGGGATCGGGACCCGTATGGGATCATGATCCGACATGTTTGATTCATCTCGATCAACCATCTCAACGATTGAGAACAGGTAAATAAGAAAGAAAAAAAGGTCCTTCAGCACTGGATTCAAAACAGCGCAAAGACCAAAACATCAACCAAAATAAATGAAAAACACTATGTACAGACAGAAATCAAAAAAATCTAGTACTTTGATGATCCAGTGATCAACCCAACTCAACTTAACAACACCCGAATCTCTCCCGTAGTCCTAGGGAACAGTCTCCTCAATCCCCACTCCTTCTCCTCTCCATCGGTCTCACTCTCCCCGTCCTCCTGGCTCTCACTCTCCGCGCCATCATCACTACCCTTGTCCGCTCTCGTGACATCAACCTTCCCAGTCGCCTCATCCGCGCCGATGATCATGCCCTCCACGAACTCGAAGTCGCGACAGAACGCCTCCACCGCCTCCTCGGTGACGCTCTTCACGAAGGTGGCGCTGCGCACGTACTTCAGGTTATCGGTTGCGTCCATCAGGGCGGAGGGCAGGAAATCATCCAGCTGCTGGCTGATGGCGATCAGCGCCTCGGGCTGGAAGGCCGGGAGGGTGGCGATGTCGGCGATGTTAGGGGCCTGGCTCTGCTGCTGCTGGTCGGGCTTCGCGGCCGACGAGGAGGGCGAGAACGGCTCCAGGGCGGTCAGTAGGACTTGCAGGCCTGAGGCGTCGAGGAGGTAGCGGTGTTGGATTTCGAGGAGGTCCATGCGGAGGGTGGAGAGGGTGGTGGAGAGCGGGTTCAGATGCGTCGCGCTGGCAAAAGAGTATCCGGAGATGGAGGAGCGTGCGGTCAGATGGATGTTGGTTAGGTAGATGGCGCGCCGAGTAGCGTCTGGGAGGTCGTTGGCGGACGATTTGGCCAGGTCGAGGAAGGGGTCGAGAGCGGCACGCAGAACGGGCGTGAAGCGGTTTTCGGCCTGCGATTCGTCGGCGCCGATCGAGGCTTCGTGGGTTTTCATGAGGGAGGTCAGGACCTCAAGGGCGTCTAGAAGGAATTCGGGCGTGGAGAGATCGTCCGGAGGAGCCAGCGCGGTGTGATCGGTTGAGAGCTGGGTGATCTCCTCGCGCATGAGATGCTCGAAGTGGCCGAGTGTGAACTTTTCCAATGTCTCGAGGAGTTCTGCTAGGTTGGAGCCGGAGCCTAGGAGCTTCGAAAATGTCGCCCGGTAGAAAGACAGTAGATTCACGACTTTGTAGCAAGTGACTGGGTCGTCGTGGCCTTGGATAACCAGCTCGACGCGCTGACGCAGGGACCGCGAAACTCCAATGAGATCCCGGTTGACGAGATCGCTGAGAGCCTTGTGTCCGTCGAAAGTGACCTCCTCGTTTTCGTCGATGCGAGACCACGGCTCACTGCTCAGTCCGGCCTGGATGCCTCGTGCGAGCTCTTCGCCGTCGGCCACAAAGAGAGCCTCCAAGGCTTCTCGCTCCGATACAGTTGTGGAATGCACCCATGCCAGCATGTCGCCAATGTACCGCAGAGGGTCGTGTGCAGAGAATTCGATGGGCTTCACGTTACGGTCGCCTGCGGTGCCCGACACGGCATCGGTCAGCGCATAGTGGAAGGCATCGGATAGAACGTAGTCGCGCGCCTCCGCAAAGAAATCCAGACAGCTGTGGAATAGACTGGGTCGCTCCGCCAGCACCCGGAGAGCTCGTCGGATCGAGCTACTGATCCGGGGGTCCTCGAGATTCAAGGATCCAAACTCCTTCTGGATCCACTTGTAGAGTTTCTGGTAAGCTGAATTGAGATTCCTCGAGCTCTTTTCCATGAGCTCTAGACCCAATCTCTGGTTCTCTCCGCCGAGCAGAACCTCGCAGTCGCGGTGGACCTGTTTCACTCGCCCAAGTACGTCGAAGAACCGATCATCGATAGGCTCCTCCGCCGAAGTTAATATTATCAACTCCTCATCCGACACAATGAAGTGTTTCGCGAACGCATCGAGCAATTGCTGCTTTGTCTCGGCTTCCTTCTTCTGGTTCATCAGCGCGGACGCCTCCTCCAGAACGGGCGTTGTGTCCTGTCTCGCTAGAACAATATGCTTGCGCATTTCCTCGCATGTTTGGTTCAGACTCGTGATTACGCTTCCAATCCGTTGTAATTGCTGCCACACAGTCAAGTATCAGTGCATGTCCCGTTGAATTCCTCAAAATTGGTCCCGCGACAAATCTTACCTCCGCGACTTTCCCAAAATCTCGCACAATCTCCGCATTGCTATCGACCACCTCCTTCTGCACATCCAGCCGCAGCTGTCTCCTAACTTCCGCAGTATTATGCACTCCGCGGAGACTGAGGGTCTCCAGCGCGTCGCGGATATCGGAGTCCGCATACGAGGCCGAGAGTACACTTGTCAGCCGATTAGACAAGGCATTGGACCGCTGATTCGGCGGCAAGAGCGGAGAGCCGGCCGGGGAAGGCGTACGAGTCGAGGCATGGCTCGAGACAGCTCCGGGAGGGAAATAGCTCGCCATGGAGGGCCGGTGCGTGTCGGACGCTGGTGGATGCGAAAGGTGGTCAATAAAGGCGGAGGCGGAAAGAAGTCGGAGAATCTCCCGCCGCCTTTGTTTTCGGTGGAGTTCATCCACCCTCGCTCTTTCTACGCTGCACTAGGCGGTCTATTGGGTTTGCCTTTCGACTTCAGCCTCGTATTTCTCTACTCATAGATCTAGTTTCTCGATCTTTACTTTTATTCTCTGGAACATCCACATCCTCAATGGACAGCCCCCTCGTCTCTCCCGCCAAAGCGCGGCAAGCCGCCATCCAAGCAAAGGACTGGGCCTACGTGAACTCCTGGCTGAGTCGTCAATATGCCCCGAATCCAGTCCCCAGCTTCGAGCGAAACGAAGACACCCTGCGAACGTTACTTGCATTGGCAGCCGCCAACGATACGGCCGATGAGGAGGCAGCATTGATCCACCATGCCCGCGAACAAACAGTCCAGGGGTTCAAACGCCGGGAAGAGGCGGAGGATAAGCAGAAAAGAGAAATCCTGGATGAAGTCGAGCTGTCTCTTGATGAAAATGGCACTCAGAATCTAGATGATCTGGCGGAAACCACCGCTGCTCTGGGGGCTTTGAGCACCGACACCAGGGGCCTAGGCCTATCGATAATCCAGCTTACAAAGGAGGAATTTGGCGCCCAGGAACAGTTGTCCAAAGTCGAGACGCTACACAATTATTTGGAGAGAGAATTGGAAACCCTGCGCGAACAACTCGAGGAATTGAAGTCCAACAAGGCATACGAGATACCCTCCGACCTCCCGGCGCTGACATCAGAGTGGTCGAGAAGCACGAAGATGCTCAACACGAAAGTTGCCGAGTATAATGATAGGATCAATTCCCTGGAGAAGACAACGCATAAAGGGCCTACGTTGGATGATTTGGCGGGCGAAGAGAAAGACGTGACAAAACTCATGCAAACGGTCCAGATGCTCGAGACGAGAATCCAGATGTTTCATGATCTACCGAAAGATATACAAGGGGCACGGGCAAAGTACAAAGAGCTGGAACGGGAGCTGGATAGGCTAACGCAGCGACGAGATTCCATGTTCGAAAATCTCGTGGGCCACAACCAAGGCAGATAGGACAGCAAGGTTCTCGTGTGAAAATCAATGTCACATTATTATCGATCCTAGTAGTACACAGGAAAGAACTGGTATCATAATTCATGAAAGACCATGATTAACGCCATTAATATCCCGAAGTTCGTTTGGCAGCTGCTAAACTAGTTGCCGCTGCCAATGCCGACAGCATTCTTGATCTTGTCGCCACTGCAGAAAACTGTTAGCGATGGTGACATGGAGGCTTAGTCCATCACGACTTACATAGAAGAGGTGGCGCCGCCGTGAGCATGGTTGTCATGGGCACGCTGGGTCTTGTCCGCGGCCTCCTGAGGGGCAGACTTGCTCTCGTCGGTCTGAGCACCACGAGCGAAACGGTCGGTAGTATCGGTGACACCCTCCTTGATCTTGTCCTGGGTGGACTTGGTGGAGTCAGGAGTCAATTCCTCCTTGGCCTCTGCATGCTTGTGTAAGTGACTTAATTCAATGGAGTGATTTGGTTCCGAGACAACATACTGGTAGTGAAATCCTTGCGACCAGTGTCAGACATTTTGATGGTGATTGAAATGAAGTGGTTTGAAGATTGGAAGTAGAGTAGATGTTTGTTCAGGTGGATGGAGATGATTGAGATGATGGGGAAGAGTAGAAGCTGGAGCAAGAAACTGGGGGTTTATATATCTGGTCCATCCCCGTTTCCATTCATAGACCTGGAATCCATGACGTCGTCATCGTCGAGTGATAGACCAAGGCCGTTGCGCCATCCATGATCCGCCTGGAAATGCACCGCCCACCGGGTTCATGATCTATGGAACATTCCCCAGACAACGCACGTCATCATTACGATCACCGCTGACGCCGAAGTCGAATGCAAGCAGGAAACCCCGAAAAATGGCATTGACGAGTCCGGAGTCTGGACCATGACGTCGCCATGGCCACGCGCTAGCCTGATACAGTTAGTACACGCTCCCGTATCACATGGGGGCAGGTGATCTGCCGGACTATTAGTTTCTGCGGCAGCCGAGAACATTCTTTCCTCATCAAGACTAGCGTACTCCGCGTGGCGTGAATAACCAAGACGAGAAGGCGGTGCGTGATGGCAGAAATGAGTCACCGCCGACCGCCACAGGAGTCACTCCGTTGTTGCCCGTCTTATGCCCGACTCTGCCAACTCTGCATACCTTACAACGCATCGTTCTTTCAATGCTTCATCCCTCTCTTCTGGTTAGGTCTTGATGACCATCATGTTGATCTGCTCTACGGCCAAGTCTCGTTCTTGCTTTTCTACATAATATTTCATTTTCGTTCGATTGATATATTCGTTCTGCAATTATTTCACCCCGCAGTGTTGCCACTGGCAATCCCTTGATTCTTGATTCCAGATTCCACGACAGTATAATTTGTTTCTTGCAATTTGTCAATGCCATCGTCGTCTACTTCATCTTCGAACTGGGACTTCACTCCGGTGATTAACCTACTACGTTCGCCCACCTACAGCGATGGTTACCAGTCTAGCCTTTCTCGCCACCATGAGTCTCGCCGGAGTCCATCCACCTCCGGGTCTTCTACGCCTAAGAACACTGTAACGCACTTGGGTCTTCAACCTACCGACGGAGCTCATCACGGCGATACTTCTCCAAAACTTGGTGACTTCAGCACCCTCTGGAATGCCTTGGGTCCTTACACCACCACTCCTGTCAAAGCAGAAGTCGCGGCGTCTGGCGAACCTCCGGCCCCAAAGGTTGCTGCTGGGCAGCAATCTCAGCGGCCACCACGAATCGAAATCTTAAAACGACCAACTCAAGAAAAGGATGTCGGAAGTGTCAATGATGAGCTTCCTCGGACTCCTCCCAAGCCCATCCCCGGTTCGGGCGCCACCAAGGCCGGTAAATCTACGGTCAGAAGCAGCAAAACCAAACAACCTCCCCAGATCGTCAACCCCATCGAATCGAGCTCCCCCGGAAGCAGTGCGGAAGCAGACTCCGATGTCAGTATTTTCGACCCGTGTTTTTCAGGAAGGAAGGGCGCCCTGTCTTTAGTCCCTCCACAAGTGGGAGCACCACCGACCATCAACCCGTGTGAAACACCGCCGTCTTCTTATGACGAACGTGATGAAGATTTAACTCCCAAGGGAGTCAAAAACGTGCCCAGCTGTGGCTCTATTCGCGTGCAGCCTCTTGCATACAAATCATCCCCCGAAAGGAGGGTTGGTCTTTTAACCAAACTTATAAATAGCTTCCCTGAATATGCGGAGACCGTGGCACAACTTGGTCGTTCTGCAAATTCTAGTCGCACTACCCAAGCGTCCCGCCCGATCCATGTTTTTATTGACATGTCTAATGTAAGTTGGGCTCTTCAACGGTCGTTTAGCTTCTGGACTAACGCATATCTTCTTTGAACTAGATTATGGTTGGGTTTCATGACTCTGTAAAAGTGTCACGAAACATACCGGTGACGACCCGGATCCGACGAGTGCCTCTCTCGTTTCAGAACTTCTCGTTGATCCTGGAACGAGGCAGGCCGGCTTCCAAACGCGTGCTGGTAGGGTCCGACCGATTCGCGGCGATTGACGAAGGCGAGAAGCTTGGATACGAGGCGAATATCCTCGACCGAGTGCAGAAGGTGAAACAGCCTACTCGCCGTCAGTTGCGGTTCCGGAAGAATCCTCGGGGTGCTCAGGATGGCAGTGGTTCAGAAACGAACGACGTGCCTCCGGGGCGATGGGTCGAGCAGGCCGTGGACGAAATTCTGCACCTGAAGATCCTGGAAAGCCTGTTGGACACAGACGAACCGGCGACCATCGTGCTCGCCACGGGAGATGCGGCGGAAGCTGAATTCTCGGGCGGATTCATGCGGATGGTTGAGCGGGCGCTGCAGCGCGGGTGGAACGTGGAGCTGGTCAGCTTTTCGCAAGTGACCAGCTATGCCTATCGCAAAAAAGAATTTCGGGCCAAATGGGGCGATCGATTCAAGCTGATCGCGTTGGATGGATATATTGAGGAACTGATGGCATGTTAGGTAGCTACTACCTATTCCCGTCGTCTTACTGCTTACTGCCAGGCCCGAGCTGTCTTCTATCATTCATTACGAAGTAGCTCCAGGCTTCACTTAGCTGTCCATAGCTTCTCCTATGTCAATATATGCCATGACTCTAGGAAATTCGAGCACCGTACATTCCGACAGTACTTCTAAGTAGTATTCTAGTATTCTTTATCGGTTCGGGTGTTAATCGACACCTTAGAGCCGTATCCGCGGGGCATCAAACCCATAGCCAATCACACGGCAGAGCGCCCATCTCAACGGCGGGACGTCATTCCGCGGCGACTTTTATTTCCATCTCTCTTCCCTTCGACTTCTCTGTCGCACTGCAGATACTTCCTCAGAGCTTATCATGGCCACCTACGTGACGCAGGGATTCTACGGGTCCACCATTGAAGGTGTGATTCCCCAAGGCTGGATCGACGCAAGGTGAATCCGATCTTAACTTTTCTTCATGAATCCTCAGTCATGCACGCATACACATCTCTCTACACCCTATCCAAATACTTCAAAACACCACACTCCCTATCATCCAACATACCTACCCATCTACTAACCAATCTCCCGTCAGCACCCTCCGCGAAGTCCCCGACCACCAAGAAATCTACCTCTCCCCGAAAACCCTCACCTCGCAGATCATCGAAATCAACCAGCGCGTCGACACCGCCGACGCCCTCGCCTTCCACACCCCCTCCTCCTCCTCTACCACCCCCACCGCCGACGACATCGACCGCTCTGCCGTCCTCTACCACCTGCACGACCTATGCGACGACACCGACACCCTCAACGTCACGAACCCCCCGCAGCCCGTGACGCTGCCGAACCTCCCCCAGGCCCGTGCATACCGCGGCGTCGTGGCGCTGACGTCGCCGAGGAAGCAGCGTCGTGGGGATGTGGGCCAGAGCGTGGGTGGTGCGGTGGCGGGGTCGAGTGCGGAGGGGTCGTTGACGAGCACCACGAGCTGTTATTATTTGTTGGTGAGGCTGGAGGAGCAGGAGACGGATGTGCTTGTGTTTGTGAATGTGCCGAGGGAGGAGTTTGAGAATGTCGGTGATGCGAGGGGACTGGCGGAGGAGGAGAAGTTGGCGGAGGGGTTGGTGAGTGGGTTGGTGGAGAAGTTGAGGATTGTGGATTGGGGGTTGTTTGCTTGATTGGGTTTCTTTTCCTTTTTCTTTCTATTTTTGGGAGGGTTTGGTTTGGGGATGGGGTATGAATAGTAAGGAATATGGTTAGGGATGGAGGTTATAAAAGGGTTAGGGTTGGGAGTCGGGAATACGAATGGATCCGAATGATGTATGTAAATAATTAGATAGGTTAGACAGACAACCCTAAAATGAATTGATCTGGAATATCCAAATTTCTAGATCTAAACATATGAAAGAAACATAAAAGGCATGAATGTCTCTGATTGATTGCATCGCGGTCGTATTCAGTGTCCAAAAAGGAGCGAAAAGAGACAGGCATCGCTTAAGCGCAGTGGCATCAACAAAAGAACGCTCAAAATGTCAGGTAGATAAACAGGTAGATAGATACACAGGGGCCAAGATCCCTTCGTTCATAGATTCACCAAAAAGAAAAAGGAAAAAGTGAGTCTCCCTTTCTTTGTCCACATCAATGGTGGAGTACGTTGACTTCTTGCAGGACCATCGTCACATTGTCAACAGCCGCTCTGGGGAATCCCATGCCCATGCCCATTCCCATGTCCATTCCACCTGCGGCAGCTTGAGGGGCCGGTTTCTTCTTGGGCGAAACGTTTCTCGGCTTGGGCTTGATCTGCTGCAAGAGACCCTTGCACTTGCCACAGGTCGATTTGGCCGGGTCGATGCTCTTCGAATGGCGTCCGTAGCTCTGGCCGCAGTCCACGCAGCACCAGACGTATTTCCAGTCGATCTTGTAGCTGTGTTTGGTGGTGACTTCGATGCGGCCGCCGTAGACGGGGTGGTCTTTCAGCGCCTCCTTGCATTTCTGGCCCCATAGCTTGAAGCTAGTCCCGTGGGGGTTGTTGGTGACGTTGGAGATCATGTAGTTGGCCAGGTGGCAGTACTCGTGCGCCAGGGTGTTGATCAGCCGGTCTTCGTTGTCGATGATCCGCGCGGCCAGTTCGATGCCTGCGAACTGCTTCTGCGACCCGACTGTCCGTTCCCCTGCGCCTCCTCTCCCCGGGGACATGGATCTCTCTCGTCGCCAGCTCGCTCGGCCGGCAGTCGTCTGGAGAGTCTTGCTCCATGTGATGCGAACGCCGCCGGTGTCTGCGGCCATTTCCTGGATCCGGCCGCCGGAGACTGCGTCGTCAAGGGCCTTGAAGAAGTCCTCTGCGACGTTGGCCTTCTTGTTGTCGAAGGACCTTCTGCGGGCCAGCGCAGCTTTCTTCTGTTCCGTCTCCGCTTTCTTCAGGGCCGTCTTGCTGGGGGTCTTGGGCTGCTTGATCGCCCCCCGTCGTCGCGGCATCATGTCCGGGTCGGTTTCGTTGTCGGACTCCGCGAATTCGTGCAGCAGCCGGTCGACCTTCTTGCGTGGGGAGTGTTGGTCGACCCAGTTGTTGGTGAGCTCCTGGCTCCAGAAAGCGTCAACGCTCTCGCGATACGGGGTGGGCGGGATGGCGGCCTTGCTCTTGGACGGTGATGGTAGGATGGTCTTGCTAGGGCTGCTGGGCGGCGTCTCTAGGGAAATGACTTCAGGCTCTGGTGTTGGCGAGGTGGATGCAGAATCCTCCACGAAACTGGCACGATATTAGCGATCTAATAGGGCTCGCGGCATGAAAGAGGACTGGGGAACATTTAATGGTTGAGACCTACCCAAATAGCTCCTGTTGAAGCTGTGCAGAAGGATCATTGTCCTCCAAGCTCAGATGGTGCATCTTTTCGGAGAAATTCACGTCGTCCTGCGACGGCTCTTCACTTTCCTGTTCAGGTTCACTTTCGTTTTTCCATTCACTCTTGCGTTCAGGCGATGGCGGTAATGTGATTGCAGCGGGCAAGGACGGTTCCAGGCGAAGATCATCCTTGGGCGATGGATGTTGCAGGCGCTTTAGAAGTTCAGCTTCAGGGTTGGGTCGTCGGCCTCTCATCAGTTTCCTTTTAGGTTTGAACGAAGGGATCTCTTGGACCCGTTCGTCCTCTGTCTCGTTGTCGGATGTTTCATGGTAGCTGGGCTCTTCGTTGTCGCTAACAATGAACTCATCCAAAGAACCGAACCCGTTGTCTTCACTGTCTTCGTCCTCAGGTCGACGCTGCGGCTGGCGATACTGGGAGTACAGTCGATTGCTGCCACTTCTGGCCGGAGTCTGGCGCGCGTTTCTCACGGGAGACCGTTGTGATGCATCGGACGGGTTCCTGGAAATGGTGGAGGGCGTGTGGGAGTCGTCGTCCTCCGCCAGCTCCACCTCCACGGGGTCGTTTTCCTTGTCATAGTTATAGAGTTCCGACTTGCGCGACGTTCGGTGTCGCGACTGCTGCGATGGCCTGCGCAGCAATGAGTTGACCCGCGCCAGATCCAAGGCGCCATCCTTGCTCGCCTTGTTGGCGCCCGAGCTTCTAGAAGCGTCGTCATCCCGCTCACCGGCGCCGTCGGCGTCGGAAAAAATGTCGAAAATGCCACTGGACACCGTGCCGGTTCTTTGATGGCGCGCCGTCCGTTGTGACTGGCCCTCCGTGGTTCTAGAAGCCTTGATCTTGGACCTCCATTGAGTGTCGTCACGGTCCTCAGAGTCCGACGTGGATACCGTGTCTCGGAATTTGCTTTGAAGAACCCCCCGTTGTCCCAAGTGCCGGACGGGCTTTTTGTTGGGTCGAGTATCGTCGCCCGCTTTGGGTTTCGTCGTGTTGAGTCGGGCCATGGCGGCTTCTTTCGCTTCTTTCGCTTCTTTCTAGTAGAGGTCTTTGTCTGCTGCAGTTCACGCGGCTAGTTCGGTTCTTTGCTGCGTCTTTCTTGCCTCACGCAAGGAGGCAGCGATGAATCGTCGCAGTCGAAGGCTTTTTTCTGGAGCTGTTGGATGTGTGATATCAATAGTTGCTGGATCGATAGGAGCAAAAATCACCGATGGCAGGGCTGCGGTGTTGACAGAGTGCGGATCACGAAGCTGCGTTGGCCGGGCAACGCCGGCGGGTGATGCGCTAAAGACATGCTTTGTTGAGCCCTGAAAGCAAAGTATGGCGCTAGCGACAAAGAGACGGTCATTGATCGGTGTTTGTTGGTTTGTCTTCTTGTAGGTTGGTCAAAGAGAAAAGAAAGAGAGAGAGAGAAGAAAGAAAGGGAAAGGTGCTTGGGTTGCCCGAAGTGGGAATCATACTACTAACAGTTCATTGCGTGGCTACATCATACATGACGCAGTTTAATTAATATTAATGAGAACTGACCTCAATTCAAGTACCTGATGTACAGATGACTGCACGTCATACTAATATCCACTCCTTACGTGGTACTGTATCTCACCGCGGTTCACATATGCAGTACTATGATGATCTAGTACTATAGGGATGCGGGTTCAAATCCACAATAGTACCAGGCTATTGCTTTTCCTCTACTGACTTATATCTTTATTCGTCTATTTTCTTCTATCTATCCCTTCTATCCCCTTTGAGGGCAGTTCGGTGATAACCTATCACAAACCTATACTTCCCACAAACCAGACAGGCCACAATGATAGGCCCTCGCCCACAGCTTCCCTCGTCTGGCACGAGAATATATCCAGTCCCATCATACTTGTCCACGGCCAGCTGGTGGTATGAAGCCAATGGGATTAATTCAACATTGCCATTCTCTCTGACTGGCTCGTCAAAAGGAAGGCGTCTTTGTTTCTTTGTTTGTTGTACTTCTGGCGCTGCCCGTCTTCTGCCCTTCACTTCCATCTGTCTTCTCCTTCTCTTTCTTTCTCGTCTCAATCCCAATCCCAATCCCAATCATTTCGGTGCTCTTGTGCCCATTCCTGTCTCCCACATATATGCCTCTGGTTATGTCTGGCGCAGGTGTTTCCCAGGTAGGCGCGAGTGTCTTCCCTCTGATTCCCCATGCGACCCGATGGCAACCGTGTACGCTGTGGCTGAACGAGCTGCAGGTCCAATCAGATCTTCATGAATTGGGCTTATATGTCATCTCATGTCCTCTGAGTCAGTCTCTGTCACCGAGAATGGTCCTGACTATCCACTGAGAAGGGTTTGGTTCCTTTTGGCCGGGCGATAAAGTCGATGGCATCTCCACAGGGCTATACGGAATACGACAAACAATTTCTCTCACTCTAGCCCCTTGGCATAAAGAAGATCTCACTGCCATCCAAATCAGGCCTGCAGTTATACAACACAACACACTCAACTGCAGCTGTGTTTCCAATGTCGGAAACACACCCTCACAGATATTACCCAGTTAGCACCTACTAGCTTCAGGTGGTCAGGTCACCCATCAGGGATTGCTGCGATAAGGTATGAAGCACGCCGGCTCGTTAGAGTAAGGAATATATGGGGATCTCTCTACCAAAACTATGGAAACTTTATTGATGCACACCGCCATACGCACACCGTATATTGAGCCCGGACAAGTGTGATATATCTCATGCAATAAAATGCATATTACTACCCAGGACGTCCGAATATCACCACTCCATGGACGAGAAAGACCCGCAGATCGCGAGATCGATTTCTGCTATCGACTCGGTTTCGGGCGTTAGGACCACTGCAGAGCAACCTATGTCTATGCAAGGGAATGCACATACATGCAGACAGGAATGTCCATCCTGCAATCTGACTTGCAGATTGCATCGGATATAGACAAGAAAAAGACCTGTCCGGATTCTCTGGGTACCTACAGCGTCACACCGACTAACTTGACGTGAATAGCAGTAGGAAGTATGCAGGTTGACGACGCACCTGCCAGATCTATATAATGCCCTGGCAGGTATGCCGGCGTGAAGTGCTTTAAATCCCCGTACTGATCACTCCAGACTCAAACTTTGTGATCATAATTAACTAGTATTTATTGTTTCTTTTGGCCCATGGCTCTGCCACAGCCGTCAGCTCCGGGTCTTCCCATCCCCAACGCACCTCACGCAGTCTCCGTACAGCTTTCATCATGGAAGAATGTTTGCGGAGTCGCTCTCGGAGAAACTCAAGTGTTATCGATCCTGAAGAATGGCTACCCCAGGTCGTTTCTCCATAAGGATGTCCAGGCCGTGAGATTCCAGTCCCTCAATCAACCGCAGATATCGATCTAGAGCGACCAACTAACAGACAGTCAATTCCTTGCACGATGTACAGCTGTTCAGAGCCTGCGAGACCAAATTTGCCCCGGGGGGCGGACTGAAGGTCATGCTGTTCTCGAGTCCCCGTGCCGCCGAAGCCTGCAAATCATACATCGCCTCGGTCGAAAGACACAAGCAGCAAGGAGACATCAGCGACTGGATTGCGCTGACCTCGCTGGGCTGGGAACCCTTCAGTCCTCCCCAGTCGCAATCCAATCTGCCCATGCTCTACGCGGTGACATACCCTGAAGGCTGGCATGCCACCGCGACGACCTTCTGGCGTCTCGCGGGTCTCGGAATCTCCTCGCGTCTGTCAGAGAAATGCCTCGAGCGGGTCGAAACCATGCGCAAGATGGAATCCATGCCCAGAAGTCTCTCTCACAACGACACCGAGGTCTACTCCATCCTTCAATCTCGCATCGCAACCCTCATCGAGCGAGCAGCCATCACCGACAGACCGAAAAAGGTCGCCGCCAGCGACGTCCATCTCTATCCCTCCGGCATGGCCGCCATCTACACCATCCATCAGATGCTTCTGCGATGGCGCGGCGCCGAAAGCGCCATTGTGGGATTCCCCTACGAACTGACCATCAAGATGCTGGAGACCTACGGCCCGCGATACTCGTTCTACAGCGCCGGAACTGATCGCGAAATCGACCTGCTCGAAGCCCATCTCGAGCAGCTGGCCAGCACCGGACAAAAGCTGCAGGCCGTGTGGTGCGAATGCCCCTCCAATCCCCTGCTGCGAACCATAGACCTCGACCGCATCCGCAGACTCGCTACAAAATACGACTTTGTGGTTGTGGTTGACGACACCATCGGTAGCTACGCCAACGTCGACGTGCTCGACATCGCAGACATCGTGATCACGTCGCTCACCAAGTCGTTTAACGGCTTTGCAGACGTCCTAGCAGGCAGGCAAGTCCTCCACCTCCCTCGCACATCAACAAAACAGCTAACCAGCATCGTCAACAGCGCAATCCTCAACCCCAACTCCCCCTACCACTCCACCTTCCACTCCCTCCTCCACAGCCCCAGCAGCAGCAACAACAACTCAACCCTCTACCTAATGGACGCCATCCAACTCGAGCTCAACAGCCGGGACTTCCTCACCCGAACCGCCACAACCAACACCACCGCCGAATACCTCGTCGACACCCTAATCCCCCACACCTTACGCCCCAACAGTCCCATCTCAACAATCTATTACCCCAAACACTGCTGGTCCGCGCCCAACTATCGCCGCCGCATGCGCCGCCCCACGCCCGACTTCGTCCCCGGCTACGGATACCTGTTCACGCTGGAATTCAAGAGCGTGGGCGGCGCGACGGCATTCCTGGACGCGCTGGAGGTCCATAAGGGTCCGTCCATCGGGGCCCATGTTACGTTGGCGCTGCCGTATGTGCAGATGGTGATGCAGAGGGAGAAGAAGTGGGCGGAGGGGCATGGGCTACGGGAGTCGATTGTGAGGATTTCGGTGGGGTTGGAGGATAAAGAGGCGTTGGCGGGGGCGTTTGGGGTGGCGTTGAGGGAGGCGGAGAGGGTAATGGATGATTACTGTGATTAATTGTGACTGATTGATTGGGTTGGTCTGATTGTGTGGGATAGAAAGGATGAGGTAAAGGGAAGGATAAAAAGTGGTGGTGGTGGTGGTTGATATATATACTAGGACTGAGTGACGAACTGAATATATATTACTAGGACAGGAATCTACCACCAAAATAGAACATACCAGAAAGGAACTCATGGATAGCACATCAAATAGGAAAGAAATATATAATATAGTGACGAAGACTCGTAACGGAGTCAAGTCAGTCTAAGCCGACGACGATCACGGCAGAGAAGAAAAACCGGCCAAAGGGCCACTCTTTACAGAAGAACCATACCCGCACCGGCAATCATAGCCGTCACCACGTAGGCACCCACATGGAAGAAGCCGATCTTCACACTACCCGGGGCGACGACGAACGCCGCACCCTCGGAGCCAGAAGCACCGGCCGAGTCGCTGGCAGCCATGGCGTCGGCGGTACCGGTGGGCGACGAGGTGACGGAGCCGGTGCCCGCGGTGCCAGCCTGGTCGATGAGGGCAGAGCAGGTGCCGCTGGGACTGCTAGAAGACTGGGTGGTGGCGGAGCCGTCGAAGTCGCAGGCGTTCTCCCCGTTGCCCTTCTTGGACTGCTGCTGGTAGTAGAGGTCCATGGCGTAGGAGAGCTGCTGCTCGGGGGTGCAGACGCTGTAGGCGCCGAATTTGCCGGTGGTCGCGTTGCCCTGGACGCCGTCGCAGACCTTATAGCCGCAGACGGTGCCGAAGAGCTTGTCCAGCTGCTTGCCCGACACGTCATCCTTCAGCTTGCAGGTCAGACTCTCCTCCATGCAGGAGCAGAGGTTCTGGTTCGGGGACGGGGGAAGAGGGCTGGGCTTCGCGAGCCAGTTGTCGCCGACGGAGGGGCAGGACTGGAGGGCAGTGTTGGTCGGAGAGTAGTCGTTCTTCTTGGTGCCGGTGGGGGTGGCGCTGGCCAGCTGCTTCGACAGGTAGCTGTAATCCTGGCGAGTCTTGACCTTGTCGCCGTCGACGGAAACCAGACCTGGGTGGATTTGTTAGAAGGGAAGCAAGAGATGGGTCAAGGAGTGAGGAAGCTTACCGTAGTTGTTCTCTTCTTGGAAGTACATGTACACGATTCCACCGGACCAGACATCGGCCATCTTGTCGCCATAGAGGGCCTCAACCTCGGTGAACTTGCGAGGCGTAACGTCGTTGCAGCCGTATTCGGCGAAGAACACCGGGACGGAGTAGTCACGGAACTCATCGGTCCTGCTCTTGTATCCGGACTTCTCGTAGTTCGAGTCTCCGCACCACGAGTAGACGTTGTAGCCCCAAAAGTCGATGCTCTCATCCGCCTCGTCGCAGTTGAAGTAGTTGGCCATGTCCTCACGGATGCCCGAGTCATCGTTCGTGGCATATCCGACACCCATGGGACGGTAGTTCTTGGCCTTGATATACTTCTTGATGTCACGGACGGCAGCCTTCACATAGGCACTGGCATCGGTGGTTTTCTTGGTGTTAGAGACCTCGTTTCCAGCAAAGAAACCGATGACGTTGCTGTACTGAGACAGCTCGTCAACAACACTGACATAACGGTTGTACAGGTCGTTGTCCCATTTAGGGTCGTTGCGGACGATCGATTCACTGGGCGAGGAGAGATCCGCAATGACATAGATGCCATGTTCGCTGAGGAGGTTCATACACTCAGAGTGGTCGGACTTGGGATCGATGGCGTAAACACGGATGGTGTTGGCATTCAGTTTCGAGATGTAGGGAATGTCACGCTTGCAGCTGTCGGTGTCGGCCAACGGATCCTTGAAGTTGTTGCTGGAAGACTTGGGGCCAGAGTATTCCTCTATTTAGGGGTCAGTTCATGTTGTCTTCGCCAGTGATGCTGGACTAATCTGCAACATACGTTGATAAGCGACACCACGGATATAACTGAATTCGAGATATTAGCACAACACATTCACGCAGGCTTTCGAGCGGAATGTCGACTTACAATTGAGTCTCGTTGCTCTTGTAGAAGAATTTCGAACCCTATAAAGCCACCAATGTCAGCACGAGAGTTTGTACTCGTCTTTGGTCATGCCCTCGAGGGTACCTTGATAATGATAGGGTCCAGATCAGTGCTAGCCAGAACGCTGCTGGCGAAGAAAGCGGCACCCGCGATGATGCTGGAAAGCCTCATGTTGAATATAAATACAAAATCTGATGGAATCAACTGGACAGCAGGGATGTCAATCCAGAGCCGTATTACGAGCCCGCCCGTTCAGGGGAAATGAATGAGGACTTGATGCACAAAGCAACAAGAATTGCAATGGAAGAAAGATTGAAAGGCAATGAATGACTAGAGAGATAACCAAAAGGAGTGAAATGTAGCAAATGAAGGAATGACTACGGCTGACAGCCTGAGAAAAGTGAGAGGCAGAAAAAACAGCAGAAATGACAGGAAATGGCCTGATCTAAACGTCCAACCACCGGCATTTTATTCTTCGCCTTCCCCCATACCCATCTAATCATGAGCGGCCGCTCAGGGTCCAGGGACTCCTAAGCCCCAAGGACATCCGGGCAGAGGCCACGCTCACCCGTCTTGCTGGGCCCCGGAGAGGACCTGAGCGGGATGATCCCCACGCTCATCCACTGCCTCTCGTGATTTGATCGGCGATGATATTCAGCGATGTTCATTGTTCCCCGGCTGTCATTTGCTGCTGAACCGCGAGATGTCCCACGGAGCGACACGCTGATATCAGAAGTCTCAGGAACGCGCAATCCCGGTCCACACGGAGAATAAGCCAGGGGGGTCCTTGAGCTTAACGACAAAAAAGCTTAACTGGGAGCCAGCCCGTCTGTGTGATATATATAGACGGAGGGAAACCACAAGCGAAGTCTTGTCAGCATGCTCCGTCGTCAACCCGATCACATCATCGCTGTAGTGTAGGGGTTGGTCAATCCTGGGGCCGACCGATTCGGGGCTTCGACGAAGCTCTCGAACATCATTGCCGTTATCATGCGATCGGGGATTCCGTGCCTCATTACCCGTCAGGGGAAATTGAGTGGACCATTCGCTGAATGCGGAGTTGAGCAGTTTTCTTTGTCAACGTTGATCGAACAAGAGGTTCAAACTTCAAAGACTCGGAAGACTCGAAACTCTGGGTGTCCGCTCTTGCTCACAAGATGAGACTGGGGGGTCTCGAGGATGTAGTCGGTCGCTGCATGCAGAAGGTGCCTGTGCAATGATGATGAAGCCTGCACCAGATTGTCTCCCGAAGAATGTCGATCAGCAGCTTCTGCAACATGTGCATATCAACCGTCAGTGGCTGTGGCGAAGTACGTACACAGCGGCTTCATCTTTGAGACTGAGGGTTGATCGCTAAAATCTCGTCTAACATGACGATCTTTCCCACTCCGTCAGTGGACCATGGTTCGACATGACGAAACCCTTGGAAAAGCCATGTTGTACTCACACCTCCCCATCCCCAGTAAACATGGCAGGGATTTTTGATTCCTGTCAAATTCCAGCATAGCAGAATCGAGAGGTCTCAGCGGAGAGAATTCCCGGCCAAAAATAGGCCATGGGGGGGGGGAGCAGGTGATCAATGGTTACTCGGTATGCGCCCCGGGGGGAAATTATTTGCTACTGGGATTATGAATCAAAGGAGTCGGGACGGAAGTGCAACTTCCACCCACGAGGCCCGAATGCTCAAAATCCGTTGAAAATGGCGCATGGACTGTCTGTAGCTAAGAGCAGGGTGACAGCAAGCTGCATAAACGAAACAGGAGTGCCCTCCCTGATTAGTGATTACTCGTGCGCCCGTCTGTAAGGTATCGTCGTCTGTACGCCGTACATAAAACCGGATTTTCATTATTGGGAGATTATATTCTGATTTATGATATTACTGCGTATATTACGGGAGGAATTAATCAACAGGTACAGGTATTATTCTGAAGGCTGTCTGAAAGCTGCCTTGAGTCTTGACCAACCCTGGAAGTGAAGGAGGGGGGAGACTGCAGGGAACATGAAACCTGAAACCCCCTTATTCCCTTCTCTTTTTTTTTTTTTTTCCTTTCCTGGCAGCGTTCCACGTCTTCGACCAGGCTGGGCCTTGTCATCTAGTCAACCACCGGCCACAATGGACTTGCCACCCGTTGGCTCTACTGACCTGGACGCTTCCGATTGGCCAGCAGCCACATTAGCACCCGCCCCATCGCATCACATCCACCGCCCCTTCTGTTAACAGATTGGCCCATCATTTGGGTGTGAAACTTGCTAATCAAGTCAAAGTAACGATTACGGTGACCGATGTGGGTGTCGCTTTCCGATCTGAATGGATGGTCGACGGTGGTGTGGTGGTGTGTGTGCTCCGTAGGTATCATCGCCTCTCCTTGGCCCGATTCCGTCAACAATGATTGTAATTTTATGCTTACTTTCTGACTTTCTGGATTTTTTTCCCTTTTCTTTGTAAAACGGCGTGCATCCTGAAAGACCCTGTACTCCGTACTCCGTATTGTCGATTTAAAACTGCCCGCTTTCGATCGAAGTCCGTCCATGCATTAGTAATCCACTCGGGAGAAAGGCTATCATATCGAGCCCATTTATTGGTGAAATAGTCGGGAGAGCCTGCAAGGGCAAGGAGGCGTTCTGAAAACCCGCCATCTCCGCGCCCCATCCACTACCGTGCATTATCATATCGACTTGCTGCGGCAGTTCTCAGGACCCCCGTCCAATCCGAGGCCAGCTGTCATGGATTTGTTAAACACTGCTGTCCTCGATGTTAAACCCCGGGATCTTGAACCCCAGCAGAGACTACAGTACGGGAAAAACAAAGAACACTCCCCATCGTCCAGTTCTGGTGCGGTGGGTTGAAGTTCCATGGATGTTCATGTCGTTGCTTTCTAAGCAGCGATTCTACTCCGTAGCAATGGCTTTATTTTTGGAAACCACGAAGGAGTACTTTAGTCGATCCGACCCCTGGCGAAGACCGAGAAGGACTTAACTTAGAAATCGAGATTGTATAGCGCATTTTTTGCCATTCAATAGTCAAGACTCAGGACTTTTTATGGAGTCCTTTCATACTCTAAATATACTATTTGGAAGTGTCTGGATTCATTCCAGTAAGGTGTACCTGCCTCATGGCATGTATCCAGGCTCGGTAAGAAGCTGTAATGGGTCGCGTAATCTAGACGATGTGGGGGTGAAATGGTACCGCCAGGCGGTATCCAACAACCGGCCGGGTATTCATTACAGCGCTGCTTTACGCATATGTGTACCACCGTGATACCACTTGCTTATCGAGCCAAGGGTGCCAGATTTGAGCTTGCCTCAATCTGGTAGGTATTTATTGACGATCACCTCTTGAATATCGACTAGAATCATGGAACGTCCGCGGTAGAAGGGACTAGCACTAGGGCTATAGCTGGGCCGCCAGAGTCAAGAAAACGAAACAGAGCTTTCTGGCTTCCTCCCGAAGGTCGATGACGGTGGGGTTTCACTTCCCTCAGCCCTCAGTGGTCTGATGATAATTACTGTACACAGTGTACAGTTGTACAAAACTTTATTAGTAAATCATGGATCTGCGGTGTTTTTGTGAACGCTAGTTTGGGGCACCCGTTGGAGAGTGTCTGCCTATCGCCTTAACTTTATTGGGACTGTACGGAGTATGGGAGGTGTAGAAAGGCAAGGAGGCCTCTGTGTCCTAGCTAGAGATATCTTGATTGAGAGCGATGATCTAGAAAGATAAAAGCGACACCTAGTATAGCATACCCCAGCAGAAGCATTCATCACTGCGAAGCATGTGGCCTGCCGATGCCGAGTACATGTATATATCTCTGTGTCTACGGCGTATAGCGCAAGAGAGGACGTCTCGAGTTCTGATAAATACTCACACAGCCTACGGTGCACAGAAGACATATATCGATGTCGATGTCAACTGACTATATGATGCATGACACTACGTAGACAGAGATCTGTCTCGTTTGCCTGCGCCATTCCCACCGTTCGAGAGTTACTGTGGGCTTGGTTTTAGCTTGAGTGTCTTCGCTCTGTCCCCGACTTGCTTGACTAAATCTTCCGCATGCAAGTTGCGACAAAGGACAAAGATTGATTGGTAGCCAAGACTGCAAATCAACCTGTACCGTGGTTCTATCCACCGAGCTGTCCAGAATACTACGAATCCACAGACATCTTTTTGCTGCGTTTTGAGACTCGAGAGGTGGCAAAATGTATTTATTTAAAGTAGGTTCCACATGCGTGCTGAGAGCATGAACGAAACCTGCAGAGAGCCGAACTCTTCTTTTCTTTTCTCTCTCTCTCTTTTTCTTTTCTTTTTTTAATCGATGGATACATATCGACTGTACTCCGTACTCCGTAAAAAAGTCTAATGGGGAGGAATCCATCGAGTGGATAGCAATCCCGGATTCTTTGGTTAACACTAACTAACAGCAACACCGACCCATTCTTCTGAAAGTGCTGGATCGCCGCTCAGGCACCAAGTCATGATCCAGGGAAAATTGATCCCCGATGCTCCAGAACACCCATAATCACAACAAACAATTGAGATGATTGCCGTCAACAGCATAGCAACGCATTCATCAAGTCGCCACCACGATGTGAGAGGCGGCAACGGAGGCGGCAATCCCGAAAATCATAAGCCTAAACGGACGGAGTTATGAAGAATGGCCAACAAAACGCCATCCCTTCATACCAGGCAAAAACAATAATAATGTAAACACGCACCTTATGTAAGTAAATTACAGCCCACGGTACCCAGCGTTACTTATCTTTGTATCCAGCACTCCGGCCGTATCTTAAGAGGCTGGAGGTGGGTCTGTTTCAGGGGCCGTCCGGGAGTTCCATGGAAGCCGAGAACCAGCGCAGCCGACTGTGCTCCGACCTCTCCATACGGAGTGATACTTACTGTATGCGGCTCCTCAAAATTATGGACGAGACCCTGACAGAAGGACGAGATGGGGCGATAGGATTTATGAGGCCTCTCTACACTATCGGCAATTCTGGCAACTGAACAGGACTTTTGCATCTCTTGTCGTCGGTACTATTGTAGTACCTACGGAGTGCCAGTCGACCGGGATATTGACCTGTTTTCTGGTTGGCAGAAAACTGAGGGGTTGCGAACAGCACATTTACGTACGTCAATACGTAAGTAATTAGGTGTGGTAACTCGCCCCAAGCCACCTCCGTCCATGGTCCAATCGCACGGCAGGGATCCAGGACACCCGCAGGAGTCTCCCAATAAGGGGTGGCTGCCAGTGCCAGGCGTAAGGCCGGTGGAAATGGTGTACGTCGGTATGCATGCGGTAATACCGCGTAATGGCCGTCTTACTACAACCACGGAAACGCAATTGTCTCAATTGCTCGACGTCCGCCCTTTCACCGGGCATTTTCATCGTGGCGGGTACGCTAGGGTAGGATAATTGTTTACCATACCTGCTTGGAAAAAAGGTACCTACCCGTACAGGTACGGTCGCGCAGTAAATTAGCAGATCCGGATCCCAAAATAACCACAGCCCCCCCATCCACCCCCCCCCGGTAGTGGCCAGTATTTTCCCTGCTGAGTGGACAATCGATTCCTTTTTCACTGATAGTGTCCGGTCCAACTCAAGCCATCTCTCCTCCCTACTACGCCCATCGTTGCCTTTCCTTCCTTCCTTTTTTTTTTGTCTTCCTGTTCGGCTTCACTTCCCTTCGACCTCGCTTTTGGGTCTCCTTCACTCTTTTATTTTTTCCTCCACCCAGGGAGCTGCGCCAACAACTCTCGTCGAACTCCTTTCCTTCTTTTTTTGCTTTCGTTTGAGGAAAGAAGAGGGAGGTCGTTCTTGGCTGAGACAGCCGGGTGGTTCTCTTTCCATACTTGCATTTATCATTCTCTTTGCCGCATCGCTTCGGCTTCCCCCCTTCCATTCGTTTTTTGAAAACAACAACCGCTTCGGTGATTGTCACCTTACCCGGTCATCGACTCGAAACCTCGAAAGCGATAATCTCGGTCGACTTCAACGTTTACACACGGGTTAACAGTCTGGAACTGGTGCCACTGGAAAAGGCTGGCTTGAAGTGACTTACGACGCGTCGATCTCAAACTTTGATCTACCACTTCGTCAGGCCTGTTTCCTGCTTATCCGATTTGAAATTTCATGGGTTATTGTTCCTGTATGTGACAACGTTGCGATTTGCTCTCCCTTCTTTGAGTGCATCGGTCCCATTCAAGATGCTAACGTCAAGTGAACTTGCCTAGGATCCCTCAACCGCTTTGGTAATATCGGCTCGCAAACATGTCGGGCCATCCAGGAGGGGGCCATTACGATGATGGCTATGGCCATAACGGCCATGGCGATTCGTACTACCAGGACGAGCATGCCCAGGGTTATTATGACACTCATGACTATGGTGACGGCTACTATGATAGAGGGTATGTTCATATGTGTGGAGAGCGGGAGACAAGTTATGGGTGATTAACATTTGACAGTGGTTACTATGGTGCGGACAACGGTGCGTACCAGCAGGATGGCGGATACTACGATGCTGGTCACCACGACGACTACTATGGAGACCAGTACTACGACAATGCCGGTCAAGGGGGTAGGGGAAGACGTAGGGGCGACTCGGAGGAGGACTCGGAAACATTCAGCGATTTCACCATGAGATCGGAAACCGCGCGTGCGGCCGACATGGACTACTACGGCCGCGGGGATGAACGGTACAACAGTTATGCTGATAGCCAGTACGGTCGGGGCTATGGCGGTTACCGCCCCCCCTCGTCGCAGATCTCCTATGGTGCGAATCGATCGTCCGGCGCCTCGACCCCTGTCTACGGCATGGACTACGGAAATGCTCTACCCGCTGGGCAGCGATCCCGCGAGCCGTATCCCGCCTGGGCATCGGACGCCCAGATTCCCGTTTCCAAGGAGGAGATCGAAGATATCTTCATTGATTTGGTGAACAAATTCGGTTTCCAGAGGGACAGCATGCGCAACATGTACGACCACCTTATGACACAGCTCGATTCGCGTGCTTCCCGCATGACGCCGAACCAAGCCCTCCTGTCGCTCCATGCGGACTATATTGGCGGCGACAACGCCAACTATCGCCGTTGGTACTTCGCGGCTCATCTTGATCTGGATGATGCTGTTGGTTTCGCGAACATGAAACTGGGCAAGGCAGACCGGAAGACCCGGAAAGCCCGCAAAGCAGCCCAAAAGGCCGCTGAACAGAACCCGGAAAATGTCGACGAAACTTTGGAATCGCTGCAGGGTGACAACAGTCTCGAGGCTGCCGAGTATAGATGGAAGACAAGAATGAACCGGATGTCTCAGCATGACAGAGTTCGTCAGCTCGCATTGTTTTTGTGCTGCTGGGGTGAAGCCAACCAAGTCCGCTACCTTCCCGAGTGTCTCTGCTTCATCTTCAAGTGCGCCGATGATTACTATACCTCCCCCGAGTGCCAGAACCGAGTGGAACCTGTCGAAGAGGGAACCTACTTGAACGACATTATTACCCCCCTCTACCAGTACTGCCGTGACCAAGGTTACGAAATAGTCGATGGCAAGTACGTTAAACGCGAACGTGACCACAACCAGATCATTGGTTATGATGATATGAACCAGCTCTTCTGGTACCCAGAGGGTATTGAACGGATTGGCTTTGAGGACAAGACTCGTCTGGTCGATGTCCCCCCTGCCGAAAGATGGGTCAAACTGAAAGACGTCGACTGGAAGAAGGCATTCTTCAAGACATACAAGGAGACTCGTTCCTGGTTCCATATGGTCACCAATTTCAACCGTATTTGGGTGATTCACTTGGGCTCCTTCTGGTTTTTCACTGCCTACAACGCCCCCACTCTCTACACTCACAACTACCAGCAGCAGCTGAACAACAAACCTCCCGGTGCTTACTACTGGTCTGCTGTTGGTTTTGGTGGTGCTCTTTGTGCCTTCATTCAAATCTTCGCTACTATTATGGAGTGGATGTACGTTCCCCGACTGTGGGCTGGTGCCCAGCACCTGACCAAGCGTTTGATGTTTTTGCTGCTGGTTTTCATCATCAACCTGGCCCCTGGTGTCTTCGTCTTCGGATTCTCAAAGAAAGTTGACAACAATACCATCCCTCTCGTCATCGGTATTGTCCACTTCTTCATCGCTCTTGCAACATTCTTCTTTTTCGCTGTCATGCCGCTTGGTGGTCTTTTTGGCAGTTACTTGAAGAAACACGGTCGCCAATACGTTGCTAGTCAGACTTTCACTGCAAGCTTCCCTCGTTTGACAGGAAACGATATGTGGATGTCTTACGGCCTCTGGGTTTGTGTCTTCGGAGCTAAGCTTGCGGAATCGTACTTCTTCTTGACGCTGTCTTTCAAAGATCCTATTCGGATTCTGTCCCCTATGAAACTGAGACAGTGTGCTGGTGTCAAGTACATCCCGAACGATCTGTGCCATGCCCAACCTCAGATTCTTCTCGGTCTGATGTTCTTCATGGACCTGACACTGTTCTTCCTGGATAGTTATCTGTGGTACATTATTTGCAACACCGTGTTTTCCGTGGCGAGATCGTTTTACCTCGGTGTGTCGATCTGGTCTCCTTGGAGAAACATCTTCTCGCGCCTTCCGAAGCGTATCTACTCCAAGGTTCTCGCGACAACGGACATGGAAATCAAGTACAAGCCGAAGGTCTTGATCTCTCAGGTGTGGAATGCCATCATTATTTCCATGTACCGAGAGCATCTTCTCGCCATCGATCATGTCCAGAAGTTGTTGTATCACCAGGTTCCATCTGAGCAGGAGGGCAAGCGTACCCTGCGGGCCCCGACATTCTTCGTTTCCCAGGAGGATCAGTCCTTCAAGACTGAATTTTTCCCCTCTGGCAGTGAAGCCGAGCGACGTATCTCCTTCTTTGCGCAGTCTCTTTCAACGCCGATGCCTGAACCTCTTCCCGTCGATAACATGCCGGCGTTCACCGTGCTGATCCCGCACTATAGCGAGAAGATTCTCTTGTCGCTCCGTGAGATCATTCGTGAGGATGAGCCTTACTCCCGTGTTACTCTCCTGGAATACTTGAAACAGCTTCACCCTCACGAGTGGGATTGCTTTGTCAAGGACACCAAGATCCTCGCTGACGAAACGTCCCAATTCAACGGAGAATACGAAAAGAGCGAGAAGGACGTTGCCAAGAGCAAGATCGATGATCTGCCCTTCTACTGCATTGGTTTCAAATCTGCTGCCCCCGAGTACACTCTGCGTACCCGAATCTGGTCATCCCTGCGTTCGCAGACCCTGTACAGAACTGTTTCCGGCTTCATGAACTACAGTCGTGCTATCAAGCTTTTGTACCGCGTTGAGAACCCCGAGGTCGTACAGATGTTCGGTGGCAACTCCGAAAAACTTGAACGGGAACTCGAGAGAATGGCACGCCGGAAGTTCAAGATCTGCGTTTCCATGCAGCGTTATGCGAAGTTCAACAAGGAGGAGCGTGAAAACACTGAGTTCCTTCTCCGCGCGTACCCCGACCTCCAGATCGCCTACCTCGACGAAGAACCTCCCGTCAACGAGGGTGACGAGCCTCGCTTGTACTCGGCCTTGATTGATGGTCACTGCGAACTTCTTGACAACGGAATGCGCAAGCCTAAGTTCAGGATTCAGCTTTCTGGAAACCCCATTCTTGGAGATGGCAAATCGGACAACCAGAACCATTCGATCATTTTCTACCGCGGCGAATACATTCAGGTCATTGATGCTAACCAGGACAACTACCTCGAAGAATGCTTGAAGATTCGTAGCGTTCTTGCCGAGTTTGAGGAATTGACGACCGACAACGTTTCTCCTTACACCCCGGGCATTCCTTCGACCAGTACGAACCCAGTTGCCATTCTTGGTGCCCGTGAATATATCTTCTCTGAGAGTGTTGGTGTTCTTGGTGATGTTGCTGCCAGTAAGGAACAAACATTCGGTACTCTGTTCGCTCGTACGCTCGCCCAGATTGGTGGCAAGCTGCACTATGGTCACCCTGATTTCCTGAACGGTATTTTCATGTGCACCAGAGGTGGTATCTCCAAGGCCCAGAAAGGTCTTCATCTGAACGAAGATATTTACGCCGGTATGATGGCCCTGACCCGTGGTGGACGCATTAAGCACTGTGAATATTTCCAGTGTGGTAAAGGTCGTGATCTTGGATTTGGCTCTATTCTGAACTTCACCACGAAGATTGGTACTGGTATGGGTGAGCAGATGCTGTCCAGAGAATACTATTATCTGGGCACGCAGCTTCCCCTTGATCGGTTCTTGTCTTTCTACTATGCCCACCCTGGTTTCCACCTGAACAACATGTTCATCATGCTTTCTGTCCAGATGTTTATGATTGTTCTGGTCAATCTGGGTGCCCTGAAGCACGAGACCATCACCTGCAAATACAACCCTGATGTTCCGATCACTGATCCCTTGCGTCCCACATTCTGTGCGAACCTCACTCCAATCATGGACTGGGTCAACCGTTGCATTATCTCCATCTTCATTGTGTTCTTCATCTCTTTCGTTCCCCTGGCTGTTCAGGAACTCACGGAGAGAGGTGTGTGGCGTATGGCGATGCGTTTGGCGAAGCACTTTGGCTCCTTCTCTTTCATGTTCGAAGTGTTCGTTTGCCAGATCTATGCCAACGCTGTACACCAGAACTTGTCTTTTGGAGGTGCTCGCTACATCGGTACTGGACGTGGTTTTGCAACGGCCCGTATTCCGTTTGGTGTTCTCTATTCGCGTTTCGCCGGTCCTTCGATCTATGCTGGCGCCCGATCTCTGCTCATGTTGCTTTTCTCAACATCCACTGTGTGGTCGGCAGCTCTGATTTGGTTCTGGGTGTCGCTGCTCGCCCTGTGTATTTCGCCTTTCCTGTTCAACCCTCACCAGTTTGCGTGGAACGACTTCTTCATCGACTACCGCGATTATCTGCGCTGGCTGTCTCGTGGTAACTCGCGCTCGCATGCATCTTCGTGGATCGCCTTCTGTCGCCTGTCTCGTACTCGCATCACGGGTTACAAACGCAAACTCCTCGGTGTTCCATCAGAGAAGGGGTCCGGTGATGTTCCGAGAGCTCGCATCACTAACATCTTCTTCAGCGAGATTGTAGCGCCTCTTGTCCATGTCGCAGTTACTCTTGTTCCCTTCCTCTACATCAACTCCCGAACCGGCGTATCAAACGACAACGAAAACGATTCCTACAACGCCCTTATCCGTATCGGTATCGTTGCACTCGGACCTATCGGGGTTAATGCTGGTGTCGCCGGTGCATTCTTCGGTATGGCCTGCTGTATGGGTCCCATTTTCAGCATGTGCTGTAAAAAGTTTGGAGCTGTTCTTGCTGCAATTGCCCATGCCATTGCGGTGATAGTGCTGCTCATTATCTTCGAAGTCATGTTCTTCCTCGAGCACTGGTCGTGGCCTCGGTGCATTATGGGAATGATCGCCATGGCGGCTATTCAGCGTTTCATCTACAAGCTCATCATCGCCTTGACCTTGACCCGTGAGTTCAAGCATGATCAGTCCAACATCGCCTGGTGGACTGGAAAGTGGTACAACATGGGCTGGCATTCCATGACCCAGCCTGGCCGTGAATTCCTGTGTAAGATCACAGAACTGGGCTATTTCGCCGGAGACTTTGTACTGGGCCATCTCATCTTGTTCATCATGCTGCCTGCCCTTTGCATTCCTTATGTTGATAAGTTCCACTCCATTATCCTCTTCTGGCTGCGCCCAAGGTATGAAAACTTCCTACTGTCAAACATTGATTTGAAATCCTGCTAACTTGTGTGTCAGCCGGCAAATTCGTCCGCCCATCTATTCCTTGAAGCAGTCGAAACTCCGGAAGAGACGAGTGGTCCGTTTCGCCATCATGTACTTTACCATGCTCGTCATCTTCCTTGTTCTCCTTATTGCACCGCTCGTTGTTCGCAAAATGGGTATTATCAAACAGGATATGATCGATAAATTCCCCGAGGCGTTGCTGCAACCCCTCGACGGCGGCGGTGCCAACAACGACACTACCAGCAAATACACTGGTAGCGGCTTGCCTCACGGGTTCAGTGCGTGGGTTCCTCCTTCTGCCTCTGCAACCTCATAGATGCCTGCCACTCGTGGCATCTTAGCAACGCCTCGTTTCTTGTTTTGTTTGGTTGTTTTTTCGGAATGGAATCACGGACATGAGCTGTATAAAGTATCCAGCGCCTTGAAGTTGCTGCTGTGGCGTCTCATACATTTGTTTTGCCTTGCTTTCTTTTTAACTTTGCGCGTACGATCTTTGAATTTTTTCTTTTCCCCTTTCTTTTCCTGTCGTTCACAAATAATGGATTCAATACTTATAAACTGTGGCCTGTATTCTTGGGAGTGTCTTTCTATTCAATCCTTTCCATGTGATCATTAGACTTGTATTTCATTTTCGTGCCTTACACTGCCACTAATGCGCCGTCTCTCCTTTTATTCTTTTAATGAACTTGACTTCAATTTCATTCAAATTGCCACAAGTAAGGCTCTGATCGTAGGTAGTTTCATTCCTGCTCTTCTGCAGGCACCAACATTTCCGCCTGAAGAGGCTGACTGGGTCACGTGCGGACCGCGATCACGGGAAATGCGAAGCCGCGACGGCCGAGACTCGTTCTCTCCCACTCGCTTCGACCTTCGTTCCGGAATCGCATTTCGTGGTTTTAAATGACCTAAATAGTATATGCTCAACTCTCGGATAGGCTGTCCCTCACCGTCTGCCTTCTGAGCCTTTCCTTTTAATCCCGCGCCTCGAGCGCCACACCCCCTTTATCACCATGGACATCCAGGAGACCCAGCGGCTCCTTTCGGAGTACCTCCAGGAGCTCGCAAACCTGTTTCACCGGGTCCCCGGCTCAGCGATCTTCCTGCGATACGTCAAGTCTAGTTATCAAGATGACCCTATCCGATCTGCTGTCGAATTGTTCCTTTTCTTGTTCGCAGTTCGATACTTGCTCGCCCCGAAGTACTCAACCAAGCCAGGCGTGGTCCAGCTGTCGGAGGACGAAATCGATGATCTTGTGGATGAATGGACTCCGGAGCCGCTCGTGGCAAAACCGACTGCCCTGGAGCAGATGGAGGTTGATAAGAGGACTGTGATTGTTGGGTAATTCTATGAAACATCGTGGTCGGGATCTGTACTTAATTGTGATGCTAATCTCTGTCCCCTGAACAGTCCAGTTGGCCCCAAGTCGAAATTAGCCAATGGCCGAACCGTTGCCAACCTCGCCTCCTACAATTTCTACAACTTCAACACAAACGAGTCCCTCAAAGAAAAAGCCATCCAGACTCTCCGCAATTATGGTGTTGGTCCCTGCGGCCCTCGAGGTTTCTACGGTACTCAAGATGTCCACATGAAGACCGAAACCGACGTCGCGTCATTCCTTGGCACTGCATCTTGTATCATCTACGCGCAGGCCTTTTCCACCATTTCGAGTGTCATCCCGGCGTTTTCGAAGCGTGGTGATATTATCGTTGCGGATAAAGGGGTTAGCTTCGCCATCCGGAAGGGCATCCAGATCTCGCGTAGTATTGTCCGCTGGTATGAGCACAACGACATGGAAGACTTGGAAAGAGTTTTGGCCAAGGTGACGAAGGAACAAGCTCGGAAACCGCTTACGAGGCGATTCATCATCACGGAAGGCATCTTTGAATCATACGGCGACATGACTGATTTGCCCAGGATTGTACGCGCCCAACCGACTTTTCTCCCTTCCGCATGAGGCCACACAGATCGGCTAACCGAGATTTTTTTAGATTGATTTGAAACTCAAATACAAATTCCGTCTCATCCTAGACGAGTCGTGGTCATTCGGTGTCCTCGGAAGGACCGGCCGTGGTATCACAGAACACCAGAATGTCGACGCGGCAGAAGTCGATATGATCGTGGGCTCGCTGGCCGGCCCATTGGTCGCAGGAGGTGGTTTCTGTGCAGGCTCCGAGGAGATCGTCCACCATCAACGAATCTCAGCCGCCGCATACACCTTCTCTGCTGCACTGCCCGCCCTCCTGTCCACCACCGCCAGTGCCACGATCAATATCCTTCAAAACAGCCCCGAAACAATCTCACAGTTGCGGGAGCATACGAAGGCCATGTGGGCCCAGTTGGATCCTCGGAGTGAGTGGGTGTATTGCGTCAGTGCACCAGAGAATCCGATCTTGATCTTGGCACTCAAGCCTGAAGTGGTCTCGACCAAACGACTTTCGGTTGAGGATCAGCAGTTCTTGCTGCAAGATGTAGTTGACGAGGTAAGTTGCGATGATCAGGCACAACACAACGCCCCCTGATATGCTAATGTTGTTCTTGATGCAGTGCCTTGCGAATGGTGTCCTCATTACTCGCCTAAAGACCCTTCAGGACAACTTCGAACCGAAGCAAGTTGTTGCACCGGGATTGAAGGTGTGCGTAACGACGGGCTTGACGAAGAAAGAAATCGAAAAAGCCGGCACCACAATCCGTCATGCAATTACGAAGGTTCTGAGCAAAAAGAAATAATTCATTGCAATCGTCTGTCCAAGACTCTGCCCATGAATATTGATGCATCCATGACTTGTTCTCATCACCCTAATTACCTTCTTCTCCTTTGCAAGGTCTCTTTCCTGCGCTCTTTATTTGTACAGCAAAATCTTTGGTGGATCCCTTATTGTTGCATGCTTGATCCCCGATTGTGCATATATAAGTCTGGCTTATTGGTGTTGGAACCTGCTGAAAGGCAGAAATAATTGTTTTCTCTTCCATGTATTTCTTATTAATATACTGTCGCAGATGCTTTTTTTTTTTTTTTTTCTATAACATTCGTGGTCTGGCTGTTTGATTTGGTCATTCCAGACCATTAGACCCGTTATTGTGTTCTAATACAATTCTCTTCTATGCCATTTCCCTTCTTTCCCATGCGAGTACTCACCGAAGAAAGGGATATCAGGGGGAAAATGCAGAGACATACTCCCAAGGCACTGATTATCTCCCATTGGATCATGTCGATCCCTGGAATCCGCACATTCCTGATGATGGATCGAATCCCCCGCAATGCAATGTGAGATTCACATTCCCGGAGGAAGCCAGTAAGTATGCGCTGCATTCCTCCCCGCCATTGGACTATAGCCAATCCGGGGAATTTTCTGACTTACAAGTGAATGGTCGAGATCCCTCTGTAACCAGCCCTCCTCGGTTCTTGGGCTGAATCAGTGAATCGCTGGCATGAGGGGTTGTTTCGCCTAGACGAATGCCAGCTTGTCTTCTGGATCATTTATCTCTACCACGCCCGATGCATCCCATCTACCATACACCTGTTTAGTCGTGCATCGAGACTGGAATCGTTACTTTTCGCAGGAAACCTTTTTATTGCAGGAAACAGTCAACTTAGATACAATCGACAATGAACTGGCTTCTCCATTTCATTGCTGTGCTTTTGCTCAGCTTGCATGTCGGTGCACTCCCCTCTGGTATACCACACTCTCGATAGACACGACTACACTTCCTTGGCTGACAACTTGATTCAGGGCCTATGCATGGACTTGAACAGCGGGATCTTGCCACCGAGAATGAGCAGCCGAGTGTGATCGTCTACGTGAACGAGATTGGACAAACTCTTAGCGTCAAAACGCTCGTTCCTAGTGCCACAGCCCCAGTTAATGTGAGTGACCATGCCAGACCATGCTCTGGTAAAGATCGAACATTAGAAGCTAAACCCATATGTCGCAGGCTCCCACGGATATCTCGTCCCCGCCACCAGCTTCTGGAACAAACGTGCCTTCGCCCGATTCCCCTATCAGCCTCAGCCCCGCGGCTCAAGATCGATTTGGTGTGACCTATGCCCCGTTCAACGACGATAGCACCTGCAAGTCTCAGGACCAGGTCAACCAAGACATGGACAAAATCGCCCGTCTATACAGCTTCGTGCGCATTTACGGCGTGGACTGCGACCAGACTCGAAAGGTCGTCCAGGCTGCTCGCGAGCGGAATATCCGCGTCTTCGCCGGAGTCTTCGACCTGCAGAACTTCCCAGCCAGTCTCGACGAGATCATCCGAGTCGCCGCCGGTGACTGGTCCACCTTCCACTCTATCAACATCGGCAACGAGCTCGTCAACAAGGGCCAGAACTCCGTCTCAGATGTCGTAAACGCGGTCAATACCGCGCGTCGCATACTGCGCAGCGCCGGCTACCAGGGCCCCGTGGTGACCGTCGATACCTTCTCCGTGCTGCTCAATCACCCTGAACTCTGCCATGTCTCCGACTACTGCGCCGCCAATTGTCATGCTTTCTTCGACGCGAACATGACCCCCGACCGCGCCGGTGCATATGCCCTCGAGCAATCCCAGAGGATCTCGGCAGCCGCTGGGGGCAAGCACACTGTCATCACTGAATCGGGCTGGCCACACCACGGTCACCCCAACGGACGGGCTGTCCCTTCCCGTGAGAACCAGTACACCGCCATCATCACTCTCTCGAACAGTTTCGGCAGGCGATACAACGATCTGATCTTCCATTCTGCCTTCGATGATCTCTGGAAGCAAGATACCCCGGATTCCTTTGGGGCTGAAAAGTACTGGGGTCTCGAAACGTGGTAGTTCTTTTATCTCTCCCTTTCTCCTTAAAACATGCCCATATCATCGACCTTCTTGACCTCCGAATCTCCTGGCAATCTTGCACCCTGACATTTTCGCCAAATGCGCTGGTCGCTTTTGCTCTCTTCGTCAGGAGGAGTGACGTTGTGTTCGACTGGTTGTGACCGTGGTCTATTCGTCTTCCCTTTTTCTATCATCTATCCCATCCTATCATTCCTCATTCACAATGATACCGACAGAACGATCTCCTTGGTTAAGATCTGCGTGAGTGAGTGAGAAACCATATTCTTAACAAGGGAATATGTCATCGCTTCCATTCTTCCCTGTCGCATCATTACCCCCCAGCTTATTCCTCTGTCCTTTTCTTATTTTCATGTGTCTACTTCATCTTCTATGCTTGTATGTATGTACATAGCAACCGGGATCTTTTACATAGTCAGCCCATTCAGTGGGGAATGAATTGATGAATTAATGAGTGATATTACTCTTTTATATGTTCGGTATGGTTTAGAATTACGTATGGTCTAGCTGTTTCTGTTGCGTTGTTTTAGCCTTTATTTTTGTATCTTCTAGGGAGAGATAGAGGTAGGGAGGATCGGGTTGAATATCTCATCCATAAATCCAAGTAGATTAGATTAGATTCTATAGTAGGGAGCCCTAACTGACCAAACCTAAACCTACTGGTACAGAACAGAACAGAACAAGACCAGAACCAATCAGATGCGCGCCGCTATGCTATACCATGCCAAAGCCCAAGCTCAAGCCTGTGCCTATGCCTATGCCATGTCATGTCGTCTTATTTTCCGAGGCGGAGAAAGAAAGAAAAATGATGTCAGAGCTGGCTGATCCTGTTCGAGGCTCTTTTGTTGGTTCATGCGAAAAGATTGGATTGCGTATTCTAAACAACATTGAAGATTTTGTCGGCTGATTAGATCGATTTCTGCTGCGCAGTGCTCCCCCTCTTTTTTGCTCTCCCATTCTTTGGTCCAGCCAGCCAGACTTTTGAGTTATTCCAGGGAGACATTCTGGACCGCTTCCTCGACGCTGACCGTTGGTCCGGAGTTGCGTTTCTCGTTCTCGTTGGAGGGGCCGGGATGAGGTTGAACAAGCCCCGACTCTGTGTCCGAGTGTACTCTCTCCGAAGAATCGGAAGACGCATGGGCTTTCCCGCGGCCCCAGCGGCGGGTCCGCGGGGGCTCAGGCTTCTGGCCGTGTTTACTGCTCGGCGGTTGCGACTGCTGGGGCGTCGGTGCCGATGTCTGCGCCTGTAGCCGCGAAGGGCTAGTGACGGGCGTGCAGTGGCTGGAAGCATGGGCTTGGACAGCTGGGTGGGTGGATCGACGAGGCGGCGGCACGGCCGGGGGCGGGTTCGATGCGGAACGACGAGAGTGCGCAGGTATAGGAGGGGGAGCCAGGCCCGACGTAGTGGTTGAGTTTCTGCGGTCGCCGGGCTGGTGGGCGGCAGGTGTGACGGGGGTCAAGGTGGGTGAGGCGGCGATGGGGCTGGCGGTGATCGCAGAGTCCGGAACGGCATCCTCGGGGATTTTGTCGTAGCTGCTGCTGGTGCTGCTGCGAGTGTGGTTGTGGTTGATGGGGCTGTCATCTTCCGAGGTGAGAGTTCTTCTTCGCCCGCGCCAGCGTCGGGGATTCGGTGGGAGAGGCTTGATCTTGGGTTTAGGATGTAGGGGATCCGCAATATTGACGTTGTCATTGCGGCTAGGGGTCATGATGCCTGGCTTTTCGTGCTGAGAGGCGACTTCCTGTACGCTGAGCGAAGAGGAAGACGCAGGTTCGAGATGCATGCCCAGCCGCTGGATTTGGCTAGGTTTATTGCTGTGTACAGCATCGAGCCGGGTGGGAGAAGCTGTCTCCGGTGAGCTGGCTATCGTGCTGGTAGGTGACATGGTACGCGAGGGCTCTAGTGGACCTCCAGTCTCAACGTCGAGAGGGAAGACATCCGTGGCCGAGGGGGGCTCCGAATCTTTGTCCGGCGAACTTTGGTCGGCTCGAGAACTATCCCGGTCTTGGAGCCATTCGACGGCGATGCAGCGGCCGACTAGCCTTCTTGTCGTCTCGTCCACCTCTTCAAAATGCATGATCTTCTCCCGGTCGAGTTCACCGCTGAAAAGCTGACCCCGGACAAGGATGTTCAGCATCCTTCGCAACTCATCGCGCTTGTAATGCGGCGGCGTCTTCAACTGCGTATGTGCTAGCAGCGGGTACAAGACCCGGAGGTAGGTATGACGTAGAGCAGAGGCTTCTTCGGGCAGGTCAAGAAGATTTCGGATTAGGATATCGACAAGAACGTGGAGATCGTTCGTATAGAAGTACTCGTACGTGCTAGGCGTGGTGAAGATGAGATACAGCAGCTTGAGAGTGAGGAGCTGTAGCGAAGTTTCGGCTATACTTCAGGTTAGATACTTAAACTAGCCAGAAGATTTAGGCGCATTTGTTACCTTCTCGGTTGATCAAGAGAATGATATTCTCGCCGAACGTCTTGTAATAATTACCATGCATCGATAGTACCTTGATCACTCTATTGGTCAAAGGAGCCGACGACGATCGCTCCCCCACGGGGTCGTGTGCTGAGATCATGAATTGCTCATTCAAGACCAACTGTCGCGGCATGAGCGTCGTGAAACTTAGCCCTAGCGATCAGATAATCACTCACCAGAATACGAATGACTGAGTAATGATACGGATCGTTGGCATCATACGAAAGATTCTCAATGATGTTGAAGAGACTCTTGACGAATTCATCGTCCACGAGAACTGCCATTGCACACACCAATCAGCAAGCCGCCAGACCGCCAGATGCTCACCTGCATGGTGGCAACCACTCACCTAGATCCTGGATCTTAATCCGTTGTATCCTCGACATTTCGTAGAGCAGCTCCATTAACAGCCGATGGACGCGAGCTCCAGTGTCCTCATCCACATGCTGGTTTTGCGCCTGCAGCAGTTCCAGTATCCGCGGGAACGAGCCCTCCTCATCCATCATCCGAAAGGGGATTTCATTCTGTCGTCCGTCGAAGAGCAGAAACGAGACAATCAAGTGGAGCGTATCCGGGTCGTCATCCTGTAATAGCCCGTAGACCATTTGCCTTCGCACGTAGTCGCCATGAGCGGCAAAGATACTGGACGCGAGCAGCTTGTACGAACAGCGCGTGACAGACAAATCGGAGTGGAGGTATTCATCTGGAGGTTGTCGCCGGATACCCTCTCTCGTCAGCGCATGCGCGATTATGGAATTTTGTGGGTTGGAAGATCCCGACCGTGAATTGCAGACCTTTGTACTTGGTGGTTAAACTTAGATATGACCGAAGTGCGTCGTCGATGTGGTCTTCGGAGGAGCAAGGGGCGGAAACAATCTCTTGGAGTTCTGCACCCAGATGGAACGTTAGTCTAACAATCACTCAATGGGTCAAATAAACCAGGGCCATCGACTGAAACGAGAGGGCCAGCGAAAGAGAAAAGGACCAGAAGGAAAGGGCCAGCGAAAAAGAGAGCGGAGCCATACCGTCCCAGAACTGTTGCTCGTTGTCCAATGAGGCCTCAGACTCCATTTCCCACAGCTCGATCGTCGGGGTCGGGCGTGTCGAGACACTGCACTCATCCCGTCTTGCGCCCGTTAGCGAGTTGGCTGGGGAGAAGGAAGGGGGAGGAGAGAGAGAGAGAGAGCGTGGGATGACGATGATGACGAAGGAAGCGGACGCAACTTGGCGGCCATCAAGAAAAAGGCGGGCGGGGGAACTGCCAGCCGGTTAGCGGCGTCTACTAAAAATAACGTTCTGCAAGGCTGGCGCTCTCGTTCACTTTAGTTCACGATAGTATATAACAATAACAATACAAGGTTCCTTATTCCCACACCGGCCCTAGAGTATTCCAAAGGAGGAAGAATAGAAAAGAGAAAAGAAGAAAAGAAAAAAAAAAAAAAGTCCAAAGAAATAAATCACATTGAAACAGAACAACAAAAGTATCGTCAAGGACTCCTCCCGTTGGGCCGGTCAATAATGCTCATGTACTGTGCTGGGGAAACAAATAAAACATGGTATCAGTGCTTTTACAATGCAAACAACAAAAGTGAATGTGTGGTATGTTCAGCCTCTCACTCCTCCAATATACAATCCACCGAGCATCTAGTACTCGGGTCGCTTCAACGGGTGAGCTTCGCTGTTTCTATAACGCAAGGCCGGTCAGTATGTCTCCTTAGATTGTGAACCGAGTGGGCCCGGGTACTTACAATACATATTCATCAAGGTTGACGACGCTGGGGTCGCTGAAGAGCAGGTAAAAGTATTTCAGCGTCTCGGCGAGCCAGAAGGACTGCATGTGGTCTTGCGCCCGGGGGCCCTCGGACGTGACATCGTTGATGGTGCTGTGCGCCAGCTCGGTGCGAGTATACTTGGCGACGGCTTCGAACATCTTCCATCCCTTCTCGCGCCAGTAGTTGTTGCCCGTGAGACGGTACATGACAAAGACGGACTCAATCGCCTCCGGCCGGAGAAGATACTCGCGACGGGGAATGCTGACGGCACCGGGGAACAGGCGCTCGTTCTCAATCCGTGCGCTGACGAATTCCTCGTGGGAAACCAGTCCCAACTTTTTGGTGTCCCGGTCCGTAATATCGGTATCCGCCGACTTGGCCTTCGGCTTCGATGTAGGCGATGCAATGACATGCCAATTGCCGCGTTCGGGGGACCGTTTGCCGTGATGCTTGTGGGAACCGGCGACTGATGTGGCAGATGCCGATGCCGACGCAGAAGCAGATGCTTCGCTACCAGGAGTCAAATCCTGACTGTCCCGGGCGATTTCCTGCTTTTGGCCCGCTGCAGCCAATGCAGCATGCTCTCGCTTTTCCGCGTACGGATCTAATGTCCTCCAGTACGCAGTCTCATTCCACACACATGGCCCATCGTTGTCGCAGGGAACAACAAGGAAGTGCTCGGGCATAATGCCGGTCTTGGTAGACTCGTACGCCCACACACAGCCATCCGTAAGCTTGGCGGCGAGGTCCATATCGCCCTCGATTCCGAAGAGTTTGGCCCCAATGCCGACCATGCCACCGGTAAAGCAAGCCAGGTGGGTTGCTTCGTAGGAATGGGAAACCTTGCCCGCCAACCCGGGTTTAGGAACGCCAACGGTGGCCGTGAACCGGATGTTGCGAACGTCCTTGATCATCGGCTGGTAGATAATGTGCTCACGAGCCGCCTTCATGGCGCTCTCGTACATGGTTCGATATTGATCATTGAGACCACCCAGGAGCATATACTCCTTGGGAAGGTATTCGTATGTCGAGTCGGCTTGGCCGCCCAGTCCGTATTTGTCGATGGCGGATGTTGGGCTGGTGAGACCTTCGGTACACTCCGTCACAGGCGGCATAGCCTTTCCGTTCGCTCTATGACTCGACTCTTTCACCGGGTTGTTCGGTTGAGGATTCGATTCTTTTACCGGGTTATTGTATGTGGCCGGTTCCGCGTTATCGGGAAGCCCTCTCTTCTGGTGGTCTTCAAAAAGGTTCTTGTAGCTCTCCGCGTCCGTTGGGCCCGCGTCCGGCTTCTGAACGGGGGTTGGAACGTCCACGCGCCTGTTGGCAGGATGGGGCGGGTTGTTGTTCTTTCTGCACCCGGAGGCATCGACATGAAGAGGCCACAGACCGGGCATACTCGTCTTGCTCTGGTACTGCTCGAGCTCGTTCGTAATCCGAGCAATAGCGTCGTAGTACTTGCTATCCTTCGTCAGTTGGGCTAGACGGGTCAATTCCACGGAGAGAGAGCCCAGTTCGGCGAGGACCGCCTTTCCATCGGCGTGGTGTTGTTGAGCAGCGTAGTCTCTGCGAGGCATAGTGTCAGCTAGCATATTCAACGGCTCCCCGGCATGCGGTGCAACCTACGGTGCCCAGTTATAGTAGAGGATCGGCATTCGGTTCGGGGTATCGAAAGCGCCAATCAAAATCTCCCCCAGCTCGGTCGCCTTCTCGAGAAGGATATCATACTTATGTCCGGAGATATCGTATGCGCCGAGCAGACCGCCCATATACCGAATGGCCACCTCGAAGATCGGGATCTGGTCCGATTTGGTGGTGGTGAAATCGATCTTCTTGACCTGGTCGACGGCAATTGAAAATTCCTCTTTCAAGTCCATGATCCATAGCGTGTCCAGGGTGTCAACCAGTGTCGCTCCCCAGCCATTGAAAGTGTCACGGAACCCACCCCGCAGGGGTTTGAGCTCGTCGTGGCCCATTGCCGATGCCTTGTATCCGCTCCACGCATGCTCAAAGGCAGACCGGATGGTTGACAGTCGATCGATGCGCTTCATCCTTTCGGTCGAAGTCTCATCCCGGAATTTGGCCTGTAGCTTCGGAAGCGTCTTGGACCTGCCGGCCGGCAGCTTGATCATGTCTTCGGGCGCAATGGGGAAATTCTCCGGAACCTTCCTCCAGTGAGGTCTCGGGTTCGGCGCAGGCTCTACCTTCAGAGCATCCTGGCCATGGGCCCCGGGGAAGAGAAGGTGTCCGCCTTTGAGTTTATGCGACTCGTTGGAGGGCTGAGGGCGTTCCGGCGTGTCGGGCGAGCTCTCGCCCGCAGGCTGGTCGGGGGAGGAAGCATCGGGCTTGGAATCGGAGTCGGAGACATTCGAATCCGTCGACTGCTGGGAGACAGGAGAATCGGGAAGAACCTCTTGCGACGGAGGTGGTGAGGAACCGGCCGGCTCCTTTTGTTTATCGGCGGCGGGCAGAATGGGCGAGACGGGGTCGGGTTGGTCCACGTGTGGCGGAGGAATGTCAAGCGAGACGGTCGAAGTGTCTGCTCGAGAGGAAGTAAAATGAATGACGGCCAACACAAAGATGGCAGCGAAGGCCAGCAGGCCTCGATATCGACGGGCTCGAAACATGGTGGTGGATGGGCCTCACCCTGGGGGCCAAAGGTGAGACAAAGCCCACCAACTGATCTAATCTAAAGAGGGAAACACAGAGAAAGGGAAAACCGGAGAGTATAGAACAATAGACCCAAGCTAAATTGACCAGGGTACGACAAGGAAAGAGAAGAGGGGGAAAAAGTCAAAGTCCACAGAAAGGAGGACGAGAAAATGGGCCAACAGGCCGAAGGGAAGCGAGACGACGAAAAAAAGAGTGACGGGGGAATCAACAATCACGAGACCCTTTCAGTGAACAATCGCAAAAACCCAATTCGATTCAGTTCCAGTCCAGACAAAGGCAATGCAAACCCAATCAAACCATTTGTTCAGCAGGGGGATTTCGTTTAGGTCATACTGATCCGGGTCGGCTGCAAACCCCAGGCAAACGAAGAGAACAAGCGAGCGAACGAGGGACGATGAATGGTGGAAATCAGACGCCTCCCATGGTGGACGTTGATATTTTGCCGGAGAGAAGGAAATGGATGACAGGAGACGCAGGCGAGAAGAAGAAGAAGAAGAGAGACGACGACGACAATCAAATCAACCCGACACGGTTGCACCCGCAGAGCCAAGAGGCCGAGACCTTCTTTTCGGTGCCATTTTTTGGGCCCAGTGATCAGGAGGCCTTTCGTCCTGGCAATCAAAGTCCCGGCGCTTCCTCTTTCCTGCTGGCTTTAATCTATCTATCGCTCTACGAGTACGGACGGAGTACCGGTCCTCGCCTGAAGATACGATGCGTGTCGAATCCGATTGCATTGCGTCCGTCCACCGCATGGAAAAATGCCCCGGATCAGCGAAGAGATGATCCCGAGGTTCCAGAAGGCGAGCAGAGACCGACAGACACATTCCAGCTGGATCGCCCGAAGATGACAGTGATCCCCCTGAAGTCGGTCAGCGCTGAGCACCGTCAACGACGCCCATGTCGCTCGGCCTGGAGGATCCACGAATGGCCGTCGATATGATCTCGCAAGGATGAATGTGAATCCATCGGTCCCTGCAGTGTTTCTATTTATAACTCTGCGACCCTACCAGGAGGGAAAATCCCGTCCGGCTATCACTTCCACCATGGAAATTCACCGCAAGGGGCTTGCGCTGCTCCAGTCGGGCGACTCGATCCATTTATCTGTGACAGGGATGAATTTCTTCGCTCTGGTTGATCGACTCCGTCGAACGTAATTTCCATGTGTCAAAAAATAGTGCACAGCATAGGGCTCCGATGCAGAACAGTTGACAAAATTAAGTGGAACATGAAGGGACAAGAGAAAAAAAAAAAAAAAAAAAAAAAAAAAAGCAATGTCAACTCCGGATCAGTCGTTACTAAAACGTTACTCAAGTTCCAACCAGGTGGAATGAGGGCACAGCGGTATATAACCCTATCTATCTATCACCAAAATACGCCAGAGAAAAGCAAGGTCAAATGCCTACGGTGTTCCGGCCCCGGTTGTCCTTGTTGACCTTCTGAAACTGCTGGATGAGACCCAGCACGCCTGCACCCCCGGCAATGGCATCCACATTCTCTCCCTCTTCCTCGCCGTCGTCTTCCTCGATATCACCCATCAGGTTGACGCGCCACGAATCGCCGAGGTTGCTGTCACTGCCGCCGACGGCTGCGTGGTGTGGCGATTTCTTGACGGCCGGGCTGCGCGTCTCCGCGGACGGTGATTCCTCGTCCTCCAGGGGATCGGAGACTGGTCGCGAAGGACGCGAGGCCCGATAGCGGGAATAGGCGGGGTTGCGATTGCTGGTTCGGAACCCCGATGCAGATGGCTGGTGATGGGGATCCAATAGAACCGAGTCTCCCAACCCCGGCGGACCAAACCGGGGAACTCCTACGATAGACTGTCGATCGCCGACATTGCCAGGATCGACCATCGAGGGTGATCCCATTGTTGGGAACGCAGGCGGAGGATGGAACTGCCGCTTCGCAGCCGGGTGGGCAGGCCGCGTGCCTCCGTAGTGATCCAGAAATCCGTAGTAGGACGCGAGCATCTTGCCGTCCTTCGTCGAGAAGTAGTCCGCTCGGAGGTCCTGCCTCGCGGGGTCGCGCCGCCCGGTATCGCCCTGGGAGATCTGGTTGGTGCCTTTCTTGAAGTCGAAGACGGCAAACGAGCAAAGATAGCCCATCCCGTCCACATGCACGGTGAACTCGCGAAAGAAATCGATGAGTCGATCACTGCACTTGGGCAGGCTGAACCAGAGGATAAAGGGCGTGAAGATCATGCTGAGAATCTCCTCCAAGAATATGACGATCTTGACCTGGTATAGCGTGGCAAAATCCCGCCGGACGTCATCGCTGTGCAGTCGGCCCTTCCAGTGATTTGGCAAATAATGGGTAAAATTGATCACCTCGAGCAGGGCATATTCGGGATCAAACACATTGGCCTCCTCGGGAACCACGCCCCGAGCAAAGGCCCAGATAGACCCAAAAACACCAAGGTAGAAGAGGACTGTGCGGTCGGGCGTGATCTCAAAGCCCAAGAATAGTTCGGGGTCCACAATCGATGCCAGGGCTAAGACGGAGGCCAGGGCGCCGGAGACAAATGCCACGAAGCCAGCCAGCTGGACGGCCTTGTCTTTGGGGAACTGGTCGATGTATCGACTGGCAAAGGGATACGACATATTCAGCCGACGCTCAAAGAGATGCCAGAGCTCGTTGAACTCCCGGAATTTCCACTCGGCCAAAGGGGTGTACTGCCGAGATCCGATCTGGGACGGGTTTTTCTTGAACTCGTTGAAGTAACGGAAAAAGTAATGCATCAGAAAATAGACCACGATGAACGGGGCTACAAAGATATTCATGATGCCTGCAAGTATAAAACGCCGCCGCAGGCCCTCACTCAACGCTTTCCGGTGGGTGTCCCTCAGGAACAAAGTCCGCACTTGGCCTTGCTCGTTAAACACATAGTCCATGATGCAGAGGTTGATGTTCCACTCCAGGGTCTGCGAAAACAGTTGTCGGTTTCGGAGGAACGGAATAGGGAGCGTCAGATCCAAGATGTCTTTGTTTACCAGAGCAATGAGGTAGTTCTCTTTGCGCATCAGCCGATTGGCAATATCGTGGGCATCCATTCGCTGCTTGGATTGACTGCCCATAAACCTGCGATGCGTTGCAGAAACTGCACCAGCCGTGGCGGGATTTGAGTCTCTCAACACCATCAGCCGGCTGACAACTTCTTGCCAGGAGATTGTCTGGATCTCGGCGTCGGACACGTTGAGTAGATAATGGTAGAAATCATGCATGTGCTTGAGCCTTCGAATGTCCAAGACATACTGGAAGGCCTTGCCGATCCAGAAGAACGTAAGCAGCCAAAGTAAGAGGGTGGAAGACATGGACATTTTCTTGGTGCATTTCTGGATGAGGATGTCATCCAAGGTCTTGCTGCCGCGTACACTGCGGTAGTCAATGCAGTTCGTCAGAAACGTGCTGAAGCCGACCACAAACGCAAATGTCCTACAGTCGAGAATTAGCACCTTCATCCCGAGTTGCCACTATGGCAAAAGCAGATCGAAGGGGAAGGACAGGCGTACAGAAGACCAAGGAACCGGTCCAGCAATATGGACCAGATCCCATTTCCTAGAAAATACGTATAGACGTCCTTCAAGAAGTTATCCAGGTTCTCCACATTCGCCCACATCCATAGCGCTTTCTCCTTGGGGTCTACCGTGGCCAGGCTCGGATGTCCCAAGGACCAAATCATCCCCGGACGGTGCCTCTGGTGGTTCGTATGCAAGGGCAACTGCTCCCTGGTGGATTCCCAGCGGGCCCGATCGCCTCCAGAGGAAGGCCCAGGTACTGCGGGTTCCTGGCTCCGACGATTATGGGAGGGGGGAGGCGGAGGGAGTCGCTGCTTTAATTCATCATCGTCCTGTCGCCCCTCGACGTAGAGGGAGGCTGGCACGTCGTCATCTCCATCATCAGGGTCATGATGTGGCGACGAGGAGGCCTGCATCCAACGGGGTCGACTGAGCCTGCGACGACGAGATCCGGACGGGCCTTGATCCCTACCCTCAGCAACCCTTTGCGGGCTGCGGTGAGTCAGGAACGGCTCACTTGGAGTTGGACTCGACATCTCATCCCTCCCAGCATCGGCCATCGCTTCCTCCAGCTCCCGGTTCGTATATTCTTCGTCCCGGTGATCTTCCGGCACCAGGCCCGCGCGTTCCTCCACATCTGAGTTTTCGGAATCCGCGTCATGTTGTCGGATGGTCTCGTATACCGATGGGGAACCGTTGGGAGGGAGGATCCGGGACAAGATGTTTGATGCCATCATCTTGAATGGCGTATAGGTGGGTTCAGTAACGATGAACTATGGAAGGTCTTCGACTGTCGAGGGTATCAGTACATCGCAGCGGCCCGGAAGCCGGGGGACTATGCGGTCAGTTAAAGGGCCATTCATGTAGGACTGCCGACAACGAAAGGGCCGAGCGAGGGCCAGAAGGAAGGTACGAAGTAACTAAGGGCAATTTCAGAGAAACTAGGAGCCAACAAATTGGACCAGAAAGAGCACGATTCTACCCAAAGATTTCTAGGGGCTTTCACGGGCAATAACCTGTCTCATGAGCGAAATAGCAGTGGACTGCAGGCATGCCAAAGCAGTTGGACGGCAGGTGGTTGACGACGCCCTCGTGATAAGCCGCGATGATGCAGGCGGTCAGGGCGCATGACTGCGCCTGCCTCAGGCAGCAACCAGCGTCATGTGACGGGCGGCGGACAGAAGGCCGAGTCACGGGACCCGGGGTGGAGGCGGCGGGAGTCTCTGACGACACGAGTCATGCGCTGCTCACGGGATCTTCTTCTCTGGTTCGTGCGGGGAGGCCTGAGGTATCTTCAGGCACTCCCCCTCTCTTCCTGCCCGGGGAGGAGTGGCGCTCGTTTTCGCTTTTCTTTGTTCCATGTTCGCTTCCTCGATATTACCTTACCTACTCCGTACTACTCGGAGTAATACTTCCTACGGTCATTGGTCTCGCCCTGTTGACCAAAGACTCGAATTGGAAGAAAGAAAAAAAAAATCAGCTCAGGATCCACAGCCGGTGAGGTGAGCGAAGTATGCCCAAGAACGTCTTTCCCCGGCACCTCAATGGAGCATCCATGGCCTCTCTCTTCTTGATTCTGGGAGCGATCAACGAGAGACTGCAGACTGCAGAGACATCCGTTCTAGACCATCCGCCTGCTCTGGCCGCAGCGGAGAGCGTGCGTGCATTCGGAGGTTATCTCCAAAGCATGGACGAGAATGGCAGGAGCCACACAGCTCTAGTGCGTCTAGCGCCAACTATCTTGAGCCCCAAACCCCGTAGCGCAAATGGCTTGCAGCGTGAGGGCCACAGCCGCGTCCCGGTTGGGGAGGATTTGCTTTCTTTTCCCACGCATGGTGTGATGATGCCTGAACGTCGCTCCTCCGTACCTTGACTTGGCTCGCAGATGATGGCCCTCTACTTACGTCCGTCCGTCCGGAGAGTCCAGGACAAGACGTGGGCGATCTGGGCGCATGAGACTAAGGCCCCAAAATCCCTGCGTCGATTGACCACATTCCAGATGAATTTTAACTTCCTGTCAGCTGAAGCAGCCGTGCGTCGTCCGTCCGTCAATGGTGTTTTTGACTTTATCGGCGCATTCCAGACTCTCGGAGATAGGGGGAGGCGAGGCAGGTCGCCTCGAATTAGGAGAAAACCACAACTAATAAGTCTCCCCCAATCACTCACAACGATACGAGTCGTGGGGAAGGAAACGAAGAGAAAGAAGAGCACTATTAGTTTGGTTTAGATTAAACCTCGTACTCCCGTGGCAATTGGGCCATCCTGGAGTCTCTCCAAGTGGATTCGTTGCCGGAATGGCAATGGTACCTTACTATGGCCGGTTGACCACCCATCCATTTCTCTCGGTAGAGGGGCAGTCAATGGGGAGTCTGGAAGACTCGACTACTCAGAAAACATAACCAATCCCAGTGCGCGAGCGATCGCTTTGGGTAGAAACTAGAAAGGATCCTGATTTCCGGGCAATGATGTCCCATCCTCCATATACCGGCCCGGATCACGGTGGATCTCAATTCTCAAGAGACCCGCGCCCAACAATTCGGTCGAGCTGATTCCTGGCCAAATAAAATCCCAGACCCGAAGAGGGGGAAATGCATCCCTTGAAGCTGCTGGGAGAATTGGGATGGGACCATGACCATGGATTCTTGGCTGGCGAGCCAAGTAACGAGCCCAGTGATGATGCCAACCATCCCGGGGAGGAAGATGCTTCGGGGTATTCCTTATGATTACGATCGCAGAGCAAGACTTTAGGGCAGTCATTGCGTGGGATACCCGTCGGACTACTGAACTAGTCGTCCCTTCTCTCGGAATTTGCTCGGAGACTTGATCGTCTCGAGTCAGGACGGTCACTCTGCACGGGAGACCTAACAGTATCCCATGCGTAACATCCACAGCCGCTGTGTACAGAGTACTCCGTAGAGCATCAGAAGGCCTGCGTTGATTGTCCCGGGCAAACTGCAGTCTGCCACCATGATTGATAGTGCAATTTCAACTCCCCACTTGGACGGACTGGCTGACGTCGTACCAAACAAGCAATCTGCAGCGTTCAAACGCACGCCGTCAGGGTGCATCTGGCCAGCACCCGCTGTATAGGAAATGAAATCATGACAGCGTAAGGTAGATATTGAAATAAAGGAGTCAATCAGAGGGAACAATTCAATTTTCAAATCCAAATGGAGGCGATGTATACCAAATGATGTAAAACTGGTGATGAGTAGAAAGAAGGTCTTCCATCCCTCCGGGGCCACCGTAACCGACCGGAGAGGCTTTCGATGCTCAGACTTCGACACTCACCGCACTTGCGCAGCTCGTCCTGACTTTCTTTTTCTTTTTTCTTTTCTTTCTGGAATCGGATTGGATTTGCTTCTTGTTTCCCCCCCTCCCCTCCTCTTCTTCGTCTCTTCTTTCTTTTTTCCATTGGGATTTTTTTGTCTCTTCTCTTTCTTATTATCCACACTCCCGTCGCTCTCTTCTTTCCTCGTTTCTCTTCCCCCTCCCACTTCCCTCTCTCTCTCCCCCTCCGCCCCCCCTGACCCAATTCGAACGCCGTGTCGCTGCCCAGTCCATCCCCATCGCCCGTATATTAACGCGCCGGCCTCGATCGAATGTGCGACTTTATCTCCCTCCACCTCCCCGGACTCCATGCGTTCAGCTAGCGACCCATTGGACGACAAAGGCCCTCAATTGTTCGAGGACGGTTGCGCAGCGTACGTTGGTTGCCAACGTGCTGCGAGGTAACATTTCAGCCGAGAATATACCGTGTTTGTGTGTCCAAAGAAAAAAAATTCTTATAAAAAAAAGTGTGCGTCTCTCGTCATCTTGTGTGTTTTGTAGCGACCTCTTGCGAGTGCCGCTGCCACCCGATTTCATCGTGCGTTGCGGGAAAACATGGAGTCGGAATCGTCGAATGGGTTCAAAAGGAACTCGGTCAGCCAAGGATCATACAGTCGTCCGGTGGAACGCCGCCCCAGCAAGAAATCATCCTCCAAAGATCGCCATGGGATGGTCTACCCCGACAGCTTCAGGGATACCGGCATCCGGACGGTGACGCCGGACTCCACCCAGGAGGCCACCAACCAGTCACCCTTGTCGGAGACGGAGTATCTCTCGTCGAGCGCAGCTCCCTCTCCTCGTGTCACCGCCCGGACGAGAGCTTCCGACCTGGAGGCGCGCCGCGATTTCCACCCTTACTACTCGGCGGGGGATGAAGATGAGGCTCAGGTGGAATCGAGGAGCCAGCGGGCGCGATCCCGAACGACGACCTTGGATGACCAGCGCAGCGAAATCTCCCCCAACTCGTTTCTCACCCGGACGCGGAATCGTCTGGGCTCCATTAACACCACGGCCTCGCAGGTGAAGTCGCCCGACGAGCAATCGTCCGCCTCCATCGGATTTCCCTCCATCCAATCGCCCACCTATTTCAGCCAATCCCTCGGTCGCCAACGATTAAGCAAAACGCCGCTGAGCTCGAGCCTCCTGGCCAGCCTGAACACGGGCCAGACTTCCTCCCCCCTATCGAGTACGGATGCCACCAAGATCCTGCAGCTGATGAAGACCACCTGCGGACGGATGCACGGCATTCTTTCCTTTCGAACGGCTTCCACAACCGCCTGGACGTCGGGTTACTGTGCCATCAACGTTGCCACGGGGAGCCTGATCTACCAGGCGAAGGGCGAGCCGGCATTGGCCAAGACACTCATCCCCGACCTTCGTGGCTGCCAGGTACGCTCGCTCGTCGACCCGGAACTTCGGACGAATTATCTCAGCGTATCAACCTTCACCTCCGGTCTCGGCGTCGAGTTGCGCCCCCATGTAAGTGAGACCTTCGATTCCTGGCTCGCCGCCTTGCTGTGTTGGCAACCGATCAGACCGAAGGGCGTCCAGAACAAAATGACCAAACCCCAATCCGTCGCAATTGGCGACCGCCGTCTGACCGACCGGCGACGGAATTCCGAGAGCACGGTGCAGAAAGATGCGGCTATAATCAAGGTGGGCAAAATGCTTCTCTGGGACAGGCCCAGTGCGTCGGGAGCCCGGCCGTCTTCGGGTCGGCGCGTTTCGACCTACCGTCAGCAGCGCGCTCTATCGTCGTCGTGGCAGAAAGTCAGCTGCACCTTGCAGGAGAATGGGGTATTCAAGCTGTTCACCGAGTCCGACATCACCCTGGTGGCGTGCATTCAATTGTCACAACTCTCCCGATGTGCGGTGCAGAAGCTGAACTCCTCCGTTCTGGAGGACGAATTCTGCATTGCCATCTACCCGCAGTACGCCGCACACGCGGTGTCGGGATTGACTCGCCCCGTATATCTCGCTCTTGAAAGCCGAGTCCTCTTTGAAGTGTGGTTTGTGCTTTTGCGCGCCTTCACCATCCCGGAGCTCTACGGACCGGAATCGTCGATCGAAGATGATCCCACCAAAACGTCTGCGCCCACCGAAACGAGCACGCCGTCGATGGCAGACATGTTCAGGATTGAGAGGAATCTGAGCATTCGAGTGACGGAGGCGAAGCTCTATCGCAACAAGGCGGAGGAGACCCCGCGAAGCCGAAAGCAGTCCCGGTCCCACAGCAACTCGGTTCCGACATCTGCTATCAATGATTATTACACGGAAATCCTACTCGATGGCGAGATACGAGCCAAAACCGCCGTCAAATACCGTATCGCAAATCCCTTTTGGCGAGAGGACTTTGAGTTCCACGACCTCCCACCCGTCTTGTCGCAAGCCTCGATCCTCGTCAAGACCCTCAACCCTACGCAGAAAGACTGGACGCTCATTTCCCACGGGTCCTATGCCTTGTCCCAAGACACGGGCTCTTCGCGTGCGCTGGATGACGTCGAGATCTCCTCTCACGATGCCACGCACGGGCGGGTAGATTTACGACTGGACGACCTGGAACCCGGCGTGGAGATTGAGAAATGGTGGCCGATCCTGGATAATCGGGACCAGCCTGTAGGCGAGATGCTGATGAGGGCTCGAATGGAAGAGACGGTCGTTCTCATGTCCCACGAATATGCGCCCATGTCCGAACTTCTTCATTCCTTCACCAACGGCCTGACCATCAATATGGCTCACGTCATGTCTTCCGAGCTCAACCAGCTGTCGGAGGCTCTGTTGAACATATATCAAGTGTCGGGCACCACTGTCGAGTGGATCTCTGCCTTGGTGGAAGACGAGATAGATGGCGTGCACAAGGAATCCACGGCAAACCGACTGCGCTATACCACCAGAATCCATTCCAATGACTCGAGAGAATCGGGGCACGATCGGGAGGTCCTGGTAAGAGATATGGGGCGCACTGCCACCGTGGAGGCGAACCTACTCTTCCGGGGGAACTCGCTGCTCACCAAGGCACTCGACTTCCACATGCGTCGTCTCGGGAAAGAATACCTGGAAGAAACCATTGGCGAGCGACTACGCGACATCGATGAGAGTGATCCGGAATGCGAAATCGACCCGTCACGCCTGAACCGTTCAGACGACCTGGAACGGAACTGGAGGAACCTGGTCGCTCTCACCACCGGTGTTTGGAAAGCCATCGCTGGGTCGGCTTCTCGGTGTCCCGCGGAGCTAAGACTTATCTTCAGGCACATCAGAGCTTGTGCTGAAGATCGCTACGGCGACTTTCTTCGGACGGTGACCTACAGCAGTGTCTCGGGCTTTTTGTTCTTGCGATTCTTCTGTCCAGCAATTCTGAACCCGAAACTTTTCGGGCTGCTTAAAGGTATGTCTCACGTCCGCTTTAATGTTTCAAGTCCTTTCCCGTCTCTCTCTTCCTCTCTTATTCTCCTTATGTCTTGCCTTTCTGACGGAAAACAGATCACCCTCGTCCACGTGCTCAACGTACTTTGACACTGATCGCAAAGGCACTGCAAGGCCTGGCCAACATGACCACCTTCGGTAGCAAGGAACCTTGGATGGAGCCGATGAACAAGTTCTTGGTCAGCAATCGCTCGGATTTCAAGACATTCGTCGATTCCATCTGCGCTATACCTGCAGACCGGCCGGCTCCGATTGTCACGCCCTCCTATGCCACGCCCATTCAAATCCTCGGCCGCTTACCACCCACCTCACGCGAAGGGTTCCCCAGTCTTCCGTTCTTGATCGACCACGCCCGGAGCTTCGCCAATTTGATCAGGATATGGCTCGACGTGGCACCGGAGAGACTCGGCGGCCTTGAAGACATCGATCAGGCTGTCGGGAAATTCCATGAGGTGGCCCTTCGCCTTCAGCAGCGTACTCGAGAATGTCTGCAGAAGGCTGAGCAAGCCGAGCGTCCAAGCGGAAATCTTGAAATCAAATGGGAAGAGTTGGTTGATTCGATGGAACGATCGGCTACTTTCTACGAGGACAGCTCCAAGCCCACGACTCCGGCTACGGAGACCGCAGTGGTAGGGTCGGCATCTGTTGCTGGGAACCAGCGAAACTCGATTGGTTACTTCGCATCGCGGCCGTCTCTCCCCCGTCGGTCGACGGATTATGCCGCCGAAGCCGATGATGAAACGCCTCCGAGTTCCTCATCCGCCACTTGGGACCAAAGCCGTGTGCCCTTTTCGATTCCGCGATGGCCCGATCCCCGAGACAGCACCAGCAGTTCCAAGAACTCCTCCACCTATTCTCTTGAATACACCGCGGATACCTCCAAGTCGGCACGTCGGTCTAGCATCACTCGGGAAACGACGAGCAAGTACCGATTTTTCGACTTTGTTCCGGCGCCATCGCGACGGAAAGCAAAGGACCGAGACAACGCTCAGCAACAATCTCGGGAAGAACTTCGAAATGACTTCTAAGTAAATATAGAGCAGAGATTTCGTGCTCCTCATCTCACTTGGCACTATATGGCAGGTTCTACTGATATCGCATTTACGTTGATCTTTTTTTTGTTTTGGAGCACAAAAAAGAAAGAAAGAAAGAACAAAAGAAAAACAAAAACAACAGAAAGAAATGGTGGCCTGGTTTGATTAGACAATCGGCAGGTGGCATTTTCCTCTTGTTCTCTCCCGTTTCTCGCTTGTTTCCGTTTTGTATAACACACAGGGTTCTTGTGAGAGCAAGTCCCTGCATCTTCTGATGTACATTTTTGTCCCCTTCCACCCCTCTCTGACTACTTCCACATGTGCTCATGATTTAACGCACTTTCCCTTCTTACTACCTTTTTTTTGGAAAGCATTTGTCATGGTGTTGATACCCTGCTCGGACTGCTCTTTTTTCTTATCTCTTATTTCCTTTCTTTATTATGTGTGCGTGAACACGAGATCCTACCAGCAGTGTTCGAGAAACATAACTCACCTGCTCGGGATGCGAAAAGGTCACATTGGATCCTTTTTATTGGACTGGCTGCAGGAAATAGCAGTCTTATCGATTTGTGTAAATAGTCTTTATCATTCTCTTCTTCTATACCGGCATAGATGAACATGGGTACTTTACCTTCCATATACCTACTGGGTTATTGATATCAATATTTGCTTTGAGGAAAGTACTATGTAATATGTGATTAATCGAAGGTAGGATTTGATTCATTCAAACATTAATTCTTACTCTATATGCTATGATAACAAATGATGAGGGCCGAAGAAAGACCGGCATATGAATAGCGAGATCCTCAGGTTTCCAACAGAGGGAGGTGATAGTAACCAAGATCCAAAACACAGACCTACCTACCATCTCTCACATCCACAAACAGACCTTCCCACTGGCCGTGCCGGCCGCAACCCAGTTCTTACTGCGGTGGAAGACCGCCACGGCAGGCACCGCCGTGATGCCGTCGCCCCCGAGCTGGGCAAGCTGGTCGCCCGAGCCGCTGTAGATGTCGACGAATCGGTTCATGTTGCCGATGCAGAATCGCTGGATGGCGGACTGCGGGTTCTGTTGCCATTGGGGGCGCAGGCTGGATTGAATGAGCTGGTTAGTTGATGTTGTTGGACTGTCTACTTAGGAGATGGTATGGTCTGGGGGGAAACCTACATAGTCACCCATCGGCCCGTCTGGCAGTTATGCCGCACGACGGTGTCCGGCTTCATCTGATTCTCGGGGAGGGTGTGGCCGGGTTCCCACGAGGGGAGGCCCTTGGCGCCGAAGTCGTAGATCTTCAGGGTATCATCGTACGAGGAGGTCGCGATCTGGCCGATGCTGTTGAAGGCGGCATGCGAGACGGACAGGCGACTCTGGTGCTCGCCGACAGGCACGGGGTCGTCATGCGAGAGTTTGCGAATGTCCCACAGGCGCATGGTGCGGTCGAGACTGGCGGTTGCGATAAAGTGCGGCTGCGTCGGGCAGAGGGAGAAGCCGCCGATTTTCTTCTCAGACAGACGCCATGTCGCGACGGCGTTGCGCTTGGAGGATGCGCGCATGTCGTGCCGTCCGAATTCGCCCTCCAGGGTCGTCCAGTAGAGCACGTTCGGGTCATCGGCGGCCATGTCGATGCCGGAGATGGGGACGTCTGTGGACGTGGACTCCGGGGCGTAGCGCTCGACGGAGGTCGTCTTTTCGAGGTCCATTTCGCGGATGGAGCTGTCGTAGCTGGCGGTGTAGAGGTGCGTGGGCTTGGATGGGTGGATGGTCATCGAGCTGATGGTGCGCGTGTGGGGTTTGAGAGTGGTCAGGACGGGGTCAGGGTCGTCGTCGTCGTCGTCGTCGTCGTCGTCGTCGTCTTCGTGTTTGACGGCGGATGTGGGCTTTTCCTGCGATGCGTCTAGCACACCGAGATGGCCCATCTTGTCACCGGCGAAGACGAGGGGTTTCGCCTCGGAGGGATGAAGAGTCATGGCGTAGACTCGTTCGGGGGTGATTTTGATTCCTATTGACAGTCGAATGTGAGCAAGGGAACGAACTCGAGGGAAACAGGATGTCAACGGGGATGTCATACTACTGGGCTCCCACGCCTCCCACAGATTCAACCCACTCATCTCCTCCCTCAATGCCTTGAGATCCTTATCCGTTGTCTTCTTGATGTCCTCATCATCAAAGGTCCGTTGATACGGCATGGCCACGCCCTTCGTGACCACGTCCACGCCGATCAACCCATCGCCGCTAAGCTTTTGTCCAGACACCAGCATCTCATTGAACGAGAACGAATCCGATTTCCGCAGTCGCTTCGCCCGCTCCACCTCCTGCGCAGCTTCGTACTGCTCTTCGGCCTTGCGCTTCGCAACCTCGCTCTCCGCCGCAATGCCCCTGATCCGCGAGGACATGCGCCGGGGCAGCGCCGGCTCCGGCTCCTGCTTCACCTTCTTGGCGGGGGCCTTCTTTTTCGCCTTGTTTTGGTCTCCGCCGGACGAGCCCTTGGACATCTTCGGCGGGAAGACGCCGGCGGATTTCGCCTCTAGCGAGAGTTTCTTAAGCAGCGCATCGCGTTCGGCGATGTTGGCGAGACGCTGTTTCTCGAAGTCGGAGATTTCCTCGTTGCCCATAGCTGTTGGATATTTTCCAGGAGTTTATAATTTAACAGGTCGATTGGAGAACTCCGTCAAATGGACATGAATAGATCCCAAGACTGACAGTAAATGCAGCGATGCGATGCGACGGAAGAGCGCGTCCGCCGGCACACCGCGTGGTCACGTGGGGCGCGTTAATGGGAATCCGATCATCTCTAGATCGGCAGAATCAAACCTGCACGCTAGCAGGCCTTGGACTATAGACGACGCACATTCCACGCCCTGCCAGAAGCCAGAAGCCACGCATGTCTCGCCACTGGCTAGCGCTGTCGGCGCGCAGCTCCCTCACCCCGTTCTTGTATCAAACCCCTACGCTGTCGACGTCGCTTCTGAGCCGTCGAGCGGCTCCGTCGACATTCCGCTCGTCGTATTCTACGTCGAAAGCCTCCCCGACCACGAAAAGCGAGGACAAGCCCCGGCATGGCTCGAATATAACATCTTCTGGGGAACCCGCGCCGGAAACCCCCCTCCCCAAGCCGCGGCGAAGTTACCTGCAACGACGCGCGGTCTCGGCGGCGCCGTCGAAGGTTCCGTCCAAACCGAAGACGCCGAGTATGACCCGCGGCGAGAAGCAGGTCTTCAGCGACCTGCTGAAGCAGATTGAAGGGGACAAGGAAAAGGACTCAAAGCCTGAGGAGGGGGGTGAGGATCACGGGGAGTCTCGAGTCGAAGCATGGCAGCCGTCTTCTGAATTGAGCCACAGGGATCGCAGCGAAATGGCCCATATCTCATGGATCTTCGACTCGGTGCTGCAGGACGTTCGGAAGCAGGGTAAGAAGAAACCAAAAGGTTGGGATGCCGACGCCAAACGGGCATTCGATGCGCAGAGCGCCGAAGACGCCGCCATGGAGAACGAATTCTACGACAGGGTCTTCAGCAGCGAAGAGATCTCGCAGATGCTCGCCAGCGAAAGCCTCCCCATGGACCAGGCGATCGCCATCGTCGTCCGACGCGAGGCCGCAAAGACCGAGGCTGCGCTCGAAGCCAGCGTCGAAAAAGACGACCAAGCCCTGTGGGAAGTCTGCAAGGACCGCATCTTCTCCATGCTCCACCATCTCGAAAACGCCCAGAGCGCCGCCGCCAGCACCACCAGCACCACCACAGCCTCGGACTCGGACTCCACCCCCGACCCCACCGCCGCCCTCGCCGAACTCCTCGACCTGCCCCCCGAAGTCCCCGCCGCAGCGGTGGTGAGCTCGCTGTACCCCAAGATGCTGCACGCGGCGTTCCGACTCCTCTCCATCCACTTCCCGCAGTCGGCGCTGATCAGCCAGTTCCGGGCGACGATCAAGTCGCAGGGGCGCGCGTTCGCCGTGCTCGGCGCGTCGGCGGACCTGTACTGCGAGATGATCCACTTCACGTGGAACGGGTGCCTGGATCTGCCCGGGGTGATCATGATTCTGCGGGAGATGGAGGTGACGGGCGTGGAGCCGAACAAGCGGCTGGTCGGACAGCTGCGGTATATCGTTCGGCACCGCGCGTACGACCTCAAGCGCCACCAGCATTGGAAGCGGTCCGACGAGAAGAAGAGGCGCGAGCCGTGGTGGGATCTCACGCCGAACCGCACCGCCATCCGAGACTTGATCGGCGAGGACGGGTGGGTTGCGAAGTTGGAGAATCGGTTGCGGGAGAAGCTGGCGCGGGAAAAGCAGGCGCGGGAGAAGAGGGAGAGGGATGAGGATTGGCAGGGGGATTCGGATTAGGGGAGTTTGCTAAGGTGGGTTGTTGGGTTGGACCTGTAAATATGGCCTCGCATGATGCATTATAGAGATAGATATGTAGACGGCAACCAATGTAATTATAACTACTGTACACGACAATACAAATACAAATTCACCCCCTCAATCCAACAAGAGGGACTTAAAAGGCAAGGAACTAAATCTTCAACCCCCAACTCCTCCCCAGCCCGACCGCCGTGGAACCCATGAACCCCAAGCACTGCTTGACGCCGGACACCTTGTCGCCGAGGGCCTTGACATCCTCGACGCGGCGGTCGACGAAGGCCTCGGTGTCCGCGAGGCCAGAGCCGGGAGCTTCGCGGGTCATGACGACCTCGGCGGAGGCGAAGATGGCGGAGACAGACAGCCGCTTGGTGTACCATGCGGCGTCGACAGAGGAGTCACCGGCCAGGTTCAGGACGTCGTCGGAGAGGGCGTGCAGTTCGGAGAGCGAGAGGGGGACGTTGCTGGGGAGGGACATGAGGGCCAGGGCCTGTCGGATTCCGTTAGCATCTCATGTAGATTCCCACGTAGGGTAGGGTAGCGTAGAATTAAAGGAGGCAGAGGGAGAGGGAGAAACATACATCCTGCCACTGGTGTCTAATGTCGACGTTCATGCGCAGCCGCTCCATCAGGAGGACCTTGATTTTCTGATCCACGGAGGCGTCGGCATACGGGAGCAAGAGGCCGTCGTCGACGCTGGCGCGCAGCAGACCGCGGCGACTGGCCAGCCAGAACAGGATCAGGTCGAACTCGGCGCGCGGGAACAGCTGCACGGAGACGTCGAGGAAGCCGGCGTCGCGGGCGCCCAGGGTCAATGCGTCGCGGGTGAAGCCATGCTGCGGGATGTGCCGGAGGGCGGCGGAGAGGATGGTGGTTTGCGAGTTGGTGTATTCGTGGACGGGCGGGTCGGGGTGATGTTGCGAGTGGTAGGAGCGAGGAGAGGGTGAGTAGTTGGAGGGGATGAGGCGGTTTGAGAGACGGGGAGAGTTGGTCTGGAGGGATTTGCTGGTGGTGGTGGTGGTGGACAGGCGATGGAGACGACGGGATTGAGAGGCGGCGACGGAGGAAGAGGCGGGGAGAGAGAAGAGACAGCGTCGCGAGGGAGCCAGGAAGGAGGGGGAGCGCGAGAGAAGAGTGGGATGGGCCATGTTGGGGGAATTGGAGAGAATGGATAATTGAGAGACAGAACGAAGAGAGAGAAATCACGAAAGAAAAGATCCACGGGTGGGCTTAAGCGATGGCCTGAGCGGAGCCAAGACTGCGAATGGCGGTGGATCGAGTGACGGGTTTATTTATTATTGTACGGAGTATGGGACACTATGATATGATTGATGAGTGATGATTGATGAATGACAGAAGCGGGGAATTGGATACGTCCAGAGGGGCAGAAAGTGGCATCGCGAACTGCCTTCATCCTTAATCTTAATATATATTTAGCCTCTCCGGCGTGCACCTCCGCTGCGTCTCCGCTTCTTCTTTCCTTCTTCTTCTTCTTCTGTCTTTCTGTCTTTCTGTCTTCAATACATCCCTGTCTCTCGTCGCGTCTTCTGCTCTCCCAATTGTCTGTCTTCACCTTCACCTTTATCTATCTCCATCTCCATCTCCATCGTCCACTGCAACCCACGCATACTCCGGATTGCGCATCCACGCTCATCATGGGTGAGTGTTGGAGTGGTATTTCTTTTCATCCGTCTCCATCCCCATCACCCCGTGTCTCCCGACTATCCCCATCTGCATCCCCCCGTCCCCAGCTCCAGCTCCAGCTCCATCTCCATCTCCAGCGCCCTCTCCATCCCCATCTCCATCGACATTCTTTGGGTCTCGCGAGGACCTTCCGAGTCATCGGCTCTGATTGGACTGGCCAGCCATTCTCTGGAGCTACTGTAAGGCACCGAGACGGGCTGAATCCCAGCTGCTGAATGCATCCCGGAGTGACTGGGCAAGGCCAATCACACCGGCCATGCGGTGTCGTGTCTGACAGAAGTGAAGGCTGCCATCTCCCCGCTTGCACCCTCCTTTATCTCGTGCTCGCTTCCAGTCTTTCCTTTCCTCCCTCTCCTCTCCCCCCTTTCTTCCCCCTTCTCTCTCCATCTGCCCTTTCTTTCTTCCTTCGTCATTGTCCGTTCCCATCCCGTCGGTTTTTTGTGGCTTACCTTTCCCCGGCTTGATCTCCAGCTGACGTTTATCGACCGTATCAAGTAAGTTGCGCTTCTTTATTTTATGTTATTTTTATTTTCATTTTCATCTTCATCTTACGGCCGGTTTTCTCGGGTTGAACGGGCAGTTGATGGGCGTTTCTTCCCGGTGCACCTCTCCCTCTATACTCTGGTCCCTTCCTCCTTTCCCCCGTCACTCACTCTCTCTCTCGTTAATTTCCCTCGTGCGCTGAAACCCCCAACTTTCTCCGGAGGGAAACAGATGGTGAGATTCGTTGCAAGCCTGCGACGGCTGGGAGGAGTTCCCACGCGGAGTTGGTCTGGGCGAGGATTGTCTGGCTTCGGTCCCCACTTGAACAACACGGGGAGGCTGTCGACTCTGGCTGCTCGGTCGGCGGGCATTGGAGGGATTCGGCCAGTCCGTCTTTTTTTACATCTCTTCTTTTATTTTTGCATCCTTGATCTCTTCTGCCTCTACCCTGGCTCTGCCCTGCCCTTCCACCTCCCCCCTGAACCTCCCCCCGAAGGTCCTCGCACGGGCGGCGCTGCTTTGTCACCGGCAGCTCCGCCCGTGTCACCTGACCCGGCGCTCTCCAATTCGATTCGACGGCCCATCCAGCTGTAACCTTGCGATCCCTGTTCTGTCTTCCCGCCCTCTTCCTATCTCCCCCGTCTCGTTTCTTTTCCTCCCTTTTTACTCCCTGGCCGTCCCCCACGTCAGGCCTCTTTCTTTCGTCCATGCCGGCCTCCTTCTCCGATACTGACCACGCGCAGCGCGAGAGGTCTCGTTCTCCCCGTCGTCGTTCGCGCAGCCCCCGACGCTCCAGCCGTCGTTCCTACTCGTCGCGCAGCCGTTCTCGCAGCCGTGACGATTATCGCCGCAGCGACCATCGCTCTCGCTCGCCCATGAGTGCTGCTCCTGGCCCTTCCGGAGGACATTCAGCTTTTGGTTACGGCGGGCGCAGTTACCCGCCTCCCCCCCGTTCGTTCGAAGATCGCGCTTCCGCCAAAGAACAAATGATGCAATCCGTGCGCGAGTCGTCCCAGCAAGACCGTCGTGTCTACGTGGGCAACCTATCATACGATGTCAAATGGCATCATCTGAAAGATTTTATGAGACAGGGTGAGCAGGGTCATATCGTGTCGGGCGTGTGATTTGTTTATTCATTGTTTTTTTTTATCGTCCGCGTCCGTTACATCTTGTTGGATTTGGAATCCGTGGCTGACCAGGAGGGGGAAATGATCTTTCCGCGTGATTTACAGCTGGAGAAGTTATCTTTGCCGACGTCTTACTGCTTCCGAATGGAATGTCGAAGGTGGGCGCCAATGCGTAGTTTGCGGCTGGTTTTCTTTTTTTTTGTGCCTTTTTTCCTGTTTCTGGCTTTCCCCTCTCCCCCCCTTCGTTGGCTTTGATTTGATGGACTGTTGGGTTGACGGGCTGGGCCTGGCTGTCCGGGATATTGTAGGGATGCGGGTGAGTTTTCGATCCCTTCACACTTTTGTTGATTTGCATTCAACCGGACTGACGCCTGGCCAGGATTGTGGAATACGCAACTAGGGAGCAAGCGCAGAATGCCGTCACCACGCTTAGCAACCAGAATCTGATGGGTCGACTTGTCTATGTCCGCGAGGTATGTCGATTCCCTGCCGCGGTCGTCGAGACGGATGAGGTGCTGATAATCCTGTTTCCATATAGGACCGTGAACCCGAGCCCCGTTTCACCGGCGGACCTTCCCGCGGTGACTTTGGCGGTGGTGGCCGCGGTGGTTTCGGAGGCAGTTTCGGCCCTCCTGGCGGTGCCGGTGGCGGCGGCCGTCAGCTCTACGTGGCTAATGTTTGTTGTCCCTCTTTCCCCGGTCCGATGGGTGTAACTGCATAGGATACTTGATCAGACACAGGTTATTGACCAATCTCGGCTTGTTTAGCTCCCCTTCAACGTTGGCTGGCAAGACCTGAAGGATCTTTTCCGTCAAGCAGGTAAGTTCCCTCTCCCGCGGCGAACGTCGTCTCAAACTGCCCCCCTGCTTGTGGCATCGGGCACTCGCGTTAACTCCGACTCCTTATAGCTCAACAAGGCGCCGTTATCCGTGCCGATGTCCACACCGATCCTTCCGGCCGCCCCAAGGGCTCCGGTATCGTCGCCTTTGAGTCGCCCGAGGACGCTCGCAATGCCATTCAACACTTCAACGGCTATGACTGGCAGGGTCGAGCCCTGGAGGTGCGCGAAGACCGCTTTGCCGGTGCCGGTCCCGGCTTTGGCGGCCGCGGTGGTTTCGGCGGCGGCTTCGGCGGTCGTGGCGGATTCGGAGGTCGCGGTGGCTTCGCTGGCCGTGGCGGCTTCGCTGGTGGTTTCGGCGGTCGCGGTGGCTTTGGCGGCGGCTACGGTGGTGGTCCCGGCGGCTTCGAGGGCGTGGCCTCCGTGCCGCCTAACCCCTTCACGGACTTTGCCACCTCGGGTGGCGACAAGAGCCCCGTCATCTACGTCCGTAACGTGAGTACTCGCCGTGTCTAGCCTTAGGAAGAGTGCTGGGAATGATTGAGCTAATGCCATGACAGCTGCCCTGGTCGACCTGCAACGAGGATCTAGTGGACCTCTTCTCGACTATCGGCAAGGTTGACCGCGCCGAGATCCAGTACGAACCCAACGGCCGCTCGCGTGGCACGGGTGTCGTGCAGTTTGACAGCGCAGATACCGCGGAGACCGCTATTGGTATGTTCTTTCCCTGTTGCTCCCCGGAATCGCCGACCGGGACGCTAACGAATATCACCAGCCAAATTCACCGGTTACCAGTACGGTGGCCGTCCTCTCGGCATCACCTTCGTCAAGTACATGAACGCAGACCCCGGCCATGGCGATGCGATCATGGACGGCGGCGACCCGACCGGAGGAATCACGCAGGATCAGATCATGTAATTGTATCCATGTCGCATCCGTTTATTTTGTTTTCATTTCTTTTCTTTTCTCTCCCTGCAGGTAGGCTTGTGAGGAAGAAAAAGTTTTGTGATGTCGGTTAAGACCAACGACCTGTTCTTGGGATGGATTCGAATATGTCATGTCATCTGATTCCCTCGTGTGCCTTCTTTCTCTTGCGTGTTACTCCTCTCGGCGGTCTGATTTTGTTTTTTATGTACGGGACCAATTGAATCTCGACCCATGTCTCCCATCTTTCGTTTTGCCTGAGCCGATATCTAGGATATCTAGGATCTCGTAGGATACCCGCAGCCTTAGGCATTGACTCAAGCTGTCACTCCCAGTTCTCGATATCTACACTGTAAACTGCAAGCTTCGAGATGATCTACGTCATCGCTCCACTTTCGACAGAAGATTATGGAGAGGGAATGATAGGAATACGATAGATAAGTCACGATCATGAATGAATTCATCAAGCAATCGAGCAATCCCATTTCGATCTAGATTGCGCGATCACAACAGTTTCGTCGATAGATTTAGATAGATATATATAGATGGATAGATGGATAAATGCCCAAACCAAGGCACGCATGGGAACATACGTCTCAAATTGAGATCTCAAATAGGTACCTGAATACCTAGAGCAACACACCAAAAAATAACGGGGGAAAAAGCTGAAAATATAGTACAGAGAAGCGAAATAACAGGCAATGAAATGAAATCATAAATCAAAGCAAACCATATAACCAAGACGCCTCTTAGAATCATATCCCATCCTGCCTTGCCGTGAGTCCTGTCCCATCCGAGGTCCCTCTGGACCTGACCTGACCAAACCCAACCAAACCAGTCCTGACCTGTTACCGGTAGGACGATAAACGCCAGAAATCCGAGCCGAATTCCTTTGTTGCTGTCGTGAACGAGGCAGAGAGAATGAACAAAGGAGATAATGAAAAAAAGCACGGACTCCAACACGGGTATCCAAGCTGAAAAAAATAATAATGTACAGAGAAGAGGAAACGAGACCATAAGAATCGGAACAAAGGGAATGAGTGACAAAGGAAACTAACAAAGGAAATAATTGCAGGGAAGGAAAGGGTCGGTGTGATAGGATAGATCAGAATGTGACTGCTCTGATTTCTTCTGTCCCTCACATCCATCCCTCTTTCCTTACCCCCTGATTTGGTTTTTCTTCTTTTCTTCCTTTTTTTTATATTTTCAGGTTTAGGCGGAGACATTGGCCGGGGGGTAATGTCCCGGGATTCTCAGTTCGAGGGTTGAGACGCTGTTCTTGCTTTGAGCAGACGGCCGTTTGCCTTCGGTAGTGACGCCGCCGGACGACATGACGGGGACGGTCTTCGCCGACGAGACTTCGGCGGCAGGGTCGAGGGTTTTCCTCTGCGCGTCGTTCAGGGGCTTTTCGGACCCTGAGATGGATGGCTCCGGGCCCTCGTCGATCGACGTGGGAACGGTGTTATGGGTGTGATCGGTCACATTGGTAGTGGTGGGCGCAGTGGATGCACTCTCGCCCCGGTTCCTCTGTTGTACAACCGAAGAATCACGCGAGCTCCCCGAGCCCATCCCGGCGACGAAGAAGGTTTGGGGTTGAGAGGAGCTATCTCGGTAGAACCGAGAGCCTTGATTCCCGGACGCAGAATAGGTTTGCTGAGCCTCCTGCTGTTTCTGACGAGCGACAGAGTCGGTGGGACTCATCCAACCACCGTAATAGCTGTCGTGTCGCTCAAAAGGGCTTCGAGGCCCTTCGGAACCCGCCGCAGATCGAGACTGATTCTCATCGATGCCACGATTCGACATGGGCCGGGCATTGGGATCGAAATGATCGGACAAGGAGCCGGCCGCGGCTAGCAGGTCTCTCTCACCGGAACTCTCTCCACTCGACGGCGACAGTGGGGCCTGCAAATGGCGGTCTATCTGCACATCACTGGGGAACCGGCCGCCCGGCTCACGGGGCTGAGACGCAGGCCGCTCCTGGTTTAAAACCGCAGATTCCGGCGAGTAGGGCGTTCGGTCGGCTTCGTCTTCATCCATGACTCCGTCGATGCTGGTGCGATAACTGTTCCCACTGACCGTTCGCACATGTCTCCGGACAAAAGCATTGCGGGCTTCACCCGTCTTGGAGATCAGGCTCTCGATGTCTTCGTACCACGCCATCATGGTCTCGTGAGATTCTGCACGGAAGACCCATGAGTGGCCCCGATGCATGGTGCCCGTCTGTCGGCCCTTCAGCATGAATTTGTGCGAGGTCGAATCCGGCTGCGAATGCGTGCCTAGCTTTTGCTCCGGGAGGTACAGCGACATGACCGGGGTTTGCCAGGCCACTCGATCGGCCGACTTGAATTCGTGAAGATGCGTCGGAGACAACACATACCTGCATTATTGGATTAGAAAGCAGGTTCTTTCCCCCGAAGACAAGGACAACAACAAGGAAAAAAAAAAGCATCTTACCAGCCAGGCGTATAGCTCTTCAGGTACTTGCTCTTACGCTCGAGCATCCCCGACCGAACTTCTGCAGCGGCGGGATGATCCTTGCCTGGATAAGAAATGTTCTCCACGTCTCGCAGAGGAACTCGAGGATCGACAAGCTCGTCGGTCGTGGCAATGAATGAATTCCATTCGTGATCGTGGGGCATGGAAATCGGTCCCGCCCGCAGTTTGTTGACAGTGTCGTACGTCTCGTCGGCTTCCCGTTTGAGAATGCTGGCATATGCGTTGTAGGCCTTCTGAATCTCGCTGACCACAATTGACTCTAGCTCGCGACCGGAATTTTCCAGGTTCAAGAACGCCTGCATGACGCAATGGAATTAGCGGTCAGATCTCCCGAAATAGGAGCGCATCGGAAAGAGAGGAGTTCATACCCGGTGCAAATAGTTCTCTTCCTCGATCTGCTTTTCGATCTGCTTATCCACACTCAAGCGGACGATGAAAGGGTCGCCCTTGCCCGAAGTTGCGGACGGGTCGGTGTCGACCAGTCCGAGTGATTCGTGCAGCTGTCGCACCGACTTGCGGGTGGCTTCGACTTCTTTGTCCACGGAGTTCCGAAAATCTCCCGAGAGACTCCTGATTTCCTTGGTTTTCTTCTGCAGGTCATTCCGGAGACCCATCAGCTGGCTGACGACCTCGCTTTCCACCTCGGCAGCCTTCGTCGCCTCCAGATAGCCTTGTCGGTGAAAATCTCGCAGGACTTCGGTCGCATCTCCCAGACCTCCGGATTTGAGGAATGTGGGAGGAAGGGACGTGTTGTTAATGACGTTCGATGCCGAGAGGAACAGTTTCGCTCGGGCTTCGTAGGATTTCTGGATTTCCTTGAAGAAGATGATCAGGTCCTTGAGGGTTTTGCGCCACGCTGCGGGAGACGTTAGCATTTCACGCGGAGACACCGGTATTCAAAAGGAGGCCCGGCGCGCCAGAAGGATTCCCGACTTACCCTGAAAGCGATTCGCCAATACCTCGGTGGGCGTTCCATCCGTGGGGATGGGGATATAGAAGGCGCTGTTTTGATCGTCGGCGCCTTCGACGCCATACTTCTCCTTATCTCCAAGGACCAGACTGCGCACGCTGCCGGCGCGCAAACTGCGTTTACTCCCGCTGCGGCGCATGCTGCCTCGTTTGCTGAGCGACGATTTCTTCTTCAGAGTACCGGTGCCGGATCGCGTCGGGGTTGCGGAGCGACTGGACATTTGCGAGACGGAGCGTTGCATTCCAGCGGACGAGGGGCCCTCGAGAACGACGGAGCCCCGTTGGGTAGCCGCATCGAAGTCCTCGTGGAAACGACCGGCACGAGGGAGGGCGGATGGTTCCACGACAGCGCCGTGAGCGAGATTGTAAGCGGAACTGCTGGCGGCGAAGGAGTTGGGTCGGGAGCCTGATCGCGTGCCGTATCCTCGACTGGAGATGGAATCGGGGGCTTGCGCGGTGGCACCATATGCGTCCTGCACGGGGGTTTGCGACCGTAATAGGGTGGCCATCGTTTGTATGGCAGGGAGAGGGAGGGGGAACGAAAGAGGCGGGGAGAGAAGGCGAGGGAGGCCAAGGAATAAAAGCGAGGAGGGGAAGGTTTGGAGAACCAGAGGCAACAGAGAATAATCGGGCGGTGCAGACCCAGACCCGGGATGGAGGATCAAATCAGAACGGCGGAACTGGAGCAGTCGGGCTGAGATAAGGCTATATAATACCGGGAGATAATAATAGCAGTCGAACTAAGTTGCCGATCCGAGAGGGGAGACCGAAGAGATGAATGATAGGAGAGCGAGAGAAAGGGAGGATGAGAGGACGAGAGGAAGAGAGAACGAAGAGGAGAGGAAGGAGAGGGAGAGGGAGATAGGGGCAGGGAGAGAGGATAGCAGGAAGATGAAGTCAGGACATAAAAATGAACTGAAATGAAATGAACGGGGATAAAAAAAATAAAAATAAAATGGAAATGAAAATAAAATAAAATGAAATTACGACGTCGAAAAGGAGAGCGAAGGCCCAAAGGATCCCAGTCGAACGATGAACGCGGCGTTACCCAGCGAACGGGGATGCTGGTCTGGAGCGAACTGTTATGCGGGGACCGTCACCGTTCCTCCTGAATGCTAATGTCCGTAGGTATATTTAATTTCGAAATATCGGCGTAAGACAATAATAACGAGAGCCAGTCGCTGTCGAACTGGCCGATCGCTGATACTAGCCCAGGTCCCACCGGGTCTAGGAGAGGCACTATCGAGGATTTAGGGGAGGGAGGGTCAGGTAGAGAGCAATTAATCTCAATCACTCCATCGATCGGAGGCTGTTCTGGACGGGTCAATGGGCCGGACTGGCTGTCTGGGAGGATGTACAAGAGTAAATATGGTCAAATGGCGATAAGAAGGGGCCCTGGTCGCCGCTTGCGGATGACGTCTACGCCGGTTAAGCTCCAAGGAAATGCGACGTTATGACCCAATCTCAATAATGGCTTCTCTTTTCTTGGTCTTTGGGCTTCACGGAATGACCGGAGCCGAGGGAGACCGACGTCCTGGCGTTGATGTAACCAGTGGAAGAGCATTCAGAGAGGTGAATCCGTTGCCCCGGAGGTGGGAAGGAAGTAAGTACGGAGTACCCTCCCTGTACACACAGAGTCAGTCTACCATAGACCATAGTAACGGGACATACTCCGCAAGGACTCCAACCACCACCTCAACGTGGCTGGAGGTCGCCGAGGAAAAAAGACCGCCGTGGCTGTGGCTGTCGTCCATGCCCAATGACGGCTCTGCATGGACTCTAGTCCGCTGAATCGTTCTTCATGCCTTCGATGGAGTCCGCAATCCCCCTTTTCCCTGCCCTTACCCACCGCGGTGGCAAACCCTTCCGTCCTTCCGCAGGAGAATTTTTTACCTAGAAAAAAAGGAGAACTTTCCGACGGGCGATCCCGCGGTCCTTGCACTGTCCTCCTTTCGGGATGGGCGGAGGCAGCAACTTTCCAAAGGCGAAAGTATCCGGGCATTTCGACGTCATGCACGGTTCATCCGCCTCCTCGATCGACGTCGATGGTTTGCATTGTCCATTGGATTGGCAGATGGCTAGTACCCTGAGGAGTCAGGACCTCCTTATTATTATCGTCAGTAGATCGGACCGATTCACTGGACGGGTGATCTCCACGACCTTCTGGAAAAAGCCCTTACCCGAGACCCGAACACTAACATGAACCAGCTTCGACTTACATCATTTCATGTAGTCGTAGTCCAGGATGGAGTAGTCCATTTTGATGTAGGAGACCCGACAATCCTCCAGGGTGTTTCCCCTGCGTGGATGATCACGCATTGCGGATTGACAGGGCGAGATCGGCATTTCCGCAGGCCCAAGTCTGAAGCGCTCTGTCACCTGGGATATGGATTATCTGCTTTTCTTTCTTGGCGTTCCCTTGCTTTGAGGACTTGGTCGGGTCTCTCCTGTGTACCTGTACTTTTGCAACCTTGAAGGGACATTCTCTACTCCGGAATAAGTTGGGGATCTCCAGGGAGGTGATTGGATAAGCCGACGACGTGATTGGCCCTCGCTCCCCCACCTCCGGGCCTTGAGGATGCCAGTATTCTAAGGCTTCTGTAGATTTGGAATATCAATTGCAGGATTCCATTGTTACTGTGGCCGGAACTTGGTCTAACCTACGTCCGTGGCGATGGGCAGTAGCCTCAAAAGAAGGTGATCGCTCACGAGAAGGGTATTCCAGACATTAGACCCCTGCTCTGGGGGATTCTCATCGATTACGACCCTGGATCTTCCTGCTCTTGCGTGACCGGTAGTTCCACTCGCTGGCCTGGTTCTCTCTCGTAGATAAGGTGACTGAAGACGTCCATTTACGGTAATCTGTCACAGCATGGACAGTATGATACGTCTTGGCGCGGGATCAAATAAGCATGGGTGTTGGACCGGGCATCAACGGCAGGGGACCCGTACAGAACGAAGCGTAGATGTCAACGGAAAAAGAAAACTTTCATTGGAGAATGTGCCAAATGTGCTAGCTAAAGGTGGTCGACACGAAGCGATAATTTTACACAAGGAAACTGGGAATCGGCAGGCGGGGGACAAGAGAGATCGAACCAAAGCTTCTTTATGACGCGGGGACGGGGGATGTGGGAACTTCGATGCCGTATGCCTCCTTGATTCTCTCTCGTCGTCTCTCGGCGTACCCGGGGGCGTAGATGCCTGCGACACGTGCATTAGTACGGGTCCGACCCTCGACGACTCGGGATTGAACGTACCTCGTCCCTCACCCAGCTCGGCGACGGTCTGCTCTCCCGACGTGCGGAATTGCTTTCGCAGCTGCGTCCGACGCTCAAATTCGTCGACAGAGCGGTCCTTCTGGTAACCCCACAGCGATCCACCGGTGAATTCGAAGGCGCCCATGCCGGTTGCCAGCGCCGCACCGTAGCCCAGGAGGGCGGGGAAAGTCCGGGCTGTACAGGTGAAAGACATCCGATTAGACCAATGGTTCCGCAACTCACAGAATTAGTTGGAGGGATACTAACCGCGCAGACCCAGAAGGGCTCCGGAGAAGAAACCGCCCAGAGCGACGTTCCAGTGGTCATCCTTCTCCCGCAGGTTGGCCGAGGCGTCCTTGACGAATTCGTAGGTACCACCCATGGCCGCTGAAGATTGCAGGGGTCAGCAAAGACAAACAGGCTACCAACGCAGGGTGCCAATGGCATGCATACCAAAAAGACCGATGGTGCTGCCGCTTCTCACGAACACACCCCAGGGTCCGACGTTCTTCTTCACCAGGGTGTTCTGCACAGCGGAAGTGAAAAGACCGACTCCACCGGTCAGCATGGTCGTCTTCAATGACGCCATGATGGTGTTCTTGGGGTGATAATGCTCTTCGGTATGGACAGCCATGGTGGCGGATGGAGGGGAGGAGTCGCAACTAGGCGTGCTGCTTGCAGTGGAGAGTCGTTTTGGCCGGTGATGCTGGGATTTTGGAAGTCGCTCTTTGTGCCGCCCGTCACCGCCTTCCCGCCCATCTGATGGAGAGCTTCATGCGAGTGGGTGAAGGCAGATGATCATCGCTCCAGCATCCTGTTCCTTTGACCGAAGACGCTCGCTTCTGTCCCTGTGCATCCTGTGCATCGTCACTTTTTTGTCAGTGGCTTCGTCTCGTGGTCGTTCTTTCGATATCCTCGCTTCAAAGCTGCCCGGTTGGAGTCCCGATTCCTACACTTGCCGCCCGCCTGGGGCTCCCCGCTGTCCCTACTGCCTGGGCCTTTTTGTCCTTCTAGACACAATCAAAGAATTCCGGAGCCTCCAGGCGTCCATCATTACGCTATCCTTTCTGAGAAAACCCTGTTATGCTGAACCCGGCTGTATGGGAAAAAGGAACTTTGCTAAGCGTCTTTGATCCTTGTCGCCTGATCCTCCGGTACCTGTGAGCTCCAGAGGGCCTACTAATGTCGTCCTTCCAGAGGCCAGGTACGTATGACCGACATCCGTGGCTTATCAGAGGCATCGCGAAAGTAGGTATGCTCGAATTTGATGCTAACGGGATTGATTTGGCTCCCAGGCAAGACTGCCCCGCGTCTTGTACAAGATATCCATGACTATGACTTCATCCATCCTCCGAGTACAGGGCGCAACCTCCTCCGCGACGTCCCACCCGTTTTCCCCGAACGCTCCGATGGCCAGCTGGAGTACAGCTCGCCGGTAGCATGTCGCCACCAATACGTGACCAAGCCCGCCCAAAGCTTTATGCAACCGGGCGTCGGTAGTCCCCCGAAAGTGTCCGCCGTGTGCTTGAAGTGCCGGTGTCACTTACAGGCCGTCGTGACATTTACCTCCGCTCTCGCTCGTCCCAGCCAGGGCCCGGCAGGCCACATACATCATTTTATCTATAAGTCGGGGAGACAAGTCGGCGGGCCATCGCCCGAAGAGATCACGTACAAAGGGCAGCCGGCGGAAATGTATCGCTACGAATGTTCCTACATCACCTGCCCTGTCGGGGTGTCAGTCCGAATCGCTTCTCCCCTGCTCAACGAGGATTCGGTTCAGCTCTTGACGGACCCCGATGTATTGCAGAAACGAGCGAATGAAGCGATGGCAACGTACCCTGATCGGATGGAAGGGATGGCAGCGCCGGACCCTCTCACCGTCTTGATCACGTTGCGCACATATCTAAGTAACGCTCTTAATGATGGCCAGCGGAGCAAGTCGATATCTGCCGTCAATAAGAGGTTCATGAACTGTTTTGGCATTGAAGGGCAGCCGTGCAAGGAGTTGCTAGAATTTCTGGAGTTCTCCGCTAAGGTACGTTTTTGTATCATCCGTTAACGACTACGTGCTGGGTCTGTTTCTGACGTCCTGTTCAGACTGAAGGCTTTTGGGAACCTCCCCGGCCTAGTCCCTGGGCAGAATTCCCCTACCACGACCAGCTTAAGATCTTTCTCGACGACGCAATCCATGAACTCGCCGCGCTTATAGAACAGAGGCCATCAATCGAGAAGAAAGGGCACCAACTTGAATTCAATCACAACCCGGCTAGAAATGACCTTCTTTCAGCCCTGGGATGTCTGGATTGTGAGTCCACGTTCATATTATGCGTTAGTAAACTCGGCTGAACAATTCATTTAGATCCGATGGCTTTTCGACTCGACGAGTTTCAAATGGCACCTGAACCGTTTGTGTCACCCACGAATTAGATATTACTAGGGTGAGTGCTGATTGACCGATCTAGGTTCTACGAAGATTTGGGAGTCGTCGAAGATATGTCATCTTCCACAATAATAGAAGCATTCAATCGACAAGTCTCGGTGGACTCGGGAAGAACGCCCATATATCTACACTGTCTTAAATCGATTGGAAGTCTTCGGGGCGGGGAGGATAGGGCTCTCATTGACCAAGCAGTCCAACTGGCTTACGCAGAAGGCAAATATACCAACGAGGACGTCTTTAATGCCTACAAGTACTTTGGACTAAGCCATGACGATACTCGCCTTACTGAGGATAGCATCATTGGGAAGTTCTATGCTTACTTGAGCTCCACCACCCAGGAAGAAGAAACTCGTCAGCAGCTATGGAGAATCGGAGACAGCAGGCGCAGTGAGCGTATCAAAGCAGCGGCTGAAGACAGTATGTTTCATAACCTGTCGCCCGCGACAGCCCAGATTAACTCAGATATGACTAACGGATGATACCAGGAGTTGCGACTGTTGAACAAGCCCAGGTATTTCTGGGAGTTAGCGATGACACATCCGACGATTTTATTATGGCCATGTACACAGCTAAGGTACGCTTCTTGCCACTCTAAACGTTCATCCGGAATTGTAGGTACTGACAATATGGCTTAGGTTAACGACAGTCCGTCGACTAAAGATCTCGCAAGACGTGCGATTGGAATCATAGCCGACGCAAGAAAGTCGACCGCTCTCAAGCACTTCTTGAATACTGGTGAAATGACGGCCAGTGAGATGGACCTTGGGGATGCGTATCGTCTCCTCCAGATTCCCGATCGCACGGTGGATGAAGGAGCAATCATGGCGGCTTACACGATTTGTGTCGATGAGGCCCCTGCGCAAGTTGAAACTTACAATCAGGCATTGGCAATAATCGCTAAGGAGAAAAACAGCCCGTTGTTGAGTAGCATGGTCTCCGGTTCTGCCCCCAAACCTGACCGAAACATGTCAGAATGGCCTGTGGGACTGGAAAACATTGGCAACACTTGCTACCTGAACAGCCTGTTGCAATTCTACTTTTCAGTGCGCCCATATCGCCAGATGGTACTCGATTTCGAGAAATTCAAGATGGCTATCAACGACGAGAGTTTGAGCAAGAAGCAGGTGGGATCCCGCAAAGTCTCACAAAAGGAGGTCGAGCGGTCTCAAAAATGTAGGTGGCGCTTTGGACCCTGAATGTGCAATCGATGGAAGACTTATCATTTGTTATATCAGTCTTGAGAGAACTGCGCACCCTGTTTAATGACATGATCCACTCCCCCAATTCTCATGTTATCCCGGGGCAGGAGCTGGCACGGTTGACTTTGATCAGCCCTTCGAATGAAGCTGCAATCCGTCGTCGGTCCACAATATCTGCCATTCGACCTGGCGGTCTCGGTGAAATAAATGGCGCCCCAGTTTTGGGTCCTCTTGGACCACCCCAGCTGCCTGCGGACGAGGAGACGCATAATTCAACAGCCCTCGATACGGAAAAGCGCCAACGTTCAGCAATAAGCGACGTTGATAGCGACGCCACCCTTGTCTCCGATGGCAACAAGAACGCGACGCCGGCCGCTTCAAGTGATGATGCCACAATTGTTTCCAGCGATGATGCTACGATTGCCCCCAGCGATAAACCCACCATCAGCCCAAGTGAGGACAAGGAAAATGAGCTGCCACAGCCCGCCGATGCTGTAATGACGGACGTGCAGGGTGAATCGGCCTCTGAACCGCCCCAAACCACTGGTTCCGACAACAAATCCGCTGTGGAGAAAACCGCACCTTCCAACAAACCACCGCCCGTGCCTCCTCGTCCCGTGCCACAGGGCGATACACAGAAGCAGCAACTATTAGATGAGGTTGAGATCGGAGCGCAGCAGGATGTGACGGAGGTGATCAACAACGTGCTTTTCCAGAGCCAGTGTGCTATTGAGCCAAACTCGATCGCTGCGGACGGCGAGCAGATCGACCGGATCAAGGAGTGAGTCTCTACTCTACTTATCTGCCCTAGTTTTGAAGCTTACAGGCATCTTTTCTCAACAGTCTCTTCTACGGACAAGCCAAATCTTACATCCTTTCCAAGGAAGGCGTGCGGTCCAAGGAGGAACGGTGGTGTGATATCAAGATCGATGTTGCAACTGGATCCCGTGATATCTATGCCGCCATCGACGGTGCTTTCGACATCCAAAAAGTTAATGTTGGTGACTCCGTGGCGGAGCAATTTGGTGCCATAAGCAGACTGCCGCCTGTGCTCCAGATCCAAGTACAGAGAGTCCAGTTCGATCCTGTGAAGAAACGCTCATTCAAATCCACGCACCACCTCGAGCTAAAGGAAACCATCTATCTCGATCGCTATATGGACACCCAACAGCCAGAGATCATGGATCGTCGACGCCAGTGCTGGGAATGGAAGGAAAATCTAAGGAAGCTCGAGGCTCGGCGCGATGAGCTGCTCCGCATTGATGTAAGAAAACTACTCCGGCTTGGATTGGACACCAAAGGCCAACCTTTCTGACGCTTAATATAGGAAACGGATTCCTACGATATGCCAGCCTTGTTCAACAGCGCCAAGGAGGTCCTTGAGGACCTAAATTCTTGGAAAGGCAACCCAGAATTAGCAGACGATGCTATTGATGTTGACCCGCAATTGTTCCCTAAACTTGAGCAGGTGTCGCAGGTAGCGAAGTCTGAACTAAACAGTGAGTCTTTTTTTTTCTTTTTTCAGGTCACATTTATTACTTCTTCAGATCACCTTGAAACTATGGGTCGGTCAGCTGACACATTGTAGGCATCAATCAAGAAATAAAGGATACGCAGACAATGATTTCCAGTCAGTTTGCCGACTCTAGGCGTCTGCCCTATCGTCTCTATGCAGTCTTCGTTCATCATGGGTCTGTAACATTCGGCCACTACTACATCTACATTCGCGACTTTGAACGAAATATCTGGCGCAAGTACAACGATAACTACGTGACCGAAGTCAATGATCTGGATGAGATCTTCACGAACAATGACCGTCAGAATCCGCCGACGCCTTATTTCCTTGTCTATGTCAACGACGGCATGAAGGAGCGCTTGGTCGATCCCGTTTGCAGACAGGTGGTTGAGAGCCAGCCGGAGAACGAGCATCAGCCAGTTGCGGACACGGCTACCGCCATGGAAGGAGTCACTACCCAACCAGTGGCGAACGAAGTGGACATGAAGCCACCATCGTATGATGAGATATGGACTGACAAAGGTGTACCAGGTACGGGAGATCACCATCGAACCGTCGGGGTGGGAGACGGCAAGGAAACTCCAACATGGCCGTCGAAACAAGACACTAACTACCAGACTGTGGAATGGTAGGCTCCGAGACCAATTCGCCAGCTGGAGTCATGCTTCCGAATCCATTGAAGCGCAAGGGGTTAGATGATGTGGCATGGTGAGAGAGAGGGAGAGGAACCTGCATGGCATTCTCGTATCGAAAGATGTCTTCTGATGACGATGGATCGAGCCACCCATTGTGCAAAAGCCGGGGGGATGGATTCGTCGGAGGACTGAGCCTAGGCCGGGCTACCTCATTCTTATTCTTGTGATTATTTGCAGAGGGGTTGTAATGTTGTTTTACATGTGCATGGTAGCGGGTCATTGTTAGCTGTGATCGTTGTTTTTCTGTAAATAGCGGACGATACCATCGTGATGAACGCAATGATGATGATGTACAGAGTTAACTTCAAGGTTGTCTACTCCAGAATGGCTGAATCAGCGGACGATCCGAGGCGGGCCGCGGATCGGCATCGGAAGCGCCACTTGTCGGTTGTCCACGGCGGGAGCTGCTGCGGCATAGACGAATGCAGTGAAACCGTGGGATTCCTCCGCAGGACAGGGCGAAAACAGGCAAGAAACACGTATTCAATGGAGAAACGGTGAGATAGAAACATCATTGTTGCCAGAGGGTTGGGGTTTACTCCGGCGTACGCAGTAGAGGTCCGCCGAAAAGTACAAGTGCCGGCCTGAGGCTGCTAGGCCAACGTGATCTCCAGGCTCCTGCGGGGGCATTCCGGGGTTTACTCCGTAGGGCGGATTGGCTTCCGCAACTCCGCAGCTGCCCGCCGCGCCCGATCTATTTATCCCGTGGTTCTTGCGCTGGAGCTGCAACCTTCCCTCTGTTCTTTCCGCCTCCCAGTGCCATTCTCTCGCAAAGCTTTACCTCGAAGATCGGATGAAGACTGTCGATTCCTCCATTTTCAGTTTAAACTCCCGCAGCTGTTGAAATAAAGCCACCCCTTCTTTCCCTCTCACAAGTCCTCGCCTCACTAGGCACTCAATTCGTCATGCCTTCACAAGTAGCGACTTCCTTGCGCCTAGCAAGGCAGTTCTCTGCTAATCCAGCCAAGGTAAGTCTGTGGCCAATGTCTTACACCGCCCAGGGATGAGACTCGGAATGCTCACCTTCGGTGATTATAGCACCAAAGGTTTCTTGCACGTGCTTTCTCGAGCAGCACTATTCGACCTGAAATCAACAAGGTCCTCTCGTCGGCCGAGCTGGCAGTCAAGGACATGAAGTCCAATTCAACTCTTCTGGCAGGTGGCTTCGGACTTTCCGGGGTCCCGGACACGCTCATCAATGCGGTGCGAGCCAATCCCTCGATTTCCGGATTGACAGTAGCCAGTAACAATGCCGGAGTCGACGGATCTGGGCTGGGTCTCCTCCTTCAGTCTCGACAAATCAAGAAGATGATTGCCAGCTACGTGGGCGAGAACAAGACCTTCGAGCGCATGTACTTAACCGGCGAGATCGAGCTCGAGTTGACACCGCAAGGTACCCTGGCGGAGCGTTGTCGATCCGGAGGCGCCGGTATCCCTGCGTTCTATACCCCCGCGGCTTTTGGAACGGTCGTTCAGACGGGTGAGCTGCCCCTGAAACACAATGCCGACGGTACCGTCGCGCAGTACAGCCACCCCCGGGACGTCAAGGTGTTCGACAACAAGAGCTACGTGATGGAGGAGGCGATCAAGGGTGACTACGCTTTCGTCAAGGCCTATAAGGCCGACAAGCTGGGTAACTGCCAGTTCCGGTATGCTGCCGCCAACTTCAACGGAGCCATGGGACGTAACGCGAAGATGACCATCGTGGAGGCGGAGCATATCGTGGAGCCAGGCGAGATCGATCCCGCAGCCATCCACCTGCCCGGTATCTACGTGAAGCGTGTCATTCAGAGCACCGAGCCTAAGAATATTGAGAAGTTCACTTTCGCCAAGGAGGAAGGGGACGATGCGGCTGCTCTGGGCAAGGGCGACACTGCCACCAAGCGGGAGCGTATTGTTCGTCGCGCAGCCAAGGAGTTCAAGAACGGGATGTATGCGAACCTGGGCATCGGAATGCCCATGCTGGCCCCTAACTTCGTGGATCCTTCGGTGGAAGTGATGCTTCAGTCTGAGAACGGTATTCTGGGTCTGGGACCCTACCCTAAGAAGGGCCAGGAGGATCCGGATCTCATCAATGCGGGTAAGGAGACCGTGACTCTTTCGCCTGGCGCCGCTGTCTTCGGCAGCGAGGAGTCCTTCGGTATGATCCGTTCGGGACGTATCGACCTGACCATCCTGGGCGCTATGCAAGTCAGCGCCCGAGGTGATCTGGCTAACTGTGAGTTAACCCCTCAAGTTATTCCTTACTTCCCCAGTGCTAACGAGGGTCTGACAGGGATGCTTCCTGGCAAGATCAAGGGCTTCGGTGGTGCTATGGACCTGGTGTCCAACCCGTCGGCCACCAAGGTGGTAGTGACGATGGAGCACACCGACAAGAAGGGCAACCCCAAGATTGTCAAGCAGTGCGAGTTCCCCCTGACCGGGAAGTCCTGTGTCAGCCGGATCATCACCGATCTTTGTGTGTTCGACGTCGACTTCACCGACGGTCTGACTCTGGTCGAGCTGGCCGACGGAGTCACGGTGGACGAGGTCCGCAGCAAGACTGAGGCTTCATTCAAGGTGGCCGATGACTTGAAGCCCATGCTATAAAAGCAATTCGCCTCTCTGTGCTATGGATAGGTGACAAGTTTGCATACATGATTGTGATTTTCAAGCGTATAGGGTTTGATCGGTTGATCGGGGACAAAACAAAAAAGACATATCTGGATAAGACACTGTAAATACTATGCCTCATTGAGTTTAACAATTCATTGCAATTTATGGACATGATCAAAAAGACAACCCCCTAAACAGCTCCCCAGTAAGAATTGAGTTTTTTTTATTCCCTTTCTTCTCTTTGATATATGTACATCTACCCAACCATCATTCCAAAACATTAGTTAGTAGTACAACCGATAAGCATAGCAATACAGCCCCACAACTCTCTCAACTGGTTACTTCAACCTGAAAAGCCCCCTCATCCTCTTCCCCAATCGCCCCAACCAGTCTCGCGACGGCGCCTCCGCAAACTCCTTGATCACATTATCGTAATGGTCCGGGTTGCTGGCGGGCCGTCGCAACTTCGGTGGCAGCGGATACCGCCGGGCGTAGCGGTTCTCCAGCAACGAGGACAGGGCGTTTAACGAGGCCTCTGAGATTTCGCCGCCCGGCGCGGACTGCGGTTGCGACTGCGACTGCGACTGCGGTGGTTGTTGCTGTGCGGAGGATTGGGGAGGGAGGCGGGAGCGAAGGTAGGTTTGGACGGAGACGGAGGCTGGGCGGACAGGATCGGAGGGCCAGTGGTTGAGGAGATGTGAGATGCGCGCCTGGATGGATTGGGGGCCGAGGTTCTGGGGGGGTGTGGTGGTTTGATTAGTTCTGGGCGATCTAGCTAGGGACCGCGATGGAGGGACGTACGGGTGGTTTGACCATGATGGCGGGTGGAAGTTGAGTTGGGGAGTATGTGGTGGGTGGCCAGAGAGGAAGAATATCTTCTGGAACAGAGGGAGGGAGGAAATATCAAGAAGGGTCGCGAAGTCGTGATGGTGGGTAATGCACGCAGTAGTATGTAGTTCTCCGGAGTCAAGAGGAAGATAAAAATAAAATCACGGGATGGGGGCAAAGTCACGGGAGGGTCATGCCCCAGGCAGCCATCCGGGGTGGATCTTCTCTCTTTCTTCCGCTCTCCGTCTTTCTCCCTCGTCCATTCATTCATTCCCTCTCTTTCTCGTCTGTTCCCCCCCGGCCTCAGCGCCTCCGACCATCTCCTTCATCTCCGTTCTTTTGTCCCTCTCCTTGATCTCGAGTCGCTCTACATCCCTGTCGGCCTTTTTCTGCACCCGGCCTCCCTCACGACCTTGCCTTCATTTCCCGGATCGTCGGCCCCCCTCGTTCCGCTCGTCATGAGCTCGCAGCGTTACCAGCGGGTAAGAGTCACGCCATCGCCTTTTCCTCCACGATATTCCCCTGGACGGAAATCTCTCGATACCTTTTTGCGTCTATTGGTGTAGAAAATGCGATGCGGTGGCGGAACGGATTTGCTAATACGATGCTATTCAGGTGAACGCCCATGACGATGAGGAGGCGCCGCAGTCCCATTCGTCGATCCCTCTCCGACCCAACCCAACACCCTCTTCTCCGCCGCCCTCATTTCGCTCTCGCTCCTCCTCTCCCTCCACGAGACGTCTTCTCCAAAATGATCCCCATGATAACGGTGCCGATGAGACCCTCGCCGCGGCGTTTGGCGATGGCAGCGACTCCGAAGACGATGACGAACCCGATGACCGCCAACGACTAATGCGTGCCCAGCCCGACTCCCATCCGGTCGCGGATAGCAACAACACCACAGCGAGTGCCTCATCATCGGGCGCTGGCAGCGGATCACAATCCTCAGGGGAACAGTCTATGCCCGCAATGCAACGGAGACCGACGATTTTGCCATCATTTAATGGTTCCAGCTCCGGCCCGGGTCGCATGATCAGTTCTTCGAACGATGGCGTCTTTGCGAATCTGGCGGCGAAGCCTGAGCGAGGGGAGAAGAACGAGGATATGCCTCCGGTATGTTGACCATTCTTCCCCCCCCCCCCCCCCCCGTCGATGCTGTCGGTCTCTGTGGTTGGAATGCTAACCTTATCTCTTTTTGATATGTAGTCCTACGAGGAAGCCGCTGCTGACGCCACTCCCCCCTACTGGGAGACCACCATCGTGGCGCCCGGAATTGCGTCCGACGAGGTGTATGTGGATGGACTGCCGGTCGGATCGGTGTTCTCGTTTGTCTGGAATGCGATGATCTCGATGTCGTTCCAGCTGGTCGGTTTCCTGCTCACGTACCTCCTCCACACCACACATGCGGCGAAGAACGGAAGTCGAGCCGGCCTGGGCCTCACCCTGGTGCAGTACGGCTTCTACATGAAGGGTGGTAGCGAATCTCGAGGGGGCGAAGAGGGCTCCGACCAGTATGTAACGCCGTCCGACCCTAACAGCCACAACTTCGACCCGAACTCGGTCAACGAGGGTTCGGGTGGGGATGGAGGCAGCGCTGCGGACATCAGCACGAGTGACTGGATCTCGTACATCCTGATGATCGTGGGGTGGTTCATCTTGATCCGGGCCATCAGCGATTTCCTACGAGCTCGACGGCACGAGCAGCTGGTGCTGCAGAGCCCCGATCGAGGGTTGGGCGTTCCGGTCATTGCGGAAGGCGAGCGATCGGAGACTGTTGTTTGAACTTCCTCTTGTTCTCGTATATGGAAGCCTGTCTATAAATCATCTCCGGGGGTTACCCTCCCGGACCGTCAAGGTTGGAGCTTCGGAGCTAGGGAGTTTTCTTATTTCTTTTTTGATTTCGTGCATTGATTTGTTCCTGCGTTGGATTTTTGGCGATTTGCGCTGGCATCCGGAGAGCAAAACCCCGGACCAGCCGGCGAGATTGCCACGCATTCAGCCTGCATTGTAGCTATTTATCGGATTGACTAGGGGGTGTTCGAGATACCAAATGTGAGACTACAATATCCGCCCGCGCCATTCCCCGGACTTTGCCTCCGGATGGCGTGGCATTCACCAGGCAACCCTATTCTTATGCTTATTCGGGGCAGCGTTACGAACCCTGTGGCTGTTCCCTTTCTATTCCCTTTCTATTTCGATCGTCCTGCAGGATTTTCCTCTTAAGCCCCCTTAATTCCTCATCCACCCTCGTCCAGCTTCTGCCCAATTTTCTCTTCGCTGCCATGCGGTTCTTGGCGTCACCTCCGCCACTTCCTCTGCTTTGTTGACCCGCCGCCCATCCCTCCTCTTCCTCCGCTCTGTCGCTTCCCTTCTCCCTTCCTCGCCAGCCCTTCGCTCGCACTCGTTCCCTGGGAAATGGCCAAGGCCGATAACGCGGTGGATGACGAATCCGCCGACATCCCCCGCGGGCCCGTCGAGGCCCGATCGCTGTCGGCCATCACAGGCATCGCCTCCAACCCCCCCGCATACCCGCGGAATCCCACGCAGAAGAAACTGGACCCCCTGGTGCTCTACATCGTGCGAGTGCCTGGTAGCAAAGGTATACTGGATCTCTTCGCCCATGCGACTGCTTTGTACTAACTCTGCTGGTTTCCAATGCCAGATGTCTTCCTGTCGCCTCTTAAGCCGCCCACCAAGGCCAGTGTTTCCGCCGAGGCCATCAATTCCTCGCTGTACTACCTGCACGTCGCCACCCCCGATGACCAGGCCTTGCTGCACGAGGTCGAACAGGAGCGAGAAGAAAAGGCTCGGCTACGGCGCGAGATGGGCGAAGATGCCGACCTGCCCCCTGAATTGGCGCGATTGAATAACGTCCGACGAAAACCGGTTCCTGGTGGTGGTAACAATGGGGATGCTACGAAAAAAGAACCTCCCTCTACGCCTCCGTCGCTGCCTGTTCGCCCGCCCATGCAGTCGCCATCGCATTCGACAGCCTCGCTGCAACCGCCTGCTCTGCCGACCCGCCCGTCGCTGTCCCCGCGATCGTCGGCGGATTTCGCCGGCGCGGTCCCTCAGCATCGCCAGGACTTTCTCGACAATCCGACAGACGATCCGACGTCCGCTCGCCCGCGCCACCCACTCCCTCCTCTTCCGCAGGACGAAGACGGTTTAGATGCATACGAAGAAAACGTCATGAAGAAGCCTCAGCGATGGAGTGCGCTCGGGGGGTACATCTCGCGCGGCCAGGAGAGCTGGAAGGAGAAGTACGAGGCTCTTTCCGCGGGACGTCACAGTCTTGACTCCCGTGACCCTCGAATGCGACCGACTTCAGCGCACGCCAGCCCTTCATACACAGGCATGGGCTCCCCGGGGAGAAGCCCCGGCCATTCTCCCACCCGCAGGCCGCAGGAGAGCAGGGCACCCGAGCGACCTGGTTTCCACATCACGCTGATCCGTCGCGATCCTACGCATGGCAGTCAGTGGAACGTCGCGACAATGTCGACACCCCGGATGGACGGTGGCGCCATTGACATCGAGGTGTTCACCCCCGGTTACAAGCGGTTTGCGCAGAGCGAACCGCTCTCTCTCGCCAGTCTGGGGGTGAATCTCCCGTCGGAAGCCCGCAACTCCCTCAATCTTCCTCGGCAGAGCGAGTCTTCCGAGACCGCCAGCAGCGAACCCGCGCAACCGCGTCGGTTCCAGCGGAAGCTGTGCGTATCCCGGCCGCATGCGCCGGAAGAGTCGCGAGGGTCGCTGGATGTCCCTGGGGCTCGCCCGTCCATCGAAAGTCTCGGCAGACCCAGCAGCCAGGGCGGCGGAGGGGCCTCCAAGCTCAAGAGCGGTTATTACACCTTCACCTCGCCCTGGAACGGGACCTGCACCTTCTCAACCAGTGTCAACGGTCGCAGTCTCAAATGCAAGCACATGATCCCCATGCCGGGGTTCCCTCCGTCCGGCGGCGGCAATGGCGCTCCCGAGAATCCCGCCGTCACCGTCGCCGAAATCCGCTTCAACACCCCCTTCCAGGCCAGCCATCTCCCCCATAACCCGGGGCCCTCTCACACCTCGCCCTTCTCTCTCAGCCAAACCGCCGGCTTCAAGGACCCCGCTGCCCTATACGAGCCCGACGGCCCCTCCTCCGTCTTCCCGCCGCCAACCTCCAAGCGCAGCTCCCTGGCGTACTTCTTCAACGCCCACGCGCAAGCCTTCACCAACCGCCCTCGCTCGCGCTCCGGCGCCAGCACCAACTCCAACCATAACCCGCCACCCCCGTCCACGCCGCCCTTTCCCGCGCGCAAGCCCTCCCTCAGCAGCGCTAGCAGCGTCGACATCGATGACCCCTCCGCCGAACCCCGTCGGCCGCTCCGTCGGCCGCCCAGCGAAGACCGACTGGACTTCAGCCTGGCCCGGGAACCCGCGGGTGGAGGCATGCGCGGCAAGAGCGCGAAACTGGGCAAGCTGGTCATCGAGGACGAGGGCATCAAGATGCTGGACCTTGTCGTCGCATCTTGCATGTCGGTATGGTGGCGGGGATATTATTACTAAGGACTTGTGCTGTCTGTATTCTGAAACCTGGGTTAAGATGAGGTGAGGTGTGGGGATGGATTATTTGCATCATTTCGCATTTTTTAGGGAGTTTCTTTGTTTTATTTTTTTCTGATTTGATGGATTCGTTTTCTTTCTATTTTCCTTTCCCCGGCTTACTCGCACTTGATATCTGTGTGTTTTATTTTTTTTTTTTGCATTGATGTTGTTTTGTTTGTTTTTCACCTGGACTGGACCGACTGGACTATGGATGGATGTCTCATCTCATCCTCTCACTCTGATCTCGTCAGGTTGAGGTAGGGTGAAATGATACAGACCCTCACTTGTCCAGTCCCAAATCCAACCCCATTGCATATGATTGATGATTGACGATGATTCCCTCGAGAGCCGGACGGATGGATGGATTTCCTTCTCGATTTGTTGTTTGCATGATACTCGAACTAGATAGAGCTAGCTACCTACAATTATAAAGAAAAGTAGCACGAAATCAAGCGAATTAACCATATCTGGAGATTCTGGGGGAATGTATGTACTATAGAAACGAAACGTTCATGTATTGATCTCAACCCAATCCGTCATCGTCCTATTTATAAGAGCATAAAGTGAGATGTACACTACCTAATGTATTTATATTCATTAATCACTCGTTTCTCACCTCGCCAGTCAATCAATCAATCAATCGAATACCGCCGACATCAGACATCAACATAAAAGACCAAGTCCTTACAAACCAAATCGTCATCGTCCAATCGAATCGACTGACATGATATAAAGCAACGACAAAGGGGGATAAAAAAAAACATACACTTCTCATGCTATACTCGCTAATACCTCTTCTACTACCCGACTCGATATAGATAGGAAACATTCTCCGCCCAGAAAAAAAGAGAGGGGAATGTTATTCAGACTTGACTTGCATTGTTTTTTCTGTTTGTTTGTTGGTTGGTATTGGTGTCTGGTTTATCGGTGCGAGTCCATTCCACGGGCCAGCGACGATTCCAGATCGTTGGGATGGCCACCGCTCGGCGCCAGCGCCTCCTGAGGCTTCGGTTCCTCCTGCTTCCAGCCGCTCTGTTGGTTCTCGGGGATGGGGACGTTGGTCTGCTGGGCGATCTGCTGCTGCTGGGCAGCGGCGGCCTGCGCCTGGGATTGCTGCCTCACGACGGACCGGAACCGCACCACCTCGTCGTAGATCATGCGACGCATCTCCCCGACGTCCTCGACGACCTCGAAGTGGAAGTCGAAGGTGGACGGGCAGGTCGGCTCGTCCGAGGCGTCGTGCCAGATGTGCAGGTAGGGGTGCTCGAGGGCCTCCTCGACGGAGATTCGTGACGTCGGGTCGAAGGCGAGCATGCGGTCGAGCAGGTCGAGGGCGTCGGGGTTGGCGTTGGGGAACAGTCGCTGGAAGGGGATCTTGGGCATGAAGGGCAGGTTGCGCACGTACTCCTGGGCGCGGGGGGATCCGATGCGGCCCAGAGTCTCCTCGTTGGGGGTGCCGAGGTAGTGCAGGATCTGGTTCAGCTGGTCGACGTAGTCGCGGCCCTTGAAGAAGGGCCGGCCACCGAGGAGTTCGGCCAGGATACATCCGACGGACCACACATCAACTAGGGAATAGTTAGTAGGCGATTCAACTTTTGACTCCAAGCAGAGGGATCTGAGAACAAGGCAAACGCACTAGCTTTGGTGTAGCTCTGGAAGCTCAGCATGATTTCCGGAGCACGATACCACCGGGTCGCAACGTATTCGGTCATGTAACCGGCATTCTCCTCCGGGTCGATCGAGAAACCACGAGCCAGGCCGAAATCGCAGATTTTGAGCTCGCAGTCCGCATTGACCAGCAGGTTACCGGGTTTCAGGTCTCGGTGCAGAACGTTGGCGGAATGGATGTACTTCAGACCGCAGAGAATCTGGTAGATGAAGGATTGGAAATGGGCGTCGGTCAGGGGCTGTCCAGAGCGAATGATCGCGGCCAAATCACACTCCATCAATTCTGAACGGGGATGTCAGCTACCGGCCCATCTATATGCCACCGTCCGTCCCGCAAGCCCGGCACATCTCTCACCTTCATAGAGGTACGTCTCGTTGAAGTTATCAGGTCGAGGAATGTCCATATCATACAGGCAAGTGATCTGCGAGCCATCGGGGTCAGTTTCCATCGGGCGACGAGAGCGGGGGGGATCCAACGGACGTTGCGGTGGCCTCGGAAGTGCTGGAGCAGCTTGATCTCTCTCAGCGCGCGCTTGGCCAGAATCTTCTTGCTGAAGACGTTGGTGACCTTCTTGACGGCGACACCTTCGCCGGACTGAGTGTTCTGGGCAGCACTGTCATAAAGAAACGGATGGATTAGCATTCCTGTCTATTGGTCCGCAGGCAGCAGACAGGGATGCAGAGCCGACGCACCAGACAATGCCGTAGGCACCCTGACCCAGTTCCTTGGTCACATTGTAGCGTTCATCGACAATAAAGTCCTGGTTGAAGACCTTGAAGATCTTACGACCCTGTAAATCGGACATTGTCGCTGGGTAACGGAGGCGAATGGACGGACAGGCGGGGAAGGAAGAGACAGGAGGAGAGAAGAGAGAGGAAGAAACGATGGAAGCGGGAAAAAAAAAAGGAGGGGAGGGAGGGGGAGACGGAGATGCAGTGGCGGTGCGGTAGAGTCCACCCTTCTCTTTGTGAGATGACTTGAAGGAGCAACGAGAGCAATAATAATTAAGCGCCGGGAGGAGAAACGAAGTTGCTTTCAAGACGGAACCGCCGCAGCCCCGCAGTTCAGTTTCACGCTGCAACGCCTGGCACTGACATCTGTCAATATCGTCATATTATATTCTCATCATAGTACTCGTATTTCTGTCGGCTCTGCCCAGACTATCAGGTCTGAGACACGGTGGGTGTTCTCGAATTAATTAATCTTCCTTCATTCCCCTGCTATCCACAGCAGATCTCGTGCTGTTTCCTTCGACCCTGCTTCTCTTTCCTCCTGCCTGGCTGCAATTCGGATGTCTACATGGAATGCGTCGGAGATCCACGACGCCATCTATCGATCTTCTTTGGCTAATGGCTAATGGCTATACAACATTCCTGGAAGTTCAATCCTGCGCCCAACGGAGGGATGCCTGGATACCTCAGGCCCCGCAGTGGAGCAGGATATCCCGACAATAAAAATAAAATAGGAAAAAAATACCCAGACAATGACGAGGCCCGGGATGATCCCAAGACCTGCAGAAAATGCCCTGAACTCCTGAAACACCGCGGCTTGTTTCTCATTTCAGCGCACGGATTGCCGACTGCTCAGGACGCTCGCTTCCAGACCACCTCCAAGACCCGAGGAGCGTCGGTCTCGCCTCGCTCGTGCAAGTAGATTTGTCGCACTCGGTCTGGGCCGTCCGCAATGGCCTCCTTCAGTCGGAAGGACTGCTTGTCGGGGTCCCGGCCCCGTAGCGGTCCCAGGCTGTATGCGAAAGGATCCGACCCTTCGTATTTGCTCTCGTCCCACGTCTGCTCCATCGCCGCCGGATCGCGCACTTGCCGCGAGTACTGAATGATCGAGTACCCATTGACCAGATACCAGCCGTCCGCCAGTCGCCAGCGTCGCAGCAGACACTCGGCGCCGCACACGGCAGCGACCTTGCCCAGCGCGGCCACGTTGGCGTGGTGCCAGGACTTCCAATGGTGCAGGGACAGGGGAAGGGGCCGCCCGGATTCGTAGAACCCCGACACGTCGCCGCGCAGGTCCAGCTGGTAGAGATGGCGGTCCCAGGTGAGTTTAGTGTCCGTGTGCGCGTAGATGCACTGCCCGATCATGCCGTCGCCCGCGCCCTTGAAGAGATAGCAGTCGTCGAAGACCTCGGCCAGTCGCTCCACGATCGGCAGGGACAGGAAGACCCCGGCGCCGCCGTACGCGATGTGCCCGGCCAGATACATATGCCACATGTCTTCCGAGAGCGCGCCGATGTACTGCGGGCGCGTGGAGTCGTAGGACGCCAGCCGGTCGACCAGATTGCACATGGACGGGAAGAAGGTATCGTCGTCGATCAGGACCGCCCATTGCGTCGACGCATCGCGGTGTTCGAGGAAGATTCGCACCAGCGAGAAGTATCGGTCCAGCACCTCCTCGTCCCATTTTTCGATAATCGTCAGACGTAGACCCAGCAGCGTGGCGCGCTCCTCCGTCCGGATGCGCAGGGATCCTCCCTCATCGACCACGGCGAGGATGTGTGCGCCCGTGCCCGCCGCCCAGTGGGCAAATGCGTCCAGGGAGTCGTGCAGTCGTTCGATGGAGGTGGCGACGCCGAAGAGCAGATGCGATGCATTGACGGGGGGACTGACGACGGGGCCGGGGATGGTCAGGGACGTGGAGCATTTTCCCTCGGGCACGCCTTCGCGCGTTGTCTCGGTATCCAGGCGAATGGGATGGAAGGCTGGGATCGACAGGTCGAGCGACTCGGAGAAATTGGAGAAATTGGAAGTCGAGACGACGGCGACTTCTAAGCGCCCGTATTCCACCGCGGAGGCATTCGTGTAGGCTCGGAGGACGTCGAGGTCGGTGAAGCAGGTGCTGTTGACGAACTCGCCGGTCGGGGCCGATGGGTTGACGCCGGCGTCAAGGACGGCGTCACCGGTGTCGTGAAGATACAGGAATGAGATGGCAGTGCAGACAACGAAGAAGGTCGCCGTCAAGGCTATGAGTCTTAGCAGAGTCGCCTGGCGCAGTTGAAGCAAGTGGCGGTGGAGTTGCGGCATCGCGACCAAGACATGACGGTGTCAAGACTCAGCTATTGTCTCCGTGATCTCAAGGACCTCAAGGATCTCAAGGATGTCGATGGTCTCGATGAACGAGGCTGACCGACTTGCTCACCGACGGGAAGAAGAGAGAAAAGATGAAACGTGAAGGGTCAAGGGGTTCCGCTTCATCGGATCGGCGCGTCTCCATGCCTTTCGCGGTTCCATGGCTCGTCGGCATTTTAGCATTCCCAACCACAGTTTGCATGGATTGGATTGGATTGGATCTATTTTGGTGTCAACGAGGGAGTCGATGGTCTTTAGATCTCTTGCCGAATCCTTCCAGCGATAAGCCCGTGTCTCTGCATGCATCCGCTCGGTCTGGTTGGAACACGCTCCAATGGCCTCCGACATGCATCGGATATACAGATGCATATGTACAGGTTCCTATACTTATTATCTTTAGTACATGAAGTTCCCTGAATTCGCCGTCTTTGAACTGATCGAGGCTCCCCACGTGGCTCGGCCTGCCCTAACTCCAGTGCAGCTGCAACTCCTACGTGCGCATCCACCATTCGAGGATATCTCAAGAAGATCTTAGTCTCGCATGCATGATAACGAAGACGTGTTCAACCCCGCAGATTATCTCTCGCTCTATCTCTTTATCAGGTTCCCCTCAGTACGGCCCCATAATGTTATCACCAGCGTCCTCGTATCTTCAGTATTTAGACACCTTCTAGGTGCCCTGCTGGCTTACCTTCCCTATTATCGACTGATCTACTGATCCTCTAGCAAACCGAAATGGGAGACTCGGGCACATCCAACGTCTGGCAGGAAAAGGTCTCCTGGGCACAATCCAAGCGCGATGCCTCCCTCGCAAAGGTCGAGCCCCAGCTCCAAGGCCTACCGAGCCCCCTGCCTCCGAATTCACAGGAACTGCCTAAATCCGTCCTTACGACCCGAGAACTCGAAATCACAGAGAACTACTCCGTCACGGAACTGCTGGATATCCTTCGCCAGCGGAAAATCTCCGTGGAAGAAGTAACGAGGGCGTTTCTGCGCCGTGCAGCCGTAGCCCAGATCGCGGTATACATCCTTTCTTCGCTCTCCTGCCAATTTATAACCATCCAGAGCAGCTAACTGACGACCTCCACCCTAGACAAACTGTCTCACAGAACTCCTCTGGGACGAGGCCATCGCGCGCGCAAAGCACCTCGACGCTCTCCCCGAGCCCACGGGCATGCTCTTCGGGCTCCCCATCTCTGTCAAGGAGCACCATGGCATGGTCGGACCCAACGTCACCACCTCGGTGTCGTTCGTCTCGTGGATCGGCAAGGAGCACGGGTCCAATCTGCTGCTGGATACCTTCTGGGCGGAGGGATGCGTCTTCTACGCCCGCACCACCCAGCCCCAGAGCCTCATGCATCTGGAGACGAATAGTAACGTCTACGGCCGGACCGTGAACCCGTATAATCGCGATCTCACCTGCGGGGGGAGCAGCGGAGGCGAAGCGGCGCTGCTGGGTATGCGCGGGAGTATCTTCGTGAGTTCCCTTAACTGCTCTTGGGGACAATGGTGGAATTGACATCGTCAGGGCATTGGGGGTGATATCGGCGGCAGCATTCGTTGTCCAGCAGCTCATGTTGGCGTCTACGGGTTCAAGTACCACCCCCTTTCCTTCAACTCCAAGCCTCTCCCACAGAACAGAAACTGACCCCAAAACAGACCAACCACCAAACGCATCTCCGCCACCGGCCAACTCAGCGCCATGGTCGGCAAAGAAACCATCCTCTCCACCGTCGGCCCCATGGCCGTCGACCGCGCCTCCCTGTCCCTCTTCATGAACGTCGCCTTGTCCGCGCAACCCTGGCGCCAGGACCCCTCCCTCACCATCAAGCCCTGGACGCCGTACACCTTCACCCGACCGCTCAAGATCGCCGTGCAGTGGTGGGACGGCGTGGTGCGGCCGCATCCGCCCATGGCGCGCGCGCTGCGCGAAGTCGCCGCCGCCTGCAGAAATGCCGGCATGGAGGTCGTGGACTGGGACTCCGAGGCGCTGGACCATCGGCGCGGGTGGGAGATTCTGTCGAAGCTGTACTGGCCCGATGGCGGACGTGAGGTCATGGGGTTGTTGGAGGAGAGTGGGGAGCCGGTACTGCCGCTGACGAGGTTCATTATTGAAGAGCAGGGCGTGAGGGATTTGTCGATGCATGAGCTTTGGGAGGTTCGTTCCCCCTTTCCCTTCCCTCTCCTCTCTTTCTTCCTTCTGATTGATATCAGGAAGACTAGATATGAGATATAATATAGCTGACACTCAATACCAACCAGTTCTGCGCCCAACGCGACGCCTACCGCGCCATGTACGCCCAAGCCTGGACGGCCACCGCCACGGCCACCGCACCAAGCAGTGGCTCCTCCGAAGTCGACGTGATCCTGTGCGCGCCGTCGTTCGGCGCCGCCACGCCGCACGACCGGTCGCGCTACTGGGGATACACGGCGCACTGGAACCTGCTGGACTACCCGGGCGCCGTGTTCCCCGTGACGACGGTGGATGCGGCCAAGGACCCCGTCGACGCGACGTACGTGCCGCGGAACGAGGAGGACCGGTTCGTGCATGAGATGTACGCGCCGGAGAGGTATGTTGATGCGCCGGTCAGTTTGCAGGTGGTTGGAAGGAGGCAGGAGGATGAGAAGGTGTTGGCGGCGTTGGGGGAGATTGAGAGGGCGATGGGGAGGGGGTGAGATTAGTAGATTTGATGGGATTAAGAGAGGGTTAGGAATCATGGATTATAAAGAAGATCTGATGACTAGTGCAACGTGGATTGTATGCTCTATCCTTAGATGGCACTGTACTAGATATCCAACCATCACCTTCATATCTTCATCGCTCATTTAATCAACCTGTACTTTTATTTCTCGCAGGATATATCAAGATTCAATACGAACTCCCGTCACCACGTCGGATAGAAAACAAATGCTGTAGTGTATTCATGCAAAATTCTGGCAAACGTAACAAAATCTCTACAGAGAGCTGACCAGTCTGCGTTCCTTGCGCAGAGCCTTGAGTTTCGAGCGAGCCTCTTCAAGAGGGATCATGACGCCCTTGTTCTGGGTGGCAGGGTCGTCACGGTTGCGGATGTTGACGGTGCGGGATTCCTTCTCCTGGGCGCCGACGACTGTAGTTCATTAGTTAGCATCACGCGAATGTATCGGACGAGAATCAGAACATACCGAAAATGAAGTTGTACTGGTGCAGCTGTCCAGTACGGATCTTCTTCTGCATGGTGTTTCCACTGATGTCGATGTCGACGTTCAACTTGTCGCCCCGCAGGATCTCCTGCAGCTCCACGACGTAGTCGTTCGCAGCCGGCATGACGGGAACAATCAGCACCTGGCGAGGGCTGAGCCAGAACGGCCACTTGCCGCCGAAGTGCTCGATCAGGATACCGAAGAATCGCTCGAAACTGCCAATGATGGCACGGTGGATGACCACGGGACGGGCACGGCCCGGTCCGGGATCGTTGCTCTTGGGCTGGCCCTCCTTCTGCTCGCCCTCGGTGGCCACGGGAACCTTCTCGCCCTTCTCGTTGGTCATGTACTCAAGCTTGAAGTTGATGGGGGCTTGGTAGTCAAGCTGGATGGTGGCACACTGGAACTCTCTCTTGAGAGCGTCCGCGATGGTGATGTCGATCTTGGGGCCGTAGAAAGCACCGTCACCCTCATCAATGTACCAGTCGTTGCCCATGAACTTGGTCATGGACTTCTTCAGCTGCTCCTCGGCGTAGTCCCAGGTGGAAAGCTCACCAAGGTACTTCTCAGGGCGGGTGGAGAGCTTCAGCTTGAAGGTGAAGCCGAACAGGCCGTAGATAGACTTCAGGAAGTCAAAGAGACCCTCAATCTCAGAGGCGATCTACAAAATCATGTTAGATCGAATGATACGGGTTGCTCCTCGAAATTGGGGCAACTTACCTGATCCTCGGTACAGAAGATGTGGGTGTCATCCTGCTGGAACTTCCGGACACGAGTAAGACCGCTCAGGGCTCCCGATGCCTCGTTTCGGTGCAAAACACCGAAATCCGCAATTCTTAGGGGCAACTCTCGGTAGCTGCGCTCGCGGTGACCGAAAAGGAGGAAATGTCCGGGGCAGTTCATGGGCTTAAGAGCCCATTCGCGCTTCTCGACATCAAGCTTGAACATGTCATCTTTGTAGTGAGCCCAGTGACCCGAGGTCTTCCAGATACCAACGTCGTACATGTTGGGGGTCTGGACTTCCTGGTAGCCTCGCTTGCGGTATTCCGAACGCAGGAGAGACTGAAGGGCGTTGAAGATCTTGGTGCCGTTGGGGAGCAGGAAAGGACAACCCGGGGAAGCTTCGTCAAAGAAGAAAAGTTCCTGTTCCTTGCCAATCCGCATGTGGTTACGCTTCTCGGCCTCCTCCAGGAACTTCAGGTGTTCCTGCATCTGCTTCTTGTCGGGGAATGCAACACCACGGATACGTTGCAAGGAGTCGTTGGCCTGGTCACCCAGGAAGTATGCGGAGGAGTTCTTTTAACCGTGTCGTTAGTGCCAGCGCTCCCAAATACGAGGTTTGGTTTTCGTACCTGCATGATCTTGAAGGTCTTGACCTTGCCAGTGTTCTGGATGTGAGGACCTCGGCAGAGATCGACCAGGGTACCGCAACGGTAGACGGTGCTCTTCTCGCCGGTGACCAACTTTTCGATGTAATGCAGCTTGTACTTGCTGTACGAGAACATCTTCCGGAGGTTCTCTTTCGTGACCTCCAAACGGTCAAAGCTCTGCTTCTCCTTGAAGATCCGAGAGGCCTTGCTGTCCAGCGACTTCCAGTCACCCTCCTTGACGACACGGCTGTTCATCAAGTCAGTCTTGTGAGAACCAATGGCAGGAATGTGATTGCTCTGCGCCACCAATCGATCCGATTAAACGTACCTGTCGGGCATGGCCATGTCGTAGAAGAAACCCTGCGGGGTAGGAGGTCCGTGGGAAAGGAGACATCCATACTCGCACTCGCAGGCTTCACCCAAGCAATGCGCACTGGAGTGCCAGAAAACCTCGCGACCCTCGGGGTGTTCGAAGGGGACGTAGGAAACCTTGCAGTCGCCTTCAAACGGGCGGCCCAGATCCCACAGCTCACCGTTGACCTTGGAGATGACCACACTGGCACTCAGCTCCTTGGGCACATTCTTGAGGAGGTGAGCAGGAGTGTTCTCCCAGGCCTTGGCAGGGACCGTCGCGGACTCTCCGTTTCCGAAGTCGATGGTGACATTGATGTCGGGGTGCGGCTTGTTCTTGAGTTCCTCGAGGTGTTCCTGCCACAACTGTTCGAAGAGGTTGTTTCGCTCGATAATGAAGTCGGGGAGCGAGTCTGCCGGCGCATTGATCTGATTAGGAGGGGCTTCGGACAAATTTGGCGGGGTAACAGAATGAAGCCAGCAACTCACCACCTTTCGGCTCTGCAGGCCGGACGGGCAGGTCTTTGGCGCCTTCGGAAGCCATGATTGTATCCCGTTGCTTTTCCGGAGAAGAAAAATGGGTCGGAACAGAGGCGGATGAACAGCGAGGGACTCCGACAAGACGTTGACTCACTCGGATAGGAATAGATCGATGGCTGCAAATCCGATCAGTGAGGCCCCGAGGGCGGTGAGTCATGTGACGGCAAACTGCCCTGGCGGCTAGCGACACTTTACCGCTTCAAGGTTCCCACCATTTGAAAACTTCTCCGCGCTCCGTTTATACCGATCAACCCGATTATCGCAGCCAGCATGTCTTTTCGCGGAGGAGGTCGTGGTGGCTTTGCCACCGGTGCTAATCGCGGCGGTTTCGCTTCCCGTGGTGGTGAGTCGCAATCCATGCAGGAAGTTCGCGGTTTCAATGGGGTCCCATGCTAACGAAATTTTCGTCGGACAGGCCGCGGAGGCTTCCAGCCGTCGTTCGGCCCCCCTGCCCAGGTTCTAGGTAAGAATACACGGAAATGAAGAGATACGGGGAGGAAAAGTATGTCAATGGGATGGTCGACTAATTTACGTCCAGAGATGGGATCGTTCATGCACGCTACTGAGGGCGAGATGGTTTGCGAATCGATCAACCCCAAGATCCCCTACTTCAACGCCCCCATCTACCTGGAGAACAAGGTATGATGATATCCCGAATACGACCGGATACTATCGATGGACACAATGGATTAACTGAAGTTTGTTGCAGACTCCCATCGGAAAGGTCGATGAGGTTCTCGGCCCTATCAACCAGGTCTACTTCACCGTCAAGCCCCAGGAAGGAATTGTCGCAACCTCTTTCAAGCCCGGTGACAAGGTCTACATTGGTGGAGACAAGCTTCTTCCTTTGGAGAAGTATGTTTTACCCTCATGCTCTGTTGTTGCTGCTGCTGCTTGGACCCTTGCTAACCTCGAAAATTAGATTCCTGCCCAAGCCCAAGCCTCCTCCCGGTAGGATAGCGAACACGCCCACACCCCTGTGCCAAATAGAACGTTCAATGCTGACAATTCTATCTAGGTGCCGCGAAGCCCAAGAGAGCCGGTGGTGCTGGCCGAGGTGGACCCATGCGTGGTGGACGTGGCGGCGGACGCGGTGCTCCGCGCGGTCGTGGTGCCCCCGAGGCCGGGGTGGCTTCGGTGGCGGTGGTTTCTCCCGCGGTGGAGGAGGTGGTGGTTTCTCTCGCGGAGGTGGTGGTGGCTTCCGGGGTGGTGGCCGAGGACGTGGAGGCTTCCAACGTTAGACAGTCTCTGTCTTGCTTAGTACTGTCTTATTACGGCGTTTTGGGAAAACGGGAGCTCTTGCAGGAACTTTTTTGTCTCGATATTCTTGTGCATCCTAAAGGAAAAGATATGCCTGTCTGCAGAGGCTGTAGAATAGATCCAGCCATTGAATGGACTTCTTACGAGAATCGAGTGTCTTGCCGAACAATCATACATCCAACATCCAAATAATTCGCCCTCGTATTCGTATCCGAGCATCGGATCTTTAGTCGGGCCGTCTGTGGCTTCTGTGGCTAAATGTGGCGCAGCAGAGCACCGCCTGGCAATGACGTCTGGCGGCACATGCCGAGCCGTAGAATCTCTGTGCGCCTCTGTCAACACACCCTTCCGACAGCCATTGCCAACCTCGACGTCGACTCTTCCCACGTCATCCATGCCAGTTTCGCTCGACATTTAAGCGTGACGGCACACCCTACATCCATCCCCCCCTTTCCCCTCTATTTTCTTTGAATTGAGCATGTCTCGTCGGACATCAGCCATGTCTTCGAGCAATTCCACGAATAGCGGTGTCCCGCCTGCGAGCGACGGAGGTGAGCTCTGATCGCCAGAATCCCTTACTCTCCGTTCCTGGAACTCATGTTTTGCAGGCCAAGAAAAGCAGAAGATGCTTCTTTCTTCGGAAACCGGCCATTTCAGCATGATCAAGTCAGTCGCTGTCCTTATTCCTTCCGCGCCAATAGAATCGGCTGCTCACTTCAATTACGTGCTGTAGGGCCTTACATCTTGCCGATCTGGTGACTGAACTCAATGGTAATTAGTCCGGTGCTTTAGAAAATCTCCTTATTTATGACCTGCTGACTTTTCTTTGTAGGATTCTGTGGAGGCAAGCTCACCCTCGGCCGCCAGCGCGAAACTGCCACTAACTTCTTCAATAGTGATGTCAGTCCTCTCATCCATGCGGTACTGCCTCGGGGACCCCTCTGATCACGGTGCCATCTGGGCCGCTCTCGCCTTTATGCCTTTCGGGCTGTTTTTCGACTTTATGGACGGAAAGATCGCTCGGTGGAGGAAGAAGTCCTCTCTCATGGGACAAGAACTTGACTCACTGGCGGACTTGGTAGGGCCCCTCCTCCCCCCCTCATTTGGTCGGAAACACAATATCCTTTACTAATCACCTTAATTCTCTTCCAGATCTCCTTTGGCATGGCGCCCGCTGCTGCAGCCTTCGCGCTCGGAGCCCGCACGTCTTTCGACCACCTCCTGCTTGCATTCTTTGTCCTCTGCGGCCTGACCCGTCTGGCACGATTCAACGTGACGGTCGCCGTCTTGCCCAAGGACAAGTCCGGCAAATCGAAGTACTTCGAAGGCACGCCGATCCCCACCACATTATCTATTGCTTCCCTGATGGCCTACTGGGTGTCGAAGGGGTGGATTCAGGAGGAACTGCCGCTGGGGGTTATCGCTCAGGGCACGATCTTCGAATTCCACCCGGTCGTATTGCTCTTTGTTCTGCACGGCTGCATGATGGTCAGCAAGAGCATACATATCCCCAAGCCCTGAAGCGTCTACAGACCGGTAGAATCCTTGGTATGGATTCGGGGTTTCTTTCTTGATAGAGCAGTTTTACGAGCATATATAAAGAAGGAAAAGCCTGAAAAAAAAAGGGGATAGTGGACATGAAGCATTTAGTGTGACAAGAAAATGAGAACGCATAGATTGCAGATATTGTGATTTTGGTGTCCTGGTATATCATTTGTATTCTGAAAGAATAGTATGAACTTCAGTATAATAGTTCTTTCGTATGACGCCACTACCCGAATACTACATACTACTTCCCAAGGACCGCGAGGTTCTTTTACTAACGCACCACCTCGAGATTGAACAAGAACTTTTACGAGTACGGGGGGAGAGCCCGACTCACATTAACGTGCGGGATTTCTCTTCCCCGCTCGCAGAGAGGGGAGAGAGGGGTGGTTCTGCAGACTGACAGCAAAGGAGACTTGGTATGTTAATTGGCAGCGGGGTATTGGATGCAGGGATAATGCCATCCAATGATTGGAACGGTTAATCGCAACTAAATGATAGTCTGTCGTGTTATGTAGAATGAATTCGCCCTAGATGTTGTTGGATATGGGAGACATGGACAGGTTGAAATGCCTGCTTGATTGTGCCTTAGGCATCTTATTCTGTCGCAGGCCTTGATAGAGATCGCACACGACAGTGACTCCTCAGGAGGATTGTCTTGAGTAAATTGAATAATCTGAAGGAATGAACATAAACATTCTACTATCTAAATAGAACAAGCTACAGGATAGTTTTTTTGAGGAAATTCGTGTGTTTTCGAATCTGGTGATTCCTAGCTCTTTCGCCTTCAGGTACGTCTTCTCGTGACCAACACAGTAGTGAGAAATACATCCCTTATATTTATAACTGAAGTGACGGCACGAGGCCTGGAAATCTCAAGTCTGTTTCTTGCCTATAAAAACCGGACCAAAGAGAAGCACTGGATACTTGATCCGAATGTGCTTGCCAAGATCGAAAAAGAAGGGAGATCTTGATCGAGCAAGAGGAGATACATATTGCTACCGTGCAACGAAGAAACGCTTACTGTAGATCTTGCAAGCTAGAAGACGCAGGTTTCTTTGGCATGAGGTAGAGAGAATAAAGTCGTTCATTCCCTGGAAGGAACGCATCAGTGACGATCGAGATGGATAGTAAGTGTCACATCTAGCTACTAAGTATGTACTGGGATGTCACGGATGCTTAGTTGAGATGTTGGATAATACCCCTCGCTCTCCAAAGAATGTGATTCAATATAGAGATCCTGAGAGACGTATTCCTGGGACATGAATCATAGGAATGGAGTCAAAGAAACGATTGAAGTTTATCATGCATCAGATCGAATTGATATCAGATCCTTCCAAGACAAAACGGAACCACGGCCCCAGCCCACGAACTCGTGCTGATAACCCAACCAGAACCATTCGACGCCTCAGGTCGCACAAGGCGGTCCCATTTTCAGGAACAATGATCGCAAACACAAAGCTGCTGTGAGGCGACCGATCGTTGATCCGTCCATCCAGCGTCCAGCGTCTCCAGCGTCTCGAGTCTAGACTCGCAGACCGACGGAATTACAGGCGACGAACGGGCCTTCGTGCTCCGCCCCGAGGTAGCATTTGCTTGTTCGTTAGCCTTGAAGCCAGACCGGAAAGGTTGTAGGTGTGTAATTATCAGAATTGCCGTAGAAGCGGACGTGTTCTCTCGTGGGTCGTGACAGGTTCTAGACCCGGTCGATGCGGCCCGTCGTCAATACCAGAGCGAAATTACCGCCTGGTTTTATCCGGACGGTTTCTACGGTCTTCTGTCGGAGTGAGTTTTTTTTTTGTCTTGTCTTGTCTTGTCTTTTTACAGGGTACTTTTTGCTGGGAGTCACAGTTGCTTGGACCTCGAATTAATATCCGGGTGGGCGAGTTCCGTCGTTCGTCGGCTTCCACCGGGGCTAGTCGCTGGTTCCTGGCAGCTGGGCGAACTTCCGGCTGCAGTCCAGCCATGCTCCATGGTCTGATTTTCGAGCACCATCCCTCACGATGATCGCTGAGAGCATGTCCTGTTGCCGTGAAACGCAGCAACGTGGACGGATCTTCGAGGCTACCCCGATACTATCGAGGGACGTACTCAAGTAATAAAATGAACCACTCCTTGCGCCGATAATACCCGGCAGGGCGAACGTACGGAGTGGACACTAGACAGTGAGCACTGTACTGTCCCCATGAATCAGGGTAAGCACCTAGTACAGAGTAAGAAGCGGAGGATCCCCCGTACTCGCCTTCCAACGAGAAACCACAACGCGAATAAGCTTATTTGACATTGTTGGTCAAGCATCAATAACACTCGACAAAACATACAAGGGGGCGCGTCGCGTGCCGGTATGGACGGAGGCATGCAATCCACAGCATGACTGATTGACCGGACCGGAATCGACAGTATTCGCTCCAGCCGCCTTGACAAGCGGTGATCGGCTTCGCAAGGGACATGTGTCAATAATTTGGACGCTACTTGGCGGTCATTTGCCAGGGTTTTGCCAGGGTTTGTCGCCGTGCCGCTCATCCCATGTCCATTACTCGATCTCTCAGGCATGCCGAATGAATGAGCGAGTGGTTAAATGCGCTGCGCTGCGAATGTGGATAAGGACGCCTGGAATGCTCGGGCTGATGCTCCATGTCCGTCCCCATAGCCCATACCTAAGCGCCGGCTGCAACTTGGTTCACATGAATATCGTCATTCGGGACGCAAGACGCATTTTGTCGCCGGGCAGAGGCGATCTTTTGCCGTCTTCCGTGCAACACGCTGCATGAGCGAGGCGAGTTACCAGGTTCCCAGGGCTAACCTGCATTCGACCGGACGGACAGTGGACGTTAATATCAATACGATGGACATTGGAATCCGGACCAGACAAGGAGGTCCGTCCGCGTAAAATACCGAGGCGGATTCCTTACGTCCGTTACGGGCGATACCAGAAGCTGCGTCAGGATGGATCCGGTGCAGGTCCACCAATCCCGGGAGTGTCCGCTCGTTACCCATGGAAAACACACAAAGGAAATGAAGTCATTTGTTGGTGTTCAAAAATAGATCTCCTTTATCGATGTCGACGTGAATGTACTCTTTCTCTGACTTTTCTTGGATGAACATACCTTACCTACCTACCTAGGTAGACTCACCTCTGAAACCAGAACCCCAGTTCCTCGCAAGCGCACATGTCGACGGAGCGGCGGGGAAAGCCATGCGGCCGCTGACCAAACACGGGTCAGACGCCCCGTAATTGCCCCGAAGATCCCCCTCTGATTGGCGGCCAGCGGCTCATCAGGATCAAAAAAGGACTTGGTGCACACATTGCTAGACAGTGGTGTCTGCTTGCGGTCTCACTTGCCACTCGGCCATCCTCAGAGATTTTACAGAGTCCTCCGTAGTACCTCCGACGGAGAGAAACATGACATGACGCCGTTGAATCGTCAGCGTGTCTCAATTTTGAGTGCATTCGCCGTGAGTATCCCGGCACCTGCTACGCCGTATCAGGTACCACTCCTCGCTGGCACTTTATGTCGCTTAAAGTAAGGACCGGTACAAACTAGTACGGCCATGCTGGGTACTCTTGTCCGCAATTATGCATCACGAAAGCTCGCGGCCACTGACAATCGACGGGTTTTGCAGGGTCGGACAATTGCGCGAGTTTTTTTCATCCTGCGTGGGTCGATGATGATGTTCTGTATTTGTCCGATCTGCTTGTGCGGAGGACACTATTATGTGTCGACCACTCGACATACTCGGTTGTACATGCTGAATCGGAGTATTGTAGAGGCCGAATTCCTCGTCAAGTACTCCGTACCAGACATCGGTATCTTCTCGGTACAGAGTACTCTGTATAAATAATATGAATGGATTGCAAGGTACGGAGGGCAGACACTGAGATAAGAAAAGGAGACCCCCTCTTTGATTAATACAGCGCCGCCACAAAGCATCGCACCCACCCTCCGGCCGCGTTGGGAAAGGTACCAGCCCATTCTTGCTCCGTCCTGCCCGCCCGGTGGCTCCCAAAGGGGAACGGATACGCAGTGCCCCTGGATTAGCTCAGCGTTTTTAGGGGCTCTCATTGGACCAGCGCAGGCGGTACGCGGGATGGTAAATTACCGCCCTGCACATCCAGGGTCACGCTCCGTCTGGGAACCGTCTTTCCTCGGAGTAATCAGTAAACACAAGCGGTTCCTGATTATTGGGAGCCGTACGGGGTAATTGGCATACTCCCCCTTAGTTCGTAAGGTGTCCTCCGTAAGGTATAGGTCCCCTCCAGTCCTCCGTACTGCGTACGTCGTCGTACACACCATTACCCGTCGCTTAATCCCATCCCTGCCATCTCTCGCCCTTCTGCAGTCCGTCACGTCGCTCCATCAGTCAATCGCTCGCTCATTCTCCTTCCTTCCCCTTCCGCTCCTTGATTTTCCCTTTTTCCACCTGCGATCCGAAACAGACGCTCTTTTTTTTTACCCTCTTTTTTTTTATCCAATTTTCTCATTCTCTCGCTACTGCTCCCTTTCTGGTGGAGTCTCCTGTCCTGTTTCTTTTCAGCCAGAATTCACCGAGAATTCAATAGAAAGCATTCAGAATCAGAGCCCTCCGTTTTTCCCGCCCGTTTCTGTGGCTCGCGTCCTCGTTGCCCGTTCAGGACGCTCATTAAGCTCCCTCTCGGCAGAAAGGGGGGTTTGAAACGGCCGGCCCTCAGAGTCTTTCCCCGCCAGGGACCGTCTTTCTCCAGAACAGCTCAACATTCCTTTCCCCTACTATCTCCATCCTGCACCTAATCCTTTCGTGTTCATCGACCCTCTTCGCCGTCGACAAGCTTCGTCGTTGGACATCCACCCTTCCCCCCTTACCCGCCCTTTGTCCTACGTGACGTCTCATTAAGGCCGTTTCGTCAAGGGTTCGCTTACTACCTTCGACTCGACTCGACAACTCTTGCGACCGAGTCGACTGAATTCCTTCGGGGGCCAAGTAAACAACAAAGAGGATTAGGAATTCATCACGGGATTTCCGAAGGGCTACGCGGGTCGTCCCTTTTTCCTTTCGCTCGATCACCACTACCTCAGCAGCAACAGTGCCTGGAGCCCGGTGTCCAGTCACTTGCAATTTTACAATCGTGCCTCGCCATCCATCACTTATTACAACATGAAGTCATTTACGATGCGGTCGGCCGTTGCCCTGTCGGCCCTCCTGGTCGCCGTCGGCTTGCCAGCTGCCAATGCCGCCGACGAAGTGTCCAAGGGTTGCTACAGCGATGCCACGCCCCTAGAAGATCAAGGAGCCTACACATATCAGAGTGACGGATACTGCCAAAAGCTCTGTTTGGATGACAACTACTCGGTTTTCGCCCTGACTGGCGGCACGCACTGTCTTTGCGGAAATAAATTGCCCGCGGACTCCGCCAAGACTTCCGATAGCAACTGTGACAAGGGTTGTGCCGGTTGGCCTGATGTGAAGTGTATGCATGTCCTTTTTAATTTCCCTGTCCCCCGCCCCTCTTTCACTTGGTGGCATAATCCCCGACCGTGGTGGTTGCTGACTGGACTGGTACAGGTGGTGGTAAGGACGCGTACTCTGTCTACCTCACGGGACTTAAAGACAACGTCGAGAAATACTCCTCCTCTTCGAGCTCGACTTCGAGCACCGAAAGCGAATCGTCAACCAGTACGGCGGAAGGTCATATGAGCACGAAGGCTGGGCACACGGTTTTCGTCACGTCGGCAAGTCAAACGGGTGCAGATGCCGCTGCAGAAATGAACAAGGAAGACAAGAAGGACTCGGGTCCGAATACTGCCGCCATTGCCGCTGGTGTCGTCGTCGGAGTTGTCGGGTTCTGTGCTCTCGTCGGTGCTATCTTCTTCCTCTGGCGCTTCCGAAACCGCAAGGCCGCCGAGAACCAGTACCGTCGCAGCGTTGGTGTTGACAACTATGGCGGCAAGCCCATGTCTCAAAGTTCCATGTCCGACTCCCGATTCGACGGTGACTTCATGGCGCAGAGGCGACAAAGCAATGGTAGCATTGATGACGATCAGGACTTTTCGCGTCGGATCTTGCAGGTAAATATTCGCACTTCGACAGGGGATGATGACCGAATACTGACTCGACCGATAGGTAACCAACCCTGATCGCGGCCACTAGGCTGAGCAATCCGCCAAACGATTACGGCTCGGTCCGTACGATCCGACATCCTATATACAACCACCGATTGATGTTTTCCTTTCTTCCTTTCTATTACCATTTCTGTGTACCTCCAGTCACACCTGAACTTCCGATTATTTCACCTTCTATATCTCCACCATGTGTTTATCTTTATTTTATTTAGCGACCTTGCGATATCCAGGAAAATACCCGGCGGACAAACGACGTCTTGCTATCAAATTGGACTTTTTACCTGCGAACGCCATTTGACCCTGAAATTGTGACGCATTCAATTCATCGTGATTCATGATCGAGATGGAAGTGGATCATGAGTCGATTCGAACGCGGTCGGCCACACTCCCTCGAAGCTCGAGCTAATAAATGGAATGAATGCTGCTTTGCTCTGGTGCTGGAATGACCAAAGCTTGGCCTTCATCTTATGACCATCTGTATTCTACCTACCACCAAGGATATTCTTGGGAGGGTCACGCGCTTAACGTTACTGGGTTTGGACCTGAGGTATGTCAGTCAGGGATCTTTGTATCTTGAAAAGGCGTTTGATGAGGGTTGAGTGTTCTTTTTGAGATTCCTTCTCGTGGGACATTTGATATTTTCTTTTTATCTACCGTTTCCTTCTCATACCTTGTGTGCGTTTCAACCGGGGGGTTCCCCGGGGTATACTTTCCTTTTTCTCATGCTTTTGTTTTCTGAGACTCGTGCTGAGATTGGCTCCATCACCATCTCCCTAATTTGTGGTCAGCTTTGGGGAACTGTAAGTAGGATGATGGATAGGTCTGTAGTTAATGTGAAGAATGAATGGATACCACTGCATGATTGATGTGAGGTTATTAAGGGGGGCCAAGACCGAGTAGTTGCCTGACTCAACATTGGATCACAAGGCCTTAGGCTACTTCGACTCCCTTGATCCTTTGCCATCCACCATCCCAGCAGCCCAGATTATCCATCTCGACATTCAAGCAATTCGATGACTTAATGAAGGGCATGCCGACTATCGCTCAACAATCAACTCGTTTCCCTTGTCTGTATTCCATCGAGCCAAGATTAAGCTTGACGTCCACCGTACAGACAATGGTGTCCGTGTCTTACATACATCTGCAACAAATTCATATTGTCTACTTGATCTATATTTGTCTGTCTGTTTGTTTATCCCTCCCCGCCATTTGTCACCAAATATTAGGATTATGATTGATGCTTTCATCTATAGGGTAAAGCGATAGGCGGATGTGATGGCATCGTCAACGCTACTGCATCTTGCTTTTTCTTTCTCCATGAATCCCTAGATCCTGTGTTCCAGTTCAGCATCGAATCCACCTCGGTTTTCTCGACTCCTCGACCTGATTTGGTCTGGCGGAGCTGGCCTGTTCCTTCTGATTTCTCTGGTGGGCTCAGCTGCTGGAAAGCTAGCTGGTATACCGATGAGATAATTCGTTACTTTTCAACTTCTTCCTGGCTCTGTACGTTCTCGTTGATGGTGATGATCGATCGACCGGTGGTTGTTATCTCTGCGAACTCAGGTACTCTGCAACGGTATTCGAGGAGTCAGTTGAGGTCATTATTTCGACAACACAGCCCTTGAATCGGGCTGGACCAATATGATAAGGCCCGGTGATGGTGCCAACACATAACCCGCTCTTTTCTTCAGTGGTCGCAGCGGTCCATCTGGGCTGCTGTATTCTTCTTGCTTTTTGACTGGGATTCATCTGGGTCATTCAATTTACTCACCAGGCAACTTTGTTCAACGTCAACGTCAAGCTTCCAGATCAAGTCTGGGTTTGTCATTCATAGCTATTGTATTCTGGTGTCTCGTTCAGACAGATACACGCTACGTGATGAGAGTGAGGAAAGAATTGATGGCTTGGGAGACGATGAGAGATTGGCCTTTAGCCTTCAGTCTTCATGTTTGTGGTTCGACGGAGGATGAGATGCTGGATTAAGCACTCGACTATTCTGGAAGTGTCTGTTTGGTCCCATCGAGAGGAAAAGACTCATGGGAGGCAAGGTGTGTCCTATCTTCAACTTCTAAGCAGTGCTCCTGAGAAATTCTCTTCGACGTCTTATCCGACCATTCGAAGTCTTCCATCGATCTGTTTCCCTCCAACAGCCAAAAGCCTTGACATAGCCAGGATATTCTTCAAGCCATATCCCATGTTGAAACTTGTCTCTAACAGGAACAACAACTTGATTCCACCTGGCGATCGGTTTTTCAAATCATATTCGTTATTAGATCGACTTGGCTGCTCTCCGGATGTGGCTGAATAGTTAAATCTAGTTTTGGTGGCTTCCTTCTTGTACTTATAGATTCTCAGATTCTATCCAGAGTTTTCAGACACTCGATTTGACTCGCTTGATTACCGGGCGCTCTCGGATTGACTCGACGAGTACTGGACTCGGTGAAGTACTAGGAGAAAATACGTCCGTCCTCATTCCTATAAGTTTCTTAGGGTCATCTTAGAAAACAACTTGCTGATCAAATGATAAAATGAGTATCGCAAAATTGCATTCTGAGAACACCTGAAGATAGATAAACGACAGGCCATGCCATGCGCCCATCCCTGAGTAGGTAGATAGGTACTACAAAATCTCTCTACAGTCATCCCCATCAAATTCCCTCTAAATCGCAAACAACCGCCCTCGAACAGCGCGACCTCGCAGAGCCTCGACACCCCGCAACAACTCATCGACCGGGATCCCATGTCTTCCCCTCTCCAACAGCATAACGCGTTGCTGCAACCCCTTGTCCGTCATGCCATCCACCACCCCTTCTGCTTCAGCTTACTGATGGCCGACTCCATGAAAGCCCATCTAACCGAATCCAGCTCCATTCAACGAGATGCAGTCAACGCCGCAGTTCGTACCTGACTGTCTGCATTTTATACCCCCCTTCTCACCCCGTGGCTGAAAAGCCCCAGACGCAGGGGAGAGTGAGAGCCTCGTATACATCCACATCCAGCTACATTAATTACCAAACCGCATATGCACGCACGGGAAGGAAGGCAGGAAGGAAGGAAGGAAGGAAGGCCTTCAGAAACCAAGAAAGGAAAAGAATCTTCTCGTGCATATCCGCCTCGTGCTGACTTGCCGGTTTTCTCGTCCCTATTGCTCCTGGTGCTATCTTTGGATGCTGGGCTGGGCTTGGGACCTCGTATTCGGTCGGGTGTGTGCAGGTTCTGTGCGGGTGTGCGGGTGTGTACTTATGCATGTACCCCTCATTCTCCTCCTCTATTTCTATTTTCTCTCTTTCGAGCGAGCGCTCTTGTTTTGGGTTGGTTTGTTTGGTTGGTTGGTTGGTTGGGGATCCTTGTTCGGGGCACGTGTGCTTATACGATGTATGTTTTGTGGGGGTGGGGTGTGTACTTTTCGGGTTTATATATAAACCTGCATTATAGACCGCTCATACCGTGCACCATCCACAGGGTTATAATGTCAGATGATTAGGGGCTGGGGGTAGAGAGGGAGGAGGGAGGAGGGAGGAGTTCGTTGGGATAGGCTGTCTGGGATGGTACCTATGGTGCCGAGATGTAGGAAAAGTCATGCGTAGTTTTGGGGCAAGATATTGATTTGGATTGAAATGATCATACTGATTATAACAAGTGCGTTTAGTATTATTGGTGTGTTAGACTGTTGGTCTGGTATAGGCTCTGTGTTCAAGGTGTAGCCATGGCCATGTCTTGTGCAGCATTTGAAGACACTTGATGATCTTAAGGGTTGTGTTCAATAATTTTGCTATTGTAATGGCCTCTGCTGTATCTAGAGCACTTACATATTTTACTTAACTCTAGAAATAAATATCGTGGAGTGGTGGTTGTTCATCGTCCTGCCACTACAGAGTATACAGGGGACTACATACCAAATATATACTTCCTATAACACCCATCCATATTCTTCAACTATATCCCCAAACCAAAAGGGAACAACAAACTTCGCAACAAAGGAATCGGGATCAATAACCATCCGCAGACGCATCCTCTCAAGACTCCTTTCTCGGCCCCTGGACCCTACTCCGTCAGAGCTCAGGCTCAGGCTCAGGCTCAGACACAGCATCAGGCAGGCTGGCAGGGTGACTCCTCACCACACCTACCAAGTCCACTTAGCAGAGACTAGTCGGGTAGAACGGAGGACGGCGAGGAGAGCCTCGCACCCGACAATCATGCGGCTCTGAGGGAAAAAACAGGTCGAGCGGGCGGGCCAATCACGCCCCGCCAAACACAGCCAGCGGGCGCAGCGGCGGACGAATCCCGTTAGCCGCACGGCCCGCACTAGCCCGATGTGGTAGTCGCTCGGGTTAGCGCCGTCCGAGCAGCGCCGCCGCTGATTGGACAGACGTCATGCCCGATTGGGCAGGAGATGGGCCTGAAGGCTAAGGCTAGGGCAGTCCGGTCCGTGGTCCGTACGGGAGTAGCAGAGCACTACGCGGTTAGCAGTTGATTGTGCTCTCCACCTCTGGCGTACTCCGTACTCCGTTCGAAGTCCAGCCTGGACGCTACAGACGGGGACGTCCATGATTTGCATGTTCGCTCTTTCGTCGGTGGAGTTTTAGTCCCTTAGTCAGGCATGACTACGCTGCTACGTAGTCACTAAGGGAACCTGGTTATGGAGCGGATGGAGATGCTGCCTGTCGCTATCGCTTAGGACTGCTTTTTCTCCCTCCCCCTCCCTGCCATGATAATCTATTTTCTAATCTGTTCGTTAATTGTTAGTTGTACGCTGTAATAATCGTGCATATGACCACCCCCTCTTTGGAATGGGGATATGCAAAGGGGTGGAAAAGGGTAAAAAAAAATAATGCCTCATCGAACACGCGGATAATAATTTCCCATCCATGGTTGAGCCGCTACCACTCTTTTTCGACCCTTTTGATGGAGCCATGGGAAATCGATCTATATGGGACTCCTTTGATTGAACTCCATCCTCGATGCGAGTCATGCCGAATTTCTCCGGTCGATATCTTGATCGAGGATCCCCAGGGAGGATTCTTTAGGGATGTCTTGACCCAAAAAAACACACGCTGGGCGTGGAATGCGTGCACTGTATGGTCCGATCGTCCCTCCGTAGGAGGTGAACTTTCGTCAATGCCCAGATGTTATCCGCCGAAACCCTGTCACGGCGAAACGCTGCATGATCGCCCCAACCTCCTCTCCCCCTCTCCTCCCCATAGAAATCTGGCGAGGCTCTTGCACACGTGTGGTCGGATGTTTCATCAAACACCCCCTGGCCCCATGAGTATCGTGGCGTGGCATGGTATGGGCGCAATTGTGACTCGACAGGGTGGGGGGAACAGGCATGTGTCCTGCCTAAGAACGCCCGACGAATCCATTCAGCAGCTGCTAGTAAATCGTCCGTGGCTTCTAAGTCGCCCGGCTGGGATGATCCTAAAGCGGATCATGCATGGTTTGGACGCTCTAAGTAGGGGGTTGAATCCTGTTGTTAATTATTGTCCGCGTTGGGGTTTCCTGTTGCGTCCAAGATAGGGGGTGAAGGAATGCACGTTGTTGGCCGCGTGGTAGGCGGGCTCCCTTTTTCTTTCCTCCACTAGCTCCTGGCCTGGGTGATCATATAGGATCGACTGGTATACTCGCCGGCCTTCCGTAGCATATACTGCCGTGAAGAGCCGATGATAAAATGATAGCGGGGGTGACGAGCCCAGACAGGAACAATACGCATTGTCACCGGCTTTACTGGCGCACTGTTCAACGGGTGGGGAGTGGGATGTCTGTCAAGTTGTCAACGTGAGTCAAGTATAGACTATCGATATTATTGTTGACGATCCGGACTCCGGACTCCGTACCTACACACACCCACACAATAGTAATAATAATAAAAAAAGGAGGGATTTACTTACTACCGCCGCTCACTGGGCACCCCTTGCTCCTCGTTCACTAAATTCCCGACCGTGTTGGTGTGAGCGCTCCCGTCAGACCATCAGGCCACGTTTTGTCCCCCCTGCCCCCAACGCATGGCACCCTTGTAAATTGCCAAATACCAGATTCTACAGGTCCTACTCTGTAGTCCGCAGAAAATACCCCGGCTAGCTTGATGGATGTACATCAATCTATTCCGTATGCGGCGGAATTCTGCAGCTTACTGCATTAGTGACGGGTTAGTGGCCACGAGCTGAGGGTGCAACATAAGCGCCTCTCCCGAAAGAGTAGTTTTCCAACATTCACCACCGGCGTCATTGGCTTGTCGACACTTCTGAAGCATTATGGAAATATACTCCATAGCGAATCACTACGAGAGCCCGGCCCGTGTGAAAGTTGACTGATCGATTTTCGCCTTTTTTTGGAATTTTTTTGTCCTACTCCGTACTCCGGCGTAGTATTCAGGCGATTAGCCGGCAACGTGTCCATGCATGGTTATCAGAACTTGGAACAGTGCCAAGCCAATCTATCCTCTCCATGGTCGTATCAAGGTCGTGGATTATCCCTTGTTGGTGACGGGAGGGGATGTATCAGTCCATTGGACACTGTATCCCCTCATCAGACGGGATATAGACTGTTAATTAATTACCCTCGGGGTCTATCACCACGAGCGCTTCGGTCGTATGTTGGAGCCTGGCAGTACAGGCACCAGCGGCAAGCAAAAAAACCGGCGAGTCCAAATAGGAAAGTAGGTTTTCACGGCAGATGCCTGATGTGCGAACGGGTATTCCCATGGAATTGTCGATCGCGGCCCGCCCACAGAGGCAACCAAGTAATGACGATGGTCGATAAAAAAGGCGGTGTCCACTTCTGTTCCCCTCTCTTTGATAATGGTAGCCTGGCTTTCGTAGCCTCAAAACGATGATGCCTGGACGACGCAGCTCGAGTGAATTCTTCAGCCATGGCGAAATTCTTCAGATAGCTAGTCTCTCCCGCACATCCTTCCGAGTCAAATCTTCAGAGACGAATCTTCAAGCGAATCTTCAGCAAGTAGTGGCTGAGAGGGGCTCAGTTTGTCCCCTAATTGTACGCATTCAGTAAGAGCCTCGTCGAGCTGACTCGTGTATACCGGTGGAACCTGGCCGAGTTGATTCACAACAGCAAGTGATTGGCCCTCACGTGGACCGTGCCACTTTACTCGATAAGGAGACAATGGATCAATTGAGGCTTGGGTAAGTGGGTAGGGAGTCTTAGCTAGGAATAGGGGGGCCAGGGGGGAAAAGGGAGAGTCCGAGCAAAAGCGAGAGCCAGGGACAGGGCTTCTGATCCGATTTACCTGGCGGTCCGCCTGAGCTCCGTTCCCGTTCCCGTCTCCGTAGTCCGCACTGAGGCCAGGCCAGGGAGGAACCGTCCGTAGGCGACTCCGGAGTACGGCAATCAAACGAATGGCTGTTGTTGGCTAGACTAGACGAGCTAAGAGGACTAAGAAGACTAACAGGCGTAGTCGGCGACGGACTTATCTGATGATGGACACTGCTTATCAAGCGGGCCAATCCGGGCCGCCTGTCCCCGGCTGGGTCGTGGATAACTATCGGCTCCACCGACGCTGCTCGATTGACCACTTCTCCAGTCTCCACCGCATCGTTTGAAATCGAAATGATTCATGGGAGGATTCTGAACGGAAACTCGACTGGGTCCTCCTATCAGGCGAAACCCGGTGGATGATGGTGTCTTTTATTTTTCGTGATCGACATGGAGTTATCTATCCGCTATCCACGATCGGTTAGCGGCTGGCACTCTAGTCATTTAGCGTTGTCGATCGAAGGGAGATGAATCTCCATCGTGCAAATAATAAAAAAAAAAAATAAAATGAAATAAAATAAATAATAAAAATAAAAAATGAGGCAAGAGGGGGACCAACGTGAACGAACTAGGAAATTGCCATGAAAACAGACCACCTGGATCGGCATCTCCATTCTCCAGCCAACTGCCTAGACTCGACTTGACGGACTGTTACCCGTGATCGGCTCGAGATGTTGGCATGGCATCACTTGAACTTGCTAGTCGGCACAGGTGCTCCCTCGCGTCATTTCCGAATCCCTGTTGAAGAGCCCGGCTGTTCACCAGTAGAATTGTCCGTACACTGCACAGTATCCGTTCTCCGTTGTCCGTACCATGGTCGATCATTACCTCGCAGTCCAGTAGGCTCAAGTCGGAGTTGGCGTCGGAGTTAGAGAAGAGCAGAAAACTTGAAAGATGAAGGCCAAGACGAAGATGTCAAGATGCGAGTGCATTAGATAAGCAATATGGCCTCAGGCCACGTCCAAGGCAGACTTCGCACACCCCACAGACTAAGCCGGATCGGGGAAGTGCACTGTTTCCGCACTGGTGTTTTTATTATTATTATTACTACTATTTTTTTCTCCTCCCTTCTCGCCCTCCCACTCTCTTCTCAATCTCCCTTTTAATCGAGGAACCTTATCCACCGGGCGCAGCGTTCTGGACGATCACCACCATCAACTTCTTCGCCATGTTTCAGGTTGTTCGTTTCAACATGGCCCTTCCCTGCATGGTCAGATCTGACTGACGTGAATACTGCCACCCTGGCAGACTATGACGTCTCTGCACCCCTAGCAGCAATGCAGCTGTCTCCTTGGGGATGGTTTAGAATAGATGGTCACTGATGTCGGTGGTGGCAACTCATTTCCCTTCAGATCCTTCAGTTGGCGACCGCGTAGATCAGTAGACAATGCGACATTCCTGAGCTACCTTGGAGTTGGAGCACGATTGTGCCCTATCGGAGCCATCTGTCAAAGCAAAGTCAATCCTGAGAAAGGCCTCGCTCGTCGGACCCGAGACCGGGCAGAGGATGGAAGCTAGCAGTATATTGCCGTCCACTCTAAACTGTAAATCCTTCACCTCCCATGGTTCAGAAATTGGAATTGTCAAGTGCTCGGAGATGGGCGGACATTGCGGATGCAGACTCCGACCGCGGAGACCACGGCGAGAGACCCCCCATCCCCACTGCCGAGAAAGTCCGATCCAAGATAGTGCTTAGTAAAGGCCCACGACTGACTAGAAGGTTTGAGAATGATGTTGAGGTTACACTGTTACAGCTGGAGAACCGTGTTGTTTCAGAATTATTGCTGGCTGCAGTAGAATCAGTCGGTGAGCAGGGTCGCATGTAGCCATGCTGATCCTTGTCCGTATGCACATTAGGCAGGACCGACGACTTGGCCAACATACATCATGGGTGCATGCTCACGGCGGGGGGGAGCGAAGAGGACAAGGTTCAGAGAACAAGTTCGATGGAGGGGGAAGGTTTCAACGGACAGGAGTAGTTCAGGGGGTCGGGCCAATCAGCCTCACCCGTGGGCTGTTGCTGCCACTATCGCCAGAAGAGGGATAGCGTCCAAGCCGGCTGCAGCGGTTGGGTGGGGAAGCAACCGGGCACATGACAGTCTTCGGTCCAGGCGCTAGCACCAATTCGGCAATACGGGAGTCGAGCTTACGATGAGTCATCACTTCCCCTCGATACGACGGCCTCCTGGGCCAATCGGCGTCCCCTGTCACTCGCAGGACTTCTCCGAGTAGATAGGTAGGTAGCTACGGACAATTGAAGGTTGCACTGCACCTCGTTCCTCTTCCCCACATGAGAGTACCACGTTGTTGAAGATAGTGCGGTGTTCGCCGCGCATCCCGGCCCGCGATCAATGTTGAGTAACCTCGATAGGGCACTCTGTACTACTCGTTCATCCCCCGCCTCGTCATCGTCAGCGCCCTCGATTCGGCGTCAGTCTGAATCCCAATACGCATGCTGCGAAGTGGCAGATAAGCTGTTCGAATCCTGGCTAGTCGTAGCTACGTGTTTGCCTTTGGTCCCTGGCAGTTCCCGAGTCAGGCAGTGGTTTGCCTGAAACGGGACAAGAATCTGACACCGTGCTGCATGCAAGGAAGCTCCGGAATGCCATCTCGTCGCGATGACTACATCGCCGTCCATGTCAACCTTGCAGTTTCAGAATTGCAGACCTTCGACCTCCAGATAGAAAGATGCCCCTTTTTGCTGCATGAACAGGATTCTGCCCCTTGCATTAGGTGTCCTCCACGTGAAAAAAACCCACGATGGGAGGAGACTGCTTCCAGGAATTCAGCCCTCAAAGTGGCTGTACCTACCTGCATAACCACATCCCTTTTTCTCCATACCAGCCACGCGCTTGCTCGAAGATCGACTAGCTCGAGCAAACCAACACACGGAGTATGCCGTGAGTGACACTGTGTTTACCTCCTGACCGGCGAACGGACAGCACGTCTTCTTCATCTAATGCACACTAAACATAGACGGGATCCATCTCGCCAGGACGCGAGGCCCGGTTTGGCGCGGGTGGGATCAATTAAAATCTGCAGGTCGGCTGGGCCTAGTGTTGATGGTGTTATTGTCGCTGCCATTGTTGTGAAATCGCTTGGCCACGATTGTCCCGGTCCTCAGGCCAACAACCGGGACCCGAACTCATTGGATGACTGCTCTGCCAAGTCGAAGGCCTGTGGAAGCGCCGTGGAAGCCCGCTTACTCTGCAGCTACGCTCGATCCTTGTCAGATTGTGCAGGAGATGGTGTTACCGATCAGCATCGTTTGGAAACATGGCCACTGGGATGGAGGGGGGATGCCGGAATGTTTCGATTGTTCTCTTACTTCTCGAATCCTGCCCTCCCCCTTCCTGTCATGGAAACTCTGTTTGATAGCCGGGCCTTCCCGGAAGCGGCAGGGATCTGCAGAACGTGGTCGCCGACTGCGTGACCGGGGAAAGACCTTCCCCCAGATAGGCCGGCTAACTTACGTTGCTTCTGCTCCCGGTGCTCCCCTAGTGTGTCGCGCCCTTCCCCGCCCTGTGTGCTACGCCCTTACTAATGGCCATTGTGATGGTCGTTTTGATTTTTATTAATTAAATCACTGGCCACAGAGCACGGATAAATCGATTAATTAAATTCACCAATTTATTACTCCGTCCGACTCCGTAGTGGTTTGCCAATGCAGACCAAGGACTGATCCGCCAGATGAAACAATCTAACAACACGTTTTCTTCGCAATCTGACCTGGATGATGGCAGGAAGGAATGCCTGCCCCACAGGGCTGGGAAAGCCTGCAATCACCCTGAATCATAGACCACGTTCCCAATTTCATAGGCAGTGGTATGCGAATCCAGGATTCCATGGATCCCAGGAGGTCTGGCGTAGGTAGTATGGGGTTGGTTGTTTTCGCGGTACGCATTCTCAACCGGCCGATCTCAAGGACCTAGACCTCTCATTGGAGAAAGTCGTAATATTAGAGCGTGGACCGGGAGGGAAAATTAGTCGCATTTTTTGACATCTCGAACAGTCGAGCCTGATTACTATTATCCCGGTGATTTACCGGCTTTCCCGAGCAGGTCCACGCTTAAGCGATTGCCTACTCCGTACGATCGCAACCATACTACGTAAGCAGCTTGGTTAAGAAAATTGTACCAACGTGTAGATAGTACCCTTTATTTTCCTGCGATTGTTTTCTTTGACTCTCTCGTACCTGTCTTTTTTCAGCCGTCCAAATCGCCGTGTCTTGCCTCTTTTCGCTCCCTCCCCCCTCTCAGATGCTTGGTGCTCCTGCCGATGGATTTCGCAGTGGGTTCAGCTCCTTAGGATCATTAACATTTTCGGAAAGTGTACGGTTTCCTAAACCTATCAAGAGCGGCTAAGTCGACCAGGGTATGGCTTAGTCCGGGTTAAGCCATGCAGGGCCTAAACCCGATTGGGAGAAAACCCTCGACAGGCTGATTTTTCCCGTAAATCATGGGGTGCCTTGAGGTGTCGAACAGGAACTCGACCATCCTTACCCTCACGTGTTGTCCCCCTTGTCCTCTTCCCCCCCTGGCCCCCTCTAACTCAAGCCGGGATCTATTGCGACTCCTTGCATTTTAGTGCCCACGCAGCCCACGGGCGTCAAGATGACGATGATATACATACCACGCGACGAATAAATTAACAGGTCTATATTTATCCCATTGTTCAATCTGCGTCTCGTATGTACCTACTCTGCGTGTTTGCACGCGGGATTGAATCATTCAACTTGCCGTTTTTGAGTTTGCGTGGAATCTACCCTACTGGTCAGTCCGGACTCGAGAACCGAAGTAAAAATAAATACGGAGTCGACAGGTAACATCCGTGGACATGCGGTTTACGGAAACCCCCAGGTAAATCATAATAAAATCAAATAAGGGAGCCGACGGCCAGATCGATCGCTACGGAGTAGTGATGCTATGACACGGTGGGTAGAACGGACACGCCTAACTCCGATCAACTGCCGCGGAGCGAGCGAGAGAGAGGGACGAGGAGACAGGCAGAGCCAGAGTGCCAGAGAGGCAGCAGAGCAACGAGGTCGGACGGTCGGACTCGGACTACGGAGGTGGGCGCGACGACCTGCTCCTAGCAAATTGATGAACCTGAGATTGCCCAGCTGGGCTAGCGGGGCACCGTTGGAGGCTTTGCTTGTGTTAGTTAAGGAGGGGAAGGCGTGACAAATTCCATTCGTTGGCTCGGGTGACATGGAATTGCCTGCTAATCTCCCCGGTTGTGGTTGCCCGTCCATTCAGGCAGCGTCTGATATGCAGCCGGAGTTATTATTAGCAGTTTGACAGGGTTAGCTGCTATTCTTGAAACAATCCGATTCTTGTCGCAGCTGCAGGCGGTGCAGGTTTGCAGTTTCTGACGCAGTGTTCGATGTCTGAGATAGGTTGGAATGCGCGACATCGTTATTATGATGCCATGAGACTGTCGCTTGGGGATTTTTTTATTTTCCCTTTTTTTTATTTTATTTTCCTGGCGATCTCGGTATCAACTTCGAACGGGTCGACTGGGCGACTCCACTCCGACCATCGTTAGCTTTGGATTTCGCCTAGTGGGGCTCATTTTTTTTTTTTTTTTTTATCCCTCGATTTTTATTTTATTTTATTTATTTTTTTCTGCCTTATTACTGACTCCGCTACAGATAGCGGTAGAGAAAATTGATGTCCCTATCCAGTGTGGGCCATCGAGGCTCGGAAACTGAGAGCCTGAGAGAGGGTCTCCAATCTCCATCTTCCAGTCTTTACTCTGTAGGGTATGTAGTGAGTACCTTGTCTAGTAAGGGTAGTTTTTTTATTTTTTAATTTTTTATTATTTTTTTTTTCACCCGTCGTCCTCTTGTCATCTTTCCTGCCTTTTTATTTTCTTTTCTTTTTTGGCCCCCTACGGGCCAATCAGATGCGATCTACAACCAACAATTCCTTTCCTGCCATGTGCAAATTCCACATTCCACCACCACGCTTTTCCGCCGCTGTTGGATGCTACCCTGATTAATCCGTTGGCCATCACCATTTGATTGTGCAGGACAACGTAGGGAACAGTGCATGGGCTTTGTTTCAAGTGCATTCTGGAATGGTTCTTTTCCCTTGGGTAAGGCAGTCTCCCGGATTACTAGGAACAGCAAGTAGGAGTGTTCATCCATTTTGGGAGCTGACGGGATCGACCTGGGATGAGTCTGGGCCATGTGGTCCTGGAGAAATTTAATTATTTTCCCTGCCCTCCCTCTGCCTCCCACCCTCTTTAGCTCCGAATTCGGTTTAATTAATTATTATTGTCGTCTCGTTCGTTTAAATTATCATTGCAGGGTTTAATATTCCTGATCCTCGTGGCGCTGGGGATGGAGATCCAGAATCCATGGCTCTGCCACTGACGGGGTGGAATCAACCAACCGACAACCGTTGAAGTATAATATTTGCGATGGTCGCCGGTGACCGTACATTTCGCGTAATCAACCAGGAAATAAAAATAAAATAAAATAAAATAAAATAAAAAGGAAAATAATGTTCTGCCCTGCAGGCCTTCTTTCCCCGACTTTGCAGGTGCGGCTGAGGCGCACCAGTCACGTCGATACGGGCCTCGTGCAGTTGGTTTTCCCGGTTTGGCTGGCGTTCGGACGGACTGTTGGTCTGTAAAAATATCCTGCAAATCGCATCGGCATAAAATAATTTAATTGTCACTCCGTCCTGGCTAGCTCTACCCCCTCCCACGTCGCCCTCGTGCTGGTATGATCATCCTGCAGATTGACCTCCAACTCTTCGCTTACTCGTGAACTGATAGTCCTGCTCCATTGCCTATTTGATGGCAAGCTCGGTTCTGGTCATTATTATTATTATTATTTTATTTTTATCCCGTTGGATTGTTTTTATTTTATTTTATTTTATTTCTTTTCTTTTTCGTCGACTTATTTCTCACTCGACCAGGGTGTGCAGTAGATCTTTTGCACCGGTACCTCGCAATATCCACTCTGGCACTTCTATATCAATTCCTCATTCTCACCTTTTTTTTTTCTCCCCCTTCCAAGCCTCTACTGCCACCATTCCGTCTGTTTCAGATCGATTATTTTCTTTTTCCATTTTTCTTGATCCTTATCCACTTTTTCCCTGCCGTATCTGACTACATCGAACCTGACCTGCAGATGCGAGGCATTTTTTTTTTCGAAATTATTTCTTCAGAACCGTCTGATCTCACCCCTCGACTACGGACTACACTCCAAGTCCGCTTTTTACATCACTTTTTCACAGCCCACCCTAATCCTCTTTCCCCCCCACACCCATACCGCACAGGGCTCTGTTCCTGAAATACTCCTGAATTATCCGTTGGACGGCCAAGGGATCTTCGTCCAACTCAAAAACTATATCTTCCCTCCCCCACCCGCCAATCCATCTCGAATCAGTTCTACAATCTTCACAACCATCCTTCAAGACCAACACCTTCTCTCTCTCTCACTCTTCTTCAATCTCTACTTCTTCACACTCCTTGGAACAATTTCTCACAGTCCTTACCAATGGCCGCTAAGAAATCCTCGGGGACTACCACTATGCGTCGCTTCAGCCCTACCACGGAGATCCCTCTCCCCATCACCTACACTCCCACCACCCACCGCATCAGCAAGGCAAAGAAGGGGAAGCGTGTGCATGCTTGCGAATATCCTGGATGCAACAAGGTCCGTTGTCCATTGACATGTTCCCTTTCGAAAGATCTTTCGACTGATCGTATTTCTCTAGGTCTTTACTCGCGCAGAGCACCGCAGACGCCATGAGTTGAACCACAACCCTGAGGCACTGTTCCGTTGCACGCATCACAACTGCAAGAAGGCTTTCCACCGTCCTGACCTACTGGCCCGCCACATGGAGAGACAGTAAGTTCCTCACGGTCTGTTTTCGCAAGCTCCGGTTAGCAGATAGCTAACCATGATTTCTTTTTCCAGCGAGCTTGAGGCACAGATGGACAACACGCAATGGGAAAGACACAGCCGCGCTCCCATGGTCTCCGAAGCTCACTACGTGCCCAAGTGCGCGCCCATCGACCCCAGCGCCGGATCTTACCTCGCTGTCACCCAACAGCCTAACTCCATGTCTATTGGCTCCCTCGTGGGCCCGGCGATTCACCCCGATTTGGCCGGCGACTGTGGTATGATGTGGAATGGAATGCCTCTTCACTCCGAGCACCAGACGCCTCTTTTCCCGGGCAACCACATCCACGAGTCGGTGGAGGACACTCGATTCTACGGATCTCCCGAGACCTGCTCTTCTCCCTCGTCGGACGGTGCGACTTTGTCGATTCCTTCTCACCCCCGATCGTCTCTCTCCTCGACTCCCGTTGTTGTCGACCCTTACCCCGAGAACATCATCGAGTCTGACCTGTCCTCCTCTCCCATGTCCATGCACGCCAATGTGCGATGCTGGGATCAGGATGCCGGTCTGCACTCGTCGAACATGGTTCCTCTTTCTCTCCACGACAGCCTCGTCCAGCCCGTAAGTTCTCCCTGAGTCGCATCCATTTTAACGCAGGAAAACAAAAGCTAACGCGAGCGTCAGCCTCTTCAGTGCCACTACCCATCTCCCGCATGGTCGGCACCTCACCACCTTGGATACGAGGAGCACGCTCTTCCTCCTGTCGCACACTACGCCACCCCCATGGGCTGGAAACAGTGGGCGATCTAGAGCCCCCGAATTCCACCACAAATTGAAACGCGCAAAGGAAAACCCTGAGACTCTCACCACACGACCTAATATAATCGCATACGCACCTAGTGAACCGACGGGTTTCTAATTAGGGCTTATGAGTCCTTGTCTTTATAAACGAACTTGACGCAGTCCATCACACAAGTGGTCATTTGTGACACCACTATCAGCACTGGCAATCGGGTGGAAACGAGCAATCTACCTCGACGGGAAATATCACAGGACCGCATCTTCGACGAATTCGCTTCAACGAAAGAAAACGGCCAGAAAAAATCCAAAAAAAAAAAAGAACGCAAAATCTCCGAATTCAACCCCCCTGAGGGCTCACAAAACCGTCGAGGTGATACGGTGTCACCCGACCCAGATCCTATTACCTTATTTGCTTCATCTCCTTGGGTTTCATTTCCTTTGTTATTTTCTTTTTTCATTTTCCCCTTTGACCTTTTCCTTGATTTTCTGACTGGATAGAAAAGTGCAACGGCTGTTTTATGTTCTATGAGTCTCTGGTTTCAGACTTATTTTTTGTTATTTCCTGTTGTTCTTTTGCATTGGGTTTGGTTAGCGATTACCCCTCTTCTTCTCTTCTCTTCTTTTGATTTTACCCCCTTTTTCATTTGTGATTGATGTTCTATGCTGCCCCCCTTTTGTTCCTTGCTGTTTTACGAACTCTATACCCCCGAGCAGCAACACCTTGTATACTTCCCCTGTATATATCTATTTCTGATCCGATTTGGTTGTTTTCTTGCCTTTTTACACTGAGCAGTTATCTGTTGGATGCAATTGCTGTTATCTTTGGACGCTTATAGACTTGGTTTCCGTGCGCAAGAATACACTATACTACTTATGGATTTTTCACCTGCATGCAATACATTACATACATACTATACTATTGAAAGCCACAATCCCCTTGTTGTCGTATCGGGAGCTCCGGATAGCTGCCTAGTAGCGTAGCCGCGCCAATGCCCTGGTTTGTTGGATTTGAGTTGTTGGATACTGGAAGCTTGCTGTTGGCTTACTAGTTAGCAGGGTTGTATTGGTCATAGCGGCTGACATGAGATGAGATGAGACAATTTGAAACGAGAGGACAGGGAGGACTGGGAAGAGCTGGTAGGTAGGGAGGGTGGCGAAAGGAGAAAATGAATTCTTCACCTTGTATTAGTACAGTTTGTTCTATATACCCAAATACCGACTGCGTAGTATAGCCATTATCTAATAATCTCACAATTTATCCCGGTCTCGGTGCTGTATCCCTCCCAACCAACCATCCCGGTCCAACTCAGCAATTTGAAACTCTCCCCTTTCCTCCCCCCCACCCCCCTTCTCCCTCATATGGACCTTGCCGCAGTGTTTCTTGCGGCGTAGGCTCCCGAGTCCAATCCAATCCAACAGGTCCCCAACAGAATGTAACCCCCCTAATTCTCCTTCGTCTTCTTCCCCTTCGGCACCCGACACAGCCAGTAAAGAAACACCGCCGCACTAACATTAAACACCACATACACCCACACCAGCCCGAAGTCCCTCCACCGGTCGTCAAAATCAATACTCACGCGCTTCAAATAATCATTCGTCCACGTAACACTGCAGAACCGACACTGCTCCTCCCCGCCAGCACTGGGATTCATAACCTCCCCGCCGTTGGCAGCGACATACGCGCGCAGGTACTCCGCACAGGTCTGATTCTGCGGCGCAGAGAAGGAAAGCAGCTCGTTGTCGGCGCAGTGCATGGGGGCGTTGCCCAGGCTGGTGGAGAGCAGCCCGGCCGTGACGTAGGTGAAGGGGTTGACGCGGTACATGAAGATCCAGAAGCCCGGGAGGGCGTCGGGGCCGGCGAGGATGCCGCAGAAGGCGTACAGCATGATGGAGAGGATGTTGGCGAGCGCGGAGGCCATTTCGTCGCTGAAGATGCCCGCGATGAGCATGTGCGCCATCGAGCTGCAGAAGAGGAAGAGGACCCAGACGATCAGGAAGGCGAGCGTGCTGCGTGAGTGCATGGTCCCGGTGTATTGGGCGTTCTGGTATACGCCGAGGGGGTAGAACCAGACGAGGAAGCAGAAGATGGCCATGAGCTGGGGGGAGGTTAGTTTTATTGGTTCGGTGGGGGGTGGGATTGGGGGAAGGGGGAGGGTTACTGAGTTCCAGGCGAATTCGACGGCGATGTTCGAAAGGACAAAGGCTTGCCAGGCGTAGGTTTTGGATTGACGTTCTCGTGCTTCGTAGAGGGTTCGTTGTACGACGAAGACCGGGATGATTTGGAACATTAATTGGATGACGACGAAGAAGAAGATCAAGATACCGAACATCTGGTTCTGCATGCCCTGGGTGGTGTTTTCGCTCTTGAAAAAGGAGAAGCCGATGAAGATAGACTGAGGATGGACGTTAGTGCTGTTGTTAACTTCAAGGATGGTTCTAACATACAGAGCCAATGGTAAGCAGAGCCTTGGAGTAGATGTATGAGGGCGTGCGCCAGTATTGCTGGAAGACCCGGAGTCCGACCTGGTACATCTGTGTCGTCCAAGGTGCCGCGAATTCCTCATAGCTGGATTTGTCGTTTGGATCAGAGACCGCGGAAGGTGAGTTGACCAGTTCTCGCAGGCGACCGAGCTCTGAACGAACTTCTTGACGCTCCCTGCTGTTTTGCCAAACAACAGGCCAGTCAATGTCTGTATGCGAACCGGGTGCGGCGCCAATCACTTCGAGCATGTATTCTGCCGGGTTGGCTCCTGGTGGACAGATCGGTCCACCATTGCGCACAAAATAGTCTTTCAATATTTCGGAATTCTTCCCGATTTCACCGAAATAGACGGTCCTGCCGCCTTTGGCGAGCAGAAGCAGTCGATCGAAGCGCTGGAAGAGCATCGCAGAAGGCTGGTGGATGGTGCAAAGAATGGCCTGGCCGTTGCGGGTGAGCTTTTCCATGAGATTGCAGATGGACCATGAGGTTTGACTGTCCAAACCGGAGGTAGGCTCATCCAGGAAAAGAAGCAGTTTCGGGCGTGCAGCGAGCTCGACGCCGATAGTCAAGCGCTTTCGTTGCTCCACGTTGAGTCCTTCCCCGGGAACTCCAACTACAGCGTCGGCATATTCTTCCATGTTGAGGAGGCTGATAACCTTGTTAACATACTCCAATTTCTCCTGTCGGGTAAAATGACTCGGTTGTCGGAGAACAGCGCTGAATTCAAGCGCCTCCCGAACAGTTGATGTGTGGAGGTGCAAATCTTGTTGCTGCACGTAGCCCGTCTTGCGCTGGAAAGATTCGTCGCGCTGTCGACCATCCACCAACATATCGCCCGAAATAACACCAACCGTCGTGCGGCTGGCGAGAACGTCAAGAAGAGTAGTTTTACCGGCCCCAGATACACCCTGTGAGAGCGCATGTTAGTATAGAAAAGACGATGAAAAAGTTCAAGAAACAACGCAAGATTGGTTCTTACCATCAGTGCAGTCAAGGTGCCAGGCTTGATCCACCCATCAACGTTGTCCAAGATTCGCCGAGGTTCGCCCTTGATCTTGATGTCATAGCAGACATTTTCCCAATGGAAGATGGAATCTTGCTTTTCCACATCAGCATCTGACTCAAGACCGCTATCGTGTTTCTCGTGAAGTTCAGGAGAGCCCGACTGCTCTTCGTCCGATTGCGACTGCCTCGTCTTGGATTTGTGTGACTTGCCACGACGAAACACAAGGACTTCTCCTTTGGAACGCTCGGAAGCCACCACTTCAGACAGGATAAGGTGGCAAACGGCTAGGAAAATAGTGAAAGCAACGATTATACCAAAGTTGCGCCAGCGGTGGCTATTCAGGTATTCGTAAGAGCTCTGGACAAACGCCGAGCCACTGACTGTGTCTGAGCCAGGGATGGAGCCCGCTGTAGAACATGCGCGTTGGTCTGGAGAGATATTCTGATATCCGGGGCCAGACGGGACAAAAGCGACACACGGGAATTCACGTCCGTGGAATTCGTTTACCATGATAGCTTCGAATCCGTAGGAAATCGGGTTGATATAGCGGATCCAATGCGCCCAACCGCGCATGTAAGCGACAGGTAATGCGAAGCCGGTATAAAGAACGAGACCCAGCATTATAATTCCCGACGGTGCGAGAGCCTGAGCAATGGTTTTGGTGAGCGAGGCAAAGAGACGGAAGAACATCGACATTGACATCATCGTAAAGAATGAGATCAACAAGTAGAAGAAGAATGGACCAGGTTCACGACGCAGGTTACCCATGAAATACAAGGTCGTATTCACGATCAATGTATTGGTAATCTTGTAGGGCATGTCGACGATCAACGAAGAGATTGCTTCGGCACTAGGATGATATAGTGCATACCGATTATGCTTTTCCACGATTTGTCTTTTTGCATAGAGTGATAGAATCTCCAGTAAACTCGAGAACGCATTCAAAACAACCATCAGGAATAGAAGAGCACCTCGGGAGAAAAATGAGGAAGTATCGTTTGCGAGACCATAGAAAATACTGGCGATGATCAAAGCTTCGAAGAAATTTCCGATGAGCATGGCAAGAGTGACGCTTGGGTCATTTTTCAGCTGCTGTACTCCTCGCCACATGCATAGCTGGATTTGGCGCCAGTAGGAGAGAGTGTACGGTGACTTTTGGCGTTGCTTGGATGACTTTTCGATCTTTCGCGATTGATCGAACTTCTCAAGGTCGGGTCCTTCAAACGGGTGATCGTTGGCGTATTGATCGATCTGGCGCAGGAGATCCTGACGCTCGGGGCTATCTTTCCATCTCTGAGCGAACTCGTCGGCGGTTCGAGGCACCAAAGCCTCAAACCCGGGTTTGATTACTCGCTCGACAGGGCTCGTCATCGAAGTCAGGTAATCCGCCGTGGTTTGAGATTCGGGACAATGGAATCCGAGTCGCTCGAAATAAGCCTTTGCTTCATCTGCTTTGCCGAAGTAAATCTGCCGCCCTTCGTACAACACAGTCACTTTGTCGAATAGCTAGTCAAGGCGTCAGTATAGAGTTGAGCCATGTCGAACATGCATGCTGCACCTACCTCATAGGCGGCCTGCGGCGCCTGATAAATGGCAATGCACGAAGTCGTCCCAAAAACATCACTCTGAGTGCGCAAAGTCCTGCAGAACTCAACAGCGTTGGCACTGTCTAGACCCCTGGTGCTATTGTCCCAGCACTGCAACGGGGCATAGCTCAGAGCGGCCTCAGAAATTGTCACACGCTTCCTCTCGCCTCCACTGACTCCACGGACAAAATCATTGCCCACCCGTGTATTGATGGTGTGGCTGATGCCGAACATGGCCATTATCACGTCCCGCAAATGAGTAGCATATTCTTCACGACTGATGCCACCGGGGATTTGGTACGGCGCGCGAGCAAGAGCAGCGAAGTAAAGCGTGTCGCCCACCGAAAGCATCGGAAAGTGAATGTCAACCTCGGCGGTGTAGATAGCCTCGCCTCGAAATGCGGTCGTCATCTGTCGGGGAGTGATACCGTGATAATTGACGTAAGAATCCGGGTGGACTTCGAAGCCATGAGTGTCGCCGGCAATCGTCTTCAGAAGTGTTGAGCAGCCCGAGCCGGGAGGACCGAGAGCGCATAGCTGTTCGCCTGGTAGAACCAGACCATCAAAGTCTTGAAGGATGTCGACCTTCTGTCCGTGCTTTCCACTGAACAAGCGAAGAGCCATAGACGGAAGCTTGAGCAAGGCATTACCGACGCTCATCTGGTAATCGGTCGCGCTGCCATATCCATACACCTGCAGGCCCTTGAAGGCGAATCCAGACAGCCGGGGTTCAGAGTTGCCCTCTGCCTTGTATCTTACATTGTAGAAGGCCTTTGCCCAGGATTTCGCGCTGAAGTCGGGACTTTGGGGGTCAACCTTCTTCCCAGGGTTTGCTCCGAAGAGTGGCTGGTGGTGAGAGTCGGTGGACCTGGTTGTGAATTTGCGAGCGAGATTGAGTACTTCCTGTTCCCGTTGGGCGCCATTCTCCTCGTAAACCTCCGTGTCTAACTTGTGCCGGTGCGATCCCTCCGCATGATGAGCCTGAGTAGCAGAGGTGGCCGTTTTATTCGACGAGCTGTCGCTGGACGGGGCCAAAGAACCCATAGACTGCATGGGTGTACCGGTGGCCTTACCTTGGAGCGACATCCCAGCGAAGTCACAAGGCAGCAACAAAGAGGGAAGAGAAGGATGAGATGAAAGGATCGGCCATTGTCAGCAGAAGACTATATAGAGCCTCTCATGCTGTGGCCGGAGCATATGCGCCATGTAAAGCCCGATGGCGGCAACCCGAAGAAGTAAAATTAGGGGCGAGACTGGCTCCAGACCCGCCAGAGACACCCAGCCAAGCCGTCATCCTAGTGAAGAAACCAATGAACGCCACTTAGGGATCGTAGCAAGGAGTGCAAGGAGATGATCGGGGAGCGGATGCGATGCCAAGGCCACGACGCGCCGCCTGATCGGGAGCCCGAGGGATGCGAGGCGTCCGCGGACACCGAAGACAAGGAAAATTCTCAACGAGACCGAGAGAATCAGTCACCGCAATACGAGACTCGGAATCATCGTTCTTCGTCTGCGATGACTCATGCGCGTCACCCTGCCCGTATTTGTACTTGGCGTGAACGTGTGCCCAGAAGAATTTTATTCAAGTAGGTGATGTGTCTATTCCCGTTAATTAGTAGTCTATGATACATAAATACATTTACATTTAATAATAATACAGTCGACCTGCGGGTGCCTGGCCAGTCCGTTGCGACATGGAGCAGCTAATTCAGCAGCTTGAGTACCAGCTCATATGTTCCCAGCGTGAGCGCCGCCGAAGGGACGGTGCGGATTAGATGCGCCGTCAACCCGCCGTACAGGGCGACAACTCCTTCTTCTTTAACCATCAGCCGGAGGCACTGCATCACTCCGGTGTATTTCGGGCGGCCATTGGCCATGGGGGCTTGTCGTAGTCGAGTCCGGAGGACCTATCATTTTGTTAGCCGCTGAACAGACATGGGACTCCCGGGGAAGAGCTCACCTCGTGGGGGTAAGCGATCAAGACGGCGATCAGCTTGGAAAGACCAGCGGCTCCGCTGAGAATCAAACCCTGGGCTAGCTCGTTGTTCTTCTTCTCGCCCTGCAGCTTGTTCTGATTCGCGAGCATGACCTTCATTCGTTCGTAGGAGGCAAGATGAAGAGTAGTCTCGATGACTCCCAGGTAGCTGGCCGCAAGACCCCGATATAACCCTCTCAGTCCTTCCTGCTTGACGACCTGCTTCACGCAGTCATAGCTGCTCTTGTACCGTGGTTGTCCGCCGCTCTCCAGGTGTGACTTATCGAGTTGAAGCCGTGTCTTGACGAGCCAGATAGGGTTCGTCGCGGTACCGGTCACTACACCGGCGGTCGCAGCCGAAAGAGCGTGTACCGACGTAGAGTCGGCATCGTACCCAAGGAGGCCCGGATAGAGCCGTTTGCAGTTGCCGTACGCCCAGAACTTGATGGCGGTGGCCGGAACCACACCCGTCAGACTGGGTCCCAGTCCCCGGAAGAGACTGCGCCAGCCCTCGACGCGGTGTATCGTAAAGAGAATGTCAAATGTTTCACGGAAATGGAGAAGAAAGGATCGTGGTAGAGACACGCGGGCTTGAGGCGGGGGAGCGACGGCGGATTTGGTCTGCGAGCGATAGAAATCCGATTGTAACCGAGTTCGAAGCACATCTAGGGGCGATGTCAAGAGAGCCGTGACCATGCCACCGGTGCTGCAAGTTGGTTCGTTAGCATCTTGAAAACAGACTCCAGATTCCGGGGGATCGTCGGGGTTGCTCACGCGCCAGCGATGAAATGCGTCGACGGACTGGTGGCCTTGTGGACATGCGGTGTAACTGGATCATCGGAAGCGGAAGATTTTGCAAAGGTCTTTGGAGCTGGACCATTGTCGATGTTTTTGTGGAGTGCCTGCATCTCCGGGCGTTGGGAAGGCGAAAAGATTAGGATGGGGAATGAAGGGTAATTAGACCCGGCGATAAGAAACAAAAATCAGGTAATTTCGATTGCCGTTATCGTGACCCATGTAAAGCAAAGAGCGAACTTTTCTCCCCCCAAAAAGCTAACGACCGAAAAAAAAAAGATTGGGAACAAAAATTTGACAGCTGGGGAAGTTTGGGATCTTTTGCGCCAAGCACCGCCGGCCAGGGACGCCGCGAGAGGCGTTGGTTCTGGAATTTTTAGTGCCAAGCCTGCCTCGGGCTGCTGGTTGTTCCGTGCCGAGAGCCACCCGTCGCGGCCGGATTACTCACCCGGCGCTAATCCGAAAAGGATGGGTTCTACTGTATTCCGCAGTATACCTTAACCTACTTCTTCGTTCCCATCTCATTCTGACGTACACATCGGTATCGTCGAAATGACACTGACCTGGAATTACTCTCCGATCAGCATACTAGGTCTGGTCATCATGACGGCACTGATGTCGGTCTTATTTCGACCTTCTTGATGCACCCCCTCTTGCTGCAAGTTGCTGTCAAACATCCTCATACCCAACATGGAGAGTGCCAGTTCCATCCCGCCAGAATATCTTGCCGATGACTGGGAGAACGTTTATATTCGCCCCCGTCGGCTCTGTAGGGGTTATTGTTGCTGCTACATATGCGGCTACAGGTTTTGTGCGGATCTTTCTCGTTGCGGCCGTTCTTCTATTATTTTAAGATATCACCGTTACGACAGAGAAAGAGTCTCCCGGACTGAAAACATAGAACTATCAAGATTGCCTTTGTCCATGGAAAATGGCTGGTGGGCTTTTCAGCGCATGAGTAGGCTGCATATGAAGTCAATAGTGTTGATATTCCAGACTGATGCGCTTTAGTTCTTTTCAACCAGGAGGATTTTGCGTACCGACTATCTGGGGTTGCTATGGTACACGCCCGGAACAGAACTGTTCCGCAAGGATGTGTTCCTTTACAGAGGGGGACAGAAACGGACGATACCCAGCCCGGGGTTCACAGGCCCACAAGGCGCAAATGCCCCCTGTCGACGGAATGGGTGGGTTATATTGTCCATGCTCGTTGCTGGGAGCTTCTCTCATACCATGAATTGGGTACTGTCGCGGAGGATGATCTAGATCTTTTTTTTGCTGCCCTTCGACATAGACGTCTGATGATGGGTAGCCAATGTAGGGCCTGGAGACCAGAAATGTACCAAGAAGGCAAGACTCTCACCTAAAACCATTGTGGGTTTTCATTGTGCACCGCTGACAAAACTTTTTTTTTTTTTTCTTTTTTACTCTAGACCCTGTCCGCATCAAGTCTGTCTCATCTGTAGTTGATCTGGCACTAGAGCAAGCGCGGAGGACGAAGCCAAAGAAGGAACCTAGTCGACCTTGTCGCCCCAAGGCGGTGCAGCCCATAAGCTGCCGGCTTCCGATGGAGGTTATTTACATAATTTTTGATTATATCCCGTCCCAAACAGTTGCCAACACTGAAAAAGCATTGAATTTCTACCTGAGTAACAGCTTCTGGTACTCTAGGGTCTCTGCCAATCTTTTCTTTGAGACACAAGGCCTCACTGTCGAGGATGTGGATTGGAAGAGGTTGTGCTTGAAGCTAGAAAGACGACTTGAGAAGTCCGAGGCATTACGCGTGCGCCAGTATCTCCTGAATTGTCTCGATAAGATTTTGAAGGTTGTGGAGATGCTGAAAGATGGGGAATAAGCCTTCGTCAGACTCTTAGCATAAATTCACTTTGTTTGTCCAAAAGACAAATGCAGTCAATTGACAGACTAGATATGTGCCTACCTGGCTTGTTTCTTTTATTCACCTTTGGACTTTCTTTCCCTGCCCTAATTCACTTTCCTTCCCTGTCCTACCCCAAACCTTTGACCCTCTTCTTTTTTCTTGCTGGCCCAGTGGACCGCCCATCCTTCTCTCATCAAAGTCATACCTGCCGTCCATTGCCCTGGCGCTTGTTAACTTTGGTGGCCTTGGGGACTGCCTGATCTCAGCCTCGAGACGCAAGATGACTACCGCCTTGGTTAGTCTCCTTGATGTCACGCATAGCTGAATTAGGAACGCTAATATCCCCGTGACTGAAAGTACTCAACTTTGGCTTCATTTGACGGCGAGTAAGCAAATTGCTGCAATGAAACCAGCTTGGCAAGCAATGTGACTGGATTGTGGATGATCATACTGCAACATTGTGTTCCGCTGGACACAGTATCACATCGCGCGGAGTTTTCATCTGGTCGTGGATGGGGAAGGTCGGATTTAATCAGCGTGAAATGGACAGGCAGACCGGGAGCTTACCCGGAAAGTCCTTTTCTGATATCACAGACCAAAGCTAAACACCAAAGCAATAAAGCATCGATGTGGAGGTCAGCAGAGAGACAACTTGAGAGATGCCTGAGAGCAACAAGCGCAAACATCGGATTAAAGATATACGTGTGTGGAATGCGATTGGGAATTTGGTCAGAATCTACCAATACAACAAAAACACTGATGACCTTACAATAATGGGTAACCGAGGAGATTTGAAGCCCGATGCTAATAGGAATGCACGAGCAATTCAAAACATATTGATAGATATCAATCGGAGAAGTTAGGTTGAGAAATTAGATCAGCCCACAGCAAATAGCAACAACGAACAAGTCGCCACCATCCAAGAGGGGATGTTTCCAGCCATATCATACAAAAATTATGTCAGTCTAGTGACTGGTCCACCTGGAACAGAAAAACGATTGTTTCCGTTCAGATCGCTCTGTATCATCTGAAGATCAAGAGCAAAGTCATTGTGTGCGGGCCCAATTATGGTCTGGACTTGATTGCTTAACGACTGATTGAAGCGTTGGAAAGAGAAAAGCTTTCACTCCATGAAATAACAGAAAGTGTTGCAATCAACCCGATTATATTGCTGTGATAGCAGTTTTGTCAGTGTCTCCTCGACCCGTCCAGGTGGTAACACGGAACTGGAATTTGTAGCTGACGCCAACAGGATGTGCGTGGCTCTAAGTAAAGCCAAGGGTGCACTTCTGATAGTTGGTCATGAGAATATGTTGTTGCCCACCATAGGGACCACCGACGTCTCGCAAGGGTGGATACCCCAGGGGATAACGTTTTGAAACGACGCTTGAGAATTCCAAATTTGCAAAGCTTTGAGAAGGTTTAACGTACAACGGGAGGCATGGACTCGATGTCAATCTATCTACAGCGCATGGAATGACTTGTAGATATTCATCGCTCTTTTCTTTTGCTTCGTTTATTTTATTCTCGTGATCTTTGATTTTCTTTGTAATAATTTGAGACATTTGCTTTTCTCTCTCTTTCTCGTAAGGATTGGCTAGTCTATGGATTAGACACATCCACAGTCAAATGCATGAAATTGCTTTAGATATTACCATTGCAGAAAGGCTTCTTGGAAAGAAAACATTGATCTGAAAGGGCCTGTCTCTTGTATGGCCAATGCTAGGGTATTGTTTTTCTGTATCATGATGATGCTTGGTACGTAGCTCATACTGAAGTATAACCAGCTAAAGCCCCCTTATCATCGGGGAAGCCTGCTTCATGGAATCTCTGAGCAAGTTCTGTCGTAGTCTCGTAAACTACCAATTGTTAGCCGAAGATATCCGCTCAGGCTACCCCAGCCAGGCGCGAGTGGCAAACGCCAAACCCCCTTTCATAGCATCATGATCCTGGCTCCATGATTCATGCAAACCATGACCACCGGGAGCCAGAGACAAATGCACCTCGGTAGCAGGCTGCTTCTCCTGCAGCAGTGCAGTAAAATCCCGGCTTCCATCAACCGGGACTATATCATCATCCAGCCCGTGGATGATAAACAACGGCGGGATCTTTGCACCGCGAGATACCCTCTCAAACGGGAACAGTTTCTCGTCGGTTCCGAAGAACTCTAGAAACTGCGAATTGTCCATCATGGAAAACGCAAACAGGAATCGCGAGATGGCGATATCAGACGACACAACGGAGCTTTGATCTTCCTTGTTGGCGAGATATTCCCGGACTAAAGAAGCAGGAGCTCGTGGGTCTGATCGCTGCTCTGTGTATGGTGCTGTTTTCAGGTCAATGCAAGGGAATTCGGAAATACAGGCTTTAACAGCGTGGGGCTGGTTGAGAGCAAGTTGTACGCTTAGATAGCCGCCTAGCTTGATGTTATCACCACCCAACTATGAGATGTGAGCAAGTGGGAGCGGGGACTGACCTGCGCTTTCACCTGCAGTCATCATTTTGGACAAATCGGGCTCAATTCCATTGGTACTGTCACGCAAAGTGTCTGCCAACTTGGACGTGACCCATCCCCAGAAATCATCGATATCTTCCATGATATCCATACCGCTGGAATCAGGCAGAAGACGATAGTTGGGCAACACGATGATCGCGTTATGCTTCAGGGCTAGTTCGGCCTGCCATTTTGGGAACCAGTCTGGAAACAGACTTGATCCTGATGTCTGCAAGAGGTCAGCTTGATACATGTCCATGCGACTAGAGTCTAATACATACAAAACCACCCCCATGGAAGCGAATGACGACAGGATATTTACCCGGAGATGTTATACTCTTGGGCACTAGAACATTCGCAGCAATATCATGTTGGGAGACAGTTTTGTAAGTTGCTGAAATGATGTTGAATGGTTCAAATTTTGGACTCGATGACATTATTGCGGAATAGTGGCAAGCACAGTTGATGAACCGACCAGCAGGGCATATGCTGGGGACTCAAAAACAAGTGGAATGGGTTGACTTTATACTCCATTTTGAGCAAATGCTCGGCTAAACTTCGCGGGAGATGTTGACACCAAAATGCGGCATGATCGTCGGCGTCAGGGACGTATGGAGCAGTTCCATTGCTGAAGGCCAATCAGCGGTTGAGTGCAGCCTCAATCAAACATGGCAAACAGCTCAAACCCCCTTTCGCAAACAGTGCAAACATGTCTGCCGTTGATCGGGATTTGCATGACATCATCAACTATACCGCGTACTCCCCAAAGCTGTCAGGGAAGGTGGAAGTTTACAGCGGAATGTCCGCAAGTTTATTCCTTCATTCCTGAACAAGCTCGGATGCTGAGCACTTTGTGGGCTCTAAGGGTCGGGATGTACTATACGAAGCAATTTGATCACTTCTGTCCCTCGATATCTAAACATCAGACGGTTGGCCTTTCTTTGAAGCGGTTTCAGTGCATTGATGACCAAATACCGCATGAACCGTGGCATTGCTTGCCACCGGAGAAGAACAAAGTCAGGTTTCATGCATAGCATTTACAGGAGTATAGAGTTGGTCTGTAACTCAAAGATCATGACTCGCATACATAAGGACCGGCATTGCCCCCTGCTACCATTGAATGGGGTAAGCTCGCATTCAATTGAAGCTTAAGCTCTCCAAAATGCCGTTCGACCGTTATGCAACCTTCCAGCCTGACGAGAGCACCTATGCCTCCAACGCTCTGCGCAACAATGCCAACGGAGTCTATCCTGACAGGGAGGCCCTTGAACGATTCAAGATCCGCGAGCTCTGCGAAGGCTGGGGAAGTTATCGTGACGCTGCTGAGTTAGTATATCAGCCCTAGTCCATCTCCAACAGCCAAAGCCAAGTGCTGATACGCACTAACCAACTCATAGGTGGCAAAACTACCGCTCCATGTTCTTCGACGACGCCTACATCACCACCTCCTGGAAGCAAGGCAGCATCGACGAATTCATCCAAGCATCCAAGGACGGCTTTGCAGAGGGTTCGTCCTTCATGTACATCGCCCACCGGATCTGCGGCTCGTCCGTCGAAACCAACACCCAACTCACGCGTGCTGTCTGCAAGATGAAGACTACCATCACGTGTCGCTTTACGTTCGACGGGGTCGAAATGGATAATGAGGCCGACTGCCGCTTTTTCTTCCTACTTGAGAAGAGAGAGGGTCGATGGGGCGTGTGTTTGTTCACGTTGCTGTTTGATAAGGATAAGTTTGTGCCTGTTAACCCAGAGAGGAGGTTCCGTGTCCCTGAGGAGGAGGTGGATCAGTTTCCGTCTGGGTATCGCTATTTGGCTTGGGCGGAGGAGAAGATTGGAAGGCCTCCGAAGTTGAATTTGGATAGTCATGGTCCCGAGAAGAATGTTTTGTACGGGAAATGTAAGGATTGGCTGGAGGGGAGGCTGGTGGTGCCGGATCTTACGGGGGCTGATATTCCCGGTTGGAAGCCCCGTGTTGATGCGTTTCGGGATAGAGAGCTGTACAGGCCCCGGCTATAAGACCTTTGTTCGGTTAGAAGTGTTGGGCTGTTTTAAATTCACTTGTACCTATAAGATAATTCCAATTTGACATCTAATGAGAAGCAGCGCTAAACTAGAAATGAAATCTACAGGTTTGACGCAAGACTATATGAACTCACAATTCGCTCTTGGATGGAATCACCCTCCAGCACCATCCACACCAGCTTCGGTCTTGTCCCTCCTCTTCTCGAACCAAGTATCGCCCCGAATCTCGCTCGTCTTCGTGCTCAACCACGCAGGCCCCCACGATGACCCGTTTCTTTGACTTTTGTTTGACCCTACCGCCTATTCCAATGATTTCTTGCCGAAAATACCCAGGCTCCTCTTCCTCGCGACTCTCTAATCGGTCGTTGGAGTGATTATGCGACCCCCAGGGCCCATTTCCAAGACCAGGGGAGTGACCATGGGGACTACCCGAGGATTCATCCGCTTCACATTCCACTTCCATTTCGATCTCTTGAGCGGCTAAGCAATCTTCTCCACGGCCGCATTTCACGCCCTGGCATCCTTCCCCGATCCCCGTTCCTAGTCCACCGAGGTAGGTGCTGTAGCGGGTGCGCCAGTTCCAGACTCGGCGATAGGTGGTGTCGCTGCTGCGTAGCCTCATACCACAGTGGTGGCAAATCCAAAAAGCGTCCGCGCACGTGCAGGGTGTACGTAAAAACGCGGGTGTCGTAAAACTAGACTCGTCTAACGATGGCGACGCTCGAGGACTGTGACGGCGCGGGGCGGATGGGGAGACGAGATGATCGCTCAACGGCGCCGTACGGCAAGTAGTGCAAAGGCGGCGGATACGGTTTTTGAGCATGCTGAGTGTCGCAGGCTTGGCTGTGCAGTTCTGAGAGGGCTCTTAGTAAGTTGCATTCTTCAGCTGTCGCGAGGAAAGGGTAGGGATCATACTCGACACACAACCGTGGAGCACCTTCGGCATTCCGCGACCATATCCCGAGCACATTTCGATATTTTGCCGGTGGTGAGGCGTCCAGAGCTCATGGCTCCCTGGCTCAGGAGCCGGATCACAGATTTGACACTGTCGGGTATCACGGTACCGCTCTTCAACAGGTCCACTAACGTCTCAACATATTCATTCTCGCAGCGTAGGGTCTGCTTGACTAGTTGCTGACGGTAGGGAAGCAGATTGGCGTGAAATTGGCGGCATGTTTGCGACAAGGAGTCCAGCGTGTTCAAATCCACCAGTCGAGCGATTTCTTTGATAACTCTGATGTATAGTTAGCACAACAGCGCGGAAGCAATGCCAACGCGGCTCTAGTTCATGAATGCTCCATACGGGTAGCAACTCAAAGCAGCAGAGAAAGAATTCCGATTCAGAGTTGGCTTCTCTGGTGCTGATTGAGATTGATAAGAGTCGCGAGCCGGATCGGCAGAAGGATCATCAGTCTCCACCTCCGCAGGGCCAGAGGCAGGGTCGGAGCCAGCTCCCCCCAGCTTTGATAACGAGGGCTTCCCAGGCTCTACATAAGGGTAAAAAGAAGAATCGGGACCCCTAGAGAAGCTACGTTTATTAAACGCGTCGTGCTCCAGGTCAACAAACACAACCATCTTGCTTTCAGGCGTAGACAAAATGTGGAGAACGAGTTAATAGGTATGCTTCACGGTAGCCGGAAAACGGGCACAGCCAAGGATGAAGTAAGCATCTGAAGGTGAAAGTTCGCAGTCTCGAATACACGAAGAGTTCAATCGGGCTGTTCCATGGCTTTTAACGATGAAATCTCTTTTTATACCGCTCAAAGTCTTTTTGGCGATCGCAGTGGGATGATGCGGTTGGGAAAGATCCCTCCGTATTCGGCGCGGGGCCGTCCCAAGCAGTGGTGCGTGTCGGCGATCAAGAAGCCGACGACGATTCTTCTGGGTCGGCAGCGTGGGTTTCCTCTGGATCCGGTGGTCCCGGGTGGAGGAGGGTGGACGATGAAACAGGTCGAGGTCGGAGAGAGGCAGTACTTGAGGTCGGCAAGCTTGCCTTGTTTTAATCTTATCTTGATCGATCGTTTTAATCAATCACCCCGTCGGTCACCTGATCCTCCCCTCTTCAGGTCACGGGATGACGCCTATCCCAGAACGGCCTAGCTCACAGTCTGTCCCGATTAGGCAGGTGACGTGATTGAGGCATCCAGGCAGCGAGGCATCGGCGCCTTCTCCGGACATTTTGGCTCGGCCTTCTCCAACTTTCCGTTTCCCTCGGAGTCTCCATGTCAGCCATAGGGCCATTAGCCTCCCCTGCTATCCACTTCCTTCGAAATCAATCGGATTCCGTCCAATTGGAAGACCAGATGAGATAGTCACTTCATAGATATCTACTGCCTTTGGCCCCTTCTCCAACTCGAATTCCCGAGGTCATACGCATGGGCGGGGCACGGAGTATGGGACTTTCTCTTATCTTGGCCCAAACTAGTTCTCTTCTCCCCTCCTGAGTCTTCTATTAAAGCCGAATTTCCCCGTTTACGAGAGAGCAAGGCAATCGCATCTACCCTACGCCCACTGCGCGCGCGACAGAATCAGCCACAATGCCTCTCAATTCAAAGGCGGTCTACTCTCGCATAAACCCTGACCTCACTCCATTTTCGAGCCGAAGGAGTACTGTACACAGCACAAATGGAATTGTCACTTCGACTCAGCCCTTGGCTGCCGCGGCGGGCCAACGGATCCTCAAGGCCGGAGGAAATGCGGCCGATGCCGCTGTAGCCGTGGCTGCCACTCTAAACCTCACCGAACCTAGCTCCACGGGGATTGGAGGAGACATGTTCTGCCTTTTCTACGATGCCAAGACGAAGAAAGTACACTCTTTGAACGGTTCAGGAAGATACGCAGCCAACGCCACGCTCGAGAAGGTCAGAAAGGACTTGAACCTAGGACCGGACGACGTGGGTAAACTTCCCTTCAGAAAAGCGGTTGCGGTAACTACACCGGGGGCGGCTGCTGGATGGGTTGATACAGTCGAGAAATTTGGCAGCGGCAACCTATCGCTAGAGCAAATCCTGCTTCCAGCCATTGAACTTGGAGAAGAAGGATTTCCCGTGTCGGAGCTATCGTCTTATTACGTATGTCTATGCTTTTAAGCCCGACCACTTAGATCATAAGACTAACATACAACTTAGTGGCATGAACAGGAATACCTACTCCGCCAAGCGTCTCCAAATTCGCATGAGATGCTCAAGGCTGATGCGAACGCCAAGAACGGATGCAGAGCCCCCCTGCCCGGCGAGATCATGAAAAACTCTGCGTTGGCCAAAACTTTCCGAACGCTTGCAGCCGAAGGGAAAAAGGGATTCTATGAAGGACGAGTTGCGGAAGAGTTGATCAAGGTTGTTCAGGACCTTGGGGGCTACTTGACGCTGGAAGACCTCAAGTATCATGCCGAGACAGGAAGCCAGGAGACCGAAGCTATTTCCCTCAAGTTCACCGGGCAGGGGATTGTTGAGAAGCAATCCAATGGTACAGATGATGAGGTGAATCAGGGAGTAGAGATTTGGGAGCATCCGCCAAACGGGCAGGGCATCGTCGCACTCATGGCATTGGGCATACTTGAAGAACTCGAGCGAACGGGCAAGATCCCTACATTCTCGGAAGATCAACACAACTCAGCCGAGTATCTCCACGCTATCATTGAAAGCCTTCGCATTGCATTTGCCGACGCCTCGTGGTGGGTAACCGATCCTGACGTCGAGAAGGTCCCAAGCCAAGAACTCCTCTCACAAGCCTATCTGGCCGAACGGGCAAAGCTGTTCAACGCTGACAAGGCCTCTGACATTCTTGACCACGGCAGCCCGGCCCACAACCACTGCGACACGGTCTACTTTGCAGTCACCGACAAAGAGGGCAACGGCATCTCGTTCATCAACAGCAACTACGCCGGGTTCGGAACCGGTATCATCCCCAAGGGCTGTGGATTCACATTGCAGAACCGAGGCGCCAACTTCTCTCTGAGTCCCGACCACCCCAATGCTCTGGCTCCCCGAAAGCGCCCCTACCACACCATCATCCCTGCAATGATCACCAACGTCTCCGACGGCTCTCTCCATTCGGTGTATGGCGTTATGGGTGGATTCATGCAGCCCCAAGGCCACGTCCAGGTTCTGCTCAACATGCTCGCTTTCAACTACAACCCTCAAGCTGCAATGGATGCTCCTCGAATTTGCATTGCCGCTGCGCCGCCTGAGCTTCCGCAGGACCGCACCGTCTACGTCGAGGAAGGGATCAGTGACGAGGCCGTCGTAGGCCTACAGCAGCTCGGCCATAAAGTGGAAGTTCTCAAGGGATGGGAAAGAGGCATGTTCGGTCGTGGGCAGATTATCCGATGCCATTATGATGAGGGAAGACTTGTATACAGCGCCGGGAGCGATCTCCGCGGCGATGGAATGGCTATTCCTGTCATATAATCCCCTTGTCTCTTCTACCAGTTTACATGATTACAATGACTACCTTGCTTGTATATACCGTTCATATATCGAAGGAATTCATCATATTGCAAACAGTCATGTTTTCGTCAATCGTAAGGAAGATAATCATACTCGGTGATAGGGGGAGGGGGCTCGGCTCGGTCAGATCCTTTTTGCTGCTCAACAGCTCAACCAGAACTCAAAACCATGATGTTACAACAAAGACACGCAGGCTAATGATGAGACGGAAGAATGAGAATGGGACGTGAAAAAGCTAAATCAGAGGAAAGAAGAAAAATAAAACAAAAGGCAAAACAACATCAATAGTAAGACAAACAACAAAAGTATGAGAATGAGAAATCGAGATGGCGCCACTATTGCTATGCCCGCTTCCCCTCGCTTGCTTTCCATGCTAACTCAATGCTATATAACCCGCTCAGATGCATGGACTAATGGCCATTAGGGTTCCAACAGGAAAACGATGAACAATGGAAATGAAATATGAAATATGAAGGGGGAAATAAAGGGAGTTAAACGATAAAACAACAATAGAAGGGGACGGTGAAGAAAATAAGAAAGAAAGGGGGGAAATGTGGTCTATAACGAAATAAGAAAGCAGCTCAAGTGCTCTTTTGGAGGATGGAGTGAAACGAAAGAGAATCGAAAGTTTTGCGGAAAAGAAGAGAAGAGTGAGCCCGAATATGAGTGATAATTATCCCATGCATTGATCAATGCGCAGCAATAGCGGCCTTGAACATGCCCTTCAGCTTAGAAGGGCCCCGGGGAGGAGAGGGATCGCGACGGTGTCGGTGATGACGATGTCGTTCTTCACCTTCACGACGGCGGCGACGACTATCAGATTCTTCCTTCGCCTTGGCTGCGGCAACCTCATTCATTTGCGCTGCTTCTTCGTCGGCCTTTCGGCGCTCTTCCTCTTCGGCCTTGCGTCGAGCGCGTCGGGCTTCGCGCCGGGCCTGATCTTCCTCCTCAGTGCGGTGGGAGCCGCTGGACTTTTCGCTGGACCCTCGTCGGCCTTCGTGAGAGTGGCGATGGCCGTGTGTATGGCTGGTGGAAGATCGTCGGGGAGGAATGTCGGCGGCGGCGGTGGCACCGTTAACTCGGAGGAGAGGGCCGTTCTCGGATTCGCCATTTGTCATGTACTTTAAGAAAGCTCGAGGTTTGGGTGTCGAGGACTGCCCATGTTTGGAGGAAGAGGCGGGTTTGCGGTCCCGATCACGCTGTTCGCGCTGCTCGCCGTCGCGGCTTCCAGAGTGATCTGAGCTTCGGTGGTGGGATCTGGTATGCCCGGATTCCCTGGCCCTTGGGGTGTGTTCGACACGCTCGACACGCTCTGCTCGTCTGGCTTCTCTTGCGCGGTCTTTCTCCTCGGCATGGTATGCCTTCTCGTAGGCTTCAGCCCTTTCGGCTTTTTCGGCCCTCTCAGCTCGATCTCGTTCTGCTCTGTCGGCTCTCTCGGCTCGCTCTCGCTCTCGCTCTGCTCGTTCTGCTCGATCAGAGCGATCAGGGCGATTAGCCCGCTCACTGCGTTCAGTGCGTTCGACACGATCGGCGCGTTCTGCTCGTCTGGCTTCCCTTGCACGATCTTTCTCCTCGGCGTGGTATGCTTTCTCGTAGGCTTTCTCCTTTCGTCGTTTCTCCTCCTGTTTGATCTCATGCTGTCGCTTGGCCTCGTCCAGTGCCTTGGCCCATCGGTTGGTGAATATACCGCCCCGGTCACTCTTTTGTCGTTGCATCGGTGCAGACCGGTGTTCTTCGGTTGAGCCCTTCGAAGGGCGTCTCTCGCGGTCTACCTCAGGCGAGCGCTTCTTTCTTCTCCTGGAGCCATGCGTGGCTCCAAGGCCGGCTGCGGTTCCGAGAGCCGCCCCTGTGACTCCTGCAGCCACAGCCGCAGCTGCAGGGTCGATGCCATCATCTTCTGGAAGATCTCTTTCACCTGCCGGTTCCGGGATCTCTTCAGGGACCCGTTCCTCGGTAGGGTGCGCTTCAGCAGGTGACTCTTCAGCTGGGGCAGGCTCTTCGGCGGGAGAGCGTTCCTCAATAGGATGCTCTATTGGAGCACGCTCTTCAGTAGGTGTTTGAACTGGAGCACGATCCTCAACAGTAGGTTCAGCAGGGGCTTCTTTATCAACAGGATCATCAACAGGTGCAGGCTCAGCAGCAGCAGCTTCAGCTGGAGGCTCCTCAGCTGGAACACTTTCTTCGGCGGGCGCACGCTCCTCAATGTGAGCCGGCTCTTCGGCGGCGGCAGGCTCCTCGACCACAGGCTCTTCTGCAGGGGCAGCTGCGGGTTCTTCAACCGGGGCTGGTTCCTCGGCAGCAGGCTCTGCAGGGGCGGCGGCAGGCTCGGCTGGTGTAGGCTCTTCGGCAGGGGCAGAAGTAGCAGCAGGTTCCTCGGCAGGAGGCTCCTTAGTAGTGGAATCTTCTTCCGGAGTAGGTTCCTCAGCAGCGGCAGGCTCAGCAGGGGGCTCATCCACAGGAGCTGACTCGCTGACGGGCGCCGGTTCCTCCGCAGCTGGTTCCTCGGGTGCCGGCTCATCAGCGGCTGGTGCTGGATCTTCGGGAGCAGCCTCAGCAGAAACTTCTCTAGAAGCTTCTTGTTCTTCTGCAGGAGCCTCTGGGGCCTCAGTGGTCGCAGCGGGTTCCTCAACTGGCACCGATTCTTCGGGGACCGGCGCCTCAGTTACCTCTTCTGCTGAAGCTTGCGGTTCCTCTGGCTTCTCTTCGGCAGGAGCTGACTCCTCGGCGACAGGTTCTGCAGCTTCTTCATGAGCGGGTGTCTCTTCAGACTCTGGTTCTTTCTCCTGAGGTGGCTCCTCTGGAGCAGCTTCCTGAGCAACTGGCTCCACAGTTGTTTCTTCTTCAGCTGGGGCTTCTTTAGAGGATTCCTCATCCGCCTTAGTCTCTTCAGGCGGTGCTGCTTCCGCCGCTGGCTCCTCAGTAGCGGGCTCTTCGGCGGGGGTTTCTTCTGGTGCAGGCTCCTCTACTGGGAGAGATTCGGCGGGAGGGTCTGCTGGAGCATCTTCAACAGCGGCTGGTTCTTCCGCAGGTTTATCCTCAGCCGGCTTTTCTTCCGTCGGCTCTTCTGTTGGTGTCGCTTCTGCAGCCTCTGCCGGGGGTTCTTGCTCTGCAGGTGTTTCCTCAGGTGTGCTTTCGGTGGCCGGTTCTTCGGCGTTCTCTTTATCAGCACCGGCGTCTGCAGCGGGCTCTTCAGCAGGTTTATCCGAAGACTCTTCAGGAGTAGCTTCTACGGCAGGGGCCTCGTCTGCAGCTGGTGCATCTGCGTCTTTGCTTGATTCTTCCTCTGCTTTCGGCTCCTCGGATGGTGGCTCTTCGGGGGCGGCTTCAGGTTGAGCGGGCTCTTCTGGTGGGGCGTCCGCCGTTTCCTCAGGTTCCTTAGGAGCCTCTTCTTCAGCTTTGGCTGGCTCCTCTGGTTTGGCCTCCTCTTCTGCTGCTGCGGCTGGTTCTGTTGCAGGCTCTTCCTTGGTGCCCTCATCCGCTGCAGCCTCGTCAGAAGGTTTTTCTGTGGTCTCTTCAGGCTTTTCTGCAGCATCTGGCTGGGTTTCTTCAGGCGCCGTAGTCGTATCTTCAGCTGGTTGTTCAGGCTGGGCCGCTTCCTTGTCTAGATTTTCTGCGGCTGTTACTTCCTCCTGAGCCTCTGGTTGTGCGGGCTCTTCAGTTGCTTCCTTCTCGGCCGTGTCGGCATCGGCTTCAGGCTCAGCAGCCTTGTCGTCTGCCTTTGGTTCCTCGGTCGATGCCTCAGCAGGGCTTTCTTCTTCTTTGTGTTCTTCCTCAGGAGGGCTCGGGGCATCGGCAGCCGCAGCGGCTGCGGCTTCGGCGTTAGCGTCGGCATCGGCAGCCGGTTCGTTTTCCTGTTTCTCTGCAGGAGCCTCCGGCGTCGTCTCTTCCTCCTTGGCACCCTCATCCAAATCAATCAGCTCCTTCTCGATGGCTGCCTTCTCCTCCGCCTCGGCTTTGGCATCCTCTTCGGCTTGTTTGGCGGCGGCTTCTTTCTCGGCTTCGACTTCGTCAAGGCCTGCAGTAGGATCACATTCTGGGAAGTCATCCTCTATGTGTAAGGTTAGCTGACTTTGGGATCTGATATCATCCACAAGCATACCATTCGGTGTGTCTTTGCTTTCTTCTTGGGGTGTGATGTCCTTGCCTGCATCCTCTGCAGGGGTGCTTTCTGCCTCCTCAGGTGCTGCTGGGCTTTCTTCGGCCGCAGGTTGTTCGGCAGCTGGCTCTGTGGGCTCGGTAGGCTCTGCAGGTTCGGTCGGCTCTGTTGATTCTGCCGGCGTCTCATCTTTCTTTTCTTCTTCTGGGGCAGCACCCTCGGTCTCTGCTGGTGTTGTCGTCGGCTCGGGCTCTGTATTCTCTGCGGCAGGTGGCGTGTCTTCCTCTTTTGATTCTGCAGGCGTCTCGCTGGAAGACTCTACTGAATCAGGAGGGGGCGTTGTTGCCTCGGATGAATCTACACGAGATGTTTAGTTACAATTACATGATATCATGTCATATACCAAGGAGGAATGGTGGGAGAGTGGGAAAGAGGGAACGAAGGGTTGATTGATAGACAAGGGCAGTAGTGGGAGAGACTCGAGGTGGCAAGGGTCAAATGGTGTGACAACATACCTCCAGCCTCGGGCGAGGATGACGAGGCATCAGCAGGCGAGTCTGATCCTTCTTCTATAGCTGGGGCAGGGTCAGGGGCTGGCTCATCCTTGGGGGATTCGGCGGCGGGGGCGTCGGTGTCGCCCTGATCCTTATTGGGGGTGGTCAGACCATCGGTAGATGCAGAATGGACAGGATAATATGAAAATTTAAGAGTATGAGGGTCGAAGGTCTGATAATGACGCTCGATGGTCTTCTGGTACTCAAAGTTGGGGAGCTGTGCATACTGGATCGGCTGTGCCATTTTCAACAGATTCAACTGCCGTGTCCGGGGCAGGCTCGGTTGGGGTACTCTCCGGATTGGAATTGAGGTTGTCGTTTACCGGTAATCGTTTATTGTTGGTGTTATTGTTGTTGTTCTTTTTGCCTTTCGATTTCCCCTTTCTGGTCATGGCACCGATTCAGTTGAGCATGGGACTAATACAGACAATTCTTCTCGAAGGGAAGAGGAAGTAGAGGAGGAATATAAATCAATTGAGAGAACTATGACATCGGCCTGTCGGGGTCTAGACAGGGACAGGGGACTGAACAATGAGGGAAGGCAAAAAATAGGAGGCGACGGAACAGAATGGAATGTGAAACGAGATGAGATGTGAAGGGTCAGGTTTGAGTGATCGCTGATGTATTAGAGGGCTGGGGGACACAACGATATGTCCGCCTCAGTGCGCCAGTGCGCCAACCGAATATCGGTTCCTTTTTTTGGGGGGAAATATTTTTTCTTTTCGAAAAATAATTTAAAAAACATTTTTTTTATCCTTCGAGGACCAACGCGAGGCGACGTATCGTAGACTGGCCACTACCCAGTGGAATGGGACAATATCGAGCTGCAGTTCGGGCTTAGACTGGAGAACGTCATTGACGAACGCCCAACGGCAAGGTATGTCATTGGACCACGTCTCACGGGTCCCGATGGCCCTGGTGGACGGGAAAAAGGAAAAAAGGGGGTCTCCGGGAAGCATCACCGGGGCAGGGGGGTGTCGGAAGACAACCATCTGCAGCCAGAGCTTGCAGTAGCAAGCAGTGGCGGGCGCCGGGTGAGGAGACGAGGATCCAGACGAGGAGAGGGAAGCACCACAGATGGACTCCGTAAAAAATTGGGTACAATCCGTCGTGTTAAGTGGGGGTGGTGCCACTGATCCGTCAGCATCATTGGCCTTGGTTAATTTTGGAATTTTTTTTGTTTGGTTGACGTCTTGGGGTTTTCCCTCTTTGTCTGCGCAAGTAGATCCTTCACCCTAAACATGGATAGATTAATTATTTGTTGACAAGATTCCAGAAGTACTGTACAGAATACATCTGGTCTGGGCAGACAGGGAAGTTAGCCAACGCGTCACGGGCAGAAAAAGTCAGTTGGTAGCTCGAGAGCGGTTGCATGATAGATGCAAGACCAATGGCCGAAACCAATCCAATCCCAATCATCATGCCCATGTAGTACTGGCATTCTATTAATGGAAGGGGACCCGATGGCATCGATGAGGAGAGACCCGATGCAGATGACGGCTGTGTTGATTATTCTGAGAGTGGTCATCTCATTATCATGATGACCGAGTTAATCAATCGCCGATTTCTGCCCAACGCCTCTCGCGGACAGCGGCAGCAAATTGGATGCATGTTGCGTGGAGATGAGACTGGGTCCCCGGTCCGAGGGACCAGGGAGGGATTGGACGGGGACCCAAAGGCGAAGATATGAGGTATTGGCTGGGATCCGGGCCAGAGCAAATCGGAAAATAATAATCAATCCGCATCAATCAATCAAACACCCGTTCAGGGAGCGATGGATGATGGAAGAGGGAGTGGAGGAGGGGGGAAGAAGCAAGAGAGTGGAAGGAAGAGGAACAAGTCAGAGCGAAACCAGGCTGAATCGGCGCTGATCACTGGACCCCCCAACCGGGACTAGCGCCCACCCTTGGGCCTTTCTCTCTCTCGCCTTTCGCCAGCAACTCCATGCTTTCCTCCCTTCCATTCTGTTCTCTACCAGTCGCTGCATCGCATCGCTTTCTCGAGGGGAGGAGAGTGTCCGATCTTCTCCCAACGGGAAAACAATCGTCACCTCGCCCCCCCCCCCAGCCATCGCCTTCAACGGAGACAGGGCCACTATTGAAACAATCATTGCAGAGTGGACTGACTAAACACGGACTGTCCCACTGAGCAACAAAAGTGAGGCGCAACGCTGTTCTGGCGCTCGGTGACTGGCTGCTTTTGCGCCCACTCCCCGGCCCATTGGGGGAGAAATGGACAAAGCCATACCTCTACGGGCCGAGCGAGAGGAGTAAAGCGACAGGAATGGCTGCTAAACTAGATAGCCCCGAAGCACTCAGTTTCTTGGCCACAGGAAAATAATCCCCCCCTCCCCAGACAAGCATGGTTATGCCCTCCACACAGGACTCATAATGCGATGTCGCCTCTCGGACAGATCCAAAAAAAGTACAGCAAGAGATGGAACTCCATTTCCCAACAGAAGGGTACCTACCATTCAGGATCAAACAACAAAGAAAACTAACAGCGTTTCGCCTGACAATGGATCCCCCTGGGCCTTAAATTTTTTATTCTGATTTTGAATTTTGTCCACTTCCACAGCATTGTCAATGTCCCGTCGTTCAGGCGTTGATTTTCCATGGGGTACGCATATCCTACGTAACATGCGTATCCAACCCACACTACTGCTGTACGCCTGCAGGCAGGAAGTCCGAATAACAATCATCGAGAACATTCAACACAGATCCATGATTCAAGGACAGAAGAGAAACGACCCGGACCAATGACTGAGGAGACGTCTCGAGGCGTCCTCACACGGGCCCTCGATGCAGCAGACCAAATCCAGATGGTCGCTGACCTCCTTACGTTTGTTTGATCTCACCATCGGCTTGTGATAGTCATGTTGCGTCGGGGATACCTTTCACGGGCTGTCAAATTCGCTCAGCAGGTTTTAGCCGTCATCTTCCGGACAGATTATCATCGACGCCGCCCCCTCCCGGTCAGAGTCTAGGTTGCTGTCTATGATTAGGTGCCTGCACATAGTCTAAATCATATCGGACACGGTGATTTGTCGCCTCTCTTGCATATCTTAGGGTCTTCGGATCCAAAAGAAGCAGGTGGATGTATTTTTGCGATTGATCCCAGAAGCAATAATTCCCAACTTCTTACCCCTCAGTTAATGATCCTTGCTAGAACGCTTTCTTGTCCTTGGCATCTTTAGAACAACGACATCCTCGTACTACGCCGTACATACAATCGACGATGCCCTCTGGCGACGAGGATTCTAGGTGCCGATGCTGAACTGTCGGCTGACTAGAGCATGTCAAGGATAGCCAGTGTCAAAAAGATGCCTGTGCATCGTTCTGGATCGCATTTGCTCTAACAATAGGTTCATATTGGGTATCTTCAAGTTGCTTCGTCTCTCCGGCCCTAGAATATCCACACCCTACCCAAAGCACATAAGCACCACTCCCTTGCCCTGGACACGTCGACTCTAGTTCTAGACTTTCTGGGAAGATCAGGGGCAAATGAGATGTGATCTGACAATGAAGCGGCCCAAATGGCTATACAGAACAACCCCATGAAACAAACCATTGTAATGAATAGCTAGTAACCGCCCAACACAATGAAGATGGCTAGTTTTTTTTGTTGAATAGGGCTGACTCGTTGTCACTTTCTCCTGATTTCGGGCTTGAAAAAAGCCAGCGTCAGTGGCTGAGCGCATCCATTGACTTTCTCCAGCGTGGCCCAAAGACCTTCATGGCAAAAAGAACGGAGCTGCTGGCAAAGGCAACCAACCCGAGAATGGTGAACAGCCACCCGTTTCCGATTGCATCGATGATTGGGGCTGTAACCAGGGACCCGACACACGAGAAGATGTTCCGCATAAAATTATTTAAGGCCACTCCGGCGGACGATTTCTTGGGCATGAATTCCGTCAACATCGTGGTTGCCATACTAAAAATCAGCATCGACCCAATACCGAAAAAGAAATTGGCGATCATCTGCAGCGTTCGGAAATGTCAGGTCTGAGGCTCGAAAGATGATAGAAAGAGATCAATCATACCGGTGCCAGCCAAAACACTCCCCGATCAGCAGTCCATCCGTACCAAATTAAGGCCGCAGGGTAAAGCAAGGCACCAAGCCAGGCATTCTCTCGCATGCGGTCTTCGGGGTGGTATATCAATTTGCCATTTTCATCGTATCTCTCCGCCTTTCGCGCCTCGCGCTGCATAATCTCATCCATCCATCGGCCACCAAATGAGCTCGCTACCATGTATCCCACAGAGTTTGGGATGTAAAGCAGACCAACAATGATCGTAGCAAAATTATAGGGACTGCTTCCAAAGGTATGCTCAATACTCACGTTCAACACATAGAGCGAGCCAAATGTAATGCTTGCGTAGTATACAGTGAGAAATACCGGCGGGTATCGTAGGTAGAGAACAATCTTCAGGGGGTCTATGAACACCATCTTGAGGATTCTCAGCCATTTTGTGGTGAACTGGACCACCTGCCGAGAAGACACTCTGCTCAGTTGCCGTCCAACGGCTTCTTGTTGCTCCTCGTCCGTGCCAGGGGCCTTCGACACCACTAAGGTTTCAGGAAGGGCAAGGAATATGAAAATGACAGTGACTGCCCCGTAAACGGCCAGGAACCACAAAGTACTTCGCCAGCCCCATCTTTGGGCCAAAGCACCTCCAATAATTGGTGCCAATAGCGGACCGCATAGCGGACCTAGATAGAAGATACTCATTGCACGGCCCCGCTCATGAGAATCCCAGAGATCCGCAATTGTGCCTGCACCAACTGCTTGAACAGAGGCTGATGCGCCACCACTCAGCATTCGCATCACTATGAGCATTGCAATTGAACTGGACACGGCGCAGAGGATATTGAATACAACGAAGAGGCAGAAGGAAACGAGATATATTGTGCGCCGACCCAACCTCTCACTGAAGGATGACCACCAGAGTGGAAATATGGACATGCTCAGCATGTATAATGAGATTGAAAGATTTGCTATTGTGGTTGTTGTGTTTAGTTCCTTTGACACCTGTGATAATGATGCTAGTGATCACGCAGTATGTCAGCTCTGGACTTTAAGATGTAGAGGTAGGGTAGTGATCAAGATGACCGGATGTTGCATCGAGGACAAAAGAGACCTCACGAGACGGAGTGCTCAAATAGACTCATCGACTTACGGAAGAATATTGAGCTGCCCATGGGTGCCGTGGCACCAGCTACTGCGACTATAAAAGTAATGAACCATTTTTTCTTTCGGGGATAAGTCTTCGGATTTTCGATTTCGGCGAGCAGCGTGAGTTGGCCGAAAAGACCTCTACGCTTCAGTCGCGGCACGACCACCGGTTGCTTGTGTTCCGTCTCTGCGTCAGGCGAGATATCCGCTTCTTCATCTTTTTGCTCGATATCAAGAGGCGAGCTTGTGGGTGGTGACAGAGAATGAAAGTTTGCATCCATCTCATTCGTTGCTTCTTTAGACGTTATGGTCTCCTCATACGGGTTTTGAGGGAGACATTCCTCAGACTTTGAGTCTGAGGACCTTTTCTCCGCCATACTGAAAGTCGTCACTCTTTGGAATTATGAGAGCGTGATACCGAAAACACGTTGAACGGATTGCGATTGCGCAATAGCGCGATTATCGCACATCAAGGACTGAAAAATTGAATTTATTTTTGTGCGCAAGTCAACCACAAGGGTGGAATATCAATAGAATCCAAGATCCAACAAGTAGCTTAAGAGCACAAGGATAATGAAGGCATTCGGGTAAGAAAACCCCATGTACCAGCACCTGGAAGTGGAGTTAATATTTAGTTATTGTCGATAATACCGGACGATGTATGTAAGATAAACCGATGTACTGTGGTCATCTTCTTGATGCTGGCACCAGGAAACCATACAACAGAGGAAGGAAAGACGAAGTGAGGATAAAAAACTCGAGAGAGATTAGAAGAGAAGAGAAGAGAAGAGAGCAGGCGAAAGCCGAGGGTTGCAATAATGACCGTTATCTAACGTCGGCACAAAACAGGAAGGCGTAGATCTCCCCGCTCGCCTGGCGGGTCCAGCCTGGACTCTTACGCAGTAGTAGTTCTCGAAGGCACAGGCACAAAAGATTCCTGGAAAACCGGTGGTCGTTATCCGCGGAGTAATTCCCATGCTTTCGAACATCATCGACGTTTAACATTACCGCAGTCCAAGAGAAAGTGCATACCACGTTACGAAGCCTCCCGACCAGCATCATGGAATGCCGACGAGGAATGCTACTTACGCAGTCCTCTGTACTCCGGAGAAGGTAAGGGGTGGAGGAGCGATGGAATCAGCCACAGCCAGTGAAATCGAGCGACGGCGTGCCGTTCCATCCGAGCCTCCCGCCAGTCACGGCGACTCGGGCGTTTCCGCCTCGGCTGCTGTTGCCGAGGTCAAGCCTTACGGAGTATAGAAACCATAGGTATCGCCAGTTGAGTGTTGTATAGGATGAAGTGACCCTTCGCAGGACCTACATGCAGGGATGCCCGCCAGATACATACTGCCATCCAATCGGGAAATTCGAGTTCGAACCATGTACAGACCATGGGAACTTGCAGACTGCATTGCTTGTAAACCCAATGCCTTGGCCCAGAGTGGCCGACAGTTTAGATAGGTCATATTGAGCTGCAAAGGCCAAAGTCAACGGAGTATTGCTTTTTGTACTACTCATAAGCGCCACAGACTTCATCCCAAAGTGTCTATAGCCTTCACTCTACCACACGATCCCCGAACCTCTCAAAGTCAGCCACGCAAATTGCCAGAAAGTAAGTGCATATATCATATGCCAAATACTACTGCCGGTCGGAGCGGTGAAGCATTCCCTCGCCAGCGAAGATAAAATAATCATCATGGTGCGGCCATCTCCTGCACGTCTTGGTGCTCCTGCTGGCTGGCTTCGGCTACGATGCATATGGGGGATGCAGTGCAGTCGCAGTCGAGGTGTGCAGACAGGAAAAACTGAAAAAATACGGCCCGATATCCTGTCCAGGACCCGGTGGCTGGCTGAGGGAAGGCGATCTTCATCCAGGGTGATTTCTTCAAGAATATCTGGTTGGAAGAGTTTCAGTTATCGTTGGGCTTCATCCCATTTACGACGATGGAGTGAGTGATATCCAATGCTAGACGCTGATTATTTTCGTATAAAGATTTCTATCGAGAAAGTCAAATGCTCGCTTGTGTTAAATGGCGCTCTGAGAAGATAGATTGAACACCAATTGCTCGGGGAGGAAAGAACTCCTTCTGATAACGGTTTTTGTAATTTTGGTTTCCCTGCGCACCGATTCCTTCAATGCGTCCAAGATGGGCTTTCTGACACGCTCAGCTCCTCGCTCCTCGATGCGCAGTAGTCTAGTTTGTTTGCCTCGAGTGCCCACGGGAAAAAGATCCTTTACTCCCCGGTTCACCTTGGGGTGCGCCGTCAGAGGCGTATATGCGACACTTGAGTCACCCTAAAGAGGAAATCGCTTATGGCCGAGCAGGGTCGACGCAAAAGCGAGACCATCAATCAACCAGGCAAACAGGGCTTCGAACGAGTCGCATATTGGCAGCCCATTCGAACACACGACATTGGAATAGACGAGGCAGTAAAAGTCCACGACCGAATTTTAGTATGCCACCAAAAACCACATCGATCACGGTCAGAATCGATGAATTTTTGGCGAAGTGCTTCCTTCCTGGAATGCCTGCGCGCATATTGATCGGCTGCCCGATCATAGAACGGACCGCCTTGCGAGATAGTCCCTATTTTAAGGCTTCTTTGCAAGGGCATTATAATGCTCACCAAGCCCGTATGTATGTCGATAATAAGCCAGCCATAGAATGCGCTTGTTCTCGTCTTCCAAGCTGTCATCGCCCGACTCGATTTTTTCAATCCGTCCGTCGGCTTGAACCACGTTGATTTCAACCCCGTAGGCCCTCGCAATGGCCTGTAATTCCAGCTGCCCTCCCCACTCAGCCGTGAGCTTAATCTTCCGCGTGTACTGCTCCAAGGGTTCCTCCATGAATGCCTCAAAATCGTCCTTGTGTTCAGCAATGTAATCGGCGGTCACCGCTCGCACCGCTCTGTAGCCATCGTGTTTAGGGGAGGTCACTGTTTCGATTCGAGATTGCGTCGGAGGCTGGAGAACGATTCGCTTTGGGTCAGGTTTCAAGCCGACACCAGACTCGTCCAGCTGAACGGCGACGGCCGAATAGAGGCAGTGCCCGTCCGGGGTGATTTCAGTCTCCTTCAGCCCTAACCGTTTGAAGGCTCCATCCATAACCTCCTTCTCATTTCCACGGTGGTCCGTCTGATTCGCAGCCTCCTCCGCAGCTATCTCGGCTTGAGCGGCTTGTTCCGCAGCGCGGCGTGCAAGCCGTGCCTTCTGACGGTTCGGCTTCTTTTGACGAGAGCCGGACGTTGGCTCTGCGGAAGGCGCAGTTGTATTTTCAGGTGTTTCCGGTGTCTGAGGGGCTTGAGGCTCGTCTGCATTCTCTGCTTTTCCATTTTCACCATCCGTGTCATTGAGATTCAGGTCCTCGAGTGCATCGACGGGTTCGGTGGGTTCGCCATTTAGCTGTGCAATCTCGGACTGGTGGCGCTCGGAAAGCTCTCTTTGTAGTCGGTCGCATTCATCGTTGATTCCTCGGCGGGTCTTCTTAGTGGCGGACTTTTTCTTCTGCGTGATTCGTGCTTGAAGGTCTTTTTGTTCTTTGCGGTGTTTCGCCAATAGCTCGTCCATTGTGGGAGGGATTAGAGGGGTGGGGAAGGCGAAGGCAGGGAAAAGGGATTGGGATATTCGACAGAACAAAGAATTTCAAACGACTGACAATAATTCTATACAATATGAACGAAGAGCTTGTAAATATGTACAGAGCACCGGACGGTGGAATCTTGAAAACCGAAGCCACTGCCCCGCAAAAACCCTTTCGGCCTAGTCTGAAGTCCCGCCCGAACGGGAATAGCGCCTGGTGCCTTACAACGGGGGCAGTCGTCGCCAGGAGATGAGCGCTGCCCTTTTGCTTCGGACACAACTGTGGCAGGCATTGACTGGCCAGCAATTGAGCATGGCTGCTCCATAGTCGTGAATCCGGACTACAATGTGGGAATCGAATTCGGTGGCAAGCCACGCCTCGATGGGAAGTCCCCCGGGGATTGCATTAACGTTGTTCCACAGCCTCGGTATCTTCGTAATCTCTCGGTCGTCGGATATGCGCGCATGGGCCAAGCTACATATATGAATGCAGCTCTCCTCGCGTGGTTTGACACACCACAGCCTCATTAAAACGACCATCAACTGCATAAATTATTGATTCAATAATCCTCTGTGTTTAGTACCTCGTTTGTAATTACTTGCCTACTCTCATTATGAATTCCCAGAACCTGTTTGATGTCAAGGTTAGTCCTCCGTACAAACGGAGACCCCAACTCTTTCTAACGATCGACCCAGGGGAAAGTGGTGCTGGTCACCGGTGGAGCCAAAGGCATTGGTCGAATGATCTCTGAAGGGTTTGTCGCCAACGGCGCTACAGTCTACATCTCCTCTCGGGATGCCAAGGCCTGCGACGCCGCAGTAAATGAGCTCAACGCTCTCGGAAAGGGCAAGGCCCATTCCATTCCAGCCAACTTCTACAAGGAGGAGGATGTCAAGAAACTGGCCGAGGAGCTTGGCAAGCGTGAAGACAGTAAGTCGAGTTTCTATACTTCATTACTCTATAGGAATTCCGCAATTAACTTTCAACCAGAGCTCCATGTTCTGGTGAACAACTCCGGGTCGAACTGGGGTGCTCCCTATAATGAGTATCCTTCATCGGCCTGGACCAGGGTTCTTACTCTTAACCTGCATCGGGTATTCGATCTGACCCAGCTTGTCACTCCTTTGTTGGAGAAGGCTGCGTCAGCCGGCGACCCGGCTCGCATCATCAACATCGGCAGTATCGATGGTATCCGAGTCCCAGCGCTGGAGACGTTTGCCTACAGTGCTAGCAAAGCTGGTCTGCACCACATGAGCCGCGTTCTCGCCAACCACCTTGGCAAGAGAAACATTACGTATGTGTCTCCATCTCATGTTCCTTATGATTAATGATGAAAGACGAACTAAGACGGTCATGTGCAGATCGAATTCGCTGGCCTGCGGACCATTTGAGAGTAAAATGATGGCTGCTACTCTGGAGTCTTACCGGGAAACGATTGAGGCGGGAATTCCGTTGGGTCGCATCGGTACTCCCGAGGATGTCGCGGGTGCTTGTCTATTCCTGAGCAGTCGGGCTGGGTCGTATGTCAACGGCGCCACAATCACTCTGGATGGCGGAAGTGCGATCGCCGCCAAGCTCTGAGCAACAATAGCCGTATAGACATCATGCAAAAGTCTCTCTTCGTGTTGATCTGCCTTTTTCCTGCTTATTGCGGAAAGTAGAACCTTCAGCTGCACCCCTGCTGTAGCACCATGCACCATGCAGCTCTAAAGGCTAGACTCGAGCTTGCACTGCCATGATACCGTCTCCCATCCCTACTGCGTAGAGGACTTAAACTTTCCAGCATCGGGGCTGTACAGTCACGCTCTAGCGCCACGACGGCCATTGCCAAGTAGATTGCCAAGTTCTGAAGGCGACACCTGTGTGATGACTCAGGAACGCAGAAGAGGAGAATGGACGATCCAGAGGCCACAGAAACAAAGAAATAAAACAAAATAAGATTCATGACATCCAAAAGACAGAGCACGCGGTTGACGTCGGCCAGTTAGGGTTCGCGGGTCTGACCCAGCCACAGTGCCATTGTGACGCCAGAACCATTGGCCTAGATAATTCCCTCCTACAAATTCCCCCGATGAGCTTCCATAAGCTAGCTATCTGTCTTATATTACGATCGTGGCACTATGAGGGGGCACCTAGTTTACGCGGATTCTTCTATTGGCATTAATTATTCCCTCACGTGGGGTCCTTATCGGGGCTAGACACGCCTTTCGAGAGCAGGACTCAAATATTTCTATCTTTTGAGCGAGACTTCAGCTCCCATTCTTGCATTGTGACCATTCGAGACTGAGACTTCTTCAGCAAACGCCTGGAATGTGGAAGCCTAGGGTGAACTTTATCACCTTGCATTGTGCGTCGCGAATCCGTCAAGGTTATCATACCATGTTGACAAAGAAAGACAGACGCATACATTATCTTCCTCGGCATCTTGGGTCTGATCATCCTCTATCCATATGGCAACTTAACGGCAATCGATGCCTACTTCTTTGGGGTCAGCGCCTCGACAGAATCCGGGCTGAATCCGTTCGTTCACTTACCCAACCTGAGTGTGGGATCGCTTTGTACTAATTCACGTCGTTTAGTGTCGACGTCAATGGACTCAAGACCTACCAACAACTATACATTTATTTTATTCCCATGCTCTCTAACCTATGCTTTATCAACATCTTAGTTGTGGTCGTGCGACTGCATTGGTTCGAAAAACACCTGAAAAAGCTAGGTATACTTGTCGCTAGATGATGAGGATGGAAAGCGTCGTACTTATCAGTCCCACAGGACCCTCTGTTCTTTATCCCAAACCGAGATTGCCGGACCACTCAGGCTATGCTCATGATTCAGAAGCTCAGGCTCACAAACGTGAAGAAGACCGTATACCAGGACAGGAGTCCGTCCAAGTATCTCAAGATTCATCATGTGGAATCGAGACTTTGAACAATGAGAGATCGAAGAATACGGTTGCAGATGAGTGAGTTATCTGTGTGGTGGTACAGTAAAGGAGAATTAACCAGCTTCCTAGAGCCAACAACTCAGATTCGAACCAACCCAGTCCTCCCTCTCAAGACCCTCCTCAACTTAATCGAAGTATCTCCTTTGCGGACGACTCAAAAGCTCTATATATTCCTCCACCTCGCGAGCGAGACAGAGGTATGTAAACTTTCTCCGAAAAAGAATGGGCTTATATTCACGAAAATCACAGGATTCCCAATACTGGAAGTGAACGAATCATCGAAAGAAAGTAAGCAGCCCTATGAGGACTACTCCTGATTGTCTGTCACTGTAATCAGAACGCAAATGGCTAACTAAAAGACAACTAAACCAGATCGTGCAGAATCAACCGAGAGAGAAGAACCGGATACCAAAGAGGGCCGCCGGAGTCTACGGGATACTATATCATCCAGTGGTATCCCGCTCGAACACGTTGCTTCCTCAGTGTTTGTGATTGGGAAAAAGCCCAAACCGTCCAGCGAGTCACGACTCCAGAGTACAATTTCACTTTCCAAGGACTCCAATCTTCCGGGTCTCTCATCACAGGCTACCTTAGGCAGAAATTCGCAATTCTACAATTTGACGGACGAGGATCGGGAAAAGCTGGGTGGTATTGAATATCGAAGCCTCAAAATACTGTTGAAGATTGTGATTGGTATTTTGTCATCCTCCATTTTTCGCTATCCAAATCTGACGCACGGCAGGTTATTTCTTCGGGCTCCATATATTCGGAGCGATCTGCCTAGTGGGTTGGATTCAATATGCAAATCCAAAATACAGAACCTACCTCGAGGAGTGTGGACAAAACCATATCTGGTGGTCAGTAATGTCTCCAACTTGAGGCTATTAACACCATTAATCTTGACTTACATGTGTTCAGGGCATTTTACTCGGCGCAAACAATGGTCGACAACCTAGGGCTTACACTCACCCCGGATTCCATGATTTCATTCCAAGATGCAACCTTTCCCATGATCGTGATGAGTTTCCTCGCATACGCCGGTAACACCATCTATCCCTGTCTCCTCCGTCTCGTCATTTGGACGATGTTCAAATGTGTTCCACAGCAGTCGTCGCTCAAGGAACCGCTCGCCTTCCTCTTGAAATATCCCCGTCGGTGTTACACGCTGCTCTTCCGGAGTAAACCCACCTGGATCCTCTTCGGGATTGTCTTTGTGCTCAATTTTGTCGACGTTCTATTAATCATTGTGCTGGACCTTCATAACCCCGCCGTGAACAATCTCCCCCCTGGCCCTCGAATTCTGGCAGCCATCTTTCAGGCCGCATCGGCCCGACATACAGGAACGTCGACCTTCAACCTTGCCAAGGTCAACCCGGCCGTTCAGTTCAGCTTATTGGTCATGATGTACATCGCCATATTCCCCATCGCCATTAGCATTCGGGCATCGAACACGTACGAGGAGAGCGCTCTCGGCTTGTACTCAAATGAACGGGAGATTGATGAAAACGACGGCACCAATTACGTGCTGGCCCATATGCGGAACCAGCTCAGTTTCGACTTGTGGTACATATTCCTGGGAATATTCTGCGTCTGCATTGCTGAAGCGGACCGAATCATGGATCCTTCCGAAGCAGTAAGTCCATACTTCTTATGATATCTCCGAACGCGAAAGCCAATGTGCTCCAGCAATCATTGTCCGTGTTTGCGGTCTTTTTCGAAGTGGCTTCCGCATAGTGAGTCTCTCGGTTCCCTATTCCCTAGGAGGCGTCGAGATAAGGGGCCTAACGATGTCTAGCGGCAATGTCGGCCTGAGCCTAGGATATCCTACGGTCGCAACCTCTTTGAGCGGTCAATTCTCGACCTTCAGCAAAGTAGTGATCTGCGCGATGATGATCCGAGGGCGTCACCGTGGTCTGCCCTACTCGCTCGACCGAGCGATTCTGCTCCCCAACGACCGCCTGGTTGCAAGTCACGGCGACGAAACTCGGTCTGATGCTCGCCCCTATGTCAACAGCAGTAGTCTGGGTGTGGACGATAGCGGACGGGTGAGGTTCCGACGGTCGTATACCAAGTAGTCCCTCCGGATGGTTTAGTGTATAGATTTTTCTTTGTCTTCCTGCAGAGCAGCATTGTCCGGGATTCCCCAGTAGCATAATCCAGGCACCGGGAGATTAAGACCTCCGGAGAGCCAGAGATCGAACTGGTCACGCAGCAGACGCAACAAAGAACGGTCCACCGGGCATCCAATCAAGTTGACATCGTGGCGAAGTGGAGTTGGGTGGAGCGGCGACATCATTGCTGTCCATGCCGTCATGGCATCCCACCTCTGCTTTTAATTAAGCCTTTCTCGGTCGTAGCTTCTTGATCTCTAACTTCCTCGATCCTTGGTGTCGCCTGAATCCCATTCCCAATTCTCCCCAACTCTCGCAATTCTTCGCACTCGTCTCCTGTGCAGACCGCCTCGAATCCAGCTCGGTGTGACGTCGACCAATCCCGCGGGGCCCAGTAATCCACGCTGCAGCCATTCCGCCCACCGATCTTCCTTGCCGTCGCTCTCGGTTTGGGCGGACGACGCCACAAAGCGTCTTGACGTGGCCATTGGTCTCAGTTGGTTGTTATTATCTGGTCATCCTTGCTTTGTCCCTTCGGGTCGTCGGCCTACTTCCCGGCCTTGATATTTTTTCCTTTTCCCTCTGATCGTTCCTCTTTTTCTTGCTTACTCTCCCGCAACTCACCCTGACGACAATGAGCTCGCCAAATGCTCAGCCGCACGGTCGGACGGGCTCTATCGATCCTCTTTCCCATCCAGACGTCTACTACGGCGATGACGAAGCGATCACACGCATTAAGAACCGGAGACGTGCCTATTCCTCGGTGAGTAGCTAGTTGCACAAGATCTATCATCAGAATGAGGATCATTGGATGCTGACGGAACCAAAGACCCTGAAGACATTCAATCGAGATGACATTCAGGACTTCCTGGGCGGACAGACCGCGAGAAGAGGCAGTCACGGTACGTATTAATTTAATGATTTCTTCATCTAGAAGCAATGAAAATGGAAGCTGACGTGAAGCTCGTGGACAGATGCATCCTCCGCTCAGCCTCGCAAGTTCCTTATCGATGTCGAGGAGACATTGCACAGTCTCCTGGAAAGAGAAGATACCGACAAGAACATGCAGATAACCATCGAGGACGTCGGTCCGAAGGTATGTGACACACCGGCAAGACTGGCTGGCCAGATGCTGAAATATGTTTGTGTGTTACCAGGTGCTTTCCGTCGGAACGGCCGCGTCTTCCGGATACAACCGATTCGATCTACGAGGAACCTACATGCTCTCCAACCTTCTTCAAGAGCTTACAATCGCCAAGGACTATGGCAGGAAGGTCGTTGTGCTGGACGAGGCCCGTCTCAGCGAGAATCCTGTCTCGCGTCTCGAGCGTTTGATCAAGAACAACTTTTGGATCGCCCTCACCCGGCGGATTGACGGTTCAAACATCGCGGTGGTTGGAAAAGACCCCAAAGATTGGACCCCCAACCCTACGCCACGCATCTATGTTCCCCCAGGTGCGCCCGAACAGTTTGAGTATTACTCGAACATCGCCAAGTCGCACCCCGAGCTTCGTCTAGAGGTCATTATGTTGGAGGCAGATATTACGCCGGATTATGTAAAGGATCTCAATCACAAGCCTGGCCTGTTGGCATTGGCGATGGAGGAGAATTACGATCCACACACTAAGAAGACCGAATATAGCGGTGTTCCATTCGTGGTCCCCGGTGGTCGATTCAACGAGCTGTACGGGTGGGATAGTTACATGGAATCTCTCGGATTGATTGTCAGCAACCGAGTTGACCTGGCTAAAGCCATGGTGATCAACTTCTGTTTCTGCATCAAACACTATGGCAAAATTCTCAATGCCAACCGAACTTACTACCTGACGCGGTCTCAACCTCCATTCTTGACCGACATGGCATTGCGTGTCTACGAGCGGATCAAGAACGAACCGGATGCTCTTGAGTTCCTCCGCAACGCTATCCTTGCTGCCATCAAGGAATACTACAGCGTGTGGGCCATCGAACCCCGCTTGGACCCGGTTTCGGGTCTATCCCGATACCGTCCGGAAGGATGGGGCGTGCCCCCAGAGACGGAGCCCTCGCATTTCACCCACATTCTCACTCCGTATGCTGAAAAGCATGGCTTGGGGTTCAAGGAGTTTGTCCAAGCCTACAACGACCGCAAGATCGTTGAGCCCGAGCTCGATGATTATTTCTTGCATGATCGGGCAGTTCGCGAATCTGGCCACGATACCAGTTACAGACTTGAGAAGGTCTGTGCTAACTTGGCCACGGTCGATTTGAACTCTCTCCTGTATAAATACGAAGTGGACATTGCTCGGGCGATCCGAACCTTCTTCAACGACAGGCTGGAGATTCCCATGGAATTCCGCACGCCGGCGAGCAAGGATATCGCCAGCGAGGCCTCGTCCGTGTGGGATCGCCGCGCACGGAGAAGAAAGATGAGAATGGACACGTACATGTGGAATGAAGAAAAGGGAATGTTCTTTGATTACGATACGGTGAAGAAGGAGCGGACTACCTACGAGAGCTCCACCACCTTCTGGTCCATGTGGGCCGGGCTTGCCACGCCTCTCCAGGCGACGGAGTTGGTGAAGAAGGCTCTCCCCAGACTCGAGGCCTACGGCGGTCTTACTTGCGGGACGGAGGAATCGCGAGGCGCCGTCAGCCTCGAGCGGCCCAACCGACAATGGGACTACCCGTACGGCTGGGCGCCTCAGCAGATGCTGGCATGGACGGGACTGCTCCGCTACGGCTACGAGGAGGATGCGCAACGACTTGCATATAAATGGCTGTATATGATCACCAAGGCCTTTGTTGACTTCAACGGGGTTGTCGTTGAGAAATACGACGTCACTCGCCCCATTGATCCACACCGAGTGGATGCGGAGTACGGAAACCAGGGCGTCGACTTCAAGGGTGCACCTCGAGAAGGGTAAGTTCTTTGTCTAGGCCCACAATTGGTTTGGCAGCCCATGCTAACTACCTTCTCCAGATTCGGGTGGGTCAACGCCAGCTACGTCTACGGGCTGGACTTCTTGAACGCGCACGAACGACGTGCCCTCGGAACCATCACGCCCTACGAAACATACAGCAAAGCGTTGGCAGCACAGAACGGCCTTTGAATAAGCGGGTCTTGCATTTGACTAATGACGAAGAAGATGAACACAAAAGAGCACGTTTTGATCTACATTTTTTGGTTTAATATGAGGATGAATAAATAGAACCATGGTGCCTTAGCATCCATGGGTTTAGAGGACTCGATTAAGGAACGAACGATACATGGGATGCCAAAATGGGTGGAAAGGTTTCATATCTGCTTGGTTTATATTGTCATCTTTTTATTCTTTTTTCTTGGTTCTCCCTTTTATGAGTTAATGTTTGTCGATTCATGATTCAAACGAATGGATTAAATTGAATAGATGATTTTTTGAGGACTGTTCTGGCTTGTGTGTGCGTTACACTGCATATTTATCCTGGGTAGGCTATACCTATAGTCTAGGCGACAGACGTGTGCTCCCACCTCGTCGTCTGGGTCCAAGCCGTACACATAAAATCCAGGACATTCAACCGCGGCTAACCGAACAAAGACATGCTAGCAGATCGAACAAAAGCTCAGTCCGCATGGATGTCATATGAATGATCCCAATAAGGGAGCAGAGCACATGACAGGTAGCCAAATACTCAGTAATCCCTCATTTGCATGTGAATTCCGATACCTCTAACCTGTATCAAGAACTGGGCAGGAGTCAGGTAGCCAGGTAGCCAACGAATATACCTCCCTACCTTGCGCAGCAACTAGCCAGCCAGCCATCCTACCCAAGCCAGGATCACCGTTTACCCCCTCCAGCGATCCATGCGTTCTCGGGCAACTTCCGACGCTCGACGCATGCTGCAGCTGCGCCGTGTTTGGGATTCTGGATGAGGCCTCATCCCTTGCGGGTCGGGACTGGCTCCTTATTCTCCCGAGATCTGGAGGATCGGCTCGGGGCGTGTGATTGGTGCGTGTTGTGCCGAGGTTCATGTCTGCTTCCATCGGCTTGGTGTTGATGGTATTTTTGGGTATTGGTATTATGGTTGATGGTAAAGTAATCTACCTAGTAGCTACCTTGCTAGGTATTCACCTGGGATTGAGACAAATCTAGTTTGTTGTTTTGAGGAGCTGTGTTGAGCAACTCCATATCAGTAGCTATACCAAGAACTCCGTAGGTATGCCTGCCGACAGCCTCAGGCATCTCCGGGGTGAAGAAACCGAGTGGGGCAATACCGGGGTGTAACGGGATGACTCATCCGCCGCCGCGGAGAAGAGGTCATCCCTCGCCCGCCGTATCGTCACGTCTTGTTCGCGCACATGTCTCGACGTCATGCATTGGCTTCTTCCGGCGTCGGTCCAGCTCTTCGACCATCTCTCTGCGATCTGGTCGGGGAGAGTCTGACAAACGGATTGATCAGGACGCGAAGAGAACACAAGAATGCAATGCAACTCTACCCCTGTCCGAAATTACACCGACGTCTGCAATGGAAATGGTCGCGGAGATGCAAATGGCAAGGGTGGCAACTGGTCCATTAGACCGAGGATCTGCTTCAGTCTCGATTTCCTCTCTTCCGAGCAGACACACGCCCTATCGGCTTCTGGCTTGTGAATCTTTGGCTCACGGCTAACCTAATGGCTGGCCAGTCGTACCGCTCGTAAGGCCTTGGTCACGTCCCCTCCCCGGTTGACGATATGCCGGTCCAGCCATTCCTCCCTTCTTGTCCCGCTGAGCCGAGCGTTTACCGACTGGTCCTCTGGCTCTGACGCATCGATGGTTGAATAAATACCTTGGTTGTTGGCTTGTGATTGTGGTCTTTGAGTTTGATTTAATCTCTGAATCATCGTTTTTCTTACCTCGTCTTTTCCTCTCTCCTCTCCTCTCCATCTCTTTTCTCTGTCTTCATCTGCTTGGCATTTGATCTACCTTTTCTATATCTTCCCATCTTGAAGCTTTTTGAAGATCCAAACGTCAAGAGCTTATCTTCCTGTCACAATGGGTCTCTTCGAGGACGAGGATCAGGCGTACTTGAACGACGTCCAGGCCGTCAAGACATGGTGGAGCGACTCGCGATGGAGGCACACCAAGCGTCCCTTTACCGCCGAGTCGATCGTGGCCAAGCGTGGAAACCTCAAGATCGACTATCCTTCCAATGCTCAGAGTAAAAAGCTGTGGAAGATCCTGGAAAGCAACTGGGAGGTTCGTGGCCTTCCTAATGCGGAGATGCGCAAGCGTTTATGCTAATTGATCATTCACATAGAACAAAGCTGCCAGTTTCACCTATGGCTGTCTCGAGCCCACCATGATTACCCAGATGGCTAAATACCTTGACACGATCTACGTTTCCGGTTGGCAGAGCTCTTCGACTGCTTCCTCCACCGACGAACCCTCTCCGGATCTGGCGGATTACCCTATGGTAAGATAGTACTTGTGGCGGGGGTGCAATGCACAGTCGAGCTAACTGTTGTCGTAGAACACTGTTCCCAACAAGGTCAACCAGCTCTTCATGGCGCAGCTGTTCCATGACCGGAAACAGCGCGAGGAGCGTGTGACGACCCCGAAGGAGCAGCGTGCCAGCGTGGTCAATGTGGACTACCTGCGTCCCATCATCGCGGACGCCGACACTGGTCATGGTGGCTTGACGGCGATCATGAAGCTGACCAAGCTCTTTGTGGAGCGCGGAGCTGCCGGTATTCACATCGAGGACCAGGCTCCCGGCACGAAGAAGTGTGGTCACATGGCCGGAAAGGTCCTCGTTCCTATCAGCGAGCACATCAACCGTCTGGTTGCCATTCGTGCGCAGGCCGACATTATGGGTATGTGTTACGTCCCGCTCTTTTTAATTGGATACAAAACCGAGACTGACTGACTTCTTCAGGTACCGACCTGCTGGCCATTGCCCGAACTGATTCCGAAGCTGCCACTCTCATCACCTCCACCATTGACCACCGTGACCACGCTTTCGTCGTCGGAGCGACCAACCCTAATTTGCAGCCTCTGAACGACCTGATGGTCGCTGCTGAGCAGGCCGGCAAGAACGGCGATGAACTTCAAGCCATCGAGGATCAGTGGGTGGCTCAGGCTGGTCTCAAGCTCTTCAACGAGGCCGTGATCGACTCTATCGAGAAGGGCGTGCACCCCAACAAGAAGGCCCTGGCCAGTGACTATCTGAAGGCCGTGCAGGGCAAGAGCAACAGCGAGGCTCGCGCCATCGCTAAAGGCATCACGGGCGTTGACATCCACTGGGACTGGGACGCTCCTCGTACCCGCGAGGGCTACTACCGGTACCAGGGCGGCACGCAATGTGCCGTCAACCGTGCCATTGCCTACGGCCCATTTGCGGATCTGATCTGGATGGAGAGCAAGCTGCCTGACTACAAGCAGGCCAAGGAGTTTGCCGACGGCGTGCACGCCGTGTGGCCCGAAAAGAAGTAAGTCTCCATTGTTTTTGTTTTCTAGGAACAACGGAACACTAACACACACCTTTTCTAGGCTGGCGTACAACTTGTCGCCCTCGTTCAACTGGAAGAAGGCCATGCCTCGCGACGAGCAGGAGACGTACATCAAGCGCTTGGGTGAACTAGGATACTGCTGGCAGTTCATCACCCTGGCGGGTCTTCACACGACAGCGCTGATCTCGCATCAGTTCGCCAAGGCGTTCGCGCAACAAGGCATGCGTGCCTATGGCGAGCTGGTCCAAGAGCCCGAGATGGAGCAGGGCGTGGACGTGGTGACGCACCAGAAATGGAGCGGCGCCAACTACGTGGATAACATGCTGAAGATGGTGACGGGCGGAGTCAGCAGTACCGCAGCCATGGGCAAGGGCGTGACCGAGGATCAGTTCAAGCACTGAGAAGCCGCCCGATCAAAATGTCTGATTGTTTCTTTTTGTTCCCACGAGTACCCCTGACCATTATATTTATTGGAGAATAGTACTGTACTGTACTTTAGGTTGGCATCGGATCCTTGACGGACCGGATGAGCTAGATAGTGACCAGTTTATTTGAATCATAGCATTTTATTCTTATTCAACAGATTTGTGGATTTCCTTTTAAACTTACGATCCCAGCCATATTAATAATATCCTGCCGTTCTTGGGCATCATCTCCGGGCAACACGAGCGAGTCGTGAGTAATCATTAATCAGAAAGCGCGGCCGCCAAATGGAGAACAGCTTGCGAGAGAAGCGTCGATCAACCGCCGATCGCCGTCGAGGAATTGGGAACTGCGGCTTTAGACTGGCGACAACCGAGGGTGGAACGGCGAAATGGCAGGTCTGATAGGGGGAGAAACGCTGGAAAGACCGCGGTCCAGCGACGCCGCCGAAGAGGGGAACCTCAGGCCGCATGTGCAGTCGCCGTTGATTCTGTCTTTAATTAATTGTCCGAGTCTCGCTGTTGCATTTCCGTTTTTATCTGGTCGCTTTGTCTCGTCCCTTGCGCCCGTCAAGTTTCACCTTGCAGACTGGTTTCCCTGGAGTTGCCGCGCACCTGATCTCCCCATTAAATACTACGTGATTCTCCACCTTTCCTTTCTGTCGCCCTCTCCCTCCTAATTATCCCCTCCCCCTTGGTTTGACCGTCCATCATGGTTGAATCCAGTATTCCTGCGCTGGAGTTCACTCCCATCGAGGAGATCCAGAACCGCAGCTCGACTCTCCGCAAAACCTTCCTTGAACACAAAACGCGCGATGTCGAGTTCCGACTGGTCCAGCTCCGCAAGCTCTACTGGGCGTAAGTTACACGTTTTTTTTTTCTTTTATTTTTTTTTTGTCAGACAATTTCAATGCGGACTACAGTTTACTGACACCCCTCGTTTCCCCTGCAGTTTGAAAGACCACGAGGAAGAAATCGCCGAAGCTCTCGCCCTGGACCTGAACAAGCCACGCTTCGAGACCGAGCTCGCCGAGAACGGATGGCTGCAGAATGACATTGTCTTTGTTACCCGGAATTTGCACAAATGGGTGAAGGATGAGAAGGCCGAGGATATCGATCTTACGTTTAAGTTCATGAACCCGAAGATTCGCAAGGATCCGTTGGGTGTGGTGCTGGTGATTGGGTACGTCGCATTGCCGAGCTTTAGCTCGTGGGTTTCCCCAGACTAACGCATGAGTCGTGAACAGCGCATTCAACTACCCCTTCCAATTGACGCTCGGTCCGGTTATTGGTGCCATCGCTGCCGGTAATACGGTGGTGATCAAGCCCAGCGAAAATGCCCCGAAAAGTGCGGTCGTCATGCAGCGTGTCGTGGAAGCTTCCCTCGACCCGTCCTGCTACACCATCATCCAGGGCGGTATCCCCGAAACTCAGGCCCTGCTGGCGGAGCGCTGGGATAAGATCTTCTTCACGGGCGGTGCCAACGTCGGTCGCATTATCGCCAAAGCCGCTGCGCCTCATTTGACCCCGGTCGTGCTGGAGCTGGGTGGTATCAACCCGGCTATTATCACCAAGAATGCCAACCCGAGACTCGTCGCACGGAGAATGCTATGGGGTAAGCTTCTCAATGCCGGTCAGGTGTGTACGTCGCAGAACTACTTGCTGGTCGAAAAGGCTATCTTGCCCGCGGTCATCGAAGAATTCAAGAAGGCCTACAAGGAATTCTACCCCCAGGGAGCCAAGGGATCGCCGGACTACTCCCGCATCGTCAACGAGGGCGCGTTCCACCGTCTCAAGTCCATGATTGATAACTCCAAGGGAAAGATCCTCCTGGGAGGCACGATGGATGAGAAGGAGCTCTTTATCGAGCCGACTCTGGTTCAGGTGGATTCGACCGACGATTCTTTGCTCACGCAGGAGAGTTTCGGTCCGTTGATTCCAATCCTCCCCGTGGAGAACGTCGACGAAGCGATCAACATCGCCAATGGTATCCAGAGCACTCCGCTTGGCATCTATCCGTTTGGCTCAAAGGCCGAGACAGAGAAGAGTATGTCCCCTGCTACTCCCGGGAAGGGACATTTGTTTGTTCGGCCACTAACACCACTCTAGTCCTCCGGAATACTCGCTCGGGCGGTGTTTCCATCAACGACGCTGCGCTGCATATCCCAACCCTTCCCTTTGGCGGTGTCGGCGAAAGTGGCTACGGCGCTTACCGCGGAAGATCCAGTTTCGATGTCTTCGTGCATCGTCGCCCCATCACCAGCAGCCCCGGCTGGCTTGAATCCATCCTTGCGATCCGCTACCCGCCTTACGATGGCAAGATCAGCAAGTTCAAGGCTGCTAGCACGCTGGCGCCTGATTTCGACCGCAGCGGGAAGAAGGTCACTCTCGGCTGGCTGCGCTTTATTCTTACCCTCGGCGGAGGCAGCGCAAAGGCTGGGGCTGGCAGAGCTACAGTTGTTGCTGGAAGTAAGTGATTTTGCTTCTTTCTTTCTGATTCCCTACTCGTAACCCCCTCCGTTTCTATCCCGATTTCGTATCCGAGTCACTTCTCCGATTGAGATTTGAAATTAATTACGGAACATAACCTAATCCCCTCTGATATCATGTCTCCACCATTCTAATTACCCTTCCATTCAAATACCCCCTTTATTGTCTTGCCATGTTCTGTTTATCGAGATATGCTGTTCCCACGATTCTCATTCGCCATCATCATGATGTACACTACCTACCACCCATTCTTCTTGCACCCTAATCTCTAATCCAATGAATGATGTCTACCATTCCACATAAACAAAGCAAATACTTACCGTTCTTGTCTCCCCACCAGTTGCCTACCTCGCCCTGCAGGTTCTCGAGCGCCGCGCTTCCAAACTTTAAAGTTTAGGGCACGTTTCATCTTGCTTAAAATGGAAAACCCAAAATCGTGGAGTCGGTTGGTCTTGTTAGTGTTACGGAGTTCATGCATAATTAGGGCTATGTGGGGTGTCCCTTGCCTACTTTGACTCATTACCTAACTCACATGTATGCTTATATGTTTGTATGTTATTGATTGAATGTGCGATTATAGCGGAATTCTAGGTTTGGCTGTTTGAGGTAGTTTGCTTAGGCTTGGACTAGGTTGTAGGTTGACTTGTAGGTTGTTTGGCTTCTTACTCAGAAGAGGAAATTTGTTTCGTAGTGCTGATGCTGTCGATTATTTGTGTTCTTGTTGGGCACTGAGTATGTATCCTGTGGGGGCATTGTTTCATACAATTAGTTAATGGTATGGTAATAGATGGAAGATCATAGAAGATATGTTAAGAAGTCATATCATTATTCATAGCAACCGCGATGCCAACCGACATCAACTCAGTAACATGGTTATAGTTATAGTTATAGTTATCAATAGTCTATAGAAGGGAAGATCACCGAAGCAAACAACGGGAAAGAAAAAAAAAAAGATCATCATAAGCCATATTCATTTCATTCAATTCACATATAGCCAAAGATCAGATAGATACCATCCAAACTTTACTTTTTTACTCATTTTTTTTTTTTTCAACTGTATTGCATCCTTCCGGTATTTAACACCTTCGTTCGACGCCCTTGCGACTCACACACAGGTACTTGACCCCCTTGTAGGGCTTCACGCCCTCGCCGAGGCCGCGACTTCGGCGCGGGTCGATGTTCAGACTGTCGACTTTGATGCCGGAGGGGAGCCAGCCTCGCACGGAGAAGGAGACGGAGGCCGAGTTGGGCATCAGGTTGGCGTTGAGTTGCGATTTGGTCTTGCGGGGGGCGGTGTGGAAGATGGAGTCTTGGTTTTGGGGAGGAGGGGGAGGGGGGAGGGCAGACGAGGAGGAGGAGGGATCTTGTTGCGGTTGAGGGGCTGGAGGCTCGGCTTGGGGGTCGTCGGGTTGTTGCGAGTCCGGATCGGGGGTCTGGTTGTCCGCGTCGGAGGTGGGAGGGAGCGCGTTGGCGGCGCGAGAGGACTTCTTGACCTTCTTCTTTTTCTTCTTCTTGGTCTTGCGCTTTATGGTGTCGGCTTCGGCGTTCTGGTAGGAGGTGGAGGCGGAGGCGTCGTAGTAGCCTTGGAGGAGGTTGGCGTCCTGGTCGACGTCTTCGACGTCGTCATCGAGGTCGTCGTCGACGGGCTGGTAGCCCACAACGGTGCATCGGAGAACTGCGGTGCCGGACACGGTGCCCGCATCTTTGGTCGGGACGCGCCATTCGAGGGTGTGGCTGTTGGGTGAGAATACGGCGTCGCCGCGACTGGCTTGCATGTCTGTGATGTTGCGGACGGACTTTGGAATGGGCACCGAGACCACGACGTCTTCGAGAACCGGTCCTGACGAGTTCCCTCCGCCTCCGAGGAACGACGGCGTCGAGGTCCCGGATCCGCCTCGTCCTGCACCGGGGCGGTTGGTGGAGGGTTGCCCAGGGAAGTTAGTGTTGAGAAGGAGCCGGACCTCGAACTCGGAGCCAGCTGTGCCAAGGGATTTGCGAATGTTGACGGAGGCAGGCAGAAAGATCTTCTCCATGTATTTGGGTGGCTGGTCGAGACTAGCGTCCATGGGAAGGAGGTCAACCTCGTACCCTGCCAGAATGAATCGTCCATCTGGAGGCACGAAGCTGAGCTCTCCGGGCTTTTCTCTCCATCGGGCCAGTCGGACGCAGGGATGGAACACGGGAAGGTCGACCTTGCGCCCGATGGCCTGCTGCCCGCCCGGGGTGGTCAAGGATAGAAGGAGGTCGGGAACGCCGGAGATCTTGGCCGTGAAAGCAATCGTTCCAGATACTAAGGCCGACAGTAATCGCCCTGACGGTGCCATCGTCACCGAGAGCGATTCGATGATGTCCACGTATAGTTCATTGGAGGTATGCCGTACGCCGGACCTCCTCCACGGGATCGCCGGGCCTTGGGCAGCGGCATTGGCAGCTAATGATTGCTTGAGGGGGTTGGTGGATCCTAGAATAGGTGTTGACGAGCTTCATTTCATCATCAACAGTCAGCTTCCGGCATTTGCTACCGTTTGATGACCGGGGATATACGAACCCCGGCAACCCGACACCTCCCAGCAACTTCCCCATCCATCCCGGCATTTCTACCACCTCCTGTATGGCATTGGACTCCGTGTTACATACGATGCCCGCATCGCACATTTCATGGAGAAGCTGTGCAACCACATCATAGTTCGCCTGCACCTTGGACGAGAGAAGCGGCGCACCGACGAAATCCTCGAGTATATCAACGACGCGATGCAGGAACTCCAACACCAGGAGGGGTTCCGTGTCGACTTCGGAGAGCGCGAGAAACAGCAAATTGGACTGGACGATCGAGAACACCGTCACCGGTGGAGTAGCGCTAGGGAGATATAGAAGCGACGGACGGGGGGCCGGATGTTCAAGGTAGAGGGGCAGGATCGCTGCCGCGGAGGGCGGACGGGAGCGATAGACCTGCTCTACCAGCGGGCTACTGCAGGTGCGAAGTCAGTGGGGGAGGTTGAAATGGGGGTGGAAACCAGCAACATACTTCTGCTCATCGTAGATGTACAGCGCATCGATCTCGCCGCTCATCATGCCGGCGGGGGGTGTCTGGAGTGGAGAGAGAAGCCAGCAGGCAGTCATGGATCATGCGCCGGGGATGAAATGCGCTCCGTTCTGCCGCCGATCGCCGCCCTCGTCGCCTTTCTTGTCATCGTCAATGATCGACAGGCCTTGCGAGCTTCTCGAATCTCCGTTTTCCGGGTCGGTTTTCTCGAATTCCTCAGTCCCTCCAGTATCGCTTGCCCCGGTGTCTCGATGGCAGGGTCCTCAGAAAATAACCGCAACTGGGAGGTCCAGTCCGAAGATGCGAAACGCCTACTAGCCGAAGATAAATACGATGATTGTCTGTCGTGCCGAGTTACCGGTGAGTTGGGACTTTGCGCTCCGTAACTGGATGATGTGCTGCAGAATGTCTGACGCCGATGCGATGCATCCAGGTTCCGCTGCATTTATTGGTCTCGGAGTATACAGTTATTACACGGGAATGAGCAATCTACGCAAGCAGGAGACGGCCGGCATGTTGCATGCTACGAAATATAAAATGGGCTCCCGACAACTCGGCATCGCAACCATCTCCGCGACGTTGGTGGGCATGGGGATCTACAGGGCTCTCAACTGATGATTGGGATGAGATGGCGTCACAATGTTATGTATACTAGCAGAAACTCTCTATGTTACAAATATCTCATACATGAATGCTGCTGCCGTAGAACAATGGGCTGCAACCCAATAATAAGAATGCATGCGATTTCAAGCATCACAATAACTGCCTCACTGGGTATCGCCATATCTTAATAACCTCTATATGTTTCGACCTTATAACGAGCAGAAAGAGAATAGAAACGAAAATGGTGGTGGAAGAAGAAAGAACAACATGAAGAAAAAGAAAATAAAATAAGTAGATGAAAAATGAAGATAAAAGATAGAAACCATAAGAGGCAATCGAAAAAACAAAAATGCAACTCCCACAAAATGCACCGAGAATGTAGAAAGGGAATCAACCGCTGCGTGTCCGTAAGAATACTATGATCGTCCAAATTCGTCGAGTTTCATATTCTCTAGGTGAACCGCCCGCGTTTGCCGCCTCCAAATATATCCCTATTTCCGAGGCCCGACAGGTCGAAAAAGTCGGGAACGGCAAATTTTCGCTTGGATCCTATTCCCACCGAGGGCTCTCGTGTTGAGGTTCGAGGGTTCGTTCGAGACAGGTTGCCATGGCGGTTGGGCTGGCGAGAGTTTCGGGGCAGGACAGACACGCTCACGGGCGCTCCATCGGAAGATACCCCGGAAGAGCCATCTGAAGGTTGCATATCGATATCATGTTCCTGTAGCTGCGGGAAGGACGGTCCGGCTGAGAAGGTAAAAACGGTCGGTTTGTCCAGGGTGTTTGCTTCGACGACGGCTGGGTTGGAAGGCGTCGGTTGTTGGGCAGCAGGAGTTGATTCATCCACCGAAGGCGATGCTGCCTTCGCCGGCTGGCGAGGAGTTACTGGCTCATGGTGATCCTTGCGAGCCCCAGCGGAAGGAGAACCGCCGTTGTGCTTCTCGACATCGTCATCGTCGCTGGGGGTTCCCGTTCCGTCACTCCGCTCGGTGGCCCATTGTCGGATCTTCCAGCCTTCCCCATCTCCAAGACCGATGTTCTCCCGATCTAGAAACTGCAACAGATCCTCAATGGCCTCCTGGTAGCCAGACTGCTTGGCTTGTGCCTGCTCGCAGACAGCATTCTTGTAGAGGTTGGTGACTGACAACGCAGCGGCCTTGAACGATTGCAAAAGTTGCTCGGGGGGCTGGGGACGGGGCGTAGAGCTCGGCAGGGAGGTGTTGAGCGATCTCATGGAATCCATGTCGAGGGGGGCTGCAGCGTTCGAGCTGCAGTATGATCTTCAAGCAACGAGTCCGCTAGTGCCGCTAAGAGGGGTCAGGTGAACCGTGCTTCGAGGGCAAATAAGGGAGTACAGGTGGTCCAAAGGATGCCCAGAAATTAAAGGGAAGGCCAATTATACAAAAGAAAGGTAAGGGAGAGTCGTGGAGGAGGGAAATCGAAGGAAGGAGGGCCGAGTCGAGGGCAAACCGAAGTTGAGATGAGGAGGGATGGGTCACGATACAGTCCTGCAGATGATCTTTCTTTGCTTCTGACCCGGTAACGTGACCCACCGCGGGGAAACTTGTCTTCCGCGGTTGGCTGACTCAGCCCTGACTCAGCTGCAGGTTCGCGTCTCCCGTCCAATCAGCGCGTGACCTGGCCGCGCTTCTCCGGCAGAATTGCCTTTGCCATCCCGGCGCGCGACTGGCGGACGGGATGCTTCTTTCGTCCTTCATCATCCTTTGTGGCTTGCGATCTCCCTCCCTTTCTCGCAACTTGGACGCCAATTCCTGAGTCGCTTCACTTGAACGCAACCCACTCCCAGCGCCGTGGGTCGTACGTCTCTCCTTCTTTAGTCCCATTGTCTCCCGTCGGCTTGTTGGAACGCCTCGGGGCGTGTTGGACCCTACCTTCTCCATACACACATTGCGCTGAACACCAAAATGGCGCCGGCCCCGACCTCAGACCCGCCATCCCAGGCGGATACGCCTATGACCGATGCCAATGAGGAGCCCGTCACGTCAGTTCCTGTCGATGGTCCGGACGCGCATATGACGGTAAGTTAGGATAAAGACCGCAGTATCTACTTTTCGCGAACGCCTTTAACTACCTGGCTGTCTTGGGTTTTCTATTTGCTCGATGGTAGATCTTATCTATCGCACTCTGGCTGTCTGGAGTCGGGAACTAAGAAACACGAGACCGCGCAGGAATTGCGATTCGGTCAAATACAAATTCTAGCTCAGATGTTAACTTTGGCGCAATGCAGGACTCCGATACCAACCCGAACACCACAGCAAGCAGTGTTGCAGGCGACACAGCCCACGATGGGCGGAGGAAAAGATCCGAGGCCTTCAACATGAGAAAGAACATTCTGGGTAAAAAACACGGTCGTCTGGATGAGTCTAAGGTAGAGTAACCCTCATGGGCTGTGTCAAGTTTATTACGGTCACTTATCTGCTTTCGGCGGCACTTTAGGAAGATGATTCAATTCGACGATTTCGCTACCTTCTCGGGCTGACCGACCTGTTCCGTCATTTCATCGAAACGAACCCCAACCCTCGAATCAAGGAGATTATGGCGGAAATCGACCGACAAAATGCGGAGGAGGAGGCAAAGGCTCGCAAGGGCTCATCACGGACGGGCGGTGCTGGTGGCGATCGACGTCGCCGGACGGAACAAGAGGAAGATGCGGAGCTACTGAAGGATGAGAGGAGCGGCGGCGAAACCGGCACCGTCTTTCGCGACTCCCCACCGTTTGTCCACGGCGAGATGCGTGACTACCAAATCGCGGGTCTGAACTGGCTTGTATCCTTGCACGAGAACGGTATCTCGGGTATATTGGCAGACGAGATGGGTTTGGGTAAGACCTTGCAGACGATTTCTTTCCTTGGGTACCTCCGCTATGTCTGTGATATCCCCGGGCCTCATCTTATCGCGGTTCCCAAGTCCACGCTCGACAACTGGAAGCGAGAGTTCATGAAATGGACCCCCGACGTCAATGTTCTTGTGCTTCAAGGCGACAAGGAAGAGCGCCACAAGCTGATCAACGAACGACTTCTCGACGAGAACTTCGATGTTTGCATTACGAGTTACGAAATGGTCCTTCGAGAGAAATCTCACCTCAAGAAATTTGCTTGGGAATACATCATCATCGACGAGGCCCATCGGATTAAGAACGAGGAATCGTCCCTTGCGCAAATCATTCGTGTGTTCAACTCTCGGAATCGCTTGCTCATCACCGGTACCCCGCTTCAAAACAACCTCCACGAACTCTGGGCGCTTCTGAACTTCCTTCTGCCTGACGTTTTTGGTGACTCGGAAGCTTTCGACCAGTGGTTCTCTGGCCAGGACTCCGATCAGGATACTGTCGTGCAACAGCTTCATCGAGTGCTCCGGCCATTCTTGCTTCGTCGTGTCAAGAGTGATGTTGAAAAGAGTTTGCTTCCCAAGAAAGAGCTCAATTTATATGTGCCCATGTCCGAGATGCAGGTGAAATGGTATCAGAAGATTCTCGAAAAGGACATCGATGCTGTGAACGGTGCCGCTGGGAAGCGAGAATCTAAGACTCGTCTGCTGAACATTGTCATGCAGCTCCGGAAATGCTGCAACCACCCCTACCTTTTCGAGGGCGCCGAGCCTGGCCCGCCCTATACGACCGACGAGCATCTCGTCTTCAATGCCGGCAAGATGTCCATTCTGGACAAGTTGTTGGCGCGGATGCAGAAACAAGGAAGTCGGGTACTTATTTTCTCGCAAATGAGTCGTGTTCTTGATATTCTGGAAGATTACTGTGTATTCCGAGAGTACAACTACTGCCGTATCGACGGTACTACGGCCCATGAGGACCGAATCGCTGCCATCGATGATTACAACAAGCCGGATTCTGACAAATTTGTTTTCCTCCTCACGACACGAGCCGGTGGTCTCGGTATCAACTTGACGTCTGCGGACATTGTCGTGCTTTATGACAGTGATTGGAACCCTCAAGCGGATCTGCAGGCCATGGATCGTGCTCACCGTATCGGTCAGACCAAGCAGGTGGTCGTCTTCCGTTTCGTCACCGAGAACGCGATCGAGGAGAAGGTTCTGGAGCGTGCGGCGCAAAAGTTACGTCTCGATCAGCTTGTCATTCAACAAGGCCGTGCGCAGCAGCAGACCAAGAATGCTGCCTCAAAGGATGAGCTCCTTGGCATGATCCAGCATGGAGCCGCCAATGTCTTCGGTAACAATTCTAACTCGGCATCTCTGTCTGCCGAAAACCAAATATCCGACAATAGCTTCGAGGATATTATGCGCAAGGGTGAGGAGCGAACCGTCGAGCTGAACAAGAAATACGAAAAACTGGGTATCGATGATCTGCAGAAATTCAGCTCCGAGAGCGCTTACGAATGGAACGGCCAGAATTTCACCGAGCGTAAAAAGGACATCGGCATGAACTGGATCAACCCGGCGAAGCGTGAGAGAAAGGAACAGTTCTACTCCATCGACAAGTACTACCGACAAGCCCTGGCCACTGGCGGTAGAACTGCTGATCCAAAGCCCAAGGCGCCGCGAGCTCCCAAACAGATCGCTGTTCACGATTGGCAATTTTTCCCGCCAGGGCTCCAGGAGCTCCAGGAGAAGGAGACCGCGTACTTCCACAAGGAGATCGGATACAAGGCCGTTCTAGCCGATGGCCCCGAGGAAGAGCTCAGCGAACGTGAGGCCGAGCGCGATCTTGAGCAACAAGAAATCGACAAGGCAGTTCCTTTGACCGAGGACGAACAAGAGCAAAAGGCGAAGATGTCCGAAGAAGGATTCTCGACCTGGAATCGCCGTGATTTCCAACAGTTTGTCAACGGGTCAGCCAAGTTTGGACGCACTGATTACGATGGGATTGCCACCGAAGTGGACAGCAAAGAGCCCGACGAGATTGAGGAATACGCTCAAGTTTTCTGGGACCGGTACACTGAGATCCAGGATTATCCCAAGTATCTTCGGGTCATCGAACAGGGCGAGGAGAAGCTTCGCAAGATGAACCACCAACGCAAAATGCTCCGCAAGAAGATGGAGATGTACCGCGTTCCCCTCCAGCAACTCAAGATAAACTACACCGTGTCCACGACCAACAAGAAGGTCTACACCGAAGAGGAAGATCGGTTCCTACTAGTGATGCTGGACAGATACGGGGTTGATGGGGAAGGTCTCTATGAGAAGATCCGGGACGAGATCCGTGAATCACCTCTCTTCCGCTTCGATTGGTTCTTCCTCAGCCGAACCCCCGTGGAGATTGGGCGTCGTTGCACCACTTTATTGAATACGGTCGCCAAGGAGTTCGAGCCTGGCGATGGGAAAGCCAACGGCGAAACCAAGGGCCGTGGACGTGACGAAGATGTCGAAAACGAGGAAGATGGCCCACCAGCCAAGAAGAAGACCAAGGGCGCCGTGGTAAGTTCCTTTTTGCTTCATCGCTCGAGACCCATTCCAGACCGTCTCGCTAACTACCCCCAGAACAAACAGGTCAAGGCTGTCAAGGGCAGTGCCAAGGGCAATTCTCCATCCTCGTCACGAGCGGCCAGCGTGTCGTCGAACACCGCTTCGAAATCGAAGAGCCGAAAGAAATAAAATCTCGAGCATGGTTTTCTTTTTTTGATCAACAGTTAGGTATTTGTTAGGGCTGGTAGGTAGTCTTGTTGGGAATATTGTTGGCCATGGATTTCCATATACGTCGGGTGGGGCGTTGGCTGATAGATGCCATTGTGTTTTATGATTGTTCTAACTCAATTTTCTTTTTGCATGTTCCTTGTACTATGAGAGCTATTTCCTATCAGATCAAATTCAAGATGTATACAAAAAGCAATAGAATGCTAATCCTATGACTCCTATCTCATAGAGCGTTGAGGCAGCACTAGGTCTATAGAACTGTCAATGATTGATCGGTCGTCGTTTGATAGTTGAGTCGACGCCAGCGACATTTAATTCGCGACCTGCGCTGCACCAAATCGAAGATTACCAACATCAAAGATCTGCAAGAACGTCAGTATTAACAACTTGGGATCATTCAACACGACCCAACAAAAAGACTTACTGCATATATCCCCTCCAAGAACGCAAGCCCCAGGACATCGAACTCCAACGACCCACGACTCTGGACCCCTCCATATACAAACTCAGGCTTAGCCTCAGAGAATCCCAGACTACCCTTCGGGATGCTAAACAGCTTTCCTCCAACATCTAGCTCAATCGTCGGCAGTTGATCGCGATCCGTATCTCGCGGGAACAGAAATCCCTGGCTTTCGCCATCGTAGAACGCGCCTGGGATAGCATCATAGATAGCCTGGCATGTCGTGTCCTCGAGCAAGGTCAGAGCTGCGTCGGTGTCAACGACGGCTCGATTCCCGGGTCGGTCGATGGATGTCCCTGCTACGTTTGCGGTAGTGGATTCGACACTCCAGAAACCATGCTGCTTGTCAATGGGTGTGTAGTGGATATCTTCTCCAGTGGGCTTGTCGATCTCCCCGAATGTAAAGAACGGCGTGTCTGAGTCGGAGTCACCCGAGGGACTGAATTTCGCGGTAAAGAGTTTGGTAGAGGCTGGTAGATCGTCTTGAACGAGCAAAGTCTCGACTAGGCTCTTGGCTTCGGGGCGAACGTTGGATATACTTCCGAATGCTAGTCCTAGTACGCCGTCTGCTGTGGCTTGGTCGAATCCCGAGGACATGGTGTCTGCGATGGCAACATGGGGCGATTTAATCGTCAAGTCACCAAGGGTGACATGGTCGGTTGCAGCGGAGCCAGAGGCCGAGGAATTATCCAAGTTCGAGACCTTCCACGCAGCTTGCTCGTCAATCGAGACGGTGCTTGATTTGACCGGGTCGTAAATCTTACGATCCCCCTGCGACTGGGAAGTCGACCGTACCTAGGTAGTCAGTGTCAGTAGAGCCCACACATGTGAACGGCGATGACACGCACCCAGACATCAGTTGACGCCGTATCAGGAACAAGGGCCAGGAACTGCGCAGGGGATCCGATGGAGACGGAAACGAAATACATGCTGTCGTTCTGGATGTCCTCGGCGTCTACCTGTTGCAGGTCCTTCTCGGAGAATTGCTTCTGCATCACATCGCGGAAGCGAACCCTGCCACCGACTGGTTTGGTCGTGAAGGGCCGACCGGTCTGGTGGATCGTACGACCGATGAAATAAGGACCATCTCGAGAGGGACGGATGCCGTATTTGCGGATTAAGTAGGCGTAGGATTTAATTCCGGATCGGCGGTAGTGGGCATTGTGGATGAGAGGGACTTTGGAGACCATGTTTATTTTATCCATCAATAGGTTTGGAGGGACAAGTAGGACAGAGTGAGGATCTAAATGCGATGACGACATCTGTAACAGGGGGAAGCGATCTAGCTGGCCCTAGGCTCGGAGGGCAGTGGCATGACGTAGATTGGTTTTGTGGTTTGCGATAATTGATTAGATTCGAGTGTTTATTTACTATTGTACATGGCTAAATATACAGTGTTTATTATGTCAATGGATTGTGTCTTCTTCACGCCCTAGTTTTCTCCTTCTGCGGCACGTCCGACACAGCAAGTGGAACCCGCAGAAACATCTCCATCAGCAGGGCAGCTGCAACGCTGACGTTGAGACTGTCGACGCGGGCTGGATCGGCCTCGACTCCCAGTTCTCCGCTGAATCGAGACCCGGGAATACTCACGATGGAGTCGGCATGAGATTTGATGTGGTTGCTCAGTCCGGCGCCCTCGCTGCCCATCATGATCACGCTGGGTGCTTGCGCGATGCCCAGACCACTGCCTGTAGCTGCGTCTCCACCAGCCGACAGGGAGTCCACAAACGTTGATCCGGGGCCCGGGGCGTCTGCGGCATAGAATCGCCAGCCGTTCTCCTTGGATCGTTGGATGAACTCGACCTCGTTGCGGACGTCGAAAAGAGTCATGTTCTCTGCAGCACCCGCAGAGGCCTTGATCGTGACAGGAGACAGTGGTGCCGAATTCTTACCCGCAAAGATGATGGCGTCAACTCCAAGGTAGTAGGACGAGCGGATGATGGCACCAAGATTCCCGGGATCGACAACGCCGTCCAGGAGTAGAAGCACTGGAAATCGTCTTCGATCTTTCGAGTGGTGGATCGCAATGCGGTTGTTCATGCCGTTCACCATCGCTTCTTCCCGGGATTGGCTTCCTAATTCCACGGAGAAGTGGTCTTCTTCAACAGAATCAACTTTCTTCAAGCTTTTCACGGGTAATTGGGGCAGATGGGATGCTTCAACAATGCAGCCATTATGAGGGCGACCGGCACTCATCTTATCGAGAAGGCGGTCCCAATCCCCGAAAGCCAGTTTCACCTTGATATCCTTGGCCAGGGCGATTTTGCGTAGTGCGTTCTTGGAGGGACTCAGTTCCTCGCCAGCGCTCAAATATAGATACAGGGTGTATAACTTGCGCCGGCTGCAACGCAAGGCAGCCTCCACTGCACTCGTCCCATAGATGAACTCCGACGCAGGTGAGGTATAAGGAAGGGTGTCCGGGACTTTTACGTTCTCCTTAACACGCTCCGGAAGCGTTTCTGTGGATCGATGAGGTTTGATCTTCTCTGCCTTTTTTGGCCGTTGGTTTTGCTGGGGTTCGTCCGCATCACGGCCCTTGCGATTGCCTGAGAATTTCTGGTGTTCGCGAGGCAATGCCCGAAATTTGCCAGTTTTGATGAACTCATCCTCGTCGAAGTCACTCATCGGCCGCTTTTCCTCATTTCTCCGGCGATCTTCAGTCCTTGGAGGTCTGGATTCTTTTGCTTGATCCTGTCGGCGGCCACTCTCACGGGGCGAGTCTCTGGCATAACTCCGATCTCCATCCCTGCGAGGCAAGTCTCTGAAATTCTGTCGGCGATCACCCTCACGGCGCGAATCTCGGGTATAATTTCGGGGTCCATCTTCACGGGGCGAGTCTCTGAAGCTCTGTCGGCGGCCACCGTCATGCGGCGCGCCTCTCACGTTTTGTCGACGTCCATCCTCACGGGGCGAGCTTCTGGCATTCTGTCGGTAGCCATCTTCTCGAGGCGAGTCCTTGACATTGGCTCGAGTCCTGCGGATGCCACGACCGATGGCGGAATTCAGAGACGCATATCTTACAGATGCCAAATGAGGGGGTGAAAATAATCTTGGAAATCGAAAATACGAGCGAACCGGAGTGGTCAAAGAGGAGGTCAACATTGAATCGGCGAAATGGAAGCAGCCACAGAAGAATGGCCACCAGCGACAGTCGTCAATCACCGCAGAAAAGACGATGTTTTTTCCGCCGCCGATAAGATAACCATCCGGGAGAACGTTGTTCCGCTGCAGTCTGGCGCGCGACGGCGCGTTTTGATCGGCGCAATATGACGCTTGCCCGCAATTTATCTCCCTCCTGCTCCTGTCCACGCCGTCTCGAATTGCTCCCCCCAATTCTGTCCCACAATCGTTCGGTGTTGATGGCGGGCTCCTCTCCTTTCACGTGGACGCGCTGATCGCTTCTCTCATTTCTTTCTTAATTTCTTTCATTGAAACCGGCCAAAATGGACTACGAATCGACCACCCAGATGAACGACGAAATTGTCGCTCAGCTCCTAGCTCAATTTAATAGCACCACTTCCGGCGCTGAGCCCCAGTCTCCTCCCCAGAACGAGGATGCCCTGCCGGAATATGCATTGGCTCAACAGGCTTTGGCTTCACACGCTCTTTTCGGGAATTCCTCGACAGAAGATCCGGCAGAATGTGACTTGACCCAAGACACCGTACCCGAGCATGCTGTGATCGAAACACCCCCAACGATGGAAGGCCTTGAGTTTGACAACGCTGGTGGATCAACTGCAGCTCAGTCTGCCAGAGCTGAAACAGCTGATCACATACCTCAAGCCACCCAATTGCCCCAGATCGAGATTCCTTTCCTTGCCGACACCCACGAATACGAGTTTCTGCCTGGTCACTTTGAAGTCCGCTGTGTGATCAGTGAAACGGACTCTACAAATGAGATTTATAAAGTCAAGTTGCGGAGCGGAGAGACCGAGACGGTTGGTTACTGACCTTACCCTACTCTCACTTCGACCTTCACTTATCCTAACTACTTGGCTCATAGTTTTCATCATCGCAACTCGAATCACTCACCAACGGACAAGAAGCTCTGATTGATTTTCAACTTACCGGACGGCGCAGCTTGACTCCTTCATCTACAGAAGAGGAGGAGGAGGAAGAAGACGACGACGAATCCTCTGATTCGCAACCTCTAGGGCGAGGTCGCCGCTCTACTCGGCTAAGGAATACCAGATTTACAGATTACTTTGACGGTGGTGGCAGCGACAGGATGAGTCGTTCGGTTGACTCTACCGATGATGTCTTCGCATCATCCCGGAGACCATCCAGGAAAACTGGCAGGCAGCGTCGATTGGGAAGAGGCCGCCGTGCCATATACTTGGAAGATTCAGATGCCGACAGTTATGATTCGGGCGCAAAGGGAACTCGATTTTCAACTCGTCAGCGAAAGAGCGCACGGGAGAACCTGCGCGATAGATACGAAGACGAGTTCTCCGAACACGAAGGAGGCTCCAAAAAACAGAAATTCTTCGGTGCCAGGGAAATCTTTCATACGGTCCCATCAGATGATCCCTTCCGACTCAAACATCGGGACTCATGCGACACTTGTCGCGAGACTGGAGATGACAATGCCAAAGGCCCTCTTGTATTCTGCCAGGGATGCACCAGTGCCTATCACCAACTTTGTCTCGGCCCAAGATCAACGCGGGAACATCTAGTCACCAAAATATCGGAAACACTTTTCCTCTTGCAATGCCGCCGTTGCCTGGGCGTCGCTTACTCAAAGGATTCTATCAATCCTCATTTAGGCCAATGTACCTCGTGCGAGGGTAAAGGAAACATGGCCGAGCCACTGAGGGAGCGATTAACGCCAAAGCAAGAGCAGCAGCTTCGCCAGGAGAATGATGGGAAAGACCCAATTACTACTGTGAATGAGACTCGCGTGAACAATGTCGATAATCTGCTCTTTCGCTGCACTTCTTGTCAGCGAGCTTTTCACTTCGAACACTTGCTTTCATCGTCCGATGAAATGTGCCAGGACTGTGTCTCGATCCCCGGAGAGATCGGCGCAATGGTCGCTTGGAGGCCAACGGATCCGAAGAATCTCTTACCTGGCTACACGGCAAATGTCCTGGAGGAATCAGACAAGGATTACCTGATCAAATGGAAGGACCAGCCCTATAGTCAGTCGACCTGGATGGATGGCACCTGGGTCTGGGGGGTCGTGAGCCACACTATGCGCCGCGCATTCCTCAGATCCGACAAAAGCCTGACGCCGTACATGACGACCGAGGAGGCTATTCCCGAGGACTTCATGCGGATTGACATCGTTTTCGACGTGCGATTCTCCACTAACGGCCCACGCAATCGGTCCGAAAATGCGGATAAGGCCCGGATAAATCAGGTATCCAAGGTCTACGTGAAGTACAAAGGCCTACCGTATGAGGATGTAGTCTGGGATTCGCCTCCAGATCCTAGCCAAACCGAGCGATGGAATGATTTCACAGCGGCTTACAATGACTGGGTTCGCCGCGACTACATCCACACCCCCGACACGCAATCCCTCAAGAAACATCTTGCTCATGTTCGAAAGCAAGACTTCAAAACAAGCGTCGTGAGAGATACTCAGCCGGAGATCATGACTGGAGGCGAGATAATGGATTATCAAAAAGACGGGATGAACTGGCTGTATTACATGTGGTTTAAACAGCAGAATGCCATTCTTGCCGATGAAATGGGTCTCGGAAAAACCATCCAGGTCATTGGATTATTCGCAACTCTTATACAAGACCACAAATGCTGGCCATTTTTGGTCGTCGTGCCCAACTCCACTTGTCCAAACTGGCGGAAGGAGCTCAAAACATGGGTGCCTTCTATCCGGGCAGTGACTTACTACGGATCCGCATTCTCGCGCAAACTCTCTCAGACGTATGAAATGTTTGGCAGCACTGGGAAAAGCGACCTCAGGTGTCACGTCGTTATAACGTCTTACGAGACCATGACCGATGATGCATCTCGCCGAGTCCTCTCTAAAGTCCCCTGGGGTGGATTGATTGTGGACGAGGGCCAGCGATTGAAGAACGACAAAAGTCAACTTTACGACGCCTTATCGCGGATTTCATGCCCGTTCAAAATCCTTCTTACCGGCACTCCTCTGCAAAACAACATTCGAGAACTGTTCAACCTTCTCCAGTTCCTCGATCCAACTCAGGATGCCGAAAGGCTGGAAGAGGAATTTGGAACTCTCTCGAAGGAGAACATCCCCAAGCTCCATGAGATGATCCGGCCATTCTTCCTCCGAAGAACCAAAGCGCAGGTGCTCACCTTTCTCCCGCCAGTCGCACAGATCATTGTGCCAGTCTCAATGACGGTGGTTCAGAAAAAGTTGTACAAATCCATTCTCGCAAAGGACCCAAAATTAATCAAAACCATCTTTCAACGAGAGGATGAGGGCGACCAGGCGCTGAAGCAAGCAGAGCGTCATAATCTGAACAACATTCTCATGCAGCTGCGAAAATGCCTGTGTCACCCTTTCATCTACAGCAAGGCCATTGAGGAGCGCAGTGCCAATGCGCAGGTGTCTCACAGGCACTTGGTGGATGCAGCCGGAAAGCTTCAGCTGTTGGAACTGATGCTGCCCAAACTCCAGAAACGTGGCCACCGAGTTTTGATTTTCAGCCAGTTTTTGGACAATCTCGATCTTGTTGAAGATTTCCTTGACGGACTGGGGCTTTTGCATCGTCGTCTCGACGGCCGGATGTCATCTCTTGAGAAGCAAAAGGTTATCGATGAGTACAATGCCGAGGGCTCGCAATATTTTGCTTTCCTCTTGTCTACGAGGTCGGGAGGCGTGGGAATCAACCTGGCCACGGCCGACACCGTCATCATCATGGACCCCGACTTCAACCCTCACCAGGACATGCAGGCACTGTCTCGCGCGCACCGTATTGGTCAGAAAAACAAGGTGCTTGTCTTTCAGTTGATGACTCGGGGAAGCGCCGAAGAGAAGATCATGCAGATTGGCAAGAATAAAATGGTTCTGGACCACGTTCTCATCGATCGCATGGATGCCGAGAATGACGATGGTCGCGATTTAGAGTCCATTCTTCGGCACGGAGCCCAGGCGCTGTTCGAAGACGACGACTCGCGTGATATCCAGTATGATTCTGAATCAGTCGATAAACTTCTTGATCGCAGTCAGGTGGAGCAAGCGCGCCCTCAATCGCCCGGCGAGGAAGGCAAGGGCGCCGAGTCGCAATTCAGTTTTGCTCGCGTTTGGGCCAATGACACCAACGATCTCAGCGATCAATTACAGAATACCGAGGAACCCGTGCCCAACGCCACCATCTGGGAGAAAATCCTTCAGGAGCGTGAGCAGGCAGCCGTCGAAGAAGCTCGACGTAAAACGGAAACCCTTGGTCGCGGCAAGAGAAAACGGACCACTGTTGATTATAGCCACGAGGTGGCAGAGGCGGCAGAGCCTTCTCCCGTGAAGCCGCGGCGCCTGCGCGATGCTGAAAGCGACAGAGAATTCGTTGCCGGAGACGCTGTAGAATCGGACGTGGATTCCTCCCCCGAGGTCGACTCGGATACCATGGAGCGGGAGGCTAGGAAACCCAAAGGTAAATTCCATTCTTGTCTCTTCTCCCGGTGTGGCATGGCATAGACTAACTGAAACCACAGTGCAACCTTTCAAACGCGTGTCTGTCACAACCGTTCCAGACCCCGCAGTGCCACCGGCCCTGGATGGCCATATGGACAACCGCCTATCGTGCCTCGCCTGCAACCAAATCCATCCGGTTGGCTACTGCCGTTTGAAATTGGCCGGGGTCGAGCACTGCGGGCTTTGTGGGTTGGCTCATTTTGGACATGCGCGCACCTGTCCTCACATCAGGTCTGAAACCCAAGTGGTCCGGATGTTGGAAGCTTTAAAGCAGAGCAACGAGGACCGCGACCTTATCCGCCAGGCCAAGAAATATCTAACCGGGGTGCGTGGGAATCTGGTGGCTGAGCAGAAGAGAAAGCGCGCCAGTCTTCTAGCCCTCGCCAATCCCGGGACGCCTGGGACTCCAGGCACTCCGGGCACTGCGAGCCCCATTCCTGCTGCCAACGATCCGCGCTTAGTAGCAGCTCAAGGCTTGCAATCGATGGGACCGTCGGCCCAGCTGCCTCTCGGGGGAAATCCGATCGATCGCCGTTTCTAGCTGGGGAATTCTAGGAGTCATGGACCTTTTCTGGGGGGCAGGATTGGGACGGTGCGGTGGTAATCTTGCTTTTAGTTTCTTTCTTTTTTTTTAATTCTGGTGTTTTGGGGGCATGGACGGGGTCAAAAGCATAACTGAGGCGCTGTACATACATAATTCTCCGATAATCGAAGTTCGATCTCCAGAGTCACATGAGCCCTCGTGATGACGACGGGATCCCCGAAGGCCGCTCTCTCCTCTAGACAACCCCTCCGTAGGTACAGGTGCTCAACAATCAATATTCATCGGGGGAGGGACTGGGGCAATGCCAGATACGCCAGACACCTCCGTTTGTGTTCCTTGTTTTCTGCTGACCAAGACCAGGCATAAGCTGGAACGCCGTTTGGAAGAGACGCATTCAACCGTCTAGGCCTAGGCTGTCCATCCGGAGACGAATCCTCTATGGTCCAAAATGAAAAGGGTCGAAGCGTCGGGAACCTTAGGGTGTTACAGGTCTCTCTCGACGTCATCACAAGAACTCGAGGATTTCTCGAGAAAGGGGGAAAGGAGGACCGGTAGGATATACACTGAGCACGGGGAATGGAAACCACCATGGATTCTACAGCAAGAAAGGACGAACGTAAACGGGAAACGGCACCAAGAGAAAAATCTAGGGGGCAAAACGGACCAGGCCAGCAATCCGGAGACGGGAAAGGACCAACAAGGGAAAGAAAGGAAGGCTGCAGCCATCCGAGCAGAAGGTTGTACATCCAGACTGGACAAACACTTGCTGCTTCTTATACGGCGCGCCTGCTCTCGCGGTGTGTGCCTTTCTTTTCTTTCTTTCCTCCCGGTTGTCTCTGTGGTTTTCTGCCGTTCCCCTTCTTATACGCCCCGTTCTCTTTTCCTTTCTCTCTTGTCTTTTTTCATTCTTCGGAGTTTTCCTTTAAAATTCGTTTTTCTTTTTCGTCTCTTAATGCTATAGTCCATGCTATTAGATTGTTGTCTTCTTTCCGGGGTGTTCCATTTCTTTCATCTCTGTTCAGCGTACTACATTGGATGATCTTCTGGTATTTCCTCGCTTGCTGGCTGGTCTACTTGCTTGTTCGCATAGCACTGGCTTTGCTTTGCTTTGCATGCCTTTGGAATCTTATATATCTGCCTGCTGCTTATAGTCTAGTCCCTAATCACCAACGGTTCACATTGCATCGCCCTGCGACCCCCCACTGGCTCCCAGTGAATGTTGCGGTCACTTTCTACCTAATCCCATCTCTTCAATTCACTGCCTCAGACCCTGCTTCGTGCCAACAGAATCTTCCACTCGCTCATCTTCCTCCTCCTTTTATTCCGCTCGCGCCCTTCTTCTTGCATCCTCTCTTCTTTCTCACCCACCTCCCTGTCCCCTGTTACATCCCCTGACGACATCCTCCAACTCCGTATCTCCCACCTTTGACACCGTTTAACTTTGATATACTCTCTGTCACCCTGTTCATCAATTCTTTTTACTCCAGCTCTTGAAAGTGTTTTTTACCATTTCTTCCTCAGAGAAACTGAAACATGTCTTCTTCGATGCGCCCTCAGTTCTTTTGCACCCGCCCTAATGGCACTCTCACCCCGCTGATCGCCGTCGACGAGCTGCCTCCCCATATTTCTATTCGCGGAGCTCCTCGTACTCTGTCTTCTAATGAGACTCAAGGAATGACCAGCTTGGGAACTGTGGGCTCAAGGCCTCAATCATACGTTGTTGAGAGTACGACTGCAGTTGCGACTCGTACTTCGCCAACCAGTGCGAACGGTCATCGCTCCAGAGACTTTGATTTGCAGAACGCACTCTTGCGCCTCGCTTCTGATGAGACTGTTCCCGCTTCCCAGCGCCTGGCCGTGAACAATATGCTCCAGCACGGGGCGCCTCAGAACTGGACCATGAACAACCCTACGAGCAGCAACTGGCTGGTCCCTAGCGGAAACGGTGGCTCGAGTGGTGGTGGTTTGAGACAGGTAAGTGAAATTGGCTTTGTGCGAGCTTAAATCGAGTCGCGGCTGACATGTTTCACCGTTCTTCGGATTCCAGGGCAATCCTTTGACCAAGAAAGAGTTCTGCTCTTATTGGATCAGACATGGTGAATGCGACTACCAGCAACAGGGTAAGATCTGGTGCAGTTGATACACAAACTGAGACGACCGTCAATCAGCTGACTTTGGCTCTGCAGGATGCCTTTACAAGCATGAAATGCCCAGGGACTTAGCCACCTTAGAGAAGCTGGGTCTGCGCGATATCCCTCGTTGGTTCCGTGAGAAGTACAACATCCCGAGTCTTATCCCAGGCGGCGGGCATGGTCACCCACGGGCCCAAGCTGGTAGCCATGGACAGCATTGGAAAGAGGATGTACCGGACCGCACCGGCGTGAAGTCAATTCAATATCCGTCACATTTGGATCTGAACGGGGCGGTTGATACTTCCGACGTGGAGAAAGGTCCAAAGCAGAAGAGTCCGAGCTATACCACTTCACAGCAGAGCTCGATGGTGGTTCCTGCTCCGCGCTCTGGCTTCTCAACCAGTAACTCCCCGAAAGTCACGAGTCACCAGAAGCAGTCAGGCAAGCACGGAAGTCAGTATACCTCGGCCGCTAAAAGGCATGACCTTTTGACATTTGAACCTCTGCCGGAATATCCGTCTCTGAACGCCATGGGTCCGGGTGTTGGCGCATTGACTTATCCCACTGCTCGAGATGACCCCGAATCTCTCGATAGGGCCCAGCATGAGGACTTCATCCGTAACATGCAGGCTCTCATGCCCAACCCCGAATTCTTGCCTAATCCCTTTGATGTGACTTCCGGTCAGAATCGTTCAAGGAAGGCGCAGAGGTCTCGCCGCCTGTATCAGCCTCGTCCTCAGCTTACCGGACCTGAGGCTAGATTTGACAGTCCGGATTATGACACTTACAAAAACATTAACCCCTTGGTCGCTGCGGGTCCAAGCGGCACTTCTTCCCTTCCCAAGGATAGCACTGGCTCTCAGTTCGCAAGTTCCATCACTGGCCCTGCTACCGAGGCTCCTAATCGTGGTGTCTCTCCGTCTGCGCATTCCTCCTCCTCGTCTCACGTGTCTGAGCGCAGTCCCAAGGTTATCCAGCCTCAGGCCGGCGACAAAGATCACGGCCTCATGCCGAGCCCTATTGGAAGCAAGAGAGCTCAGCAGAAGAAGCCCATGATATCCACCGACTTCTTCAAGCTCAACACCGGACATGGAAAGTGAGAGCGAGTATTCTGTATCATGTCGATCCGTGATCACAGCACACCAGACACCCTTCCTAATCGCTGTTCTTTCGTTCTCTCCCCTTTTTATTTACCATCTTGTTACCTTTGAATTTTATTTACGACTTCGCCCATGAGGACCCCAAGCTTCCTCGGCTCTTGATGATATGATAAACCGAATCACGACAACCCTCGCCTAAATATACCGCCCTGTGAAGCCGGCAAATGTTTATGAATGGGGTGGACGGGTTTACAATGAACGAGCAAAATGACGAAACGACTTTCTTTTTCAAAGTTCAAACAAAACCAAAAGCAAAAAACAAGAAAAAAAATCCTTCCGTTCTCTCGTGTCTCTTATCGACTTTGTTGGATGAAAAACACACTCACCAAGGATATGATGTGGTCTTCACTGATACGAAGGTTAGAAATACAATGACTGTGCAATCTGAACTGGATAGACCTGTCTAGTTTCTTCCTCGCAACGGTTATTTCTGTGGCAATGGTCAATGAGTCTCTCTCTTGATCTTTTGTCTTCTTTCTTTCGTGGATTTTATCTTGTGTTAGTGGGGCTTTCTTTCCTTCTGTCTTTCGTTCTTTTTAATTATGATGTAAGAAGTGTATATTATCGAGTTTTTCTTCAAGGGTATATTTGCTTGTCAAATAAATACTCCAGGGTTAAAATCAGAAAAGAACAAAAAAAAAAAGGTCGGGGATGGTGATGGATCTGGTACAAAATGGATTTGGTTTGTTGTTTATGATGGGACATCAACTTGGACTTTCAGCATAGGTATCTTCAATAGCAACAACCTCTTTCCAGGAAAATTAAGACCTATCCAAGACCAGCGCGTATATGTATGAAGAATGGTAAGGAATATAATATACATTGAGATACATAAGTCTAACATGACCTTGCAGAATGTGCGCCGCCCCTGATATTTTGAGGTACAAAAAAACACAATAAAAGAAATAGAAATTCCCCACGGAAACACCTCACATCAAGTGTACAGTTTCCCTCGCTCCAAGTCCCTCATGCTGTCCAATCCTCGATATCAGCGCCTCTTGCCCCCAGCCCGAACGGCAACTCTCTCTCGCTCGTGCGTCGCCTTCGCGTTCAAGGCCGGGTTCAACGACGGCAAGTTCCGAACCGCCTCGGCGATCACCAACTTGCCATCCACCAGGCCGTGCCTCTCCTGCTCCAGATGCAGGCGCTCCGCGCGCCGGGCCTCGAGCTGCTTCTTGCGCTGCTCGGTCATGTTCCACGAGTCGGGGAAGCGGAGCTTGCGCTGGGGCTTCTGGTGGCGAAGGTCGAGGGGCACGTCGCGGAAGGAGTCGCCCTCCTTGGCCTCCTTGATCAGCGTGTTGATGAGGTCGCCGAGGTACCGCTTGTTCTGGGCCTTGGTGGTGAACTTCTCGCACGACATGCGGATGATCTCGGAGTTGGGGTTGTATCGCGGGCCGACGAGCTTGAGGAGCGTCTGCAGCTGCTCCGCGGAGAGGTACTTAGGCGCCAGATCCTTGGTGCTGACTTCCATGACTACCTTGTTTTCGGCAGGGTGCTGCTCACCCATGTACGAGGTGTAGCGGAATCGAAGGATGTGGGTGTCGGGGGGAAGAGTGAAGGGGCGGGCCAGTTCTAAACGTCACGGCGGACAGGTTAGCACAAGCGGGATAACGTAGCGAGGGGGGAAGGAGTGGAAGGTTTCATACGGCTCAAGAGCGGCATATCCCAAGCGGCAATACGAGTCCATTCTCTGATGTCGCGGTGCAATTCGACCTCGGCATGGGCCATGGAGGTCATTTCGTCCTCGCGGAACTCGTCGTCGGCGTCCTCGACCAGACCGAACTCGTCGTCTTCCTCCTCAGCCCAGAAGCCGCGCTTCTTCTCGCGGATGTCGTCGAATCGAAGCCCGCCCCGTTCCAGGTTGGCGACCTCCCGGTTGAGCTCGGCGAGCGCCGTCGCTCGCTTCTCGGGGTCGTTGAAATCGGCCACGATGCGTCGGTTCTCGGCGTCGAACTGGGCCCGCTCTTCGGGCGACAGCATGTCGTACATCGACCGCTCCTCCTGGTTCAGTAGTTCTGGCGAGTACTCCGGCATGGTCGGCAAGTCGTCCACGAAGGACGATTTCGGAGATGAGACCTTGGTCCGGAAAGTCGACGGCGTGGCGGAGAAGGACCGGATGGGGATGGCAATTGGGCCTCGTCGGGTTAGCGAGAGGGCCGAACGGCCCACGGACCGAGCTGCTAAGGCCATTGTGAGGAGAGTGGGAGAGATGGAGGGAGGAGGGGAGGTGCAAAGGCGGGAAGAGATCCTGGAGACAGCCGGACGAGAAACGTTTATCGCGGCGATGTTTTTCTGCGGCTGCGAACTTCGCTGGCCGCTAAGCCCCTTCGGGAAGGCGGCGTCCCCGTCGCCTTGTCCTGGAGTCTGTCGACCCTCGTCGTCTTCGTCTTCATCGCTGCCTGCCAAATATGCTCTGGCTTCCTCTTATTCTTCTACATCCTCGCTTCGGGAGTGAGAGCTCCTTCGCATCTTCGTATCAGACATAACCCCCCCTGGTCCTCCCGACGATGGCCGCAAGCCAACCCGATAAACTGTGCTTCGTCACGGTGGGCGCCACGGCGTCGTTCCATCTACTCCTGCAAGCCGTGTTGGGCCAGCCCTTTTTGGACGCTCTGTATCAGTCGGGATATACGCATCTGCTCGTCCAGTATGGCAAGGACGGCCGATCTCTCTTCGAGGAATACCTAGGCAAAACGCCCAATCGCCACGGCATTACGATCAGCGGCTTCGATTTCAACCACGAAGGTCTAGACAGGGAAATGGGATTGACACAATGCAGCTCATCCGAGAACCGCAGCGGCGGAATGATCATCAGCCATGCAGGTAAAGAAAGTCTTGTGTGGCCTGTGGCCTGGAACCCTCTGCACTTATATCTATGCTTCGGGGGGACCCGGCGCAAGAATCGTACTCGAGTAAAAAACAATAATAAAAAGAACAAAACTAATCTATACTCATCCGAAACAGGATCGGGCAGTATTCTCGGGGCATTACGCCTTGGTATCCCCTTGGTGGTGGTTCCCAATCCGACCCTAAAGGACAACCATCAGGAAGATCTGGCGCACGAGCTCCAGAAACAAGGATACGTCGTTGCTAGCCGATACCAGTATGCTTGCCCCATCCCGAGAAAGTAGGATCTTGTTCTTATGCGTTTTCCCCTGTTCTTTGTAGGGACGTTGCGGCCGCCGTAGAGCGCGCGGAGACCCTGAGGTCTCAGATGTTGACTTGGCCACCTGTGATTGGGGCCGGGAAGAAACATCGTACGCTGGATCAGGTTATGTCGGATGAGATGGGGTTTCTGGATTAGTTCTCTATGGACGGTTTCAACGAGTTGGTTGGGAGAGAATTGGTTTTACTCTTAGGTGGAACACACCGCGCACTATTCCGTATAACTTGAAGGGAGGGCTTGAACTTCCTTTAAATGAGCAACCTGTATAGAAGGACTATATAATATCCTGAGAAATATCACTATTATAATTTCACTCAGATTGGTGGTCCATTGGCGATTGTTGACGGTCGAGAAGTATAGAGAAGTGGCCCAAGCTCCTTGTTGACGGCACGGAACTTCCAATCTTCTCCGATCTGAACGCGACTTCATCTCTTCGCCGCTCTCCTCCCCCCTTTGTCTCGAGCGCTGTCAATTGGGGTTGATTCCACCTTCTCGATAACCCTCTCGCCTCTCGGCCTGAAGTTGTCTCCTTCTACCCCAACCGTGGGGCCTTTTCTCCTCGCCTAAAATAATCGCGAAATCGCCCAAAACAACACCCCCCGTTTCACGCCTCTCCCCCCAGTGTTCACCAACCCACGCAATGGCTGAGGCCACCCTCCATAACGCCCCCATTGTCATCGACAATGGCAGCGGGACCATCCGCGCCGGTTTCGCCGGAGAAGAGATCCCCTCCTGCTACTTCCCCTCGTTCGTCGGTCGGCCCAAACACCCGCGGGTGATGGCCGGCGGTTTAGAAGGCGACGTCTTCATCGGCCAGCGGGCGCAGGAGCTGCGCGGGCTGCTCAAGATCCGGTATCCGCTGGAACACGGCATCGTGACGGACTGGGACGACATGGAGAAGATCTGGCACTACGTGTACGAGAACGAGCTGAAGACGCTGCCGGAGGAACACCCCGTGCTCTTGACCGAGCCGCCGCTGAACCCGCGCAAGAACCGCGACACCGCCGCCCAGATCATGTTCGAGACCTTCAACGTGCCCGCCCTGTACACGTCCATCCAGGCCGTGCTGTCGCTGTACGCGTCCGGCCGCACCACCGGTGTCGTCCTGGACTCCGGCGACGGCGTGTCCCATGCCGTCCCCGTGTTCGAGGGCTTCGCCATACCCAACAGTATTCGGAGGATTGATGTCGCCGGGCGCGACGTCACGGAGCAGCTGCAGGTGCTGCTGCGGAAGAACGGCCATGTGCTGCACACCAGTGCCGAGAAGGAGGTGGTGCGCATGATTAAGGAGAAGGTCTGCTACGTGTCGTTGGATCCCAAGCGGGAGGAGAAGGATTGGATGAACAGCTACCACAAGTCGGAGACGAAGCTGGTGGATTACGCCTTGCCGGATGGACATAAGATTAAGGTATTACGTTTGCTCTTCTATAAGGACAGCCTCGGAGATCCCCTTCTAACTTTCGTCTCCTGAACAGATCGGACAAGAACGTTACCGCGCTCCGGAAATCCTCTTCGACCCCGAACTGATCGGCTTGGAGTATCCCGGCGTCCACCAAATCGTTCAAGACGCTATCACCCGGACGGACCTGGATCTGCGCAAATCCTTGTACCTCAACATCGTTCTCTCGGGAGGATCGACCCTCTGCAAGAATTTCCCGGACCGACTGATGCGCGAGATCAAGCGGTTAGCGGTGGAAGACATGAAGATCCGGATCTCCGCTCCTGCAGAGCGAAAGTACACCACCTGGATCGGTGGAGGCATTCTTGCCGGACTGAGTACATTCCGCAAGGTAAGTGATCCAAGATTTTGATTCTATGTCGACGTGCTAATCAAGCCGGACAAATGTAGATGTGGGTTAGCGCAGACGAATGGCACGAAGACCCCGAAATCATTCACCGGAAATTCGCCTAAGCTTTCTGTCAATTCGAATGCACGACTCGATATCCGAGGGAGGAAGCCGAAGTCGAAGGTGTTGATATCCTTTCTCTCGTCAACTGCATTTCACTCCCTCGGAAAAAAACGACGAACAAAAGCTTCGAAGGAACAAAAAGAAAAGGGACCAAAAAATAACAAAAAAACAACACCGCCTTAACCCAGATGATTCAAGAATTAGGTGACATTGCAACGTTGTCACGACATTACCTTCAACCGAACCCCGAAGTACTAGCTGTTGAGTTCATACGCATTTATTGAGCGGCAGCTTTTGATACCCCCTACTCTCTCATTTCTTTTACTCCATCTTTCTCATTGATTTCGAGATTTGCCCCCACAACCACACCCACCCGTTCCACAACCGGGTCGATCATCCCAGATTATATCATCGATTCCTCACCCCTTGAGTCATCGACTCATTGGCAATTTGGGATGCAGATGATGCCGACGAAATTGACCATCACACCATTTCTCAGCTCTGTTTAGCCATCGATGATCTGCTCGTGGTCCCCTCCCCCTTCACCATCCTCCAGAGTCCGGAGTCCGGAATCCAGATACTATGGAAGAACTAACTCCAGGCAGATCGCCTGAAATGAAACGCATGGAGTATCATCAACCAACATATCATCTTTTTTTCTTGTCGAGTTCTCTCTGTTCATCTTATGTTCCGCCCATCCCTTTCATCTACTACCCGCCTTCCCTCCCTGTGTAAATACTTTGAACTTTGAATATTTAACTGAACTTACGGAATCAATCAATAGACGGATAAATGGATGAGTGCTATGTCATGTAATTGATCTATTCTCTTTCCTTTTTTTGCTTGTATTTGGAATATCGAATGGTGCATTCTACTAGAAAACTGTTATGGTATAGAGTGGTGATGTTTCCGATGCTACTGCGTATAGTTAGCAGCCCAAAAAGCACCGCAACTGATTCGTGACCAAGAACCGTCATGAGTCATGACGGCTGTTGCGAACAGTCACGCCATGGTGTTCCAAGGTACCGTAAACTAAATGAAAACGTGCCAGAGACTACTGCAGATTACATGCTTAGAGCAAGAAAAGGTTGACTTCCAAAATGTCCGGGTTCTTATCCTTGATTTCCGACAGATACATCAAACTAGCTAACATACAGGAGAAACGTTCGAAGGCAAGGATAAGAAATGGTGGGGTAATCAGGACCATGTCAGAAGACAATGATAAAAAAAAAAAAAAAAAAAAAAAGTGATGAGAGTGCAAAACAATCCTCTCCTATTTCGCCGATTCCAGAATCCGGCATACACATTGTTGTTGAAATAAAAATATAGAAGGATTCAAGAAAGTCCAGATGTGAATATCCATGTGGATAAAAGAAACACAAGACTCAAGATCAAAGTGCCAATGAGGACTTCATGGCGGAGAGGGTATCATGTCGACGTGATTGTCGAAGGCAATAAAAAAAAAGAAAATAGAAATAGAAGATGCCATAAAAAATGGAGGCGAAGTGCGCGGTCGAGAGATAGTAGTCGAGACCGCGACTTTCCTCGATCGAAGTCGAATATCGGAAGAGAGAAGAGAGATGATGATTAAAAGTTGCGACAATCCTCGAGATTTCGAAGCGGTGTTGAAGGGGGTAGGATCAAAAAATCAAAAACTTTTTTGGTTGGTCGTGATATCGTGAGTCATGCATGCGAAAGTCGAAATTCCAAGATTCGAGAACGCTGAAGATGCATGTTGGTGTTGAAATCGAGGGAGTCGAGGAGTCGAAGAAGACAAGAGTCTATGTCATTCCACGCAGCTTGCCCCAGCCCTTTTCCAGACCGCGCAGGGCCTTGTCGCGAGCCGAGCTAGTCGAGCCGGCACTACTCGAGGTGGCATTGCTGCTGGCGGAGAACTTGCGCGACAGACTGCTGCCACTGCTGGAAGAGTCGCGGTGGACCATGTTGCCGGCACCACCACGGCCGACGTGGTAGACGGGAGCGGCGCGACGCAGATCACGTTCTAGTTCCTCGTCGAAGCTGAACATGGCGCGCTCGCTGCTGCTGTGGACGTTGCCGGCACCGCCGCGGCCGGACTTGTACGTGCTGGGGACATGGGAGTCCAGGCGCGTCAAGGACGGGGGACCGGTGGCCGAGCGAGAGTCGGTCGTCTTGGTGTTCTTCAGGCTGATGACATTGCCGGCGCCTCCGCGAGCCGTATGGAGAGCGGGACGCGAGGTATGAGGGACGGAAGGGTGAGGTTCAACGACCCGGTAATTCAGGGAGGCCGGCATGATTATGGTTGGTATGGGAGAACGAAAGCTCTAAACGAAGAGAATCGGTCTATGACGCAAAATGCATAGAAGGCTAATATTGCGCACGAGGTCGAAGCTATAGATTCGACGGGAAGCGGGATATAGAGTCTGACACGAACGACACGCGCAGAACTACACACTAGAGAAGGATTGGAGATGGAAGAGAGAATGTGAATGAGGAAAAGAAGGGATTATGTTTGCTGGGATCAACGACACGATCCAAAAAAAAAATCTTCTCCTTTGTTCAATTGGGATGGGACCACTATAAAGCGAGCCAAACATTGCGGCGGGGACGGTGTTATATAGTTGGATCGGTGAGCCGCCGGTCACTGGGGAAGAGGCGACGATTGCACCATTCCGGGCCAGCGTGCCAGGCACGACGGCCAGTTCCAGGGTCACACGCTGTCTGGGCTGTGGATGCGACGGTGGAGCAGCTGCCAGGAATTGGACTGCGACTTGCCAAAATTGCACCAAATTGCAAGGCCAACGGGGGCCGCTGTTTCCTGAGTAAGCAAGACCCGAAGTCTATGCGAAGTCTATGCGCGCGGTACGGCTGGTGTTATGTAAGATCGCTGCGCCGGATTTTTCTCAGCGTTAGGGCTGGGCGGTTGCCGCAGCCATTCAGGGGCGCCGCCGTCGCTCCCGCCCCGAATGATTGGCGGGCAGGGGCCCACCGCTCCTGCTGCTTTTGGCGCCCCTCCGGAATCATCTGACATGCTCAAGCCCTGGCCAAACGTAACAGAAACTGGTCCGGCGGCCAATCAGGGGACAGTCCGCCCCAATGTGTCCCAAAGCGAATTTCCTGGGGGTAATGGAAATTGCTGGCCGGTCACGAGTCGTCATCGTGAGCTGATGATCCTTACAGAGTCTTTCAATGGTGTGCTTCACTACTTCGTCTTGGTCGGGCAACCCGGTCAACTCGTGGTTTTCTCATCTGCAGCCTTCATCCGGCACCCCAAAAGCCTCCTTCCTGATGCTCCTTGCGACTGACCGGTTGGACGACGTCAAGAGGCGTGAGAAGTTGCAGGTCATCAAAAAAAAAGGGGGTGAAATCTTGTCCAAAAATCAGAAATCAATTAAAATTAAATAAATAAATAATAATTACTCCGTAACTGCAATGAATCATGCCGGACCAAAATAAAAAATGAAAATTCAAAAATGAAAATTCTTCTCCCCGCAAGTTACTCACATTGGCAGCACGTACGATTGCATCATCGCTTCTGGATGATTCGAACTTCAACCCCAACCGTCCACCGCCTGCAATGTACCCCAAGACCCCAAGACTTCCAAACGGAGAATGTGCCACGCTGCCATGCTGGCCGCCTGCCGTCATACTACTTGGCCGGTTCCTGGCCGGTCCTCGCATTGCCAATGAAACATCCGTTCGTGGTGATCTGGCGCCTTCACGACGGCGATGCGGTCTTTTCTTGGCAGCTGGCATGGGGCAGATCTGGCTAGACTTCCTTAGTGCCGGATAGTCGAGGAGATCTTCAAAGAAATCTCTCACCGTCTTCCCCTGGATATCAGGGATAACGTCTCCTGAATTGGCCATCGATCAATGCCGGCGGTGGATCGCATCATCGTCGACTATTACTCCATCCCCCGCACGCCGGCATGGACGAGTCCAATAATTATTAATTATTAATTATTAATTATTAATTATTAGCCGTGAAACCAAACTGAGAAGAAAATCCGCATTCTCGAAATCCAGACCGAACAAAAAATGCGCGCGATCCACCGGGGCCAGACCAAACCCGAAGCGGTCAGCTTCCCCAGACAATTGTCAGGGCTGGACTGGAGCGAAATGACGCCAGTTCCACCGCGACGACAGAAATGCCTCAATTCCCCCCTTCTTCCGGCCAGTCAGCGCCGCTGAAAATTTCTTCCTGGTCCCACTGCGGATCTTTCAAGCGATTGGCCAGCGTCACCGATCCGGTCCAACCGGCCGCGGTGAACCGATGCCTCCCACGACGACGGCGTTGTCGGGTGGATTTTCTCTTTTCCTTCGTCATGGTTTCAGGCTCCCTGCGTACGGTTACAGAATACAGCGTCTCCTCGGGCCTTCCCCGGATTTTGGCCCCAGGCATCGACATGACCGGTCACCTGCAGGTCATGAATTGCAAGTGTCAGCAGAGCGGGAGAATTCCCCCTCCTGCTGCACCGCAACCCAATTTCAACTTCCTGGCCTCGGCTGTGCTCGGTTACTCGCCGTCCAGGATCCCCTGGCATTTCAGGCCGTACGCCGTCTGAAGAATCGCTGCACTTCAGAAAGCATATTATCAACCAAATGGCCCCGGTGTATGAGCGATTTTCCACCTCAAGTTGCTCCCACCTTCGACGGAGGCCTGTCCGTGCAGCGTCTCGTCAGATCGGGCCTGTGAATCCTATTTTACAGTGCACATTTGCTTCCAGCCAGGGCAGTCTTGCATTGGCTTGGTCTCACTAATCTATGATATGCGTCTGTAACAGGTGCGAAAATATTGTGTGCGCATATTAAGATAATCCTTTGATCTCATCCTACGTTGTGTACGGAGTAAGGACTCGATTGAGTGATCTGCGCTTAATCTTCGTCGATGCCGTCAATTCCCCTCGACTAATGTATATAGCCGACTTGTTTCACTTGGTGGTCACACATCATTACATTACCTCTCTTCTTGCCCTTGCTTCCGGCCGACTCCCGCGCCATTTCTTTCAACTTCTTGCTCGGACTTATCACCAACCTTTATATGTTGGAGAAACTTGCTCTCAGTGTCACCTTACACGAACAAGCAGCAGCGTGTCGTGTACTCGGACGGCGTTTCGAGTGCACGTCGACAAAACAGCAGTGCAATTGCCTAGGAACTCAACCGGCCGCATCGACTAATCATGTGTAGACATGGTCCTCAAATCAGGGGTTGCTTCGAGTCCACAAACAGCAAACGGAATAATCCTGGTCTAGACTCAAACCGAATCCTCGTTCGGTTACAGTAGGAATGCAGTATAGATACGGCGTATAGCTATGAGTTCTAGTGCGGAGTATACACATACGAGAAACCTCACCGCCAGCCAATCTCCTCAGGCTGAGCTTCTTTACAACGCCGCGAAACAACACACCCAGCTCCTTCTAAAGGCATCCATGACAGTAAACGAATGAATCCTGGCCTGTTAGTCTTGTGAAGTCCAAGAATTTAACGCTCCCAGGACAAGGTGGGAGGTTTCTGCTTTACTGAAGGATCTACAAAACATATGCTGTATCAATCCATCGCCGTTGCAAAGCGTAGTCCGAGATGGAGTGTCGAGCCGAACAATAGCCAGAAGCTGACACCAGTATCAACATGTTTAACATTTCAACAACGTTCAAACGTGCCAGGCTAGAAGACACAGCCAACATACCACCATTCAAAATGACCCTCTATATGATCGTAGCCTTACACATCAGGTGTCAACAAGCTTGTCAAGAGGTCTATTCTGCCATTTCACACCGCCCGAGATATCTCCGTCGCTATCGAAACTCCGCTTCACTATCCAGAACTTCATGCAATTCTTGCTTCGAGCATTCCCAGCAACGACAGAGCCGCAATCGTCGCTAAAATACCCGGTCATCTGAATCGCCGCTTCAGATATACTTACAACGCGAGTGATCGCGATCTGCGCCAGCCTGCTCCACGCGCATCGCGCCATCTGAGCGCCGCCGATTTAAGCTTCGCCTTCAAGTCTTAAGATCAGCGATAGCCTGAACACTCAAGATGCCTAAATATAAGTGCTTTCCTATTCCCCTTATCGGTCGACTAGAAGCTAACTATCAATGCACTCTTCTGTAGGTCCTCCATTCCCATGGCGAATTCTCCACCCGGCCCGACTCGCGCCACATCTATCCCGTCTTCTGGCCGCATCTTACTGATCCCATGTCCATTGAATAGGCGACTACTGCGATGTGTACCTTACACACGACTCCATGAGTGTGCGAAAGGCGCATAACTCCGGACGAAACCACCTGAGGAACGTGTTGGAATACTATCAGCGTATGGGACAAGCCCTACCATCTCCCTCTATCTCTTCGGAGAAGTGAAATGCCCCCTCCCGCTGACAGATGAACGCAGAAATCGGTCAAGAGAAGGCCCAGTCTGTCATCGACTCCATCACCTCGTCGTACGCCGCCGAAGGTCAAGCCGTGCCGAATCCTGCCATGGCTCCCCCGGGTGCTTTCCCTCCTCCCCCGTTCGCCTTTCCTCCCGGTATGTTTGCCCTCAGCCTCCGCGGCGTCCACCCTAACGTCCATTTCGTCGATATAACTAATGGGAATCAGGTCATCCAGGTCAATTCCCTCCTCCCCTTCCCTTCGGAATGCCCCCGCCAGGAGCCCCCAATGGTGCCCCGGGCATGCCTCCTCGTACGTGCCACCCTCTCCCCCGATCAAGTTTCTCACTAACCCACCTTCAACAGCCCCCGGAGCTCGCGGTCTCCCCTTCCCTCCTCCCTTCCCTGCCGTATCAGGCGCTCCTCCCGGTGGTCTCCCCCCGCCTCCTCTCCCCAACATGCCCCCGGGTCAGGCCTTTCCCCCTCCCCCTGGCGGCTTCCCTCCCAGCTTCCAAACCCCTCCTCCAGGTGCCCCCGGCTTCCCTCTCATCCCTCCCCCCGGCCAGTCTCCCGCCGGATACAGTCCCAGCCCAGGACCTGGGATGGGCGGTCCCCCGGGACCAGACGGATATGCGCCCCCTGGTGCAGGACCGGGTGGTCTCCCTGGCCCGCCTCCGGGATTGGGCGACTCGCGATGAGATTGATCTGGGAAGTTGACGAGATATCTCTTTCCTCACGGTTTTTCCTTTCTCTTTTCTTTTGTTTTCCACATCGAACATTGTACACGTGGTGTTAAAACAGTGATTATTACTATACCTTGATTTTCTAGATTCTATTCCTCTATTTTCGTCGTTCAGGATTCGTTTCCAGCGTTATCTATCTCTTTCTCTCTTTTTTTTTCGTTTGCCTGGTCACTGGTTTTCGGTGTTGTTTCTGAGTGTTACATAAATGATATCGGAAATTGGAAACAAAAAAATGCGGAAATGATATGTATGATCAGAATGTAAATGTGTAGTAGCTCTTCGAGGTATATGGAATATGTTGGCGCGTATATGGACTGATATCAAACCACTTGAGAGGATCTATTCGTTCAGCGCTATAAAATTACTGGACTAGGCTTGTCCACTTCCAGCATTCCAGAATTCCAACTTTAGAATGATATATAAAAACGCACTATCTCGCCCATATAAATAGATAAATATCCGGCAAAGCTAGAACCGTTACTAAGCAACTACAGGGGACATAAAAAACCAAACTGATGTCTTCACTGGACATCTCTCATACAGCATAGATAGATCTACAGTAGTAGTGCATTAGAAGATTGAAAAGTTCTGAAAGCCACGTCTTTCAACGTAGAAACTAGCATTATGACATCCGTGCATCTAAGTAAAGACAAGAACACGGACAAATCACAGATAATAAAACAGGGTAACGGACCATCGGATCAATCAAACAATAAAAGTAACGACCCCTGTCAAATATATAGATCACGTAGTCAACAAAGCCAAAGTCCCGATTCCCGATCCAATGCTTCAGAACGCCAGATGAGATAAGAAGAGATGAAAGGAAAATGTGTCCCGACAAGGTGAAAGAAAAATGAAGGAAAGGATAGATGTTGATCAAATATGATACTTTTCGGTATATCCATTTGTATACGAAAAGAGATCGCCAAGGCGCAGCCCACATCAGTAGGCTAGATGGTAGAAAATAGGAGTAAAGGAAAAGGGCACATGGGTGCGAAGAACAAAACAAAACAATCCAAAAACAAGCAAGGGTTGGGCACGAGAGACAAGAAAGTGCTCTCGGCTCATCCCCGCGCTAAAAAGCCATAACTTCATTTCAGGCAGCTAGAAACAATCAATAAATTCTTCTAATGCTCGTATCCAGCGCCTCTTTGCCACGGGCTGGACGAGTTCTGTGCCCGATATGCAGCCGGGTTGTTAAATGGCGAGGTGTTGTTCAGTCCTCGGGGAACTGGTGATGGCGATCGCGCATCAAAGGTGGGTCGTCGGCCCGGACCTTCGTTCGCACTGGGGAAGAGAGGCAGCGAAGGGTCAACAGGAGACACGGGGGGACGCGCAGACACCGGCGATGCATCATGGGCCTCGAGGTTCTGACGGCTGATGCTTGCGCCGTTACCGTTGGAGAACGAACTGGAGCTGTTGTCATCCTCGAAGGTATTCGACTTGTACGCAGTGGTCTTCATGTCACCACGGGCGGTAGCACCCAGAGCGTCCAACTCGGTGGTCAGCTGCGTTTGCGACTTGATGAAAGAGCCACGGTCGTCACGCATGGGCTGGTAGCGGGTGTCGGGGTTCTTGGATACGATGGCGTACACGGAGGCGACGAGGACCATGATCAAGAGGATGAGAGCAAAGACCGCGTTGATGACGAAGAAGACAACACCCATAACACCAGTCACAATTCCGGGCTGGTTGAAGACCTCCGAAAAGAACAGCAGGAAAATAACGTTGAGGAAGTTGATGGCGGCAATGGAAATGTTGTAGATGTTGGTCTTCTTATCCATCCATGGTCGCATAACGCTGACCCCGATCAACATGCCAGCCTCGATGATCACCAAGGCAATGGTTTGGACGATGGGAGCCGGTTGACTGAGACCGATGAACATGCCCTTGATCAGGATGTATGCGAGCACGGGCACGACAAAGTAGTACGCCGTGGCGCGGTACTGCACGTACAAGAAACCCCACTTGTTCAAGCAGGTGGGGTCGGAGTACAGGATGTAGGCCGGGTTCTTGTGCATAGTAACCGATCGCTTCGCTAGGCGAATGACCTTGAAAGCAGCCCAGCTCAGGGCCGCAACGATCGACAACAGCATGATCACGGCAAGGACAATCTCGGCGGCCGAATCCTGTCGGGTGAACTCCCACAGACAGAGGATACACATTTGCGGGAAGCCGATCAAGGTCAGTCGGAAGAGGATTCCTCGAGCAACGATCTTCCATCCGTTCCGGAAGTCCTGGAACTTGTCGCTCTTCATTTTGCCGTGCTTGGCCAAAACCTCACATCCCGCTTTGAACAGAGCAACCAGAATCATCACAACGGTGACGAAAAAGACGAAAAAGATCAAACCGGTAAGGAAGATGTTGGTCTGCTCGATTCCGGCCTTGAATCCGACACGCTCGATGCCCTTGACGGTAATACTTTTGCTTTTCGCGCCACTCTGTTCGCCCTCGCGCTTGAACAGATGCTCGGAGGCCCTCCTGGCCAGACCGACCGAAGTATCGATAGATCGCTTTTTGAGGACTTCAACGGAGGTTGTGGAAAGCTGCGAGAGGATCGTGGATGGCGTTCCTCCGGTTGATCGTTGGTACCAGGTACAAATGGTTTCAAGGAAACCAATGCGGATGATGCCCATACTCCATTGGAAATTCTGCGTCCACGCCTCCACAATCGGCGGCATGTGAACAGATGTCATACCGATTATGGCCTGGGATTGCATGAAACTAAACAGAGACAGGGCGTTCGCTGCAACGTGGGCGGCTGTATTCGAGTGGCCAAGTCCGGACGTAATGGCCGATGCAGCCAGACCCAAGCCGGATATGATTGCCGTACTCCAACCAACTCCTTTTTGATAAACCGTTTTGCCGTTAGATAAACTGGCCTCCAAGCATGTGATACTTCTTCCCGTTTCCGTGGAGTTGATGTAAATGCGAACCGAGGCGTCAAGGTCGGGGACAGTATATGCGATCCCTGGAGGAACTCATTAGTACAATGTCATTTTCCACTATCCGCAATTTGGTCAAATACCGGGAATGCTGTTCACGACATCTTCCGGAACGTCAATAGTAGCCTTCTTAACATCGATCGGACCCGTGTTCATGGGGCAAAGACCCTGCAGGTTCTGCTCACACGGGTCGATTTCCTTTCGGAGAGCCTCGATTCCGTACGCATTCAGGATAAGCTCTGCGGTCATTTTCCCGGAAATCGAGGCCACTCCATCGAAGCTGAATGCCAAAGACCGGTTGTTGGGAGTGAACGTGACGGCGAAGTAGGTTGCCGTGAAATTGTTGCTATCTTGGCACAAATTCAAGGCATTGGATTTGATGAGCTTTATCGCAGACACCGAGGGTGCCGCGAGGAAAGCGAGGAAGACGCTGAACAAAAGCGAAAATAGCCGCATGGTGGTGCGTGGTGTATCGGCGTCAACTTTTCCAGTCGACGGCGAATATACTCGTCAGTTAAGAGGAGGATCAAGCGCAGAAGAATGCGGGCGGTGGTGGTGGATTCGAAGGTGGTACTCCGGAGTATCAGTTGGGCGGCGGCCGGATGCGGAAGGGCGCTTAGTATACTGGGTCTGGGACCGGGTCGCAAAGGTTGCAATGAAACCCTGACAAACGATTCTGGAGAGCGAACTCGGCGAACGTAGTGGATACCGGCGTGGTGAGGTTACAATTCACAACGTCATTGATGTCTAACCAAGCAGTCGAGCGAGTACCAGAGCGATTGTTCGTCGAAAATAGGCGAATGGGATGAACGACCGGAGATGATTAGATAAGTGGAGTTAACGAACGAAAAAAAAAGAGAGAACTGAAAATAGTCGAGGTAAGGAATGTCGGATGGTAAAATTGTCGAAGGACGGTGGAAGTTGGATTGAAACAGTCGAATAAAGCGAGCGGGACGGCGACACACAGTATGCCTGGGAAGAAGAAGGGAAACAAGGGAAGGGATAACCAGGAAGCGGATGGGGGGGATTGTTTCCTTAGTGTCTCTCTCCCTCTAGAGGAACGGAACGGAAAAGAAAGAGAAAAAGAAGGCTCGCTCCCTCAGACAAAGGGACACCCAGTCTGGAAATTGGCGAGAAGAGATGGGAGAACGAGCGGAGGGAAAGAGAAAGGAGAGAAGTTGAGATTCTTCTTCCGACTTTCTTTTCGTTGCGGCAGGCAGAGGAAGAAGAGGAGAAGGGGAGACGAAGGCCCGCTCGTTGCTTTGGGTTGACGCCTGAGTCAGCAGCAGATTATGCGCGTATTTTGGGGTATTCTGGTATTCTGGTATTTCTGGTATTTCTGGTATTTCTGGTATTTCTGGTATTTCTGGTATTTCTGGTATTGTCTCCAGCCGGCAACTCGCGGTTCGAGACTCGGTCGATTTGCAAGATTTCTTCTTGAAAGAATTGATTACGAACAGTACAAATGGACGGTGGCCACATTAAATGTTTTTCTTCCAGCGATTGATTATGTTTTCTCATCCCCCAATAACAGAAGGAAATCCCACTCGATTAAACGCCATGCATACCCCCAAATCCAGTCCTCTCGTGCTAACTTCGCAGACGGGCCTTTCCCCCAGTCCCAGTGCACGCGCGTCCCTCAGGGGGGTTGGCCTCCGGGCCACTTCCCGCGTCTGATTTGCTCTCAAGGTCATCTTTTTGACAGCCAAGACTCTCATTCCTGGCGCCCAAGCAAAATGGCTGGGAGCACCGGATTGCGCCAGATCATGGTCTGGCGTCACGGCGGGGGGTTTCGATTGATTTTATTCCTCCATATTGATTGATTCCCGCCAAGGGCCCGATGTCACTCTCGCAACTTCCAGTCGAGTCACGTCCAATAGGAGACCGAGACAAGAGAGACATCGAGTGGTGATGGATCATCCTTCCCTGCCACACATCTCACCTTCCTGCTCTACGCTCGACTTGGCTCTTCCTGCCTTGGGAATAGCTTCCCAGGTGGTTCCCAGGAGTTCGAGGGAATCGACTCCCCCGTTAACCGCCCGTCCGTCCCGCCATGGAGAAACAAGACACACCGACTACCTGCATACGCGACGTTTGAAGATTTTATCCTTCTGCCTGCCAGACTGCTATTAATAACTGATTGCACGATCCTCCGCGGCAACTCAATCTGCACTGTCAGGCCGTACGCAGTAAGCTCTCGGTGGAGTTCATATGGGAGAAAGTGCTGCGCACTTGCGTAGGAGTATTGCATATGCACTCCATGTTTCTCCCCGGGCAGACGAGGTGTCAAATTCCACCTGCCCGCCACTATCGTCAATCCCCATCTACGAGAACGCTAATACGGACGGTTCTCTGCGAATACCTGCCTAGGACCTAAAATCAAGGCGAAGGATGAGCACCCCGGGATTATACTACGTGTGTACCCGTATGTACTCCGTACAATCCTACTACATACTCCGTAAAATACAGACCAGCACGGGCGCACCAGATGCGATCAGCGCACCCGAGTGCTTTTGATGCGGTGTAGAAACTACGTCGTATATGCGGAGGGTTTACTCCCGATGCAGGGTCCATCATGATTCATATACTATCTCCAGAAGAGAGTAGAATCTTAATTCTTAAAGGAACAGGAAGCGTACGATGGGTCCAACCCGGGTGTACTCGTATTGTTCGCCCCACGTCGAATTAAGTGCAGAGGTTATTTGGCAGAAAGGCGTCTACGCTGAAAAGGGCTAAGGACTGCTTTTGCGCTTTGCACTTTGCCCTTTGCACAGCCCCCGTCGCTCCCCTTTTACTCGGTAAAACAAGAGTGTCTCGCTTTAAACGCCGCCATTGGATTGCGTTCTCGCCAGTGTCGCCACCCTCCGTGTCTCGCCTACCCTAATGACCTTCTAGACCTAGATATCTAGGTATTTTTCTAGATGGTCATACTATGTGCACAACTACCTACTCCGTACTTCTATCCCGCAATGAAGATCACTCATCCCTGATCAACGCCGACAGCAATCAGATCATCGGCGCCCTCGGACTGCGCGGCATGACGTCGGGGCCCGGTGATCATCTCTATCCCGTTCCTGAAGGAATTTCATCGACGGATAAGCATTTTGGTGTCGTTTCATACACGAAAATCCCTGCCCCCTATCCTCACCATTCACCAGAAACAGGTCCAAAACGGTGAGCGGAAAAAATGAAAAGAAAAAAAGAGACCTGCAAACCCTTCACCCGAATCTTTGATTTCAGGAGACTTGGCCCCTGGCAGGCTGCCTTCGAACCATGGGCGGCACTGTCCTATTTTTAGTGATTACCAAACCGACTTCGTACGCAGTCTTGGCTTCTCGCCCACGATGGCGTTGTCACTGAACTGTTTCACATTTTAATTATTTTTCAATCTGTGTTTTGGGCCAAGTGGTCTGTGGCTTCTGGCTAATCTCACACTTGGTCACTTGGGTCACTTGGGTCACCTGGGTGGTTTTGTCTGGAGCAGTTGGAATATTCTCCATGGTTCTTACCTGTGGTGCTTTCTTCCTACCAGGAATGCTACCCTCCGCCCGCATGACCACATGGACCACGCCTGCCTGACGGCCTGACATGAACTGTACTTCTACAGTTCTGGTTCTACTTCGTACTATGTGAACGTCAGCGGCATACAGGTCTATCATCTGACCTTCTGTCTCAGTATTTCTCCAAATTGCCTCGATCAGTCAAGTCTAACCAGCAGTGATAGGGATTTATCGACGTCTACAGGATGGACAAAGACCCCGATTTTTTCGAGCTTTCATCCTGACTGAGACTCTCGTGGTTTAATTTACGACCAACCTTTCGAACCTCGCTAGCCAACATCCGGCATTCGATAGTGCAATGCAGATTCCCCATATCGGTCCAATTTGAAAGTTACGGTCGCCGTATAGGCGTATACACAGAGACCTTGACATGAAATGAGACAAGGTTTCAAACCGTGCCCTTTTTCCACTAGAAGGATACCAAGAATGATATATCTCCGAGTGAGCCGAACCGCCCGGTTCGAGTGACATGTCAGATGCGTAGACTAAGTTTTTGTCAGCTCTGTGCTGGGCATGTCATTGGAAACCAACCGCCTATGGTTCCATCCAATATGCATATCAATAAAGGTTGCTGGGGCTCTATTTCTTTCCGACTGAAGATCAATGGTTGCCTTGGTGCCTTAGGCTATAGACTGTGCCTTTACTTTCTCGACAATATCTTTCGTGCGTCTTCCTGATTTGAACAAGATTAACTAAAATCGAAGCCTCCTATTTGAGTAGCTTTTGGCCTATGGAACACACAGTAAGCTCGTCTTCGTAGTCCAATGTTTAGTCCATTCAATGGTACTGCATTATATTAATACCACCGTGGGATTATCGACTGCATCGCTGAATTGATTGTCTTCGAGTTGATGGATGGATGGAACCGGGCTGCCTGATCACCTACCATATCTGGAAGAGTGATGCCTTAGAAACGCTCGCTGACCGCCCGGCCCTATCAGCGGCTATCAGCACGTGACAGTGGAGTTCGATATTTTCTTCCCGCAAAATCGGCCAAAAATTATGGGAATTCCGACGGCGATAAAGAAAACTTTTTTCCATGCTTTGAAAAGGCGCCCGTGCTTCGCCATTTTTCACAGGAAGCAATTCTAGTGTCTAGAGTCTATTCTAGGTGCTTTTTCATTTTTAATTGTTTTAATTTCTGCTTGGTCTTCAATTCCTGTTGAGCCTAATCCAGGACCGAGACTTTTTTTTCCTGCCGGGACAACTTTTTTTGAACGGCCTTTTTTCCCTCCCCCCGGATTCGACCGTTGAAAATGCCGATTCCCGTGGATACCGCGAAGTCGATCTCGAAGAAGCGCAAGAGAAAGCACGGAGGTAGTGCGCGCGCAGCTGCCGAGGAGGATGTGTCCGCGACGCCTGCGACGACCGTGAGCGAGACTCCCGAGAAGGAGGTTACGTCCTCGAAAAAGAAGAAGGAATCTGCCAAGGAGGCGCTGAAGAAGCGGAAGGTGGAGAAGCCGGCCAGCGAGGATGAGGACCAGAGCGACGAGGGATCGGACGATGAGGCTGCTGCACCCGCTGGAGACGAGGAGAACGACTCCGAGGACGCTGAGGAGGAGGTCGCCGGTAACGCTGAGGACCTTCCCTCGGCGGAGGCCGTCCGTCTGCCGCAGGTGGAGGGCGAGCCGCAGAAATTCACGGAATTGAATCTGTCGGACAAGACGATGAAGGCGATCCAGGAGATGGGATTCCAGACTATGACTGAGATCCAGCAGCGTGCGATCCCCCCGTTGCTTGCTGGTCGGGATGTTCTCGGTGCTGCGAAGACCGGTTCCGGAAAGACTCTGTCTTTCTTGATTCCTGCGATCGAGATGTTGAGCTCGTTGCGGTTCAAGCCTAGAAACGGTAAGTTGGGTCTTGATGTGAGATGGGTTCTCGGGCTGTGTGCAGTGGCTGATATGTTTGTCGCCTATAGGTACCGGTGTCATCATCGTTTCCCCCACACGTGAGTTGGCCTTGCAAATATTCCAGGTGGCTCGTGAACTCTGCCAGTTCCAGTAAGTGCTATATTCGCCAGTGTCGCATTGTGCTCCGGGCTGACTTGAACCCAGCTCCCAAACCTATGGTATTGTGATTGGAGGCGCCAACCGAAGGGCGGAGGCCGAGAAGCTCATCAAGGGTGTCAACCTGCTCGTTGCGACACCCGGACGTCTGCTTGATCACCTGCAAAATACCCAAGGCTTCATCTACAAGAACCTGAAGACGCTGGTCATCGACGAGGCGGATCGTATCCTGGAAGTTGGTTTCGAAGATGAAATGCGACAGATCGTCAAGATCCTGCCCAACGACAACAGGCAAACTATGCTGTTCTCCGCCACGCAGACCACCAAGGTTGAGGATCTGGCGCGGATATCTCTCCGACCTGGTCCTTTGTACGTGAACGTGGACCACCGCAAAGAGCACAGTACCGTGGAAGGTCTGGAGCAGGGATACGTTCTCTGCGAGGCTGACAAGCGCTTCCTGCTTCTCTTCTCCTTCCTGAAGCGCAACGCGAAGAAGAAGATCATTGTTTTCTTCTCCAGCTGCAACTGCGTCAAGTACCATGCCGAGCTCCTCAACTACATCGATCTACCCGTGCTTGAGCTGCACGGAAAGCAGAAGCAGCAGAAGCGCACCAACACTTTCTTCGAATTCTGCAACGCCAAGTCGGGCACGCTTATTTGCACTGACGTTGCGGCCAGAGGTTTGGATGTATGTTCTACTGCTCCTTCTTCCTCATTTATATGCCACGAGATAGCTAACCTGTTGACTAGATCCCCGCTGTGGACTGGATTATCCAGTATGACCCTCCGGATGACACCAGAGACTACATCCACCGTGTCGGTCGTACGGCCCGTGGTAAGGACGGCAAGGGTCGCAGCTTGATGTTCTTGCAGCCGTCGGAGGTTGGATTCCTGAAGCACCTCAAGGAGGCCCGCGTTCCCGTCGTCGAATTCGACTTCCCCGCCAACAAGATCGTCAACGTTCAGTCTCAGCTGGAGAAGCTGATCGAGCAGAACTATTACCTCAACAAGGTGAGTTTCCGACCGCAAATACCATCCACAGACACAAGCTAACAGAGTCCCCCACCAGTCCGCCAAGGAAGGCTACCGCTCGTACCTCCAGGCCTACGCCTCGCATTCGCTGCGGTCCGTCTTCGACGTGCACAAGATCGACCTCGTCAAGGTGGCGAAGGGCTTCGGATTCTCCACGCCGCCCCGCATCGACATCCAACTCGGCTCGAGTCTCAGCCGCGACAAGAAGCAGCAGCAACAAGGCCGACGAAACTACGGCAGTCAACCCAAGGGACTGAAGTTCAAGCGGAAGCACGAGGACGATTAATTGATTCCCCTGGGGGGTCTTGAAGTGTAGAGTTAGAAGAAGAAAATATTGGCTTCATTTGAAATGTGTTCTCTCTCTTTTTTTTATGTCATCCGCTTGATTGCTGATTCGATTGAGTGACCTACCTGAGTTTTGTTCCGGAGTTCAGAGCCTTTGTGGATATCACTATCTATTCTCTCTTCCTTTTTGTTTTTTCCTGTCTGTATGCATACTCTATGCGATGTTGCATTGAGAATTTAGAAAAGTTTCTTTTACTTCATTTCCTTCGTCCGGGGACGGATATATAAAGTAAAGTACTGTACACTCAACCATTAGAACAGACAGAGCTTCGAGCGAAAAGAAGTGAAAGCAAAAGAAGAAAGGCGCCCCCCGCTCAGGCCCGGTTCATCGTGACACTCGGTGTCTCTCGGAACTCGAACTCCCTCCATCAAGCAGATTGCAGCATGCAGAGTGCAGATTACAACACGCAAGGGGAGAGATGAACAGCACCCGTGCTTGCGCGCAGGCAAGGAGGGAGGAAGAATCTTGTCTCCCGGTGGCAACGTAGGATTATTTGATTGAGAGGATTTGCTAAGTGGTATTTATTTATCCATTGTCTAAGTAGTAGCTATGGGTATACCTATCTCTATCTATTCCGATGTCGAGTACTATAACACAGTACGTAGGTCGCAGTTCAGAGACCATCACTGAAACACAACCCCTCGAGATAACACAATCAACTGACCTCGACTCAAGACAGTCTCGCTTAGACCAACTCGCGAGGGACCTCGAAAAGAGGGAGAAGTTACACAGACAGCCCGGGGCGAGGAGGGGCACCGATTCTGAGGTTACTTCGGCCGAACAACTGAGACTCCAATGGAAGACCGGGAGAAGAAACCACCTTGCCTACAGATTCCAGATTACGGACTGTCCGCCCCGTAGAAGAATGGAAGATCCGCTCTCATTTGCGACGTAAGGCCTACCTACCTACCTACAGGTGCTCCTTGTGCATGCGGCCGGAGATAGGGAGACATGCAACCGGTTCGGAGGACTACGGCAGGCAAGCAGGTAGGTAGGAAGTGCATGAGCCGGAGATTGAGTGGGCGTATTATGAAAATCGAAGCAGGCAGAGAGTTTCAACCTTAACTGGCTCCTTTCTTGCGTTTGCAATTTGCCTGCATTGGGCGGACTTCGGTTGAATAGAAGGATGTAGACTCCCGGTGGTGAGTTTACTAAGAGTCGGAGGAACCAGGGAAAGGGGAAGGTTTGTACCACGGAACGAGGTTGCTTATTCGGTTGGTTTGTTTACTCCGCGGGACTACATCCAGACAGAATAGGGGGTTATGCCAGAGTCTCCGTGATAAATCTTCCATATCCACAGCATCATCTCCAGTTCGAGCACAGAGCAAGGACCGGTGGCTGGTCGGTGGCTGGGGATCCACTCTGTTAACGGAGGACCCTGCCGCCGTGGAGGGACTGAAATAGGGAATTAGCCGGGCCAGAAAGAACACGAGCTAGCCCGGAGTCGAATTAGTTCGAAATTCTTTTCCTTCCTTCATCCTGGTAGACTTCCAGGGAATGAAAAAGAACCCTCGAAAAACCCCTCCAGTACCTGCTTACCGGCATACGGGCGTACGCGGTGTGGGAATGATTTCTTTTGATTCCGCGGTGCAGGCCGGACCGGACGAAATGCATGTCCTACCCAATCAACGCAGGTGGCCGAGCCGGTGGAAGGATGGATGTGATGAGTTGGCAGGAGCAGAGCCAATGGATGCGGATGTGAAGGGTTGTGATCGGTCGTCCGGGAGACCAATGCAACTTGGGCTTAGTCGGCTGAGATCCATCTGGAGGATCCACCGCGTGAGGGGGGGATTTTGGGTTCCTGGGATGATTGATTGCTTGCCTTGCCCGGTGCCAGACTGTGGTCCTGTCTGTCCTGCCCTGTCTGGGTCGGGATGTGATGTGTGATGCTCTGAATCGAGTGTGTAGTTTCAGGTTGTTGGGAGACAAGACGGTAGGCGATCTGACGGATCAGAGCGCCGACAGCTCACCGCGCTTGATTCGGATGTGTTTCATGATTTCATGATTTCATCGGAGCTCCTGGCGGAGGAGTCGGCGCAGTCCGTGGGAATTCCGGCGACAGGATACAGGTCACATTTCCGGATCATTGGCAGTATAAATATCTCCGGCTGCGGCTCCTTGCGGTGATTGACGGGGAGGGATTGAGGACGGACGAGAGGAGGGGGTCTATTTAGATCCTGCTACTTGAGACCCGTCTGAAGCTCGATGGATGGCAAGAAGGGAGCGCCTTGCAGGACGGTTGGCGGATAGTTTAAACCTTTGGGCGGCGGGACGTGGGGGATGCGAATTGGCGCCTTACGATGAGAATCGGCCTGAAGATGCGATCAGCGGCTATTTTTATTAGGATTTAGGATCTTTCTTTCTCACGTACTTACGGCCTTACTCCGGACCAACATCAGTGATCAAAAAGAACAAGGCTGGTTTTGCAACGGGGCTGCGTTTGTTGTCGCCGCTAAGACTGACCAGCGCACTCTCGAGTTCCCCATCTCCAGCCTTCGTCTTTTTCTTCGGTCGCCGTAAGCTTTCATCGGCTGCCTGGTTTTTTTTCTTTTTCTGTTCTTTTCATTTCATTTTCATTTCATTTTCAGCCCATTTTTTTTAATTCTATTTTATTTGTTCCAATCCATTTTCCCACCTTCTCCTCCTCCCTCGCTCTGATTTGATCGGATTCGAGTTTTGCTCTGCCCACCCACTCTGGCGGTGTCGCATCGAACATTATTAGGCATGAGCTTGTGAATTGTCCGACAGGCCGGTTGGTTTCCTTCACCGTCCTCCGTTGTTCCTCGTCTTCAGGCGACTACGACTGCCGACCAGTCTATCACGGCCAACCATTCTGCTCGCGTCCTCCAAGTGTAAGGTACCAGGCAAGCAAAAGTGAGCGATCGGCGGCTGAAATCGTCCTGCTGTTTCTCCCATCCACGCCTACCGCGCTCTCTCGACACTTGTCTAACCTTCCTTCCTGTCTTCGGGCCTCGTGCTGTCGACCCATAACCCCCTGGTGTTCCTGCACCGTCGGACGGTACGCTTGAATCTTTCTCTTCTCTCTCACTCTCTCGGTCTCTCTCTTCGTACATTTCCCTTCGTCCCTCCCGACCCACGAGTTCCCCACATTCCTCGTCTGTGCCAATTTCAACCTTCAACTACTGCATATCGATTGTCCGATCGGTAGTGACCTTCCTATCTGTTAGCAGCCTGGAGATCTCCGTTCCAGACGCTGGTGATCCTTCCAGACTCAAGATCTTGCCCTTCTGCCCGCTTTCCTGTTTCCTGTTGTCCCCTAAGATCCAACCACTGTCCATTCCCCAAGGAGCAAGAGAAGGAGGAAGAAATTTCGGACGAAAACCATATTGTCCGAGAAAAGCAAGGAGCAGGAAAGGAGTGAGACAAGAAAAACAAATCCTCCGATAGACTATGGTCTTGTCTGGGTGAACTTCACCAGGGCCGCTCACATCCTCCGTCATGGGTGTCGATACGCGCAGACCGATCTTGCCCGCCCCCACTGAATCCATAGTCGACACTACCACTGGCGAGAGTACCACCGGGACTGATTTGGCAACTGACGTATCTCGACGCACAGACAAGACGTCGTTTTCGATTCCCGACGACGGGAGTCCGGTTACTATCCCAACCCAGCGCAGGCACCGTGCCCACGGCGACGACTCCAAACTGTCCCGTTCGGCGCAACATTCCCAGACCTCCCTGCTCATCGAGTACTTCGAGGGCGGGAAGGGTTCTGGTTCCCTGGTCTCCCGTCCCAGTGTCCGAGTCCGCGTCACGCCTTCGTCGTCCAGGAAGTCGAAGGACCACCACCAGGACCATATTCAGATCACCGAGCACGCCGGCGGACGGAAGCCCATCTACTCGCGTCGCATCTCTCTGAGCTCGCCGCCGAGATCCAAATCCCAGCCGAAAGAATACGGCCTTGATGAGTACAGCGTTAGCTCCCAATCCGCCACCGATGACCAGCGTCCCCCTGGCAGTTCCCCCGTCGAAATTGAGCTCATGAATCGTGACCAGGCCAGCGAGCTCTCCAGTGTCTCTCGCGACAGATACTTCCACCCGACCTCTGATATCTCGTCTATGCCCGCGGATAGCATGCTAGAAGCCCCCTCTTCTGGCCCCCGACGAAAACGCAGTTCCAGTTTAGAACGAGAGCAGAGCTCCGACTCCAAACCCTATCTGAAAGCCCCCCACCGCAAGAGAAGTCGCAGTTTAAGCACCGAACGCATCGCCCATCGCGTTGCCGAGAAATTGAGCAACGACCCTCGCGAGGCCGCCACCAACAACCCTACCACCGGCAAAGGTCAGCAGCAGCGGGCCGCATATAACAACAGAGACAGCGGCGATTTCCAGGAATCGGATCCCAAATCCCCTCGACGACGTTTTGCCGCCTACCGCGGTGACGACGAGAACATGAGTCCCGAATCCAGCCTGCTGAGCGCTTCGGCGCTGTCCTCGCATCGCAAATCCGGGGACCAATATTCCTTCAAATCCGGCACTTCTAAATCCTCTATTAACAACCCCAAACTCCTCGAAACCGTCGAAGATGCCATCCGGCGGTTGATTCTCCCGGAGCTCAAGGAGCTGAAAAAGGATCAAAAGGTGATGACCAACACCTCTAAATTCGAACGTGACATCAGCGCGTCTTACTCGCCCGCCAGTTCCCCGTCCCGGGACGAACTGGGCAGACGGCTCTCAAAACATGCCAGTGCCCCCGACGTCAGAAAGCCCAAGGTGGTCCTCAACAAGGATAGCCAGGACGAAGGCATTGTTCTCTCGGGCGACTCGGTTCCGTCGCAGCGGGAGCGTAGGCCGAGTAGAGACAGCGAGATGACCGATACAAGCCACTTCAAGTGGGGATCTCGCCCCGAGCTGACCGAACAGGAGAAGCTGCGCCGCCAAAGGAGCAGGGGTCTCCGCGACGCCGAAAAGGCCGGTCGCGTGGGAAACGCCCTGACGGCGGCCGCTCTCAAGCACCACGACTCCCGGTCGAGCATCGACAAGAACGAACGACGCCGACCGAGTGGTCCCCGGAGCCGAACTGGAAGTGTCAATGAAACGGAGCTGGTCTTCCAAAAGCACAACGTGGCGCCCATGCCCCTTCGCAGCGCCATCGAATCCGAAATGACGCGAGATTCGTTGCTCTCGGAGCAAACCCGCCAGCCGACAGAACTCAGTGACAATAAATATGGCACCGAGCTGGTCTTCCAAAAACACAACGTGGCACCTATGCCCCTCCGCAGCGCTATTGAATCCGACATGACACGGGATTCGCTGGTCTCGGAGCAAACCCGCGAGCCGACAGAACTTAGTGACAATAGATATGCAACCCAGGAAGTGTCTCGCGGATCGCCGAGACAGCTCACTTCACCGCATTCCCGCTCATCAAACCGCGACCCCATGGACTCGCGCTATGAGCTCAAACACAGCAACATGTCCAGTCACAACCTGTCCATCCACAGCGCCTCGGACCACGGCGATCGCGAGCAAAGCTACTCGCCCGTCGGGGATGCTGCCGCCGGGGCCATCGCGGCCGCGGCGGTGGCCAACCTCCTTGGCGTGAATTCCGACCTCGGTGATTCCGAATATAATGACCGTCGACGCACCCTCAGCCCGATCCAAAGCGTTGCGAGCTACCAGAGTGAATCACACGTCAAGCAGGACTCCCCTCGCCATGGTGGCCAGGCTGACTCGGCGGACCCAAGAGGTTTGGAACAACGTTTGTCCATCGACTCCCTTTCCTCCGCTCCAAGCACTAATCTCGCGAGATCGACACGGCCAGAATTTACAAGTCAAAGTGATTTCCTCCGGCATCGCCATGATGACGATGATGATCACGAGCTCGGCTACGAGTCGACCCCCGTGGCGTCCCCGCGCAATCGGAAGTGGCATCAAGAGGAAGAAGAAGACGACTACGACGACCGCCACGACGATCATTATGACCACTACGACGATGATCGTCATGCGTATCGCAACTCGATGGCCGAAACGGTTACTAGCAACGACGACGCCAAAAGAATGACCGGCTACACCGACGACAGTGAGGTTAACTTTATGGAAAAGGTCAAGCAAGGTCACCCTGTTGCAGGCATCGGGGCCAATCCTCAGTTTGTCCATCCCTCGCAGGTGGAGTCTGCAGTGGCCTCCCTCCTTGACCCTACCATCCTGGAGGGCAAATCCAATCTCTCTGGGGCCAACCGCTCGCAGACCGAGACCGATCTTTCGCGGCAGATCGTCGAGGATCACAGCCGCAGTCCTAGCCCCAAACCCATGGAGAAAACAGTCCAAACTCCTCATGGCTCTCGACACGGAAGCCCTCTCAAACAGCGTCAGGATGCCTCGAGCCCGGATGCCACCTCTTTCCCCCGACGGATGGGTGCCACCTCCCCTCCCCAGAGCGTGACGCAGTCGCTGGATGACCAAGCGGGACCGACTCCTCGGTTCGCTCATGAGGAGTATGATCACGGGAGCCCCAGCCTCGCGGCGGATCGCAGTCCCGATTCTGAGTCGGAGATCAACACCAATCCATCCATAATCCAAGGGCCCATTGGAGGAGTCCCCCACGGCCACGGCTGGGCGGCGTATGATCAGACACCGTCCAGAGGCAATCAATCTCCTCTCTTTGACAACACGGGCACCGCTGCTGGCAGCGCAGGCCTTGGTTTAGATCCAATGGATCAGCCGGGTTACAATCAAGACTACTACACCAACGACTATGACCCCACCGGTGCTTCTTACTACGATCAGCCGTACTCAAGAGGGCAGTTGTTCGGCACGCCCCCGGGGATCAAGGACGAGGGTTATGTGTCGGCTGCCAATCCTCTCTCCCCCAGCAATGACACTCCCGAGCCCAAAGGGTTTGGCGGTCTCGATGGCGGCATGGGTCTTTTTGATAGTCCTACCGGTGATCATCCGCGCCAGCTTAGTGGCTACTCTCAGGGAGTTGGATCGCCCTTGTATGATAGCGCAACAGGTCGAGGGATTGAACGGATTCAATCCAAGGATATCGTTGCTCTCATGGACCACGTAAGTTTCCTTTTTCTTTTCCATCGCTATGTGCAACTCATGAAGCTTGAACTTTACTAACATGAAAATCAGCTTACCGTTCGTGATGCCCAACGCAATGCTCGGGACACAGAGATTCTTGTGACTCTCGTCCGAAGCGCAGCCGAGATGCGCAACTCTTTCGAAGAGATGAAAAAGTTCATTTCCCAGCAGGATGATCTCCTCATGGAGTCCAGTGACCGGCAGCACGACCGCACATACCGGGCTCTCGGTGGACCGCGCCCACTTCCCCCCAGCGGTCCCCGAGGGGCGCGCCAGAACTCCGCCGACGATGGTGAAGACATGCGCTCCAAGCGAAAGAATGTTTTCAAGCGTGCCCTCAAAGGTCTGAGCCTCAAGTCTGGCAACGATCTTGGCCGAATCGAGGACATGCTGGAACAGCTTCTGGATGAGGTTGAAATCCTGCGTGCCGGTCAAGATGATCGGTTCATGCGCAGCAGCAACCGAGCCCCCAGCGTGGATCCTGAGGGCTACGAACCCGAAGGTCACGCCGGGACTTCTTCCGAGAACCACTCCGGATACCTTTCCACCTTCTCTCGTCCGGTACAGGAACCGCGCGGCATCAACACGAGGCGGGAGCCCGAGCACCGTGTGAGCACCGTTCCAGAAGCCGACGAAGAGGACGAAGAAGAGCTGGATGTCAACGAGCGGGGCGAGTTCCTCAGTCCGCATCTCTCGATGGACACTGCGAACAACCGTGAAAGAGCCGGGTCTGCACCGGTCTCGACACCCCCTCGGACTGTTCCCATGGCTTCGGGCGCACTCAGCAACGAAACCACGCCGAAAACGAGCGATAAAGCGCGCAAGCACAAGTCCAGCAGCTCCTCGTTCTTCCCCAAGATTTCCCGGTGGTCCAAGACCACGGCGTCGTCGATGGGTGACAACATCCGCAACAGCATGCAGCCGTCGCGCAAAGAGCGGGTGTCCTTCGAGGCGTCGCCCTCCGGATCCGACCTCAATGCGCCGTACCGGACAGGGGATTACTACGATCCTCAAGGAGATGACCGACTCCGGTCCACTTACACTCTAGATGACCAGCGACAGGAAAACCGTCCCCCGTCACCCTTGGTGCCGTCGCAGCTTTCCGAGGCACCCAAGTATCGGGCCCATCGAGACAGTCTCGATCTCCAGCATCCCCAACCCAGACAGGGCCCTACGGGGCGATACCAGACCGCACTGGAAAGCCAGGCACAGGCCTACGGCATCCCAGTCGACCAGTGGGGGTCCAACCCCAGCCTGTCGGGGGTCAATACCAACAACCAACGACACAGCGGCGCCAGTCGATTGTCTCCTATTTCGGACGCAGGGTACTCCGAGAGCAGCTCCCGGACGGGAGGGCCACCCAGACCGCCGAAGATCAGAGATGACGGGCCATTGATTCCCGAGCGAGCCCCCAAGAGCAGTGGTGGCGACGAGGACCGATCCTACGCGGATCGCGTTGCTTCTCGGGTAAGCATTCGCCGTGTCCTGGTTCGCTTGAAGCATTTCAGACGCTAATCCTTTCTTTTAGAGCTCTGCGATGCGCTCTCCTCGCAGCACGCCTCCTCCTACCCGTAAACCCACGGGACCTCGTCCTCTGACCTCGGGCAATCCCAACAGCCCTGGACGGCGAAAGAAAAGCTATTATCGCGCAAGTCCCGATCAGGTCGACGACGAGCATGTTTATTGATTAATATGGCCAGCAATGGTCTCACGCTATTTGTTCATTTGTTTTTACGACTTTATGATTCTGCTTCTTTTGGTTTTTCACCTTCTACTTCCCACAGGTCATGGCCAGCGTCGTGCATATTTGATGAGAATTGTTTTATTCGATGAAATGCGAGCCAGCTAGCGATGGCAGAGGCTGTAAACTTGAGCTTGTGGTGTTTGTTTGCATTTTCATACCTTGTATCCAATTCGATGTCCACGTGTCCACATAGTGATTCCCTTCTCCTCTGCACATTTTTCAGCATGAGCATAATGGCCAATGCTGATTTATCTTACTGATCCTTATGATATGACAAAGTTGGGGGTTACTTACGTTCTACTGTCTAATGAATAATCTGTAGCAAGCGATGACATCCCCACTTTTGGCTTCCCCGCAGTCAATCTCCAATCTTTTCCTTCTTCCATATAAACCGCATCACCCTTCTCTCTCCTCTCCATCATCACATCGAAACAACCATCATCCAAAATGACCGACCCCTTAGACCTCATCATCTGCACCGCCTGCGGCATCCAATACCCCACCTCCACCGCGCCCCCATCATGTAAAATCTGCGACGACCCGCGCCAATACATCCCGCCGAATGGGTAAGTAACTGAGCACCTATACTCCCCCCACCCTCACTCATCTCCTTTTCACCCAACCCAAACTGACATAAGTATATAAAGCCAAACCTGGACAACCCTCCGCACCCTGCAATCCTCCAAAACATACACCAACGAATTCACCCCCAGCACCAAACACCCATCCTCCCTCATCGCCATCCGCACCGTCCCGAAACTCGCCATCGGCCAACGCGCCCTCCTCTGCCGCACCCCCTCGGGCAGAAACATCCTCTGGGACTGTCTCACGTACCTCGACGACGCCACGGTCGCGCAGATCGAGAACCGCGGCGGTCTCGACGCGATCGTCATCTCGCATCCGCATTACTTTGCGACGAATTTGCTGTGGGCCGAGAGGTTCAAGTGTCCCGTGTTTATTGCCACGGAGGATAAGGAGTGGGTGGTGAGGAGGGGGGAGGGGCAGGTTTTTTGGGAGGGAGTGGAGTTACCGTTCACTTCTTCTTTGCTTGAGTCTTCGGGGTTGGGTTTGGGTGGTGGGGAGGAGAAAGGGAAAGAGGATGCTGATGTCGTGGCTATTAAAACCAGAGGCCACTTTCCGGGCAGCTCGGTGCTGTGGTCGAAGTCGTTGCGGTCGCTGATGGTGGCGGATACCATCTTTGTGGTGCCCAGTGGGGTGTATCATGTTGATCGGGAGCCCGGGACGACGTCGTTTTCGTTTATGTGGTCGATTCCGAATATGGTATGTCTTCTCCTGCTGCATTGTTTGTTTTGTTCGTTGATCTAATGGTGCTGGTAGATACCGCTCCCTCCGGATGATGTGCACAACATCTGGAAGGCCATCGCGCATACCGACTTCGACGATACCTACGGGGCGTTCCCTGGATCGGAGACCTACGGCAACAGCAAGAAGCGCGTGCTGGAAAGTGCTAAGATTATTGTCAAGGCAATGGGATATCAGGATCATGCGGTTCATCAGGAAGTGTGTTCATGAAGCATGCAATCGACGCTAATGCATATTGAACTTTTATGTTATACACGATCATGACATCATGAGAAGAACGAAATCTTTCGCCTTTACAACCTGCCAGATATCTCTATTCAGGTGACTAAAAATAGATGTCCAAAAGCATGGATCCTAAACAGCGAAGAATACTGCAGTATGGTTCGGTCTACACCTCGGAAAACGGCCTCACCGAAGTGACGCTGCGAATGCGCATTCCGCGCCGTGGCGTGTCCGACATGCCCATTGCTCCTAGTTCCAATCCGTCAGCACTCGCGAACCGGTCATCTGCAGATCGCCACAGCTTCAGTCTCTTCCTCTCCTGGACCAATTGAGACTCGGTGATGCCGTGGTGTCGTCGTAGGGAGATAGGATGCGCCTCAATATCGGTGACAGGGTACTGGGCAATCCAATTGACGGTGCGATGGCGGCTGAGTCCGCCATAGTCCGAGCGGGTCTGAGTGGCCTCGGTGGCTCTATCGAACACAGCAGAAGCGGAATGATTCAGAATCGGACGAGTGAACGAACTGTCCTCGACTTTTGGGACTTGGCTTTTAACTCCGTGCTCGAGCTCGTTCTCAACTCCCAGTCTCTCCGACGAACCCAATGACTCTCGCGCAGTCGAGCCGGTCGAGGTAAGACGCACCAACGGACTCGGAGTCAGATTCGCCCCGTCAGCTCCCTCCGCTGTCTGCAAATCCTGGAGCTTCAGATCATTTTCCTGGACCACATGCGCTATGTCATCGGCGGGATTCCGAGGCGTCGGCGACAACACAGCCCTGGATACAGGCACAGGTCCACCCCTGACAGTAGCTCCAGTCCCAGTTCCAGCTTCCCCGTTTTCAAGCCCAGTCCCAGGCACGCGGTCCCTCTCCGCCGGGTCGTCAATCACCGTATCGTACCTGAAGAATGTCGCCAGCAGGACCTCAGTGATCAGCAGCTCCCGCCTTGAGATGGCCCAGCGCAAGGGATTCGTCGATTCCGCTTGAGGCCCGTTGATGACGCGTATGATGACGGTTGAGACATGCAGAAGCTTGAGGACGATGAGGTCGTAGACTAATCCAATGACTTGGCTGGTGGATATGATGTTGGGATTGTAGGAGATGTCACGGTCGGGGGGTCTGTTCGTTGCCATGATGGGTGGGAGTGGACTTTGGCTGTTGGTTTAGGTTTCGTAGGGAGTGTTATGGGGATGATGGTTAGGGATAACGTATAGAACGATGGAGGAGTCATTTTGGCAACGGAAGGAGATATTGATGGTCGATGGCAGGTAAGTTGAAGAAGAGAACGCATACAAGGGAAAGAGCGACAGACAGGCATAGCACGGGATCTGGTGAACCCTAACTGACACCACATACTATCATCTAGACCATTTACATGTACAGCATGACTTCTCTCTCATACTCTGTACTAAACCCTTCATCTCATCCTAGACACTTACAGCACATACTCACAGATGGCACCACCCACCCGCCAATCCACATCCCGCAGCAGATCCACCCCTCTAAGTCCGTCGATCATTCATCATCTCCTTCTTCCAACCTCATCTTATCTATTTCCCTTTCCTGCCAGGCCACCACTCGGCACTAATATAACTCCACAGTTCATGGTCTTTTCCCGGTCTTTAAGATTCTTTCCTCGACGACTCATGGCTTCGGTTCCGGGTTCCGCCGGAGCCTCCCCGCTCCGTCAACGACGGTTCGCACCGCTTGACCCGCATCAATCGGGGTCGGGGGCGTCGACGTTAAAGGGCATGGTATTTGACGTAGATGGGACGTTATGGTTTGTCTTCTTTCTTTACTGTGTATAGAGAAAGAGGAAGGCTAACGCAAACACTCACAGCCTTCCGCAGAATTACATGTTTGCCGAAATGCGGTATGTCATGCTTCTGCTCTGCTTTTATCCTAATCACTCCATCTACCGACTACCCTCATGTAATACAATAAATAGCAAACTAAAGCCTACCAGAGCAGCCCTCGGCATCCCCAAATCCGTCGACATCCTGCACCACATCCAGCGCCTCCCCACCGCCGACGAGCGCGCCACCGCGGCCGAAAAGATCCGCGCCGTCGAGCGCCGCGCCATGCAGCATCAGCAGCCGCAGCCCGGGCTCGTCGAGCTGATGGATTATCTGCAGAAGAGGGGGATTCCGCGGGCTCTGTGTACGCGGAACTTTGAGTACGTCCATCCCTGTTCTTTACCTTGTTTGAGCATAGAGATAGAGGGTTAGAGTAATGTTAATATCCAAAAGAACACCCGTCACGCGACTCCTGGAGAATTTCCTCCCTGAGCATGTCTTCCTGCCGATTATTACGAGGGAAACGCCAGGGTTGCTGCCGAAGCCGGATCCCGCGGGGATCTTGTATATCGCGACGGAGTGGGGGCTGGAGAATCGGGCGGAGAATTTGATCATGGTGAGTCTTATCGGTTGAGTCGGTCAATGATACAATTATCATCTAAAGTAGTCCTGTGAGTTAAGCTAATACCAATATAGGTAGGAGATAGCATCGACGACATGACTGCCGGGCACACTGCCGGCGCGGCCACCGTGCTGCTGGCCAACGAGTTCAATGCCCATCTCAAGGATCATGAACATACGGATATCTGGATTGATCGGTTAGATGATTTGATTGGGATTTTGGAGCAGGGGTTTATTGGACATGGGAGAGGCTAGATAGATGGATAATTTTTGCTGTTTTTTTTTTCTCCAAGATACGCCTGGGTGAATTCCCTGGCTGGCGTATATCCGCTTAGATAGATGAATTCTTCTCTTTCTCTATTGCAGGCTGTCATAGAGCTAGCTATATAGAGGAGTGCATAGAGATCAATATCATCTACAGCCCTAATGGAATATTACCAGAGCCATCCATCTAAAACAACAAAAGGATCCATGAAAACGAAACCGGGTATCTATTAAACCAACTGACAAAACCGAACTAACAAACAAACAACAACAATCTCTCAATCAACTCGACCCCTCCGACAAGACCTCATCAACCAAGAACCTCAACCGATCCGCACTCTCCGACAACCAATGATACTCGGTGATCTCGAACTTGCGACTCTGCTGCGCCTTCTCGGCACGGGCCCAGATCCCCTTCTTCAGCGCGGCCTTCAGCTCCGGCGTCACCTTCAGCAGGCCGCCGTCGTCCAGCAGCATCAGCAGGGCCTCGATGGCGATGGACATCTTCGCGTTGTCGACGATGCCGGTCGTGCTGGCCGCGTAGGGCAGGAAGCACCGCTCCAGCTTCGATTGGCTGAGGTACTCCTCGTCGGAGTCGGCGGCGCCGCTCTCGCGCATCCGGAATAGCAGGCACTCGCAGAGCGTGGTGGTTGCGGCGGCGGAGAAGTAAGGGAGCACGGAGGGGCTGACGAGGGCTTGGAATGTGGAGAGGGGCAGGTGGCGGATGTTCTCGACGAAGAGGTGGTAGAGACCTTCGAGGTTGATGAATGATGCGGGGAGGTGCTGCGAGACGGTCGAGAGGAGGTGGAGGAGTCGTTGGCGGAGAGCCAGCGAGGGGAGGCCGCCGAGGTGGTCGATGCCGTTGGGCAGAGGGGCGGCGTGCACGTCGTCGTCGGCGCTGGGGTCCTTTGCGGACCGGGTGCCGCGACGAGGGCGTTTCGTCTGTCGTGGGGGACGTTTGCCTTTCCCTGTCGCTGACGCTGACGGGTCGGTCTCGTCCTGGGAGGAGCCGGCGTCGTCGTTGTCGTTGGTGAGGTAGTCCCCGTACTGCTCCTGCTCGATGTTCACCTCGACTTCACGCTTTTTGATATTCTCGGCCTCGCGCTTCGGCTGCTTCAGCTCCTTGTGAAACACCTCTCGGAACTCGTTGACGTGGGCGGGGCTCCCGTCCGCGAAGATGGCTCGCATGATGCGTCTTGTCTTGCTGGACCCGACGCCGCCGCCGCCCTCGACGATATATCGCACAATCAAACTCTCGGTGAGGATCTGAGGTCCATCCTTGGGCTTGGGGTTGGGCGTCTCCTCCTCCTTCGTCGCAGCGTGCAGACGCATCCGCTCCGCCCAATCATCCTCCAGCACCTCACACATGAACTCCAACCAGGTGTGCCATCTCTTCCAGCGCTGGGGATGCAGCACGGAGCAATTGAACGCCCAGCCGACGGCGTGCCAGAAGTCTTCGGCGCGCGACCACACCGACGCCGACTGCCCCAGGTCGAGGTTGAGGGGCTTCATCTCGTCGTCCTCGTCGTGGTCGTGGCGTCGTCTGCCGCGCCGAGAGGTCTCAAAGTGCGTGAAGGAGAAGGCGCGGCCGAAGTTGGCGGACACCGGCCCCGCCAGGGTATTTGTGAGGCGGAGGAGTCGGAGCGCGGCATTCGGGGCTTCGGCTTCTTCGGCGGTTTTGGCGCGCGTGGTCGTGGACGGGTGGACGAGGAAGGTCGCGGCCACGGCGAGGTGCTGTGGGAGGGGAGCGAAGATCGGGGTCGGGGCTGGGGTGGCAGAGGTGAGGATGCTCAGGAGGAGGTCGAGAGCTTGGGTGTCTGGATGCGGAGTTAGCGTGATGGTAGGGATTATAGGGGGAAAGGGGACGTACAGAGTTTCTCTTCCAGGAAGATGCCGGAGTGTTGGATGAGTTCGAAGGGGATGGGCTTGACAGGACGGTAGGAGGGCTGAAGTGCCTCCTCGTCTTCCGACATGGTGGTGGTGGTGGTGGTGGTGAGGGGGATGGATGTCGGGGATGAACGCGGGCCGGGCGCTTATCGATAGGGTTGCACGCCGAGTTTGACGGGTTTGCAGTGACGAGCGAGATGTCTGGAGATGACTGGAAGAGGTGAAGATGGTTCTGAAGTACTGTGTAGAGAGGGCGATGAATACAAAATGACCTGTCATTGTTTGCTGAGTATATTTCATTTAACAGTGAGAGAAGGAATAAATATTCGTAAAAAAGGCCCAATCTCATCGAATCAAGGTGCTGTAGTGTAATGGTTATCATGCGACGTTGTGGTTTTCCCGCAGTCCCGTCTCGATCTGGGTTCGATTCCCAGCAGCGCCAATCGGCGTTGAGAACTTGATTTGTTTTTTGCCCATTAATTAATGGAAGTTCTGTCCCTGTTACTCAATCGGTGTTGGTTTTTAGTTTTTGTTATCTGAATCCTTCATCCGTATAGTCCGTTCCAGTATGCCCAATCGGGAAAAGCCCCCAAGTATAAAACTGCCGGGATTCCCCAGATCTTCTTCGCCCGCACTGGAAACGTCCATTAAGCCAGACAGGAGATGAGAGATCAACTTCACGTAGATCTCAGGAACATCTGTAGCCTTCTTGACTGAACCATCCTCTATCATAATGGCAATATCCACTACACGCCAACTACACTTCCACATAAATAACAGCTCCTCTCCCTCGTCTCGATGCTCTCCAACCCTGGCCATTCCAGCGTATCCATACTTCCACCATGGCCGAAAACGCTTCAAACAACCCCTGCATCGCCTGCCGATGGACTCACGAGCAGCAATCCCAATGCAACTACTCCAGCCACGTCCGACTCGCCCACAGCACCAGCAACTCCGGCACCTGGCGGATCGGATCGTCGATGCTCCTGAAAGAGCGCCCCCACGAGGGCTGGGTCAACGAGCCCCGAGTGCTACGCTTCCTCTCCAACCAGCCCGACATCCCCGCGCCCTTCATCGTCCACGACTGGGTCGACCAAGGACGCCACTACATGCTGCGGCAGCACATGGGCGGGGCGGCGCTCAAAGACGCCTGGGGCTGGCTGACCGAGGGGCAGAAACGGTCGCTCGCCGCACAGGTGGCCGATGTCGTCCGGCGCATGCAGACCATCGCCTCGCCCAGCATGCAGGCCGTCGACGGCGGCCCCTGTGTGCCGCAGCTGCTCTTCACGGACGCCTTCCCCCACGGGCCGTTCCCCTCGGACCGCGCCCTGTGGGATGATCTCCAGCTGACCCTTGCGTGTCGCAGCACGTACGGAAAAGCCTTCACGGGCCAGGCGCTTGATAAGTTGCAGGCGTCGTTCCCGAGGTGTGCGCCGTATGTGCTGACCCATTGTGACCTCAGCGTCGAGAATATTGTGGTCAATCATGGCCAGCTGGTGGGCATCGTAGGGTGGGATCGCGCGGCGTTTTACCCCTTCTGGTACGAGTATGTTGCTGCGTCGTGGACTCTTCCGGGGGTGGATGTGGAGTGGAAGAGGTTGCTAAGAGAGCAGCTTGTCCCGCATGATGATGCGCAGAGTTTCGTCTTGGACGTGTATGGTTTGTGGGAGTAGTCTGACTACTACCTATGAGAGCCATGACCTTGAGATTGTGCATGATCGATGATGTCTTTTTTTTTTTTCTTTTGTTTTTATCTACCTTGAGATGAACTTTCTTAGTTTTCATTTTATTTTCATTTTTTATTTTGTTTTGTAGTCTATTCCATGGAAGTATAAAGGTCTTGTAAACACTTCGTTCTTATAGATCGAAGCAACTTAAATGACCTAACCCAAATGAGGTATAGTCAACTTGACTGTTTAAAGCCACGCACCGCCGAGTGCTTCCACCGTCCCCACAGTTCCTCCATAGCCTCAGATATATACAACCAGCACCACCAGAACATCAACACCATTTGCATTCAACACTCAAAATGAAATAACCGGATACCAGCGTATAAAAACACACCCACGAAAACTACCCCGTGAACAATAGAAACTAAAGTCATGCACACTACACTAGAACCACTCCCACACCAAAAAACCAGCCCCTCAGACCCCTTCACATGAATGTAGACCACCGAAGCCAACGCGCACATGGCACATGCCACCCTAGCCGGTGCCCTAGCCTCCTGAATCTGCAACCAACGACCCTAATGCGATAAGCTCAGCCCCCACGCAGCAAACAGGAGCTAAACCCCGGGTTCCTGGATGTCAAAGAGCGCTCGGGTCGCGGGGATTGCATGCATAGTTAGACATAGCTGGCCGGGCCGGTACCACTTATGTCTACATAGTACATACATGTATAAGTTGCATCGAAACAGCTACAGACCGGGAAAATCGGAAAGACACGGCGGAGATGAGAATAATGGAAATGATAACCTTGATATCTAGACACGTGGAAGACGAGGATCGCAGACAGATCTGACCTCGGCCTTCTTTTCTATTGCTTTCTTCCATCACGCACCCCGGTTCTTCTATTTCTCTGCCGAACTCGTTTGTCGTCAATTTTTATTGTGTTTTTTTGTCTTCGGTATGTCTTGTGTCGTGGCTCGTCCCCTGGTAGTATTCTGTATTCTGTATTCCGGGAGTATCATCCTCGCACTCTTACATCTTCCCCTTCACTCCACCAAGAAGCAAATATAAAACCTCGACAGGATAGAACAAGGCCTCGGCCAATTTCCCAACGGGAGACCCGACTTCACCCCGGATCGCGCAGCAGAAAAGAGTAGAAGACAAAGAACGGGGGAGCAAACGGTAATGGACGCCAAGTGGAGAATATTATCAAGAAAAGGAAAGGAGAGAGAGAGAGAGAGAGAGGCGGATTAAAAAGCAACGGAAAGCAAAGGAATTATTAAAAAGAAACGAAAAGGAAAAAAACCGCTATTCCTCGGGTTCGCCGGAGAAGAGCCCTATTCGCAATCGGTGCGACTGCATCCCGGTTAGCACATGCCGACAAGATCAGCCGGACGGGGAACATACAAATGGGAGTTTCGGGATGACCACGGCCAACGTGGCCAGGAAGTTGATGGTGAAATACGTCAAGTCGTAGTGGGTATAATGCGTACTGAGCAGGAAGAGACAGATGGGCACGCAGAGGAGGAACTTCTTCGTCGGGGTATATTGGTCTCCGTTGTCGATCTGCTCCCACATGTTGAGATTATCGTAGGCACCCGCGTTGAACTCGAAAGGGATGCCCCGCACCCAGTGGAACATGAGGAAGGAGCCGAACATGTAGCTGATGTTGGTGAGGGTCCATGATGTTTCCTGCGAGACCCCGGGGATGATGTCGTAGAAGATCTTGAGGGCAATGATGAGAACGAAATGGATGGTCCAGGCACCTGTGTCAAACTTCGCGTCAGCGGATTCTGGCCCTCTCTCCTGTCACCTCCCTCCTCGCCTCCAGACGAACGGAGCGGTCCGGGGAGGATTTGATCTGGTCCGTACTCACCCTTGGCATTCACCCAGTTCGCATTCAGATTGGGCAGGGCCGCCTGATCACTGGTGTGTTCAATGGACTCCGCAGGCTCCTGATAGATGATACTGCTTGACCTTCTCCTCCTTCCAGCCTTATCCTTGTTTTGAGACATGTTGGGGTCTGGAGTCAACCGGTGCGGCCGGTTGTCGGCCTCCGGGGGGAAGGAGATAGCACGGGGAATCAAAAGAGAAGACACTTTGGCGGTGTTGATCGGAAACTCGGGGGAAAAGGGAGTAGGGATCCGAGCGGAGCGGAGAGGCAGGAGACGGAGGATAAAGGGGGAGGAGCAAGACGGAGCAGGAATTGCAGACAGACCACAGCAGGTCTCGAGACGATGGAGGAGAAAGCGAGATGAGATCAATTCCGACCGTCAAAGCGAAAGTCAGATCCGATCGGCGTCGGTCACGGGACGGCCGCTCGAGGGGCAAAAAATGGTAGGGAAAAAAGGGAAAAAAAGAAAAATTAAGGAGAGAATATCCAGAATCCTCTCAGAATTCAAAGTTAATTTTTTTTTCTCTCGCTTTTTTTTTTCTCTTCCTGAGAGTGACGTGGGGATTATGAAACAGTGAGCAAAAGAACGAATTGCGAGACACCAAATAGGAGGAAGACAGCGAACGTCCGAGGAACAGGAGGGATGGGGGAAAAGAAGGATCAAGATCAGAAGAAAAAGAGCTTCTAGAAGAAATCCAGTAGCCTACTAACAGCCTAGTAGGGGAGAATTACGGAGTAGATAAATTAGATTCAGTGGAATTCCGACTAGGATGCTAATAATAGCCCGATATCATACGGACGAGACGGTCCAGACGAGGCCAGACAGGCTTCCTGCTGGACACCTCATCTTCCCCAGTCGCGATGAAACAAGGCGATTCTTCGGCTCTGCGCGGTTGGTTTCTGCCGCCGCCCGTAAATTTTGCCCGTCGACATTCCCGTGAATTCTGCAGCCCTCGACTCCGGTGACATTTCCTCGATTCTCACGGCCACCGACTCCCTTCCTCTCCCCCTCTTCCGTCCTTCCAGGTGGCATTATGCCCAATTCATCAGACGGTGAATATGACTCGAGGACCGCCTCCGTGGGCGCCCAGCGGACCCGCCGGGGTGCCTCGAACGATTCGTCGCGCCGCAGCTCTCTAGACAAACCCAACGCGAAACGTCCACGAAGAAACGGAAAGCCCGGCACACGTGAGGTCCAGGACTTCGTGCCCCGAGGCGCATCATTTAGTGAAAACTCCTTGCAGGTGGACCCCGACAGCACCTCGTCTTCGGGCTCGGATTCCGAAAGCGACTCGGACAGCGATTCTGCCTCCGACGATGATGACGAGAGCTCAGGTTCAGACTCCGAGTCCGCGGAAGAACAGAAGCCCCAAAATGGACCTGCGGCTTGGAATAAGGGGAGCAAGAGTGGCATCCGGACGTCGCTCCGGTCTCGGAATCAGACGAATGGCGACGACAAGAAACCCTCGCAGTTTGATGCGGTCAATGATAAATTCTGGCGCAGTCGCAGTGATTCTGCCTCGTCTGGCGAAGGAGGTGGTTCCGGATCGCGCAATGGGAAAGACAATAAAGGGGATCATGTCTCAGAGGACGGGGAGGTGCAGGAGAACAACACGGCGGAGTCCAGCCAAATGCACATGTCGGGCGACTCAGACGAGTCGGACTCGATGGATTCCGAGGCTGACGATTCGATATTGCTGAATATTGGGGATCAGGACCAGAGCACTGAAATATTGCCTCTTTCTGAATCTCGAGTCAACGGCAGCGCCATTGTTTCTCAAAACGGCACCGGCAACAATCCTTCCAAAGAGGAAGCATTCCGTCGTTTTGCCCAGAAATATCCCATGACCCCTTCAACCCTGGCAGACCTAGAGCGCGACGATATGGAAAGCCAGGCGCGATGCTTGTTTTACGATCGAGACATCAATGACATCAGCCTTCAACTGCCCATTGCATGTATAGAGTGCTCACAGGAAGGCCACTTGGCTGAGGTCTGCCCGTCCAAGGAGGTAAGTTTGAAATTTGCCCGCTGTGTTGCGAAGACAGTCTCTCCCGTCCCGTCATGCATTGCTAACTGCTTCAAGTGTGTACATTGTGGTGCTTGGAATCAGCACCAAAGCAGTTTCTGTCCCCAGTGGCGAAGATGCCAACGGTGTCGGGACCGGGGTCATGATGAGTCGCAATGCTCATCGCAGTTGAAAGGATCCGCCGCAGAGGCTCCTTGTGATTTGTGCGGATCGACTGAACACTTGGAGCTCCAATGTGAATCGTTATGGAAAATTCCCCGCCAAGAAACGCCGTCAGGACCGGTGCTTGTGTCCCTCTCGTGCTCGCATTGCACTAGCAACCGCCATTTAGTCGGAGACTGTCCGTCCCTTGCCAACCAGCCGCCATCGTCGTGGACCCTCAAAGGGATCGATCCCGATATGGTGACCAACACCAACTCGGTGGTTAGCGGTCGGCCAAGAGGCCCTGCGTCGAGAGGCGGCCAGCGGGGAGGCCTGAAGATCAGAGGTCGCGCCGACCAGCGCTCTCTCTCCCCTGATAGCGACGACATGATGTCTCGGCCCCGGCAGCCCATTGGTCGCAACGCACCGCGTCCCAACATCCGCATTGGAGGCATAGGAAAGAAGAACTTTGCTTCCGATTATGGTAATACGCACACGTATTACCGGGATCGCCAGGAACCGTCTCGAGGCAATGGACGCTACCGCTCGCGATCTCCCCCTCGCCCGGGACGTGGCCGAGGCAGGGATAGCTACCATCCCGGCAACCGTTCACCCCCTGGTCGACCCAGGCATCCCCTGCCCCCACGCCCTGGTAGAGGCGGTGGAGACCGAGGAGGTCGCGGGGGCTATCGTGGCGGTGGCCCTGGACCTAAACGAGGTGGCGGCGGCGGCGGCGGCGACGCCTACCGACCCTTACCAAGCGCCGGCAAGAAGGCCTGGGATAGATACCGACTGTAAAACAAGAAAAGCGTTTTATTCCTATGGATGAATAATGAAGGCGTAGGTGATTATTTATTCGGACTGCTTTGATTATTTGGGGGCGTTGACTCGAGTTCAACATGCGGGATATACCCTTGCCTATGCATTTATCATATTCGATTCTCATCCGTCGAGGGGTGGATGTCTAGATTGAGTTATTGTACAGTATCTAGAGATCCGGATTGCTTTTATTTAGCACATTGGACATACAACGATACATTAGCTAGTCGATTTCAAGCGGGATTGGTGGCTCGCACCGACGATTGAGAATGGAAGAACTCTTGCTATACTGCCTGCATATTAGGAAATAATTATATTATCTTAAAGAAGCTCTCAAACCGAGCCCCAGCCAAGCTATTCTAGGTGGTTATTGCTGGATGGTCCTTAATGCGTTAAGACCGAGGAGTGAAGCAAATAGCCCTAATCACTGACCAGCAAACGGCTTCATGCACTTCACCAAAGAACATGTATTAACTGCAGGATTGGAACCGTAGCAATGAATATATTGTATATTCACTCTAGTTCTTTCCATTTATTCATTCCTAGAGATTCCCAGCTGAGCTTAAGAATCCCTCTTCCCATCCTCTTCCTCTTCCTCTTCCTCTTCCTCTTCCTCTTCCCTCATCATCTTCATCTTCATAATCCAACCCCATCTTCATCTTCATCATCCAACCCCATCTTCATCTTCATCGTCCAACCCCATCATCATCTACCCGCAATATTCGTCTCCAAGGCCAATTCAACAGACCCTTCTGCATATTTTGTCCCTAGATATCCTCCCAAGAAGCATGTAAGCAGTTTCAGGATACCTAGCTCTAAAGAAGCCTACCTTACATACAACATGATGACCGGCGAAGAAAACCACCCCAAATATCTTATTCTGATTCGCCTAAACCTGATTCGCCTAAACCATACCAGAAAGGCCTCACGAGGTGAACAAGTCCTGACCTGCGTGTCACCGAACAAGCAGATTCCAAAACGGAGTCTAAATCCAACAGACCGGGTACTAAGTCGCCTACAGCAAAAGCGCCCGATTCTGCTGGAAAAACGTTAAGACGGAGAATGACGAGGATCAAGAAGTATAAAACATGACATCAAATCAAAGCCCTTTCTTTGTTTATTTATTTAAAAAAAGATTTTCCTGGAAAAAAAGAAAATCTTCAACGAGCCCAACGATGGACAACGAAAGAGAACAGGAAAGAGAGAGAGAGCGCACGTCCTGTTCGTGGGCTCGAGCGAGTTCTGGTGACAAACATCTCCAGGAAAGCCCGGCGTGGACACGCTTCGTGTACCGCCATGCCTATAGCGTCTTTAACGAATTTGGGAGTCCAAGGATTCGACTGCTAATATTCCCAAAGATTCCAGCCAACCACACCGAAGAATCTCCCTTGTTAAGCTTCATCCGAGGCTCAAACCAAAAGCCTCCCCAGAGAATCGAACCAGCTCTTCAGGAAGCTATTCGCCGCGCGCGGGCAACTGGTCGTCCGCTTGTGATTGTCCTCAATGGAAGTTATCGGAATGCTCGGTCTTCGAAGAGTTGCGTTGCCAAGGTACGTGGATGCCACATGCGTATGTCTTGTTCAGCACCTGCTAATGATTCCATACCAGTCGAAGTATCTCTGGAAAAGTTCATAGTTGAACGTGCAGCTATAATAGAAGGGACGCCTAATGGCCTACGCTCGTGATCGAAACGGGTGTTTCAGAGAGAATGCGCCGACTGAAAGTAGACACCAAGTGGTGGATCGAACATTCCAAGGGAGAAAAGCAGACCCAAATGCTGCACTTTCAGTCATGATCGATGAACTCTGGTTGCTCGTCTATATTATTCCGGCCTCATATGAACGATGCATCTTGCTGCAGGGCATGACCCAAGAAAGCAGATTACATTACCCAGCCAGTTGGCAGCATTTAAATGCCCAGTCAATTTCTTGGTCAAATTCCATCAACACAAGGTTACTCTCAACTACCTTCATAAAGCCCTTGCCAGAGCGCAAGACCATCGGAAAGCTATATGAGACCTTCGCAGACCCCATATTAGCGCATACAAAGAGTCTCGAAACCCAGACCAAAAGTTCATCAAAAACAATAAAGAGGCCTTTCACGAATCGGATATTGAGATTATCCTCATAACTTTCTCTGCTGTTGCTTCTGCCGCTGAAACTTGCGGACAGCCCGATTACCATAAGAAATTCAAAACTACAGAATCAATCCATGGCATACAAATAGGCGCATGAACGCATTCAGAATGCAGAAAACCAAGCCGTAGGTTTTATGCGCATCACAAAGCAAAGAGGGCATAAGATTTCAAAAAAAAAAAAAAAAAAAAACCTCCTGTTTATGAAAAGCCCTCCTGTCCAATCTACCAAGTACACCGCGGTTTGATTTTGTCAACATCATCAGCTCATCTTCATTATTCCTTACCTCTTTTTCGAATTCTCTATATCATCCCTACCTGATGATTCAGCATAAATATATCACCTCGATTCTTTACAATATTTAGAGAAGCTGGCGACTTTACTCCTTAGGGGGGTAAACTTCCACAGTACAAGGATGTCTCAAAATATGATAACCTTTGATACCATTTGCCCCCGGCTCCTTGCCAAAAGTCATGCTCACCAGAAACCATGTCATGGGGTGTCTTCGACGAGGGTGAGGCCTCATGCCGATACTATCGCCAGTGGAAGTGCAAACTGCAATGTATAGCGCTTATGTCGACAAAAATGACAAGTCAAACTGGTTTCTAGGAAACTTTTGCCCGTTGCGGGCTCACTCTCCAGTTCAGAGAAAGAGAGGTAGCCCAGCTGGGTCTTTTTGCTCTGTGCGACTTGCAGAAGGAGGCTAATCTGTGTGTGGCACTGCGTGTGGTCGGCATGTGCTTTGGAGGAACCATCGCTGGAGACGCTTTATACTCTCCACGCATAACAGCCTTGATTGAGTGCACTCGGGAAGGCCGTGGTGCCTCTGAAATCTGTCTCGAGCTTGAAACTTGAGGGTCACATTGACTCATCTTTCTCTAGCTGAACAAAAGCAGTCCAAAATGGCAATCGTGGGGTACAAGAGAACTTCATTGAACATGTCTACCGCCGGCGAGACTCTATTCTACGGAACCCAAGGCGTCGCACAAGATTTTTGCGTTGAGACAGGTAGCATATACGCTATCTCAACACGTATATGTCTGTCTCTAGCTTTATTGTTGGACACCTTCTCCTAACGTCTTGCTAACAAGATGAACTCGACTGAGTAAAAGACCAGCCGAGATTACCTTCCCGGGACCAACTGCGATGCCTTGCCCTTCCCCTGGGAGGAACAAGCCTCTTCAGTACTGCCGTCCCGGGATACTAGGGAGTCCTCCCGAGGCCACGCCAATCTCGCCCTAGTGCTCGAGATACACAAAGGCACTAGACAACAAACCCAAGATCGTATGCGTTCGATAAAGGCGGGTATTGGCTGTCAAAAAGATCCCGAGGAAAGGTCAGAGGCGTGTGAAAGGTTTACTCTCATTGCGGAGGCCTTCGAGCACCACAAAACCAACATTCCTAGCGGGCGGTCCTGAATCATCTATTGCAGCGTGCATCTGTTTAGTGTGGCGACGACACACTGCGGCGGATCAAGCGATTATGAAGTTGTTCAGAATCTATTCGTTCACGTTTATGAATATCGCCTTTCCGACTCTTTCCAGAGATCCCTCAACCAAAGAGCTATCGAGACCGATTGATGTTATGAATCGTCTGTGATGGAAGAGGCGATGCACATTTTGAGAAACAAAAATAAAACTTTCTGCGCAAGCATGGTTTGTTTCTGGAGGCGCCTCGTTCTGGCTTCGAGCAACTTTCGTACGGCGACATCGCCACCCTTGATGATCTGAATAACCCATCATGGACCTGGGAGGACAAAAGCAGCGGCGGAGAACCCCTCCCCGACGAGGCGAAAGAGCTACTGGAGCTCCGTGTTGTGGTATTTATCTGACCTGCATCCCGTTTCTAAGCGCATGTTTAATATTCATTCTCATTCTTGGCATTACCAATTTTGGTGGCAATGGTTCACCATCTTCGCATCAAGGATGGTCGAAGCAATCGACCAACATATGGGGCAGCAACAGATGCCAACAAATGGCAGTTTATACGACATGATCCTGATAGGACAGTATGGAAATGACCGTACCCCGGTAGATCCCGATTCTGAATGCTGGCGAAGTGAACATTTGCGTTATGCGCATCGCATCGCAGATTTGTATGGATTCCGTCCTACTACTCGGATATGTCTGGGGATCGGCACACTGTTCGGGAGATGGCGGTCGATAAGGATTTCTATATCGTTGAATGCATCGAGAGAAAGCAGACGACAAACCAAGGCAAGAAATCTGGCCGAAGTTCTTTTCCCCATTGGTTATGATCCTGCTTGGATTACTGCCAGAACCAATTTCCTTCTTGTATCAGATAAGGGACCGCCTGTTAGAGACCTGGGCCACAAAGAAAGCGGCAACCGGTACATGAATGAATTCGAGGATCGAGAGTGGATTTGGTAAGAAATACGACGCCGTTCAGGTTGATGCATTGGATCACACCCCCAGGACAAGAGATCCCAGGACAAGCTCGTCTTCCTATACTTGGAGGATCAGTTGAACCCGGACAAACCATTGGACTGATTGTCCAGTGTGGGTAGTAATTCGGTTGACGAAGATGACAAAAAAGCCTAACTTATCTCAGAGTTTCTGTCGCCGGTTAGCACGCAAGATCTAGCCTTAGACTCATGGAGAGATATCTCAAGACGACTTTATTACTGTTTAAGCACCGGGTCCATTTTCAGATATGTAATTATAGCTTTCAGCTTTTAGTGTTAACTTTTCTCCGCAAAAGTTTATCTTGATTAATTCTTCTTGTGTCCATTATGTCAAGGTTCTATTTTAACTTTATATGGCTTTCATTTACTTTAGTTAAAATAACTAGCTTGAAACCGAGTCATTTGAGGATTTGAAAAAATTATAATACATTAATTTCCTAGTAAAATAAACCCCAACCTTTTAAGAGATTCACCAGGTGACACTAGAAAGAAATAACAGATAATCTGATCAAGCTTATCAACAACCTAATCTGTGTTGCACACGGCGGACTGTATTTGAAGTTAGTTAATATTGTGGAGTTGAAGATAAAGATAAAACGATCAAGTCCCACGCAGTATTGAAGAACCGGAGGTATGGCAAGCCAAGTCTGGACTACTTGACAACTGCAAATCCCTGCCCATGGCTCTATGTCCAAGCGATGGAATTCCACGCAGGACTGGGTCGTCTGTTAGACCAGGAGTTGTTCCGCTGGGAGCCCCTGCATCTCCGCGAAGAGAGGGAAGGATCTACTCCATAGTGTTGGATGGCTACGTCGAGACAGCATTCAGTCGGTCAGTCCTAATGCTGACGGGTCTTCTCAGTACTAATTTTCTATTGCCGTGGCAAGGCTAGCTATATCCAAGACGATTCTAGCAGTATACCACTAAACACAATCAAAATCAAATAGACACCTCACATCCCTATTCCCTACCCTAGATATACTATCCCCTAATCCCAACCCAACCAACTAAATGGTATACCTAAAAAAACTCGCATAATCCCCCCTCTCCCTCTCCGCCTCCCTCTCCCCCTCCGAATACTCCCCGGGCGGCTTATTCTCCCTCTCCCTCCTACTATTCTCCCTCCTCAGATAAACCGTCATAAAGATACACAGCACCGTGCTCATCGACAGCGTCCCGATCAGCGTGCCGTGCCCCGGGTAGAAATGCGGCGAGTCCTTGCTCTGGTAGATGAAGCTGGACACGACGCCGCCGAGGTTGCCGAACCCGACGTGCATCGCGATACCGACGCCGCGCTTCACAGAGCCCCCGATGTTGTTGCCGTTCCAGGCCACGCCCTGCGGCACGTTCGGGTAGATGCCTGTCGCGGCGAAGAATGTGCCCGCGTATTTGACGGCGTTGTTGTCGGAGGCGAGGAGCATGACGAAGCCGATTATTCTATTTCATGGGTTTAGTTTGGGTTGGATTAGGGGAGGGATGGAGTGGATGAGGGGGAAAGGAGGGGACATACGCAACAACATTAAAGAAAATCATATAAATCCCCCTCTGGCCCTGGCGATCGGCCATGAAGCCGCCGCCGATGCAGAACACGCAGGCGACGACGTACGGCGGCACGGTCATCAGCTGGGCGGTGGTGTTGGAGTAGCCCAGGGTCTTGACGATGGTGGGCAGGAAGAGCGAGAACGAGTACAGCGGCGTGTAGATGCCGATGGTGATGAACATGTGCACCCAGATCTTCCAGTCCTTGACGGCGTCCCAGAAGTATTTCATGCTGAACTCGGTGGCCAGCGAGCTGGTGTCTTCCGTCAGGCGGCGCTGCACTTCCGTGCGCTCTTCCTGGGTTAAGAATTTGGCCGTGTCGGGGTAGTCGTTCATGATGAAGAAGGCGGCGATTGCTGCAGCAGATTCGGTTTGTTAGTTTGGGGTTTTGGGGTGAAGGTAAGAGGAGAGAGGAACGCACCGACAGCGAAGGTGACTAGTCCTTCGATGATGAAGATCCACGCCCACCCGGCTTTGCCTCCAAGGCCGTCCATTTCGACGATGCCTCGCGCCAGGAGGCCACCGAAGGCACCGGCTGCCGTGGCGGCGGAGAAGAAGATGGCCATGCGGAGGCCGCACTCGTGGCGTTTATACCACATGGTGATGCTAGAAAGGTGAGTAGGAATCATCCACACGAGACGAAGGAGACTAACTAGAATGTCACACCAGGAAAGAGTCCACCCTCGGCGATACCCAGAGCTGCTCGAGCGGCCAACAGACCCCCGTAGTTGTTGACCAGACCCATCAACGAGCAGACGACACCCCAGGCCAGCATGATGATGGGGATCCAGATGGCCGGTCGAGACTTCTTCATCATCAGGTTGGAGGGGATTTCGGCGGCGACGTAGAAGGGGAAGAAGATGGCGAGGGCCACCTAATCATCGTTAGCATATAACTTCATGGTCGATGTCAACATCAGCATACATTGTAGTCGAGGCCCGACATGCCCAAATCCTCCTCCAGCCCGGCCAGACGCGCATTTCCAATATTCGTCCGATCGAGAAAACTGAGGAGATAGAGAAACGCGAGCCACGGAATCAACACCCAGTCGATCTTCCGAATCAACTGCTTCGTCGCCTTCTGATCATACCCAGCCGACTGGACGACCGCTCCCTGCTCCAATTCCTCGCTACTGGCGCTCTCCAGAACAACTTTTTTATCGTCCATTGCGTCGAAAAATCAGCGTATCGTCAGCCTAAGATTCTCGCAGGGGGGAATGGAAAGTCCCCACCCCCAGACCAAGCCCGCCATCTTATATGTAAACAACCCCAGAAAATCCGGGGTCACCCCTCAACCCCAGACACAGAGCTGGGCATTTCTCACGACGACTAGCTCCTCCAGTCCGTCAGAAAAATAGGCTCAAGGGAAGGGATATCCCTTTCCCCAGGGGAGCTGCCAAGTCAGTCTGGCCCTGGTTTTCGAGCCTGTGCGCGGTCTGGGCAGATTGCGAGTCCTATCGGGGAGTTAGGGCTAATGGGGCTGGGCTGTCGGCGGCCGCAGTTATTGGAAGGGACATGTTGCCATCTCACGCTATACGGACTGGTGTTTATTGCATGCCAAGTCTCAGCTCGACGGACCGGATTCGATTGTTGGATCTGTCATATCACTGTTTGATTCGTGCTGTTTTGGTGGGACAGGAGGTAGTTCGCAGCTGGACTGGGGTTATCCTTGAACTCCAGGACGGGCATTAGCTATCTCATACATACCAAAAGATAAATTGTACCGCCTAAATCTAGAGCAGAGAGAAAATCCCCGCAATCTCAGTCCGCTCTTGGCCGGAGGCTGAGAGTCTCGGCAATCTTGGACGCTGATGACTCTCAGCCACGTCCCCGGATCTTAGCCTAAAGCGGTCGATCTATTAAGGCATCTGATGCCGACGGGTTCTCAACGGTCCAGTCCCCGTCGCCGTCACCCTCTCGCAAACACGATACCAAGGAACGCCTGCCGCCAATTATCGACCCTCGAATCCGTGGAGATTGGCTCCTTTGCAATCCCTTGCACCGAGTGGAAGAAGGCTTATAAAGCCCGGCCGCCACTTCCTGAGAATAAAACACGTATCCCTCTTCGAATTCTACCTGGTGGCTGATACCAAGGCAGAACTGGCGCGTGGTTATTGGCTGGGTAATCTGAGATGAATCCTTTGTGAGTTTGACTTCCGGAGCAAAGGATCCAGCTACGGTGGATGGCGATTGGAATTAGCCAAGACGAGATGTTTTATTGTTTGGCTTGGAGGGATGGAGGCTCTATCTGGGGGGCGCCTATCGGACATATGGCGAGCAGTGATAATGGAGGTTAGTATAGTATACTTTATTGAGATGATTCTTTTAGAGCACGTCATAAGAAGCATGTTGAGAAATAACGATGGATATAGTATTGTTATCTGAAAACGTACTGTGTGTCACAGGGAACAAGAATCCTTAAAGGAAATAGGTAATCTTTAATCTATATAAGATCCCCTTCATGCGGTCAAGCAATCATCATTTATAGCTTCGTTCTTCTAAAAGAAACTCCGTAATAGAAGTTATAACTGGGATAGCCTCTTAGACCTCAAAATCCCCCAACTTACGAAAATCCAAAGCATAAAGCATAATTACAAAGGCCAAAACACAGTCGTATATACTTTTACTCCTACACAACCGCAGTCTGTAATAACTAAAGATAATAACCCGCGAGAGTAGTCCCCGTCTCATCCTTAGGAAAGGCGGTCTCCAAATGATTGGGCCAGACACATTTCATAGTATTGGCCCTTCAAGTGCTGCAGCTGGTCATGAGTCCCTCGCTCAATGATCTTGCCATCGGAAAACACAAGGATCATGTCTGCATGACGAATGGTGCTCAGTCGATGTGCAACGGCAATCGTGGTCCGCCAGGACGCAGCCCGGTCGAGTGCGTTCTGTACCAACTTCTCGCTCTGCGTGTCTAGGGCCGATGTTGCCTCGTCGAGGAGCAGGAGACGGGGCTTGCGGATCAATGAACGGGCAATCGCAATGCGCTGGCGCTGCCCGCCTGAGAACTGCAGACCCTCAGAACCGCACGACGTGCTCAGGCCTTCGGGAAGGGATGAGATGAAGTCAAAGGCAGCGGCCTCTCGGCAAGCGTCGAGGATCTCTTCGTCCGTGGGCTCGTACTGCAGGCCAAGTAAAATATTGTCGCGAATAGATCCATTGTAAAGAGTAGGGTGCTGCTGTACGAGCGACATGCTAGCTCGATAAAGGCGAGGGGATAATGTGGTAATATTCACGTCCCCCATAGTGATGCACCCAGATGTGGGATCGTAGAAGCGCTCAAGGAGTGCGATAAGGGTGCTTTTCCCGCATCCTGACGCCCCAACACATGCGGTATACGACCCGGGGGTAATCTGGACAAAGAGAAATTCTCAATTAGCTTCGGCCTGCTAGCCACCCCATATGGTGCACTACAATAAATACGCACTGTCATATTTATGCCATTGAGGACAGGGGAGGCTTCCCGCCGCTTGTATCGAAACATCACATCCTTCACTTGAAGGTCTCCGTTCCCTGGTGGTCCGGTGTCAAAGTTGTCTCCATTTTCGCTGATACTCGCCTTCAGCGTGCGTAACCACAGGACATAGTTGGCAGCCACATGGGCTGTTGCCAGGGTAGCTAAAAGCGCAAAGATCTGCCCAGCAGCCTGTCCTCCAAACAACACCGAAAGAAAAACCACGAAGAACTGCGTATTCGAGTATTCCCCACTCGCGATCAACCGGGAGCCATACCAGAATCCAAGAGCCATGAGCAGATAGTCAAGTGACTGGGACAAGGCATATCCCAGTGAAGCCCAAGTGATGGTTTTCAGCGCGGATTTGGCAATATGATCTAGCGATGCGTCATATTCGCTGCAAATTTGTTTTTCGAGGGTTAGTGATGCCAACGTTCGAATGGATGTCACGGCCTCTGTCGCAAGAGCAGCGCTTTCGGTGAACCGCTCGCTCGTGTCTCGCTCGAACCTTCACTCGAGCCAAGTTCGAGCAATCCCGGATCCGACCAGAACCGGCATCCCGGCAAAGACGACGACGAGGCCGAGCTTCCAGCCGTATGCGATGGCTAGGATGCAGGAAGCGAAGATGTTGGTCATGCAAACAAGTAGAACAAATTGACCTTGCGCGATCAAGTCCTGGATCGCGTTCGGCATAGACGACAGCTTGGATGTCAGGGAGCCTGAAGAATTTTCTGGCTCATCAAAGAAGTCCAAGTCGAGATTCAAGACGCGTTGGAACATCTCAAGTCGGTATCTGTGGGTGATCTTCTGTCCAACCTGAATGCTCCGCATGTTAGCTGCAGTGAGCGAAGCAATATATTGGTGTACATACCACATTTCCCACCCATCCAATAACCAGATATGCTCCCATGTTGATTAAAGCAAAAATAAAAAACATAAGAGCAAAAAAGTTGGCTGTATGCCTTCGTGAGAAAACTGCGGATGTAAAAATCGGTGGCTCACTTACCGTCGCCTTGGGCCGCCTGAGGGGGCAATGCAAATACATTTATTAGTCGAGAATAAATGATTGCCTGGGCTGGGTACGATCCACCTGCAATAAGACACGCAAAAACCAACAATGCCATCCAATGATAGACATCCTTCTGCTCTCGGATCATGATAAACAAACATTTGAACAGGGAGTAATTGATTGCATGGGATGTGTTGTGATCAGGTTCAGATATATCAAGTGAAGATCGGGACATAGTAATCTCTGGTAATTTGGAGGCCATGTCGTTCTGCCCCTGGTCATCGTTCCCTTCGAAGACACCATCCAGTGGGCCCTCAGCGACATCGCCGAGGTCCTGGGCTTGAACCAAAGCCGCGTACTGACCATTAAGGGCAAGCAGTTCGTTATGTGTACCCTGCTCCACTACTTCGCCGTGTGAGATGACGACGATATTATCTGCAGACTGGATTGTGGATAGTTTGTGTGCAATTATGAGGGTGGTCTTATTGACCGATACTTTGTTGAGGGCCTCTTGTACAATGCCTTCAGATCGGGGGTCTGAGGCACATTAGTAAATCTTGATAGGAGAATGGACACAGAAATAGAAAAAGTCTCACCTAAGGCGCTAGTTGCTTCATCCAGTAGCAATATCTGCGGGTCAGAAATCACGCTACGAGCAATGACCAAGCGCTGTTTCTGGCCACCGCTGAGCATCGAAGCTCGCTCGCCCACTTGTGTTTGATAACCCTGCGGAAGTTTTTCAATGAAATCATGCGCGTTACTTAACCGGCATGCGTCTTGTACGAGTTTCATCTTTTGCTCCAGCGGCAGTTCTAGCTGCGATCCAACAAGACCTTTCGCGATATTCTCAAATACCGTGCCACGAAATAGTATAGGCTCCTGCTGGACGATTCTAATCTGACTTCGGAGCCACTTTATATTATAATCAGCAATATTGCGGTTGTCCAGCAGGATCTCGCCAGAGTCTGGCAAGTACCAACGTTCAAGCAAACCGACAATAGTGGATTTCCCGCATCCGCTGGCACCAACCAAGGCTGTGGTTTTTCCTGCAGGTATAGAAAGATTCAAGCCACGTAGAGCCGGAGCTGACGGTCGTGAGGGGTATGCGAAGGCCAAATTTCGAACTTCAAGATTACCCTCGCATGTGGAAGGGCATTCGCCTTCTTCCGAGAGAGGGTCTACTTTGGACTCTCTGTCAATGGTCTCGAAGAGTTCGGCGGCGGCGGCTGAAGCGTTGGTAATAACACCGAGCTGCGGTGCAACCACGGACATGGAGGAGGCCCCGATGTTTATAGAGAGTATAACAGTGAGAACTGTACCGACGTTGCCAATCTCCCCACTCGCAAACATACGAAACCCTTGCCAGAAGGCGAGAGCAGTGCCGCCGTACATGGAAAAATAGAACACTGCGTTGGCTAAGCCAATGTTGGGAGACTTCTTGTTGCTCAACTTCCTCGCGTCTATAAGAAACTGATCGTACTGTTTGATCAATTTCTCTTGGGCCCAAAAGGCATGCACGGTTTTGACCGAACTTAGGACCTGCTGGGCCAAGACTGCGGCCTGCGAATGTATTCGCACAATTCGAATTTCGAAGCCAATATCGATGGTGATGCTGACGATGGCAACTATTACGATGGCAGGGATAATGCAGGCAGTGATGAGGGCGAGCTTCCATTGGACAACGAGGGCCACAATGAAAGCAGAAAAAAACATAGAGATGGCCTGCACCAATATCGCCAGCTTCTCTGCGATACCTTGGTTGATTCGAATTCCATCTAGATGAATCAGCAAAAGGACGAAACATCAGGGATGTATGTCATGGGTTGGAATCAGGACAATGGCTCACTCGTCGTTACTTGAGAGGAAGGGGATCCGTTGGCCATATCATTATCGAACCTCTCGACCTCTTGTCGCAACAGAGTAGCCAAAAAGGTCCTGCGGATAGTCCGAGTCACTCGTACTGCTGCGATCGAGACAGTTTCGGTGGCTATGTACGAGATGATAAAGCGGCCGATAAATAAGTAGACGAACCAGAGCGTGAACGTGTCGACTTTGTGACTGAAAGATTGCGGACTGTCCAGGCCGGAAGAGCCAGACCCCGGACCAGATGCGTACTCGGTGAAATCGGAAGTGAAATTCCCAAATATGATTGTCATCAATGGAAGGGAAGCGCCTGATACAATTGCCGCGGTCAAACCAATCCCGTAGAGAAGGATGTCGAGGCGGTCACAGAAGGTGAAAATGCGCTACGGGGAGAAAGCACAAGTTAGTTGTCTAGACCCAAGACAAAGAAAAATCCCACGACATGGGAAGACACCGCACAAAGAAATTTTTGAGCCCACCCGGCGCCTTGGGTTGAGGTTCTGACTGCGCATGAGTACGGTTGGCATCATTTATATCTGCGCTTGTGTTCGAGTCGGCCACGTTTGGGTCTGGTGGGCATGATTCCTTTTCAGCTTCTGTGACGTTCTTGGTAATCGGGGGCAAAGGCCCAGCAGTACCAACATGGCGATTGGGAAATTGAGGGGAATCGTGCTCCAGGGAATAGAGCTTCTCACCATCTACCCCCGCCATTAAAAGAGGTCAAACTGCGGTAGTTGTGTGGTGTAGAGTTGAGGAAGCGAATTTCTCGCCTTGATGTGGATCGCAACGCACGGCGGAGGGGGGCGAGAGGTGAAAAAGCAGGCATGATTCAACTACCAGTAGGCGCAATGCTAGCTTCATCCGATTCCAGGTCACATCGAGCCAGACGGCACCAGTGATCGTATCACAAGTGAAATTTTACTAGCGGGGTCCAGCCTAAGACAAGACAAGGTAGGTGGCTTCCCTCGTGGATCCGAGTCCCTGGACCCTTGTCGATCTTGTAAATTACTCCGTAGAGAAAAGGAAACCAGTGTCCCCCAAGAGTAAGATGGTACATGAGTATGACTGGGATTTGGCTTTGTTAGAGTATGATCGCGCACGCTCAAATTTGCTTAGAGGAAGTGGATAGGCCACTTTCCATGGCTGCTTGGGGAATCACGATAAATCTCAATGCTTCAAAATCTACTTGCTGTCAATACCACGGAAATACGCCGAACGTCTCTAGTTAGGCAGGGGTTGATTCTTGTTCTTACTAGCTCATGCATTAGTTGGCGGACCGTTGCAACCACCGAGATGGTCTAGAGGCACTACGCAGTATATAGTTACATGTACATAATCTTCGTAATGATGGCTTTACACCCCTGGCGTTATCTGTTCAATGTACAGAAGTACGCCAGTTTTCGCAACAAACTGGTGTATAAGAATTTCAACATAAAATCTTAACTCGTCAAATTATCATCAAGCCCAAGATCATAATTCTCACCCTCAACAAATATTAGAAAAGCAAAATCACGGTATAGCTCTTCTACAGTTTATGCTACGCAAATAGAAAAACTGCAATAGGGATGATTACCTTGTGGGTCGACTCTCTTAGAAATCGAAATTGAAAATGGGGGAATGGTTTCCTGTATCATGAGGACATTCCAGGTGATGCATAGAGACTTGAACAAATTGAAATATTCCATGTATAGTGATATGGATTGTGATCAAGGTTCAGGATACGGGATGCTTTGTGGTGATGCCACCCATTCTCTTTGTTCTAACCCGCCCACAGACCAGCCCACCACAGCTCATGGCATGCCTCCCACCAACGGGTCTTGATTCTCAATCTCTACCGTCTTCTCTTCCGTTGCTCTACTGTACAGAATCTCTATATGCCGTCCTCCAAGCATCAGCCTCGACAACGAAACCGTCACACGTTTCATCCTCCTCCCTTGTTTTGGGCGAAACTTACGAAGCTGTGGTTAACCAAGAGCGCGTTACGAGAAGCTGACCGACGATACCACCTCCTGTCCTCAAACCAGAGTAGCTCGTCTCCTCGCCCTCACATCTTTGCTCCTGATTTCTTGCGCAACTGCTCGGCTACTTGTTTACAAGAGATCAGAAAGCTTTCCCGTCGTGGAGGGCCAGACCTCTCGGGCATCAGAAACGTGGGTTATCGCTAGCTGTTTCTCGACAAAATGGACGCATAACATACTAACTCTTGCTTCTAGTATCCCGCACCAGCCCACTTCAGCCAGGACTCAATGGATCCTACCGACTCCAGCTTGGAGCGGTCAACTCAAAAGACTGGAAATACGACGGTCTACGATCCACACTTTGAAAGCCATCTGTACGACCACGGGATTTTCATGCCCAATTCCACCTATCCAGACGGGACCAAGCCTTGTACAGCGGAGAACATCGCCGAGATCCAAAGACGGTTACGAGCGCCTCGCCCGTCCCTCGCATTGTCCGAAGATTCCCTGCAGAGGGAATTTGGCGAATTCACCCTCCTGAATGACAGCACCTCCGACGAGCAGCTTGTGATCAAGAAAATCCTCCCGATCCTCGACGGGCCGCAACAACAATCGTCGTCCTTCCACGATGGCGGCAATCACCCCTTCAAGAACCTGGCGCCGCTCACGGACGGCACCCTCGCCAACGCCAAACCTGATATCTACCACGGCGCGCCGCCTCACCAGCTGCATCCTCGTGTCCGGGAACAGCTCAGTGATCAGATCATCCCCACCCGCCAGGGCAACCGTCCCATCACGCCCAATTTCTTCGTCGAGGCAAAGGGCCACTGCGGCTCGCCACCCGTGCTGAAACGTCAGGCCTTGTACGATAGCGCTCTGGGCGCCCGAGCGATGCATGCCCTCCAGCAATATGGCAGCAACAGCAGCAACCGGCCACAGGATGACGACGATTGCTCCGATCCTGCGCCTGCTCCTGCTCTTGGCCCTGCCCAGGATTCCACTCGCGATAACCACGCCTACACGATCGCTTCTACCTTCCAAGACGGAACGCTGGGCATCTACGCGACCCATCCGACCCGGAACCCGAGCAATCTCGACCCTGGCGCAGGCCGTCAGACGGATTATGTGATGACCCGGGTCGGGCATTACTCCTTGATCGGGAGTCCGGAATCCTACCAACAGGGTCTGAGGGCGTATCGCAACAGCCGGGACCTGGCGAAGGAATATCGGGACGGGTTTATCAGGCAGGCGAACGAGCGACATGAAGCTGTCCGGTAGGCTCTCATGGTGTTTGTTGGATAGATACATGGGTGATTGAGACGGTCTGATCATCTGAATCAGATAGAATGAAATAGAACCCTAACCAGATACTGCAACTAGACGTTTGTGCAGGAATCAGCATTCCACTGACAGGCAAAACTCTTTCCGATGATTATTAAAAGACGTGAGTAGTTAATTAATTTGTGTCGTCAATCGTCATTACCATAGAACGTCTCACCTGTGACAGCCATCGCCAGATCTCGAGCGAGCACCTCTAGTTCAGGCACCAATTATTCCAGAATACAGAATAATCTACTTATAAATTGATGGCGCCGGGGCAAGTTCCTTGATGTAAATTCAATCTTTAAGATAACCACAGCCCATTTAAAAATAGCAAATGAAGTATCCATAATGGTAACATGAAAGGACTTATTTATACCCATATGGACTTGGTTTTCTCGCCGGATCGAAGGCTTTCCCTTGCCGTTTTTGTGCTCACCCCTCGCTTTTTACCTACTGGATATCTGCGTTTGATTTCTTGGTCATTTTGGAGCACTAGAAATTGCATAAAGACCTTCCTTTATATTGAATCGGTGGAGATCACGTAATTCAGCGCTTTAGTCATCCCAGCCAAGCCCTCGAACCGCCACATGAAATTGTTCGTCAGGTACAACAAACGTGAAAAGTGTTCAAGAGGCACATCGACCTGGTGAATGAAGGTCCGAGATCAGAAAAATTGCCCTCCATAACACTATCATGAGTATGAACCGTGCAGGCGGATTTATTTCGGAAGAATCCACCCTGTCGGAGCGCACAAGTCATGTCCGGTCGCCGTTACCCACTAGAGTCAGAAGCGCCTGTGAAAGATGTCGCCATCATAAATATCGGGTAAATCCATCCTGCTCTGGCATGATCCACACGGTCCTTGTGATATGTACTGAGCAATTGCATGGCCATAGTGTGACCCTTTCCGGCCGTGTTCTCAGTGTAGCCGAGCCAACGTTCCCTGCCGACCCCACAGGGTAACTTCGTGGAGGTAAGCAGTAAACCCGCATGGCCCCAAGTTACAGGCAGCTGACATTCAGATTGTAGGCGCATCAAGACCAAAAGGAATCCTAGGGGGGTTCAACAGGAGAGCGAGCTCTCGTTGGAGGCACCTGCCCAGCAATCGCGGGATGGAGATCATGATGGGGCTCTACCCACACGAGCGCTTCGGGACGATAGCGAATCTAACGTTTCCACAGGCAGGGACATCCCCTCACCATCTCTCAGCTACGGTGAAGCGGAATCTGCAATGGGAATTGCTCGAAGAATATGTGAGCTTGGTAGCCACCGCATTGATGAGCAAGCCACCTTCGCCATTCCCGGTTACCAGGCTGCCGGCATGAGAGCGCCTCGTTCGAACCCTGCAGCAACCGGTCAACGCATGCCCATATCTTCAATCCTGGGCCAACGTTTTCCATCGATGAACCTTGTGCACGGTCTGCTTGAAGATTACTTTGATTCCGTACATTGGTTCTCCCTCGCCATATATGAGCCAAAGTTCCGCCGGAGACTCCACTCCATTGCAGATGGCTCGGCATATCCATCCCAAAGACCGTTTCTCCTCCTTCTAGCGGTCATCCTGGGAATGGCCGCCTGGTATCGATCCCAGAGGAGCGGTGCTGATGTGGCACATCACAGCGAAGATTGGAAAAAGTGGAGTACAGACTTGTTGAATCTCGTCCAGTCAAACTTGGTGGAATTGATGGATGAACCGTCCGTCACTGCGACCCAGACATGCATCCTTCTAGGGTCGCACCATGTCTACCACGGTCGTCCGAATCTCTCCTTTTCGTTACTGGGGACAACCATCAAAATGGCTCAGTCTTTAGGATTACAACGGCAACTCCCGCATGGCGAATTCGACGACATCGAGGAGAGCAAGAGAGTCTGGTGGACGATCTACACGTGGGACAGGTTCGCTTCGATCACCTATGGCCGGCCATTGGGAATCAACGACAAGGATTGCAATCTTCAAATGCCAGCGGATGTACTTGAGAACTCGAGGTTTCTCACACCCCCGCTTGAAAACCATACGATATGCTTTTCCACCTACCAGCGAGAGCTGAACCAGCTTTACTTGATTGCCTCACCAGCCCTCGAGGCTATCTTTGGCTCACGCACCTTTGGAACTTCGGATCAGTTGGCTGGCGACTCATACTACGCATTGGTTAAGCACACCACTAAGGATCTTCAGAAATGGCGCCACTGTTTACCGCCACATCTGACTCTGGATCTCAAGAAAGATATCCCGGCCAATAATGAGCCAAGCCGGAGGGCATATGCGTTACAGGCTCTATCATTACAGCTGACTTACGACAACCTTCTTATTGTACTCCATCGACCTTTGCTAGCCCGGCAAGTGGACCATCTATCCACTGTAAATAACAGACCACGGGGGGAGACCGGAGCGAACTCTCCCGCTTATTATTCTCCCGCGGACCTTTCGAGCAGTCACTCTAACGTATACTCCGACGGTGCACGCTCCACGGCCCGGACCACCAGTCCTGAGATATGGATGGACGCTGCGGCGAGGACTTCGCGGATCACCGAACTGCCCGACCTTGCTCGTCTCGCCGCGGAAAGCCATCTTGTCGCTTTCCTTGCCATCAATTTATTCAACGCTGCGGTTGTGCTGGCTGTGGTGGCGCTTTCGGAGCCCCTATCGGATGCAGCACAAGAGATCAAGCGCACTATTACTCGGATCCTACGTCTTCAGCAATGGATTGGGGAGCGGTCCGCCCTGTCGAAACAGAGCACCGTTGTCCTAAAGAACGTCGTTGCCATGCTCCTTCGGCGCGAATCAGAAGTTATGCTCATCCCCATCTCTGGAGCAAGCCAGCCACTCGGCCATCAGACTCGAGTTGACTCTTCGTCCATGTCTGTGGAAGACGCTCTTCGATTGCCGTTTGACGTGACGTTGGACTCCAGCACTTCGTTGACGGAAATGGAAAGAGGGACAGATACCGGCAGAGCCCATCGCCTGAATGAAAGCTTGGTTTCTGTCCAATGTGGTGAGGCAGCCTACCTCCGGGGTGAAATACCGCATGCAGGCGTTTGCTAACACTCACTTGTCTTAACTCTAGCCTTAGATCCGGGTGCTGATTGCTCTCGAGGTCATCAGCCATTCGAGGAAAGCGCACAGCCACATGGCACATCTCACCTGCCCGCGGACGATTGGAATTGCACGGGCGATTTCCGAAGTGGTCCGGCGGACGGTGCTTACGAGCAAACTGACGGCGGGCTGTATTGGTTATGGGACATGACATGGAATGGACTGGACAGGTGATTCGGCGGTCCATCTCGATATCGTCTTTAAAGCACCTTGTACCAGGTCATAAAGGTATACATGCTGTATGCACAATCTAGATCATAGTAGATATAACATTCATCCACCCCCGGGTGTCCCCAACGCCTATGATGGTTGCTAATCGATAAATTCAAATTCATAAGTGCGCCGGATATGCTTTGAGTGCACCGTCGTCGAATCCGGGGCCATATATCACGGACTTGATTCCCCGGCGGGCAGCCACATTCTTAAACGCATCCTCCGCCTCCGAGAAGGCGAACTCGTGGGTAATGAGACCCTCGAGGCTGATACGCCGCGACTTCAGCAGCCCAATCGCCAGCTGAAAGTCCCCCGGTCCGTAGCGAAAGCTCCCCTTGAACGCGATCTCCTTGTCGCAGATCTGGCCCACAGGGATGGACAGATTCGACTTCCCCAACCCGACCTGCACAAAGGTCCCGCCGTGCGCGAGGGCCAGGATGCCGCAGTTTACGCATGGCTCGGCGCCACTCGCGTCCAGAACAATGTCCACCCCGGACTGCAACCCAGCACCTGCCAGTAAGTCCGCTGCGTTCGTGTCGGCGGACTCGGCGCTCATCTGGTACGTATGCGTGGCGCCATACCTCCGCGCAGAATCCAGTCGACTCGGGACGACGTCCACGGATATCACCGTGGACGCGCCAAAGGCAGCCGCAACGGCGCAGCAAAGCAGACCGACTGGGCCCGCTCCAAAGATAGCCACGGATCTCTGCTCCATGGGGCCCGCCCGTAGGCATCCATGGACTGCCACACCCAGGGGCTCGATCAGGGTAGCGTCACGCAGCGACACCTGTGGTGGCAGCTTGTAGCAGCACTCCACGGGCGCACAGTAGTAGGTGGCCAGCGTTCCATCATGCGGGGGCGTAGCAGCGAAGCGGACGGACTGGCACAGGTTATAGCGTCCCCCGCGGCAGTGGTGGCAGGTATTGCAGGTGGCCCCGGGCTCCAGCGCAACGCGATCGCCTGGGACGAATCCCTCAACACCACTGCCGCACTTCACCACGATCCCCGACGACTCGTGTCCTAGAATAATGGGCCTGTCGACCACATATCGCCCGATCGCGCCGTGTTGCCAGTAATGGACCTGCGCGGCACAGCTTCGTCAGTTTCATTGCCTCCACATCGCAGGATGTCGTTTGAGTGGACTCACATCTGATCCGCAGAGACCGGTGGCGGCGATTCGAACTAGGATGTCGCGGTCTGATCGAAGGGTAGGTATGCTGCGTTCCTCGAAGGTAAATGAACCCCCGGGATGTAGTACAAAGGCCTGGTTGGCAGACTGGGATTGAATCAGTGGATTGGACGCTGAGGACAGACTTGGGAGCGGAACGAACCTGGTCAGTGGCTTGAGTATCCATGTCCTGTTGTTGTTTCGTTCATGGAGCGCGGATTGGACATTGGTGCAGGATTTTATAGGTATGTACCAGAGTGAAAGGTGAGTTCCATCTTGTTGACAGTCCAGCTACATCCAGGCGGATCCGATGGAGTTTGGACTCTCCGAATTCCGATATCGCACCTCCGAAAGGCCTGATATCACATTTTAACGTGGGTCGACGAGGTCTAAGACAGTACCTTTCCGGCCAGGTGTAAGTTGAATCATCTAGATTCACCGTGGTGCATATGGTCGATCATTCGGGGGTTGAATCGGCCAAAACATCAGAGGAATGCCGGAACACTCATTGGTAGATATTCTCGCATGCTCCACCAGGGCCGCTGGCGTGGGGGTTTTTTTGCCATCGGAACCGATGCTGTGGGAACTTCGACGTTCGGAACCGTCAGGTCCCGCCGGGTCGGCCTGAAAGACTTCGGATCCTTAATGAGTACCTAGTGAATCTGGAGACGCGGGGGTCGTGACCGTGCCAGTTCTGGTTCCACTTCCCCATAGTCCCTCTGCACCTGGGGGATGGAAATTCTCCTTGTTTATGGCCAAAAGCTGGGGTAGAAATAGAGCCACCCCCCTCTGCTCCGAGGATGGGATGGACATAAAATGGTTATTCTGGCTGTGTCTGCAACCGCAACGTCGTTTTCATCTCGCTTGATCAATATCCTTCCGGCGCCATCGTCTCCAGAATGCCAACCTCCGGCGGGTCGGTCAAAGATAGGCCCAATGCTGCGGTTGAATCCCATACGGCGCAGCTGAGCTGGCTGGAGAGAAAGATGAAGCCCAAGTCGGTCAGTAGACGGTATCCCTTCAAAGGCGCACCTCTACTCTGGGCCACCTCTGCGTTTGGAGGGCTGGGAGATGCGCTTTTCGGGTACAATTCTGGTGAAGCAGCCCAGGTCACCCAACCTACTGAGCCACTCTGACTGTTTTAGGCATCATGTCCGGCTTGCTGGTCAACCCGGTATTTGTGTCCCGCTTCTTCAGCGACTATGGAGGAGCTGACGGGTCAACCTCGTCAGTGGACCCCTCTATCACAGGCATATCCGTTGCCTGCCTGCAGGCGTCGGCGGCGGCCGGCGCACTCATCGCAGGCCGAGTCGGGGACATGGTGGGCCGGAAGAAGTGCGTCCGCATTGGCGCTTTCATCTACTTTTTCAGCTCCTTCATTCAGATGTTTGTGCCTGGGTTTGCGGCCTTCGTGGTGGGTCGGACCATTCAGGGGCTGGGGGTGGGATTCCTCTCCATGACGGTGCCCATCATCCAGACGGAGATCGCCGCTCCCCATCGCCGGGGACTCATGGTCGGGATTGAGTACACATCCCAGATCGCCGGATATATGCTTTCCTGTTGGGCAGACTACGGCTTCTACTTCCTCCTGCCAAGTGATATGTCCTGGAGAGGTCCTTTCATCATCCAGATTGTTCTGTCCTTCATCTTACTGAGCATGTCCTTCTTCCTCCCGGAAACACCGCGGTGGCTGGCAATGAATGGGTTCATGCAGGAAAGCTTGCAAACAGTGGCGGACCTCCACTCCGATGGTGACACCGAGGCGGAGCATGTTCGGCGGGTTTTCCTGGAGATAAAAGAAGCCGTTATCTATGAAGCTAACCTAGGGAAATCCTCGTGGGGGGTAGGCTCGCTCTTTTGTCTGTGTCAAGCATATTTCCGAGCACGGCTAATGTGAGACGTTCAGGAAATGTTCACGCGATATCGTAAACGAACGATTGTTGGTGTTACAGTGCAAATGTTCGCACAGATCAACGGAATCAACATCATCTCCTTCTACCTCCCTAGCACCCTCGCAACCGCTGGATTTGACGAGCCCAAATCGCTGCTATACACGGCCGCAAATTCGATTCCTTACACCGCTGCAACCATCGTCACATGGTGGCTAGCGGACAGATGGGGCCGGAAGCCTCTGCTCATTCTTGGGGGTGAGTTTTCTTCGGTGGTCTTCCCAAGCAGAAATCGGGGGATTGAGACTGACTCGTGGAACACCAACAAACAGGTCTTGTCATGGCGGTACTGCTCAGCATTGTCTGTTCCTTCACCGAGGCCGATCTTGACATCCAACTCAAAGCCAAGGGGCAGTATGCCTTTGTGATGCTGTACAACATCGTCTACGGATTCACCTGGGGCCCGATGCCGTGGCTTCTACCGGCCGAGATCTTCCCACTCCGGGGCCGCAGCAAAGGCATGGCGTTGGCCACCGCAAGTAACTGGGTCTTCAATTTCGTCATTGGCATGGTGTCTCCAGTGGCTTTTTCGGGCATCCACGGCTTCTTCTACCTGGTTATTGGGGGGTTCTGTCTCACCTCCGCATGCCTGGTACACTTTTACTACGTGGAGACGGCAAACCACAGCCTGGAGGAGATTGCGATCGCATTTGGGGACCAGGCATTTGCGGACAACGATGCGGACGTCATGGAAGTTGCCGACGCGAAGAGTGAAACTGGAGAATTCCGAGTGTGACGGAAGGCTGTTTATTGCGCTATTGCATAGCCATTTGCGCAGCCTCTTCATGATGTTGAAAATCAGCAACAGGACTCCAGTTAATTACCATCCTGCCAAGCCCTCCACAGTAGCTCCCTGTGCACGTGACCGGCCACTGATCCCGCCCTGAGGACCTGAGCGCTCATTAACAGGGAAAGTCCCAGTAGGATAGACAGTCAAGTGTGTATAGGGACATATAGAGAAGCAAGTAGTGGTTTTGCTATTCACCCAGGTACTATCTTCGACAGGGAAGGGTGTCCACGTGATATAACAGGCCGGCACCCGCTCCTCCGCCAGAAATATATACAGGATTCGACCGCCTCCGATCGTGAGGATGTTGATCTCTTAGGGAGGTTGACCTTAGATTTAGATAAAGATGGATGTACTTCGCAGGGTGTCCATTATTACCGTGATCTTGGTAGTTACATATATATAGCAAGGGCTCTACGAGACTAAAGGACTCGCACATCACCCACAGCTACTACATCTTGAAAATGGATACTACATAGTCGACAAGATCTACACGAACCTCCAAAATACCAGGCAGACAGGCAAGTTAAGCTTGAACCCCATGAGCACGAATACGAAGGCAAAACAATCGACGAATCAAGAACATTCATGTCTTGGAGAAAAAAAGTGGTATTAGAACATCGCATGTCCATCCCCTCACAAGATCCCAAACATCCCGTCAGATAGATGGAGATGACGAAATCAAGTGACGGTCTAGACATGTTTAGAAAACCCGCCCCGGAGAGATTGACTTCAGTTATTAAAAAGAAAAATCCAACTAAGGAGCCCTTTTAGAACATAAAATCCACGTCTCCAGAGGGGGGTACTTCATTGCTCATGGCTTCATACATCCCAAACCAACAGCCTGCTTGCCCTTAATAGTGGACGAAAGTTTTAAGGGGAAAGAAAAAAAACAAAAAGTGAACAGGGTGTAAAAAAAAAATTGGAAAATAAAATGGTTATTTCTTTCCTCTCATTTGTTCTCTCTCTCCTTGCAATGTTTTTTTGTTCCCTTCCCTTTTTTCGAACATTTAAACAAGCTCACGGTTTTAAAATGTTTTGATTTTTATCTGAATCTATGCCCGCGACATGACACCCCAAGCACGGATCTTGTTGTCAGTGTAACCAGCGAACAGAGTCTGGCCGTCAGCGCTCCAGGCCAGAGAGACACACTCGGGCTCACGGCTCTTCTTGCCCTTCTCGATGTACTCGGGCTTGAGCTCGTCGACCTTGCTCTTCTTCTCGAGGTCGAAGATGGTGATGCTGGTCGTGGTGGCAGCGCAGAGCCAGTAGCGGTTGGGGGAGAAGACAAGGGCGTGGATCTCGTCACCAGCGTGGAGGGAGTAGAGGTGCTTGGACTCGTTGAGGTCCCAGAGCATGGTGGTGCCGTCCTTACCACCGGAGGCGCAGAGGGAGCCATCGGGGGAGATGGTGACGGCGTTGATGTTGCCGGTGTGACCGATGTGGTCGGTCTGGAGGCGGCAGGAGGCGAGCTCCCAAACCTGTTGAGAATTGGTTAGTTTGGTCCTTTTCATTCTCATTTCATTTCATTTGGTAGAAACGGTGATCAACAAAATTGCAGTTTGTTTGGTGTCCATCAGGCATTGGGTGATTGTTTGTCTCATGGCCATAAGGCTCTGAAGTAGCAAATACGTAGATATGCAAACATCTTCTGGAAATTCAAAACAAATCTCGGCCTCGCTTCGAGTGCACGAGTTGGAGGGGGGGGGGGGGGGGGGGGGGGGTGACGAATTGTAACAAGGAAAATTCCTGCATACCTTCACAAGCTTGTCCCAGCCGGAGGAGACAATGACGGGGTTCTGGGGGTTGGGGCTGAAGCGCACGCAGGAAACCCAGTCGGTGTGGCCCTTGTCGGTGATGGTGTACTTGCAGTCACCGAGGGTGTTCCACAGCTTGATGGTGCGGTCACGGGAACCGGAGACAATCTGGCGGTTGTCGGCGGAGAAGGAAACGGAGAGGACATCGTTGGTGTGGCCAACGAAGGTACGGGTGGTCTCGCCGGTGGAGAGCTCCCACAGACGGAGGGACTTATCCCACGAGGCGGACAGAGCGTAGGCACCGTCGGAGGAGATGACCTAGAAAAACCAAAACCCACACGGTCAGCCGGAAAATTCTTCTCCCATCATTTGTTTGATGTTCTCTCGTAACCCAGCTTTCGCAAGTGGTTTTCCTCGAATCTCAAAGGGGAAGGTTCGCAAGACATACACAGTCCGAGACGATGTGGGAGTGACCCTCGAGGCTGCGCTTGGGGTAACCGTAGGCCTGGTCGTCGCGGGTGAGGTTCCAGATGATCAGAGACTTGTCGCGACTGCCAGACAGCAGCATGTTGGGGCTAGAATCGAGAGAAAGAGAGACATGTCAGAAAACCCAAGTCCATATGAACGAATATATTGCATGTCATCCAGCGAAATCCAGCCCATGTTCAAGGAAATTTTTTCTTCATCATCACAAGAATTTTTCTTGACATGTTCCTATTTCGGTATGGACTTCATCGTGAAATTGCAGGTGCCGGAATTTCCCTTACTTCTCCAGAGAGGTGGCAAGGGAAGTAACCCAGCCATTGTGGCCCTCGAGGGTGCCGCGAAGGACCAGCTGCTCAGCCATGTTCGGAGTCTGGGAGACGATGGAAGGGGACCGCGAGAGGAGAGAGGAGGATGAACGCGGGCGGAGCAATTGTCGTTGACTCTGGGCTGGGGATAAAATCACAGCGTTCGATGGAGGAGCTCAGCCAAACCCTAACCTACTTTGCCGGCGCCCGCTTGTTGTGGAATCACGTGGCGGGAAGCCCTAACAAGCGAGTCACGTGTTACAACGCTCTCCTTCTCGTAGTTTACATACGGAGTCGCAAAGCACGGGCTTTCCCTTGATTCTGTTTCAGATTGGGCATACAGTACGGAACCCGGTATATCACTGTGTCTATTGCTTCATACTATCTTTGAGGCTATTCCATCAGTGTTCTTCGCACCTCGACGGCGCCTGGAGACCAATACAACAGACATCATAATCGACCAAATGCAGTACTGATATGCATCCAATGATATCATTAGCGATGTATACCTCTACCTTGACTATCAAACCCTCATTCCTTAACAAACAGCAATCCAAGAAATCTTTTATATACCAAGTACAATCAAACAATGTAACACATAATATACAACATCCAACAACTATACAGCAACACCAATCCTATATTCCCAATCAAGAATCAAACACCTGCACATTCGGCATCCGCCCCAACCCACTCCCCCCGGTCTTCTTATTCTTCGCCGCATGGAACCCAGTGGCACTGTTATCCTGCACATGGGCCCTCAGCAGAGTCAAGATCTCCGAGTCGGCCCATCGTGTCGGAACGGGCCGGTATGCAGCCTTGAAGGCGCCGACTGTCTGCGTCCACTCACCGCTCTTGGCCCCGGTGCGCTTCCACGTCTCCGTCGGCGTGTCCGATGCCACGCCTTCGGCCTCCTCCGGCGCATCCTGCGTCGCCCAGTAGTAGATGTCCCAGTCGTTCTCGTCCAGGAACCGGTCGAACTCCTGGAGCTGCGCCTTGTCCATCTTGCTGAGGTAGACGTCCGCGAAGGTCGAAAGCAGGAGGTCCGATTCGAGGATGCCGCGCTTGCGACTCTGGTCTGGATTTTGTAGCTGTTAGCGTCTTGCTCGTTTTCGTCACAGCCCGCGAAGAAAGCGCGGTTAAGTCCGGACAAAGGGCAAAGGGTAAAAGGTAAAAGGCGAAGGTCAAGGAGAACTAACAGAGTAATCTCGCCCTCATCGTGGCCAGATCCTCTCCCGTCCGTTTCAGCGGCTCAACCTTAAAAGTAATCCCCTCCATCTCGCCGACCCCCAGCTCCGGCTTCTGCGCCCCGGGCTGCTGCCGACCGCCGGTGAAGTGCTCGACCTTGCCCGGGTACGGGTCCGCGGGTCTGTAGTTTGGATCGACCGAGTTCAGCATCTCGGGGGGCGCAGGCTTCTCGCCGACCTTGGGGTAGTCCTTGGTCATGGTGGAGGTGGAGTGGGGGACGAATTGGTTAGGGGGCTTGGAGGTCTGGTTCTCGCGATGCTGGGCGGTCGTCGAGGCTGCGCTCGAGTCTCGTTCGCTGCCATCTTTTGCGCGGATTGCCGAGATGCCGAAGGAGCGACGGGGGAGGAGAGTCGTGGTCCGGATTGACGACGCGGAGGGGCGCAGGATGGTGTGCATGAATCGTGGGGCTGACATGGTGACTTTTCCCTGGTGGTTTTTGGTCTTGGGATATTGGGAAATCTGGGGAGAGGAGGGAAGGCGAGACTAGAGCTGGGGAATGGCGAATAGTTAAGCTGTCGGAGCCGATGAATAATTGACGGGATTGACATCATCCGGAGGTAAACTGTTTGCGGTGTTTGCATGGACCAACCAAGCTATGCGGATTTCAAAGATGAACTTCAGTAGTTCTGGAGAATTGCAATCAGTTTGACGCCATTTTTTCTTAATATTTGGTATTTCATCCCTCCTCTAGCTCGGGATTGGAAAATTCTCCTTGGTCCATCAAAACAGGTGTCTAAATCGGTGAATACCCTCAAACCGTCCTACATACTATACATCGCTAAATATCATACCCATTCTCGGTATATAATTCATAGGATCATAAGTATTCAAACAGTGTAGCGTGAGATACATCCGAGACTACATAAGGTCGAAAGAAGACCAACTCAACTCGGCGTAAAATGCATTGTAGAACTCCGTATTTTGTCATGAAGAAATGAAAACAAAGAAGCAACAAACAGCATCAAGCCGCCTTCTTCTTCTTCCTCCAACCGACAGAAACCACGAACGAGAAAGGAAAAGTCTAGATTAGATGAGATGCTTGGATCTGGAGAAATAAAGCCGTTAGTTGCGATTTTCTCATCCCAAATGAACCGGATAGGACAGAAAAGAAGACATACCTGAAGTAAGCCCTCAGATAAACGACCTGCCAAGCACCCAGTCCAACCAGCATGCCCATCGTTCCGAACGCAAACCACTTGACACGCTCGTTGGTGCTCTCGTTGGTATCGCGCAGCTTCTGCTCACGGGCCCGCAGGTACTCCATCTCGCTGACCACCTCGGCGACCATCTCCTCCATGCGACGGAGATCGGTCTCGATGGGCTTGAGCTTCTCGTGGGCCTGGATGCTGGACCAGTCACGGGCGTCGGCGCCGATGTCGACGTCGAGTTCGACGGACCGGTAGGGGTTGGACACGCCCTCTGCGAGAACCGTTAGATATGAACGTCCCGGAAAGAGCAGACGAGGAAAGACAGCTCCGAGGGCGTCTCGGATGCCATTGTCAAAGGGGACAACTTACGTCGGGTGGTAAGCTGGTTGTCGAAGCACACGTCGAAGGAAGTGTCCTGGGGAGGAGTGAAGGTCTGGCGAGTCTCTCCGACGATGTTCCTGGGGCGACCGTGTTCGTTGCCCAAGGAATCCTTGATCTATATCCGACAAGAAGATGTGTTAGCGAAAAGAAAATAAAAATAAAAATAAAGAACACCAAGAGCTTCATCATCCAACGCCGATCCCAGAAAACAAAACAACCAACAACCAACACCACTCCAATTCCACCCCCAGCACATAACCATCCAGGCGAAATCACCCTCACATACCTGCATGTTAACCTCCTGGCCATCACCCTTGGTACCGCTCACAATGGCAGTCACCACGACCAGCTGGTCCTTGTGGGCGAAGTTGCGTATACATCGCTCATTCTTGCCGCTAACGGCGGAGAGGTCGAAGTGCAGAGCAGACGAGAGCTGGACCAGACACAGGAACAAAAGACCGAGGACGGACCTCATTGTGAACGCAGACCCCATGGTCGAGTGGTGAATTGTCGCGGCGGTCGACACTGGTGTTCTGGGGGATTGATTATATGGGACAGCGGCCCATTGATGCCACGCCGCGCTCAAGGGGATCTTCCCGGTGCGCCCGGAGGATCGTTGTTCCGGCCAACTTGGGCCACGCGTTTTCAGATAGATTGGTTGGATGCATGGAGTGGTGGACACATGTTCAGAAACCAGAATATTTACTTTGACTTGGGTTTTCTATTTGGTGAACAAATATGGTAGAGTCAAGAGAATTCATTGTGGACAGATATACTAGTCCGTCCGGGCCTAATCCGGCAATATGAAAATAGAGTCACCAACAAACAAATCCCCGTAGAAAGCCGCCAATTTATCCCATGGTATTGATAGAAGAAAAAAGAGGAAAGGTAAACACACTCGGTGTATTACCACTTTTGATATCGAAAATCAGAACAAACAATTCCAGCGCGAGTAATCCCCCAGGAAAAAAAAGTCACAAAATGGAGTATAGGAGAAGATGAAAAAAAAAAAAAAAGGTAACCAAGCCTATACGGCCACATCCAATATAAGAGATCCAAAAAGAATTAAAAACAGGGAGACGGGAGTATCACTCAGGGATATAAACACAAAAGGAGTTCGTCATACGGCTCAGAACGCTTTCAAAGGACACACATATCATCGCCAGCATATAGCAATTTCGTGTTCGCAACGTGTCAAAACAGGAAGGAGATCTCAAACGAATGAGTCAAAAGGAGAGAGGAAAAGGGAAAAAAAGAATGTAATGATTCGTAAAAGTCCGTCAGACTTCAACCTTCTTTCGACGCACAAACAGACGAGAGAAGCCACTGCCTGATTCCTTGGTCTTGCTCTTAGGACCAGGTGGTGGGGTGCGAGTAACAGGAGGCTCGGGAGGACCAGTGCTTCTCAGGAAATCAGCCAGTGCACTGGTCTCTGTTTGCCGCTCGGAAACGGAGGGCAGGTTGTAAGAGTTCGACCTCGTTCCATTCCGCTCCATGCCAACCTTGGTAGTGTAGTTTGCGGCAGGAGGGTTGACAGGTGTTGGCTGTGGGCGGAGGGAGTTTTTAGAGGATTTCGCGGAGAGAATTCGCGCCTTCATGGAGGATGCACCACCGGAGGGGGCTTTCGCAGGTGGTACGTTCATGCTGAACGGTTGCGGAGGCCCACTTGTATCGGGTGGCGGAGGAGCACTAGCCAAGAAATCCATCAGGCTCTCCTCCTCGCGCTTGGGAGGCTTTGGACCTTCCAAGAGCTCCTCAAGATCCTCGTCGTCATCGGAATCGATGGCGTAAGGGTCAGGCACCCGACGCTGTTTCCGTGCGGGGCGAGGGTCGTCAGATACACCGACAGGCTCCGGTGCCACCTTAGGAGGTGGTCTAGGAGCGCTCGTGGGCGCTGGGGCCCGGTTTGAAGAGTCCAACAGGCCCGTGCGAGAACCCACCGAAGTCACAGACTTCGTAGCAAAGGATTCATCCTGTGTGCTAATGATCGACGGGGCATGGTTTTCTGAGTAACTGTGCTCGAAAGACTGCAGGTCGTCCGAATCCATAGTATCACGGAAAGGGGCAACAGTGCGTGGGATGCGACGAGCTCCAGCAGTCGGAGGGCCCTCCCGAATGAAGTCAATCAGATCGGAGCTTTGATCTCCCTTGGGAGCTATGGCCGGGCGGGCTTGCAGTCGGGGAGTGGGAGGAGCAGCATGAGCACTGCGACCGGAGTTTGAAAGAGAGCTTGGGGGTCGAGAGAACTTCTTTGAGAAGTCCGCCGCATCAGAAAACCGGCGGATGCGGGACTTCATGGTGTTGGGACTTGGAGGTCCGTTGGGTTTGATCGAGTTGGCGAAATCGCGAGCCGATCCGATACTGGCCTTATTCTCACGAGACGGTCCTGCATTCGGTCTCGATGGCGGCAGGCTCATGTTCGAAGTCTGGAGAGGTTTGTATTTGGCCTGGTCGGAGGATTTGGTTTTGAATATCGATGGGAGATTCGCTGGACCTTTCGCGGTGCTGGAAGTTCCAGGCCGGGGGGAGGTAGGGGGAGTAGTGTTTTTCAAGAAATCCGCCAAATCAGCGGTGCTAGATCGCTGATTTTGCCACCGCGGAGAATCAGGTTCCTAATCAAGTCACCATCCAGGCACCAAAAGTCAAAATCTCCAAACAAATCAAGTAGGGGAAGACTCAATGGCGAGAAGAAAAAAACGTACCTCAATCTCTCGCATGTTCCTTGGGGTCAAGGTGAAATGGATCGTCTCCTCGCTGCGGATCAAATCATCCAAGCCCGCTGGTTCGTCGTTCAACGAGTCGGTACCCCTGCCTGTTTCAGACGAGCTGCGCAGTTGAAGCGAGTTGGGCTCTCCCTGTCGAACAATCAAGCCCTTGATTCTGGTGGAGACCTGCGACGTGGTGGAGCCGGCCGTTACGGGACGCTTATCGCGGTTGCTGCTGAAGCTTTCGGACCGGCGAGGCTTGGGGTTCGAGTAGCTCGACGAGGCTGCAGAAGTGGTCGGTCGCCCTGACAGTCGCTGAACGGCCGCCCGTTCGGTGCCTGAGCTGGCGGTGGACACTGCCGGGCTTGAGCGCCCGTAGGGAGATTGTTGATGAACACTGCCGCTCCGCACGGGCAACGGTCTTTGACGCACGCGCGAACGCTCGGAGTAGGCGCTCTCGGCAGACGACGGTGGTCGGGGGGATTTTTCCTCGCTCGTGTTGTCGGTCGAGAAACGAGGCTGAGGGGTAACAGGGTCCGGGGAAGTCAAATCCGTGTCAGAAGCGCTCGACGCATCGGTGCTGACGGCGGGTTGCGCCGGGGTGGAGATCCCCCCTTGCGTCGGGGGCGGATTTTCGGCCACTGGCTGCGCCGTCTGCTCGCTGCTGACGCCTGCAGGAGTCGACGACCTGTCGATTCTCTGCCGGGGCTCCCTGCTCGATTTTCGTCGCGGCTTCTGCACAGAGGCCAACCTGGGCTTCTCGGCCGTTCCTTGTCCCTCGATGATCTCAGCCTCCGAGTCCGGCTGATTCCGGTCACTCAGAGACGAGGCTCTCGTGCTGTTGGCCTGGCTTGTCACCACTTCGACCGACGCGCCGGAGATCGACGAGGTGGCGGCTGTATCGTGCGATTCTTCGGGGAAACTGTCCGTCTCGGACTTCTTCGTAGGCGATTCTACTGAGGGAGAAAGCACCTGCTCCGAGGATTCCACAGCAACGGCTTTCTTCTCAGCAGTGGACTCGTCATCTTCGTCGTGCTCGTACATGGTCTCCAGATGTCGTCGCTCTTCTGACGAAGTGGGAGACGGCTGTTCATTGGTCTGTTCGACTTCAGGAGCCTCCTGGGGCAAGGGGGCGGTGGCACTGGGCAAGGACCGCGACCGAGCATGTCGGGGGGTTTTGGCACTCTGCGGCCGGGGTGAAATCGGCGAGCTGGGAGACCGTGGTGAGGGCAAAGTGAGCACCATCAGACTCCGAGGTCGCACTTTGTGCGCCACAACGGCTTCCATGGTCTGGATCTCACCGCCATCCATATAAGGCACGAAACCGGGAACTTCAATTTCTTGAACATCGTGCGCGCCCACGGGAAGCGCGATGGAAGCCGGATCCACGTCCGCCGGAGACTCTGGCCGCGGACTCGGCTGTGAGCGTGGCGGGAGGAACTCGTCCACCGCCAGACTGCCTCGCCGGCCACCTACGGGCAGGTGGCCAACCGTGCCGCGACGTCGAATTGATTCGCGAGACACCGCTCGAGACAGGTTGGGGGAGCGCGTGCGCTTCCTCCAGGTGCGCCAGAGTCTTCCCAGGGTCGGGTTCAAGGCCAGCTTCTCCATGTCGAGATCTTCGACGACTAGACGATCCATGGTGCTTCGTTCGGCGCCCGATTCCGTCTCTTCGCCGTCGACTTTGCTCGACAGTCGAGATCGAGCCGTTTCGCCCGCGATCACCAGGGCCTTCTCGCCGAGGTATTCAATGATGTGGGCCATGAAGATGGCGGCAGCCGGAGTGATGTAACCGATGTGGCTGGAAAATCTCCGGGGCCCATCTTCATCCTCGCCCAAACCGTCCTGTTCGATGTATTCCTCCTCGTCGTCTTCCTCCATATCGCCTAGTCGAGTGTACACCATGCATCGCAAACGGGTCAATTTCCACGACCGGATGAGATCGAATTCGGCACTAGGAGTCTGGTCGCCAAACTGTTCGTCTTCGGGGCCACCCATGTACTCGCTGAGCTCTTCGTCTGCGGCCGATACCACTTCCTTCGCCAGACGAGGCTTGAGAACCTCCGCCACGGCCGGTCGAATGCAGGCCAACTGGGTGGACTTGGAAGCGGCGAGAATATTGAAAAGAAGGTGGTCGAGGAACCCGTTCAGGGCGGAAAGGGCTTCAGTGGTGACGAGGGCGCTGGCGCAGGAGCCATCATCCTCTTCGTCGGCCACGAAGTCTGCGGCGTTGAACTCCTGGTCGGCAGTGACGATCTGGGCGGCGGCGGAAGATGCGATGAAACACGGAGCCGGGTTCACAAAGGGAGGGACGAGGAGATGAAGTCGAGGGAGTTGAGAGTCGCTGGACATGCTGGTGCTGCGCGAGCGCGAGACCGTCCTCCCCAGATCGAGGGACTCGGGTCCTTTGCTGAGCTGCATCGTCGCCATATGTGAAGATCACATACAGTGACCGTAGGGATTTTTCTTTCTTTTGTTTCTTCTGGTCGTGGGAGTATTCAAAGAGAATAAAGAGAGTCGAGCAGATGTTGTCTTTTTCTGTGAATCGCACTTCGAGAAATTCGAGCAGACCTAGGTCATCCTACAAGCATGAAAAGCCAAGGACTTCTTTTCGTCAGTCAGCCTGAATTTCTAATGACACAGCCCGTTTGGGGGCGCTTTCGCCTTCTCATGCATGCAGGGAGTATTCTGCCCCAGACGAGTCTGACGTTTTCAATATGACTGCATCCGAGCCAAGCCCATTGGAGCGAGAAAGAAGAAAAAGAAATGAAAGACGAACAGGGATCTAACGGATGACCATGCAGGCCGGTGTGTTGGAGTTGGTGGCGGTGATGGGGGACAAAAAGCAGCAGTAAAGAAATCGGAAATACAAGGAAAATAAAAATCAGAACCAGACGTACCTGTGTAACGATAATCAATCAATGGATCGCTTGGCAAAATCGGAACTGTTCGCAAGCAGATTCAAATTCGCATCATTTCGTCGCAAGGCCAGTACCGTGGGAATGGATCCAAGATCAATCAAGACCTCCAACGCAGTCCAGGGGAACGGGTCAGTAGGAAGTTTCGGCGGACGGAGCGAAAGAACAGGAATAACCGAAGGAGGGTGTGATAGAGTTGGACTAGGTAATCTTATTATCCTTCGCGCATCGAGTGAAGACCAGAAGGAATGGGGATTGTCAAAAGAGAGGAGAGGGCGAGAAGGAAAGAGGGCGAATTCAGGAGTTGGCCTGGAGATGTCGACAGACCGTCCGACGTCCAAGCTCATATGAATCTGGTACAATTCCTTATTGGAATGAATATTATAATAAGAATTATTTTTTTTATTATTACTATTTTCTCTGGCTGTCTTCTACTACCGAGTACTAAGAAGCTCACTAAGTCACTAGCGACTTGCAGAGTCAGGAGACAAGTGGAGCCCAGGTACCAGATAGCGTACCTTTTTTTCTGGAGTTGGTGGACTTCGGGACAACAAATGAAAGCCGTCGCGAGTGCCCGGAGTGGATAGGGGGGCAACTTGGGACCGGATCTCAATTGGAGAGCGGGTGAGGGCGACGGCAAGAGAGACATGGACAGAGACATGGGCCTCAAAGGATGATGTCCGTTGGGATCCCAGGAAGGAGGAAGTCCGTGGTCCGTGGTCCTGATGGTATTTCGCTCGTTATCTATCCGTGTCCATTGCGTAGTGGCTTCGGGACATCCGTGTCGGTCAAGTCTCAGAAGGCAGCACGAGTCGAGATCCGGAGTTTCACCAGGCACGAGGGACTCCTGATCGACATTGGCCTGGTCTTGCCACAAGGTCTCCAATGACGACGCCCCATGGCCCGGAGAGGCGATAGCGTTGCAGTTAAGCTAGCGGGGAATCCATGGGAGCGGCGAACCTCCGATTCCAATGGTCCTCAGAAATGGGAACGCGAAAAAGGGATTGAAAGGAAGGTTCCCGACGAGGGGCAGATCGGAGGAAAAACCAAGGATAAGGGAAGGACAGAACGAAGGAACCGAAAACCCAAGAGAAAAAGGATGCCGATCTCAGACGCAACACTAACGACGCCGACCCCACCGCCGCCAAGACCGGCCAACCCTAACCGGTGGTGCTAAGCCGGAATGGGCCAGAAAAGGGGGCCAGGATGTGCCGAGCGACCGGATGCCTGAGGATGCCCCTGCCTTGTAAGTTGTAACAACTACCTACTAGTACTAGCAGCGAACTCGAACCCTCCGACAATGCAGTCATCTACCTGACACTCCTCCATGCACGCCGATGCATCGGGCAATCCGGGCGGAAATTATGTCAGATGCCTCCCAAGGCGTCCCTTCGCCAGGCGGCCACCTAAAATCTCTGGCGTCCCAAACTTCGGCTTTCCATCCCCTCGGATTTGGAGTCCTCCGCCCAAACTTAGTTTTACCACTATTGAATCCGCCCGGGATTTCTGGTTGGACTACAAACTCGGTATACGGACGTTGATCCACCTCATCCTCGCTCGTCTTTCCTGGCCCTTCGAGAATCACCTTATTTGTTTCCAAAATGTCGTTTGACGTCCATGGATTTCTGGTAGCTGGTCCGTTTTGACCGTTGTGAACATTATCTGATGGGGCTGGGCGAGTTTAATTATTATCTTTTTTTCTTCTTCTTGCGTCGTCCATCAATTAACGCGCAGAGGAATCAAGAAGAGAACGTGAGGAGTACTCCGTAGGGAAAGAGGAAAAGTAAATCTCCCCTTCCCCCAGGTCGAATTCTCCGTGCATCAGAGCGATCTCCCACTTGTCAGGGTCGATCACCCATGATGTGCCCTCAGCACCCACCACCATCTCCAGGATATACGAAGCTAGGCCACCGTCCGACAAATAACCACGGAGCAGCGACCATCCCTTTTCCCTGATCGGAGGGCCAAATCAAATCCATCCCGACCCCGGGACCGTGTTGACGCAAACCTACGAGGTTCTCCCTATCGCGGTCTAATTTCGATCCCAACTATTAGAAATCCTCTGGGTTCAGCTAAATTAACTCATTTTCATTCCATCATCGCACCTTCGCAAGCCTTGTCCCTTCCGGCAAGGCGCGCATGTGCATACGGAGTAGACCATAGATAGCATAGCGGATCGCGGACGGTCGCCATCGGCATCAACCACATCTCGCAACTTCGAGTCCAATCTCAATAATCATTAATGTCTCGGGTAAACCCCCGGGAGTTTCTTCCATCCTCATTCGATCAGCCTCTGCTCTGTAAAATGTAGGCCAGTTGGACGCGGTCGCAGTGGGCCAGGGGGACCCATGTGGTCTCTGATCCAATAATCCCAGCACCGAGTCAGGGCGACCAGCCGTTCCTGGACCAATCATTCGGCTGTCGGCCATCATGCGCGCTTCTCCAGCTGAGCGCGAGGAATGCGTTCGTGGCTCATCACCGATCTATTGAGCGGGGAATCGACGCGGAACCATGGTTGAGGTGGCTTCGATGGACCCGACCTGGGAGTGTGTCTGAGTGGCCACTACTACTGGCCTGGGTGGATCGCGAGTGAACGAGGCTGATCGCTGGATGTGGTCGCATCGGGCGAGGTTACGTGCATGCAGCATAATCTCGACTCCGATGCGCGGGCAGGAATTCCGTGGGAACATGCATGCACGGGGGTGGGTTAATATCGGATCTCAGCTGAGCTCAGCTCGTCTGTGCTACGCCGTACGCGAGGGTGTCGGGTGGAAGAGAAAACAAATAAACACTTAACAAAATAAAATAAAAACGCGGTTGTCTGTTTCCGTTTGATGACTCCTAATCCAGAGTTAATAATACGAATCCTAATGTTCATTAATTGAACATAATCCCAACGCCTCGCATCGAGCATTGCCCTATTCCGGTCTAGACGGCCGCCGTCCTTTGTCTCTCCATTCTCTCCTTCTTGAAATAGTATCTATCATCACTCTCGAATCATGCACCCCGTCGGACACGGGCGGCCTCGACTCAGGTTCAATTCAATAGTGCCAAAGATAAATGTCAGTCGATAGTGAATTCTCCGTGGGCGGGAATGGCCTGCATGAGAGCGCTCCACCGACTAGGCACGGAGGATAATCATATAATGGAGAGATGAAACTAGAATCACCCCAGAATTCACATCCTGACTAGCACCGTTTGGTATTAATTAAGAGTTTTATTTTTCTTTTGTCTTTTTTCCGGTGCGTAAAAACTGAAATCCAAAATGATAAAAATCAAGCCCACACGGGAACCCCGCTGAAGCCCTATCGAGTCTGCATAACAATCCCTCAGTGCGTAAGCCGTAAAGGGCATAAATAAATTGAACATCTGCTACCTGTGATTCTACAGTAATGATAACTATGTGTACCTGCAAAGTATCTATCCCAGAAAAACCAACTCCACTCATCCTCACATAGGGGCTAAAAAAAATCAAATCAAAATCAAAACCCACCCAAATAATGAGCAATGAGCAATGAGCAACCCGATCCTCTGCAATATTAAAAAATATCCCGCATCCCGCATTTGAATCAGGACGTTCTCGTCCAATCCAACGGTCTCCGTACGACCTCGCAAGTCGCAATCATGAAATAATATCATGATCGGCGCACGGCTCGGATTTCCACGCCATGTTTATTCCGCCGTCCGCCTGCATGCATGATGTCCTGCCGTCTCCACTTCCTGCATCTCGACGGTCGAGACCGAGACTCTTCTGCCTGCCTCCCTGGATGTGTCAGCGTCTTTGTGTCATTTGCCAGCGTGCAGACAAGAGTCTCCGGTGGGATTCCGAAGCCACCAGTTACAGGCCCCCCTTCTTTGTTTCATGTCGAGGGTGTCAGGGATGAGGGTTTGGTGGTGAAGGGTCTCGATCGATCGAGGGAGGGATGGCTGCAGATGGGTTGTGTACGCCCGGGGCAGATGTCCGTGTTCCCGGTTTCGTCTCTGTGATCTGATCGGATTGTGTTACTGGGATGGTTGGGGTCGGATGTCGCCGGGGCTAGGTGTCGTTTGTGTGACGTGACTGCGTTGGCGACTTGGGATATAGGATGGATGAGAGTGAGCTTTTTCATGTGCCAGTTATTTATTGGCTTGGTGCTCGCTGCTTATGCTTTGCTGGTCATGTCATCCTATTTGGCTCGTTTTGCCCGGCTTCTTCGGATGTCTAACGGGGAACGGGCGATGTTTTCTTGGGGTTTGAAAGATAGGTGAGTGAAACAGTCAGTAAGAGGTGCTGACCTGCCTCAGGACTATATGCTCATCGATACGTCGGGGAAGCCACCATATCGCCCGCCGTCGAGCGAGTGATCGATGGAAGTGGGTGAGTACTTGTAAAGCTGCAAGTAGTGAGTGACCAAGTGGCGGTTTCGGTGAGCTATTCTTGTTGAAGAGCAGACTCCAGATTAGATTGGACTGGTTGCATTCGATTAGAAATCCACCAATATTTCCCTATGGGAGGGCGCATCGTCAAAGATTTCTGTAGAAATATCCCCATACCTTTTTCGGTTTATGTCGATGTAGTCATGGTATTTTTATGCGTTCATCGTGGTTTATGAGCATGTGCATTATAGCGGGTCCTCACATGGTATGTGCTATCCGCATAACAAGACTTTTATTTAATCTCAATGGATTATCAGAAGTATGAGTGGGTTCCGTTTATCTGGATTGATCACGTGCACGCTCCTATGGAGAAGAGTAAAGGGCCTTTGGAAACATCGGAGTTGATTCTATGAGATACTTATATATTTTGATGCTGTATGGCCCAACTGTCTCACCCCATCTAGGTATGCTACTTGGCTGTCCTTGTATTAGAGGATTCTGGAAATACCAGTCAAGACCTTGAATCTATTTATCTTTTTTGGTTAATTTTTATTTCCGAGTGGACGATCAGATGAGCATGACAATCCCTTGGTTATAGTTATATATTGGTTTATTTATAGCTTCTTATTTATAGTTCGAGTTGCTTGTAGCCGGTGCATTCAGGAAGTGTGCGGAGTACTCTCGGGAAAGATCTCCTGAACGATGACGAAGCTGATAGGCTCTGCTTGTTATCCTAGCTAGTTTTATTCTCTAATTCCACGAGTATATTTTGCTCGGGCCAAGAACATCATCTTATTCAACGGCAAGAAATTCGAAGCCTGTATGTTGAGTATACCAACACCGTATTTGACGAGACCCCCCTAACACAAATCATATATTCCAAATCACCGTTTTCCACCATCCCTGAGCTTCAAATCTTCTAAAATTGCTGAAGAATAAAACCAGTTATATCCCCAGCATCTTATCACCCTCCAGCGCACTAGTCAACACAACCGACCGGAGTGGGTCACCCAGGGCCCCCGTATTGCACCACCTTTTCCCCCAACTGTCCTGTCCCTGACAGATGACAGCGACACTTGGCCTGACGCATCCATTCCCAACCGAGCAGACTCCGTCAGGGTCTTACTTTGACTTCACGATCCAGCACGCTATCAGCCAAACTAGTGGCCGCTAACTAACCCATCAGCTGACGTCAACCCCGAGATCGTGGCCCTCCGAGCCTCCGAGTGACGAGGAAGTTAGTTAGACGATGGGTCGGGCTCCAGTCTCTAGCCAAATAGAGCCGCTATTTTTAGTCGCATCCCCCGGCTGCCACTGTAAGCCCGGTAAAAGGGTCTTTGGGCCGATTGTTTGCGTGATGGATATATATTGGTGATTAAATCCGTTGGCTGGTCGTTAAATAGGATGTTAGTGCTGTGTTAGGTTGGTGGTGAAATTTGTCGCGCTCCTGGGTTGTGATTATAGACTTGCTGAGTATTAGCTGGTCTACTTAGTTGCTCGGTGATATCCACTCCAATCGCTTCAATGTCAGGACTACTATACGCCTCAGGAGGCCGAGGCCTTCTGCGCTATTTTTTCCTTCACGGGAGCCACGAACGAACCAGCTTTCCCGACCAAGTAGAAGTTGAAGCCAATGTCGTGAGCTTTGCGCGCGACGGCAGGGTGTATGTGTCCTATCCTGTTTTTTGTATTGCATATACGATTCTCTGCCCAGCGCATACTAACATTGCTCATTCCAGCATATCCGGCGATAACAACGAGCCCGTATCCCAGCGATACTGCTTCTTTAATGGAACTATGACCGATACGGACGGTCAAGCGCAGGCCCTGGTTCCTGCTAGGGAGCTCGTCGAGACGCTTCTGAAGAATATTAGCGTTCCTGCTTTGGTGTTGGTGGAAGTGCCTACTAGGTGAGTGTTCCTAAGCTCAGAATGGTTTTACTATCTACCTAGATAGATAGTAAGTATCCAAACAGGCCAAAGTAACCGTACTAAGACCCAGCAAGTGAACAAACACAATCGCAATCGCAACCAACCTCCCAAGAGACGAATACTGAATCCACCGACTCATGCTTCTACCTGTACCTCCCCTTCCCTTCCCATTCTCCCAACCCAACACACTCAACTAACCCAAACACAGCGCAATCTCCGTCCTCGGCCGCAGCGACCTCCGCATCTGCGTCGGCGAAGAGCGACGCTACCTGGCGTGCATGATGCGCGTGTTCGCGCCGCGCTTCACCCAAGCCATGTCCCAACGACGCGACGAGTATCTCCCGGGCGACGCGCAGAACCTGAGCAAGGAGATAGCGCGGGATATGGGCGCGTCGATAGCTGACACCGCCGCCGCTACCACCAGCAGCAGCGAAAGGGAAGAAGAGGAGGAGGAGGATCTGCTCAGTTTCTTGCAGTTGTATCGACAGCGGTATTTGGGGAAATCGGTCACGGGGAACTTGGATATCTTGGAGGCTTGTTTGGTGCATGTTTTGAAGATGCCGTTTGAGTTGGCGTCGTCGGTGGAGCAGGGGTTGATTCGTTACTGAGTAGGTATGGGTGTTTGAGAGGGGGGGAGGGGCTCGGTTGCTGAATTTGATTGCTTCTTGTAGATATTAAACCGAAAGTCCGAGACCAGCTACATACAGCACATATCTTCAGTATGCCACTTCCATTCATCCTATCTAGGGCGCCCGGGAAACCTTGGTCGGTATGTTGCATCACGCCAGTGTGCCTGACGACAGGGTATGGCAGAGTGCCTCTTCCTTGGATTTATTTATCTTCGAAAGGCCACGCTTTCTCCCACAACCTCCGTTCCTCGGGAGTTCTCGATTCCCGGTCTAAAAACCTCTGTTTGGAAAGACTGAGTCTCCTAACAACCTCATCATAGTCGCCAGGAGACACGGCTCCATTCCAACCAGTATACACTCCTACTTCATCAATCACTCGCGCTTTTCTCTCGAGGTCTTTCTCCCATTTGGCGTACTCCTCGCCCTGGCGCGTTAAGTCCCGTCCTGTGTAGTTCAGCGGGCACGGGACACTGGGATTACCGTGATCATCCTCGCCAACGACCTGTCTCCAGACCTCATCTCTCGCAACAGTCGCGAGAAGCTTTTGGACATGTGGCTCTCCGTCGTCGAATATTGCCCCCACTAGGCTTAATAGCTCGAATTGCAAGGTTTCACGATATTTAAACGCATGGACTAATTCCGGGGCTTCCTTGTAGACTTGCGTCTCGTAGTAAAGCCAGAGGGTCTGTGCGAGAAACAGCTCCCCCGCAGCTTTTTTGTCTTGCGGATCAAACTTTTCGATGTTCTCCGGAAGTCTGGGCTGAACGAACCGTTCTGGCTTTGGACCGTCGTAGTCTATAAGAGAAGGATGATGGGCGATGAGAAACACCGGGTAGATAGGGACGGCTTGCCAGTCGATGATGCTAGTTATTTTGGTAGGACTATCTTCGTCGACGAAGACATTGTCCGTGTGTAGATCGTTGTGCCAGATGATTCCTGCATTGAGTCCATCATCCTTTGGGAGGAGATATAGGTATACCGTGAGAAAGTCTTGTAAAACAGACAGCTTTGCTTCTTTTGTGGGATGATAACCACCAGGTCCGCTGAAGATACCTTGTTGATAGGCTCGAGAAAAATCCGAGAGTTCGTTCACACAGGCTAGCTCTCGCCTCGCCAACGCATTTATAATGGAGCTCGTGCTCGTCCCTTGTCAAGATGCGATCAACCTACTGTTTACTTCGGAGGAGAAGTGAAGGAGCTTACAGGGGCCTCTTTCAACATCAACCTCGCTTCTTCTATCGTCAAACCAAGATCTTCCTGTTGTCGGACCGATTGCGAAGGTGTCGTCCACTGCGATGCTTTCAGACTCTGAGATGTCCTCGCGAAGGTATAATGAACCGTGGAATGGAAACCTTGCTTTAGAGAGTGTGGAAGCGATGGAACCGATTTGCTTCACGATGGACAGTTTGTCACGCGGCTTCAGACTTTCCCACACGTGGCTAAGCTCGATACCTGGAGCCTTCTCCATGACGATATACTCTGAACCTAGCTCACTCTCCCCAGCCCGGGAACAGTAGGCGAGAACTCTAGGGACAGGAAGTTGAAGATCTGCCCTCGCCTTTGCAGATATTAGTCCAGATGCGCCATTGAGTTTTCTGGTTAGCTTATCACACAGGACTTCGCACATATTGCATCGTCGCCACTTCTGACGCCGTTGTATAATGACTCGGTCCGGCGTTCGGATTTGGGATCTTAACGACTAACTCCAGCCCGTCCTGCATGGTCACAAGGAACGCCTTGTTGAAGTTTCCTTCCGGTAGCTTCGAGACGTTGATGCAAACCGCATTGTTTCCGGCGGCTTTCTCTGCGATTCGAATGAGAGCATTTAGGTCAAATGAGACGTATCTGCTTCGTAGCTGCTGTGCTTCGTTCCAGATCCATCGCTGAGCCGAGTAGGCATAGAGGTCCTCTAAATCACAATCTAACAGCCAGTGAGCAGTGGACATTCATCAGGATCAAGAGATAATACCTGAGAGGTTTGTTTTAAAGCTTTGTCCTCTCCTAGTTATAGTGGAGAGTGATCGGCCATGCAAACGCGAACAAGTGGTAGTAATAGACATAAAAATTGAACAATTCCCGACGCGTAGTGGCATTTTGTGAACTCTCCTGGGAACGAAGGATTTGGGTAGTTGAGAATCCTGGCATTGGGCTTTATCTGTATCGAATACTCTCTCCTCCCCCTTGGTGTGGATTTGTTGGTCACACCCGACCTGAGAAAGGGCACAGACCGCCCGCTAACGCGAGTAGATGCAGGTAAAGCCAGGCTATTCGTTTTCAAGACGTGATTATAATGGGAAGCTGAACTTGAGTCAGAGACACGACAGGCCGCGAAATGAAAAGAACTAAAACGGGCGATTTGCCCTTGACTGGCTCTGGATGCCAAGAATGGTCACAAGCTATAGAAAAAGAGCTGCTAATTGTAGGGGAAAAAAAAAAACGCTCGAACTCGGGGACTAGAATGGTTCATGCGAAGTACTGCCTACCGAGAATGCCTGAATAATGGGGACCACTTGGATTTAAAAGATTCATATCATTGAACACTGAAATATGGAAGCTAAACCCCGCTAAAGCTTTTACAAATGTTTTATCGTAAGTCATACAAGAAAGTTCGTTTTCCCACCCTTTTCCCATTTTTTTGTTGTTTTCTATTTTCTGTGCCCGCCTGGTTGGTTCAGTGGATTGGTAGAATCCCCACTGCATGTTTAATGGCAGCAGACATAAGGCCTCCAATGCTCGATGGCAAAGCCAATACCGCCGGCGAAAAAGCTCAGCTCATCCGATCCGATGATGACATCGTCGGTGGCCAGTCTCTCCAAGAGGAGGTCCTCTATCTTGCCCGTTAAGTATCGATCAAGGGTTTCCGCGGCCCCAGGTAGCCGCTGTGTAAGCCCCTTTGAATCGCTGATAGTGACGAGGTCGTCCAGCTCCTCTTCTGTAACGAGGTTGCTAAAGCTTCCGAGGACGTGGTTCAAAGCCTGGTCGATGTAGATGTAGTTTGGCTCTTTCGAATCCAGGTATGGAGACTGGGTACGCCCCGCCCTGACCTCTTTGGTTCGCGCACGAAGGCGCGCCTTGTATTCAGGGTCTGCGATCCCTTGAATGCCATGCATGTATGCCGCGAATAGGCACTTGTCCACGTCGACCAGATCGCTAGGATAATGTTCGGGCATTTCTTTGATGCACTTCGAAATTTCAGCTTCATCGCTGTCCTTGTCTTCCGTGTTACATTCACGTGCAAGCAGCATCATTTCATGGCATGTCATTCCAGTCTGGGGCTCTTCGTCTTCGTCATCGGCGTCGGAGAAATAGGTCGCCTCATGATAGATGATTTCGGAGTTAAACCGAACACCGGGCGACTCAAAGGAGATGAAGGAACCGTCGAGTGAATCGACTCCGTCCTCTTCGCCGTATTCAGACATGATGTCGGATTCATCGGAGTCAGAAGCGTCCGTGTCATCCTCCCATGCCGTGACGTAATACATTTCATCGTCACTTTCATCGCTTTCGTCGTCGCTTGCATCAACACTTTCATCATCGCTTTGTTCCAAGAGATCATCCCCACTTTCGGATGTGATATCGGACGCATTGATGCATTCACCATCTGACATTTCATGTGATCCATAGCCAGACTCCGATCCATCTTCGGATTTGGCGCATGGTCTCTTCAAGATGGATTTCAGGATCGGACGAAGCGGGGCCTTCAAGGCAGAAGCAAGTGAATTTGGAGCAGGCAACTTGGTCGAGGTCATAGAGACCTCATCCGATGCATAGCAACTATCCTGGGAATGGATGGAGCATTCAAGGCGTGAGTAGGTCGAAGAGTAGGGTTCCCAGGACTGTCGGTCCATGTTTTTGGCATTCATTGTGAATGTCTGCAGGTTCCTGATTCGATAAGGCTTTCGTTGCCAGTTAATCTGAACTCGAGGACGATGTGCAAGGTAGGGATATGTAGCCGTGGAAATTTTTCGCCTGTGCTAACCTGAGCAACAAAGGCGAAGAGAAGTGGCTCTCTGGTTCAAAAAAGAAGAAACCGTGCTGTTTGTGATTTTTTTGATAGAAGATTGGCTTCGAACGCCTCCGACAAACCGGTGGGTATCCATATCGAAGCAAAAGCGTGAACAAAGTAGGCACTTAGTGGAAGGCGAGGAAGCCCTCGGAGGGATAAATCTTCTGGCACATTTTTGATAATATCACTTCGAAATCTGATTTGAGTTTGAAAAATTGTTGCACATGCACTTCTGCTGGTGGTTGTGGACCTCCCCAAACGAAAACAACTCTTTCGGCTCCTTTCTTCTGATCGCAACGATGGATTTTCCGATGTTATACATATGTATCGTCGAGTCTCTCGTGTGATCGGATCTTCTTGTAGAGGAGGGAGTGCTGAAATGAAGGCACTTTCGCGACGCGTGGGGTCCTAAATAGGAAATCGGCACGTCTTCCCAGGTCACGATGGACCAAGGCCTTTTGAGTAGGGTTCGAGTGCTTAATTCGCGTAGATCGACCGCGAATGATGGAAAGCGACCTGGTTTTATTGAGTCATACCCACTTTTCGTGGGATGTGTGGATGATTTCGGCGGGGGTGCGAGGGGTAAGGATGAAAGAGTACCGCTTTCAGTCAGGTCAGAGTCTGGACGAGATGTTCAAAACGCTGATGTGATGTAGTACAAGACGAGTGTGGGTAGATGGATATGAAAATGCTATAGTGGTATGACAGCACCTTTTATAAGCGCTGGAGAGAGAGGAGAGAGCAAGAAGCAGGCGACTCCCGGTGACAGCCTGACTTTGAGTAAGATTTCCGTCATCGTCAGCGACTTTGCGGCAGTTGCCTCTTCCCGCGGCGTTTCTGTCGGCCCGGGGTTCGCCGTGTTGCCCCGGGAGGTTTAGCGCCTCCTGGTTCGCTTCGCTCGTCGAATCAGCGGACGTCATGCTGACTAACGGCCGTGGATGTTTCCGGATTCTTCCAACTTCCGTCCTCCGGCTGGTCAGCAGATCGGCTTTCTGGAAGCAGCCTGAATGGACGACTTATTCATTCTGTGCAGATCTTGATTGTTGGCTAGATCAATCCAATCCGTCACTATTGACAATGCTAAGACCCTTATACTTCTACAAATGACAATGAAGCGAAGAGAAATTTGCATATCCCATAATGAATCCCTTGTTTGACATCCAGGATTCATCCGATTCTTTGGATAACTCTCCTAGATGCAGCATCCCAGCGACACAACCAATGACCACTTAGGACATATCTGCTCTATTGAGCGCGTGATGAAATCATTCAAGCCCTAAAAGCGACCATAGAGCGGCCACTACGAATGGTACAAAGATCATACTGTTTTGCTTGAGAATATGGTCCGCCGGTAATAACCAGCAGATCTGGGAGCAGAACCGCAGAGCCTATACCCTGTAACGCCCAAGCAATGTCAAAGAATAAGAGGGGTTCCGTAACGGCACTGCAGCCAAAGACGAGAGCGTTTGGAGGCATACAGTCTACCACATTTTCGTCAACGAGGATGAGCATACACGCCTATCATTCAAAGCACCCAAGTGCCAGACCATCCGGATTGTCTCGGCCAATCCTTGGTTATATTTTGCTTGACCATGTTTAAAGGATTCAAGATGTATTCAAGGAGCCTTGGACGAATAATCGCCTTGAAAAAGGCAAATAGGAGACACATTCTTGGATCCATACGGTGGCTTTTGGCAATACACGGAACGTTGGTTTGCGTCGTTGAGTCTCAAACGTCACGTCAGACAGATGGGATAATATTATGGTTTGAGGTCCTATCCAGGGTGTATTTGCACTGATCTCTGCTTGATAAAGACTGGAACGACTCGGTCTCAGTGTCCTGCCAGCCTTGAGAAGAAACTGTGTATTCCGACATCTCGCGCCCGCTTTCCCTCAACTGTGACCATGCCTTTAACAAACACAAATCATACTTCGTACAGAGTAGACAGAACAGGACAGAGTCGATCCGTAGTGGGTCACAAGTGGGACTGGGAGAGAGCACCAAGCACCCGGTCAGAATTAGACTGATTTTTTGTGGGGTGATAATTGATATAGATGCCAAGCTGATTTACAGACTCAATAAATTTGGTTATTCAGATTATCGGAACGCCCAAGACGTGTTATCAAAGTTGACTGCATGTCCAGGGGCTTCGTGATTCCTCATTTCACTGCCGTGGACACATACTACCGGCAAACGCTCTCACTAAAAAGAAGTCAGCCGAAAATGGGATCGAATAATATGCTGCTACTCATCCTGTATGGTCTGGAGGGTTGGTTCTTTTACATTTGATTGGCACTTGCACTCTCGAGAATAAAATTCCTATGCTGCTTCTGGACAGCCTACTCCGGAAGTCTTAGTTTTGTCAAAGCATTACTATACCGGACTTTCTACTCGGCTGAAAGAGTGACTTCTTGGAGACTTGTTTCCCTCAAGCCAGTTCTCGGCTATACTACATCCTGTAACTTGCACTATATGAACAGCAGTATGCCCATTAATTGCTCAGGGTGTGGTTACAGACGCCAGCATGCAAGAGGTGATTACGTAACATAGGTCATCCCAAAACGGCATTATCTGCAGGAGCCACGACGGACTGCAGAATTTCAATTTCTACCCAGTCCGACCGATGTGATTGTTTCTGCTCTCAATGACAACACTGCTCAAGAAAATCCATCGATATTCATTTGCACTTATAGCCTCGTTGGTGAAAAAAATCCTGCGAAATCCCCTTGAGGAAAATATGAACCTCGAGAAGAGTCAGAACTCACTGCAGTGACAGAACAATGCACAGGCCAATTGCTTCGTGATTTCCTGATGGTCACAAATCAGCTCGTGTTGATCCCTGCACTAACAGCTTTAGGACCATGAGCAGAAAAGAATGCTTCTATCTATGTTCCATACTAAGGCCGGGCTGAACATTCCTCCCAGTGGCTTTTGCCACGCTCCGGCATTGGACGAGCCCCTGAGTTGATTCGGATGTTCTTGTCACATGAGGATTCCGTTTTCAGATGATGAGGTTTCCTGACGCCTCGAATTGGTTCCCTCCTTTTTCTCAAGGTCATTTTGCCTTGTTCTATACGGGTTTGCCCGCTACCCTGTCGGTGTGACTTCTTGGACATCAAAAAGGAGGTGTACCGTGGCTCCTCGACAGGGGTTGAGCACAAAGCACGAAAGGTAATCAACAAAGAAGTAGACACCGGGCTAGTCTCCGTGACTTCTTACAGGCTCTTCCGATTTGCTCTCGGAAGAAAGTCATGCTCTGCTACTGGCCTAAGAACAAAGAACCTGCGGGTACCCGCCACACTCCGCTCGGAAGTCTTCAGTCAATAGAGACAGTCCAATTGACGAGTTGATGTGATAGTGACCTGCATATTCGGAGAATTCGGAAGAAAAAGAAATTCAGAAGAAAAGGAATTTGAGAAGAAAAAGAAAGGGAAACTCATGCAAACAGCAATATTCTCTTCAGACTCAAAAGAGACCATGACGCGTTACAATATGATAATAATAGAAACTGGCTCTACACGATAGGGCTACGATTTGCAGATCATTTGGTCAAAAGCTGCAGGTCGATCGGTTCCCCGTTGGAATACGTGGCAGGAATTGCAAGGTGGTTCGGGGATTCCAGAACTCTGTTTAGTGCATTGTTGCTGGGGGTGCACATTCCTCCCAGCCCCAAAGGAAAGTGATATCCGTTCTAACCTTATCAGCGTCAGTGCACCGAACATCCGGAAAGGCTCGACTCCACTATGCCGGAGAAGCTCACGGAGAAGTCGAGACTGGAGAGGTGATGGGGTGAAAGAAAGAACTCCAGTTCCTGGGACTGATAGAATCATGCCCATGAGGTAATCACATATGACGCTTACATTTCAAGAAACCATCAACCAAAGCGGATACCTGCCTCCGACTTCTCATATTCAGCTAAAGCCTGTGCGATTGGTGATCCCCTGTTGCAACTCAGGCCAGATCATTACCTGCCGGAGGACGATATCTCATCCCAATTGGACTTGGGCACTACCCGGTCCCCCCAAAGGCCCGCACAGCGCACACCCACCTGTCCTGCTGATGCCATCCGCTCTGTTTCTGGCATAGTGAAGGTTACATTCCGACGGGTGGCCATTCGGGTCCCGAGCCCACTCTGAACGAGAGAGTGGACGAGACAGATGGAAGGCCCATTCAGCCACTGAAGTTTCCGACTGCTCTGATTGGTAGTGCCAGTTGTGCGAGGAGACTTATAGCATTCCCCGTCGATCAATGGTGGGGTGGAGCTTTCTCCAGGTCCATTAGAGAGCATTCCTTGCCCATCTTTAGAGCAGATGGAATGTGTGAAGAAACCCAGAGGCTGGAAGGTCTGTGGCGGTATTCAAATAGGACCATTCGTCTAGTGTTTGTTTGCTTTGTATCCTTTTGCACATTTGCAGTGTTTTATTTGATTGACAATCCGTCAAACCGTGTCAAACCAGTCCTACAGACAAAACATTCCATCATCAGTCAACCAACCCTTGGACGGCGCCCCGGCTCGCGTTCCGAGCTTTCCTTTGACCCATCTCTACCACTTTTTCTCGCTGTCTGGCTATTTCCGCCGGCCGCTGGGCCAATCATACGCCCTTCCTGCTTCTCAAACAGCCTTTGACACCGTCTCTCATTGTCGCCGCAAACGGAAGGTGACCGCCGTACCTCACACTCAAGATGTTCGCCCAAACGTTTGACCATCCGTTCAATGACGATATTTTCAGTCAGTACGTCAACATGGATCCTACAAGTGCCGATGGAAACAAAGACGTTTCATTCCCCGGGGACTTTGATCAAATCTTTGCACTGGACTCATTGTCGAGCGATTGTGGCGACCTGTCGCCCACCATCTCCGCCTCCAAGCGGACCCAGAAGTCACCGCAACCCTGGGGTAGAGACCTTTGGTCTGTTCCGCAAGACGTCAGTTCCTCGTCTTCAGGCCAAGCCCCCCTTGCTTTTCAAGACACCATCCACCCCTCGGCTGTTGCGGATCTCAACGTCAATCTCGAGGAATCCGCGCCAAACCCCCCTGTCAAAACCCGCTCGCCGTCTACTCCCCCGGCCACTCCTCAGCGCAAAGCCAAAAGCGCCTTAGTCACTCCCAAGTCAACCGGGCATCGTCGGGACACTAATGAACGCCGCGGTCTCTTGCGCAAACAGAGCTTCTCCCCCAGTTTGACTCGCTCCTCGCAAGCCCAGAAAGGCAGAATGGCGTACTCGGAGGCTTGGGCCCAGCGATTCCAGAACTTCAGCCTGGGTAGTTCTGATGATCGTCTGCCTTTGTCCCCACCGCCCTCCGATATACTGGTGCAGCACGAGCATATGCCTGCCGACAACACTGCCCAGATGCCACATCCTGGGGATTCTTCCGACATGCCCAATCCATTTGATTCGGCCTTATTCACTCAGTCCCCCGCGATTTCGATGCCCTCTCCATCTGCCAATGCGCTGGCACGACAGCAGCAGCGGTATTTAAGCCAGTCGAACAATTCCGCCATGGCCACCTCCAGTCCCCCTTCGGCGGACGACATCTTTTCCTCTCCACATTCCTCGGACCCTCAGTCCATATCCTCGTGGCATTCCGACTCCCTCGGAACCTCTGCGCTCCCATTCACCCCCGATTTGCAAAGCCACGATGCGCAAGCATGGTGGTCTCCTATGAATTCACGGGTTGCCCAGCGACAGCCTTCATACCCACAAATGGTCGCGTCCCCGACCCCACAGAGACCGATCCAGACCCCCAACAATCAGCATGACATGCTGCAAGGGGGTCTCATGATCCAGCTAGACCCTTCGTCGTTCGAGATGCCCGGCGCGCCAAACCCGTCATTTGCTGCCCCTCAGATGCCACCCGTTCCAAGCGCCCCGGAAAACCAGTCCTATACCCATGCCCCCACGACTCCACAGAAATTTGTGGACTCCTCCTTCGCACCTCACATGCACACTTCGTCCTCCCGGTCTCCATCGCTGTCCCCGACCGCAACTGGATCACCCAAGGGCATACGCAACGCCAACATTAGAACCCCTCCACGCGGCCGCTATCAACAACGAAAGATGTCCTCTCAACAGATGAGCGCCCCTAGACCGGCCAAGGGCTCGGGAGGAAGCCCCAAAGGAGCCGGTAAATCGGTGACGGTGTCTTTTGTGAACTTCACCCCCGACGACAAGAAGAGAATCCTCACAGGAGTTGCTCCCAGCGGCAGCTCGAAAACGAAAGCCCGCCGCGAGCAAGAAGCTCGTGATAAACGACGCAGGATGAACGAGGCTGCTTTGAACGCAGTCCGGAAAGCCGGCGGCGACGTCGAGGCTTTAGAAGCTGTTTTTGGCTGAGAATCAGCATGGCATATCATACACATATAATATCGTCGTATTTGATTTTTCGTTTTGTTTTGTCTGTTATTTTGTCGATTTCATATACCTCTTCGTTTTTTGGCAACGGTCGTTCGGGTGCTTGCTCGAGAAAGGGACTTGGCGTTCGGGTTTTAAAATGTTAGATTATCATTTTTGGTTATTCTGGAGCGGTGCATACTATCACACATTATAATATTTGATCTAATTCATTTAATACGGCCCAAGTTCTTGACCTGATTGATGTAATGATAGCTTGTAAACCAGACTGGCCGATGCCTTAGGGCTTTCTCCATCCACCTGATCTCCACTTGCGGTGTCCAATCGACGAGCAGATGATTGTCATTCGGGAGACCTTCATCTGGGCCAATCCCTAGGAAGAGATAAAATTATGTCGTAATCGTCGTTTTCTTATGATTGGACTATTGTACAGTGAAAATTAATATATGTGAGATAGAAAGGAGAGTGTTATCCAATCAACGCCGATACCCATGCTTTTATAGCTTGCCAATGGACCATAGAATGTATACTGGACGTAATGAGCACCTAAGGATGATGAACTCAGTCATCGAGTCTAGGCAGATTTGGGTTGCCAGTACTCTTAAAAAATAGCAGCATCGTCACCCCAAGCACAGGTTATGTAGACGAAGCCGCATCGCCCGGTCCGGATAGCAACGAAGACCATGCAGCACCAAGGCCAGGACCAGACACTGCCAGAAGACTTCCGAAATATTCCACCATCTCATCTCCCCGACGCCTTCGGCGACCAGGAATCCGGCTGCCAGTTCTCGCCCGGCGACCCTCTCGCCTTCGCCCAGGGATCCTCTTTCGCTGCCGGTTGTTCCTCTCTCTCGGCGCCCCCGTCCCGCTCCGGAGCAGTGTCGGTCTCACGCGCAGGCGGATTCAACGTATCGTCGCTCGTCTTCGTCGCCGGCGCAGGTTGCTGGGTCTGCGGCTTATCGAGGTAGGACGGTTTGCTGGCCCATCGCTCGTCGGCCAGTCGAGCCAGCTGCTTCATCTGGGCCTGGCGAACGAGATCGTACTGCTGTTCTTCAATCGTCGGGGCATTCTTTCGCATGTGTCGGAGCCACTGGTGCCATTGCGCTAGAAGCACGTAAAAAAAAATCGAGTTAGTGTCGGTGGTCCGGTTTCCTGTGGCGATGGGTGAATTAACACGTACGGCTCACTTGGACATCTCCGAGATGGGTTTTAGGGTCGACTTTGACGATGCGTCGGTATCGCGCGGCGTTCAGAGCATCTTTGAATTCCCAGTACGTGTTTCCGGCCAAGTCCGATCCTGTTTATCACAAGAATGAGTATGCGATACGAATACGGCTGTTGAGAGGATGGTCGAACACACCCGCTAGGAAGGATTTTCGCCACGGCAATCGCAGGCTTTTCCACTTGAACCACAAACTATTGATGGGACTCATTGGGGCCCAACGGTCGGGTTGAATCGAGAATTAATAATGGAAAAAATAAATTGGCTAATTTGCAGAGAAAGGGGCAACGGAGGCAAATAGTTATGCCGGAGGGAAAGGGAAAAGGGACAAGCGATCGGCGCAGAAAAACGGAGGGACGTCATCGGGCGAGGCGGAGCGGCTGACGGAACATTCCATTCCTCGCCCTTTCGCCTCTCCTTTCTCCCTCGTCCCGGATACTAGGAATTTGCTCTGCGACAAGTATCCTCTATTCTGGTGCTGTCTTTCTGACTGCCTTTAATCGCACTGTTTCTGCCGTGTCTCGGTTTTTCATTCATCTTCTCGTTCTCTCGGGCATCTACATCCAACCCCCCTGGTCGCGTTCCACGGTTCGCCTCGGTGGCTAAGTGACAGGCAACAATCCGCCGAATACACCTGGCAGCAGATTCGTCTCTTCTACATGCTATAGTCGCCTCTCTCTGAGTTCTTCCCACTCCCAACATGGCGTCCGTCACGTCTCTAGACAAGGACTTGCGCAGTCTGCGCTTGTCCCGCTATACCCCGCAAGCCGCCGCCGAAGTGCGCGACTGGATCGAAGAAATCCTCCATGAATCTTTACCTGCCGGAGATCTTCTAGAAGCGCTGAAAGATGGCGTCGCGCTGTGCAGGTAAGACATCCAGCCCTTTTCACGCCCTTTTATCTACTTCCGAGACATGCCGGCCGGGAGGCATCATTGGGCAGCCAACTGACAAACCTCACTCGCCAGGCTCGTCAACCTCGCCGTCTCCCCCGGGGTCAAATTCAAGCAATCCTCGATGCCCTTTGTGCAAATGGAAAACATCTCGCATTTCCTCCGCGCCTGTCAAATCCAACCCCTGAGTCTCCCGCCGCACGATGTCTTCCTCACTGTCGATCTCTACGAAGGCAAGGACCCCGCGCAGGTCCTGCAGTGCCTGATGGCCTTCAGTCGGAGAGCCAATGCGATTCAGCCGGCCAAGTTCCCGCGCACCATCGGTCCCCAGAATAAAGGCGGCACGTTGAGTCCCAATATGACAGGTTCCAGCCAGGGCGCTTATACGCCTACGAAATCGCGCTTCTACAACGATACCAACTCGAATGTCTCCGCGCAGTCGAGCCCGTCCGCGAAGTCTCCGGCCGTCAGCAGCTGGAGTAAGAAGACGGACGAGCATTCGACCGCCCCGGCCTGGAATATCCACCAGTATGGCTACATGGGTGGTGCTAGCCAGGCAAACCAAGGTGTCGCCTTTGGTGCTCGTCGGCAGATCACGACTGCGGCGCCGCATGTGCCCAGCCTGGCGGAGAAGGAGAAGCGCCGGCGCGAAGAAGATGAGCGGATTCGGGCGGAGCAGGAGCATGCCGAGCGCATGCGCCAGCAGGAACGCGAGGAACGGGAGGCGGATGAAGAGCGTGCGCGAGTCGAGGAAGCGCGTCGATGGGAGGAAGAGACGGCGCAGCTTCGCGAAAAGGAACGGCTCGAAGTGGAGCAGCAGCGGAGACAGTGGGATGAGGAGCAGCGCAAGTGGGAGGAAGAGGAACGACAACGTCAGCGCGAGGAGAAGGAAACGGAGGAAAGACTTGAACAGGAGAGACTGCGTCGGCGCGAAGTCAACGACACTCGCCTCAACGGTCAATTCCTCAGCCAGTATCAAGCCAGCCAGTCCGTATCCGGCCGCGCCGCCGCCTCCGAACCCAGCGAGAACCAGCGCATTCGACAATTGGAGCTGGAGCTGGAAAGTGCAAAGGAGCGAGAGGCCCAGTATGAGCGCGAGCGACGGGCTCTTCGTGAGAAAGAAACCGGGAGCAGCGGCAACACCCAAGCCCGCAGTCCTCGCCCTGTGCCCGTCCCTCCCAAACCCAGCTACAATCTCTCTTCGCTGGAGCAGGAACGCCGACTCCTGCGCTCAGAATGGCAGAACCAGCAGGAGGAGGCCCCCATCGCCGAATCCAGCCCACCACCTCCCCTGCCCTCTCGGCCCCTCCCAGACCCGACTGCAGCCAGTGGACCCCCTCCCAAACCTCCTCGTCCTCTCCCCGACCCCACGAACCAGAAGCAAGAGAGCCGCGTTGACCGGTTCCTCTCCTTCAACCGGCCCCCGGTGGCAGCCAAGCCCGCCGCGCACCGCCCCCAAGACTACACCACCACCGCCGAAGTCGACGCCGAGAACAGCCGCCGCGAAGCCGCGCAGCAGAAGACCAAAGCCGGCGGCTGGGCCTCCAAGTCTCTTCTCGAGCGCGAGATGGAGCGCGAACGTGAGCGCCAGCGCGAATGGGAAGATAACCAGAAACAGACCGAGGCCGTCGCCGCAAAGGGTCTCGGCGACTCCTCGGTAGGTACCGGCCCGGGCCAGGGCGCCTGGAACGTCCACCAGTACGGCTTTTTGGGCGGCGATAGCCAGAACCGAGGCGGGCCTGGTCTGGGCGTTGGAGGCGCCAGACGTCAGATCATCGGTCCGAGGCCTCCTCCATAAATGAACTCAGATGGTCTAGTCTGCTTCGGTTCGGTCTGATTTAGTCCGTCCATCTACTGGGAATATTGGTGGAGTTTTAGTTTTATTTCTATCGGTCTGCTGGTGGGGGATTCGTGATATCCGTAGGTTTTTATTCTGGTGTGGTTTTCATCTTTGTTTTTTTTTTTTTTTTGTTTTTTTTCCCTATTATTTGCTCTAGTTGATGGACGTCTATTGACTGGTATTTGTATATATGTCACTATACGTACCAAATTCCCTGTTGTAGACATCGCCGCTTTACTGGGGGCGCTCAGGAGCTTGCTCAGCGAGTGGTTCACATCATAGAACATATACTGTTCTTATGAGTTCCGTTGATTTGCATATTACCTAGGTATATCACGTGTTTGGGGGCTAGGGGCTGTCGTAGCTTTTCGCATATGATGTTTTATAATCAAGCCAAGCAACAACGCATCCCGAGTCTAGTAATTTACCTGATGGATATACTCCGCATTGCATCATATCATCGGCGAGATTACGACCTCGCTGTCCTCAGAATAAATCCCGGTGACCATGACCAGGTCCGCAGCTCGCTGCTCTCACCATCCCGCGATCCTTCAAGTTTAGGACACCTGGAAACCCTATCACTGGAAATCCTTCACGAAATATGCCTCTACCTAGACATCCAGTCCTTGTTCCAATTCCGCCACACCAATCGCCGCAGCCAGCAGCTCGTCAGTGCAACGTATCCCTACAAACCCGTAATCCACCACGCTCTGGAAGCCCTCTGTATCATCTTAAGAACCGGCGCCGCGTCGTATTTCACACTCCCCGACCTATTCGATGTCCTCTGCACAAGAGACTGTTATTTCTGCGGCGCCTTCAGCGGCTTTCTCTTCCTCCCGTCATTCAAAACATGCTGTTTCACATGCATCCGGGAAGACGCGCTTCCATGCGCGATATCCTTCCCGGCATATATGAGACGACCTGGTGTTCCCAGTGACTTTGTACCTACAATGAGAGCTCTCCCTGGAGTATACTCGCTGAAGGAAATCCCGTGGAAGGCGTCAGAGGCCAGAGTCAGATTGAGGACGTCCGACTATGTCTGGCCGGGGAAGATCACACGCAAGAGACGGTCACCGACGCTGTCTTATGTGTCGTCTACGGTTTTACCGTATTTTGACCCTGGGAGTGGTGCCGTTCAGGGAGGTGTCTCCTGTAGTGGATGTCAGGTTGCTTTGGAGAAGAAGCTGTCTGGGGAAAGAGTTGAGTCGCGGGATACTGAGCTGAGGGATAAGGTGTATTCGCAGGGCGAATTTCTGGCTCACTTTAAGGATTGCCAAGGGGCGAGAGAATTATGGGAATTGAGCGGGCAGGGCATTAGCGCAGCGGATGTGTCTGAGTTTGTTAGATGTCGGGGTTATTTTGGTAAAAGGGATGTTGATATTGCTTTTAATCCTTGTGATTGAGGTAGTCTTCCTTCGATATAGAAAATACGCAATTTACTCAATAATTTCATAGAGAGGCATTATCTCGTGGAGGAAAGCTGTCAATCTGACTAGAAAATCAAGTACGTGTGTAACTACAGGCACCTGTTTTCTATAATGACATAGATTCTCTATTAAAGCCTCGCGATTTTAATATTCTGTCAGATGGTTGTTCAGCTGGTCAACAAATGCAACAATCCGGATCCTCATGGACACCATCAGAGTAGGGATGCAGCTTTTTTTTTTTTTTTTTTTTTTTTTGAATATCAAATTCCTTCAAGCTTAAAAGTTCTTCGTGAAATAGGAGTTAAAAATAGTGGAGAAAGCTGATTAGTTCCACTAGTAAAATAGTTAGTGGACTTGCCTGATCTACTACTGTACTCCGTAGGTGGCCTTCGTTTTTGCTTTGCTTATTAAAGGCCCTTTTTTTTTTTTTTTTTTGCCTGAGGCTCTGTTTTCCAACCAACAACAGAGCCTCAACCTCCCCGGCTACAACAACTATCAGCTCCGAGGCTGAAAGTGGACCGATATTACCTAAACCAATAAGATTGACTGAGCCTAGTCATGTGTTGCATTAAACTTCAAAAGGAATAGCTCATGGCACCGCCCTCGAGAGGAATTCCTTCCCGGCCAGGGAGGGTGGACCACGTGATCTGACCGACCTACTGAGTTTTTCCTACGGATTGTAGCGCCTATCCTAGACTCTGTCCCCGGAGCAGTGGGTCCCATTGCTTTGCATGTCTAAGATATAGTCTATCCCCAAGCCATTGTTATCTAATCAAAACTTGGATTTACATGCCCATTTGGGTTAAACACGACTCCAGGTACACTTTTTAGACGTTTGACACGTGGCTGGGCAGGCAAGCGTTAAAATCACCTGATGCGAGCCACGGCCACACTACCTCGTCTGCAAGATTAACTGGGCTTCCCTAATACACAGAGAACCCTCTTGTGAGGCGCGAGTGCTACGCTTATGTTTTCCTGATGCAGCAATGGATTGGACCAGAACCGTATTTCGATTGCGCGCATTGCCGGACACTGTTGAGACTCAAGAAAGCGCCGCTCATCTGCTTAGCGAGAGACTCAATGATGTTTCTGTGCACCATATCTGGATTCATTCCCTAGCGACAACATTGAAATATTGGGAGGACCCTCCTACTAAAGTGGCAACTGTCATGTTCAGTGTTCCCCCTTCACTTGTCCAGCGCGAGCCAAATAAACAAGAATGGCAGATTCCCGCCAAGGGTCATGATCGCAACAGCCGAGATTTCATCCTAGACACCCACTTCATAGGCCTGACCCCTCTGAATGATACAAGTCACTTGCAGAATTCCTACAAGTAAGGACTGCCACCTTTCTCATGCATAGGTCGGCGTTTGACCACTGGTAGTTGCATCGCCATCTCCGGCCTAGCAAGTCACCCTTTCGGATCATGGCAGCCCAAAGGAGGTGACAAACGCTTTATGTGGATTCGAGACGATCTGGCCAAGCATGCGCGAGGGGGTGCGGCCATACTTTACGGCTATGACTCAAAGCTCAACGGCAGCAGTTCCTTTCAGAACATCAACGATCTGGCTAAAGAGCTCATTGATCAACTATTTTCCCACCGGGCACCGGGGTCGGTCACGCCGCTGATTTTCCTCGCCCATAGTCTTGGAGGATTGGTTGTGAAGCAGGCACTGCGAGATCTGGCTGAGAACCACCCAGATGACGAATACAAGAATCTTCTGAGTGCCGTGCGCGGGGCAATCTTTTTCGGCGTCCCGAATCGAGGCATGGAGCACGGGGAATTCGAAGCAGTCGTCCAAAACAATCCTAATGGTGTTCTTATTCAAGATCTGTCCCTAAGGTCGAATTTTATCCGCCAACTCACCAGGGCCTTCGACACACTCCCATTTGTTAAACGTTGCAAGTTTTTCTGGGCATATGAAACGAAAGAGTCGCCCACGGTTCTTGTATGTGACCACTATACTAGTATCGACAATCCTGTATCATAAATACACCAGGCATCTAACCAGCGGGCAGAGGAGGACAGATGGCCAACTGACTCGAGATGGGCCTTCGGCGATTCTCGTGAGCCCAGAATCCGCAACATGCGGGTTTATCAATGCCAACCGAGCGGTGACATTTCCGATCCATGCCTCGCACTCTGACATGGTGAAATTTAGTCAGGATTCTCACTACTATTCGTCTGTGCGGGCAAAATTGTTACAGATTTTACAACCACCCACCTCCCAGACTCAAGATGACAACGGCAGTGATGCACAGAGTGAAAATATACCAGAAACTATTCCCACTGAGGTGGATCAATCTTCGCACCAGATGGATTTATCAGGCGCAACGAGGTCAACGGCAGAGAGCCATGTGCATCCGCAAGCACGCAGCATAGCTGGTAAGCAAAACACCAAGTTCTTCTAGGTGAAGTATACGACTAACATTATCTTATAGCGGAACTAGAAAAGTTCAAGAGACTCGCAAAGATCACTGAGAGCGAAGAAGAGATGTTCATCAACACTACATCGAGCGAAGTTGAGGATACAGTTCGAAAGATACAGATGGAGCAGGAACTATCCAGGAACATGAAGTACATGGCACGACTAGAACCATTTCTGGCATCGATGAAACAATTTGGCGAGCTGGCCAGAGAGATCAAACTATTCACAAGCGGTTCGAACAGCATGGCGTACACATGGGTAAGTTGTCTTGTAGTGGTCTTGGTGAGCTTTTGATGTAATTAGAGCTGATATCATTGTCTCAGGGTCCGTTGAGATATATCCTTGATGTACGTGAAAGAACAATATTCAAAATCCTCTGACAGGAATTCTAATATTCAATAGACCACCTGTGGATACCCACAAGAGTTCGACTCCATCTTGAATTCATATCAGGCGATCGGAGACCAAATACCTAAACTCAGCGGGCACGGCGCTGTATTTGTCGACCTTCCTTACCTCATGGATGTTTTAGTGATGATCTACAGCGATGTCCTATCATTTCAAGCAGAAATTTTGGGACACTTGAAACCGTGGCGTGGGTGACATTTGCCTTCAATACAAGGACATCATAAAACTAATTGAAATCTAGAATGGGATCAGCTGTTCCAAGCCTGGTTGAGAGATTTCACTACCAGAATCGACGAGATTGCAGAGAGAACCGGACGGAACAAACGGTTAATTGAGAATAAAGTATCTTTCATGGAGTTTGAAACTATCCGAAAGGACGATTTGATATACGCACGTGCACTCAAGCGCGAAAAGGAGGCCACGACGAAAGTCCACAAAGATACAGTCGAAAATTGGCTCTCCGCGTTCGATTCCAAAGCAGAACACCACCTTCATCAAGAGAAGAGGCGAGTCTGCAAGGATCCGGGCCGCTGGTTGCTTGGTAACCGTGAGTTCAATAGATGGGCAAGCCCTGATGATTCGCTGAATCCATTGCTTTGGCTAAGCGGAATCCCAGGGGCAGGTACGTGGGGGTCCATGGTAGCTTCCTCAACCCAATAAGATATGCTGACTATCATCTCCAGGCAAGACTATCCTCGCTTCTGTCGTTATTGATGAACTGTCCAGCATACAGGGCGCTACCGTGGCGTATTTCTACTGCAAGCATGGCGACGAGAAACGTAACTCGGATGAAAGCGTAACAAGATCGATATTGGCACAAGTTCTTGATCAAAATCCTGATTTACTGTCATACTTCTACGAAAAAGCCCACATGAACGCGTCACTGGTATCACCATCAGTTTCTGAGCAAATGTTACGCACGTCTATGGGGAGTTGTAGGAGGGTCTACGTTGTGCTTGATGGTCTTGATGAATGCGGCCGCGCTGCCAGGAAGCACATCGCCAGTCGGTTCCGTCAGCTGGTCGATGAAGCAATGGAAGTAGGCTCTATACGGTGTCTTTTTGTCAGTCAGGAAGATGGAGCAGCTGCCGAGGACTTTCGTTACATTCAATCGATCAAGATTGGCAAACAAAATTCCGACGATATCTCGAGTTTTGCCGGTGTGTGGCAGGGAAAGATAATCGACAAGTTTGGGACAAACAATCACACCTTGAATATTCAGGACATCGTGTTTAAACGAGCCAAAGGTAGAGATCCGAGATGTTTCATCGTGTCAATGATATTTGAATGATACTTACGTTTCAGGAATGTTCATCTTTGCCGAGCTGTTTGCAAATTATCTCTGGGGACGGCTGAGTATCGAAGACCTTCAGGAACAGCTCTTCCCTGAAAATCTGCCGGTGGATTTAGACAACCTGTAAGTCTGGCTTGACTCGAATATTAATAGTGGCTGACTATTGTCCCGAAGCTATGAGCGTATTCTTTATCGCGTCCGCGAAGTCAGAGATGTTGATACTATGAGACGTATTGAGGAAATTCTAGGATGGATCGTCTGTGCCCGTCGCCCGCTACGATGGGAAGAGATACAGGGCGCAGTCTGTACCAACCCGGAATGCCAGAGCTTTGATGCCCTCAGAAGACTGGCAGACTCGCCCAGGGAGATTTTTGCCTCTCTTGTTGAGTGCTATCCCGATGGAACTGTTGATCTCGTCCATGGAACTGCACGACAGTAAGCTTCTCATGTGCAAGACACATCATTCATGGCGCTCTTCCGCTGATTACTGTGCTAGGTATTTGACGAAAAGAGTGTCAGAGAAAGGTCCGCGAAAGGAGCCAGTGGTAAAGCTCCACGAGGCACATTTTTCACTAGCAATGCGTTGCCTCACGTATCTAGCGTTCCCACAGCTCCGCCTCGATCGGAGGAAAGATGATATCAAATCGGACCTTCTAGACGGATTCCACCAGCTGTATGATTATGCGTCTGCTTGCTGGGCTATGCACCTGGAAGGGGGCATCTCGGATCTTGGAAAACACGACCTCACTCGTCTACGCGACGCTTTGAAGAGATTGGTCAAATTGCACTGGTCCAAGTTACACAAGCCTCTTCAACATGTCGAAAGAGTGCGGACACTTTTATCGCCCCTCGAGAAATTGGAAGAGAAAGGATCAAACCAGCATGAAAAGATTATTCAAGCGGTCGCCTGGGCCAAGAAGCAGTCCGGTTTATCTGGGATAGGCCCAAGCGACGAGGAGGCGCTCACCTTGTGGAAGATGACGGCCAAGATCAGATCCATTTCAGAAAAGATTGACACTAATGGAGACGAGTTCAAAACGATAAAGAGTCTCTACGGCGCGAAACGGTTCAAATGCCCCAGGGTCAATTGTTACTCTTACCACCACGGCTTCCAGTCTTTGAAACACCGGGACAGACATACTAACAAGCACACCCGACCATACCTTTGTATTGTCGCTAGCTGTCCGATGGGGGTCTTTGGCTACGAGCTCGAAAAGAAATTGAAAAAGCACCTGTTTGACGTGCATCACATCGACGAGGCCAGCGACAGAGACGAGCCCGACTATCCGGACCCTCCTAAAGAGAAGACATCCAAATCTGGACAAGGCGAGGCAAACTTTAAGTGCCCTGACTGTAACACGCCATTCAAACAGAAGAAGAGTCTGAACAGACACATCAAAAGCCACACTAGCGGGAAACCGTTCTCTTGTGATAAGTGCGACAAAAGGTTTTCGCGAAGAGAGGATTGCGAGCGCCACCAGGATACACACAGTGACGAAAAGAAAAAGTACATCTGCGCCGGTGTTCTCAAAGATGGAACGAAATGGGGGTGCAATGCGTCCTTTTCGAGGGGCGAAAAGCTGAGAGATCATTTCCGGCCGGAAAAAAGACGGAAGTGCATCTTGCCTTTGCTGCTGGAGAAGCAGAAAGCCGGCGATGGCGACGGGAGATATCTTGACGAGAATGTGTTTGCTGATCAGACAAAGGTCCTACTCGACGCGGGCAAGAAGTTGCCTTCCTTTCGGGTCTTTTTGGAACAATGCGGGCTTGACGTGCCTGGTGGTGGTAATGGTGATATCCGTTCCGGAGAGCGAAACAAGCAGGGTCATAAGTGAGCATACAGATGCTAATGGTGAATGCATTTAATGTTTCTATTCGCTACGCCCAGCCCACACATGTTGCATTGAAAGTCTGCACCGGACTTCCTTCGCTATTCTAGTCCTCCTAACATACCTCGCGGCCGATCAGCGAGAGTTGCTTCTTCCATTCCTGACCACTCTCTATATTCTACTTCCAGTAAGCATTCTGGCTCTTGGCTCTCTTTGTTTGCGACTCACCTCTTCGACTGTGCCCTTCATTATATATCGAATGACAAAAACCTTCTTACCCTGACCCCAGCGCAATGCACGACCGATCGCCTGGCTCTCCACCGACGGATTCCACTGCGGTTCCAGTATATGAATCCGGCTTGCGACAGACAAATTATTCAAGCTATTTCGGATCCGTCAGGCTGGTTCTCTCCGATCAGAAACTGCTAAGGAAACCGTCGTGCTTACCCTACAGCACCCGTCCCTATAGTCATGAGGAGCACCCGGACCGCTGAGTTGCGCTGGAATTCCTCCAGTACGGCCTGCCGTTGCGTCGGCGCGATCTTGCCATCAACACGACAAAAGGACATTCCTTGTTCGTCAAAAACTCGCCCCACGATGTCTAGGCTTTCCCTCCAAAAGCTGAATATTATGCTGAGGGTATGGATGGTTAGCAATGCCAGCAAATGTCGCGAGTGATTTAAGTACCTTTTATCCTCCGCATAGTGCTCTCTTATGTCCGCGAGCAAAGACACTAATTTCGAAGGATAGTCAGTAGGAGCAGGCCCTCGTTCAGAGCTAAACTGTACGTCCTCCATTGCGTCATCATCGGACTTCCGGGTTGTCGAGATCGCTAGGTTGCATGGACTTTCTCCATCTTTTACCCCGGCCTTTAGCTGAGCACATGTTTCACATTTCAACGCACGGCCGAAAGAGAGCCAGTCCACCGGCAAATTGCACCTGTCGTCGAAGTCCAGAGAGAGTACTTCCATATTGCAAACCGAGCAGATATTCTGTCCGCTCTGCTGCAACAAGGTCACAACTGCGTCCGGCGACAACCGCCCATCGCTATCATCTCTCCCACCGAGAAAGGAGCTACTCAGCCCAGCATTACAGAACATGCGCAACCTCAAGTTAGCCGTCAACATCAGCTGACTTTCTCGCCCCCTCGTTGGCAAGCTGGCACTTGCCTTGAGCTGCCTAGCGCAAGCCCGAAGCAGCTCATCGTAGACTCTGCGTTCGGCGTCCGAGAATGAGGGACGATGGAAGACGAAGATGCCGCCCAGAGAGGGAAACACTGTCGACATTGTTCGTCGCAGACATATCGACGCTAGTAGGAGCTTGAGGTTGACGTAGTCGGGTTGCAGCTTGGGGGTTGATTTGAGTCCTTTTAGCATGTGCTTGCGGAAACTTGCAACACTATCCAAGTGCGGGACGTGCAGGAATCGAACGAGTGATAGGAGGTCGTTCAGAGAGTTCTGGATTGGCGTTCCGGTCATGCACCAGCGGATTGAGGCTGATAGGCTTTCTATAGCCTTGAATTGTTTCGTGGACGAGTTCCGGATAACGTGAGCTATTCAACACTCAGCGTTTAAGAATTCCATGGCTACTGGGAATGTTGAAGGGCGTTTCTGACCTTCATCGAGAATCAACCTGTGCCAGTGGATTCTGTTGAGAACACAATCACCGCCGCTGCTACTGAAATCGGCTTCGACTGTAGCATACGTCGAGAAAATAATGTAATTTGAAGGAGGCGAGGATAATGAGATGCATCGCCCGGGGCCATGATATTTGTAATATTTCAGGGCCCCGGGAATTACATGCCTGCTGGTGTTAGCACGGTTTCCTGATGGGGCCAGAACCTTGAATACTTTTCAATCTCCTCAACCCAGCCCCGGATTAGTACTACATTTCTGTCAGTTACCGTGATATAAACGGTGCTTGAATAGATTAAACTCACAGAACGAAGGCACGACAACAAGCGTGGCCCTCACAGGAATCAAGTCCGCATTCACAGGCTCTTGAATCCATTTGTCGCCCACCAAACTTGTTTCATCGCGAGGTAAACCCGCCACGATACTGGCAATCATACTGAGGGTCTTGCCCACACCCATATCATCCCCAAGAACGCCACCGCAGAAGTCCACGGGCTCCCTACTCCTCGCTCCAGTGATGATATGTTTGTATCTTTCTCGGGTAAGTATCTTGCAACCAAGTCGGGGATACCCACTTACACATCCTCATTGAAATTCCGCCGCTCCAGGCGCCAGAGCTTGTTCTTATGTTCCGAATGGGCTGATTCTCGAGATAGAATGAAATCGACCGCTTCTCGTTGGTGACTACAGCACAGCATGGTTTAGACACGGAATAACCAATGGATAAAGTGCTACTCCGACTCACCTTTCCAGCCTCGTTCGAATCCGACTATCAATCTCCACCTCATTCCGCAAAGTCTGCTGCGGGAACGTATCAAGAACCACTCTAACATCCTCACTTTCCCCTCCATCAAGGCCTTCCGAATTATGGCCATCGCGCTGATTCGGAATGTCCAAAATAGGCGGAAGAATCGGCCTGTCGAGACACGGCGCCCCGACCAGCGACAGATACTGCGGATTATCATACCCGAGGTTCGCAGGCTTTGGATCCGGATGCTGCAGAAACAGATGATACTTGGCGAGCTCCCTCGCAAGGGTCTGCGCGATAGAAGGGGCCCCGATCACGAGGACGGACATCTTGCACGTCACCTTCGATCGTGGGGACGTCCCTGCGGCTATTAGTCTCTGCTGGAGCTCGGATTTGGGCATCACGCCTGTCCAGATTGGAGGGTCGGGGAGTCTGATGGAGTTGAGTGCGTGGTGGGTTTTGCGGTTCATGGTGGCGATGGAAGTCCCGAGGGAGAGAATGTCGCAGCGGTCATCTTGTATTGAGAGGTCGAGAGATGCGAACTCGTGTTCGCCGGGGATGTCGGTGAAATGGAGAGATTGGGGGTCTTTGATGTGGTCGATTCGGACTTGGATGTCTCGTAGCTATGCTGGTTAGCGGTTACTCTGGCAGAGTAGAGCGGGTGGAAAGCGATCACGCACCATTCCGAAGCATAGACGAGTCGGAGGAGGTTCCTCGTGGGTGTCTTGCGAGCTCTGATCTTTGAGATCGCGGCATTCAGGAGCAGGAAGATGGAATGTGTTATGGGGTGAGAGGTTGGGATAGAACACCGGCGGTGCTAGAAAGCCTGGACTAAATGAGAAAAGACGTTCGTTCTCCATGGTCGTCAGTCTGTGTGCACTCACGGGGATCCTGGCGATGTGGAAGAGCAAGCCCACCGTCGAATCGCTCCTCTTCCGTATCCATAACATCATGTTGAATCCGAATGCTCAATGAATCGCAGGGGGTTCCTATGCCTGATCCTGAGCTGGACCCAGTCGCGAACGAACCATCGACCCTGACTCGCTTTGCCTGGAAATCCTCGACCTCGCTCTGGGTGCCATCATCCTCTAATCCGAGGATTCGCTTTGGTGTCGAACACGACGACATGTTGGGAAATTCCACGGCGATATCGCCTTCGTCTCGAATTGCGAATGAAGAGAAAGGCGGACCGCTTTTAGCCGCTTACTATACTATGGACGTGTTCTGGGCGCGGCGCCTGCATGATCAAGGCACAGCGCGAGGCTGAAATATTTGCATCATAACTGCAGGCTGCGGCTTTGCCGCCTGACTTGTGTTTGCTTTTTCCTGCTAAAATCAGGTCTCACGAGGCTGGCTGATTCCATCAAAAGCCTCGCTCTTTCATGAAGCTTTTGAAAGAGGTCTCACAATGTATCAATTTTCACTGTATCCTGAAACGAGTTGTACTTTCGGAAAAATAAGCAGTCAAAGAGGCAAGTGGCTAATAATGGATATATAGCTGAGCTCGAATAAACACGGAGTCTATGAATATATTAAAACCCTGAAAAAAAAGAATTGTGCAGATACCAGTGGCCCAGAACTGTGAAGTCCGATTTTCTGACTATGAGCTTGTCTTCTCTGTAAACGCATGGAGTGAGATAGTGGCTGAACACTTTGGCGCATTTTATACCAATTCAATCAAATTCAATTGAAAGTTCTATGAGCCTACCACAGCCCAAATTCAAGCATTTAGCTATATAGACGCTTTACAGATGAAACAAAAGCTCGAGGTCCTTTGACGCCATATAAACCTATAAAACCTATATAAGAAGGATAGATAGCGGGTATAGTACATAAATAGAAAGGAAAAATCAGCGTCTCACCGCGCGCAACGAAAACCGAAAAGCGTAATACAAGCTAAAACAATGAGATGCCTAGCCCAGGCCAATGATCAGACAGATCCAAGGTCTGTTTACTGTCCACCTCGTTGCACTCCTCCTCTGAAGATGGAATCTTCCCAAATAGCCGGAGAGGAAAGATCCAAAAGCCAAACGCGGGCTTTACAGCTTTGTCCAGATCCTCATATCTATTCTCTCCATCCAGGGCGCCCACCATCTCATAATAAGGTTCACTCTCAGTGCCCAAGCTGCGTTTGGCCCAGCATCCATTTTTGATCTCGTCATCGAGCCGCCATTTCCCAGTCCACTCGTCCTCTTCTACTTGCAACCATCGACTAGCACTCTCGCGGTCCTGGATCTCGAGACTCGGTCCAGATGGTTCAAAGGCCAGGATAAACTGGTAGGTAATATGGGAGGCAGACACACCCCATATATCCAACATGCTTTGCCAGTAATAAGCCATCCGCATCGGTCCATCTCCAACATGCGTTTGTTTCAGATCTTCTGAGATCGAGCGAGTGTCGCGTTGCAGGCGCTCAAATATCGGCGTCACTGTGGTAATTGGGAACGACCGATTGAAGATGCATTTGTGGGGATCGGCCACTGGGATACCGCTTGCTGATCCCAAGATACGACGCCCTGCTTTCGTTCTGGTGATAAAAAAGACTTCTCGTAGCTGCGCAAGGGTCTCTTGAAAGACCTGCCGAACCTGAGGATCAACTTCCTTAGGATCGACATACTGAAGGCCGGTCGATGATAAGCTATTCACTCCACCAATAGCTAGATTCAGTAGTCCGACATGACGGGGATCGTAGGTCTTTTTCAGATGATATGCCAGATCAAACAGATCGTCCGCCCTCCATGACTCGGATGCAATCTCTAGGAAATCCCACTCTGGGTTGTAGTATAAAACCCCCGGTTGTGCTTTCGTCGCCAGTCCAAGCGCCTCGTAGACGTAATCATCGTCTGGAACAGGGCTGATTTTGCATGGGATCTTCACTCGGTAGAAGCGTAGTGCAGCCTGTCGTGATTCTTGATTGACTCTTAGCAACTTGCTCACGGTTTTCCGTCCATCAATCATAATCTGATACCGCGGTATCTCGCCATCTGGTTTAGGTCGCTCTTCCGAGAAAGAATAATTTTTCTGGAAATAAATCTTAATCAGGCGTTCTCTTTTCAACGCATGACCCCATATTTGGCTGCGGATTTCCGGGGGCAGTAAGGAGAAACAGGTGAACGAGTTTTCGTTCCCAGATGCTCGAAGATGGTTGAATATCTGCAAGTGTGGTTGCGAAGCTGGGTTTGGAGGGGTCATGGTGATCCTTTGCTTTCTCGGAGGAATGAGGAATGAAGTCTAGATGTTCACTGAAGGGAGCTTGCGTTTAGAACGAGAGAGATGGACGGTGCCTGACAAGGAAGGATTAGCTGAGTCAGCGTTGCATGCTCGATCCTTGTCATGTCAGTCTCACCACTCTGAGGGATTCAAGTTGGATTTTCCGAGCCGCAGGACCCTGTTGTTATATAGAGCCGGGGTTGGATTGGAATGTGGTCGAAGGTCCGCCCCATTAGCGTCAATCCGGCCCCCCGCCATCCTCCGGTCTCTCGCCTCATTCACCACCTCTCAACTCATATACCATATTTTGGCTGATCCTACCAACTTCCATAGCCACCTCCTGTCATCTGATGATGTTTTTCCTGTTCCGCTACAGGATCTGCTTGGTTTGATAGGAAAGGAATCCCTTGGCAACAATCAAGGCAGATTGATGTACAGCCTTACGAACTCCATAGCTTGCTCTGGTTCGTTGCCCACTTCTGCCCCCATCACTACAAGTATACATCCACGTGTGCCATGCCAGTACTCTAACCTGAGGACGTTGGGGCCAGGAACGTGTCTGCCTGTACTTCTTGAATCCCACCATGCGATAGCTCCCGAGGCGAAACATCGCCCCCCAACATGTCTGAGTATTGTCAGGATTTACCTGAATCTGGTGATGATTCAGAGACATAGGGAAGCGAGACCGAATGAGCTACTTCTTGAATCCGACCATGCCATAGCTCCTACAGGCGAACAGGCGAAACGTCGCCCCCAACATGTCTGGGCGTTGTCAGGATTTATCCAAATGTGATGCCGATTCAGAGACATAGAGGAGCGAGATGGAATGGATTCTGCATATATAAACCTCGCGGATTGCCCCGTTGAAATCAATCCAATCGACTCATCATTCCTTTGTCCATTCACAGTCAGTCTTTACTTTACCACTCTCTTTTGAACTTTCAGTCACTCTTTACTTCCTTTAGCTTTCGTTACAATGAAGCTATCTGGCTTCTGGATGAGGCACGTGGCCCTCGGGCTGGTCTGCCTCTTGCTCCTGTCTGCATTCCAAACAGCCTCTGCTCTGCCGGCCAAGGGCAAAGGGGTTGGCAGTCATCGCTCTGGCAGCGGTAAAGGGAGTCATGGATTAGGAGGTCTCCTTTCTGGTCATGACAGCAAGAAGACCAATGGCAAAGGCAAAACCGACGACAAGAAGGGCGGACTCGGTGGACTCTTTGGCCACGATGACAAGAAGGGTGGCAAGGGCAAGACCGATGACAAGAAGGGCGGACTCGGTGGACTCTTTGGCCACGATGACAAGAAAGATGGCAAGGGCAAGACCGACGACAAGAAGGGCGGACTCGGCGGACTCTTTGGCCACGACGACAAGAAGGATGGCAAGGGCAAGACCGACGACAAGAAGGGCGGACTCGGCGGACTCTTTGGCCACGACGACAAGAAGGATGGCAAGGGCAAGACCGACGACAAGAAGGGCGGACTCGGCGGGCTCTTTGGCCACGATGACAAGAAAGATGGCAAGGGCAAAGGTGGCACCCAGAACCCTGGCAAGGGCAAGCCCAAGCCCGGCAAAGACCCGAAGAACGGCAAGGATAAATGCAAGACCACCAAGGGTGGATCCCGTGGCAGCAAGCCTTCTCCTCGCGATCTCGCAGCCCGAGATCTTGCTATCCGCGCCGGAACTCTCTCGGTTGCCCAGGATGACATGAAGAATACCCAAGCGAAGGACAAGACGCTTCAGACCGACAAACTCCGCACCTGCATCGGCGTTGCCATCACCGGAGGTGGTGGCATTTTCGATCACTGGCTGCTGCACGTATCTGCCACGAAGGGTCAGGCCGATAGTGCGATCTCGAAGGTGGATAAGGATTGGAGCCTCATGGGTCCTAAGAAGGACGTGGAAATCTACATCAGCTCCCCGGATCCTGATCCCTGCAAGTCGGACGCCGCCGCCAGAGATCTGATCGAGCAGAGTCAGACAATCGCGAAGCATATTGAGACTGAGCTGAAAAAGATCACCGGTGGCGGCGCTAAGGTGTTCCATCGTCCTGCCCGCGACAATCCCTCGGGACATGAAGGAACTATGGAGGTTGACGGAGATGGCAAGGTGTATGTGGAAGGCAAGAAGGTGAATTGATAGATGCAGAATTCAATTGTGACCGCAATGTCACAGCCGAATACGGGAAGCAGGAGCGGGATGGAGGGATGATGTAGTAGATTCCGACGAGTATTTGTACATCATCTTCCTTTTTTTTTTTTTGTGGTGTTTGTGTTGCTTTGATATAGATATTTTCATCTATATGAACGAATGCAAATTCAGGATAAACGCATACTACCTGTCTACTTTTTTTGGGTCTGCCCAGCTTGGTATAATTTCTAAATCTGAGGGTAGATAGTGTGTATCTGCCTAGTTTATATGTGATAGCATTCAACGACGTTCCAAACCAGCTATATAAAGACCGGCAAGATATTCTAGATTCCAGTCATTACTCACCAACATCTTCATCATAAACGCCCACTAAGTGGAAAATATATCTAGACGACGTCACAAGTTGGCTACACTCTCTGGCCCATTCCGATTCAACCGCCTATGAAATAGTATCGTAAACCCAATATGATAGCAAAACAACACCGTCCACAACACCAGCATGACCCCCACCAAAACAACCGTGAAGAAAATCGAGCCCAATGTAAAGACGATGCACGTGCGCTGAAACTGCTGATTCCCCTGCAGCTCGTCCGTCGCCAGCCCGACCTGCATGGCCGACAGCAGCAGAGACATGTACACCAGCACAGCCAGGATCCAGGAGAAATTCTGCTCGAAAAACGCCCGGTACCACGTCGAGCTTGGCATGAAGCCGAACACAAGATTGTGCATGGAGAATGTCGACGGCGTGAGTCTGTAGAGCGGGTTGAGGCGGCTGAGACGGAGCTCGCCAAACTCGTAGCGCTGGTTAATAGCGGGCTGGGACAGGTGCGTGACGGAATTGTGCTGAATCGGATGATTGTCCATCCAGTCCAGAAACTCTTGTACGAGTCGCGTCCACGCTTCCCAGGTTACGTCGGCAGGGAGGATTCGCTCATCCTTTGCGATTTGGAAATCCGTCACGCGAGTGATGAGCCAGGCGTAGGAAAGAAGGAGCCCACAGGCGGAGGCGTGCAGCTCACTATGGGGACAGATGTTCCTGGCCCAGAACTCGTGGTCGAGGAGATATTCCGGTACCGGTTTGATGACTATATAGCCCGGGCTCCAGACGAGATGCTCGTCCGGGGCTTCGGTGAGAATGAATGAACGCTTCATCAGCTTCTGCCGATGTAAGGGCCGCGCCGCCCGTGGGAGACCCGCCAGCCATAGTAAATGGTGAATCCGATTCAATTTCGGGGTTGCGAGGTCCAAGTCCAAATACTGATGTAGATCCTCGCTTGGCTTTATCAGCTTGTGCTGGAAGTTGACTCCAGCTGGGTGCGTATATTGCTGGGAAAAGCGGATACTCGCAGAATTGGAAAATGGCGGCTCGAGGATCTCCGGTTTTTCTGGCTGGGGATAAGCGGTAGGCGACGGAGCCTTGCTCGTCATAGCAGAAGACATTGTGGCGAGGCTCTGGGTTGCCTTATATCAACGGGGGTTCTCGTTGAATCTAAGAGAGAAAGGAAAAAAGAACTCAAAAAGAGGGAGCGATTTTAGCGCGACGAGATAATACGGACTATTTCCCATGAAGACTTTCTGCGTCGGATTTATTGCGCTAATCTATGCAAATCAGATATGTGAATTTGTACTCAGCCACAAAATGGCCAGGTTCAAAACTCATCAACGGTCGCTTGATGCCGATAGCCTTGCTGGCAGTGGCGTAGACAAGAGTGAGACTGAGTTGTAACACTCATAGCCCTTACATCCAGTGGCCATGATTGCTATCGAGGAAGAAATGCCTCCTAAACTGCTAATTAATATTTTATAAATGTAGCAGGACACCATGAGCCTTTATCCCCCCCTATATGATGATGAATATATATCATACTATGCTGGAGTGGATGAATCAGTTATATTCCCAGCGGTGATGAGCTGGCACTTGATGGTGGCTTGGTTCATTTGCCCAGTTTGTCCCACAAACCCCTGACATTAATATTATGGTACTATTATTATTGCGGCGACAGACTTCCTTTTCTTTCCTTCTCTAGTTTGGTGTTTTGCATAGATCTACAAATAAGATTCTCTTGCTTACCGAGGCCATGACACTAACTAGCTACGTGGCTCGGTGGCCCAATAATAATATCAGCGCCTTTCTGATCCTGATCCCCATGTAGTCATTATGAGCCTGAGGTATCTGAACGTAGTAAGCAGTTGTTATGGTCTCTGGGCACATTCAGGAGCTAAACCACTACACTACAGGCCAAGGACTACTATGTAAAGCCAGTGATTCTGCACTGCGCTCGTATATATAAACCCTAGGTGGCAGGAACAGGATGTTGGAACAGAACAGAACAGAACTCCACCGTGCTAGTGTGCACCGTGACCGCAGTGCTCTATCTCAGCATCTCAGACCATGAAAGGAGTGCTTTGGCATTTCTATTGCAAGTATACCACTGAGCTAAAAAGGGCTAACCCTAGTTAACTGGGGTAAATTGCGTACTGAATAGCTCTTCTCACTGCAACATTTTCCATTCCCGATAAGCACGTGATCCATATTTAATGCCTGAGATCTCAGGTACGCAACCACGGACGGATGTCATAGAATCACGTGCTCACATCTCCCCTTATTGTCAGAATTCATTTTGAGGGCGGTGCCAGAAGCTAAACTACCACATAAAGTATCCATGGATATCATTGGTGGGTGTGAGCTTTGACCACGGAGTGTAAGTCATGCGGCGTAGGAGTCTTGCCAGTTAGGTGGAGCCCGCCTGGTGCATCATTAGTGGTATTATTATGGTATAGCACTTCGGACGCATTATACCACTAATGCAATGGGATTATGACTGCCAAGCGTGGCGGTGTAATAATGGGCACAAAAGCAAACTTCATTGCCTTCCATCCTAATCGAATTCCAGCGCCTCAGATGAAGATGGAGATGAAATGTAAACATTGCCCAGTGGGGCCGTGGTCCCGCACGGCTGCCTAAGGCCAAACACCCACTGCCTGCTGCAGGGGTGTTCGTTTCCCATTACGGTAGAGAGCTCCATTATTAAGCGTCATTAGCATTCATCTTCCAGCCATCAAAATCAACAACGCCGCCACCGATGTTGCCATCCCGATGATGACACAGGCTTGTACGCCGAAGCCGCTCCTGGACTTTGTCCGCGGTCGGCGCGAGCTTCTAGATCACCCTCTACTATGGACTTTGAAGCATCTGGAATCGCTGGGATGCCACTTCGGTCATCTTCAGACGTCCGCTTACTCAGAGTCCACGCCGAAGGATTCCAAGGGTACTGGCGATGCTGAAGCGCTAGCTCGTCGTTTGTTTCCAGACGTGAAGCTTCGTTCTCTCTGCAGGCTTTTGGCAGGCGAGGGGCGGAAATTCGCACGCCCTCGGTAAGAGACACGGCCATTATCTATTATCCCTACTAACATCTCTGCGGAGCAGCCACGGGTCCCACTTCTACTTCCAAGGCCGGCCGATCCACCGCCCATCCTATATGACGTTCTATCGTCGTGAAACCTCACTTGATAATAGCTCGCCGCCGCTGGTAGGCTACGTACATTATACCGACATCAATGGAGACCGCATAGACCATTACGAGGGTCTTGCGCGAGCAAGCAGAGTGCCTGGCCGGTGTCAAAGACTCCTCGCTCGTACAACCCCAAAGGACTGGACTGAAGACCCTTACTTCCTTTTTATTCTGCTGGCTCTTGCGAAGCTGCGATCACCACTGATCTTCTTGATGCGCTGGGAAATCTAAAGACTGCCGTAATGCCCATAACGCGGCCTACAATTCATCGAAAGATGATTCCTTACAAATCTTATGATACCTTTGCCGGTCGCCTCAGGGACGAGCTAGTGGCACCCAGTCCATCGAATTCCCCCAAGCATGTGAATGATGCCACCAGCTGCGAAACGAAAAGACGTCACGAAATGGACGACGGCGAAGACGACAATGGACCACGGAAGATTCGGCGAATATCAGGCACATGAGCTGGTGGAATGGCGCGAACAGGAGTGGAAGTTTGTTCTGGAGCAAGGAGCGACCGAGTCTTCAAGAATACAAGTAATCATGTCAGGGTTGAGAATAGCGGGCCTATCCTCTACCGATGCTGAATACGTTGAGGTAGCTATAGAAATAGTCTGTATTATGCTCCTAACATAATGTAATATACTCAGCACATTTGACCCCTTCCTGAAGCAATTGACCTCCATAGATCACTCGCAGTGTCAGCTGCCTGTCTGCCTGATTTCTATGGCCTTCTTCGCTTGCCTGATCTAGTTAGTCTGCATGTGACCCACAGTGGGTTTTAGCTAGTCAGCGGTCTTCGAGACCTTTCATCAATTCAAGCATTCCATCCGCTATCAATGAATCGAGATAGATATTTGCGAGTAGTGACCATAACGGAGTACTGACCGCCCCCGACATGGACTGTTCCCCACGTGCCATCACCTGATAAATATGAGCTAACTAACTAAACCAACCAGTTATGGCAGCCCGTCAGAGCAGGAGAAACATTTCCCCGATGGACGACGGACTGGGCGATTCCTTGTCAGGCTGGTGGGATCTTTTCCGCTGCGTGCAATTGCATGTCACATAGTCCCAGATCCGACTATTCTAAAATGGCTGCAGCCAATGATCCCTCATCAGTTACCCTGAAGTCTCGTCATCTTGTTAATGGCAGCATTACATACTCTGCTGCGCAAGAGTGCGAGAGAAATGTTCTTCATGAATTGGGCTACTGGGATCAGGAGACAAATTATCTCTCTTATTTATACCAGAATCGGGACTCAATCAGATCGATCGTTGCTCGACACCTTGGCTTAAATTCGCCAGACAAATGTCACATCGCGGAGCCTGAGCAGTGGATGCGTGGAAGCTTTAATATTTGCATTCCAGTCGACGCCGATGGTCAAGGCCCCAAGCCGGGAATACAAATGATTATCCGATTTCCCTTGCCATATCGGGTTGGGGAGGTCCCTTGCCCTGGGAATGCCGATGAGAAGATCTTTTGTGAAGCAGGGACATACGTATGGCTCCAGGCGAATTGCCCAGATGTGGCTATTCCACATCTATATGGATTCGGACTCGCTACTGGCCGAACAGTACGTATGCATATTATAATAGCTTTGGAATTCATGCTTATTAATCCAGTTCACTTCTCTTGACAATCTGCCCCTCCTCTCACGCTCGATAGAAAAGTTCGTCGGGGGGTTTTGGCGTGGCTAGGCTACGAAGTTCCTTCTCGATTTGTTCAAATCTGTAACAAGGCGCCCGCCCCTTTGAATACAGGTTACATTTTAATTGAGTACATTGGGCGATCCCGTGGCAAAATGCTTTCTGAATCGTGGGAAGAAGGCCGTCACAGCCCTCAGCTACGGATGAATCTGTTTCGTGGTCTTTCTCGTACTCTACTTTCTCTAACACGCACCCCATTACCAAGGATCGGTTCTTTTGTCTTGGATGATAAAGGATACCTGAGGTTAAATAATAGGCCGCTCACGCTGCAAATTCCCCAATTGGAAAATGAACGAATACCGGTTGATATACCACGGGAGGTCACTCATATCTCTGTTGATTCATACATTAATGATATTATCTCGCTCCATGAAAGCCGCCTACGTCATCAACCCAATGCAGTGTGCCATCTTGAGGATGGTTTCTATCAAACATCAGCATTAATGGTAATGAGAAGCATCTGGTCTTGCTACTTTCGCAGAGATTTTCTTCGCGGTCCATTCTTTTTGACCCTCACCGATATCCATCAAAGCAACATATTTGTTGACGATGAGTGGAACATCAAATGCTTCATCGATTTAGAATGGGCTTGCTCTCGGCCCGTGGAGATGATTCATCCTCCATATTGGTTAACAAACCAAGCCATCGACTCAATCACCCTGGAGGATTACGAAAGTCTTCATGCGGAATTCATGACGGCGTTGGCAGAGGAAGAATCGAAGTGTTTAACAAGGTCATCGCTGTTACTGCACCCTATTCTGCAACAGGGGTGGGAAAAAGGGACATTTTGGTGCTCTCTCGCGCTGAACAGTCCTACAGCGCTCTTCAGGATTTTCTATGACTATATTCAGCCGAGGTTTTCAAAGGCTCACAATGACGACTCGACGTTTTGGGTCATCACTATGCCTTATTGGACGTTCAACTCGTTTGATTTCATTGAGCAAAAAGTGAAAGACAAAAAGCAGTATGATGTATCTTTGCGTGAGGCATTCAAAAGCTGAACTTCAGTAAGTGCCCACTATGTAGAGGATAGCTGATTGCTACACAGATACCAATCAAATACCTCGCCCAGAAAACCAGCCTGTAAAATCAGTTCTTTCTTTTCAGAAATCCGAATTGCTTGGGTTGTGCCTGTCAAACCTCCGAGCTTCCACCCAAACAGTGTGCGAATGCCAAGTAATACTTTTCTCTTGCAATGAGTTTCTTTTACACCAGATCAGCTTTGTGGGGTCCTTTGGGGTCCTTTGGGATCGAGAATTCAAACCAGCTTCGCCCCCTATCAAGATGATTGACATATGTGTATATGCTTCGGTTGACGGAGATGCCGAATTAAGCGCTAGCATGACCAAGTTTTCCAACATCGCGCCTACGCAGACTGTCAACCATACCGATTATGAGCCTATAAGCATACGTCCTCTTCTGCTGAGCATCGAGACTAAGAAGCCCGGCGTCCACTGGGACACCGCACAACTGCAGATTGGTAGCTGGCACGCTGCCCAGTGGTCATTTCTTCGATGGGCCGTCGGCCAAAAGATACGTAGACAACGAGCGGGGAGATATACAGACATCCATCACATGAATGAGGAGGAAGAAGCCTATAAAGTGAATGAGCTTACCGTTCTATCGTCTCTAGGCGTTATACCGAGTGTCATTATCCAGGGTCATCGGTGGCTCCTCGTACTTTCGACATATGAGAAAGGGAAGACAAAGTTGTGGACAGACCAACAGTTTGGAACAACTCAAAGCTGTTTGGATATTTATGCTGCTATTGCTAGTATGCGACAGCTTACGGCGTGGGCGCGAGATGTTTATATGCCTTGGTTTAAAACAAGTGTTTTGGATTGAACATCACATCACACCTTTCAGGCAGGTCCCGGAAGGTATTCTATTATAAGAGAACTAAATAGGTGGCTCTTTAGCTACAAGTTATAATACCCTGTTATATCTTAATCTTATGTTTTACATCTAAATCAACAATCGGTGTTCCATTTTCACCCAACTCTGTAGTGGACCAGCCGGATAGTTGGGCTCTAGGCTAGATTGGTTGCGGGTGGTCGTTTGTCGTACAGTATGTGATCATGTTAGAATCCTTTGATTTAATAAACCTGGAGTCGGGCCCTACATTTAAAATGTAGTTGTGCTGCGTACTTCGTTGCATTCTATCATATCTATATTGTACATGTACACTGTGAGTTGAGTAAAGATATACCTAACAAATTTTGTTCACTTTTTTGTCACCCTTTCCAGCGCACCGTCAGCCATTGCGATGCCCTCTTCGAACTGAAGGCCCTGAGCTAAGGACTTAGCCTGCTTGTAGAACTTCTCTGCATCCTTGGGCTTGTTCTGAAGTTCCGCCAGTTCCCCGAGGTTGTAGGTGGCCGCTACGCAGGACACATCGCAGTCCTGGTCACGGACAGGGGGCTGGATTCTCGCAGCGACATCGATAGACTTCTGAGCCCACTGCTTCGCCGCGTCGATGATCTGATTGCGCGCCGCGCTGGGGTCGGCCGCCCGGATAGGCTTCTGCGCCTGTCCGGCCATAGCGCTGGCGACATCGTTGAGCAGCACGACCTGCTTGCACGTCGGCTGCTTGCCCTCGTCGACGCGGAGGAGGTCCAGAGCGCGCAGATACAGCGGCATGGCGAGCTCATGCTTCTCCTGCTCGGTGTATCGCGACGCGAGATCCGACAGCGCCGTAGCGATCTCCGTCAGATTCAACCAGGCGTCGTTGTTCTCCGTTCCACCTCCAACCGGCATCCCCAGGCTCTGTCGTCGTCTCATCTCCTCCAAGCACAGCTCCACCGCAGCCACCTGCGCCGCCTCCCCCTTGGCATCGTCCTGGATGTAATCGCTCGAGTACAGCTCCGCTAGCTTCATCTCAATCCCGACGGCCTTCTTCAGCGCCTTATCGCGCTGCGTGTGCTCGTACGCCTCCAGCTCCTGAATCCTGCGCTGCTCCTCCAGAATCTCCGGATCCGTCACCGTCGCATCCACCGTCGCAGCAGCATCATCCTTCTTCCCCTGCCCCTTCTTCTCCGCCTCCGTCTTCATCTTCACCTCCTCTGCCTCCTTCTTCCTCCCCTCCTCAATCCACGCCAACACCTCCCTCTTCGTCCTCTCCAGCACATCCACCGCCGGCTTCGCCAACCCCGCCTTCTCCAACATCATCGCCACCTGCAACTTAATCCCCAACACCTCGTCCGAGAACGGATGCATCCCCATCTCCACCGCAATATGCAACGCATCCTTGTACGCCTTCAGCGCCTTCGGCGGATTCAGATCCACCTCGGTATAGTACACCGCCGTGCGCAGCGACCGCACCACGGGCGGCGGGAACTTGTGGAACTGCGGCCCTACGCTCGTGTACTCGACGTAGGCGATGTATGTGAACAGGAGGGTGGCGCCGGCCGTGGAGAAGAGCGCGAGAGGGAGCAGTACCGGGTTCTTGCGCCAGATGCCTTTCGAGGCTTCGCGGAAGCCGAGTTTCATGCGTTGCATGAACGAGAGGGAGCGGGTTTGTTGCTGACTAGCTCCGAGGGGGAGAGTGGGGAGGCGGGAGCGAGAGGCGAGTCCATTGGGGCGCGTTCGTGGGTGGATGTGTGATATTGTGCGCCGCGTGGCGGGTTGGTTGTGTTGGAGGAATCGGGTCTTCGGGGTGAGGGCGCAGGCGCGCCGCGAGGTTGCGGTGAACATGTTGGCTTGCGTGCGGGTGATTAAGTGAGGGTTGGCATGGACGGGTTTCGGTGTTGGATTGATGGATACACGGGTTCAGGGAGAGGTGAAAGTGGTGGGTATTTCCAGGTCAGGACAGTGTAGGTAAGGTAGTGTCTGGATGATGAGGCGGAGAAGATGAAAGAAAAGAAGTTCCGCCGGCGGAGGTGGTCCAAGCTTCCGCTTTCATATGACGTCGCATCGCATCCCTCTTTCTCTCTCTTCCTTCCTCCCTTCTACACCCCATCTCTAATGATGTGATTCAGTTCAATTGCATTTCATCTCCTTATGACTATCCCATTGCATTTGCACCAAGAAAATCAATCCCAATGTGCGGACGATATGCATTAAACGTGGTAAGTCCCTCGACACCACCCAACTAGATAAACCACAGCTAACCAGTCCAGCGCATGAGGTTCATCCGCAATCGGATGCAAGAGCAAGGCCTCCAAGTCGACGACGCACCGCCCGACGACTCAATCCGCGAGACCTACAACTTCGCTCCCGGCTACAACGGCGCCGTATACCGCGCCGAGAGTCCCCATGACGAACACCAGCCTGAAAACGAGCAAGAGGCCCCAGTCCACAAACCCAGCTACAAACTCCAAAGCATGAAATGGGGCCTCGTGCCCTCGTGGACCAAGCGCTCGCCCGACTACGGCTCCCTGATGCGCACGATCAACTGCCGCGATGACTCGCTGATCGAAGACCGCGGCATGTGGACGTCCATGAAGCGCAAGAAGCGGTGCATCGTCATTTGTCAGGGTTTTTACGAGTGGCTAAAAAAGGGACCCGGCGGGAAGGAGAAGATCCCGCATTATGTGAAGCGGAAGGATGGCGAGTTGATGTTCTTTGCTGGGTTGTGGGATTGTGTTTCGTTTGAGGGTTGGTCTTCTTTCCCTTTTCTCTTGTGTTCTGCGCTTGGGCGCGTTGAGTGGGTGATGGGTGATGGGATGGGAACTGACAGATATGTGCAGGCTCTGAAGAGCCGCTCTTTACGTATACGATCATCACGACGTCGTCGAATCCCTACTTGAAGTTCCTGCATGAACGGATGCCTGTGATCCTAGAGCCAGGCAGCGAGGCTATGAAGACGTGGTTGGATCCGAGCCGGACGACGTGGTCGAAGGATCTCCAATCTGTGTTGAAGCCCTACGAGGGCGAATTGGAGTGCTATGCTGTGCCCAAGGAAGTCGGCAAAGTGGGAAACAACTCGCCTAATTTCATAGTTCCCGTGGCTAGCAAGGAGAATAAGAACAACATCGCGAATTTCTTCGCCAACGCGAAGGAAAAGAAAACTGAGCCGGCTGTTGTGGAGAAACAAGCACCGACGCAGGAGCCGAAAGTCGAGGAAGATGAGGACGAGAAGAGATCCACGAAGGATAATGAATGGAGCGAGGATAATGCTCCAAAACCAGAACCGGGTGTTAAGAGGGAGCATGATGAGTCAGGGCTAGGTGAGGGTGCAGACACAGACGAACATCAGAAGAAACCGAAGCTCGAGGCACATACTCCGTCGCCGCAAAAGGCCCGTGGGCAGCTCTCGCCGTCGCCGTCGCAAGGGCAGACTATGCACTCAGGGAGGAAGACACGCAGTGCCACTCATAACCAGAAAACACCGAAGAAAGCAGACGGAAAGAAGGCGTCAGATGGCTCGCAGCGGATCACGAAGTTTTTTGGTAAATGATCATTTTCTAGTTCGCATATCTCGGGAGATTGTTATGGTTGGGGATGAGGGCTGGTCCCGTATAGTAATGCTTGTGGAGATGAGATAATTTTAATTTGACACTACCCGGCAGGGAACATAGCACAGACAAATCCAATATAATACAATTCATTGTATAGTTTTACAGATGGAAGACAGGCCGGGGCCTATTGCGACTCAGACTCAATCTGGCGCAATCTCTGAACCAGCTTCTCTCGTAGGAAAGAACTTAGTCCGAAGCTATAAGAGGGTGAGTTAGCATCGCCACAAGACACGAAGAAAACTAGCACACTTACAATCCATCTCTTGTCACAACACGGTAAGTACCTAGACCAGACAGTCGGTGATTAGCACAATCCCAAACCATCACTTCACAAGAACCAGACAGAACCTACCACTGGACTGATAATTCCCATTCCCCCCAACAAAGTTCCCATCTCCATCCACCTCCAAGCTCCCAAAGATATCCTCAGGCCTGCACAAATCAGTCAGAAACCCAAAACCCATCTCCCAACTCCGCAAACCATAAGGGACAGAAAACTCACCACGCAATCCGCCCATACTCAGGCGGCCTCCTCTCATCCGACAAATGAATCCATCCTCCCCTCCCCGCGGACCCTGCACCCCCCTGCCCACTCGCCCCGCCACTCGAGTCCGCCGTCTCCCCGCGTCTGCGCCGCGCCTTGCTCCCCGTCAACAGCACGCCGCCGGAGCTGAGATTCGCGCCGGCCGTGGACACCATGACCTGGGCCTGCGAGACGGCGTCGGGGTCCTGGTGGCCGTGCTCGGTGAGGACCTCTTGCAGGATGCTTAGGAAGCGGGGGTTTTCGCGGAAGGAGTCAGGCGTGGGAGGCAGTTTGGAGGTAAGTCCGATAGAGAGATTGGCGTTGGGTGGGTTCGTCGGGAGGAGACTGAGGATATGGGAGTTGTTGGAGGGGAAGGTATACTGGATTATTGTTAGCTCGGAGGAGTTCGGAGGGAAGGATGGTGATAGAGAGGTAAGACTGACTATGTGAGGATGGCCTTCTAGTGTTGACACGGAGCGGATCTGGGACCATCGATGTGAGATGGGGGTTTGGCGGATGAAAGAGCGTAAGGCGAGCATTTTGACTGTAGGCTCAGCTAGCAAATAAAGATTCAATGGTTCATGTACAGGATTTGGAGAAAGATGCAGAATGGCGATGAAGCTATGACGCTGCCCGAGCAAACAGGACAAACTCATGTGACTGCGCGTTTCATTGTCCCGACGATGGTCGAATTGCGACCTGAACTGCTGCTGCTTCCTCTTCCTTTCTTCTAGTTTGGGCCTTCTTGGGGGAAATGATATCAGTGCTGTCTGGTGGATTTGTCACTGTCTAAGGATCGTTTTTTTCTTGGCTTGGGTCTTTCAGTTCAGCGACGAAACTATGCGCAGTGCGCACTCTTGCGATTGGCAACACCACCAAGGTTACTACTGAGCGATTGATTCTTCTTCTAGCTACATACGATACCCCGATTTATTTGATCTGATTTGCCGACTTCAATTCTCTGAATACCTGGTCCAAAAGCAACCACCGCCATGGCGACCCCATCGTCCAAGCCGAATCCCGGCGCAACGCCAACCCATCTCACCTCGTCCCCTCGCCCCTCAGGACCCATGACCCGACCGATCTCCCATAAATCGCCGTCAGCGCGCACTCCGTCCATCTCGGGCCCTGCCCACGGTAACCACCCGCCGAACTCCCATCAATATGCCACGCCTCTCGCGGCGAACGCCGGTGCCGACGACCCCGTCGCGTTCAGCTCCCCGTCGGCCCTTCTCGCCCTCGGCGGCTACAGCGGCATCAGCCCGTCGCCCGCCGTGCACGACGGCCTGGTACCGCCCGGTATGAACGAGAGCGACATCCAGGCGCTGGGCATGCAGGGGCTCAAGCTCGCCGCGCGAGACAGTGACGAAGAGCGACGGAGACATCTCGACGAGGTGGTGCAGCTTCTGCGGGCGCGGGTAGCGGGTCGAGGAGTGTGCCGCGAGGGCATTGAGCGGCTGGGCGAGCTGGAAGGCTTCGAGTCGATCTGGCAGGACGACAACCTGAACATTGCAGGCAACTTCGTGGACCTGGAGATTGACTTCCACCGGAGCCAGAATACCGTGAAGGACGTGAGCCTGAAGTATGCGACGCCGGACGCGACGGACGGCGAACGCAGGGAAGAGGCCACGGCGGTTCTCAAGCGGGATCTGATCCAGCCGCCGGAGGATGGAGAGACGGGGAAGTGGAAGTCTCTGGCGGCATTCCACGAGAATCTGCAGTGGCTGGCTAGACACGATCGATTGAGCCAGGAGGTGAATTGTTTCGAGGCAATCGAGGGTCTGCACCAGAGCTATAAGCGGGTGTGGGATGAAGAGGGGAACCGGGGCGAGTTCTCGGGGGTTTATGACCAGCTCTGTAGGGGCTTGGTTGGTCGTCCGTGTCTGCATAAGGAAGGGCGCGTTGGCCTGAACTTGAATTACTGGGTGCCACAGGCACAGGTTCAGGATGCGAAGCGCAAGACGTCCGCCGATGAGATGATGGTCGATCAGCCGTCTGCGCAACCGCTAGATGAAGAACCAGCAGATCAGAACGGACGATGGAATATCATCGTCGAGTGCGAAGAGGGTTATCCCTCCCTACGAGTGTCGAAGGAGTGGACAGGCGCCCAAGCCTTGATTGTGGTTGACAACGACGGGAACGAGCTGTCAAACGAGGCCTCCGAGTCAGGAACGGTGGTGGTGAACTGGAACGATCCGCCGGTGACTCTGTCCCAGAATCACTCTGATGCGATGGCTCTGGATTCTGGCATGCTGGGCTCCCAACCTCATCGCCGCTTCGTTGCTCGATTGGAGCCACCGCTTGATTTGCCTATCCTCCCGGCCTCGGAAATCTACAGACATCTCAATATTCAACTACCGCAGGAATTCAAAATGGTTACATATGACGGGCTATTGGCCCCAGGATGGTCACCGTTGTCGTCAACCGGCGCCATGGGTCTAGGCGAGGAAGCATCCCAGATCAATCGAAAGAAGCGCACGATGCCGGTCCCGTCGGTTGACACGGAAGGCAAGCCGTGCACCAAGCAGCACAGCTACACCTTCCAACCGTTTGAGCCTACCGGGGGAAGGACAATACGTGACCTTCCCTTCTCTCATCCCCGTGAACTTGCGGCAATTCTTCCGGTAAGTCAGACCTGCATCATTTGATCACGGGGAATAAACTAATGTGGGGGTGCCATTTGATACCAGACTCTGCGGCAGTACGCGTTTGTGGCGAATACTATTCGCAACGTTTTCAATGCTCCTGCGAAGGATGACTACAACGGAAAAGACTCTCAAACGCATCACCCCGGAGGCAACCCGATGAGCGAATTGAAATTCTCAGGGCAACCAGGCAAGCCCCCCGGCAAGAAGGGACTGATTGTCTTGAGCAACAAAGACCCAAATGAGAGCAAGCTGGATTGGCTGTTGAGGTCATCCGACAAGACAGCCGGCCTCGTGAACACCAAGGGCAAGGACCCATCGGCGTCAGCAGACTCTGTAGAGAACACCTTCACCCCTGAAGATGAAGTTAAAGTGGACGTGACGCTGCGGACCCAGCTCGGACAGCCGCCGGTCATCATGCTTCTTTTCGCAGTCGACGATACGAGACCGGGAGTACCTTCGTCGCCCATGGGCAGACCCGTCCTGAGCAAGGTTTCTGTCAGCTTGGAGGTTGGCGTGAATGGACGCATCACAATCGTGGACATGACGGGGCTACTGGACGACGACACCCCTGCAGGCGCAGACGGCACCAAGAGCGAGGCAACCGAGCTGCAAAGCAAAATCGCCCGAGTCTTCGAGGTGTCTCAAGACATCGGCATTTTGGTCGAATGGATTCTCCAATGGGTACGACAGCGAAACGGCCGGTGATCATCCTTTCCTCGATCGCCGGGGGCAGGCAGAGAGGCGGACTGGATTGGCTGGGCACGACGCGGCTCCAGCTGCGCCCGAGTGGAGAGAGCCTCGAACCAAACCGATCGATCGGTAGTTATCTGAAGACGCTGATTCATCACGGCGTTGCAGCCGTCACCTGAGACGCCGTGCATGTCGAGATCCCGTTCGGAGCGGTGGGCTAAGCTTTTCAGCTATCGGCGCCGTAGGTACCTGCAGCAGCTGTCCCACTTGGATTTCTTGGATTGCCGCTGACTCAAGTCAAAGACTCGGTCTGCATTGGTCGTTCCTGGCACTGAAACTTTGTACAGTACATGCGGGAGGGACTCGACCTGGTTCCGTTCACAGAGGCGAACCCGGGAAATAGAATAAACATAGTGTTGGACCAACTGTTCCTGAGTTTCAACTTTCATGTCAATAGCGCACAGGATAGAAACCAAGCATCCGTAAATCACAGCACAATCTGCCCAGTCTTATCTCCTATCCTGCACAGACCGCAAGAGACATGTCAAGCGCCGCAAACCGCGTCGTAAATTTAAAGTTGCCGATCCACCACCGACGGGGACAATCGATGACCGACGGGTTTGACTAACATTTTTCTTTTTTGCTCCGTATTGCTACCTGACCAGGCAGGAAGGAAACCGACTGCATGAGGGATTTACCACCCAGGTAAAGCTACGCATGCATGCAATCCCACCCACGACGGACGCAAGGAGCTTTCCCCAGCTCTGCCTGTTTTTGTGCCCAGCAGCTCCCAAATATGAAAATGTCGCGGCGGGGTGAGCTGTGAGCTGTGAACTGGCTGGGAAATATCCCTCAGGAGTGACCAGTCGATTTTCGTCCCGGGAGTCAGTTGGAGTAGGTAGGGAGTAACTCGACCAGCCAGGCCAGTTCTTCATCCCAGGATGTATGGATGGATGTCTTTGCCTGTTTTGTCTGCTTTCAATCTCTCATGATTGGAGACTATCAACTGCGCGATTTTACTGTCCCCGACTTTCTAATGTATAGGCGCCTCACTTCGGAGGTATACCTACCTAGTTACTTGCCTACTGCGGACTATTGAGGGTTGTGCGCGCGCTGCAGCTGTGCATTGCAGAATTGAGACGTCTGATCTTTTCCTGAGTATTGGAACGTAATTTATCGAGGGAGGTTTGCAAATTTACCTACGATTCGGCGGTTCTGTGTCTTTCGACGCCGACCTTGCTTGGTATTACATCATGCCCTGTCGGCAAGGCGGGTAGTTACCTAGGCAGTAGGCAGGCCTGTGATGTACTTCCTCTCCACCCCTGAGAACCTGGTATAGGACTAGGTCTAGGAACTTGAGTATGATATCATGAGGTGGAAGTATTCGTATATTGCCATAGTAATCTACCTCAGTATCTGTATATTAGGTAGTATGTATGTAGGACGAGCAGCTGCACCTCGATGGAAGCAGCCGCCGCGGCGTCCCAAAACAGACAACGGCATGAATCTGATCCCTCCGATTTATGAGATATTCCCCATTAATCTCAGCACCTACTGTACTCCGTCGTAACCATGGAATATACCTTCTCTGTAGAATCATATTCGCAAATGCCCGTCCACCCTTAATATTTCGCCGCCTCTGATTCGGCCCGAGGTCAGTCAGCGCCGTTTGTCACGATCCCTCGGCCCTCAGCCAATCAGCAGCCCGCGATAAGGCCCCCCATCGGACGAGAGGCTGCGGAGTCGAAGGCGACCGCTGGTTGGCAGTTGCCCGGCTGGCATTGCCTTTGTTGGGTTGACCGCGAGTGATTTTTTTTGTGTTTTTTTGTGTTTTAGGTTTCGCTCTTTGAGTCGGTGGAGGGCTTACCAGTCATGCAGTCTTTTTTTGCAGCCTTTTAACCGCGCATTCATTTTATTTTATTTTTTTTGATCGGCGGTGAGGGTTAGTGCTATCAAAGGGCGCGAGGGTGAGGGATATTCGATGCTAAATGGGCGGTTATTGGCTGTGCGGTGGTTTTTGCCGAGGATTGGATCCTTTTATTTTATTTTCTCCGCTGGTGTTACTGTTGGGGGTTGGGTCGAGTCTTTGGGTCTGGTAATTTCCTCCCTTTCTTTCTTTCTTTCTCTTTCTTTCTTCTCTTCCGCACTCCGTAGTGTAAAGGATCTTTCGATGTCCACGTTCACGCGTCGACAGGTGATATGCACCTCTTCCTCCGGGGATCCAAGACGCGCTAGCCCGACTTCGGCTAGACGGAGCGGTGCAGCGCCACGATGGGGATCTATTATTACCTCGTCTATATTTGATACGCGGCGCAGCTGATAAGGGCGATCAAATACACATACACAGACCGTACGGCTACTTGTAAACCCGGCTGTCTAGTCTCGCTATTTTTAATTCTCAAACCACAATGTCTTACAATCGTTACTGTAAAAAGATCCGAATGAAAATTCTGAACCACGCCGCGAACTATCTATCAAGTCCAGTCGCTAGTCCCATGTCCATGTCATCCACAGGGCTGAACCAATCGTTCTGTTTGCTCTACATACAGTGCATACATACTATATTCTACATCCTATGCGTATGGACTGCGTACATCCAGATGCAAGCCCGTCCAAAGTGGTAAAAAGTCAGAGCTGATTGCCGGAGTATTCCTGAATCCTCCGACTCCCAGAGGCATCCACGCCTCTCATTTGCTACGGCAACCTGCCCCCGACACGCTCGGCGAGGAGAAAGAGGGGGAACGATGAGAAATGACGATGACCCAGGCAGCAGATCGGGACGACCGTGGTCACGATAGCCGTGGCATGGCATTGGCATTGGCAATCTGACCTCTCCGACCTCTCCGACTTGATTTGCCACCCAGTAGTTTCTCCGTCCGTCATGAATATGGGGAAGAGACCAGAGGCAAACCCTGGAGAATCCTTGTTCGTGGAATTTCCGGTCGCAGCCTGCTTAGCTAACGGCGTCACTAAGGCCAAGAATAACCCTGACTAACACCGGACCGGTCTCGGGGCCTCCGGACGGCGGCTCTCTCGCCTTTTCGAGAATGTTTTGCCATCGCCCCACATCCGGTTGATACTTAGGTAAACGAGAGAAAAGAAACCAAAAAAGAAAAAGGCAGGGGTGTATTGTATTGATTGGGTGGGTTGGGCGTAATGGGAATACCGGGTGGTAAGATATCGACTTGTGGGTGAGGGATCGATGCCTCCGGATTTCTTGTGATCTGTCTTAGCTTCGAATACGGAGGGCGCTTGAATCGAGGTGTATTTTCCCGGATGGAGAGCCAGAATCAGGATGGATTATTGGATATGCACGCTAGAGGATTGAGCAATTTCTTTCCTTTGCTTTTCTTTCCAGCGGATTGTGCACGCGGGAATTAATTGAATGAGTCAAAATCCAAGAAAAATCGGCAGACGCGCTATGACCCACCCACGCGACATGGCGGGGGTCTTCTTGAGGGGCACTTGATAAGGGATTTCTTGGATGCGTTCTTGATCAGTCGCAGGTACGCCAGGTACCTGGATTTGATTGAATGGGTACTCCGTAGGAGTAGATACGATGGATGCGTACTTTTGGTAGCCTCCTATCCATGATGGTCTTATCATCCGGAAGGGGTTATATCCGCTATATCATATATATTGTATCACCAGCCGATAAGACCAAGCTGAGATATCCAAAGGATGATATTATCCAGATGATTGCTTGCAAGCCACCCCCCCCCCCCCCCCCCGCCTGCCAATAGAAACCCGATCTATCAGATTAGGTGCATTCAACGTTTGAACTACCTGGGTCCTGCAGCTGATATGCAACAGGATCCCGGTCGCGGTTGATAATACCTGTTAGCAACGTATTCGTGTCGCTATCTCCAGGCTGACCGGGATCCAGGCGGCGTGCGACCATCTGCGCATTGCTTTTTAACGTCTCCCACTTCATTCGACGGCGATCAGGTATCTGACCTGGTCGGATGAATCCTGCACCCGTGGATCGCAACGTGATAGGGGAACTCTGCCCGGAGTCCTGGACAGATCACCGCGGCGTGGGGTGCGATTATCCGGGGAAATCCCAGCAAGCTGAGCTCCCCCGTTCAGGCTCGAGACGCGGTAGGATGGACATTGCGTCGACTCGTCTAGAATGGGGTGGGCATCCGTTCAGAAATCGAGGCATTTGCCTATCACATTATGGTTTGCGTTGCATATTACATGCAAATGCAATGCCAGCGTACGTGGATGCATGCCTGATGGGTTGCCCCGGGGGAAGAAAGGGGGCGTCATTTTTCTTTTTGGGAATCTATGGCATTACCTGATTGGGTAGAGTTTTGGATGAATGCGTGTAATTACGCCTCAATAATCGAGATTTCATTTACGAAGTACCTACTAACTATAGGAGTATAGTGATTAAGAAGCAAGTGCAATGATTACGGAGTCAATAGATTAGGCGGACTCTAGACCAGATCGAGCGGTTATCTCTCCTGCGTACTGCAATACATTCTATTGATACTATTGATAGAATCCTCCTTCGTAGGACCTGTAGAGCGAAGGCTCGTGCAAGTGGAAACCTGTGGCGTACGGTGACCCTGGTCGAAACTGCAGCCTTGCCGCACCGCCATCGTGATGGACGCTTCTGGCCTCAGTTACTTTCTTTAGCAGTACTGCGTAGACCGGAACATACGGCAGGGTGCGTTTTTTTTTTTTTTTTTTTTCTCTCGAGCTACTCTCTGTCTGAAACAACAGCTCAACAACGCAACTGCAAAGGGGAAACCATGACACATGGATGAAGATCCGGCGACCGAAATAGAGGCCCAGACGGGTTCGGTCTGGCAGCAATGAATCGCGAGGGCAGCGGGACGCACTAAGTGCAAACGGGGCCCGTTACCGTAATTTTCAAAGCGGGTTTTTGCCCCATTCCCCTTTCGGCACCGAATTTGCCCCCCTCCCACACCCCCCAAAAAGCAAAGCGGCTTCAAAGCAGGTCCTGTCCTTTCCTTAAATTTAAAGCATCTCCCCCACCCACCGATTCATTGTATCTCGCATCTCCATTCCTCCATATTTTATTCCGCTTTTCCACTCTCTCTTCTTCCTCCATATTCCTCTCTCCTCTCTCTCATCGGAATCTCTTGATTTCTCTCTCTCTCTCTCTCTCCGTTACTATCTCAATCGTTGCGATTGTTTGCCGCATCGTTCTTACTGCAGCATCGAAGTTCTTTGAATTGATCGGACTGAAATTCGCTCTGCTTGGTGCAAGCTGAATTCGAAAACAAAAACCTTTCTACATCTTTAACTACACACTAATTCATCATGGTATGTTCTGACTCTCGCGCTCTGCACTCTGCAGTCGCCATTTGCCACAACGGTCGCTAATGACTCATCCCAGGCCGAATCGACCACCATCTCCAACACGGAGAATGTGCGTTCTTCTTATTAATACCTATACTTTTTCTTCAGCCGCTCTGCGGTCTCGAGGAAACAGTCAGACTAACGTTATGTGCGCTGGCAACAGCTCATGAAGTACATGGCCCTCGATCAGCGGGGTGCTGTCCAGGCCGAATACATCTGGATTGACTCTGTCGGCGGCTGCCGCAGCAAGACCAAGGTATGCACTCTCCTTATCTGCTTCTTATCTGCGGTCAAGGACTCTGGATGTGGATGGATGGTTGGAGGGTCAACGGATCGTCTTATCGAATCCTGCGATAAGCACTTGCGCACGGTGCCTGGGCTGCTGTCCCTGCATCCACCCGCTCCACGTGATCACCGCAGATAGATTGCTTTAGCCCCTCTCTGGATAATGGCTAATCCTTATCGCTTATCCAATAGACTCTCTCCAAGCCCGCCAAGTCGGTCGATGAGCTCCCCGAATGGAACTTCGACGGTTCCTCGACGGGTCAGGCCCCCGGTGATAACTCCGACGTCTACCTGCGCCCCGTTGCCATCTTCCCCGATCCCTTCCGCCTGGGTGACAACATCCTCGTCCTCTGCGAGACCTGGGACTCGGATGGAACCCCCAACAAGTTCAACTACCGCCACGACGCCAACCGCCTGATGGAGGCCAACTCCAAGGAAGAGTTCTGGTTCGGTCTGGAACAAGAATACACCCTCCTCGGCAACGATGGCTGGCCGTACGGCTGGCCCAAGGGTGGTTTCCCCGGTGCCCAGGGCCCTTACTACTGCGGTGTCGGAACCGGCAAGGTCTACTGCCGTGATATCGTCGAGGCTCACTACCGCGCTTGCATGTACTCTGGAATCAAGATCTCCGGTATCAACGCCGAGGTCATGCCCTCGCAATGGGAGTTCCAGGTCGGCCCTTGCAACGGAATCGAGAGTGAGTTTTCTTCCCTCTTTTTCATATAATCACAAGCTAATAAAACTAGTGGGTGACCACCTCTGGATGTCCCGATTCATCCTCCACCGTGTCGCCGAGGAGTTCGGTGTCCGGATTTCCTTCGAGCCCAAGCCCATCAAGGGTGAATGGAACGGAGCTGGTCTCCACACCAACGTCTCCACCGCCTCGACGCGTGCCGATGGTGGTATGAAGGTCATCGAGGCCGCCATGAAGAAGCTGGAGGCCCGCCACGTCGAGCACATTGCCGTCTACGGTGAGGGCAACGAGGAGCGTCTGACCGGTCGTCACGAGACCGGCAACATCGACAAGTTCAGCTACGGCGTTGCCGACCGTGGTGGCTCGATCCGTATTCCCCGCCAGGTCGCCAAGGATGGCAAGGGTTACTTCGAAGATCGTCGCCCTGCCAGCAATGCCTGCCCTTACCAGATCACTGGTATCATCGTTGAGACTGTAAGCTCCCCTGCAAGGACTCGACATGAATACAGCTAACGAACGCAGCTCTGCGGTGGCCTTTAAATCCTTTGTTACTTAGCAACTCGTATACCCTCCGGCGTCATATGGGAGCAGAACCGAGGAGAAGCAGCCTTGGCAGGCGGGAGAAAACATAGAATTTTATTTTTGTTTTCGTTTTTTCATTCCTTGTCACCATGACAGTTCAGGGTTTCTTTCTTTGACTCCAGATGCCAGGGTTTGCCCATCTACGTTCCTTGTTTTCCATGCTGCTTGCATTTGATTTTTCGTTAGTGTTATGTGTTACGGCAAACATAGAAGACTTTCATTCAGAGAGGAATGGGTCAAAGGAATGATATGGACAACCAGAACCAAAAATAGTTTAAGCTCACAGTAGCAGTGTCTCAATAGCTGTCTCAATAGCAATCACTCATTAATACAGTCAAACCTTGGGTACAAATAATCGATCTAGACTTGACGAGACTTACTGACGAGACTTGAGTTCCGACGAACCATTCATTGAGTCTAGACCGAGTGCTCGGACATAAGACTGATGGAGTTAATTCGCCATGTCCGACTAATCAGCTCATCATGATCCACTACGCAGTACATATCTTCTGACTGCTATCAAACCTGTTCTGATCATCGATAGAGTCAACCACAGGACAATGAACTCACCCAAAAAGCGTCGTCGCCCCGCCCTGGCCTGTCTCGAGTGTCGTCGCCGAAAGGTTAAATGCGATCGCACGACTCCCTGTGGCCAGTGTACGGCTCATCGATCGAGCTGCCGATATGTGGGAGATCGATCTAGCGATCAGGGTCTGGAACAGGGTCAGGGTCCTGCCGGATCAGAGATGCCTGCGGATGAGAATGATGCGCACTGGGCTGGCTCTGCGGATTCGGTCTCGATCACCGGAGGATCAAGATCCAGTATGAGCAGGACGGTGCCCCCTGGCGGGATCCACGGCGCGTGTTCCAAGACCAGGGTCTTCGGACATAGCCATTGGATCAGCACGATGCCTTTTGTACGTTTCCACCTCTTTCATCTTGATGGAGATGAAGTACCAACCAGTCCAGATCCAAAACCTCCCAACCTGCCAGCCCATCTCGCCGCACATCAACTCCCGAGATCCCGGCCCCGATGCCAGTACCGGCGCCAGCGTCCTAACCAGCCAGATCTCCGAGCCCTTCACACGCTGCAAGCAGCTCGCCCGAGAGATCAAACGCCCCCGACCAAGCCGCGACGCTTTACCATCTGGACTGCACGAATCCGTACCCGCCCGCCCCGTCCTCGAGGTCTCGATCCCGCTCTACTTCGCGACATTCGAACCATGCTACCGCATCCTCGACCGGGGAGAATTCTACCGCGAATATGAATCCTACATGCAGAATCCAGATCCCGCATCTGCATCGCCGTCCTCCCTGCTCAAGATCCTGCTTCTCCTGTGCGCCATCGCCCCGCTGTATCCGGACGAGTCTGCGCGCAGAGACCTTCGGGCTAATGCCCCCCGCTGGATCCACGTAGCCCAGACCTGGCTGTCTGGTCCGCTGGAGAAGAATCGGCTTACTATTGACGCCCTGCAGATTCATTGTCTGCTCCTGCTGGCGAGGCAGACGAATCGCGTTGGCGCAGACCTCGTCTGGATCTCGGCGGGGTCGTTGATGCGCATGGCCATGCAGATGGGGCTGCATCAGGATCCGGATTCTTTGGGGATGGAGATGGGGATGGGGACTGGGATTGGGGCAAAGATGGATGTGCGACGACGGCTGTGGTTTACCATCCTGGAGATGAATGTGCAGGCGGCGTTGGATTCGGGAATGGCTCCCTTGGTTAGGGAGGAGGATTACGATACGAAGATCCCGGATGATGAAGGTAGCTACCAGGTGCTTCTCGCTCGATCTCTACCTCTTCGTCTGGAAGCCACTCGGCTCATGAACAGTCTGCGCGGAGAGCCAAGCTACGAGGAGATTCTTCGTCTAGGGACCCAGCTGGCGCAGGTCTACCGTGACGCAACAGTCACCATCTCCAGCTCTCACAACCAAGCAGACCGCACGCAACCCTCCTCCTCATTCCTCATCCACCTCCTCTCCCGCTTCCTTCTCTGTCTGCACCTCCCCTACGCCGTCCAATCCCCGCACAATCCCTTATACACCTCCTCCCTGCAAACCGCCCTCTCCGCGTCCCAAGACCTGCTCGCCCTCCTCGACGACCCTATCTACCGCTGTCTCCTGATCGCGGGCGGAGGCCTCTTCCGCGACCTGATCACGCGCGCGGGACTGCTCATCTTCCTGGACCTCGTGAACCGGGTGGATGGGAGTTCGCCGTTTGTGCAGGCGAGGCAGCGGGCGAGGGTTGAGCCGTTGGTGGAGGATGCGAGGAGGGTGGTTAGCTTTGCGAGGGAGAGGCTGGTGAACGGGGATACGAATGTTAAGGGGTATGTGGGGGTGAGGATGGTGATGGCGCAGGTGGAGGGGTTGCTTGAGAGGGAATTGCCTGGGGAGGAGATGGGGATTGGGGAGAGGGTTGGGAGAGCGGCGAGGGAGGGTTTGGAGGAGAGTTATAAGATTCTGAAGGGGATGGCGGAGGAGGAGGGTTGTTTTGTAGGGTCTGGTGGTGGGATGGGATGGGATTTGGGGGTTGATTTTGTTCTGGATATGGATCTAGATCTAGGGTCGGAGTTTGGATACTGGGGATTCGGCTTTCCTTGATCTTGATCTTGGTTGCCTAAAAAGAAACTATAAAGGAAAGGATATGAAGCAGATCGAGTTCGGAGATATCGACATCGGAGTATTCGGGAATGTCCGAATAGCCCGAAGGATTCGGACTTTTGGCATCATTCGGCGTCATCATGCACTAACGATTGGTCTGTTTGTAGGGAGATGTAGATGAATGAATAGTCCGAGTGGTCGGCCGAGCCTCATGATGAGTATAAGTATAAGTAGGTATCTTACTACCCTAAGTACCTTACTGTTGTACTATAAGCCTCAATCAATCAATCCAACTACTCACTCCATACTCAATCCTCCTTCATTCTCTCCAATCCTCACATAACAACACCCACTGAACTCCCTCCCTCCAAAAGATAAGTCAAGAGATAAAAAAAAATGAAAATCCTCCTCTCCGGCGCCGGCATAACCACCAACGCCCTGGCCTCTCTCCTCACGCATCAAGGCCACAAACTCACTATCCTCGAACGCGCCCCCTGTCTCCGCGCCACAGGCCTACAAATCGACCTGCGCGGCCCCGGCATCGAAGTCCTGCACCGAATGGGGCTGGCAGAGACGCTGCGGAAAAAGACCATTCGCGAAGAAGGTATCCAAGTCGTTGATCAGTCGGGAAGACGGAGGGGGTGGTTTCCTGTTTCGAGAGCGGATGATACCAAAAAGGATAAGGGGAAGGGAAAGACGAGTCTGACTACCGAGTGGGAGATCATGAGGGGGGATTTATGTCGGGTTTTGTATGATTCTGCTCTTTCTACTGCCTCTGGTATGGGGAGAGGGGAGATGGAAAGGGAAGGGAAGGGACAAGTCGAGTACCGCTTCTCCACCAGCATCCAAGCGCTGAAGGAAGACGCAAACGGCGTGGACGTGCAGTTCTCAACCGGACAGCAGGAACGCTTCGATCTGGTGATCGGAGGCGATGGCCAGAACTCCAAGGTCAGGGAGCTTTTACTCGCTCAGACCCGGAGCCAGGACTTGGACCAGGGCGAGGGAGGAGATCCATTCAAGCCCCTTGGCGTGTATGCTGGGCTGTTCACCACCTCCTGGCCTCTTCCTACCCCTGACACCACTCCATCATCACCACCCTCCCAACTATCCAACCAAATGAACACCCAAGACAACAAACTCATCGGAACAGTCTACCTCTCCACCTCTCGCCGCGCCATCTTCCTGCGTCGCCACCGCCCCGACAGAGTGCAGGTGTATCTCTTCGCGCGCAGCGACAGCCCTGCCTTCGCGGATCTGCGACGCGGACACATGCACCCCGCGCAGGAGAAGGCGCTCATGATGGATCATTTCCAGGACGCGGGGTGGGAGGCGCCTCGGTTGATGAGGGCGCTGGAGGAGGCGGAGGACTTTTACTGCGAGAGGATCGGGTGGGTGAGGTTAGGGGGGTGGTCGAGTCTCTCCCTCTCTTTTCCCTCTTCTTCGTCTGGGACTTCTGGGGACAGGGACGGGGGGAGGCAGAGGGAGAAAGGAGGGAGGATCGTTCTCGTCGGCGACGCGGCGTACGCGCCCTCCGTGACGACAGGCATGGGGACCACGGCGGGGGTGGTCGGCGCTTATGTGCTGGCTGGGGAGATCGGGAGGTATTGTTCTCCCAAGTCCTCCTCTAGGGCTGAGTCGGAGGCGGAGACTAGGTCTGGATCTGGATCTGAGGCAATTCAGACTGCCGTCCGAGAGTACGAGCGCAAGCTGCGGCCGTTCATCGACTACATCCAGAAAGATCTGTCCGAGGGGTCGAGTGCGTGGGATCGGCTGCCGCGGACGAGGTTCGGGGTCGGCGTGTGGAATGTCATGGTGGGTGTGAGTTCGTGGTTGAGGCTGGATGAGTTTGGGAGTTGGGTGAAAGAGGATAAGGGCGAGGAGTCGTGGAAGTTGCCGGATTATGAGGTTGATAATAGTGATTGACTCAGGGTTGGGGGGTTGTAATGTCTATGTTAGTGGCTAGATTGGTTGGGTTGGATCTACGGAATTGTGATATTAGATGGTTTGGACTCAGAGGACTGATTAAATACTAGGATTAATATAGTCTAACTTGATCTATTGGTATATTCTCATCTCCGCAGTACCGACAGATCAGTTGTTGCGCCGGAACATGCCAAAGCGGAACAGCCCATCCAGTCCCCTCTGCTCTCTCTCTCGTCTCGCCGCCCCGTCCACAATCTTGTCCTCCTCGCCGTCTCTCCGTTTCCGCCCATCCACAATGCGCAGCAGAATCTCCATCACCACCGACGCCAGGATACTCGCGCACAAAATCCCCACCATCACCAGGTTACTCTTGCGGTACTTCGCCCGCCCCTCCGCTTCGTAGTCGCTCTTCCACCCCGTGTACAGCGCATACGTGGTCAGGATGGAGCCGAGATTGCCCAAGCCCGAGACCACCGCCGATGCCGCCGCCACACCGACTTCGCCGTGCCGCGGCTGGAAGATCTCCGTCGTCCAGGTCATCGTGATGGGCACGGTAGGACCCAGGCCGAAGCCGACGATGAGCAGCCCGCCGTAGCGCGGCCACGAGTTGGACGCGGTCCCGGCGTACGTGGTCAGCAGGAGGCCGAGGATCTGGAAGCAGACGGGGATGGAGAAGAAAATGGCGCGGTGGCGGTGGAAGCGGTCGGAGAGGGGGGTGACCAGAAGAATGGCGATGAGGTCCATCTATTGAGGTTAGTATTGACGATCAGAGTAGGAAGACCAGAGATGAGGGAGGCGTACAATCCAGATCGGAGCAGTCAGAAGACTCAGGTCGATGCCGTTCAGGCTCGGGTTGATCCCCTTAATGATAACGGTAGCGTAGTTCTGCACGCCAATGCCTACGCCCACCACGCCAAAGTACATGATCAGCAGCGGCCACAGCCGCCAGTCCAAGAGCACGCGCGTGAGGTCGCGCACGCTCCACTGCGGCCGGTGGTACACGCGCCGCAGGTCATGGTAGTGGATTTCGGCGTCGCGGCCGGTCAGCGCCGGCGGGCTGCGCGGGATCCATCGCAGGTACTTCTGCTGCGACGGCTCCTCGCCGGGCGCCGTGGGCCGGTCGGGCAGCCACCAGAGCAGCACGATGCCGACGGCCACGGTGATGACACCGTAGACGAGGAACATCCACTGGAAGCCGACGAGGCCTTGCGCGCCGTCCATTTTCTGGAACCCGGCCGACACCAGACCGACGACGGCGGCGGAGACCTGCGCGGCCGTGTAGTACTGGCCGATGCGTTTGCCGGTTCGCGACGGGGGATAGAAGAGGGTGAGATAGTAAGCCATGCCGGGCCACATGCCGGCGATGACGATACCCAGAAGAAGACGCAGAAGACTGGTAGTCATCAGCACGTGGGTGAAAGATAGGGGGGAGGATAAAAAAAGGACGTACTATAAACTCCAGGCGGCTTTCATCGCAGCCATGCAGGCACCGATAATACCGACACTGATGACAATGCGACTCATCCAGACGTGCGGGCTCAGGCGCGTCATGATCAGGTTGGACGGCAGGTCGAACACGACATAACAGACGTAGAACAAGGCCAGGCCCGTGGAGATCTGGTGGGGCGTCAGGTTCAAAACGGAACCGAGATCATGCTTGACATCCGAGTTCATGGTCTGCGCCAGACCGACATTGGATCGAATGGCGGAGCAGAGGAAATACAGCACCCAGAAGGCGGGGATGATGCGGAAGTCCAATTTTCTGTTCGGTCAGCGGATTCCTGCTTTCTTCGGATTCGACTCACCGATAGATGCGCTCGATGTTGGCGACGTCGGGCTCTACGCCCGACTCGACGTCGTCGCGACTGTCCTGATAGCCTTCGTGAACATTCTCGGGCGGATGCTTATCCGCGTCGTCGAGAGGGGGCGTCGACGACATGGCGTAGCTAAAACTTGGTTAGTGATCTCGGATCTTGTCATTGGACGCCACTCCAGAACTTACCAGATGGGCCGGAAGTAAGAAGGATTAAAGAGAGTCGAGAGATTTAGGAAGATTCAAGAAAGAGGAAAGAGGAAAGAAATCCAATCCACAGGAAGAAAAGCAAAAAAAGACCAAGATCGTCCAAGACGAAAAGTTCGCGCAACCCCGCAGTTCTGGACTCGAGCGAACGTGACGGTCGATCCACTTGGCTTCACGGTTCAAGCCTATTTATCACGAACCATGCGGTATTTCATTAGTTTCTTGTCTGACGGGGAAATGAGAAAGGCACAGTAATCGGGTGGATGTGTAACCCCTCATCTCACGAGGATATTCTCCGGTCGACCGGGCCAAGGACATACCTGAGGGAAGCACATGGCTTGATGCAGACGAGGCGGATGAATTGGATGAATTGGATGAAATTGAATGATGACCGGATGCAGGGATGTAATCTTCAGCAAGTGCCGATATGATAGATCGATAGATTAACTGATTGATTCGGACGATAGCCGAGCTGGGGTCCGCTGGACTTCCCGACCGAGGTTGATTTTGTTCGATTAAGCTGTCAGCTAGAAGCTAGAAGCTTAAGCTAGAAGCAGTCAAACTGAACACCGAGGTCAACGAACGGAAGTGAAGACGACAGGAAGATGAAGGCAAGAAGGTAAAAAATGAAGAGAAAAGAAAAAGCCGACCGTCGGAGTGGCGCCGCAGCCAATCAGCGGGCGGGAAGAGCTCAACCTTTGGCGGCGGAGAACGAAGTCATCCCGAGTGGTCTGTTGTGGCCGATCTCGGGAGAATTATGATCGAGTATACTCGGCAGTCAATCATTATCTGGTTGGGAACGCCATTTACCTCCCGGTGACCAGATGTAGTGGGCTGGAGTCTCGGCGTGACTCAACACTTTGGCTCCATTAGTTGAATTATATGACATTATGAGCTAAGCTGATATCAGAATGGTCCCAGTAGATCCGGGGGTACTAACGACGTGTGTAGCTTCTCCGAGTACACCCCCCTTGTGGTAATACATTCTACGTCCATGCTCGAGACAGTCACCTCAAGGTCCAACCTGCAATTTAAAAAACTTGGTCCAAACCCCTGCATGTGCCCCTGACCCTCGCTCTCCCGGGCGGTGAAGGCATCGGGGGGACGATTCATGTCCCCTAGACCCTTCCTCCTGTCTAAGCGTTCTTGCAACCGCTTCATCCATGTTTCGTTTTGCCCTCTCGTCTTTAGAAGCTTCTCGATGCTTCTTGGTGGCTTCAGACGAGGAAGTCAGCTGTCGGAGAGCCAAGGATACTCCAGCGAAGAGTGATAGTAAACACTCAGATACACCCCCCTCGACTCCGTATAGGCGAACGAAACCCAGCAAATCAGGCGATCGGTCTGCCGAATATCCAACCCGGGGCTGAGCAATTAGTCCACGAGGTCCATCACAAATGACCGGATCAACTTACAAAGTATCTCGGACAGCCTGCTCGTAGGCATTCCCATACTCCTCCAGTCCGATGTGCGTGAGGTACTGCGCGACAGCACGCACGTTGCTCTGGTCATTGAGGCCGTACAAAGGGAAGTAGATCTTAGTCGCTGGCGCCGTCAACCCGGCCTTCGTTTCGTAGTTCCACACCAGATGCAGACCCAGCGGATGGGGCTCGTCCATCCGCAACAGCGTCCACAGCTGGTGCAGATATTCCAGACCGGTGCTGGCCTCGGACGAGTCGATCCGCCCGCCCAGCGTCCATATCTCCCGCACCCTGTCCCAGGAGATGTCCTTGGTGCGGCCGTACAGCTTGAAGCGGGACTGCTCTGGCGGCGCGCAGTCATGCGAGAACACGAATCCGAAGTTGTCCCTTGCGTCGGTCGTTTCGATATACTCCTGCATCAAACCCAGCGTGTTGTACCGGTCCGCAGCTCCCAGATACGCGCGGACGGAGCCAAGGACCACAGAGCACAGATCTGTCCCTGCCGCGTGGCATTTCAGGGCCGGAAACGTGTACCCCTTCGCGGCGATGCCGTCGGGCTTGAGGTCGAACCCGAACGACACCTGCGAGAGTTCGCGGATCGCCTCGTTTCGCGCCTGCAGGTCTCGACACTCGCGTTCGCTCAGGGTATGCTGGGGGTAGAAGTGCTCGAATACCCGACTGTCATATCCCTCCAGATCGAGCTGTTCCAGACGAGACAGAAAGTCGCGGATCGGGCTCAGGTTGTACGGGTCCTGGCTGGTGCCAGAAACAGAGGTAAGAGGTTCCACGGCGACTCGAATCACCGGACTGGCGCCACCCCGCTGTTGGAAGTTGATGCTGAGTTCTAGGGGAAGCTCGTTGTGCGTCATGGCGCTGGGGAAGGTCTGGGGATACGGTCCAAGATAGGGGACGATGCAGGCGTGGTAGAAGATCAGACACTGACGCTGGGACTGGCTCGTGTAGCCTGCCCAGCTCATCAAGCTGGCCAGTAGAGGTCCGGTCTTTTGCCACCATTCTCTTTGGCTCTCATCTGCGCAGCGGGTGGACTGGTCAAGCAGCTCGAATTGGAGGGCATTTGCTCGCACCATGTTGTCGTCAGCGTGATGCTCGTGCTGCGTACTTCCAGTGTGCGAGGTTAGAGGAGAAAGGAAAGAACCGAGTGGGAGGGCCTTTTTCCCAGATGTTTATTCCTCAGTCGAAGAGCTGGAGAGCGATCTACGAGCGATCTACAGAGAAAGCAAGAGGCAGTGATCTTCATGCATGCCATTATACATGCAAGCTGCAACGATGGATCAGAAAGTATAGAAATGTCGGTGTAATTCAGCCTTCTGATCCAGTCTTGCGCACAGGTGCATATGCACACGTCGCATTCTATGAGTCGGAAAGACAAATATTTCTGTCACGATCACAGTGATTCCATTCCGATGAATCCATGATAGGCCATGGAAGATATAAATACATGACAGGCACAATGTCTACTCGTCCACTGCAGAGCCGAGCTGCCAGATTTCTAGAGACCGAATGTCCTGTCCATGCCAACTCAACATGACCAAATCAAGCGCCCTGGCTCGATGGCAGCAGTTCCACGCCAATCACCCCGGCGTCGACTTCGTCTGGGTGCTGTTCACCACGTACATCGGCACCAATCTAGTCCGCGTCGTCCCTCGACCGGCGTTCGAGCGCCTGCTGGAGACCAACCAAGGCATCTCCGTCCCCAGCGTCATCCTCCACCTTCTGCCTCGCGATAACATCGCCGACGGAGGCACCCTGACCGGCTCGTTTCGTCTCCAACCCGATCTGCGATCCCTGTCGCCCTCCCTGCATCCCAACAAGGCCGTCGTCATGGCCTCATGGACCGATCGCGGAAAGACTCCCCTGGACGAATGCGCTCGCACAAAGCTCGACGCACTAGCCCACTCCATCGAGCAGAAATCCAACTGCTCGCTCCTCGTCGGCTTCGAGCTGGAATTCACCCTCCTCCGGCAGCGCACCCTGCCCGACGGACGAGTCACCTACGAGCCCGCCAACACCGACCACGCCTGGTGCAGCATGACCCGCGACGACGAGCTCCTCCTCGGCCTCCTGGAAGAAGCCGTCCTGGCGCTGCAGTCCCTCGGCATCATGGTGCAGCAGTTCCACGCCGAACTCGCCCCGGGGCAGTGGGAGTTCGTCCTGCCGCCAACCTCGCCCCTCCGCGCCGTCGACGCCCTCGTCCTCGCTCGTCAGACGGTCATGAAACTCGCAATCAAGCACGGCTACCGCGCCACTCTGCATCCGCGGTTATCGCCCACCCAGCCCGGCACGGGAGCCCACGTTCACATTTCGCTCAACTCCGCGTCCGGGGCTGCGGACGCCTCGACCGCGCAGTCGTTCTTCGCCGGCATCCTGGACCATTTCCCCGCTCTCTCTGCGTTCACGCTACCCCAGGAGATCAGCTACGGTCGGGTCGCGGGGGGCATCTCGAGCGGGGGTGAGTATGTGTGCTGGGGGTGGGAGAACCGGGAGACGATCCTGCGGCGGATCGCGAGCGAGCGGTTCGAAGTCAAGATGATGGACGGGCTGGCGAATCCGTACCTGGGGTTGTGTGCGTTGCTGGGCGCGGGGGTGGACGGGGTGCGTCGAGGCTTGGTTCTGAGCGCAGGTCCTTGTCTCGGCGAGCCTGGGAGGATGTCAGAGCAGGAGCGGGCAGAATTGGGCATCACGACGAAGATGCCGGCTGGGCTGGTCGAGAGTCTGGAGTGTTTGGAGGCGGATGAAGGGCTAAGGGAGGTGCTGGGGGATGCGCTGGTGTCGACGTATCTTGCCGTGAAGAGAGGCGAGATGAAGGTTGTGCAGCAGATGGGGCCTGAAGAGCAGCGGGTGTGGTTTATTTCGCGGTATTGAATCTCTAGAATCTGCGTTTGAGTGAGGAATAGGAGGATTCTCTGGCGATTTACATGCTTTACGTTGAACAGTTATGTTGATACCTAAGTAGTGTGACAGCAATCCAACAACTGTGCCAACGATATAGCCGCCAAATCAAGAAGCGTGAATCAAGCGGTGGCCTATCTGAGTTCGTACGTGTCATGTCAATTGACTTTGTGACCAGCGATGTATGTAATGCATGGGGGGATAGATGTGATGTGTACTGGTAAGCTGCATCAGAGTTCGATCTGCATGCAAATACCCAACGAGCTCACCGCCAGTATTTATAGACACTTGATGATCAGGAATCGAAGGTTAATCTTCGATAGAAGCGCCTGCTGCAAGGGGGGGGGGGGGGGGGGGGGGGGGCACATCTACTGCACGGGTTCAGGTATCGTTGTAAAATAACTAGAGGTAGCCGGAGTTGATATCCACAGAATGGTATACACCACCATCACATTAATATTAGAGGCGCTATCGCACTAACTAACCATATAGACCAACAGCGTATCTACACCATCTCTCCCAATTAAAATCAAACCTGAAGTCAGGGAAACATCATTCACTTCAAGCAGGAACACCTCAGCCAAGATACATGGCAGATCCCAATTGAAAATGGCTCTCCTTGCGTCTATATAAGTATAAACAGTGAAATCAGCTGGCCAAGATATCTAAGCCCCAACCTTGATGCTCTCAGCCCAGGTAGCTGATAGACCTCAACGCACATCTTGCAAAACATCATCCCCAGAGCACTCTTGACAATGAACATGCAGCCTCTTATCCACACTCGGATAATACCTGTACCTGGACGCCTCCGACCGCGCGATCCCATCCACTCGACGTATCACATCCTCGATCGTCTCCGGCTCCACAAGAGGATTCATAGCACACATCCGAAGCACAGTGCGTCCGCGAACCGTAGTCGTGAGAATAGCAGCAACATCCTCGGCCAGGAGACGCCGTGAAATGGCCTTGTTCAACGCGTCCAGCGCCCCGTCGTCCAGGCCCGGCGGCGCGTACCGAAAAACTACAATGCTGGCGACCGTCGGCGCCGCGATGATCCAGTCCCTGTACTGACGGATGCTGTGGTCTGCGGTGCGCGCAAGGAGGAAACCCCGGTCGATCATCTCGCCCATGCGACGACGACCGAGGACTCGCAAAGTGAGCCAGAGAGACATGGCGCGCGCAGGCCGACTGAGCTCGGGGCCGAGGTTGTAGAAGTTCGTGGTCCCCTCGGGTACCGTTGAGTCGCGGATGTACTCGGCGTCCACGGCGAAGCTGCGGCGAAGCGAGCCAGAGCGACGCGTGAGTACGATCCCGCAGCCGTAGGTCTGGAAGAGCCATTTGTGGCCGTCCCAGGAGATGCTGTCTGCGCGACCGATCCCGTCAACGAGGGAGCGGTGCTGATCGGAGAGCGCGATGGAGGCACCGTATGCGCCGTCGACATGGAGCCAGAGGCCTTCGTCGCGCGCGAGATCCGCTAGCGCATGCAGAGGGTCGATGCTGCCGGTGTTGGTGGTGCCGCAGGTGGCGACAAGCAGGAAAGGAACGAGGCCGGAGTGGCGGTCGGAAGCGACGGTGCGTCGCAGGATGTCGACATCGATGCGGAAGTCATCGTCGGTGGGGATCTTGCGGACCTGGTGGTGCGTGAAGCCGGTGATGTGGAGGGCCTTGAGGATGGAGATGTGTGTCTGGTCGGAGATGTAGATGATGGCGTATGCGCGCTGCAGGGGATGAAGGATCTCGTCTCGCGCCGCAACGATGGCTGTCATGTTGCCCATCGAGCCGCCGGAGACAAAGCATCCTTCGACTGAGTCGGGCAGTCCAAGCTGGGCGCCCAGCCAGGCTATCATGGCTGTTTCGACCGCGCTGGGACCAGAGCCCACGTCCCAACTGGCAGCGTTTACATTGAAGACAGAAGTGAGGAGGTCACCCAACAGGGCAACGGGGTTGGGACAGACGGGGATGTAGGAGAAGCAACGGGGGTGGGTGAGGCGCATGCGGTTATCGAAGACTGCCATCGCTTGTTGAAGTGCGGAAGAAAGATCTCGAGGATGGTCATCAGGCATCAGTTGATGCTGCATGTTTTGTATCTCATGGGCATTGAGCTTTTGAACAATGGGATCGGATGGTGCTGGAGATTTGATCGTGAAAAGTCGAGTCAAGAGAGATTCTGTTTCCAGCATGATCTCAGACAGCCCGTCATCGGACTTTTCTTCATGGGAAGGCATATTAGGACTTTAAGAAAGAAACAATTCACCGGTGATAAGATGGCAGGAAGTGCATAATAATCAAGAATTTATAGAGAAATGTGGTAGGCTGGCGAAGCAGAAGCTGTACTCGAAGAGTTGAATAAGAAAGAAGAAAAATACATCAAATTGACAACCCCTAATAAAGGTGAAGCGCTGTCTAACGATCCTCTGTTCAAATTTGTATTTTCTGAGATATGTAGTAAGATAAAACAATCAACCCATTAAATGCTATTTAGAGTCGGAAAACACGAATGCGGTTGTACCTTGCATCTGTGTGCGCGTATGGGATGCGTAGAGTGTTGCCATCAGCTGAATCGAGCAGATTGAGATAATGGGGCGGGTATATGGACGCAGTTATATTAAACATATCATATTTGGAGTTCAGATCAGTGAAATTGCGGTGAAGCTTCGTGCGATGATCACCTACTTCGAGCATCCTAAGGTTGCTTTTGCAAAACTTCAAGGATAGTATAAAACAATGATCGGGCATTAAATATGGCTCTACCTATGTAGAGATCTGATCATTCTTTCTTACGAGTGTTTGAAAGATCGTTGTACCCAGATGTGGCTATATTTGTCTATATTGAATCATGTCATCTGGGATCGGATTTAAATAGTAAATATGACATGTCCACCAATCCTGATTCGGTATTGAGCTATACTTCCTAGTCTACGATAGTATATGGATACTTTATGCATGCGCATGTCTGCAATTGCTAAAAATGCGCCCTCGTCTGCCATTCTCGGAGACTGAACTTCTGAATTCATCAGACAGGGACTTGACTGCACATCGATATATACCAACATAAAACCTCAAGTCCTCAAGCTCGCCATTCTAACTTCCTCAACTACTTTCATAGAACAGCATAAATTAAAGATTCAAAAATGGCCACTTGGCCCTGGACCTGGCTTCATCCCGACTCTCCTGCCACCGGGGCTGTCTTGGGAGTGATAATTATAGCCTATGTGATTGTCCAGACCAGAGCAAGGATCCGGAATCCATCCCGACTGCCAGTCTTCAACGACCGAAAATGGTTCGAGCTGGGCTATAGCAATGCGAAAAAACGGTATCTTGCTGATCCGGCCGGACTCATCCGGTCTGGGCTGAAAAGTGTGAGCGGAGCTTTGTATGCAAGCTGCTATGAGAGTAAGAACTGACCTTGCCAGTAGGGCGGAGACGCGTTTTACCTCTGCACAGATTCACACTTCCGCTTGATTCTGAGCCCTAAGTACGCAGATGTGATTCGCAGTGATGACAAGCTTGATTTAGGGTTGTTTCTAGGCGGGGTTCGTGTTTATCACAGCAATCCAGTGCTGATACTGACTTCACTGCCTCTGGCCGACTTGTAGGACTTCCATGCCGGGATCCCGGGTTTCGAGCCACTCTCGAACATAGCCTTGGAATCAAAGATTATACAGACTACTGTCCGAGCGAAACTGTCGCCCCAGACTCGTAAGTTGGCTCCGCATCACAGAATTGCATCACAGAATCCCACTAACCCTCGGATCCAAGCCAAACTCATCGGTCCACTTTCCACAGAAGCTAGCAGGGCTCTGGATCGGAACTGGACTCAAAAATCCGGTATGTAGATCTCTCTGAAATCCCCAAATCCCCAAATAGAGGAATACCGACAGAAGTATCTCACCCGAATGCAGACTGGCACCAAGTCAACCTGAGAAGCTCCGTAAGTCAGATCGTCGCACAGATGGTCTTTCGCGTATTCCTCGGCGACAACGACCTGTGTCGGAACCCAGCCTGGCTCAGCCTCATGGAGGAGTTCGTGGAAGAGCTATTCGTTGCGGCGCATGCGTTGCGCCGATGGCCCCCGCCCACGAGACGTCTGGCTTCCTGGTTTCTTCCGAGCTGTCGCAAGGCGCGGGCGCATCTTCACGAAGCTACACAGTATCTGCAGCCGCTGCTGGATCAACAGTTTGGCCCTGGCTCGGGCAATGAGAAGGGCGATGCGGATGTAAATGGGCTGAGCTGGCTACAGGAGGCGAGCAAAGGCAATGCGTATGACTTTACGACATTGTTGATCACACTTGCGCTGGCGTCGCTGGATACATCCTCCGACTTGCTTGCGAAACTCATCTGTGATCTCTCCGGCGATCCGAAGCTGGTGGCTGACCTGAGGAAGGAGATCATCGAGGTGGTTGGAAAGGAGGGATTAACCAATTCGTCCCTACAGAAGCTATACCTTCTCGACAGTGCGATTAAGGAAGGTCAACGACTCAGACCACTCAGTTACGGTACATGATCCAACCTACCCATTATACGCCCAAATCCATCCCCTTAACTGACCGCAACGCCAGTCAACATGCTCCGAGTCGCCAAAGAGAAAGTAGTCCTACCCGACGGACTAACCATCCCGAAGGGAACCGCGGTCATGGTCTCAGCATGCCATATGATGGACGCCTCGGTCTGGCCGGACGGCGACAAATACGACGGGTACCGGTTTGCCAATCTGCGCAAAACGGAGAAGAATTCCGCGCTGAGCCCTTACCAACTGACCGCAACGAGTCCGAATCATATGGGCTTTGGATACGGAAAACAGGCCTGTCCTGGAAGACACTACGCTGCTGCTTTTGGTAAGGTAGCGTTGTGTCATATTCTGTTGAAGTATGATTTCGATATGGTATCGCCGGAACAAAGTCGTATTGAGACGCGTGGACACAACCTGTTACCGAATTCAAAGATCGAAATCAAGCTTAGACGACGGGAGGAGGAGATCCGTTTGTGAAGGAGGGCCTTTTGTTTGGGCTAAGAGGCTTCTTTCAATAAGAATTGTTATAAAAGTTATAAAATTATCTTTTTGGGAGGGTATGATGTATATGAAAGAGACCCTCAAAGTCTATTTTATTCACCTACAATTGTTGAACTGTGTATTACAGGCGGGATCTAACCCCAACCAAATGTAACGCAGATATACAGTGACAGTCTTTCGCTTCTTGCTGGTCGTACCTTCTTGTCCCTTTTTGCAGTCTCTGGAGCCTTGACGACTTGTTCTAGCTTGGTTGGCCAGTGTCGTCCATTGTTGCTACCGTAGTGCTTGACCTGTGGTGTCACTTGTTATATTGGATTTTTCTCGTTTTTTCTTTTCTTTTTATTTTACGCGTTGGCATTTATCTTTTAAAGAAGCACTGCAACGAATAACAATCTACTCCGTACACAATACAGCATATATGATTATATCCTCTTCATATCGATACCCATGAATACCCCATCAGATCGGCTCCCCCCAGATCGCCCACATTCCTCAGATCTCGGCCTTCCGCATGCGGCGACCTGACTCGCGTGGACGACCGGGACTAAAAAGTACGGGACAATCGCCTCCACATTGGATCTCGGCTCACCCCAGGCTCCGGATCTGGTGCACCCGGAGGGAGGAATGTTGGTGGATCGAAATGGATTATATTCGAGCCTCGGCTTGACTCGACTCGACTGGACTCGGAGAAGCCGAGGGATATGAAAACGACTCTACCTGGACACTAGTTAGCTGGAGTAGGGATAGGTGTTCCGATCGACGTGGAATGTCATCGGCCGAGACGAGCCAAGCCGAGTCAGTGTCGGCATGCAGCCTGATTGATGCATTGAGGGTTCCCGGGTGTAAGGGGTGACTGTGCTGGCCTGCGGCGCGGAAACCTGCAGACTAGCCGGCTCGGTGTAACAGTTCGAGCCAGGTGCTTCGGACGGGTTAGCTTCTAAGCGTGGCGTGTTCTAGATCAGTCGTGGGAATTGGAACGTACAGACTACAGATACAGGGGTAGTAGGGGACTTGTACGACGCCCCTGCGTCGATCATCCTACCCCACTGTGCTGTACGACGACCAGGAATGATATGGTAAGTAACCAACTAGATTCTCAGCCTCAGCTGGTATCTAATTACAAGAAGCAACATGGGTATAAGTAAGGATAGGACCAGTGGGGCGAATTGCCTCCAACGTGTCCAACGTGCCGATGCAAGGGGCTGTAAGCACGGCACGGTAAAATAACAAAACACAATCATGGTATCATCCATAAAAAGAAACAGCGATTCTATCGATCACGCCTTCTCGACATCGTTGGCGTGCTCCACGCTCACGTTCTCGTCGCTGTCCTTCTCCAGCGACTTGTGGGTGTGGTTCAGCACGCTGGCACGACGCACCGCATCGTCCTCCACGTCCGCCAGGGTGTGCAGGAGCTCGCCCTTCTTGCCGTACATGTGGGGCTCGTCGCGAGCGGTCTTGACCAGGGAGAACACGCTCTTGGTCTTGCGGAAGATCCGGTCCATCTCTTCCAAGGACCGGCGGGTCGTCTCGGGGTAGAAGAAGTAGACAACCGGGAAGATGGCCGCATTACTGTGTTGGTTAGTTGGTATTCCACTTACATCCAAGAGGAAAGAACTTACATAACGGCAAAAATGATATAAGTCTGGTATTTGATGTTCTGGAAGGCAACCGGGGTGATCATGACGACCATGAAGTTGAAGATCCAGTTGGACGAGGTAGCCAGAGCGTTGGCAGGCGCGCGGATCTTCAGAGGTACGATCTCGGCCGGGTACAGCCAGGTCATTCCCAGCCAGCCAATGGCGAAGAAGGTGTTGAACACGAAGAGGAACACGGTACAGGCGACATTGGCGCCGGAATTCGAGATACTGGCCGTAATGGCGAGGATCACCATGGAGATCGACATACCGGCGGCACCAAACAGCATCAGGGTGCGGCGACCGAAGATCTCGATGGTGAACACGGCGATCCACGACGCGATAAAGTACTCGGTTCCGTTGCAGGCCGCAATCAGTCGCGAGTTGATTAGACTCATGCCCAGCTGGTTCTCCAACACGACGGGGATGTAGTAGGTGATCAGGTTGATACCGGAGATCTGCTGGAACATCTGGTTGACGTAGGCGAGGACCGTTCGGTGGAAGTGGCGGTTCTCGTCCATGGTGAACATGTCGCGGAAAGAGCCCTTGGCCATCTCCAGCACGGTGGCCTTGATGGCGGTAAACTCGGTCTGAACAAAGGTTTCGTCGGCCTCGTCGCCCAGCAGAGCAGCCAGCACTTCCTTGGCCTCGTCTTCGCGGCCCTTGAGCACGAGCCAGCGAGGGGACTCCGGAAGGAACATGACGAAGGCCAGGATGATGGCGGCAAAGAAGATCTGGAAGGCCAATGGGAATCGCCAGGCAACCTCGTTAGGGTCGGCAAAGAGAAGACCGAAGTCGATCCAGTAGCTGATGGTAATTCCACAGGTAATCATAGCACCTTCGATCATGACCAACTGGCCACGCCGGTTGGACTTGCAGCACTCGGATTGCCAAGTAGGCACAGTCGAGGTGTTCATGCCGTTTCCTATGCAGAACTCGTTAGCCCGTTCTTGACGTGCACCAATGATATTAGTCACTTACCGAATCCAGTGACCAGACGGCCGACGATAAGCTGAGGCAGGTGATAGGCGGTCGTCTGCAGCAGAGCCCCGATAACCATGATGAAAGAACCCGCGAAGATCGTTTTCCGACGACCCAACCAATTACCCACCCAGATGGTGGGAATCGAACCGGCGAAGCATCCCAAGTTGTAAGCAGCAACAACAATACCTATTCGATCCGTTAGCTAGCGCTGGAGCAAGAACGTAGACTGACATACCTTGACGAGTTGACTGAGCACTTTGCTGAGCGGCCGTTAAATCGTCCCAGTATTGACCGTTGGTCGCAATCGTGGGGAAGTATTTGATGAACGATTCGAGGGTCAAAAGACCACCAGTGACACCCTGATCGTATCCGAACAGCAAGAAGTCCATACCGGCAATGAGGCCGATAGCGACCTGCAGCTTGCCGCCCTGAAGGCCCAAGTAACTGCGCGCCATGATGGAGGTCGGACCGGATCCCTGTGTATAGTGTTTACGATTCCTTAAGTAATTGATTGAGGAGTACCGGCAAAGACAGGCCGATTCATGAGAAGAGAGAGGTGACCGGGAGCGGAGGAACTCTCGAGGGAAGAGGGTATAAAAGAAACTGGAAGGAAGAAAGTTAAAAGAGAAGCAGGAAAGATCAACGGAAGGTTACACAGAGGGAGGTGGATGGGTTTATAAACGCCCGCCGGACAGCCATGACCGGGATGAGTTCCTGTAGGTAATTGAATTACATTGACTAGGCGGAATCGAGCATAATGCCATCCGAGCGACGAGGGAAGAAAAAGAATAATGAAACAAATAATAATCCCAATCAGGCCAACGGGCCAATGACGGCGCGACCTTCGCATCCCAGATCAGGGTAATCCCAATTTAACTTCCACGGGAGGAGACCGGGCAGAGTCGACCGGCACAGACGGACGGACGACGAAGTAACACCATCTGACTATCGCAAACGACCGGCCGGCCGAATGATTGGACTCGAGGAGCGACCCGGGGGACCCCACACCTCCGGATTGAGAGAACGCAAAGCAGCCCGGTAGACTACGGAGTCGCGACGACTCACTAGTGATGGGATTCTCCCCGACTTTCCCAGATTCATGCGGGTTCTGCTGGCGCCATTGGCCGGACCGCGGACTGGACCGACAGGCACCAGAGAGAGGGAGGTCCACCAGGCCCGACGTTGTATGTCGTCCGCAGGCCGAGGACATCGGTAGGCCCCAGACAAGGCCAACCCTCCTTACCAGCATGTCGCATGGCCGAAGGAAATATGACGAGGGGCCTCCACGATGGATCGGCGTGGGCGACTGTTACCTGCGGCGTACCACCCTCGCCGTGGTTATTGGTCATGTTAATCTGGATCTGGTCTAGCGCGCTGCACGATCCGGGCAGGGCTCCACTCCCCCCAATGCCGTGCGTGCGGTCTAGCCTGTTCTGGACAAACCGAATACCGTTCTGTATTCCGTATCTGCAATGCCTTCGTTTTTTTTTTTTCTTTTTTCTTTTTCCTTTTCTATTTTCCCTACACCACCTACAAATTATTGGAATAAATTATGTTGAATAAATTAATTCCCGCCCGGGGATGTCGGATGAGCAGACGGAGTAATCCCTCATCACTCAGACCAGGACGGACAAACTGAACAGGAATTGATATTCCCGGCCATCCTTCCAGAAGCTGGCGAACCGATGATTCATCATTCCGAGCACCGTTCTGGATGCCGTCTGGATTCTGTCGCTTGCAGTAGCCTATCCTCCCTTTCATGTCCAGAGCCCTTCGCGTGGCCCTTCGCGTGGTTGAGCGAAAGGAAAGAGAGGAATCATCGTCATCGACCTGCTCAACTGACCCGGGCCATGTCACCGTACCACCCGATACCAGCGATCCCCACCGGACCCAGACGAGACCCGATTATTCATGAATCCGGGGGTTGGAGACTCCGGATTTTTGCCAGGAAAGAGGAGAAGAGCGCTCAGTTCACCTCGGCCCTATCCGCGGCCCAGTGTGACGTCGTTGCTCCCTCCCCATGTTTCTGACTCGCACACTGTGCTAGTGGACTTGGATCAATTGATAACGGTCTGTCCGGCGTAGTTTCTGCTTTTCTATATGCCAGTGCTTCCTACAATTCCGTAAGATTATCGTGACGGGAAGCCGTCCTGGCCCCGTCTGCCCGGCTATTACCTATTCCCACGTTCTCGGCCTTTTTCTGCTGAATTTTCTCGCTTTCCTCCATCTCTCCTCTTTCTTGGCCGTCGCCAACCTCCGCCAGTCCAATCATCGTCGGGGTGGTCAGTCCCACTTTCCACGCCACGACGAGGCAAAAACAGGGAACATGACCCAACCGGGTCTGATTGGCTGCGCAGGAGCAGCGAACAGATGAAATGATCGCGCATCCATCAGCCAATGGGTGAGACATGGTGGGGAACTGTTGCGACGGGAGGTTGAAACTTGAGGAGATGCGTTTAACGAATCTACCAGAGGCTTCGATTCCCTGCCCCCATACAAGAGCGCGGTTTGCCTCGGTTCCGATGAGGATTCTTCTACCCAGCAGTCTTCTGTCCAGGATGTCATTCCCACCGGCGCGGAGAAACCACCGTTCCGACCGCCCAGACGCCGAAGCATCGGCCCAGAACGCCACGAAACGGCAGCCGTCCGGGGGTACACCAATCGCACCCTCGGGGCATCCTTCAGCCTTTCGCACAGGCTCGCTTCAGGGTGATTCAAGCACTCCCAAGCAAACGACAAGACCTTGCAGTCATCTCCCAAGACAAGCCCAAGAAATGCAAAGCCTTAGTCAAAATAACTCTCTGTAGACGACGTCGCTGCCGTGGAGTTCGGGCTCCCGGGGTAGGGATCACCTCGTCAGAACCGGGGTTGCGCCCATCCCCAGAAAAACCCACTTGGGTCGGTTTGCGACATGGCATGTTCCCCCTCTTTCCTCTGAACCTCCGCCGCGTCTTTTTCTCTCCAGAGGATGGAGGGTGAAATGATCATCCAACCAACCAGGGTGAGTCTGCTAGCCTATTGTGGTTAGTGTCCAGAGGTATTTTTCCCGACTGTCGACGGTGATGGGCACTGCCCGGTGTTTTTTTTTTTTTTTTTTTTTTTTTTTCTTTCCTCTTTAACCTTCGGTCACAGCCGAACGGGTTGCATTCTGTCCATTTTCTTGTCAGGCTGGCACGGATTTCCTGTTTCGGTGTTCCGTCGCATGTCATCTTGTTGTCCTGCTCGGTGTCTATTTCCAACGCATGGATTTGGACGAAGGAATCGCCTCGCATTCAATCTTGGAATACGAGTACTAACGTGGTAAGCGAACCACAGGCTACCCGCTCGATCATCTCATGTTGAATTAAAATTGTCCCCCTTGCGTCGCTACATGTTCTCTGGACAGCGGATATGTTTTCGCCCAAAGTACGGATCACAACCACCTTACTGTACTCAGGATTTTGCCCCCAAAGTCCAACCGCCCGAACTCCAGGTTTCATTTCCCCTTGGGGAAACCCAAATGACGGGGACGCGTGACGGTGACACGGACCTGACAGCCACACATCCACTCCCGCCGCTTAGGCGAAGGATCGACGACTCGGACCCGGATCTTATTTCATTCATTTAATCATCGAGCAGCTCGCTCAAGATCATCATAATACTAATACTACATTGCAATATAAGAAATGGGTGTTGGTCCTAGTCCGGGCGGAGGTCCAAGTCTGGTCTAGTTCTCAGGTCAGGTTGCTCTCGGGCCCTTTTCTACTAGATCTTTTTTATTCGGTTTTGCCTCGTGTGACCATAATACACTAATCAGGGGGCAACCTAAACCAACGCTGTCAGACTTACTCTCACCCTCTTCTTCGGGAATATGCGAAGACAGCTAATAAATAACAAACTATGAAGAGAGGCTCGAGCCGACATTCTTCCGTCGATTCCCACTTATCTATATTTTATTGGTTACGCCAGAGGAATAAACAAATACCCTCATCTGTACCTTGAATTTAGACCCCTTAGCCTGACTAACAGGAGATGAGATCATCTACCCCCCGGGGGCTGATGTATGCCTTTGAACTTGTATATCAACCATCAACACTTCCTACCTACATCATCTGGAAAACCCGTCTCAAACATGCCATGCAGCCTAGGTCCGAAAGTAACACAACACAACAGTTCGATTTCTTGCCTAAATGCAGACCCCTAATCCTCGACACCGGCTTCTATGCTTCCATGCTCCTCATTCCGTTCAGCCTTATCGGGTTTGTTCCCAGGGATATAGTGGGACTAGAAGTTCATATTGCATGAGGTTTCTCTACAATTTGCTAGTAGATTTGGTTCAATCTTAGAATAAACCGTCTTCCATACATGTACATGCATTAATGATATCAGACACAGTCTGAGTAATCTCATTCTATCACCACTTCATAATCCTACCCCCCTTGCATAGGTACTCCGTCCTGCCTTTGCAGATCTGCACTGCATGAATTCTTACATTAATAGCCTATCCTCACCCCGTGCTTGATGCATACCTGCCTACATGTCTATATGCTATATTTGTACAGATGCAAATAGGATGGGTAAGGTAGATAAGCAGACAACGTATCTCTCTCTCTCTCTCTACCTTTCTAATAATGCACAATATAACAACTGTAGAAACTTATATCCACGCTACATTCACTAACACTACAATCCATCTCAGGATAACAAGAAGCGCTCAGCTGGGTCATGGCAAACCCCCATAATGTATGTAGATGTAATGTCAGATTAAGATTATCAAAGCGTGTCCCTTGCTTCCCGGAACTCGGACTGCTTGGTTGTGTTTGCTAGAAGCGCAAAGTGTTCCCTTTCAAGGCATGTATGGAGGGAGATATAGATTGCAATGGTCTTAGATATTATATATGGGCTACATGCATGAGGTGAATTTCTTCAAGACGTGAATCGCCACACGAATGCTTCCTAATTTCCTTCCTGACGTTGAACTCGATCCCGAACCGGCCTAAAGGCCCAGCCCTTCTAAGGCCCAGGCCCTGGTAAATCATCGGGAAGGCCAGAAGCCAGCAGCCAGAAGCCAAGACGTGCCAAGGCCAAGACCCCCGAGTGGCCTCCGTATTCCGACGGTTAAAAGCGGGCAGCGTAGCATTCATCCATTCCGTCCGAGAATCCGTCTTCTTTGCCGATGCTTCGGATTGGTCTGTGTTATACTCCAGTCCGACTCGTATGATCGGTACGTGCTAAACTAGGTAGGTAGGGTAAATACTCTGGGTTACTGTGAGGCCACCCGCACCACGGCTTTCCAATCTACGAGATTCCGAAATGAGAGCATGAAGTGATTCCATTCGGACTGACGTGAACTAACCGGACCGACAAACTAACTAACGACTCTGCCAAGTGGCTATGTATGCAATCCATTCCTTTGATCCCGAGAACAAAGAATCCGGCTTGACGTTGCACTTCTCTGACGTGATCGTCCCGAACACGCGCAGTAAGTAAATGTGAGTGCCTCTCGGTCCGTGGAAGGAATTGCCCAGCCCGGGCCTGCCGGGGGAAGAAGTCCCCACCTGGTTAAGTGCAGTAGTAGGAAAAGGCGGGGTTAGACAGATCAGAGTGAACGGGACAGAAGAAGGCTTGGAAACTGGAAATCAGGTAGTGCAAGACACCCACCGCGATCAAGGAACGTGCGACTTATGACATCAGACATCGTCTCAAACGATCTTATTCCGTGTCGCGCCATCACTTGTCGGATCCCGTCTAGTCCCAAGTAGCAGTAGTAGCGGCTCCCGATCCCCATCCTCCCCCGCCTCCATCGGTGGGTTGCTCGTCCTTGGACTCGGTTTCTCCGGCTCCCCATCCACCGGCACCGCCAAAGTCATTGGTGTCAGTGTTTCCCGTGTCCATTTCACCCGACTCGCCGGCGGTTGGGCAACGCTTGATGGTGTGACCCACTAGGTTGGTTAGCCAGGGTTGATCTGCTAAAGATAAAGACTTTCAAGGCGATTGGACCGGACTTACTTTCACCACAGTTGTTACACTTGACTCGGGACCAATCCTTCTTCTTGGTGCAGTCACGACTAAAATGTCCGACTAATGATGCTTTAGCCTAGCATCATTCAATTTGATAGGCTCGTCACTTACCCTCGTCACAGTTGCGGCAAGTCACGGTTGACACATCCCGTGGCTGATCACAGTCCCTAGCAATGTGGTCCTCGGATCTTTTTGCATTAGCTCGACTCGAACATGGTGCCACGAGACCAACTTACCCGCAGTTACGGCAGGTTCTAGGAGCACCGCCCTCTGGACAGTCCTTTGCAAAATGACCGACTGAATATATTAGCATGTTCATCCATCAACCGGTTTGGGCATGTTGTACCTCCATTGCAGCGGCGACATTCGACTCCTTCAGCAGAGCGGGGATTGGGGCAATCGGAAACCTTGTGTTCAGGGGAGCTTGGTCATGCTTAGCATCAATGTAACCGATCGAGAGGATGGAACTTACCCGCAGTTCCGGCAAGCGAAAGGATCGCGACGAGGCTCAGGGCAATCGCGAGCACGGTGTCCCTCGGCGCTACAGTTGACACATTTCACTCCCACCTTTTCAAAGTCAGGAGGGGTAAACTCTTGTTTACAGCCGCGAGTAGTATGTCCCATTTCTAGAGTTTGTCAGTGCTTTGTACATCTCTTGAGGGCGCCTACTTACCGCCACAGTTACGGCACTTGGGAACCTGTCGGTCAAATGGAAATCCTGCATCTTCAAGGCGTTCAAGATTTTCTTCAACAGAAGCAGGCCAACGTTCGCGAAGGTGTGCGCGCTGAGGCTTTGCGCTGTAGAAGAACCCGACAACATATGTGCAGTTCAACTTGCCCTGCAGATCGATGAGGCTGATGCAGTCGTCGACTTGTCTCTCCTGTACACAACCATTAGCTGCGTCTGGAGGAGCAACAAAGATAAATACCATAGCAATAAGATGAAAGTTAAGGTCATCTTCTCTCAGTTTGTTTTCGATGTCAACGAAAGTGGCTTGGGGAACAGCCTTCGAGTAGACATTGATGGCCTGTATTGTCAGCAATTGCATAACTACATACGAGAAGGGAATATACCTCACGAAAATCTTCGAGATCCCTCTCGGCACTGGCCTTTTTGATGTCATCCCAGGCCTCCTCGGGGCGCTTATCAGGAATATGGTTGGTGTCAAACTTCCGGTTCTCGGTGCAATCCTTGGTCATGTGGCCTGGTAATGCATTAGCATCTTCAGTTATGTCAAGAGATATCCACTTACCCTCCATCTTGCAGTTCTTGCACACATCAGGGGGCTTCTCGGGACATTCTACCGCAGGATGTCCTTCCTGGTTGCAGATACGGCAAGGGCCTTTGAAGACCCGGGGCTTGGTGCACTCGGCCTTGGAATGACTAGAAACACATCAGCTATGGAATACCCTATACATCAGGACCAAGGTACTTACCCCTCTTCACCACAGTTGAAGCAAGCCATACCTTTACGAGGCTGAGGGCACTCGGCTTTGGAATGACTAGAAGATCATCAGCAATGAAAACCAGTCTCAACCACAGGATAGGCACTTACCCCTCCTCGCCGCAGTTGAAGCAAGCCATACCCTTACGAGGCTCAGGGCAGTTACGAGCAAAGTGGTCATCGGCACCGCAGCTAGAACAAGTCAGCACAATTAAGAAGCAAGGATAAGGAGACATACTTGCGGCACTTGTTGTCATCAGCATCTCTAGCGGGCTTCTCATCGCCACCACCGAAATCACCGCCGCCAAAGTCACCACCTCCATAGTCAGAAGACGGCTTGAAGCCACCAGGCGCGACATTTTCGTCGTTCTCGAAGCCTGGGTTCTAGTCAGGAGCGGCTCTGGGGGAGATTCTGATGGAGGGGTATTGAGATACGTACCAGCGTCACCGGGAGTCCACTCCGCTCCGCCAGGATTCCATCCGGCCATGTTGATTGTTTAGGAGTGGATGGTGTTGGAGAGTGAGTAGTGGACTAGCGAAGCTCAAGGCATTAGCTAGAGTTGCTTTGATAGGAAGCGGGATGAAAAAAAGGATGGATGAAAACAGAAAGTGACAGGATGATGGAAGACGAAGGCAATCTGCGCAGGGAGATCCCCACGCGGATACTTGTCACAGGAGCAGGCTAGGATTGATGAAGCTGCCTGGTTTTCGGGAAAGAAAGGAAAATACTCACCGGAACGCAATTCTCGAAAGAAGTTTGCTATCAAGAGCTCGAACACCAAGAAATAGACAGAAGAACAAGAGACAGGATGATGAAACTCTGGATGAAAGAGGACTAGGAGGGGTAGGGAGGAGATGGAGCAAAGGGGAAAGGTGAAGGAAGAAAGAAGAGAAGAGGTGGGAGGGAAGAAGAGAATTGGAGGGGGTAAACAGCAGAGGAGGGACAAACGCACACTTCATTCACTGTGGCGTGTGGTTGTCCGTTTGCACCGCAGGCCACTCTTCTCGTTCGTTGTCTGATCCAATGGCTCCCCTTCTTTTGTGTTCTGATAGGTGCAAGAAGTCTACAGTAAGTGTCTATGACTGTTTGAATACCTAGCTTGCATTACTGTAATTCACTTTATATGCAATATTTGAGGGGGTCATTGGAATTACAATTCACACCAGGTTAACATATGGAGGCATTTCTCAGTAGGAATAAACAAGTACACCTGTAGTTTAAATTGGAAAGATTAACAGAAGAGCGAAGCAACATGTGTCTAAGCTACTGTGGTTCCAGTAGACTACCTTATAGCTGATACCAGGAGTATGCAATGATAAACAGAGAAATAAGTTTAGTTTCAAGAGAGCAGACAATTCGATAGACAATCGATTATCATAGATATCTGGGAGAATGAATGATCTATGAATTCTAGGAGACAGATCGCTCATGGGGTTTGACAAGCAGCTATATAATCATATAAGTATAGAGCCTACATAGCTTCTTTGCAGCCATTTTCTTGAAACTACTTGTCATCCGAAGCAAGGCAGCCTGAGACAGCATTCTGTTGTTTGCAGAAGTATCTTGGTGACAAGCTTTATTGTCCTGATGGACTTTCATGACTTTGTAATAGAAGAAAAGAGCAGAAACCAGAATGTCCATCACCTGCCAATGTAAATAAGATAGTCCAGTAAAACCCAATGATATGGAATGCAATTCATGTTGATCAGATTCATCATGCGAGCTATCAACGAACCAGAAGTCTAGGAGAAAAGAAAAAGAAAAAGAAAGCAGAAGCCCTACATTCATCCACCATAGGATGTCTTCCTTACGCTCTCAGCGGGGCACGTGACTCATCGAACAAAGCGAGAACCTCCCCATGTATAAAGACCACAGCAGGAAAACATGCAACCAACGGCAGAAAGGACTATCTCCAGCCTAGCTAGCCGGCCAGCAGCCAGCAACCCAGCTTACTTGAACAGTCTGCCCAGCAGACCACCGGCAATGTTATTCACGATTCCACCGGACAAGGCACGGTTGGCGAACGTCGACGCCTGGCTGAAGCGATCGCAGCGCGAGAAAGCGACGGTATTGGTGATGGTCAGGACGAGTGCGATGGCTAGTGCGGAGGATATCTGGATTAGCCACCCGTCCTGTCTCCAATGGATAGATGCCGTAGCTGTCAGACGCTGGGGAGATAACTCACCAACCAAACTCAACCAGATCACACTGCTGAGGCGGATAATAGCCAGAATAGCCAGACCGATCCACAGCGCCGGGGTGACGTAGAGACTGAGCCAGAAGAAACGCTTATCGGTGGCGGTGATGGAGCGGGCGTTGGGGTCGGAGGATTCGAAGACCCAGTGCGAGTCGCCGGAGGTGGTGTTGACTTCGTTCCACCAGCGGAGGCCGACGAGGCGCCGGCCGGCGATATTTTTGAGGTAGTAGAAGTCGGCGGCGAGGAGGAGGAGAGTGATGATGAAGACGAGGATGCTGGATGGCGTGTTAGCTCGTGTCTTGTGTTCGCTGGGTAGGCTCAGGGGACAGCTCGTGCGGGTGTCTTTGCGCCACGAGCGATCTGATCGAGCTGGTCGATCGCATTGACTGCATTGGGGTGCGGTGTCACATACAAGTTTCTAATGAAGAGCACTCCGAATAGGTACATCAGCAGAGCGCTGATGCGGAAGCCTAGGAAACATAGTAGGGTGATCGGATGGGCGCTGAGACGCCAGTTCAGCTCGCCCTGCTGTGTGGGGCCTTGAGCTTGGTTCTCCATGGTGGACAGCAGATGATGAAAGAGGGGTCACACAATGGTCACAGAGGAGGATGGTCAGCCACCGCGATAGCTGCTTGTCTTGTGCAGAGAAGAAGCGACGGGATCATCGCGATGATGCTGCGTGTCGCCTGGAGGCGGTGGAGGACGGCAGAATAGGGCGACCCTTTTAAGCTCATCGGTTGCATGCAGGAACAACTGGGTCTCTTCGATTCCTGGATCATCAGAGAAGATGTGAATAGAGACAAAGGGAGGGTATCCCGGGTGATTCCGGGGTATCTTCCAGGACGGTGTTCACCATGAACCGACCAATCCCAAACCGCAAGAGCCACATCCCTCCGGAGAAGCCTTTATGCAGAGCGGCCGAGGATGCGCTCGATTCTCTCTTATCCGGACGATAAAAGCTCCTTCATACATTTTACTAGTCAACTAACACGACACACGATTCTCCAATCATCACACACAGCACAGCTCACCATCATGGCATCACGAAACACTCTCCGTCGCTCCCTTCTCTACAGTATGCCCCCTTTCTTACTCCCTCCATCCTACAGACACAACCAATAGTGCATTTCCCCGCATCCCCATCCCCATCTCCATCTCCATCTCCATAAGACACTACTGTATACCCGCCGTCCACACCACCCCAACCCCGACAAAACAAACCAGGCTAACAAGAATGCGTACAAAGTCCCCGGCTCCTCACAGCGCTTCATCGACAAATCCCGCAGCCTAGCCGCCGACTGTGTCGCCTACGACCTCGAAGACAGCGTCACTCCGCACAAGAAAGCGGAAGCCCGGTCGCTGGTGCGCCGGGCCCTCGAGCAGCCTTCTCCGGGAGGGATTCGCGAGCGCGCGGTCCGGATCAACTCGGTCGATAGCGGACTGGCATTGGCGGATCTGACGGAGGTGGTATGTCTTTCCCCCTGCCCTTCTCGTTACCTATCCGCTCGAGGAATCGGATACAGACCCGACATCTTCACCAAGGAATCTAGATAAACAGTACCTAACCCACAAACCAGCTCCAATCACCCAACCTCTCCACGATCGTCATCCCGAAAGTGAACTCAGCATCAGACCTCACCTTCGTCAGCGACGTGATCAACCACACCCTTGCGCAACAAGCAGCCTCCAACCCGTCAGCCGGGGCCACCCGACCCCCCATCTCCCTCCTCGCGCTCATCGAGTCCGCAAAATCCCTCACCAATCTCACCCAAATCACGGCCGCGACGCCCTACCTGCAGGGTCTGATTTTCGCCGCGGAAGACTTCGCGCTGGACCTCAGCCTGACGCGGACGCCGTCGCTGACCGAGTTCCTGTTCGCGCGCTCCAGCATCGCGACGGCCGCGCGCGCCGTCAATCTCCCCTCCACGATCGATCTGGTCTGCACGGCGTATAAGGCGCAGGGCGGCGAGGCGGCCACCGTCCTGGAGGACGAGTGTCGCAGCGGCAAGCAGCTGGGGTTCAATGGGAAGCAGTGCATTCATCCGTCGCAGGTGGAGACGGCGGAGCGGGTGTTTGGGCCGGAGCAGGGCGAGGTGACCTGGGCTGTGAGGGTTGTGGTTGCGGATGAGAAGGCGGCGAGGAGTGGGCGGGGGGCGTGGACGTTGGACGGGAAGATGATCGATGTGCCGGTGGCGGAGAAGGCGAAGGCGATTGTCAGGAAGGCGGAGGAGTGCGGGATGGATGTTGGGGCGTTGAGGGAGGAGTGGAAGGGGCAGGAGCCGGAGTAGGCTACACGGACGAGATGTGTAGTTTCGGGATGTCTGGTAGGTGCGAGAAGGGTCAAGTTGATGGATTGCTGCTATCCTTCACTACCTAGATCATCACGAATCCCATGGTTGACATGGTATGAAGAGATAGAAAGTAAATATCACGCTAAATAACATTTCGAGTTACGCTCGGAGCAAAACGGGCAACGCAACGTCCTGTCTATCGATCTCATTCCCTCCGCGTGGAAGTGGACATCCTCGACTCTCGTGAGGATTTCACTCTACCATCACCTTCCACCCATGTATGAGATGAGAACGTGTAAACAAAGGGATATCTTAATCGCTTTGTAAAACAAGAAAAGACAAACCGTAGTCAAAAAGCAGCGGGTCCCGTGTATCGACCCCCCGTTTACAGATGCTTCACTTCCAGGTCTTCACGCTTGAGGAGTTGAATCTTTCCCGTACCCTGTTGGTTGATCGGACCATCCGCGTCTGCGGCCCCGTCAGCATCCTCCTGCAGACTCCGCGCAAGAGCTTTGTCGTAACTGGTGGGGTCAATTCCCAGAATGCCCCCGACATATCCACCTCGTTCGCCGGGCACGCTGAACTCCCGGAAGAGGTACTTCCATTCGTTCAACCATGCCTTCACTGCCTTGCCAATCTTGTCTTTGCCATTCTTGGAATGATGGCCGGTGCCGGTGATGGCGTAGACGACCCGGCGGCCTTCGCGGGCGTGTTTGAGGAGGATCTTTTCCAGATATTCGATCGCCTCTTCGGGGTGCAACCCGTGCAGGTCAACGTAGAGCTCTTCGGCAGAATCCTCCAGGCCAATGCTTAAGAGATGCTTGTTGCGCTCTTCGTACAACTGCCGGGCCGCTTCTCGGTGACACTTGCGCATGGCTTCGTTCTCGGCTTGACCGCGCAGAGACAGAGCCTTTGCTGCACGGGCATCGTTTCGATTCCAAGCTTGGGCAGCGCTAGAAAAATAAGTTAGCTTTCTGAGCTGCAATGGGGGCATCTGACCTAATCTTACCTCTGAAGGAACTTATTCCTTACAGTTCCGTGGCGAATGGCCTCCGTACGATATTTAATGTATTGCTGGTTGGCTCGTGAACCAGTCTCTAGCCAGGGGATATTATGTGGAGCGGGAATGGACTGCGCAGCAGCGCTGTTCTCGCGACCCTTCGATCCATCCTTGTGTTTGGATGAGGGTTTTTTGCCGGCCGCCGGCGACGGGGACATGCGCACGACGTCAGCCAGAGAAGTCGGTAGATTCTCTTTGGCGAAGCCATTATCTCGATTGTGTGGGTTGCGTTTATTGTGTTTCTTATTCTTGGCACTCCCGGCGGCCAGAGTCGGAAACGCATCCGGGTCGTCCACCGAGAGTGCGGCCGGGTTCAACTCGCGATGCTGATGTCGGCTGCCAGGCCGAGAGTGAGGGCGGGACATGTGCGGCATGCTGCCATTGCGTTTCCCCGGCCCCAGTGGCATCCCTTGCGGACCGTTCTTGTGTCCCATGAAACCCAAATGGGCCGGGTATTTACCCACAAAGTGGCCCGCCCATTGGTCACCACCTGCTGCACCCTGCAGTGGAGGGAAAGCATCCGGCGTATTTTCCGAGTAGAACGGGACTCCCAGAGTTTGGGGGGTGCCGTCGCTCACGCTGAGATTTGCGACCAGCGAGGAGGGGTCGTGGGAAAACGGGCAGCCATCGCCAGCCAGACAATTGCCCATCACCCAGTACCTGTAGCAACAGAAGCAGATCAGCACAACCCCTCTAGAAACTCAATGGATTATCAGTATGGAGACCTACTTGCAGAGGTGATTGGTCAGGTCATGGCTAAACCGACAGTCCGCGCGGAGACATTGGCCGGTCGACAACCAATATTTACAGACCACCGGACTGCGATTGGGGTTCGGAGAAGACGGCGGTTTTGGCGGTTCCATGGACATCGACTTTCCAACCACCACGCGGCCATCATCCGCATGAACGGACAAGCTATCCCCGTCGGTACCTTGCGAGAGCGACGCGATTGTGGCCCCGAGATCGTAGCTGTTTGCCTCCAGAGCCGCCTCGATCTCGTCGTTGGATCTCTTGTCGCCGAGGACAGTGCGCAGGATATCATGAGGGCTCATGTCCGGCACGAACTCGGGCGCAGTGGCGCTCAGGCTTGCATTCAAGCTTGCGGTTCCCAACGACGATGTTGTGCTATTGGCATCATCGGCCACCAGCCAATCGATATTGCTATCGCTGCCGAAGTCTCCGTAGAAATCCGAGACTTGGCTCTGATCGGAGAACTCGTAGGCGTTCAGATTGGGGGAATGCGGGATAGGTTGAGCGAGAGCGAGTCGGGGCGACGGGCGCGGTGACGTGAAGGGTGACACCGTGGAGGACATCGGAGGTCGTGTCGAAAGGCCCCCTCGCGAACCGGGGAACCAGGAGGTGCTGCCCGGACTGGTCCCCAGATTCGAGTGAGGGGACAGCGGGGTGGACGAGCGCGCCATCTGCCATGGCGCGGGGGAGGAGCGACGAATAACGGTGTGACGAGCGGGAGGGGGGGAGGAATCGGGGAGATTGCGATTTCGATGGCGCCAGAGGACGTCGAGAACGGCATTCTCTAGGGACGGGCCGGATAAGGAGGTCTTTTCGCGCAGAAAGTCCTCGGCCTTCTCGGCCTGATCTTCTTCATCGAGAGCCTGATCTTGGAGAATCTGGAGACAGCCGTCGAGGATATCGTCGGGGACCATGCTGACGGGGTGGTCGGGAGGATGTTGTGGTCGGGGCGGTCGAGAAGTACACGGTGGACGTAGGATGAGGGGTAACCAGGGAAAGCTGGAGTCGGTGATAAGATCGTCAAAACAGCTAGCGGAGACAGGAGCTTAGAGCGCCAAGTCCATTGTTCGGGTCCAGGAGTTCTCGTCGCGGGAAGGGAAGCAGATGCAAGCGGAGTCAAAGGAAAGTCGATAGCACGGAACAGGCGATGGATTGCGGCTTAACCCTCGAGATCATCACATCGCATCAGTCGAGGAACGACCGATAAGGGGGGGAGAAAGGGAAGGGATGAAAGAAGGTGGAGATAAGCAGATGCACGGGAGGACCCGAGCAGCAGGAACAGGAAAAAGAAGGAGAATCGAAAAAGAACACGAGGCTTCAAAGAAAACAAGTCGAGAAGAGAAGCGAAAAGAAAAGAAACAAAGAAAGCCACGCGGGGGGATCAAAGGTGGGCGAGTTGAGGAGGGGAAGGGAAGAGGGAAGAAGAGGAGAGAGAGCGAGAGAGGGAGAAGGGAAAAGGCGGAGATGATGAGATGAGATGAGATGCCCGGCTTTGTTGCCCACCAGTCCAGACACGATGCAAGTTGCCACCCACCATGCCACCGCATTCACTCACATTGGTCTGTCGGTCTTGGAGCATAATTTATTGACAACTAAATTCTCTTGTTGTCTCGTCTACCGAACCACTCCAGCGCCGTCATCCCCCTTTCTCCTGGATGTGGGGGGAATCTAGACTTGCCAGCCCGATCTTGGCGGCGACAGTCGATCTGCCTGTCATCCCAACCATGGATCGTCTCTCTCTTCCCTCCGTTCCTGATAAACCCTCCCGATGATTGACTGGATGTTTTCCTCTTGGCATCGGCTGTGCCTGGGTGGTGGACATTTCATGTTTTCGCCAATTACGGATTTAAAAGCATTATCGCTGCTAAACAGGACATGGGACAACAATATTCATATCGACATGCTAGTGGTTCTGGTCGAGCTGTATCAGGCTAAGATTGAGGTACAACTGCCGGAATACTGACCTCTTATAACCCAATGGATTCTCTTTCCACTCAGAAATAGCGTGTGCGTCTTGCCCACAAGGTCTCGACAACGGACTATCCACTAAATCCAACATACGCCTTCCCCAACTGCTGCCGCACAAACTACATCCTCGACATTAGCGCTGGCGGTGTCTTCGAGAGGCTAGAGTCCAACTTACCTCACCGACCTTGAACGGCTCGCTGCACGCGGGCCTCTCCTGCGAGATACAATTCGGCAGCACAGACACCGTGGTATCATAATCGACGCCAAAGAAAAAGGGGATCGTGTACCGTTCCTGGCCCGTCAGGTTCGTCACGCGATGGATAGTTGATTTAAACTTTTTGTTGGTCCTGAAAAAAGATATTAGAACGCTAGGGGCGTTGGTATAATGCCAGTCCCATACCAGATGGATAAACAATCCGAAATGTTAACCACCAGAGTCCCGGGAATCGGAGGCGCCAGTATCCATCCCTGTCGAGTATTGCTGTGGATCTGCAAAGCTGGGACCTGGTCCTGGGAGAGGATTGTGAAACATTCATAGTCCTGTCAATCGAGCACAAAGAATCAGAGCAAAGTCGAAACATCAATTCAAATATTGGAATACCGTATGAGCCCCAAGGCCCTCCACAACCGCTCCCTCCACCGGCTGTGGCGGATAATGCAACATTCTCGACGTGGCACCAGGATACTTCAACTTATCGTCGAAGAACCCCTCCTCTAGGTCCAACGCCAATGCGAAAATCCGCATCATACTACGGCAGAGATCCAACGCCTGCGCAAAATACCGAAGATACGTCTCCCGGAGCCCAGGAACGAGCTCGTCGCCGGGCCATTGATTGTCCCCGTAGAGACTGAAGGTGTCAGTAGGCAGAGCATCGTTCGGGTCTCGTTGCGCGTCGCCTGCAATTTCGTATCCGATATCGAAGGACTCGGACAGGGCACCCATTGACTTTTGCTCGGTAGGATCGTCTACTTCGGACCCGGTGGGCTGTTCGGAGTAGAGAGGCATGTAGCCGCGGTATTTCTAGGTGGGGTTATTTTATGTTCGTAGTATTCGCAGTGTTGGTGGACATTGAAAGAGCGAAATCGGTGAGGCTGCACACCTTGGACTTTCCCACGTAGTACTTCATTTTTTGGTCGTCTGAGAGCGAGAAGAAGCGACGAGTCACCGAATGGAGTTCCGATATGAGATCCTCGGGAATCCCATGGTTCTAGCGACGAAAATCAATTCGGTCAATTACTGCTCCAAGCTTTGAAAACATGGACAGCAAGAAGGAGTTATACCTTGATGTAGAAAAACCCGACATTCGTACAAGCATCGTAGATCTGTCCTGCCAGCTTCTTGCGCTCTTTGAGAAGTGGACTCCGTAATCTAGACAGGTCGATGATAGGAATCTCGTTGGCATCGGCGCTTTGCAGGCTCGACGGGTGTTTCGTAGGTGATGACATGGTGATTTTGTCCTGTGATGCTGTAGGAATGAATTGGGCTTCTGCTTTGGAAATATGCTGCCTTTTCCACTCTTTCCCCTCGATATAAAGAGATAAGTAAAGGAACACAGAGATAAGGAGTGTTTAAGATAAGAGAATACCCACCTTGGGCGCTATACGATGAGAGCAAACGTAACCCACATCATTCAGTATTCTACGAAGAGCTGGTTGAGGCGCGGGGAAGTGGAATGCAGACCGATAAGATCCGAGTCACCTCCGCAGTGCCTGATGCACGTATGTGCTGTACGATGTGCACTTTGCTGGGCCGGATATAGTACATGCCCATGACTACGGTGATTTATCTGGGCAGGATTTGCTTCTTGCTGCAAATAATGTCGGGTAGCGAATTGTATCTGCAGCATTACTATACAATGCATGTGTTTTCTGCGAATACATCCACAACTATGGCTTCTTCGACCGTGTCCAGCCCTATTGATCTATTTCCCGGGAGCCCCAAAAAATATAACCAGTCCATAGCTCGTGTCGAATGTTCTGGTGCTGGACCGAGAGGGATGTCGAGGCCAGCGATCACAGGATGGCGCGGTGCTTCGAGCCATTGGGGATGCAGTGCATTCCATGCCCCTTCAAGCACATCAACAGCATCCGGGGATCTTTCCACTGTGCCACGACCGACCTGGTAAGGGATGACTGGGACGAGCTAGGTGGCAAGGTGAGCTTCGAGGGTTCCAATGGAAAATGAGCGTTTATTTCTTGACGTGTAGACGCAATTCAATTTTCGTGGAGCTTGTCCTTATCATTAGTTGTAAACAATGACATCATTAAGGTCATGATGCAAGAAAAGAAAGGTCGATTATCGGGCTTAAGATCTCAGGGTCTATTGAGGTGAATTCTGACAAACGGAACATATAACCCATGAGGAGAAGAAGAAGGATTGCCCGATCGGGAAGCGACGTCACCGGGTGAGTATGTAAGCAGCCGGCCAATCAGCGGCGGCAGGGCACCTCAGGCAGACATCATTGGATTCATCGAAAGTTGCGGCGAAGTCGTTTCGCGTCCTCTCGTATCCCTCCGTCCGCCCCTGAATAAGCTGATTATCCTTCCTAAGTTCTCTTTTTCTAAAAATGTCCGCCTAGCCGTTTTGACGCCTCCGCTCCTTGACACATCCCTCGTTTCATCTCTTCACCGTCCTCAATCGCCGACTGCCCTTTCAGTTAACTCCGCCTGCGCCCATGTTCCGAACACTCCTCCGTTGATACTTGATTTGCCAACCAACGAGGACAACTCACCCGGGAGATTAAGCCTATGGAATGAGTCCGGGGCATTACACACTTGAAAAGCATCTGTTCGGCACATCCTGAATTGCCGAGTATTTGCGCCCGTCGGTAATTTGCCTGCGCAATCCTCTCTCTCCACTCCACTCCGCCGATCTTTGCTCTAGACCGTGCAATATCCTCCCCGGACAGAGAATTTTTAGATTGAAATAGACGGTATTTCTGTTCCTCGGTCAGAATGCCGGCCGATTATACATCTACGGCTCGTGCTTTATCGGTTTCGGCCTCTCCGCCAGCGCCTCTTTCACCGTCTGCCGACGACTCCTATCCGCCATGGAGCCGTCCGGGTGGGCGGAATCCCGCCCATTTGCCAAACAGTAGAGGGCCAACCTCGTTGAAGGATCAACTGGTGAATCGGGCAACGGAAACGTCGCGGCGTCTGATGGCGACATGGCAGCGGATGAACTTTTGGCAGAAGGTGGGAGCCGTGCTAGCTGCGGTGCTTGCCAATGCCTTGGGAATTGGGTTCCTGATATTTACGGGCAAGATCTTTGTTTGGTTGCAACCAGTGGCTGCCAAGTGGGAACACTCGGCGCTGGCATTCTTTGTCCTTTGGATATGCGTGTTCTTCGTGGCTCTGCCGCCGTTGGTCGGGTGGTCGACGTTTGGAACCATTTCGGGGTACATATTCGGCGTATGGAAGGGGTAAGTTTCTTGCTTCACGACTCACCTAATCGACGAAGCTCGGAATTAATACTAATATTTCTGATAGATGGGCACTTTACGCATCGGCGACGGTGCTGGGTTCGACCTTCTCCTTCATTGTCTCGCGAACCATCCTCTCCCGATTCGTTTCTCGTTTGATGGAACGCGATAAAAGATTTGCCGCTCTTGCTCTGACGCTGAAGTACGACGGCCTAAAGCTGCTATGTATGATCCGTCTCTGCCCTCTGCCGTACTCGGTATGTAACGGGGCTGTATCGACCTTCCCCACGGTTCAGCCATTGATGTATGGACTTGCGACGGCAATTGTCTCCCCCAAACTGCTGGTGCCAGCCTTCATTGGCAGCCGACTACGGATTCTGGCGGAGGAAGGCGAGGAGATGAGCGCCGGTTCCAAAGCGGTGAACATCTGCAGCATCCTCATCTCGATCGCCATTGGAATCTTCACCGGTTGGTATATATATAGAAGGTAAGATGCAGTTGGAATGAGTGCTGCCTAGACCTGGAAGCTAACCAGTCTACTTTCTAGAACCCTGGCGCGGGCCAAAGAATTAGAAGCCCAGGAGAGAGCCGGCATCCGTCGTTCTCTTCAAATCGATCACGCAGCCCATCGTCCCCATCATGCCTTCTCCGAAGACCCGGACACTAACACGGCCGCCACCACGCTTGCGCGGGACGAGGAGGAACGGCTCGGGTTCCACGACTTTGACGACGACAACGTGGATTTGGTCATCGATGACGAGAGCGGGAGCGACGGCTCTCCACACCTTCACACGCGATCGCGGGATTCATATCACGACGAGTTTACCGACAGTAATTCGGACGTCTTCCGGGATGGCGATGGCACGGAGGGAGAGACGTACAGTCTACATACCCATGTGCGCAAGCCTTGAACCAGCTGCCTCTCTGTATTGGGTTGAAAGACCACCACTGTCATGAGCGATGTTACTATACGGGTTAACGGGACTGTGCATATCATATAATATAATAGAGGCGCATGGGACGGTTGAACGAGGAGGTCCGTGGCCTGACATGGCCAATCCCTTGAGAACGAATATTAGATAATTGTCATCCTCGTAGTACCCGTACCTCCCGTGGGTGCAGGGCCGGCATCATTCGGCAGCAGTCCATCCGGGGCCAGCGAATGAGATGGAATTCCAAACCGGACGACAGGGGCGCCGTGGCCTCGGAAACAGGGGCAGCGATCGCAGCAGAAAGCGTGAAGATTGAAGAAACAGTGGTAGGGCTGAGGGCGAAAAGCGGGTGTTTTCAGTTCGGACTGGAAAATACGCTGGTCTCCCGTTTCCTTCCGTCACTGCGAAACTTCCGTCTCTTCCCTTCCTCTCTCCCTCTCTCTTCCTGCATGGATACCCCCAGTTCCCTGCCCTGAATCGCTTCGTGTTTGGGGTGATACTACAGTCTCTCTCTCCACTTTCATCTCCCTTTTTCCCTCTTGGCCCCTTTTCACACATCGATTTAAACCGGGCCACTCTACAGGACCTGTATTGCAGGTAAGTCGGACTACTATCCCTACATACCACCGAATCCCGGGGTTTTATTTCTTTTATTTTCGTGCTTGTTGCTTCACTGGAACTTCATGTCGCTGAATCGAGTTTGATTGCTTTCATGTATCTTAACTCTCTAACCGACCTTCAAGGATTCTCATACATCCCGCACTTCAAGCCTTTTGCCTCCCTGCCAGAGTGGACCCACCATGGATCAGAACGCCGAGATCTGATATATCCCTTCGGAGTGCTCCGTACAATCTCGTGCAAGGGGAAACGTTCTTGGTCCCGATCATTCATCTTCAATGCAGAGAATTCCTGATTGACTGGGTTGGGGTTTGCCTGATAATTGTCATATCATCACACTGGTAGAGAAGTAACCATACACATACATAACCTCAAGAGGCGATCGGGACATTCGGACCCGGAGAAGCTCGCGCCATCGAAATGTCCCCGTTCAGTCAAGGCTCATCTACAAATGCCATCGTCAATGGCAGTGGAAGGCTCTCGTTGCTGTCGCCTTACAAGCCAACCGGCTCGGAACTGGGCGACGGTGTGGACACGAATACCAATGCACTTCCCCATCCTCCCCCCAACCATATTCCAGCATGGAATCCTCAAAAGCCTACTTTGACTCCAGGACTCGACACGGGGTCGCAAAGTACTGATGATGTTTCTCGTGACCTGGATACAGACACGGTTCACGGTACGCCAAATGACTCAGCCACGACGGCTTCATTTCTATCCACGGCCAGTCACAAAAAGTCGACGTCGCCGTTGGCCACTCTAAATGCACTTTCTTCGTTCTCTTCCGCTGCAGACCCCAAAGAAACTGAGAGTAGACCCCACTCTCCCAGATACCGGCCCAAATCCTCTATCCCGTCGAGGCTCCCCGCCGGCGTTTACGCTCAGCAGTGCATTGCGGCCGCATATGCCTCTCGACTCAACCCATATGCTCTCCATAAAAAGGAACAAGAGGCGTTGCAGGATCATCTTTGTCACCTGCACGTCACCGTGTATCTGAATATTCGAAATGGTATTCTCCGACTGTGGACACGAAACCCAATGGTGAGCGTTACCAAAGAGGAGGCGCTAGGCTGCGCAAAGGACTATCGATGGATGAACCTCGCCTCCTTTGTGTATGAATGGTTAATCCGGAACGGATACATCAATTTTGGCTGTGTCGAGATCCCAACTGCCCTGGTGTCCAGCAAGAAAGGCCGCCGGAGGGATGGTCCCGTTATTGTCGTAATTGGAGCAGGAATGGCAGGTCTAGGCTGCGCACGCCAGCTGGAGGGCCTCTTTCAGCATTATCACGATCAGGCCGCTTCGCCCCGTGTTGTTGTCTTAGAGGGAAGACGCAGGATTGGAGGACGTATCTATTCTCACCCCCTGCAGAGCCTTCGCTCGTCCAAACTACCCCCTGGGCTTGTCCCCAAGGCGGAGATGGGGGCGCACATCGTTGTGGGCTTCGATCATGGCAACCCGTTAGATCAGATCATTCGAGGCCAGCTGGCACTTTCGTACCACCTATTACGCGATATCTCAACCATTTATGACATAGACGGCTCTCCGGTGGATGAACTACGGGACGCGATGGATGAAAGGCTCTATAATGATGTTCTGGACCGGTCGGGATTCTATCGACATAAATCCGTCATTGTTCCTACCGCAGAGGGGAACCGAGAATTCATCGACTCTGGCCGAGACGTGTCAACGAGCGACGGTCTCACAGTAAGGCAGTACGAGGAAGCAAGGGCATCTGGCACCATCGGACAATTGTTTCCCAACAAACGAGTTCGTCGGGGTGTAGGCCACAAGACTGCCGATATTAAAACCGGAGCACCGGCGGCAGACCTCGATCGCAACGAAGAGCATCCGGTCGCCCTGGCTTCTCAAACCATGGGATGGAAACTGAATCCCGGAGTCTCGGTAAATGATACCCTGAACCTAGATCCCATTGCGAAAGCCTCGCGGTTCCAGACCCTCGGGGCTGTGATGGACGACGGCATCCGGCAGTATCAGCGCATGCTGCAACTGTCGCCAAAGGACCTGCGATTGCTCAATTGGCATCTTGCCAACTTGGAATATGCGAACGCTACCAATATCGACCAGCTAAGTCTTTCTGGCTGGGACCAGGACATCGGTAATGAATTTGAAGGCGAGCACTCGCAGGTTGTGGGTGGCTATCAACAAGTGCCGTACGGACTGTATGCATGGCCGACGAGGCTTGATGTCCGACCGAACAAGGCCGTGTCCAAGATCACCTACGACCCGACCGGGCTCGGAAAGCAAAAGGCAGTGGTTCAGTGTGAGGACGGGGATTCGATCGTGGCGGACAAGGTGGTTTTCACCTGCCCGTTGGGCGTCCTCAAAGACCGCTCGATCCAGTTCTCGCCGTCTCTTCCCTACTGGAAACTCGGTGCCATTGATCGGCTCGGTTTTGGCGTCATGAACAAGGTTATCCTGGTGTTCGAACAGCCATTCTGGGATACGGAGAGGGATATGTTTGGGCTTCTCCGCGAACCCCAGACTCGAGACAGCATGGCGCAAGAGCACTACTCAGCAAATCGTGGCCGATTCTATTTGTTCTGGAATTGCATGAAGACGACCGGTCTTCCCGTTCTAATTGCACTGATGGCCGGAGACGCGGCGCTTCAAGCAGAGTGCACGCCCGATGCCGAAATCATCGCTGAAGTCACCGGCCAACTTCGCAACGTCTTCAAGCACGCTGCCGTTCCTGACCCGTTGGAGACCATAGTTACGCGGTGGCGCTCGGACAAGTTCACTCGCGGCAGTTACTCCTACGTGGCCGCTCAAGCACTCCCTGGGGACTATGATTCAATGGCCCAGCCGATTGGAAACCTCCATTTCGCGGGAGAAGCCACCTGTGGCACGCATCCGGCCACAGTCCACGGCGCGTACCTGTCAGGCCTGCGAGCCGCCTCCGAGGTCATCGACTCTCTTCTAGGACCGATCGAGCTGCCGCATCCGCTGGTCCCAGAGAAGGGCAAAGCGGACTTCTTCTCCGTCAACACTCCGCCGACCAGCGGCCAGAAACGCAAGCAACCAGCGCCCTCCCTCGCTAATTTAGAACCAGCAGCTCTGCCGGCGCCCAAATCCCCCGAAGCCGCCCTTCGAGAGGCCTACGAACATGCCATGTGGGCAGCCATCCACTCTGAAATAGGGCCCCCCGTGCCTCGACCGGCGCGAACGGTTGGCCTGAACCCCTTCCTCCTCTACCAGAAGGACTACTGGGTCCCATGCCGCCTCCAATGCGACGAGACGCGCCGCAAAGCGACGAACGACCCCAACGCCAAGGCCGCCCGCGACGAGATCCGCCACGCCCTGGGACTGATGTGGCGACAGGCCCGAGAGGATGTGAAACGGCCGTACATCGAACAAGCGGAGGTCAATCAGCAGACCAACGCCGAGATGAGCTCCCGTTGGCGGCAGAACATGGCCGAGTGGGAGAAGAAGATGGACCGGGTGAAGGAGCGTTGGTGTGCGGCCCATCCGTTTGATTTGTGGAAATCCGCTGGGGCAGCGAATGCGGGCAGTGGACTGGGTGCTGGCGTGGCTGACGGTGTTGGTGCTGGTACTGGTGCTGGTGCTGGTGCTAGTGTTGGTGTCAATGCTACCGGTAGCACTAGTGCTGATGCCAATGCTCATCCCGCCAGCATCAGTGCTACCAATATCAATGGCACCAATGGATCGCAGCCACAAGAACAAGACCCTATACCCCAATCCACTACCATAGTGGCGGATATAAGACCGACGGGGCCATGAGCTCACTGTCTTCAAATGCACCTTCCTACAATACCCCATCTTACCAGCAGAGAAGACTTCGACGAGAGAGCCTTGAACCCACCCTTACAAAAGATGAATGCATGCATGAAAATGAGCCATGCCATACATGACCGAGTACCAACATGTTCAATTATTCTCACCTCCTCCCTCCAATCGACCTGAGACTCTAGACCCCGAGTGTCAATCATGTCAAATAAATTTAGTATTAAAAAAAAGCCACTCCCAAGTCAAACACTACTGAAGTAGCATACCTCTGTTTCTTTCGTTAACCAGTAGATTGAGATATAGATATATAAGGCTTCCAAGAAGTGGAACTCTTGAAGTAGACTGAATACCAAAGATCTTAGTCTTTCTCTTCCCATGCAGATCTGTCTATATCAAGATCGATATATCGACAAAGAAACCGAAAGAAAGATAAGAGACATCCAAGCAGGAAAGCAAGCCTTTATAATCTAAACAAACCAATCAAGCAAGCAAGTATTTCTCAGCTCTTTCAAAAATCTAAACCAAGCACCGAAAGAAATGTATGTCTATAACATCATTGAGAATTAATAAAAAGGTAGAAAAACCGCTGAAGTCTAAGTATAAACGTGATAACCATCCAGGAAATAATAAGCAGAAAAGAAAAAAAAGAAACCATCCGGGGCATGAGACATGATAGTGCGCCCATTTCACTTTTTCAACGCAGTGACTGATGGGTCTGGATCATTGATGAAGATGAACGCAAAGGGGTCTAAGAAAAGATAGGGTAGATGGATGAATGGATCTTAGGACTGGCTTAGAGGAGAGGGTTGGACTTGTACTCTGCCGAAGTGCCCTGCGAGTCGGTCTTGACTTCGCCGTCGACTTCCTGGGTGGCAGGCTTGACGGCTGCCTTCTCGGTGGAAGCGACGGGGGCCTCTTCGTGAGACTCGCCCTCGGCGATGAACTTCTCGGCCTCGAGAGCAGCGATACAGCCGGAGCCTAGAACTGTTAGTATGGTGAAAATAAGGATATAGAGGGAGTTTGAACATACCGGCACTGGTGATGGCCTGGCGGTAACGCTTGTCCTGGACGTCACCGCAGGCGAACACACCGTCGAGGCTGGTGTAGCTGGTACCCGCCTTGGTGATGATGTATCCATCCTCGTCGAGGTCGACCTGGCCCTTGACCAAAGCGTTGGCGGGGTCGTGGCCGACGGCGTAGAAGAGACCGTTGGCGTCCACAACCTCCTCCTGGCCGGAGACGGTGTCCTTGACGCGCAGGTGGGTCATCAGACCCATGGGCTTGTTCTCACCCAGGACCTCGGTGGCGACGGAGTTGAAGCGGACGGTGACCTTGGGGTGGGCAAGCAGACGGTTGGCCATGGCCTTGCTGGCACGCAATTTATCTTTACGGACCAGGACGGTGACGCTGCTGCCGTACTTGGCCAGGAACATGGCCTCCTCGGCGGCGGAGTCACCACCACCGATGACGTACAGAGGCTTGTTACGGAAGATGGGCACGGCACCGTCACAGACGGCGCAGGCACTGATACCGTTCTGCCAGTAGGTCTCCTCGCCGGGCAGGTTCAGACGGCGGGCGTTGGCGCCGGTGGCGATGATGACGGCGTCCGCGGTGCGAGCGGGCTCGTTCTCCGGGCCGTCGTTCCATTCGGTCCACATCTTGAAGGGCCTCTGGGACAGGTCGATCTTGGAGATGGTCTCGGTGATCACCTCGGTGCCGAATCGAATCGATTGCTTGCGCATGTTCTCCATCAGCTCCTGGCCACCGACACCGTCGGGGAAACCGGGGAAGTTCTCGACGTCGGTGGTGGTGGTGAGCTGACCACCGGCGGCGGTGCCGTTGGCCAGCATACCCTCATACAGGACGGGCTGGAGTTCCGCTCGCGAGAGATAGATGGCGGCGGTGTGAGCGGCGGGGCCGGAGCCGATGACTTGGGATGGTTAGTCTCAATTCATCCGCGAGGTGTGGTGCTCAGCAGGAATACTCACTAACAACCTTGGTGTGCACCATTCTGGAAGTGGAATTGACGCGCAGCGGCGTCGAGAGCGGACTTGATAGAACCGAGGCAGACGGAGGGGACGGGTGTTGCAGCGTGGACGCAGCAGCAGCAGTCAATCCAACAGAGGAGCGAAGGTAAGAGAAAGATCGGCGAAAGGCGGAGGAAAACAGATTGCCGGTGTTGGAGGGGGTGGGGGAGAAAGAGAAGAAAGAATTGACCGAGAGTCAGGGAGAAAGGAGAGGGAGAGGGCGGGTTAAATTATTCTTTCAGAGTCTGGCACGGCGGCGAGGCGAAGAGGGGCGGATTTCCGGTGGTGGGGACGAGCGATTAGCTAAGGAGGGCGATTAGTTCATCTGGTCGAGGGAGGACTGGAACTGGAACGCACGCGATGACGATGACCAATTGGGTCTGAGTCAGGAAAAGGGACCAGACGGGGCAATTGATTGATAGGGAGACGCGGGCGATCTGGAACGACAGCTGAGTGATGGCAGACAGGAGTACTGGATGGAGGCAGGAAACAAGAAGAGAGCAGGAAGAAGATGGAAGAACATTAGGAATCATCCGCGGCGAGACCCGGTCACGTGGGCAGGCCGAGACCGCCGTGCTTATCGATCAGTTCTGCAGTTCTGTTCTACGGAGTATACAATTCACTACAACACCGTCAAGGGTATCCACTCGTACATTAGATCGTTCCGTAGGTACATGCCTCATATCGTCATATCGTCAATCGTCAAAACTCATCGCTCAGGCCAACCCAAACCACTTCTTGCGCCGGGGAGCCGCTCTGACGCCATCCTCGTCCTCCGCTCCACCGGCGCCCACCGGCACCAACGTCTCCGGCGGCATGCCAGCCCCGTCGTAATAATCCCGTCCGCCAGATCGTCCCCCTGCGGCTCCGATTCCTGCTCCTGCTCCTCCCCGGTGATTGTAGTCATCATAGTCGTCCTCCTCATCTTCGAACTCCTCGTCGCTCATCTCCGCTTCGGTATCTTCAGCCACGGCGTGTCGGTCCGCCTTCTTCCGTCGCACGCCCAGCCACTTTCTCCACCCCTTGGCGACCGGCGTGGCGGGAGGATCGTACTCGGTGCCCTCGTAGTGGAGCATCGGCACGAGCATCTTGTACGGCGTGGTGATGCCCGACGGGTCGCGCGGGTTCAGTTCGAGGTTCAGGGTGATCGCCAGGCCGCCCTCCAGGTTGACAAAGCCGCCGGTGCCGTCGTCGCCATGCTTCGAGGCCCTCTTGCCGGCCTTCTGGCTGAGGTTGGTAGGTCGGCGCATGAAGGGGCCCGGTCGAAACTCGGCGGCCTGTTCGTAGTACGAGTCCCCTGTCTCGGCGGGCGGGAACGGACCGTCCATACTCATTCGTCGCCCGTTGGGTTGTCCACCGAGGTTGAAGTCCTTGGTGGGCGGTTTGCCTCGCTGCGACAATCGACGGAGCAAGCCGCCGCCGCCGCCCTGCGGTTTATCCCCGCGGGTTAAAGAGAGAGTTCTTTGTAGCTTATTGGGACGAGGCTCGTCAAGCGAAAGAGTTTCCATCTCCGGGGTTCCCGGTGGTGTAGAGCCTAGGTTCAGTTAGAAGGTGGCTTGGTATGACGAGTCAAACGCCAACTTACCGGGCTGGTACTGTCGGATAGAACACCAGTTGCGCCGGGGAAGCAATCGTTTGTTGTTCCTTGGCTTGTTGTTAACGTCGTGGGTGAACATAGAAATCATGTCTTCGTCAGTATTCGTATCTATATGGTGAACCCGGTTCCGCTTATTGAGCGTATCCGAGACCATGTCGGTCTGGGGCATGTCCGCAATCGAAGAGGAGATAATGTTGGGCATGTATCGATAATCCCGGTCCTTGGGGACGTTTAATTTCGGGTTCGAGTAGAACTCGCCGACTGCAGCCAGATGCACGTCGCCACTGGTAATCGCTCGTCAGTTTCGGCACTTGAATGAACTGGAAAGTAAAGTCCTACCTCAGGATGGTCACTCGGACGGATTTGTCTGCCGCAAGATCTTGGAGATCCTCGATCAAGTAAGTTCGTTCGGATTTGTGATGTTTCGCCGTCCAATGGTCGTCGAATATCTCGACCTTGCCGCCATTCTTATTGACGAGACCGCCAAGCATGCCGGCTTTGCCGAGAGACTTTCTGCTGTTGAGGATATTCTTCACCATTGCCTAGTTCGTAATTAGCAGGTAGAGTCTTGAATCGGGAATAGCTACATACCACCCGGGGATACGCCAGCGGAATGCTTAACAAAACCAACAGGTGCTTGGTCTCTCCTCGCACAATCTCACGGTGGCATCGGTCCCAGATCAAGTCGCATGTTTGTTCGCTGAGAATTTCGTCGGCCTATCATCATTAGCATTGCTTTGCTGCAAAAACTTCGGTTTGTCTCACCATTCGTTCCGTCCTGCAGTCCAGCCCGAGAAGAGATACGCCATCGCCTAAGGACATGAACAGGTTGCGGCTGCGTTGGTTGATATACGGCCCCGGTTGGGCTCCAAGCAGCCAGCTTGGCTCTTCGGCTTCGGTCTCCTCCGGAACACTGTGGTGCTGGAAGAGCAGGTAGTATTTGAACGCGATGTTGCCCAGTCCGGAGATCACCGGCGTGCCCATGAACTCGTCGGAGTAAGATCCGAACCCTTCGATAATTTCATGGTCGTTCCACATATTGATCGTGGGGATCTGCGAGTTTGCCAGCGAGTAGAGCCCTTGCGAGAACCAGTCGGAATACCGGTTGAGGAACGCGCTCTCCAGCTCGGCTCGGAACTCCGGGGTGAACGGAGCGTCGTACTTCTCGTGCACGTTCTTGATCTTGACCCATTCCTGGAAATGGGTCGACTCCGTGGTCACCTGGTCATTGAAGATCTGATCGCCACCACCGATCATGGCATGGAAGGGGCGTGTCTGGTGCTCGTTAAGGACGTCACGCCACAGCGGATCGGGTCCGCAAAGTCGGTCGGAGTCGACTCCGGAACTGAAGCCGTTGCAGGTGTGGAACATGATGTTCATAGACTGCCCTCTAGCAGGCACCCAGAATCCCAAAGCCGGGCCCTGGTTGAGTCGATACGCGACACGCTGCTGGGTGGGTCCCAGCTCGATCTCCAGGTTGAATCTCCAGAAAGTGACATCTCGTCCGGGGTCGGCATAGAGACGAGCTCCCGAGATATCCTTGTAGGCTTCGGCCGTCTCTCCGTCCACCGGGTGGAGCCTATTGGCAGGAATCGGTTGCTTCGTCCCCTCGCTGTAATCGACGATGCTAGGGGACATTTCGTAGATGCCATCGTCATTTTCCACCTGCGACAGATCCACTTCTTCCTCGGTGTGCTCCACGGGTTTCACATAGAGAGCCCTGCCGTCGCGACCCAGCTTCATAAGCCCGGCAGTCGGATCAACGTACTCAGGAGAGAGCTGGGCATCTTCGCCGCTGACCACAGCTGGCGGAGGCGGCAGAAGATCCATCGGCTGGGAAAACACCCTCAATGTGGGCGCCGGTTCATAAGTAGATCGAGAATCCTTGGTCACAATCAGGATACTGCCCCTCCACGTCTCCTTGTCGAATGCGCCCTTGGGCCCGTCAATCCGCACCCGCTTCAATCCTGCATAGCGCAGCAACGGACCGCTCTTCAGGAAGATCTGAGGCTGGAAGCGGTTTATTTTCGCTGTGAAATCGAGTCAGTCTGCATGGTCTACAATTTTGAGACAGGAAAGCGAGGGGTTTTCTCATCCTTCTGTCCTATCATTACTCACAGGTCAATCTCTGAGCCGGAGGCTTCTGGTAATTGTTTGGTAGCGCCCGGCTTCGTCTGCGGTCCCTTGTTCCGCCTTCCCACCACGCCTTACTTCGATCCATGTCGAAATTCTGGAAGTCAAAGTCGGAGGCTCCCAGTCTGGCGATCGGCGCAGTCCTCCATTCCGACAGAGGAGGGGGCGTGGGTGGCGGCACGTTGAATGAAACCGTTTGCTTTTTAGCTTTGGGCTGCGGAGGCGGTTCGTTCTCGAACGGCGCCGTCATTTGATCAGAATCGGGACTGAGAGGATCGGAGGACGCAATTGAGTTTTCAGCTGCATGCGAGTTCCTGCGAGCCTGCTGGGGTGGAATCCCCATGGCCGGGAGATCTTTTCTCTTAACCGATTGCGCTCTCGCTCTGTTCGGGGCCGCTCTAGAGTTGGCGTACGGCGATTGCCCCCAGGTTTGAACCTCAGCCTGGGCCGCGGGAGCGACTTTGTGAGGCTCGTGCGTTGGGATGGTCTGAGGCATAGGAGCATTGCTGGGAAATCGGCTATCCCGATGGATCGGCTGGTTGATTTGGCGAGGATCGGCTCGGTTTCCGCCCGCCTGGTGACTTACAGACACTGACCGTCTCGGAGCGCTGCCTGTTTTGATAACGGGAGCAGCCGTAGGCTTCTCCTCAGGGTACTGTGCGTATTGAAACGACGGTCCTCTGCTGCGAGTGGACTTCGATTTCTCGACCGGCCTTCGTTCGCGAGGATCTCGAGGACCTACGTCTTCGCCACCTTCGGAGGCATATCGCCGATGGTCTGGTCGTCTTGCAGACTGTTGCACCGGCTGCGACGGCATCGCAGATCTTTCAGGTCTAGATCTCTGCGAGACTCCAGCTCCAGCATCGGGGTCATCCCGGGACGATCTGCGCTGGGATTTCCTTGGTGGCGGCGGTGCACGTTTATCGCCGCCGTTCTGTTGGCGCACGATGCGTTCTTTGAGTCTCATTTCGGCCTCTTGGACTCGAGCTCGTTTCTCTTCCTTACTGATGCCGTTCAGGGTGACCTCCAGCTTTTGGAGAGGCGATCGGTCAGAAGCCCAGTCGCGCCGCTGCTCCGATGTAGAACGGACAGTTTCCGACCGACCCAGGGGCTTGGGCTGACCATTGCTATTCGATGGCACCGACGGTTTCCGAGCGACGGCAGCATCATCGCCGGGGGTGTATTCATCATTTACAGGAGGCTTCTTTCGCGAGGAAGGCTTCTTTCGCGAAACCGGAGGCTCTGGTGAGACCGGCGGTTCTGGAGACAGTGGAGGCTCTGGTGAGGCTGGGGGTGACGGTGAAGCTGGGGGTGATGGTGAGACTGGCGGCTCTGGTGAAGCTGGCGGCTCTAGTGATACAGGCGGTTCTGGCGAGACTGGAGATTCTGGAGAGAGTGGAGGCTCTGGCGAGACCGGCTTATCTTTATCCATCTGATCTGGACTGGCCTCCCGAGGAAGATCTTTATCTTTGGCTCGAGCGGAGAACGAGCGGGCCGCATCGGGAGACTTTGGCGCCGGAGGGTCAGCCATGTCTGGTTTCGAAGGCGGGCGGGGCATCTCTGGGCTTTTGACATCCGATTCAGAGTCGTCCTCCGAGTCCTGGTCAACAGGCTTGGGAAGCTGGGCTATTTGACGGGTATGGAGTACTGTTGGACGTGCAGCGCCATTGGATGGAGGCGGCGGCGGCGGCGGCGGAGGAGGAGGAGGGGGAGGTGGTGGTGGTGGTGGAGGAGGAGGCATGGAATCCCCGTTCGCCGGGGGGTGAGATTCCACGGCGGCCATCCTTCCAATGAGTCGATTCCTGTGGCACCGTCCAGAGAGGCCCGGACACGTGGAGAGTGACTTGGCTGCCGGGGTTGCGTGGGAGTGATTTGCTCCTGTACCTGTCTGTCTGCCCATCTGTAAGTGTCGATTCTCCACCGGAGGAGCTGGACGGGGGATTGGATGGTCATACTTTGCTCGGTCCTCTAGCAGATGCAGGTCAACCGGAGTTGCGTAATTGAGAGATCGCTCGATGGTCAGGGAACACGCAGATTGGATGCAGGTTGGACGATAAGCGACGGAGAAAATAATTCAAAACAATTCCAACAGTTCCGGCAATTAACAGTGCATGGTGGCGATCGAGGACGGCGTTGTTATCAGGCGGGGGAGGGAAGTATACAAGTGAACAGTAAGACAGCAATGCGAGATGGACAACAATACTGCGTAGTGTCAGGAAGAGAGGTCAAGAGGAACACTAGGGAATCGAGACTAGGTCCTCGGTACTAGGGACGAGGTATTCACACATTCCGATCAAAAGCAAAAAGGTGGAGGGCACGAATATATCGCGAGGCGATTAAAGCGGTGGCTGGAGGGTCGCCCAGCCCTCGTTTCGCGCCCTCATCATTGCGGGGCCTTCAGACCACCTCCGTTGGTTCGACTGTATACCGACTCGTTTCTAAGAAAAGAAAAAGTCAATTGGGACCAGTGGAAATTAATGCCATCATTCCAGGCCCAGCTGCCCTTCGCCGCCCGACCGTCCAATCAGCCCGTAGTGAACCGGCGGTGTAGTTCATCTTCTCGGTCGCGGAGAATTCAATGGCACAATTGGAAAGTCGAGGAAAAGAAGGTTGTGCGTCCGGCATTGTGTTTGAATCATGTCTCTATTCCTTTACCATGTCTATCGGTTGTCCTCGGTATACTCGGTGGATTGTTCATGGTGGTTCTTGTCAGAGTAACAGTCGGAGTAATCAGTAATTTCAATAGATTATCAAAGTCACCCAGTATATGAAACAATTAGAATGAACCCAAATTTTCAAGAATAGAATAGAATAAATGAATCCAAAAATATAAATATGCGACCGAGCAGAGCGTTGAGAGTCATTCTATGTATCTGAAGGTCTATTACTTCCCAAGATGCTAAGAGGTATATATAACCGCTCTACGGACAGTGCATACACTAGATGTGCTACTCCTTAACCACTCCCGAGTAGTGTTTCTCTTAGGAAAAGAAGACAAAAAAAAAAAATAAAAATAAAAAAAAAAAGAAGAAGAGAGAGAGAGAGAGAATAACGAGAAGACAAATAATGTGCCATCCATCTCTCATGAATACCAGCTGGCCAATCCCGAGGTGTCTGTCGCCTTTCTTTATCCTTTTGACTTGTCGATGAATAACGGACCAATTATTCCGTGGTTCTGCAAGGAGGCTTCAACGTGTCTTCTTCCCCTACCAAGGGCTGATGAACAGAATGACCACCATCTTCATCGTCCAGAGGAAAGATCGAACATCCCCGAGTCGTAGAGTCAATCTGCAGACCCGCGCTAAGAGTCGGTGGCACTGCTAGTTCGGCCCCGTGAAGATCGACGGGCGGCAACTCAGGAGTTTCCCCGTGCAACGTCCTCAACCCTCGAGCAGTGCTCGCCATCCCCAACCCTCGTCCTGTCTCTGCATTGCTTTTCTGGTCGTTTCTTTTCTCTGCGCTTGCGGTGCTCTGGTATCTATTGCATCGTATTACCTGCAAGCGATTTCCCTCTCCCCCAGGTCTGGCACCGAATTCCGTTCCATGGCAATCGTCCGATATCTGTCCTGATCTCGCCTTCGTCAAGGTGACTTTACGCTGCCACCATGCGTCTTCTCGACACCGCAGCTGTGGCGTTCGGCTTGTTCGCAGCCGCAACTGCCTCGCTGCATCCTCGCCGATCGTACGAAACCCACGATTACTTCGCCCTCCACCTCGATGATTCCGCCTCCCCGGCCGACATCGCCCAACGACTGGGCGCTCGCCACGAAGGCCAAATCGGAGAGCTGGACGGTCACCACACCTTTTCCGTGCCGCGCGACGTCAACGGAGATGTAGATGCCATGCTGGAACGGGCGCGAGTCCGAAGGAGACTGAGGCGGCGGTCCGGAGACGGCAGCGGCCTGGCGGAACCCGACGAGGGACTGGACGGCGTCCTGTGGTCGGAGAAACTGGTGCTGAGGCAGCGACTGCAGAAACGGATGCCTCCGCCGGGGAACTTCCCGCGGGCGTCTGGCGACACCAAGGAGAATCCCGAGGCCCTGAAGATCCAGAAGAACATCGCGTCCACGCTGCAAATCGCCGACCCGATTTTCAACGACCAGTGGCATCTCTACAATACCAAGCAACTCGGCCACGATCTGAACGTCACGGGCGTCTGGCTGGAAGGGATCACGGGGCATAACGTCACCACGGCGGTGGTGGACGACGGGCTGGACATGTACAGCAATGATCTGAAGCCGAATTACTTCGCCAAGGGCTCCTACGATTTTAACGAGATGTCGCCGGAGCCGAGACCGCAGCTGGTGGAGGATAAGCATGGCACCCGGTGTGCCGGAGAGATCGCGGCGGCGAGAAACGACGTGTGCGGAGTGGGCGTTGCGTATGACAGCAAGGTGGCCGGCATCCGCATTCTCTCGAAACCCATTGACGACCAGGACGAGGCGCTCGCCATCAACTACGCCTATCAAGATAATGACATCTACTCGTGCTCTTGGGGTCCCATAGATGACGGAGCCACGATGGAAGCGCCCGGCATCTTGATCAAGAAAGCCATGGTCAATGGCATCCAGAAGGGGCGCGGCGGAAAGGGCTCCATCTTCGTCTTCGCCGCCGGAAACGGTGCCTCGTACGACGACAATTGCAACTTCGACGGATACACGAACAGTATCTACAGCATCACCGTCGGTGCCATTGATCGGGAGGGCAAGCACCCTAGTTACTCCGAGTCTTGCTCCGCCCAGCTGGTGGTCGCCTACAGCAGTGGCCTGACTGATTCCATCCACACCACCGACGTCGGCACCAACAAGTGCTATTCTCAGCATGGTGGAACGTCGGCTGCGGGCCCCCTGGGTGTGGGTGTCGTCGCCCTCGCTCTCAGCGTTCGACCCGACTTGACCTGGCGCGATGCCCAATACCTGATGCTGGAGACCGCCGTGCCGGTCCACGAGGACGACGGCAGCTGGCAGGTCACCAAGAACGGCCGGAAGTTCAGCCACGACTGGGGATTCGGAAAAGTGGATGCCTACTCGATGGTCCAGAAGGCCAAGACTTGGGACCTCGTGAAGCCTCAGGCCTGGTTTCATTCGCCGTGGTTGCGGGTGCAACATGAGATCCCTCAGGGAAACCAGGGCCTTGCCAGCTCCTACCAAGTGACCCCCAAGATGAAGGAGAAGGCCAACATCCAGAGACTCGAACATGTGACCGTCACCATGAACGTCAACCACACCCGTCGTGGCGATATCAGTGTGGAGTTGCGTAGTCCGGAGGGCATTGTTAGCCATCTGAGTACCGCAAGACGGTCCGATAATGAAAAGGCAGGCTACGTTGACTGGACCTTTATGACCGTGGCGCACTGGTACGTTTTCCCATGACCTTTTCTATCTTTCTGACATACTGATAACATCTAGGGGAGAATCTGGTGTCGGCAAATGGACCGTCATCGTCAAGGACACCGTTGTCAACGAGGACATCGGACAGTTCATCGACTGGCGACTGAACCTTTGGGGAGAAGCCATTGACGGCGCCAAGCAGGCACTGCACCCTCTCCCCAACGAGCACGATGATGACCACGATATCGAGGATGCCATCGTGGCCACGACCAGCGTCCAGCCTGCACCAACCAAGACCGATGCTCCTGGCGCACACACCGACGTCGCGGATCGCCCAGTCAACGCGAAACCTACGCCGACTCCAGACAAGCCCACGCCGGCCGAGGATACGCCGGCCCAAGAAGAGTCGCATGCGCCCACGCCGGCGGAAACCACTTCCTCCAAGACCAGTGCCACGGAAGAGGCGGCGGCTGCGACCACGTCGTCCGAGAGCTTCCTGCCTGCCTTCTTCCCCACCTTTGGTGCCTCCAAACGCACCCAGGCCTGGATCTACGCCGCGATCGGGTCGATCATCGTCTTCTGCATTGCTCTGGGCGTCTACTTCCATGTTCAGCGCCAGAAGCGTCTGCGCAACGACCCCCGCGATGACTACGACTTCGAGATGATCGAGGACGACGAAGACTTGCATGCGGCCGGAGGACAAGGTGCCCGTACGCAACGTCGGGGCGGCGAGCTCTACAACGCGTTTGCCGGGGAGAGTGACGAAGAGCCATTGTTTAGCGATGACGAGGAGGAGCCGTACCGGGACCGGTCTGGCAGCGATGATCAGCAACGACGAGACAGCCCTCACGGAGATCGACGATAAGCCTGGATGAATGACTCCCTTATTTGTTTTGGACTGGGATTGAATTTCATATGTTTTGTTCTTGTTTATTTTGGGAAGATTCTGTGCGAAGTCATAATCCACATCGCAATGACTTCATAATCTGATGTCTGCGATGCTAACGAAGAAAGCACCTGGATGTATATAGAGTAGTCTGGATGGCGAAAATAGAAATGTAGAAATGCATGCGATGAGCAGGCCTCTTAGTCAGCGGTCTTGGCGCGATGACGCCGATCGGGCGCTTCTCCAAATGAACTGATTGCCTGGTCTGCTCCACTGCTTCCTCCGCACCTTCGTCCAAACCTAGACTCTCCCCCTCTCTTCTTCCTTTGATTTGTCTTCCATTCGTCCTAATTCCCCCCTTTATATCCATTTCTGCTTTGCGTTCTGTTTGATTCCGTACTCTTGCTCTGCCGCCGACCGGACTGACCAGCCACTGTTTTTGCGGCAACCCCTCGATGGATCAACACGACGACTTTGATAGCGTCTCCTGGAGACATGACGCCGGCAGTGACGTCTCCGGGTCCCGTCCCACCACGTCGGGGACCGACGCGGAGGAGTCGCCCGGCCTTCATCACGATGTCAATGGCAAGCGCAGGATGAGTTCGGCAGGCCACGAACCCCCCCAGGCCGGACCGCTGGCCGACGCAGTCGATCTGGCGGGCATCGCGGACGGAGTGCTAGAATGCCAGGTCGATTCGCCCTTGAAGGAGAACGACGGCACCAAGGATGCCTACATCTCTTATTTGGTTACTACACATGTGGGTTTACATCTCTGATAAATTGTCCGATCGCAGCCTCGTTCCTGTGATGGGGGTATGCCGTTGCCTAGCTTCTCGTTCCGATTCTGACCAGCCGGCAATCAATTATCACAGACCGATTTCAAATCCTTCCAGAAACCAGAGTTCACCGTGAGAAGACGATTTACCGATTTTTTCTTCCTATACAAGACGCTGTACCGGGAATTTCCCGCCTGCGCGGTTCCGCCGCTGCCGGACAAGCATAAGATGGAATACGTGCGGGGGGATCGGTTCGGCCCCGAATTCACCACCCGCCGGGCATGGTCGCTACATCGGTTCCTGAAACGCCTGACACTGCACCCGGTGCTCCGACGGTCGGCTCTGCTGGCGGTGTTCCTGGAGTCCCCCGACTGGAATGCGCACATGCGGCTGCGATCCACCCGCAACTCGACCAGCACCTCGGACGGCAGCGGGGTGCCCGGCATCTTCGACAACTTCACGGACACCTTTGTCAACGCGTTTACGAAAGTGCACAAGCCGGACCGGCGGTTCATCGAGGTGCGGGAGAAGGCGGACAAGCTGGACGAGGACCTCAACCACGTGGAGAAGATCGTGGCGCGGGTGGCGCGGCGCGAGGCGGACCTGGAGGCGGACTACAACGAGCTGGCGACGCAGTTCCGCAAGCTGGTGCCGCTGGAGCCGGACGTCGAGGTGCCGCTGCAGGTGTTCGCGGCGTCGGTGGAGGAGACGGGGCGCGGGCTGAAGACGCTGAAGGACCACACGGACCAGAACTACCTGGGCTCGCTGCGCGACATGGAGGCGTACATCCTCTCGGTCAAGGCGCTGCTCAAGACGCGCGAGCAGAAGCAGCTCGACTTCGAGGCGCTGGTGGAATACCGCAACAAGGCGGTGGCGGAGCGGGACTCGCTGGCCACCAACCCGTCGTCGTACTACGCGTCCAACCCGCTGACCTCGTCGCCGGCGTCCTTCATCCGGTCGAAGATGGAGGACATGCGCGGCGTGGACCACGAGCAGTCGCGGCGCGAGCGGGTGCGCAAGCTGGAGCTGCGCATCGACGAGCTGACGCGCGAGGTCGAGTCGGCCAAGACCACGTCGGAGATGTTCGACGAGGAGGTGGTGCGCGAGGTGGCGGACTTTGAGCGCATCAAGGCCGTCGAGTTCCGCGACACGCTGGGGGCGCTGGCCGAGAAGCAGATCGAGTTCTACCAGGGGGTGCTGAACACGTGGGAGCGGTTCGTGGCGGAGATGGACGGCGATTTCGAGGAGGGACTGGCATCGCAGGCGCAGGAGGGCGCGGCTGTTCCCAGGTAGATCCTGTAGCCCTGGGTATAATTTCGGGATGAGGTTTGTGCTTAGCTTTTGTCTTTCTTATTGAGCATACAGCAATGGATCTAAGATTGTCACAATGCCTTCCCTCTCCCATGAGTATGACAGCGATAAATGGTAATTAAACAAGCTCATCAATCAATCATTAATAATTAAACAAATCCCCTCCCTACGACCTCTCACCCTGCTTCTCCGCACACTCGAAATCAATCGCCCCCGGCTCGCCCTGCGGATCCGAGATGGCCGGGTCCAAGGCGCGGGTGGATTTCTGGCGCGCGCGTTCCTATCATCATTGTCAGTTTAGTTTCGCTCTACTCTATTAAATCATCTATCACCCTAGATTGGATCGGAAATCCAAGACAAAGCACGCATAACATGCAGGTGGATGAGTGGTAATAGGTAAACTAACCTCTAAGTAAACCTGGTTCGCCGTCTTCGCGGGCCGCCCGGCCTCGGCTGTTAATTGGAGGTAGATTTCGTGGTCGTAGTCGATTGTGGGCTTGGAGGGGATGGATGTGGTGGTTGCGAAGTTGGCGCTGACGAGGAGGTCGTGTTTGTGGGATGTGGTTGTTGTGGTGGTGGATGTTGAGGCCATGTTTGTCTGTGTGTCTGTCTGTCTAGACGGGTTTGGTGGATGGGTATAGGAGGTGTAGGTAGGTATAGAGTATATCGGTAGGAGTAGAATATCCAACCGAGAAAATGTAAATCCGTAGACAGGAAATAAAGGTTGAGAACGAACGTGCAAGTCAAAGTCAGACTGAGTCTAGGGTTTACCCCTTAATTCTATGACGATGGCGACTCCGTAAACCCATGCACCAGGGGCAAACGTCGGAAGATATTAGATTAGTAGGTATTTATTTTAGGCCCTACGGATGGAGTCCTGGCTCTTACTCCGTACTAATAATAATACTTTCGCCGTGTTTTCCGTGCCTGGATTGAGACAGTGGAAAATCGAAATTGAAATTTTTTTTCTACGCCACTTGTCTCATGGGCTGATGTGATACTGGTCTAGTTTCTGCAGCCTGCATGGGACTGCATTGTTGGAGGTGGCAAAAGCAGGTCCGGGACTTTTTTGGATAGGAGGGCAGGATTAGGTTGCTACGGTATTTACTACTCTACTACCACTATTAACTAATAGTCTAATAGTCTAATAGGAATAACGACTCTGTACGACACAACTATTGAATTGTCAGGGCTGCCTGGAAACGGTGGCAGCGAACCTCGACACCTGGTCCGGTCTAGCCCACTTTCCCTCTTCTCTTCTCTTCTTTTCTCCCCTACTCTCTCCCCTAATAATTCCTATCTCACTTCATCTTCAACTCTCCATCCGTCCTCTCCTCAATCACTCCATCCCTATCCCTATCCTCACCATCAATCCCCAAATCCACCTGCAAGCCGCCACTGCGGCAATTATCTCATTGGGCCGCTCCCGGAGTTGGATGTTCGCCGCTGCACTCAGCCACCCCCTCTTGGCTCTTGACTGCTGAGTTGCATGCGTCGCCCGTGGATGGCATGGCCCCAGTGTGGTTACCCTTTACTTCTGTTGCTACCTGCACCGATCTACACCTACATCTACGGTTTACCTGGACTGGGGCGCTAGACACCCTTTGGGGGTTGGCCTTGGGGGTCGGGTTGGGGTTAAACCCCTGAGGTAGACAGGCAGGCAAGCAGGCAGGCAAACAGGCAGGTAAGAGGTAGATAGGTAGGTAGGATGATGGAAGAGATGGTTGCTGACGTGTAACCGACCCCGATCTGTTGCTACCCCTTTCTTGGAGGAGAAAAGGGGGAGTGGTACAGTCCCTGAGGTGAGGTGGTGTTTCGGATGTAATTCTTCCCTACTGGGTTGCTTATTTGTCGAGAGGGAAGTAGGCTTAGATTGGGTTGATCGGGGGATTGATTATGATTGTGATAGGTAGGTGGGTGGGTTATTAGCCCGAGGTTGTTTGTCTGATCTATAGGTAGACGGTAGACATACAGTACAATGTAGGTAGGTAGGTAGGTAGGGTTGGACAGACAGTTGGACATCGCTAAGACTAGGTGGAGGCTATGCTGCGTCAATGGGTTTGTCTGGTTGACTGTTGGATGTCGTGTGACTTGGACTGACAACGGATGGACGTTTGTTTTGCCTCTCGGGCACTTGTTCTCACTGCCACGGATACGTGTCTGATCTTCCGGCTCCAGGGTAGGTGGGCTCGCGGCTGGTGGCGCCGGTTCTTTGAGCATCCGGATCTAGTCCGATGTGCTATGAACTGTGATCTGCTGGTTAGCCCTATGAGCTAGTCTACAATCAAGTGAGTCGGGTCTATCTTCATGGAGGTGATCTAGTAAACACTGCCTCAGTCTGACACTGATCAAGCATAAATGACCATAGTGAGAATCCCCAATGATAAGTCTAGTACAGCTTGAATATGCACAGGTTGACCTTAGAATATGTAGAATGCCTTCTATTAGCTCACTATATTATATCCCCTAAAAAACAACCCCCTGGACATGATTCAACCCCTTCACCCGAATATCCTTAATCATAAACACCCACACCATCGTCAACGCCATGACCGCCGTCCCCGCAATCAACATATTCCGCTGACTGACCGCATACGCATGATTAATCGCCTCTCGAGTCGCAGACCCCCACTCAAACTCCAACTGGACGTCCAACGAGTTCGCGATCTCCTGCCAGCGGTGCTTGGTCTCCTCGGGGAGCGAATTCTGCAACGCCGTCGGCAGCGTATTCGTCCAGATCGCGCCGGAGATGCTGTTCCCGATCGCGCCGCCGATGTTGCCGAACAATGCCAGGAACGCCAGCATCGACGCGTAGTCGTTGTGCGACGACGCCGCCATCACCGCGATCTGCTCCAGCAGGATGATCGTGCCCCCGCCGAACCCGATGAAGATCTCGCACATGCACATGTACCCGATGCTGTGGCCGGGGCTGCGGAAGTAGATCATCAGCCCGACGGCGAGCATGTAGAGCGGGATGGAGGCGAGGAGCAGCCATTTGAAGCGGCCCGTGACGCGGACGAGCCACCCGGCGCCGAAGAGCCACAGCGGGGAGATGAAGTCGAAGATGGCGGCGATGTAGCCGGCTTGGGTCATGGAGGCGTTGTAGACGACTTGCAGGTAGGATGTGAAGTAGGAGTTCCAGCAGTAGTAGGCGATCTGGTAGGTGAGGTCGAGGAGGCAGGCGCCGATGACGGTGCGGTTGCTGAGCAGGTGGTAGGGGATGAAGGGGCGGGGGGCGCCGAAGCGTTCCCAGGCGACGAAGGAGAGGATGACCACGCCGCCGACGACGATCATGCTGATGATCGAGGCCGACTGCCACTTGTTGGCTTGGGACTCGGCCAGCACGAAGGCGAGTAGGAAGAGCGAGAAGCCCGCGATGAGCAGGAAGATGCCCACCACGTCGAACTCGATGAAGTAGTACCAGGCGCTCTGGGCGAGGGTGCGTCCGCTGCGCGCCTTCTCGAGGACCAGGTTCTTCTCGGCTTTGCGCTTGGCCATCTCCCAGGTGATGATGAGGGGAGCGGTCACCACGGGGAGGAGGATGCAGATGCAGCCGTAGGCCCAGCGCCAGTTGACGGCGTTGAAGCGCTCGGAGAGAGGGGAGCCGGCGAAGGCGGTGATCACGTAGGGGGAGGAGGTGAAGGCGAAGGCGAGGCCTCGGTTGCGCATCGATGAGGTGTCGGAGGTGAGGACGTCGACGCAGAAGATGAGGCCGGTGAAGCCGACGTAGTAGAAGGCCTTCATCACTGTTAGCTCCATTCAACCTAGCCTAGAACTTAGGATCCTACCTGCGCAGCACAATACGTCGCAATATCATGACAACCCGCCATGAGAATCAACCCGATTATCGAAATCAGCAACATAATGACAATACCGACTGTTCGATTCCAGAGGTTCAGAATCTTCGCCACCGGCATCGTACACGCCGCGCTCATAATATTCGTCACGATACCGATGACCGTGAGCAACGAATGACCCTCAAAGTCACTCGTGATATAAGCGGACAAGTTGGCCGTCAGACTGGACTGCAGGGCTTGCACGAAGTACATCAACCACATGCTTTGATCGGTTAGTATTCATCTCATCGCATTCCAGGGAGAAATATGAAGTTGCTGGGCAAAGAACGCACCAGATATACACCGCAATCAGGGACTTTTTCGTCCACGAGCTCGTCACGGCCTCCGCGACGAGCACTCCATCTTGTTTCGCCTCCGCCTCTTGCAGGGGCGGCTTCATGGGGATATCATCGGTGGGTTCGGTGGTCGGCGCGGTGTTGACATCGGGAGATTTATCCGCCATGACGAGCGACTTTCCGCAGGACAGAGTATACGCGGGTTAAATCCGACGGCCGTTCGAGAAAATCGCTGAGAGGGAATTGGAAAGTAGCATGCGAAACACCCTAATATATAGGTGCGTGAATAAAAAAAAAATTAAAAATCATTTACGCAAGTAGTCCAACAGCACAAGCTTCCGAAAACTCTGCGAGCTAAGAGCAGAACTGGCTCAAGCATTGTCTGATCTGGACTCCGTAGTCCGTCCTCTATTTCATCTGCTGCTGTTGGACCACTCGGGCCTCTGGCTCCACGCTAGATAACTTAGCTTTATGCTAATCGGGGAGGTGACGGCCACGGACGCATCTGATAAGCCGTGTTTGTTTAGAATCAGGATTTAGATGGATGTAGAAGGTGGGCCGCGTTTCTACCTCCACGGAGAAGAGGATACCTGGAGTTGGACTGTGGAATGGTTGAGAGTATGATTGTATCCCTTGCTTGATTCTAGACATCTCACATTGGATTTCTTCTCTGCGAAGTACAAAACAGTATAGATCAAGCAACACACGACCATAACCCATATCTCTCTCAGACAAACAGAAAGAAAAGAAAAAGAAAAAGAAAAAGAAAACGGCCCAACCCACCACCAACACATACTCCATACTCCCCTACAGAGTAGTCCACACGAGGCAAGCATCGGCACAGACCCCATAAAACACGCCGGAGTATCCTCAGTGGAATCGCCAAGTCCGGACTCCCCCAATCACCGCGTACCTTTTAACCCGACATCCAAGAAACAGAAACACTCCGTTTGGGGGCCACGTTTAGTCGCGCAGTGTTCAACTGCTAATTCGGCGGTTGCTGCATTTGTCGACTGCTCGGGGGGTTGTGGGTGGTCGACTTGATGGTTAGAACCTAGAACTTAGGAGTAGAGCTTAGACCGTCTGCGTAGGTGTGTGAATTATCTGATTTTGAGATTTTGGTTCTGCTCGGTTCGGGTTAGCGTTGTCTTATCTGATTCCGATCTGATTATCTGATTTTTATTTTCTATCCAGTAACTGCGCTGCTGTGATTGTTTCTTGCTTTTCCCTGCGGTGTACAGAGTATATGATCGTCAATTAATTACCTCTACAACCTCGACAGAGTATACCTAAACAAAGCAACATGCAATTAAAATTCCCCCAACACCTCCCCCCCGGAAAAGCTCACCCGGGCATTCTTCACCAATACGTACGTCCTTCCCAAGTACATACAGAGAACCCAAAGAACACAACTCCAATCCCCTACACGGAGTACAAGTCCATCTAATCACCCTCCCCGGAATAGACCCCCCACCTCGTCGCATTCGAATACACGCACGTCGACCGCCCCAAACCCCACACTTTGGTCTTCATCGGCGGCCTCTCCGACGGCCTCAACACCGTCGAGTACCTCGCCGACATCGTCTCCGCCCTGCGCGACTCCCCCTGGTCCGTGTTCAACGTCGTGCTCTCGTCCTCGTACACAGGATGGGGTCTGGGCCGCCTGGGCCAGGATATCGACGAGATCGCGAAATGCGTGGACTACGTGCGGAGCTATAAGGGGGGTGTTTATCCCGCGGGCTCAGAGGCTGGGTCTGGGAACACAGGCAGCGGCAAGGTCGTGATCATGGGCCACTCGACAGGGAGCCAGGACGTGATGAGTTACCTGTCGCAGGGGAATCCGCGGCCGAGGCATGAGGTGTTGGATGGCGAGGGGGATGGCGAGTACGAGAGGGTGTGTAGAGGCGCGGTGGACGGGGCGATCATGCAGGCGCCGGTTTCGGATCGCGAGGCTATCCTGTCGGTGTTGGAGGATGGGACGGAGAGGGATACGCCGGAGACGATGAGACGCGTGTATGACGATGCGGTGCGCGATGCGATGCGGAATACATACGACTACGGGAATGGCGATGGGGCTGCTCCGCTGGGCACGGATACGCTTGTCCCGCTGCAGGTGACGGCGCGTATTGGCTACGGCGCGTCCACGGCGGTTAGTAGTCGGCGGTTCCTGAGCCTGGCGAGCCCGCGCAGCCCGGAGGACCCGACGGAGGATGATCTGTTCAGTTCGGATCTGAGTGATGAGCAGCTGGGGAGGACGTTTGGGACGATTGGGACGAGAGGTCTCTTGACGGGGAGGCTACTGGTGCTGTATTCGGGACGGGATCAGTCGGTGCCGGGGTATGTGGATAAAGAGGCGCTGATGGGACGGTGGGAGAAGGCTGCCGGGGAGATGTGGGATTCGGGGAGTATGGTGATTCCTGGGGCGTCGCATGCGTTGAGTGATGATGACCAGGCAGAGCCGAGGAGGATATTGGTGGAGAGGGTGATGGGATATTTGGATGGGTTATAGAAATGCTATACAACTTTCGGGCAGTGAAGAGCACCGTGATGCTACCAGAATGGCATCAGGATATAAGACTCGAGGCGCGACAAAACGAATGTTTGGCCGTGAGCAAAAAGAAAAAGCAAAAAAGAAAGGTCGTACCCGGGATCGAACCGGGATTATGAGAATCAGAATCTCATGTGCTAACCATTACACTATACAACCTGAGTTGTTGAAGACCCGACCACAAATTAGATTTATAATGTCTATGCATCATCAAAATCGAAAAAACAGTATAATCAATTGACCTGTAGCAATAAATTAAGTGACTGAGAGCTGATTGAACGTTGGAAGTCTCGATGGCTTTTGCTGAAGAGAGTTACACTGTCTGCGATTGATCCGTGTTTGCTCTGTTTGCACCCATGGCCTTATCCATCCGCCGACTCGCCGAACCCGACAGCATTCCGCAAACTTCAATCCCAGCCATTATGCGCTCCATCTCAAGGTCGGCCCTGCGGCCTTATATCTGTCCATCATGCCGAACTGGACCGCCGAGCCGGCGACGATTTGGGTCCAAGCCTCAGCAGGCCCCCGAAATCTATGATGTAGTCTGTGTTGGCGGTGGTCCCGCAGGCCTGGGACTGCTGGCAGCTCTCCGTAAGTCTCACGCGCCAATTCAGAATTGACCGATAAAAACTGACTATCTAGCGAAGGAGCCTCGCCCGCTACCTCGAAACTCAAAGTCGCCCTCGTCGAAACCCAGGACCTCAACAAAGCCCGCTCGTGGAACCTCGAATCGCATCAGTTCTCCAACCGAGTCAGCAGCCTGACGCCGTCGTCCGTGGCATTTCTGGAGAAAATCGGAGCATGGGAGTTCCTGGATGCTCAGCGCGCCCAGAAGTATCAGGAGATGCAGGTGTGGGATGGGGAAACAGGATCCCGCATATCGTTTGACTGGTCTATGGAATCCTCCCCGTTCGAGGACCTACGCACCGTTGCGACAATGACGGAGAATGCCAACCTTGTTCGCGCACTTCTGTCTCGAATCGCCGCCTCTGGAGACGAGAACCTCTCCATCTTCTCCAAGTCCACCGTCTCGTCCATTGAGAACGGCTCGGATTCGCCGGACGGTCCGGATCTATCCGCGTGGCCGGTGCTTTCGATCTCACCAACCGACGGGACCTCAACCCAAGGGCCGTCGCGGATTGCCGCGCGACTGCTTGTTGGTGCAGACGGTATCAACAGCCCCGTACGCAAATATGCCAACATCTCCACCGACGGCTGGGACTATAATAGAAACGGCGTGGTCGCGACCCTCGCCCTCGCAGAATCAGAAACCCCTACGTTCCCCATCGGCACAAGGACCGCCTATCAGCGTTTCCTCCCTGCGCTGGGCGGCCCTGTTGCCCTTCTTCCGCTGCCCAACAACCATGCGACCTTGGTGTGGTCGACCACCGCCGAGAATGCGGCTTACCTCAAGTCTCTCTCCCCGAAAGCTTTCATTGCCATGGTCAACGCTGCGTTCCGTCTGGCCATGCCGGACCTCAAGTACATGATGAGCATGCAACGCCCGGCGACGTCTGCATCGGAGTATGAGGATCAGCACGAGACCGAACTGACCTGGCGCCTACAGCATACTCCCCAGCCCTCGCAGATCCCGCCCATGGTTACGGGTGTCCAGGAAGGCACCGTGGCCTCGTTCCCTCTACGATTCCGCCATGCCTCGACCTACATCTCGCCCCGTGTGGCTCTGGTAGGCGATGCCGCCCATGCCATCCATCCTCTGGCCGGACAGGGTCTCAACCTGGGAATGGGCGACGTGGCGTCCCTCTCCAGCACCATTGAATACGCCGTGAACCACGGAATGGACGTTGGCGACATCCTCACTCTGGAACGGTACACCGCAGAGCGGTGGGCCACCAACGCCAAGATCGGTGGCGCCTGCGACGTGCTGCACAAGCTTTACAATGTTCCTGGCCAGGGACCAGTCGCATGGGGTCGCAGTCTGGGTTTGGATATCATTGACCGCGTACCGTTCCTCAAGAGTCTCTTGATGAAGAACGCCGAGGGATGATCTTGGCCGATCCTGATATATCCACTCTAGTCCACTCCTGCCCTTTAGTTCTTGCATGTTTATACTTGTATCGCTAGCGCTAGTACAGTGGTACGGCATTAATTGTACAATAGTTATCAGTCAATGACTTTATAACAAGAGTGGTTCATTTGTAGTGCGCTATATGCAAACTGAGACAGGACCGCAGAGCAGGAATAGTTCCTGAGAAGCTACCGCCATCGTCCCTTGCGTCTCAGTCATCACGTCATAAGCTAGGTAGGTGTTGAGCTTGGTCATGCGATTTTCAGGCACATGTGCTATTTTTATCGGGGTGTCCGTATCTGTGGTATGCTTAGCAAGCCTTATCAGCTAGGAGTATTACGCAATGGTTCTTATTCTTTAATAAGGCGGTTTAAATTACTGAGGTTCTAGGGTGGCGTGCTACCTGGAGATGAACTGTCTGGAGCTCGTTCTAGGCCTGAGGCATCAAGCAGATATCCGGGCGATGCGAATGCCCGTCTGTGGCGGCCATATGTGGGCTTACACCTCATATGCCCCTCTATCCTGTATATATTACCTATTTAGTAAATCAAGGTATTTTTGAAGTCATACGGGCTGTGTTTCATTGTTGGTTCATCGATAGACTGGTCTTGCATCCATGATTCCGAATATATATAGTACCAGCAATCAAGTCACCAATGAACTTGAAACGATGGTCCATTGAAACTGACAATCCAGAAACAGCTACACGAAGGAAGTGATCTCGAGACTGCAAAAAAACAAGAGATAATCAAGCTCATATAGTCGCCACGTCTCGACACATAAGCCTCGCCCTTAAAAAACGTGACACGTGACCCGTTACCTCGACAGCCAGATAGACAAAAAGCTAACGCCGAAAACTCCGAGCCTGAGACCTCCACACAAGCGACGATACCTAACAATACGTTCTCCTAGGCTCCAGAATACCGAAAGCCAACCCCCACTCTTGTCTCATTGGAGGCTGGGAAGGAGGCGCAGGCTCTAATGTGAGGGGTGGCACATGGTGTGATGGACGACCTGGATAGCGGTGGTACTAACGGGATAGACTATCTGGGAGCGGCTAGACTGGAAGATAATCTCCGCTTTGTGGAAGAGCATTATTTAGACGCCCGCGTTGGGTGGGAGGGGAGGGGAGGAGATGAGGTCCAATGATGACCGCCGTGGGTGATGGCAGAGGCTTGGGGAGGGTTTGTGCTACGCTGCCCTGATTTCTACGACGGCTGATTTGCTGCGGGGGGCGGGTGATGGCATGGCTGAGATGTTGAGGGTTGAGTGGAGGGGCTAGGATCCGTTTAACGTGGCTGTTGTTGTCCGGAAGAGGACAGAGTATGGGGGTTCCATCTCTCCTCTCTCCTCGCCCAGGACATGCTAAATGGTTAATATACGACTAGTACGCCGGCGTATCTCGAAAGTCGGGGAGACGGAGGCTGTGGGACCCGCGGAATTACTCGATTGGTTCTCTTGTCATCCCGGCGTTCCCACGTGGCTGGACGGTAGCGCCGTACACAATACATGACAGGTATTGATGGAGATAGTATGAGTATGAGGATGAGAATAGATGAGTAGAGTATGAGAAGGAAAAGCTTAGAACACTCATAGTCAAAACTGCAGCCATCCTGCTGATCGAACTCTTGCCATCCCACCGAAATCCAACCCCCTCGTTGTTCCTGAGACACGAGGCAACCGTCCAGACCGTTAAACTTACTCGTGACCGCCAAGAAGAAAAATCACGCATTCTTCCTCGCCGGGTCTGTCGCTGTCCGTGGCGGCCGGCCATGCTTCTCCGATCCATCGATCGCGATGCCATCCATGCTGCCTGCGCTGCAGCTGCCGATCAACCTGGACGTCCCTGCTCGTGGGGTTCACCTTCTGGATCTCTGCTAAATGCTGGAGTTATACTGCGTCCGATCGCATCTCCATCGGCCGAAAACCGCCGCGTTTCACGGAAGAGGCTAAGCCATCGCCAATGGGCTGGCAACGAATCAGACTCCCTGCATTCCGCCTAATCCATGCTCGATGCAACCCCGGCCGCGATAATATCGCCCGTCATTATTATTAATTCGGGGGTGGACTTCGCCTTGTTCGCAACGGGTCGCCAGCTGGTTTTTTTTTCGCACTCCTTCTCGGCCCCCGTTCCCAGCCTATCTTATCTGCATGTCATCCTCTCCCTTTCTTTCTCTCTTTCCTGTCTGTTGTCGTGCGTGTCTTCCTCATCTGACCTATCCTCGTGCGAACGTTCTACGTAGCTTGATGAGGTGGAAGGCGACATGTCGGTCGGATGTAAGGGTGCCCTTCAGCCCTTCAGCTGCGGAACTCCCTTGACGGATTCCACCGACTCCGGCGTATCTCGGGCGTCATACCGAAACTCAAGTGCTTCCCATTCAGGAATGAAGACGCGACATCTCAGATTTCGGAATGAAGACTGCGACGCATAGAACACCCGATGAGGACTTGGATCTACCGTGTAGTCGTAGAGACTGACGTACACAAGTTGCCATATAGGGGCAGTGAAGCCCTCCACTAATTATTATTATTTTTCTATTTTTTTCTGTGGTCTTGTGGAGAGCAAGTCATAGGCCATGAATTAAGTATCAGGGAATTCTTTCAGGTTCGACTGACTCCTAGTACTGACATGGATTCCTGAGGGCGTAAGCAGTCGTGGGTAATACGGGAGTGGGCGCATACATCTGGGTGGTAACGGAGGACAAGACTGCCAGCCATTGGAGTTCCACTACCTGAGGGAGGTATTCTAGGTACAGTAGGTAGAACTCCTAGTAGTTATGCTGCACCAGTGGCAGCCAGAGAAAGATGGAAGAAGACGATGGAGCATGGAGATGGGAATCCCCCTCATTCGACCCGTTCGTCGCCCCAAAGTCGCTCGGGCCCGCGCACTCCGTCATAAGGTACCGTACAGTACGATCTAGTGACGGTTCCCCATCTTCTCTCGTCTTCCACTCCCTCGTCCTCTCGCTCGTTCCCACTTCCTCCACCTTCTTCTTCTCTTCTGCCTTCTCTTTCCCGCATTCCCTCCCGCTCAATTCCACTCCTCCTTCCTCCCCATCCCTCAATCTCTATACTTCGGCGTTCAGCCGCCTCAAGGTTTCGACCCTAGCCACTTCCCCTGCCTGCCGGGCGTCCCCACATCTCGATTCCGCCCCATTCCTCGCTCTCACCCACACGCTCCTCCGAACGTTGCCTTCAACTCTCCTCTCTGGATCCGCGGGCCTTTCGAAACCTTATGCCTATTCCTGGCTCACGCCGACCGGTCCCTTGTCGCCTTCGATAACCGTTACGTACCTCTCGCTCAAATATTCCGACCTGCCCTTCCTTCTCTCTCAATTGTTCTCCTCGTCCGTCTGATTTGCCCCCCTCCACTGCCTGTTCCGAGCCTCCGTCGCAATCTTTGTCGCTCCCGTTTGCGCGTCGTTTTCAACCACCCCGGTTTTGCCGCCTGCTGCGGCCGTGGTGTCGGCTTCTTTTCCCGCCAGAGTCACCAGATGAAGTTGCACACCGTGATTCAAAGCATTAGGTGACAATCATGGGGTCGTTTTTGAGGAGCTTACGACGGGACGTGGTATGTCAGCCTCGCGGTCATCCGTTTTCGCCTCACCCGCCCCGGTGTACTTTTTTTCTTTCTTTTTTAAGAAGGCAGAGAAAGAAAAAAAAAGGCGCCAGTCATACCCTACATTCTGAATCGTCCTGGTAACGACGGATGGCTAATTTCGAACCGGTCTAGGGCTCTCCCGCGCCTTCGGTCGGAGCGACACCGACGAAGAAAGAACCGCCTGCGATTCCGTTGACTCCGCTGGAGAAAATGTTGCAGGATATGGGCCCCATCCGCGAGGATGGTAGTGATAAATTCTTTGGCATGGAAAATGTGAGTCCCCATGATCCTCAGGGTTCTAATTTCCCTCCGAGAAGGTTGATGTGCTGACGAAATTCCCCCTTTAGTATGGTAATACTTGGTAAGTCGACTAGGATCGCCGTCGTACAACGAAAAGGAGGGTGGGGAACATAATACTGATTGTTGGGCAGTTACTGCAATTCGATACTACAATGTCTTTATTATTCGATACCTTTTCGAGAGGCCGTTATAAATTATCCCACGCGAACGCCGATCGAAAGCCTGGAGGCCGCTTTGGCCAAGAACCTCCGTTATCAGAATCCCGCCGCGAACCTGGAAGCCGAGGCACAGGCCGAGAAACAGAAGGCCGCTAATCAGCAGCGGCCTGGCATGCCGCCGAATCCACCACAAAAACCGGAGGATAAGGATTCGCCGGAATATAAGAAGAAGATGGCGCTGCAGACGCTCCCGCTTCTAGAAACCAAGAACAACGCGACCAGCTATGGGATGTCGGAATCGCTATTTACCTCGCTGAAGGATATCTTTGAGTCCGTCGTGGGCAGTCATTCTCGGATCGGTATCATTCGACCGCAACAATTTCTGGATGTTCTTCGACGGGAGCATGAGATGTTCCGGACGGCAATGCACCAGGACGCCCATGAATTTCTCAACCTCCTGCTGAATGAAGTGGTTGCCAACGTGGAGGAAGAGGCTTTCAAGCAGCCGGTCATGAAGAGTCTCCCGCCGCCGGAGAGTACCGAATCGGGCGAATTGTCGAGCTCCGGGTCGAAAACACCCAATACCACGCGGTGGGTGCATGAACTGTTCGAAGGAACCTTGACATCCGAGACGCAGTGCCTCACCTGCGAGAAGGTGTCCCAGCGCGACGAGGTCTTTCTGGATCTTTCGGTGGATTTGGAGCAGCACTTGTCGGTCACTTCCTGTCTCAGGAAGTTCTCCGCGGAGGAGATGCTCTGCGAACGAAACAAATTCCACTGCGACAACTGTGGAGGGTTGCAAGAGGCCGAGAAGCGGATGAAGATCAAGCGTTTGCCCCGGATCTTGGCACTGCATCTGAAACGATTCAAATACACCGAGGATCTGCAGCGACTCCAAAAACTGTTCCATCGAGTGGTCTACCCATACCACCTTCGCCTTTTCAACACGACCGACGACGCCGAAGATCCGGATCGCTTGTATGAGCTGTACGCAGTGGTGGTACACATCGGTGGTGGACCCTATCACGGACACTACGTTGCCATCATCAAGACCCAAGACCGCGGATGGTTGTTGTTCGATGATGAGATGGTGGAACCGGTTGACAAGAACTACGTCCGGAATTTCTTCGGTGACAAACCGGGATTGGCCTGCGCCTATGTCCTGTTCTACCAGGAGACCACGCTGGAGGCGGTGATGCGAGAGCAGGAACAGGAAAATATGGATGCGGCTGCGGCTGCCGCCGAACTGAACGAGCTGAACCTCAAGCAGAATGGTACCGTTCAGTCGCCGACGCTGGCCCACGTTCATAGTGCTTCTCAGATCCCGCCACCTGATGACACCACCCGATTTACTGGTCTCAAACGGGCGCCCACGGCGCCCCAGCTGTCCACCCATCCCGAGTTTGCCGATGCAGAGGCTGCCACTCCCTTGGGCTCGCCTGTCGCAAATGCGCCTCCAGTACCTCCCCTCCCGGATATGGCAGCCCAACAGCCTCTAAGTCCCAAGAAGAGCGACGTGGGATTAAAGAAGGAACGGGCTAGAGAAGAGAAAGAACGGAAGGCTGCTGAGAAAGAAAAAGAAAAGCAGCGCCGAAAAGAGCAAGAGACCAGAATGAGGGAGAACCAGCGCCGCGAAGAGGCCGAATTGAAGGCTGCCCTCGAAGCCAGCCGAACATCCAAGGCGGACGAAGACCGGCGCAACGGCCCCGAGTCTGGAAAAGACAGCGACTCGAAGAAACTGGGTAGTTTGGGCCGTCTGAAGCGAGGCAGCAAGAGCATCAGCCACCGATTGGGCAAAGACAAAGAGAGCCGAGCCTCTTCCTCGAGTTTCCCCCCCACGCCCGTCCTTCCAGAACATCAAGTCCCCGGGCGCAATTCGGAGCAGCTGCCGCATGTTACTACGCCTACACTACCAGCAAAGCCTGAACGAACTCAGACAACGCCCAACCATAACCATCATGCAAATCATGCAAGTCATGACGAAGAACGCGATACCCTGAAAGACGTCAAACCCGACAAGAACAGCCATGGGAAATGGAGAAGCTTCAGCCTTAGAAAGAAGTCGTTCAGCATTCTTTCTTAAACCCGCCGATCTGTTTCTGGACTCAGCGGTTTTTTATCACTCCTGCACATATTATTACTGGTTTGTTTCGCAGTAAATATTTTCTTTCGATGTATTATCAAACTTCTTCGACACCGGTTCCGGCATTTGCATCGATACGATACCTCGTCACTTGCACGCCATCATTAAAGACTACAACGGAGATGCGACCGGGTATTGTCTTACTATGCTTTCGTGGCATCCTTATCATTCCTGCATATTTTTCATTGCATTCATCTGCATCGTGTCATTTTAGCCATTGTTTTGTTACTGCCTGATTGATTCATTGTGATTGTGATACCCGTGCCTGGGTCACATTGCTGGGCAAGTGAGGCGTTGGGCGATCTTTTCTTCTCATCAATTATACTGGACTCGAATTCCAGAGGTCCCAGTCCGTTCTGTTCTTGTGTTCTGGTAGGGAACCTCGTGCATGTTTGTCTTCAAATCACAAAAGCAGAGCAGTTCTATTTCTACCGAGAGCCTGGAGTATGTCTACTGTGCATTTTTATCGTATTCCTATCATCTGTGTTTTATTATCTCATTTTCCAGACATCTCATCTGTTTGAATAGACGGGTTTTGTGTTATACACGCGTACATCGAAGAGTCCATGTGAATAGGTACTGGATCAATGTATTTGATCGGTTGGATTGGATGGGTTTGGATTTGACTGAAGAAGTGTAGGTAGTGATCAAGTAGCGTAGAAAAGTGCTAGGAACATTCACGTCGTCTTAGTAGATAGATGGACCCGAATCAAACCCATCGATAAGATCAGATCAGGCCAGACTTCAACAGATGTGCTCACGTCAAATCTTTCGTCGGGGGCATTTGGGGGCCGATCGAGCATCGCCACTTTTCTGGCCACATAGACAGACAAGCGTAGGCTTCGTGATAGACGGAAGTAATCCCAACCAGCGCCCCGACGCGTCTGTCGCCCTGTGTATGTATCTCATCTATCCTTCGACGTCACCACGTCCCGTCATCCTTTGTATGTTCCCTTTTCCAGATAAGCAAGGCCAGCGAAATTCCACCTGAGTATTCGATCCGTGTGACAAGCGGACAGGCGATGAGGGCGACTGAGACCGAGACGGAGCCCGAGATCGATGAGATCCATCGAGTGACGTGCGATGAGACAAGACGAGACGAGACGAATCGTATCGTCCTTGTCATTCCTTCCTCCCTGCCTTCTTGGTATTCTTCCCGTCTATCCTCTCCCCTCGCTAATCCAGCAAAAATACCCAACCATCCAACCAACCATCCAAACAAAAAACCAAATATCGCGCTCATCGAACAATAAAACAGACTGAAGCGAAATAAACACTCCCACGAGTGATCACCCGAGAATCAGCTCGTAGACGATTATGATCGTGTTGATGACGATTAGGGGTACTAGTAAAGATTCGCGTTAGCTGTGTTCTCCAAGTCAAAGCCGACACCGGTGTCGAAGGACATAGGCAAGCATAGAGAGGGAGGGAGCGGATCGGATTGGATGGGATTCAACGGTGTGGGAGAAACGTACTTCGCATGACGGTCCGCACGCTGGCGATCAAATTGACCGATTTCGCCTTCACGCTGGTCCCGTCGTAGGTTGCGCCGAAGGCCGGGTCGGCTTGCGGGCGACCGAATCCGACTGGAGGGGATGTTAGCTTTCTCGTTTTCTCTTGCTCGTTCTTATTCTCATGCTCATGCTCATGTCTGGGTCTGGAGTGGATTGGACGGGATAGAATGGACGGAGGACGTACTCCTTGCGAGGAAGCGGTCTTCGGAGAGGACTGCGATGGCGTTGACCATTAGGCAGAGGACGTAGACGAGGCGGCCGAGACCGAAGAAGGCCATGGTGATTTGATTTTGGGATTTTCTGGGTTGGTTTTCTGATCGGAGGGAGGAGAGTGGACAGGAAAGAGAGAGGAGAGGAGGTGAGGAACGAAGATGACGAAGCGATGCGGCGGAATTAAAGTTGAAGCCGCCAGATGTTCGTTTGTGGGGAACTTCCATTCGTTGGTCGCCTTCTCTCCCCGACCAACTACTCCATAACTCCCCTGTCATTGTTTTTGGATTGTCTCGCGATGGGGCGAACGGACGGTATGTTTTATTTGATTTGATTCGAGAGGCAGATAGGAAAAGTCTGATCATATCCAGTGGTGTATGCGCTGCTGTGCGTCGTCCTCCCCGCCTTGGTCGGCCTGCATTTGTATGTCGCGCCCTATACCAAGGTCGAGGAGTCCTTTCATATCCAGGCCATTCATGATCTGCTCGCTTTCCAGCTGCCCACGCGCAATGTAGCGGATACGCTGCGCGCCGAATATGATCATTTTACGTTCCCCGGCGCGGTGCCGCGCACGTTTGTCGGCGCCGTGACGCTCGCTGGGCTGTCGCGGCCGTTCATCTGGTTGAATGCCAGTATTGATAGGCAGTTTCTGGGTAAGTGTCTGATGTATCGGTAGTATCTGTAGCTAAATTGTTCTAGCGCGAGCACTCCTGGGCATGCTGAATTCCCTCTCGCTGCTGGCTTTCGCATCGAGCATGCGACGAGCCTTTGGCAAACCGGCGGCTGTGTGGTATCTGCTCTTCCAGACCAGCCAGTTCCATATCCTCTTCTATGCCACCCGGACCCTGTCCAACATGTTCGCCTTTGGCATGACCACCCTGGCGCTGAGCTACCTGCTCCCCGTGCCAGTCTCTCCCCGGGCATACCAGAAACGCTGTCGCACTGCGCTGTTCCTGCTGACTCTGGCCGGCATCATCTTCCGCTCGGAGCTGGCGCTGCTGCTGGGCACCTTCACCATCTATCTCTACCTCACCGGCCGCGTCGACATCCGACGAGACATCCTCCCCGCCGGCGCCCTCGGCCTCATCCTGGGTCTCTTCTTCACCGTCGGCGTGGACTCCTTCTTCTGGCAGCAATTCCCCCTCTGGCCCGAATTCGCCGCCTTCAAGTTCAACGTCCTCGCCGGCCAGGCGTCCGCCTGGGGCACCCACTCCTGGCACTTCTACTTCTCCAACGCCATCCCTCGCCTCATGCTCAACCCCCTGACCTGGCTCACGGCCATCCCGCTGGCCTTCGCCCTCTCGCCCACCTCGCGCCCTGCCCAGCTGCTCACTGTCCCCTCCCTCGCCTTCGTTGCCATCTACAGCCTCCAGCCGCACAAGGAATGGCGCTTCATCGTCTACATCATCCCCGCGCTCACGGCCACCGCCGCCCTCAGCGCCTCCTACGCCTGGACCCACCGCAGCAAAGGCCTCGCTCCGCGCCTCTTCTCCCTCACCCTCCTCCTCACCACCCTCGCTTCCTTCCTCGCCTCCACCATCCTCCTCCTCCCCGCCTCCGCAGCCAACTACCCCGGCGCGCGAGCCCTCCACTCCCTCCACCACCACGCCGACACCTCCCACTCCCCTATCTCCGTGTACCTCGGCAACCTAGCCTGCCAGACCGGCATCACCCGCTTCCAACAACTCCCCCCCTCCGCCGGCTGGACGTACGATAAATCCGACTCCTCGGTCCAGGAGAACCCCACCTTCTGGTCCCAATTCGCCTACGTCCTCGTCGAGCCTGGGGACGAGGAAAACCGTCTCCTCAAGGCCTCGGAGATCGATGCGCGCAGTCACCCCGTCCCTGTCTCTCTCGTCTGGGAGGAACTCGATACCGTCTATGGCTTTGCGGGTCTGCGCGTCCTGAGGCCTGGTGATGTGCCGGGTGATGTGGAGGTTGAGACACTGAAAGAGTGGTGTGGGGAGTCTTGTGCGGAACTGTTTCGGTCTGTGAGGGATGGGGTGCGTGGGTTGGCGAGGGGCTGGTTTGTGGAGGTGAAGGTTGTGCCGAGGGTGAGGGTTTTGAGACGTGTTGAGTAGTTTTTAGTTAGAGGTATTTTGGTATCTCTGGATGTAATGGTAGGTGGGTAGGAAAAGTTGGTTGTTTTGTTAAGCTTGTTGGTGCTTAGTTCATGGTTTAGTTACTAATTTGTGGATTGTTCTTTGGGAAGTTTTATTGATGTAGCTATGTAGGGTTTGATTCTGCGTTGAGTAGGGAGTATAAAAAAGAGTAATTGGTTGGATCATTCTCTGCAGGATTGTACTGGGTCGAATACTAGGATTCCTGACTGAGACCTACCAGAACGGTAAACTCTAGATTAGACAGTAACATGAACATGCGTCCTTGAGAAAGGGAAGGAAATAGGTAGGTAGGTAAGATGGCGATAAACATAACAAATCTGTACTAAATGCCCGCAGAGTCATGCACATGTATCTCTCTACCAAGACTATCGACACGAAACCAAGAAAAAAAAAAAAAAAAGAAAAAGACAGGGTATTAAGCACCAGCATGATCCAACTTCTCCAACCGCCCCTCCAAATCACGCACCCACGGCTCCACCAGTTCCACATTACTCTTGAGCGCCGCCTCGCCCTGCCCCATCTTCTCCTCGACGACGCGCAGTCCCTCGCGCCACTGCTCGATCTCCCGCGCCATGTCGGCCTGGCGCCGTTCCAGCTCGTCGAGGGTCTCGGAGGCGTTGGCGGCGCCGGCGTGGATGGCGCGCAGGGAGCGCAGACGCTCCAGCACGCTGGGCAGGATCGGGTGCAGCGACTGGATCGTCGGTAGGGTGGCGTACAGGGCCTGGATCTTGGTGGCCTGCTCGTCGCGCTGGGTGGCGGCGGGGTCGGTTTCCGTGGCGGAGGAGGACGAGACGGAGACGTCGGAGGGCTCGAGCGCGGCGGCTGCGATGCGCGCGTTCTGTGCGGCTTTGGCGGCGTCGAGGGCGCGTTTGCGCGCGGCGGCCAGCGCCTCGGTGTCGGCGGTTAGGCGGCGGACGCGGGTCGAGAGCGTCTCGAGGTGGGGGGTTGAGACGGTCGTGGACGGGGGTAGGTGGCCGGCGGAGGTGGTTGGGAAGGCGGACGCCGGGGCCGGCCCGACGAGGAGGTTCATGAGGGTGGCGAGCCTCGAGGTGATGTGGTCGAGGGCCGGGAGGACGGGTTGCAGGGCGGGTTCGGAGATGCCGTCGGTGACGAACGGGTTGGAGGCGCTGGAGATGCCCATGGCGGATTCGATGAGCGCGAGACGGCTGTCGAAGGCGGCGGCGTGGGAGAGGACACCGACGTTGGTGGCGGAGGAGGGGGAAGAGGTGAGGGTTTGTTGGGCATTGGGGGTTGTTGTCGTTGTCGCAGGAGCAGCGGAGGATTGATCGGTGGGTATAGAGCTGGGGTCGAGCTTCTTGGACAGCGCCGCGGCGGCGGAATGCGGGACGCCGTCACCCCCAGGGCCGCGGGAGGATGCGTAGAGGTTGTCCAGGGCACGGCTGAGTTCGAGGACGCCGTCGCCCAACGGCTCCTTTCCATTTGCGGCGGGGTCTTGAGATTCGGCAGCGTCTTCCCTCGTGGCCATCTCGTCCTTCAGCTCCTCGACCTCTCTCCGCAGCCGGGCGAGCTTGCGGTCCAGACTCTCGTCTTCGCTGTCACTCAGGTCGTCGACCTCTTCGAGGCCGTTCTCGTTTCGCCGTATCCGTCGGCCTTTACTGCGGTAGGCTTTGCGCTTGGTATCGATGCTGTCGGAGAAGTTGGCCTCGCGGGCGTCGACCGTCGCACCGAGGAAGTGGGCGCGCGCCGCGTCGGCGTCCACGCCTTGTCGGTCAATGTCGGAGTTGGAACCGGCATCGTCGTCGAGATTGGAGGCTGTGCGGACCGTGGTTGTCTAACAAGAGCATTAGGATTCGAGCTACAGGTAGAATATAGTGGTGGAGGTGGTACCGGAACCGTGGAAGCTTCGTCGGTGAGATCGGGGGTTTCGTAAATATCGGGCGCCAGATCCTAACACGCGGTCAATTGATAGAGCCTAGCAAGAGTAGACGCAGAGAAGAACAAACTAGATCTGGAAGACCCGCGTATTTCTTGTTGAAGGCCATTGCGAGGGTGGACAGCAATGCAGAGAGGACAAACAAAGATCAGGAGGTCGTCGATCGGATATACTGGCTGTTTGGATGGGGTGTTTGACCTGTTTGGAGTGTTTGTCTGTGAGAATGACTAAGACACTATATTACTGCCTGAGGCAGACATTGTCATACAAGATCGCGAACTGCGTCGTACTGAATCCACCGCCACAAACCGACAATCACATGGACGGTAAGACATATTTCATAATGATTAATGGCCAAATGAATCCAAGACACCCAAAACTAGCCCCAAATCTCGGACTGCTCGGAACTCCCCCCACAGTCTTCTCTCTCCGTGTCGAATAGATCGCGTGCCAAGAGCCATGTTCAACGCCAGCCATTTCCCCAAGACCCCAAGGCGGACAAGTATGGGGAACTAATCTCGGCCAGCATGCAGATTGGTGGATGCACAGAGTCCAAGCAGTCAGCCGCCGTGTTCCTACAGTAGAGAAGCCAAAAGCGCCGGTGCCTGTGCAGGACTGCTTCACGTGAAAGCCTCGGTGTTTTGGCCCCAGGCACACATGCCAGGTGACGTACGGGACTGCCGGTGTCTCCCCGCGCCTATTTATTGCTCCGTCGCTCGCCATCGGTGGAGTTTAGCACCTGTCTGCCTGTCTGCCTGCCTGCCTGTCTTTTTATGATCGTCTCGACTAGATAGACTTTCTGCCAATTGACCCTGTCTCTTTGAATCTTTTCTCGCTATCTCGTTTACCCCTCATCCGCCATGGCCGCCCCCGCAGATATCACCATCAAGAACCTCAGTGGAGAATGGACGATGGTGAGTCCTTACCTGAGTGTATCTAAATAGAACATACAGCTAATCATATTTCTTCTGATCCTCTAGGATAAAAATGTCTCCAACCCGACGGAGCCGCTCTTCGCCCTGGTACACCCCACTCAACCCTCCCTCCCTCACCACCACTAACAAACAACAGCAAGGAATGGGCTGGATGCTTCGTAAAGCCCTGAACATGGCCACCATCACCCTGCAAGTGCACTCGCACGCCGACACCACCGACCCCAAGCTGCTGCACGTCGACATCGACCAGGTCGTGACCGGCGGCATCAAGGGCACCAGCGAGCACCGCACCACGGACTGGACCAAGCGCGAGCACGAGGACCACATCTTCGGCCGGGTCGAGGGCCAGTCGCGGCTGCTGCGCGGCGTCAAGGGCGACGACGGCAAGGTGCGGCCGAACGTGGACATCCAGACCAAGACGGAGGACGAGACGGTGAAGAAGTTCCTGCGCGGCGAGGTCCTGGCCGACGGCTCGGAGACCGAGGGCTTCCTGGTGGATGCCGAGGGTGAGGAGTATGGTGAGGGAGAGGGCCTTTGGTTGCAGAGCTTCGTGAGCAATTTGGACAGTGGGTGGACGGCTGAGCAGGTATTTCTTCCCCTATCTTCCCCTCGGGGATGTATGATTGGTTGTGGAGATTGACTGATATCTGTAGATCTGGGGATTTGAGAACGTTAACGGAGAACGGTACTACACTCGTCGCGTGGTGGTGTCGAAGGATGGCAAGTCTGAGCTGGCTCGGTTTGTATACACGTTCATCAAGCGGCGGGAGTAAGCGGATTAGACCAGAGGGTAGAGTGTTCGGTCATTAGACTAGAATGCTAGATGAAGCAAGAACGAATGAAAGAAGAAAAAATAAACACACAAAAGCACAAAGGATCTTCCCAGAGGGTGCAAACAATACAAATGGAGCCTTCCACAAGAACAACGGAAGTCTGGGACAAAGCCGTTTTATCATAGAGTATAAAACAGCAGGGTGAATCCAACTCGACCCTGCCTTTTCAAATCATAATTTTGAAGACGAAGACTTCAAGAGATAGTAACACTTGTTTTGAGCTGGAAACCAAAACAACGCCGAGACTATACAGAGTAGGTCTTTATCATCTGATTCCAACATGCCACTACTATCGCTCCCCAACGAGCTCCTCCTGCAAATATTCGAGCACCTGTATGTCGATGACGCTAATGCCTGCTCACAGACCTGTCATTTCTTCTACGCGCTCCTCAACCCAAACCTAATCCGCCGCTACGCAAAGCAACATGAGCCAAAGGTCCTCCGGCATGCAGTTAACCAGGGCGACTATGCCTTCATGCAAAAGCTCTTCGAGGCTGGCGTTAACTTTGACGCTTACCGCGAAGAACCTGGCGACCATTTCTGGGACGAGGCCAGTAGCGACCTCTTATTGAACAAGGCCGCCGGCAACGGCCGTACGGAAGTCGTGCGGTTTTTACTTGATCAGAACTTCGGTGACTCCCATAGGCCAAGGGGCCGTGGTCACTTGCCGCTTGTGTGTGCTCTGCTCAACGGACACTTGGGGATAGCAAGACTGCTGATTGCTCGCGGCGTGGATGCGGGCTTACGGGCACGGCCTCGTCGCTTCATTTTTGACACCGACGCTCACCGGGCTGCGCTGGAATACGTGGCGGAGAAAGGGCCCCTCGAAAGTGTGCGTTTTCTCCTCGATTTGATGCCCTCGAGCGTAAACACTGGCAATGAGTTCAACCAGACGCCCCTCATGTTTGCCGCGATGGGAGGGAACTTGGAGATTTTGAGATGTTTGATCGATAAGGGAGCGGATCTTGGAGCAATGGATCCCCTGGGCCGGGGCGTCCTGTTCTATGCGGCGTTGAAAGGCCACGAGGACGCAGTTTTGCTTCTGCTGGAGCTGGGGCAGCTCGAGGAGGAGAAAGATGCGAACTTTCTTGTTCGGCAGCTTAATGGCGAAGCCTTGATTGATATAGTTGGGCAAGGAAATAGCCGAGTCATAGAGATTCTGCTGACCTGGAACAATCTCGCGGAGAGAATAGCTGCTTCATTGACGTTTGACCATCTCGGCCTTCACTATCTTCTGCTTGCCAGTGCAGTCGGCGGCGTTGACTCCTGCGTTCAGCTCCTCCTGGAAACCAAAGATGGGTTGACCCCTTTGAGGAAAGGTTGCATCACTCAATCAGAATCACCCAATAACCAGAGATCGTTGCATCAATATTATTTCAGTCCCCTAGAAGAAGCGGCCCACAGGGGCCACACTAGGATCGTTCTCCGCCTTTTACATTTCATGCGTGCTCGAGAGCCTGCGAGGTTTGAGATATCTTTCCTGACCGTTGTTGATGCCGCGTGCCATCGCAACCAGCCCCAGTTACTGCGAGATATCCTCGACAGTGAGTTAGTGAAACAGTTGGATGGTAATAGTCTGAAAACTGGATTGTGCAGAGCACTGCGTCACGATGCATGTCACGAAGAAGTGATGCGACTGCTGCTTGAGCGCGGTGCGACTTTTCCCAAGGATGAGCGCGAAAGGCATATGATGCTCGGGTTCACCATACACCATGGCAGTCCGCAAGCAGTCAAGCTGATTCTCGAAAATACAGGCATCGATCCGCTCCAAATAGTCCGGGACCAATTTTACCAGGACGAAACCAACACTCAAAGCTTTCTTCAGCTCGCAACACGCCGAGGCCTCAGGAACAGGGGCAACCGCCTCGAAATGGTTCGGGCTCTTCTAGAGACAAACAATCGGACTCTCAACCCGACAGACCCACACTGTCAAAGGGCCCTATTAGAGTCAGTTGTCTCCGGTGATGTAGACACCGTCAAATACTTCCTCGACCACAACTTCGACCCGAACTGCCATGAGTCAGGGCCACTGATACTCGCAGTCACTCCTTTGTGGCCAGAGAAGAGGTGCAGCGAAATGATCAAATTGCTCATTTCTTACGGCGCCGACGTGAACGACCCCCGGGAACCCGCATTGTTAAAGGCCGCACATTGGAATGTTGGGGATGCGGCCACATTCCAAAGTCTGCTGGATCACGGCGCCAACCCCCTGCAGCGGGATCAATATGGCCAGGAGCCTCTGTGGTTTAACTTGTGGTGGAATCGTGGAGAGAACGTGAAGCAGATGTTGAAGGCCTTAGAAGCCAAGGGTGTCCAGTGGGACGTCGATGGAATGATACGCAGGACCAAGAGTCCCTGCGCTCTTCACCAATCCCCGCGGTACGAGAATGTATTGAAATATTTGGACCAGCATCGTTGTCGGATGATGTATCCATGTCGGTAGGCTTCATTTTGAAAAGTCTAAAGGTTCGAACAGTTTCTGTTGAAGTTGTTTTGAATGATTAGCTTCTATCTCCCAATGTAGGCCTTGATCTGGCTCACGAGAGTTCATTAAATTGGAAAAATCAAGGTGGCCAGCACACTACCTTCTCTGTACTTATGAAAAGACTACTCCGTAGAGAAAATCATATAGCACCTAGTCCATCCCTTAGCTATGGCCACTATCCACATCCATACCCCTGACTATTCCCGACGGCGTAGTAATAAGCGTTGAGTAACTAGATATATCAGGCTCAATTAAGACCGGGGGACATGGAATCTTCACCGCTCCTTCTCCTTCCCCCCTGTCTACCTCCTGAACTATTCTTTTATTCCAATCTTCAGCTACAGTGAGCTAGACGAACTAGCGAACTAAGTCTTCAATCTAGCCAAACATACAGCCATTTTTAGCACGGCGTGGTGGCATGGTCCCAGACTCTGTAGGGTTGTGCAGGATGGCATTTCGACAAAGGAAGGGCTTGGCTAGCGCTGTAGATCTTAGGGCTGTCTTTTTTTTCTGTGTGCACTTTCACTAGTGCATGATTCAGGAGATATTTGGGTTGGTTCTTTGTTGTGCCGTGTTGGTTGGTTAGAGTAATTCGATAGCGGATTGGTTTCTTTCATTCGATGTCGTCGTACTACGAAGTAGGTAGGTACTAGTTGAGTGTTAGAGTTGGTGATGTTTATTTTCTTTGTGCTTGTAGTTATGTGGTATACGAGTAAGGATTTGATGATAGGTCATATTTTATTTACTCACTTGGATGATGAGTTATTGAAATTCTGATGATTGCAGGTATCAGTTACTTCAGCACCAAGATCAATGGTCATAGCCTAGCGTTTTTGGAATTAATATAGATAATGACAGTAGGTATAAAGCAACACTCCACCCAAACAAAAAAAATATAACCCACCCAAAAGGTATATCATACAAAAGAGACAGAGAATGGAAAATGCAACCGATATAATGCAAAGGAAATAACCACCCCGGAAGTAAATAGATCAAACTCTACTCCCCCCTCGCCCATTCACCTTCCCCCCTTCCAAACTCTCCTGATCGACCTCGACCAGCTCCACCGAGCTCCCCGAGTCGTCGCGCTGCGCCCTCGACGTGTAGTTCACCGAGTAGGTCATCGTCTTGGCGATCTCGCCCTTGGCGTTGGAGCCGGGCGGATAGGCGTGACTGCTCAGCGGAGCGCCGTTCGTGGCGTACGATTTCTTGCCGTACACGCTGATGAGCTCGGGCATGAAGTGGCCGATAAGGGCACGTGTGGCGGGCAGGCAGGCGCAGAGGACAGCGATTTGGACCTCGATGACGGACCAGTGGACGATGGGTTGGAGTTGGGCTGGGATTGTTAGCTTGGTAGCTCTGAGTTGGGCAGAAGGGTGACGTACCGGTTTGGTTGTCGGACCAGCGGTTGTTCCAGAAAACGACAACTCGAATGATTGCCACGACGGTTAAGCTGCTCCCTTGTTAGATTTTCTGTTTCGAAAGGAAAGAAAAGGTGGACATACAGTAATCCCATGGCAAACATCAGTCCCACGCCCACCTTCTTCTTCTTCGTCAACTGCAGCTTGGTAATCTCGTAGACGGGCGCCGCCACCATGGCGAAATCCACAAAGATGTTCACAAGTGCGTTGGTCAACGTCACCGTAATAAAGTCGATGCATTTCCCCTGTTCCTCACCGGCCCAGCCCTTCCAGGCCAGATGCACGGGGATGCATTGCAGCGAGTCGCACAGAACCCAGGTTATGCCGATGGCCGTGTTCAGGGCAATGACAGTGTACGTGATGTGGCGGAAGAGGGCCGACTGGAAGATCCGCAGCAGGAATAGACAGACGGAGATCTTGGCGAGAGATATTTGAATCTTGTAGCTGAGAACGAGGACGTAGAAGAGCTGTTGGAAAATTAGAATCCGTTGTGGTGAATATGTTGGGCAGGACGGTTCACCTTGTAGACCATGGTTATATTGCTGAACGGGATAATGTCCCACATGTTCATACCGAATCCATGATGGATCACTGGGTCGTTGTTAGTGTGGATGCCAGACAAGATTTGGGGGCCGGACTTACTGTAGATGTTGACGATGAATATCTCCACAGCCAAAGCCTGGAAATTATTAGCTCTGAAGGGTAGTAAAAACGACAAAACACGTACATAGGCCACAGTGATCGTGGTATCATCCCATCCCCAACCTCCACCAAGATGGATAGCCTTGGCGAATATACGGCAGATAAAGAGGATGGAGGTGAGAATGAGCGGTACCAGAGTAGCTGCCTCTACGGCTGGCCGACCCTCGTGCTCCGAAAAGCCGCATTCTTTGGCACGAAGTCGTTTGGTGACTGCAACTGTAAGCTTCGATCTCTTCGAGGTGCAATAACAAAAACCCACCAAACTGCTCCTTAATGGTGCAATTCGCAGCCACGCAGGTTCCTAACGATCCCTCGAATAGTCGATCTGAACAGGCACATCTTGTATCGTCGGGTGCGCAATTTACTTGCTCTCCACAAGACAGCTACAATTGCCAAGGTTAGAAATATATTAAACATCGGACGATGAGACGGGAACATACCGCGCACTGAGGGAAAGAGTACAGATCGGGGTCTTTGGCGGCCGAACAGACCACCAGAGTAATCAAAAGGAATCCATAAAGTAATAGGTTCCGTTGGAGACGCATGGTGGACTGGGATTCTGATGTTCCCCGAAAGTTTCAAGGATTCCGCAGGTTTCCTACCGGGGGGGAACCGTCGGATAAAGAGTCCCAAACGTGCGGAAGAAGGGAAAAATAGAAAAAAACCCCCCCATTACGTGATGGGGCCTCGACTTCCGGAGAATTTATACGGAGATGACTTCTGACTGGTCGGGGTTTGTTTTGACATGAGTAGCAGAATAGCCAGGCCTGATTCGTGTCGGCCTCCTTACTGTGGAGGGAAGATGAGCGACGCCAACTCGGCTTCCAGACCGTGCCGCAGACTAATGTGGAAAGTGATGGGCTAGTGCCCTTTGATCGAGGGTTGATCGCTTCGTATCCTACTCCGTAACCAGCCTTGTCGGTTGTCATTGGGAAGTTGATCTGGCTGGTGTCTCTCACATGAAGATCAGGGGCCCCCTTGTGCTTTAGCATCGGTTGACAGATCCCGTAGAAAAATTACTGATTGCATGGTGGCTCGATGACGGCTCTTGTCTCACTGAGTCACAAGGGTGTCTGACAGGCTTGCGTCTGACAGGCGCCAATGACGGAGAGTAAGCCACCTTCGACTACTCCGGCAAGTCCTGAACTCTGAACGAGCAGGGAAGACTAAGAGAACAATGGGTCATGTAATCTCCTGAGACCCACCACGAATCAAAAACTATTCGCACTGACGTCGTGTCCAAGGCACAGCAGTACTGCGTACCGCAGAATCATGGTAAGCTAGAACAAGTGGGAAAGGATCGCTGTTTGGCAACAGCCGCACCATGTTGATCCTGACACTACCGGTGATTGACAATGGTCCCCGGTTGTTTTTAGAAAAAAATAAATTAAAAGGCTAACGGGCATGGGGAAGAGGTCTTTGGGACTTAGAATTGGGATTGTCCTTCGGCAACTGAACTACCGACGAGTTTATCTCGCTAAACTATTATTAGAATGATTCGCTCGGGATATAAAGGCGACGGACGGCATACACCTACCGTCAGCCCGGAGCAAGACCTCGATAGTCAAGAGTGAAGACTCAGGAGCAATAAAACCGATCCCTCAGGATTTAAGGGAAAATCCCCGCGGGATTCCGTTCCCTGCAGGCAAAAGGAGGCGCCGACTCTCTAGAGGCAAAATTCTTATTGCCAGGAGTAGTGGAGACCGTCGCCTACATGGTCCTAACGTCGCTCTAAATTAGCGGCAGGACCCACCTGCCACCGCGTCGAGTTTTGCTAGGGCAGCTTGGTCCTTTTTCCTCGGCTTCTTTCCTAGCAGGAAGATCGCTAGCTGGCTGCAGTAATTCACTAGCCGAAGTTGGCATTTCCAGGAGGCCGGGTTGCTGTGGAATCCACCGTCCGTTCTCCGGTGAAGCTGCACCCACTTGTCAGACTGATCGGCATGATTGGGTACCGGGAAGTGGATTGGTAAAAGATGAGTGAGCATTGAGCAGGGAATAAATTAGAGAAACGAGACTAGAGAGAGGGGAGTACGGAGTAAGGAGAGCATGGAGCAGAAGAGGTTGGAATATAGTAATTCCATGATGTAATGGGATGGTTCTCGGCAATTTGACATGCTCGTGGTGCTGCATGATGCACGCTGCAGCTGCAGGGGAGTTGAAGGAGAAAAAGAAAAGAAAAGAAAGAGAGAAGAAGCGAAAAGAAATTCCACGGGATTTCCTGTTTGGTGCCTGAGGTGCACAGCGCATGTGACTGGTCTATCTTCTACCTGCTCCATCCCTTCGAATTCATCTTCTTCCATCAACCCAATATTATGCCATTCCATCTGTCATCCTTTTGTCCATCCCTCAATCCATGGACTATTGATTATTGCCGTCCTGCTCCCCACATTCAACAGATCGCTATCCCCGTATAACTCCCCTCGTCCTCCCATATCGTCGTCTTCTTTCCCTGCTCCACGCAATAAAATCGCCCCCCGAGATCTGCCACGTACACTCGACCTGGACCTGCCAGTTTCAATCCGATGGGTTCGTTGAAGTGTCTCGCCACAATGATGCGATCTGCCTGAGCAACCTCCCCACTCACATCCACCCGATTCAAAGAACACCCGAAAGGATGCTCACCGCGATCCGTCCAGTATAGGGTCTGCGTGCGCACATCCAATTCCAAATCAATCGGATCGGGCAGACCCGACAGCAATAACTCGATGTCGGAACGTGATTCCGCCGTCTGGCCCGCGGGAATCTCCACTCCCGCTCGGAAGATCCGCCCCTGGCCTCCTTTACTGGGACCCTTTTGCGTCCAGTATATGTATCCGCGAGTGATATCGACGGCAATTCCAACGCACCAGCGGGTCATATCAAATGGTTCGCTGGGGCTCTGTTGTTTCGTGGGCCCCGTCTGAACCAGGGTCTCGTGGGCGGTCCCGTCAAAGCCCATCCGGTGCACGCTCATGCCTTCGCGATCGCAGAAGTACAGCATCTCCGTCGTATCCTCGACCACCAGCTGCTTGGGCGTGTGCACGCTCCCGGGCGGGAGCAGGGTCCTGATGTCTGTCCCGTCCAGCTTGGCCGAGTACACCGCTCCGTCGCAGGTGTGTGTTGCGCGGCCCATACTCGTCCAGAAGATTCGGTCCGCCTTCCGCGAGATGTCGATCCCATCGGGCAAGGATTGACCCTGAATAATCGGGACCCTCTTTCCCGTGACAGGTGAGTATCGCAGGATTTTTCCTGCCGAGGTGAAGGTGGAGAGCTCAGTATTGGCGCCGAGGCCGACATCGAGGACGTATACGGTTTCTGGGTCGACTCCGCCGGTTCGGATGCTATTGTCTGTGGCCCCATTCGCTTTCGAACCATTTATGTTCACGCCGTTTGCTTTCACGCCATTTGCTTTCATCCCATTTGGCTTCACCCCGTTCGGTTTCTTCTCTGTCTTGGCAGAAGGAGTCAGGGGATAAAGCCCTCCCTCGGAACTCTTCAATCCCAACCGTCCCGAATCGATATACTTCTCCCTCAACCACTCTACAGGCCGACTATCCAGCCCGCGCTCCTGGATGTAGTTGTCCTCGATGAAGGCCACCGTATCCAAACCAATTTGATCCATCAATCGACACGGCAGCTGACTCCCAGGAAGTCGGAACATGTTGTCCCAGAGCATGTCGATCTCGGCGGGAGTGCTGACCTGGTCGGCGAGAATGGTAATGATTTCGCGTTTGATGGCCGCCCAGAGCCGATTGAAGACGAATCTGCATACGTTAGTAGTGCATCAATAGCCATGACCCCAAAGAAAGAAAAGAAAAACAAACCCAGTACATTCCCTTCTCACAATCACCGGCAACAAACCGCACCCATTCAACACCTCCTTCAGCATTTCCAGAATCCCCATCTCAGTCTCTCCACATGTCATCAACTCCACCGTGCGTACACCCGGCGGCATCGTGAAATGCATATTCGCGACCCTTTTCCTGCGCTCGTCGCTCACCTCCCCCAGCATCAGCCGCGACTTATAGGAACTGCTATTCGACACAATAATACAGTCTGGCGCGGTGTACGCATCCACCTCCCCGAAGATCTTCGTCTTCAGATCCAAAACCTCAGGAACCGCTTCAATAACCAGCCATGCGTTTGCCACCGCAGCTGGGAGGTCGATGAAGGTGTCGTGCTGGCCTGGCTTCAGGGCATGCTTCACGCCATTTCTATTGACAGTCCCATTGACCTTCCCATTGATATTGGCTGTTCCATTGGCCGTTCCATTGGCCGTTCCATTGACAGTCCCATTGACCATCCCGTTGGTAGCCCCATTCGTATCCTCATGTGTATGCGCATCGGTATCTTTCAACGGAAATAGTGCCTTGAACTCAGAGATATGAGCATTGATATACTCCGTCGCGGCGGCCAACGAGTCTGCGCTCGGGTCGTAGATGTGCACGGGGTACTGGGCAGCGAGGAAGACGGCGGCGATGCGACGGCCTAGAACGCCGGCACCGAGAACGGCAACGGGGCGGGGAGCTGGGTTCTCCATTTTCCCTTTCGTTCCTGTAGGTATATCTGCGTCGGTGTAGTATGTAGGTGGGTATATAGTCGGTAGGTGTTGTAAGGTAGGTAGATAGGTAGGCAGGTAGAGAGGTAATAACGACCGACCGAACGAAACGAGCAAGTCAAGCAAGATAGCTAGTATATCATATAATAAAAAAGGCTAGACGAGCTGATCAGGGCATGAAACTCGAAACTTCGGACTCCAAACAGGATATACCCTGATTTATACCTTCGATCCAGGACCAAGGCCCCGGCCTAGAATATACAAAACTCACCCAAACAAGCCGAACCAAACCTAACCCAAACCCAGGTCAACGGAAATGGATCATAAATGCCGATATCCGACTAACCAATTTTCTCCTTTATTTTTCAATGCCAATTAAAAGATAATAGGTATAAACACAGGACTCGGGGCTCTCGGCATCGGAGACCCTCGGAGACCCTCGGATCCAGCACGGAGGAGTGTCGGCGGCGGCGGAGCGGGGCGGAATCAGATCTATATGATGTATACCACCCAGCCTGCCGAGTTATCCATTCTATCTTACCCGCTCTACTAGATTGAACTGATTCATTTTATTCATGACGTAGCTAGAACAAAACAAACAACCTTGATGAAAATGAACGAAAGCGGGTCCTGAATGACGGTTCGGTTCAAAGGTTCCTGGATTCCGGTTTTGAGATATACTTTCTTCGAAACAGGTACGGCCGAGTTACTTCTCCTTCTACTGTGGGAAGGATATACCTGTGTGTTGGACTGAGTTCTGGCCATTTTGTCTTTGTCGTTTGTCATTCTTGACGATCATGGTATATATGGTGTTGAACCTTTGGATTAGTGATCTTCAGAAAAGCGAACACTTAATATAATCTAATCTAGTCTATCCTTAAGCAACCCCCCCAAGTCCTAACACAATACAAGTAATACACAGAAATCAAATCAAAAAACAAAAACCTGATCCTCCCCCTTCGCCACCGACCCCCGGGGAACCGACCATCCCAACCCCGCTAGGATCTTCTTCGCAGCGTCGACCATCCCCGGCGGCCCACACAAAAACACCTTCCTCGCGTCTCCCGGCGCCGAAAACTCCCTCCTCATCATGCCCTCGTCTACGAATCCCCGATACCCATTCCAGGAATCATCCGCCCGGCTAAGCACATACTTCACATTAAGCTGGTCCGGATGCTCGCGAGCCAGCGCATCAAGTTCCTCCCGCAGAAGGATATCGTTCTCGGTATTGTTCGCGTAGAGGAGGTTGATGCGCGTATCGTCAAGCGGGTCGGTGCATGCTGCGCGCAAGACTTGGTACATCGGCGTGATGCCGGTGCCGCCGGCGATCATGTTGATAGTGCGGGCGGAGTCGCGGGAGTACTGCATTGCGCCTTTGGGGCCGCGGAAGAGGAGCGAGGCGCCGATGGGGAGGGAGGCGAGGTGGGTGGTCATTTTGCCGTGCGGGTAGGCTTTCACGAGAAGGATGAGGTGGCCGAGGGAGGTGGACGAGGAGATGGGTGTGTAGGAGCGGGAGATCGGGTTCGAGTCTATCTGGGCCTGGACGGCGATGTGTTGTCCGATGGGTAGGGGGAGAGTGTCTGTGGGGTTTGGGAGGGCGAAGACGAGACGGTAGACGTTGGGGGTGAGTTCGGTCTTTTGGGTGAGAGTGAGGGGGCGCCATTTTTGGGGATGGAGGATGGGAGGGGATGCTAGGGTGGTGGTGTGTCGGAGGGGGATTAGGGATGCAGAGTGAGCTGCACGACGGGGTTGGTAGTGTGTGAATTCTTGCTGCACGTCGAGCTTGGAGGAGAGCCAGAGGCCGAGGCTGCAGGTGATTGTGAGCTGGGTGATGCTGGCGATGCCGGCGCCGGTCCAGAAGGATCCGTTGCTGTTTCTGCTGCTGGTATTGTTGCGAAGGGCCTGCAGGACTTGGGGAGTGAGGTCCTGCTGGTAGATAGTCACAGCTGCAGTGCCAATGAGACCGGCCAGGCCGAGCTTGGTTACGACACGCAACACTTTTGTCCAGAGGGAGGGTTTGTGCACGTCCACGGCGGCGGCCTGGGAGATATGCTCGTAGGTGGGACGGTAGACTTCGACTGTTTCAGCTTGTTCCTGGGATTGTTAGTATCAGCCAAACATGAGATATGGGCATAGTAACGGTACCTCAGCTGGGAGATCTCCCACGTAGAACGGCTCCAGCTGCTCGCGGGCCTCGTCGGAATGACCAATTTCCTCAAATGCATCCGTGGCATCAGTTCCGGCAACTTCGAGCAGAATGGCACCTCCACCAGGATGGTCCTCGAGGTATTTGGTAATGCCATAGACTAGAATTCACCGAGTCAGATAATATCCTGAGTATAGAATTGAGAATCCTTACCCTTGTTATGCAGCACGACCCAGACATCGTCTGGCTTGCAATGATTCTTGACTTGCTCAAGAGTGTACGACATTTTGATCTGGTTATTGATTCTTGCAGATTGAAGTAGACCCTCTTCTGTATTATTTATATCCCAGATGTTGTTGGCCAACGGCTTCCGGCATCCCGCGGCCGAAGTTCGCACGAGATCCGGAGCAATTCCGGAGCAGCACCGGAGCAGCATCGGAGAGCCGGTCCACTGCCGGATATTCGGCGTGGTTGTCCATTCTGCAGGATACAGATAGAAAGTGTAGGATATAAAGCATGGTTAGTGTCTGTATGCATCTTCAAGTCCATCACGAACCAAAATCATCATGTCGTGTCAGTTCTACCTCGTCGGCGATGACATCGTCTCCGCGCAAGCAGTGGCAGTCGATGACAGCTGGAAATTCGAAGACCTGCAGCGCGCAGTCGGGAGCGTGTTCCACGTTGCACAGCCAACCGGTATATCTTCGTCTCCTATAGACATCTCATCAGCCAGGCCGGCTAACAAACCAACCAGGCATTTCCTTCCACAGCCAATCTGAAACCCTCACCTCCGTCTCCGATATCCTCTCCGCCTCCTCTCCCGTCGGCCTTCGCATTGACGGCAATGCGATCCGATCCCCTGAAGGCCCAGCCGGACTCCCAATCGTCGGCAGCTTCTACGAGATCTTCCCCGACCACCTGGGCAACCACTATCGGCTGTTCCGGAAATACGGCCCCGCGATCAAAACCACCAACATGGGCAAGACGACGTATCTGACGGACGACCCGCGCGTCGCCGCCGTGGCGCTGGCCGAGTCGACATACATGACCAAGAAGATCAACGCCGAGCACCCCCTCTGGGGCATCAAGGACAACAGCGCGATTTTCATCGGCGACACGGAGACCGAGAACTGGCGGCTCGCGCACAAGTATCTTCCCCCGGCGATGGGGCCGAGGGCTGTAAGGCACTATACGGGACTGATGCAGGGGTGTGTGCGCAAGTCATTGCCGGTCTTTGATGAGTTGGATGCCCGCGACGAGTCGTGGAATGTCTACCAGTATATGCTGAAGCTGGCGTCGCAGACCATCGGGTCGTTTGCGCTGGACCAGGATTTCAAACACTTCGAGTCGCTCGATAGCCCGCTGCATCCGATCGTCACGAACATCGCTAGTATGCTGTCGTTGAATAAGAAGATCACCGCCCGCGGTGAATGGTATCGGCATCTGCCGTTCGGGGACCCGGCCCGGCTGCGCGAGGTCCGACATACGGTCTACTCGCTGCTGCAGGAAGCGATTGACCAGGTTGCTGGGTCGGGGATGTCGGATGCGCCGATGAATGAGGCCGCGTTGAAGGCAACCTGCTTTGTCGAGTACCTGTTGCATGCGGTCGATGACAAGGGGGAACGGTTCCCCGAGGGTCTGCTCATGGGCAACACGCTGATCGTCACGGGCGCCGGGTTCACCACGACGTCGACGCTCATGTCATGGCTGATCTATTGTCTGGTCACGTACGAAGGCACCCAGGACCGCCTGTACCAGGAGCTGGTTGAGAATGGGATCGTCGGACCGAACGGGGAACGCAACCAGACGGAATGGACCCCGGACCTAGCGCACGGCCTGCCATACCTGGACAGCTTCGTCAAGGAGACGCAGCGGTTGCACAACGCCTCATTCCAGCCCGGCCGCACCACCAAGACGGATGTCGTCTTACCTGGCGGGTACCGCCTACCGCCGGACAGTGTCATCGTGCCGGCACTGTATGCAATCCACACGAACCCGAACGTCTGGCGGGACCCGTTCCGCTTTGATCCGGACCGCTGGAGCACAGAGGAGGTCAAGAATCGGCACCGCTGTGCGTATATACCCTTTGCCACGGGCCCGCGCGGGTGTATCGGGTTTAATTTTGCCTTGCTGGAGGTCAAGGTTTTGCTGTCGGAGCTGGTGAGTCGGTATGAGTTTGTGCGCGAGGGTCTGGAGGCGATCGATTATGACCCTGAGTTCCAGCTGATTCGGCCGTTGAACTTTTATGTCAGGGCCAAGCGTCGGGGGTAGGGGGAAGGTTTTGTTCGCAAAAGAAACATTAGATATAGACATAGAGAAACATAGACACATGTACATTATGAAAATTGAGCTGTTTGACTTTCTTGACTCGAGGAAATCTCCCGCAATGCCTTCAGTGCACGCGAGTACGGTCCAAAGTATCGCACGTTCGTATCCGCGTCGCGCCATTCTGAGCTCTTCTCTTCTTTTTCTAGAACGGCGATCAGCCGCTCGATGAGGAACCTCATCTTGCGGTCATCCTCCGGTCGTAGGCGCTCATGGCTCATGAGTGTAATGGCACAGCTGACTGCGTTGTGCACAAAGGCCAACGAGCGGCAGACGTTCGCCGATAGCCGATAGAGATCTAGAAAGCATTCGACGACCTGCATCGCTCGGACTGACCAGCTCGACTTGATTGTTTCAGGAATGGGCAAGTTAATGTCCGTGTCGTCCGCATATATCTGACACAGTCGACAGATAGCGTATCCGAAATGAATGCCCAGGGCCAGTCGTTCCAGATGATTCTGAAGAGAATAGCATCGGCTTCGGTCGACGAGGAAAGGCTGGGCATGGTTCAAGAGATTTTCGATTTGCTGCTTGTATTGGAGCGTGGGTTGAAGCAGTTCGTGAGGATGACCGGGCGTTTTGGTTTGTGCTCGAGCTAGGAGAATGCGGCAGAGGTCAAGTACACATTTCTGGAAGGACGATCCCCCTTGAGACATAGAGCCAAGGGATAGGGAACCATCAACAGGAATCCAGCTGGGCGGGCGATCGTAAGTGAATGATAGGAATGTGTCTTGCCAGATGAGCATCCACCTGGGCGAATTAGATATGATTCCAGAGATATCACAATGCGGACGTACCATAGTTGATTCTGCTTAGTTTGCTCTTCTGCCGACAAGGATCGCGAGGGATCATGTAGTCCGATACTCTGAGCCATTCGAATAGTTGCCCCTAATTCCATTAGAGGATTGGATCGAAAAGATACATTGAACTCACCCATCAAAATCCATGCACTATTCGTATCAAGGTTGTTTCGCAAACAATTCCCAATCAGTGCCATAGCTTGGATCTGGTTGAGGTCGGTACGATTGAAAATGTTGGACAATCGTAGACAGTGGAAAGATGAACAGACTGCGCCACTCATTAGCTCTAGGGACGCAGAAACCACCAGCTCGAAAGAGGAGAGAGAGAACATACTAAACACCTTCGACCGCAAATCTCTTTCCCGGATCGGATCATCCGAAAAATACGCACCACACGCCAGCACCGCAAACAACAGCGCCAGCCACGACGTATTAGGCTCATCCCCACTTCCTTCTCTCTCCTCTCTAGCCAAGAATCGCCGATCCAGGAACCCGAACAGCGCTGGACCGAACTCCTCGAGGGTCACCAGCACCGGATAAAACGGGTACGCATTTGTCTGATAGACCTGCCAATACCTACAACCAATCAGCTCTGATAACACCCAAGCCAAAAAGCCAAGTCAACATGCAGAGGAAAGAAGCCCACCGAATCACGTCCGAATCCTCCGGCAACGTCTCACAAATATCCGCAGCAGTCGCCTCCGGGCCCCAGAGGCTAGTGAACGGATACGCGCGCGGCACGAACTGATTCGCCATGGCCCCGTACAGCATGGTATCATCCATCGCGGAAGCCTGTCGACATCCCAGCGCGAGCGGGGTGTCTGAGTGGCTGCCCAGATAGAGAGTAGCGCCTGTAGCGTCTTCGACACAGTACCGGCCGGGTGATTTGCTGGCGGGTCTGGCGCGCAAAGAAACGGACGGATTTCCCAGTCCGGATTCGTGACTGGAGACCTGGGGACTCTGCGACGGCGCCGTGGCCGGGTCAGATGCCGACGAGGCGCGAAGTTCCGCCTTCAAGGCAGATATCTGCTCTTCGATTTTCTCGAGCCGAGAAATCACCAGGTTCGGGTCTGTCGAGGGCTGTTGGGATTGGGATTGGGATTCCTCAATTGTGTTCGTTCTGTATCATCTGTCAGTGCTGAATTTAGACAGATAATAGACCAAAAACGTCAATTAGTAGAGGTGTTTATGTAAGAGAAACCAACATTTCATCCAAATCCAACCCGCCACCCAAATCGCCAGTCCCAGCTGAATCAGAAACCCGCGGTCTCTCCTCCGTCGGCAAACGACACAATTCACGGTGTCCGCGCTTTACACAACTCGCGCAAGGCACGTGTCCGTCACAGCGGACTTTGCGATGTCGACACGGAAAGCAGGAGCGCAGGCCGCGGGTTTTGCGATGGCTCTTGAGCAGTTCGCGCACGCGGTTAGTGTCGTAGGGATAGTGGGCATTGTCGGAATGATTTTCGGGCATGGCGGGGTGGGTGGAAAGGGAATTGGAGGGATTAATGGAGTTTAGGGTAGATGGGATGAATTGTTCATGTAATTGGGTTGTTTGAAGCATATGTGATATGGGATTAGATGGAGTATGGAAGAGAGACAGATGGGTTGAGGCGTCGGAAGGACGATCCGGCGTATTGGTATTACCGATCATGTGGCTGCGTATGGCGCTAGGCCTGTTTGGGACGTCAACATGAATCTCATGAACTGGAATGATGAGATTCGTGGCCAATTGTCCATTGAATGGGATACTTACTACGAACTTGCATGTTATCTTGAATCTAGAACAGAAGAGCCGGTAGAAAAGCCAATAGTGTAACATACCACTGTGTTGTTCACCTAAGTCCTGTAATTCCAGACATCTGAACTATGGATGGGCGCTCCAATTACCCCAACTGTCACTGAGCCTTATAGATCGAGCTTAATTTAGACTCCTGAAGATCATACAGATCGGAGAATTTAGCCTTCTCAACGGTCTTTGCGCTTCATTACTCAATTTCTACAGCGATGAGCGCATAAAGAAACTGTGAAAGAGACCCGCTCGAGAATACTCCATACCAGCTCAGATTAACTATACACCGAAATTGTCCTAACTCGAACACATCAGACTTAGGTCGTCAACGCCAACCTATTACTCGAGTCCAGACAAAGGAGGAAAGAAAGTGCAATGCATGCAAGGTCGTAACTAGGTATTCTCATCGGACAACAAGTGAAATGAAAACAAACCAGGACCATCCGTCCATCAAATCAGTAAGGCCAATTAGACCGCCCAAACGCCGCGCTCAAACTAAACAAAGCAGACCGTAGAGAATCAATCATCAAGTCCAGACCCTTTCAGCCGTCGCTTGCGCCCAGGAACCAGTGAGAAAAGCAGAAACAAATCCAATCAAATCAGTCCCAGCCTCCGGGTGTCCCGGGACAAACCACCCCTTGTTTTTTGCCCATCCGTTCGTATGATCGTCGTGAGGCCGCCGTCGGCGGATACATATTCATACAGTACATATCACGCAAAAAGAAAGAGAGAGAAATAATGGTACATACACAAGGTGTGCAGAGTCATGTCGTATCAGTTTGATAGACAGAAGAAAAAAGAAATGAAGAACAAGGGGTAAAAATAGACAAAGGAAATAAGAAGATGAGGAGTGAGGTGATCTTAACGGATGAATTCCGTCCAGACGGTGCTGAGCCATCCCGTGGGAATGCCAACCTCAGATGGCACCAGTCCGGCCAATTGATCGTACTCACACCCCTCAAGAAAGGCGAGCACATCGTCTCCCCCGAGACTGGTCGACCACAAACCGTTGGAAGTCACACTTTCCAACCCATCCACCGTGACCGGTGGTGATGCCCCCGGATGTCCCACAGCTCCCGGGGGCGGGAGCAGTGGCAGACTATGCGAGTTGGCCGGGTTGATGGGAGGGAGAGATTGCGGATAAGGAGCGGGCGGGGGTTGTGGTCGAGATCCGAGCCACGAGTTGATGGGCTGAAGACGATTTGTAGGCGGTGGTGGCACCGCGCCATATTGAGCCGGAGCTTGGGCCCCCGCCGTGGTTGGAGCATACGACCCGGCCGGACCGATCGACGGAAGAGTTGGGGAAGAGTTGTTGTAGATACCGCCCTCGGGATGGTGTTGCAGGGAAGGAAGCGAGAATGGAGACTGAGATTGCAATGACCGACCAGGCGGTAGAGGCAGGCTGGGTCGTCGTTCTCCGTCCGGACCGGGCATGGGCATGCCGGGGCTGTTAACCGGAATCCACGACTCACGACGTCCACCGGCCCCGTCCAGCGACGGTTCTCCCGCTTCGCCAGTTTCGCTGCGAACGGCATTGCTGCCTGCATCGCTGAGATTGGTGGCTCGGTCACTTGCGACGGCTGCTGCATCCTCATCGGCGGCGCCGTCGGGCAACTGATCTTCGATGGAGCCAAAGTCTAGGAACAGCTTCTCAATGAGCTTGAACTCTTCCAAGCCGCCACCGGCGCCGCCCTCGCGCACGGGTCGAACGCCGTTGACGTGTCCATCAACAAGTTCTGGCATCATATCCAGCCTGCGAGAGTGTCGGCGGAAGTCCCGTTTGACTTTAGAAAAGTAGCTGTGGAGTCGGTTCAGCGTGCGGAACCAACCGCGGGCCATTTTGAGGCGGGTTCGCATTTCACGCAGGACGTCGAGGGCCTTGCGAGATTGGGCCTGGCCCTGATGGTTCCGATCACCGCCGGATGCCGGCTTCGGGGCCAGGACGCCCTCCAAGTCCATGTGCGGGAAATGGGCCGCATAGATACCGACGAAGGCGGCATTGTAGACGGCAAAGCCCACCAGCGGGTTCTCAACCAACACCCCTCGGTCTTGACAGGTGGCTACAAGGTCCATCATTTGCCGAGCCGCCGCGCAGAGCTCTCGGGCGCTTTCACGCCAGAAGCCGTCCGACATAGGGGACTTTTCGGCCGGGAAGAGCGGCTCGTCCAGAGGACCGACGGGCTCCGTGCACCGCACGGGGAGAAAGGGTATATAAGCGCGGTGAAGAACGATCACCGATAAGAAATAAACCACATGCATGACCGTGTAGGACGCAAGGGTGTTTTTATACATGATGTGAGTATCGGTGTTGCGCGGAGAATACTGCAGGTTACGGGAGAGACCATCTTGAAACTCGCCCAGCATCAGCCGTAGCTTCGAAAAGCGCGACTCCGGATGCCATGGTGGAAGTTGCTCAGTTCTGCGATTGGTTAGCTAGACATATTCAGTTCATCAAAGCAAATGAAACATACCGTCTCCCGCCAGCGCAGGACCATTTGGCAATGCTCCCCCAGATTCGAATTACTCGGATGACACGACTCAGTACGGATTCTTCAGCCCCAACTTCCCACCGGTCGATTTCGTCCTCACTCGAGTCCTTCCTTCGAGAAATAGGTGACCACGATTTGGCGTCCTGAGGGCCGTTATTCGGTAGCTTGTCGTCGCTGAAACCGCCGAGGCTCTGACGAATACTCGGAATCTGAACGCCCTGCGCACCAAAGCTTTGCGGACGACGGACGACCGGTTCGCTGAGTCGCGACGTGCGCACCCGCTCGCCAAAAGCGAAAGCATTGTCACTCGGCAGCTGAATGCCAAGCTCTTTTACCCGGATCATGCGCGGTCGATACTTGCCGCTGCTCAGGCAGCGGTCTAACAGAAAGCAGGCCCAAAAGGTGCGACGCTTGGTCTCCTGCGCAATGATGTCGTCCGATGTCTGCTCCTTGGGCTCTGTCGGTCGTCGAGCGACGCCGAAAAGCTCGGCTTCGGCCTTCAGGGCGGGTGATCGGGGCCCCTCACGGGCGAGCATGTCGTTTTCCAACTCAAACGGTAGACCCATCGCTTGCGACAAGCGAATAGCCATGCCCACATATAACCACGCACTCTTCCCCCGACACATCCCCCATTCGTGTAGGGCCAAGATCAGCAGCGCTTGGACGCGAGTCAGATCCGGCACGGCAAGACTGGCGCCATCGATGCCGGCCAGCCGGCTGCGCAACGCCGTCGCATAGAATTCGGAAGCAGCGAGGGGGTTGGACGGATGCCCTGGGGAGGAGGGCGAGTGAAAGGCGACGAGTTGGGGGTGGAAGCGAGCGGTGAGGGCGAGGACACCCAATGGGATCAAGGGATTCGGCTCCGGCTTCGTGACCGGCGGACTTTGAGCGGCATCGCGGGTATGGTCGGGGTTGATCGAGGGAGCTACGGCACCGGGGGCCGCAACGGCAGCGGTAGTAGTCGAGGAAGGGTGGGCGGAGGAGGACGAGGCGGCATGGGATAATTGTCGAACCTGGTTCATGAAAGAGGCGGGGTGCAGGAAAGGGAGCAGGGTCGCATAGTGGGACTGAAAGAGGTCGAAGACGGCTTCCCAAACTTTGACGGTGAGGACGGAGCTATCCAGCGCATCGAGGGAGGCCTTGGCTGCATCCTTGGCCGCGGACGAAGAAACTCCGACGGCCTTCCGGGAGCGATGTCTCTTCGGGCTGTCCCAGTCACCATTGCGATCCTCCCCATCGCCCAAAGCGGCAATGTCCCGCTTCGCGGAGCCTCCCCCAACCCCGATGGCCGGCGTAGGATAGACACATTCACGACCCGAGGATTCGCAGGCGCGACAAGTGGTATCGATGCCGGAATTGACACATTTTATTTTGCTGCGACGGCAGCGAGCGCAGGCGATACTAGATCGCATGTTGACGGGAAGACACGGGCACGAGAGACGGGGGACCCGTCTCTCCAGTCGATAGAAACGAAGGTACCAAACGGTGAATCAGATAGAGGAAAAGGGCGGGAAGGGAGGGAGGGAGAGGCGTATGGAAGAGAGGAGAGGAGAGGGAGGAAGAGAGGGAAAGGAGCAGACGAAGCAGCCGCAAGTGACCGATTCCCGTGAGTTTGCTTTTCCACCCGCGGTATTTTCTCCGGTAATATTTCCCCGGGATTCCGGCCAAGTGTCGTCGTGGTAGTGGCTTCAGGGAAAGGGGGGCGAGGCGAGGTAGTAAAAGGCCGACCTGGTCCGGGGGAAGCGGCCTAGAGACTTTCGCGTGCGGTACGACAAGGGCACGGGGTCACGCAGAGTCCGAGGACTCGTTTCGGCTCTTGTGCCTCCTGCAGGTGCGTACAGTAAGGGGAGCGAGCAGACGAGAGAAGCCGAGAGAGTTTGGGGAAGAGAAACCGGGGTAAAAGGGGGGGGGGGGGGGGGGGGAAGGAAAGGGGAGGGGAAGGGCGAAAGAAAAAACGAAGAACCAGAATAATACGGCGCAATCGCAGAGGACAATTAAAAAATAGAAAAATGTGGAAAAAAAAGAGGAGAAAAAGGAAGTAAGGACGGGGGGCCAAGGGAGGAAACGGAGAAATAGGAATAACAATCAAGTAATGATAATAATATTGGAAGGGTAGGAAAGCGCCAGGAAAACGAGACTAAGACTATCGGAGATCGGGAATGTGCGACGTGGGTACAGCTATGGAGCAGCAGCAGGACCGAGGAAGAAGGACCGCGAGATGTGGAGAAGACGACAAGCCAGGCGAAGAAGCGGGAATAAGCGGAGTGTGGGGGAAACGACGAAATTCCATCAGGCCCAGAGTCGGGGCGCCGGACCGGCAACGCGACTGGACGAGACGGCGAGGAAGGAATGGATGAGAGGTCAAACGCCGTTCGGGTGGGGGACGGAGCCCAATCACAGGATCCCCATAAAAAAGCAGGCCGAGAGGGAGGAGGGTTTTTCCATTCTTCTTCTTCTGGAGTCTCTGGTCTCTGGTCTCTGGTCTCTGGTCTTTGGTCTATTCTGTGCTGCAAACCGGCGAGGCGCCGACATGCCAGCCTCAGGCTCCGGAGTCCTCCCGCCGTCTCAGGCTCCCAGGCACATCCGCATTTTGCGGAGGCCCAGGCTTAGTCCCGAACCGGGTTAGCGCCGCCTGGGCTGGCAATGCAAGGACGCGACCGAGCGGCCGGAGACGCTGGTGTGGAGAGGCTTCCGAGTGCCGATGAATGTGATCAGAATACGATGTAGTATTGCTACAAATGCTACAGAGTCGAGTTGGAGAGCATTGGGAATCGGTCTGCTCGGGACGGAGGAAGGGAATCGAGACGCTAGTCTGGGACCCAAACCGTCTGGAAGGCGACCTCCCCAATTTCCTCCGGGAGAACAGTTCAGGCCAGGAACTCTTCCGTCCTGGTCGGGTAAATTACGCCAAACTGGGGATCCGTCCGGAGAGGCGGTCATCCTTGTAACGTTACCGCCGGCCGACCGACATTATTTATTTCCTCCACCCATAGTTCTCTTGGAATTCCATCTTGAAAGAAGAAGAAAAAAAAAAAAAAAATGAAACAAAATAAAAATGAGAATAAAAAAGAGAGAAAGGGACATAGTATATATCCATTATACAGCCTCAACACCATCCATTGCACTCGAACCCATTCCTTCGTTCTCATCTCTCCCGACGGTGGACCGACAGAAAGGATGCCGGTTACCAGCAGGCCGTGTGGAACGTCACTTGACCGCATCGAACTTATTACCTAACCAGTTCCTATGAAATCATTTCGGGGACGACAGGATTCACTGCCATGAAATGCCCCAAGACCGCCATGGCAAGACCGACTCGGCCAACGCACCATCCCGTGTGGACGTGTCAACAATGGTCTAGTTCTACAGACGATCTGAACCATTTCCCTCCTCTCACCACCCAAACAGACAGAACCCCATAAACTCAAATATCCCGCCTGTCTTCCCCAAACAGGGATCCTGGCTGCAAATTGAGATTCTGGATGGCAGGCCGACTTCCCCCCCCAGCCTGACGAACCTCGGGTAAGGCTCCGCCGAGATGAATTTTCGTAGGTTGTCGGGTATGATCACGGCGACCGTGACCGTGACCAGGACCATCCAGACCACGGGCTGGGCTGTGTCTGGTCGACGACGAATGGAAACAGCAATCACTGGTCAGGGACGTTGGGCCTAGGTTTTTTCATCCCCCGTCCGCAGTAGTTTTTACCGCATTTTGTCTTTTTTTTTTTTTTCCCTTCCCGTTAAACTCTACCCTACCTCACCCTACCGGCCTCCCACGGAGTAGGAACTGGACTGGACTGGACTCTACGGCTTATCCTACCTAGGCTACTTTCTCCCTCCCTGCATCGGGCTCTTTTCTCCCTCCCCGCGGGGAAACAAGAGAACCCGGATCAGCCCTGGGCTGGGCGGACTTGCTAGACCGGTGCTTGGGACGCAGAGATTGGCTGCGGGCGGCAGGGGTTGAATCCCGATCGACACGGGACGTCTGTGGTCGTTGAATCAGGTTGTTTTCCTCCTGGGCTTTTACGCCGTAATTATCTGAACGCCCAGGGAGGGGAGGGAGGATGGTATGATGTCAGACGAAAAGGGAAAATAAGGACGCAGAGCTAGAGCCTAGCAGTCCGGAGTCTCACGTACTGCGTAGAGCGACGCTGGTGGGTGATGTCAACCGAGTCAAATCGCGGGCGGAGAAAATGACCGTCCTGGACCAGAGTCGGAAAAGGACGCTACTTCGGATACTTCGTGAGTAGTGCACCGTCGAGACAGACAGAGTGGACAAGGAAACGCCAGAGACAGTAAGAAAGAAGAGAACCCGACCCGACCACGATCGGAATTCCCAGGCCGGCAAACTGGGCATTTTAACCGGTTGTCCCGTGGCCGCTGCTCGGGCTCAACCGGCGGCGCTGATTGGTTTCCACCCGCCACCCGAGGCACAAAAGCGAACCGACCCCGCAAAACGCTGGCCTGGAAGGTAACGGTAACCCATGAATAATAAGAATTGCGTCGGAGGGCCCCGGAGGACGACCGAGTTTTTCTGTTCGATGCCATCATGGATAGGCGAGCATGGGGGCAGCTTTGGGGTTGGGATGGGGTTGGGGTTGATTTGGCACTTATCGTCATCGCGAAACTCACCTCCCTGGATGGGAAATTATCAATTATTATTTATTTTATTTTATTTTTTTTTCTAAGAAAGAGTAGAAGCCAGCATTACTCCTTCGGGAAACCCAACGCGCAGGTTGTCAGGTGGACTGAAGATTTTTGGCTCGTCCCCATCAATTGATGTCACAGGCAATTGAGTTCACTTGACTCGACCCTATTCTACTACATATACGACTAGCACAGCCCTAACCAGCACCACGATTGACAGATTTTACAGAGTACGGAGTATCCCACATAAACAAGGACACGTATGAATACCGACAGAAAGCACAACCATCCTACGGTGCCATTACTCGATAATTAAGGGCCAGGTTGTCACCCCACGTTTCCAGGGGGCGTGATCTGACCTGATCTGGATATCCAGCCAACCCTCTAAACCGTGGGAGTAAGATTTCCGAGGCCTCAGGTGTCTGACAGAGACCATCCCAAACACTTGCCCGAGTTGGGTAACCTGCCCTAATTAATCCTACAGTACGGATGCGTCGGCGAGACTGGAGAGGCGAGAAAAACTGAAATAAAAAAATGAAAATGAAAAATCAAAGGATAAATGCTCCTACAGGAGGATCCATCGCAACCCACGCGAGACGGACTCCACATCTTTCTTGGCCCGCCAAGCCTCGACGGGATGTTGTCCGTATTCTGACTCGCTCTCATTTGCGGACACGCCACTTTTTTTTTTTTTTTTTTTTTTTTCTTCTTTTTTTGTTTCTTCTTTTTTTGTTATGTCGGTCCGATTGTTTCCCCAACTAACACTCTCCTTGACCTACTACACGGGGCTACAGAGTCTACCAGACTGTAGACTTTCCTCCATCCAGCATTCCCGCCAGGGCCCGACCTACTCCGGAGTAGTGTCAATGCCAGACAGCCAGGAGCCAGACAGAGCCAGAAGAACCAACGGCCAATCAATCAGCCGGCGTTCCCCCCCTAGTGTCTGCGGTAGCGCAGCCCGGAGTAATTCCTACCACGGAGCCGCTAACGGGCTGAACTTTACTCGTCCGGACGGCTCGTCGCCTGAGTCCGGGGGATAAGTGGACTAAAGTGCGGGTTGCGAGGCTTGGATCACTCCTACGGCGTGGCCTGCTCGGCGCATGCATGTCGCATGTTAGTTAGTTCGGTAGGTGGTTAGCTGGGGTTGTATTTCTCCGTCCGGGCTGGGTTGGTTTCTGTTGCTAGGCCTGTTAATCAATTCGTGATGATTCGACGTATGGCGAGGAGGCTGCTCTACCTAACGCGGTAGATTTCCGATCGAACACTAGGTACTCCGTACGGGTACGACGTGGGCACGGCGTTCCTTTGCCCCGAGTTCGATGGATAAATGGGCGAATGTATCCCGAGCTGGTCTGGCTTGTCTGGTAATTCTGGTTTGGTTTGATGGGCGTCTGATCGCGAGATTGCCACCGACGCAGATATGGAGCAGGTTCCTACGATCTCTGAGCCGGTAATATCCATCAACCCGACTGGATAATAGCATGAAGCTACCCGGTCATTATTGACAAGCCCTCACCGTACATCGGTCCCAGCAGTGAAATGGCTTATTCCTGCGATCCTTCCCCGTCTCTTCCACGTGTCTTGGGGAAGCAATTCCACCAATGATGTAGATGCCTAGGGACTCGGTGCTTGGCTGCTCGGCGTAGGTGGTAGCACCGAGGCAGGTACGCATAGGTATGTGGGATTGTAAAGACAGGGATAATACCTAGTTCTCTTTAAGCCTGTCATATGATGGATCTGTAGTTACCTGTCTGCTCTACATCCATATCTATCCTGCTGTGCTGTGTGCGGTGTTCACAACAAACAACCGAAAGTCCAGAGTCCACAGATGGATAAAGACAATAAAACAAATGAAACCGTCACGTTCCCCGTAGCTCCATCGGACCCCTGTCCCCAGTCCTACGCTGTCATTTGTCCCCTTTCCCGTCCCCGTCCCCGTCCTGAACATTTACCCGATGCCCGACACGCTGTGGCTGGGGCCAAACGGAGTTCTCCGTTGCGGAGACGGAGTAGACCAGTGATGGATTTTCTCGGGGCCGGTCCGATTTCACGAAGTTTTGAATTGGGAAATTAGGTATTCTAATATGGTACAGAGAAGAGCAGACAATGTGAAATAATCCAAGCATGAGTATCGTCATCCAAGTCGATTAGGTGAGTTAGGTAAGTCGATAGACAGAGGGAGAAAATGGAAGTAAAAAGAGAGTATCTGGCGAAGGGTAGTATTGCAAATTCGGAAAAGAAATGGTCTCGGATCACTCGGTCTTGTATGTCTCCTTGGTGGGATAGTACCTGAGACTCTGTTAATTCGGTTCTGTTTGAACAAATAGTGAGGGACGTACCAAGCTGCCACGGCGATTATCAGATACATCATCATTAGGAGAATCCCTTCGAGCCAGTGCGATTTTCCGTCCGCGATGAGGTAGTTTACCTGTCTTTGTTAGCTGCGGTCTATAGTAGGTCTGAGGGACCCAGGCAATACATACCAACAGAACAGAGACAAAGAGTAGGATAACCTGGAAAGCATCGAAATACAGAGTCTGCAGAGTATAATTAGTATTGATAACGCATGCAGATGGATAGGCAGGCGGTCACTGTACCATTTCATCGATTCCTGAACATCCATGTTAGTATGCGCGCCAATACACACAGACACATGCAGTACACTTGAAGAGATTGACTTACCCTTACCCCACCCAATTACGATAATCAACGGCAGCACCAGCAATGCAATCTGCATGCTCGATCCCACCGCGACTCCGATCGCCAGGTCCATTTTGTCCTTGCAGGCCACCGTGACGGCCGTGGCGTGCTCGGCCGCATTGCCCACGATCGGCAGGAGAATCAACCCGACGAAGGTCTCGGAGATTCCGCCTCGCTCGGTGATGGCATCGATAGAATTGACCTATCCAGGTTGATGGTTAGCCTCGCCCGGGGAATCAAACCACCAGGAGAGAAAGACAAGGAACGAACCATGAACTCAGCGCACAGCGCCACCAACACCGTGGAGATCGTCAGCGTCAGAAGCGCAACAAAGACACTCAACTGCGGCTCCTCGGGCTCCTCGTCCGGATCTTGCAGCTTCATCTGCTGCGCGTTCTGGCCCGCCATCGTCGCTGTCATTTTACCGATCTGCGCGATGCCGCGGCTGGCGTCGCCGCCGCCGATCTTCTGTCGACGTTTTTCGACCTTCGGGCTGGGCCGGTTGTAGATCTCTGTGTGGGACTTCAGCTGGAAGAAGAGGTAGCAGGCGTATACGACTAAGAGGATGACGCTGGTTCCTGGGGATGGTGAGCGAGGCAAAATGATGGGGTAAGGACATCTTATGACATACCTCGAGACAATTGTGCCACGGCGATGTCACCCGCTACTCGTGCGTTAATGAATGTCTACAGAGAATGGTAAACCCAGGCTTAACTTACCTTCGGACCACTCGTGAAAAGCAGTAGGGATGATCAGACTCGCCACGGCCAGCGCGAGAAGACTGGCGGCTGTCTGAGCGACTACCGGGTTGAAGTGCTGCTCGAGACGGTTCACGCCACCGAAGAAGAAACACATCCCCATGACGAGGAGAAGGTTCGACAGCATACTCCCGATCAGGGAGGTTTGCACAATGATGACCTGGTGATCGACCAGGGCGATGATCGCAACAATCAGTTCGACGGCGTTACTGTCGGTTGTTAGCGTGGCCTGGATATCATACAGAGAGTAACTTACCCAAAGCTGGCGTTAAGGAGACCACCGATTGTTTCTCCGGTTCTGACATAGTTTCACGTTAGCCAGGTACATCAGGATGGCTGAAAGGCTTTGGCATACCGCAAGGCGATCTCCTCAGTCGCATAGCTGAGCATAGCTGCCAACGGAATGATGGCGACAAAGTTGACCACGAAGATAGCCACCGGGTCGACATGGGCATAGTTCAGCGCAACTGAAACCCACCGTCAGCAAATGTAACCCCAAACAGCCAGCATCGAAAAAACATACTTCCCGCCGGCGCCGCCAAAAGCAAAATGTTGATCCACGAATTCAGCACCGTCGCCTTGAACTGCCCGACGGCCGTGAACTTCTGCTTGTTAGCCACACCCTTCGGATCGTCCGACGAACCTCTCGACCCGTCCATATCGTCTTCTCCCAACTTGCTCGTGGCGGTCCGTCGCTTGCGAGGCTTCCCATCCTCATCCACATCCGTCCCGTCTCCCCCGTACGAGACATTGATGGGCTCGCTACTCCGCATCGACGGTTCCGGTCCGGTCTTCTCCACGCTGTCCACCTCCCCGATGCCATCGGTTCCCGCCGACTGCGGGGGATATGTGTCGGCATGGTTGGGGCCGTGTAGACCGTCCGTCATGTCTATCCGACGACGGCGCTCCTCGGATAGTCGGACATCGCCGGCGGTGCGGACCGGAATGAGTCTGCTTTCGAGCTGGATGGAGTTCGAGCGGCGAGGACGCGCCCGGAACTTTTTGAAGGGGTTATGGCTGGATGGTTCGCCGTCGTCGTCATACCATGCTAGGTTTCTGGCCTGGCGGCGATAGATATCTTCAACGGAAGAGGTGATGTTAGCGGGGCCGGTGAGAAAGGGGGGATGATAGAGGGAGGGACGGTAGACATACGCATCTCAAAGGTTAGGATGCTTTAGTTGTCGGCTAAGTCGGATATACTACCTCTGATGCTATGCTGTATCACGATCAGAACAGAAGTCGCTGAGTATGGAGGGGATATGGCAGAGGCAAGAGGCGGTGGAAGGGGATTTGAGCACGCACCCCTTGCGAGCAGATCGGAGAAATAAAGCAGGGCTGTGGCGATTGCAGACGCAACCCAATGGGCAACAAAGAGGGGGACCTACATTGACGTGGTGATTGCAAAGGCCCAATGTATACAATGAATGTGGCTGGAGCGATGGATCTCTGCGCCTCAGGGCCACAGGACAAGAGATCTTGACGCTGATAAGCTTCTCTCGGCAGAAGTGCGCAGCAGACGGGGTTACGACGCGATCGAATTAGGACAAATAAACAGACGGGAAAAGATAAAGTTCAGAATCCAATAAAATCAACCGATCAAGCAAAACTTAACCAAACGAATGGACAGAATCTGAATTCCCCAGGCGCGACAAACGAGCGACGTCAAAGGAGGAACAGGAGAACTCCAAAAAAATTACATTAAAAAAATGAAAAAATAGGAGGTCTAATTTTGCAGCAGAATAATGAACGCCAACCTGACCAAGAACCCCAAGCCCCCAGTAATCCGCATAAAAGGAATGGATTGTGATTTGGTGAGGGAGAAGTTGCAGGACAAGCATCGACACAGCCACACTCCGGCGTCGTACATCATGACCCTCTTCGGCCTCAATTTCCTGGCACCGGCGGGCTCAATCGACCCGACACAACCAATGATGCGACACGACAACCCGGACTATCACTCTTTTGGGCGTCTGGATTCCGAATTGAGGGCCTGATGGCAGCGCATTATGCCCGTTCGGGTCGCCCTGCGCTGGGCGCCAAGAAGGGGACGCTCTTCAACAACGCACTAGCGCTCTCCGTACTAAATTAATTAGGGTTGCGTGCCAGGCGATCCAGAGCCAGAGTTTCCGCAATATTAATGCTTATTGCTGTTCGCTGCTTGCGTTGCCCCTTTCTCAGCTTGACTGACTCTGGACTGTCGTATCTTCACGAGCTGTTGACTTCAATAGTGGTTGTTGACTATTGGGCTGCGCTGACGGGAAGGGCGAACGAAACCTCACGGCGATTTGTCTCGGGGGCGCCATGTAACCGGAGGATCTGTCGTCAAAAATCGCCCCTGGCTGCGGTCAATGGTGGGGTCGAAGCACAGACAGAACCATTCCGGATGTCTTCGTGCTGAAGTCAGAAGTCGACTGAAGTTTGGAGGAAATCCAAACAGCCGATTCCGATGTTTGGGTCGTGGCTGGTGTTCCTGCGCCACATCTACGCCACACCTTTTTTTTGGGTTCTTTTTGGTTTCCCCCTTTTGGATGGGCTGATGCAGTTCGGAGTATCCGTACGCTGCACAGAATAACCATATCGTCTGCATGGAGTATGGCACCCTGTCATAAAAATATGCAATGAATCTCTACCAAACAATCGCATACCTATCCAAGGCAACGCGATGAGCTGGCCTGGACAATCTGTCGCGAGATGTTGTACTCCGTACTACACGGTCGGTCACCGACACCATGGCCGGTGGTGAGCAGTGCAGGCCTCCTTACTCGTAAGTGCTTTTCCATCCTTACTCTGTACTCATTTAACGGAGTTCCGACTGGACAGTCTCCTATTCCTGGCTTCCCCATGCAGAACTACCACTCGGCGTTTCCAGTTACGCTGTACACTACTCCGTACGTGCTAGCAGGTTCAGTCAATGCTCCCTATTCGATGGCAACACATTGAGCAGCGGACAGACAAACTGCGTCTCGCCAGGAGTGGAGAGTGATAACCATATCGTCATAATCGCGTCCCCTTGCTTGAGCTGAATCCCACCGCCATCGAATTGACGTCACCTGTGGTCCGTCAGGAATAATCTGGAATCAGCCGATATACACTGCATGTGGTGGCGTGTAGCATTTCCTGGGGTTGGGCGAATGCTCGAGGTCGAATGGGAAGAAAGGGGTGTCGCAGCTGCCGATGATGTCAGTCGTCCCCCTTGGTCAACGACATGGCATAGTCTGTCGGATGGTTTGGTTTTTGAGACCTCTAAGCTTCGTAGGCGGATACCGACAACTGCGCTGCCTAGGTTGATAGGTGTATCGTATCATCGTACGGTGCTTGCACCTCTTCTTCAGGTCCATCGACTATTTTTGATCGGCCTCATTTAGACCACACAAGCTATGTCATGGGAATCCACTCTGGCACCAAGCCCATTATTGTCCATGCTGCTCCATACGGTACGCTGTAAGAGATTACCGGTGGCATCCAAATTACCGACCGGCGTTATCTCTTTGTGCGTCTATTATTATTCCCAACACTAAGCGGTAGTCAGAATTAGTGCGAAGAATCATAATAATAATGAAAAGTTTGACCAGGAGCGTGTTTCAGTGTGCAGTGGAGCTCCGAGAGGCGGTTTGTTCCACTCGTCAGACCCTGAGACCCCTGGGAGGCCCAATCATTCAGTTTTGGGGCGGCGGTTTATGATTAGGGCGGGGGCCGCGTTGCCACCAACAGGGCGCACTGCCTCGCGGGAGGTTGTTGGAATGCAGGATGAAGTCGCGGGATGTCAGCAGTATCTATAGATATAGCCCAAGCAGGATGCGATAACGTGTTTCATCTGCAGCCGGCAGATGAACGCAGAGCTGCGGTTGATTGACTGTTGATCGATTGTCCACTGATCTCTTCAAAATGTGGTCTCAAGAGAAATTCCCTACTCCGTGCGGTAAAGTACGGGCGGCCAGGGATGTTTCGAGGGTCAGGAACCTAAAGCGCCCAGCGTGGCCAATGGCACTTCAGATGCGAAGCACTCGGCCCCACTCGTCAAGAAACGACAAGCAATTATTGGCAGAGACAAGAACCCTGGCCAAGCCGAGGTGGCCGTAATACCAATGAAACATCTCGGGTGGGTCCCTGAGACCCCAATCAGGGAGCCAGACCCTGGGCCAGTCTCACCCGGCGAAGAGTGAAATGTCTCCCCGAATCCTCCGTGTTATTCTTAGCACCGGCCATACCAGCGGTTTCTTGGGATACAACGGCCGTACATCGAGGACTTGGCGATGCGCTGAACATGATCGCCTCTCGAGATCTTCGAGAACGACCTGTCCGACTGAAGCGATGAGGCAGTGAGAAGTAGTAGACCCGCGATACAACAGAATAGGACCGGGCGTCTTCAATAATCGCAGGACCAACAGTCGATCGGCAACGGATCAACAGGAACCAATTCAACCGCATTACGTAGCCCGTAATACAGGGGCCTGGTGTTTGCCTTAGTCTCGCCCATAGTCGCCGCCCCTTCGACTCCTCCTTTTTCCCTCGTCTCCTCTCGCCCTCCATCTCCTCTTCTTACTTCTTTCCCATCATTCCCTCCTTCGTTGCGCTTTGCTTCGACTCTTTTCTCAACTAACTATTTCCACGGCGAAGTGTGTCGGCCGTCAGTCATTCGTTGTTTTAAAGTCGACCTTTTTTCCTTTCCGTGTTTATCTTTCCAAACCCCAGGTTGATAATCCTGGTTTGCCGATCAGCAACACGCGTTCTTTTACGGAGTACCAGCGATCTTTAATACTTGATACACATCATGAAGTTCTCGACCGCCCTCGCCGGCGCTTCGCTGATGGGCAGTGCCCTGGCGAAGCTGCCTGCCATCGAGTCGAAGGTATGCTCATCATGCCACCCCGCGGCGCATCGGCTTCGGTCGCATCGCATTTGCTAACCACCGGGCCATGTAGGGTAACAAGCTCTTCTTCTCCAACAACGGCACTGAATTGTAAGTTGCACTTCTGACTCCGTATTCGGGTTCAATCACTAACTGTCTTCACTAGTTTCATCCGTGGTGTTGCTTACCAGCGTATGTGAACAAATCAACAACTGCGACAGTCTGGGATAGACACTAACCCCCTCGGCAGAGGAATACCAGGCCAACGGTAGCACCAGCGACAACAAGGACTACAAGGACCCCCTTGTCAGCCTGGACAACTGCGAGCGTGATATCCCCTACCTCAAGGATCTGCGCACCAACGTCATCCGTACCTACGCCGTCGACCCCAAGGGTGACCATGACGCCTGCATGAAGGCGCTCGATGAGGCCGGTATCTACCTGATCACCGATCTGTCGGCCCCCTCCGAGTCGATCATCGACCAGGACCCCAAGTGGGATGTCGACCTCTACGCTCGTTACACTAGCGTGATCGACGCCTTTGCCAACTACACCAACGTGATTGGTTTCTTCGCCGGTAACGAGGTTGCCCACAAGAAGAACTACACCAACTCCATGGCGTTCGTCAAGGCCGCCGTCCGTGACACCAAGAAGTACATCAAGGCCAAGGACTACCGTACCTCCCTGCTCGTCGGATACGCCACCGACGACAACGCCGACACCCGTGAGGACCTGTCCCAGTACATGGTCTGCGGTGACGAGGATGCCCGCATCGACATGTTCGGTTACAACATCTACGAGTGGTGCGGTGACTCCAGCTTCGACCAGTCCGGCTACAAGGCCCGTACCGAGGAATTCAAGAACTACCCCGTGCCCGCCTTCTTCTCCGAGTACGGCTGCATCGACCCCCAGCCCCGTAAGTTCGGCGACGTCCCCACCCTGTTCGGCCCCAAGATGAACGACGTCTGGAGCGGTGGTATCGTCTACATGTACTTCCAGGAGGACAACAACTACGGTCTGGTCTCCGTCGACGGCGACAAGGTCAGCACCCGCAAGGACTACTCCTACCTCTCCTCGCAGATGCAGAAGGTCACCGCCACCGGTGTCAAGAGCGCCGACTACTCCGCCAAGACCGCCGAGGCTTCCTCCTGCCCCAAGGTCGGCAAGGACTGGGAGGCCGCCGAGAAGCTCCCTCCTTCTCCTAACCCCGACCTCTGCGAGTGCATGGTTAAGTCTCTGTCCTGCAAGGTCAAGGACTCCGTCAAGTCCAAGGCCTACAAGGATCAGTTCGACTACATCTGCGCCCAGGTCGACTGCGGCGGTATCCAGGCCGACGCCACCAAGGGCAAGTACGGTGCCTACAGCGTCTGTGACGCCAAGCAGCAGCTTTCTTTCGTCATGGACCTGTTCTACCAGCAGTCGTCCGACAAGAGCCAGGCCTGCGACTTCAGCGGCAAGGCTGAGACCCAGGACGCCACCGAGGCCAAGGGTACTTGCGCCTCTCTCATGAAGGATGCTGGCAAGAAGGGCACCGGTACCGTCACCGCTTCCCCCACCGCCGGCGGTGCCGGTGCTGCCAGCACTGGTGACAGCTCTTCCACCTCCGAGGGCGCTGCCGGCGTTACCTCCCCCTCTGCCGTGCACGTTGGCAACTGGCAGTTCGGTGCTTACCTCGTCAGCGCTCTCGTCGCTGCCGCTGGTATGATCATGCTGTAAAAAGCCAAGCATTTTTAAGATGACATAAACTGGATGTGTGTGGTGTTGGCAAGTTGTGGAAGTTGTATTTGAAATCTAGAGTGTTTTTCAGGAGTACATAGTTGCAATCTTCAATTATATTCCTTCATTATTATTTATTTTGCATTGCTGCACCGAGTCAAGACCAGGTACTCGTTCTAGACCACGTAGAATCCTGCAACGCCTAACGTGCTAGTCCAACGTGTTTGACGTGGAGGTACCTGACGCTCCACCTCGGCAGGGCAGGCCGAGCACTCACAATCGGGCTGCCACAGGCTCGGCCGCACAACGGGATGCCGAACGGAAAAGAATCCGGTCTAAGATATATAGCTCCAGGGCCGGGCTATTTTGAGCCATACAATTTTTTCAATTCAGTGTTTTGTTCCGAGTCCGTTGTCCGTACCAATCAGCCAAACTATCCCCATCCGAGCCACTTTAATCGATCCATACATGCACATGCCGACAGAACACGGCTACATCCGCAACCCTAACTGAAATCCTCCCATCCACTCCACCCCAATGGGCGACCCCGAATCGCAAACCACCACCACCGCCATCAAATCTCCCCAAAATGGCTACGAGCTGCCCTTCTGGCGCAAGAGCATCATCCTCTTCGTCGTCAGCTGGATGACCCTCGCCGTCACTTTCTCTAGCACCTCCCTCCTGCCCGCGACCCCGGAGATCGCCGCCGAGTTCCACACCACCTCCGAGACGTTGAACATTACCAATGCCGGCGTGCTGCTGGCCATGGGCTTCTCCTCGCTGATCTGGGGGCCGCTGAATCATCTCATCGGGCGGCGGATGTCGTTCAACATCGCTATTCTGTTCCTGTGTGCCTGCTCGGCGGGTACGGCCGCCGCTGTTGATATGAAGATGTTTACGGCGTTTCGCGTGCTGGGTGGTCTGACGGGGACGTCGTTTATGGTCTCGGGGCAGACTATTCTGGCGGATATCTTTGAGCCGGTTTGTGGTCCCTTGTTTACTTGTGTTGTGGGTCGGTTGGTTGATGTGTGCTAGGTTGTTCGTGGGACGGCGGTGGGATTCTTTATGGCCGGCACGGTGACGGGTCCTGCTATCGGTGTGTTCTCCTTCTTTCATCTTATCTTTTCGCTATGCGCAATCCAGTCCGATAGAGTTGAAGAAGAGTGCTGACCAAACAGGCCCCTGCATCGGCGGCATCATCGTCACCTTCGCCAGCTGGCGCAACATCTACTGGCTGCAAGTCGCCATGACAGGGTTCGGCCTGATCCTGTCTCTACTGTTCGTACCGGAGCTTAAATCCCAAGGCAAAGCCGAGTCGACGACGGACGAAAAGACGGACCAGGAACCCGAGAAGCCCAAACACTCGGCCCTCTCGGTCATCCGCATGTTCAATCCCATCCACATCGTCAGGCTTCTCATCTACCCTAACATTCTACTTGCCGTGAGTCCTCCCAACCCCTACATTCTTTCTCAGTTTGCTAAAGGAAAGAAAAAGGATCTAACATGCGGCCTCCTCTCCACATTCCAATACACCATCCTCACCTCCGCCCGCTCCATCTTCAACCCGCGCTTCCACCTCACCACCGCGCTGATCAGCGGCCTCTTCTACCTCGCCCCCGGCGCCGGCTTCCTCGTCGGCAGCATCGTCGGCGGGAAATTCTCCGACCGCACCGTCCGCAAGTGGATCGCGCGGCGCGACGGTCTGCGTCTGCCCCAAGACCGTCTGCACAGCGGCCTGGCCACCCTGTTCGGCGTTCTCCCTGCCGCGGCGCTGGTCTACGGCTGGACGCTGGATCAGGAGAAGGGGGGCATGGCGGTGCCGATTGTTGCGGCGTTCTTTGGGGGTTGGGGCCTCATGGGGTCGTTTAATGGGTTGAATACTTATTGCGCGGGTATGTTTCTTTCCCTTACTTCTCCCTCATTCTCTAGTTTGTCTTGTGTGAATGGCGTTGATCAGGACTAATAAATGCTAATAAATGGAGTAGAAGTCCTCCCGCATAAACGCAGCGAAGTCATCAGCGGGAAGTACATCATTCAGTATATTTTCTCCGCGGGGGCGAGTGCGCTCGTGCAGCCGGTGATTAATCACATCGGGGTGGGCTGGACGTTTACTATTTGTATGTTCCCTCCCTTTCCCCTCTCCTTCGGGGTTCTGTTTTGCTCCGGAACGCACATTTCAAGTATCTGTACTAACATGGTAAAAGGCGTCATCTTCTCCATCATCGGCGGCTTCTTAGTCCTCATCATCACGAAATGGGGCATTGATATGCAGCGGGCTGTGGAGAGAAAGGTGCCGATTCCTGGAGCGGGGAAATAAGTACCTCTTCATCTGTTTAGACTTGTTGATTTTATTCCGAAAAGTGGGTTCAATGGTTTTATTTCGGAAATACCTGTGCATTGTTCCGTTGCGTCGTGGTTTGGACATTGCATTGTGTCGCATTGCATTGCATATTTTCGGGCATATAGATTATAGACTAATGATTGATGATAGTGAATGATAGATTAGAATAGAATATAATGTTATCTTTTACCATGATTTTGCAATATCTATTGCGTGCATATACTCTAGACTAGACAAAGCTTAATATATATTTTTGAATTAAAACTCGGCTGTATATACCCCAAAAGCAAAGATCAAATACCCTGACTCGTAAAAAAGCTCTCCTCACTCATAAACGTATCCACCGGGTGCAACAACCCCAGATCGAAATCCGACTGCGCCAGAAAATCCTGCATCGTGGGTTCCATGAATGCCATCGCCGTCGTGAACCCCGGGACGGCTGTCGTGCCGTTCCCGGCCGCCGTGGCTGGGAGAGCATACCCTGATAAACCGAGGGGTTCGTCTTCGGGGGTTAGGATGGAGGTATTATTAGGGACAGCGGCTGCAGTTGCGGTGGAGGTGGTGACTAGAGGGATTGGAGTAGATTCGACCGGGGGAATGGTTGAGTCAATATTCGAGGTTGCAGATGAGGAGGAGGATGGATTAGCCTCGCGATACCGACCAAGGCACTCCTTGACCTGGACGAGATTCATATGGAACTCGGCCGCGGCGAGATTGCCGTTCTCGCTCATGGAGCGCATCATCTCGAGGCTGGTTTCGAAGGCGCCGAGATCGGACGGGCTGCCGATGGGGAGGAAGCTGGCCATGGCGAGGACGAGGGCGAGGGAGAACAGGTAGTGCGCGTGGAAGTAGCCGAAGACGGGGAGCGAGCCGTTGATCCATTTGGTGAGGATGACGGAGTAGGAGTGGCGCGCGGCGTGGATACATGCTTCGCCGAGGGTGAGCACGGGCTGGGAGATGTCGGTGGTGCGGTTGTTGATGAGGAGGTGGAGGAGGGTTGGGCGGGTGGTTAGTATGACGCACTTGTTGGGTTAGCTGGTTCGTGGGTGGAATGGGGTGGAGGATGGGCACTGACTTGGTTGAAGGATAGATGTAAGGAGCTGATCGACTTGCGGTTCACCTCGAGGTCGTCTTCGTTTAATCGCAGGTGCTCGGGGAGTGTTTCCACCCAGTGCTTCAATGCCTTCAGCAGTTTCTGGACCCGCTGCAGAAATGTCTCACTGTATTTGCGGCGACTGTATAGTTTAGCGATTGTGTCGCCGACAATGCGCGCCAGTTCGATGTTGGCGGTCAAATGGTCGGTGTCAGAGAACTGTTCGTTGTGCAGCTGCACCGGACTTATACTCGACGGCATGTCCAAGTGAATGTCGTCGTCGAGAATCTGCGACGGCTGTCCCATCTTGGACCCCCACGTGCGGTCGAACACGTATATCGTCCACCAGATTCGCAGACGGTGTTGTCGCTCCACCGGGTCGATAAGCTGCGTCTCCGGGATGTTGTGGTTCATCCCAATGGACAGACCAAGGCGCATGGCTGTTCCGACTAGAACCAGTGCGGAATGGCGCCGATTGAGATAATATGAAAACAATGACTGCTCCCGTCAGTAAATGTCAATACGCATTGAAGACGTACAGACCAGGAGTAGCAAAGTCTCCAGATGAGTGATATTCGTCCGCTCTGGCGGTACCTGCACCAGACTCAGAGCGCGAGCGAAGTACGCCGTCCCCGGGACCCTGGAGCCCGTCGACGGCTCCGCTCGCATCGAGTAGGCCTCTCCGAAGGCGAACAGCGCGAAGAACTTGCATTTGTTCACCGTGCATTCAAAGTTTCCGGTGCGATAGATGTCCTCCAGCTTCTCCAGCGTCGACTTGCGCATGACCAAATGATACATATGGCAGACCTGCCGCATGGCAATCTTCACCAGCAGACGCGCCTGCTGCAGACTCGGCCATTGCACGTTCGCCGTATTGGCCGCGGTGATGCTCTCGTCCTTGACGTACTGCGTGCGTGGGATATGCGCGGTGGCATTGTTGCCCGTGAGAAAGCGACGGAACCGCGTCGCGAACGCCGTGCAGGCCGCCTCGCCGACGTAGAGAGGCGGCGCAGAGGGGTCGTAGCGATGGAACCAGGCCCGATCGCCGATCAGAGGATTGCGCACACTGGTGTTGCCCTCGTCTGGCCCGTCCGTGGCGTCTGTAGGGCGCGCCGGGCCGTTCTCGGCCTGCTCCCGATCTGCTTCGGCGCGTGATGCCGAGGCGGATTGCGCCTTCAGCCGTCGGTTTTCCGCAACGAGTTCGTCCAGAAAGCTTTTCATACGTGCGATTAGCTCGGAGTTTATGATTGCTGCATACGTAGTGAGTCATATTTGCTCTCGTACCTTTGGTTCACTTTGATCTGGCGGTCTCGAGCGGCGTATTCGCATTCGTCGGCACAACCCACTTGTCGACATTTGGCGCAGGGCTGGTCGCCGGAACATTTGATTTTGTGTGCATGACAGCGCTGGCATCTATACAGCTGCGGTATCAGATTATAGTTGATAAAATGGGTGAAGAATGTGATATAGGGGAGTGGGTCACGCACGCGACAAACTTCCGCCGCTTGGAAAGCTCTCCCCTTGGCTGATCGGGGGATCGCGGGCGCCGGCGGTTCATTGTTGAGTGCAATCAATTGCTCCTTGCTTGACCGCGAGCCGAGAGAGTAGGACAGAGTTCCGAGAGACACGTTGGGAGGTCGTAAGGCAGAGTTCGGTGGAAAATCACCGATGCCGAGACTCGGGAGTTGTCGCCGAGGCTGACGTAAGGGAATGACAGCCCTCAGAATCAGGCATCAGCTTTCATCTATTTGGCATGTGATCCGGCGTGTTTCTTATCTCTGCAACTCTCGACAAAACTGGCATCTCTGGATCTATCCACATCATCTATATTATCGCAGCTATGAAGAGAATCTATCAAAATGTTCTATCAATCACCCATCTACTAGATCTCGATACCCTCTAGTACTCGAGCCACATTGGCATGGCGTGGTGTCAGTTTGATGCGGAATGGGACAGGCGATCGGCCAGACAGGCCATCATACTCTTTCAAGTCGATAGGCTCTCCTCGAATCTCGGCCATGTCGAAAGCCCAGAGCATTCGAGAGATCGTCAACCAGATCTCTCGTTCCGCCACGATCATACCTGGACAGATCCGACGTCTAACAATTAGCTTGACTCGAGGGAACGGAGGGCAGGGGTACAAACCCAGCACCAAACATCCAGTGGTCGCGTTTCTCGGGATCAGCCAAATTGGCACTCTCTGCTGACGTCAAGGGATCATGGATGTACCGATCGGGCTAATTTGGCTTAGCAGCTGATTCCCGGACGCAGGGTAAGAGTGACTTACATTGAATAGATCCGGCTGAGAATACTGTGCAGGGTTATGGTGCATGGTCCAAGTATTGAGAACAACGACTGTATCTTTGGGAATGAAATTTCCTCGGTAGACAAAGTCCTCGCTGGCTACATGCGGCGTTCCCAACCAGAAGGGATTGTGGACTCTCTCGACTTCTTTGACAATGGCATGGCAGTATGGGAGGTTTTTCTCATCTTCAATTGTTGGGAGGCGGTCTCGTCCAACAACTCGGTCGAGCTCGGCCTGTGCCTTCTCCTGAACTTCAGGGAAAGCGGGAATTAACGCAGAAAACCATTGCATGATAGCGGCAGTCTATGCGCGATTAGCATTGATGAGAGACGGATCTAAGGAACAATATCTCACAGTTTCGACACCACCAATCATGAAGGCCGAAGCCAGGATCGCCATGTCCAGGTCGTCGAGTTGCTCTTTGTCCCTGACTTCAATCATGGTCTTACCGAGACAATCTGGAACATTGTGTCCCTCTGCCAGTTGTCTTTCGATCTTCCTGAGAAGGCCTCCGTATGTCTCAACTAGCCCTCGATGGAGCCTTTTGCCACGTTGGTGCATCGGCGTGGGAAGATATTGGAGCAAGGGAATAAAGTCAACCAGATTCGACATAGGACCGGTGCAGTTCCTACGGATAGATGTCAGCGGTTGCTCAAAGGAAGATAGTGGCCACTGACATGAACTCGCGACTGAGTTTCAATGCTTGCTTGACGAGTGGGTGTTCAATGCTATCCGTCCGGAAGCCAAAAGTGATCGTGGTCATATTGTTGAGAGAACAACGACCTGCGTGAGGCTATAAATAGAATGAGTATACAGAGCACTAAGATGAGTTGGATGTCATACTTGAGGATTGACAGGTACCTTGCCCTGCTGGCTTTCATCAAACATTGCTTTGACCAAGGACATGGACTCTCGGTCGAGGGTCTCCGTGTACGAGTCAACAGCCTTTTGGTTCAACCATGTGGATGCAATCCGACGATGTTTACGCCTGGTGTTTTATCATGTTAGACTATACAGACCGAAGAACCGTGAGCACATACCATCGGTCGTTGTACTGGGTGGCGGTAATGCCCCGGCCTGCGAAGACAGTCTGACTCTTGATGAGCATTTCCTTTCGCGATGAAAAGACATTGCCATTGGTCACCATCAAATCTTTGGCAATATGAGGATCCGACACAATCATAAACAACTGGTTACCTAGCCAGATGGAGTACAAGCTTCCGAACCTCTTGGCCCAGTAGTCAAGGGTAAGCTCAGGGTACTTGGTCAGAAAAGGAAAAGACCCTAACGCGGTGAATCAGACCCATTCAATGCTGAGAAATGGAGCTCACATACCAAATATAGGAAGACCTAGCGGTCCATTTGGGATCTTATTGCCGTGGCCATCACGCAGCGGTCGTCCAAACAAGCCTAAGGATAGAAGACATATCCCAATAACCAAGGTCCACAAAACTATGGCAGAGGCGCCTTCGAGGAGAGCAATGCTTTGAGAGGGGAACTGTGTCACAGAAGATATAGCAGTGAAGAAACCCTCACTGGTGCTAATTCGGCTTGACATGTTGGCGAAGAGATGTCTGTCCGAAGCGTGTCGAGTCGCAAGTTGAAGACTCGAGAAGGGACCTACAAGCTTATATTTGGTTCCTGACGGCAACTTCAGCTCGCAGGAGGAGAAGGATCTCGTATGTCTCACCGAGGCCGAAGAGGCGTATTCGCCATCACGAATTGCCGCAACAGGAAGGACCCCAGCTGGAACTCACATGGTCGGGAGATGTAGTACTTCTGCTTGATCCTGTATGACGCTACATATCCCTGTATGGGGCTGGACCAAGCCATGGTCTGACCTGCTGGGGGAACGTTGCCCTGAATCTTCAGCCTATGCGAAGGGATATCATTTATCCGGGATAAGACCTATGCCGATGCTAACCACACCTCAAAATGCTCACCCACCCAACACCACCAAGTTGAGATCTGACGTGGATCCTCGGTTAGCTACGCTTGAGTCAACATTCTCCGATTCCAGATGACGCCATTCGTGTTGAGAAAAGTTGTCGTGATAGTCTTTTGAGTTTCCACGCGACAGACGAAACCGCCGATATGCGCCAACCCAATGTGGTTAGCGCTTGCATCAGCCAGCTGCGGTTTGTCGACAATTCGGACCCTTTTTGTCGGACAATAATTGATTTCAAGCCTCCGGTGGCAGCTGAGTGAGCATTTGGCTTCTGACAGGTCTCAATGACCTCCACCATGGTCGGACACGAGCTGGAGCGATTGAAAGCATCATTTGCCTAATCCGGGCGGCAGTAAGATCCCCCGGCGTTGCCCGCGGGCAACCCTAAATTTCTGCACGCCACCAACGAAGAAATCCGCTCGTCCGTGAGTCAGTCAATCCTCAAAACCAGTGGACTCCGCCGTTGTCATTCGCGTTCCATACATTTACCACTTCTTCAATGTCCGAATCTCCTTTAGCACGACTTCCCTCTTGGCTGAGCCGCTGGCTTGGCTATCGGTCGACTGCCCCGAAGCCTCTCCCGCCGTATCTGACGTGGTTTTGGTCTTTCATTGCGGCGTTCTGCGGTCTGTCGGTGGTCCAGGCCATTTTCAACTACTCCCAGTATTTTCTCGACCGTGGTGTACCCGGAATTATCGCTTCGTTTGTCAGTAATCTTCCTCGTTAACCGTACATGCAATTTCCTAACATGTAGCGTATGGACAGGGAGCCTCGGCAGTACTATGCTTCGGTGTTATTGACAGTCCACTGGCGCAGCCTCGCTCGCTCATTTTCGGGCATTTCTTCAGCGCACTGGTCGGAATATGTATCACCAAGCTCTTCAGTCTCATGCCCGATGAAGAGCGATTCAATTCCTTGCGCTGGCTGGCCGCCTCGCTCTCGTCATCCGTGGCCATCGTGGTGATGCAGATCACCCAGACCACGCATCCCCCGGCGGGCGCGACGGCGCTTCTTCCCGCCGTCGACCAAGCTGTCTGGGAGCTTTCCTGGTATTACTTGCCAGTGGTGCTGCTGTCCTCGACAATGCTTATGGCGGTAGCTCTGCTGGTGAATAATATCCAGCGGCGGTATCCGGTTTTCTGGATCGCCCCGGCCAAGCCGGCGGTTCTTCCGCAGACGAATGCGAAGTAGCTGTACGGAGTCATGCAAGGTAGGTATCTCGATCCTTTGAAGTGGGTCATGTCTAATGCGTTATAGAATAAGCCAACCATAGCTGCATAAGTCGACAGCTTCGTGTTGAGCTTCCTATACATAATTAACCACCGAATATAATGGCATAAGCGCTACCTGCATAGGGTAGCGATCCAGCGATCAAAATCCTGAGGGGCTTTATTTATTTATCTTTAATGAATTCATTCTGCATGAAAAGTAGTCAACACTAACATTGCCACCCAACGGTTGAATCCTTTTGTTAGTTACGCTGCAACAACCTCCGCACCATCTTTTCTAGACGGGGAGATTATTAGAATTGTGATCCAGGATAATGAAAATTCATTTATTTCTATTTCCAGGTTATATTACGAAAACAAACTGATTTAAAAGATGGGGCATTATTTAAGGCTACAGCAGGCTACGAAGCTAAGCCTCGTTGCCTTGAGTCACCGTCAACAAGGCTGACAATCAACTATTTATCCTCCTCCCCCGCTCTTTGTCTCTCCAACTCTCTCATTCCACCAACATACACACGCACCATCATGTCGCCGCCCATCCACACGCAATCCCAAAGCCCCCTCTTCGCCCTCCCCGCCGAACTGCGCCTCCTCATCTTCTCATATGCGCTCACGGAATCCCTCGACCTCCGCCGTCCCTACAGCCCCGACACCTACTACTACCGACCAGGCTACACAGCCCCGCCCACTATCCATACAGCCCTTCTTCGCACCTGCAAGCGCATCCACGCCGAAGCCCACTATTTCCCCACCCAACAAGCCGAACACACGTTCTTTCTCTGCTCCAAATACCGCGCCCCGGACTTCATCTGGATCCCTCATCTCACGAGCATCCTGGAACACAACCACTCGCGGTACGGCCCGCTCGGCACTCCACACATCCAAGTCTTCGCGCAGCTCTACCGCCTCGAAAACGACGACGACCTCCAACGGGTCCTCGACATCCCGCACCTCGACCCCCGCCACGTTACCCTGACCATCCGCCACACCGACTTCTGGTTCTGGGAGAACTGGGAATCCCTGCGTCTCGACGAGGGCTGGGTGAATAGAACACGGTTCCCGAACACCGTCACCGCGTTCGACATCCAAATGGAGACGATTGTCCAGCGCGCGGGGGAGATCGACTACCTTGCGAAAGAGGCCGCGACGAAGTGGTTTTTCCTGCGCAAGGACGGCCGCGTCCTCGCTGCCGACACGAAGGATATGAGCGTCGACACCTGGACGGGCAGTTCGGTGCTGCATGATGCCCGATGGGTGCGGGATGAGCGCAGGCCGGGGGAGCTGGATTACCATGTTGTTACGGTGCGGTGGAAGCTGGTGCCGGAGGACAGGGTCGATGCGCTGGGCTTTGATCTGACGGCGCCCCGGCCCAAGATCAGTGTGCCGGACCATGTGGGACTGGGGGAGCCTGCGTTTGAGGGCCCCAGGTCCATTACTGTGGCGGATATGGAGCGCCTGAGTATTACGAAGGAGATGCCGTTGGATGAGGTCCTACAGGCGCTGCGGGGGGCGAGGCCGAGTGGGCAGAGAGCCAGACGGAATTATCGTCGGAGGAGAGTCGCGTCTGAAGGGGTTAACTATTGACGTACATGTATGTCTTTGCGAAGAAGGATTTTATGACACCAGTCATGAGCCTGAATGGTTGAAGTGCGTGATGTTGGACTAGCATTTAGCTGACAGAAACTAGCACATTTAAAGAATACCCTGTATAGATATTGAGCATTTCGTTAAATCTGCTGACCATACTTATTTAACAGGGAAGCAACCATCCCGACGAAGGATGCATCACCCACATCATAAGTAGAATGTGGTTAGCACCAGAAGATAGTGCCTTTAATCAACCATCGAGAGTCAACGAACTTAGACTGTTTTCTGACATTCGGGATGTTCAAAATTCTGGTGATCGACACGTTGAAGTTTGGTTGAGATCTGTAGGAGGCAAAATAAGTTACGGGATCAACATAGATGTGGTCTAGATATAGTAACAGCCAAGCAGGTCGCTTCATGATTCGACGGGTAATCTTCATTCTCCATAGAATGGACAAGACTAGACGGTTCCACAGTCCCCAGAGCTGAAGATACTTTGTCATACTTTGCTACTTTGGATATTATCATGGATAGTGGTTCTGAAAGCGAATTCTTTGGAAAGAAAGCTTAATATTATCTTTTAATAGAGATTTTGAACTCACCTAAATAGAAACTAGTAGTTATAGGAGGGAGGTCTATGGACAGGTCGCAACTTATTTTGCCAAGATTGTTCTCATAGTCTCTAAATGTGGATGTTATGTACCAACATGAATAATAAGATAAGGTTAGTATTAAAATTGCATTTTTATATAAATGAGCAAAAGAAAAAACTATTCTTATGAAAAGCTAGTCTGACATTTGGACTTAAGAAATAAATGGTTAACTTTCTCTGACGTTGAACGTTATTTACGAAGGAAAGACGTTAAAGGCAATCCATATTGTCAGTAATAAATGTCAAATATAATGGGATTCTCCAGTTTAACAATACAATATTGAGTTAGATGTGCGAAAGACGGAGAGTGACCGGAGGGCGTTGCACGCTGCACCTTCCATTTGTCTGCAAAGACATGATACCATTATTCATTGACTAGCTGAACAATGCACTTGGCTTCTTTGGAGTCAGATTGACTCTAAGAGGTTACGTTAGCACATGTACAAGGGCGGATGACCTCTACTACGCATGTCATACTCAGGGTTTGAACCGCATATGCAAGGGCCTCTTCTTTCGGAAAGTCAGCCCACGATGCTGAGAGGGGTTCAGAGGACGTGAGGCTTGTCGCTTACCTAGAATGAATCCGAATAGAATGCAGATGGAGATCTGACGTTGGGGGTAGAGTTTCTTAGGACGTAGATCGGATTTGGCAGCTAGGGAGTCGGATTAGAAGGTTTGAGGCTTTAATTCGCATGCAAAAACCGGAGCAAATGACCAAGCCATTGCCACTGGAGCTAAGTCTATGCAGGCCATCAGATCCCCTCGCGGTCCCTTGCTTCTACCGGGTCCGAAGCCCAATGAAATTAGCGTGGACATGAAGCAGAACCGCGTCTTTCAACCAAGGTATGCATGAAACTCAAAGCGTAACTTGACGTGAGCTAAAATATACGATCCAGTGGTACGTAAAACATCCCACCACGCCAAACGCCCCACACGAGGATCAAAGGATTAAAGCTTCTTCACTTTCGAGGATGGCGCGAACCATTGCAACCCCTTGCAGAACGGTTGGGACGAGACCCCGAAGCCTCACTCTCTGTTAGTCTGTGGAGCGTCGCTGGAACGAGATAAACACAGCTGCATGATGACAGAAAGCGCCGACTCCAAATCATGATGTAATAGGATTCTACAACAGTCCACCACTTCTCGGTGGTGAAGGGGAAAAGGTATGAATTGATTGGGTTCCCTCTAATCAGTCATGCCTTTTCTGATAGCCAGGAGCAATGAAAAGCATTCCATACACACACAAAATGGAAGAGATTTATCCTGCAGATGACACCACTTCATTCCTTGCCCAGCCTATACCGCACAGGTTCGAGCTTGGGCAGGGCTATACTCTCCGCAGACATCGCTATGAGCAGCTAGGAGACGAAGGCACCTTCAATTGCCGGCGCGATTGGGTCAAATACATCGGTCCCATCGGCCCATGGGGCAACAGCAATCCTTGGGATGGTAACTTCTGTTCCGTTGTGATGCCTTTCTGCAAGCCAGAGAGACTGAGTTCTCCTATATCACGGAATGTGCGTATCTCTCCAATACTTGCCTTTTTCATGCATAGCCAACGTGCTGACCGTTGTTGAAAGTTGCTTTTATGTACGATAATGTCCTTGAGTCGGCTGCACAGGCAGCAAAAGCATTGGTCAGTTGACTAGTCTCCAACCATATTCGACGTGAACACTGACCTCACCGTGAACTAGATAAATACGAATACAGAGGACATTCTGATGGATGAGCACAAATACCGCACAATCCGATCAACGATCGGTACGAAGCAAATCCAGGCCAAGATGATGCTAGATCTCCTCCTGATAGACAAGCCCTGCGGGGAAGCGATAATCAACGAATGGAAAAGAATGGTCAAGACGACGGCGGGCTTGGATAAAGCTCGTCATTTTAAAAACTTGGATGATTATATTGAGTATCGCATTGTGGATACCGGAGCACCGTACGTTGCGTTGTGCCCTGATCCTTGAAGATCCAGGGAATACTGATACACATCAGATTTACTGACTGTCTAATGCGATTTGGCACGGGAATCCTCTTATTCCCCGAGGAACAGGAACATGTCTATCCCATTGTACGACCGTGTTACGCGGCGCTTGGCCTGGCGAATGACTTCTACTCATTTGACGTGGAGTATGACGAGCTTTGCAACACCGAGGCCACTTCCATGACCAACTGCATTTGGCTATACATGCAATGGGAAAACCTGCCCATCGCAAAGGCCAAAGAGAGAGTGCGAGAAATAACCTCTCGATACGAGGCTGAGTTCCTCGAGCGTTCTCAGCATTTCTGCGAGAACAGCCCATGCTCGAATGAGAGGACGAGGTATTACCTTCATGCTCTTGCACATATGGTTACCGGCAATATTTCATGGAGTCAACACTGCCCTCGCTATCATCCAGCGCTTCGGGATGGAGCTAGTAAATGTTTTGGGTTAGCCGATGGGGTTGCGCCCAGTCCAGAGCCTGAAGCGAAGCTTTCAAAGCTCCGGACAGACCAGATGGGCTTGAACAGAGAAGATACGATCCATGTGGAGTGCACCCAGCCTACCAGGAACCCCTCTTACAGTTCAGGAACAAGTATTAGCGAATTCAGCGAGAAAGATGTGTTCTCAAAGCGGTCTTACACACCGGAAAGCGAATCCTCAATGGGTGACACCCCGGACAGTCACGAGAAGAGGCCTTTATTAGGCACAGAGGTACCTATGTTTCCAGATACCAGAAACTCTCCTTCTTACCATTCTTTCAGCATGTGTACGCACCGTTCGAGTATATCTCTCCACTTCCATCCAAGGGTATTCGGGATTCCTTTATCGACTCTTTAAACACCTGGCTTGGGTCTCCAGAAAGGGTCGTCAACCAGGTGAAGTCGATCATCAGCACGTTGCACAATGCTTCTCTCATGTAAGTATTCCCCTCTATGTTCTCAAGTATTTTGCCACTTTCCAGGGACTCACTCCATTTGAGCTTGGACGACATCCAAGACGCTTCGCCCATTCGACGCGGCAAACCTGCTGCGCACACTGTATTCGGCCACGGTCCATCCATCAACTCGGCCAACTTCCTCATATTCCAAGCGCTAGACGAAGCTCGAAAGCTGGACAGTCCGAACGCTGTGGATATCTTCGTGGAGCAGATGCAGACAATGCATGTTGGCCAGAGCTTCGACCTATACTGGGCTCGACATAACAAGTGTCCATCAGAGGCGGAGTACTTGGAGATGGTTCGATGCAGTAAGTTCAAGCCCTCTTACTTTATCACTCCAATGTACTTTGGCTAACGTTGTTGGTTGCAGAAACAGGAGGTCTATTCCGCTTTGCAGTGCGTCTGCTCCTTGATTCTAGACACCAGAATAACCGGTACGTTAACTCACCGCACGAAGATGCTCACATTCTACTAACTTCTATACCTAGACACCTACCACTCGATCACCTCGCCGACCTTCTCGGTCAGCTCTTCCAAATCCGCGACGACTACAAGAATCTAGTCGCAGACGAGGTAAACCATAGACCTACACCGATCCACACCCACAGCTAATCACAACACAACCTACACAGTATACCGTCTCAAAAGGCTTCTGCGAAGACCTCGACGAAGGCAAATTCTCATTCCCGCTCATCCACACCCTCAACACGCAGCCGAACCCGCAAATCGAAGAGATTCTTCACGAAGGCAGAGTGCGAGGCGGTTTGAGTAAACCCATGAAGCTGTTAGTCTTGGAGCAGATTAGGAAGGCAGGGAGCATGGAGTACTCGGAGAAGAGGCTTAGTGAGCTGGTGGAGCAGGTGAGGGAGGAGATTGAGCATGCCGAGGACGTGGCGGGGTGCACGAATTGGGCGTTGAGGCTTGTGCTGTATAAGCTTGAGGAGTAAATAGTGGACTTTGTTTTGATCGGTCTCTATGTATGAAGGATGATGTTTATTCTGATATTACTTAGTAATGATTTGTTTTGTTGATTGAAACGCTTAGTACAGTACCACCAGAGCCGCATCGAAATCTATAGCATAGCTGTGTGGTCTTTAGTTTGTGAATGTCTAGTGATCCATTTCTATCGTCGGGGAGACATTGACAACAGTTGACAGCCATCTACGTAATTCTCTGATGCGCCTATCCCCTAAACATCCATGACCTCAACAAAACCACTATATCCCAGCTAAGCGTTTTCCAGTCCGTAAGGATCATGGCTCGCCAGTCGATCAAGCAAAACTCCCCACCTTCGGTCCGAAGTACTCGCCCTCCGGCATCGCAAGCCGAGTACACGCCTCAGCCTCACAGCCCGACTCTGCATCATTGCCCCACCAGTCAATATGGTAGCCGTGATAGCTAACAGCGAAGAAAATCACCACGCTGGCCAACGCGATGGCCGTCGAGAAGGCCGCCGAAAGCACGTAGTTGTATTTAGCCCAGAACGCGAGGTATCGTGTGCGCAGGTATTTCATGCTGATGTAGGCGGGGAGAACGGCGGGCCACATGTAGGCTATGTTGTACTGTTTTATTCGGGTTGAGTGGATTAGATGGTCTGGTTTCATGGGCATGGGCATGTGGAGGGGGAAAGATGCATACCGGAGACCAATGGATGCCGCCGGCAAGGAGCATGACCGGGTGGACTCTGCGGAACCAATGGGTCTGAGGGACTCGTTTCTGCGCGTAGTAGAATACAAATGGAAGGGCCAGGCCGATGGGAAACGCAGAAAGCAAGGCTGTATATTGTCCGCCTGCGCCGAAGACCTTCTTGGCGCCGATGCTGCCGAAGAGCACCGCGGCGGTGAAGTATGTGTTGACACCGGGGCAGGTGAACCGGTCTTTTTGATTCCTGGGCAGATGTTAGTATTGAGCTTTCCTGGTTGTCATTGGGTCGTAAGCTGGTAATACTCTTCACAGAGATCAGGGATATTTCTGATCTGGAAGTTCATGACGCCGGTGCAGACAAAGGCAGAGACGAATACGGCAACGATCTGTGCCCAGAATGTCTGCCGCTGGGGGATCTTGACATAGTGCGCTAGTTTGAGGTCGTTGGCGAATTGAAGGGCGTGGGCGGTTGTGACATAGCTGGTTAATATGGTTAGGGTTTCTGTTGTACTAAGAAAGTAGGTTCTTCGTACCCAAAGCATTTGAAAAAGTTCATGGCTAGTGCATTCCCTGGTTGCCATGCACCTCCGATGAATTCGGCCAGCACACTGTTTGCATTGTAAGTGATAGTTCTGTCAGTGGCACGGATGAACTCACTTGAACTCAATGTCCATTCCGGTCGTGGCAGAGATAATACCGGTCGGGATGGTGAATATAAGGGCGAGTGCGATTCCAAAGAATACTACCCCCACGCTCGTCTACAGAGATATCTGTTAAATTCCCCATCTGTCTAGTGAGACAAGCAAGGCAGGATTCACAACTTACAAATGTAGGCCAAGCAGCTACGGCACCCACACCAAGAGCAATCGCGAAGACATTCAGGATCATGTACCACCACTCCGGAACTGGACTGTGTTAGTCCTTTGAACATATTGAGGATGTCAATGGACCTACCCTCTCGGTATACCGACATAAGCCTACTGTGAACGTCCTTGAAATCGTCCGTCTGTCTGCCTCTGAAGCTCCGAGCCAAGCTTTTGAAGCCCAAAACGATGTCATGCCGATGGTATAGAAAGGCGTAAGACACGGTCGCCGCATATAGCGCAAAGAAAAAGAAGTACATATTCAGGCTACTGGCAGCAAGGTAGACGGGTGAGTATTGCTGGTACTTACTTTCGTCCAGCCACCCACGGTCGTCGAGAATCATGGAGACATTGTAAGACTTTCCGAAATGGTTAAACATGCCGTTAGTGTTGATGGGGAGGTATCCGGTATGATATGCATTAGTCCAGTAAATTCCGATGATGACAATGCCACCAAGCAAGACACCAAAGAAGGTGTTGATAGTAACGTGGAAAGGGACGATCAATGGGTCAGCAACATGCGTGACAATATTCCAATCGAATGTCGGGAGAGGATTGAACCCTAGACCCTTCTTAATTCCGGAGATGGCGGTGAGGTTATAGTTTGTCGGGGCAATCCACGCCAGCCAGTTGAAGAGACTGAGAGCACCGAAGATATAGTCAGGGAACCAGAAATAGACGAACATGGCCGCGAAAGCAACCATGAAGAATCGAAACCGGGAGATGTTGAAGAATTTCCGGAACGGTCCGATCACCGAATGGTTCTCCTCTAGAAGACGTTAGAAAGGAATGATGAACCGGCAGGATGACAAACCATTGTGCAAGGAGCTATTCAGCGCAATTGTAACCAGGGACCTGGGCCACAGGCAAAATGATGGGTACACTAGAAATCGGCGACACAGACCGGCCAGACCAAACCCCATGAAATCAGTCGAGAGGGCGAGCAGGATTTGATAACCGAATGATCTCGCGTATGGCTGGTCAAAGTATCGTTCCAGCCATTGCGTAAAAACTGCCCATCGTTAACAATAGTTGACAGAAAGAGACCACGAGATCACATACTAATGTATCTGGAACTGGGTAAAGTCTTCCCCACATTGGCCATGATGGAGATGAGCATGTGTTCTTTCTTGTTGAACGGACCAGGATTCAAGCTATGGCGAACGCCAAAGACCTCAAATCCCACGTCAGGAAGGAAGCGTTCAGCGGCCTTTCCAACCGGAAATGCAAGAAATTGAACAATGGCGGCGTCGAGGAAGATGGATGGCTGTCGCACGCTGAAGAGCTGATTGATGAATGCCAACGCAATGACAAATCCTAGCCCAATGACCCAGGCCCGAATAGTGCCACAAGGAAGGCCGGGATTATCAATTGGATCTACTACCGCGCGGACCTCGGAGTATGGACTGTTGGATGTGAGTAGAGAGACCTCGATCTTGGCCATCTCGATTGCACGTTGATGTTTCTCGGGGGTTTCGAAAAGAGCTGCATTGCCGAGGAAAGCGTTCATGCGACCCCAGGCGCCGTGGGGGAAGTTTGGGTCGTGCGAATGAGCCTCCACAATTTGTTGAGCACGCTGATTTGTTCATGTCAGCATTGTTATTGGTGGCTTTCATTGACTTTATACCTCACGAGCATCCTCCAGAGTAAGATCACGCGCGTGTCCCTGAGCCGTGAGCACTTCATCGACCGTGGCAGAGAGACGTCTTTTCTATTAGTGCAAATCTTATACCAGCTCATTCATATAAGCCTACCTGGCCAGCTCATCTCCCTCAAGCTTCATGTCGAGGCCATCCGGCTAATAGTAAATTGTCAGATGAATTCATGAGAGAGCGTGTGAACAAACCTGGGCCTCCGCTGCCACAGCGGGCACAGCTTCAATCTTTTCATTTTCTCCTGTCATGGTCGTATGGAGCAACTCATCTGGCCACATCTCTTCAAGTATCCCAAAGGGGTAGCGCACCACCATCATATATGAACATCTGTCTACAGGCACAGAATGATGCCATGTTCTCCAACTATTTCTCGTTTCCCGGGATATGTATCCCCATTCTTCCATCATTCCCTTTTGCATGGCGTGCTAAAAGCCAGGGAAAAGTCTCACCCGCACTATAAAACGGTGAATTGAACGCTAGCAACAGAGAATTAGCATTGGTCAACAGAGGCTACCTGCGGGGGACTCACCTGTGAGTCTTCCATTTAATTTCGAGAATCGACTTGTCTAATGGCAGCCCATGCAGCGGTCTGCATACGTGACCGGGCTAATACCCTAGATTGGACGGTCGGGTCGCGCAACTTGCGTCTAGTTCCAGCTCACACGGAGACTGTCCTGAAAGAGGTTGGCGCTGCTGGTTTGATCTCTGAGCACTAAGAGCCGGGGGGTTGATTCGTCGGAAGCATGATAAGAGAAGGTAGCTCAATGCCTCACACTCTGCCAATCAAGAATTTTCCACGGCATAGATTCCATGACACAAACTGTTTTGTCCAGTCAGCAGAACAATAACAGGGATTGGAGGTTAAGACCGGCAGAGAAGCTGCAAGGGATGAACAAGACTGACGCATTTCCGACCCACAGTCGCGCAAACACGAGCGGCGCTTACCACCTGTCAAATAACTCCCACCCGAGAATAAATCTCGAGCAAAGTTCTTGAAATATCTGCTGCTATCTAGCCAAGATCACCTACCAAAGCGATCTCGGAGACTTTAGCGTCTGGTGACTCGAGGATGGCGTCGGCTACCAAGGGCGGCTTGCTGGTGCAATATGACTATCCCCAGCGACCAGCATTCCGCTCGCTGCGCCGCTGGCGTCGACCGATCAGCACGATGATTTTGATTGCACTTGTGGTATTGATTCACGTTGGACCATCCAGCAAGATTCTCCCTGCATCGACAACTCCCAGGAAGGACTTCCTGGAGGGCCTACACCAATGTCATGAGGTGCGAAACCGCACACAGAGAGATCGCACAGCGTCGACAGACAGACACAATCCTCGATGGAACCCAATTTCTGGGCAAAAGCAAGCCATCATCATCCAGAACGCGACTTTGTTCGATGGAGATTCCACCCACGATGGGTTGGTTGATATCATTTTGGACGCGGGTGTGATCCGGTCTGTACTTCCCACCCAGTTAAACAACCCGGTGCCCGATAATGCCCGCGTCATTAATGTACAGGGGCGTTTTATCACACCCGGGCTAGTCGATATGCACTCCCATCATCTCTTGCTTCCATTTCCGAAACTCCCGTCCACCAGTGACGTGAATGAGCGCCCACTCCTGGGGCCAATCACTCCGTTCGTGCGTGCTCTTGACGGCTTCAAGCCGTACGACCCGGCGATCAAGATTATCGCATCGGGCGGCGTCACGTCATCTCTGGTTCTACCGGGCTCAGCAAATATTGTCGGCGGCGAAGCCTATCTCGTCAAGAATTTACCGCGCCCGGGTCCGCACGGGGAACCCGTTGTGGAAGAGTTGTTGCTGGAAGATGGCCGTCCAGAAAGCGATCGGCAGAGATACCTCAAGATGGCCTGTGGGGAGAATCCGAAAGGTGTTTATGGCAATACCAGACTAGGCTTGGCGTGGCTATTGCGCGAGCAGCTTGAGAAAGCACGACAACTTCTTGATCGCCAGTCCGCCTGGTGCGACGCTGCATTCGCAATTGAAGAGACACCATTCGCTCAGAGTCACCGTATTTCGAGCTTCCTGGAGAAAGAAGGAAAGCGACCCGAATCGCTTGAATTCGAGACGCTCCTGGCACTCCTGAGAGGCGAGCTTAATGTCAACGTGCACTGTTATGAGCCGGAGGACTTTGAGCGGATGGCCGCGGTCTTGCATGAATTCGGTGTTCATCCTCAGGCTTTCCACCATGCACTTGAGGCATGGCAAGTACCGGAACTTCTGAAGAATTTAGAAGAGTTAGTTCCGTACACTTCACATTTGGACCAACAGCTCATCATTTCAGGAATATTACGATCGCCACGTTTGCCGAGAACGCGCTTTTCAAAGCAGAGGCCTACGGTGCGAATCTGAGAGGTCCGAAGATTCTGGATGACCATGGAGTCAAGGTTGCTCTAAAATCAGTAAGACCACGAGCTCTCCAAAAATAGGGGTCTGATTAACATGGTAAACAGGACCACACTGGAGAATGGAACTATGCCAAAGATCTGATGTAAGTCGAATCATTGCGATGTTGCATGTTTTCAATTGTCTGATTCAACCATAGTCACCAGGCGTCCGTTGCTCATTCGTTCGGTCTGTCGGAAGAAAAATCGCTTCAATCGGTGACATCAGTGCCTGCTCGGTCAATCCAGCAAGACCACCGTATTGGGTATGTTCGCCCTGGGTACGATGCCGATCTCGTCATCTGGGATGATCATCCGCTTCAAGTTGGTGCGACTCCCATTGAAGTATTCATTGACGGGCGCGCTCTTTTGGAACATGATGGCCTAGGCGAATTAGCTGAGAGGACCCTTGGCTTGACTCATCAAGCACCGGCAGTGCGACCATTGGTTTCAGACACCCAAAGAGATGACACTTGTGCGAAAGCCCAGAGACCTAATGCAAGAGTACTCTTCACTGGAATCAAGAGAGCGCTAGTTGACATTCCAGACCGTCTTGATCACCCAGAAGATCTTGTTCTTTTGGTTGATAATGACAAGGTTGCATGTTTCAATAAGAAGTCAGCATGTGTCGCTCATTACAAGGAGGATGAGGTCGCTCGCATTGAATTAAACAATGGCTATGTAACACCAGGGCTTGTGGCCTTTGCAAACAATCTCGGAATTCAGGCCATTCCGCCTGAGAGTTCTACCGGGGACGGAACGGTCAAAAGCCAAGATCTACTCAACGAACAGAAGAGCGTCCATTTCGCAAAATACGGTGTTCACCTCCACGGCAAAGCATTTACTAGAGCTCGAATCGGTGGCGTTACAAAGGCAGTCACGCCGCCACACGGTACTGGTATCCTTCAAGGTGTTAGTGTGGGGGTGCGGACAAGTGAAACAGCTACCATCTTGGAGGGAGGCATATGGAAAGACAACGTTGCCCTTCACTTGGCAATTGGTCAATCTGCCAAGGGTATGAACTTCCATCGGCGTTATTCTCTTCTAGGCTGACCCTCTTCTCTCCTTCCAGACGACAGCACTCCAACTATCTCTTCTGAGATTGAGCGTCTCCGCCAGATATTGGCAAAGGGTCAGGACGATGGTACTTATAGCTCGGGCATCTATGCACAAGCTGCGAATGGCTCACTTCCAGTGGTCGTTAGAGTGTTCAATGAGGTATTTCTGATTCATATCGTCTTTCGGTCTAGCTAGAAGGGAATCTAACCATCTTTGTCAGGACGATATTGCTCAACTGATACTGATTAAGCGTGACTTTAGCTCAGTCAAACTGGTAATCCACGGTGGTCATGGAGCTGCTCTAGTAAGAATCTATTAGCACCCCCGTCATTACTTCACATGATGTCTTGGAATGAATCAAAATGCTGACTACAACAGATTGCCAAACCACTAGCAGAGGCAGGAATACCGGTCATTCTCAGCGGTAACCACGGCGCCCCCGACAATTGGGAGAAGAAGAACGTCCTAGTAGGACCGCCACTCAGTGAAAGCCCCGCTAAGATCTTGGTAGAGGCCGGCGTTCAGCTGGGTCTAGCAGTAAGCAGCGACTCATCTATTCATGGCTTGGCACGAGAAGCTCGATGGGCTGGTAAATATGCCGGTCTGAGCGACGAAGAAGCTATTGCCCTTGTGTCGACCAATATTGAAGATATCTTGGGGGTTCGAGAGAGGAACACGGGAGGATCTCAGGCCTATGGAGATCTTGTTGTATGGGAGGGTGACCCTCTGAGAGGAGAAGGCTCTGTTGTTCTTTCGATTCAGGAAGATGGAAGAATTGCGGATTGTTGGCCTGACACTGTCGATGCTATTTTGTGAGGCTGAGATACGAGATCAGGGTCGATAGATTGAGCATCGTGAAGGAAATTTGGGACAAGGCAGGGAGAGGTAAACATTCAATATCACGTGGCAGTGTCAATGCCTAAATGTTTTGCCATCGTAGAATAATCAAGTCCAACCTTTCGTATGGCGCGATAAATAAGATTATCTAGACCAGTGACTTGAATTTCACTTCGCGTCTTCGGGAATATACTTCGTGTCTTGATTGGGAACATATCACGATGATAGAGACAAATATATATAGTAGGAATATAATGTTGTTACTATCGGCTAATAAAGACCAAATGGGCCAGTATGTATTGCAACGAGTGGCCTGCCCGAGCGGGGTACAGCTTGGCTCGGACGCCCATTCTTTAATCTCAAAACTTCACCACCAGCCCTTCAAAATCAATAGAAACGACGGTGCTGCGCCTAGTTCTATGATACTTCGCACTTCTGTCTTGAAATGGTCGAAATGGAGGTTCCTGACACACTCAAAGTAAGACAGTCCCCATCCCTTCCCTCGGACTATTTCAGCTGACCCAGACGACTCAGTCTGCAAATGGAGGAAACCCATCGGAGCCCAGGCAATTCCCTCTCGATGGCTGTGATATCTACCAAGTTTCCAATGAAGCCCTGACCGCACTGTTCAATACCGCCCCAGTCATCCATGATTACCAAGGGACACGTATTGTGCGTCTATCGAAAACACTAGTTCTCAAAGGCGGAAACTGTACTCGACCATGCGAGGCCAACATTCTTAACCTCATTGCCGAGGCACGGGTGCGAGAGAATCCAATCATTCCAGTGCCCCAAGTGCACCGAGTTCTAAACATCGAACCTGAAGAAATCTATGGCTGCAAGTGCCTGATCCTCATGGATTATATTGAGGGCAGAACGGTCGAAAAATGTTGGGATAGTTTAAGTCAGGCAGAACGTGTAGACATTGCCTCTCAGGTTGCTTCAACTATAAGTACTCTGCGGTCGATTCCACTATCTGAGCAACAGCAGCAACAGCCAGGTCCCGTGGGCTGTAAAAGCTGTGTGGCTCTAGGAAAATGGTTTGTTGATATAGGAGCTGGTCCATTTGATTCGAAAAAGGATCTGGAAGATTGGTTCAACCTGCGACTTATAATTACCAAGAAGTTTTACCAAGCGCCTGATACTACCCCGCCATTTCATTTTGACCGACTAGTTCTCACTCACTCGGATATCGCACCCCGCAATTTGATCTTGGGCACGGATGGCAAAGTTCACCTGATTGACTGGGGCGACGCTGGGATATACCCTGACGGATTTGAGGTCGCCTCACTCAAAGCACGGAGGTTCGAAGCGCCACAGTATACTGATATGTTAGTTGAAATGCTTTCTAGGACGATTCCTATGCATGAAGAGCTGTATCAACAATTGAGGTCGATTGTGTTTGCTCTAACCACTGGGCAATGGCTGGGAAAAGAGGTCCTTGATTATGAGAGGTCATGACAATATGCACATTCATGCATACATGAAGGAATAAACTTCGTTCGGTACTCTGATTCTCATTGTTGGGATATCCCTATGGTGGAAAGAGTTAAGACTACAGAGACAGACTGGAAAGGGTCATGGGGGGTACAACATAAATGAGCCGATAGTAAAGATACATTGACTAGCTCAAAAACAAGATGCATAAATAACATCTGTCAGCACACAAAACGAATGAATGTCATTGTCTGACAGCAAATATTGCGTATCCAACGGGCTGATATATAGTCCAACGGGAAAGGGGCTAGCCGGTATCAAGCTTCTGATTGCATTGGATGACGTCGGTGGAATATACTTGCATGGCTAGTTCAGCCACTCGGGTAACCATAATAGAATTGGCACTAGAAATGCCGAAATGACCCGTGGGTGATTTGAGATCTGATGAACAGACGAGAGTTCGAACCAGGAGACACAACTCCATCGGGACTAGATCACGCCATTAGTGCTTTCTAAGCGGGGCTAACCCGCCCGGGCTAGGCGTCAGCTGACCCCCTCCGCTTCCCCAGATTTCCCCGAGGCCCGTCCCGTCACTTCTGTGTGCGCCCTCAGTCTCCCGCCCAGCCTCCCCTTTGTCGCCCTCGTTTATTATGCCTTGATTGTATATATTGCGCCCCCGGTTGACGTGCTCTCGAGAATGAGCTTTAGCAGGAAGCGTGTGGCGTTGGCCTGTAATTTCTGTCGCAGCCGGTAAGCCCCAATGGCAATTCTTGCTCCCCCTTTCTCCGACCGGCACGAGTCGGGTCTGTATACAGTGTGCTAATCATACGGGTAGTAAGCGACGATGTGATGCTCAGAAGCCCTCGTGTTCCACTTGCTCCGAATTAGAAGTCGAATGCCACTACGATGACTTGCCATCCCAGAGGTGGGTCGACAATCGCCCCGCAGTTGACACATTGGTTCTCACCTTGTACCGTACAGAATCGATACGTCGGGGGGAACCCGGGAGATCCTCAGTCGCCTACGTGACATCGAATCCCTTCTTGAAAGCCAGTCTGAGAAAATAGCCGCGCTTTCCAACGGATCGAACGCACCTTATCCTCATAGCCATAGTGCAGCCACCCCACAAAGCCAATCGTCCGTGCCGATGACCGGAGTGCAATCCACAACAGGCATACAGTCTGCTTCATGGCCGTATCCAGGGCTGGATGTACAGTCGGAACTAGCGAAACTGCCTCCGTTGACAATACCAGTCAAACATAAGACATCCTCCAGCTACCTGCTGAGCTTGCCGTCCATGAAAGCACTAATCGGAGAATACCCGCCAGACCTGTTCTTCTTGCTGGAATCAAGGAGTCAATTGCCACCAGAACTGGCATTTGAGAATTTCTCAATGCCTAGACCACAATTAAATATCAGACGAGAAGTAGCCGACGACCTAGTGTCAACGTTTTTTGCGTTGGCGCACCCGAATCACCCGATCCTGGAGCAGGCCGAATTTGAGGAGATATACAATCAGTTCATGAAAGATGGCCCCGACTCCAGTATTGCGTCTGCACTCTGTATGTCCGTGCTGGCTCTCGGGGCTGTCGCTGCTTCTCCTCTCAAGGCTCCGGAATTTAAAACATCACCCCCAGGCATGGAATACATGCAACATGCACTTCCCACCCTCATATCGCAGTCGTCATGGTCGTTCTCGTACAACCTTCTGCTACCACAAGCTTTGGTTTTTGCCAGTGTTTATTTTGCGTACATTGTTCGACCACTGCAGAGCTGGAGACTCATTTACTCGGCTTCTACAATTCTCCAGTTCAAGCTCTCAGGGTACGTATGCGGCAAAGATCACCGGAAGGTTGGGCAAGGCTGACAGGGATGCAGAATGGATGCGCGGGAAGAAGGCCCAAATTGGCGTGAGAGTATCATCCGCCTCTTTTGGTCTTGCTTTCTTGTCGAGTGTGACCGCCTAGCAGAGTTGGAGCTACCACGAAGTGGACTGCAGCAGCTGACTGACGAAGTTAGCCTTCCTAGATGTTCCAATCTTGGTCTTATGCAATCGACCTGCTATTTGGCCGAAATATCAATTCGTCGACTACTCAATCGAATCCACAACTCACTATATCCCAGCAAGATGCATCTCTTGACTCTTTCATCTACAACTCTGATGACTCCGGACGAGTTCTCGATCGAAGATGTGACTTCCATGATCAACGTGTCTGATGAGCTACACGCACAGCTCAAAATGTGGCACTCCTCGATACCAGAGGCCTTTCGCCCAGTCCTGGGGATGGGAATCCCCTTAAACCCCACAAATCCTCGCGAGGCAATTCTCCGAATCCGGTACTTTGCTGCGCGACACATTATTTATCGACCGTTTGTGTTGTATATTGCCACACACGGGGTTGGAGGAACAACCGAGTCCATGATAGAGAAAGCAGGCATTTGCATCGAGAGCTGTCGGTACTATATCCACAACACCTCACAAGTCATGACCCAGCCAAGCCAATACACTTGGACGTTCTCCTTATCGTAAGTGCAAACCATGCCAAATGTGAGATTTCAGATATGCTGATCAAGGGGTGAAAATGAAAGAACCTTGGGTGCCATTGTGGTTCTCACGCTCGCTTCTCTTAGTGTTGATCTGCGGCATTTTGTCCCCGACATTGACGAGCTTCAACAACGGGCGATCAATAATATACGTCCGTGGGCATTTTCGAGTCTTGAAGCTGTTATTATCATTCTTGAGGATATACAGAGAAAACAACGATTGATATCACGTGTTTAAGTCGTCATTTCATGCAAAACGATGAAGTGGTGAGTGGCTAAAGAGCCAAACCAGGCAATCCAGAACGCCGTACATGCACAGATCGTTATAGCTCGCCTCCAGTGGGCTGAGCGATAATTTCAAGACCAATGTCGCTTCTCCAAAAGCTGCCATTGGGGTATGTGTATTTCTCCAACGCGTCTTCGGTGTATCCGGTCGAGTAGCCAGGTGCCAGAGGAGTGACGTAATGGGCGTCTTCAATCTTGGAGGGATGGCGCAAATTCTCCCGGTGGCTGTCCGCGTTCTCTAGCATCGACTTGCGTCCACTGATAGCAATGTAGTCGATCGTGCTCAGATGCGATGTCAACTCGGTCAAGCCCATGGCACCGTTATGAGGCACACATGGAACATCGAATTTCAGGGCCATCAGCATGACCGCCTTGGAATCGGTTAGCTTCGGCATGATCTTGGATGGTCTACCGGATGTCACTTACAAGACACTCATTGACACTGCCGAGTCGGACAGCGTCAATTTGACAGACGTCGGTGGCCTCGGCTTGCAGGAGCTGCTTGAATGTCACACGGTTTTGGGCAGCCTCGCCCGTAGCGACACCGACTCCGTATGGCTTCAGAGCCTTGCGGATCGCAGCGTGACCAAGGACATCATCAGGATTCGTGGGCTCCTCAATAAACACCGGCTTGAATTCAACCAACTGCTTCATGTAGTCGATCGCTTGCGGGACGCTCCAAACCTAAAACAAGTATCAGCGCCGATAGACTAGTATTTCGAACGGCTGCGCCTTACCTGGTTGGCATCAATCATAATCTGGTGTCCCTTGTCGTATCCCAGGACTTGCCTGACGGCCGATAGCCTCTCTCGATCAGCCTCGACACTGGTTCCAACCTTGAACTTGAAAACGGTGTATCCCGCGGCAATGGTCTCTTCAAGGACCTCTCGCATGCGATCTCCAGAGAATGCCAACCATCCCGGTGATGTGGTGTATGCCGGGACCGCTCTGTTTTCAAACGCCTCTCGCATGCGGTCTTCCTTGCCTTTTTGGGTTTTCTCTAGCATCTCGATACTCTCCTCCGGGGTAATCACGTCGGTGATATATCGGAAGTCGATGCACCTGACAATCTCCTCGGGGTTCATGTCGCAGACGATCTTCCACACGGGCTTGTCCAAAATCTTTCCCCATAGGTCCCATACGGCGTTTAGAACTCCGGCCACCGCCAAATGTGTGATGCTCTTTTCGGGACCGACCCATCGGTATTGGGAGTCGGAAACCATGTATCGCCAGGTCTTGCCCATGTTCCTGGTGAGCTCGTGCATCGTCTTACCCACAACACGCCGCGCGAAAATGTCGAGTGCCATGCAGACCAGCTCGCTTCCTCGTCCGTTGCTGAAAGCCTGTTTAACATGATCAATATTGAAGTCCCGTCTGACAACATTTGAATACAATGATTCCACTCACAATCCCGTCACCTATCAAACCGTCTTGATTCGTCTTCAGCTGGATGTACGGATGCGAGCCATTCGTGCCTTTGTGCATGGCATCAGATCCGACTCCATCGAGACTGGTAGGAAATCGCAGGTCCACGATCTCGAACGAGGTGATTGTGACATCGTGTTCGGTGACTTGGTGGGAGCCCATCATGAGATTTGACTGCAGCGACACAGGGCAGCAGGATGAAAGAATCTGAGCAGGAGATAATCTCGCTCCAAACGCGAGCAAGAAGATTCTTAAAAGAACGGGAAATTAAGTTCCGTTTCTACATCTGTGTCCCACTCCACGTGGATAAACAGCACAGCCTGACCTCGCGATGGATGAATCTCCCACGAACCACCGTCGGCCCCACATCGCGCACGGGCAGGTTCCGCGGCGGGGTTGCCGCCTCCCCCCGACGCCTGACAGAACGTTATCTACGAGGACATCTCCACGAGCTGATCGAGATCGGGGATACCCCCGGGGTAAGTGCTGCTGAGAGCTGAGAGCTCCGTCGGCGTCGGATGCTGAGGTACATCCGTTTTCGGTATGTGATATCAGTGGCGTGGCGTGGCATGGTGCCAACCATCCGCTTGCAGCACCTGCGTTTGAGAATGCCACATAAATCTCTTGTGCCAGACGAAGGCTGGATATTTCAATGGCACGGACACGACTTTCCATCAGCTGTCACCGACTGATATGACGTCCGCCTGACCCAGACCCAACTTCCAGCCCCGGCTTTGAAACAATTCGACGAACCGGCAAATCTCTTAACCCGCCCGCGGGAAAAATACGGGCTTGCTTAGACCACATGGAGCGCTCTCGACCGGCAAAGACATTACTCTTTGACCAATTTCTGATGATAATCCCGGTTTATCAAGTGTTAAGTTGACTGCAACCGTCATTCCGACATGCTTGGGGTGGAACGATATATTGGGGGACCCGTGGGTGCTTTCGACACGTTAGACGCCCAGGAGGTTGATGACAGCATCGAACATGGAGCTCCACTTCATCAGTGAGCGAATAGACTATGAATGGGGGTATGGTTGGTTTCATATGGCGTTCACATAGAATTTAGATTATATGCGGTTAGAATAATACTTTATTAGAGTTTCGTATCATCATGATTAGGATGCCTCGTTCATCTCGATAGCCTGCGCCACGAGATCTCTGACCGTTTCTCGGAAAGGCCGATAGGAGTACTCCAGCTCCTTGGCCGCCGTCTCACCATCCAACCCGTAACTCTCGTCAAGTCCCTGCTCCTCCAACATCACCTTCCCTCGGAGGGCCTCGAATTCCTCCGCCATGATATTGGCCGCCAGACCGTACGAGAATCGCTCCGGTGATGCAGGCGCATAGCGACGATTCCCCACCCCCGGCTTCAGCAACGCCTCGACATGCGCGACAGCCAGATCCCGCACGTCGATCCAAAACGGCACCCGGGCCACGGGCAGCGGGCTCGCTCCACTCGCTATCTTCCACAGCATGGCATTGGACTCGTTCAGCCGGTCCACACTCGGCACGGGATGCACCACCGGGCCAAACGTCATGGGCGGACACAGCGATACTAGGTCAAACGAGGGCTTCTGTTCCCTGACATACGTCCATGCCTCCAACTCGGCGAACTTCTTCGACCCGCGATACGCCACGACAGAGCTGGTCGCGGGATCGGCGGCCTCCTCGTAGCTCAGCGGGTTCCAGTCCTCCCCAGTGAATGTGAAATACGGCGGGCCCTTGCGATTGACGTCCAGGATGGAAGCGAAGGATGAGGTGAGCACGATGCGCTGGATCTGTGGGTTCGTGGCGGCGGCGTCGAGGATGGCGCGAACGCCGTTGATGGCGGGTCGGATTAATTCTTTCTCGTTGTCCGTCGTGTCGTAGGTAAATGGCTGTTTGGGAGGAGTGCGGATTTTAGTTCCGCTTCCGCGTTCTTGGAGGGGTCCGTGAGGGGTTGTTTGTTTGGGGGATGGATGCACTCACGCTGGCGGTATGGATCACACCATCCACGCCTTGCACGGCCTCAACCAGACCGCCTGGCTTCTCAAAGTCCTCGATTTGTACGAACTCGAGCTGTCCGGCGGGTTGCGGTCGCGCTTGGATCATAGCGCTGCCCTTGGCCAGCGAGCGCGTTGCCCCGCGCACCCGCAGCCCGCGAGATAGCAGCGCATCGACGATGTGGGCGCCAATGAAGCCGGTGGCCCCGGTGACTAGAATGAGTTTGGTCATTGTGAGCTGTTGGTATGCGAAGAGGATGCAGTTGCAAGTGAGTGAAGTTATCGCCGGTGTTATCAAGCATCACCCACTGATGGGCGCGGATGAGCGGCAGCGGGGAGCTCCACCGGTCGGCGGGAAAATCTGCCGTCTTTCCCCCGCGTGGATCACGGGACCCGGACTAGGCCCGGGCGGGACAGTCGAGGAGGATCCGTTTTTCTCCTCATTTCTCTCTCCCAAGTGGACCGCTCCAGCTTACCCCGGACTCGATCACTCTATCCCTTGAGCTCTCCATTCCATCAAGCTGTGGTGTTGACGAATTGTCCGCTGCGTCTGGCTGGCCAGATTGCCCATTTCACCATCCGATACGAAAAAGTATATAGTTCGGAGGGATTCCTCTCCTGGTCGGGGGTCTGGTCCACTCGGATGACTCGCAGAATCCACTCGTGATTGCTGTCCTCTCCCTACCCCGGTCGCTGGGAGCTCTCACCATCCCCAAATGGCTGGCCTCGATCTGTCGGCCCGCCTTAGTGGGCGATGGCTCATTAGCATGGTCACTATCGCGAATGCCTGGTATGGTTGATATCATCTTCATCTATCCTAAATTGGCCCCGGGCGGGCTTGGCCGCCACCAGACTGTCTGACGGGCGAATGATACAGCTCCATGGCGTGGTTCGGTTATGACCAGGGTGTGTTCTCCGGGGTCTTAATTTCAGCCGATTTCAAGAAACACTTTCCCGAGACCGACGATGCGGACATATCTGGCATCACCTCGAGCTGCTTTTCTGTGAGCGAAGGAATTGCCCGGACCCACCGTTCCCGCGACATAATATAATCCGAGTGCTGACGGTGCGACTTTTGGGACAACTGCAGCTCGGCGCTTTCTTTGGTGCTATTTTTGCCTTCACGCTCGGCGATAAACTCGGTCGCAAAAAGACCGTCGCCCTCGGTTTGGCCTGTAATGTGATCGGTGCCATTTTGCAGGTCGTCGCGTGGCATTTGCCACAGATGATTATCGGACGTGTCATCAATGGCTTCGGAATGGGGTTGACCTCCTCGACCTGTCCAGTTTATCAGGCTGAGTGCTCGAAACCGTCTGTTCGCGGCAAGCTCGTCGTCGTCGGATCATTGTGTAACACGGCAGCGTTCTGTCTCGCCAACTGGATGAACTACGGCCTGTATTTCCAGGGCGATGCGCTGCAATGGCGTTTCCCGCTGGGCTTCCAGCTCATTTTCCCCGTCATCGTAGCGATCTCGCTAGTGCTGATTCCGGAGTCCCCGCGTTGGCTTCTACTTAAGGACCGACCCGACGAGGCGCTACATGTCCTGGCGCGACTGCAGGGGAAAGGCAAGGATATCCACGATGCCGAGGTTTCGGCGGAATTTCTCTCCATCCAATCAGCGTTGCAGGTGGAGCGTAAGGACCGCGTGCCCACGATGGACGTGTTGATGTGTCGTGATAAAACGCAGAATCTTCGTCGGCTGTTATTGTCGTGCGGAACGCAGTTCATGCAGCAGTTCAGCGGCGTCAATGCTTTAGGATACTACCTACCTACTCTGCTGCAGCAGAGTGTGGGATTAGATGAAGAGGAAAGTCGCTTGTTGACCGGTATCAATGCGACTATTTACCTCTTCGCAGCGTTCTGCTGCCTGCTGATCATTGATCGCTTCGGTCGTCGGAAGTAAGCTCATCCCTGTCTATATCTCGCTTGTCCTAAGCTAAACTGTCTAGGATGATGCTCTACGGCTCCCTGACTATGGGCGCATGCTACCTCATCGCGTCTATATGTCTAAAGGTAGCCGCGGATGACCCGTCGCGCGAGCGTCTGGTAAGTTGACGCCCCCAATGTCCTCGGTGTTTCAATATTAACGACCGCAGCTCGGTCGCGTCACTACCGCCATGTTCTTCTTATACTACTTCTTCTACGGCACCAGCTTCGCCAAAGTCCCTTGGGTCTACAACTCCGAGGTCAATTCCCTGGGATGGCGAACCCGCGGTGCCGCAGCCGCCACCGCCACGAACTGGATGGGCGGGTTCATCGTCACGCAGTTCACCAAAGTTGGAGTGGACAATATCCACTGGCGATTCTACCTAAGTAAGCCCTCTCCCCTTTACCCCATCCCTCCGTAATTAAACGCTCATGAAATTAAGTGTTCGCCATCATCGTCTGGGCCTACTTCCCGCTCATCTACTTATTATACCCTGAGACCTCGCGCCGCACGCTCGAAGACATGGATGAGATCTTCATTCGGCATAAGTCGCCGATTGTGTGTGGCAATCGGTCGTTGACGCAGCGTAAGCGGCCGGATGAGTTCATTGAGGCGGAGACGAAGCGTATTCAGACGATGGATGAAGTGGTTGTTGGGGATGAGGTTAAGGGTGGGTCGGCGATTCATCATGAAAAGGTGTAATTGATTTACTCCGTACGGCTTTTCAAAACAGGCATAGAGTATACAGGAGGTGTTTGGTTCGAGGGCTGGAAATAGGGATGTTTGATATGGGCTTGGTAGATTATGTGGGTATATATAAGTAATTTAATGAACATATTTGATGGGATATCCGAACATGCAGTTCGGACATGAACTCTCGGGTATGTCATAGCTGGATTAAGAGATCAATGAAGCCTCCCTTTTGTCTGGGTATTATGGTGTTTTGGACTGTCGGGTTTCGGTTGCTTCTCTGCAGCTGGAAATTGTCATGTTGCTTCGCTTGACCATTGCGTTTCAGATATTTAATTCTATGAAAGGCGCCCAATTCAAGATGGCTACTATAATATACATTCTAGTATTTTATCTTGCTTGACATAGAGCCAAGTTGCCAATGTTATGATTTGCTAACATACTCCAAGGGAGGCTTTCGTACATGATCACAGAAGGTGCAACCCTAAGCCCTAAGCCAGACAGGAGAGCAATCCTTTCTAGCTCTCAGATGGCTGCACGCAACTTTCCAAAAGTTCGCTTGTCTCAAGGGAATGATAACTCCTGTGAATAGCCTCTCCAATGCGTAAGACTAAGTGAAGATACGTAGACCCGTAATTGTAGCGGTATATTCACTTTATCAAGCCATGAATCTCAGATATTCATCTCTACAGCCTCCAAGTCCCCAAAATCTTCTCACCATCTACTATTCCTCCACAATTCTCCCTACTCTCCCTACATCTCACAGCATGAAGCTATCTGGCTTCTGGCCTCAGCCATACAGATTGGGTGTCTCATCCTGGTTGACACATTTTATATCTAGATCTTGAGGATCCATGGCGGTATGAATCTACCTATACTCTATCAGCGGTTTACTAACGAGCGGATGAACCATTTGAGTATGATACTAACGAGTCTTGTTCAATATTTAGTTAGAACGCGCCGAGATTACAGGTGTGCGAAACAAACACCCTGTCACTCGCTATCATGGCACCACTCCCAACAACCAGGTCTCTCTCAAACACGCCCATCTACCAAGCAATCACTGATACAGTAGTAGTGACGCCGCCCGCGGCACCCACTAGCTTCCCTGAGCAGGTTCTCCGTTGGCCGTGGATGATACGAGTGTGACTTTCGGTCTTTCATACTTTGTCTTTTTTACATATCGGGTCTTCCGGGTCTAATGGCGGTATGAAGCTTCGGTTCGACTATTTGATTAGAACGCCAATAAGCCTGATACAATATCTAGCTACAGAGCGCCAGGGTTGACAAATTGTCAAACTCGTTTATGCACAAAACACAACAGTTCAAAATGGCACCAAATCGCCATTTGCTATTACTACAGTGGTAGTAACAGCGCCCAGTCGCCAACATAGCACAAAGAACTACCAATACCGTTTGAACATTGAAAATGCCACCGAAGAGGAAGGGTCGGCACGATGACTAAAGGTCCTGGACGCAAAGCCCGCGCCTAAAAGCCCCGTGGCGAAGACAAAGACCCATACCGCAAAGCACAAATGTGGACAAAAATTGCAAAGATACTACACTACAATTAACAAAATGAGGCTCCTCAGGCCAGGGTCCTCTGCTGGAGCAAATCGTCGATTATTCTTGGATGATTGCCGTTCGCATTCTTTTAGGACTTCTACATGTGGATCCTCATGATCCAACGGCGGTATGAAACCTCGATTAACCACGTGGATATTATACCAATGAGTCTAATAAAAAATATAGATATAAAACGCCAACCGTCACTTTCCAGGCGGCAAATGCCGACGACTTTATTCGCGTCTATGAATATCTCAACCGACCAGGTAAATTTATTGAATTCTGATTCTATTAGAAAATAAGTAGATGCTAATGTATAAAGGTGTCGAATGGACAGGTTGCACTGGCCCACATAGGCCAAATGCCCTCCATTCGTTCGTCGTTTTGTTCGTCACCTTCTCCGCCTGTTTATAGGCACGATTTCGTTCATTGTGACGATCTTCTGCCAGCCGACTGCATAAGTTGAAAGAAAAGTGTTACTGTTGAAGCAAATCGAATGAAATAGTATGGAATGGTGGATAGTGTATGCATTCGCGTACACTGATGGATTTTAGAAAGTGAGGATGGCTCCGGGGTCTACTGCTGGTTGAACTTGAAATGCTGACTTTATTTAGAAACTACAGAGGATGAGTCGAAACGGCCAACACGGCTGATTTCATCACTATAATGGATAAATATAAACGGCCTGGTGAGACTACCTAGCCCTGATTACAAAAAGAAAAAAATGCTAATATGCGAAGCTATCCGATGGCATCGATACACCGAAGCCTGGTGGCAGCGTGCCAAAGCTATTTTGTGGATCTATACGCCTTCACGTGCTTATACATTGGTATAAGTCTTTTCGAGTGTTCGTCTGGCAAGATATCTTCGCCCCTGCTTGGCCATCTCACTCTCAAGGCGGCAATGGGATCGACCTGCCCCGGAGACAGTCTCAACCGACGTTATGGGATACCTTCCATCTTATGCAGGAACGAGACAGGATCACCTGTCAGCTACAATCTACGTCTTACACCTGGAGGTGCACTTCGATAGCCCAGGGAGAGATTTTACTAGACAGTCGAATTAATCACCACTACTTCTTCCCAATTATTATCCCTTTGAATGTCTCCCAGCTAGTCAAGTTAATCATCTTGGTTCTTCAAAATCAAAGCAATTTCTCTTCATCTTTATCTCCATTAAAGCTGTCGAACTGGTTGCCAACCAGGCAGATCGAGAGCTAAATTTATCAGCGTGTAGATTTAGGCTCGGAGGCGTTCATTATCAACTGATTCTTCCCAGGCACCGGTTCCGTGTGTAGAAATGAGAACATACGTAATTATCCCGTCCGAAGTACTTGAGTTTGACAGCATTCTGACGATGGAATCCAGAGTTACACAAAGCCAAATGTGAAATTTCAGTCCCGCGTGTAAAAAGAGAAAACCCTGCCATCCCCACAACTCATTCCTATGACTCTCACTCATCCTCTTCATTCCCCTCACATTGCTGCATTGTCGCTGCTTGGAAAAAGTGGTTCTGGTAACCCTAGTTCTAATGGGGTTTTTCAAGCGTCTTGAGAAGCGCCTTGACAACAGCCTTGAGGCTGACGGAAAATGGCGAGAACTTCAGAAATCACGCCGGCGTGAATTTATATGGAGATACCCTCGCTCTCTAATCTCGGACACTTTAGATACTATGGAACGCTGGGTCACGACACATTTCGAACTGGATCTCGCAGTGCAACGGCTTATCGGGTTCCTGATCGAGGAGGACAGAGTCAATGATCAGATAGCGGTCAATCCCAAAGCGGAGGAGAACTACATAAAAGAGCTCGAGGCCCTGCAACCGAAGATCGAGGACGAGCGCAGAAAAGTCTTCAAAGCAAAGACGAACATAGTGGATCTATTCCTCCTCATCCCCGATGAGAATTTCCGGCGGAGCGTCGAAACCACTCGCCGAAATAACCCGGACTGGTCTCTCTCGGAATGGCTGCGCAGCTACTGTGCAGGCAAAGGGGGCTGCTGCGGGCGTACATGCGGATGCTGCGAGGGGCCGAGACATGGGATCGAGACGAAGGGGTTCGGGCACTGTACGTCGGCTTGTGTGTGCTGTGAACAGGCTCGAGGGTTCCATATTGACACCTCAAAGGGAGATGCGCACCTGCCGCAGTTTAAGATAAAGGGATATCCCAAAATACCGGTGATGAAGGGGGTTTTTGATGCTATCGTTTGGGGTTTATGAGTCTTCTTACTGCCAAGTTCTGTGTTCTTCGCTTAATCTTAGCTCGCTTGCTTGCTTCCTGCCCAACTTCCACAGTGATTTTGTGGTACTCTGCACCTTCCCTGTTTGCTTCTCCCTTGATTTCCAGCTTGTCTCTGCAACCTTGAAATAGCCATGTCACTTGGATCAAATGATGAGTCAGAATAACCAATCGGCTGTGTGCTTTTGTGCAGGAAAACAATGAAATCGTATTTACGTGATCCCCCTGTCTACATTTCGGTGGATTACTAGATCAGAGCACTAAGCTGACGAGCCCAACAGCATGCTTTAAGCCATGCTCGGTGATCCAGTACATCCCTCTTCTCGAGGCCAAGATCACTCGACTTGCTTAACCGAGATTCCGGCCTCGTGATCTACCCTCAGGATCATGATCTACCTCCAGGATCATGATCTCCCTTCAGGATAGTGGTTTACTCTCATCGTGGTCTACCATCAGAATCAAGATCTACTCTCAGGATCAAGGTCTACTCTCAGGATCATCATCTATTCTCAGGATCATCATCTACCCTGAGGATCATGATCTATTCTCAAGATCATCCGTCGTCCACAGAAAGGGCAACTCCGAAGCCTCGCACTAGCCATGAAACCATTCATTTGACAATAGTTGCGCTTTCCAAATTGAAGGATGACAGGCTAGCTCAGGATATATCCCCAGGATCGTATGTAGATAGTAGAATTCAACAAACACATTCGTTCAAATTCATCCAAAGTCCCTCTTTGAATTCTACCAACACTCGCTATACGAAAAATGGCCACCTTGGCCATTCCCACGCTCTCTCCCCCCACCCCCTGTATCAACAGTCCGGCTATCGGTACTATCACGATGCCGGCGGCACCTACGCCGCCGGCAACGTTTCCGGAGCAAGTCAAGTCATATCCGTGGATGTTCGGGGTTGTGTTTGGCATCACCTTTGCCGTTTTGTTTATTTTGGCGTATTTTTATATTTGGATCCTCAGGATCCAGAGACGGTATGCTTGTTAACCATCTAAGTATTATATAGATGAGCCTAATATAAATACAGATATCAACTTCCGCCCATCACTTTTCAGGCCACAAACGCCCACGAATTTATTACTGTCTATAAATTTTTAAAGGAACCAGGTTAGACTATTAATTTCTGATTCCATTGGAAAATAAGCAGAGGCTAATATATGAAGACCTGGAATGGACTGGATTCTGGTCGATGTTTACTTGGTCGATGTTTACTTGGTCGATGTTTACTTGGTCGATGTTTACTTGGCCCAAATGGGCCAAGTGCCCGCGCTTTATTCGTCGCCCTGTCCGTAAGGTCATCAGCTCACTTAAGGACTTTTTCGGCGAGATTGCAGTCGTTTTGGGGTCAGGGGAACCGATCGCATAAATCAAAAAAAAAAAAAAAAAAAAAAAAAAAAAAGGAAGTTTTCGTTTTATGTTTACTATAATGTCAGGCTCTCTCTAGAGCAAAAGCAATAAAATAATTATTACCAAATTTCCATGACTATCACGTAGAGAGAAAGGAACATATAATAAGGAAGTAAGAAAAGAGATGGAAAGATATTCCTAATTGACTAGCATTTTCCCTGTCACATCCTCCAAGTGTTCCAGTACTTCTTCGGAGTCTGTACCGGCAGGCAAAACCCCACCCAGTTGCTTTCTGAGATATCGCCGTGCCTTGTCAACCTGCAACTCCCACAGCCCCTTCGACTCGGCATGTTTCACGGTCAAATAAACAACCGCTAGAATACTGGCCAAAATAGCCCGCTCCTTGGCCCCTATGTGGACCGCGAACGAGGCCAGAGCACGGCTCATATCCTCCAGAACCGACGGCTGAAAGACCTCCAGCAGCAGTTCCTCAGTGTCACTGTCCTTGATCCTCATATCGCCATTCGCAGCCTGTGAATACAGAATCTTGGTCAAGGTGAGCTGGGGCTGGGGTGGTTCGGAGCTGAGGTCCGCAGACTCAGGCGTGCATGAAAATTGCAGCATGCCTTGGCTAGCACCTGAGAGTTTCTTCTTCTTTTTACTAGAAGGGCTTGTACCGGGCGAGCCGAATTGACCAAAGGAGCCGCTTGAGCCAGCTGGAGGGGGCCCGGCGGACCTATACGCGACTTGCGGTGTAGCTGTGACGCTACTACCTCTGGTACTGGGCATGGTGTCGGATTGTTGTTGGAGGCCTTCGCTCTGTGCCTGTGGGACACTGCTGGCGCTCCTGAAGTTACCGAGGCTCTGGGTTGACGCGACATTCCGAGACCGTTTGGCTGCAGCGTCGGTGTCGTCATTGGAGGACGAAGATGAAGCGGCACAAAGGAAGCGACTGGCTCCGTGTCCTTCGGAGTGATCTGGGCTATCATCCACAAGCCCGAATCCCATGTCCTCGTCGGATTCACTGTCCGAGGACTCTGGTGTTTCGTCTCGCTCGGCCGGCGCCAGAGACGATTCGTGCTCTTGCTGCGAGCTGCGGTCCACGGCCACGTAGCTGGTCCATTTACTGGGGATGGACCATTTCACGCCCAGTTGCTGGGCTTCGTGTTCGAGCATGCGGTTGAAGGCGTCTTGGTCGGTTGCTTGGAGGGCGGAGTGCTCTGCGTGGAGCCAGCTATGGCCGGTCTCGTAGTCTTCGATGAAAGCTTTCGCGGCGAGGTGGTGGATGCTTTGGGTGTCGCTTCGGTGGATGGGTAGCTCCGTGGATAGAATCATGTCGTCGTCCGTGGTGGCCGTGACGGTCAGGGTGTCCGGTAGCTCTTCGACTCCGTTTTCAAGCATATAGTAGACTGAATGCTGGGAAAAAGCGTTCAAAGGTGGAATGGTGTGAGGTGCCTGGATCCCCTTGACTCCGTTCTGCATCAGCCCAGCGAAACTGATTGAGCATCGCAACCGAGAAGGTGTCAATGCGTTCTTCAGCATCTGGATCACGCTCCCTTGCCAGACTAGAGACGACCGGGTGTCGTTGATCACCTCGGCACATCCGCCACCTTGCACCCCGATGCCGTTGACCAGTCGATGGGAAACCTCGTCTCCAATTCCCAAGGCGAAAAAGCGGATGTTATTTTCCGGTGTGGATGCCATCTCTCTGACGAATTTGATCACGTTCTCGACGTCCCAGGTTTCTCCATCCGTCAGGACAATTACGTTGGTTGGTACATTGGCTTGTTTGTTGAAATGCATTGGGATGCTTTCCAGCACTTTCAAGACCCCGGTGCCGCCATAATTGGCTGAAAAGCCAGCGATGTCGCTATCCGCTTTTTCGAGGGTGGCTTCACTGTACTGTTGTGAGGTCTCCCAGAGCCAGGAATAGTGTGTACCAAAAGAGACAATGTTAAAGGAGCAGTGCTCCGGAAGACTTCGCACAAAGACATTCATCACATCCCGCAGTGCGGGCATTTTACCACGCATGGACCCGGAGCGGTCGACGATGAAAATCACCTCGCCGGTGAAATCGTGGGTACGGAATTTCTTCCGGAACAGATCGCCAGGGCTCAGTGTGAGCGCGATGGTGGCTTTTTGGGAGTCTGGCTGCGGCACGGCAAGAGCTCGAGAGACCTTCAACTCCTTCGAGTCGGACAGGATGGTGAGAACGAAGTCCTTGCCTAAGGCTGCGGAGCGCCCGACTAGAGAAGCGCTCGCCTTGCGTGGGTCAAAGGCACCGGCCTCAGAACCAAGATCCACGGAGATCAGATGGGTCTGCGACTCGATTTTCTTAATTGACTCAGGCATGGAGACATGGACCTTGATGTGGAGCGCATCTTGGGTTGCTGTAGCCTCTTTGCCTGCAGTATCAGGCTGATCATACCCCTTTGGTCGGTCTCCATATCTGGGGGCCACACTGGTTGGAATGGTCAAGGTTGTCGCGCCGGTCGTTTGATTACTTTTCAATCGAGTAGCTAGGGTGATTTGAACTGTCACGTCTGTTTCGCCGGGGATATTGCCGAGATTAGTTTCAAAGATCTCCGGCGTTAGCTCTTCGACGAGGACAGCAGCCTTGTGTTTTGAGACGGCCTCTGCAAACTCCTTGCGAGCCTGCTGCTTGGGTTTCACTGCTCCCTCGAGCAGCTTGTCTGGGCCTATCCAACATTTGAAGGACGTGACAGCGGAGCCATCGTAAATGGGGAAGAGGTACTTGGTGTGCTCAGCTGGAGATAATGACGGGTTTCTGTATTTTTGAGTGATGATTGTGGTAGAGATGTTGCCATCGAGTTTCGCATCAATAGAGACAGAGAGAAGGGGGAAATGAGAGGGTTGAGACGGTCGGGACGATTGTTCATCACCGTGCCCGGTGGCGGGGGATGTAAAATATACCCCAGATTGGAGGGGTGAGGAGATTGGCATGGTGTGTTATCTCGAGAATCAGATTGTATAGAGAGCGATGAATGATGTTGTGGATATGTGGACAAGGTCGAGGGTTTTAAGTGGGGAGGTCAAGGGGTTGGCGATTAGTTCGGTATCGGGGATACGTTGGTCCAGGCTGACAGGAATCATGGCAGATCAAACTTGTAATTTGTGAGTCACTTGTGCACATTAGCAAATGAAATGATGAGTTGGATGTGAGCCATGAGTCAGTCCAGCCCGACGATACCCGCAGACCATTATCGGTCGTAGCCAAAGTCATCATACGCTGTATGACCGATAAACAAGTCCACCAGGCCTAAACACTCTTTGCTGTCAGCCAGGTTCACGATCTTCATCTCCATCCCAAGCGGACCGTCCGAAGTATTAGTATGTGCTTCCCGTCTCTGCTTGCAGCACACACAGGCCGAGGTGCAATGCCCTATTCCCTTAATATCAATCCCTTCTCTGGGCTTTGAGCAGCATCCACACATATTTGCACAGCATCCACCTCTTCCCCGGCAGTGCCACTCAATCCAATCATTATGAGCATGAGGCATCTTCAAACGCTCTTTAAGCTTACCGTCTGGAAAGTCCGCGAGGCCGAGAAAGATCGAGCAAGAGGTGTTGAAGATGATTTCACGGGCGGGCTGCATTTCGAACTCGAGTGCATTCAGCTGGTCTTTGATGGTCTGGACCTGAGCTTTGACCCCCTCCTTCGGTAGCCTTTCCTTGGAAGCCATCTCCATCGAGTCCTGGAGCGCACGCCGTTTATTTATGAAAGCTGCAAGGCGTTGGACTTCCAGATCGAGCTTGATGTGCAGATTGATAAATGACTCAAGACGCTTCAAATCCTCGGGATCCATTTCCTTGATCTTTCTTCTGGTGAAAAGCCTGCTGCGGTAGCGTTCTCGGGCGTGGTATAAATACAAGTCCTGGCCTTCAAGCCCGCGGGGAGCGAGGTGGTAGCAGGTCGACCGCATGAAGGCTTCGTAGTCGGAATCCTCCACCTCCATGGTGGGCTGATATTTCACGATTTCCGACGATTTCAGTGTAGGTGTAGGGTCATGCTTGTCCCTATGATATGAGGATGGCGTCAACCTTCTAGTTACATGGGGTATTTGATAGCAAACAGTACCTGATTGGTTGACTCACTTAGGAGACCATAAACTCATGGGACAAGGCAGAATCAGAAAGGAAGAACTGGGTAAAGTGAGAGAAAGAGTGTTGTATCTTCGTGGATCGCTTCGCCGCTAACCCTATTCAGGAAGTCGAGCGAATTTACGCTCAACCCACGAACACATTATTTCTACTCATTCTGATGTGGCTTCCTTCATTGTGCCTGTGGTCAGTATGACTAAATGCACCCAAGAGCGGATAGACGCGGTGATGATGAGCAAATGAACAACCCGATGCATATTCATGTTTATTGACCACTTTCCATGAAAACAATCAATGAACCTGACTTGGAAGGGCGCTTCCTAACGAGGCAAACTGTCATGGTCAGGGGAAACGGTCCAAAGAAAGCTCACTTTTGACTCAATTACAATCTAAATGCGATCGCAGCTATCTGACCAACCCTCCGACCCTCTCCCTAATAAAAAGGTTTCCTCCCATAAACAACCCGACTATAAACACCGTCAGCAAACACTCAACCCCCAACAAAAGTTCTACACTTACATCTTCGTATACGAATGCATCCTCGGATTCTTCAACTGCTCCCTCACCAACCCCTGCAAGACCTTCGTCCGATCCGGACTCCACCCCAAGACCTGCGTACACAACCTTAACCCATACGCCTCAATCGCATCCTGCACCATAATCGCCTGAATCTTCCCGATCTCCTTCAAACCGTGATCGTCCGGCCACGGCGAGAACGGAAGAAAGTACGTCGCCTCGTGCACGTCCTCGAAGCCGCAGTCGATCAGCCACCGTGTCAGGTACTGGTATATGTTGAGGTCCCTGCTGATCTTTTTCCCGGCGTCGTCGAGCGCCATTAGGTATTGCATCATTGGCGAGTCGTCGGTGAGGGATCCGTCATCGCTCCAGCCCCATACGGCGCTCTCTTGGAGCTCCAGGTAACCGCCGGGCTTGAGGTGGGTGTGGGCTTGTCGGATGAGGCGGGGCCAGTCCATGACGCAGCTGCATGTATGTTAGGGGTGGATAAAGGTGGGGATGGGATGGGACGTACCCTGCGAGGTTCCGGGAGTGCACGAAATCGTAGGTATTTTGTTTCTCCAGCCAGTCACTTTCGAAGTCGTCGACGAAGAAGTCGACGTTGGGAGGCGTCCATGAGGGCTGGATGGGGCTGATATCGTTGCCGACTACGTGTGCGCTTGGGAATTCACTGATTCTGGCTGTCAGCTGGCTCTGAAGGGGTTCGGCGGTTGCCTCGTACTCTGCAAAGTCGATTGCCCAGATTCCTGTCCCTGTTCCGAGATCGAGGACTTTTTGGGTTTTTCGACGGGTGCGTTGAAGAGCTTTCCTTTCATTAACATGAGGTAGCTAGAGGTGTGGTTAGATGGCGTGCTAAGATTTGATGTAGATATTATGTCTTACATATGGTGTACCTGAGTTAGTGTTAGTATGAGCGTGTATTACTTCTGCGGGCACATACCAAGTCGAGACGGTCCTGTTCGACCTCATCATTGGGCATCCTGCTCGTGTTAACCCTGCCTCAAATGTAGGAATCAGGACTTGTACATGTAATCTCCCTATTTCTAGTTAGATGTCGTATGTGGATTGTTACCAATTCACCTACCGATCGATTACTAGGATACCGTCGACCATTCTCATACTGATAGTCCAAAATGCTCGAGGTTAAGGAGTATGAATCCATAACACTTTCGTCATAGTCACTTCCTCCATTTGTCTAAGCGCATTAGTATTGAACTGCGCATCTGTATCATGGGTCATAGACGTACACTAGCCATATCCTCGTCCAGATCGTCATCGTGTGTTGGAATCGGGATGTTGGCCTGGTAGTATTGATCCACTTCTCCGAGTAGCTCGGCGATAGACGGGAGTTGCGGATGCTGAAATTGATTAACCTTGGGTCAATGCGGATGGCGATGTCGGTGATGTAAATACATTATGATGGGAAAACGTGTTATTCGATATTATAGGAGCCAGCACATGCCCCGGCATGTCCTCTCCAGAGACGTTCTCATCTGCTGGCCGTGCATTCCCTAACGCAGATGACTTGCTAAATGTCAGAAATCAATCAGTAAATAGAATATAAGAGCCATACCCCTTTAATATCCCCATTGTCATCTGGCAATGGAGCATCAGTATCTTGCGACGCGTTCGCAGCTTCCGCCCTTGGCCGTGCAGCTGGTTGTTGTCGACCCAATGTCAAAGCCATGTTGCGATGTTCAAAAAGAGAGGCCACAACTTCACCTATTGTTTCAACACCAAATCCAAGACCTATGGTTAAATTTGCGAGGGGCCCCTTTAAACACTACACTCCAGTCTTGGCGAAACTAAATCGGTCCTGATATTGACGATGACCTCATACCTCCAGCGGCAGCCCTAATGACACCGGCGATTAAGGAATGCTCGATCATTACGGGCCCTACGTCACAGAATAGCACAAGAGGGTCAGGGCGTGGGTTTGCACAACGTCTTTCTGACTCCTTACTTCCACGTTGGTGAGACAAATGTTAGCGTGGGCTGTTCATTTACTAACGGCTCCATTGCGCAGACTTTACCTTCTTCAGGGTTGATTTCAGGGGACCTTTTGACACCTCACAGACCAAATAGTGGAGCTCTCCATTATGGCTCTCGTCGTGGAGTTGGTGGAACAGGGGTAGGTGAATCCTTCACAGGAATGATCTACTATACAGAGTGCGGATTAATGTATATTTATGTCGTGATTTCCCTTCAAGTCAACCTGCAGATACCTGCCAGGGCCTCAGAGCCCCTTCCATGATCTCGATCCAACATTCCATGACCTCATTGTTCAGAGTGGCTTATGTGCAGCGTATCAGGGAAAAGAGGTTCGTTCTTCAGGTCGATCCTGGCGGGACCAATCCCCACTGTTGTTTAGCAGGTCCACTCTGTTGCCACCCTGCCGGCGCCCAAATATGATGCCAAGAATGCAGGAATGTGATCTATCCAGTTCATCGGGAGTTGTTATCTGTCATCGACCGATCGGCCCCTCGTGTGGATAATAATAGCCTCGTATGGGTTATTACGGCGTAATTATGGGCTATTAAGGATGGTCGGTTAGTTGATGCAATTGAAAGCGAGAGAACTGAGAAAGTGGAAGTAGGTGACTGGACTCTGAAATGCAATATCAACCAAATGAAATCTCAGGAATAATCATGCTACTGGGAAGTATTCAAGTTCTCAGAATAATATTTCCGGTCTACTTAACGAAGCTAGTCGTCTTGGCCAAACCCCGCAATTACATCCTCATGTCACTTTCATTTCAGAGCATCCAGATCCTTTTGCTGGCTCTCTGGCAGTCATAAGCTCTAAAAATGGTGTCTAGAGGAATCTGGAACGTACATATTAACGGTCAATAAATCCCAAACAGTACTCAACCTACTAAATCACTGACTTTCTTCGCAAGGGAAATGGTATCGTTCCTATGACTTACGGGGGCGAATATCTCCCCCTGATATTGAACCAACCTTCCGAATGATCAAGCAAATTTGTGGCCAGCCCTGGTACGAGCCCGATCGGCTTGAGGAATGGGAGCCAATCCCTTTTCGCACTCCGATTCATTCAAATCTCAATTATGTGTACACTATCGACATGGACGCCGGTCTTTTCATAATCTCCCTGCGGCAGGAGTTTGAAGACACATTACGTCCTGCGGCAATATGCATCGACCTTGCAACACTCTGTGCGTCTGATCACTTGCTCATCGAGCACTCCCTTGAACAGCGCGAATACATGGCTCTTGGCAATACCTGTCAGAGAAGGCCAACCCCGGATCAAAGGCCAGTTTTCGGATCGCTGGATATTGACCCGGCTATCCCCACTCCCATGAATGAGCTACAGGAGCGCTTCTTCACCGACTTCGTTTTCATGTGGCGTTTCTACATCGATGACCCTTTCACGTGGAGATACGACTGTCCAGTCTTCCGGGTCCTGGCTATCGCTTTCCTGCGCCTTGCCGCCTGGGATTTCGAACTGTCACACAAGGGTACCCTCGAGCTTCCAATCACCTTCACGTCGATTCCTTCTTGGGGTTACCCCAAAGCGGACACATACTGGTTCCATGGTTTTCTTGTCGTTCTACACGAAAATATCGAAACCAATCCCATTATAAACGAAGCCCTCGAAATAGCTAAACCACATCTTGATGACTACAAGGGACGTGATGTCCGCTTGGTTCTCATCTCACCTCAACATGTCGCCTTTGCGGAGATTTCTCGTGATTTTATTTCAGTCTCCCAGAGTATTGCTCTACTCACCAATTCCTCGGCCCTCCGATGCTCTCCTGGATTCCGTGCTCTGATCCGAATCCTAACATCAGACCGTTGGACCAAGACTTTGGCTGCTAGGGAAAGTTCGGAAGTTCACATTCCGCCCGAGGTTCTTCATAATATCCTAAATGAATTGAAGCCTCGAGATACAGTGGCATTCGCGCAGGCCTCACTTTCCTTCAAACGGTGCTATTACGCCTCGGTGCCCCAGTTTAAAGATACCGCTGTTCTGAGGTTCCATTCGTCTGTACCCTGCTGTGGTATGCGTGGGGGCTTAGACGAAGATGGGATTTGCTGTCGTCGCTGCTATACATGGCGGCATGCAAAATGTGTGGATGTGAAAGACTGGTCATCTACGGAGCAGTATGTCTGCGTGGACTGTAGAGAAGGCAAACACCCCACAGCACTTGTTCCTGGTCAGCTCAATAGAGTCAGCTGTCGAGTCGACCGAGAGATATACTCGATTAGAGTTGGGGGTTCTGAAAAGACGCTGCATCACCGACTCACCAAACCTACTCATCTACGGAAGGAGCTATGGTTTATGAGAAATACCAAGCCCCTTCCGCCGTGTTTTATAGACTACACGGTTCTTTTTAACGGTTCGTTCTCTGGGTTGGCGTACGGCTTGGGAGACGGGGTCTAGTTGGCTTGTTGAAATGTAGCGTGGATAGGCTCTTAAAATAAGGCCTCTGCCATTGTCGGGTCTAACTGGTGGATGTATTCGATCCGGATAAGATAACTATTTTATATTCAATATTAAATCATGACGATTCTATCAAGAAGTCTAGCTTTCGTCCTTCGATCATATAGAGATAAAAAATAGTATTGATATAAAAGTGCACGGTCTAGACAGGAATATTTGGAAAGATTGCGGATTTTAGCATTCAGGTAGGCTCCTCAAAGTCAATCTCGATTTTGCGACAAAACAGCAACCTACATTATCTATACTCATCTAGAATATCCTTGAATAATCGGAAAGCTTAGGGTACTAACGTTACATTAAAAAGACATTGGATAGCACTAAAAAGAGCGCCCTAATTTGGAGCTCACGGTATAGGGAGACGAATTAGTATCTTCCCCCTGCCCAATGTCCATTATCTCTGCAGGTATTTCCCTGCGTTGGGCTACTTTCACGCATAACACTGGCTACTGTATGGACTGACTGCATCTGTAGATTCAGGGGACCTAACGACTTTTTGCTTCTCCCTAGTCAATGACTGGAACCCGCATTTTCGATCCTTTCACGAGGCTTGTGCCTCTTGATTAAACTTGGCACGGCTAAGCAACAGCACTACTCAGATAATTATCGAAGACGGCAGACTCGACCGAGTAATAAGACCAGCAAGTTCTTTACCAACCACTGCACCAGCTCTTCCTCCCTCCCTCACTAACCCAGACAAACACCCAAACGTATTCAGACCCCAACACAGAAAACGGCTAAAATATAACTTCCCCTGACCTCTAAACAGGTAGCCGGACTCGCCTGCCACAACCCTAATCAATCCATCTTCACCCGAACATCCGCCTCCGGACAACTCCGACAACAAGTCAACCACTCAACACCAGGAAGATCACAATATCGCTTACTGCACCGTCACGCTTGGCAATATATCTGCCGAGCTGATTCGAAGGAAAAATCATCTCTGCAGGCAGAGTCCAGCCGGTTTGCTGCGCGACCATACTGGATGCAGTGGTTACGCCCGAGGTTACGATCAGATAAGAGAATTAAGTCCGAGCTGACCCACCGCAGCCCCGACTGATGGAGGTCTGATTATCAGATAATATACGCCTGTCTCCCCTGATTCTCCACTGCGCTGTCGAGATTAATTCTTGCGAAGGGCGACCGTTACATGCACTATGCAGGGTGGGAATTCGCCGGGCTTGGGTGTCTCGGATGTGTTGCGATGTGGATCTTATCTTTCAGGGCAGGACTTGGACGGGGATTGTCAAATGGTTTGACGGGTTATTTTCGCTTGTTGCTTAGTGGAGGATGGTTGGCCAAGAGATTCTTGGTCGAAAGGGGTGAGGATTTGCAAAGGTATAAATACTCCCTCGCTATTCCCTCGTCCTAATCGTCGAGCGCGAGCAGTCGTGAGTCTGAGTGTTCTGATCTTCCTCACATAGGCCAGTCAAGGACATAGCACGATGCGTTCCTACACGGCCCTTTGCCTGGGCTTCTTAGCCCCCTCAGCCCTCGCCCTCTGTCCGTACGCACAGCAGATGGCCCGCGATGTCGACACACCCAACCCTCATTCCCTCCCACCACGCGATCTCTCTGTGTCAGACGATAAAAAGGGAGTCTTCCTCATGAATCGGATCGCCCCTGGCACCTCGCAACTCTACATTGCCAACACCGACGGCTCGGGCGAGCGTCCTCTCCTCTCCGACCCCGTCTACGAATATCACGCCGAGTTCTCCCCCGACGGCCAATGGATCTCTTTCACCAGTGAGCGGAACGGAGACGGAAACTCTGATATCTACCGCGTCCGAACCAACGGGTCCGATCTACAGGAGCTAGTTGCGACACCCTCCGTCGAGGACTCGGTGGTGCTGTCGCCGAACGGAAGCCTAGCAGCCTACGTCTCGACGGCGAACGGCTACAAGGCCAACGTCTGGGTGTTGGATATCGAGACGGGGAAGAAGTGGAACCTGACGGATACGCCCACTACGGCTGGAAACGCGTCCTTGATGAATGGGTATTTTCGGCCATCCTGGTCTCCGGATGGTCAGTGGATTGCCTTTTCCTCGGATCGTAACGTCGACTGGGATGGCCATGGGGACCAGACCTACCTCGGTCTCAGCGGCTGGGAGCATACTCAGGAACTGTCGATCTATGTCATTAGGCCGGATGGGTCGGATTTCCGCCAGGTCGTGACGAAGAAGGGATATGCTTTGGGTTCGCCGAAGTGGTCGCCCGACGGCAAGCGCATTCTCTATTACCAGATGACTCGGGCAACTACGTGGGATGCGCACCGTCCTGAGTCTGTTGCATCTGCCAACTCGACTCTGGTTTCCGTCGATTTCGAGTCCGGTTCCGATGTCAAGGAAGAGGTCGGCGGCACCGGCGTCAAGATCTACCCGCAGTATATCACGCCGAACGAGATCGGATACCTGATCAAGGGCGGCGACAAAGAAGGCATCTTCACCACAGCTGGCGCATACATCAACAGCAGCACCATCCGCACGCCCGCATGGTCCCCCGACGGCAAGAAGGTCGTCTACGAGAAGATCGGCTGGGACATCCGGCCCATGGAGAAGAAGCTCTTCAGCTGGGACGACGACTGGGAGTACCGCTTCACCGACGTCTTCCCGCAGCTCTCCATGCAGAACCAGCTTGCCATCACCCAGAAGCAACTCGGCAACTCCTCCGTCGTCACCATGACCCCCGCCGCCGACAACCTGCGCCTCATCTACGACGCCCTCGACAACGATATGGTCAACACCGGCCAGAACGCCCAGGGCCTCGCCGGCGCCTTCCAGCCCGCCTGGTCCCCCGACGGCGAGTGGCTCGTCTTCGGCCTGGGTTCCTGGTTCACCCAGCGCGGCGCCTACGGTGGCTGGCTGATCCGCGCCACGGCCAACGGCTCGCACACCGAAGTCCTCACCAACAGCACCGCCGATCTATCCGACAACACCACGGCCATCAACTCCGGCTTTCCCAGCTTCTCGCACGACGGTAAGAAGGTCGTCTTCCGCGTCTGGGGCACCCAGTCATCTAAGGGCGCACAGTCGCAGCTCGGCCTACGCGTGCTGGATCTCGAGACCCGTCAGATCTCCGTGCTCACAACGGAATGGGATAACCTACCGTTCTTTTCCCCCGACGGCGAGCGCATCGTGTTCACGCGCAAGACCAGCCCCACGAACTACGAGGTCTGCACCATCCGTCCGGACGGGTCGGATCTGCGCATTCTGACGAGTAGTGGTGCGAACGACGCGCATGCCGTCTGGTCGTGGGATGGTCGCATTATTTATTCCACCGGCATGTTCGGCTTCCAGTATGAGTGCGCCCTGTATGATAACACCTTCCAGCCCTATGGCCAGATCATGGTCATGGATGCCGATGGCGGCAATAAACAGGTCTTGACGGACTCGATCTGGGAGGACTCGATGCCTTTGTATGTGCCGAATTCTGCGCAGCGCAAGTGAGAGTGGAAACTAGAAAGTCGGTAGACCCACTTTTGATAAAAGTATTGAGTTTTGACTGTACACTACACAAACTGAGTTTAACACACTTGAAAGACCAGTAATGTATCAATAGCAAGAGTAATCCACTATTATATCGTAAAAGTAGCACGATGCCTCGACAGCCGCCGGAAAACATTTCCAGATCACGTGTTACGTCCAACCAACCAGCGCTTAGCCCAGACCCACTAATCGCCCATCCTGGACTAGCCTTATGCTGGAATGCCATTGTTCTCAGGCACCATGCCATTGCCGATCACGTGGCAGGCACAGGGTCCCATTTAGATCTTCTGCACTGACATCATCTTCAAAATCCACCGGAGAACTCCTCTCTCCTGCTCCAAGCACACAAACACAACCACACACCATGTCCTCACGCTCCTCAACCCCCGGCTTCCCCACCGGCCATGACTCCTCCGACTCCTCCCCCCCTCCAGACTCAAACATCGACCACGCCCACTCCCTCGCCTACTGGAACGACATCCCCGCCACGGTCGACGGCATGCTCGGCGGATTCCCGCAAGTCTCGCGCATCGATCTACAAGGCTCGAAGGCGTTCTTCGCCAAGACGAAGCGCCTCCTCTCCACAGACCCATCCCTCACATCCTCATCCTCCACATCTCAACAACCAAAACTAGACGAAAAGCTCCCCCGCGGCGTCGACTGCGGCGCAGGGATCGGGCGCGTCACAGAGGGCTTCCTCCGCGAAGTCTGCACCACCGTCGACGCCGTCGAACCCGTCGCGAAGTTCTCGTCTGTGCTACGTGCGAACCGCGAAAAGGCCGGCCCTGACGCTGTCCCTGGCGACGTGTACACACTCGGGCTAGAGGATTGGGTTCCCGAGAGACAGTACGATTTGGTCTGGGTGCAGTGGTGCGCGGGGCATTTGACGGATCAGCAGTTTGTGGCGTTTCTGCGCCGATGTTGTGCCTGTTTAACGCGCGGTGGGTTCGTGGTGGTCAAGGAGAATACGACGGGGGAGGGGGTCGAGGGGGATGATTTTGATGAGGAGGATAGTAGTGTCACGCGGACGGAGGGGAAGTTTTTAAGCCTGTTTGCGGAGGCCGGGATGAGGGTTTTCGCGACGGAGTTGCAGGTCGGGTTTCCGAGGAGATTGGGGCTGTTGCCGGTTAGGTTCTTTGCGCTGAGGCCGGTGGAGTGAGCTGGCTGTATATGGGGATTGTGCTTAGGGTTTAAGGATGAAGACTGTTTGGCGTTGTTGGTCAGCTGGGCTGGTTATGTTTATTGCATGGATGGCGTACGGTTAGAATAGAATTATGAGACATGAACACTGGAACTCCTCATCGTCCCAATCGAATATCCTGGTTATTAAGAACTGTGGACTTGGTTGATACATGTGTCTAGGAGCAGGAGTATTCGATCAGGTCCTAATAGTAGTTAAATTCAATGTTAATTCATCAGATCTATCTAACAAAGCATAACGAAGACATAAATACATGACACAATAAACAAGGCATTCTAGCATATCGCCTGACCTGCGTCCAACCTCCGTGATAATTAACGCCTGAAACATTGACCAATAACTACCTAGTTTCCATGACAATCGATCCAGGTCAATGAAAACCAAGCAGTCCATGAACCTTCACCATTACCAGACCATCAGCCCGTCAAGAACCAGTCTTGACAAGCAGATCCAGACTCCGCTCTTCATCTAGAAGAAAGAAGGGGTGGCAGAGGCGGATGGGGGCGGAGGAGGTCCGCTGGGAGTGCCGCTGGGAGGCGGGGGAGGGACTCCTTCGAACTGGCGCTTCTCGAACACAGCATCGCTGGGAGTAGCGCTAGGAGGGGGAGGAGTTCCACTAGGAGTACCAGAAGGAGGGGGAGGGGGCACATCGAACTGACGCTCCTCCACAACCGGCGTGCTGCTGGGAGGAGGGGGAGGTCCACTGGGGGTACCGGAAGGCGGGGGAGGAGGCACACCCTCGAACTGGCGCTCCTGCAGAGGAGCAAAGGTTGGAGATGCGCTAGGAGGGGGAGAAGGTCCGCTGGGAGTACCGCTAGGAGTGCTGCTAGCAGGCGGAGGAGGAAGTCCCTCGAATTGACGCTTCTCAAACACGACATCGCTGGGAGTAGCGCTAGGAGGAGGGGGAGGACCGCTGGGGGTGCCGCTGGGAGGCGGGCCAGGAGGGAACTGTCTGGCGACCACGGAAGGAGTCTCGCTGGGAGGAGGGGGAGGAGGCAGCGAGCTTGAGTCAGGAGGGGGAGGGCCGGGGAAGAAGTTGAAAGCCGGCATGGCAGCAGCGTAGCCAGCAAGGCCCGCGATGGCAATGGAAGTGAGCTTCATATTGAAGAGTGTATGAAAGAAGCTGAAGGATAATCAAGATGAAGAATAATAAGAGACTTGTTTGATTGTTGAGTCTGAATGTTCTGGAGCAAAGAGACAATCTGACCCGGATATCAAGGCCATTAAATATGTGAGCTGGACGGAAAACCATTCTGTGACGCTATGTTGACGATCTTCCACCAGCCGCTACAATTCTTCTCGTCTATCCAGATACCGCCAGGGTGTTGATCCCTGTGGCCCAGGTCGCAGCACAGGTTCGGCAATGATAGGATGGCCATAGTCGGCTCCGAGTGGACCTACAGCCCGAATGCTGGTAGGCCGTTTCCTGGACCTGCGCTAGCCAGGGGCATTGACCACCATTCCAGTTTCCTCATGGCCAATCTCAAAGCTTGTTGCAGAGCATGCTAGCGTGGGTAGTCGGCGCCAACCACTAAAACCAAAAGGTGATTGAGCCAACCGCCAGACAAGCGAGTGGATCAACAAGGTCGCCGATCTCTCCAGTCACACTGCTAACAAGGTGTTGCGGTGGCGATGGCATGGCGATGACCCACGATGATGGTGGTCACGGCAGGGCTTGCATCAGCTGTCGCAATCTATCACGAAGATATGCTTATTTGCATGACGTTCAACCAGCCTCAGGATTTCCCCAGTGGCAAAGCTCTGGCGGATCGTGTAGCATCATTGCAGAATTCTAGATTTGTCTCCCAGGAGATCCCAAACAGCATCTGTCTCAAGTCCAGCCGCTTCGTGAGAACTGTCGCAGATCCTGTGGGGCGATATATGCCTCGCTGATAATCTGCATCCAATCATTACTACGGCGCTAGGATGATGTAGCCAGCTCTGGTGTGTTTGGGAGGAAACAAGAAAGACCACTCCAGACAACGCATTGTCCGCGGTTCCCCAGCCCATTCTTTTTCCTCAATTATGATCAAGGAAACGACTTCATCGAGATGACCTGCATGAAAGCGTTACGCGTTACCATCACAGTGCGGCACACGAATTGCATCGAGGACCAGTGGAGAGCGAACCGTGTCTACTCCGTATCGCCCGTCCTGGGGTCTCGATAGAGAGGATACAGGGCATGGATGATCGGGTAGCGATGAGTCGACGTGTGGAACCGGAATAGACTCAAAGTTTAGACATGCCGCTTGGATTTCCATGTGCAGCAATGATCGCTAGCCGGAACATGTCAGACCCGGAGACTATGAGAAACTAAGCACGCCGGTTATAGCAAACGGCGCGCCAAAGCCAAAGCAAGACTCGCCGAAGCTAGCCCATAAAACGGATATCTGAGCGTTCAACATCATCACGACGAAGCCGAGTGGGATGATGGCGGTAACATCAAAAGGCCGTGAGATCAACGGGCAGTGGATGCGGGCAGGGCTGCGGTGGGACTGGAGTGGGCTGGGAGTTGGAGATGGAGGCTGGTGACTCGAGGCTGGTCGATGTTTGTCCGCGCGTCACGCCCGTTGCCTGGGGCAGGAGTGGTGGCCTGAGGCAGAACTTGGGTCAGGCATCCATGGGCCGTCGGTCGGCGGCTTTCTTTTCCACGGCTCCCTCTTCCTTCTTCCTTCGCTTCTGTTCCTTTTCCCCGACGACTTCTCTCCCAGAAGTTCAGATGTTGAAGCAGGTTTCCTGTGCTTCTAGCGAAACGACGATCCTTCGGCTTGGAACTTCCCAGGTTCTTGTCTCCTGCGAGATCAACGCAACCCTTTCCTAATATGTTGCCATGTCCGCGAACTAACGTTCGACATCAGCTTCAGCCAAACTGTCTGAATCTAGTTCTCAGACTATCCGGTGACAGAAGAAGCTAAACCTGACATCGGCATGTCTCACCAAACTCAATGCTTAACCTTCTCGCGCCGTCTCCGAGATGAAACTAACATGACTAAAATCAACGTCGGTTAAGTGCGATCGGCATAATAGCACCATCAGATAAGCCCGCAGGCAGTGTCCGTCTTAGCCGACTCAGGTGAAATTTACGGAATATGGTTCAGGGGCTGCATACATTGACGGGCTGAACGTGGTTGATGTCCGATTGACAGGACGCTTTCCCTGTTGGGTGAGCCCCAACCATGGTTCATTTCTCTGCGGATATCCATGCCGATGAGTGTTCCTGCGGACTTGAGACTGGGTCACTTCGCCAGCAAACCACGATGCTTTTCGACAGAATATTCTCATAGAGTTTAATAAGGATCGGCTGGTGAAGAGTATTAGGTTCGCTCAGCCATGGTAGCCTGTCTTCGAGAACTACTCCGTCTATGCAGTGGAGGTGACAGTGCCGTGGTGGCGTGCTTCAGGAATTCTCTTTCAAACCCCGACTTTCTGTGAATGGGTTCAATTGACAAACCCCCAGCTAACTCAAATACCAGAAGTTCTTGAGAGCAACTCCTGCTCTCTGGGAGTGTCGCAGATGTCTGAGGTGCGAGTTGCCATAAATTTCGCCGGACCTCTTTACTCCTATTCTACGAACCTACACCTGTATAAATCTATACAATTCGACTCATCCTATCATCCTTTGATTTTACGAGTCAAATCACCCACTTAACAGCTGATGGGACGTGTCTATCGCAAGAGCATAGCACCTTTCACTATCAAATTCTTCTAAGGCTAATAATACCTGACTAGGCATTATTCTCTTCTGTGAAATGACCAGGAGAGGTAGGAGATGAGATTTCATGCTGTAGTGAGAGGTTTAGTCTGTTGCTGCCAGCTACGACTAGCCGGCCTGAGGTCTGTGGCGCAGATCTACGACCCTTGGGTTGGAATATGCGCTGGTATGGTATATAGTGGAATCTTTCGATGGGGAACTTGACATGGGTCTTCCGTTGCGGTAGAAACTTTGGAGAGCAAGGTTCAGGCAAATTGAAAGGCATGCAGCCTTATAATCGGGCAACAGTATCCAACTGATATCATTTGTCGTTCTTCTTATCCTCTTGTACCATTGACTCCTTCTCTCCGTCTTCTTCATCCTGGTCGCTCTCGCTATACGGTATATCTCTCCAACGTCAGCAAAGGCCCATCCCGGCACATACCCAGACACAAAAAGAGCATGGTCTACCTTCATCCGAGTCATCCTGGACGTAGGTTATCGCCGACGCGGGAAAATCCGGATCTTGGACCCAGTCACTGCTGGGGTCCTCGTACTGCCTATAAGCCGCTGGAACATCGGCATATCGGACGCTCTCACGCTTGGCCAGCTCGATCAGCGCAGCAGTCGCGTCGGCAGGTACGTCGTAGTTGACGGCAAACACGTGCCCGTCAATGATGACGTTGTCTGTCTCCGCCCATGCATCGTACTCAATTTCGTACCTCAGGTATTCGGTGGGGATCTCGGAGAATTTGGCATTTCGTTGGGAGAGGCTGTCAAATAGCTCGGTTACTTCGTCGGGCACGCTGTCGTCGAATTTGAAACGGTGGCCGTCCACCATGCAGATGCAGACTGCTTCTTCGTCTGAATGCTGGGAATCGTGTGTAGACATCATGATGAGTGTGAAAAAGCTGGAACAATGCAGTGAGAGGTGAAATAAGGGGTGAGGAGGATGAGAGGAGAAGATAGGGATTAAATGCTGGGAGGGTGCAGCCACGACTTGAAATTTCCGACATTGTGTGACTTCAAAATTGGAGGACGGACTAACCGCAACGATCCTCGAGGCCGCGTGCGTTGGAGCCCTTGTGTAACCAACTATCATGTGGAGGACAAAGAGACGTGATTCCGGTATGTGTACAACCCTAACACTACAACTTAAGGGTCAAAACGTTATGTACTATGGCTCTACCCTCGAGGCTCAAAATGAACAATATATATATCAAGATATATCGGACTGATGCGAATAAATAAAGCTACATTAATGAACATAATACTAAATCTAAAAACATAAGTGATATAAAACTGCAAACCAAAATCAGTTAATGCCAATAAGGGGGCACAACACCTTTAACGCAAGCCCAAGCATCTCCCACGGCCTGGGCAACTTCATCCGGCAAAGACCCCTTCTCCAAATCATTTAAGTTACTCTCCAAATGCAGCACACTACTCGCTCCCACAATAATAGCATCGCCGAGTTCCCCTCTCAGCAACGAATGATGCTTCAACCACCTCAACGCCACCTCCCCAACAGTCAATCCATACTTCCGCGCCGCCGCCGAAATGACCTCCAGGCCATCAAAGTACGCCTCATTCCAATACCTTCTCTGATGCACCGCCCCCTGCAGAATCTTCGGGTCGAACCGCGATCCCGCCTCGAACTCCGTTTGATCCCGCGCATACCGGCCCGTTAGGAACCCGCCGGCCAGCGGCTGGAACGCATACAGTGAGATGCCGTACTTGCGAAGACACGAGGTCAGCTCGGGCTCGATGCTGCGCTGCAGCACGTGGTAAACACCCTGGTAGACCGTCGGCTTGATCCAGCCGTTTGCGACGCAGAGCTCGCAGATCTGCGCGACTTCCCACGCCATGAAATTGCTCAGGCCGAAGCGCGTGAAGTACCCTTCTTGGTAGAGGCGGTTGACTTCGCGGAGGGTATCGACGAAGGGCGTGTTGCGGTCGGGGCCGTGAAGGTAGAAGAGATCGATTTTGTCGGCGCTTAGGGCTGAGAGGCTCTTGAGGAGACCGCGGCGGAGATCGGCCGGTTGGTGCGTGTAGCTCTCTGCGACGGCGGCGTTGCTGGGGTAAAGCTTTGTGGCCATCACCAGTTTGCGTTTTTGCCATTCTGCTGCGGCGAGGATTTCTTCGGATGAGCCGGCGCCGTAGATGCGGGCTGTGTCGACTTCGTTGTGTCCGTGGCTTTGGAAGATGTCGAGGATCTTAGCGGCGTCTTGGGTGTTGTGGACGCGGGCACCAAGTGTGTCTGGCAGTGTTAGATATTTTCTTTTATTTGACTATGGGAAATTCTCTCACCTGGCTTGCCAAATGTCATGGCTCCGAAGACGACTTTGAGGTTATTGTTGTTCGTCATGGTGATTGGCGGAAGGGTTGGAGATGTTTGTGATAGAGAAAGATGTCGACTCAAACCTGGATATACAGTGCAGCATACCAGAGCAAACATCCTTATATACTCGACAACAAGGCTCCTTGAATCTGACATTTCATGGCTTTTATGGCAGTAGGCTTGGTTATTTCCGAAGGTCTGTGGCTTTGGTGGCAACTCGGCATTACCGGCGTTAGCGATGTCGCCGTGGGATCTCGTCAGCTTCACGCCCTGTTGCCGGCTTGCCCAGGAATATGGGATATTTCTTGTTTAACATGAATAGATTATCGTTCATTAAATTATTACAGCCTACTTGAAGTTGAAAAACTCTCAACAATGTTTCAGCTGATATAAATATGTCGTGAAATGTAGAAAAGTCTATAAAAAGTCCGCTTACGTCTCCTTCGTTTCCTTCCGCGACTCCAGCAATTTCTTCAGTGCAGATGCCTCGCCCTCCAGTATTGAAGCTTTGACCCTCCATTCCTCGCGCTCCCGTTTGGCAATCTCCAATTCTGCCTCGAGCTCATTCATTCGATCCAGCCGTCGCTTCCTGTACCGACGAGCTGCCATGGTGTTCATCTGGCGTTTGTCAACCCGTCTTGTTGATTCTTTTGGGCACATATTTCCCGGCGGAGATGAGCTGCCATTAGATGATGTGTACGAGACACAGCCAGCGTAGCGAGGACTAGGAAATCCAGAGACATTCCCGGCGTTGCCATATGCTAGCGTGGCGTCCGGTGCAGCAGTTGGAAATTGACCCACTGTCTCTAGTGCTGTATCGGGGAATGTTTCCATCACTGGTGGAATCAGAGGTTGAGGGAAATTGCCAATGGCATCATCCCAGCCTAGTAAAGCCGAGTCGGCGAATATCGAATCGGGAGATGAGCCATGTGTAGTAAACAAAGGGTCTCGAGAGGCAAAAGACGTAGAGGGATCAGAGATAGGCATATCGGACCATAGGTATGGATCGGAAAGCTCAAAGGAGGATTGATGAACGTTTTCGCAATGATGATAGATATTAGACCCGCCAGCTTGCTGTGAAGGCGACGTCAGCGGTTTGGAGGGCCACGAATGCGGTAGATTGTCCGACGGCATCCATTGTGATATTGTTGAGGCCGGGTCTTACGACCCGAATGACGGTGAAAAAGAAGAAAGCGACCGGTGGTCTGTTGGGCGAAGACTGGAGTCGACCGATGATGGCCGGTATAGCGATAAAAATCGAAGGCCGTGGAGAGAATAAAGATATAGATAATTTGAAGAGAGGCGCTGATGTTGAGATCTTGGGCACTGGCGTAGTGGAGGCCCATTGGGAGGGCGATTAAGTTAGTCTGTAATTCTGATTGCAATCATGGCATTACATACTGCTTATATACTAGGAGGGGAGCATACGGAGCATGGACCACGAGAAACGGAGTTCCAAGCGCTGCAAATCCTACTTCACACCAATGAGCGTGGTGAAATGCACAACTCCAACGGGCATGGATGGCACGGCGAAAGATGGGCGGCAACCAAACAAGTCCGAGCCAGCGTCCTCCGTGCCTCTTCATCCCGAACCATCTCTTGGCACTCTGGCACGCCCAACCTTTTCCTTTATTATCGACCCCTTCCTGCGATTCGCTCATTCTGATGGTTTGGGATTCTGTCTTTCTTCAGTTGAATTCAAGCCCGCCTGTTTATTAACTGTTCAACCTCACGGTGTGCCTCGAGAAGCAGCGACCTCCAATAAACGACCTCAAATATTGTCACCCAAGGCCCTCCAAAACTCAAGAATGCGAGTGATTCGCACACGACTTCAAGGCACGCTAGATCAGACATCCCCTCCATGAGAAGAAGCAGACTAATTGATGCAAAAAGAGGATGAGAAAGCTTCTCTACGCGTCGATGGTTGACCCTTCCAGTGATCGAATCCCGGCGCGGTGATCCAATTTATCAACCTTCTGGATTTGTTTACGTCAATTTCTCAAGTGATCATTGAATGTCACGCGGTTCCATCAACACCCGATAAAAAGCCATCCCAACAGCAATCAAATATCAGAACTGTCGAGCTATGTCTTTCAAGACGCCGGCGATTGTTGGCCCTGTGTGGGTCACTGTGCGAGACTACTCCGGAGTCAAGCAGAAGACAGGACGGAAGACTTTGGTCTTGCTAACCTGTTGCGGTCTGGTTCTCGGATAACGAGCCAATTGTCCCATCTGCACTATTGTACGGAGATGCATGGCATTACATTGCGACCAACAATCTCCGAAGGCACATGGGACCCCTCTCAGTTCCGCAGATTCATCGGAACTTCATACAGAAGCAAGTACGGACCTGGAGCTCTTGTCCGCACCAATACTGAAAGTCGGAACAGTCCGAGATGAAACTAAAACAAATTAGACCGAGACATCGCTGAGAGGTGTACACGGGCGCTGCTGACTCACTAGGCAAAGGTCCGTCGTTACCCCTAATGGGGATTTGACAAGTGAATTGCTACTGTGGCAAAGATCCAACTTCTTCTTTTCGTCTGAGATACAGCTTGAATCACGGAGCACATTCTGGGCAAAGCGCTGGAGATGGTATATCTTCGGGGAAGTACCATCTCATCATCGTGGTCACTCCGTACCGTCGTGATTGTGGGGGCCAAAAACATACGACCTGAGCCCACTTCGAACGTACGGAGCGTTTTCCTGTCAACGGACCGCCGCGCTCCCCTCTTTTCGGACTGGAGGGAAAGACTAACTTGAGACTATCGCGCCAATTGGTCGGGGGATCATATATCCCTGTCTTTTTGGGGACAATTTTTACTGCCCCGAATTCACGTGTGGTTGTCTGCCCGTCTGATCCCTCAGAGCGTTGCTAGACACACTACACTGGCCCCCGAGCCTCGCTTGCACCAGCACCAGGAGATTTCCCTCAAGGTGGCTTTTTTACCGCACTTCAGAATCATCCTTTACTTCAGAACCGGAAAATGGAATCGGACTTGCAGATAGGGGGCGGGGCTGGGATCGACGTGAAAGCATTGTCTTCTCACGAGCCAACCCTCGATATGGACCTCCGTTGCGATGTTTGCAACAAATCTTACACTCGGCGTATGTGGCTTTTGCCATTAATTTCCTTAAGTCTTTCATCTGAAATATCGAACTAACAATTTGACTTGTAGCTGACCTACGGGATCGTCACCGGCGACGATGCATCACCAAAGCAGGCCAGGAGCGCAAGTCCAAGCGCAAATCCTGCGATACCTGTGCAAAGAAGAAGATCCGCTGTTCTCTCTCCCGTCCGTCGTGCTTGCGATGCACTCAGCTTCGAATTCAATGCCAGTATCCCCAGTCTCCTTTCCCAGCACCGAGACCTAGTCAGGGGGTGTCAATAATGGCGATGGATCAACCCCAGCTGGTACAACTGGGTGGGATGAGTGATCCATCTGGTGTTATGGCAGGCCATTCTCAAGTCTTCCCAACACCCATATTGAACTCTGCCGACTTGCTACCTGCCTCCTTGTGGAACAACTACGACCTCTCGAATATTCAGTTCGTGGACCCTGCATTGACCCAGGACTTCTTGTCTTCGACGAATGCAACGGGTGTTGCATCCTTGCCATCGAATGATGCTTTCGCAGCTCTTTCGGATTTCCAGTCAGCAGAAAGTGATTTCATCCGCAACGCGGGCTCTCTATCTCTACACAGCGGGGCACTATCATCTGCCGGTCCATTGTCCAACGTGCGTTCTAATTCAGGACATCTGCCAACCCCTAACCAAGATGTACCTAGTCAAGAGAAAGAGGCTAGCCCGTCGGGCCTGACCGGGTCATTGCATTCACCCCCTTCCTCGGACGTCTCATGGCGCAACAGTTCTACGGACGAAGACTCAATGTCGGCGAACCTGACCAATCGCCTGTACAGCCCAGCCCATCTTATCTTTGCCCACTCATTCACGATCGGGATGGGACCGGACATTCAGACCGACGCAAGCAGCCTGTGTCAAGATATGCTGAGCCATCTTCGAGAGTATCCTGGTCTCGTGCTAGATCGGGATTTCTGGTCCCCGTTCGTGCATCACCGCTTGTATCGTTGTTCCCTGGGCGGGATGGCAGAGCCTATGGCTAATGCGCTGGCCTGCGTGGGCGCATATGCCAGCTGCGCGGGTTCTAGCTTTGGGTTTGTCAATCGCATGATTAACGAGGAGCGGGACAAGCTGGTACGCAAATTCCACAGCTACACTAACACCCCTGAGCCGTGTCTGGCTGCGCTGCATGCCGTCTGCATCTATCAGATCATGGGTTTGTTTGGGGATGCATTTTTACCGGCTTCCCACAAGGCGCGACTAGCCGATGTAGAAGACGAGGATCGGCGTCGTGAAGAGTTCGAGAAGGAGGCAGAACTGCACAGTACATTTGTGCTGAAGGTCTGGCATCTTTATCTCTTAAATGGAGTCGTTGTCTAATCTAACTAACTTGACTGCAGATGACTCGACGCCTGACCGGCCTGCATGCAAAAGCATTGCATGTCCACCACGAAGACGAGATGGACTGGGACCAGTGGAAATTCATGGAGTCCCTCCGACGTAACATGTTCTTCGTCCACATCATTAACATCTTGGGGTCTAAAGCGCGGCAGCTGAACGAGAACTACTTCGAGCCGCTCGGGGACGACCTGATCCTCGGGATTCCGTTGCCGGCCCCTGAACGCATGTGGCGAGCCTGCAGCGCCGAGGAGTGGTATATGGCTCGCGCAGAAACGCTAGGCGTGGAGGCCGATCCGACTGCCAGACCGAGGACTCTGCAGGAACTGCTGCAGGCTGTGGATAAGCGCCAAGTCGACGTATCGGCCCTACTGCCTGTTACACGCATGCTGCTGGCATCTGCGACTATCATGCCGCCGGAGAGTACTCTCTAAGCCAGGCCCACGGCAGCACCGGGACTGACCGCCTCTCAGGGGCACAACTTCCAACATTTGGCGTATTTTTGAGAATTGCAGCAATCCGCAATCTCCACTAAACGGATGAAGGTTTTCCCGGTTAACGTCACATGACTGTCCCTGCGTCATCGACGGCTTTAAATAGAAACATCACGAGCATCGCCGAAGTTCGGCATACAAACATACAACACCAACCAACATGCCTCCCCACGAAGGATTAGTTCACCCCAAGGAATATGACATTAAAGACAGCAATGTCGAACTGATCGGATCCGACCTCGACCACCAGGTCAAATACAACTCGGCCGCCTCCGAGCCCGCCTGGAACAACGGCAAGGTGGGGCAGGAGCCGGGGCTGCTGATCTGGCGCATCGAGAATTTCGAAGTCGTGCCGTGGCCCAAGGAGCGTACTGGCGAGTTCTATGACGGCGACAGCTTCATTGTGCTGCACTCATACAAACTCGGTGACGATAAGCTGGGGCACGACATTTTCTTCTGGCTCGGCAGCAAAACCACCCAGGACGAGGCCGGCACCGCCGCCTACAAGACCGTCGAGCTCGACGAGTTCCTGCACGGCGAGGCGACCCAGCACCGCGAGGTTCAACAGCATCCGTCGGAGGAATTCACCTCGCTGTTCCGCCGCATCTCCATCCGCTCTGGCGGTGTGCGCTCGGGCTTCACTCATGTTGAGGAGGCACCTCGCGAGGAGGTTACCACGCTGTTGCGTGTCTTCAAGCACCCTGGTGTGGGCCGTGCCGATTCTCTGATCGTCTACGAGGTCGAGCCCACCTGGGAAAGCCTGGACGACGGCGACGTCTTCGTCCTCGACAAGGGCGACAAGATCTGGGTCTGGCAGGGCAAGAGCTGCAGTCCGATGGAGAAGGGCAAGGCTGCGCAGGTTGTGCACGACCTCACCCTCGCCAAGCACGTCGACGTCGAGGTTCTGTCTCAGCTCGAAGCCCGATCGAAGGTCATCGTCGACCTGCTCGGCGGCAAAGAGGTGACGCAGCTGTCCTTCCAGTGCCCGCGGCCTTTCTCATCTTCCACAAAGCGAGCGCCTACCGACGACGCCGCCAGTCCCCGCAAGCTCTTCCGCCTCAGCGATGCCTCGGGCAAACTGTCCTTCGATCTGGTCAAGGAAGGAAACCAGATCAAGCCGTCAGATCTGGACGGAAATGACGTCTTTTTGTATGACGTCGGAAACAGACTCTGGGTCTGGCAGGGCTTGGGAGCGAGTGCCAACGAAAAGGCTCTGTGGCTCAAGGTTGCCCAGTCATATGTTCGCTGGCTTCAGGAGAGCCAGGGGGGCTCGGAGGCGCACTTCACACCGATCGCGAAGGTCGTGCAAGGACATGAAAGCCCGGCGTTCATGAAGGCGATTGCTGTATAGGCTTGGGTGAATATAACCGATATTGGACGGTCTTAAGAATGTTTATATATGATACAAATCAAAACCATCACCTTCAATGTTCATACTTCCCTAGCCCTGATATCGATCTATCTGGGCAACGGTGAGGTTACCAATTGGATCCAGCCGCCTCAGGCCGCCGCCATGCCTGAGGCAGAAAGCACTGGTCAGAGGGCGCATTTCAATTGGCTTCTCTCATTCTGCCGAATATCACAGTTTTATTAGCAGGATGTGCTCATAAATCTATCACTATGCACTTTCAGTATAGCAGCTGTTGTGTTAACGAACATGTGTTTAACAATACCAGCCTTGTTCATTGGATCTTCTTATTATCTTCTCGGCTAAACTGTGCCGTTCCTTTATATCTGAGAGTTCCCTTTATGCTCCTACCACCATATGCACTTATTTCCTTGCATACAAAAGTCCGGATACGAGAACTCGACTTTACATCTCATCGCCACGTACCCCCTTCTCTTCCTCCTCTGCAACAATCTCAAATGCCCTCATCTCCTCTGGAGTATCGTCATAGGTCCTATTATTATCAATATTTCCGTCAGAACACCGTCACATTCTTCCGGGTGTCGTAGTAAATAAGAAACACATGACCACCTATACTCGCCCTATCTGGTAAGTCCCTCGACGATGGTAGGATCATTGCCGTCGACAGTAGTTGTTATAACCAGGATTGACTCCAGCCATTTGTGGGATGGAGTACCTTGAACGTGGGGGAGTGGCTCATCTGGTCAGCTCAATCATTTGACATGCTACCATGTGGGCAAGCTGAGGGTGATACTGGATAGAGTGTTTGCAATGGTGTATTATGTGAAAGGAGATATAGAATGGTCGTATTGCCGCGAAATCCAGCTGACCGTCTCCATTGTTGAATATCAGGCTTCTTTAGCTCGCCGTTAGTAGAATAGAAGGCGCAACGTGTACTTCTGGTGCTGGAGGGTATAATGCCTTCATCTGCGATGATCTGAGCTATTCAGTTGTCTGATAACTTGGCATATTTCAGGGTCTCCCGTCGGATTCAAGCTTGGCTTTGTCAGGACCTTTGACATGACACCATGAGAGCCCCAAATACTCAATAATCAATTAGCGCCATTACACTCTTTCTTGTATCAAGCACCAAGGACTTGCGAGCGAAGGGCGTTTGGTGCTGACAGGTATTCTGGACCAGGAAGCTTCTTATAAATCGACCTGAAGTTTGAGCAATCTCTGCACAAATATCGCTCGAAAGGATCGCCACAAGCCAAGTACTCCCGACGATATTTCTTGACACTTCCTGATAGTGAAGCTGAACAAGAGAAATGTGTGATTGTTTTGCAGGATTCCGCACATTTGACTGTGTTCAGATTCTGATAGTAGATTCGTGACTGGTGCAAGTAGATACGGACCCTCGCGTTCATCCCATGCCATGATACAGGAGGCGGCCGCAGTCTTCTCCTGACATCTGCCATCTCATAGGGCGATTCAGACGCCCAACCTGTCTCGTGAACAGAATTAGAGACGCTCTTCGACCCTTGAATGTGCAGTATCCCTTGTTAGATCAACTCCTTTCCTAAAAGGAGCATAGAAGCATAGATGATTTTGTACTGCTCGATCTGTTCTGTTGCTGTAACGGAAGCCGAGAGACCGGAAACACGAGGCACATCTCGGTTTCTTGCTCTCTTTCGTTGTCAGTATTTGAAGTTATAGACGATCTCTTTACTTCTGGCGTGCAGAAATTGAACAGTACGCTTCGAGCGGTGGAAATAATAAACAGGTATAGATTCTAATCCTTGGGCTTCATCCCATCATATTCTCTGATGTCGGTACAGTATCCCATGAAATTTGCCAATGCATGGTCATGCTGAAGAGTGGGCGGCAATAAAGTCCATGGTTATAGTGTAGAACGGTTCCATCGGCACGGTATAATCGGGTGAAGCAATCCGTAGGGTTGGTCGAGGCAATTTATTTGCCAAACACATGGGACAGTTGCGACAATAATCCTTCAACAAGCGCCGTGCCTTATAAATCGCGAGGCCATCGAGCAGCGGCAGACATTTGTCGACTCCTTGGTGGTTATTCTGGTCGCGGACCAGTTCGAAAAGTTCTCTTACAAGAGGTCGAGGGATATATAGCCATTTTTCTTTGACTGTCGAGCCGAGAACTGGATCAACTTTATCGCGGACAGAGTAGAGCAAGTTTTCAACTATTTCATAGGGCCCGTCGGACGGGTCGACGTCTTCCTGATTGATTGTTTTGAGGATCTTTGTGGTGCGCGGATCGTCTTGGTAGGCGTCCTGAACTTTTTGTTTGAATTCGTCGGAGAGTTCGATAGTCGATCAGTTGTGAATGACACAATCAGTGACAAACGCGAAGTCCAAATCAGCGTCAAAATGGTCGTATTTCATAGTGCACTCCATAGCCTTGTATCTCACCTCCAGAGTCAGCCCTTCATGTTCATCGCTTTTGTAGTTCTGGCCTGCGGTCATGAGTTTTCTTTCTATAACGGATGATGACTAGAAACTTGACTTGGTTCTGGGTTTGTTGAACCTTGCACGATGAGTCTAAGGTTTGTCAATACTCGACTTCCTCTTATAATCACTTTTTCTTGACCTGTGTCCAGTCCTCGGCGGTTTTGGAAATGTGAACGAAACACTTAGGCGTCATTTTTGATCAGGGTATTGACTAGGATTGGAATAGGCTTTTGACTTCGATTCCAGAGATTCGGTGTAAGAAATCAACATATCTAACAGTCTGCAATCACATTTGGCGGTTTGCTACTAAGGCACTGGTGAGCATCGCTGGCAAGATGCGTAGTCGACTCAGACGGTTCACCCTCAGCAACAGCCTGAACGAAGCTGCTCTTCATTTTGGCGATACAGTATTAAAATGTGGGAGCTTTAGAATTCAATGGCTATTCATTCCTGATACTTGGCCGAAACTTGAACGTTCCTTTATTAGTATGGGCGACACGCCCTTCTTCCACGGCTGATACTATTGGATGGTGCACAAGTAGAGTATACCGACTCAGTATTTCGTCAAACGCGTGATAGAAAGGGCTGTAAAATATTGTTTCAGGTCTCTTTAGAATTAAAGAGTGGTTGTGGTAATTGTGCCTATAACCCGGTGTAGGTTTTTGGGTGCCTCTCCTACCGTTTTTAGGTCGACGAAAAGGCTGGTTCGAGTAAATTCTTCATGTCAATTTCTCCTTGTCAGAGAGCTTGAAGTTAATATGGACTATCGCATCCACTGGGGCCGTTAAAGTGGCTATATTGGAACGCGCGTAGTATCTCGTTGGTCTGGGCTTCGTCAATCAAGAGCTGGGCATTCAAACCCTTGGACGGTGCGTTCGGGAATATGCAAGGTCTGCCTCCTTGCGAGGATGCTCCCTCCCCTGCAGGCTCGGATGTACCGGTAGAAGTTGTGGACTGCAAGAAATCAGTATCCCGTTTGTTTCTCCACGCGGGATGACGGCATACCGAAGTAAACAGCCCCTCGGGCTCAGGGGACAACTCGCTGCCCGAAGACAGCTCGGCGGCACGGGCCAGGAGGTCCCCGTCGGCGGCGCGGCGGGCTTCTCCTTCTCTCTATGAAGGGTCTCGTATAAGCAGAAGGCCTTCACGACCAAGAGAAGTCCTTACCTGGTTGCGCTCGGCGGCGCCCCCCCTGGTCAGTCGCATGGCGGCGGCCACCTTGTCCCTCTTGCGAGGGTGCCTACCCGAAGGCTTCACGGAATTCTTGGGCTTCTTGGGGCCTACACGCATTTGAAGTTAGTCCCGCACCGGCCTAGCATGCATACCGCAGGGCTCCCGCCAGGATTTTGAGAAGGAGAGACTCACGGGGGCGGGGGAAGACCCTTCTCCCGGAGGAGAGGCAAACGAAACACGCTTCTGCCCCTTTGGAGGCATCTTGGTGTCACGGGGGAGGGGGGTTGCTGAAATGCTGCCCACCTTTTTGAACGAGCTTCACTCTCGCGTTTTGAGCTCTCTTTCCCCATGGTTCATGAACGAGTAGCTTCCGAGAATCATTCCCCCAAGGGCTTGTCGCTGCGTAGAACTTGACTGTGATTTTGATGAAGACCGCCCCAAATAGCCTTGTGGTGCCCGTTTGTCTGGCTGCTGTTTTATGGCGCCCCTAAGGTATTTCTTGAGCTGTCCTTTACCATCTTTGTAGTCATTCTGATTTCTATGATCGAGAAAAGCTAGCGAGCAATCTAGCCCCCCTGAGTGCTAGTCCAGTTGCTAATGCTGAAATAGTCATTCTCACACTTTTGCAATCACATGGGTTGGTATCCACGACTGCTGATTGATTTGGGTTTGCATTCGCCATGACAAAATGTCATGGTCCGTCACGGTGAAATTCCGGTATCGATGCAGGATGCTCGTACAACGGTTCTTCCATTCGTGAGATCCAAAGGCGCCGATGTAGATGAAGCAGTGCGGTGTTCATGAGCTTGCGGTTCCTGGGAATGCTTTATATGGGGTTTTCCATGGCACAATGTACAGTATATATGCACATGAAAAGGCATCCTTCTCTCTGTAGCTTGGCAATCTGCCATATATCCGAGGTCCTCAGGTCTGGGTATTTTGGTTGTTTGAGAGAGTCCAGGTGCTTCTCAAATGACAATCACATCACCACAATGTCATCTATGTAGGCTCTGCAAATTCTCTAGATTCCAGATTCCTGAAGTCTAGAGCCAAACTAGTACTGCTTCTAAAGAGCATTAAAGCGGCCTAAGATGCTATTGGCGAAGGTATATTCATCGACAAACCTGACTGCGGAAGCTGGAGACCGAGAATTAAACCGATCTACTCGATAGGTAATGATTCCATGCATCCAAAGTTCTGATTTTGTCCGCTGGGTATGGACTGTTCGTTGATAGGTTTCAGGTTCTGTTCCAGACAATGTTGAAGCATAATTGCGACCATCTGTATCCTGGTTTCCTTTGGAGACGCAGAACGGAGGAATGCAGCGACACTGGGGTTTATATTTTTCACTGACACGTGATCAATAGTGCTGAAGGATAGATTGGATGAACTTCCATGTTTTTTTCAAAAGCGAGGCAGGCAGCAGGCTGTGGTGATGGTGGCTTTGGTGAAAGGAAAGCCCAAATGTCTTTGCACATATGGGATTCTTGTAGTCCATACTTCCTTCGCAGAACTATTCTTGGCTACTCTGACCATGAAAAGTCGCTTTCGTTCACTTGGTCACAGGTAGAACCAGGTCATAGCATGCACTGCCATGATAAGGATTTACCTCGGAATAGTCGCTGTTCTGGTGTTGAGCGTACCTCTGGGTGTAATTCCCACCCACAACCGATCTCAGGGCCTTATCCGATTCGATAATGTCCAAGAAGTTACATGGGCACATTTTATCTTGCCGTCGCCCAGATTTAATGCATTCCTTAAACTTGAGGCGCTGGTAAGGCCACTGGGGGCCCAAGCAGCCTGATGGCTCTATTTATCTCCGAAGGTAAACATTATGCCATTGGTCATTGATAGGCGCACAGGACGTCAATGTCACCTCGTTAGTGGAAAGCCCATCCCATCCATTAATAGCGAGTGTTAGATGTATTCTGTTCCGCGCGCGCTCAAACGCTGTATCTCACCCAGCATATTCGCCCTAGAAATCTAAGCGGCAAAGACAACAGGTTTCTTGGGATCGCATCCAAGATCAAATGAAGTCATTTGAGAAGACATTTGATCAGGAATAGTGCAATTGATTCAATGTTTTGATGGCTTGGTTCAATGGTCGTGATCCGGATAGGAGCTGTGCATAACAAACTTGCCAGTCTTCGTCAACCTCTGGCATGGTGTGCTCTTCCTGAAGAGAGAAAAGGAGCGTTCTGAGCTCTCTTCGGGCAAGAGACATCAGATATCTTGCCTTGAGCGTTTTTTTGTTTCCTTTCTTCCGGATGTTGCATACTCTGCAAGTCGTCTGGGTCGTTTTATCAGTGGAATCTCCTATCTTCCACACGTTCCGTAGCTGCTTGTTTCTGCGGGTTCCAGCATTTCTCTCTTTTTTTTTTTTTTTTTTTTTTCCATCGACGGAAAAGTTAAAGCAGTTTGAAAACTGGAGTTTGTAGGAGCGGCGAACATATTGGATAGCTTTTATTTGCCTTTCACGTTCGGGGGTGCACCTCTAAGGGAGTACCCAGAATGGCTTCACGAGGTCTGATGTTATCCAAGACAGAGAAACCTTAGAGTCAATGCCATGGAACTGAAATCAAAGAACGGAAGTAGAAAGCAGAACTGATCTGCTCGATCTGTTCGTGTTTCATAGATTGGGGAATGAGTCTGGTCATTGGGTAGTCTCCGCTACTCAAAGCTGACGGAACCGATGCAAGACCGGGATAATGGGTTTGAAGATGGATAGAGGATTGGGATTGGAGAGAAGGAGGATCAGAGGGAAAAAGTAAAGATTCATCAATTTACGGGGGGCTTGGTGAATATACATGCAGTGATAGCTTCAGTATCTCGTTCACTACTCTGAAAGCAATATTCACTTTCCCTGGGCTGAAAGGGTCGTAAAAAGTGCAGTTAAATTTTGTCAAAATAATCACGGGAAAGATTCTCAAAGCTTCTACAAAAGCCTCCACTTAGAAAGTCCACATAGCAAGCCCTAACCATAACTACAGTAAACAAACTACGAACCGTCACTGGCAGCCAACTTCCTCCTCTTCCTCAAATCCCTCGCATACTTAACTCCAAACCCATGGCCAAACACCTCCCCGATCTCCTCCAAGCTCAGCCCCGACACCTCAGGATAAAACAAGACAATAGCCACCCATCCCACACCACACAGGGCCGCGTAGAACCCAAACGCCCCCGACGGCGTGATCGACTTCATCATCGTCAGGAACGTCGACGAGACAATCAGGTTCGCGCCCCAGCAGCAACACGACATGTACATGGTGCCCATGGCGCGGACCTCCATGGCGAAGAAGTCCGCGCTCATCCACGCCGTGTTCCCGACTGAGAAGCCGTAGAAGATCACGAACAGGATGATGAACACGAGGACGACGATCGCAGGCGCTTCGATCTTCGTCGAGCCGAGCTCCAGCGTCTCCGTGTCGACGGGGATGAATTTGAAGGCTACTGCCGTGCCGACTAGGGATGCGGACATCCCCCAAACTGTGGTGACGAGGACCCGTCGTCGGCCCCAGGGGTCCACGACCATCATGTTCACAAAGGTCATGAGCAGGTTGGTCCCGGATACCACGAGGCCGACGGCGACGGGGTTGGCGAATCCGACGAGCGCGAACAGCGTCGAGGAGTAGTACATTAGCGTGTTGAAGCCGGACATTTGGCTGATGACCACTGGGACAGTCAGTTCGAGGTACTGCAGGAATGAAAGAGAGGGAATCATCATACTCAATCCACATGCACATACCAACGCCCGGAAATACGCCGGGTTGGTATGCAACTGCTTGATCATCTGCAGCCGGCTGCGTCCCTCGTTGTACGATCTTGCCTCCCGCACGGCGTCTTCAATCCGCCGGACCTTCACGCCGACTTGCTCCGGCGTGGCGTGCTTGAAGATCCGCTGCAGGACCTGTCTCGCCTCCTCGTGTCGGTCTCGGTATATCAATTGCCGCGGCGACTCCGGACAGAAGGGCAGACAACACGCCAGGATGACGCTCGGCAGGCCGCCCAGTCCAACCATGTATCGCCAGCCATGGTCCACGTTCGCGAACGCAGCCCCAATCGCGTAGCTGATCACCTGTCCGCCGGTGATACTGACATTGTTCAATCCGATCATCCGTCCTCGGTGCTTCGTCGGGGCCAACTCCGCAATATACATCGGCACAATCATCGCCGCGGACCCGACGCCAAACCCAACGATTAATCTGCCCACGGCCATCTGGGCCACCGAGTATGCAGCCGCCTGAAGGACTGCGCCCACCGTGAACAGAAAGCATCCGACGTAGATGGTGTCTTTCCGGCCGAATCGATCGGCAATCAAGCCCGCGATGATGGCGCCGATGAACGCACCAGCGGAGCATAGCGCTGTGATCATCTCCTTCTCGCTGGGAGACAGGTCATGCCCCAGGTCGTCGTGCAGATAGACCAGCACGGCGGAGATGATGCCCGTGTCGTACCCGAACAGCATGCCTCCGATCGAGGCGGTCGAGGCAACGAGCCAGATGAATCGTCCGGTGCCCACGTTCTCGGCTTCGTCTGCCTCGTTGGAGAGAGGAGGCTTGAGGACTTCGACGTGACATTCTGAACGCGGCTTGTCGTCGCTGTCGCGGTCTTTGGGCAGGGGACCGGGAGTCTGTTGGTCCATTGCGTAGTCTATAGAATCAGAAACACAGAGTTCAACCAAAAGAGTAAAGGAATTTCCCAATAACGAATCCCCTACTTGGAGCATTACAGTCTAACCCCCCATTCCCACGTCTCGTTATATACTCCCCCGGAAACAACCATCACCACTGTCCAACAACAAAACAACAACTACACGCTCCTCGCCGAATATTTCCCCCCTCATCAGATCGAGCAAGACTCCCCGACTCCAGATTGTCGATCAATGCGGGGAACCCCATGGGGTGACAACTTTGTGCGACGTATTCTCGACGCCCATTGGACCTGGTCCGTTGCCAAGGGTCAGGAATCCTTGCATTCCATGTCGGCCGGATTTCACGCCGGATTTCATGCCCGAGAACGTGGTCGAGATACACTCTGGTTTGTTCAAGGGGCTGTCATTAGCCGATATGAATGAATTGGCTGGACTGGGCTGGTCGATTGATGTAAGGGTTGCTTTGTGCGTTACCCCTTGGCGACGGTTACAGCGGTCTTGTCTCGGTTGTGTGCGGCCTTTGGGGGATGATAGGTAGTATTTGCCGAGGGGTTGCTGTCTGATGGGCATCTGTTCTTCAAAAAGCCGGTGAGCATGAATAGACGACGGGATATGTTGTTGAGTACGTGTCGGAATTGACTGGCCAGTATAGCCGGTCAGGCTTGGAGATCCAATGAACTTTGAGTGAATAGAAGGGATGCTTCGGACTGGTGGCGTTTTTGTCGGCCCATACAGATACCGAACGATAGTCGATTATCTGCAGCTGACAATTGCCGAACACAGCTTAGAGGATGAGGTATTCCGTTTCACTGACTGTATGGTGCACCGATGAACCTGTTTCCGTGTGGCCTGTATTAAATGGCTGGGCTATATTCGGATCTGTCTTCAGCTATTCAAATGACGCTCAACTAGTAATCGTGGAGGGAGACGGTTTTAAGGATGGGTCTTTAGTTTCCTGATATCCGATTAGAACATATTGACTGCAGATAACAGCCTTTTCGAAGTATTCCAGCAGGTATCGTCTCTCGGTCTTTGCACGGTAAACAGTATCCGATTCGGGCCGGAAGGACTGTAGATGGTATGATCTATGCTTTAGCATAGTTATGCTTGTGCTCGCATAAGATATTTTCATGTCGCCGAATAGGATGATTCTGCAAGAGGGCTCACATGGCTGGGGATCTTATCTTTGCCCATTTCTAGGCTAGTGATCAAACAAACGGAAGCACGCCATAATATCAGATGTTAAATGAAATTCGGCCGCTTGTCCTAGTCAACTGACCATAGGCTGTAATTATCGAACAAGAGCACCTCATTCCATGCATCTGTAGTTTAGTATGAGTCAACAAGTCCAACAGACGATAGGAGATATCTCAACCTGCCTATGCATCCACCTTCTATGGGTTATCCCCAACCTGCGCGCATAAATCGCTCAAACAACTCCATCTCAAAATCCGTCTCAGTCCGACCTAATATTAGCAGCGGGTTGATCGACAGGAGGATCGAGCCGATACCACCGACCACAAATTATGTAAATCCGCATCGAGCGATAGTCTAGACTGGTTGAAACATGCCCGAACCTCGGGAGAACGGTGGGTCGAATCGACATTCTTGCCTTGCGAGAGCAGGATGGTTCACATGCTGAGACGTCCTGGGATTCATGATTCCGTTGCATGTTGGACTTTGGCTCGGATGTGACAGACTTGTGACAGCTGGTGGTCGGGATGGGGGCATGGACGGCTCAGTGCGTTCGAATTTCCCCTTTCCCTGTGTACCGTAGATTCGTGATTCTGATGTTCCTGCTTATCGCTCACCGTTGTTCTCGATCTTGAGCCCTGTGGTGGAGCTGGCGATCCATCGTGGTAAATCCTCGGGCCGGTCTATCCCTATCACCGCAAGAACTCTTCGGCATCAATTGCACCATCAATATTTCTCTATGCTCAGCCAGATAGTGTTGGTCTGAAAACATGAACTCGTCAAAGAGTGAGACAGTCCAAAAGATCGGGAAGCTCTGACCAGCCCGTGTCGAAGAAGTTGGATCGGCCTGTGACCCGCGCTCTATCCTCGTTGGATCTTGACTCGGTGCATCGGACTCGGAGTCCCTCGCAGCACCAACCTTTCTGCAAAGTTCTCAATTCCATCCATAAACATCCCATGATCCATCTGTCTACAAATCAAGAATCCAATCCCGAAACCACCGTCTCGTCCCGTGTTTCACCTCCCCCGTTAAGCTCCCGTCCTCCCGACCCAATTTTGAGAAGTCTCAAATTTCAACCTCTTTCCACGGATTTGCGTCGTCCATCCCTTCCTGTTCCTTTGCCATAGCCCAAAAGGCGCGAACTCCTGGTCGGATCGCGTCGATCGGCGTGCGTCGGAGTTGGGTCCCGATATGCAAGATGCATGTGTTCTGGGGATCGTGAGCTGCTCAGACAGCACCGGAGGAAAAGGTATAAAGATGGGCTGATATCCGCGCTCAATTTGCTCTTCTTCATCCATCGCTTTCCAGTTCAGTTTCTCAGTTCAGTTCAGTTCAGTTCAGTCCTCTATCGTTCAAACTACTTCCTTCGTTTCTTTCTTCAGTACGTCTATCCCTCAACCTTCAATTTCCCTCAAAATCAACAACCACTAACCTCGACAAAAGCACACCCAACAACCACAATGCAGCTCCTCACCTTCTCCGCCCTGGCCACTGCCTTCCTGGCCGTCTTCGCCGCCGCCAACCCCGTCGAGCTCGAGAAGAAGGAGGCCGAGCCCAACCGCGGCTACTACGCCGAGGAGTACTACCGCCGTCCCGCCGCCTACTACGGCCCTCCTGCCGGTGCTGGCATCGGCATCGGCGCCAACGCTGACGCCGCCGCTGATGCCCACGTTGGCCTTGGTGCTGGTCTCTAAGTTATTGGTATGTCGGTTGTATTACCGGGAATGGTTCGGGTAGAGAATGGGGCTAATGATGGTTAGAAATGAGAGTGTCTTGGCCTTGGGCTGCTGAGCTGCTTGGAGTTGTCGGGTGAGGGTTTGGGCTTGATGTCTCTACCTGTGAGCCTGTAACTCGGTCATTCTTTTATTTATATGATTTGATTATTTGATTTCTTGGGGACGGAGGGAGGAGGAGGTCTAATGTTTCGTTTGATCGATAGCCCGGAAAGGACTGGACTCCTTAGACTATAATATTTTGAGAATATATAATCTATTTTGGTCGGACTTCTTTTCTACATTATATTAAGTAGTAAATTGGAGTGGAGATTCTCTGAATTGCAAAAGTAGACCCTATCTAGGATAGAACATTCTCAACACCTCAACCTCAATAAGAGTAGATAGATAACCTCTACCCAACGCAGTACCCTAGAAAGGCTGGAAAAAGGATCCGCTACTTGCAAATCGCCCACTCCGGCGCATTTGCCAACACGGAACAATGGCGTCGATCGCGAGTGCACTAGTCAGCCATTCTCATTAGCCATCGGATCTTCTCTTACGGGTGAGTACCCAAGGTAGAACAGGAAAAGACACTTACCGGGCGATACTCGTGACACGGCCTGACGACGCGGCTCCAGTCTTCGCACTTCCAAACGCAGTCGTTGGTTACGCTGCGACACCGCTGTGGGTTGTTTGAGTCAGTGGCTGGATATTCAGATGGGTTTGTTTGGGGGTTTAGGGCTGAATTTTACTTACTCCGATGCACATGCGTGGCTCAATGTTGTTGGTCTGAGGCTGAGAGGTTTGGCCATCGTCGAAGTCGGGATCGCTTATGTTGCTGGGTAGACTGTAGTCGATGTCCTTGATAGATGAGGTCTCTGTCTGGGTCTCGAGAGCGAGAACCAGGGAGAGGAGGGTAAGCAGAAGGATGAGGGGGGGAGAGAGCTTCATTCTGAATGAATTGGACTGAGTGGTTTGTATGAGTGGTTATCAAATTGCTAGAAAGCTGCGCAGGAGAGCTGATGAGGTATTAAATAAGGTGGATGAGAGAGTTGGTGAGGAGAGAGAACATCTCTACTACGCAACCAGGCTCCTTATATCTTCCTTTGAATAGTAGAAGCCGAGGTCCCTGAACTCGATGAATAGCACTAGTATACCACTTCTCAATAGTGAATAGACTGGGAACTCCAGCAACGAGCATAGGAACTCCGGGAAAGATTGCTTTGTTCCGTTATAACAGGCTACACAGGCTGGATATGCCGGTTTACACAAGGCTGAGGTATATAAAGTTCCGTTTTGTTCCGCTAACCCCAGAGTAGGTGTTGGAGTCTTTAGGCTATCAGCGTACAGTCGTTCCGGGCAGGAATGTTTGAGGATACACCAGTAGGAATACATGGTCCTGTGTTTTGCCCTCGTGGTAGATGGACAGCATGTAGCGATTGAATTATTGAATGGGAATCAAGATAGCCAATCCGTAAATTCTTAGAACCCGGCTCATCGTTAATTCAAAGATCAGCTCCCAGTGGCAGATCAACACTCATTCGGCACATCGATTCCATAACGTCCAGCGCAAACAGGAACAGCCATGCACCCAGTGCCCAAGATACCACGATAATTAGCTACAGGTAGCCCAAGCACCCCCATCCATTGGAGAATATATTTTGCAAGCCGTATTTTCCGCGACGCACTGGCAATAAAACCTTGTCATTAGTCCTCTCTACATCCTCGACGTATGCTCATCAATGTTCAGGAGATAAGAAGTTTTCTGGGGGGAAAGATGGAAAGCAAAACACCAGGACAGGAGAGGCAGTGAGCAAGAAAATAACATACAGGATTATAGTCTCTGCAAGGTACCCTCCACCGCTTATCTCCGTAAAGTTTTGCGACGCATGTCCCGGTGTCTGTGTCTGTTTTGGTGTCACAGATCTGGTAAAATTCATCAGTATGTGTTCTCGGTCTGGTTTATTCTATGCATAGCACGTACTCCATCTGTTTTGGCCCGTGGTCGAGGCTTTTTGCGGCGGGCATCGAGGGTGTTTGCGGGACCGTCGAGATCGTCGGCGTCCGTGTTAACGGACAGATCCATGTCGATCTCGTTGCCAGTGGCATTCAGGATGAGGTCGTCGGGGGCCTCGACGTCTTTGCGGGTGGTCAGTGTGGAAGAGAGCACGGCAAGCATGAGCAGAAGAGAGAGTAGGAGCTTCATGTTTTTCTTGAACGACTTGTGCTGGATACGATGGCAGAGTAGATAAGTGGGCAAGTGTGAATAGGGATGAATGGGGACGCAAAGAAGAGAAAGATGAAGGAGATTCCATCGCATATAAAGAAACTAGAATACGCCTGTGCAACGTATCCTGACTCACGGTACTCGATGATATCGAGGTTTGGCTAAGATGTCTGTTCATGATTCTGGACACGGAGGCGAAAACAGACGTTCCCTTGTCTAGTGTTGGCAAGGATCGTACCGGGATGTCAGTGGAAATTCCAATCCAGAATCAAAATGTGAAGTCCGCCTTGTTGACATGCAGGGGCTGGTTTCAGTCTCAATAACGACATGCAAGGACTGGCTTTAGTCTCAATAGCGACATGTAGGCTGTGTTACAGCGCTCCTGGCTTCTTTGTACCCACCTAGTGCGTAACCCAAGTGTTCAACGATTGATTGGTATGATATTCACAAGAAATGGATATGTGTATACAACTGAAACTTAGCTAATTACATCATAAATATACCGCATTTTAATTCCAAAACCCCGAACCCCAAATGAAAACCAACCCATCTATAGTGGTACCGCCGATAACGCCATCCATCCGTTCATGATTTCCTCCGTGGTTGCATCCTGGAATGTGTCCAGCCATGCCAGCCCGTTATTGTCTGTTGGCACCATCTGTCCGCTTTGGCTACCGTCGCGCGATTGTGGAGGAAAGTAGGGAGCTGTGACGGGCATCGTGGCCGGTGGCATCTGAACAGGCCCAGGCGCGACCCCGGCGCTCGGGACACTCGGGGCAGGAGGAGCGCTCGGAGCAGGGGGAGGGGGAGGAGGAGCGACTCGCGTGGCTGGAGGAGCCGAAGGCAGACCGTCTGGCTGCGGCAGACAGTAATTCCGGTCGAACCATTCGTGGATGTGGCGCAGCCATTGATCGTAGTGATAGTATACATCTCGCTCGCCCGACTCGTCCACCGTGTAATTAGACAGTGCCTGCATACGTCGCCTGCAGTTGTTGAGAACCAAAGGCATGTTGAGCGCATCGCACAACGGTCCAACCCGTTCTTGTCGATAGAAACACGGGTCTGACGCTGCTACCGCCAGCTTGGCGGAAATTGCGAGAATGAACCCGATCTGCACCCACTGCATGTAGCTGATGTTATGCTCCACACCGACGGGCCAGGTCAATACGGAATCGAAGTAGCGTTCGGCGGCGACGAGGCCGCGGCAGAGTGAATCCACTCGAAAGTTCATGGAGCCTGGGAGCATCGAAGGCTCTCTTTGTCGTCGCGGATGGAAAGATGGCGGCGCGTCTGGATTAGATGTTGACGGAGAGGGATAATTGTAGGATGAAGCGGGGTGGAATTTGTCGAACAGACTGACTTGGGTCAGGTACAGCTCCAGAGTATGGAATTGCATGCTGATTATGACTGTATGGGGTCAGGTCCGTCGGGCATTCATAGAGATAAGTTCTGGAGGTTCCAACTTACGGGTGTTTATCCTGGCACACGACAAATGGCCCTTGAAATCTTCCAACTCCTGTCGAAAGCCATAGATGTGTCGCTCCATTTCTGGCATTCGCCCTTGCATGCCGGGCGGGTGACTAATCGAAACCTCGTCGATTCTCTCGAAAACACGCTGAAGTCGCACGAGATGGATCGTATATTCGTCACTTGGGTATTCGGGATCTTGGGCCAGTTCCATGGCGAATCTTTCGATGTGAGGCGTCCAGGGGAAGGTGCATCGTTTCTGCATTATTATCGAAACGCTGTGGAGACCCGTCAGCATATTCCGCATTCAAGTGACATCGGCAGCACCACTCGCTTACCATGACGAGATCACGAAACATCCGAGCACAGCTCTCTTTTCATCGCGCGCAACCGCCGCCAAGTGAGCCGGAGACAAATTGTTGGGCCCGTACTCGGAACGAGAGCAGCAGCTTCGGAGTTCCGGGGGTCGGTCGAGCCACATGTCAACAACGATGCTCAACGCTAGGTGGAAATAGGTTGTGAACTGGCGCGGTTGGTATATGTACTGGGACCTGTCGCACCCATTAACCGGTCTGTCGGGGAGATTTTCCAAAACCGGAAACTCAGGAAACCTACCATCCAAGACTAACAAGCAAGCCCTGCAGAACCTCAAATGGCGACTCGATCATTCCGAAGAGCATCCGTTCTCTTGCCGCGGACCGAAACTCTTCCATGAAAACCCGTCGCAGCGACAGGTTCTGGTACAGGGAAACCGTCAGAACCGCCAGCAGTAAGAAAGGTTTCTCTTCGCGCAGTTCCTGCAGCGTCGTTTTCTCCGGGATGATAACGAAGGGAAAATGCGGCATCATGGTGCGACGGAAGCCGTCCAGGAGGGAACTGGCATGGTCGAAGGTGACGATTCCTCGGGAAATCACATCCTGCGACGTTCGGGCACTCGGTCCGCTCTCGCCCCTCGGTGTGGTGTCACCGTCCGCGCTGGGACTCGATCCGGCCTGTGATTCATTGTGGATTTGGCCCAGAAGCTGGTTGACTTTGCCTTCGAGGGCCTCGATGCGTCTATACGGGGGAAATCGATCTTATAAGCGGGTGTCCTACTTCACGATGGCGGGAGTGGCAGCGGGGTGGAAGAGTCTTACGTTTCCCTTTTCGCAGGGTTATAACGGGAGCGGGCAGGACGGAAGAAGCAGTCCTTGTTCAATCGACGACATCTAGGACACGGTATCTCTTGGTCAGTACCTACGACGCCTCAGGGGGGACAGGGCACAGGCGCGACGGGGCCACCAACCGGTCGCACACCGGAGAACCGGGGGTTCGCAGACAGCGAATCTTCGCACGCACGCAGGTCTCGCAGGTCTTGACCAGAGCCGGAGCGGACGAAACAGGCGAATTTGAGGCTGATAGAACCATCATCAAAGGAGGTCCATTCCACGTGGCTGGAGCCGGACAAGGACGCGGACAGGAGGAGAGGCCGCGATGCAGGTAGTCAAGAAGTTTATATGGAGCCGGCGGACAATCGGACGGCCGAGTCCGTGTGAGCGTCGAGTGGGGGGCAGACCAAGGAGGGATTAGGTAAGGAAAGCCCTATTGTTCGCTATTTTCCTTCGAGCAAAATGGACGAGAGGATTGCGATCCCGGTCGTTTGGGGGCGTCTCCACCACGAGGTTCTGGCGAGGGTGGCCCGATGCCTATTTGAGTCCGAGAGGCAGGACGCGGGACTCTCGGCTCCTGAAGCTGCCATGGACTGCCGGCAGGAGAAATCCCAAAATATCGCCGTCTTCCTCTGACGGGAGGAAAGGGGGCGACAGGGAAGGGAGCCGATTCCACCGCTGAGTGGCGCGCAAACTTAAATGGAGGATTCTAAATTTTCGCTTCGATACGGGCGCCACGGGATGACGACTTGGCACGGCATTTCGTTTCTTCAGGGAATCCTTGCCCTGCATATTTTTTTATTCTCTGTACGGAGTATTTTCTTCCATTTGTTTTATTTTATTTTATTTTTTATTTTTTATTTTTTTTTATTTTATTCTATTTTTCCATTCTTATACACATCATACTCCGTCCACGCGAAAAACGACCCTCTCAATCATCGAACACCGTCCATTCAACTCAGCTGATCCTCAGCGCTTAACCTCGAGGTCAGATGAATCCGTCAGCCGGGGATCCCTTCCGTCCAACGGGCACCTCGCATCGCCTGTCGCTTCCCACGTCCGGTGACTCATCCGCCATTCCCCGGCGCTTCTTTGCCGCCACCGTTTCGTTAGCGACCCCAATCCCTGTCCGCCATCCATCCAATCGTCCCTCTCTCTCCACAAATATGGACATCTCATCGGCCCCCTCGCTCGCAAACATCCTACAGTCTGGCCCCTGATATAGCATCAGCGAGGGCCAACGGAACGGCCCGGACACGGACATGGGCAGAGCCCCATGCGCTCCCTGATCGTGGATTCCTTGCCCCCTTGCCGTGGGCATCGAACGAATCATGCCCTGCGCAGTGCCTCGACCCATCAGCCTATCTGATGTACGGGGTAATCTATATGCACTATGGAGCCGGGACGACCACCTGCTGGGTGGATAGGGCCGTGCTTTCATGCCGTCCGTTCTGTCGGTGGATCTTGTGTAACCGTCCATATTACCTTGTACGCTTTATATGGACCTCGAGGGACGGGGTCGCGGAGGGGAGATCTATGTGCGCCCTCGACGCCGAGGAGCATAGCAATTGGGCTATGGCCGGGGACGTGGTCACTACGCAGTAGATAGCGTCGGGGTTTCGGCCCGAGCGGTGCTCTCGAGTTGACTTGTAGAGTGTGATACGTAGGCAGCCAGTAGGATGTACGGAGTGCTCTGCCACCAACATGACATTGGATGTCATGTTGAAGGCTGCTATAATATAGCCAGGATCCCAGGGTCGGCGACGGCTGACGATCTCGTCGGTTGTGCACTGCCTCCCTCCACAGCGATCGCAACCTGCGACTTCTTCGTCAACCATAATACCATGGATTTTCCTCGTCTGGACGCCTAATATCGATCAAAATCCCAAGATCGTAATATACGACCATCTCGGGTATTGTGATATGCCAAAGGATTCGGAAGGATTCGGACGAGGATTCGGACACGGACACGGACTCCTTCGTGAGTCCGTCTCGGCGGAATCGCTAGTCTCGTTATCCCTACTAGCGCTGGCTGCCTTGCACCACTCACACGCTCGCGGCCTGTTGGTTTCCGTTTTGCTTTTTCTTCGCGTTTCTTGTTTTGGCTCTTGGCTGACGACGGGTCAGTTGCGTCTGCCGGAATTGCTGGTTGCCTGTTGACTTGGTCTCGTTGGATTATACGAAAGTACGAAGTGCGGCGTATAGGTACGGAGTATGGTCGCTGGATTGAGATAGTTGCAGTCTATGGCACTAGTTAAATTTAAATAGCAGAAGAAGATGGATAATGCGTAGAACTGTAGATCAACCGGTACCTACATCCCAAACTCTTCAGTCCGACGTCATCGGCATCGTATCTACTCCGTCCGGAATATATAAAAACGTCCGCAATCCTATCTCCACTCCTATCAAACCTCCGAGCCAGATCTTCATCTCGACCAAAGGTTCGATCTCCAGCGATCACTACCCCTGAGTTGCAGGGGTATCTCTCGCCCGTCTCATTGGGTACCAAATCTACGGTGCAACGGACCAAGAACAACGCGATTGTTGTTCCCGTCCGTTTGGAGATCTGTGGTTTTGAACCATGTTTCATTCTATTCTTCGTGTTTTGTAGATCGCTCGATGTCCGATTGGTGGGCTTGGGTTGGGTCAACTATAGGTCGGTTAGCGAATAACGCCGTATTTAAGGAATAGGTATAGAATGGATGAGACTTCGGAATTGGATGTAGTGTTTGTATTTCCTCGGCGGTACGAAGGCATTTCTTGGGCCATGTGATCTGCAGTTGTCGAAGGTCTATGGCGCCGAGCGATCATGCAGAGGATCCCATCCATCTCTTTATATAAGAGAGACGAGGTTATTATCAAGTAGAAACAGAAAGAACTATATATACGAGCACGCCTACTTTCAAGCTGCTTCCGAGCATCCATTGTTAGTAGTTTCCCTCGCTCTTGACAGACTTAAATTTTCCAACACCCAGCGCTCGCTTTATACCTCGAAGTCTTGGTAAATGGAACTCTGGTTTCGTTCCCGGGGTAGGTAATATAACCCTGTTTTATTGCAATTCGAAATATGATCCCACTCAAAAATGCAATTATACATATGCTTTATGCCTTGTGGTTGTTTATATGGGCCTAGTATGCTACATACTCCTTTATATCTAATAACTTTCAGATGTTCTTTATTACTTTTGCTGAGTTTATACATCACGGTTAGGTACTGCATAGGCTGAGCCCGAAAATGACTTAGGTTAGTTGATGGTCGAATAAGTGGAAGGGAACAATAGCTATCTCATCCTTGTCACCCATCCTCAACACTACCGCGTTCATAAACCGTAGCTGGTGTCAGTGTGGTGGAACAACACGACTTGCTATATTTGAAAGGAAACTATAAGGGGGGCATTACTGGAATACCTATAGTAGAAGCAATTTGTGTAGAGGTAGAAGGGATCTCGGGAAAACTACATTTATTGCTTATGTGTGGAATAACCTATATATAAGAAAGTACTGGGTCCAGACGATGTTCATTATGTAGGGTATCGTCAGATCTAGGACCTGGATGTTGGACCACGGCAGAACATATCTACTATGGTGGGTGGGAGGGGGAACACTAATCATATCCGACGTAGATAGCCAGACCCAGCTAGCTTTGCGATTAACCCCTGCATGGTGTATATTAGAAGGAAACAAGTATGGGACCTGGGTCCCTGGAGGCGTCTAGCCTAATGAGACGCGGGCATAGATAAGAAACACACATTTGCTTCTTGCATAGAGGCTTCTGGCCTTATAAAAGATCATGTACTTAGAAGTTCTATGGACCTACCTGCATAGCCGCACGCACGCAATAGGGCACGCTACATCAGGGATGAGAATCAATCAAAGGTATCGTCAGATATTTAAGAGCACTGTCTACCAAGCCATGCACTGTTGTGCGGCCAATTATAAAATGTTTTTGAGAACTTCTTCTTAGTTCAAGATATTGTTTGGACAGTTCCTAATGCGCGTCTCGCCTGGAAGTTCCAACATATCTACAGTTCGATAAAGGCTACAGGATAGTTGCTCAACCATGAGATACCCAATCTGGTACATCCTCAAGCCTTGATGTATTCCCCTGCGTCAAAGACAACAGTCATGTAACAACGGAGTAGGAATTGAGAAAAGCCTGCAATAATTCGGCCGATTAGTCGGTGGTTCGAGGTAGCCTGCCTTTTTACGTTAGAAAGTGAGCAGACGCTGCTTGAACGAACCTAGGTCAGCACGAATCCTGTCATTCTAGATTCTGCCGGACCAGATGCCGTCCAATAACATTACCCCCAATGCAGATTGTGACCGAAAGTTACGCGTCCGTAGCTTCAACCTTCAAGCTCATTGCCAAACCCCGTGCAGATTCGTATGTGTACGCCTGTGGAAAATATGGTAGTCCTTCCTTGGCTTCTTTCAAGGATAATTCAGGAGTGCACTGATCGTGTCCAGAATGCCGGTCCTTTGAACGCGTCAAGTTCACACCTCATGAACCGCATTTCTGGCCGATTCCAGGTTCACCTAGCTGGTTCAAACTAGTCATTCAACGATAGTTCAGAAGCCATGTATCACAGCTGTGTTGTGGTCCGAGAAACAGCGCGTCAACTATCGATGAGCACGTTGGGTCTTCTCGGATTGTATGCGACCGGGCCTAGCAGGATGCGAAAGCCTCCGGTGTGTGGACACATCTCAAAACCATGCGGTTGAAGGCTTTTGGTTTTAGACTGGTTCTGATCAACGTTGGACAAGCCGATCGACTGTTGTCTGTAACAGGGGCGTTTCTGCGTTGTTTTGTGCAAGGGACTTGTCTCACATGGGTCGATCATGCAATTGGCCAGAGCAGGGAGGATGGGTTTAGAAGCAGTGAGATAGTGAGGCCGACAACAAAATGGCAGGCTCTCCTAATGGATTCAATGATGGAGTTCATGCAGAAGCCAGAAACAAATTGCCGACCATCCAGGGAACAGAAAGGGGCAATGAGGAGGTGTTCGAAAGAAAATCGGGTCGCATAGCCTGCTTATCCCAAGAAAAGTAGCCAGAGGTGCATGAAGCACTTGATACCTGATTGTAATCCACTAGCCTCCTCAGAGGGGTCTCAAATCAACAGTCGAGAGCAATTCGTGATCATCCAGCCCTAGAGGCTGGGTAGGTAGGTAGTGGACTGGACGAGCTGTCACGATGAAAAGATTTAGTGTGAAGTTCTTACCTATCATCGGAAGATATCCTTCTTGGATCTGCATGTTTGGAAAAAGAAAACTGGGTACCTGCAGCTGCAAATCCAGGACGTGAGGAAAAACAGTTGCTCCGGGTCAATTGGCAAAGAAATGGAAGTCCGACGCAGTCAGCGACAGTCAGCAATTACCTGATCCACTGCCGGCCTCGGAGATGGTATCCTTGCCAATAATGAGGACACCCGCGGGCGCTTAACCCTTGCCGGGCAGTTGTTGCCCGCTCTTTTTCGCCACTCTCCGCTGGCAGCACCATGCCCTGTGCATTCTCCACCGTATCAACTCCAAGGTGGGTGCTCTTTCTGCCCTCAGCCTTGTGTCTGTTCCCCTTTCGCCCGCTTTGCTCGGCCTTTTTGACACTCCTCATCCTATAGTCCTTTTTTCAGTGACTATGGGCAAGTGTCATGAAGTATTGGCAAGAACACAAACCAATATCATGCTGGACTCCCAATCCTTGCCCCTGGCTTGCCACCAATTCGGGGTGCCTGGATTGTGAACGGAGTAGCATGCTTCGACATCCAAATGGTCGATCCTAGCCATTCAGCCTGAACGAGATCAGTCGGATAGCAACTCGACAACAAATTGAAACCCGCTCCCCCAAGGAATCGGAATGCTAAAGGCACAGAGGAGACCTGGCTACTTGATTAGCAGTTGCATATCAGTGACCCTATATGCTGCAACCTCGACTAACATTCATAATCAAAGATGTCGCCTTGCCTCGCGCGGGGATGCCGTTTGTATCGGCCCAATACCCACATAACACGAAAACAAGATGCATCCAACGCTAAGAAACGCCTCACTAGACCTGCTTAGGTCATTTCTGATTTTTCTCTGGCATCACCTCTTTCCTGCCTTGGTACTTGAAAGATGTACTTAGCGTTATAGAACGATGAAACCAACGATAAGTTGAATGATCGTCAACTTTCCAAGTCGTCAGAGTCCACCCTCACATTGGATCTTCCTCTGTTTTTGAGCCCTAGCAGCATTATTTGCGATGACTTCTTTGCGGTATCCATGGCCTTGGTTGCTATATCGTTGGCCTCTACTGCCATAAGTCTTTGGTTCTGAGTGCGTGGTTTGAGCAAAGGAGGTACACTTATGGTGCACGCTCTACGATTGACAGAGTATCGGACCAACGTCTCTCCCAGCACTCAAGTGTATGCTTATCTCGAGACAGAGACCTCCACAGTTTGTCAGGGCAGATATGTGCCAGTTGTTTGTCACCTGAGTCCAGGTCCCGCGAGCGTATTATGCCTCCTGATTGATTCCTCCGGCACGGTATTGTTTTTCGGTGGTTGAGAGGGCTCCGATTTTCCATTTTGAAAGCCATCGGTCGTCGAATGATAGGATCGCTAACAGTGTCATAACTCACATCGTGTCCTCGTTTTCCGCGAACGGGGTCACAATATCGTTTCGGAGCAAGGCAAAGGCAGGATAAGACGCTTTCGCCTACGTACCCGGCGAATCAATTTGTGTTTACAATTTTGATTGTCGAGCACGCGACCCTGAACACCAAGAATGGATCGATGTCAACATTGTCTCTTTGACTTTTCACCTTAGTGGGTTTCCGGAGCTTATTGCTTCTTTCCTCACTCTGGTCCTCGGTGTCGCAGGATATATATATCTTCCCCAGCGCTGCGACAATATCTATGTTGGAAGAGGATTCGATGCAACAAGCGAAACAAACAATACCAAAGAGTTGAAGCTGATCATGACACTTTGTCGCGACGGAACCCGGGGTATCACATTCCAGGGCCAAAGGCCAAGGCACTGGCAAAAATTCTGGAATGAGGCAAGCTAGTCTTGACTTCGGCAGTTAGTGATGACCATGGGGTGAGCCCCTCCGATATCCACTGTGTTAAAAATTGGCGCAAGTTTTTCCAGGGGAATATGACGGCTGCATGACACTGGGTGCGCTGTCGGGTGTCTTCGAACAGGTGGGATGGGGGATGGAGAAAGAAAGAAATAGGGAAGGAAAAAGTACGAGTACCTAAGATCGGACCAGCGCGAAAGCCGCTCTGGTACGTGAGGCTGCCTTAGGAATCCCCAGGAGCCTTATTTTCTCCCCCTCACACATTGCTTCTTCCAACCTGCCTTTTTTTTTTTAAAAAAAAAAAAAAACCCCCCCTTTTGAAATTTTATTTTTCTTCAATCCTTTCTTTCTATTATCCAACCTTCCCGTGTCTATAATCCTCTCAGTCGATTGAACCTTTCCCTCGCGTCTCGGAAGCCTGTCAAGGGGGGTTACTGACTAGACCGGGACAGTTAGTTGGACCAGACGAAGGGACAAATAATCAGTCGGAAGCGTGCCGATTCCCGCCCGCTTGTGCCTAAGGACACACGGCATTCACTGCCAGGCCTACCACGGCTCGTCCTCCTGCGGATCCGGACCCTCAGCCAACAACATCCCCGTTTTGTCTTGTTCTATGTTCCTGTGACGCCGAGGAAACATCGATGCCACTAAATTCCCGCGCTTACGGTCAGTCAGCGTTTGCTTCGACTCGGGCTAGTTGCTTAGTCTTTCCTGTTTTGAGTTGTGCGCACTGTCCAGGGTACCCAAAGGACGAAAGGGGCTTGACAAACGAAACTGCTTCTTCTGCGACAATGACTGACCCGAATCACCCGCCCTCTTTTCACTATCATCCCCATCAGTCTCCCACGGAGTACTATGAAAATGAATCGAATCCCTTCTTTGCCGGAGGAGACCCTCGTTACCCTCAGGCCTCTCTGGGGCCTCCGAGCAATTACGATATGATATCCGGACCTTCGGAACCCGGCCCAGGTCCCTCTCGGATCGTCTTCGATGACGGATCGCTTAACAAAAAGGTGCAAATTCCCAGATCGACAAACCCCAGCACCTGGACCACCAGCGGACGTGTGAGTCGGGCGTGTGAGAACTGCCGAGATCAGAAGGCAAAATGTAGTGGACATCGCCCAACTTGTCAACGATGCCAGGAATCCGGTCTGCAATGTTCATACGGCGATCGGAAGCGGGAGAAGATGGCCAAGTGCGTTTTGTGATTGTGTTCTTTTTTTCTTTCTCTTTGGTCTGCTATCGGCAGTTCTGACGGTGGGTACCAGGCAGCTCAATGATCTGACAAACCAAGTTCAGGTTTATGAGGCTCTATTGAAAGAGCTCTGTTCTAAATTGGACTCGCAGACTGCCGAGTATGTCGAGCAGGTGATTGAGAAAGTAAGAGCGTTCTTTGTGTTACCCCGTCGTGTTTCTTCCCGTCTTTCTTTGTTTTCTTCCCCCCGCGTGTGCGCCCCCTGCCTTTTCTTGGTGCCGTGGCCGCCGCCCCTGTGTCCCCCAACCGTGGCTCCGTCTAATTGGCATTCTACAGCAAAGACTCAGTAACAACCCGGCACCTGGTCGCAGAGGCTCAACAATGTCTTTGGCATCCAGAATGACGGATGCTTCTCCCCTTCCAAGCCCTGGTCCAAATCCCTTCCTTGGCGGACTGGACTACACCAGCGAAGACTTCAACCGCGATGAAAAGACTCAAGCGATAGGATTCATCGGCGAACATTCGGAAATCGCCTGGTTACACAGGCTACAACAAATTCTCGATTGCCCTAATACCGTCTCTCCACACGAGAAGCCGAATCAACCATCCATTTCCTCCGTGAATTTCTTTCTGGACGATTCCGATGTGCCTTTCAATCAGGATGCGGACCCTGGGAAACGACCTCCACAAGCAGTAGCTGATCAACTCGTGGGTATCTATTTCAACGTCGTGAACCACTCTTTCCCTATCATTGGAAAATCGCTGTTTTTGGAACAATACAAATGCTTTTACACCCGCTCAGTACGACCGGGAGATCAATGGCTGGCGATTCTGAATTTAGTGTTTGCTATCGCTGTGAGACATTCTGAACCAGCCCGAGCCGGCCCAAGAGATGGCGTTGATGATCATCTCTTCTACTTCTCTAGAGCCTGGAAGCTCACCATGAGCGGTGCTGGGCTACTGGAGCACCCCAACCTACAGCAGATACAGGTAGAGGGTCTTATATCGTTTTATCTTTCATCTGTGGGTCATATTAACCGGTGCGCTTTTCTCTTTTGTCTTCTTGCAAGGACTGGACTCCTGGCTGATTTTTCATTTCTTCACTTCCAGGTCGTGGCGCATCTGCGGCATGGCCTTACGGTCAGCTGGCACGATGGGGTTGAATCTACGAAACGAAAGCAAACCACTTAACCCTCCGTCGAAAGAAGCACGTTATCGAGTCTGGTGGGCCTTGTACATATTCGATCTCCATCTTTGTGTGTTGACCGGCCGCCCTCCGAACTCTAGTGATGAATTCTGCACCACACCACTCCCGGTACCGTTTGAAGAAGAGACTTTCAATGACGCAGCATCCACTCGGCGCCTCATGAAGGACAACGAGGCACGGGGGATTTTCATGGAAACACTCGGTCTGGGCCGCTCCGGATACTTGGCGTCCGACGGCGCGTCGCCAGATACTCCCGGGCACTCGCTCCCTAGCCCCGGTAGACAATGTGATCAGATTGCCTCCAGCGCCTTTGAAGCACTCGAGCCGAATCCTTCACTCTACTTTCTCCACATCGTCGACTTGGGTTTCATTGTGCGGGAGGCGATTGACACGTTATACGCTCCAGGCGCAGCTCGGATGTTGTGGCGGGAGATCGAAGTGGCGATTTCCACTTTGAATGGCAAGATTGACGCTTGGCTCACAAGACTGCCGGTCGCTTTTCAATTCACTCAGGGCACTCGGGGGTTTGAACGAGAGCGAACCAATATGGCATTTTTTTTCCACAGCGCCAAAATCCTTGTCGCTCAGCCTTGTTTCAGTCGCCTGACTCGGCAGACTTCGGGAACCGACATAACCGGCAACTTTTGTGAATCGATGGCCATTGCGTGTGTCGACCTGGCGGTTCAGATGCTTGAAATTTTTCCCGAACACCCGGATTCTTCCTGGATCTACGGCGTCTCCCCCTGGTGGTTCTTGTTGCACCTGCTTATGCAACCGATTGCCATTATTATGACCGAGTTGCTACTTGCAAAACCGGGCGCAGCCAAACGCAGGAAGCTACTAGCAATCGTCTCTAAAGCGACCCGCTGGCTAGCGGAGCTTTCGACGAAAGATCCTGCATTTCAGCGGGGCGAGGAAGTGTGCAGGGAACTCGCTCAACACGACCCGCAACTCGCGATGGAATTATACACGGACCGTGAGAGGCACTGATTTTGCACCAAGGCCTCACTGTGTTCGCAAGTTTTCTCTCCTCTATTAAGCAGTCACGCCATCAGATTATGTCCAATAAACAGCAGCAATGGATCCATCGCTACTAGCGCTGCTGGAGCATGAGGGCGCACCACTTCCGAGAGTCTGACGTTGCCTACAGCTATCCTTTACCTATCTCGAAAGCGTGGTACCCGTCGTCATATCCTATAGAATGTTTGGCATTTGGTGAGTATAATGAATGTGAATCATCTTTTTCGAAACCCATCATCTATCCTAGGACAGCGAAACAGATATTTTCTAGTTCTTGTCGTTCCTTAAAAGCTGTGTGTTACGCTCCAACTACCCCATACTGCAAGACAGTCATTACTGTTACGCCATCGATTATTATTAACTCCACACAAACGTAATTTGTTGAGGAAAACTAGAGATGAGACGACACAATCGAGGATCATTATCTAGCCGGCCCACAACGTGTAGCTAGATCTACAGGGTATTTGCTCTTCAAGACGCCGGCTAGGACACGAAGTCGACAAATAATGTCAACTTATTATTATTAGAGCCCATGATATGCCAAGGCCAAGGAATCCACAGAGCCGTTGCCATAATTGATCACTCAACCGATCCCTCCTCTTGCTGCTTTATTTTATTTCCCGCTTTCTCTTCTTCTTTTTCCCCTTTTTTCCTTCTCATTTCCTTCTTTTCCTTTTTTCTTCACTTTTCAAAATTCTTAAATTTTTCCTTTTTCTTTCCTTAGGGTGTGGGTGTGTGTATTGTCTTATCTGTCAGGGAGCCCAATAATTATTGCATCTTTCCCGATTGCAGATGAGTCCAATTCCTCAGTGGGCCCATATCCACCACCACAGCTCTCACTATTCGCTGGTAGTCCGATCCGTGACGCCGTGTGGGGAATTCTTGGTCTATTATTGACTACCCTACGGATGTCTGAACCTGCTATCCCTTGCCGCAGCACACTACAGCGTACCTAGCTTGGGCTATCCATCCCTGCGCCGTGCGCTTCGTGCCGACGACCGGGTCGTCAAGGCTTTCGCGTTGCATTACTAGTTGGAGACAGGAAATCCGGTGTATTTCCATCTCAGCACGTCGAAATTTTCTTTCCACCGACGACGGAGTACAAACGGCATGTCGCCGCCGCCGTTTTCGCAGCCTCATGTGGACCATTTCGTCATTCTGGAGAAGACCAGAAGACGATCGGGGGATGTTCGGCAATGCTTCGAATGCTAAAATTTGAACTAGAAGATATGATTTCCTCTCTGATACGCATCTATACGCTACTCGATCCAAGGGTGTTCGGAATATCCGACGAAGAACGACATCAAAAATCATGAATGATAGTGGTGCGACTGCATTAGGAGCACACTACTCCGTAGGTCAAATGAGCTGGCTGACATGCATTAGATGGCAAGTCTGCCTTGAGCCAAGAGCGCCTTTGGTCTTTTTTTCTATTCAGCATCCAGCGTCAAATGAAAAAGGCATATTGAAATCGACAATAATAGCCGATTTGCAATTAGCCGACAAAGAAGAAAGGAAATGCACGCAGGAGTGTCCAATAGATGAACCGACATGTTAAGGGTTTGCTCATCCAACACTAACATGAATCATGCCTTCCTTTTTCGGACTCCTCCGCGATGGAGTCGCTCCCGTTCGCAAAGAATGAGGCGTGGTTTGAGAATCTATATCCGCGGGAGTACGGAGTAGGAGTACAGCGTAGATCGCTCTCATTTCACGACCCATGGTTCACACCTCCCAGCCTGATCCTTCCAGCCTTTTGCTCACCCCCACGGCCCCGAACCGATCAAGTACTAACCCAAGATTTGAAATACTGGAATATGAGCTGCATTACGCACGGACGTTATTGCTGGATGGTCCGATCAAATCTCGTCCTCGGCGACTCACACTCGATCACGGTGTACCAAAAAATTCCAGAGATCGGCCACTTGAGACCTCCCCAGCCACGCCTTGCGTACAGCACATGATTTTACAGGTGCCAAGCACATCCACACACCAGTCGACATCATGCAAACCCCGGTATCATTTCAAACCCCGAGGAGCATAGTTGCAGTTTCCGAAATAAAGGGGCTTTCGTTGGCTTCTAGCCGCTTAACACTGCAGTCTAGCTAAAGGTGGTGCCCGGGGTGGTTGTTTCACGTTACCTGAGGACTCGTAATCACTACCAGCTTGGTCTCTTCCGTGGCCATGATTGATTTACAGAGATATCATCCGTGGTATGAGTGTTGGTCACTCCTGGCACGTCGATCTTTGATTGGTCGCGTACTACTCGTATCACAAACTCCATTGCGGATATGCCGAGTGATATCATTAATATAATATAAGCCGCTCACTTTATTCCTAACGTCCTGACGTCTAACACGACTCGGTTATGTAAAGATTAATGCTGGTTGACTGCAATGTGATGTAAGATGGCGAAGGCACGAGGCCAGCAGTGTTGATCTGTAGTGCCTTAGGCAGCCTGGTGACACGGGGCCCGCGCGCCCCGACACCGCCTGCCCGATCCAGAACACCCCGAGCGCATCCATGTGGAGATCCAACGTTGGACGGGATAACCTCCGATCAACTCGTTTCCCTCCTTCTCCCCCCTGCGCCCAGCCATTATTGGCTATCGGTCACATTGCATTATTATCATTAATGGCCCCATCATAACTAATGATACGCACTGTGCTCTAAAATGCAATCGCACAGGTAGAGAGGATGTCTTTGCGCGGGCCCATGAAGCGTTCTCACCTTAGACAGGTGAGCGCTGCTAGTTTGGACACTCTCTCCACCTCGCGCTCCTTGGGATCACAGTCTCACAATGACGTCCCCAGTGACCATCCGTCCACGCCGGAGGAGAGGATCGTTCGGCTGCCCTCGATCGGTCTGGATCGACGACAGTGCTCGCTTTGGGTTCATGATGAAACCTTCTCGAAAGAGGAGATCCTGTTCAACCCCGCCGCCTTCGGTGATGCCGAGGTGAATGTCGGCGATGTCATTGAGATCTTGCCCGCGCGGTATCCCGGGGATGCTGCGCACCCGGTGAAGACGGATAGCGGCGCAAGGTCGTTGCGCGACAGCCATGTGGACTCAAGCTCGACGCTTCATTCGGATCCCATGGCGAAGTTCAAAACGCCGCTTCAGAACCGATGTCTCTTTGTGGTCAAGCCGCTGCCGCACGATATCAAAACCCGGCACTCGAAGCTCGAGATCTCGGTGACCACCAGCATCGCTAACATCTTTGGCTTCAAGAATCGGTCTACCGTGCACATCTCGATCGTGGATCGTGCACAGTGCGCCGCGTCTCATGTGGACATTGCCTTTCGCGACCAGTACATGGTCCGCTCGGACATGTGGCGATTGGTCATGTCGGAGCTGGCTGAAAAGATCGTCTACAAGGGCCAGAAGATTGTGTTCATGGGTAGTATTAAGGCAACCGTAAAGAATATCTTCATCCGCGGGAAGAAGGCTCTCTCGGGATTCTTCTCCCCGCAGACCATCCCGGTGTTTCGCAGCGAATCGGCAAAGTATGTGTTATTCATTCAGATGTCGAGAGAGATGTGGGATTTCGATTCCGAAGGGACGGGGGATATTCTCTTTAGTCGCGTCATCAATGGGTTCTTGCCGGAACTATTCAAACGGTGGGCCAACGCGGATGCCAGACATCTAGTCACCATCGTGCTGTTCACGCGGGTCGAGTACGATGCGTCAGCGATGGCAACCTCGACGACCCTGAGCTCGGAGAATCTGAAGAGCATGTTCAACCCGAACCACGCGCCTACGCGAGACTTCTATCGAGTAGTGGTCAACGACATGGCAAGTGGACATTGGACTACGATCTTGGACGAGCTGAAGAACGACTTCCGGTCGTTTTTGAGGGATGTTTCAATCCTTAGACAGGACGATGCGGACACTCCCATGGCCAGTGGCGCCAAACACACCTCACAGGATCGGCCGCCAACCATCGCAGGGCGGCCGAGCACCGCGCTTCGCGGCAATATCCTCGAAGCAATTCATCTGGCGTCCTCTCATCTAGCGTATGATCACATCGATCGAGACATGGTGCACACAGGCACATCTATTATAGTCATCACTCCCGGAAGTGGTGTCTTTGAGGTGTCATATGAGTCTTTGGCGTCCACTACGGAGGCTCTTACCAATCGCGGAATCGCAATCGATCTGGTCTGCCTAAGTCCCATGCCCCTCCACTCTGTGCCTTTGTTCAAATACCGAGAGCCTTCTCGAAGACCGTCGAGCTCCTCGTTTACTGAGATTCAGAATGGCGGCTATTCTCCCGAGATGCGCCATTCGTTTGCAAGCTTGGTGAATCGCACATCTCATCTTTCCCCTAAATCAGCCATACACGACTCTCTTCCGGGGATGGGCTTTCAAAAGCCTTGGTCATCAGGCTCCCGGGATTGGAACTATGGAATCCCGCACTGGCTGGACATCTCTTACTGGAATCCGGAAACATACAGAGAATCGCGACGCATATTGAAGAAGGATCCCAATGCGCCAATCCCGTTCACGGTCACCAAGAAATCCAAGGTCTTTGTGCCTAGGGTTCGAATGTACGAGATCCAGATGAATGGAATTATGGAGAGTGAACAGTCCAACATCTCTATTCCCTATCTTCTGGAGGGACAAAGTACCGCTCGGGGACCCAGTGCTGGCCTGAGCATGAGTCCCGGCACTCTGGCTCCTGCTAAAGCTTCTCTCACTCGTAATTCCTCCTTTAGGCATCAGCTAGGCGATAGCCTGCGTCCCGAGTCGTTTCTGCAAAATATGAACCCCAAGGATGTGGTGATGACCAAATCGAAGAAGTCAGCGCCAAGCTCGACAATCGCGTGGATGGACAGCTACGACGATAGTGTTTTCCACCCCTTCCCTAAACGCCGCCAACGCCGGAAGCCTGTAAAACAGAAGCGTCCGAGTGAGCCCGACGTGCAGGTGTCCAGTGCGCATGACCGCATCTCTGCCAGGTCTATTTCACATCTCCGCAAGCATGAAACTCAGGCCAGTGAGCGCGAGAGTCCTGTCATATCCGAGCCTCGGAATATTGACGGCTCATTGGCAGTCCCAAAGAGCCCGGTCTCTACCAAAAGCGCTTCCCCCAAGAAGCCTGCCCTGAAATCGAATTCCTCGCTGAAATTACCGCGTATATCGCGAACGATTAGCTTTGCTCTGCGCGGCTTGACTTCCGTGGCGCCTAGAGCTCAGGCGAGCACTGAGGTCAACGTAGAGCATGCCAGGGGCATGCCAACCTCGAACCAGAAAAATATCACGGGCGTACTTGCGGACAACAAAAGTACAGATTCCGCGAGTATATCCGATAGTGCATCGATGTCTACCGTGATTGATACTTCGGCCTCGAGTTCCACGCCTCAAAAGTCTGCGGAAAGCTCTTCTATGACACCTACTCGGCCGATCTCTATCAAAGTGCCTCCCAAGCAACCCGAAGAGGGCTCCGAGCCGCCAGAACGTTCCGAGCTTCCTGAGTCTTACTCAACAACCGGCACGGAGATCCCCCTCAATGATGATAGCCGCCACGAGGCTCGGTCGAGAAAGCGTGGTCCTAAGTTTGAATTGACGGTGAACGGCGGTTCGCGCGGCGGGCCATCCAAATCTCCACAGAGCAAAGCCCTGGCTCCTTGGGTTCGCTCTGTCAATCCATGCAACACCCCTCGAGACGTCTTGCGGGATACAAGCTGGTTTGGGCGTTGGCAACACGCCTACCCAAGGCCGCCCCATGTTGCCGTTGTGAAATGGAAAAGCTTAAAGTCACCCGCCATTTTGCCCCTGACGACGGAAGAATTCCCGAGCGCGACTGAGCTGGCCTCGGACTATTTACAAACGCCCTATCGTGTCTTTCCGAACGATGATCCCGAAGGCGCCGAAGCTCCCAAAAGTCGGGGTGTTCTCCTGCGAGAGATGATCTCTCTTCGTCTTTCTCACGGGTTCCAGATTGTGGTCGGGAAACATGTGGTCGATGTCTCGGGGCAGTACGCCCTACAATCTCCCAATGTCTTTGACACCCAGGGGTTGGAAAAGGACGGGGCTACTGTTTTTCTATCGAAGGGAAACTCTATCCACCGGCTGATCTGCATTGATAGCGCCGAGATTGAAGTCACTCGTTTTACTCATCGGGTCTCTTCTTCCCTCGCATCTGAAAAGAGGGCTAATTTCAGCGTTTACTCTCCGGCCATGCGCACAATTTTGAGTCCTGAGTATGGGATCAAGAACATAAGGCTAGATTCTACTGCCGAGGAGTACAACTGGAATTATGCCGATAACTACGTTGCCGGACATAGAGATTATTTGTTTAATCCAGCCCAACAACTGCAATTCTGGCGTGTACGCTACGTGCTCATACCGATGCAACTGCATGTTCAATCCCGCCGGCATATTCAGTCCTTCAACGAGGATAACGAGGAAGAAATTCATTTGCTCGGAATCAATCAACTTACTCACATATGGCAACGGCACAAATACGTGCCTCCAGAGGAGAAGAGATTTGAAAGCTCTAACAAAAAGAGAGATCAAAACCCCCTCAATATCATGTATCAAACTCGAAACCCTCCTGAAGTGGTCGCAGCGGAGCTGGATCGAATCATACTTACGGATCCCGGGCTGGACAATTCCCCTGCGCAGCTGTTGCCCGAATCCGAGCTACTTGAGCGGTCCAGCATCAGCCTATCGTCGCTGGCGCACATCATCCAAGGGGATAAGGGTGTCCGGATGATGGACCGAAGGTGGCACTGGCGATTGCATTACAACTGTTTCATCGGTTTCGAGCTCACCACCTGGCTTCTTCAGAACTTCCGCAACATCGACAGCCGGGAGGAAGCCGTTGAGTTCGGCAACGAGTTGATGAAGCACGGTCTGTTCCAACACGTCGAGAAGCGTCACAATTTTCGGGACGGAAACTACTTCTATCAGATCTCCAGCGAGTATCGGGTCTCGCGCCCTGAATCTCGCGGCAGTTGGTTTCCTCAGATACGAACCGATAAGTCGGTTCCTTCTACGCCAGCCGGGGAGCGCCCTCGAGACTCGCCCGCCAGTGTCCCCAGCAGCCATGCTAGAACAGAGAGCACCGAGGAGTCTACAGCGCAGACACCGAATACTCCATCCAAGTCCAAGAATAAAGCTACGATCATGCTGTCCAAATCCATGAAATACGACGTCGATCCGCGCAAACGATCCAACCGGCCCGAGGTTATTGACCTCCACTACGATCGGTTGCATAATCCGGACAACTGCTTTCACATTGAACTGAGCTGGATGAACACGACTGCGAAGTTGATCGAGGATACCGTGCTGTCATGGGCTGCTACGGCGGAGAAGTTTGGGCTCAAAATAGTGCAAGTTCCGATCGCTGAGGCCTGCGCCATCGACGAGACGCAACCGTTCCGAAAGCCCTACCTTGTCCAGCTCAAAACCCCCCCTCCCAAAGCGCCCGCTCCCATGCTATTCAATCAAGGGTCGTTTTCACAGCAGGGCACACCCGATCGTCACTATTTTCAGAAGGCGCTCTTGCGCAAGTTCGAGTTTGTTCTGGACTTTGAAGCTCGATCCGCCTTCCCTGCTGACGTGGAGGTGTCTTATTCTTGGGGCATCCCTGACTACCGTTATCCGCAGTATATCCACCGATCCGGCAGCGTGCTAGTTCAAATCACCGACGATGGCGATTTCCTCTTCCTTGCCAATCGGCTGGTCAGTACGCGCAGTACCGCGAGCCGCGACCTACCTCGACACGACCGGTCCGACCAATACCGAGCGAGGGCCAGCACGTATGATCCTATGGATCGAGTATCGCCGCGTCTATCGCCCATCACGCGTCCGATTCACGACCCCAACAGTCCCATCAGCCCTCAGGGCTCGGCCCCCATCGATTCGGCCAATCTCTACCGCGCTCCCGAGCACATCCTGAGCGGGTTTGTAGACTTCTGCAATGATTCGGCCAAGTTGGAACAGTTCTACAACGACTCTCTAATCCGACCGGTGTCGACCAAGGTCGAGCCGGCCAATACGTCTCTGATGGACGCTTCTATTCCTTCGCTGGAACTGCCGGCGAGCGTTGTCAGCCACCACATCTCTCCTCCTCCGGCACTCTCTCGAGGGGCACAGAACTCGACGATTTCGTCACTGGATTCGATCGCGCGGCCGCGAGAGGATCCCAGCGGGCATCGAAGTCCGCGAAGTACGGGGCTGCGGCCGGTTCGACTGGCATGAAGATGGATGGGATGGATGGGGTGTATGTGTTATGAGGGGGATATAATACCCGGCGTTTTTGTAATGAGCTCAGCGAAAGGATCCCTTTGAATCCCTTTGAATCCCTTTACATCCATGTGAATCCATACTCCGTATACTGCGTACTGCGTAAGTTGGTAACCCGGTGGCCTGAGGCCCCGCCGGACAATTAGCCGCCGGATTCAGGCTGAAGTCGCCTTGGCATTTCCACCAATTGGCCGCCGCGCTGCCACTTCTGCTCCTCTGCCCTTCCAGCTCGCTCCTTCGATTCAACTTCCCAATTGTCCCCGCCTCAGCTGCCATTATCAGACGACTGAGGGGAAAGGAATGGCCCTAGTCGACTACGCTCGGTCCTGGCCTCGGACCTTAGCCCTTTACGGATATGGGCTCGACGACAAATTAATCGGCTCCGCGCCTGGTTTATCCGGCTCATTGGGAATCCCCAATACTTAAATGGCTCTCCGGCGGGGTATTTCCTCTCAGCTGGAGGTCATTGATTTCTTTCATCTTTCTCTCCTTCTTGTCGAGCCCAATTGATCGCTTGTTCGATTGCCCAGCATGAAGTTCACTGAGGGAATGTGGCGCCTTCGCGTGGGTGGATTCTAGCTTCTCGAGATCATGTCTGATCGAATTTCCAAGGACTGCTGGCTGACCTTGTCTGCAGGAAGGCATTCGCATTGACTGGATGAACAATGTCGAGAGACTGAGCGTTGAAAACGAGTCCGTGGATCTCCTCTTGAACAAGTTCCAGAGACACCGTGGAGACACGCTAAACTCAGGTCCGTCCACTCCCCCCGATATCGTGGAGTTGTGTGGGGAGTGTCAATGGCTGATCCCCGATTTTATCTTGTTTAGCGGCCATCTCGGCTCATGTCACCTCTCCCTTGGAAGGGATTATTGGCGTCAAGTTTTGCCACTGGTATGTGGATCATCTTTTCCTCACTTTCTTTTTAATTGCCTCCGTCTTCAGTGTTCACCGTTATATCTTCCTTGTGTACACAACCCTTTTCTCATTGTTATTCTTCGCTTTAGGGCTGGCCAAGTGGACAACGGCCCTCACTACAAATTGAGCTCCTCCACCGGCCACACCAAGATCCACCACGAGAAGAACAAGGCCCTGCAATATGGCAGCGGCCCCCTAGACTTGACCATCAAGACCGAACCGAACGAGCTGGACTTTGTGTTCTCCGGTGCCAAGGGAAAGCTCACGGGTCACTCGTGGCGATCGATCGGATACATCGGCGACCAGACGACGGAGAAATCCCGCTGGGACGATGGGATCTTCTTCGAACGCCAGGGATACATGCTCGCGGCGCTAGATCTCGGCGTCGGGGAGCGAGTCTATGGGCTGGGAGAGCGATTCGGGCCCCTCGTCAAGAACGGACAGACCGTCGACATCTGGAACGAGGACGGCGGCACCTCGTCCGAGCTGGCCTACAAGAACATCCCGTTCTATATCAGCTCGAACGGGTATGGTGTCTTTGTGAATAACCCTGGCAAGGTCAGCTTGGAGATCCAGTCGGAGCGGACCACGCGTGTAAACCTCTCCATTGCCGGCGAGGAACTGGAGTACTTCGTGGTGTATGGAAGCACGCCCAAGGAGATCCTGCGCCGGTATACGGCCTTGACGGGTCGTCCTAGCTTGGTTCCGTCTTGGAGTTATAACCTGTGGCTTACAACTAGTGAGTGTGGTCTTTTCCTACAACATCCCTCGTTGCCTAGCTGACCGTTTTGCTTCTTCCTTCCAGGCTTCACAACCAACTACGATGAGCAGACCGTCACCGGTTTCCTGGACGGGTTCCGAGACCGGGACATTCCCCTGGGTGTCTTCCACTTTGACTGTTTCTGGATGAAATCCTACCAATGGTGCGACTTTGAGTTCGACGCCGACATGTTCCCCGATGCGCCTGGCTATCTCAAGCGACTCAAGGACCGGGACCTCCGCATCAGTGTCTGGATCAACCCGTACGTCGGACAAGCTTCGCCGCTCTTCGCGGAGGGCAAGAAGAACGGCTACTTCATCAAGGTGAGCACACAGTTCTATCCTGATTCCCCTTCTAGCCATCTAACACGTTCCAGCGCACCGATGGTTCCGTCTGGCAATGGGACTACTGGCAGGCGGGCATGGCGGTCGTCGACTTCACCAACCCCGACGCCTGCGCCTGGTTCTCCTCGCACCTGAAGCGCCTCATGGACATGGGCGTCGACAGCTTCAAGACCGACTTCGCCGAGCGCATCCCCTACCGCAACGTGCAGTACCACGACGGCTCCGACCCCGTCCGCATGCACAACTACTACACCCTCCTCTTCAACAAGGTCGTCTACGACACCATGATCGACCGCTACGGCGCCTCCCAGAGCCTGCTCTTCGCCCGCAGCACCGCCCCCGGCGGCCAGATCTACCCCGTCCACTGGGGCGGCGACTGCGAGTCCACCTACGAAGCCATGGCAGAGTCCCTGCGCGGCGGCCTCAGCCTCATGCTCTCCGGCTACATCTTCTGGGCATCCGACATCGGCGGCTTCGAAGGCACCCCGCCCCCAGCCCTCTACAAGCGCTGGGTCCAGTTCGGCCTCCTCTCCTCGCACTCGCGTCTCCACGGGTCTTCCTCCTTCCGCGTCCCCTGGATCTACGGCGAGGACTGCAGCGCCGTCCTGCGCGACTGCGTCAACCGCAAGATCCTCCTCACCCCGTATATCCTCGCCGAGGCCCTCCTCGGCCACAACCAGGGCACCCCGCTCATGCGGCCCATGTTCCTCGAGTTCCCGGACGATCTGACCACCTACCCGCTCGACACGCAGTACATGTTCGGCGCCAACCTGCTCGTCGCCCCCGTCTTCGCCGACTCCGGCGAGGTCACCTTCTACGTGCCGCGCACCCCCGAGGACCACGCCGGCAAATGGATCTCCTGGTTCGATCACAGCAAGTCCTACGAGTCCGGTCGCTGGTACACCGAGACCCACGACTTCGATGCCCTCCCCATCTTGATCCGGCCCGGGTCTGTGACCCCGATCAACGCGAAGTTGAAGGCCCCGCAGGGCGACGCCCTGGATGGGCTGGAGGTGCTGGTCAATGGCGAGCTGAAGGACGAGGTGAAGGTGGATGTGGTGGATCCCAGCAACACGGGTAAGGTGTTGAAGGTCGTCTCGGTGGGCGTCAAGGATGGGGCGGTGGTTGCGGATGATGCGGGCGTGAAGGTCACGTCCGTGGGTAAGTAGATCGGTTTCTCTTGGTCTGTTTATCGGCCTGGAGGGAGGGGGGGTTGGTAGGAAGCATTCCCAAGGGATGGTCAGAGTAGATTGAAATGATGAAATGAATGACAAGCATCCATGCCGAGTTCACTACTATTCTTTCCTAATTATATGTAGTATTGGTTACAGCAGTCTACAATCTGGTTTCATTCTTTAGAGAAGGCAAATTAAAATCTTCAAAGTAATTGATATTGGATATTAAGGTAATCAAGTGTCCACGACTAGATGACTGACGTGACTGGCGCGTGGCATCATCGCTCATGCTCGTATATCATGAGTCAGTCATGCATGAATCAAAAGTAGAAAACATATGGGTATCATGATGTTCGGCAAGAAAGGTAAAGTCAAAAGAAAAAGATCCAACCAGCAGGCGGGCCAAGGCCGGTCCTGTGACAAGGTTGAGTCGAGGAGAATGTAACAAGAGAAAGAAAAGAATCAACGAAAAGAGGAAGATGAAGAAGAGGAAAGAGAAAGAGGAAAAAAGAAGAGAAAAAGTGAGAACAAGCAAAATGCTCGAAATCGTAAGGTCAACAGTCAATCTTTCCCAAATCTGACCGGACTCATGTCAATTTACCATGCTTCCTCGACGTCAAGAAGCCATTTGCGCACGCCTTCTCTCAATGTATTGTCCGGTCCAGCCAACGATCGCTTGCGTTCGCGGTCCGCCAACCCAAGTTCACCGTCGACATCTTCTCGACAGTGCTCGGCAGTCACGCTGCGAACGACCTCTTCCAAGGCGCCCAGCACTAATTTCCGGCATTCTGTACGGGGAACTTCGAGGGGAGGCACTTCATCGCGACTCGCAGTCTCCGCGGTGGGTCGGTCATCCCCCTTGCGTGCTCGAGACGGCGAGGGAGCCCGAGAGTGTGCTAGAGAGGAGGGACCACTCTGGGCGAGGACTCGTTCCAATGCATCAATCAAGGTGCCATCGAGATCCATGACGGGCTCCTCGACGAAACGTTCCTCGACTTCGCTGGGATCGTACCCTTCTAAGATAGAATGGACGGAGGTCCTAGTGGAGCCGGTTCCGGGCGAAAAGAAGTTCGCAAATTGGGAGGACGTAGAGCCTCCCGGGATGTGTCTCGGAGTCGATGGATGGGAGAACACCGATGGTGAAGACGGACTCTGCCAGGCATTGCCGACAACTTTACGCCTTAAGCGAAGTCTTTTTACGGTAAAGGTCCTAACATCCGCGATCAAGGTCGTCGCAACGTCGACCCATCTTTCCGTTCCATCGGCATCGCCGAAAGATGCAATCGGTGTGGGTTCTGCTTGCATTGCCCGCTTAATGTCGGCCTCCAAGTTGGCATAAGGCCGAGTCGCTTGAAGCAGAAAGTCCTCGTGAAAGCTCTTCAACCAGCCAGCAACATTCACACTGGGCCCGTCATTGTCTCTAAGCGGGCCGTGGAATCCGGAACTGCTGCTGTGCGTAGAAGCCAAGGCATCAACACTGGTGACTGAAGTGCGCGTCTTTTTCGGAGATGATATAGTGGAGTCACCGGACGAAGAAAGAGAGACGAATCCAGGCAGAGGAAGGTCAACGTCAACAACTCCATCGTCCCCGCGCACAGATAACTTCAGAGAAGATTCCCTGGTGTGATCAGTTGTCGACGACAGATCCGGTGTATCTTCCTCTTCTTCAAGGCGCTGGGCACTTGAGGAGTGAGGGATTGAGATGTTACCACTAGTAGAGGTCTCCGGGACATGTTCCTTCGGCATGGGGGCCGATGCTTCTTTGACCATTTGGGAAAGGGTAGGAGGTCCTCTTTTGGGGGGCCCTGCATAGACAGAGACGGAGCGCTGTCGGGCTTCGGCCTGTGAAGGTGCTGCCGATTCCGAATCCTGTCGAGTCCACAGACCAGAAAATAGGTTACCCCATCGTCCACCTGTAGATGGGAGACTGTTATTGGTGCTAACCGCGGAGCTATCGCTTCTTCGCAAGTTCTTGAGAAGGTTCTCGGAAGCCAAGCTATCGTTGCTTTCGGCCACAGCGGAATCCGCACCCTCCCGTTCTGATCGGCTCTGAGAGGCAAAATGCGGAACCGGGACAGTCGTGCTGGGGGTGGTGGTAGACGTCGTAGCCATCCCGGTATTTTTGTTGATACGTGGATCCTTTGCGTGCATGGGAACAGCGACAGTGCGAATGGAACGTGCATCAGATCCTCTCCGGCGTGAGCCCGGATCCATCGGCGCCATGGCGTCGGTATCATCCGAGCGGTGTGCGGTCTCAGTTGACGACACACTGACAGACCGTTGGTGTTGGTCCCTATCGTTGAGAGTAAGACGCTGCGCACGCGATCGTCGTTCAATGGCCCGCCGCAGAGATTCTTGCCGAAGGACCGGTACATTCGGGGGACTTTGGGAAATTGCGCGAGTAGAGGCCGATGTACCAGGGCGGAGAGGGGATGGGAGCGGCTCAAAACGCTGCTTAGGGGGAAGGAATGCGGCTAACAGGAAGATCAGACGGCGAGCCGTCATTTTGTCCGGCGAAATAATCACGGTGCGGTTCGCGAGAATCGGATCCGCCTCCTGCTGCTGCGCCTTCTGTTGGAGATAGTGCCGGCGACGGTACCAGTCTGGACCTAGGACATTAAGCCACTCGGTATGGTTTCCCAGAAAAGCCGTAATGAGAACCAGAAAGAAGAAACTATGCTCTTTGTCTCCGAGACTGCGGACAATCGACCGGCCTTCCTCGCGCCAAACACCCCACCGACTCTGTCCGGTCACGACGTGTGGAGTTTGCAGCGCGGTACTGATGCGGCGAGTACTTCGAATGGCCTCCTCCTTCAGTTTCGAATTCACAGACAATATGTTGGCCGGCAGATGGATTATGGTCTGGTTCGTGCGTTGCATATTAGGGGCTTTCGCGGGCTTCGGATGTGCACCAGAGGACGCATCCACCTTTTTCAAGAGGAAAAGAAGTTCCTTTCGCGAAAGCCTCTCTAAGTGCGAAAGAGCACGGTTGATGACATCCCATTGATCCACGAGCAAATCGATTCGCTCATCCAAACTGGCCGGTGGTGATGCCATGGAAAGGCTGTCATCGAGAAACCCAGGGTGCCACCGATAATCCGAATCCAGCGAGCAAGACATTCCTGGTTTTGGCGAATCTGCGCCCTGGGTGCTGAATCGGGAGACGGGCCGGCCAGTATTTCGACCCAGAAGTGGGATCTGGATCGTGATCGCCACGGCATACATCGGGGTTTTCTTTTCTTTGATCTTTTTGCGCTTGGTGATGTCGGGGAAAGGAAATCCAGGTTCAGCAAACGATTCTTGATAGTAGGATGCAGAGATGTCTGGCTTGTCAGGAGATGCATCACCAGTCTCTGGCAAGTTGACGCTGAACATCCTGGTTAAGAGGATCGTCACTTTCGATGGTGGCTTGGTATCATGAAGGTGGTTTGGGCTTGCGAAGTCAGGGCTTCCAGTAGTATGTGCCCGAGACATGTGGCTGCGAGTCGTTTGATTTGTGGTCGAGGCCTTTCCAGGTTCCTCATCGGCGGAGATGATATGCATCTTTGTCGACGAACCCCGATAGCTGAAAGCACTACTGCCAAATATGCAATTCAGTAGGCTAGAGTCATTCGAGTCGGCCGAGTGGCGTGAGCTGCCAGCATCATGAAAGCCACCGGCCGGTGCAAGTGTCGAGCTGCGGCCTCGGGCCCGCATAAAAGCACCGGATGAGAGGGGCGGAGACCGGCGTGTTTCCGCAGCAAGCGAAAAGGGACTCGGTTCTACCACTGATGCTTGAGACAAATGTCCGCGCCGAGCCCCTCGGGAGAGCGTCGACACCGTCCGTGCATGTCTTGCACCCGAACCATCCAATGGCGGAGGTTCTAATCCCAGGCCATGCACGTTCGTCTCCGATGCGCGGGTATCCAACAAAACACAAGCATCCTTGTCACCTAGGGCATTCTGGGCGATGATCACACGAAAGTCCTTCATCGGGTCCAAGTCGACCCCGACTCCTCGGTCATCGTAGGCACCGGCCGTCGAGGCATTCGGAGAATTCACGGTCGTGTGGAGAGGGTATGCATAGGTGTTCGAATGGCGGAGAAGGCTCGCATCGGGAAATAAGAGGCCGGACGTATGCTCCTCTTCCGTGACGGACTCGAGCTGGTGGGCATTCTTCGTGGAATAGGCCGCAGGATTCAACGTTGACGCTGCGGTGCTTAACAATCGTCCCAGCATGGTGGCTGAAACGAAGAATACTGTACGAAAAAAAGGAAAGTAAAGAAACAGAAACCGGGATAAGAAAGGAAAGGAAAGTCCGCTATGTTAGAAAGAACTGGTGTTCCCCATTCTTCAAGCCTGCCGAGCAACAACCATGATGGGAGGATTGAAGAGCCACTTGGGAGGGAATTGATGTGCAGTAGAGGTGGCGGTCGATGACAGGAATTGAGGGGTACTGGCAGACAAAGTGGGACCGATCACCGTGGATTCAGGGCTGGGACCCCGAAATGAATGGCTGAGGATGCAGAGGACGACTGAATTGAACCCCAGAACGGGAGCAATCAGAGGAGGGAGTGGAGAGAGGAGGGGAGAGCGAGGGAAAAGGGAAAGGAAGCGAAAGGAAGTCGGAAATGCAAAGGGCGGTGAAGCTGCGGGCACATGATCTCAGCCTCATCGCATGCAGCCGGACGTTTCGGTGACACAAACCACCTCATCCTGCAGATGACTGACAGCCGGCTTCCAGGATCCTGTCCTGGAATTCCAATAGGCCTCTCTTTTATGCCCAGGGTCCCCGGCTGGAAGGGGGGGACTGCCTCGGAAACATGTTCGATTTTGATTGAATGAAAGGTATCCTAATTAACTACTAACAATGCAACTGTGCACACCACCTAATGCTGTGCCTTTCGCTTCACTTTGTCCACCAGACTCTTCAGATCCTCACTGCCTTGCTTGGGTGCGTCCTTCTTCTGCTTCTTCTTCTGCTTCTTGTCCTGCGTGGGGACCTCGTCCTCGTCCCCACGCTCGTCCCGGTCCCGTCGCCGTTTGCGTCCTTCGTCCAACAGTGCCTTCATGCCCGACGTACCCTTAAACCGAGGGTTAGTCGGGTCGATCGCAAACTCATGGCTCTCGAAGAGTCGAGAGAATCGAGGATCGCTGACTTCCATCTGGAAATCATCCTTGACCTCGGGGGCCTGTTTGCCCTTGCCCTTGCCCTTCTTCTTCTTGCCGGCCTGTTTCTCGGCCTTCTCGATGGCGTTCATGTCGAAATGCTGCATGCCCTTGTTCTCATCGTCCATCATCAGAAGCTCTAACTCGGCGCGCTTGGCTGCTTCGGCCGCCTCAACCGCCTCCCGCTCTGCCTTCTTCTTGCGCTTCTCCTCCTTACGACGGGTTGCAGCCGTCATCTTCTCACCAGGATCGTCGAAGAACGGGTCATTGAATCCCATATCTTCTTTCTCTCCCTCAGGTGCATCCTCGCTCTTCTTGCCCTCCACGGCGTGATCTTCATCCTCTTTGCCTCCGTCTTCCCCTTCTCTGACTGCCCTGATCCTCTCCTTTCTCTTCTTCTTCCTCTCACGCTCCTTGCGCACGTATTTTTCAAGCGTAGTTTCATCCTTTTCAGGCTCGTTCTCAAAGATTCCATCCTTTTCAGGACCTCCCGCAAGGCCGGAAGTAAAAGTAACCTCCATCTCACCAACGGGCCCATCTGATTTGGGCGCACGGGATGGCTCCGCGCTCAAGCCCAGAAGGGCTCGCATACGCTGCTTTTCGTCCTCTTTCTTAGAGATCTTAGAGCTCTTTCCATCTCCCTTCGTAGCGTCGACAATTTCCACGGCCTCCTCGTCTTCGCTCTCGTTGTCGGAGCTGTCACTTGCAAGATAGGCCTTCAAATCGTTCTCGTCGATATCTTTCCGGCTGCCCCGGAAGGCGCGAGCCTGGGCTTCCTTGCGCGACTTGTCCTCCATGTCCCACGTCAGCTTAACTTTGCTGTGTTGTAGCGCATCGGTGACGAATTCGTTGGGCTGGTAGCCATCTGGGATCCGGGTGCATTGATCCCGAGGTTTGTCGTCGGAAAAGTCGGTGTCTTCAGGCACGAAGCGGAGGTCAAAAAAGTTGGCACTCGACAAGTATTCAGCACCGTCCACCAGGTCATAGACATGCTTAGCAGCTTCCCTGGATGAGAACGTGAGGATTGCATAGAAGTAGCGCAAACGCTCCAGCTGGTACTTTCGTAGCTGTGTAGAGTTGAATTCCTCGCCCTTGTCCTCTTTCAACATGGACTTCTTGATCTCTTCCTCGTCCTCGTCGGAGCCGAACTCCTCGAATTCCTCCTCGGAATCCTCATCGGACTCGTCACCCTTTGCCGACGCAAAAATCTCCCGGGGAGGACCCTCCGCCTCCTCGCGCTCCATCCGTTCCTTTCCAAACTCACTTGGATAGACCGCAACCTTTTGGACACGGCCACCCGTGGGCGCGAAGCTGGAAAACACCGCCATCAGGTCCTCCGCCCGGATGTTGTCCCAGTCGAGATTCACCACGGCAATCCGCTTCGTCACGTCGCCCGTGGGTATACCGGCCTGTTGCTTGTCGGGGAAGTCAAGCTCCTCACCGCCAAGCTCGGCCTCGTCCTCCTCATCTTCTTCATCGCTACTCTCCTCCTCGGATGATGAAGACGAAAACCCTCCGTCTCGCGCAGGATCGTACGATTCGGCCTTCTGCAATTCTCTCAGGACCACCTCGTCATCTTCGCCACTAACTTCTGCGTCGTCGTCGTCGTCGTCTTCATCGTTTTGCTCATCCAGCTGGTAGAATCGCTCCAGCTGCTTCTTTGTGTCGTCGCGGGCAAGCTTGCGTCCGTAGCGATCAACTGCGGCGTTTCGGGAAAAGTCCTTGTCGCGCAGCATGTGCGCGAAACGATTGTCGAGTTTCACATGGGTCTGGCGTTTGCTCGGAAGACGATACCGAGGGTCTGTTTGAATATTGGAAAATCGAGGATCCTCTATAGCACGCAGATGTAATTGTCAGTTCAAGGTTGGCCTTCCAAGGCAGGAAATGGTTGGCAGGGCGTACTGATCACAGAGTCGGCCTGGTCTTTGGCAGCGCCGCCCTTCTTTGATTTCTTCTGGTTAGGCATTGTGGCAGATCCACATGCAAAATGCGAAGAAAGATGGGATCAATCGAAGAGTTAAAAGGATCGATTATTGTTGAGGAAAAACCGACAAAGTTGGATCGTCCAACGGCAGATAAAAAAAAAGCGGCCGAGTAAATGTGACGATAAGGATAATTTTCTGCGAAGAATGTGGCCCGTGCGTTCCTCCGGCCGCAAACCCTCCCAAGTACATGTACTACCGCTACAAAATTAAGACTTATTCTCTTCATTGATCTCGTTGTGTTCCTTGTTTTATAAATATATATGAATATAGTATGTACTAGCCAAAATGTCCGTCATTGTATGCACATTCTACATTCAACTCCATCACATGTCCCGGACGTGTGGTATCAATGCTTCAACTTAACACCCAAAATATCTCTTCTCCATCCATCGAGGTTCGCGCTCCTCTTCGATCCGTCCCACGATAACCTTCAGACGCGGGTATACTGTAGTCAATCGCTTGAGTCCAATTTTGCCGGCAGCACATGTCACGAAGACAATCTTCTGCTCTTCCACTCCGTGGTCAATCAATATACGGACGGCCATCAAGGCGGCGCCACCACTGGCCATTTGAGGATCCATCAGCATGACAGTAGCATGTGTTTCAATGCCATCGGGCAGTTTAAGATAGTGCAGCTCTGGCTCCTCGTTTCGTGCATTCGTTTGAATGAGGACGCGACCCGTAATACAATCAGGAATCGTTCGCTTGAGAGCTGTCTCGAGACAAGAGCCTCCTCGTAGGATGGCAACAGCAGACATAACGCCTACCGGGTTCAGGCCGTTGTATGTCGTCCCCTGAGGCGTGTTCACAAACGAGGGATCGTACGACGCACTGTCCAAAGCTCTGTTCCGATGAAGTTAGCAGCTGCAACCAGCATATCTCCGTTACATTGTTCCACGCGACTTACTTCTCGATCAGCAAGGAAGCAAGACGGTCAAAATAGAACACAAAATCAACCTGTTCCGTTTCCGGATTCTGGAGGATTGTGTTCATGCCAATGAATTGGGGCGTCTGGGGCATCATCAAAACATTGGGAGAAAGCTGCAAATCAGCGGCAATCTTTTTCAGCTCATGCAGCTCCGCACTGTGCTTCTCTGATTTCTCCTCAAGTTTACGCTGGATGTGTTTTACCACCATGTCTGGATGGATAAGTCAACACCTGCAGTGGCAGTCGCGAATGATATTTCTTACCAATGGCCGTCTTGTTCTCAATACCTCGGGGAATGATAATATCTGAGTCGGTTAGACAGGCCAATTCAAGATTTTCAGGCCGAATGTCAACTCACCGGAGACAGATCGCTGGGGTTCGACATAGTACTTGTACGACGGTTTAACATAAGTAAACCACTGCTTGATGATTCCATCAATGTCCCTTCCTCTCTCCCGAACATCGCGCATGACTAGCTCCGTCTTCCGTTAGAGTAGTTCATTCACCGTTAGGGTTTGGAAAATAACCCACTTCTGCGCCCCAGGCAAACATCCATGTCTGCCTCTACAAAGATCTGGAGAAGAGCTGGTCAGCATGAAGAAAAAGACGAGAAGAAATAAAAGAGCAATAAGTCTCCAGCTACGCCAGTGCAGTCCTACCTTAACATCCAACAGCTCCATGATTCTCGGGTCATGCAAAGCTAGAATACCCTCCAGGATCAAAACTCGAGGAGAATAAAGAGTGGTCGTCTGAGGTTGGCGTTGATGGTGGGCGAATGAATAAACGGGAATGTCTGCCTTCTTCCTTTTTTTTGTTCAAGGGTCGAGAGTTGTTAGTTACTTTACAAACCATGTCTGCTGGTCGAGACCCAGGTTACGACGAGAGGGCATTTTATCTGTACCCTTGCTTTAAGTCCTTTAAGGTGTTCACCAAGACATCGAAATCCAAGGCATCCGGACAGTCAAAATCAAATTCATTCCTATGCGCCTTGGCATGTTGGTCCGGGTTCAAGCTTTTGTAGAACGAGTCCTGTAGCAACCGACGTTAGAAGTTGCAGGGACAATTCCACGACTGGCATTTCTATGGCGGCGGGTGGAGGAAATCGAGGCAATAATATACCATTACGAGGATCACCACCCACGGCAGGTTTAGCGACTTCACGATCTCCATAGCCACCGAGGTCTTGCCGGAGCCCGAGCTACCGGCGATACCAATGATACTCAAGTCCGCCCATGGCGGAGAGTAGCGCTTCTCCGTGGCAGCGGAGTACACGGGCGAGATGGACTCCATGGTCTGGGAATTGCTTTTTCTGTTCTTCAGAACCGAGCCTGTCGACAGGGGCAAGTCAGGCCCTTTGCCACCTCACAATAGCACGCACAAAGCGACTGATAAGAGTCGAATTACTACTTCTGTGCAGGCGCTAAGAGGCGCCAGACCGACTAACGCCCAACGCGGCTAGTCGCGGCGCTTGCGCTCTTCGGGCTTAGCCGGCCCTCGTGACTTGTTCGCTTGCGGCAAAACGTGACCAAGCTCCCGCCGCTTTTTCTTCCCGAGCTTTTCTCTCTCTCCTCTTCTTCCCTTCTTCTTCCTCCCAGCATCCTCATGGCTCCCGTCTGCGAAGCTCTCCATCTTCACAGACGGCCATCTCTCCTGTGACAGGATCTCTGAGCGCATTGTCCCAGGACTCTCGCTACCACTAGCATACACGATGTCGTCTGCTAATTACGTATGCTTCCCGACGTGTTGTGCGTGCGTGGGGGCTTGGTTTTAACGGGAAGCAAAGCAGATGTCTCCCACTTCCTCGACAACAACGCCGACATGGCATCAGTTCGAGCGGAAGGTCGACGAGGTCAAGCCATCCAAGACGTGAGTTCTTCCCGCCCCGTGTTTCCGACACAATTGGTCCCCTGCCCCATTATGATGCATTTCAAAATCAAGTTGGGAATCTCTCTGAAATATCTTGAGGAGAAACACATTAACTTGTCCTACTGAACCCCATTCGCATGCCATTTTATTTTTGAGGTGTCGTTAGATCAACAGCGACTAACGTGGCAATGCAGTGATATTAATGACTTGGTCATGGACTACCTCATCACCAATGGCTACCCCGCTGCCGCAAAGAAATTTGCAGTCGAGGCCAACATCCAGCCCAAGACGGATGTGGAGTCTATTCAGCAAAGGGTAGCCATTCGGACTGCGATCCATTCTGGTAATATCCAGTCTGCGATCGAAAAAATCAACGAGCTCAATCCTCAGGTAAGATTTTCCACCTCTCCTTCATCACACTTTTCTTTTCCCCTTGCTATGATTATATTTTGTTTTCATGCACCACTCGTAAAACCTCTTCGGGGGTTTGACGAAAAACAAACATCTTCAGTCCTCAGTATGATGCAAACCATTACATGTCACATTTTTTTCAGAATTTGCTTGGTCGAACCGTACACTAACATGCGTGACCGACTAGATCTTAGATGAGCATCCTTCGTTGCATTTTGCATTGCTGCGTTTACAGCTAGTTGAGTTGATTCGCACATGCACATCTCAGCCGAACGGCGATATCAGCCCTGCTCTGGAGTTTGCGACCTCGCATCTCGCTCCTCGGGCGCCCACCAATCCTCAGTTTCTGGAAGATCTGGAGCGGACGTTGGCCCTTCTGATCTTCCCGACTGAAAACCTCACCCCATCAATTGCCCCCCTTCTACACCCCGACCTACGTAAGGAAATCGCCACCCGCGTGAACGAAGCCATCCTGCAAAGCCAGGGCGCTCGCAAAGAGGCTCGGCTGCGCAACCTAGTCAAGCTCCGCGCATGGGTCGAGCAAAAGGCCCGCGAAGCTAAGAAGGACATCCCCGAGAAGCTGGACCTCGGACTCGGCGATGCAAGCGCCACCAATAATGACAAAGACGCCACGAAAGCCGGCCCCAATGGCTCTAATGACACCGTAATGACCAATAGCGGAGACGTCGACCCGATGATCTCGTGAAGTTGACAAGGTCCCCGGCCGTCGCTCCGGTAGTGATGAATCCGGGACCCGGTCAATTATTGTTTCCTACTTACTACCTTTCTGTGTAGCGAGGTGTTTCTGGCGCAGGCTCATTGGCAATGCTGCTTTTGTAACTTTGACCTCATAATAATACCAATATACTCTTTTTGTCTTATTTGATCTCTCATCACCAACCGCCATGTTCTCTCTACTTCGGTAAACGCGCAATGAACTTTCTCCGCCGCTCGTCAACCGACCCGAAATCGTCAGTCCTGTCCTCGGAGTCTCTGCCTGATCCATGAATCATGATGCCTGCGACGGAGTATCCGGTTCCATCCATCGACGCCCGGTGTACCGACCAGGCTTAGTCTCCTTTGCAATCGGCGGACCGCGGTCCAAATTTCAATATCCATTATTCAATCTTCGCCGAGTCCGACTCGCCGTACTCCACTCCAGGGCCGGGACTCTCGATTTAAATCCTACTCCGAGACAGCGCTCACTGCCGATTCTCGTCTCTCGGTCGGCTCTAGGGCTGGTTCGTCGATCTGCTTGGCGTCGGTGGTCGCTGTAAGATTGCAGATTGTATACTCCGTACTAAATACTGCGTTTATAGTAGACCTCTAGTCGATCGTTGGTTGGTAGACAGTGTTCCTGAACTCTGAGTATGTCTCTAGTAATCAATAGAAGTGGGAAAACGTGTTTTTTAGGCAAAAATTTGAATGCTGCTAGCTGTTTATTTGATGTGAATTGGGTGAGTTGACATTCACCCGAATATCCGATATATATATCATGGCAGACAAACAGGCCATCCTATTGCAAACACACCAGCAAACACTCTAAACACACAATCATTAGAACTGAAAACAAAAGAAAGAAAATAAAATTAAATACAAAAGAGCGGAGAGAGATCGGTCTATAACAAAATCAATTTTTCATACATCTAGAGTACCGCAAACGAGGTACCGACGGTTGAGTACATGTTAACCGGCCATTCAAATGCAACATAGGAAATGATGAAGCAGCAGAGGAAAAGGGGTAAGTAAAGTCCAGGGCTCTCCTTTCCAATCCAGTCCAGTCCGATTCATAACGCTGGTATATCATGGCTCGCGTCCAGGACGGTCTCTTATGTGGATTGTATGTAGGAATGATTAGGAGAGAAGAAGGCATGCATGTCACGTAAATGGGAACCCACCCCCCCTGTCAGGGATTACCACAGCAGATGGCTCGTCTAGACAAGGGGGCGGGGTGAGGGAATAAAGAGAGGGTTTGGGTCAAGAGGAGCTTAGAAGCTCATGAGGTCTAGAGAATTCCCAGTTAGTATGTGAGTTTTCACGAGGAGACAATAAGGTAATGAGAAGGAACGAACCTCTTCCGAAGAGCGACCGCTTGGCCCAGTCCATGGCAAGCATCACCCGGGTGCGAAGACTGACACTCTGGGCAAAGTACACGCTACGCCAGAGATACATGGCCAGGACGCCACCGCTGAAGTTGAGGCCGCCGAAATCGAAAACGGCGGCGTTACTGATGTACGCCAGACTGCCCAGGTGGCGGTACCGGAAGGCCTTGTACACGGCCTCGTCCAGATCGCCGTGGTCGATCTCGTTGATCCTCATGCCGGGCAGAGCAGCGGCCATCTTGGCCAGCTTGCGACCCAGATACTCGCCTTGCTGGTTGGCGCGCTGGGCGGTGGCAGGCAAAGAGGTCAGTTTGGTGTCGATTTGATGAAGGAGTTCGGAGAGCTCGCCGAAGTCGAGGGTGCCGGAGTGATCTTTGTCATACTGCTCGAACAACTTGTCAAGCCGACGAAGGTGGTTGGAGGCCTGGGGGAAACGCTTCTTCACGCGAGTGGCCACGTCTTGCCATTCCCGGAACGTGAGGTGCAGCTTTTCGGGGTCCTTGCCTCTCTCCCACGCGATGGTGCGGAGGAAGGAGACGATATGGTCTGCAATGTTGTTCTGTACGGTAGAGCAATCGCCAACGGCATACACATCACCCAGAGGGGCCCCGATTAGGCGGAGATGGGCGTCCGTCTCGAGAGCATGCTTGTTGTTTTGCGAGTCAAGCTTGTCGGAAAGCTTCTGGCAAAGATCGGCCCGAGCTGTAGAGCTGTTTAGCGTGCGACCTGGTCAATCTTGAAGGTCAGTTTACTTACAGACACCCGTGGACCACAAGCAAAAGCCCATAGGAATCTCCTTCGTGACTGTTTTTCCATCCTCCACTTGAGTGAAGACGACCTTGTCGTCGCGGACTTCCTTAACACGGGAATTCGTCAGGACATCGACAGAGTCTCGAGCAAAACGGGCCTGCAATAGTTAGCCTATGTATTTCAAAGAGGAGCTTGGAAGTAAAAGCAGATCATACTTCGGCAAATTTGGATAAGGCTTCATCGTAAGTGTTCAGGATATGGGTTCGGCTTTGAATGATGTGGACGGAGATTTCGTTTCTCAGGATTCTGGGGAAGGAGTGAAGCAGATCCTCGTTGAGCAGGTCATACAACTCGGCCGCGAATTCCACACCTGTCGGACCTCCACCACAGACGACAAATGATAGCAGCCGCTTACGCTCCTCGTCCGTGGTCGTAGGCAGACAAGCCAGCTCCATGTTCTCCAACACCTGGTTCTTGATCTGGCGGGCATCGTCGATGGTCTTCAAGAAATGGCAATGCTCGAGACCCTTGACGCCATGGGGGTTCGTTATGCATCCTGAAACACCAGATATGTCAGTAAACATCCCGAAATGCAGCTGCCTGAGCAATAATACACACCGACACCGATAACCAGCTTGTCGTAAGGAAGATAGAAGCTCTTTTTCTGCCCATTGGCATCTTCCCGAGACACCTCCACCAATTTCTCCGAGAAATCAACATCGATTGCCTCTCCCTTCAAGAAGTGGCCGCGGACCCGCTGGATGATGCGTCGCACGGGCTCAACAAGCGACCTCAACCCCAGAGTGCCGACGGTCGCAGAGGGCAGCATAGGCGTAAACAGGAAGTAATTGGTGGGCGAAACAACCGTGACGTGGTAATCACCCGGGTGAAGCTGCTTCAGAAGCGCAATGCTACCCCAGCCAGTACCCAAAATCACCAGCCGCGGTTTCTCATTTTGGTCTGCCATTTCCTCCGTATCATAATCTCCCACCAACACCTCAGCGATCGGCAAGTTCTTGGGCCCTCCCCGTCGGGGATTCAACGCCAGCTCAGAGACCGGGATGTCTTCGGCACTTGGACGTTCGCGGTACGTCGTCGCATCGTAGACGAAGAAAGCCACCACGGCAGCACCGCTCATGACGATGAAAAAACCACAGTATGTAAACGTTTTGATGGCGGCATTGAGCACGGACGATTTCCGGTGGGGTTCAGTCGGCGTGTCTGGCGTTGTCGTTGACTGGTGTCGGACGGACAGGTGGCTGTTGAAAAAGGTGCGTGACGCGAGACATTGAGGCACTCCATTGCGACGAGGAGCCAGCACTCGGGCGGCCGAGAGTCTAGTAGAGGAAACGGATGGTTTCGATGAATATAATCGACCTGTTAATAACCCAACTCTCTTCAGCGCTGTGGTCTCCGGTCGACTCCGGAGCAACACTGCGCTCATGGCGAGGAGGGTGACTATTTATGTTTGGGGGCGAACAACAAGGTTTGGGAAAGGGGGGAGAAGAACGAGATAATGAGACTTCCGCAAAATAAGGCAGGGAGGGAAAAAGGTTAGAAAAGCAAGGCGAAGTAAATGGATGAGGCCGAGCCAGCGAGCGAACGGACGAGAGTTCCGACGGACGGAGGAAAACGAGATCAGATCACGCCGAGCAGGGAGCTTCCGGCGCGACGTCATCGGCAAAGAGGGTCGCCCAAGCCTTGCCAGACCCGCCCGGCCTGCTCTACCGTCTTGGCGCCGCCGTCTTATCTCCCGGCGATCAGTTGGGATTTTTCTGTGTGCCATTCTGCTATACTAGGACTATACTAGCGCCGACACCGTTCATCGCTGCTGCAGATCCCCTGGCGGTGGGAATCAATGGCATCGATCATACACCGTCCCCAAATCAAAATGCCTGCCCGAAGATTTTGAAATGAAAAAAAAAAGAAAAGAAAATACAGGAGAAAAAGTATAGTAAAAGGTAAATCAAGAGAAGTGAAATAACAGGAAGAATTAAGAAGATAAGAAAATATGAAATCAACGAAATGAGCCTCCCATGCCGTCCCTAAAACACAGAAAAAGCAAATATAGATGTCGCAAAATAAACGAAATCATGCCGGATATTCCGAACGCCAATCTCCTTTCCCATATGCGACGTTTATGAGCTAAAAAAACAAATCAACTGGATGGAACCCACCTCTCTCAGTTCCAATCCAGGTCTTCTTCGGGCTCCGTGCTGGCCCGTTTCTTTCCCGATCCAGGTTTCCTCCCACGGGGTCGCTTGGAAGGATTTTGTCCTGGGATCGAGTTCTTTCTTTTGGCAGGGCGCGGTGCGGCGGCCAGGGCCCCTGCCGTACCGCCATCATCCATGTCGTCAAGACTTTCCCCGTCTGCATCCTCATCCTGCCCGATTTTGAATTCATCGTCAATGGCAAGTAGCGTCGAGAACTCTCGGCACTTGTTGATCATGTTTTCCTCGCTGTCTAGCGTGGCGAAGTTGCGTTGGATGGCGTCCCAGAATTTGTCCCCAGTTATCCCGTGGACCTTGGTCGCTGATTTGTGAAGATCCTTTGCAGCTTTGTTACCCTTGTCTCGCACGTGCGCTGTGACGCCGTAGAGACGGCGAAGGTGCGTTCGAGCTTCCCAGAGCATCGACAGGGATGCAGCTGCAGTAGCAAGTAGCCTCAGAGTTTCGGGGTTGACCTGCTGCGGAGGCGCCATCACCCCGGGAGCTTCAACCACGGGCATGGAAAATCCGTCAACCTGAGGAACCTGCGGAGGCTCTAGCTTGGCTGGGAATATCTCCGTCTCAATGGAATGGGCCACGACCGTACCAGTTGCAGACACGATGCGTTCCATACATCCAATCGTGGGCACCAGCTCAGTATGCTGGGCATAGTCAAAGAACGCAAGATTCTGTGACACAAACCGAGCCAGCAGAAGGTGCTCCGGAGGGTCGCCCGTAAAGTCGAGTTTTTTCAATTCAAAATCGACCTTGGCACACAGGTTCGCGAGAAACTTTTTCTGATACCGACTGTTGCTGATCTTGACGATCTCAAACAACGGCGCGAGTTTAGCAACGAACGGGCGGCTGAGCGCACCGCTAGAGTCCCCCACTATATCTCGCTGATAATAGAACGCCTCCTGGACGGCCCGCATGTATTCTCTTTCGAACATGGATTCATACTGCTGGTGCAGCATTTTATGAGTGTCAAAGGCAATTTTGGCGATGGCCGGGACGGTCGATGTTTCCAAGGAAACCAAAACGCCCGCGCATTCCTTCGGGTGGACAAGACCTTGTCGGTTGATGCTGGCTATCAGCTCGATGGCAGTCAAGGCGTACGAATCCTGTCGCGATTGTGCCACACGAAGCATGCTTTGTAGGAAGTGTTGCGCAATCAACGCAGCCGCTCCGTCGTTGTCGCTGGCTTTCAAGGACCCTCCGAGTCTGGTGGAATTCTCTTGATCTGCAACTTCTGCAACGGGCATGACCGACTTCTCGGCCCGACCCTCGTGCATCGCAAAGAAATCCGCAAATGCCCTCAACACGATGTTTTGGAGGCTAGGGTTATCCTCCTTGAACACCATGCTCAGTATCTTTCGAGGTTCTTCCCGGCTGAACTGGCCCGGCCAGGATTGACAAATTGAGCCCAAACTTTCGAGGGCCATCACTCTCAATTCAAGCGGCTGTCGAGGAAGAGTGAAAGGCATAATGGCGTCAACCATCAAGCCGGCGACGGAGCCCCCGTTCCAAGCAGGGAACGCATTTTTGAAGTGCGGTTCGTATTTTTCGAGGTCGCAGTGCCGGCCAACGCAACCCGCGATTCGTATATAACTTTTGGCCCTCGCCAGGACGGCTGTATTGGCAGTATCCGAAAGGTCAATGTTCTTGTAGTGCTGTATAGGTTTCAGAACGGAGATAGTCAGCTTCACAAGTCTGTCTGTGTTGTGAAGCACTCCGTTGATGGTCCAAAGACAGGCCATAACTTCGTTGAGCTCGGAGCGAGCAAGTTTAGCAACGCTTTTGAAAAGATCGTTCTGAACTTCCTTGAGAAGGGTGTGATGCGCGGCGGATAGGAATGGCAAGACACAACGGTATATAACTACCACGGACCGGAACAGAAAGAGATCCTCCGCCGTGGCAAGATGTCCAATGTAAGGGTGCAGGGTTTCGAGCTGATCGGGCCGGAAAAGTTTGGCGTTGGCCTTTGAAAAAACAGTGATGGTTTGCAATAGAGCTTGCTGGAACTCCTTGCCCGAAGCGTCGTTGCCCTCAACTAGCTTCTCGAACATCGTGGATACCAGCGCCTTGCAAACTTTGAAGTTCAGAGAAGCGGACTTGGATTTATCGGATAGGATCTTCTTGAGGCAATCCCCGAGGGTCTCAAGAGCTGTTTCGCTCCGTTGCACCAACTTGACAATCAGCGTAACTCGTTCGCCGAGGCCAACCTGCAATTTCGGGCCATCCTGTGCGGAGTCGACCACCTCGTAGAATGGCGCCAGCCAAATTTCTTCGAATGTCTGGCGTGCCAGTGAAGCTACACTTTCCTCGAGATCCCCCGTCCGCTGAAGAAAGCTGTCGAGTATCGCTAGTTTGAGCTCAGTGCGAGAGGTCTTGAGATAGATGTCTTTGAGTAAGCCTATACAGCGCTTTCTCACACCCGCAGTGGCGTCGGCAGCGCAGGTCAGAATACTGCGGCACCCGTCTTCTTCCAGCTTTGGCTTCAGAGTAATGCATTTGGCGATCAAAGAAAGTGCGGAATCGCGCACCATGGGAGATGCATCGGTTGCGCACCGCAGGATCACACGCATTACAGAGGCATCTCTGTCCAGAAGACTCGGGTCTTTCTCGAGCATGTAGATTACACTCTTCAGACTGCGGCTGCGGACCTTGGCTTGATCACTGGTGATTGAGTTGAGGAGAACCTTCAGGATCGTGTCAAAAGCTTTGCAGAAGCTCGAGTTCAAAACCGTTAGAATGTAGGCAAATTTTCCATGTGCGGAAGGTATGCCGTCAAAATGTTTGTGAGTCTCCAACCACAGCGGGTCCGACAACAGTCTCGCAAAAAGGTCGACCAGGTCCTCAGTCTCATCATCGTAGGTAACTTCATCCTTGTCCTCGGGGTTGTAGTAAACGGAGCAGAAGGTCTTCGCCCATTGCGCAAGAAAATAGCCCCGAGCGCTGGTGAGCTGCCAGGTATCGGAGTTGCGATCTTGTATGAAGTACTCCAACGTCATTCGGTAAGGTCCCTCGGCGACCACGAGATCCTGAGGATGCAAAGCACGATTCGAATAATCGTCGAACAGTTGTCGTAGATAATCGGTGAGATCACTGTCGGACTCCTCCATCCCTGGAAGCAGATGTTGGGCGGTCACAATGAGATCGGATATTGCGGAGCCCATCCATCCTAGCAATTCCAGAGCCATGCTTTTTGCGGTAGCGGGACTCTTATCTAGGTCGGCTATACCAACCATGTGGGAGGCCATGATGCGAAGAAGCAATTCAGCCGCTGGCCAATCGGTCGAACCCAGCACCCCAATTAGGTCTTCCGTAAAAAGATCGAGGATATTGCGGTAGGGCTGGTCGCCGGTCTTGGTAGATGTCATTGCCCGCTGCACAATGAATTTGACGATATACTGGGCGCTGCGAACTGCATTATCGTAAAGGCGATTGACCTTGGTCGCGAGTTGTTCTAGTGAGATTTCAGAGTCGTCGTCCATTCCATTTTCGTTCCCAAGAGGCTCGTCATCGTCTTCTTCAGCATCATCACCAGACGCAGGTAGCTTTCGCTTTGTTGTCGCGTTTCTAGAAGATGGAACCTCCAACGCAGTCGTCTGCACAAGTTGCATCACTAACGCCGTGAGTAGCTGGATGCTCTTTCCGTCAGAGAGTTTGAACTGCCTGGCGCTTTGTCGCGTGGATGGAAGTTTCTCTAATGACACTAGAATTTCATCAAGGATAAAAGGTCGTTGATCGGGATATTTGGAAAAGATCTTTGCAAGGACATCCATTGCACCACGCCGGACAGACTCGTACTTTTGGAATCCTACCGCGGAGTCTTTCTCCGTGTGTGCATTCTCCACGAAGATCAGTTTGGCGGCAAAGAATTCCGTTGCCGTTACTGTACCCTCGGAGACATCGATGCGAGAGAGGAAATCAGCGAAAAGAGAAAGAACTTTTTTGTCTTGCTGGATCACGGCCCCAATGGCTCGCCTCTGGGCGGAAAAGAATTCGAAGAGCTTCCCATCCTTACCATTGGGGCGCGCTTCCACAGCGGGAATAATACAGTGATCAAAGGACTGGTTAAGTACGTTCGGGATGGCCTCGATCAGATCCTCGGGGCAAAGATCCCGCTCGGTCTGCGAGCCCGACATCGTTTGCAGCAACGTGCCGACAGCAAGAAGGGCATTATGTATATCTTCCAACTTCTTTAACCACTCTTGAGCTTCACCTTCGTTCGAAGGATCGTCTAATCTCAGATCTGGTGACTGCGCAGCAATAATGGGCTTTTCACAAAGTTTCTGGATTCTTTTCAGGTAGTCGGAGGGGATATCTTGAAGCCTTTTGAAGCCAACAACTTTTTTCATAGCCTTCTGAAGGCGACTATGCGCATCCGAAGAGAGGATGGGCCCACTGACCTCGAGCGCATGAGCCGCAGCGAAGACGGGGTTCGATTGATCAGCAGCTACATTCGATGTTCCTGGCTCGAGTTGATCCTCGGCCTCGAATACCTCATGGAGAAGATCTTGCAGCTTTACCAAAGCCGCGTCTGCTTCCTCCTTCTGGTCTTTCAAACGTATCGAGGCGAGACTATCCTCCCCTTCCGCATTGAGCTTTCTTCTCTTTGACGCGCCCCGGTTGTCATGAGATGGGATAGGTTTTACTGGGATAACGACGGATAGATGGCTTGTTTGAGGGCCCTGCTGGTGATAAGACGCGGGCGTTGACTTGTTTGCCGCATGTGCTTTCTGGTTCCAGGAATTCGGCGTCTGAGGAAGCTTTCCGGTTTCCGCCTGGGGTACAGTGGGATCTGCCATTGGTGAGTGGAGGTTCGATGTATCAAGTGACGCCAACGGCCATCCTTACATCGAAATGCTATATCCGTAGAATCCAGCATCATCTTTGCAAATGAGCCAAGATTATCGCGGCCGGAAGCCTGCTCAGGACCGGACGTCGGATGGTGGGAACTGCCGATGCCTGCAGGGAGCTTAAACTTACTGAAAGTCCGAGCAAGTGAGTATGGTGTCGTCATTCTGAGGCATCCGGAAAGCTTACAATTCAGTCAAGTGGTCCCCGTCCAACAACTGCTGCAGGTATTCGCGCGACGTCTCCAACCGATCATCACGTCCAGATTCGATCTCGCCGTTGAGGTCATTCAAGGCCGTACGACCGGATTGAAGAATATGATTGATGGAGGTTGTGTTCGGAGGGCGACCAACGTCCGGGCGTATGATACAGTCTAAGGGGAAAGCCCACGGGGGTTATGTCAGTTAAGCTTCACATAACACTCAGAGGAGGGACCGTCGATCCCAAGTATGTAGTCGCACCTAAGCCGAAGACGGGAGAGCTAGACATGGGAGAGTACTGCAAAGCCTCCTCTACAAACAACGGGCGATCCCGACGCGGCGGAAGGCCAGCGACATGGTGAGGCTGCGCCTGAGGACGGCCATTGATGACGACCTGCACGGCCGGATGCCGGGTTGGGTCCATGGTCTGGTCTGGCGGAAGGAAGATCCCCTTAAGGGAGGAGTAGGATGGAAGTGAGACGAGTAGGAGTGAACTGGGAGAGAAAGAGACATGCTCTGCCCCAAGACATGGCTATCAGGCAAGAGAGCGGAATCCCATACCCAACAAACGACAGGCCCAATGCTTTTTTGCACGGCGGAGGTTTCCAGATGTAATTATTCATGCCAGGCACGCTCGCTCTTGCCGCTGCCGCGTTGCTGACCGCCCGGCATTATGGAGGGCCCGTGCGTTTCTTTCCGGCAGGAAAAATTAAGTCTCCATCTACTTTGATATCTCATCTTCATCTATATCGATTTGCCGCCAATTGCCTGGTCTTGCGTCTTATCCTTTTCCTTTTCCTTTAGCCACTCGCCTCGTGAATTGTTCCTCTCCTCCCACCATGTCCGCCATCGGCTCCCTCATCTTCTGCAACGACTGCGGAAACCTGCTCGACGAGTCGTCCGGCGATCCCACCAAGATCGTGGTCTGTAGCGTCTGCGGAACTCGCAACAAAGGTGCGCCCCGCTGGGAGAATGACTTGTCTCCATTTGTCTCTGCCGAATTGTACTGATGCCGATCCCTGTCCAGATATCCTCCCCAAAACCATCGTCTCCGAGTCCAAACCCAGCGCATTCCCGTCCGCCCTGCGCGCGAAAAGATCTGCGGTCCAGACTCTGACGGCCGAGGACAAGAGAACGGAGGCGCTGACGCAGCATACCTGCGCCAAGTGTGGCCGCAAGGAGATGTACTTCACGACGGTGCAATTGCGAAGTGCAGACGAAGGAAGTACGGTCTTCCTGCGCTGCGTCTGCGGTTACAAGTATGGCTTCATTGGTTGCATTCTGGTTCTAGACCTGTTCCGTACTAACCTGTCGATTATAGGGAGACCCAGAACAACTAAACGGAAACCACACACACAAAAAAAAAAGAAACGACTCCATTTTCTTCTTTTCCGTTTTTTTGCAAAGCATATAACTTTACGACTGTACATCTATGAAAGCAAGCATTTTTCATTAAATCACTCCGGCACTGTAATTCCCCTCCATCCTTTCTTTCGCGGAGACAGAAACCCATCATGCAGCCGGGACGGCAGCCGGGGCCGAGTCCGGCACCAGCGCGTACTCGATCTCTCCGTTCTTCTCATATTCCGCCATGTCGAGAGCCACGATGATGCTGTCCCGCACCACCTGCTCAGGATCGTTCACGAACTTCTTCAAGGTCTCCTCGACACCCTCGACGTCGCCCAAGCTACCCAGGGCCTCGGCGGCCTCGTGCCGCACCATACCAGCCTCCTGCTGGTCGCTGAGGCAGTCCGTCAGGCTAGGCACGGAGGCCGGGTGGCACAGCTGGCCGAAAACGAATGCGATCTCGTGGCGGAACAGGGCAGAGGGGTCCTTGAGACCCTTGGCCAGGGCCTGGATGGCATCGACCGCCGTGGGGAGGTCGGGAGGCGATGCCAGATCGCGCAGAGCGAACATGGCGCGGTATCTTTGGAACAAGGGGAGTTTCGTGTCCAGCAATGTCTGCTCCATCTCGGAGATAGAGGGTTGGCTAGATGCCAGAGGAAGCGGGGGAGCCGGGTCGATGGAGGTGAAATCACTGCATTGGGAAGAAGAAAATCATTAGCGAATTGTTATTTTCCAATGACATTCCATAGAATGAATGAATCACGAAAGATTCGCGAGCATCCAGACACAAGAAGGACAAGAGAAATATAGATAGACACTCACCTAGGCTTCAACTTCTCGGCCTGTCTCTCCTCCGAATTCTCCCAGATAATCCGATCGACGGCAATATCGCAAGTCTCGCGAATAATATCCAGCTCATTCTCGTCGTCGCGAAGAGCCTTCAACATCTCCAGACTGTTGTCGTAGCCCAGCGCCCCCAGGGCCTCGGCGGCCTCGTGGCGACACATCGCATCCTCCTGGGTATCCTTGACGACATGCTGCAGGTACTCGACGGAGTCCGGGTTGCGGGTCTGGCCCAGGCAGTAGGCCAGCTCGTGCTTCAGCAGGGCGGACTGCGAGGTAAAGGCGGCAGCGATGGCCTGGATGGCGGGCAGGGTATTCTCGGTCGCAGGTTCCAGGCACGCCAGGTGCTTGAGGGAGAACAGAGCGCGGAATCGGCGAGCAAGAGGTTCGGACTCGTCGGTGATCACTTTGCGAAGGTTCAGGATGGTCGCGTCCACGCCGGCCTCGGGGTTGGGAACCACGGGGGCCATGATTGCTGTTTGGGTTGGAAATGAGAGGAGACGCGATCGTCAGGGTATAGAAAGTAAAATAAAATAAAACCAAAGATCAAAAAGAAAGAAAAATCGCGGGAGTCTAGAGGGGTATCGTATAGTTCGGGAAACTTTTGATTTTTTTTCTGATTTTTTTGGGGGGAAAAGGATCTTATCACCGAAAGATAATAAATTTTAGGTGGGGTGGCGGGGTAGTCGGTCCTTCAGGAAGCCGGCCAGGCCTGCCTGCTTAACCATCGTTCCTCTCATGCAGGTACGTTCGTTCCAAGGTTTCCCTCAGGGCCGTGGTCGAACCAGCATGGACTAGCAATAAATGATCCGAAGCATATGCTCGTCATACAAGGTTTACTTCGCAGAATGGACATCTGCTATCTACTTTAAAAGAGACAAGAGAAACGCTTGAGAGGGATATGTTATACGGGGGCAACACAACAGGACCTAATCCATATATGGCCCCGTTTATAATCTTTGAGAGTGTACAATCGAACATCCTACAGACAGGGAGCACCTGATTTCGGCGTATTTGTCACACCAGAGAGATCAGAAGATTTGAGCAACCCAGGGGATGCCAGTGTAACTAAACCTGATCGTCACCCTTGTCCAGCAGACAGATGTGTGTCAAATAAGAGCCATCGAGTCCGTTTAAGCAGCAAGGCTAGGCAACAGAGCCTGGGTAAAATTCCACAACTGACCGGCATGATGTGAAAGAAACGCCGCTCCGGTGTACCAAGTGCTTCGGTGTCCTTGCAGCCCCTGAAGCTCCCGATAAAAGCCGTCATCGATGTCTTCGGCAGACACCACGAGTTGGAAAGGAGTGTGACTCTTGTAAACTAAGAATTGTACTTTCTGCTTTCGTTCGTTGGACTTGCCAATCCCCCGGGATAGACGCTCAATGGCTGTAGAAATGTCCGTTTTGACATCGGCTTCTGCGACAGCCTGGGAGGCACCATACCAGACGTAAAAGATCCCATCTACCACCGACGGGTTGATGCTGTATATTGCAGGAAGCCGAGGAATGCGATAAGTGTCATTGCTCGTGCCAATGTTTTGGAATCGGTAGCCAGCAGGAAAACCAGTGTTGGTGACCACGGCGATGTACCAAGCACAGTTGTTGAATTTCTGAAAGAGGCCCTTCTCGCGGTCATCAAGATCGAAAGGTCCCATATTTTCGAGATCTGGCGGGATACTGACAAGTAATTTTGAGGCTAAAATGAGCTTCTTTCCGCTGGGGGTCTCTACAACTAGTCTTACCCCATCTGTTGATCGCTGTGCCGCAGTGACGGTGGAAGAGACAATCGCGTCGGGTCCAAGTTCCTGTAAGGCTTTTTCATAGAGCTCGTAGTTATTGTGATTGGCCGTGGTCAGAGTGCCTTGCGACAACCCTTCGATGTACGGTTCATCCACTGCCTTGAGTATATAGACCGCTGGCTGGCGTAGGATGTCTCCGGATCCCCGTGCGCTGGACCAAACAGCATATGCTATGTCCTGCAAAGAATATTTATTGAGGAATTCCCCGAATGATAGGAGCAGATCCTCTGGAACAGGGACAGGTAGATCCCAGCTGATGGGGAGGTACGGATATTTCTTCAGTTGAGTTTGATATGCGTCGAAGTCGTAACTGGGCGCAAACTTCGGAAATAACTCGCCGGATTCGAAATCAGCGTATATGACGGACGCATTGAGCGAGAATCTGGTCAGGGGGACGTGAAAACGGGCGAAAAAATCCCGGACAACGGAGATATTAGAGAAGGATTGCACCCCGTAGTCGATCTTGGTGTTCGTCTGGACATCGGTATAAATGCTGGTGTGGCCTCCCAAGACTGACTCTCGTTCCACCACAACCACCTTCTGGCCCATGTCGAGGAGATTAATCGCTGCGTACGTCCCAGTAGAGCCACCACCGACAATCGCAATGTCCTTTGTAATCACGTCGCCCCAGTCATAACTATGGGGGTCAAACTGGTCGGCCAGAGCGATGGTCAGGCCAAAGCTTAGAAGAAACATCGTATGAAATTTCATGATGTGTTCAGTACTGCCAAAATTGGAAGCTGAGTCTGTTCCCCGAGGGCTTCTTATGCCTTGAGAATTGGCGTTGAATGATCGGTTCGTTGTTGCCCTAATCTGCACAGCTCCTCATTGGCGCAACATCTCAGTATCCTGGCTCAGTTCAGATGCATGGAAATACCTACCCTTCTGATCAGATGAGAAGATGTTTTCAGAAGAGAGGGGAATGTTACCACCTCGATGCTGCGTGACTTCCAGCAACGAAGTTCTGGGATCGTAGCTGCCCTCGGAGAAACTGTTTCGCAGCGGAGCTGTGATCCTATAAGAATACTGTTGCATTTCATAGCAGAATGATGTACCGCACTGGTATTCCAAAGGAACAGTAATAAAATATACTCTCAGTCAGTACCTAGAACATGTTCATGTATTCAAACAAGTCTTAAAGATGCCTCGTATAAACTTTCCAAAACTTGAACGAAGTACTCAGACCCTTGGAGGCCTTGAAGTATCTGTAGATTTAATGCGGGGCATGCAGATTGAATGTAGAGGTATTAGTTGAAACCGAGTAAAAAGTCTGAAATCATAGGTTCTCATACTGCCAGAATTACCGTCTACCTTTGATATTTTCACACACATATCAACACCTTCTTCCACTACGTGCTTTGATGCCAGACCGATGAAATAGCCTGATGTAATGGGGTTTTGTTCCTGGAACATGTAAGAGAAAATGGTCATTCAACATTTGAAACAAACGATTCCGAAGGAGCAAAAGCCAGAGCGATTATGTACATAATACATTTTATTGGAGGAGAACTGCTTATTTCGTCTTGATGTGCTTGAGCTTCTTCGGCTCGTGGCTGAAGTTGTTGGCGTAGGCCTTGGGGACAAATCGGCGCTGGTTCGGCTCCTGGACGAAGTATTCATATCCCTGCTTCTGTGCGAACATGATGGCATCCTCCTTCGACTTGAACTTCAAGTTGGTGCCCTGCATACAATCGGCAGACGACTGCCATCCCATGAGAGGGTTCTCCCAGCGGTGTCCCTTTTGTAAGATATCCCAGTCCATTCTCCAGTGGTGGGAGTGCCAGTTTCCAGACTGCGTCGCGGGCTTAGTGGGACGGTAGATCCTGAGAGAACACAATTAGTCTCGAGATAACACTCGCATACTGGCACTACCTACCGAACAGTACGAGCCTGCAGGTCGGTGGGAGCACCGGACAGGACGGCGGCAGGGACGGTCTCGCCAGGCTCGCTGCCATCCATCACACGCTTGGGAACGGGAGAGAACAGCCTGCGTTCACGTCAGTCTTGGCTTTTTCAGGGCGATCGCGTAACACTCTTGAAAGGGGTTTGCATACGAGGTGCCGTGGTCAATGGTAGCCTCGTAATCGGGCTGATGACGAGCCATTGCCTCGGCAGGCTTCTCCTGCTGGATCAGCGAGCTGTCCTTGGGAGGGACAGCCGGGGCGTCAGAAGGGCTGGTTTTCACGGAGGGATCGCCGCGACCGGTGTTGGTGGCCACGAAACGGGCGTTCAGAGGGGCGGCGAGCCTGCCTGCCCGGAAGCAGGCGGCGGTTCCTGCTCTCATGAGCGACATTATGGCGATTGGATCCGTCGGGGGGAGTGCACAGAGCAGGGTGATGCGGAAGTGCAATTGAAAGGTGAGGTATGCGGCGAGTGCCGGTCGTCAAGGCAAAACCCAAAGCGGCTAGCGCGAGAGTGAGGCTCGCAGCCGCTAGGAACCGCTCATCCGACAACCCGCTTTCTCAACTTCCCTCTCCTCCGTCATTCTCCCTCTACCAGGTTCACTTGCTTCTACCCAGGTAAGGGCCATTGTATTCTGTGCGGACGGTGATGCCGGATGCACGATTGACGAACACTCGGATTTTCTAACGCGCCCTAGTCCACACAAGATGAGCTACATCACCCGCCGAGGTCTCTCGACCCTGATCCCTCCCAAGGTAAGGACGACCGCAGAACCGCCAAAGCAAAGAAAATTCCTCGATTGTATCTAACATGGTGCTAATTTGTAACTAGATCGCTTCCCCCAACGTGAGATCCCTTCCAGAACCCCTACTGCATTGAAGACCCGACCGAGCTCCCCGTCCCTTCGTTCGGAACAATCTTTTCTTCGTCGCGATTCAGGACTCCAGCTCCACCGCATCGGTGATTCCCTCTTCGTGCTCCGTCAGAACTAACGTTTGAAATAAAGGCGATCGGGGCTGCCAAGGATGCTGCTCGTATGGACCGCGTGGTGAACTTCTACGCCAAACTTCCCCGTGGCTCCGCCCCTGAGGTCAAGCCTACCGGTCTCATCGGCCGTTACCAGGCTCGCTACTTCGGCAAGAACCCTTCTGCCGCTCGTACGTGACCTCCTGCCCCGATCTGAGACCAGCTGCCCGTTACTGACCTGCGATTCTTTGCCAAACAGCCCTCGCTCACGCTATCGGTGGCATTCTCATTCTGGGATACAGCATGGAGTACTACTTCCACCTCCGTACGTTTTCCCCTTGGTTTCCAGGCACATTGAGAAACGAAGCGAACATGGCATGGCTAACGGGATTGCAGGTCACCACAAGAACCACCCTCACTAAACTTTCTGCGGACTGTTGACGCGCGCGGAGGAATTTATGTATATACCACCGACGCTAACTTGAGGACAATGTAGAAGACTATTTCCGAGACTAGTGATTCAGGAATCTACGTTTATAACCGCCTAGGGAATGGGGTATTTATTATAAGTAATGACTAGAAAAGCATGGTAGAGGGCAATGCCGCAGTCGTGGTTCCGTCATGGGACCAGAAGACCAGAAGGCCAGAAAACCACATAGACCACATAGACCAGAGCCAGCCGAGATCCCATTTCTTCAGACATTTGACCTGATAAAACCCTCCCTTCTCGCATCGAACATCGGTGATACGGTCTACCTGTAGCATTTGCAAAGTCCAGCCACAGAGTTTGGGCGGCCGCGCTAACCGAAAACAGCGCCGGCTTAGTCTCAACCCTCCACCCATCCAATCCGTTCGTTCATGACCGCAGCAGCCATCACCCGATCATCAACTTGAGAGAAGATCTCCCACTCCTATCGTCCACCCTCCCTTTTGGGACTCCCTAGGCCTCCGCGTCTATTTCTCTCCTGGACACTCTTTTCCCGTCCACTCCTATCCCATCCCCCCCGCTTCTACGTTCCTGAGCTTTCGTCTCGGCTCTCTTCGCTGTCACCTCGCTCGCTCACTCGCTCACTCGCTCTTACTTGTTGCCCCCATCCTCCGCCGCCCTCTGGGTTGTTTGGAGCTATTGTCGGCTCAAGACAGTTGAGCTAGCTGTTCAACCGTGGCGTTACTCGATACCTGACAAGAGGTACTTCTCAGATCACTCCATGTCTTATCCATGCGTTTAGGATTACAGCCGCCTCTTGTTTGCCGTACCTCCCACTTCAGAACGTTGGTCTAACAGATGTCGCAACCGCGTGATCTTCCAGACTCGAGAATTGTTATGGCAGAGCAGAGCAGCCACGATGTGGTAAATCAAACCCTGTCGGGCGGCGACCCTTCGCCTTCCGACGTTCCTGCGAGCACCAACGACAAGAAACCTGCCGGAGGGGACGTGGGGGAGATAAATCATACCGCTACAACAACACAATCCGAATCTACGACGAATCCTGCACGAGTTGAACGAATGGAGGGGCCCGAATCATTAGCGCACAAGAACGAAGCTGGGCCGGGAACTGAACGGCCGTCGACCGTGAGTCTTGGCGACGTGGAAAATAACTGGAGCAGCTACTGAATTACTGTTGTTAGGATCTCTCGCGGCAAGGGCCCGGGCCCGTGGCCTCAAGAGCCCTGGAAATGAACGGAATGGCTTCTGCATCGGACGGTGGGGAGGACACGGCTTCGCAGGGTGGCTCGGAATCGGACGCCAGTCGAACGGACTCCAAACTGAATTCGCGTGCCTCGTCGACAAAACGAACCACTTCGTTCAAGCCAGTCAGCTTTGCTAAATTTGCGGTCCCGAAGGCTCCAGGCACGCCTCCCGCGGCGAAGGCGCCCGAGAAAGGTATTTACCGATCGGTCGCAAGACAGCAAGAAAAGACGTGACTCTAACAGATGGTAGCTCCGTTGTCTTCGGGTACCCCGTTGGGCCTGCCGCCGCAAAACTTACGTCCACGATTAGTCGCCAAGTCGACCGGTTTACGCGATTCATTATCCAAGGGGGGACCAAATGCGGCCAAACCGGGTGGAGGTGGTCCTGATCCCAGCCAAGTATGGAATCGGAACCAACGTAAGAACGCTACCAACCATGCTCAGCTCTGAAGTGTCCGCTAACTCATTGGTGCTTGCTACAGCGGTCCAGCAAACACCCCCCAAACACCTAACCGACGAGGAACTGAAGCAGCAATATGGAATCCATATGACTTCTCGTATTCAGGAAGATGGCGGCGGAACGGAATCGAAATGGGCCGATATTGATGACGATGAAGATGACTGGGCCCCGGAGACGATAGAATGGACCGACGGGACAAAAACCAACCTGACTCAACCGGAACCTGCGCCGCCAACTGCTCAGGATAACAATACCCGGGTACCTGCCGAGCCAAAAGAAGAGCCTTTACCTCCCCAGCAAATATCCACTGCTAGGGAGGCTCCTAGGTTCATGCCCAAGCCAACCACCTCGATTGGACCCAACCCAACCGTCCTTAGACTTGGAGCTAATGCGGAACGACAAGCAAAGAACGCAAATATCTTGTCGCGAGGTCCGAATGAGAAGTCTCCGCTAATGTCCTCCAGTCCGGCTCCTCCTCCGGCCAAGTCGCCATGGGCTCCGTTGCCCCCCGTCGAGAAGATATCGCCCGTTATGCCGCCAGTTCAGCTGCAGCCACCGATGCGGGCCCCTCCCAGAGAACCACCTCATCAGCAAGACGCTGGCGCCGGGATCGCCCATCCAAAGGAGATTGCGGCAGACGATTTCAATCGATCGTTGAGAGAAACGCAATATGGTACTCGTGAACTCTACAATTCAAGATCAGGCCGCTACGAGCCTGTGCCCGATACCAGAAAAGGGCCCTGGCGGGCTGAACAAGGCATGCGTCCTCCATCTCTGCTGCAAAGACCCCTTCCAGGCGAGCCTGTGGGCCCCGCGGAGCCTTCGCCGGCCTTCCAAACCCACCGATCAGGTGGCCAAGATGGTACTCACTGGACGCGGCGTCGAACGTCATCCAACGTCAGTGGAGGAAGCGGCAGTTTTGGGCGCCGGATGTCCATAGGCAGGCCCGACGCCGCGCAAAGATCCTTTGATACTCGAAGAGGGTCCCAAGTAAATGGAATGATGGAACAACCGGTTTTCAGCAGAGACCCGGGACCTGCAAATCAACCTTTGCGAGAAACTTCGCCCACTCGGCATGGTCCTGGAATGCCCTGGTCTCCCCGTGGCCAGCCAGCTGCCCTACATGACAAAGCCCCAGTTACACATGGCCACTCCATTCAGCCGCCTCCCGAGCCTCAAGCTGGTGAACAAGCGGTACCGCCACCCGAAGGATCTCAAGGGCCCCAAGGACCCCAGGAAGACCCGGTTCTCATGCAGCAGCGTATTATGAAGGAGAAGAGAATGGAGGCCCGGCAGCGACGATTAGAGCAGGAGGAGAAGGAAGAGGCTGCAAAACGCGAACGAATCCGACAGAAACTTGAGGCCCTCGGTCCGCCCCCTGATAAAGTCAAGCAACCTCGCCGGGAGTCCTTGGAGAGCAATAAAGCAGAGTCCCATGTCCCATCGAATACTGCGCAAGCCTCGCATTCACCCCCCAAGCCTCCCGTGCCTGAACCGACGGGCGAGCCGAAACAATATGGAATGATGAAGGTTCATCACCCGGACACTGTCAAGAAGCTCATCGAGAAGGAACGTGCCGCCGAGAAAGCCACGCCAATGGCTACTGCTCGACGCGCGCCTTCTCCTGCCCGCGAGCCCAAACCGGACGCTAACATTGCCAATGGCTTCCAGCCATCTGGTGAGCCGCAGGTCCAGACACCGGAGAAGTTCCCCGAGGCCAAACTCGACGAGCAAAACACGCAGTGGCGCGGAGGTCTCAATGTTTCCAGTCCCTATTCACCGTGGACTTCGAGCACGAAGCTTGTCGGACCCCCGCCTATTACGAATCCGTGGAAACCCCTCAGTAATGATAAGACTTTGGGTAATGGGATTTTCGATCAAGGCCTTGGGGGCTTCCCGGCACGGGACATCTCTCTACGTGGACATCTCGGCTTGGATCAGTCGTCTGTTACGCCGGCGTCGCAACCGTTCTCAGCACCTTCGCGCTCACCGCAAGAAAGTGCGTCCATCTCCCCCTTGCCATCTCCCGAAGTCCGACATGCGTCCTATGAGCCTATCAATCCCATTGCGCGCCCGGGACCCATTGGGCCTCCGAGCTTGCAGCATACTCATTGGCAACATGACAACCGCGTGTCCGGCACGGCAGCATGGCATAACTTCCATGCCGTTGCTGCTAAGCGCGAGGCCGAAGAAAATGAGAAGCTTCGCAGTGAGATGAATACCATTCGCGAGGGACCATCTTCCCTGCCGTTGACTCTCAATGAGACCTGGAGGCAGGTCCGGTCGGGAGACCAGCCTGGACAGAGACAGATCGTCGGGGTTTCACGGTCAACAGATAGCAACCCGCCGGTGCCAAACCCTCTTCCCGGGCTGGATCACCCTGTTGGTCCTCTGCCGTTCGTCGAGAGCCCTGCGCGTCCGCTTGGCACCGTCCCAGTCCGCAGCTCGCGATTCTTCCCCCAGGCCACGGAGCAACATAAGAAGCCGGCGTTTGAGGAGGGCGACGACATGCGAAGTCCATCACCGCCCCCTCCAGAAGACATGTCGAATCATCCTGTGTACACCGGAGACACCAACCGGCCCCTTGTCCACCTCCCTGCGCCGAAGCCGATTGTGAAACTGCCTCCCAAGGTCGTCGCTCCCCCGCCTCCTCCACCTACATTTGCCTCGATGGTCGCCGCGCCGCCACGCACTGCGCCGGTGTCCACGGCAACATCTTGGCAGGAGAAGATCAACTGCTTGTTCGGCAAGAAGACGGTGTCCGAGAAGAAGAACGCATTGGCCGTTACATCAGCCTCCAAAGAGCCGCTTGATGTCCCACTCCACATTGCTTCGGTTTCTGTCTCACTGCCTCAAAAAGATGACCTCCCAACCGGCGACGGCGAAATTACCGCCAGGCAAGTTGAAGAAGCAGAGGAGATGTTCGAAGATCGCGAAGTCGGATCTTTACCAGTTGTTCGAGTGCCGACCATGGCACCTGCGGCCGCTTGGCAAGCGGCGCCGGCCCCTTCGCAGTCCCGATTGCGGTCGAAGAGTCTGAAGCCCATGCAGGTTCACAGTATTGAACCCTTTTCATTCGGATTCTACGACAAGGATACAACCGGAGGGTTCCGGGTTTCGATTCGTCTGCCGGGAGCGGTCATGGCGAAAACAATGCTCCTCCCCAAGAAAGCAGGCAGTCATAGCTCGCTCCGATCACGCGGCTCTTCGAGCTATAAACCTCGCAAGACCACGAAGCCTCGCGAAGGAACTGGTAGTTCAAATACCAAAAAGTCCACGCAATCCCAGCACACGAATGGCAACAGTTCTCCGCGACATCAGTCCCGAAACGCATCCTGGGGCCCACGAACTTTCAGTGGGTCTCGCTAGGATTCTTCTCATGCGGAGCATGTGTCCGTTCTTTTTTGAATTGGTGTTTCATTTCACCGGGTTTCCAATATTCGTTGAGCGTTCATTTCGGTCTTGATGAGCTTACGCCTGTGGGGGAAATTTCGAAAGGGTCTGGTTTTGAATTCCTAGTGCTCCTTATTAATGTCCTCTTTCTTTCCTTTCCTTTCTTTTTTCCTTCATTACTTTTCTTCCTTTTCCGTATATTATTCCCTCCTGCTTCATCTACTTTGTTACTACTCGCTTTCTGAAAGTGCACTTTACCTTCTCCCTCACAAACCAAAGTGAGATTCTAACAAACTGATATGCGAGCTTGAACGGCCCCATACTCCACGTGGATGGCCCGTGTGGACACTCGTCCTCTCTTCCTTGTTTTCTTAACATCTCCAAACTGGCGCATTTTCTCCCTTCCTCTTCAGATGACCCCTTGAATGGAGCCGAGTCGACTGACTGGCTCTATCTATCTCGGGCCCGTGCGCTCCCACCCTTGCATTCCTTTCCTCTTCATCGCCATCATTCATCTCTCAACGCCTCTTTACCTCCTGTTCCTCTCGTTCTCCGCAGTACTGCATTATATCCTTTTTAAATGAACGGGGAATCGGACGGGTAGTCCTCGGTGGCTACCTAGATTCCATCCGTCAAAGTATGTACAAACCGGAGGCGTGTTTTAGAAGGAACGGAAATGGAGGGAGTAAACCAGGCGTGTTGAAACCGAGTTGAGTGAGCAAGTGGGCTTTTGACTTGGAAGAAGAGGGTGAGTGAAGTGTCACCATGCCATGTACCTAGAACCTACCTCTCCGTGCAAGATGTGCATTCAATTTCTTTCATTGCCTTTTTTTCCATTACGATCTCTCTGTATATCTTGTCTTTTGGGCTTGTAGTTGTAGGTTGGCGGTTAGCGCGGGTGCTTCTTTCCGTGGTTGCATATGGATGGGGTAGGATTTGGTTTCAGATACCTACTTCTTTCTACTAATCACGAGAGGAATTGAGCTGGGACAGTGCTACCGTCTGCTGCGCATCGATAATACTGACTGTATTATTGAGAAAATGTTTATCGGTCTCTTCGTACTCTCTTGCTAATCACACAAAAGACCTATCCATCCATTATTTATGCGTGCATGTTCCTGAACACCAGCTCCAAACTCAGCCCCAGCACCGAATACCTGGGTAGAAAACAGAAAGAAAACAAGATCAATCAAAAGATCCACCAACAAAATCCATGACTCCAATTATCTGGGTATCAAAACGCCATACTTCCCCGCTATTTTAAGTAACTCATCTAACCCTAGACTCAACTTGACTCGTCCCGAACTCGTGCATTTGATTACTTCAAATAACGGCATCTTTCACCAGTTCCAGGTTCGGCTGGACGCTGTGAACACAGGCGGCTTCCATTGCAGACGGGTTGGGTCGATCTTGCGAGAGCCTTTAACTTTCTCCTTTTCGAGGCGCTTCTTGTGCTCTTCGACGACGTTGTCGGTAAGGACGATGACCCAGTTTGCTTTCTAAGATATAATTAGCATCATTGCTCCTGTTGGGAAAGGATTAAGAAAAAGAATGAGGTAGGGTAAGTGCCGTACGTGATATCGGAGCATGTTGAAAACAACTAGCGTCTCATGGACGTCTTTCTCGGTCATCGAGGTCAAGACTGCGAGTTCGTTTTCACTGATGGACTCACGACCCGGTTCGATGAGTAATTCGACCAACGTTTCACGCCAGTATTGTCGGTATCCCAGCAGACCCAGATCACTGAGGGGCTTCTCGGGCGAGCCAAGCTTGCCTTCGCGTTTGCTAAGTTCGTAGCTGAAGGCGATGAGGAGTCGACCAAACCCGCGACGCTGGTATTGAGGGAGAGTCAGGATACAGGCGAGGTTGTAGCCTTCGGCGGAATCCTTTTCCTTGGAGAAGTATCCCACGAGATGGCAGCCGGTTTCGTCTCGGGTGCACATGCAGTAGAAAAGGAACGGATCGACATCGTAGTAGAGCGTCTTGTGGTCGAGGAAGAGCTTACTCAGGAGACACAGGTTACGGCACCAGGTTCGTTGACGTCGACCGTCTACTTCGAAGAAAGAGATGTTGTCATCGCGGTAGATCTCGTTCCCGGGAGGATGCACAAGCGTGCATTTGGCTCGATGACGCTCAAACGCACGTTTGTTGTCGAAGTAACTGAGGCAGAACTCATCAATGTAGATCATATCCACGTCAGAATACTCGGCGGGGTACGGCGAGAAGTACCAGGGTTCGATATCGAACTTGCCCATCTGCAGGCGATTCAAGTTCCGCACGCGATGGATCTCCGTCGGGTTCTGGGTCATACTGCCGCTTGTCCGCAGTCGTTCAATCTCCTCTTCTCGAGACATCTTGCCCTGCTCCTCTTTCATGTCAGAGAACCCGACATCGATCATGTCGACATCGTCGGAGTCGCCCTTGGGTGTCCCATCTGCCGAGACGGCTTCAGAGCCCAAGATGGACATATTCAAGGGCGTATCCTCGCCCCGATTCTCCTTCCCACCCGCCTTGGACGGGCGTGGCGCCTTACCGACATTGGCATTCTTGCCCGTCAGCAGATCGGGCGTCGCTGATACCTCCCGGCTCCCAGCTCTTGGGCGCTTCTGGGTATTCTTGCTGGGTGCTTTTTGGCCGGGGCCAGTCTTCTTCTTCTCCGGCTTCTCTGGCTGTGGCCACTCAACCTCCTGGGATAGATCCAGCCGTCCGGAGTCGACCCATTCTAGGATAGTTGTGAGCATCACCGCCATGGTACTTCAATATATCGGCTTGTAGGCGAGAGACACTTACCATCCAGACGCTTATTGAAGTCGACATAGTGAACGCTGCAACACCAGTCAACACCAATTCCAAACGGCCTGAGACAGCAACCGAAAGCCACGTACTAGAAACTCGGGCCATCCTTCCGCTGCCTGATGGACAAGATCTCGGCTTTTCTCAATTCCCCGTCCTGCAGACTAGATATCAGCGCCGGTCTCGGCAGAGTGTATCACGTGATGCGATATCAGTGAAGAAACTGACCTTCTGCACCATGGCCTTCACACCGATCCTACAGGCATAATTAGCACATCCGACCGATAAAACCAGGTCCCTAGAACCCGACAACAAATTCCCGGGCTTTTTCCCGCGACATACCGGATGGTGTTGAGGGTGGCAAAGCCCTTCTCGACGGGGTCCGGGGTCCCCGTGGCCTCCCCATGGGAATCTCTGACACCCATGGTGAATGGCAAGCGATTCTGCAGGGATCTGAGCGATGAAACGGGATGGAAACCGCGGTGGTGGATGGATTTCGCGATGGAGAACCCAAAGGGGGGTTGTTCAGGAGCCGGGCGGAGATGGAAGACGGAATGAATTTGCGCCGGAAAAGGCCGAGACCGCCTTGCTTTTTCTTCCGCGTTGGGCGGCTTCCCGTAGGGGCTCGTCTGCGTCATTCCTTCTTCTACATGAGGCCGATGTCTGATGTTTACTATCCAGCGTAGACTTAACTTTCGGTCCATTTGCAGCATGCATATAGGAAACATACAAAACGAGTAGTCATGGGAGTCGCCCAGGGGCAAAAATTACATTCGAGTACAGAGAGGGTGGGATAAAATGACTACTCAAAACCACGGCGCTCAGTGCCATCCATTGACCATCCCCCCAGTCCCTGCCACTAGGTCGTCCAGTTCGTCCTTGCGTGTGCGGTAAACCTCCTGGGCTTCGCGCTCGCGTCTCATGGTGAAGGTCACCTCGTCTCGCAACCGCTCCAACCGGTGTGAGAGAGCCGATTCCTCGGAAATCTGCAGGTTGCGGAAAGCATCCAACTCATCCTTGGATTTCTCCAAGGCGGAGCTGGCTTCGAGGATCTTGGTGCGAAGCATCTTGGCTCGGTTTTGATATCCACCATAGTGCAGCGCAAGCTTCTTCTCTAGCTTGTTCCCACGCTCGGCGGTGGCAAAGAGGGAGGTCTGCACGCCATCAAATGCGCCGATCATACGCTGCTCTTCTTGGAATTCATCCTCCTCGTCATCGGCATAGTTGGAGAGACCCGGAAGGGTGCTCGAATGCGTGGAAGACCACTGGGTGTTGAATCCTTCCTGCCAGTCCTGTTGCTGGCCAGAAGTAGCAGTTTCCGCGGTGATGGTCGCACGAGCTGCAGCGATCAAGTCGTCGTCGAGTCGCTCCAGCTTTCGAGCCTTGCCTTCCACCTTCGCACCAGGCACCGGGAATTTGCGAGCATCGATTGCAATCAAGAAGGCGGTCTCCTTGGCAATCAAGGCGGCAATGGGGTCAGTTACGTGCGATGCTCGCTCGATCAAGGCATCAATGTCGAGAACACTCGGTCGAGGCAACGATCGCTGATATACTTGCGATTGGCGTTTCAACTCTGCCTGGGCGGCCTTCTCCCGCGCTTCTCTCTCTTTTCGATCCCGTTCGGCGGCATCTTCTTCCACAAACTCGGTTGCCGTCGTAGGCTCTGCCGACTCGGAGGGAAGCTCTTCCAATTCCCACTCGGTTTCCTTGGGCTTGGGAAGGGCTGCAAGCTTGTTGCGAATGCTGTCACGGGCGAGATTCTCCTGGATTTTGAGGTCTCTGGGTGTACTCGAAACCAATTGTCCGCCGTCCACCTCCTTGTTCAGAGCGAAGTGATCCCGGGGTGTTCGCAATGGTGTGGCTCCAGGACCAACACCCGGCGTGGCACCAACGCCTCCTCGCATGGGCGTTGCACCGACACCATTGGCTTGACGGAACGGAGTCGCCATGGGGTTGGGGGTGACGATATCCTGACGGCGAGGGGCAATGCCATCAAACCCGGTCGAGGATCCCCCCTCGTGTAAGGGAGTGTTCTCCCCACCGAGCAACGATGATTGCGTTTCGGTGAGTGCTCTGATGTTGCGGATTTCGTTGGCGATGTGATCTTCCTCTGGCGCCGCGCGGGGTGTTCTGATGGGCGTTCCTCCAACGATAGCTGTGTAGTTGCCGATCAAACCACGAGTAGTTTCCTCATCTCCAGCCATTTTGCTGGCCTTGTCTCCTGCCATACCCATCTTGATTATGTCCTCCATTTCGCTTTCGCTGACCTGGGGGCTAGGGAGAACGAGAGCTCGCCGTTTACTGCTTTGCTCCGCCTCACGAATCTTTTGCATTTGGCCAGCGCGAGCGGCAGCGGCCGACGCAGCCGATGTGCCATTTTTGTCATTTTTCCGTTTCTTTCGTTCGGCCTCATCATCTTGATCGCCTTTCCGCTTATTGGCAAGTTGTTGCTTTCGGGGATCAAACATCTCGCGCTGCCTCTCGTTTCGGGACTGCTCCTCCATCGTGTCGTAGAATCCCGGTGCGGCCGGCTTTTCGAATGGGATGTCGGCGTTGTAGTCCATCTCGCCCTTCTTCCGCGTAACGACCTTGATGTTGATACCGGCATTTTTGAGTTCACGGCGCTTCTGAAGGACCGCGAGTCTTCGGGATTCTTCTAGCTGTCGCTCTCTGGCCTTGCGCTTCGCCTTCTTTCCTTGTGTGTTCGCCAGACGAGCACGGGCCTCGCTGAGCATTTCTTTTTCATCTTCGTCGAGATCGATCGTGTCGGGACGAGCGGGTTTCGATTCGGGGTCGGGGTCGAGCTCACCGGGCCTACATAACATCAGTATCGAGAGAAATAATAATCAAGTATGAATACTGTTTGGAACATACCGTAGCCGGCGCACATCGTCCGCACTGGGGGCCGCGGTCTCCTCGCCAGGACCTCCTAGGCCCAATTCATCATTTTCACGAGCTTCAGCTTCATCCAGCAATTTCTGGTAGCGCTCCAGGCACTGAGTTGCCGTGCGGCCGACAATAGGTGCAATCGTGCGCCACTGGGTTGGCATCAATTTGGCCAGATGTAGCAGCTTCTCATCCTCCTCCCTCGACCACTCGACCTTCCGGATGCCGGGGTCCAGCCATTCGATCCAACGCGCCTTGCATTGCTTGGGGGTCTTTCGCGCGAGCAGCGAGGATACTCGCGCCCACTGGTTCAGACCGTACTTGGAGACCTGCAAGACAAACCATCAGTATTCTATTCACCTGGGTCGCGTGTTCTGGCGTTTTTCGTCGGCAATTAGACGGCAGAGTAGAACTTACAGCTGCCCGAAGCACCTCATCCTCGATGTTTGTCCTGACAGAGAGTTAGCAGATGGGTCGCGAAATGGCTTGTTATAGTACTATAATTCTCACCAGACACCTCCTTTGACAACCGGCATGGTTGCTCAGGTTCAGCACGCCGCTTTTGATGGAATCGGTCAAGTTGAAAAATAATGTGCGATGGAGAAGGTCCCAAGATCTCTTGACGGCAATAAATCCAGGGACTCCACTGTCCGCGCTGGTCAAGACTGATAAAGGACCGACGCGGGTGAAAAGCGAGTTGAGTCTGAACTGCTGATAGCCGCGCCGAGTCTTAGCGCGCCAGCCGCTCTAGCGTCGCCCCGCGGGTGATTAGGTCAGCAGGCCCAGATTTTCAGTTATCTATCTTTACTAAAAAAAAAAAAAAAGATAGGGAAAAAAAAAAAAGAGTGGAAGGATCCCTACATTACATCCTCTACTTTTGTTTCTCACAATGTCGTCTACTATTGACGCACCTCGACAATACAGTCAGCCTTCTCGTAAAGGCAAGAAGGCCTGGAGAAAGAATGTGGACGTTACGGAGGTTCAGGAAGGTCTCCGGGCGTTGAAAGAGGAAGAAATCAAAGGGTAATCGCAAACCATCCCTAACACTTACCGATGCATTACTGATACTTTTGTCCCCGATTATAGTGGTGTCCTGGCCGAGAAGCCGTCCGATGAACTGTTCACAATCGACACTGTTGGCTCAGAAGATGTCCGCAAGGCGATCGAGAAGAAACACAAGCCGCTGAAGTCCGAAGAGATTATCGCTCAACGATCTGCGATCCCGGCAGTAGACACTCGGAAGCGCTTGAGCTCGAAGGTCACAGATGGGGTGGTCGAGCCGAAAACCAAAAAGCAGAAGAAGGACTGGGTTAGCCGGAAGGATTGGTTGCGCCTCAAGCAGGTGGCCAAGGACAACAACCCGACCAACAAGGTCGAACCAGGCGCGAATTATGATCCTTGGGCCGACAACGAAGATCCGACTCCGCTGGATGACCCCCAGTTTGATTTCCTGGAAAAACCCAAGCCCAAGGTCGCCCCCGTGACGCTGAAGCATGCCCCGATTTCGCTTGCTGCGAATGGAAAGCCCATTCCCGCTGTCCGCGCCCCCAATGCCGGTACGAGTTACAACCCGACGTTCGAAGAGTGGGATCATTTGCTGCAGACGCAGGGACAGAAGCAGGTGGAGGCCGAGCAGAAGCGCTTGGAAGAGGAGCAGAAGGAGCTGGAGAAACAGCGCAAGATTGAAGAGGCCAAAGATGACGACGGAGAAGTGAAGTCGGATGACGAGAGTGCTTGGGAAGGTTTCGAAAGCGAATATGAAAAGCCGGACTGGCTGAAGAAGAAGCGACCTGAGCGGAAGACGAAGACCGAGAGGAACAAGGCCAAGCGACGCAAGGAAGCCGAGAGAAAGGCGAAGTGGGAGGCCAGACAGAAGCAGAAGGACGAGCAAGTTGCACAGGCCAAGGCCATCGCTCAAAAGCTACAGGAGCAGGGACTTGAGCCTAAACAGGATTCCGATGCCGATTCTGACGAGGAGGGCGATGAGACAGCTTTGCGACGAAGACCTTTAGGAGGAAAGAACATGTATGTCTCCTTGATCCTCCATCTTCTCATACATGTGATATTGACCAAGTTACTAGGGCACCCGAGAAGAATCTGGAGGTTGTCCTGCCAGACGAATTGCAGGACTCTCTGCGTCTTCTAAAACCCGAGGGCAATCTCCTCGACGATCGATTCCGCACGTTGATCGTCCAAGGCAAGCTGGAATCTCGCAAGCCAATTTCGCAGCCCAAGAAGGCGAAGAGAAAGGTGACCGAGAAGTGGGCTTACAAGGACTTCAAGGTCCCGGGGGTGTAGATACGAATTCTTTTCTTCACGTTGTTTTTGTTTCGCTGTATAGACCTCAGTCGTATAATATCCACCTGAATGTGAAAAGTTTTTGTTTGAGCTCCATTGAACAAATCCTTCCAAGTGAGACTTTGCACTAGTACAATCAGCATTAAACCATGATTCTTGGATTTCAAGAACTCTAGGAGAGTACCTATAATGTAGAAGAAGCAAAAACATACTTCGGTCCAGACTTGAAGTGGATCCGCCGTGAACGTCCGAAATTTTTATGCTTTTAGCGCCAAAGCGGAATTGTCGATTCTCCGCATCGTTTTGTCTCTGCTCTTTTCTTTTCTCCATTCAATCTGGCCCACGCCAGAACACGATGCTGTGAATTCCTCGCCCGTGCAATTTGGAATGGACCTCAAAAACCTCTCCAGCAATTGGAAGAAACTCCAGGAGACGCTGAAAAAGGACCCCGTCTCCACCTCCACCAAGCGCAAGACGTCGGACCGCGACGTCCAACATGGTGTGGTGAAGAAACGGAAATCGGAGGTCGTCGACGGAAAAAAGAAACCAGAATCTACTCGCATCTCGAAAAAGAGAAAAAGGATGGGCGATGCACCTGGCGATGGAGGCGAGAATGGAGTCCAAGACAAATCGGCGTCGCGGAGGAATTCTATGGCTGCAGAATCGAAGATCGCAAAGGTCAACGAAGGTCGATCACCAACGTGAGTCTACTTTGTTTTCAAACCTCTAACATGACAATGTTTTGTCGGCTAACCTGACGCAGCGCTGAACTAGGGAAATTCGTCGCAATGGACTGCGAAATGGTGGGAGTCGGACCCAACCCCGACAACGACTCCGCTCTTGCCCGTGTCAGTATTGTCAATTTCAACGGCGATCAGGTCTACGACTCCTACGTACGGCCGAAAGAAATGGTCACGGACTGGCGAACGCATGTCAGCGGCATAACCCCCAAGAACATGGTCGAGGCGCGCTCCCTTGAGCAGGTTCAGAAGGACGTCGCCAACATTCTGGACGGACGAATACTTGTGGGACATGCTTTGAGCAACGACTTCTACGCCTTACTTCTCAGCCACCCCAAGCGGGACGTCAGAGATACCAGCAAGCATCCCCCGTACCGCAAATTGGCCGGAGGCGGTTCTCCCCGTTTGAAGATGCTGGCCTCAGAGTATCTAGGTTTGGACATTCAGAAGGGCGCCCATTCTAGTGTGGAGGACGCGAGAGCGACGATGATGCTGTATCGACGGGATAAGGATGCATTCGAACGCGAGCATCTGAAGAAGTGGCCGGTGCGCGCTGTCGCTGAGAAGACCGAGAAGGAAGACGGCGAAGAGCAGAAGAAGAAGAAGAAGAAGAAGAAGAAGACCCGCAAGAGGTGAAGGATTTGCAGCCATCAATCATGTCATAATATACCCCAGATTCTTCAAAGGTGACGAGTACTTTCCGGCGCTTTTTGAACAGCATATAGACCGTTTGAAATAAAGACTTCAATATCTTTTTACACACAAGAAGAGAGACAGAGCAACCTATGTAGACTCAAATGCAATTCAATATTTAAAAACAAACGAAATAAAAAAAATGAATAGAAAGTCTAGACGGCCAAGATCGTGAAGTAAATCGGGCGAGCCGATCATCGCATTTCCCGATTCCACTTAACGCGATTCGCGCGTCGCGTCTCCAACTCTCCCCGGGCATCACTTGAGTCCTACAACACCGGACCCCGATATCTTTTGCCCAAACCCTCGCATTGACGTTTGCTTCCTCATATACATCCCAATTCTAAAATTCTAAGAAGGATCGATTCATCCCAGAGCCATGTTCGCTCTTCAATCGCAACAGCAATCTTCTGGATCCGAAACCGAAAAGACAACCGACACCTGCACCCCTAATATTCTACCATGTCGAATCCACCACGACGGCCCTGTTAGATCGCTAGACCGCTATTGGGAGCCTGTGTCTGATGACAAAGGTAAATTTTTCCCGGTGGCCCTCCAAGCCATATGCTCACACGACCCAGATAAAAATCTCCAAACGGCTTACTTTCGTGGTCGTAAACTGCGAGGACGACGAGTTGAGATTCCAGAGGGCTACGAAGGTATGAAACTTCCTATCTTAGGACAGAAAATTCTTCCAGGCCGCTGATTTCGAGCAGGAGTTGTGGCCATGCCCACTGAACGTGTTCTACCGGCAACTCGCAAAGGGGTCGAGGACGACGAAGCGGAGCCCGAGGAGCCTGTCAAAATCCTCGAGAAACAAGCCACATTTGGGGAATTCATGGTCTGGGATCATGAAGTTGTGCCTGCGGCCGATGATCCTTATGTCAAGGGAGTCGAGGAGTGGGTGAAGTTGGCTCAAGTGGTAAGCTGATGTGCCAATCGATGCCTGCTTCTCTTGTTTGGTGCTAATACAGGATTAGATGCATTCCACGCCTGCCAGTGAAAAGAAGGCATCCACGTGAACACCCGATTATAATCTCAAGACGAGAATAGCCGATAAATGAACTATATCATCAAGGCTGGAGGCTGTCGCCCTGGGATCTACCGTACAGGACATAGGAGAGCGAATGCTCCGGGGAAGACGCTCTGAATGGCCAAAGACACGGCCACCACTTCTCTGCCACCACCTCCATACAGAGACAGCCAGATGATAATCTTGTCAGCCATCATACGTCAGATCCCAGGGAGAATACCAATAGTGCATGGGTTATCGCTTGTCACGATGACAGGATACCATACAAAGTCCATGGTAGTTGCGTCTGCAGCCCAGCAGATCTCATTCGAGTACCACTACTTTCCAAATATCGCAATGACATAGAAATTTCCTAGTTCACATCGCCTTTTGTAATCCAAGTAACATTCATACTGCGCATGATAAGCTCTGACCGCCCGCGAATTCTGCCCCCCCCCCCGTCCATGATCGTGGAATTTCATGATAACAGCCATACATCCCTGGAGGTACTCCATAGACTTTATACTCCCATCATGTCCGCCACTGACAAGACAGTCGCGCCGGAGGCCCTGATCTCCAAATTCGAGATCACCAGACTCCTCCGACAAGGTCCGTTCCTTTCCCAAACTCAATTCATCCGCAGCTCCAAAATCCCCCCACGCAAGAAGTCTTCTCAAGAAATGCTAGCTAACGATTAAACCTTTCCTCTCATGAAGACCAAAATGGCCGTCGCATCGCCCTCCTCGGTTCCATAGACTCCCAACCGGGGATCCTCATCGCCGAACGCGCCGCCTTCGCCACCGAGTCCGTCGAAGTCCTCAAGGCCTTCCACGCCGCCATCACACAGGTCAACAACCTCGGCGACAACGACATCTACCGATGGTACCTGGCCTCATCGTCGGGATCCGCATCGGGGTCTGAGTCGACTGGGTCCCCCGATCTCAAACTCAACCTCATCTGGCCGTGCACCGAGCAGCACGTCAAGAAATACTCGGACCAGATCCTCCGCATGGTCACCGAGACGCCACAGATCTACCGCGACCACGTGCGGCCGTACATGAGCGCTAAGCGCGAGGAGGGCCGCCTGAACTGGGTGTTTAATATCCTGGAGGGCCGCACGGAGCAGGAGGATGTCATTCTCAGAGACAGCGGCCACGGGCCCGAGGATGGGTTCCTCATGCTGCCGGATCTGAACTGGGATCGGAAGACCATGGGGTCCCTGCATCTGTTGGCGTTGGTGCAGAGGCGCGATATCTGGAGTCTTCGCGACCTGAAGAAGAAGCATATCCCATGGCTGCGGTACCTGAGGCAGCGGGTGCTCGAGGGCACCGTGAAGATGTATCCTGATCTAGACGCGGATCAGTTGAAGCTTTATGTGCACTGTAAGCCTTTTTTTTCTCTTTCTTATATGGTGGTCATGGGGTCGTTACGAGGCTGTCGGATCACTAACGTCTATGTCACCGCGCAGATCAACCTACGTATTACCATTTCCACATCCATATCGTCAACGTCATGCTCGAGGCTGGCGCTACGCAGGCTACCGGGAAGGCGTTCGGATTGGAGAACATCATCTCACAGCTGGAGACGATATCCGGAGACGAAGAGGCCAGCATGGCGGACGTCAGTCTGTCCTATTTCCTGGGAGAAGCGAGTGAGCTCTGGACGAACATCTACGAGCCACTGAAGCGGGGAGACAAGCCCAATTAGGAATGAATATTTTCTTTCCATAGAACAGACTATATTAGATGTCTACGATAATGACAGAAATGAGGCAATGACCGTTGGATGCTTGTTTGTTGACGTAGAAAACTATGAGGAGCACGAGGAACTATAAGGAGCCCGCATTGGGTAATACCGAGGCGGAAGCAAACGAATTTCTTCCCCGCAACCCCTCATCCGCTTCCTTCTCTTCTTCATCTTCTTAATCTTCTCCTCATCTTCTATTCTCTACACTCTACCCTCTCTGTCCCATACTATCATCTCTCCCGTATCTTCTCTACATCCCATCCACAAACATGGCCGATCAAGCCGATGCCCCCAACACAAACAAGGCCTTCGTGCCGCTAGGTATACATCCACACAACACCACCACCACCACCTCACCATCAACTAACCGATCTCACCCAGAAAACAACCCCGAAGTGATGTCGCACCTGATCCACCAGCTCGGCCTCCCGCCCTCCATCGGCTTCTCCGACGTCTTCTCCATCGACGAGCCGGACCTCCTCGCCTTCGTGCCCCGCCCCTCGTACGCCCTCCTCCTCGTCTTCCCCGTCTCGCCCACCTACGAAGCCTCCCGCACCGCCGAAGACACGCCCCTCCCCGAATACACAGGCTCCGGGCCCTCGGAACCCGTGGTCTGGTTCAAGCAGACGATCCGGAACGCCTGCGGGCTCATCGGCCTGCTGCACGCCGTGTCGAACGGCGCCGCGAGGTCCCACGTGCTCCCCGGCTCCGATCTGGAGGGTCTGCTACGCGAGGCTGAGCCGCTGGGTCCCGTGCAACGGGCCGATCTGCTGTACGAGAGCAAGGCGTTGGAGAGCGCGCATGCCGATGCTGCGAAGCTAGGCGATACAGCGGCGCCCGAGGCGGAGGATAATGTCGATCTGCACTTTGTGGCGTTTGTGAAGGGGAGTGATGGCCGGCTGTGGGAGCTTGATGGCCGGCGGAAGGGCCCGTTGGATCGCGGACAGTTGGCCGACGAAGAGGATGCGTTGAGTGAGAAGGCGTTGGAGCTGGGTGTGCGTCGGTTCTTGGGCGTCGAGGCCGCTGGCGGGAACCCGGATTTGCGATTCAGTCTGGTGAGCCTGGGGCCGGTTTTTGAGTAGATTGAGCGTGTCTTGCTGGCTGACTGGCTGAATTGGAATGTTGTCGGTATCTGAATGGTTGTAAATCTGGGTGTTCGGCGTGCTTTGGGTATTCTAGATTGTGGCATTGTTGATATTCACAAATAAGATACGCGCCTCTAGATGATTAGACTCATGTTTTGGGGGCAATTCAAGAAGTAGACTCCTCTGTCCACCATTCCCGCGCATTGAATTTTAAAACCTCGTCTCCGCACGCCCACCATCCAGCCGTTAGATTGCGTGCAAACACCTCCAGAGCAGCATGTGAATGCCCTGTGCAGTCCCCAAAAAACATCCGCTCAAAGACCTCCTTCAGATTCGGCTTCCGGGAATGGACATCCGGCACGGCAGCAATGACCCTTCTGACGGGGTCGCGACGTTGACTCCGAGTGTCATCAGGACCTATCTTCTTCCCTATAACCAGGATCTCGTATGGTTTCCGCCAGAGACTGTCAACCCGTGTCACAGGCTCCCCGGAGGTGGTCGTTTTGATCCAGGCCCATTCCTCACAGATGGAGAGGCCTGCCCCTCGTAGCGCATCGTAGGCTGTCTTCCGCGCTTTTGAGGCATTAGTGATCCAGATTGCTGCTATGGAGCGCGTCACGGCCGGGGAGTTCTCTGCTTTACGATCATTGCCGGCAAAGGGGTCGTACAAGTGCGCTTGGAGAACAGATCGAAGGTAGTACGTCAGGTCATCGCCTTCGGAGTAATGCTGCGTATGGTAATGTCTGCCCCTACGGACAGACCGGTTGTTCCACGGCGGGTCAAAAAGGATCAGGTTGAATTTCCGGTCTCGAGGGATGCCGGGAATAGGGTCGGTTGGACGCGGATGTGCTGATTGTGCTATCGGTAGTCTGCAGAGCACAAACGCAGAGAGCGGAGGCATCGTGAACATATGGTCATGATCATACTCCTGGCGCTGCGAATCGATCTCAGCGGCGGCAGTGGATGTACCCTCGTCTCCAAGGCATCGAACACTTAGATCCGCCGCATCGGACGAAGTATTCTTGACCACGACATCGCGAATTTCATCCACAGACGCAAACGCATTGGTCCCAGAGGACGATAGAATCAAAGGGGGCTGTGAGTCACTATCGAGCCCATCGACATCGAACTCATGAGGTCTATCGACAGGACAGTTATCGATATCCCTGCTCGCTGCACGCCTCCTCTTCCCAAGGTGCGTCTCGGCTGACGGTACATCATCCAAGATCTGCCGCGAAGAGCACCAGTCAAATCCCGCTTCGAGGACTCCCCGTTGGATGACTTCCAGCCCATCTCGCACCAAGGGCTCAATGATCTCCGCGTGGAAGACGCGCTCGGAACGCGGGATCCGTTCTAGAACCCTTGCCCGGGCAGCATCGCTCTTGGGCTCTGTGGATGATGGAAACGGTTCCGCTAGGGGAACCGACGAAAATATCTGTTTTTTCCGTCTTGGTTCAGGGCGTTTTTGGCTATCTGGCAGCGAACTCCGTTGGTTCGGGAAAAGCTCCTGAGCAAGCGAAATTGACGTGGGGATATCGATTAAGAAAGCAGTCTCCTCTGGATTATGATAGATGATTGCAGATCGAGGCATGACATCCATTCATGGTGACCTGCTGGGATGATGCAGACGGAAGCTTTTTTCCTCGGGGCGGAAATCTGAACGGGAAAGTTTTATCACGCGGACGGTAGTCATCGGCGCACATTTTACTCCTGCTAAGAACACTGATAGTAAAGCCAAAGAGACGCTATTTAATTAATTGATTGAGGATTTTGTGTTTTCTATCCAACAGAGCACGGAACCGCGGCACCGGAAATCATGGCAGGAGACAGCAGAAACCATCTCGACTTTATCCAAGGAAATTCGTCACATAGTAATAATCTAACCTCACAGAAGAGAAGGCCTTAAAAAAACACATGGAATACATGGAGCTCGACGTGTAACAATAACAAGAGTCAATAAGAATCTTCCTTGAATCCAACAGTGCCATGGCGGCCATGGTGTTATCCCACTGGAATGCTTATTGACAGAGAAAAGAAAAACACAACACCCCCATGATGCTCTGGCGCAAAAACAAAACGAAAACGAAAACAACACTTTTTTCCTCATTTCATTTCTTCTTTTTCCCTTTCCCAAGACGATCCAGCGTCGTTCTAGGCGTTGATAAAGGGTCATTTCAGACATGTAGTCGTACTACTGTATCCTAGGCAAATCAATAATGAAAAAATAAAAAACTTTATACACAAAGTCGAAGTCAAGTGCGAATTGAAATGTCACACATCCGGCTCACCGCTAGAAGCACAATCGCGTTAGCTTCTTGGATGGACGGCTTCTCCGGTCAAGTAATGAAATTGCTTACCCGTGCACGTCGTCCTCCGGCGGACTGTCCCGGTGCTTGCTGCGCCTGGTAACCGAACTGTGGAGGATACTGATACATCTGGTTCCCTCCCATGACTGGGCTGAACTGCTGGGGGGCAAAGCCCGGCTGGTTGAGCATGGACCCGGGGGCAGCTCCGGACAGGGGAGCGCCTGGGGGTTGAATTCCGCGAAGAGTGTCAACGGAAGGCGATCCGCCGGGGTATCCAAAGCTGGAGTTGCCCAGGCTTGGGTACAGACCACCGGGAGAGACACCGCGAGTTTGCGCGGCCAGATAAGCCTGGTACTGAGCTTGCTGCTGCGGCGCCAAAGGATCCTGGCCGAAGCCAGCGCCAGACAGGCCTCCTATCCCATTGAGGGAGTTAAGGCCATTCACTCCGTTGACGGAGTAAGGATCAAACGGCGAAGCAGTGTGTGGCTGCTCCGAAGCTAAGGGCCTAGTAGGATCCAAGTTCTGCGCAAGCATGCTGGGGGGGAATTGTCCGTTGAACTGCCTATCCATGGCCGGTTGCTGGGGATAGTTGGAGGCTGCCTGTCGGGACGTGGGACGATGCTGCTGCTTCTCCGCATTGGCGCCGTGATCCCGTGAATGGTGGTTGTCTCGGGCACCTCCACGAGAGGATAAACCAACTTCGTCCATCAGACGCTTGTACCCTTGGCTAGGAGTGGCCTTCAATTTGGTGAGCACCTTGGAAACGTTCTTCACGACCTCCGCGCGCATGGACTCGTCGAAAAATGGCGTGGTCAAAACCTTGAAGATCAAAGTTGCTCCAGAGGTCTGGTCACTCAAGATCTTCTCCAGTACCTCGTCACCCGGGCTGAAGAACAAAGCCTTCAGTACAACCTCGCGGGCATCAGGCTCGTTGCGCTGGTTGATGACTTTGAGCACGGTCAAATAAGCAACCTTGTGGGTGCACAGGTGCACCAAGTGAGGCACGAGTCTCGGCGCAAGCACGGTTCGACGTCGCGGGAACGTGCAGGTGTCCAGGAACCAGGTGAGCAACAGGGCTCCATTGGCATTCGTCGCAAGCTGAACACTGTGAAGAGCAATAGCAGCTGCAAGCATGCGCTGCTGATCTTTGGTCGCATGATGACTTTCCAAACAGGCTCTCATGGCACGAGCCCCAAATCTTCCCTGGGAGACTTCCCACATTCGGCTCAACATGGTCTCGAAGATGAAATCGTTGAAGGAATGACCGAAACGCAGGCAGCACTGCAGAACATAATTTCCGTACTGATCAAGGAACAGGGGAACGGTATAGGGACGAAGCGCGTCGACAATCATTTTCTTCTGAGTAGGCGTTTGAGCAACGTCGATGATCTTCTGGGCCGCCCAGGTGCCATTCTTGTGCACACCAATCTCGGCGAGATGAGGCACAATTGGCACAAGCATTTGTTCTTTCGTGGGCTCCGAACAGTATTCGAAAAGCTTCTGAACAACGGTGTTTCCGAGGTAATCTGAAGCGAGTTCCGCGATTTCAGGGAGCATCGCAACCGCGGTCTCCTCAATTTCCTGGGCGGTACACGCCCCGTTATCAATCCTCTTTCGGATATCGCGAAGACGGGGAGCATCAAACATTCTGGTCTGGCTGGGTTCGGGGATCGGAGGGATTTCATCTTCAAAAGCCTGGAAAGCGATTGCCTGTTGAATGCTAGCGTTGATGTTCAATGTCTCTTCATCGTTGGCGCCAAATTCCTTGACGATCTGCGTCATCTCGGGCTGAAGTTCGGGAAGCGGGGGGATATGAGGAACACTAGCTCCGTCATCCGATCTTTCCACTCCGTCAGCGGCAGTCATTTTGGCGCTGGAGTCCGGAGTGGGGGAAGATTGCAGTCCGTTAGCTCCAGGGGTGCCAGTCGCCGAGGTGCCGGGGACTTTGGCGTAGCCAATGCGAACCGGTCCTGCTCCCGGGAAAATCTCGGTGCCGTTGAGCATCGACTTCGCTTGAACGGCGCTCTCGATGCGCTCGAAGTTGACAAAACCACAGTTCTTGTGCGTCAACACCCGGGTGGACTCGATCTTGCCGTACCGGCTGAAGATGGCTGCCAACGAGGTAATAGTAGTCGAGACCGGGATGCTACCAATCCACAGAGCGCGGGTCGGTCCGTCCTGGTTGCTCTCATCCGTCACGTCCATGCCCGGCCGGATTCCCAGGTTGCCAGCGCCGCTTCCTCCAAGCTGCATCATTTGTACAGCTTCCGACAGCTCATCGTACTCTCCACTCTCTGCGATGTTGAGATCCGCAGCACTGAAGCTATTTTCGAGGCGCGAGGGAGTGGCAAGGTAATTGCGAATCGAAGATCGTTGAGGGGGTGCCTCCAAAATGCCGGCAGTCCGGGCCCGGGGTCGGTTGACAGACGCGTGATTTGCGAACGCTTGCACGGCGAGATTGTGCTGGTGGATCTGGGCCTGGGTGGCAGCAAGCTGAGCAGCCGTTGCAGCAGCGGACGGCGTGACGGTGCCCGATGGGATCTGTGAGTAGCGGCTTTCATACTCAAGATCCTCGTCATCAGCATATTTCTCCTTGGCATTCACGGAATAGGACCGAATTCTGTTGTTGCTCTTCATCATGGCCAGCTCCGCCAAGAGCGGGGGCAGAGAGGACGCTTGCTGCTGCTGCTGCTGTTGTTGTTGCTGTTGCTGTTGGAGAAGGACATCCACCGGGGGTCGCACAAGAGTGGCTCGTGCTTGTTGCGGGGTTTCGGCGAGACCCAGATAGTCCAGCGTCTTCACGTCGGTGTCTGCAAGCCCGTCTCTGGAGAAGGAGGACTGGCTAGGAGAGGCAGGTCCTTCAGAGGAGCGGATGCTCGTCAGGGTAGTGGCTCTCTCGCGGCCGGTAGACCAGTTCGTGGAGAACAAAGAGGGCCCGAAGGGACTGGAAGACCCCAAGTAGTTGGTCCTCTGCGGCATGGATCCCGCTCGAAGACGAGATAAAGATCCCGTACCCCGGGGGCCGGCGGTGGCGGTTGCAGTTGCCGCGCCCGTGTCAACTCCGGAAACGCCGGTCGGGCGAAAAGGGCTCGTCGAAGGTGTGGGTCGGGAGGTCTGGGGCATGAAAGGCTGTTGGAGGTTCGCCTCGTTGAGCACACCAACGGGCGAAAATCTGGAGGGAACGGTGCCAGCTCGAGCTCTCCGGCCAGGGCTGCTAATCGAGCCACTGGAGGTAGGGACCAGGTCCGGGAAACCTTCTTGGCTTGGGGATTCAGGAATGTTCTCGCGAAGAGGGGTGGAATGACCGCTGGTGGGAGGGCCCCAGATACTTGGGGAGACGCCTTCTTCGGCTTGGATCTCTCGTGCTCTGCCGGTAGCATATTAGGTTTCATTCAAGAGCAAACAGGGACGGGGATGCGCGACATCAGCCGATGCGACAAAGACACCTACCTCTTTGAGTACAGGCGAGCACCAAGGTCATGAGAAGGGGATCCAGCCCCTAACCTCGCGCTTCCAATCGACCCGGCGGCGCCATTTAGCCCGTTCGAGGACCCAAAAGGCGACTTCACGGCGGATGAGGACAGATCGCTCGGGGAACTGCGCCCCGTCGAAGTGCCCGACATCGACTGCGTGGTCGGGATGTAATTGAGGTTCATGTGTCCCTCCGGTCGTGAAACGGGCAACATTATAAATTATATCCTTTTGCCTTGCGGCAGGCAATCACCAAGTTTCCCAGATACAAATTTCACAGCAGAGAACAAATTCTGAAACAGGTGGATGGGTGGGAGGACAGGATTCCGGTTCGGTCGGAGGTCCAGGGGATCATTCGTTGCCGGGTGAAGAGCTTCGAACGAAGAATCGCCGACGATGCAATAATTGATTTGTGGGGATGGGAGTGGCTCACTCCAATCCGCCAGAGTGCGAAGGGTGTTCGTGGCGGGGTTGACCGGAGGAGCTCGCGAAAGAATACGTAAGCTCGAACGGAAACCCGATCTCGAGGCAATGCGGACAGCTATCTCAATGCCGGAGACGAGTGTGTCGGATTTTGCATTGATGCCCGTCCCAGAAAACAGGAGACGACCGTGATCAGGGTCCAGACGTGATTGCCACGATCCACCGAGATATATTATCTTAATAAAGATTAATCACTAAAGCCAGTGAGACCGCCTCCAACAAAAGAGACCAGAAACAAGTCGATTTGAGCGAAATCGAGCGAGTCGACGAGGGGGGGGGGGGGAGGAAAGAAGCGACGATGAATCGACACGGATCCGAGAAAAGTGGACTCGAGGTGGCTGGAAATTAGCTGCGCGGACTCCGAATTTAACGATACAAATGAAGAGGGAGGGGGAAAAAAAAAAAAAAAAAAAAGGCGAAGACAAGGACGCGATGACGAGAGGATGGAGGGGGGATCCGATGGAGGGGATTCTAAATGGAATTATGTGAAAAGAAGATAAGAATAAGGAAACTGAAGAAGAAAAAAGAACAGATTGTTGAAATCGAGGAGCAAGAGGTGAAGGGGAGAGAGAGGGAGATGAAAGGAAGTGAGCGAAAGGCAGAGCTTCCCTTCAGTCAGCATCGGTCCAGGCACTGCGCCGGTACCAGGGACACCGCCGCCCGCTGCTGGCGCCCGCCTTCTGCCAGGTACAGGGTACCTCCCGGCATTTACCTCCCATTACGGAGTCCGGAGTATAATTAATGATATGACTCTGGTTCACTGGTTCACTGGTTCTTCCGAGGGAAATGGAACTCCTCCGTACGCCTTGGTCAACTGATCCCGGGGGAGTTGTGTCGGGTTAATTAGCCAGTTCATTACGATGCTTATTACACCGGAGCACCTAGGTAGTTCAGTTAATCCAATATTATTCGTTCTGTCTTTTCCGTTTTCCCGTCGTCATCAGCTCGACATTCCGTTGGATGTGATGCACAACATTAAAAAAGCAAATTCAGTCAAATACTACTGTACATACATTGCTACATCCTGTGCTCCATCCGCTATGCTTTCATCCCGAGAACACGATCAAATCGACCTCAACCCGTCATCGCGCTCGAGTCACTCGAATCCCGACGAGGATGACCATGGAAGGACCGCAACCTGAAACGAGAAAGGAGAATGATGGACGCTTTGGAACGTCCTAAACCCCGCATTCCAGCGGTCCGCCATGCGTCGCACTTTGACGTGATCGTGACCCTGTCGCTTGATGGCTTGGGGTGTCTGAACACGGAACCAGCCAGCAAGTAACCTTGATTTGACCGTGGGAAAGAATCCGAGGAAATTACGGAGCAGGTCTGGAATTTCGTCGGCGCCAATCCAAGGCAAGACCCCCTTTCTCGGTGACGACCTCCAGATGCAAGGGATCAGGTGCCTTTCGAACTTTCTTTCATTTGTTTGTACCACCGCCGACTGCCTTGTCAATCCCAAACAGCATTCCCATTTGCTCGAGGTTGGCTTTAACTCAATACATCATTGACACCCCCTGGTTTGGTGGCTGAATTCCTAGGGCTTACTTGATCCGCCTCCATGTCGCACATGCACGTCGATTGACGTATGGGATCCCTTTCTTGGGTTTAGACAGACAGTCCTGCCAAAAAGTAGGTTACGTGGATGAACCAAAGACCTGTTTTGAAACGCCCCCTAGATCAACACTGAGGACCCATGAATCTCAGAGGGGTTTAACTTTCTCTTCCTGAAGAAAGTCAAAAGAAAAAGACAAGAATTATTTTTTTAATTAAAGTTTCTCGCATTAGGGTGAACATGTACATCCATAAATTATGAATAGACCGTCGTCCTCTATACTTTCCAGTCTCAACGCTTTTCTTCCACTTGTTTAAAAAACCCCATCAACTTCTCTGCCACGTCATCGGGCTTCTCTTCCACCACAAAGTGACCGCAGTCTTCGATCTCTCCCCCTTGAACGTTGCTCGCCAGGTTCTGCGCCAGTCGAACCATATTGCCGCCCACGGACTTAGATCCGCCCAGCGCCAACACCGGCACGTCGAGAGGCTTCTTCGCAAATTCAACATTTTGCTTCGCGCTGGTTCCAACGGCGCGATAGTATTCGAATCCGCGACTCATAGCTCCGGGTCGCGCATAACTCTGGATGTAAGATTCCAGTCTCTCCTTGGGGAATGTCTCCGGATGGGCGGTTTTCAAGTTGAAGAACCACGTGAGGAGTTCGCGCTCACGGCCCTGCGTGAGAATCTCCGGTAGCTCTGGCAGCGCGTTGAACGAGAATTGCCAGAGGCGCAAATTCGTCTCGTACGACAGTGGGAACTGTTGAGGAGGTGTAAGGCCGGGGACTGCCGCGTCCAGAATGCTGAGACTCTTGATTCTGGAGGGAAATTGGGCCGCCCATGGGTAAGCGATCCATCCTCCGATATCGTGGCCCACCAGATGATACGGTTCCTTGATCACGTCGTTGAGAGACTCGGCTAGAGTCTTGCTGATTGCCGCGGTATCGTAGCCGTTTGGGGACGGAGCCGAATCTCCCAGTCCTGGCGGGTCCAAGGCAAAGAACTGGTGATGCTTTGAAAGTGGCTCGAAGAGATCACTGTATGCTTCGGCTGTCTGGGGCCAGCCTGCAACCAGCACCACCGGCGGTCCCTGCCCACCAACAATGGCATTGATGCCCTGAAGGAGACGCTTCGATTGCCACCTTGCTGCCATTGGAAGCTTAGTACGGGAGTTTTGTGTCCGTTCACGTGTATCTCAATTTGATTTCAAGGATTGGCGGGGATGTTTTAGAGCTCGAAAGCTGTATGGAAGAAAGTGAATTGGTTTTAAGCTATCCCTCTCTGTCCAGGGGGGGCCCAAAGGTCGGTTATTTATATGCTCCATCGAGGGCGAAAGAGCATCAGGATAAGAGTCATCGCCCACTAATTCTAGACTTCCACATCAGCGTCGATCCATATTACAAACCCAGCCTCGCTTTCGGCCTTAATTAGCAGGGTCGGACCGAGAACGAGGGCCGAAGCCTGCATTAGCTCTTCATTTTGGATGTCAAGCTCTATGCCACGGTACACCATCCAGCGCCTATTGACTCATGTGGCAGGAAGTGACCCACATCTTGGTTAGACGGCACCATATAAGCTTGTTCGTTTATTCAAGACAAGCCGTCTAGCAAGGACCTCCAGGCCGCTCTACTACTACTACTACTACTACTACTACTACTACTACCACTACTACCACTACTACCACCGAGTATGCAGTAGGAGTTATTCCGTTTCTTCCCGAAAAGCACAGTTGTTCGGGCATTTTGTTTCGCAATATGGCCTTCATTTGCGATTGAGGCCGTTCTAGCGCTCAATGACTCACCGAGTTGAGTTTGGGGTCCGAAATGATCTTAAAGAAGTCAAGTGCATGGGACTGTCGCGGCATACTGGGACTACTAGTAAGTTGCTCTCACCGGTCTCTCCGGTTTCGGATATGATAGATAGCAGACACCGTTGGATAGAATAGATGCTTTCGAGCATGGATAATTGGATATGTAAGTGGAGTAGATGCTTCAGGTCTTCATATAGATATTTGGCATTGAATTGGGGTCATCATGGCAAAGACTTAGTTCTAACTTTGTAGTTCTGCTTTGAGGTGTGACTAGCAAAAGATGACTGCCGCAAGACAAGACGCGCCAGCAAACGAATGCCTGAGGCCGCATATCCTTCGGACCACCTGATTCTGCCAAGATTTTCCGCACTGGACCGGTCGATCCTCGCATTTGCTCCTGGCAGTTGCTTCTCCATTCATTTTAGTTCCTACATTGGATTTCTCCTCCCATAATCCCTTCCTAACGCTTGTGTCTATTATTACCTGCAGATTCTGGGGATCCTACAAACGCGTCGACTTTCCACTGCCAGGGCTGCCTGAACACCCCATCCAGCTTAGTCGCGTTCACACATCTTCAAGGCCTCTAATCGGCATTTCATTCGGTTCGATAAGAGTTTCCTAGGACAATTATACCCCTCGAACTCGGTGCGGAACATGGCGGAGGACCATGAAGTACAGTCCGTCGCAGAAGATGCGGTTCCCGTCGAATCCCTCATCGAGGGACGCGCCAAACGCAGCACAGCCGGACGGCTGATGTCCTCCCTACTCGACGCCGAAGCAGACGATGACCTAGCCCTTTTGTTCGAGGAAATCGAGGATGACAATGAATTCGACGCGGCAGCAGACGAAGAAGGGGCGGAGGAGGACGATATGGGGATGGATTCTTCGTCGGACGATGACGACGACCAAGGCCCGAATGCCCGGGCCGACGACTTTGAGGGCGAGAAGCAAATCGAGAAGGAGGAGAAGGCCGAAAAGAAGAAGCGCCGGGCCCAGCAAGATCTCCGATTCAAGATCGCAAGCAAAAAAGTCAAGATCGACCCCACCGCTGTCCCAGCCGCAGCCGCAGCCGCGCCGGCTCCTCGACCGAAAAAGAAATCGGAGCGGATCTCATGGATCCCTACACAAGATGAGGGGCCTACGCGGTCGTCTTCTCGCCGGCAGACTATGCAGAATAAAGAAATCACGCATGCACGTCTCAAGGATAGTGAAGAGAAGCGGGTTCGGCTGATTGCTACTATGGAGGAGGCAGCCAAACGAAAGGCGCAATTCAAGCCAAAACAGATGACTCAGGCAGAACGACTTGCCGAGGCCGAGAGAGTGGAACGGCACAACAGTAAAAGCCTCAATCGGTGGGAAGAAATGGAAAAGAGGAAGGCGGAAGAAAGACAAGCGAAGATCGAAGCGCTTCAAAATCGCCGCCTCGAAGGACCAGTCATGTCCTACTGGAGTGGTGTCGCTACTTGGGTAAATGGTCGCATAACGCGCCTTGGTAAAGTTGATGTCACGCCCAAGCCAGAGAAAGAAGAAAATACTCGCAGGAAGAGCAAGAAGCTGGAAAAAGAGGGTAAAAATGTGACAGAGCAAAAACCTACTGAGGATGCTACTGCTGCAGAATCTGCCACGTCGCAAACCGCCCCTCCCTCAACCTCAGAATCTACTGCAAATCCAGCACCACCTGCTGAAGGGGAACCTGCAAAACAGGATGGAGATACTCCTCAAATCCAACAAACGAACAGTGATTCCTTGAAGGAAGGGGGCGAAAATGCAAGTGCTGATACTGCCGTGAATCCCGCACCTGCAGCTCCATCAGCCGCGGCCAATCAATCCTCTACTCCCGCGGCAGATAATGCACAAGTTCCCGAAACGACCCTGGAAGCACAGGCAGGGGGGGATATTGCAACACAGCAACAAAAAGAAACTGCTCCGGCTGAAACGACGACTGAGACACCACCCACGGAGGAGGTAGAAGTGACCAAGCCAAATGAGAAGGTGGAAGAATCTTCAGGGGAGCCATCCCAAGAAGCGCAAGAGCAATCCCAATCACTGAACGACGTCACATCTAAACCTGATCAGCCAGCGAAACCGGAGCAAGCGCCCGCAGAGGAAAAATCAGACGAGGCATCCAAAGCAGTGGTCGCTGAACCAGCTGCAGCTGCCAACGCTGCTTCTAAGGGCGCTACGGCACAGAAAGCGGTTTCTCCTGCTGCTCCGGATACCACTCCGGCTGCAGCTGCACAACCTGCCCAACAAGCGGGAACACCTGCTCCAGAACAGAAAGAACAGGAATCGCCTACAATACACGTCGATCAGACGGCTACCGCGAATGAGGATATGCCACAACCTGAAATCCCTCAGCCCCCACCAGTCATTGAACAGACGGGACGAAGCCTAACTGTGCTGGAGAACTTTGACGATAAAACTGCGCAGAGTCGGGAATTTAGTATCTATTTCAACGCTAAGAAACCCCCCAGACTAACTAGTAAGTGACAATACCCAATCCGCCCCCCCCCCCCTCTTTATCCATGTGGACTCAATAGTACAACACCACTAACTTCCATCAGAGATATCGTCGTCTCTCTGCGTCATCACATCCCTCCCATCACGCTATCGAGACCCGGAAACATCTCTGCCTTTCGCCAACGCGTATGCGTATAATGAAATTCGACATACCGTGGCGCAAAAGTACGCCTGGAGCCCTATGCTCGGATGCTATGTGGGACCTACCCAGGTTGCGGCGCGTGGAGTCCCGGAACGGTTTTTAGGAGGTCCACAGGCCGCGTCTGATGGCAAGGATAGTGAGCAAAAAGAGAGCGGTGGCAATGCTGAACCTGCCCCTACCGAAAAGGATAAGGAAGGTGATACAAACCCTTCCGGTGATGTTCCCAGCGCATCTAAACCGGCACCTCCTGCAACACCAACACCTGTCACAACGGATGCCGGTGACCCAATGGAAGTCGACTAATCCATGAGCAAGGATAGTCTAGACGAGACTGTGGGTAATTATGTGAGAGGTTTTCTTTTCTTTTTTTTTTTCTTTTTTCTTTTTATTATTTTTGGCCATGTACCATATTGTCGCCTATGATACCCCAATTAGAAAGTTTTGTTTGCTATTGGATTGTTCAACGTATTTTCTCCCGGCAGAACCGAGAATCTTGCAAATTGAATGGCCGTTCTCTATCTCCCCGGTTGTCTATCTAGGCTAACTGCGTGTTGCAGTGGCAAAAAAAGAAGCACCTGACTGTTGGCGCTCCCCAGGAAAAAGCATCGACCTTCTCCGAGGAAGTTCCCCATCTTGACGCAAGGATGTCCCTGCAGCATCTAAGACAGTAGAATTGAAGTGACATCTACCATTATCGAGGCCACATTGGAAAAGAAAAAAAATATGCATCCGTCTCGAATTGGTCCCAACAAAAACTAAACTGGACCAGAGTAGAAGTATTGATCTCATCCGTCGAGTTAATCACGCACCGTATTTATTTATTTATTTATTCTCTCGACGTCATTATTATGCCAATGACCCTACTATGCCTTTGTATTTTGGCATTGTGCCATACGTAGTACGTCTTACGTTTCGAAATCTTCCGGATGGAGAAAGCTCGGGGCTGAGGTTGTTACTCTGTAGGTACACGGAAGGCGACGGGAGCCCTGTAACTGAAAACAATTAACCTTAGGCCCTGCTGGGAAGGTCTGAGTTTGACAAGTAAAGGATTGGGTCGTGGTCTGTTATCTTTTTTATTTTAATTTTTAAATTTTTTTTTTTTTTCTTGTGGGTTGGTTCTGTTTAACTTTTCAAGTGGAGGGTTGCATTGGATTTGGATTTGAAGAAATGTTATGATCCTTATCGTAGCCATGATGATTTCTTTTCATTTTTTGTTTCTTTCTCCCTAGGGAGTAAATATGATCACCATCGAGGGATGAATCCAGTCGGTTCCAACGTTTCCAGAGACCCTCAAAATGTCCCAATCGGGTAATGCAGCATGTGGACTCGTGACGATAGCTAGTACCGCCCTTCCTACCTTAGGGCAGGGCAGGGCAGGCAATGTGATGCGGAAATTGCTTTTTCCTACATCCCCTCGTGTCTCCATGGTTGGATCCAATTGCCCCTCCTTTCTCTATGTATGTAGCTACAATATATGCATCTAGGGGAACTGCGTCCAATCCCTCCCTGTCCTTCAGCCCGATCAGCGCCATTAGTATTCGACAGGTACCTGCGAGCAAAAAACCCTGCACTCAAGCCGGGCGCATGAGAGCACTGCATCGGAAGACTCACAGGTCTTCATTTCCCCCCTCTCCCCTCTCTCTGCAAGACCCGTTGGGATTGAAACGTGGGTTCGATGAAGAAAAAGTGAGGCTGACGAAAAGCGCGCACGGCCGTCGCCTCCGTCCGATGGTCCTGAAACTGGCGGGTAAGTCAAAAAAGATCCACGGTATGCGCGGAAATGAGAGACGCAGAGAGGAGGGGAAAACCGGGGCTCGGATTCACGGTGTAAATCTTGTTTTGAAGCTACTAGGAAGGCAAGGAGGACGGACGATCCCTGGAAACGACGGGTGGAAATGCCCATCCGCCTCTTTTTTTTTTTTTTTTTTTTTTTTTTTGTTTGGGAGGAAGTCAATGATATGGTTTTTCCTAGATCGGGGATGTTGACTGAGGATAATAATGGGTAATGAGTAAAAATTCCCAATGAGGTGCTGCGCCCGAGCACGCCAGACTTGTCATATCATGATTTCGTAATGGCATAGCGCCGTACCAACAATCCCTTCCGCATCCCTTCCCCAAAGGTGCCTGCATTCGATCAACCTCGGAATCGGATTTGACCCCACCGTCCGTTGCCCCTCCTTCGGGTGCTCGATTGAGGAGTAATCTTTGTTGTTGTTTTCATCATTTGTCGTCGTCGCCTTTGACTTTGCGCTGGTTCGTCCGGGTGGAATTCCATGGAAGCTGCCGTGAGGGAGGTAAGGCAATCATTGTCCGTCAATAGTCATCCAATGAGGGATTCCTTTCAGCATTCCATCGCCATCCCAGCCCAATCGGAGATCCCACGATTGCACCTTCATTTGCCTTTTCCTTAGTCAAGTATTCCTTCCAGCCACGATCTCTCGCGGGATTTATGGCGTCATTTCGGATAGCTGAGACCATCCTTGTTTGTCGCGGGGCCAGGGATGGCGGTCAACGAGATACCTGAGACCTTGAGACAACGGCCATATGGCAGGCGGGCGCCATCATTGGATCTTGAAGACTGATGATCCTGCCGCACAGATTCCAAGGTGACTGCAGACCGGCTGCAAGCCCACAAGGATACCATGTACGTCAAAGGGGTGTGGCCCTTCTCCCGGTCCTCCGTTGGTGGGTTGCAACCCAGGCAAAAGTTGTCTAGACTCTGGCGTCTCGGCCCATGGGGAGGGAAAAAAAAAAAAAAAAAAAAAAAAAAACCTGGGTGGAGCAGGTACCTCCAGCTGACGATGACTACGGAGTACTACTCTACTCTTACTCCTCGGTCCTGGCACGATACTCTGGATGGATGCCCGACTGGCTGAGCCCCGCGTTAGAGACTGGCCAGAAGCCAAGACGACATGTCATCCCTGGGCATGATCTGATTGGAGTCAAGGCCTCGGGTTTCCCATCGCACGTCCGATAAGCGTGGTTCGGTCGGTTATGAGAAAAATACGATTCGGAATGGTCACGGCAGCTCGTTGGCTGGGGGGAAGAGAGAGAGAAAGAGCTAGATAGCCATGGACGAGGCACTCGTGGCTACATCGTGTGGCCTACTACTCTGTATATCGTAGACTCAGTCAGTGTACTCCGGACGCAGTATAAGAAGAGTCGCGCCCTCGTCTCTGGATCTCGGCCAGAGCGACTCCACCGCAACCAGAGACCACGAGAAACACACCGCCTAAATATAGACTGGTGAGGTAAGCGGGTTGCCGTTACATACGCCTTGGGGATTGCGCGTTGTGTCGCCTGCCTCAGGCCGCCGCCGCGCAGTCTAGACTCCGCGCCCTGACGTGCTCCAGGCGATCCTGAACCCTCAGGCCGGCTAACTCGTCCATCATGCTTTCTTCATTCAGGTGGATTCCCCCATTCTAGAACTTCCATTCTCATTCGCCTCGCCGTCGTCTGGCGCCGTCTCCAGTCTCGGGCAAAGAGAGTACGGAGTGCAGATATATATTTAATCCAACCCCATCCTCGCCGCTCTACTCTATCCGCATTGGGCTTAAATCTGATCGACCCGATTCTATTCTTAAACATACATTACATCCTTCCATTCATTGTTCATTGATCATTCACTCATACATACATACATACTCCGTTGTGCCATCCCTTTCCTCTTCATACCTGCTTACTGCATTGGTGTATCTATTCCCCGAGTGATTTTCTCGCCCTACCACTGCAGCCCCCAATAATCCCGCATCGTACTACGGAATCCATCTCCCCCATTTCATCATATCACATCAACGGCACGTGCCCGGGGACAACAAAAACAGAACGCACAACTTCTTTGGCGATTTCTTTCTCCCCTCGAATAAAGATCGGGACGAAAGAAAAGAGGCCCCCCAAGAAGCGGTCAATCTGGTGAGTCTTTCCATCCCCCTTCCTTACCCGGATTCCCTTCTGCGATCCTCCTCGATGGTCCCTTATCTCTCCCCACTCAGCGGTCTGTGATAACAGCCAAACCTGTCCACTACCGTGTCGTACAGCCAGCATTGTGACCTATCTGACCATTAATGTGCCACAGCGGATAAAAACAGAAAGCTTATCAGTGGCTTTTCCAATTTTTTTTCTTTTTTTATTTATCATTATTTATCATTTTCTTTTATTATCGCACAAAGAATCCCAGATTTGCCTCCCTGGCTGGATAAAATCTCTCAATTTTGTATTCCCTCAGCATTCTTCTTGCATATCAATTTCCCCGAAAGGCGAGCGAAATTACGAGAGATCCAAGAACGAGGCAAATAGCTTTGCGAAACTGCAACCACCCAGAGCCACCATTCGCAATATTACCACCGCCTGAGACAATTGTTCCAACCAGTCGCCCTGTCAACCTTGTTGGCAAATCCCTCATTCTCCATCACCCTCAGGGGGAGAAAACCTTGGTGCTCCACCGCTGGCAACGGCGTCTTTTTTTTGGCGCAAGGTACCAACACCAACGGGACTAGTATATTAGATTTTATTTATACATCTCCTCACCGCTCTCCATGACTCAAGGTCATTATCATCCTCATCATCGCCGCACCCTCTCGGGTTCGAATGTTCCTAAAGTGAGATCGGCTCGGCCAGCACTACATCGGAAAGGCACATCCTTTGTGAACCACTCCATCGCCAAGCTAGGCTCAGGGAATCCTCGTCGTTGCGAATCGGACGACGACCGTCAGCCCGAGATGGCGGCCAGCTTCTTGAATTTCTGGTATGCTTTTCTCTTCCAGCTTCCCGCGACAATGCGATCTATACCATGTCCCTTCTCCCCTTGCAGATCAATCACTTTGCTTATCGTCAGCATCGAAGCTAACCGAATCCTACAGTGCCATGTGCGAGAGGCAGATTACAGTACCAGATAACTCGCTGCTTTACTGTAGTGAAAGGTATGAATTTTTTTTTTTTTCTTTTGCCTTCCCTTATCATCGTATTCCCCAGCCGCCCAGCACCGCCTCCCCTTCCCCTGGTTTATATTTAGAGCCCATCCCGTCTCTCCTCGATTTGCCTCCCATTGTTGCTCAAGTCATCTATTCTCACACTTTCTTCTATTTATAGCTGCCGTCGAAAAGATTCTCATAAACCTCTCTCGGCCTCCTTCTCCTCCAACAGCTCTATGCCCTCTTCCTCGACTCCTCCTACTTCACCTCCCATGTCTCCTCGAATCATAGTGGCCCCGATGACGCCCACGAAAGCGCCCATGTCGACTCCGGCTATTCGGATACCGGGCGAATTCAATGATTCCAAGACGGATCAGGATCCCTCCGAATGGAAGCCCGTAATACCGATGAGTGCCAGCGGCGCTGAGCCGCTGGCCTCTTCGGATGCGTGGCACTACCTGTCTCAATTCCATGGCGGCGAGGCCCCGCTCATGCGTCGTCCCAAAGCCAATCGCAACAGTTCGTCCAGCCTGTCCACTCTCATGAGTAGCTCGGGACCCATTCCGTCCCTCGCTCATACGCCGTCCACCGTGGCGTCGTCGGTCAGCAGCAATGCGTCCGACTACTTGAGCTACGTGCCGGAATCGGCTTTCCGCCCGCTGCCGCCTCGGCACAACCCTTCGTTCTCAAGCAGTGCTTGTGCCACCAAGGGTGTCGAGCTCGTCGTGCCCCATGTGGAAATCCAGGCGGACGATGCCCCCGTCGACGACACCAGCGGATCGATCTTCCCGGCCAACAGCTCCCTTTGGGATGATGTCCCGAGCGAAAAAGCTCCTCTGGCGACTGCGGCAATTGCCATCACCGCCAATGGGGTGTCTACCGGTCCGCGGGCATCTGCATGAAATACGCGATTGAGGTTGCATATACAGTGCGGCTCCGAGGGTCAGCTATAAGGACACGTTTCAGTATTGGCCGTCGAGACTGGGCAAATGATCTGCGGGAGTGCACCTAGGACCTCTAGGCACGAGGAAATGATGTTATGGTTGATGGAAAAGGCAGCTGGCTCCTTTCCTTTCGTTTGAAACATTTTCACTATGGATAGAGTTATAATAGCACACACATTGAGCATGCATTGTCAATAAGATTTAGTCTGGATAAGATCTTCGAGAACGGAGCATCTCGGTGTCATTGGAGAGTGCCCATGTGGGAACGAAGTAGATTGATTAATTGATTGTCCGGTGGACCCGAGCTATAGCCTTATGCAAGTTGATGGCTGCAGCACCTTTGTTAGCATCATCTAGTCAAAGTATACTGCGTTTAACATATCAAATCCTCGATGGTCTAACGGTCATGATTTCCGCTTGTCACTCAACCGAGAACAAGCGCGGGAGACCTGGGTTCGACTCCCAGTCGGGGAGATTTCTTTTTTCTTTTTTGTTTTTTTGCGGTAGCGGAATTGGGAATTACTATTTGGTCATTTATTCTTCTTCTTCTTCTTCCTTGGTGCACTCCATAATGTGATTGCTCTCAAGTCGATCTTGCTTGCTTGGATACGATGTATATTAACCCTGGGTGGTATAAACGGGCAGCTTTGTATCCTACCCAGGACGGACCACTGCGTAGAAATGGTTCTCCGCTGCCATTATATATAGCCCAGGCTTCAGAGCATATGGTCCCTGCAGTACCGATCAATCTACTAGCCGACGATGTTTTCTCGTCTGTCATCGTCGTACATACATCGGTATCAAGAGATCAAGGTGCAGCTACCCACAGGATTACTGCAGCCGTGGCTTCGTTCACGATGTCATCGGATAATGTATCACGCTGTCTGTTGGTGAACTTTTAATCTTTCCCTGGAATTTGTGGGGTCGTGTCTTCCATGGAACAGAAGGGAAACGAAAAGCCGTCGAGGACGAACTGGAACTTGTAGAGAGATGGGGACACTGTGATACATAACCGGAGGGTATGGTGCTCAAAGCTCTTCCATTTCATATATGGCATTCTCCTCCATCAATGGTCATTGGGGGACTATTATCTCTAGATGGAACGCCTGCATCGTTAGTCCAGAAACCAGAAAAGACGCTCGGGTGATTGTTGTCGTGTTTTGCTCTGATATTCCAAAGATGCGTCCGATAAACTGGTCGAGGGGGGCTGCTTTTTCCTTGCTCATGGGCCTAATTCTCAGGAGATTCATGCCCATCACTTTCCGTTGGGCCTTATAATGCTGGGTCATTTCCTATCCCCGTTCTGATAATCACCGGCAGCCTCCAATCGGGAGAGCAAAAGGAGACGAACCAGCCCACAGACATCGTACTTTCGAAGACTGCCCAATCTCTTAGGGGAAGAAGTAGGTCCCATAGTCTGTCTCTCGTGTACCGGCGTGATTAACCCGGATCATTTGCCTGACGTGCCCGACGGGGTCGATTACCCTAGAAAAACGGAGAAGCTTTTTCTGCCCTCCCCTCCTCTAGTCTTCTTTAACCTTCAACCTTCACCCACACTATCCAAGTCCACGTCCCTCGAGTCCATCCGCCTTCATCGTCCTCCTTGATTTCCATCCGGTTTCTTTGCTGCGAATCAGGCCCCAGACATCGTCCTCATTTCTAGCTCGACCTATCAACCACCCGCCGTCCTGTTCATCCACAAATCGAGATTTTATCATACTGCCTCCCTTGTCGTCGATTCCGCCATCTCGTCGTCACTGCATCTAGGTTTCATCGACTTCTCGGTCATATCCTTCCTAAATTCATCCTCAAGCACCGTATATCCTACCCCGGACACACGCCAGAAAGGCTCTTTTCTGGGTGTCGTGAACTGTTGGACAAGAGGTCATCGCCAAACGCCGCCGAGATCCACCGAAAAAAAACCTCAAATACTCGCTGCTCCTTGCGATCGCTATATCCAACAATAGAACCAATCGACTCGGAGAAATGACTTGACGTTGGGCATGGAATAGGAGAGATGCTCCCCGATCGGCTGGATTGAACCTCATGGGATAACTCTTTCACACGCAATGTGGAGTTCAGCCCCTTTTGAGCATATCCAACAAGCTGCGTCTGAGACACTGCCCTTGGTTATGAAGCAAGAAAGGTGGCATGGACTTCGTTGGGAACGGTTGCTAATATATACCAGCAGCTCGGTTTCACCCTACTCACGTTTCGTTGCCTCCAAATTGCTGCGACCAAAACCGTGCTCAACCCAACTCACTGGGCGCAAGCAGAGTCAGTCGATCGAGAATTGGTTGTTGCCTTTGCTGGAGTACAAGCACATGGGGTTATTTGATAACACGAGGATGGTTACACTGTGGGTAGGATGGTTCGAATCGAAGCGACCGCGACTCATTGATCAGCTCGACACTTGCCAATATTAATCCGATTCCGCCCCCCTCGAATTTAGTGATCGTATTTCCCTTGCAGAGCGACACATAATGAGCTTGGGAATTCGGCGATTGCAACCTCGATAGAAAGGGTCAGCAAGCGTTGATTGATGGCGCCACTTCAGAATACCACCGCAATTCGAAGACACCAGAAGTCACACGATCGTGGAGAAGTTGATGAGACAATGGAGAAACACCAATGTTAACTCAAGTTGAAAAGACCTTTTTCTCTGTGTTGACGGAGCAGAATTAAGGTGCACGAGCATGCTGCTTGCAGTTCGTGGATGGGTTGATTAGGGCTGAACTAACCCCTTGCTGATGTGCTAACTGGGTCCTGGTCTAGCTCGACGCCAGCATCATAGGTTCGATGTTTACGAGCCAAAGAAGAGATCATCATCTGTACAGGATCCTCTGCCTATTCTCGAAGCAATCCCATCGAGTCGCGCATCGTTACCAGGCGGACTACAACGTCAGCGTGTAAGGAACCATTACCCGAACGTGCGATTCAACAATCCGGCGTTGTGTACCTACCAACACAAGCCTATCTTGAGGGATACATATCGGCACACTTGAGCAATATTTCTTTCGAAAAAGTCAAACATACGACAGGGCATCGGCGATATGAGGGCTCGCCTACCGACGTCTTCCATGATGGTTATAATTGGGTCTTGACATGTCGCACTAAGCTGGCTCGGACAATTTGGTATCCCGCATGACAGGGCGTTTGAAACCACCTCAATTTTGTCGGCCTTCGCCAGATTCCGTCGACGCATACAACAGTAATCCGGCAAAACCTACAAGTGCACACAATTCTCGACCGTGGAACAGTAGCGGAATGGATGTCAGAACCGCATTTTTACTCTTTCAGATAGAGCTACACTGATTTGAATCGACTGTCGGAATACATAGTATACGCAATATTCCCCGACGCCTGCATTCCCGCCTCTCCCTCGTGGACCCGCAAAATGCTACCAAGACCATGAACCAACTCCCACCGTCATTGCCAGACACAAAACATACAGAAAACGGACTTCCAGCACGTCACTCAAGCATTAAACGGCAACGGCAGGACTCCGTCTCCAACCGGGTCCTCCGGAATCTGCTTGTCGAAGCCATCCAAATCATCATCCGAGAAACAGCAGACAAAGCAGCCCCTGTCTTTCTTGAACTAATCACACGCAACCCCAGTTAGAAAAAAAAAAAAAAAAAATTCTCGCATGACTCTCATTCATTCATCCCAAGGCTGAAACTCACCACTGGCTTCGCGCAAGTCAACAGTGCCGGATTGGGCGTGCACTGGCCCAGACATATGGAGTTACCCTTGTCTATGCCATGGGGCTTTCCGATTCCGTAGTTCTCGTCGTTGATGCCCGGAAAGGCGGCAAGAGTGCCCGTGACGAGAAGACACAGCATCGAGAGGGATTGACCGGAGAACCGCATCTTTGGATGTTGATGTTGCTAATGTGCGACGTTGCTTGGTGTTCTAGACCCGGATGCAAGGGCGGAAAGATAAACAAAAAAGAATATTATGGGTAAGATATTATATATAGTATATGCAAGGAATCAAGGTAAAGAGCGAATGACGCGTGCAGGTTGAACAGGCGCGGGTTAGTTGTCGAAAAGGTTGTCGAACAATGGCGAAGAGTCGGACGATTTCCTTTTACTTCCAGCGCCGGGTGAGAGGCCCGTCTTAAACCTGGCCAGGGAGTTTCTCGTCTGAAGAGCCTATGCAAGGGGGGAGTAGAGGGTTGTTGTTGACTTCTAGCGAACATTACTGACGGGTAGGGAACGGGGACATTTTACTGGCTCCAAAGATGCTCTGGAATGTTTGGTTGTTGTCGAGAATTCCAGGCCGCGGAGAGTTGGTATGCCGGAGAGAGAGAGAGAGAGAGAGAGAGAGAGAGAGAGAAACAATTCGTCCGGATGTTTTCCTTCTCTCCATACGTTAACAAGGAAGTAGCAAGCCGAATCGGCTCTCCATCGGAGGAAATCAAGGGGTGGATTAGAGCCTCAGGCAGACTTAACAGACCCCGATCGACACCTGAGGCCACGAACCCAGGGCCTGGCCTTGAGTGGTCGACGTATCCTGCTGGTTTGATTGGACCTGCAAGATCGGCTCTGATCGACGAACAACGGACAGGTCCAGCTAGAGGCACTGGTAGATGGTCATGAGCATGATGACTTTGGTGGGTAATCTGCATGACGAGGATTGGATGCTCTCCTATCAAGCAATACCTACGAGGTTTCTTTATCCGAGAGGGAAAGAAGTTCTTGCCCGGAGCGTTGTAACTTGTATGCCATAGTCTCTCCATCATGGGGTTAAGCCCTGCACAGAGTGCAAGATACCCGAAGAAGGCCGTGTGAGAGAGCCGCTAAGAGCTCACGGACGGACGCGCTCTCAGTTGTCAACTGAACTTCCTCTAGTTCGTCGTGCCGACTTCCGATGCACCGTCTTCATTGCAGTTGCCATACCCCCAAAAGATCTTGAGCCAGTGAGCCCTCGAGAAGACAATTTAGTCCTGGGAGCTGGCTTTGTCCACTAGCCATTTTGTTAAGCCACAGACGTCATGTCAAAGGTCTGCAGGTCTTCCAGGCGACGCGAAATGCCAACAACTGCGCCTCTTGGTAGCCTCTCTCACCACGCAATGGCGCAGAGTAGATACCAGAGAAAACAACCGTCACTTGTTACAAAAGAATAGGGGCTGGCGGAAGGCTCATTCAAAAGAGTGGGTTGCAAAGACGACAGGAGAGGTCGGTTTCCATGCCCAGGGAAACTCCACCGCGACCGGAAATTGTTTCCAAGCGAGCGACCAAAACCATGTTTCAAGGGATAATCTCTCCTTCGTGTGAGCAAAGAGAGTGGCGTTCCGGACATGGCTAAAACCTATGGCTGTGGTATTCCATTTCCATTTGGATTTGTCCCACATCACCATTGACGAAGGTCGCCAGATATCTTGTTCGCTTGACACATCATTTATATTACGACCGCTGCGGGTATAACCCAAGGGTAATCGGCCGGACCATCCCTCCGATTGGGTTTCAAAGAGGGCCTCACAGACGAGGCACGGGGGTTGTCCTAATTGTGGCCGATTAAGAGGACCTTATCAAACCATGGCCTTATTAGGCCGAGTTCGAAAGAAACGTTATCCCGACGTGCAGAGCACAGCAGACCCCCAAGCCTGTGCACTTACCTTCAAAAGGATGCCAACAAATTTTAATGTACGGAGTAAAACCGCACAGCAAAGTTGGGTAAAAGGTAATAATCACTTGGTGCTGTTGGTAATCGGAAAAAAAAGAAGAGGAAGGGAGAAAAAGCTATAGTCAGTTATCGATGGACAACGCTGATAGCCGGCTGTGAGACGGCAATCTGTCCTCGAATAGCAGAAGTATGATCTCGAACAGGTGCCTCATCCTGAGTTACCTATTTCCACCAACGTGCTATTTCTGAGAGGTATATAACCCCGGGTTCATTGCACTAGGTAGGTAGGTATCAAGTGGAGCTCCAATGAAGTCTTCAGGATGTATTTTCCTTCACCATTGTGGACTCCGATTGGCGCCACACGACGCCAGGCCGCTCACTCTCGTCTGTTGCCTCTGCCAATTTTTTCCCCTTTCTCCCCTCACTTTTTCTCTTCAGAGTGAATAAACCGTCGCTCCGAAAGTTCCTTGAGAAGCTGTTCTCTTTGGCCACTGAACCTGCCACCCAAAAGTGCAACCAAATCGAGTGGGACGACTGTTCTGCTCGATCGGAAAACCATCTTCCCCTTGATCTTGCCGAAGACCCTGAAAGTCATCCCTGTTCACCAAGCAGTAAAATGGGAGTGACCATGGGATACCAACGAAAACGAGATCCCAAGACACAAACCTTCACTGCTCAACAAAGCCAATGTTCTGAACCATGACGAACACTTGCAGATCATGGGGGTCAGTGATGTTTGTTGAGTCGTCTTATTGCAAATCACGAGGCTGAAGAGTAAAGGCAGATTTGATCGGTGACCCTATTACAACTGCTCGACAGATCTTGAAAAATGGACGTCATACCAGAAACAGGCCATCTGACCCGATAACAAGGGCCCCACATGTGGTGCTGACTTCAATCAAAAGGGGTTAGCAGATATTCCAGAGTCTCGCAAAAGGTGAGTACTGGAGACCGCATTCAGTGCCGAACACAAATAAGACCTGTGTTATACTGATCGAGGTCGATGTCGAGTAATCAGATAAAACCAGCCTCGAAAAAAAAAAATAGAGCGGACTTGCAGAATTCCAATCGACCTTATGAGAACCAGTCGCGGTAGCATGACAGACACCAATGAATCATGCAAAGCTCAAAGCTTCTCACAAAGACAGCCGAGCTTGTATACCCGACCTGGTCGACCGGAGATTTACCCCGACAACCCGGCGAACCTATCCACGGAAGCGTTAATTTCATCTGGTCATATCGTTCGAAAACTCTCGGACGCAGACTTGCTTCAATTCACAAATAAGGGCAAATCGATTCGCGTTGCTTTTCTGATCCATCGGGGCATGCTTGCGGCGGCATAGACCAGAGTCGTTTCATGCTTTACGCGACGGTTTGCGAGATAATCTGCGACGACCCAAAATAATGCTTCATGTCCTATGAGACAGGAAAATGAGTCCATTTAACAGGCGATCGAGGCGTGGAGGGAAAAAACGGCATGCTCTCGGTAAAGAAATCCCGGACAGGTTGCTAAAGACCTGCCATGAAAAACCGAAGGACTATATCAGGGCGCCTTTTACAATCTGAGTGTTGCGTTGGTGCTGTTCGAGATCCATTTAACTGCATGGGTTGCAGGACGAGGGCCCATGATGACGATTCATTTTCGCCCGGTGATCTTTGTTGAATTGGCTTTCGGAAAACTCGTCCTACTTCCTTCAACCAGAGCCCTACTGATGCCCCGCAAGACAATATGACACTTGTGATCAAGCTGGATTATTCTCGAGAAAGAAAAGACTTGCTGCAGATCCCACGGAAAGCCCGTGATGTTCGTCTAAAGGAATGCCTCACTCCGTGTTCGATGTTAAAAAGGAATTCATCCAGCTAAGATGAACTCCTTTGTGATCGTCCGATTGCCCTCGACGAAAAATTGGTATGCTTACTTGACAGGCGACATCGGCACTAATTGAACAACTGCCTGCCAAGTACGCTTTCAATATTGATCAATAATACGCACATCCCAATTTTTGATTATAAACTGGAGGAAGGCGACAATGGATGTTTCCGCTCGAGGAAGGAGAATCTCCACGTTCTAGATCCTCGGGACGAACGTTAAATGGTATCAATCGACCTATGAAACGCTATCCTATGGGGCGGTTTAGGGGCTCCAAGAACGATTCGCAGAAGTTGCGCGTTGGTTTGTTCCCTTGTCTTTTGTGTTTTCCTCGGAAAAGAAACAAGATAAAGGGGGCTTGGGCCGACGCAAGCTTTCACATGGCGTCGAGCATATACCGAAGACTCTGCATTATAAACCGTCTTGAGCTCTGGCGCAGACAACTTCGTTCAGGAAGGAAACCGGTTCGATGCTCAGAAAAGGGAGGCGGGTGATGCACGAACAAGGAAGCGAGGCATCCCCAAAGTTGGGGTCAACGGTATCGGTTTCACGTCGGGCATCGAAGCTTAAACAGCTGCTGCGAGGTACTTGTTCTGTAAACATCAGCAGATCATCTCACAACAGTTCTTTGGTTCTTTTCGTCCGTATTGACGATGAGCAGTTCCGGCGGGTTTCATGTGTCCGCTGACCGAGGTGATAGCATCGCACAACGCCATCGGTGAGACGGTAATCGGAGACGGGGAAAAAAAGGGAATGAGGAGGTACAAATATTCCAGGAGCTGAAAAGGTCGAAAGAACCGATCCACCGAGTGCGTCAGAAGTCAGAGCGCTGGTTATTAGCGAGTCGATGTGTTCCTCTCCCGAGACGGTGGCGGAGACGCAACGAGCACTGAGATTGGCTGGCACTTTTTTCCGAGCCCATATGGGCCTGGTTGGACATCACGCATTTCGAACCCTATCTGTCCTCGCCCTCGCCATCGCTCCCTTTCTCTTCCTGCCGCTTCTCTCTTTGCTCCCCGCCCCCATTTTGCCTGGTTGGGCTCGGCGGAGTCGTGGTATGCAGGGTGATTTGGTGGCGCCTGTTCCCATGGGAGCCATAGCCCAAGGGCCTACCCGCGTCGTTCGACCACTGGCGTGCTTCTGCCTCCCTTGTCTGCGTGGCTCCTATTTCCGGACATCCAGCTCTGGCTGAAGGGCTCGTCTTGGAGACTAACCTACCAGTCATGATTCGACGATCTTGCTCCATCGTGGGTTAGGTCGGCTTAGGCCAGTGATGCCTCCCGCCTAACCTGGTCTTGTTTGTGGTCTGTCCTTTTCCTTCGTTCGATCCCACCACTGCGCCGTAAAGTGGAGCAAGAATCTCTTCCGACTGGACAGTCGTGCAATACTGACAAAGTGCGTGCGTGGTTCGATACCGAAGATTCCAGCTTATTATTTCTGACGTGTATGTGCCCAAAGAGGGACCACTATCGCGACAGACCCCATGTCCTCGCTCGGACACCTCGATCGACGGACGGTCTTTGGTTTGCGGGGCTTGGGATCGATATAAATTGCAAGTTGTCTTTTCCTCTCGAGTCCTCTCCCCCGACTCGGTCACTCACGCACTCCCCCATGCCCAAAGGCGTATGAAACCGCTTCATCGACTACCCCGGTGCTTGACGATAATTCATACGCCAAGAATAGGTTGATTCAGATCACACAGGAAGACCATGGAGCAGCACAACAGGGATTCTGCCAACCATTCGGAGCAAAGGTAGGCGCTCATCTTCCTGTCTCATCCAGGCATTCTCTTGCCTGCGAAATGTGTGCCTGGTAGACCAAAAAATTCGTGAGGTTGATGGTTCTGAATACTAATCTTCCTTGGACTAGCAGCAATAGACCCGGCGAAAACCACGGAAATCGAAACGATGTCCCCCTAGACAGACTCGCAGAGGATCCTGAATACTACAAAAACTTCCTCGAACAGCTTTTAGATTTGGTTCGCAACAATAACCAGGCGGACATAGCCCGCATGGTGTCTGTCATCCGTTCCGGCGCCTCCCATGAGGAAATTCTTGCCGCTATATCTGTAGTACAAGGCGAAAGTAACCACGCTGGCCAAAACGGACACGCAGAAGCCTATGATCAGAATAAGGAGGGCAACAGGTGATGTCTTCTGGCACTGTGCCCACAATCGTCTGGGACAGGGCTTGGTGATATCCGTGGTGTCCTTTTATTCTCTCGACTGCGTGGTGGAGAGCCTGGATCTATATTTGAAGACGACTTGCGCCTAAACAGAGTAGATGAGATGCTGATTAGGCGGTCGTATAAAGCACACTCATGTTTAGGGGATGAATCGCTCGACTCCAGAGAAGCATGTTTCACCCGTTTTGTTTGCTAGCTCACTTAGGTACTTTCTCTCTTTATCCTGTCGTTTTTTTTAAATTCCAAACAGACTTCGAATTATTGTGCGCAGTGGTCCATCTGCTTCTTGCAAATGGTGTGGTATTCAACATGGTCATTGATTGATGAAACCCATGTTCCCAAGTGTCGAGCCCGTCTTGGGATAGTAATTCGCTTGAAATTGCCTTTCTTTTAGGTTAGTGCATTCGTGCTGACCTCATAGATTGTGATGGAAGAAATGACAAGCATGGCCAAAAGCATTGACGTCGAAGTTTATATGATTGAAGATAGAAAGAGGTTCTGGTTGGGTTGAGCTCTCCGATGTATTTCGATGCTTGGAAATAAAGAAATTGAATGCACACCACAAGAAGCAAGGGAATAAAAGAAAAGCAGTGAAAAAACAAAACAGGAGAAGGCGAAAACACAGCCCAACTTTGCAGGGCATACTGCGAGAAGAACGGAGAAGAATGACGAGTACGATACGTAGCTCAGACAAGATATCATCATTCATAGCATGAAGAGGATGGAAAGGAAAGGGCGCGGTCTATTGAGATGGCGAACAGGCTGAAGGAGATGAAAGTAAGAGTTAAATGGAGCAGAAAATGGGATGGGAGGAGGTTCCTGCCTCCGACAGAAGAAATAGATGCCCCAGGCCTGTAACCCCCCGCTGGCCCATTTCTCTCTCTCTCCCCCCCGAAGTAAAATATTCACACAATGCAGGAGCAAGCTTCCTTGACAACCCTATCAGGTATTCATTCTTTAACAAATCCCTGGAACAAATATATGGGACCTTTTGCGACTCTAGAGCTTCTAGGAATAATACGAGGGGTATCAGACCAGAATGCCACCCATGAAAAGACAATTTCTATGGAGATAAGTTGATTCGGTTGGATCACTCAAAGACTGAAACGGAACCTTGGGTCATCATCTCCTAGATTGTTGAAAGTCTCTGCATCCAACCGAAACCGATCATCGCGCTTTCCCTGATCTCTTCTCTTGTTCTCGATGGCTAGCCCTGCTGCGAAGATCGTACTCATAATGCCACAAAACACCATCATCGCAAGTGAGACACTATATCCAACGACGTATTGAGGGGCGGCATCTCTGTTGAAGATATTGCTGGCGATAATACCACCGATGTTTCCGAATCCGACTTGAAGGGCAAGCCCGATAGCACGCTTGTAATGTCCACTCAAATTGTTGGCAAACCAGACGATGGCCACTGGTTGAACGATGTAACACCCCGTGGTCACGAAGAAAACTGCCATATAGCGCACTCGCACGTTTAACCCACCCGAAAGTGGTCCCTGGCACAGCAGAATGATGTATCCGATGCAGGAAAAGACGACCCCGAATATTACAAACCCGAAACGGTGTTGCACACGATCTGTCAGGTAAGAAACGATTATAGTGACGGCAGCTGCCACGGCCCAGACTGGGATGCTTTGTATCTGGGTCTGAACACCGTCGTAGCCCAATGAGTTCACAATTGAGGGGATGAAAAGGGCCGTTGCATACCCCGAGACTGTGATACCGAGGTAAACCAGACTTCCCACGTAGATCTTCCAATCAGACATTATTCGCTTCCATGCTGCGGCATCAAGTCGATCCATTCTGGCCCCTTCACCGATATCACGAGAGTTACGGCTCTTCAGCAGCTTCTTTTCTTCCTCGTCGAGGAATTTTGCCTGCTCAGGCCAGTCGGCTATGATGAACTTGGCAGGGATGGCCGCGGCGATGGATAGAAGGCCTTCAATGATGAAAATCCAGCGCCAGCCCGAATAACCACTCAGTCCATGCATATGATGAAGTGCGTATGCCAGCAAACCACCAAAGGCACCAGCGACAAGGCCAGCTACCCACAGAAGAGAGAAGCGCTTTTGAAAATCATGTCGTGGATAATACATTGACATGAGATACGCACATCCCGGCACGAATCCCCCTTCGCAGAGACCCAAGAAGAAACGACAGGCGATGAGACCAGAGCTATTTTTGACAACTCCTTGACACATGCACACGATGCCTGTCTGGAATGTCAGATAATGCGGACACAACAAGTCCATGGGCTTCAAGACTTACCCCAGCAGAAAGTTAACACGCTTATCCACGTCGATGGCGAGAATCGCTTGAGAATAATGTTGCTCGGAATGTCTGCTAAGATATATGGCACAAAGAAAATCTGCATTGCAATACTCATGTCCGTCCCAGTCATGTTGAGTTCCGGGAGAATCCCCAGAACACTGACATTTCCAAGATTGATACGATCCAAGAAACCAAAGACAAAAACGATCCAAAGGGGAACCATTAGGTGTAGGTCAATCTTCCTCAAAAGTGCGCTCTCTTTCTTTTTGTTAATCTGGGAATACCCTCCCTCCAGGCTCCGATCAACCTCCCCGACTCCATGTTCCGCCTGTTTCTCCATGGTTTTCAAGGCCACAGATCAATAGACGCAGGGTCGTTTTCCACGCAGGTGTCTGTCACGAGAATGAGGAAAGCACCAAAGATTCAATAACAACGGAGGTCGAATATGACAGAAACAAAGAGCAAAGAAGACAGGGAGAAAACTTAGAGTCTCTGCAACGTAACCTCAGCCGGAGAGTTCAGACTTGTCTGGCCACGAATCCCTGATGCATCCATCCATACGACTGTGTCTTAACGATTGCTGAGGCCAAGAATCCATCCTAACCTGCTATATGGTAGCTGCACTAACTTGAAACCGCCGGAATTTCCACGGCGCATTTGATTCCCCTCCTCATTATTTTGAATTTTTCCTCCTGCCAGGATATCTGCAAGGTGGCGTAGTAACGAGCGCATGCAGCTGCGGTTCGGCTCAGTTAGTAGGGAAGCACCGGTGCCCTAACGATACAAGTCCGTACGGATAGATTAAGCTAAGAAAATGATCCGCACTTGGCTAATTGAACAAAATATTTATATACTAGAGTCCGGCCGGCGCAGACATGGGCCCACTCGATGCGATACTACTGCGTACGGCGAGTCTCTTCTACCCTGGTCGGCTTTCTTGTCAATTTGGAGGTAACACTCCGACATCGCGAATCATCCACCAATCACTGGCAATTGAAGCAGAGATAACACAGGCTCGCCAGGAAGAAGACGCTCGGCGAGGGAATTTCGACAAGGAATTCCAGACTGGTACGGGGCCTAGAAAGCATACCCTAATGCTCAAGCGTACGAAATGCCTAGCCTCGCAAATTCCCATTCTGAGCACTTCTCTCCCCCTATGCCCAAGAAAACATCCTCGATGGAGGGAGGGGAAGCATTCTTTACGATGTAGATATTAGCTCCCGGGTCTCTAGACGCGACATCTGTGCGATCGGTCAGAGCGAAAATGCCATTATTCAGTCACTATGGTGATATCCCAGACAATTCGGCTGCGTTATCATTACCATCGCTGGTCTTCGTAATCCTCACCCCAATCGTTGTGGCCACAAGGCTGCTCGGTCGACAGTATCTTTCCGGTCAAATTGGACCGGACGATTGGATCATTTTGACTTCTTGTGTGAGTCGTGAAAGCAGACCCTCGGTAGCAAGTCCGCTGGCTAATATACACCTACTGTGTTCAGGTCTTTGCGGAAACGGTTTCAATCCAAATGATAGTCGGTTAGTATCCAAGACTACCAAACAAGAACCCCTGTGTCTTTCTAATGGACATGATCAGTCTGCAGATGGGCATTCGGCAAGCACGAAGATGATGTCTCTAAAGAGTTGCTCATTCGGACATTAAAGGTTTGTGCTTGCCAGTAGTAATTCAGTACACTATCGTCTAGAAAAGGACTGATGAGCCCAAACATTTGCAGCTCTATTTTATCGCCCAGATATTATACAAAATCAACATTGGGCTCAGTAAAATCAGCATTTTACTGCTATACCTCCGCCTCTTCATACAGCGTTGGTTCGTCATCACCTGCTGGACGTGGATTGTGATCATCACCGCATTCACTCTCAGCACCGTGGTGTCCAGTATCTTCCAGTGTTCTCCCGTGCAATATGCATTCGATAAATCCTCGCCCGACCAAGGATCCTGCATTAACTTGACTGCGTTCTGGTACGCCAACGCCGCATTCAATATCTTCAGTGACTTGGCTCTTGTGGCCCTCCCTGTGCCTGTCATTAGCCGACTGCAATTACCTCTTAGGCTGAAGCTAATCCTCTGCTGTATCTTCGCCGTCGGTGCATTGTAAGTGCTCTTGTTGCCCTGAAGACCATCAAAACCACCTGTGTCAACTGCTAAATCCCCAATCTAAGCGTCTGCATCACCTCCATTCTGCGCATCACAACCCTCGATATCGCGACCTCCTATCTCGACATCACCTGGAACAGCATCGACTCGTCCAAGTGGACCGTCATCGAATCAAACCTCGGTATCATCTCCGCTTGTCTCCCCGCTCTTCGTCGCCCTCTCGCCTTCCTCTCCCCGCGCCTCTTTGGCAAATTCTCCCGCATTGCCAACTCCGCTGCCCCGGGGCAAGAGCCTCACTCGCACGACAGCCGACCGAATAACCGCAGTCGGAGGAAATCTGGCCGCGGAACTGCGTTTCATGAATCTGTCTCGCGATATGTCGTTCATGCCGAGAAGCAGGGGAGTACGAGTCAGGAACAGATTCTCCCGGGGACGAAAGACTACGCTAGGGATGGAATCCGGAAGACGACACATGTATATGTCCGGTGCGATGAGTTTGGCGAAGAAAGAGGGAATGTCGTGGAGATGGACCGGCTTGAAAGTCGGAGTTCCTGATATTTGTCCCTTTGTCTGTCTCGGCCTACTATTTAGGTACTTCAAGAAACTGTATGATGTCAATGCGAAACGAACAAAGACAAATAGAGTAAATGCGTGCCTTGCATTTGGGAATCTACTGGTCTTGCTACGAGCGAGGCAAGCGTGGGGCCTGGAAAAAAGAGAAAGGGAGAAGCCGAACAGACAAAAACAAGATAACTTGTAGTAGATATTACCTCTCCCCGGAGGAGAAGAAACATGAAACATCGGGGCACATCGTGAAATTTGACGAAGATCTAATTGAATTCCGTCTACTGCAAATGCTATAATTCTTTTTTCTTCTCTTAAGGCGTGCAACGGCCCGTGTAGCGAGGATACAAGCTGCAGTCTCTCACGGTGTAACGACCGCACAGCCAGGCCAGGAATCGTTCCAGACCAAGACCATATCCACCGTGAGGAGAGGTTCCGTACCTGAAACGCGCGTGAGAGTCAGTATACAAGAGATTGAATGGATTTGAGGGATGGATGGAGAAACTTACTTGCGCTGGTCGGTGTACCAGTAGTACGGGGAGGGGTCCATGCCCTCATGTTTGTAGGCGGCCATCAGCTCGTCCCAGTCGTCCATTCTCATACTACCACCGACGATCTCACCAACACCGGGCATCAGAACGTCGACACTCTCGGTGACGCGGCGGTCCTCAACGTCCTTCTTCATGTAGAAGGCCTTGATCTCGGCGGGGAAGTGGGTCAGGAAGATGGGCGAGTTGATAATGTCGGTCATCTTGCGCTCGGCGGCCTCGGCGATGTCGTCGCCGAACTCGTGAGGCTTACCCTCCTCGTTGGGGATGTCGTGCTCGCGCAGCCACTGGATGGCGTCGGAGTACTTCATGCGACGGAAGGGGCGGCTAGGGGCCTTGAAGTCAGGGTTGAGCTTCTGGATGTAGCCGGCGATCTCGGGCTCGGCCAGCACCAGGTCCATGACACGGCAGATAACCGCCTCCAGGTGGTCGAGCAGGTCGCTGAAGGTGATGAAATCAAGCTCCGCCTCAATGTGCGTGTACTCGGACAGGTGACGACGGGTGAGGGACTTCTCGGCGCGGAAGGACGGGCAGACACAGAAGACGTCTCCCAGCGAGGGCAGGCAGGTTTCCAGGTAGAGCTGGGAGGACTGCGTCAGGTAGGCGTTCTCGCCGTAGTAGTCGAACTTGAACAGGGTGCTGCCACCCTCGACCTGCGTTTGCACCATGGCGGGAGGGGTGACCTCCAGCATGCGGTTCTCCTCGAAGGCCGTGCGGAAAGCCCTCAAAGTGGCGGCGCGCACCTTCATCACGGAGGAGACGGTCTCTCCGCGAAGCACCAGGTGGCGGTTGTCGTAAAGGGTCTGCGGGTCCGCATCGGGGGCCACGCGGGTGGTGATGGCCTCCTTGTCACCGGCGGCACGGCCGATGATGGTGAAGAAGTCGGCGTGGAGCTCTCGGTCGTTGGGCGCGTGCTGCTTGGGCGGGACGGCGCGCATCTCACCGTGGATCGACATGGAGGTTTCGAGGGTGAGGGTCATGATGTCGTAGGCCTTGGCCAAGTCGCCGGTCAAGACGCACTGCAGGTAGCCATAGCCGTCGGTCAAGGTCAGGAAAACCACTCCCTTCTGGGCACGCAGGCGATGGACTCGGCCCAGCACACGAACACGGGTGCCCCGGGTCTCCGGCTCGGGCTTGCCCAGCGTCACGACCGCCGGGTCAGTCACGTCCAGACGGATCTTGACCGGCTTGGGAAGGGAGGTATCCTCCTTGATGACCACCTTCTTGGCCTCTTCCAGAAGGGCCTGACGCTTGTCCGCCTCCTGCTTCTCCCGAATGGCCAGATCCTGCTCCTTGGCGGCCTTTCGCTTGCGTTGTTCGTAGAGGTTGGTGGCCTTCTTCAGGGCGGACTTGGTGGCGGGCTGGTAGACCAATTTGGCGGCGGGGTCGGCACCCTCACCCGTAGGCTCGGTTTGGGACTTGCGCGTCAAGTACTGGGTGCCATCGGTGGGAGCATGCTGCAGCATGGCATGCAGGAGCGTCTTGTAGGGCGCAGATTCGGTTCCGGTCGCGGTCGAATCGTCGCGGCCGACGTCTTCATCGATGTAGATGGAAGTCATTGTCGCGGGCTCTCTAGGGTAGGATTTCTGTTAGAAGGGTAATAAGGGAGATGGAGCTAAGTGAGTTTGAAGAAGGTCTTTCATGTAGGAAGGAATGGGGAAAAGATGTTGTAGGAGGACGTTAGGTCAATGTGGACGACATGGCATGGCATGGCATTTAAAAGCGATAGGAATATCCAGTGGTGAGTCACCGGCCTTATCGAAGGGCTGGCAGGGGCCTCGCAATGCAATCCGACCTTCAAGACAGAAAGGGAATTGGGAACTTACCAAGAGAATGGCTCCAACAAGGGGAGAAGTGTCACAGCAAGTCCCGCGCCGGAGAAGATGAATCGCACAGTGCAAATGCCTTCCTGGAGGGGTAAATTTCTGGATGCGGCCGACGTGGATGCCCGGGGCACCCCACAGCTGCCTCAGGCAGAGGTCATGCCTGATGGTGCCCGGGTGCCTGGGTGCCTGACGGGACTCCGCGTCGATGCCGCAACGGGCAGTCTGTTTTTCTCGTCTCGAATCATGTCTTGCAGCAGTTCACGCTGCAGAACATTTCTGAGACGGTCCTTTCAATTTCCCCAAGGGCATAGGGTAATCGCTGGTTCCGTTCGAGCCCTACGTCTCTACTTTTGTAGACTTACATGCAAAGTGAGAACCAGATGTTCCCGAACCTAGCAAGCTCGCCACGGAGCCACGGAGCCCCCTGGAATTCCAATTGAATTGAGACGAAGAAAAAAGAAACCAGACAAATGACAGATCATCCGATCGATCGGAGCCAGCGCCATGGAAAGCAGCCAGGACGCCCAAGATATCTGATCGGTCCGGTGGCGTCTTCTGCAGGCGGCGCGGATCAACGTGACTCCGCCACGCCGGAGCCTCCTCGACGGAGGAATTCCTTTTTCCTTGGGCTTTTCCCCCACCAAAAAAGCATCAACCTCCACTAGTCCCGATCTGCCCGCTCTGACCCGGACGAGAATGATTCTGAGATGAAACATGACGACCAAGGAGTCTCATGACACTTCAGGCCCAAGTGATCGACTAGTCAATTCTCCGCGTTGGTTTCAGTTGCCCGTCCCTTCCGGTCTGTCTGACCCAAATCTCCCGAAGAGCCGTCGGTGTCGACGAGGGATCGCGATTGTCTTCGGCATTGTCTTACGGAGGATTTGACCCGACAAGATCGATCTCCTTTGTCTGTCTTGGAAAAGCCGAGAAAAATAATGACGATGATTTAAATAGAGATTGACATTGACAGTTCCGAGGGTGAAGAATCAAAAGACGGATGGAGCGTGGTACGCTAAGGAAGGTCCCCTAGCCCCGAGCTGCTAATCAATCATCTTCTTCACCTCGCGCTGCCCTCTCCACAAGGGGGAAAGTAGTGAGTTTCTTGCTATTATTATGCCATCTGCTCCGGCAAGTCATCGCGCTAGTCGCTTTCCTGACGACGACCATGTTTGGTTCATCGCGAACTCCCCCCTTTTTCTCCCATTCATCACCACATTATTATTATAATTATTATTCATTCCTTCCTTCCTTGCTTACATGATGATCTCTCGCGATTATCATTGCTCTTAGGATTTTTTTGTCAAATGTTTTTATTTTGATCTTGAATGCTGTCCTCTGTTCTCCACGTTCGTTACCGTAATCCAGTGTGTTGTTTGTACTTCTTTCATAGTCTGGGATTTATTCTCCCTCGGACTTTCTGACATCTTGATATCTGTATTATTTTAATTCTCTCATCTTCTTCGGTTGATTGACGTATCTTTTGTATTGTCTCCTTTCAGCATTCGAGCGCAAAAAAAAAAAAAAAAAAAAAAAAAAAAAAAGGCCCTCTCATCCTGGGCTGCCTGTTTATTACATACTTATTTCTCTCTCTCTCATTTTGTTCCGCCCCCCTTTTTTCTGCTTAATTTCTCCTTTCTGAGGGCCCTCTTTTCTCTGTTTCCATTCGGTTTTATTTTATTTTATTTTTTATTTTCATTTGGTTTTATTCTCTCGTTTCACTCTCCGCCATTACCATTTCTGGTCAATCCTTAGTCCTTCTCTTTGTCATTCGCCCACTTATCCCTTTCTGGCCTCTTGGGCCTCCTTTCGCTCTTTGTGCCCGCCACTCCAGTCGATCTCTTCCAGACAAGCCGGATTGATTCTTCCATTTTGCATCCGTTGCTGTCATCGTCGTTGGTCGGAGATTGACGTTGTGTTGCGTGTTGGGGACACTCAGGTTGGTCTTCGCAGCCCCTAAAAACCCACCCCCAAACCACCGCTAGAGCGTTCCACCAACCATCGCCCAGGCACATTCCAATTGACCACTGGGGCTAGACACGTCTTGGGCGATTGTCCCTATTCTGCTTCGTCTGCTCGCTCTCCTTCTTTCTCTCTTTCTCTCCCTCTCTCTTGCCTCTCTCCTTTTCCTAGTCCCCTTCGTTTCGCCTTCTTTTGGCCTCCCGATTTTCTTCATTTTTTCTTTATTCTTTTTTCTGCATTAGTTTATTTTATTCGGTTTTTTTATTTGGTTTACTTCTTTTATTTTGGCTTCTCTTCATTTCCCTCTCTTTGCCCACCCTACCTCTTTTCGGGGGTGATCTTCAGCCCGGCGGCTTTTTTCCCCTTGGATGGTCTCCTGGCCATTCTCGACTGTCGTGTCAATTGCTCCGTCTTCCTCATTTCCCACCCCCTTTCGTTGGCGATAGCGATCCATTCCGTCGGTGACCCTTGCCCCGTGTTCCCTCTTCTTTCGCTAGGGGACCGTCGCGTCCTGCTCGCTCGTTCCGCTCCCTCGCCATGCAAACCTCCGATGCCTCAAGCCTGCCGAATCGTTTGATCCCTTCCAAGTTCTCTCACCTCAACACGGACAACACCGGCTTTTCCCACGGAGCATACAACTCCAACAACGTTCCGCTGCAGGGCCTGCCGGATCGGAACGCTCGTCGTGCCAACATTCCTGCCATTAACACCACCGCCGGCCATCATACCCCTGACGCCATGGCGACCTCCGGCACCGCGTTTGACATGAACTTCACCCCTCTCCTTCCGTCCCAGCTCCTCCTCGGCAGTCCTTTCCAGCCCGGAACTCCCTCGGCCTTTGCCTCGCCCCAATTCGCCAATTTCGGGGGGTTCTCCCAGGCCAATGGCCCCGCACATGCACAGAACCCTCAGACTCACCTGGGCAGCCCGACCCAACCCTCGCAGAATGCCGGTCTCTACTCGGGGATGATGCCCGCCGACGGGATGGGGAACTCCCAGATGCTGGGAGGCCCTCAATCCCCCGTGGGTGGCATGGGTGGTCTCGGGAACGCGGCCTTCGGAAGTCCCGCCGCGTCGGTGACCCCTGGCCTCCTGTCGGGTACGAGCCGCACCGTGTACCTGGGAAACATACCCGCGGAGACTTCCGCCGAAGAGATCCTGAACCATGTTCGCAGCGGACAGATTGAATCCGTCCGGCTGCTGCCTGACAAGAACTGTGCCTTCATTTCGTTCCTGGATAGCAACTCCGCGACCCACTTCCACTCCGACGCCATTCTCAAGAAGCTCGCCATCAAGGGGAATGACATCAAGGTTGGCTGGGGCAAACCGTCTCAGGTGCCCACTTCCGTCGCCTTGGCGGTGCAGCAATCGGGCGCGTCTCGGAATGTGTACCTAGGAAACTTGCCCGAAGAAATGTCGGAGGACGAGCTGCGCGAGGAGCTCGGAAAGTTCGGCCCCATCGACACCGTGAAGGTCGTCAAAGAGAAAGCCATTGGCTTTGTGCACTTCCTCTCCATTAGCAATGCGATGAAAGCGGTGTCTCAGCTGCCTCAGGAGGCCAAGTGGCAAGCCCCCAAGCGCGTTTTCTACGGAAAGGACCGATGTGCGTACGTTTCCAAGACGCAGCAGCAGAATGCGGCCCAATTCCTGGGAATCGCGCCCGGGTACGCGCACATCCTCAACTCCGCGGATCGCGACCTGATCACCAACGCACTGGCCCAGCAGTCCGTTGCAGCCGCAGCCGTGGCCACCACGGCCGGCGGTGTCAACAACCTGGGCAATCGCACTATCTACCTCGGCAACATCCATCCCGAGACCACCATCGAAGAGATCTGCAACGTGGTGCGTGGCGGTCTGCTGCATCACATTCGCTACATTCCCGACAAGCACATCTGCTTCGTTACGTTCATTGACCCCACTTCGGCCGCCTCATTCTATGCGTTGAGCAACCTGCAGGGCCTGATGATCCACAACCGCCGCCTAAAGATCGGCTGGGGCAAGCACTCCGGTCCTCTGCCTCCTGCCATCGCTCTGGCTGTCAGCGGCGGAGCCTCGCGGAACGTCTACGTGGGCAACCTGGATGAGTCCTGGCCGGAGGAGCGCCTTCGTCAGGATTTCTCCGAATACGGCGAGATCGAACTGGTCAACACGCTGCGGGAGAAGAGCTGTGCGTTCGTCAATTTCACCAACATCGCTAATGCGATCAAGGCGATCGAGGGCATGCGCAACCGGGAGGAATACCGACGCTTCAAGATCAACTTCGGCAAAGATCGCTGCGGCAACCCACCCCGACAGACCGGCAATGGCGGCCAACAGGGCCGGAACGGCTCAGGACTCGAGGGACCGCAGTCGCCATCACCCGCTCTCAACGGCTTCCAGCAGAACCTCAGCCAATCCGGATCTCAGTCCAGCCCAACCCGTTCCGCATTGTCCCCTGCGCCTGGCTCCACGGGATCTCAGAACGGCCAACAGGGCCGACACCCCCTTCAGACGGTTTCGTCGCCGTCGGGGGTCTTGAACGTGGGGGCGAACAACCCTTTGACCATGTACCTTAACCAGATGTCCGCGCAGCAAGCTCAGGAGCAGGAGAACCGGCTGAGCGACCCTATCGCCCTGGCAGCTTTGCAGTCTCAGCACCAGCCACCCCAGCAGCAGTCCTTGTACAATGGCGGCAGCTCTGGCGAGCTTAGCAACGGCAACATTGAAGCCCCTTTGCATCAGCACAAGCCGTCTAGCAACGGCTTTTTGAATGTGACCAACGGCTCGACGGGTCCGGGTCATCATGCTACCGCTAGCACCAGCAGCCTGAATGTTCCCCGCGCGCAGCATTCGCGTGCCGTCAGTCTGCCGTCGTTCTCGCAGGAGCCATTCGGGCCTGTCTCGAGCCAACCCGGCCATGGTCGCTCGGGCGTTGCGCATCAGCCGCAGAGCAGCTTCTCCAGTTTCACTTCTGCCCTAGGAGGGTTGAACCATGCCGGCTTCGGATTGGCCATCCAGAATGAGAATTCGTTGCCAGGCTGGGCCGAGGAAGAAATCGGAGCCAAATAATCTTACATTCTCATAATTCTGAGGGGAAATCTGTTTTAACTTCCACGCTCTTCTTCTTTCTTTCAGTTGTCCTGGGTGCAGCATCTTATCTTTCACCTTACACCCAATCTTCTTGGAACTTCCCTTCATTCCTTGTCACCATTCTGATTCATTTCTCTGTACTGGTTTGACAAATTCTGTGTGTGGTTTTCTCTCTTCGCCCGCAATTTTTCTGTGCAAATTTCGTTCTTCGCCAAATCCCCCATATTATAACCCTTTTAATCATTCTTCTTATACCATCTTTGTATTGCTAGTTGGGTATGATCTTTTTTTCTCTCTTGTTTTTTATCCTTCTAATTCTTTTTTTCTGTTTCTTCTTTCTTTCCCCCCTTCCTTTTATCTCTTTCTTGGCTATGCATAATTACTGAATTTCCAACTGTCTACGAAAACGGACGAGATGCCGGCTTAACCTGGGACTCGTTCTGAGATGTTCATCCTACTCATTAGCATTTGCGATGCCATTTGATGGAATTACATAGTTGAAGGTAATCAGCTGGGCATTGGTGGTGGCATTGAGGCCACCGAGGACACTAGCGAAAGACGAATCCAAAAGATATCAAAGTACACGATCGATCCTGAGGTAGATATATCTCCTGTAGAGCAAATGGCACATCCGAGATGAACGAAGCCGGTGTGGTGTTTTTTTGGTAAAAAGACAGAATGACAGGACACAAGGCATGACCATGATTCTCGCAAGCAATTCAGAATTTACGTCTCTTGGATTCCATCTGTCGAAGTTTACAGCCATTCATTCTTCCCCATGCGGTTAAATGTCAACAGCGGCGCGTCATGCGGCACACGTGACCCGCGGCGCTAAAGCGCGAGCCATGGAACCCGAAGAACTGAAGATCTTCGTCGCCGCCATCATTCAGACGTCAATTCCGTCTCTCAATCCCTGCTCGCAACGGTCATCCCCAAGTCGATTTGGCGACAATGGCGTTGCCCCCAGAACAGATCAACATCAAACGCCGTCGAGAGGAGGAACCCGTGGATACGTTATGTAAGAATACCTTGATCTTCGTGAACTAGGTAGCTTGGCTTGTTAGCTAGCTGCCTTGATCTCCCCCCCTTCCTTCTACTCTTTTTCCTTCTATATTCGCCATGACGGGCTAGAACTTTACTGTCAATCTTTCGTAATAGCTATACGCAAGATGGAAGCAAATGGAAGCGAAATGGGAAAAGAGAGAGCCACCATCTCTCTCCTTCTACACCTACTGACTTTGCACCACAGACATCCAGTCGGAATTGCACCAGACCAAGCGTCGTTTCACGGACTTTGTCTTCCAGCGAGTTCAAATCCGAAGCGGTGATGGCAACAAGGGCTCCCCCAGTCCATCGCCGGCCCAAAGGGACCTGCGCAGCCCGCGCTCGGTGAGCAGCGTCCCTTTTCCAGGAGCGACTCCTTCCCGCGCAGCAGCGTCGGGGGCAACAGGGGTGCCGATGGTGAGGGCCACGTCGCCAGGGGCTGAGCTTCGCGAGGCCAAACGTCTGGCAGCGCTGCGCAAGGAAAGAGAGGAGCAGCTTAAAAGGGCGTTGCATTCGTCACCGACGTCGAGAAAGTCCGTCGGTCCTGATCACGGCGCTGACGATGACGACGCGGCGCCTGTGGCGACGACGACCTCCAGCGACAGAGGAAGCCCCGCGCCGTCCGCGTCCCCGGGCATGCGACGATTCCAAATTTCTCGAACCAAGAGTATTCTACGGAGTACGCCGGGGGCAGGGGTGCAGAAGCGCAAGGGAGATGGAGCAGTCGCGGTGCTGGTGGAGAAGTTAAGGCGAAAACCGCATTCCAGGCAAGCGTCGATGGTTGCGGATGCCGCCGCGCGGGCGGAAGATATCAGGGGATTGTCGGAGGCCGCTGCTACGACAATAACCGATTCGCGTGACAGTTCGGTGTCTCGCGAGAATGCTCCGGATGCTGCTCGCCCCCGCAAGCGACCGGTGGTCAACAAGGCAGAGAGACAGTGGCGGGAGGAGCGTAAGACGGCCATCGACGCGGCCAAACAGAGTATCAACCAGGCGTTGGAGAAGGAGGCCCAAACGCAGCACCAGAGCAGCTGGGACGACGAGTCGGAGCGACTGGCCCGCGAGTTTGAGCTGATCGCGCTGGAGATGGAAGGGGCCATGGAGGAGGACACGGAAGACGTCATGTCCGCGCCGTCGTCGACGCCCGCCCGGTCTGCTCCGGTGATGCCCAAACCGCCGTTGAAATACCCCCCTCGTACACCCAATAAGCTTCGGGCTGGGAAGTCTGCAGAACCGACGCAAGGGGGTGAAGAGCCGGTCAAGACTTCCGCGGCTGCTACGGCTGCCCCTCCGGCATTACGGTCGGCCGAGGAGATAGAACACGAGGAGGACAGTGACGGAGAATATGTCTACGACACGTACATTCGAAAGCCCTTGCCAGAGGGGGGAGCAGATCGAAAGGGAGGAGACCTGCTTACGAACCCGCTAATTGACTGGCAACGCGACCAAGACGCTTGGTTTCGGCAGAAGGGCATTGACACGACCCGTGCCGACGTTGGGGTGATCGTCATTACGCAAGAGGACGAGGAGTATTGGGAGCATTTTGTCGAGGACGATGACGATGAAGACCGCTGGGACAGCGAAGATGGCGATTCGAATGGTAAGTGGCAATGTCACGATGCAGGAGAGACAAAGAAAAAGAGAGAAAGAGAGAGAAAAAAAAAAAAAAAAAAGGGAAAAAACACCGGCTGACGAAAGGGGGGTGCTGAATCTAGCTGAAAATAATCCCGCCAATGAATATCCGGACGAGGACCTATCCTGGGACGATGAAGACGACGATCCCATGGCCATCTACCACAAATACCGCCACCACGCGGTGTCAGACGATGAGGAATTCGACATGAACGATTCAGCCAGTGAGAGGGCGTTTGGATACTCTGGGCGCCGGCCGCACGTGGAGTCGGATGACGAGAGCTGGTGAATCAGATCCCGATGGGTTTTTTCTCCACGGGTGGCTGCGTCCGATATATCATCGTCATCGTCATCATCTCGACGATTTCCTGCTTCTAAACAGCATCCCACGCCGGTCGACAGCACCAGAGAGCGAAAGCGAGAGCGGGGTTCTTCCAATCCTGTGTGGAAATCAATCCCGCTGATGAAACGGTCGATCCCATCCTTTTCATCGGCTCTTGTTCCTACTTGATACTTAACGAGGTAATCCAGACCCCCGATCCTCGCCTTGCATGAGAATAGACCAATATGCAATTCCCGAGAGACCTACCTTTCCGTAAGCAAGGCTAGATTTTCGACAAATTAAACAGAAATTTCCTCTTTTTTTCTCAAAGGGGGGAAATGAAAAATGAGAAAGAAAAAGAAAAAAGCAAGCAAAAAAAATACCAACCGACTTCGATCCCATGCATGCAGGCTATCTCGGCATCAAGACCATCTGCAAGTATTCTTCAAACCGCAACGCGAGGAGGTCAACGACTCATTGACGTGTCGAAGTGGAGAAGACAAATGAAGGGGATCCAAACAGCCAACGGACTAAAACGTACGAAGCCGACCAACTAACCGTCAACCGTCTCTGGCAGCGGCGAATGCAGATAGGATAGCTTGGAAGGGAGGGGGGGCCGGCAGGATTCGCATCCTTCGATCAACGATTGCAGAAACCAACATCCCAACTCACGCGTGGCCGACTAATTTAGTCTCAGTCCGTACCTCCGTACAGTCCTACCCCTAGTCAGTCAGTCCTGAGGACTCCGCAGTGCCGTCGGTTGTGATGGGACGAGACATGGGCAGGTCAGCATCCGGACTGGAACTAGACGGAGTGCCCTTGCGGAAAAGGACCATTGAGATCGAGTCTCTACACGGACTTGGGGATCAAAGTCCACCCTGTAGTCAGTCCACGCGACGCAAGCTTCCATCCTTCCCTTCCTTCCTTCCATCCTTCCCTTCCCACATCGCCCCCTCTTTCCATGTGGTTGAGAAATGAGGCTAAACGTCTAGCGTGAGGATTTCAGTCGTCCGGGAGTTCAGGTTTCGTCTGAACTCCGTAGCCGTACGGAGTTGGAAATACCGACCAGAAAAAAAAAAAAATAGGCAAACAGAATGCGGTGGGTATTCCTGAGATTTGGGGGCCATTCTTCACGAGGTTTAATAATTCCATTGATGAGAGCCTTTCTCACTTTTGTGAAGCCCTCACCCTCTTTCCCTTTAGGGTCACTGTTTATTATCCTCTTCGGGTTAGTCTACCCGACATTTTGCCTTCGTGAATAAACCTACTTTGAGGACTTCGGACGACGCATATACTCTGTCTCTGTCTCTGTCTCTGTCCTCGTCCAGAATCGCAAGGACTGGAATGAAGGGGCGCAGATGGAATGCTTATCCACGCCATCTGAATGGCCCTGCAGAGTTTTTTTTTCTCTCTCACGTCTCAATCACCGCTTCCAGATGCCCAAGTATTCAATGCCATGCGATGCACGTCAATGCAATTGTCTCGGTCCTCCCTCGCAGCACGGCCCTGATGACTCGGGCTGCATTCTGCACGCTGTAATTCACTCTTCGTACTTGGGATTTTTCTTTCTTTACCATTCTGCCCTACCTGACGTAGTAGGTGATTGATATCTGCCTAGGTCATGTAGCGCCCATTACCAGTAGGTCTCCACGGAGAAAGGATCCCTCGTTGAAGCCTTCCAGTTTCCATGCGAGGGAGGATGCACATGCGCGGTGCGCTTGCTGTACGTAGACAAGCCAGCAGGTAAGGGTGCTCATGAGGTGTCTCGACAGTCCTCTCTTACTCACGGATACTACTTCCCCCCTAGCTGTCGCTCCGGTTGCTGCATATACGACCTCGGAGGAGGTATCTACAATCTACTTGCCATGTACCGTATGATACACGGACGGTACGGCAATACGCGGACTTTTCCAGGGCACTGCCCAAAAGGGTTAGAGCCGGAGCGAGGCGCTAACGACCGGCTAAGAAAGTATATTTGGGACTCCACTGGACTTTCGAGGTTTCCACTCCGTCCCTACGGAGTACGTTCGAGGTCTCGGGTCGGTAGAGAAGACCGAGTATGGCCGGGCTCAAGGCGTGATTGAAAGATCGTGTGGACTTTTTTTTGGTATTCGAGGGAATGTGGATGTAAATAGTAGTAGTAGTAACAACACGGAAGGAAGAGTCATGGATGACTCAATCCAACAACAACAATTTCGACGATTTCCTACCCAATGATGACAACAATAAAAAAAAAATAAAAAAATAACAAGCCAACGTCAGAAACAATGTATGCATGCTAAAATAGTCAGAGAGCCTCCCAGTATGTGTGACGAACAAGATGAACCAGAAAGAGGGAACGACAAAGAGTTGCCAATCCCATGCAGTGAGAAATAGTAAGTATCATATCAAATGTAAAAGGGTAAAATGAGTCATAGAAGATGTAAAAGAAAAATGATGAGAGAAAAAAAAAACTCAGGAGGTATCTTCGCAGCGGCCGTAAAGAGTGATGAGAATCGAAAGAGATCTTTTGTAGGAACAAAAAAGACAATGGCATAAATGGCAGGGTTCAACAGCAAAGCCCTTTATAGGAGCCTATGCCGAGATCCGTCGACTGTTGACTTGCTCTTTGTTTTCGCGCATCCACGGATACCAAATACCCACCCATTCGACGACTCCGTACTTGGGAGCTGACGAATCGACGAGTCCTGAGCCCTCGCGGAGGAATTCACCGTCTCGCATGCGTCGCTGCTCGCGCAACGTCGGGCACTTCTTCTCTTTGATGAATCGGTAGAACTTGCACTGAATTCCTTGGAATCCGCGTCGTTGACGGCTGGGGAACTGCCGGTTGAAGCTCTCTCGGACCTCCTTCCACTCCTGACAGAGATCCACGCGGTGGTACCAGATGAAGTACATCTCCTCTTCCTCGTACTTGGGACGAGGAGGGCGCCTTCTCTCGGCGTTGCTGGAGCTGCTGGAGACCGAATCGTAGCGGTCTCGCGAGTACGCTCCGGGCGAGGACTCCGTCGACCGCGGCGGGTACGAGAGATAACCCTGGTCTTGGGATCCTCCGGGCAGATCCCGGTAGGAGCGGCTGTCGGCAAACGAGTAGATGTAATGGTTGGGACTGGGGGGATAGAGAGGCGAGCACTGAGGACTCGGGATGTACTGTAATTTGGACGAGGGGGATTCGGTTTCTGCCGACCCCGACGGGTTGAGAAGAGAATCAATGGCCATTCGACTCTGGCGGGACGATGGCATGTAGCTGGATCGGTGCTCGTGGAATGCTGTCATCTTGTGCGTAGGTTGGTAGGCAAGTACCCCCATTAAACTTATTCAACGAAACAAGATAGAGATGTGATAGGCGAGGTTGAGTGTGAGAGAAACGGCCGTTAATGAGATATCGACAGTTTGAAACAGACAAGTGATGTGTCTGGAGAGTAGAAAATGGTGAAACACGCTGGATCAAGTATCACTTCTTATGGGTGGTGGTCGATATGATCAACCGTTGAAAAGGAAGAGTGAAGGACCAGACGATTTAAAAGTGGACGAGTGAAATGATAAAAAAAATAATAAAGATCAAAAAAAGGGTCACTTGAAGAGGGGGCGAGAAATTAAATAAAGTAATGGAAAGGTGGGAATTTAAAAAAACAAAAAAAAAAAAGGCGAAGTTGGAGTTGGATTTAAGGAAGAACGGCCAAGAGGATTGACGTCTCTCAGCCACTCTGCCTTCAGGCGGTCTTTTTTGAATTCTCAAGGGTAAAAATGTTGGACTGGAAGGAATGGGTCAGGCGGAGACAAGGTGGTCTTGATAAATCGTGGAAATTCCGAGACTTTTCTTCGAACACCCCCCAACAGTGCACTAGACACCCGGTTGGATTCTTAAACGAGGGCACTGGCAGCCAAGGGTCCCGTTAGTTGTGCTTAACCCATGCAGCGTACCGAATCCTTGGATCTCGCCAGCCTGTAATAGAGACCGACGCTGACTGCGCCCCCTGTCCGGACGGTGGAGAGATTGCCTCGATGGCGGGTGCACGATGTCCCTCGGAAATTGATGCGTAGTGCCGCCAGCAAGCAAGGGGATTGATTGATGGATGGAGGGGAGCCAAAGACAACTAGACGAGGGTCGGATGTACGTCGAAGGTGGAGGCAGGTGGGAGAATGTATGTACTAAAAAAAAATCGAAATAGAAATCGAAAAAGAAAAATCAAACAAGAGCAGGCTGGCTGATGTGCTTCTTTTTTTCGCTCTAGTGCAAGCAAGCAACCTGTATCCAGACTGAATCTCTAGATCGCGAGCAGGAAGAAAAGGAAGTCAAGGACGATGAAGATGGACGACGGTGGATGTATGTATGGACGTATGTATGTAATGATAGGGGTAATTAATTTCAGAGATCTGGAGAGGCAATAAATTTCCTGTCCCCTTTTTTTTTTTTTTTTTTCTTTTCGAGTGCTATAATCCTTGACTGTATTAAATGCAAGGATGGACAGAGGGGGGTGGGAAAGAACAAGCTAATATACCAGACGAATTCGCCACTTTTCTTCTGATACACCCAATCCAGACTCCACGACCAGAAGGATATTCAGACGTTGAACAGCATGAGCGCGCAAGTGGAGATCTCAAATCAAAAGGGTCACGTTGGCAGACAGACGTGCAGGAGGGACGATGGACGGGGAAGAGAGCCAGAGCGAGATTCTGGTCCCCGTTGGATCGGGTAATTAATATGCTCTATTATTTTTGGCTTTCTTTCTTTGGGTTTTTATTATTATTATTATTTTAATATGACGGGTTGATTTATTTTTCATTTCCGCCGACTGGAAAATCATTTAAATTTCCAGTTTCAGTTTGCTTCCCCGTAATCGTGTAATCCCACCCGGGTATTTAGGGCCCTGGGACTGCCGGGCGTTTCCCCATTTCTGCCCTGCGAAAGGTCCGGTAATTTATCTGCGCCGGCCGTCATTTCTGGCCTTCTTTCTTTCTGTCCTGGAAAAGATTTGAAATCCATCCTCCCAAGGAATAGATCCCCAGAGGGATCCACCGCACGCAACGACGGAGGGAGGGGAAAAGTCCAGGTCTAGTTCATGCAATATGCGGCAAGGATATCAGTACCAAAGGATTGCAAAGGAGCCGCAACAAAGAGACCAGCAATCGAATTAATTAATTGACGGAGGAGAAAAAAAAAAGAAAAAAGAAAAAACAAAAAGACTGGGTCTCTGGTTCGGGGGCCCTCGGGGAGGGTCGATTTAAATCGAGTGAAAGTGGAGAGACAGGAATGTCAATTAGCAATGCGGCGACGGTTCCAGGGAAAAACCCACGATGGCACGTCGCATCCACGTCCCAACGGGTTAGAAGGCGGAAGTTGACTTGCCGGCAGTTTGCGAGGGACAAAGCTCTCGAACGGTTGAAACCTAATTGTGTCGCGGATCCTCTGCTCGACTCGGCCAGTTTGGCCTGTGGCCACGCGGGGGAAAGCGGCACTTTGGGATCTGAATCATGAGAGCATGAAAAAAAAGAAAGAAAGAAAGAAAGAGAGAGAGAAAGTTACCAGAGCAGGACCTGCCAACAGAACTCTGGTTCACAAAGAACCTCGGACGATCTTCTCGTCGCGTCGTGCACACCTGCTTGCGATCTATGGCCAGGCAATTACAAATACTCGAGAGAGAGAGGGGCGGCGAACCATACTTTGCACCCCGTCGGCAATGTCTCGACGCGATACTCCGTAGGAAGGGAATTGAAGGACGATATACGGAGTCACCTACGGACTCGACCTCGACCTACTCCGTACTATGAAGAAGACGTGCGATTGGCGATCCCGACCATCTCCGTAAGGGGCCGGATTCTTTCTGTCGCTGACCACTAGAAGCTCGTTCATTTCACGGTCGAAGGAATGGAAGGTCGATCAGTCAATCAATTTGGATTTGATTGGATTACGGAGTCAGTATATTGACCACGCAAGTATAATGCCAATCCGCAGCATCATCATGATGAAGTTGTTGGATTCTTTGATTGTTACCAGCCGAACAGCCCTGCCTAATCATTTCGTCTTTGATTTATTATGGGGTTTGATTCGACAGATCGTTGAAATATATATAATAATGATATAATGATATAATGATATAATGATATAATGATATAATGATATAATGATAATCCAAGGCAGATCAGCCGGAAAGGCTCCGTCCTCGCATGGTCAGGGTGCAGAGAGTGTCCTCAGTCGGTCCATGTTTGTCCTCCCCCCCTAACCTACCGGGCATGTCTACACGTTACACACACGACCTGCAGCCCTGCCACTGCATGAGAAGATTCGGTTTCCCGGAGCTAATAGGCCCTCGACGGGCTGCAAGACGGGTCGACCGAAACGAAGCATTGCAGGGAAAGCATCAGACGACGCCCAGGCGAGAGCTACTTCCCAAACGAGTTAGTGCCCTTCGTGGGTATCTCTTCATCAGGGAAGAGAGGCTGTGGAGCTGTGGGATGCTTTGACGGAGTAGTCCTGCGTTCGCTCCGACACCTAAATTAAATCACTATCTCGTCTGGAGATGCCCCCCTTGGTCTCGACCGCCAGTCATCATTTTATTTGATTGTCCGGTACGATTGATTTCCTGGGTGGTATTTCGGGGTGGTCTGGCATCGTCACGATCCCCTGGTAAGGATCCCGGATTCAATCAATCAATCATTATGGATTACGTAGTATGGAGTATGGAGTACTCCGGAGATGTTCAGCGTCATCTCGGCCCCATCTTCATATCTATCGACTCCTGCGCCCTCGGTGGTTTTATTATTGATTCCACCGTCACCCTTGATCGATCAATTCTTAGTTGAGACTCCCGTACCCTGCATGGTGTTTTTGAGTTTTGCCAATCATCTCTGACAGTCGGCAATGTTATCCACCGCCAGCGGAGATGCACAGGAAAAGAAAATAAAAAGAAAAACAAAAATAAAAATAAGAAGCACGCAAGACACAGAAGAATTGTCGGTGGGAGATCTCGAAGCAAGGTCAATCTCAGGACCCGCCGTTGGTCATGAAGAATTCTAAAGTTTTTTTCTATCTTATTTTTTTATTTTCGGTATTATATTTTTTTTATCACTCACCTCCCTTTCTGTCACAAGCAAATACTGTCCTCAACGATGAAAAAACAAGTGACGGTTTAAAAATAAAAATAAAAAGAAAAGAAAACACAAGCCATCCCAAAGAATCCAAGCTCAACTGCGGCTGTCCTACGCCGCAGTGGTCATCATCCCTGCCCTACCCAGGCAGACTGGGAACAACGGAGAGAGGGGGAGGGAAATAAAAACCAACATGCTAGCAGGCTGCTGATTGGGCGCGGAAGGGGAGAGTCAGCAAGCTAACCTGCAGTGGCTTTGCTAGGTGAACCGTGGTACTGGGACCAATGAGCGAATAGGAGTGCGGCTCTAACGCTGTCTAGCTCTGTGGTCTCACAATATTACACAGGGCCATTCTTGCTGAAGGACAGGCGACGTGACAGCCAAGTCGCAGACACGATGTGAGTGGGTCCCCGCCTTTGGGATGGGCCATGGGGGCATGGCTTTTTTTTTTTTTTTTTCTCTCCCTCTTGGCCCCCAAAGATTGTCATTGGCACTTGGGTTCCAAGGAGTTATTGGTTTCTTTCTTTCATTCTTTTTTTTTTCTTTTTCGGACTGAGGATTTTATCTGGATCATGTATTGTTTTAGGCAATTTCCTCTCCGGTTTCCGTCCACCCCACCCCTTCTTTTTTCTTTTTCTTTTTCTTCTTCCTTTTGCGTTTTTCTTTTTTTTCGTGTTTTTATTTTTTAACCCCCTCTGGACCAACAGCGCCCCTCTCCCCCATGCCCTACATAAGGTACTAAAAAAGGTAATGTATGTGCACAGCAGTCATCCGGAACAGGGCCATGCAGGCCAGATAACAATCTGCAGAACCTGCCAACACATCTCTGCATAAGTGAGACGATCTTTTTTTTCTTTTCTGCATTCTGGCTTGATGATTTCATCGGCTTACTGTTTGGGGGGGTAGGAAGAGGGGAAACGAAATGGGGGGGGGGGGGGGGTGTTTTGGTGTTTTGATTTTCTCGTTTGATTGCCCTTTCAAGATGAAATATGAATACTCGGGATCTGGTAGTATTGAATCTACAAAGTACAAAACTAGTCCGTCGTCTGTACACCATCCATCCCCCCTCCCACCCACAGGCAGGCAGGGTATCTGACCTGATTTTTTTCACAATTCGTCTGGACATCTCAAGCCTATGATGTCCTCTTCCTGGCTAGAAGCAGTGATCATTGCTTCGGGGAAGATGGATGGCGAACATGCTGTGCTCCGTTCAATCTTACCTGCGCATGTCCCTGCGAAAGGACACTGGACAGTACCTGGTAGGCAGGCCGAAATAGGGCCTAGCTTACTACGCCATGTGTAATTTTCAGTTCCGTGCGTTGTTCTCGGGATCCAATTCATGGTTACCTTCTTCTTACTATTGAAACGCTGCGGAGTTACGCAGCAACCTTCGATGTACTACGGAGCAAGTCATCCAGATCATCTGAGATCATCAGCAAAGGAGCAGCAGAATGCCAAAAAGGTAATAATTCAATAAATAAATCCCACGCGATCAAAAGAAAAAAAAGTGAGGCAGGAGGATTCAGGAATCGTCAGCCCACTAGCGTAGCTGAGTCAACCTGTCAACGCGAACAGAATGATCCTTATGGAGATGGCCTTCTGGGGACTAGGACGTGTTAGATCCGTCAGAATGGCGGATTTGGCAGAAGAAAAGCATCGGGTCTCGGGCGAAGATCCGGCAGGCGGGCGAAAAAGAAGGGTTTCACCCTGAGCAGAAAAAGAAAAGAAGCGAGGGTGTTCCTCAGACTTTTTTAGGTATAAGACAGGTGGAAGTATAGAGATGGCGGGTTTTACTTAATCTAGACGCATTGCCACCTACTCCAGTAACCACCGACATACTTACTCCGTAACCTTCGGTCTGCATAATCCGGTCTATACAGCGTCGTCGCATATCCGCGGACCCTCCGCGGAGGCCGCGGCAGGATTTGAGATGGGTACATCAGATGAACCAATTCCAGGTCGGAGAAGGCAGATCTCGTATATGTGTCCTGCAAGGAAAGGCAGGTTATCCTTCAGCCGAAGTTCATTCTCCGTCGACCGCGTCCACCCCCCACACCTCACCGGTCAGGTCGAGTCTTCACTGCATTTGCGCAGGAATGAAGAAAGCGCAGACGGAAGCAAATCAGAAAACTCCAATTATTGGGGGGATTCCGTGATGCAATCCCATTTGTCACACCGATTTCTCCGACCTTGACGAGAAGGCAAAAACGAGGCTAACTATCGGTCTCCATCCTATCCGACTTCGTATGCTCGCCTTTGTGCCTTACGGAGGACTCTGTAGGTCCGTCAACTATTGAGTATTGACATCCTTCGCCGACTCATGTCGACTCATGGAGGAGCTTAGCGCCCACTGATTGGATTGCCGCCGCTGAAGGAGTGAGGAAGAGGGGGAAAGGAATGTCAGCTGTTTGTTTTCTTATTTGATCTTTTTGCTATTATTCTGCTGGGATTTATTGCCCCCTTCACCGTTTATTTTTATCCTGTGCCAACTGCATCGCCTGTCATCTGCAGCAGAAAAGGTCGTCCAGTTGTGCGTCTTTGACTTTTATTTTTACTTTTATTTTTTACTTTTTCTCCCCTTGTCTTGGCATGATGACGACAATCGTTAACTCGCTGGATATCAGACGGCAGGTCCAAGCAGACTACGACCTAGAGCGCGCAATATAGGGTTGATCGTATGCTTATCAGTTCCTAGTAATTGGAGGATCAGGAAGAGCAGACAAAGAAAAGTCGACTCGACTCCGTACTGTAGGTCAAGAATCGCTATACCCGGTTAGAGTAATAATTAATCATAGATGCCTTTCGGTATCTACGTTGTAATCAGAATACCACAAGGAGCCCAAAGAACCGAACGAAATAGTGTGACAGAGAACATAGCTCCTAAGGCAGCCTGCTAGTATTCAATGAATCATCCTTTTGCCTCCAGCAATCACTAATTCACGATGGATCATGGTTGGGAAATTGCGGCGCAGTGAAATTGCGCAAGCGCGAAATCCAACACTGGACCTGGGTTGGGGAGCCAATGGTAAGGCACAGCCTGGTTCTTTTGTTTCCTTCTTCTCCTCTTTTGCCAAAAAAGCATCTGATCATGAGGCGAGAACGGATGATAGATGATGACAGTTCATCATTGCTCCCATCGCGGCCATGGAGTCGAATCATTGGAGCAGAGAGACGGGGGTCCTTCAGGCTGATGTTTCCGCCCGGCACACAGACCAGAAGTATATCTCATGTCAGGGTCCTACTCCGTAAGGAAGATTCTCCTTTACCTTCCACGGCCGGAGACGGCTGTTTAAAAAAAAAAAATAATAATAAAAAAGAGAGACAAGCAGATGAGACGGGTGGATGATCGGCCACTTGCGTCCACTGTAGATCTCATTCCTGGGGAGGGGCGCCACGGATTATTCCTCGACGGTGCAAGTCCAGCAGTTGCGAGGGACAGTAGTTCCACCGGTAGTACGCTGTAGTGTCAAGTCCGGAGTGCCGCCGCGAGGGAGCTAACGAGCGACCGTCTCCCCATCCGCCAGCCCTGAACCCGCTTGGACCAGACATGCCCAACGTTATCGATCCCCGGGCCATCGTTGGCTTGGTGTTTTTATTTTTATTTTTATTTTTTAATTCGTTCTTTTCCCCTTCGTTGCTCGGTCGTCACACGCGTACCCGCAGCTGCTGTCGGTCACGTGAGGCCCTAGGGGCGCTGGCTAAAGCAGGCCGACTAATCATAGCGAGAGAGGAGGAGGTTGGTAAAACCTCCAGAGGACGCCGGTGGATACGCCGGTCGAGGACAAAGGACTGTCGACAGGGATTCTCGCCAGCGATTGACGCAAACGCGGCTTGACACTGACTCGTACGTTGCACACAATCTCCCAGGATGAGAATAATATATGCACGGGAGCGCTGGTCTCTGTTACATTTCATGTCAGCTGCTTGCAATTTGATTGGTATCTTTTAGTCTGGCGGATTTTTCCCTCCACCCCCCTCTTCTTCTTCTTTCTTCTTCAGACCAGGTGTACGACGTACAGATTCTCTTCAGGATTTGGATTCGACAACCCCCCTCCCCCTTCTCGCCGACACGACCAGACTACCCCTTTTTAAGCGAAGTGGGCACGGACACGGATTGATTGTCCGCCAAGTGAAGAACTTAATATGCTAGTCGGAGGTAGATTGAGGTAGACTGAGGTGGTTTCAATCCTGAGGGGGAGACCGGCCGACGGCGGACGAGTCGCCAGTTGAGGCTCAAGTCCGGGGGCCAAGCAGGTTTTTGCCGCGGAGCTATTCTGCTGCCTCTAACGCGATCGAGAGCGAGTCCAGAGGGACTAGCCAGCCTCTAACCGACATGCAAGCGAGCTAGTCCCACGGTAATGGTCATGTCACGTCAGCCCTTTTTCAGGGTTCGGTTCAGCCGTCATCTCCCCGTCCCATAAACAAAGCTCCTGTCTGTACCCGTTCGTACAGGGGGGGTGGTTGGATGGAGTCAGATTGGAAGCACAGCCCTGAGTGAACGCATCGTTCGATCTGACCATCCCCAGATCGTATGAGAACGAACGATCATGCAATTGAGCTGGCAATGGTTCCTTTCCCCGGAAGGATTGCGCCCAAGCTCAAGCATTTGTTTATCAATACGAGGAAGGGCACTAACGGGTACAGATTCCAGAAAAATCCATTCGCTCCTTTGCGTGGTGGCTTCCGCCACCAATTTTGAGGCGGTCCTAGTTTAACCATAGCCTCATGGAATGAAATCCTAGCTCCTGACGAACCCCCGAGAGGATCCGTTCCCTCTACGCCATGTGGAATACTCTGCGTAGCGGCCAATTTGAAATTACCGCCTCCGGGAGGCTGTAAATTGTAAGGTCCTTGTAAGTGGGAAAGTCCTCCGGCGAGAAAGGAATGGAAGGATGGAAGGGAGAAATTAAAAACCAATCTCGAGGGAAATTATCTCGTCCATCACCAGCAGAGACGAAATGCAAAGGGAAAAGGAGGTGCCTGACTCGGAACGGACGGGATCTCCCCGTCCGTCGACCATACGCAAGAGTTACGACGCACGGCATACCACAATACGTCAAGCCTCTTGATAGGATCTTCGCTTGTCAGAGACTGATCACTTTAGCAGCTCAACGACGTTGCAATGCGGTGTGTGTCAGTCTCTCCTGTGCCGGGGTTGCATTCCTTAGGCAACCCTCAGAGAGAAGAGTGTTACGGCCTTAGGCTCTCCTGTCGACGCAAGGGGCGAATGACACTCGCCCAGGCCCGTTGCGAATGGCGATCTTCACGCCCTAGTGACTCACCATCGCGTCCTACATGATACATGCCGTCTCTCGGAGCATATCTCGTCGTGCAGAAAGGATTGGCTGTTTCGTATACACCCCCCGAGTTCGGTATACCTAGGTAGAAGCCACTGCGTATACTCCGTATACGGAGGAGATGGGAAATACAAGATTCCTCGGCTGGTTACCGTACGACCAGTTTACTAGTGCTCATAACTAGTAGCATCTATGGAGTACTGACCACACCTTTCACGGAGTCGACACCCGAAAAAAGAACAGAAAGGAAATGAAGAAAGACAGGCTCTTGCCGTCCAATGGGGTTGCTTCCAGCCCAGATCCAATTCTTGCGACTTGACCCGTCAAATGCCAATATCTTACCTGTGCGCTGCATTGTAGCTCCGTTCCCGTTTAGGCCAACATTATACTTTCTTTGTTCTATCTCACTTTGTCCGATTTTCTTCTGGCTTTTCGCGTTTGTCTTCTTTGGCGCCGGGGCTGTGATGGGCACGGCGGTGAATCCCCC